AATATTAAGTAAAGTATTTATTATTTATTTTTATTATTTAAGATTACTATATAGCTTTAATTTATTTAATAATATTAAGTAAAGCTAAAAAAACTAAATATTTAAATAGAAATAGCTATATTTTATAACTTAGCTAAAAATATTAATAATTTTAATTTAAGAAGTTAAATTTTTTTTTAGAATATTACTAAAGCTTAATATAACTTCTAATTTTAAGAGTTATTATATTATATTAAGTTAGTATAAATACTAGCTATATAAAGTACTAGCTAGAGGGGGGATTTAAATAATTTAGGTTATTATAAGTATTAGGGATTTTAAGGTATTAAGTTAGGTTATAGGAGTTTTTAGTATATTTATTAAGGTTAGAGTTAAAAAAGTTAGATAGGATTTTAATAAAGAAAAAGAAAGTAGCTTAAAACTTAAAACTTAGGTTTTAGTAATTATAATATATATATAATAAAAATATAGTAAATTTAAATATTAGGTTTTTTTATTAAGGGGTTTATTTAAGTATATTATTAATCTTTAAATAAATTGTATATATAATTTATATTATTAATATAATTATTAGTATTTATTTTTTTACTATTAAGCTTTTAATTTTTTTTTTAAGTATATATATACTAGGGTATTATACCTTTTAATATTATAAATACTAGCTAGATTTTTAATAAAATTAAATAAATATTATTAAGTAGTAAAATAAGCTTTTATAATTTATATAATGTATTAGTAATTAAATTTAAAAAGAGATTTCTAATAGTTATTTTAATTATAATATACTTACTAATAGAAATAATTTTAATATTAATATATAGTGAAAATTAATTTAAAAAGAATCTATAAAAAATTAGAATATTTAATATATAAAAGATAAATAAAAAGTAAAATTTATTATATTATATTTCTAGTTAAAACTTTTTTATATAGTATAATAAGATATTAAAAAGCTATAAATATATAAGTAAAAGAAATTATAGTATTTTTATATTAAATAGTATAAATAAAAAGTATTTTTATTTTTTTATTTTTTAGAATATATTATTAGAAAATAAATAGTTATTTAGAAATTAAAATTAAAATATTACTAAGATATTTTAAATTTTAATAAAAATAGATATTTTAAAAGTAATATATTAAATATAAAAATATTACTTAGTAGAATATAAAATGAGTAGAAAAATACAAAGAAAGTTATTAAATAAGAAAAAATTTAATAAATAAATATAAAGAAAATATAAATATAATAATATTAAAAAGAAAGTAAAATAATATTAAAAAAAGTAAATATTAACTTTAAAATAGAATTTAATAACTAAATATATTTTATATATTAGGTATTTAAGCTAATAATAAATTACTTTATTATTACTAGTAATTATAAAATTCTATAGAATTTTATAAAAGAGAAAATTAATATAGAATATCTATTATATACAGAGTTGTAAAATTAGTTAGTATATACTAATTAAATACTAATTCTCTTAGTATTTAGTTAGTATATATTAATTGCAATTAGTATTTAGTTAGTATTAACTTATACTAATACTAACTAATTTAAATTAGTATTTAGTTAGTATATATTAATTTTCTTTAGTATTTAGTTAGTATTTATACTAATTAATATTTTAATATTTAATATTTTAAAATACTAAAATAAAATTACTTAAATATTCTTTTATTTATTAATTATTTTCCTAAACTAATTATATCTAGTTAAATAGCTATATAATTAATAAATAACTATATTAATATATAAATAGTAATATTAATTTAAAAAGATTATATAATTTATAAATAGCTTTAATAATAATATAAAATCTTTTAATTTAAATCTAAAAATAAATCTATTTTAATTTAATTTCCTCTTTAATTTTATCTTTAATTTTTTCTTTCTTTTTTAATTTCTTAAAGCTTCTATACCGGCTTTTTAGTAAAATCAGCTATTTTACTATATTAGATAAAAGTCTATTTCTTAACTTAGTAATAATATTATTACTAATAGAAAAAGTACTTTCTATACTAGCTAATATAGCTGGAATAGCTAAATAGTATCTAGTTAATATAGCTAAATTAGAAAATTATATAGAATTATTTTTCCAATATTCTAGAATATTAATCTATTAAATTAAGATTAATAATTAAATTAGATATAAGGTAAATAATAGAATATACTAATCTTTTTAAATAAGACTACTTTATTTATATAAGTAAGATATTCCTCTTCTTTAGGAATATTACTTATATAAAATTTATTATCTGACTCTTTATTAGAAGATTCAGCTTCTAATTAGCTATCTTAACCTAATTTATTAAAGAATATATTAGGTCTAATTAAGTACTAAAAATCCCCTCTTTTAATCTTAATTATATTAAATAATTAACTGGAGGAGAGGGGGAGTTTCAGTGCAAATGTGCCGTCAGGAACCGTTGCATGAAGAGTAAAGTCGTCGCTTGGCTACAGTGGCAAAGCTTGAGCTGAGATTAAGTGAAACGCTAGATTCTTGCTACTTTTTGCTCTTCCTCCCCAGAACCTGTGCACCTATAGCATAGCATTAAGTAGTATCCAACAAAGAGACCCCAGGCTTGACTTGTATGAATAACTCGGTTGACCCGTCCGCTATGAGGATAGTGCTTAGTTCTTCGTAGGATCGATGGTGATAACCTTGGGAGCCAAAAGAATCGTTGGTGGGTCAAATAGCTCTCCGTTGTTGCCGCTATGTCGGACGAGGCCTGGCACAACAATAATTCCCTTTTCCTGTTGTGGGAATGTAAATTCCCAGTCACACGGATGCGAAAAGACCTCGTAACCGAACTTGACGGACTGGCGAATGATACCCGCGAGGCCAGCCTGCTGGTGTGCAAGGGGGTGATGGTTGTCTATGCGAACGAAATGGGCTAAAAATTCTTGGAGCGGAGTGACAAGCGCCTTGACTTGGGATTCCACGCTCGGCGGTGGCCGCAACGGGGTCTGAAACTGAGGATTCTCATGCATGAGGAAGGCGGTAATTTTGTTCCAGGACATAAGAGCCGTTTCATCTGGGCCGTACGCTTAGAGTTAGCGGAGCAAGGTGTATGGGGATGGATGGGGGTGGTTACCAAGAGAATCCCGCTTCTCCTTGGAAGCCCCGAGCCGCGACCGAGACATTTCCTTGAGAGTCGGCGGCAGGAGAGAAAGCAAGCCAACAGAGTGGGTGTCGAGGTTCGAGAAGATGACAAGCGCCAATAAATGACGGATGGCGACGTATCGGGTGTTCGGATCAATAGACAGTCTCGCAACCATGTGACAGGTAACCTCAGTTAACTGAAGCTGGCGCAGTGACGCGTGGAGAGTGTCCGGTGTCACCAGAATGTTGTCACGATGGTAATGGTACCTGACGTGATGATCGATCAGGAGGCCCAGAGAGGCGAGTTCCCGTCTGACGTCGCTGTCGGATGCTCCCATCAATAGGCAGCGCCATGGCACTCCAGCGAGTCCAGTGGTTAAGCCCAGCTCTTCTGGCGATAATTCAGTCGACGCATCGGGACACGTCTCGGCGACTGGCGCAGGCGGCGCAAGATGGAGATGGCTTCCCTTCCGGCGGAAGAAGGTAACAGTGAAACAAAGCAATATCAAGGCGAAAGCCGCGACTACCGATGCTACTGCAATCCCGGTGATGGCAGCGGTTGACAATCCCGTACTACCTCCGGCCGGTGTTGTAGTTGGAGTTGCTGTTGCTGTTTCTACTGCTGTCTTTGTTACAAATCGTACTGCCGCCTTTGCGGCGGTGGAGGTCGAACTCTCGTCGCTCTGGCGGGACGGCATGGTTATGGGCAGGCAGGTTTCCCCCGTCGAGGAAATGGAGTTGCAGACAATTTGGAACCTTGGTGAGGAGCTACCGTGAAATTTTTGATAGATGCCCTGGAACTGATGATGGATGCTCAATGGAGAATTGTCTTGCCGAGACTGTTGTTGGTGAGGTGAGAAAAGCGAAAGGGAAAGGTGAAAAAAAGAAAAGAGATGAAAGAGAGAGATGAAAGGGAAAGATGTAAGGGTAAGATAAAGGAAAAGACAAAGGAAAAGAGAAAGGAAAAGCTGAAAGGGAAAGCTGAAAGGAACACGCATAGCCCACTTCTAATAATCTCGGAACCATGCAGTGTTCTTCATGTTTCTCTGTCCATCCTACCTCGCCTACCTACCCTCAATCCGCTTGACTTCCATCTAGGGCTATATAATACAGATAACCCTTAGAGTATCGGTCCCTCAAATTGAATCATCCCGGATTGTCTAATATTCAAAGATATATCTTGAGATCTATCCGCAAAGATGGTCAAATCATACTTCCTCGCCCCGAACTTTACGACGGCACCACCTCCAGAAGGACCCATCAAGCTCGGCTCCATCCTACACAACATCAGAGAGTTCAGGACTATCAACCGGACAGTCCAGGCGATTCCCGTAATGCAGCTTCAACCCGTTGACAAAGAAACTGGATTTGAGATCTTCCTAGGCCAGCGTCATTCGGCTGATTTTGGTTTGATCGCCCAAGTCTTAGGACTGCTTGGCTTGGGCACCAGCGCTTCCATCGAACGAACCAAAGACAGGAACAATTTGCTCTCATGCCAGCGTCTGGATACTTTCGCCTTCGACCCGACCGAGTCCTACATCAACAAGAGTATGGAAGATTCGAGAGTCAGGTCATTTCTGCGGTCAAGCAGGTTCAAACTCCCCATGTACATGGTGACGGGACTGAAGGTTGCCCGCGGTGCGTCGTTAGTAGGCGTAGGGGAGAAATGGGACTCCTCGACTGATTTCATCGTGGTGTTCAAGGTGCGGAAGATATGGCTAGATCGCGATGAGGAGGTCAAGCACGCCAAAATGGCCGTGATAGCGGATGGGACGTATGTCATCCGTCAACCCACCTTCACTATTCGATCGGACGACGACCTCACGCCTAAATAAGTGGACGAGATGTTTGCCAAAATGGAGGATGATATCTAAAGGTGGCGAAGAGGTATGGTTCGGGTGAATGTGAGGCAGTCAGGGACCCTTGGGCTAGCTGGTCGCTAGCAGGGAGGTCTCTAGGGTGGCCCCAAGGGGGTCAAAAAGGGAATCTGGAGCCGTCACCAGGAACGATCATCGATTTTGCATTCATCAGAGATTTTTCCTGGAAGTCAGAGAGGCCGGAAGGGCTCGATATAGCTAGGAAGTCTATTAATTTGTTGCCTTTTTTTTTTTCCGAGAAATTTATTTTACTGTCGTGCTCCTATTCACTTTCGTGTCGGGAGCCACAACCACCCCTCGGTCACAGCAACAACCCCGATCAACCGCCGGGTACTCAGGCCCGAAGAGAACTTGTCACGGTTTTCTCAGAGCCTCCCTGAGCCAGTCACGACAGCCGTCCATTGTATCCCTGTCTTTGGCCACCCTATCGGGACAAACGTAATCATAGCCGTGCCGAATTCCAGAAGCCTCGAGTAATATCCGTCTCATTCCTTCCCTTCTAAATGCTCGGCGGCGTAGTCTCTTGTCCTCTTCCCATTCACCGAAACATGCATCCACGAGGGTTAAGATGTTAGCTGCCATTCCAGAAGCGATGGCTGTAGAGTAGGACGTCCCTGAAAGCAGCTTGTTCTCTCTGAGTGGCGAAGCAATGCTCTCCCCCAAGGTGCTAATGTTAGCACAATGCTTCACCGGGTCGGGGTTTCCTTTGCAAGGATTCCCATTTCCGTCCGTCGCATGAATGGCCAGTACCTTGTCCATACTTGCGGGGATGGCCCTTGGCTTGTTCGCCTCGTCGTCGGAGGCCGCAGCGAAGACGATGATACCCTCAGCTTCCGCCTTTGAGATGGCATCCTCGATGCCTTCGTCGTCGTTCATTGAGGCGGAAATATTGATGATGTGAACTTAGTGTTCCATTGCCCACTTGATTGCCTGACTTGGTCAGCTCAGCTTCGTTAAAGAGGTGCGCTGGCCACAATACCTCGACGTACTGGTCCACACCAATTACTTCTTTGCCAACACAAATCTTGGCGATGTAGAGGTCTACGTGCGGCGCCATTTGCACAATCAAGGCGGCTACTCTTGTGCCATGCCCAAAAGCGTCGTGAGACTCGCCTCCAACAAATGACTTTACACCTTTGAGTGATGTGCCGTGTTGCCCTGTGGACCTTCGCGCCAGCCGGAAGTGTACCGCCCCCTTGTCCACTCCAGTGTCGAGGACGGCAACCTTGATTGCCTTCTTTTTCTCCAGCGGCCTGATCTTGCCATTGTAGAATGTTTGAGCCTGACCTATGAATTCTTCGGCCGTGATCTGCTCGTATGGTGGCTGCCTCTGTGGCTCCGTCCGGTCGGTCTGTTGGAGCTCAGAGGGGGGTGGTGGCACTTTGGAGTCTGCTGAACGATTCGGGTCTTGCACATTTCTCGAAGACCAAGGTTCGGATCCCCTGACGTTGTGATGCTTGTTTGCTCCGTCGCTTTCATGAAATTTGTCGATGTGGGATCCCTCTCGAGTCGTCATTTGATGATGTGTGCTGGTGCAGTCCCGGTCTAACCCCAGATCCGACTGGACGTCGGCATTAGCTTTTCTGAAACTCGCCATCTTTTGCGCCATCGCTCCGAGATCTTTTACTGTGCGTGGAAGTCGTATCAAAGACAGCTCTGGCGAACCCGCTTCGTCGCGACAGGCTCGCGCGAGTGCAGTTCGGAGTCTTTGATGGGGATCTCCCGCCTTCAAGTGGTGGTCTTTGTCCTCTCTGACAAGATCCCCAAGCACCTCAAGAAGAGGGTGGACGTATCTCGACAGTCGCTCATCGTCCTGAGATGGGGGTGGGTCGTTTCCCAGCTCAAGCAAAGCCAACCTCAACTCAAAATCAAGTTCAAACCTAGAGTTCATCAAGGCCAGGCTTTTGATCTCATTGCTGTTGGCAATGCTCTTGGTGATAAGTGGAATCAGCTTCCTGACAGTGGCCAGGGGGTCCTCACGCTCATCGTTGATTATGATGGCTGCAAAACTGCGGCTGTCGCGGGGCCGAGGGAGGAGGGAAGGAGGAGGAGGGAGGAGGTTAATGCTGTCGTATGGGGAGAAGCAGGAAGACAAGTAAAGGATTGCCGGTGAGGTCCATCGCGCTCGCAAAGCATGGGAAGGCCTCTTGTCTTGGTTGGCCCGTTCGGAGGCTTCCTCCCTCCCCGCAACGGCCTCCGCCCCGGCCATGGATCCCGGCCATGAGCCAGGGTACTTGAGTGGTGCGCAGTCCATCCGCTCCTCGCACTGTTCCAGCCGCAATCTCCAGGGTGTTAGCACAAGAAAACCCCCAAGTCAGGTCGAACCAGACCTTCTACTGTCCAAGGGCGCTGGACGCGGTGTCAATCCGCCATGGCGCCGCAAGAGCTGGAGGAGCGAGACCTCTCCGAGTTGGCTCTCGTCTGCAGAGACCTCTTCAACAAATATGCTACTCTTGACCCAGCGTGCTCTGCGCCACGCAAGAGTGCAGCGCGGCAACAGGAACGCTTCTCGACATCCGACTTGGCCGTTTTCACTCGTTCCAACACATCGCTCGACTGCGACGAGATTCGAGCCTTGGCGATAGAGCAGCTTGCCGTGATACAAACGAATCTAGAGTTTGGTATGCTATCATGACCTACTTGAGAGCACTGTTGAACTCTAGAATAGCTAACAGTGAATCCCAGCTGCTTTGCATGATACAGAATTCCCAGACAAATCGGCCGTTTTGAACTCACCCAAGGATGCCCAGAGACGAGAATGGATCTAACAACTGGAAGGAACGCCTTTGGAGGCGTTAGAGGCGGTCGAAGCCACCATATTTAGACTGGACGAGCTCAGAGAAGCGATCCGACAACACCCGACCCTCAACCAAGGAAACCAAGTCGAAGACGCCACGGATAGAGATGGAGAGGGGAGTGGCCTCCTTTCGATAAAGCGAGTTGTCCAGTCCAATTCCCCAACTGCCCCTCCTTCCTTGAAAGATCATCTTGTTGCCTCGGTCCTTGAACGGCGCAAGTCCCTCCGACAACTGAAGCAACGGCAGCCCACGCGTGTACAACATCCAACCGGTCGTGGAGTGACTCCTGCACCGACCGAATCATCTGGAAGGCGTTCTCATTCCCCAGAGAGTCAATCGAGCCATCAGTCGAGGCGTGACATGTGTCTGGACGCTCCACGACCCCGCTCCAGCTTCAATTCCACACCCGAAAGCTCACATCTGAGATTCGGGGGAAGTTCGATCGCCTCATCTTCACAAAGCAGCATAACGACCATGGCTGAGGATGATCGCGTCGACTATCCTGAGCCGCCCAAGGCCGAGCATGGGAAGCCTGCCCCCCACTGTCCATACTGCTGCTAAGTTCTGGAGAGTTCTCATCTCTCACAGCCAGCCTGGAGGTATGCCTCCGTCGTGCCTGTGAAGGATGAGAATCATACTAACCTGGACTACCTAGGTATCATGTGAACAAAGACCTTAAGCCATACATATGCCTTTTCGACAATTGTAATCAGCCCAGTCCCTTATTCCAAAACGAAGAGAAATGGGCAAACCACATGGAAAAGAGCCACGGGAAAAATTGGCCACGCAAACTTGGCAACTCCTTCAACGAGCGACACGCAACTGGGACCCAGAGCAGCAGCGCAAAGACACGAGCGGGGCCTGTCTGTCCTTTATGCGATTCATGGTCACTGACCAAGGGCGGCGCACTGCCGGACGAGTATTGGAAAGAGTCTTACAAACTTGGCAGACTGACAGAGCACGTCGCCAATCACCTGCTGCGGTTGGCATTCGACAGTTCTGGCAAACTTGAAGAGAACACTCGTCAAGCTAGCCCGTCTTCGTCAAGCGAGGGGATTGATACCAGCTCTGGTCAGGATGCGCTGAGCTTAAGCCCCGAGAATCCTAACAACAGCGGAAGCGAATTTATCATGGGCTCGGATCGCAGTTTGGACCAGCATAAGCCCAAAGTGTCTCAAGCTATCGAGACGCCGGAGAATTACGGGCCCATCACCGCAAACGAGAGGCGTGAGTGTTCTGACGTGCCTACGGATACCCCAGATGCGACTCGCAAGTCGGTTTCGGAGAGAGCGCTCGGCAAAACTGCAGGAAAGGTGATTAACACATCCGAAGAAGCATCACCCTTCCCAACGATGGAGAACAGGGTGGACTGGAAGCAGGTTCACTCCAGCACCGGGGGCTTTGTACCATTCCAGAAGAAATCACCAGATGACGAGGCAATAGATATGGACAATGCCTTGGATCGGAACAGCAATCCCCCAACGCTTTCAAGCACGACAAGTCTTAAGGGCTGCGACGATTATGCTGGAGCCGAGACCATACATCAACAGATGATGCACCCGAGTTCCTAGCTATCAGGTCCTGAGCATCCTCAGTCTCTCTCAAGCATGGTTGAGATCGCAAAAGCACTTTTTCGCCGGCGCAAGTACCAAGAGGCTGAAGAGGAATACCGGAAGATGCTCAAGTTACACGCCAAGGTCATGGAGGCCAACGGCCCTGGCATCATTTCAATCAAGGGCAACCTGGCAAACGCGCTCGCAAAACAAGGCAAGCATCGTGAGGCTGAGAACCTGTATAGGGAGATGTGGGCACTCAGCACCGAAACTCTCGGGGAAAAGCATCCGCACACACTTTCGTGTAGGAGCAACCTGGCAAGTTTGCTCGAAAAAAGGGGGGAGCATAAAAAGGCGGAGGAAATTTATCGGAATGTTTGGGACCTTCAAAGGACGACGCTGGGGCACAACCATCGCGATACGCTCTCAAGCAACAACAAACTTGCCAACGCACTGATGCGACTTAAGAAGTTCAATGAGGCCACAGTCATCTACAAGGAAACGCTTGAGACGCGCAGGAAGGTGCTAGGAGAAGAGCATCCTGACACAATCATCACTCTAGGCAACTTCGCAAATTCGCTTCACAATCAGGGGCAATTTGAAGAGGCCAAGGCAAAATACTTGGAAGCAATGGAGCTTGGTACTAAATTTCTTGACCATGAGCATCCACATCTGCATTGGATTAGGGTTCGTCGTGAGGAAGCGCTGAAGGATGAAGGGGAATGATAGAATGGAATTTGATACCTGGGTTTAATTTTCAACAATGAAAGCCGCATTTTCTCTTGCCTCTTCGGCTCCTTTTCATCACTCAATATTGCCATGGCATTATTAAAAACAAGCTGATAGAGATGCAATGAAGAGGTTGTCGAAAGAAACTGGGCACCATCCAAATAACGAGAATGTGGAGAGCTTCATTGCTGAGAGGTGTATACAGGCACCGATTCTGATGTGAGTGAGAAGCATTGGAGGAATGGGGTAGAGTAACAGTTCAGGAAAAGAGACCTTGTCTTCAAGCTGCCTTTAGATGAAGTGCCAGATCACTCGGGTTCTCTGGGCTTTTATCCTTGCCCACAGAAGTCGCTAATCAATTACTTGAGTCTATTTCTAACACGCCATGTAACAAGAAGACAAACTTATACAATTTTTATACGAGAATACTTTTACTACCTGGTATGACATGTGTGCTAACATGCTTCTATTAGCATGCTTTGTATGCTAGTCTACGTATACAAGCATGCTAAATACCCAGGAACCATCGTGCCTGATTGGCATGCATCAGCGAGTAAGCTAGATTAACCCAAGAACCGCCGTAATTGGGCCAACAGCAACTGATAGGTCTCCTGGGGATTGATGTAAGGCGCACACACATCCACGTTCGCACGGCATGAGCTCGACACGTCATGGGAGACAAGGAACTCTAGAAGCTTCTACCGAGAATGCCAGATATCATTGACTAATTGACGTCACTATGCACTCCGAGGTTTCGCAGAAGATCGAACAGGCTGCTTGCTTGCCCTGGCCCTCCGACCCCACCTCCCCGGGTCATCGAGTCATCAACTCCCTTACTAGTAGCCCAGGCCGCAGAAGGATCCCATTGCAGGCCAGGTACTAGTAGTCTGGGGTAAGGTAGATTCCAGGGATCTCCATGCAAGCTACTAGTAGCCCATGTTAAGGCCATCGAGATAATCCCATTACAAGCTACTAGCAGGATTGGAGTTGATGACTTGATAATTTGACTACGGGCTACTAGTAGCTTGGATTTGTATTACTGTAATGGAGGGCTATATCTACATCCATACCTGACTTCAGCGCCGGCCGTGGGCGTGCAATACCGAATACTATCACCTTCCTAGAAATCAATGGAATCCTTGGGCCCGCGGAACATCCTATTGCAGACAGCCCGTACCGGTACCTTCCAAAAAGCAAGAAATGCTCCGACGCCCGCCGCTCCCAAATCCCCACTATGCCCAACACAGTGAAGTAGGCGTGTGATAGCGTGGTGTGTTGGCAGAGTCCTTGCGACGCCTCTCGGGCTACGCAGCCACTCTCATCTTTTTGGGCACGCACACTCACGCTCGAAATTGAAATACCTGCATAATCACAAAAGCGAATACAACTACCAGGATTTCATTGAACAAACAAATCTGAGCGACCTGCCGCCTTGAACAGCACCTGATACAAAAAATGCCGCAGAATGATGTCTTTGATGTGCAACGAATAGGATAAAGCTCATGCCGGACACTCATGGGTGGCACATGACGCGCGTGCCGATGATCGGTGTGTGGGATGTGTACCAGTGAACCCTTCACGAAGCTATATGCCTATGATTGGAAGAGACTCAAGTGGCCACCTAGTGTGGCTACTTGCTAGAGTCTGGATTCGTGCAAGTTTAGTGATAAGCGGGGGGCGTAATGCAACCGGTGTGCTATTTCTGCATATTGCTAAAAGTTGCAAGATCACAAGCATGTGAAAGTGTTCTCTTGTCTCACTAGAAATAACCCAAAGACGAATTCAGCGTAGAATAGAAGTATGGCGACAGTCGTGTTATGGGAAAAATATGCTTGGGCAAGGGGAACAGTCTGGATATGCCTACTTGCTAATATGCGCTTCAGTCTCAGCATGATTGGAACTCATATTGTTATGAATGATAGCACCCCAAGGCCGCATTTCTTGTTCGCAATAATACCTTAGGAACTGTTGGTCCCAGGCCAAGAATCTTTGAGAGAGTACGTATTCACAAAGTTCAGGAAAAAGCATGTAAAATACACATACTTCAATGTACATACACCTGTTCTGTTGATCTCGTTACTGCCAAGACTGCCGGGAATCCGAATGATCAGAAGATACTTGGACCTGAAACATTGAAGATGAAGAAAAGACACATGTACGAATCATTAACGTCATACCAATGCATTCATGCCCAACCCCGCAAAGGTTCAATACTCACTGTCTTTTCACGTGCGTCTATGACCAGCCACATTTCCAATCGTATCCAATCAGAGAACCACAGTTATCAAGCACCCATTCCTACGCTATAGGAATGACTTGGCTTTAAGCCAAAAGGCTTGCTTCAATGTGCTAGGACGATACAAATATACATGGGGATACGTAATACCAACCATAAAAATAGCTTTGCTCAAGATCTTTCTTCTCCGTCGATGTTTCACGACAGATACACCCGCTTGTCAACATGTACACATTTTCTACCTCTGCATGGAATATTGACAACCTGAAGTTTGTCATCTACCCAACCGGCTTCGCCTGCGTCATCATTCTGTGGGCGATATACTGCATTCTGGTTGCTCTATACAAGGTTTCACCTCTCCATCCGCTGTCTCACATACCAGGCCCAAGACTAGCGGCCGCGAGCTACATCTATGAAGCCTATCATGACTGGTGGCGAGGAGGGAAGTTTGGTCATGAGATACGTCGAATGCATGAGTGTTATGGTGAGTTTTGTGAATCATGCTTGAGTTTCGCTGATGATAGTTAGGTCCAATCGTGAGAATTAATCCCGATGAGCTACACTGCTCTGATCCCGCCTTTACCGACCATATTTATGCTGGCTCAGGGCAGATCCGCGATAAATGGTTACATCAAATGAACAGCAGCGGCGTTGGCCCCATATCGTCATCAACTTTCTCAACCATCCCTCATGAACTCCATCGCGTTCGCAGGGCCGCAGTATCGAAATTTTTCTCGCGCCGACAGGTCCTTCAATACGAAGATGAGGTATATGAACTTGCTTGTCTTACAGTGGATAAGATGCTTCATTGGACCGGCAAGGAACCCTTCGACGTAAGAGAGGCCTATAATTGTTTTACTGCGGATGTTATTTCACAATACGCTTTTGGTCAGCCAGTGGGATTTGTCTCACAAAGTGGTTGGAAGCCTAATTTTGCAACCTGGATTAAGCCATTTACCAGATGTGTGCATATGTTCAGATTCAACGCACCCGTCAGGATATTGGCTGGCGCTCTCCCTCGGTTTGCAGAGTATATGAGTGAAGACTTCAAGCCGTTTGTACGACAGTTGAACGTTACCATTCCAGGCTATATCAACGCGGCCAAAGAAACACCGGGCAAAGGAAGAATCTTCACAGAACTCATCCAATCGAACTTACTTACCGAATCGGACAAGTCTATCTCACGGCTTTCTGGTGAAGGGTTCCTACTGTTTGGCGCAGGCACTGAAACGACTTCTGTAAGTTACGATCTATCTGTTGAGGGCGAATTCCAGGTTTAATCATGACTCATAGGCAGTACTGGCTGTCACCACATACCGACTTCTTGCTGAGCCTGCGATATACGCCAATCTAATGAAAGATTTGGATGGTATCGATTCTTGCAACCTCAAATTGATTGAACTCGAGCGCCGACCGTACTTTTGGGCTGTCATTCACGAAGCCTTACGAATGATGCCTGGAGTTGCCATGCGGTCTGCAAGAATTGCCCGTAACGAGGACTTGATCTACAGAAGCCGAGACGGTGACGCGTGGGTTATTCCAAAAGGGACTCCCATCACAATGTCCTCAATGGTTAATCATTGGGACCAAGAACTGTTCCCAAATCCCGATGAGTTCCTCCCCGAGCGATGGTTGATAGATGGCGAGCCGAACAAGACCCTCCAAAAAAGGTTGATCTCTTTTGGCAAGGGTAGTCGTTCATGCCTTGGCGAGAAGTAGGTTGTTCATTCTATTATCACTTCAGGTACTAATGCAAACATAGCTTGGCATATTGTGAGCTATATATCATGTTGGCGTTGATGGCATTCCGTGTTCTCCCCAGAGCGCGCCTACACAATTCGACCATTGAAAATATTCAGTACGATCATGAATTGATTGTGATTCAGTCAAAGAAGGGTCCGATTTCAGTCATGCTAGAGATATCGTAAGGCTTTGTGTTGCTCTGTCGATCGCGATTCGTGACGACAGGATTATTAGTTCGGGATGATGGACGGGTGAAGCTGCTGAGGAGCTTGCCGTTTGAGTACATTGTAACTTTGCCTTGGACACCAATACTAATTTGTTTCAATAATGTTTTTCCTCCTCCTTGATCATAGACACGACGACCGGGAAGGCTAGGATCTTCCTCTAGTTGGTCAATACGTATCCCGCTTCACCGGACTAAGCATGGAGATGTCAGAAAAGATTTGCCAGCCAAGTAAGTGAAATACCTCACCCCAAATTCGTGATTTTATGAGTCTACTATTGTCCACTGCTTGGCGGAAACCCGTAATAATTCCGAGTCACTATCGGAGACGGGGCCGAGGCTTTGTTCTGATGCCCTCGCTGGCAAGTTAGACGACCACCCCCTCATAGATCTATTGACTTGATATACCGGCAAGGCCCCAAGGAAGACGCTGGGCTTGTTGATCGGGCTTGATCCGAAACTGGCCACGTGGGATACGTGTCCGCCGGGGACTCACGGTCTGACAATAACTGGTTGATTTGTGTCATTCATTAGCTGTATTCTATTGCTCAATGCCATGCAACGTGACTCTGTTTGTGTGTTGAAAAACTGCCGTAGTGCTCCTCCGTATGCTTATTCACTCGCCACCGGAGTATATATTCCTGATAATTGGGACGATGTCTGAAATGTGCACATGTGAGAAATTTCGCAGCAAAACCGGCATAGGTCCTCCTTGAAGGGGAGTATATATATGAGTGACCCTGAAAACGACAGTCACATTAACGACATCCGATAAAGTCATACCTGTTTCGGTACGTAACAGATACGAAGATGGACTCTTGCTGGTGATGTTCCTTGGAAGCTTGGTACTAGCTAAGAACAGTATGATTCTCGTGAAAGTCGAGTAGAGCAAACTCGAAGCCCTTGCTTCTCTCAATTGGGCCAGCGGCGGAAGGACATCGGGTCATTAGCCTGTTGTACTTCACGCAAGAACGATTCTCGAGTTTCTCAAGTTCCCGTACAAATATTTCCTTGCGCTCGTCGGTGGCATCGACTCGAAAGCAAAAGAATACTGCCGTAGAACCATAGGGATCAGGTTCAGCTTAGATAAGGGATAGATCAATCGAATTATATTAAAAACCAGACCTAGAGATGATATTGGCTCCATGGCTGAAGAGTGACCACGAGAAGAAGGCTAACATTGCAATCTACGGTGAGGGGTTGTAATTTAAGAATTGTCTACACGCGATAATTCGCTGCTGGAAGCTTGCGGCCCGAGTTTCCAGGGCTCCCATGTTCGTCAGAATAGAGTAGAGCTATGTGGTCCATGTGACGAGATGATCTAAATGTTATAAGGCTTGTGCACAACATCATGACTAAGGACTTTTGTAGCCAGGAGGTCAGCCCCGGACATGGCTAACTCACTTGATCAGCACTAAATAACGACGTCGAAAAATTGACTTCATAGATCTTTATTCAGAGATTCAATCAAGCTAGAGTGTTATAACAGTGATAGTTACGTGACGTCTAAAACCTTAGCTCAGTTGTACTCACCCATCGTTCCAATACCTGAAATGGTACTGTGAGGAGGTGAGTCAGTAGTGCAACGCGAATATCAACCCCACTGTTACAATTGTGACTGCACCTCCAAGGGGTGCTGGCTGGGAAATGGTGTATGCCTTTGGCTAGGCGACTTTGCAGAGCTGAAGAGTCACTACAAGCCAATATTTGTCAACTGGTTTGGACCACGGTTGCAAGGAGCTGGCAAGCCCTCCATCTTCAAGCCACAAAAGAACACCTTAAAGACCATCTGACCCCCAACTGCGAACCTAAGCCTAAAATCGATGGGCATTCAAGTTATAGAGTAGGACCTCATTAGGTTTCTTTTGAGCGTCTCTGTTGAAAGAGAATAAAGTACGTTGATATCTAGACAGGAAAAAGGACAGTCCCAGCAAAAACGAGCGGTAAGAAGCGAAGCCCTAAAATCCACAGAGAATGCAAAGCACCTCAATCAGGAGGAGTGGTGACAATATATCACTTACCTAGTCTAATTATAGAGGAGATACCAGTGGACAAACTCGCGGGAGACAAGGTCGACCTGCAAGAGAGATTTTGCGAGGTAGCGCTGAGCGTTGTATAGAGGCGATGTCCCTAGTTTTCTCTCCAAATGACTTATTACTCGCTCAGTGTACAACGCGTAAGGATTTCCCTGATAAAGCTTAATGATTACATTGCAATTTTAAAACAATCGATGTAGTGCACATGCGACATGTTTAGGTAATGAATATTTATTTTACCTCAAAGTAATATACAACTATGTACCTAAGTGATCGAGTTATTACATTGAGCTCGTTCTCTTAAAATGCCGCAGACCTGGGCTAAAGACCCGAGCCCATCGGTGATGCGAAGGCAATACACACATATTCTCCCAGTTTCTCGCCGGTTTGGCGCCCCTAATGGAGAGTTAGAAACTTAGAAGGAGAGAGTGTTGCCAGCAGCTCCGTCAACTGCGCTCTTAACGCTGGCGCTGCCGACAAGAGTGTATTGGTAGGGGACAGAGAAAGCGCTGCCCGTGGGGGCATCGTTGGTGCTGTCACCAAGGTCAACATCGTTGACAGCGGCAGTGCCAGTCTCGTCAGAGTCCTGGCTGGTGATGGCCTTCTTGACATTCTCGAACTGGGTAGACTCGACAAGGACCTCAGCACCCATGCGAGTGTTAACGCCAGAGGTTTCAACATCGGCGTAGTAGTTGTTGAAGATGTGGGCGGTACCGAATCGAACAGAGGGGCAACGAGAGCCAACGTTGGCCCACTTGTTGTTGGCGTAGGTAACGTGGAGAGCGCCGGTATCCTCATCAGCATTGCTGTCCGAGTGGCCAACAAGCGAGTTCTTGTAGTGGTCGTGGAAGTAGGTGTTGGACACGGTAACCCAGTCGGCGGCGTGGGTAATGTCGAGGAGACCATCGTAGAAGTCCTTGCCGTTGTCTCGGTCGGAGGAGAGGTCGCAGTGGTCGACCCAGACGTTGGTGGAGGCCTGGATGCCAATGGCATCGCCGTTGTCGGCGACAACCTTGGAGATGGCAAGGTTACGGACGATGACGTTGGAGACGTCCTTGATGTAGAGACCGACTCCAACCAGCGAGGCGCCGGCGTTGCCAACAATGGTCTTGTCAGAGCCAACGCGGATCTTGGCGCCGCCGGAGATCTCGCCCTCGACAACAATGACGTAGGCCTCGTCAGCCTCGGCAGCAGAGCTGAACTCGGAGAGCGAGGATACAGTGGTGGTGGTGCCACCAGAGCCGCCAGTAGTTCCGCCGTTGGTGCTGGCGTAGCCAATGTCACAGGCGTCGGTGATGGTGGCACGCTTGGCGATGGAGCGGTCGACCTTGTGGAAGGTGGGCGTGGGGCTGGCAACGGCAGCGCCAATGACGGCGGCCAGCGGAGAGTACTTGGAGAATCTCATGATGAATGCTGGTGGTTGACGAGGTGTTGAGGTTTGTGGTGGTTGTATAAAAGAGTGAAGCAGCAAGTAATGCAGGGAACCAGTCCACTGTGAAATAGAAACGAATGTTGGAAAAGGGTGGAAAGAAGGAAGCTGAGATGGACGAGTGTCTGTCTTGGGGAGGAAAGAAAAGACTGAATTAGAGATGCCATCGCGAGTCTTTTATATCCCATTGCCTCACCGCGGCGTGCGGTAGTTGACGATGTTGGCCGGGATTACAGGAGGCTCAGTTGAGCGAAGCTAGCGGGCAGACCAAACATGGCTCAAGGCGGGGCCAAAAAGTGCACGAATGACAAGTATTGCCGGGTGGAGGCGTCGACCGCGAGAGGCCCGATGTGGATGGGGTCACTGTTGGGAATTGAGTGTCTTTGGCGGCAGCATTGCGTGGCCATGGCTGGTTTGGACACGGAACGGCGTCGATATCCCATGCTCGAAACAAGGTGACTGAAACGGGGAAAAGGGATGAAACGAGGTCATCAAGGGACCCTTGCAAGCAGCTGAACTAAGTCGTACTACATACTAAGCATCAATGGCAAGCATCAATGGGAAGCTTGGATGTCATGGATCATGATGGATGTCACGGCCACCGATCCCCCCGGTGTTTATGCTCCAATCAGGTAATACCGCCGATGATTCCCGATTTAATCCATCACTCACATTGCTTGGCGCGATGGGGGTAGAATTGATCGTCAAGCCGAGTTGCTTGATGGAGGCTGATCCAAGTGACCATTCCATTGCGACTCAATTCGCCTCACTAGCAACACCATCTCGCAAGACGCGCCATCTCCTCATCACGCCGTCTTCCAAAGCCAGGTTTCCGGAGCCCATTTCCCCGTCCGAAGGGAACAAGACGGAAACGATCATCGCCAACAAAAACTCCGTCGCATTCCGTGCCTCCCTCCTGGCCCTTGCACCGTTTCATCGGGACCCAGTATTGCGGTGTCGGCGTACATTTAGTGCATGGTAGGCCTGCACGGGCTCAGCGTACAGGGCACTTATGGAGGCTCGCCTGAGATTCACGAAACCCATCTTGCCGCGCGCAAATGAAGACATGACGCAGTGCGTGCTGGTTGGTGGTGGAGAAGCTAGCAGCCGCCAAGTCTTGAGAAACATTGAGCAATGAGCCTTTTGAAGATGAGCCCATTTCACTTATTTTCAGAGAGGTTTCACGGTCCGATGGTGGGGAGGGGGAAAATACTTCAAAGCAAACACACCAGAATTGTCTGTTTCTGCGATGAACCGCATTTCCCAACGAAATTCTATGTGGATGAATAGAACGGGGACTACATACAGGGACCATCGAAGGCGGCACCCAAACGCTAGAGGCCATTGGAGGCTTTAAGAGACGGCCGGAAATAGTACGTACGCGTACAAACATGCCTGTCACAGTATTCGGCGGTAAGCTTCTCCAGGAGTGAAGCTAGGTGACAACGAACATTCGCCCCTTTTCCTGTCAATGTTCCAGAGCTAGGATCTACCCGAACTCCACACCAAACGGGAACTTGGCACCTCAACTGTGTGGTCGGGCTACGGCCCTGGCGTCAATAATAAACGAAGATAGGATGTAAATCTACTTGGAGATTATAACAGCTGATAATGACGCACTAAGTGAAGATACGAGAGGATTGTTTTAATATTCCAGCTATTTAATTCTTCTGATTGGTAAAATCCGATTTAAAGTGCCTTCCCAGGTAGCATATCGATTTGGTGAAGTTTGATGCATCCACCTAGTCACATAAGCGTAGGGTAGGTAGATGTGCTTGTTGAACAGGAATATCCGGAAATACGTGAGCTCTCTAGCGGAGCGTTCCAATTTTGCAGTTAACAGTGCTTTATTGAAGAGGACAGTCACCCCTCATTCATTTACCGCGGAGTTCTCTCCAAAATCTCACCCGGATTCATTTTCTCCAAGGCTTATGCTACGTCATGTTGCGATCTAATTTCTGCATCAATGATTAGTGACAGTGACATACAATGACCCACCATCGGGTCATTTTCCATTTAGAGTACCTAATTCGCCGTGATGCTTAAAGAAGGAACCCTTTAAGCATATCATCATCAATGTGGGACTACGCCCTAGTTGCTCGTGTTTTTGCCGTCTTAACCGTGAAATGGAATGACGATCCACTAAAACCACGTACGCGAGCGCTTGGCGCGTTGCAATTGAAACACCTCCTGTCAACGACGGCACCCAGATGTAGTCGGCGTTTTTAATACTTGAGCTAGATTACATAACTTCATTCTGATGGATAGCTTGGCTCGAATCTATCCTTGTGATACATCATTCTGGGAGTGGCATCTCAATCGGCTGCTTAGGTGGGCCATGCATACCTGGATAACAACACAGACCCGCTCATGCTACCTCGCCTGACAGCGTCGACGGAATTTGCGAGGTGACAATATTCTACATCCATGACAGTTCCTCAGTGGGTTTACGTTGCGAGGGTCATCTATTTTTATTATTATTTCATTCATATTTTCTTTGTTATTTTGTGTGGCTTTTACTAAGCCATCGCTAAACCTCAGTTTACCAACATATTTATTCTTCGATGTCACAATATGTTGTAAAAGAGGGACATAGTTCCGAGAGGGGTTCTATAGAATCCCAGGAGTCCATAGAGTCCATCAAAGCCCGCTGTTCAGAGCTGCCGCCCTCCCAAAGTATTTCGGGCTTCAAGCCCATTTCTATAGCCTCAAATTTTCAGACCAGGAGGTGATTTGTATGTGAGCGCCCAACCCTCAAAAGCAAGCCTGGTTAAACGATTGAACCAACAACTGCTCTCGGCGGCGTGATTGATTTGCCAAAACTTCTGGTCGATGAGGGATACAGAGTCATTGTTGCCCCCGTCGCCATAACTGGGAGCGCGCCTGTGAACTGCACACGCAGCTCACTTTCGGGAGCTATATTGAGGTGGAAGCTGTTTTTGTTCTCTTGCCAACTACTCGTAGATTCAGGACGGTCTGCCTAAAATAGGCTATGTCAATGAGATATACTATGTCAACGTTGACTACGGCACTTATTTTGCGGCAGATCCAACTTCGACTTTTTGTCAGCTCACGAAATATCACAGAACTCACGGGACATCGCCATAGGTCTGGCGGCGAGGCTCTTCGCTACGGCCTCTTTCTACTAGATAAAAGAACTTAAGACCTTCAACTTGATCACTGAGGATTTTGCGAGAAGAAAGACGAGACATTCCAGGACATGGTCAAAAGCTTCGAATCCGACGACGGCCCTGTGTGGAAGTGCCTGGATTCTAAAAATACCGATCTCTACGACAACAAAATTGAAGGCGTTGACCAGCTGTCTGAGAAACAGAAAGCTTTAAAAGTGTCACCTCAAGTCTTCTACCTCAGTCTTTCATTTCATGAAAGAAATCACTTCCCAAAGGGTTGACCCGCTTGGGGAATCGAAGCACTTTACTCTTTTTCCACCAACATCGCGGAGCATCACGGATCACATCCCAATCCTAGGGCCGCTGACAAAGTTCTCGTCAATGCATTCGCGGACCTTGGATGCGTAGGCCTCAAAGCTGTCACCAAGTTTCGCTCTTTCGTAGAGTGGCTAGCCGAGGCAGTTGTCACACGGCTGCTAGAGAATATGGGCTATCATCTGGTGCTTCCTAAACTAGGGGCGTATATGCCGCGATACGATGTCATGCCGGCCTTGTTACCATTTGTATACGCTATGGGAGGTCAGAAGCTTACAGCTCCGCAGATGGAAATCCTGGGACCAGATCCGGGGGACTGGAACTTGAACGACGGTATTGTTAACATTGGATCTATGTCCGGCCTAAAGAGTTTTGTCAAGCGTCTCATCCCTCCCTAACTTTGATCTTGGAAATGCTGAAAAGAAGGGAGTTTACCGGCACCTAGGAGTCAGCGACCAAATAGATCATGCAGATGATATTTGGGTGTTCATTGAACCGCATACAGTGCGAATTATTCTCTATCTCATCATCTACCGAGTTGAATGCAGGGAGATCTCATGCAAGAGAAGTATTGGAATACCGCAAGCCTGATATCAAGACTTCCATTTGACAATCCAGGCATCTAATTAAGCTTCAATTTTGTGAATGGTACGATGTTTCGCTCCTGGGGCGCGTCTGATGTATGTATAGTCTTAGGGGAGAATAGTTTAGAAATATCGTAATTGTTCCATCATCACTAGGTTACCATCAATCATGAGATTAATATTGTGGTTGCACTGCCATCCATGCCATTAATCGAGTTAACTAAATAACTACTTCGACATCACAGAGATCGACTTCCTTGAAAGTCTTGTAGTTTGCGTGACGATCAAGGATCGATTTGAGTTGCTGGCTGTCTTTCTTCAAAGGTAACAAGCAGGCTTTTGTTTAGCACTGCAGCAACCCATTCTTTTCTGGCGGGTAGCGAGGCAAGGCGCCATTGAGTAGAGGGGTTGCAAACGACTGGACCGCCCTCTGAATCAGACGACTGAAAGCGAAATCGTCTAACCAGTTGTGATACACTGAGATACAGTTCGTAATATGAGAAACTTAGGCTGAAGTTAACAACTAGAAAGCACTCATTAGGCGGATAAGTGGAGGCTTACTGAACACCCATACAACTATTTGTTCCCTTGGAGAATGGTATGTAGTATTGATCCCTCAAAGAATCGTCTTTGAAGGTAGACCCATCGACTTCAATCCATCGATACGGGTCAAAAAGCTCAGGCATGGGGAAAGCTTTCTCATCTCTTAGGTACCAGATGGGGGACGAAGTTAAAATAGTCTGTTCTTTCGTAAGCATAGATTCCCTAAATGAGAACTGCAGGAAATTAAAGAAAGTTGTACCCCTTCTGGTATTTGGCTTCCAAACAACTCCACACCGCCTTCGGGAACAACCCGAGGCAGCATTGCAGCTGCTGTTCCTCCCCATCTAATCCCTTCCTTGACACAGGCTCGCAACCTTGGAATATTCTCCAAGACTGTCATTTCAGTAGAGAATTCTACTTCAAGCAAATCCTGATAGAGCGCATCCTGGAACAGAGGGTTCCATCCTAACGCAAACAAAATATGTGCAAGGGAACCTGAAGTGGTGTCTGTTCCAGGACCAAGATTTTCCTTCGCCTCTGAAAGTGCAGTTTCTGGGTGTAGTCCGGAGTTAACCAACACCTGGATCAGATTCGGGAAAATCGACCGAGAAGGCTTCGTAAACTCCATGGCTGCGCCCCAAGCATACTTAGTCCACTGGGCAACTGTTAGGTTCACATTCCCCATTTATAAGACTTCTTCTTACTTCGTCAAATTCGTCCAGGGCATGGCGATATAGGGATCGAATACCGGTCATCTGATATACTAAGTTTTCAAACTGCTCCCATGCTTCACAGGTAGCAGGAAAAGTTGTGAGCTATAAGTTGATGCTTCTTGTTAGACCATGAAACGGCGCCGCGCACTCACAGATACATACCATCGGCATCCGAGTTGCTTTCTCGTCATTCTTTGCCACCATCGCTAATCCATCACCTCGTGCCCAAGCATCAATTGCATTTAGCGAGTTTCCGAATGAGAAGCCGGCTATAGTTTTTGCGATGACTCGTTTAGATATGCTAACAGGGAGCAATGGAATTTGCTCACATATAATGTCGGCCTCCAGTGCCCGGCACGCTGAATTTATATCGATGGCTTTATTCTTCTTGACGAGCGCGTCCGCAAATAAGCGGATATGATGAACCATCAAAGACTCTAATTTCGGCATCTTGCTTCGGTTGAATAGTTGGCCCATCATTCTCCGTCGGTTGGAATGTTCCCGCGAATTACTTTGTGAGACAGTGAGTTAGGTGAGACGAGGACTAGTAGAATAACGAAGCCTACGTAATGGAAAAGAGAGCCGGATGCCCATCCTGCACAAATTGACCATACACTCTTGGGTCCTTTCGGAATCCACTGTTCACTTTGTGTACCGTGTCATAAACATCTAGAGAGTAAAAGGAGATCTCTCGTGGGCCTATTTGGATGAGGGGCCCTAAGCGCGTAAGTGAAAGTGGCAACAATCTGGTATCCAATGAAGCCAACCAAGTTTCTTATGTAGTGAAGGAAGATCCAGGGTGATAGTTCCCCAATATTCGCGAGGAAATGCCCATAGCAGCCGAGAGTATGGCGCACCTGCCCCTGCATTGGGAATCGCCGATAGCGGTGATGTATACGCTTGGAGGCAAAGCTCTCGGCGTATTAGCTTTTTGGTTCAATCGCAAATCATACACCGACTGACCTTGAAAAGCTGGAACGCAAAAACAATGAGCAACGTGCTGGTAGCGACTAAAATGAGGGCCATGGTGAAGCGGTTGCTGAATGAGTTTGAAACTCCAATACGACGGGCTGCCTGAATTTGTGGTCAGCCCAACCAACGGTTATCAATTTAGTATTTTAGACATGGGCTATCATGCAAGCTGGCAGGCACATTGCGTGATGTATCAATCCCGTTCGGACCTGCAAAGACCAAGCGAGTAAGCTCTAGACCGAGGCTCTTTTGCTTGAAGAAAGTGCCCATGACTCACATTATTGCAGTCGGCATGGATTGTTGCTCAGGTCACCTGCAGCGCCATCCAGTATGGTGACATATGGAGGCTCGATTGCGTAAACGTAAGCCCCGCAGGACTACTTACATGTTCAAAAGAGCCGACCTTTAAGAGGGTCTGCTTACCGGATTGACTGCCATAATAGGTTTAGATAGGTAGGTCTATTGGAAGATATTCCTTGCAGGTTAAATTTCCGTGTTGTCCGCGTGTTTTTGCTAGTCCCGACTTGCCATAAGACCGTCGCGGGACAAATCTCTATAGGCTTGACAATTACAAGCCTAACCATCCTGGTTCTGCTTCGGCGAATTCCCAGGTCTCGATTGATTCCACCATTACCACCCCCACTTTACGTGATCTGTAGACAGAGTCTCTATTGGGTATGGAGATGGGTGGACACCCAGAGCAACCGACTGCCCACAGCGTCAGGCCCACATGAAATGGGCAGTGCATTAAGTATCCCGCAAAATTCTGCGAAGAGGAAACAAAGTCAACCGGATCATTCCAGCAAGTATCAGTGATGGCCGACAAACAGCAAGACCCAGCAGGAATTCTCCCAGCTAAGGGGAAGGAGGGTGGAGAAGAACTTGAAGGGAATGCAGCTGACGCGCGAGTTTTGGTAAGAGTTGCTCATCATTTCTGGCCTCGAATTGTCGCTCATCAATTGTCAATACAGGAAAATCTCGGATACGAACCCGTCAGTTTGTTTACATTGAGTAATAGCCATACAATTTAATTGACAGCGTTAGGTTTTGCACCGGACCTTCAACGTCTTCCATAATTTCGCGACGACGTTTGGTAAGTTAAACCTGACCGAGATCTAAGATGAGCTCTTCACTTACTTTGGACAGCGGCTCTCTACTTTATTGGTGGTGTGCGAGTCACATTTTCGACTGGAATAGCAGCTGGAGGCAACCTTGCATATTGGTTTGAGATATCACCGCCATTAGGTTTGTGCAGTATTGACTAATTCATGTCTTGGCAGGACGAGTTTCCTGGTAACCTGTGTCTTCACTTTCATCACGGCCGCAGTGATTGCCGAAATATGCTCATCGCTGCCTTTGGCGGGCTCCATCTACCTGTGGGCTGCTGAAGCCGGCGGCCCGCGGTTTGGAAGGCTATTCGGCTTCGTTGTTGCATGGTGGAGCACTACAGCGTGGACGACGTTTTGTGCGAGTAAGATTGCATGATATCCCCCAATGGCATCATGTCGTCGTCTAATACTATTCCAGGCAATACGCAAGCTGCTGTCAACTACATGCTTTCCGTGGGTCAAACAAAGTGTTCAATCAATCCACATTCATGATGCTAATATGAGAGGGTTAGGAAATTGTCGTATTCAACGTCGACTTCCCATCTGATAGCTCTAGCATCAAGTTCCGTGCCGTGCAGTGGATCTGCACTGAGGTCATGTTGGCTCTGGCGGCAATTTGGAATCTGCTGCCGCGTAAGTATTGCCCACCCGTCGCGATCTTAGCTTTAAATCTCACTTTCTGGACAGCTCGTTATTTCAAGTGGATTTTCTACTTGTCCACAGGCTCCGTGCTATTGGACTTTGTTCTCAATTTAATTTGGCTGCCTGTGGCCGCCAGCAAAACCTACGGATTCCGTTCGACACACGATGCCTTCATGACCACCTATAATGGCACAGGCGCACCGGCAGGCTGGAATTGGTGTCTTTCCTATCTTGCAACTGCGGGGATTCTCATTGGATTCGATGCTTCAGGCCATGTTGCTGAGGAAACAAAGAATGCCAGCGTTGCTGCTGCAAGAGGTATCTTTTGGAGCACAATTGCAAGTGGACTGGGAGGCTTTGTTGTGGTGATCCTTTTTCTGTTCTGTGTGGTAAGTGTCAAGCTGCTAGTTCAGGAACGCTCCGGAAAACTAATAGGTCACCATTCAGCCCGATGCTGAGACGCTTTTCTCGTTTGGAGGCGCACAACCCTTCGTACCGCTATATGCAGCTATTCTCGGAGACAGAGCGCATATCATTATGAACATTATTTGCATCGTCGCTCTTTGGTTTGTATGGACACCTTCTCCACGATCCATCGGTTCCGTGGCTCCAAATTAATAATGTACTCATCACTAACCTACGACAGAATACGGCCATTGCCGTCCTAGCTGCCTCCAGGCTCGTGTTTGCGGTGGCCAGAGACGGAGTCTTGCCATTTTCCCCCTGGGTTTCTCGAGTTGTGGATGGACAGCCTCGCAACGCCGTCATCGTGGTGTGGGTGGTTGCGTCCATAATCACCTGTACCATTTTGCCATCATCAGTCGCCTTTACTTCCCTTGTATCTGCAGCAGGGGTTCCATCAGCCGCAGCATATGGGCTCATCTGTCTTGGGCGCCTATTTTTGACACCAAACAGATTCCCCAAACCTGCATGGAGTCTTGGCCGCCTCAGCAAGCCGTTCCAAGCCATCGCGGTCTTGTGGAACGGGTGGGTTGTGGCGGTTCTCTTTTCCCCATACGCTTTCCCAGTCCAAGGTTCGACTTTGAACTATGCCCCAGTCATCATGGCTATTGTCACAATCTTTGCGCTTCTTTCGTGGTGGCTCATCCCGGCCGAAGAGTGGCTTCCCAGCCAACGAATTCAAGCGACCCTTGAAGCCCCGGATATTGATGAGAGGCCGACAAATGCGGACCAAACATCCACTGATAACGAGGCAATTATACACTAGGTAATCTAGCGTATGGGGGATTGAACAAAGGGCCGGCTCTATTGATCACCACACGGCTGTTTGATGTGGGCATACTTTTGCTATTGATTCCTCGTACTGCCACTACCGGAGGATGTGTCACAGCCCTAGGCCGTGGTGCACCGAGCCTGAGGAAATACTTGAATTATCATCTGAGATAGGTTCGTCGAACGCTACACTACACTTTTTATAAGCGACATGAGATCCTCGGCAGTTAGCGGACTGGGCTTTCGACGAAGCAAGCAAGACCATCTTTCCATTCCTAATCGGTATATTCATATGTAAATATAGATATTGTCACCAAGTAAGGCAGCTGCCAATGCTGGCGATCCAGTTTCATAGTGTCATGTAGTGCAGGGTCTCAGAGCATCTTCAAACAAGTGGCTGTCGCAGTGATGCCACCAAGTTCCATCGCATTCAAAATTTCGCCAAATCTTGACTCACTCTACAATCGCCCGATGGTTCATCTAGATTTCGCTCTTCAGATCGCGTCAGCAGTATTCCTAAAAGTTATTTTGGAATTCTCGGTTATCAGGAATGTATTGGCGATTAGTGTGTCCTTGGCACTCTAAACAAGAACGTAGTGGCCTCTTTATGGTATGTGACTCGATCAAGCATTTCCCGTTTCGACCGTTTTGGCGTTCCGCGTGCCAAATGAAGTATGAATCAGCTTCGGGCATCTCAAGTACCTGGACGCTAAAGCAGCTGAGGGTGAGCCATTTGCAACCTGCCGTCACACCCACTTTCAGGATAGTGACAAGTTCACTAAGCTTAAAATCTTTGAAGATTTTTGTGTCAGCTGAACCGTTAAATGTCTTGTCAATATTGTCTTGTTTAACTCAAAACAGCCCCGTTGGGAAGCCTCTCCTGCGCCGTTTCAAAGCCACAATCAGACGCGTCAGCAGAAGCAAGCTTGGTAACTGGCTAGGAACCGAGCTGTTTGGCGAATAGCGGAACACACAGCGGAATCTAGATCCTGAATATGTCTTGGCCTTCCCTTAAGACACATTAACACAACGTGGTGGTACGGGTCGGCTGGTCTGGACCGTCCCGCGTTCCATCTCGGCATTCCACGCCTCCTTGGCATCGGAAGACGATATGGTATATAGGAAGCCGTCAAATGCTGTTTTGATCTCCTAATATCACCCACAATCTACTCCTCTTCAATTTGATTACAGCTTCCTGGATCTTTGTTCGGCGTTGGATTTGCGGTTGCAACTCTCTACAAGCGCCAACATACTTCCTTCCTCTTCCTCATTCAAGTCAACGCATACAATGGCTATCATCAAAATATCCTCGCTTGTTACCATTGTGGCCTCTGTCGCCAATGTTGCCGCCCACGGACATGTTGACTGGCTCATTACCAACGGCGTGGCTTACAGAGGCTATGATGCTCCGGCCTTCTCTTGGAATCCCAACCATGACCCTGTAGTTGGCTGGACCATTGGGGCTACAGATAATGGTTACGTTGAGCCTAACAGCTTCGGTGAACCTGATATTATCTGCCATAAGGGTGCCAAGGCAGCGCGAGGTCATGTCACTGTACAGGCGGGAGAAAAGATCAACCTGAAATGGAACACATGGCCTGAGTCTCACAAAGGACCGGTTATTGACTACTTGGCCAAGTGCCCGGGTAACTGCGAGGATGCAGACAAGACGCAGCTGGAGTTCTTCAAGATCAGTGTTAGCGGACTGATTGACATGTCTCTCCAGAGCGGGAAGTGGGGGGCCGATGTCCTCGTTGCAAATGGTTTCTCCTGGACGGTCCAGATTCCCGCCAACCTGGCTGCGGGAAACTATGTTTTGCGGCATGAGATCATTGCCCTCCACGGCAGTGGCCAACCAAATGGTGCCCAGAACTATCCCCAGTGCTTCAACATCAAAGTTACCGGCGGCGGCTCTCTGGCTCCGGCAGGCGTCAAGGGCACGTCGTTGTATAAGTCAAACGACCCCGGTATTTTGTTCAACCTCTACACCACACCACTGTCGTATACAATCCCCGGCCCAACTCTTGTTTCTGGCTTGCCATCTACGGTTGCCCAAGCCGCCACTAGTGCATCTGTCACGTCCAGTGCCACGGTGCCAGGCCAGAGTCAAGGCAGCAGCACAACCGCTTCGCAAACCTCGTCTTCTGCCCCGAATTCGAATGTCCAGTCAACTTCGACCACGTCAATAGGCGCTGGGGTCACTACCCTCAGAACCACGACAACGACGTCAAGCATCGCATCTGCAACCTCAACCGAGGGCATCATTTGTGGGCCAATCAGTGGAGGGTTGCCCAAATACAGCCAATGTGGTGGCAAGGACTACACAGGGCCTACAGTGTGCGCGTGGGGTTCTACATGTCAAGTGTTGAACCCGTATTACTCTCAGTGTCTTTAGTTGTGCTAGGGGTGTCTGGGTTCAGTTAATGCTTTGGGGTTATCTATCGTTAATGAGTGTGAATAACAACGATGAAATTGATTACAATATATCACCTCCGCTGTAGGGCGGTGGACCTATAACCGGCAAGTGATTTATGTGTAATTCCTGTTTGGATTCATACCATCTGAGCCTTTCAAAGCTCGCACGTACATATATAGAGGCAACGAGTGAGGTGAGCGAATGTCATATTTGGAAGGGCAATTATTCATATTGCCAAGCTAAAAGATATAAACATGTAATGTATTAAACTTACTTGGTGAATGGAGGCAAATTCGGCGTCAATCATAAACCGCCAAAAGTAAAGGCTAGACTGTATACGATTTGATGCAGTGACACTAATGCAACTTGCTGACACTTGGCTCCACTCCTTTTGCAGGGTCGACTCCACTCGAGACGAAGTTATCCAAGCAAAAGCCAAGAAAACAGGGACAAGGAGTATTTGGTGAATAAAGGCAGCTGAGGAGAGTCAGTGAAGGTCATGATAAGGGAGAATTTGGTGGTAGAAACCCTTGGAACATAGTCGAACGGCTGGAACACAAACTCCTTGCTTAATCTTAATAAGCTACTTCCGAGGTTCATCCCCCGGACCTTTCGGCGTTTGGCCTATCTCCTGATCAAGCTCCGCCACGAGTCAGTGCGGTGTGGTGCAACGGGAGGAGAATCATGTCCCACCCAAACACTAAAGGTAAGCAGGTCGCATAAATATGGACGCTACGTGGTACGCTCAAGCGAGAGGAGCCGGCATCTGTTCCTCCTCCCCTTCCGAACATCACCGAACGTCATGGATCAACTTGGCCCCAATTACCCGCTCGTTCTGTTGCAGCCGATGCAGCAGCGATCAGAAGTGCGCAATACCACGGATGATTGGACTGGCGTGACAAGCACGGCCCAGAGGAGAAAACTACAGAACCGGCTTAATCAAAGGGCTCGCCGTTAGTGACGCCATACCCTAGTTCGCTGTAAGATGATCACTCAGCTGACATTCCCTCTCTGTGGTTGGGTCTTTAGGAAGAAGAAAGATGGAACTGAACCCAGGTGGCGCTGCAAATAGCAACGCCCATGCGATGATAGCATCTGCAGCCATGTCTCCTCATTATGCGGACAGCCTAGTGCAAGCAAAACACCTGGTGGACCGCCATGGTACAGAGGATGCTCGTAAAGATCAGACCTCGCAACGGCTGCGTTGTCATCTAGTAAGCGAAGAGAAGCAGATGATGGTCCGTAAATTTGCGCAACAAGCCTACGTCGAGTACGTGGCGGGGATGCATTGCCTCGGCAACCTCCCAACCTTGATGGGAGTCAACGTCTTCTACGCGCTGTCCCGCAATGCTACAGCTCTGGGTGTTACCGAGGAGTGGCTCCTATGTGATGGCTTGTCACCGTTCTCTTGCCAGGGGCCTGGCTTGGGCGAATACTCATTGGAAGCAATGGAAACGCCTACAATTTCCCGTCCCCAGTCCCTCCATCCAACGGGAATGCAGCTTTCCATTCCCCACCACCCCTGGATCGATCTATTCCCTGTGCCTCGATTCCGAGACAACGTTCTGGTTGCGATTACCAAAGCTGACGCAATCGACGAAGATGAGCTGTGCTACGACATGGTCGAAGTCACTGACGGCGGTGTGACAGACAAGGCAGCACTTATAATCTGGGGCGAACCGTGGGATCCGCGGGCCTGGGAGGTGAGCGAGACCTTCTTAAGGAAGTGGGGGTCGTTGCTAGAAGGCTGTTGGGAAATGCAGGAGGCGACAAATTACTGGCGTGCGAAAAGAGGAGAAAAGAGGCTCACATTTTGATGCGTTATGGACCACATGTGAGGGGCAAGGAGCGCTGCGTGTTTATAGTATCATAGTAACGGAAAGGAAACCTTGAATAACTATTGGTATATCTATCAATATCGGGTTCAGTCAGGGCTGCCTCAGGCGCAGTAAAGCCAATGTAAGACCTCCTCTACTCTGCAACCGCAAATCGACTCCGTTTTCTCAAGGCCGCTCCCTTCGACCACAGCACAAATACGCCAATGATGCACCCGGAACACAACCCACCCAGTAAACTCGTACCCTTCGATACCCCAAGCGTATCATACAATGGTGTGCTCCACAATACCGAGGCAAGAGCCATGCCGGCACGGCAGAAGGTATTCGCCCCCAGGAGGCTAGCCGCGTACTGCGGATACGCAAGGGACAAATAGACAAAGATACTCTGAATGATGATGCAAAACCCTCCACTGGAAAGCATCACCCCTATACTCGGAACAATCCAGTGAATTTCCGGTCGGGCAGTCCACGCAAACAGAAAGAGGCCAATGGGAACGAAGAAACTGGCAAAAACCGCAGGGACCAGCCGAACCTCGGGTTCCAATTGTCGGCCTTCACGCACGGCGCGATTGACAACAAAATGGATAAAGGATAGATATGGCACGCCGGCGACGAGGACTGCAACCAGAACCGACATGAAGACAAGTCCCATCTCTCCCCAATTCATGCCATATATGTCCACGTACACGAAAGGGAAGACCTCGAAGAACGAGTAGAATATGGCGTAAATCAGGCCGCAGTACAGGCTTGTAAAGAGCACAGAAGGGTCGAGAAGGTTGATTTTCCACGGAATCATGAGCGAGTTGCGGGCGATGGTTGCGGCAGAGAGATGCTGTTGCGATATTTCCGACTGGGACTTGTAGTTTGCATTGTTCATCAAGGCGCGGAGTCGAGCAGCGCGGCGGTGAAGAATATTCGCGGCCGAGGTTTCGGGGAGAAGAAGCTTTGGAAGAATGAGAATCAACAGCCATTTTTGTCAAATAAGAATTAAACTTACCATGTTGACGAGAGAGAAGCTCGATATCCAAAGTATTTCCCACATTGCCCATCGCCAGTTTTTCGTGGGAACACTGAACCCAGCAATCATAGGACCTACAGACGGACCAGCAAGTGGAAAGAATGCCCAGAGATACAAGGCATACGGCATGGCCAGCGGTGCAGTGATGTCGCTGATGGAGCCACCCCCGTTGGCGAGACCCGGCGAACCGAAGAAGCCCTGAAGGAAGCGCAATATCATGAAGCCAGGAATGTTGTCTGCCAGCGCAGTTGGAACCGAAAGCACAACGAATAGTATAAGCGTCGTCACGTACACCGGGTTGCGCCCAATGGACGCAATCTCTGACGGTGGACCGAAAACCAGGGGTCCAAGCCCGTACCCAAGGACGTAGAGACCAAGCCCCAAAGAAGCCGTGACGCTTGAGATGCCGTATATTCTCATAAGTTCGGGAGCGGCGGGCGTGTATATCGATGATGACATGTAGATGGCAAAGGTGTAGATATTGATGGAGAGATGGAGGTATGCCTTCTTCCACGCGGACCAGTTCTGTGGATTCTCCTTGTCTTCGTCGGAGTACCAATCCACGATGATCCATTCCTGTGCCCCTTCGACTTCTGATGAAGGCTCGGAACCACGATTTCTCGAGGCGTCATAGTACCGTTCTGGCAGTTTAAAGCCTGGCTGCTCGTCCGGATACTTGAGGAGACCGCCTTTGGTCGCCCTGCGAACGAGCTGACCTAAGGGAGTGTCTCGGAAAAGGGGTGCAAGTTCCGCCATGGTGAGGAACTGAATAAATGAAAACGAGCTACGCCTTTAAGAAATGAAAAAGAACTGGAAGCCATGATCTAGATGGTCGACGATTTAAGGTCTATTTAAGGCTTCCCAAATGTATTGTGTACTGTTTTTCGCCCATCTTGGGAGAAAGTCTGGGGTTCCGGTTTAGGTTAAGTTGTCAGCATGCTGCATTAGTGCCTGGAACCAGAAGCTCCACCACCCCCAGGATCCGTTATTAGCACCCGACGTCCCGACTCGCGCCTAAAATACAGGGCAATAACAGATTTTGGCCACCTGGAGGACCAGACTTTTTTACCCTACCTATAGCTAGCAAGGTAGGCCACATCAACAGTATAGGTCACATTCTCAATCAATAAGATCAAATAAATGAGATTGGAGACGGTGAAACCTGATTTATATCGTGCTTGAAATACTAAGCAGGACGTTTCCTCCGATCAAGATTGGAATGGAAGTGGCCGTTGCACACACGACTATACCAATGCATGCCAGAATACCACTACCGCTAAACCAATATCGACCACCGAATATATCTGACAGACAACCAACAGGCCCAAAGACACGGCCAATGCGGCATTTTACACGAGAGGGATTCATGTATATCAAGGGTGGAGGCCCTCTGAACATGATCGAGATCGCTGGGTTTCTCCACGTTCGCTAACTGTGCTGAAGCTCACGAATAAATTCACCAAAGCAGAGCAGGGTAAACAGGTACTTGATGGAGGCAGTAGGGGATAATGCTGGGATGTATCACGAGATATGGGTTCCAGTGGCTACGCGTGTTCTAGACTTATCACCCGGAAACAGGAGCCATTCTAACAGCTGATTACCGGTCGGTGCGTACTTGTACGGTAGCACCTTAGACTAACAACCTACGCTAAAGTGTAACAATAAAAACCCAGAAATTAGAAATCGCAAAATTGCACAATTACAGCCCTATAATTTTAGAGCCTAGCCTCTATATTTATAGAGACCTACCTACTATAGCCCTTTATAGTCTGCAGTTTTTCCAGTGGGCTGTAGCAGCTACAGACTGCAAGCTGTATTCTTATCAGCCAGCCCTCTAGATAATAGAAAATTACTACTGCTATAACAGGCTGTATAGAGAAAAGCTACAGCTACTATTACCTGCTGCGAGAGGTGCTATTACAGCAGCTGCAGGCTGCTATACTGCAGCTGCTATTCCTGAGTAGAAGGCTGACAGCTGCAGTATAAAATTAGGCAAAATATAGCTCTGTAAGGCTGCAGTTTTCAGCTTCTATCTAGATACTAACTGCTTGCTGCAATAGCAGCTACAGCACAACAGCCTGCAGCTGCCGCAATAATGCCTGTTACAGCAAGCAATAATAGCTGCAGCTTTTCTCTATACAGCCTGCTTAGTAGCTGTAATTTTCTATTATCTAGAGAGCTGGCTGGTAAGAATACAGCTTGAAGACTGTAGCTGCTATAGCCCACTGGAAAGACTGTAAACTATAGGGGGCTGTAGTAGGTAGAGCCCTATAAATATAGGGGCTAGACTCTATAACTAAAGGGCTATATTTGTGCGATTTCCGATTTCCGGATTTTGGTTATTGCACTTTATTGCAGTTGGTCTAAGGTGCCACCGGATACCTGAGCCGCTTGCCCGCACTGCTAACGGTATCGACTGAGTCCAGGCGGCGCGTCATGTTCGCGAGGTCAAGGATTTCCATTAAGATCAGCTTTATGATAGGCCCATCAAAGCTACTAGCTAGGTAGGCGCATGTGGCTATCTCACCCCATGGGGTTTCGGGACTTGTGGGGGGTTACTTCTCGGCTTTTTGTTGTAGATCGTGGCAGATGCAAAGGGACAGGACTCGTTTTCCGCGGCCGCGTAACATCACGACCACACCTTTCATGGGTACAGATTAGCCCAGACGACCTTGTCGATAAATTCTACCAGGAAAATAAAGCGAGGCTCTGGAAGTTCATTTTCTAGCTTGGGGTTGGCAAGGAAACTATAACCGGCCCGCATCTCCATTAAGATTTCTGCAGCCCTCTGTTGTTTCTACAATTCTTCTTGTATTTCCAGTTCTCTAATGACCAACTCAATAAATTGTGCACTGTTTAAGCAAATGGAAATCACTTTGCATATGAATATCATCCATTATGACGAAGGTAGCCTTAATTCTTTTCGTTTTGTCTCAAGCCGTAACCCTAGCACCTATATACCCCTCCGGCTATCAACGTGCCTTCACTGAGGTCCGCCGGCAGGGCCGGTGTTGTCCCAGTAATTGTCACCCTTAGCACGGCATGTGCCGATGACACAGTAGTACCCGCCGCCACGATTATCTGAGTTTGGAGACTTAACAATAACAGGGTCGCTGACGATTGTGACGGGATTTCCGGAAGTACTAAAGCCGATAGTAAAGGACTCGGACTCTAGATATCCCACCGAGAAGGACGCAGCTGAGCCGCAGCTGATGACCTCCTGTAAAAAGTTAGTCCGAGGATCTGTGACGCTATTGAGTACGCTGCTGCTCGCACTGATCTGCAGATGATAGTAGTTTTAATCCGGGTCACCGTCGCCCACTGCAACAGTACTCTGGATAGGGGCGCATGGAATAATTTGGCGCTGTTCTTTAACAGTTCTCTCTGCAATAGCTTGGAGCAAGAAGCCAGGAATACCGGGGAGAATGCAATCAACCTCGGCACTTGTAGGATTGAACTTTTTGTTACAGATGGCACCCCACGACAGATCCTTTCTGGCACGAGTCTTGTTGGTAAAGTTGCCGAAATTCACTTAGCCAAAGCCGTTGTCGTCTGCATTAAAGGTAATGGAGAAGTTGACAAAGTTACCAGAATTGATGGTGCTGCTATCGGTTTCTCCATAAAACTCAGTTTTGTCGGAATTGTAGACCTTGAGAGATGTTGTAGAGTCGTCTTTAGCATAGGACCAGATGGCTCGGATTTTCTGGGGAGCAGTTGTTGTGGCATGGGGAGCAGCGAGGGATCCCACAGCCAGGGAAAATAGAAGATTGTAAGTTAACTTCATATTGTGTGATTTTGTTCAGGCCGTTGGTGGAGTTGCTTTGGTTCAAGAGAACATGAGAAGGCAGGCCCCATTTTACTTATACATGTTGAAGGGTGGTGTCCCCGTTTCTCAAAGATATCATTTTCACCGTTTCCATAGGATAACTGGGTCATCTCGAGACTATTGGAAGAACCAAGGCTGTGCAGTTTCATGCTCGCTCCCACAATGTGAGCTTCCTAAATGGGCTCGATCAGTACTCATACATGTGGCCAAAGGATTGCGACCATGGGTACATGGATGGTTGAAGGATCAAATGCCAGACCTTTCTAGGGGTCGATCGATCTATCACTTGGGCTTTTTGCTGCTGCCTTGGATATTCTGCACATGCACGCTAATGCTTTTGCGGATGATTGGGCGGAGGGCGGAGGGGATGTTGAGGTGTTTGCTGGCCTAATATGAACCAATGTACAGCCTCGGTCGAAACGAGGATCCAGTATATGCCCATGTACCCTAATCCTTCGCTGTTCATAGAAGTGGAGGGGAATTTCAAAGGAGCAAAGTGCACCTACGAATGGTGCTACTCGACCTATGGGTGTGGAAGTGGTGGTTCTTGCGAAATTTCGCTTTCAGCTGCGCGATATATCTGTTACTATCCTGTACCGAACATCCTGTAAGACGAAGCGGAGACACGAAAGTTGGAACCAACCATGAGTTGAGAAAAGAAAATCCTCAGCTTGCAAATAATGCAAGTCGAACCTAAAGATTGAGAACTTGTTCGTTTTATTACCCCTCCATTAGAATGCTCCCATAAATTGCTATCACCATCCTAGTGTTGAGACAACCTCTCGAAGGATCAAGTCTGACCACAGGTGACCGCTCAAACGGATATTGCGGCAGGCGGAAAGAACAAGGGTGAGATCAAGATCGTCGGCGCTCAAGCTTAGCTGGGCACTATTACATCCGTCTGTTTGTGGGAAACAGCAGGCCATTACGCACCCCATGTTCTCCGAGGTCGTTTGAAAGAGAACTGGCCACGTGCGAGTCCTATCTTTCACTCTACAAACTAAATCCTGAATCAGAATCTCCGTGGTCGACGTTGTTGAAGATAACCAAGGTCAAGGGTCACATTTTTAGGGTGGCGGAAGGATTCATAGATTGTGGCTCAGTGCTGACGAAAAGTGGAATGTTCCACCGGGGACAGGCTCCCAAACTCATACCTAACACAATGAGCTAGGGCAGTCAGCTTGTAGGCACAATGTTGATCGCCGACACAGTGGAAAGCGACGGCGTAGTCATTTGTATCGTCGTTACAGGCCTTGGGATACCGAAAATCGTTCGGAACGCCTCGGAGCACGATTCACCTTAATTACACCGTCCAATTGAGACTCAAGCGTCCAAAATTGACCTCGTAAATTGTAAAGGAGTGCTAGACCTGCAGGCTCTCGTGTACGACCGATATGGTATTTCTCAGAATATTGATATCTTCAGTAAGATGGATGTACAGCGGATTCGCAGAGGATCAGGTCTTGAAGGATTTTGTACACGCAATCAATCTGGAATATATCCCTGTCAATGGCGTGGGAACTGGATCATGAGCGGGGCGGAGATGACAGCATTGTCTATCCCACGATAACAATATGTGTATCAAGAGCATAGAGGGAGTGTCATGAACTTTTCTGAAGGACTTGAAGCTCTCGCCTTGCGGTAGAAGCCGCCGTCCAAACCATACCTGGTGACTCGAAGGATGAACCCCCCTTGTTGGAAGGCGACCAACGTGCTGGAGCAAGCCATTGGTCGCGTGACCAGTTTTAGAAGAGTGTAGCAATGGCTAAGTGGACACCGCCGAAACAGCTGATGCCCTGGATAAATAATATTAGGCCTTCAAGGCACTGTACAATTCCCATGTTGTGCTTAGAGGAACATATCGCGAGGTCAGCTCATCGCACACTCGGGAGATTTGATCAATTTTACTGAAACTGTTTGTGATAGTTAAATCTCTGAGTTTGCGAGTCAGAGGCTAGGGTGGGCTTAGAGTACAACTGCCGTAGTTGAAAGCGCCTAAAATTTGACTGAATTAGTAGAAAGGACACAACAGCCTGATGGAATTACACAAGAGTCATCTCAAACAGCGGTAACATCTGCAATTGGGCTTGAGGATGTGGATGGTGCAAACCGAGACTAAGTAGGAATTTTGGCTTGTGAAAATACCGAAAACAAGAGTCATTAGTGTGAAGATGTGCACAGAGCTTCTCCATGCGTAATGTTCTCCTTGAAAAACATGTCATAGGGATTGGTTGAACGTGACCCGTTGGCGAGGCGCAAACCCAGTCAATGTTGACGTTGTGTAAGAGCAAAGAGGCGACAATATGGCACCCAGATCAGCGACACGAGTCAAAAATATGTACTCGAGACCGAGGCTCGGAATAATATTTAAACCAGCTGCGTGAAAAATACCAGACCTAGACCTGACCATCATCTGTTGCATGCCTAAAGCATGGATCAGAACTCTCGGCGTAGGATTAGCCAACTAAAAATAGCATACGATTAATTGCTCTTGTGGACATCGTCTCGATAAAATGCTCTAACAAAACAGCCGAGTGCGCCGCCTCGCATTAAATATGTGTCAGCTGAAAAAAAAGTCACTGATCTGCACGACTTGTTCCAATGATCGCTCCTGGATGCCTCCCCTTACTCTGGCTTAGTTGGGACTTGCCCCGGATTGGAAAGTGGGTGGATTCCATCTTTGGACTAGGGTTTTTCAAACGACCCATGCATGGGAATGGGAGATTGATGCCTCGTTCACTATAAATTTTACTGTGGCATTTGACTTGTTGGTAGTGGTATTTAGGACCCTGAAAGAATGCCTTTTGTTTTGTGACCTTCACCGAAATTTCCCTGCGTCAACATCCATTGCCAAGGCCACTTCCAATTAGACCTTCAGCGCCAAACATCCAAGAACCCGACCCGTCAAACTGAGTTGATGCATCTCATCGTTTCTGGGCCTTTGAAATCCCATATCGACGAGAATCTGTATTTCAGAAACCCGCTGAAAAGGAAGGGGGAGGATGCCACGAGTCCGCCGACGTTCCAAGAAGCACTCGCGAGCAAACCGAACGGAGGACGACTGGGAACACGTCTCGGAGCCAGCTCAGAGGCGGCGGATCCAAAATCGCAACGCCCAACGCAAGTTTAGTGAGTGTTGAAATGGACCGGCATCGGGCGTACTAAGACTAACACGAAACCGAAGGGCAGAAGATCAAAGAAACAACTGAAACGGCCAAAAGGGATTCTTTGAACCAATCACATTCCCAAAATAGCTATCGTACCTCTGATGCTCTTGAGATGGTAGAGGAGAGTGAAATCAGTGGACTCCCGTGGGGCAGCATCAACCTACGATATATTATAGCAAAGGGCGACGAAGAGCAGAGGACACAAGTTCAACAAAACCAACTATTAGCGGATGCAAGTATTCTTTGCGGATCCTCTGACGCAGAGCTGCCGACGCGATTAGCAACTCCATTGCTAGATGCAATGGGTGCGTTTTACATCCCACCTGACCTGTTAACAATAGATACAGGATTCCCGGTAGTATGGCCCGAGACATCTGAACAAGGTGAAACTGGAAGGTCCCCTTGCCCTGTAAAATGCGCTGAAGGGGTATTTGCTGTACCTTGAATGTAAATTAGTTAGGAGGAGTACCCAGGTAGCTCGGCTCTGATTTGGGAACGAGATTCGTAGGGAAGATGATACACGACGCATTAGCTGTCCTCAATTAATGGCGTCGAATGACATTGCAAGACAAGACATACCTACCTCCCAGCATTGAACTTTTGCCGGACCTTCTCTTCTCATCGCCTCCTGCATGTCAGCTGAGAATAGCGCGGAACGGGGAATGTCGGGTGTGACACACTGGTCCAATAAGAAAAGACGCGGAGTGCAATCCTTGTCAGAGCCAGCCTCCGCATCTTACTCGAAATGGAGATCACCCACATGCCAAATCAGGTTTGGTCTGGATCGCCAAAGCGGAGTTAAACAGCTTGTGTCCTCCCCTCCCACGAATGCCTTCATGTCTGAGAAAAGCGGTCGACAGCGTACCTCAGCGACAATGGCATCTGGACAACCAGCGCCGTTACTCTTTTTAAACCACCTATCAACTGATAGTTTTCGCAAGGAGCGCCAATTGGACACGCGAGCAAAGGCTCACGCATCGAGGCAAGGCCATCAGCTTAAATCTACCCAACCAAAAAACTTCAAGTTCGTCACTTGCTTCTCGAGGGGTGGGACTGGGCGAGACTCGGATCTCGCTGAGACTAAGGCGTCAACTAAGCCCAGTGGTCGTCCGGCAAAGAGCAAGTCCACGCCCAAAAGAGGTCGTCCGAATGATCAGGATGCCTCTCAGCTGCTACCCAGGGGTATCTCGCCCCGCGGGATAGGCGTCGGCGTCTGGGATCCATTCAACTCCCTTATCGTCCCGAACCTTGCACAAGACGAGCATTTTATGCTCCACTATGGTATGTTGCTCCCCTTTGTTGAACCGCTCTCCAATGCGGTTCCCTGTCACGCCTATCCTCCGATTTATACTTGCATAACATGGACGCGTTGAATAACCCCAGCTGACGCTCTTTCATAGCATTCTCTACCACCTGGTCGGCTTTTGGAGAGTCGGAGGGGGGCAAAAACACATTTGTCCAGCACTGGATGTGGCGGACCATGGAGAACCCTGCCACATTGTATGCCCAACTACTGGGCTCATCTACTCACTATGTCCTCTCCTGCTCCGAGTCCATGTCCCATAGTCACACCATCACCATGGGCCTGCAATGGAAGGCCCAAGCTATCCAAGCCCTACGATGCGAGATCGACGGGTACCAGGCATTCCCTGACGTCGCCATTGCTGATAGCGCACTGGTCGCCATTTTCGTGCTAGCTGTTCACGGGGGGTTTGACCTTTCGCCGCAACCTGAGCCACATCCATTGTCACCATTGGCTACTTACCGCGATATGCATATATATGGTAGGATGACATTTGCTGAAGAGCATGTAAGGGCTCTATATACGTTCATTGAGCAACGAGGTGGGCTTGGGCATATTGACCAACCCACATTCGGATGTGTCATGCACCTGTACGTTTTCCTGAAGATAATATGTTCATCCAATGTCACCTATATACACGACCATCGTTGAAAGGGCTTATCAACTAATCTGTTCTATAAAGGCTCGACATGCTGTACAATGCTCGCCTGGGGTCGGTGCCGAGATTTCCCTGCGATCGCCAGCTGCAAACCATTCTGCAAACTGAACTATGGCAACCTGATCAAAAAGCTACGCATTTGCTCAAGATTCTGGGGAAAGCGTTTCGACTAGGGCTTGGGGACGAGTCGTTGCTCCCAACGTCCCAATTGGACCAAAATATGACTGATATACTAGCAACCATGGCTGAGATCACTGTGGCACTTGATCACTTCCACCGCGGCGGGCCCGGGGCTCCCGAGTCACTTGATGTCCTCGCCAACAACTGCGATTGGGCATCGCACAAACTCTTGTCAACGACTTCACAACTTAGGCCAGATGTAGACGAGCTCGATGCTTGCCAATTGCTAATGGAAACAGGGCCCGTATTGCGAGAAATTTGTCGGTTGTCAAGTCTAATTTTCCTTGACATGATTATTTTACCCACTCCACATCATGCTCAGATAAAATACCGTCACTCCTTGGCGATGTTGCCTCTGGTGTCCGCATTACAAGGGAGCGAATGGAATGCAGATGGATGCGTCTCGGAATTTCTTATCTGGGCCACCATGCTGGGAGCTATTGCCTCAAGATTTACAGAACTCCACGGGTCGTACCTTGATCTTGTTCACGAATATCAAGCCAGACGGTGCTCGACGTGGGAGACTATAAGGCCAAGAATCAACAGGCATTTGTGGCTAGATTGTGTGTGTGACCTACCCGCGGAGATTGTCTGGTCTGAAGCGCAGCGACGACGTGTTTCTGCGGATAACTGCACTTAGAGTAGAATCGTTTGAGACGACAATACGAGTAGCAACCCTCAAATTTATGACATCCCGTTATACTGGAATGAGAGTAATCGTAGCTTTTACGGAATCTAACAGCTAAAAATGTCGCAGATTCTGCAGCTGTACGTGCTTGATAACCCAGAAAATGTGCTCTCAAATGGGTTGCTAGCTAATGCTATCGCAAAGCGCGGTAATCAGAGCTTCCGCTAAAGCCTTTGCATCCATGCAGTTCCACACTCGTAGCGCCTGTATTCATGCAGAGGCCTCCCGATTAGAGCACGCTGCAGCACTTTTGAAGTCAATTTAAAGGGCGGTATTAAAGTCGCAGTTTAACTTGTTCTTGGCGAACATGGAGAGAATGCAAGTGCGGGGTTGTCTTGGCTGCTCGTTCGATGATACGGAGAAAAAGACGAAGAAATATTCCACCAGTCAACACGAGATGCCAGAAACGACCCTGGTTTTGAGACCTGCTATAACTACGCTGGAATGTAGACCATTTCGTCTCAGTCCCCTCGAGACTCGTGCCAGAGAAAAGCCTATTATTAGTGCAATATTTCACCCTGGTCAAGCGGCTCCCAACCATTATCCAGAACACTTTATCCTTTCCGCAATATGGCTCTCGAAGACCTGGCACAAGCCTTGGCGAGCTCCTTGGAACAGGCAAAGCTGGTCCCTGGTTCCGCCGCAAGCATCATTCCACAAGATTTCAAGCCCACAACCGAGCTGAGTGTGAAATTTAATAGAAGATCCCTCGAATTAGGCAACTTGTTCCGCTCTAGCGAATGCAAATCAGCTCCGAGTATTAGCTTCAGCGCAGAGGTGAGTCGCGCTATTAGAATATTCCCTACAGAGGATGCTTAAATCGTCTAGGTTGGTGCTACGTCGCAAGCATCGTACCTGCTCCTCCTCGTTGACCCTGACGCACCAACACCCGATGATCCAAAGTTCGCCTTCTGGCGTCACTGGGTTCTTCCCGGGCTGCAAGTTGCTGGTGGAGAAGTTCAAACAGCCACCCAGACTAAGGATGCCTTGACCGAGTATCTCGGGCCAGGCCCAAAGGACGAGTATGTTAAATTCCCTCCAGGTTCCTTTCTTTATTCCCAGAATGATTGAGAGCTATTGGTATGCATCAAATACTAACTAGAATAAAAAATAGCTCGAAACCTCATCGATACCTATTCCTACTCTTCCGAGAGCCTGTTGGCCTCAGCCTGGCCAAAGAGGATGTAGGTGGTGAGGAATTTGTACAGAGACGATCCTTCGAACCTGCGACGTTCATTGAGAAAAATCAGCTGCAGCTTGTCGGACTGAACTGGATGCTTGGAGCTGGCGATGGATGGAAAGAGTGAAAAGATGTTGAGGCTTCGATAGAAATGCATCAATAGACAGTGTCTCATTGCAACCAAAAATTGTACCTTCTTAAAACACAAACGAAGCCTAACGAAAATCCTGACTTGAACAATGCTGACCCGCCTAATCGCTTAGACCCAATGCTTCTTCCAGCTCGCTACGCACTTTGCAAGCAGCCCACTAGTAACTACATCGTATCCATCTTGAATCGCGCTACTTCTCTTCTCGGTTTCACTCGTCTCAAACACCAAACCTCCCCGGCCTGGCTTGTCGTTATCGTATTTCTCGGTAAAAAAGTCAAGCAACTTAACAGTTGGGTTTAGTATTGGGTCTTGCTCGCCGTCTCGCAGCCGCTGCACCCATTCCCGCTGTGGAACAATCTCAAATTGGAGCCCAGCAGCCTCCAATTCTGGAAGAACATCTTCCGTCCAGCGGACTGTTACAGGATTCTGTAAATGGTAAACGACGTCTGAGTCGTCTCGTATCTGGAAATATCCCGCTGTTTGATCTCCAGAACCAGCCAACCCGCTGAGCTCGAGAACAGCTTGGGCGGATTTGTCAACTGGAAGCCACGAGGGCTTCTCATCTAGAGCAGGAAGGGCGCCAAGCGTAGTGGCCGCGCGGAACATCAGTGGAATCGCTTCTGTTGGGTTCCATAAGCCCATGGCAGAATCTCCGATAATTTGTCCGGAACGCAGCACGCGTGCTTCTATTCCTGTTGCCACTGCAGCAGAATTGACGATATGTTCTGCCACCCACTTGCTGCGAGCATAACCCATATTCTGAGCATGCGCAGGATCTTTGACTAGAGTCTCGAGGACTCGACCTGGTGACGGAGTCCCTGCAGCTGCAGAAATGGAAGAGATGAAGGAAAGGCGAGCTGGGCGACTGAAAGGAACAGACAAACAGAGATCCAGGAGGTTTCGGAGACCAGCAATATGCTGGCCCTCAAAACTCCTGACTGTGAGAGTAAAGTTGACAGCCCATGCAGAGTGAATCACAGATGTTAGGGTAGAACGGATCGCATCATAAGCATCCTTACCGAGGCCGAGATCAGGGAGACTGAGGTCGGCAGGGAGGGCCGTGAACTTTGCAGAGTGATGATATGAAGACAAACCGCCCGCTGTTAGAGACGAGATAATACGCTCATGTGCTGCGCTGTGGTGGGGAGTAAGGCCGCGGGACTTTAGCGAATCAAGTACACGCTCCTGAGCAGCTGAAGGCGAGGAGGCACGAACGAGGCAATACACATGGCGCACTCGTGGGAGAGCAATCAGTTGAGACAGAATATGAGCGCCGAGTGATCCGGTCGCGCCGGTGAGAAGCTGCCGGTTTTCGTCAGTACATCGCTTCAAGTGAACTATCTTTCAGGAGACAACTCACAACAACCTCACCATCAGGAACTTGCTCACCACGCTTGAATGGCTCAAACAAAGAATACTTGGAGACGAGGTCTTGCATAATCTCCGTCTCGGTCTTTTCTTGGACCGTTGATCCCTTTCTAAGTGAGTAGAGATGGGCCGTTAACTGTAAAACGCTGGGATGCTCGAAGACGACGTTTTGGCCGGGAATCTTGCCGCCTAGATCGAGCTCGCGGACGATGTAGGCACGGGTTGTGATGGCTTGCAAGCTGTCGAGGCCAGCGGCGAAGAAATCCATCTCGTCGGTGAGATTTGCAACGCCAACGCGCTCGGCAAGTAATTTCAGCAGGTATTCTTTGAGCTCAGGCATCTCTAGCGCCAGGCGGTCAGCGTTACCAGGAGACTCAAACTTCTGATACGTCTCCTCAATGATGGTTTCGAAATGCCTGTAGCAGGCGGCGCGGATGACAGTCCCCTTATCCGTGCGAGGATACTCAGTGCCGATCGGCAGTATCTCGACCATCTCACGAGAGATGCGACCAAACTGCTCGGCTCTTTCGTTGGCATCTTGGATTGTCGGCCAGAGGATATCGAGAAGCTCCGGAGTTGTCTTGCCAACGGCATGGTCGCCGGGGATGATAAGGAGTCCTGGGAATGCTTTGCCAACACCAAAGACGAGACACTCTTGCACGAGCTCACTCTGGCGAATGCGATGCTCGTACGGTACAGGTAAGACCTTTTCACCATTGAATAGCGTGACACGGTCATCCAGGCGACCCAGGTATTTCCACGCATCAGGAATGGTTGAGTGCTTGATAAAGGTATCTCGGGTGCGGAATGAGTTGGGTGGATCATCTGAGTTGGAGGTAGTCTTGGTTGGAAGGCCATCCAGAACCACAAGCTCGAAAATGTCGGTGGTGACCTCATCAAATAGGAGGTATGGCTTCGTCTTGATCAACGGACGAACATAATTCCATGCTTTATCTGTGTCGGGGTCTCTAAGAGACGTCATAAGCTGACCCATTTCGGTGCTGAGAGATGTTAGCCGGTGTTTCAGTCGTGTCATGATTTGTTACGTACGCGCCATAGTGGGATACGATGTTCACACCGTTTTGCACCAGAAGGTCTCCCAAGTCATCTGGACAACTGCTTCCACCAAAGAGGACCAGTTTGGCCTTTGCCAGCTCTGCGATACCTTCTGGTGTCTCGGCCAATACTTTGAGGGCGTAAGGCACGCAGTGGAAGCTCTCAAAGTTGGCAGCGTTCATGGCTGCAACGAGGTGTCCATTTGTTAAAGGCAAGTTGGCGTTGTACACCGCGGTACGTTTTCCAGTGACCATGCCACGGAACATAGTTGACAGTCCATGGTTATGGAAAAGGGGAAGCGTCACAAAAGCGCGCATCCCACTGCCTGTGGCGTAGTTGCTGAGGCATTGTCTGTGAGTCTGGTAGATCGGTTTTGGTAGGCCGGTGCTTCCGGACGAATGCACAATAAACGAAACAGTATTTTCTTCGTCAATCAACTCTGTCTGGCGCTTGAACCGTGTTGAATATGATGCGTTGTGAGACCAGACCGATTGAGAGATCAACGAAAAGCTCTGAACTGGGTAAGATTCTTGGATACTCTGAGCAACAAGCTCGAGATTTGGTGCTACGATAATTCGAGTGCACTCGGTCTTCTCAAGCAACGAGATGTAGGCCTCAGATGGTAGACGGGTAGAGAGGAACATAACCGAGAAACCCATTCGTGAGAGGGCGAGGAGATTGACGATGTAGTCAAGGTTCGACGGCCCCAAAATACCGACGACCTCAGCCTTGCTGCTCCGCAGCTTCTAAGACAGTATTAGCACGGTAAATTGATATGGGAATGAGTGTCTGACCGTGGGCTTTAGCCCTTGGCTGGTAAGTGCCTTTGCGGCACTGTCTGCAAAGTCATCGAGTTGTTTTGCGGTATAATCCACAAAGTCGGATGCGCCTAATTTGGAGCTGGGATAGGCAATGAGAGGGGTATCCGGAATGCTCTGAGCCTGGAAAATCAGGAACTCGTTGATGCTGTTGATCTTCTCGGGCTCTATGCTCGCAGTGGCTTCTGTTGGCTCTGTGGCATCCAAGCTAGGGGCTTGGCCCAAGATGCTTGAGGTGACTGATGCCATCATGTTGAAAATGGAGAGTAGAGTGTGGACAGAATGGTTACTGTCACCGGCAGAGTCTCAATGCACACCGAAATGATACCGGATTAAATCTCACTGGCTCATTTAAGAAGGCCAATGGCTGAGCATTCCCCGAAGCAGCCGGGAGAGCAAGGAGGGCGGTGCAGATCGGATGGCGGACGGAAAAGGAGCGGAAAAGCCACCAAGGAAGAATAAGGATTGCCGAGCAGGGATGAGTCGCCGCTGCATCCCCGGATCCGACTAGCTTGGATCTCATCATGCGCTCTGCCGCCGGATCGGCAAGCCGGTCGGATAACATGGACATGGGCACGGGTATAGGGAGGAAAAAGTGGTGTTTGGGCTGTTGAATGATGGAATTTGACGGCTCGGCATTTCACCGAGCGCCTCAACTTGATGTTCCATGGAACCATGTCTAAGGCTGACTCAAATTGTCTTTAGTAGTAAGATTTGTTAAAGAATTGGTAGGCTAGCGAGGCAAAGGAGGAGTTCCATGCCCATGGCTTAGATGGATGTAGTATATACGCTCAGTCTTTTCAACAAGCTCCATTGATCCATCCAGTGAAACCTTTGAGTTTAAGTAATACGAGACCAAGTATTTTGCTCAATTTACTACCCTACGTACGCTCACTGATAGCAAGCTAAAGAGCGTTGTGTATTTCCTCGCCGAGACCAATATTCCAGCCTTCCAACTCTCCAACACCAAGAATTGACTGTAGATCACCCATACCTCCGGTAACCTGTTATTGAGTAGGTTAGTAAATTTTGCCCTGCATGGGGAATGCCAGTGCAAAATAAGGCTACTCACCAAAGAATCAAATTGTCCCCAGCCAGTCATCTGAATGATTGAACTTCCTGGGCTGCCATCCGCAAATCCCAACCCATCATCCTGGCCAATTGACAACTGGCCGCCGACGTTCCCGGAACCGGAATCAAGGCCCATGTGCCCTGCTTGCAAATCGACGAGGCCTGCGTTTCCGAAGCGCTCCAGGTTCAAATGTCCGCCCTGCATGTCCAGCCCGGTGCCGTCATCTTGTTCAGCAGTCAATGCAAAGAGATGAGCATTATGACGCAGAAGCTCTGCCCGCAGCTCCTGGAGAACAACGCCGTAGCGATGGGCGAGCGACCCGCTAATAGCAATTGACGTAATCTGGAGTTGGCATTTGGTTGCGGCGTGAAATGCAGGGAGGTAAGTCTCTGGCGGTGCATTCCGTTGTTGGATGGCGAAGACATAGAGTATCACGACGGCACAGAATGCAAAGTAATGCGAGAACTTCTCATGTCAGCCTTAAAACCTCAACATCTTGTGCAAAAATATGAGAAACATACCCAAAAAGTATTATACAGCTGTCCGCCTGCGCTCAGCTCATCGATTTTGCCCACAATGTTCATTGCGGCGACGAGACAGGCCTGAGCATGCTCGTTCGTCAAGCGTTGATTGTGGTTAGCGGTACCACGCCTAGGCGCTCCCAGGTTTGCCAGGCTGGCAAAGTTTCGGAGGAGAAAAGGTCGGTGAATCAAGATCCGCGCGTGCCAACATGCGAGGTTGAGGACGTTTCTCTGGCGAAGGAATATTGGCTGAAGGAGAGACGGGTCGATCCCAGTCGTGTCGACGAGATAGGCGAGGTTGCTGCGCCATTCGTCGATCTCCTTTGAATACTTGGCAGCAAGTTTGTACTGGCTCTCGGTGGATGGTGGGCGGATGCCGTAGAAATCGCGGAGAATATTGGCCACGATGCTCGAGAGCCTGTATGCATGAGTGGAAGCCGAGTGAATTGTGTCTTGTGACTTACTTTATGTGGGCTATAGACCCAGACATGACAGACTGGAGACTGGAGGTTGACAGCGATGACAATTGACCACGAGCCAGTCGATAATCATCGACGCAAAGAGGTAATTCTTGGTCGATGTCATCATCGTGAAATGTCCGCGGCCTTCCAAGGGCAGAACTGAGATAGGTGTCGAGATTGTAAGCACACCAGAAAGTCCGTTTGCGGCACTCCAAGTCAACGTGATCGACAACACTATTCACGTCAACTCGAGACTTGCGATGAATCCCCAGTGCGAGCATCAGATGAGCGGTAGTCCCAAACAGACTCCAGCAGTGGTTGAGTCGTGAATGAGATAAGAGATAGATGCACTGTGCCAGTCTCGCCTGGACACTAGTGAGACGGATGGCGCCTTTTTCAGCAGACAACTGATCTTCAGCGGCGGAAAAGAAGCGTGCACTGGATGAATATCGTTAGCAATAGTGACAGATACAATGCAATGGGGTTAAAACCTTGTAGTTGGTAGGACGGTGCCTGCCTTTGACTTGGGGAAGTTCTCGGCATGGGCAAACACCATGAACAGTACGGCGGTCCTGCTTCGCGCCGCAGACTGCTCTTGCATGGTGCCGTGAGTGTCGTAGAGCTCCTGGAGCCATGTTTCCACGGTTGGACGATGCAGGAATCTGTGAGTCGCTGATGCGAACTCGAAGTACCTACAGACCAATGAATCGGCCTCAGACCGCGGCGGGAGTATCAGGAACCGAGGGTCAAACTGGGGAAGCGGCAAGTCACCAAAGGTAAAGATGGATGAGTCTGACGGTGTTGTAGGCCCCTGCTGCTTCAGCTTCCTCTGAATCCGCAGCAGAAATGAAGCTCCAGAGGCAGGGCCGACATAGTGGCCTTGCAGATCAACCTGTGCCGGCTCTGGAGAGTTACGAGAGGACAGCGTCGTTGAGATGCCACGGGGGCCTTTGGGAGGCTCGAGGGCCTGGTGCTCAATGGAGACGGGGCTAGGAATGTGCTCATCCGGCTGGTGTACATGCGTCTGGTCTCTGATGGCCGCGCCACTGAGCTGCTGTTCTGTGGCGCGCGGCGCGTTGGCTGTCTCCTCGGTGTCCATCTCAATGGACGGGAGGCGTCCCCGGCGATATGACGCTGTATACTTGCATTGAAGTCGAAGACGGGAGCAAACAGCACAGGGGTACTTTCCAGAGCAGCGCGTCTTGCGACTGAGAGACGTTAGCAACAGCACCAAGAGCACCAACAGCCCCAATGCAATCCTGTGGCGATTCGAGGCGTCGACGTATCCATCCACGCACATATCCTCACCGGCCAACTCCGGGTACCCTGTACTATCAAACGAGCCAGAACCTCGAGAACCAGAACCACTTATACACGGCACGAAGGAATTCCAAGACGTGGAAGGGGAAGACTCACGCCTTGCAGCGATCACAGGCCCTGCTGGCCCGGCTCCTCACATGAGGCGACTTTCGCGTCTTGGCCGGCGGTTCCTCATGATTGTCATCATTGCTGGTGCCGTACTCGTGCTCGCTGGCCCCCGGATCCTCGCGGTGCACGCTGGAGCGGTCGTCAGTATCCATAGTTGTGTCTATCCCTGAGCGAAGCGACCGCTGAGCAAGCTGGGGGAGATGGAAAAGGAGTCGGAAAAGGCTTTCGGCTGAGTGGGTGGTGCGGAGTCGATCTGTTTTGTACGTGGTGCTTTTCCGCCGGCGCATCGGATCTCCAGCGGGGTAACGAATGCGGCCCGAGAGAGAGAATCCGGGGTTGTCACTTGAAAGGACACGGATTGGATCGCTTGTACGAGTTTATTTCTTTAGAGTCTAGTCCAGTCTAGTCTAGTCTAGGGTAGATTGAAGTAGAGTGATCGTTTGGTGTGTGACATCCTCTACCATTCTCGCCACTCTCCCCCTGGCCCGACGAACCCCGGACTCACCCACGGCTCCGCGTTCTTGCTGAGCTCGCGGATCTTGGCCTCATCAACGTCGATTCCCAGTCCGGGCCCCGTCATGAGCTTGATGTAACCGTCCTTGACGTCCCAGATCTCGGGGTTCGTGATGTAGGACAGCAAGTCGTGGCCGCCCGTGTTGTAGTGGATGCCGAGACTCATCTCCTGGATCGCAAAGTTGGGCGTCGCCGCGTCGACCTGGATGTTAGCTGCCAGGGCAATAGGCCCCAGTGGGCAATGCGGCGCAAGAGCGACGTCGTATGCCTCTGCCATGGCCGCGATGCGCCTCATTTCCGAGATGCCGCCCACGTGCGAAATGTCCGGCTGCAGAATGTCGACACACGCCGCTTCGAGGAACGGCTTAACGTCCCACCGGCTATGCAGCCGCTCACCCAGGGCAATCGGCGATGTAACGGCCTGTGCGAAGGCCTTGATTCCCTCGAGGTGCTCCGAAAGCAGGGGCTCTTCAATGAACATGGGCCGGTGAGGCGCGAGCAGAGCCGCAAGCTGCTTGGCCATGGGCTTGTGCACGCGGCCGTGGAAGTCAACGCCGGCGTCCATGCCAGCGGCCTTTACGATTTTGACTCGCTCGATACAATCATCGAGTGCGGATGGCGAGTCAAGCCAGCCGAGGTCTTCAGTGCCGTTCATCTTGACGGCAGTGAAGCCTTGGGCCTTGCGCGAGAGTCTAGACGCAATTGTTAGTACTGCCAGAAGACGAGCTTCTCGTGACTTACGCTTGAGCCTCAATATCTGCAGGCCGATCACCACCGATCCATGCATACACCTTGAGCGTGTCTCGGACCTTGCCACCCAGTAGTTCGTAGATTGGCACGCCGAGCTTTCTAGCTGAATGGGTGTCAATTGACTGTGAAACACCACGCACTCATTTCGAACTCACCTTTGAGATCCCAAAGCGCGATGTCAATTCCAGCCAGGGCGCTCATAAACACGGGCCCGCCTCTGTAGAAGCCCATGCGCCAGGACTTTTGCCATATTTGCTCAATGTCACTATATCTCGTAAGACGACGCGCCCGAAAAACAGCCGCGATGGCCGGGATGCACTCACTTGGCCTCCATGCCCGTGTACTGGGCGATCCAGGCATCTAGACATCCTTCGACAGCCTGTGTGTGGCCCTCTAACGAAGCCTCTCCCCAGCCCACGTTCCCAGCGTCGTCGGTGATTTTGACAAACAACCAACGCGGGGGTACGCGGAAATACTCAATCGTGGCGATCTTGCCCATTTTGGATCGTGCCTTGGCAACAGAATGTCGTCTAACGAGAGTTGCCGCACCCAAGACAGCCGGCCTTTTGGTTATAAATGATGGAGATGTTTTGGATGCCCGATGAATGTGAACGGAGGATGGACTCTCGGGGCGGATTTGGCCGGGTCGGATATGCCACCGGGCCGTCCGATGCGGCGTCTCATCCGAGTCGCAACCGGCTCCGACGTCGGGACCTGGAGCGGGGAAACCACATGAACGTACGAGGATTGTGACGAAATATGCATGCAGCAGAGCCTGGATTATTGGAAATAACAGTCCGCGGCCTAACTACTGGGCTGCCGAGGTGCAGCGTATCACCAACGGCCAGGACGTTCGGGACCTTAGATGGTTGAAAGTGAATCGAGCTTAATATCTATAGTCTTAAGTACTGCTTCTATAATAGGCACAATCTATCTTATTTCGCTGCCTTGAGTGCCCTTTGCGCGGCAATCCAATCCTGTCGAGCCTTCTTCAATGTCGCCTCATCGTGCTCGCCAAACACATTCACGCCTAGCCGCAACGGGACATTATATCTATGCGTTCTGTCCAACGCGTTGATGCGCTTAAACGCGGCGTCCGGAAGCTCAAAGTCTTCAAAATTCTCGGCGATGCGAGACGGCGTTACGGACTTGGGAAGCACGACGGTCCCGCGCTGAACCGCCCACTGGATGAGGATTTGAGCTGGCTGCTTGCCGAGCTCCTTGGCGATGGCAATAATCGTCGGGTCGTCTATGGCCTTGGGGAGACCGTAGATGTTGTTACCCGAAGGGCTGTATGCCGTGATTAGGATGTCATTCTTCTTTGACCACTCTAGCAGACCAGGCTGTTGCAGGTAGGGGTGGGCTTCGATTTGGTTAACCACAGGCTTGATTTCAGCGCTACGAGGCTCGTTAGTTGTCATCTCAATCTAGCGCTGGGGATAATACTCACAACTTGAGAATTTCCTCAATCTTTTGTTGAGTAAAATTACTAACTCCGATGCTCTTGATCTTGCCCTTCTTTACGAGGGCCTCCAGAGCTTTCCACGTCTCCTCGATAGGAACGTCGATGACGTGAACACCCTCATCTGAGGGGTCAATTGGAAAGCGGAGCGTTTTCTCCGCCGGCTTCACAAAAGACACGGGCCAGTGGATCAAGTAGAGGTCGACGTAGTCAGTTCCCAGATCCTCGAGGGACTGGTCCAGAGCCTCTTCGACATCCGAACCCTTGTGATGCGTGTTCCAGAGCTTGGAAGTCAGGAAGATCTCGCTGCGCGGGATGCCTGACGCTTTGATGCCAGCGCCGACTTCCTGCTCGTTGTCGTAAACTGCTGCTGCGTCGATGTGACGGTAGCCATGCTTCAGAGCGAACTCGACAGCCCGAGAGACCTCGTTGGGACCCGATTGCTGGTGCAGGTTAGCACGAATTCATAAATATTGTGCACATCTGCAAGTCGCACCCAAGTACCCAGCCCGACGGCGGGAATTGAAAACCCCGAATTAAGCTTGAAGTATCGACCAGACGACATAGTTGCAGATGATGTGTATCACTCCCGTTTGGTATTACCCCGCAGAATAGACACAATCGATACGAATTTTCCGCTGTGATTTTATAAGAACCCAGCCACAAGATTCTTCCAAGGACATGAGTCTGTCGCGAGTTATCCGATCTCGCTTATCCGAAGGCCAGAATCGCGGCTTTCTACCCGGATTTAACTCCAGGTCCCGCCGCATCTCCGTTGCAGGGAGCCGAGCCGAGCCGATGCGTGGGCTGGGATTGAAAAGAAGCGGGCTGGAAGCGGAGGATGAGACCTCTAACTTATGTATCCTGTCGTACGTTTATTGAATTGGCCATGTCTAATATTCAACAAGTACTACTTTATATATGATTATCAATTGTTCGATCAAGATTCCCAATTGACTACGACTAGATCAATAATTAGTGCCAAAGAAGAAACATGATGTCCTCAACTCCTCCCGATGGCGTGTTTGTCCCTGTGCCAACATCTTTCCACGCCGAGACCAAGGCTCCAGCGTTACAACCCGCTATCGATGTCCCAACGCAAGTTGCACACATTGTGCACGTGGCCAAGTCTAAATCACAGGTCTTGTCCTAATGGGCTCAACCGGTGAGGCCATTCACTTGTCAGGTCAAGAACGGTCCGACATGATCTCTGGAGTGCGCAAGGACTAGACGACGCGGGCTATAGGGAGGACTACCCCATCATGACCGGCATGTTAATTAATAACGTTGACGAGGAAATTGAGTGGTTGCATGATGCCCACAAGGCTGGGGCACAACGGGGCTTGGTGCTTGCATCGGGATATTTTGGCACAGCCTCAACGCAGGACAACCTCATCGAGTGGTACACCCTGGTTGCTGATAGGAGCCCACTTCCCATCATGATGTGAGGGACTCTACTATTGGATGGTTATGGAATAAGGTGCTGATTTGAGCATAGATATAATTACCCGGGTGTAACTAATAGCCTGGTCATCGGCGTGAATACTTACGTGACATTAGCCGCACACCCCAATATTGTCGGCTGTTATTGATGGCTTGGCTGTCATCTATCCCAAAACTGTGTCACACCTCTTTTCTCTGGCAGCCAAGAGACCACTTGATGAGGCAACGCTTGAGAAGGTCCGAAGGCTGCAGTAGAAAGTGTCGGCGGCCGAGGAGTTTATTGTCAATCATGGCTTTCTTGGCATCCGGGAGGGTATCTACAAAGAGCTCGGCTTTGCCCACTTATCCGGTGGGAGACCTCATCTAAGGGGTGCCTTGACTGTGGGGGCGTTTGAAGAATGGAATGGTATCCTGGGACAAATGGCAGAAGAGGAGAAAATGCTGCAGCTTGTGCCGCTCCATCTTTTGACCTTGTGCCGGCAACTTGCTCACCTTGAGCGAGCAGACAGAAGTTAGATTAGTGCCGCTCCATCAACTTGCCATAAATAGATATACATAATGTTATTCCATAGCCTATACCAGAGTTGGCTGTCTATCCCAAAGTTAGCCTATCGCCACTGTATTTAACCCGCCCGTCAGATCATCTCGTCATCATACAGAATATCGAATATCATCTCCCCAGTCTGATAACTCATGGCATTTACGAACTTAACAATCGTTTTGTGAGCTCTAGCAGTATGTCATGGTCCTCCGTCTTTCGCAAGTAATCAGTTGAGTACAATTGCATCTGAGACTAATCTAGCCTCTAGTAATAATTGGCACTAATTTAGGACTGTCACATGTCCAAACGAATTGAAAGGTGAGGGCTATTCAGTTGACATTAAGCGACCTGGCTTGACTTTGACATTAATTTCTCGTCAAGATTACAACTTGCGTGAACTACTCCCGCGCAAGCCTTGTTCAAACTATCTACGGCTCACAAAGTTCAGCCCGACTAGTACACATAGAAGTTGGATTCTCCCTCGTTTCGCTCCCTCATCTTCTTGTTCTCCCTCTGTAGAGCAATGCGCAGAATCCAGGCACAGATGATGACACCCGCGGAGAAGCCAACACTGGCCATCATTGGCTTCAAATAGCGCGGCGCATCAGACGCAGGCCACAAGTATGGTGTGTAGATACTGGCCATGTTGCCGAAGGTGTTGGCCATGGCGATTGCGACAGCCTTTTTCTCATCTGTCTGTCCGAGCACACTCGCAGTCCAGCCGATGATGATGTTGTTCACGCCATACGAGGCACCGACGAACAGCATGATGCCAACGAAGCGAGCAGGGACGTTCAATGTGCAGACAGACAGAACAAAGCCACCGATGGCAACGAGCTTGCTGATGGTGGTGTGCCAGGTACGCTCATTGTGGCGGCCTGAAGACCAGGCAACGCCGATCGAGACAAACCCAGAAAAGATGTATGGGGGAGCGGTGAGGACCAAAGTAATGGTAGAGTTGTATCCTAGGGTCTTCATGACGGTGGGCAGGAAGTTCTTGAATCCATTGGCCGACAGATGCATGTTGTCCATGAGACAGAAGACCCAAGTGCGCCAGTCGACGACGGCTTCGCGAAGGCCAACCCAGACGCTCGTACCCTCACGGCGGCCGGTGGTATCGATGACAATTCGGTTGTGGGCGAGCTGTCGCTCTTCGGGGGTAAGCCACCTGGTCTGGAGCGGGCTATCGGGCAGGGTGAAGAAGGCAACGATGGCCACGAGAATGGACACGGCGCCCTGGATGATGAAGAGCCTGTGAGGAGAATATTAGCATTTGAAAGCAGCGCGTCCAATGTTGTCATCTTACCATCGCCAGCCAGCCAAACCCATCTTGCCATCGAGCCCAGCAAAGACACCAGCCGCAATGAGGCCGGAGAAGGAGCTGGCGAGAATGTTGCCTGTGTAGAAGATGGACATGCGGGTTGCAATCTCCTTGCGGGTGTAGAACATGGAGATCATGTACAGAGCGCCAGGGTAGAATGGCGCCTCGGTGATTCCGAGCAGGAAGCGGCAGACGAGCATGCTCTCATAGCTCGAGGCCTTGTAGGTGAGGAGAGACAGGATGGACCAGGCGAGGCAGAAACCAGCCATGTACCACGAGGGCCGGACGCGGTTGAGGATCATGTTGGAGGGGATCTGGCCGCAGAGGTATCCGACGAAGAGGATGGACACGCAGGTTTGGTACTCGGTGCCTTTGAGACCGAGGTCCTCCTCCATGCTGTTGATTCTGGCGCTGATCATGGCATTGCGGTCGAGGAAGTTGAAAAAATACATGACCCAGAGAATGGGCTGCGATTGATTGTTGGTCGAGGCCAGAGAATGAAGGGTGAGTGGAGGAGACATACCAGCATGTAATAGTCAAGCTTCTTGACGAGGGCAATCTCTTTGGGGTCGGTCTTGGCATGGGCGCCAAACTCGTCGACCTTTTCGATCTTGGGCAGCTTCTGGAACTGGTCATCGTCGGGCGTCTCGACGTGCGAGATGTCGCGGTGCTTGTCGTCGTTGGAGGGAACCACGGTCAATGGCTCTTGGATCGCCATGGTGGGCGGTGTGTCGAGGTGGTGTCTTGCGAGCCGAGTAAGTCAGGCAAGGGGAGATGGAGAGAAAGAGAGAGAGAGAGAGATGCTGGGTGTTCAGGATGAAGAAGCAAAGCCCATGTCAATAGATGAAATATGTCGAGACATAAGGTTTTATAACTTAACCATGGCGGTTGGGGCCTGTTTGGAGGAGCTCAGATCAGTCTCTGGCCCGGCCTCGCCATCACGGGCATCTGATTTGATTGTCCTTTTCCGTGGAGTCTTTGCGGGGAAGCGGGGAAGAACCCAGTATCAGAGTGTCTGGGGAAGTGGACCAGAAACGAGACGGACTGCCAAGCAGCTCGGTGAGGGCCGCCGGTGGTTGGTGTGTCACCAATGCGGAGACGCGCCGCGGTGGTGTTGGAGACATTCCACCAATACAGAGGGAGGCTGGGTGAGATTGTTCGGGTCGGAAAAGCCGTGTTGGAGTCATGGTTCAGATTGTGCTTTTCCGATGGCTTCTCGTGCCGAAATTCGCCGAGTAGGTGGTCAGGCGGCGTGGTTTGTAAGGCGTCTAGCACGATATGCCGGACAGGGATTAGCTGGGAAGGGGAAAGGGGTAAGAGGAAAGGAAAAGTGAGAAAAGATAGGGAAAAGAGACAAGGGACAAGAAGTTCAATTCACATCACACTCCTCAGTTATCCATCTCAGCTATCCATCTCAGTAAACCACCCTCACCACCTCCCCGTCTCCCGCCGTCCTGGCACTCCAACTCTCGACTCTCTCAAGCCCATACATGACCGTCAACAGATGTCTCGCAAATTCATCCACAATCGCCGCGGCAGCGCTCGTCAACAAGCGGCCGCATTCCAGGCTCAAGGCGAACATCGGGTCCTGCTTTCGCACGGCTTGAGACCAGCTCACAGCCGACTCGGCAGCCCAGATATCGCGCCGCATCGTAAACTTCGCTCCGCCGCTGCATTCGCACCAGCCTTGTTTCTGCGTCATGTAAATGCCCACCGTCATGGTGCCCAGTAGCCAGGTCCTCCGGATGCTTTCTGCCAGTACCCACGCCCTCCAGAGGCGCGGGGCTGGGTCTCCGTCAAAGTTGGCGTCTGCCACGGCGTCCCTTTGCACCTTGCATGGTGATGGGTTCTCGGACAGATCTGGATCGTGGCTGGCTGACTCCCATAGCTGTTGAGCCCAGGTGTGAAACACGGGGATATTCCTCTCAGCCTGGGCGCGTGCTCCGATGGACGGAGAGAATAGTGAGAGAGCGAGGTAGATAAATAGTGCCTGCGTACGGGCGAGGTGTTGCCGGGTGTCAAGAACAAAGGTAGCGCCACAGGAGCCCTGAGACCCAAGAAGAGTAGCCGCGTTAGCCTCCATGATTTGGTAGACCGTACTCTCGTTTCGATGCGTCTTTTTGTCGTGTATCGCTATCGTGGCGTAAGCATCCCGCATAGACTGCGGGAGCCCGCTGTCGGCGTAGAGTTGACGATGGATGAAGGGGTTCTGGCCGTCGGTCACCCATTGTGTCAGCCAAGATTCGAGGTTCTGGCGATAGTCGACGAAGACAGCGGCCGAGAAGGGAGGGGTCCTAATGGGGGAGTGATGAATGGCCCAGGAGCCTGTATAACGAAACCACGAGCTGGTCAGAGGAGCTGAAATGACAGAAAGCTCTGCGCCGTCGAAGGAGACGAGCTCTCGCGATACGTCGGCACCTAAAGGCTCCAGTTGCGGTTGTATAGGCAGCAGGTCGTCCCAGTCCACGACGGGTTCAGTCCATTGCTCCAAGTCGAATGCATCATCCGGTACCAAGTTATCGGGAGCGTCTTGCGTATGCGTGCCATTGCAGGGGGATTCATTCAGCACGCGTCCCTGAATCCCCTGCACCTGATGCCTCCTCCGTCTCGTCGGCGGATATCGGCATTCAACGTCCTTTTCATCACAGCGCCCACACACCGGTTGCGCCCTATCGCAGCGTCGTTTCCCAGCTGTACAAGCGCAGCACGCCTTGGGCTTTTTGGCGGACCCCATTGCGGACGAATTGCGGGAAAATGCTTCACAAATCGGACGGTGACGGCGGGAAACAAAGACACCACGTTATTTCTTAGCAATCGGCGATAACGATAAAACTGTGTAGATGGACGTAATTAATAATGCGGAAGCCAAGCGGAAATGGTGCGGGTTTCGTGCGGGTTGTTTGCGGAAAGTCGGCGGGTTTTATCGAAGCCCCACAAGTCGCGGCAATGCCTATTCCAGTTCTGGCCGGCAGGATCGCGAGAAACCCGCTGGAGGCTCTCTACACTTGGTGATCCTTGGCACAGAACTCGAACAATCAGGGATGCGCGAGATGGCCTTAATAATCGGGCGGATATTTTGTACGCGGCGGGAATCTTGCGCATTTCAAAGATGGTGACATTAATTAAAACGGCCCAGCAGGATTCGTCATTGATGCCAACAAGCTGAACGGCGTATAAAAGAATCCAGTCGTCTGGATTCAGAGCAACATCTACACCAGAATTCCAGAATAAGCTATCCAGCAATACAATTCAACTCATATCTTTACATTCACATTCCTCATAGCCATCATGTCCTCTTCCGGCCACCTCTTCACCACCGTTATCCACAACAAGTCGTATCCCGCCATCTCGACATCGCGCCCTGAGCTCTCGCAAGCCGGCAGGACGGTGCTGGTCGGCGGCGGCTCCACGGGGATCGGCTTCAGCATTGCGAAGTCGTTTGCAGCGGCCGGGGCATCGCGCGTGATTATCGTCGGTCGCCGCCAGAGTGCCCTTGGCTCTGCCGTGGCTCAGGTCTTGACCGAGTATCCAGGAACTGAGGTACTTGCGTACGTATGCGACGTGGCTGATGAAGCTTCTACCGAGAAGCTCTGGTCGAGCCTGAGAAAGGACGGCATTCTCGTCGACATCTTAGTTTTGAACGCCGCCAAATTGTCGCCCGAGCATACCATCCTCAGCCTCGGCACTAAGAAGGTGTGGGAGGAGTTCGTCGTCAATGTCAAGGCTCCACTGGACATGACAGAGAGATTCTATAAGCAGGAAGGCAGAGATTCCTCTCGAAAGCTCGTAAGTTTACCCCTTATTATTTTTCCTTGCGAGGAAGCTTTACTGATATGCCTAGTCTCTACTATTACTGTCTTCGGGAGCTGCCCATGATTATGCTGCCGCGGCACCGTGGCCAAACTACATGGCGACGAAGAACTCTGCCACGATGCTAATCCAGCAGATCGCCAGAAACACAAAGCCAACAGACATGCAAGTCGTGTCCTACCACCCTGGCGTTCACCACACTGAGCTTGTGAAGGGAGCGGCAGGGGATACGGGCGCCGACACCGAGTTGCCCTGGGACTTTGACGACAGTGAGTCCATCCACAAGGAATACACAATGAAGATGCTAACATTAACTTAGTCCGGCTTCCGGGTGACTTTGCAGTTTGGGCTGCTTCGGACGAGGCCGCCTTTCTGCATGGCCGGTTCGTGTGGGCGCTCTGGGACGTGGACGAGTTGAAGGCGGGGCCTATTCGGGAGAGGATTGAGCAGGACGACAACTTTCTGCGAGTTGGAATTCATGGACTTTGAGATGTTTTTCAAGGGGCTATTGTATGTCGGTTGAATAGGCTTAGATAGAGACCGATCCAGATAGAGAAATAGATAGATGGTAGACTGTATTGGAAGGCGTCACTGTCAAAGCTACTCTGTTTAGACTAAGCCTCGTGTCCCTCATTTATGGCCAGCAACGGCTGCGACGACCAATCAAGGGTCCCTGTCACGACTTTTAGTCGGCCATGATACAACATCAGGCTGTGCAATAGCCAGCGTCTGAGTCCCGTCGTGCGAATGAATGGCGCCGTATTTGGCCGGACGCTTGCCAACCTGGGTCGCAAGCTGGGCCGCGTCGGCATTGGAATCCGCGCCGGCAGTAATGGGGGCCTGGAAGGCTGCGGCGATCTCCAGCGGGCTCATAGACACGCGGCGGCCCAGCAGCCAGAAACCGTAGAACAGCCACATGACGGCGAGGACGCCGGCGACGAGAATGGCCAGCGTGCCCGCAAGGAACTGCGAGTGGAGGGTGTATTTCGTGGTGGTGCGCAGCTGGGTTCCTTTGATGCTCTGTTCAGAGGAGGGATCTGAGAAGGCGATGGCGGCGCGGAACGTCATCTCGCGGATTGCGTCGAGGACAAAAGGCGTTGGGTCGGCCCAGGTCATATTGCTCGTGCCCAGCGCGTCGTCGGTCGAGTTCATATACGTGTACATCATAGGCCCGTCGCCTTGAAGGGCCAAAGTTCCCGAGTTGTATAGATTAATGTCGCTATCGTAGATACTACCGGCCGCGTAGGCAATTCCGCCAAGGAGAGATGAGAACTTGCCTAGTCCGGAAGTCTCCCTATACGGGTATAGTAACTCAACGGTACGGTTGACCATGAAGTCGACGGAAGATGTCGAACCTCCTAACGTCAAGGTACCGTTGGTGACGGTGACGGGATACTTTATTTTGGCGCTATGCAGGATGCAGTTGGTGTTGATGAGACTTCCGTTCAGGGCCTGCTGCGCCTTATACATGGTCTTGACATAGAGCACTCCCGCATCTGAGGCGCCGTTTGCTGACACAGTAATGGATCCAATGCTAGCTGTCTCTCCAGCATCCAATTTGAGGCTGTAGTCTGTGCTGCCCCTGGTACAGCCAACGTCGAAGCCGGCCGCGATGACGGTGCCGGAGCAAGTTCCTTCGCAACCCGCCAGGTCGAGCTTGATGTCGGCGCGACTCGTGAAGTCCTGCACAACCCGCGAGAAGTTGGACGTCAATGCGTTGACCGAGTGGCTTCTTGTCATGTAGTAGGCCGTCGGCTGGCTGAGCTGGTCCTGGGAGAGAGGTACCGTGAACGTTTTCGACTCTGTCTCGGTCACGCTGACGAAGCCGGATGCTCGCTGCAGCAACGGGCCGTCGACGATCAGCAGCAGAAGCAGGATGGACACAAACGTGATCTTGCTGAGATGGTGAATGCCCAAGATGGACTGGAACGCGCTCGACCCATGCGCCCAGTAGCGGTGGCTGTCGTTGAGGTTTCCGCCCTTGAGCATCTTCACCCACCACGTCAGCGTCACGCCTTCGCTGTACGCCATTGTAAGGCCGGCGTTTCCCACGGCGATCAGCACGGCGAGCACCACGGCCACTTGGATCGGCTGGTCTTCGAACGGCCAGGAGTCTGTTGCTACGCCGTTGGCCGAGATCAGGACGACGACGATGCCCACGCCGCATCCCAGTGTCAGCAGCAGGGCAAGGAGGCCCATCCATGGAACGCTCTTGAGGCCCGGTCGCCATTTTATCGAGCGGTGATATGCTGGTCTATCGAGGATCAGATTCGCCTGCGACTGCACCGCCGATGGCGGGTTGTTCTTGGAGCCGTCGTAGGATATTGGTTCGTGTTGATGGCCCGGGGCTGCGTACTGGACCGTGTTGGCAGGGCCAAAGTGCTCGTAGCCGGAGTTTCCATGTCGGGCTGGGTTCGTGTAACTGGCATCAATGAACGGCTCGTTGGCGGGCGGGTGGTTACCAGGCTGGCTGGGAGTCCAGTGCCCGCGTATTTCATCCTGCTGCTCCTCGTAGTAGGCTGGCAAGTCAGGTCTGAAGGGCGAGTTGAGGGAAGCCATGGCGAAGTTGGAGACCTGACATCTGGCGGTGCGAGGATTGCATCAGGCTGCGAGAACACCGGGACATACGTCGTCCTGTTTTTCTATTTCCGCTCGTTGCTCAGCCTTATGGCCATTACAGCCTTAGCCGCGGAATCATTCCTCACATTTTGCTTATCCAAGTCTTGGCTCCATCACATGGCAGCGCTATCAACTAGGATCCGAATCCGCCTCCCGGTTCAGGTATACTGAGCGATATATTTCCCCACTTGAGGCTGTCCACTCCCTGTAAGGCGTGCTACATTGGGCCACGATAGCTAGCCGACGCAGCCTGTTCTTCGTTTCTTCGGGTTCTCACGGAGGTGCAGTCCAGCCTGCTTTGCCTCCGCTGAAAAGTGAGGTGTCTGAGCGTGGAGATGAGGGCGATTAAATGATCCGCCGTCGGCACAGATCGGGGTGTCCAGGTCCTATAAGGGATATGTAGCACACGGCTCAAGGCTCAGATAAAAAATCTAGGTAGGGCAATCTAGAACAACTTAGTTTTCCAATCCAGGAACCATTTCCATACGCGTAAACTCGTTGGTCCGATGTCGCTTTCTGGCTCATACGTGGATGCACTCGTCTTGTGATTCCAACGAAGAAGCTCACTCCAAACCCAATCATTGGCATTCTCACAAGTTCAATAGAGGAGTAAAATATAATGAAATTTTTTATTTCATTCATTGAAATATCATTTTAGTCTAATCAATCGACTGTTTCAAACGCATCACTGGTGTTTGTTCTCGGATAGATGGACAGCCTGGTGTCTAGGGTAGGTAAAAAGCCAGGAAGCTGACAAACGACTCGCGATGCATGTTGGGGTCGTTGGGGCAGAAATTATCGACGTTTAGGATGCCAAATTACAACATCCCACCACCAAGGCAATCGCAAATGGCCCACTGAGGTTACAACAAATGTAGAACGGGATAGGGAAAAGGTCTAAATAAATTAAGGCCTGTTGACGGTTTTACCTGTCATAGTTCCACCGTCAACACGGATTGTCACTCAAAGCTTTGTAATTCTTGCCCCAACTGCTCCAACACCCCCAATTGGGGGTTTCATTTACAATGCATCTTCTCATACGACAATGGCTAACTCTGACGATCCTGACGTGACCCGTTGATTGTTGTTACACTGTGGACCCCCGGGAGAAAACGAATATAAGACGGAGAATCTCGCTCTCCTTTACGCTCTCAAGCAAGACCTCATTCCACCATTTCCAATCCTCAAACACGCATCTTTTTGCCTAACTACAAAGTCCAGAGCCCAACACTCAAGGTCTCATCAAATTTACCGATACTCTCCTCATCTTGAACTTGACGTCGATTCCACCCAAATGGCTTCTCACACTGTCTACCGCTTGACTTCCCGAGACGGCTTCGATGGGCTCCAGGCTTTCACGGAGCCAATTCCCACAGCCGGAAAATACGAAATTCTCGTCAAAGTGCGTAGTGTCGCATTAAACTACCGAGATGTTGCCATTGCGACTTCTAAATATCCGGCTCCTGTCAAGCATCAGGTGATTCCTTGCTCGGATATGGCCGGTGAGGTTGTGCAGGTCGGCGATCTGGTTGACGGCTTTTCCGTTGGCGACTCCGTCATCTCCCCAGTCAGCCATGTGATGTTGTATGGTCCCGCAAAGAACCATCTCCACACCCTTGGGGGACTGAAAGACGGCGTGCTCAGGGAATATATGGCCCTGCCGGCACATGCCACCATCAAACTGCCCAAGTCGTCTCACAGCTTCACTCAGTGGGCTTCTATGATTACCACAGCGGGAACTGCTTGGAATGCGCTCTATGAGTATGCACCACTGAAGCCGGGGCAAACGGTACTCGTTCTTGGTAAGATCACCGAGATGCTCAAAAACACACAAGCTTACATCTTCCAGGAACTGGGGGAGTATCCCTGACTGCCCTGATATTTGCTAAAGCTGCTGGTGCAACCACCATCATCACCTCATCCAGCGACAAGAAGCTCGAATTTGTGAAATCCAAATACGGTGCCGATTATACCATCAACTATAAGACGCACCCAAACTGGGCTGCCGAGGTGCAGCGTATCACCAGCGGCCAAGGTGTAGACCATGTCATCGAGGTTAGCGGCACGGGGACGATTAAACAAAGCATCGAGGCCGTTGCGTGGGGTGGAGTTGTTTCTGTGATCGGGTTCTTGTCAACTGTCTCCCAAGAAGAGATGCCCGATGTCACTCAACTAACATTGGTCAAGGGAGCGGTCCTCCGTGGCATCTTGTCTGGGTCGAAGCAGCAACTCGAGGACGCAGTCAGATTCATGGGCAGTCGAGAGCTTCAGATGCCGGTGGATAAAACATTTGGTTTCAATCGGGATGATATAATCGAGGCACTGAAATATGTCGAATCTGGTAAGCACATTGGCAAAGTTTGTGTCAATTTGGAGTAGGATCTGCTAGAAGTTGGAGGCCAGCTTTAATGACCGAATCAATCTCAAGAACATAGTCGCCTTGGAACATTTGAGCCCATAGCGTGACCACTGTCGCGGCCATGCGCCGAAAATGTGATGCATCGTCTTCCAGAATATTTAACGTCTCGGACAGTGACGTCTCTTTGACGATCCCAGCGATTATTCCCAATAATTTCGTCTCGACTTTGCGCAGGCCTTCCGTGCCGCATGACCCAATCGTCTTCGAAATCATCTCAAGCCAATCCTTGAGTAGCAAGGCGCAGTCGAGACTGCAAAGAGAATTCTCAATGCTCCAGAAAGTTGTCTTGGCCCGAGGTATTAATTCGATTCCAAGGCGTACGGGAATGCTCAAAGCATGTGCAGCGTGAAGTACGGCTTTATCAACATTCGGAGATCTGCTCAGCTCAGGCCTTTCACCGAGTAAGCAACGTAAATCTCGTGATATAATCCCTCGACGTGGGCCTAGGTCTGAGTTCAAGCGAATGTATGCAAGTCGAAGAAGTGCGGTCGAGTTGAGTGCCAGAGGTTCTTCCAGGGCGAGTGGATCAAGAGCGGACCCGTGACTGAGCTCCCATGATCGTTGCCAAGTGAGGAGGGCGGTTTCGAACGATCTGATCGTGTCTGACTGTAGCATTCCAGTAGACCCATGGCGGTCGACGTATATTTGCTGTAGCAGCCCATGAATGAGCACATAATTAGAGAATGAAGACAGCCTTGAGTTCCTAGCGATTCCGGCACCATCGAAGAGACAATGAATTCCTTTCTGGAACTGAAGTTCGACTTGATGGGTGCCTCGACTCCATTGAGCTCCATTCGCCGATTTCCATTGTTCCGCATAACATGGCAAGAAAATGCCAACCTCGTGATTCATGATCAGTGGGGGAGTGTCAAACGCAATGGTTTGCAGGTTGAAAAGCACGTAAGCGGCAAATAGGGTCCTTCGTCTTTCCTCAACGGTTGCCCACGACGACCAATCCACACCGAGTGGCATTTCATCTGATTCCGAGATGCCATTCTGTCTTACCAAGGTGGCTAGTTGGCTGCTCAAGAATAATGCATCTGGGAAAATCTCCTTCTTCGTCCACGATGCAAACTGAATGAGTAACACGAACGTTTGCATCCTCCCAACATTGTTTTGTCCATTTGGTATTAAATGATCTCCTCCAGCGAGCAAATCCGAAGCTAGCTGGAGATCTTCACGGCGACTATTCTCCAATAGAATTGCCTTTGCCATGAAGTATAGCTCGTAGCATTTGGGGTGCTCGAACCTGTACAGTGAGCCGACTGCAGCCACGGCTAGCAGTAGCTCGATGTCTTTTCGCTCAACTGAAAATGTAGCTGGGTGGATAAATGGAAGGTGTTCTTGAACGCATCTGAAATAGGATTCTAAATTTCGGCATATTGCGTTTCTGGACGGCAACGAACATCCGGTTGGAAGGACTTCGGAATAAACTTGGACCCTCAGACAGAAGCTTTCATACCCAGGTTCAGTGATCGACCACGGCACAGTGGAAGCATCGGCAATGGCTTCCGTCTGATTGCCATCCTCAGATTCATTCTCGACGTCATCTAATGGCGGAAGACGGGAACTAAAGCGAGAAAATGTACTTTTCTGGGAACGCTCGGTGTTTACCACCGCACCGACGATAGGAAAATTGACGTCAAAGAACGTTGCAGGCAGCATATCTTCTGCCATAAAGTTGGGATCCCAAAGGAGATCAGGGTCAATCATACCCATATAGCCTGAATCGTAGCCTGATGCTTGAACAACATCCAAAGGCGGTGAGATGTCCAGAGGCGAGGGATGCGATAACCTGGTATGGCGTGCTAGAAGATCTCTCTATGGGCATTAGTCAAATATTCATTATGAAGAGAGATGCTTCTCACTTTCTGGTAAAGCTCTGTCCGCAGTTACAGGCGAATGGTCGCTCATTTGTATCTGCCACTATCTGTTAGACAATTCTGGTCTTGCGGTTTCTGACTTACGCGTGCGCTCATGCCGCCGCAAGTGCTCCCGCCGTGTAAACTGCTTGCTGCAGTACTGACACAGAGGGATAACGGTTTTGGGTCTGCCTCGAGGCATTTGGGGAATCGTGTCACGGAATGTCTCCTACTCCCGGCTAAGTTGCCTCCTTCGCGACTGCTTGCGTGGATTGGTAATCTGCCATTTTGCGCCGACATCACGTGATGCTCCTCCTGCCACGCAGAGTCGCATCTTTAAAGACGGACAATAATCTTTGTGTTGATTTTGTTGACAACTGATATATTGTATTATTCCAGCAAAGGTGCGGAAGTATTTGGCAACTGGACCTGCCGAGAGTTGTTTGTCGCAGTGGTGAAAACCACCGAACTAAGATATTCCCTCGTGTAGGACGGATGCTCCCGCCTACCTATTCTTGGGAGCTTTATCTCGGAGAAACGGAAATACGACACCTCGAAGAGCAATGGTGATCGCCGATAGATAACCTACTTCGAAATATCTGCGCTTGTGAGTCTCATATTTTTTTATCGTTTTTTCTATAGGGAGAGGTACGGAGATGATTGATCGGAGGAAGCCGTTCAGTACGGCCAGAATATTATACTATGCCTCAAGCTTTTTACCGTAGCTAGAATAACTTCACAGGTGTCAGCACGGCTCGAGCATACCTCATAGACAACTTACAGCGGCTAGTGAGCATGTATTTCCTTGTTGTTCATGCCCTTCTTTACTTCAACTAGTAAAGCGTCGACATCTTCTCTGCCCCAACTAAAAGCCCTCCTCAACAATAGCATCTAGGTGAATGATTGGCATCTATCCGATCGTAAGGATAATTATGGGACGTCGCTGTCAATCTAGACGTGTAACAAAACCCGTCACAGGTGCGAGCCCTCTTATTAATGAGGGGATCATCTTTATACCTCCCCGGCTCCTGTCAACCGGTGCACAAGCAGCGCACAGCGCCAATGAGGAAGTATATAACCACATTAAAGCCTCGGCTTTAACAACAGATTAAGCATCACGATATATATCTGCAGAATGGTCATTCATAGCCTAATTCTCAGATGATATTTCCTCCATAAATGATCTCTCCCTAGACCCACTACTCTGCAGATGACTGCTGTCTGCCGCTCCCGGAATAAAGATAATACCTAGGCAGAAGAGCTCCTCTACCAAGATTGACAGGAGCCGAAGCCGACACAAACCGTCAGGACTTTTATCAGATATCAATGTCGATCAGATAGCGTGTGTATTGAAAAGGCGCCACGTATGTAGATAGAGGGCGTTATCGTGGGAGTGCATTTATGGTTAGAAGGCGCACATTAAACCTTGGACTATTTAAGCTGGAGTTAGATCCAGATATCGAGACTCTTACTTTGATCTCTATATCGAATCTATTTGACTGCATTCAATCAACCGTCCACTTTCAACAGCCTCAATCAACTCCGCAACGCCCATCCTCAATCATGGCCCCCGCAGCCACTATCCCCGCAGTAAGCGTCACGGCCAGCATCAAGCCAAAGGAAGCGTCGCACACCAACCATGGCCAAGAACTCGCCAACAAGACGCCGCTGCAGGCCATGTCACACGGCGATGTTGTCCTGCCTGGAATCCCGACGCACCCTGATTTTGCCTCCCACCGCAAGTGGCAGCTCGAGCACATGACGGCCGCCTTTCGCCACTGGCATCGCGAGGGCTACGTCGAAGGCATGAGCGGCCACATCTCGGTTCGCGATCCCGAGTTTCCTAACGCGTTCTGGACAAATCCGTTGGGCCGTCACTTTGGACTGCTCAAGGTCAGCGACATGATCCTTGTGAATTTGGACGGCGCCGTCATCGGCGGCAATCGTACACGTCCTCCCAACACGGCCGGGTTCCTCATCCACGCAGCAGTCCACAAGGCACGCCCCGATGCCCACTCCATCTGCCACTGCCACAGCGTCTACGGCAAGGCGTGGTCAGTCTTCGGCCGGCGCCTGGAAATGCTGACCCAGGACTCGTGCAAGTTCCGCGGCGACGCCCATAGCGTCTACAACAGCTACGGCGGCGTTGTCCTGGGAAGCGAAGAGGGTGATCGCATCGCGGAGGCCTTGGGGCCGAAGGGTAAAGGGTGCATCTTGCGAAACCATGGCCTGCTGACTGTTGGAAAGACGGTGGATGAGGCGGCGTTCCTGTTTACGTCGATGGAGGCCTCTTGTCGCGTGCAGCTTCTAGCGGAGGCAGCGGCTGCGAACGGATCTCCGAAGGTCCTCATCACTGATGAGGAGGCCAATTTCAACTTTGATGTTGAGAGTGACCCGGAAATCTGCTATTGCGAGTTCCAAGTATACTATGACTTGGAGGATGAGCTGTCTAATGGAAGCTTCAAGAACTGAGTCATTTCATGAGTTACACTGAGCTAGTTGGATATATACGCTGGACTGTGGATCAATGCTTAAACCCAACTCCAAGATGGCAACTGAGATCCCTAAAGTCATATCACGTAGAGACTGAATCCCTTCGTTCGGCACTTCTTCATCCAAATCATTACTCTGAATGTCATCGTCATTGTCAATAATGGACTGCCAGCAGTCCATGCTACGGTCATGGAGAGTCATAGAAATACCTTGACCCACAAAGATTGGCTCTGGGCTTGAGACAAGGCACAAGGGCATGGCTGGGCAAGGGTGAGCTGCACATTCCCAGATATTCCCCGCAAGCCTCTTGTAGACTACAGACTGTAGCTATAGGGCGACTCGAACCAGTAAAACAATCAGTGATACAAAATAAGCTGAGATTGTTTCTCAATCATGTGTCTCAAAAGTTACAACGTTTGATTCTCAGTGATTCGGGAGGTTAGGATTGATGATCGCCAGGTGACGCGTCCAAATGTGGAAACATGAACGATGTACTTACGTAGTAAATGGCCCCGACGTAGATCAAATAAGGGGAGGAACCATCGCTTACGTATGAGCGTACGTCTTCAACGTTCTAGTTGCTAAGAAGGGGGTTTATTTCCCAGATTTGACTGAAAGGAAAATCGACGTATTATATTCATATCAAAGTTCCCCGATGCAGCATTTGGTCGCGCTAGGGCTCGCTTTTTTTGCATACCCCAAGCCAATCCATCCAATGCGGATATTTTCCCTTTTTCTTTTTGCTAAGCATGTAATCTCTCGCTCACAAGATGGGAATTTTGATGTTGGAGCATCATCAGTGCATCGCTCAACGCTGCGATTGCGCCGCGTCGTCAGTAGAGAAGCCCCTATAAGTGGGAAATATGCATACCCGGTATCTTTCGCATAGCTTGGCCACGCGGCTTGACGTAGCCAGTTCGATCAAGGATATATAGCAGGAGTACCCGAAAATATGTCGTATCCGAGTACTGGCCGACCAATTGTTGAACCACTTGCAACAGCCCAAACGATGTCACAAGGCCAATATTCCTCAGCCTTGTTGGGCTCCTTCAACGCCGGCTGGTTTCGACCTCGTCGCTGCGGCTCTCGGGTCTCTTGGTTCTTCTTTGGTGTCTGTCTTTGCCTTGTCTTAGGTGTAACAGGGGCTATTTATATCGGCCTTCTACTCAAATGGTTGCTTGTCCGCCTTCATTGGAGAAATGACTTGACGTGGTATGACCTAGGATGGTATGGGCTTGCACCAACAGCCCAATATCAGTCCTTTGACCATCCGATACCAGCCATTGAGTTCCTCCAACAAGATGCTCGATGCAGTCAAGACTACATATTCCTTGCACCTCGAGGGCCCCTAGTGGCAGAACCAGGTGGTGTCATCTTGGACACAGTGGGCGATCTGGTATGGCGCCAGATAGACCAGGGAGGTGACACTCACGACTTGAGAGTACAAGAATACTTTGGCGAGAAGTACTTGACATTTTGGGTTGGGGAAGAAATCGGAGGCCGTAAACAAGGCTCCTGGTTCATGGTAAGATAGGATGAGAATAACCTAGCTATGCGGCAACTAACCAAACTAGATGGACAACACCTACACCATCCGACACGAGATTTTTCCTGGCGGGGACTACGATACCGGAGATATGCACGAGTTTCAAATCACGACAGACAACACAGCCTTGATCACCATATACGAGCCTATTGTGGCGGACCTTAGCTCTATCGGAGGTCCATCCGAAGGCTACTTGCTGGACAGCATTTTTCAAGAAATTTCAATCAGCACTGGCGAAATTCTATTCGAGTGGTCAGCTTCTTCCCATGTTCCTCTGGACAACACATTTTGGACCACCAAACTCTGCAGAGATGACTCCAACACCGCGTTCAACGGGTGTGGCCACAATGAGGATTCTGCTTTTGACTTTTATCACCTAAACAGCGTCGAAAAAGATGAACAAGGCAACTATCTAATCTGTGGACGAAATGTACACACAGTTAGCTTCATCAATGGTGTTACAGGGGAGATAATATGGAATTTGGGCGGGCCAAACAACGAATTTGAAGATCTGTCGGATGGGGATGCAACAAACTTCTCATGGCAGCACCATGCGCGCTGGTACGAATATGGGCGAAGCATATCGTTGTTCGATAACGGAGGCTCGACGATTGAGGCTGCGTCCGAAAGCAGGGGGATTCTTCTCGACCTCGACATTGACCGTCGCACTGCGACTTTACGAGTTTCATACTACCACCCTCAGCAGATGAGATCACTGTCTCAAGGAGACGTGCAAATATTGGAAGACACTGGAAATGTCTTCATCGGATGGGGGCGAAGTGCTGCTATCACCGAGTTTAGCTCTGACGGAGAGGTCTTGTGTGATGCGAGATTCGGGGCTTCAGTTTTCTTCTCGTTCGGCCTAGTGACTTCATACCGGGCTTTTCGTCACTCTTGGGCCGGCAAACCGACTACTCAACCAGACGTCGTTGTTGTAGATGATGCTATCTACGTGAGTTGGAATGGTGCAACCGAAGTCACCATTTGGCAATTGGTGGCGGCAGACGAAGACGAAGATGAACAAGAGGTGGAGTTTGACATCATTTCCCAGACTTTTCGAGAGGGATTTGAAACTGAAATCAGAATTCCGACTCGGGAGCAGTATTCTGCCATCCGGTTACTGGCGTTGGATGTTGAGGGCAACGTTCTCGGCATTTCTAACGTGATTGATTGCGACTCTAGGGTTGAGTGGATAACCCGAATGATGATCGTTATTATTGCTTCGATAGCCATAGTGGTAGGTTTTTTAGCCACTTTGTTTATAGCGGTGGTGTTTTATCGACGTAGAAAGAGGAATCAAGTGGCGCTGAGCGAGTACGAATTGCTTGCCGGAGGGGACATTTTGGATGGCGAAGAGGGGCAGTTGTTTCAGTCACATACGATCCCTGGGAGTTGATGTTTCGTAGATTCTTGGTCTAACGGATCTTTTCCTTAATTCTTAGCTTAAGCGATTGTTTTACATTTTAGACATCACACGAATGACTTGTGTACAGAGCGAAAAGAATAGAAGTTTGACATCTCATTAATATTGAGATTCTGTGTATTCTGTAAGGCGATGAAGCCTACTCCTCAGATGAGAGACCTATTAAAGATATGCACTTACATAGACTATATACTTCAATTGGCGTTGAGTTATTGAAGCTTCAGGTGCTGTGGAGTGTCCCTGGGTATAACTTATTGTTTTATTTTTATCTATATGCCATAATTTTGAGTGAGCCTCCTCATATGCTTTGGGCTCTAACTTCTCTATAATGTTACTACAGGTTCGTATCTACGGCCATCGGTCTTTCCTGTCTAGAACAAGGAAGAAGTGTCCAGTTCTCCAGGGCCATTTTATAAATATTCGAGTGTTGCTTTAACCCATTCGCGCACTGGCTATCGAGCTTCGTCTACACCATTCCGGACGTTTTGCGACCAGATAGATTGAGGTCAGACACGTTAACGTCAGACTTGTTACTGTCAACTTTGATGTGGATTTCGGTTTCTTGGATAATATGCCGGCCGCTCGAGTCGTCATCATGTAATCGATCCCATTTTGCCTTTCCTGAGACAGTCGTGCGCGTATTGAGGGGTAGCTGGGTGTCGCTGCGATAGTTTGGTCTCTGTAGATACGCCTCAAGATTAACAACCGAGTCAACGATGCCACAGGGCCATGGAATGCTTACGGATCTGGGGGTCAGCCCTGTTGATCTGTTGGTAGACCCGTTTAAGCATTTGGTGAAGAGCTTCAGGGACGGCAAGGAACATGCGATGATGGCGAAGCTGGACTCGAGCAGTGACCACAGAAGGAGGCGACCTTCAGCGACTATGAGACGGTGCTGATTAGCCTGGCAGTTAATCTTGGGGGAATAGTTGTGCCTACCCATGTAGTCATCTGGGTACGCTTTGATGTCAATATACTTGTAGCTCACGATGCGCATGAGTGCCGCAATACTCGCCAATATTCCTAGACTGAGTACCCCAACAACCGAGATTTTGGTACGCCGTGGCATCTGTAATGAATACACGATGAAAAAGGGAGTGATGGCGCAGGCCCAATCCGAGACGACCTGGACCGAGGTTCCGACATAGCTGATGATCAAGAATCCGTCGGCAGACTTGCAATGGCCCCTTGCAGCTATCAGTTTGGTGCTTGAAGAGGGGTTGCAGAAGACGTACAGCTTCACGTTCCAGTTTGCGGCGAACGGCACGCAATTGGTAAATAGCCAGATCATGCACCCAGTTGCTGTGACAGCCATGAGACCCATGATGCCATACATGAAGTAGACGTACTTCTTCTGCACGCAAATCTGTAGAATCATGAATGCGATGGAGAACTTTGTGATGGATGAAGAGCCGTAATATGTCATCTCGTAGTATAGCAGGTATTCCCTACCTCGAATCCGGATGAACTCCTGCAGGGGGAATTTATCGAGGTACGCATCGTGTGCCCCGACACCATAGCGGACGGCCAACACGCCCATGACACTGGCGGGGATAAAGGGCAACTGAGAGAAGAAGAGGTATTGTCAGTTGGCTGGTGAGAACGGCGGCTACTCGGACGCGCGTGGTGGCAAGGGGGATGCTCACAAAGCCGAAGACGGCAAGCCAGTCGTTGACTTTCCATTTCTGATGCGACTCGACTCGGAATGTGCGCACCCAAACGCGGAGAGCGACGATGATGGCGCATACGACGGTGAAGACGTATATTAGCACCTCGATAGCCCGTCCGAAGCCCACGGAGGCGATAGGCGGCTGAGCGTAGGCGATGTCGGCTATTTCCTCACCAGTGAGGTTCGCGGTGGATGACATCCTCGAGGACACCAACACTACCGGGACTTTTCGGTCATGGCCAGACTCATAGGGTGCGGCATTCGGAGTGGTAAGGGGGCCGACGCTCGATACATATCAGCACATACTGCATCTTGTAATGATTCCTCGCCGCTCCACTGGGAGAAATCGGCACTACGTAAGTTAAAACCTGCGTTGAGACCCGGGACTAGGGACCATGCGAGTGTTGAAATTGCGCTTAAGCAGGGTGAGTGCCTGTCGCCTTCCAGGAGAGAGTAGTATCGGTCCATGTGTTTATGCAGCGGGCCAAGGCAGTTGTCCCCAAAACTAATAATGAAGGAGGCGATCGCTCTCGGGTTAGTACAACCTCCCCAATCACGACGGGAACTAGATCCCAGCCTGCTTATGCCGATCGTGCTTGCCGAGTTGCCCTCAAGGATTTTCGTATTTTCTTCATAAAATATCCTTCGGCTGTTGCGTTAACAAGGGATATTCCAAACGTCCAGGAATGATCTGACGAGAAACGAGGCATGTTGTGGGTCAACACTGCCAACAGTGAGTCCCTGTTGGCTCGTTTATAGAAGGAGATATCTTTGTAACCACGACCCCCAGTCACTCAAGGATCTCAGACAGGGGAAAATAACCGTGGTTGCATCATGACCTGGAGACAGCGGGAGCCCCGCCCGGGACGCGCATCCGGCCGTTAGTGTAGTAGTCGCCAACTCGCTTGACAAGCTACGAAAGGACATACCCGCATATGTTGGTTGTCGGTTGTTGGCTCTGGGTAGTATTCATGCCAAATCCCCTGCGGACGGGAGTTGAGTTGTCATAACGGGGATGAGGTGCCAAGAATAACACAGGCGCTGCCAAGGAAAATCTTTCCCATGTACCTACCAATTAAGGGAACCAGAATACGGCAGAACTTTTGAGCAATCAATCTCTCCTCAGAAACGATTTCAGACAGATTCATAAACGGGCTCACGATTGGGATGGTGTAGGAGCTATCTACGATGTAGTTGTTTCCAACCCATCTGCTCCCTCTGCGACGATGCATCTTATCCCAGCCATATTGCAGGCCTGGCCTGGTCTGCATATCGCCACGTCCGACTCAACCCTCCCTCGACCGGTTTTGTTCCAGGTTTTGAGGCCTGTTCTCATGAACCCATGTTGCTGCATGTTGCACCATGTTGTCGACCTGTCGAGGGTTCGACGAAGCCGACCAACAGTTGTACCCACAGCAATCTTGAGGCCTCTATCCCATCGGCCAGCAAACGAACTCATTCTAGCGTCGTCACTAATGCGACGAGGACCAGTGTCAATATCCTTGTGAGCCTGACGTTGCAGGTCGTCTCTGTTCCGTGAGTTGGTTCAGTTTGCATGGGAACCGTAGCCGGCCGTCTCACTAAAAGGGGCAGCTCAGTCGTCAACGGGATGTCCATGGCATCCCCACGACTTGCATACATAGCACATAGTCTTGCCGTTCTTTACATCGCAACGAGTATCCTCGGGGGTCTGTAATATATTCCCACGCCTCGTACATCCCGCCTCCGCTCACGAAACGACCCCATCCGTGCCCAACGACGTCGACGAAACAAATACCAATGTCCTTTTTCAGGGGCCCCGCGGCACCCGCCCGCGTTCCGACCGATCGAGTAATCCCTCTGCACTTTTGGGACGAGAGCCCACTGTACAGGAGAATTGCACTATACAACCTAAAGGTCTTTGACGACGTGCTGGACTCGGAGAAGCTTCGAGGGAGTCTCGAGACGCTGGTCTCGCAGAACACTTGGCGGAAACTTGGTGGTAGGCTGAGGAAAGACGTGAGTTCATGCACACCGAGGCAATGCAATGCATGTCTGACGCAGGTACATACAGGCCAAGGGGGGACTCGAGTACCATGTTCCAGCCGAGTTCACCACGGTTCGCCCAGCTGTCGGGTTCACACACGTGGATTACGGCGATGTGACCATGGCCAACCATCCACTGGCCTCGCGGTTACCCAAGCCATCTGCGCGTCCCGCCGTTGTGGGAGACCCAGACGAGTGTATCGACCTGGCATGTGGACCGGGTTGTCCAACATCCATCGATGATTACCTCTACACGGACCGGCCGTTGCTGGGTCTCCATGTCGTCTCCTTCAAGGATGCCACGCTGGTTACTCTGCATTGGCTGCATATAGCATGCGATGCCCTGGGTATGAAGGCGTTGGTAGGTGGCTGGGTCCTTGCGATGCAAGGCAAGCCAATTCCCATGCAGCAAGGCTTCGACTACGACCCGCTGGCAGAGTTCGGCAAGCATCCAAAGGAACCACATAAATTGGCGGACCAACGCATGACAACGTCGTCTTTGCTCACGTACGGCTTCAAGAACGGGTACAATCTGCTGGTTGGCAAGAAGGAGTGCCGCATGGTCTGCATTCCCGGCCGGTTCCTGAACAAGCTTCGTAGCGATGCTCTACAAGACCTCGCGGCCGCCGGTGTCGAGAAGCCGTTTCTCACGGACAACGACATTCTCGTCGCCTGGTGGACGCGTATGGCGCTGTCGCACCTCCCAGCGGACTCGGAGCGTCCTGTAACTGTGCAGCTTGCCATGTCGCTCCGAAAGTCATTAGAGAAGGACCTGTTGCCCCCGGAGAAGCCATTCGTATCCAACTGTTTCGGGTTTACCAACCTACTACTCCCCGCGAAGGACTTCAAGCAGAAGCCCATAAGTAACATTGCAGCACAGATGCGAACTGCGCTCAGCGAGCAGAGCACTCGCGCGCAGGTCGAGGCGTATCAAGCCATGGTGCGAGACTCTGTGGCCCCCCTGCCGGTTTTTTTCGGAACCGGTGCGACGTATCAGATCTCATACTCGAACTGGACAAAGGCTGATCTTTACGGGGCCGACTTTTCGGCAGTGGCAGCGAAGCCGAGGGAGACGCCGCTGTATGCCTCGTACATTGCGCATTGTCAAGTTCCTTTTCAGTTCCCTGAGGGCTTTATTGTGGTGGGCAAGGACTCGAGAGAGAACACCTGGCTCTGCGGGTATCGCACCCAGGGGTTGTGGGACGTAGTTGAAAAGGAGTTGAATGAGCTTGGGGAAATGTGATGGGCGACTTTGGGTGTTCTGTGTTTTTGTTTGATACTAATAGTGTTTCAATTATTCGTAACTGAACTTGGTCTCTTCTATTGTGGGTTTGAGGAGTAGACACGTACAATCAGACTACTAAATTCTGTCATTCGTGTCCGACTCTAGGTTAGACGACTTGGCGACAATTGACATGTCGATATTTGCAACTCCACCAACTCCCCGCTTGAATGTGGCTTGTATCCCCCCCTGACCATAGAACCCTGGCAAAATGGCGAAATACCGCTTTTAATAGCGGCCGATCACGCCAGGCAGCGGAGGTTCCGCCGGCCGCTTAAGCGAATTCCGTGTGGCTGGAGAGCTTGAATAAATCGAAAATTTTCGACTGCACAATTCGCTCCACACTTTCAGCGAGCTGCGGTGCCTGTTCTGGGCCCCTTCCTGTTAGGTGAAATGTCCCATTCTTCCGACGGGAGTGGCTGCGGTCGCTCCCGAAGCCAGAGTCACTTCTTGAAGAAACGAATACGGTATCGGTGCATGATGAAGTCCAGGCACACTTATGGGGCTCACATCACTACTGGCAGCTGAACTAGTTAGTTGGTGTTAGTGCGGAGCCGTATACAAAGATCTAGAGAGATAGAGTCGTGGGGTTGTGGAATATGCTGGGGAAAATCCATCTCCCGCCTACAACGCCAATAGCCGAGCCCTCGTATCGGTGCCACCTCGCTTGTGAAGTCATCTCCGTCCTCAATACGACGTAATATATCTTGAGATGTCCTTTGAAGCAGCTCCGAAGCGTAGAGTCCGGCCATCACGGGCGCGTGGTCTACGAGTATCTACAGGATGTATCCCTCAAGCAATGATTTTTCCCTGGTTACTTGCATTGACTCTGGATTGAAGCTTGACATGTAGAGAAAGATGTATCGAGTGTGATGGAGAGTGTCCGACGTGCAGAAAATGCGTCAGGTCCTGCAAAGAGTAATCCTATGCGGGGCGTCCTGACCTAGATGGCAGCATCCCCACGTCGCACTCACCAGCTTTAACCACGCAGGCCCAGCTAGAAAACGGCAGCGACTCCCACATTGCCGACTCTATTTCAGTTTCCGAAAGCTGTCGAATTTCAACCGACGACAATCATACAGAGTCCGGCCAAATAGTAGGAGTCAATGGGATTTTGCCACACCAGTCGACCCTAGCTTGTCAATATACCCAAACGAGACTAACCAATATCTACTAAATGCATCGTACTTTGAATGGTTTGAACCGTTAGAGTCTTAGCAAAGGATTATCTAAACAACATCCAGCGTCACAATCTCTCCAATATTGCATCTGGGTGGAATTTTGACGAGACATCATTTCCTCGCAGACAGAGTCCCTCCCGGGTTGGGGACGACAGCCCTGGCCGCATCGGTAGGTGGCGTAGATGGTTCCTTTGTCTCCGGAGCAGACTAGGGATCCAGTGAATCAGGATGGAAAGAATGCCGCTGCTTCTTCCTTGACATGGAACATATCTACTCCCATCACCATCTAAGGCGATGATTTCGCTTACTTCCAACACTACATCCAGGTCATCGATCCAATACTTGACCTATTTGATCCGTCTCGGCACTTTACCAACATGGTTCCTCACTTGGCACTTCAAAATGTGGGCGTGCTCAAATCCATCCTGGCCCTTGCTGCACGGCATTGGCTCCCCGCAGACTGACGCCCGGAATTGAATCATTCATGACCAGAATGTTCGCGAGGAGAGTACACAAAATGGCCGAATCTAGATGTAGATACTGCCATGTGATATTACCATGGGACGCTTCAATATATCTCCCGGACTGTCGTATAACTCATACGCCAACTCCACGAGATTCTGGTCACGGCCATATTGATCAGTACTTACGAGATGCTCGGGTCTGTGAGTCCCTCTAGTAAAGACCACTGGAAAACCCGTCTAAAAGGGGCCTTTTGAATCCAAAGCAGTCAAGACAACGACGGGGAGTTGGCAGATGGGATACGGAGGGCGGTCTGGTGGGTATGGCTCCGACAAGACATGTGGGCAGCGTTCCGAGCTGGTCGGCCACCGCTAACAATATGGCGTCCAACGAAGAATTTGGAAGATCTAGGACCAGATGAATACCCACGCGAATCGTCTATATCGCCGCCAAGGTTGTCCAATTGCAGGCATGGAGGCTGCCGCGTCGGCCGAAAGTATACAACAATGGTTAGACAACGAAATCAAGTTGCTGAGTGATCTTCACAGGTGGAATACAAAGGAGACCGAGGAGGCAGATCTGCACACTTTGAACCCATTTGGGCTCATCTCCTGTCCCATGAGCTGTGCAGACGGACGTATATCACTTTGCCATGATAACATTGCTAACCAACATGCCATTCATTGGCGGAGTTGATACCTACCGAACTGGCCGGCGACAGCTTGAAAATACTTTTCGCGTCATCTGCGGCATAGCAAGTCACGATTTTGATCAAGGCCTTCCGGCATTCGTCACAATTAACGCACTCTACGCTGGTGAGTCACCACCCTCTCATACTTGGACAGGCCGAACTCAAACGCTCGGTGATAGCTGGACTATGTTTCCAAACGTCTGCAATGAAAAAAGCTCTTTGGAGATTTTGCAAAAAAACTATGGATAATAGCAAGGTTCTCGCGACTGACGTGATCCATAAACTGGATAGGTACTGGGGAATTTCTTCATATTGATGGCATCTTCTATTTCGTGTGTTTTTAAATTTTATGGCTTTACTTTATATCATCAGATAGCTCAAAGCCGTACGGTATCTGTGAACAATAGAGACATACATTTAGTAATACAACCAGCACCAGACGAGACACTAGCTTTACAATAGAGTTGTTCCCCGCTGATCTTCCATATCATGTATTTGCAAACCTTGTCGTTACTGTGGCAGCTTTTAGCTGTCTCAATATTGACTTCGTACAAGCCATAGATGTATCTATTTACTGTAAAATAAAGGCCATTCGTTGTTAAAGCATCCGCTCCCATCGTGTACGTCCTTAATAAATGCATCTCAAACACACCGCTCACCACGCCCCCACAATTCCAGCGACGGGAATGCCAATGTCCGTCGTGTAACTCGCAGCATCGGACAAGAGAGAAACATATGCTGCACCAGGCTCCTTGGGGTCAGCCAGCCTGGGCATACGATGTAGTATTGCATCTTCGGGTTCCAGTCCGAAGCCTGGTCAACAAAGCACGTCATGGCCGCCTTGCCGAGCGTGTACGCCGGGCTTAAACAGGTCAAGGCTGTAAATGATAGAGGCTGCGTAGGCAAGGCAGACTTCGGCAATGCCCAATACCTCTGTTGGCGCCCGTGATACCAATGATTTTGTTCTCTAGGCAGACTTTCCAATTGTGGTCGGGTCTTGGTTGGGCGTTGAGGAAGAGCGTCTCGTTAGCCGCTTGGGCAGCGACCTTATTTAAGGTGCTATTAGCTGACATGATGAAATAATCTTCTCGGTTTGTGGGATTTATGAGGCGGCGGCTTGCTGGCCTTGAAAATCGGGCGTACTTCAATCGAGGCTGGAGCTGATCACGGCGGATCTCTGGGTGCTACCAAGTGAGGCGAATAGAAACCTTTGAGCCGTAAAGAAGAGCCGGGCGGAAATGACCGGTTTTGGGCCTTAATGCGCACCGGCAGCTCGGAGACTGACAGCAGGCCGCTTGATTGTTGGCCGCTGGTTGGCTTGGGTGTCTGTTTGTTTGCCTCGTATCGCATGCTTCACGTAGCCGCCTAAAAATGTCGTCAGTTGGTTGGTTAGGCAGACAAATCAAGGCGGGGGTTGAAAGACGTGGCCTGATATGTCTCGTCAAACACTTGTTTGTATGTGCGGGCGGCGGACAAGTGCTGATATGTACCGAGAAGAATAAAACGGCGGTACTTGTCCGGAATGTGAGATCAAGGAAAGGATGCTTTTTGAGACGGATAAATGAAATAGGCATCCAAATCGCTCATTACTGCATTTACTCTCACTTGAGGCAAAAATTGTTTGGGTGGTTACACTGCACCCACATCCCAGTCTGTACCGACATGTTGGACCAAGACAAACCGAAACTTACAGTGGTGTAACTGTGGCTTGCCGGCGTGTTTTTTCCGTAGTTTCCACGGATTTCCATCTTGGACTTGCTGCTACAGGTACCCGTCGGCTTGGGGTTTGGCAAACAATAACAAAGAACCCGCGTGAGCGATGATGAATGCAAACGACAATCAGATGAAGAAGCCGCCCAGCAAACGCTCTCTATTGCGATTTGTAACTCTCATTTTTCTACTTTACAACCACGTCTAGCTGCTTGATTCGCAACTACTGGAACTGTACCTGCGTTATTTAGTCTCTCATCATGGTATGCACCGCCGGCAATTGATCTGCTCAGCCCTGGCCACATCCTCGTCCTTGCGATGCACAAATACTAACCGCCGATTCTACAGACGCCCACATCTGGCCACCAAAATCACGCCACTTCTCCTAATGAGCCCGACTTCAACGTCAGCAGCCAGCTGAGGGACCGGGAAACCAACACCCAGAACTCACCTGGCCAAGGACGGACCAGGGACGAGGATGACTACCCTACGACAACCGGCGGCCAAGCATCGCGTCGCATTTCTCTCAGACCAGCGATTCGATCACCGTCGGTCCATACCAGAATAAGGCGCAGAAGCATCAGTGTGGCTAGCCAAAGCGCCATCCTCGAAGGGGAAGAGGAGGAAGCCGAGAGCCGCGATATGGCCACTTCTTGTCAGCATGTCGATCCGAGAAGTCTCTTCTCGCCACCATTTCCGCCCGATGATGACCGAGATACTCCGCCGTTCTCCTCTAACAGTAGCGACAACGACTTCTTTCGCGGATGTGAATCCTGTGGGGTTTCTGATCCATCTGAGAGCCAGGATGAGCATCAGGAACTTGATTACACAGAATACCTTCTCACACGCCAGGCCAGAAACCTCACCCAGGGGAGTGATGGAACTTCTTCTGTCACCATCATCAATCATCAACGTCGAGATCCCTACGAACTCTTCAACTTACGCATCATCGAAAATGGCTTTACGTGCTGGCGCCGCGAGGAGAGCGTCGAAGCTGACGACCGCGCCGCTGTGCACGACTACTGGGCCAACGTGCCCGGTGGACGTGAGGGCGCCATGAAGACTGACGTGTGGTACATGGTAGACATCGAAGCCCATCGGCCTTCAGACACAGGTCATTTAATGAAGGTCCTCTGGCTCGGATCACCCGTCAGAAACTGGGAGCCTGCCCATCGCGTTCGCCAAATTGCGCCCGACCTGCTTGATGAGTATTGGGAAGGATTGGCTGATAAATATCAGAGAGCTTGCCGAGAGAATGGGAGCCTGAGTCGCTTGAGATAATTTGGCAAACTGAAAGGTTGATTGGGAGAATAGTTGCTCTCTAGACTGAAGAATCCTATTCCTCTGGCGTGGCCAGCTGTGTCAAGATGAAAATATGATGCTGATTTTGTCGTGTGCATGAGAGGAATCACAAATACATTCAATTTCCTCGGAACGGATTGTAACGCAGTATAATCCAGAGACCCCATCAGACTGTCCATGAGATTGTCCCCTCCCTGTTTACACCTCAACGCTTTCCTTTCATGAACACGGGCGGCGCACCCAACACAATGCAACATTAGACCACATCATACCGACCCGTCTCGTAACCTGACAGGGCCTCCGCTTGGTCTGATCCCTGATAGTTACCGGAAACGTACTACCGTAGACTATACCGCGATATGCCTAACCGCGTCATTAAAGAAGCATTGTAGTCTTTCTAATTCTTGAGCATGCCACCTTAAAGCATGAGCTCAGCTGAAAGCCTAGCTCGTCGAGAAATGACATGGCTTATGGTCGCCATGTTACGTTTCGTACCTAGAGAGGGCTTCTTCTATCTGCAATATGAAAAATTCTGGTTCATCTAGTCACCACGTCGCGTCGTTGCATGTCTCGGAAAACTCGTGCGCAACACTGACGAGCCTGGAAGTAAAGTAGACAAATTGTAGAATGCCGGCTGCAAGGCCAACGGCACTGGTGGGATTGAGAACCATCGTGCCTAGCAGTTTGAAGAGATGAGAAAGGAGGAAGCCAGCCAGTGCCCGCTCCGAAGAAAAGACCGCACATTCTTTACCCCGCACTGGGTAAGTTATTGATTGGAAGAAATGCCTGAACAAGGCGTTTTTGTGGTTGTCTGATGTCTGCGGCGAGCCATTTGTACACTTTTCATTTGGCAGTGCTGGCAGCACAGCCTTGTGTAACACTGGCGGCACACCCTCAGACTTGGAGCCCTACTGCAGCTAAACGGATAAGGTAATATACTGCCTCTGCTTATGCGGCATTACTTTGCCGCTCTTTGGGCTGCTTCGGCCTGATACTGTCTCCTCTCATCTTCCAACTCCAGCTGCCCATATCAAATTCAGAGCCATGGAAGTTGTTGGTGTCATCGCAGCCATTCCTGAGCTGCTGAAAATCGTGAAGCGTACGGCTGATGCTGTGGGAAAGCTCAGCAGCAAGGCCCGAACTGCAAAGACTGCTCAGGGCGTCCGCATCCAACTCGACCTTCTTGCTGAGATCCTTGACAGTATCCGGAGACGAGAGGAAAGAACCCCCTCCGGCGGAGTCCAGCATTCTCGACTATCCCCTATCATCCGAGATGTTGAGAACGAAGTCATAGGCCTGCAGCGTCTAGTTGAAAAGGTCGAGGGTTCACATGGAGGGCCTGGTTTTCTGAAGAGGGCACAACTGGTTATCACTGGATTCGAAAAGCAGTTCAATGAACGCAGGGACACCCTGGACAGACTGAAGAGCCTTCTGCAAATATATCTCTCCGAGTCTACCCTCAACGTTCACCAGAGGACTCAGCTGAGCAAGTTTCTCAGGCCCTCGGCAACCAATTTCATTCCCAAGAAGCTGGAGGGCACGCTAGAGTGGATTTGGTCTCAAGAAGCCTTCAGAATTTGGACCACCCAAACGCCAACAAACGTTGTCGCCACTTCCTCGTCCACCAATGTTGCACATGCATCCGATCTACCTGGCAGGGTACTCTTAATCTATGGGGTGAAGGGCTGCGGCAAGTCTGTCTTGGCTGCATCTCTGGTCGAAAGCTTACGGGAGAGAGGAAATACGACATTTTTCTTCTCTTTCTGGGAAGGCTATGGTAAAGAGAGGCGGACTGATGCAATGCTGCGAGCTCTGCTATGGCAACTTCTTCAAAGTCTCCCCGAAGAACAGCAAAACCGCCACATACCGCGCTTGTTGGCGAACCAGATGCAATTCAAGAATCCCGATTTTCTGGCCCTTGAGATCGAGGCCTTGGCCCAAGACCATCAATCAGATATGTTTTGTGTCTTGGACGGAATCGATGAATCAGCTGATGACTGGAACAACATCAAAAGTGGTCCCTTGGCGTGTTTGATCGGGTTGCTCCAATCCACACCCCAAATTCGCCTTCTTTTGAGCGGCAGGCAGTCCAGTCTTCGTGCGAGTCTCCAAAGATGGCCTCTACATATCGAGCTGACGAGAGAACTGGTCGAAGATGATTTGGCCAAATTCATATCGTCCGAGTTGGACAACTGTCCCAATATCACCGACGAGACTCTTCGCAACAGAATCCAACTCGAGTTGCAATCCAAATCTACGGTCATGTTTTTGTGGATTAAGCTGGTCTTCACGGAGCTGCGTTTGTCGTTCAGTCCTACAGAAATCAGCCTGACACTGAGTCGTCTGCCTAATGAGTTGGATCGAGAGTATCATCGACTCTTCTCAATGCTCATGGAGAGACTCGCCGGGAGGTCTACCAATCCCTCAATTGGCATGATACGCGCAAAGGGACTTCTTAGCCTCATCATTGGCGCTTCCCGGCCTCTAACTTTGACGGAACTTCGCATGGCCTACGCTTTTGCTTGCCCATTAGCCTCACCAACTTCTGACTACCTGGAGAATCTCATCAGCGAAGAGGGAATCATAGATGCATGCGGGGACTTCATAACCACCAACGAGAATCTCATTTATCTTGGGCACACTTCTATCCGAGAGTTCCTGCTTCGACCTGCGGACCAATGGTACGACCAAGTCAGTAGTGTTGCCTACTTCCGCCTTGAGCCGAGTTATTGCCATCGCAAAATTGGGCTCTCATGTTTGAGATATCTGCAGCAAGTCAAGTGGGAGCATTTAGATCAAGTCGGCGTGGTTGATGAGCTTGCGAGTCGATATCCGCTACTGAACTATGCATCCGGTTATATGACCTCACACTTCTTGGAGTCAGACTTTACTTCTCAAGAAGCAGGGAGTTATTTAAGCGATTTCTTCAACTCGCAAGAATCCGCGGCCTGGATGGAGTTCGTTATCTCATCCGACAATGGCCACCTCCCATTCACTTTTGGGACGACGCTTTGCTGTTCTGGGGTGCTTGGGATAGCTTGAGCGCACCGGCGGATGAATCTAGCGACATTGGCGGTCGGGTCAGGCAATCGGCTTTGAAACGAACCCAGACATCCGGACCAGATGACCATCGTGGAGGATGGATGGCGTTGATTTCAGATCATTTTCTTGGCAACCGAGAAGTGAATGGAGGCTCCAGTTCTGTCAAGGAAATAGAAAGCCTCACCGATCTTGATGCTCAAGGCCTTCAAAATGGTTTGAAAAGAATCATGAGCAATGGTCGAGGATTTGGCCTGCGACAGCTTGCTCTTATCTCTCCTTCAATTAATTCCATTTTGAAAATGAAGGAAGCTCTGGTTGATCCTATGGAAATACTGATGCAATCATTGGAACGATCTCTCAGAGTCATGTCGTTCGTCAGCCTCTTGGCATTTGCTTGTTTGATCAGACCCAACAGACCAAAGCAGGCGTATAGGATATACCAAGCTGCTTTGGTAAAAGTCCACGGAAAGGACGATATCCGAGAGGCTATAGCAGAGGGGCTTCTAGGCGAGTGCTTGCTATTTTACGACAAAAATGAGGATTACGAATCAGCCGCGAGGCATTACCACAGGGCATCAGAAATTATGGACACAAGGCCCAGAAACCCAATAAACGACGTATGGTGGTGTGTATTCACATGTTGCTGGGTAGACTGCCTCTTTCAGTTGGGGAAAAGAGACCAAGCCAAAGTCTTAGCATCCAAGTTGGAGAAAAGGCTAGTAGACACGGAGGTTTCGGCATCGAACGGAAGCATCTTACGAGAATGGTGCTACCGGAAAGTGGCAAACGGTAGCTTTTTCACGGAGATTAGGATGAGGAAGGTGGTGCACCTTAGCGGGATGTACTTTTATCACGGTACGGATGAAGATGTTGACAGGCTGTTAGGACAGTTTATGACCGAGACAACCCGTGTCGACAGCCGGTCGTGTCTTCAGGTCGTACGCCGTTCTTCCGTGGGCCTTTACTATATGGCGAAGAACTCCAAAGAAAGAGACGTATTGATGAAAGCGAAACAACTCCTTGACCTCGGCACCGAAGAGGGAAATGAGATGTTAAACTTCATCATCTATCAGATTGCCTGGAATCATATCGACAATTGCCGATTTGAGGATGCGGAGAAAGAACTTGCCAACCTCGATATGGACTCATTTTTCGCAGCATGCTCTTTCAATGAGGCCCGGATGACTTTCGACGCCCTTGTGGGCACTCAATTGATGATGGGGAAGAGGGAAAAGGCCTTGCAGGTGTTACAGACAAACATGTCTAGTCTTGCGAGTTCGGGTCGATATAGCAAGCCAGCTGACAGAGACTTGCGCTTAGCCGTGGTTTGTCTACTTTACTTTTTTATGTTCTCAGAGGGCGAGATGTACATTCGACAAATGTTATCCCGCCTGCACTCGCGCCAGACAGTCCACGACTCAGAAGAGATTCACTTGCACGGAATCTTGGCGTTATCGTTACGAGCTCAAGTCGAACAACAAAAGCAACTCGAATCGTACGAGCACTACCGAACCTGTCTCGCGCTCGCAGAGGCGAGATTTCCGGACCTGTTCTCGAATAGATTGCAGATAGGATTCGGATTGGCATGCGTGGCGAAGGGAAGCCTAACAGAGGCAGCTGAGGCGTTTGCTAAAGTGGCAACCCATTGTCAGGCCAAGGCGTGTGGACCTGACTGCATTTTGACAGACTTCCACCTTCTTTTCGGTGCATTGGTACTTTTGTATCAGCCGGAGAAAGACGACGTTGGTGCTACCCCTCTACTTTCTCAATTGATCTCAAGAAGGGAGAAAGGACCGGCAACGCCATGCGGGTATCAGATGATTTCACACGTAAACTACTTTTTGGTTGCGGTCGGACACATGTGTCTGGCAGAGATATTTGACGGGTGTGGAAATGCTCACCAAGGTCATGATCACAGGAACCAAGCGTTGCACATAGTGGAGAAGGAGTTTCCCGATGCTTTCGACCTCAAATCCGTCCACCGTCCCAAGTATCTGGATGCATGGACGTGCAGATGGTTGAGGTTATGTCGCGGATACATCCTTGGGAGAATCAATGGCGAGATTGGACCGGATGTTTCGTGCGAACTGTTCCCGTTTGATACTTTTTGGCCGTTGTTTGACGGGGATCATGATGAGATGACTGAGATCGACGCGCTTGACTTTCTGTAGTTGTATAACTATACTAATAATATATCCCCTGTCACTTGGCTTCGTGGACACATACTAAACTGCCAGCACCAGATGCGCTAGATGCCCTATACGCTCCGGCTCTAGTTTGGTGTTATCCTAGACTTTTTGGGACGGAGGGTACATCTGGAGCGGGTTTGCCCCTTTTGCCATGCAAGTTCACCAAAGTTTATTAAAATACGGGCTGGATTTAAAGCATTGGGATAGGGAGTCATGCCCATGCAGTAGCGTTTCGGTTGAGCTACTGATGCTTCGATGTTCGAGAAGAGAATAGTGGAATTATAACCCAAACAATTAAATTCTTGCCAAGTAACATGACATGGTCCTCTGATGACGTTCCCTCGGATTATATTCGCCACCCTCTAAACCGATCTGCAGGTGAATGGTGCGTGGTCGCTACCGGTCGAGATTTGGTGATTCTGTGAGTAATTAGCAATCTTGTCATCGCGCGAGCTTCACTAGTGAGGTGACTTACAATATCGACAATGGTAGAGTATGTGCCGCCGACCAGGACTACAATTCCGATAATGAAGACAATGATGCTTCCAATACTCATGGCGATGTTCTCCCGAGCATACCACTTTCCCTTGCACAGGAAAACGAACCACATAATGCCGGGGATATAGAACGAGAAACCTGAAACGAAAAGCGCGGAACAGAGCGACAGGAGGTCGGAGAAGATGGGAATGGTCTCGGCGATGATCCATGCGATGATTGTAAAGACAGCGACAATCAAGATCCAGCTAGCCCAGCCAATAGGAGTGTTGATATAGCGGTGAATCGAATTCTTATAGATTCGGCCATGGACATAGCGGAGGGCAACAGTCGTGTTGATAGAGCCCGAGATGAAGATGACGGGCAATGCAATGCCGAAGGCGATTTTCGAGATAAGTTCGCCAGCAGAGAGCAGAGCCGGCGACTGAACGGTAGATCCGATAAAGGCGTAGCAGAGAGCACCAGTCAGGGTGTAGATTAAGACCTGCATCACACCGTTCGCCCAGATGGACTTCATGAAATCCTTGGGTGTGTGCATCTCATCCATAAAGGAGAATTGTCCAATGGCAAAACTGTAGGCGAAGACAATATTGCTGACAGCAACGAAGGCCTCGGAAAAACTTAGATCGTCTTTGGGATAGGCAGACCACGTAACGCCAGACAAACCCCCGGGTGAATCACTAGCTTGAATCGCTGTAGCGATGATGGTGAGTCCAATTGCGGCAAGGATGGAAACGAAGTCGATGTAGCCCAGGATCGCAACCTCAGTGAATGAAGGAGGAATCGCAAGAATCAGAAGGATGATGGCCGAGACAGCGGAGAAGGCGATCGAACAGAGATGTCCTCCGTTGATGGTGACTAGGGCAATACTGCCAGTCAGGGCGTGTGATCCAACGACGAGAAGCAGCTCCAGAACAAACGCGGCGCCGAAAACCTCGTATCCCAAGCGGCCGAGTCCAATTTTACCGAGCAACAAACGTCCAGCGTCAGCGTAATGTGAAATGTCGGGAAAAGCCAACTTGACTTCACCGACAATGTAGCTAGTGAAGACAGCGGCCAGTCCCAAGAATACAGTCAGAAAGACACCAAGGATCATTCCCAGCGTGTGAAAGGCACTGGGAAGACTGAGGGCGCCAAGGGCGACGGCTTCCACGACCAGCACGATGGACAGACGCTTCCAGCCCAATCGGTGGAAGTGGGCATTGCCCTCAGCGGCAATCTGCTTCATCCGGTCATCGTTCAATTCACTCGACTCGCCGAAGATGTTGTTGTTGTCGTCCGTGTTGTCAGGGTATGACTGCGTTGGTGTTGCGACCTTCTGAAGACCGGCTTCAGGGTCCTGTTGCTGGTTCTTAGCACCAGAGGGCGGCGCGGCGGAAATATCTTGGCCCATGTTGATATGGTAGTCTAGTAGTCGCTGAACGAGATTGGTAGAATGCGGGTGAGAAGAACGAGGAGGTGTGGGGGACATGGGAATGAGACAACGGGGTCGAGGGGTATTACTTAAGTGGACAAGGACTGACTCCAGAGAGCGGAGATGGATGACAGAGCTTGATTGAAAGTCTACATAGGGCGCAAACTACATGATATCGGAGCCCACATGGTTCAAGGAGTCTGGGGTGGCAATGGGCCGGAACGTAGTTGGAAACACGGAAGGCTCCACAAGCAGCCCGCGGCAAGCAAGGTGAACCTGGAGACGGAGGCTGCGCGTGACGACAGATACATGGTCTCTATTCCCTCACTACGAGACGGGTTGCTAGGGAGTTCCGATAAGGTCAGAGGGGCTCGGCATTGGCGATAGTGAGGCGGGTTGGCTCGGGATTTCGAATCCTCTGAGTCGTACTCCGTAGAGCGGCCCGGTTTACGACCGTCTTATCAGCAAGTGGCAAGGTAGAACGTACAAAAGAGCCACATACGGCCAATGTTAAACGTTACAGCCCACTGAATACGGGTACAATGTTGTACGTAAAAACGCGCTCCGTCGACGTAAGAGCTCGCGTTCGCCGGCGTCGTTACGTCGCGGAAACTCAGCCATTGGCGAGGGCCCCTGGAAAATATGTCATAGAATGAAAAGATGGCCCCAGCCAAATTGCCGACTCCTGCTAGACCGGCTGAAGTGGAGCAGAACTTTTCTCGATCCATTCTAGAAGCTCCAACGGATCCGACGAGACCCTCTCAATCCCGTGGTAACGCCGTCAAAGTGGAGTTATCGCGGCCCACCCGAGACGGCCCTTGACCCGTTAGGTGCCGCGTCGGTCGAAGAGTTTTTCTCTCGACGACGCGACGGAGGATGCGGATCTTCTCATATCTGCAGACGCCCCGGAATCTGGCCTCTTCTAATGTCCACGGCGAAATAAACGCGGGGGAAGTGGCATGGTTCATCCTGATCCTGGAACTGATAAGCTGGGGAGAGTAGCTTGTTAACTAATGCCATCACCCAAGAATTACTCAACCTTGACACATGAAATTGACCCGCGCTGAACGAATTTGTGAGTTTGGGCATATCTGAACACAACTTACGACGGGGTCCTGTGGTACCCGACGACGATGGCGTTTCAGAGCGGGCGGCAGCTCGTAATTCTTGAGGGACTTCACTTGTGTTTGTAGCATTAATACCTGCTACATAGTCTCCCACTATAGCTTCAGCTCCCCCGTCGCACATACACGCCACGCAAGGCATCCAATAATCCAAGCACCCAGAATTTCTTAACCAGCCCCAATTTCACGTGCTCTCCGCTCCCATTCAAAGTTGAGTTGTATGTCCCGAAGTGGTCTATTGACCAGACCAACTTGAACTGTGAGAAGTCCTATTTCCAATTTCAGACATATTCTCTGTCTGGTTTCAGGGTTGGACTTGACAGTTATGCGTCCATTGACTTCGCTGCCCAGGATATGGCTGTTGAGCCATATTAGTCCGTTCACCAGAAGCGCCAGAATTAGGACCGTTAGCATCATGTGCAGAACAGAATATGGAGAAGTCTTAGATGATAGGAGCTACCTCGTTGTCAGCATTTTCAGCAGGAGAATAATTTCAAGTCTTTGCCTTAACATACCGCCGCTCCTAAAATTGTTGACGCCGATGTCTGAATTATAAATGCAGCTACAAATCCAATGACGAGATATTTAGCAACTTCGGTGTGTCCACCAACCACCACAAACAATAGTATAGCCATTAGAGTTAGCGTCACGAGCACACGAGAAAAAAAGCAAAGCAGATATAGAGACTTTGGATAATTTAGTTGCTAATTCGTTGTCAGCATCATTGGCAGGAGAATTATTTTAACGAAAAACAGTCTTTACTTCAACATACCGCCACTAGTTCAAGCATGAAAAATACCAAGGCCCAGATGCTGACGATCCAGTTGACGATGGTCAAGAAGCTGATGCTCCAACCTCCGTGATGGGATGGAATCAAATCGGTGGTTATATGGCCTGCATATAATTCGATGTTGCGAATAGACTTATCCCGGGACTTGATATTCCGAAACAAGTGCTCGGCAGTCATAATGAGAGCATATGGTTCTGTTTCAGATACTGCCATGACCATCCCACAGAGAAATGATTCTCTGACCACCCATGAACCCGAAGTCCCGGGGGCTGTTTCTGTCAGCAAGTTTGCTTCAAAACCCCCGATGTCCTCAGACACACTCACCTAACCGAGAGGCAAATATGACTTTGCGCAGTGAGAACATCTGTCCATGAACAGTAAGGCATGTGGAACCGGGAAGAAGTTCTCCCTCTACACAAGACTTAGCTCCGAGTGCAATCATTACAGGACCTCGAATGAGTTCAGCGTCGGTTTTGTAAGCCGTTATGGCCTGAACCCGTGTTGGTGATGTAAGGTAGGTGTTGGGGATCTCGAAGTCAGTAGCTGTCATAAACGGCAGCAAAGCATGGTCTATGTCTTGAGAGGCGACTTCGGAAAGTGGTGGATATAGTTGACAATATAGTGCACCACGAGAATTCCATTCGAATGACGCACCGAGAAAGTTCAGCGATATGCCAGTGCTAACACCACGCCATTCAGACACAAGGAGGGGGTCCCGAAACCCAACCAATCCCGGGGAGATCGTATCATGGTCCTCCATGTCGATACCACCATCCGATTCTTCTCCCTCATCTTCATCCTCAACTTCATATTCCGAGAAGGTGTTATGAACAGCACCGAATTTTGAAGGTGAGGAATCCAACCAGGTGCTCTTGCTCGGCTGAACGACAAAATGGTTATTCAACATGCCATGAGCTGTTGTGACGCCGTATTGAGCGGCCGCTCCATTGATTGAAATGACACCTCCGATACGACTAATGTGATGCAAGTAGGCATCTCCAATTCTGATAGTAGAACAGCATAAAAGGCCATTAGCTGTTATTGTACCATGTGATGGTATTTCCACGTTGGTGTAAAGCGTGACTTCCTTAGCGAGCCGGATGCCATTATTGAGGTCCAAGGTCTTCACGTCAATCCTTTCCTCCACAGTCGCTAATTCGGGAGAGCCCTCATGGATTTCCAATGGTAGCCTCAGCCAAGTGATGTCCTTCATGGCGTCTCTGACGTCCTTGCAAGCCCAACGACTGCCACATAGAATCCACACGGTAGGCCTGAGCGTGATAAGTCGGGCATCTCTCGCAGCCCTACCCGACATGCGTAGTTCAAAAGAGACAGTATGATCCTCAGAAGTGACTAGAGAGCGAGCTGCTCGATCTGTGCTCTTGCGATAGATTTTCATGGTGACCTCCGTTAGGTCTGTCATGAGTCGTCCAAGATCCTTTGTGTTCCATTGTTCCATAACATCGGGCGGAATTTTGGTGTGATCGCCTTCAGCCAAGTACACGCGAGCGGCTTTAAGGAGTTTGAAGAGCTTCACGTGCGTTGGGTCTATGGGATGCTGAGAAAGGTCTTGGAAAACAGGTGCCTCAGATGCAGAGGTTGTGGTGCTGAGTCCACTGGTAATCTGAGTAATTACAGTACCGATCGAGGGCGGCACTGATAAAGAGACAGAATTGACACCGAGTTGCGTCAATTCATCTTCGCCATCCTCCGGAAGCCGTGGAGAAAAGTCTGGGGAAATTCGCGGCTCTGATACCGATATTGCAGTGTTGACTCGACTGCAATCGTATTCTGAGACGTTTCAGTGCCGATGAACGACTGTGTTGATGATATGATAGAATCGACGCCAAGTTGCGCCAATTCCATGTTTCTACCCTCCGGATTCCGTTGGCTCACATCAGATTGGACTATCCAAGGGGCGATATATCTGGCATGTATAAAGTTCTCCAGTCGTCGACGTAAACTTTCTTTCCATGACTTTCTTTCAAGAGCAGTTGGGGCGGGTCACTCGGAATTATCGCCGGATCGATAGCAGGAGAATTGTGCGTAATTTCCTCATCCCCATAGCGAATTGATTGCATATTAAATTAGGCGAAACTAAGAACGATGAACACTGTCGTGCGTAATGATGTGGCTGACGGGATTCTGCAAAGGAGATAAGAGGTGGTCGAAATCTGGTGACAAAAAAAAGCGGAAGAAGAGAGGTAGTTACTACCTAGCATCAAACGCTGGGATTGATTACTGTCCATGAAATCTTCTAAAAAGAGGCGTCTGCTCCGCCTCACTCCGAAGTGTCATGCGTGGCGGTCAGCGAACGCACCACACGAGGCACCCAATGACATCAAATCGTTGTTATCATCACTTTCAAATGAAGCTTTACCCCGCTTAGGCATCAACAGAAACCCGAGGCATTTTTGCCTTGTGTGACACCAAGTCTAGAGTAAAGTGTCCGCGAACCATGGGGAAGCCTGGAGTGCATAAATGGAGGGATTGTGGCGATTTCGAACACAGCTGGCACGCTAGCTGACAAGACCAACAAAGACCATGCAAAACAGCGATGTCTTACAAGTTTTACAAATAATCTGGCCCGATATCCCTGAAGAAGATTTCCGGCAGGACGGCTACTCCAACTTCTTATCATTTGTCCGTCTGCAAATGAACTTCGGCCCACCATGGTCAAAAGCCTCGGGGGGTCAAATAGCCATGGCTGGGCATAACATTGTTTCCTTAATACGTGACCTTGCTCAAACAAACGATTTGCTATCCTCCAAAGATAGAGCCATCGATTGTGCCAGAAAGCTGGCCCCTTCTGAATCGCCATCAGTGGAGCCCGCTCTACTGTATGCATCTCTGGACCTCGCATTACGCATCATCTTTTCGTTAGATGTTCGAACAGCTCCACAAGAAAGCTACCGCTCGCCGACAGTTGCTCTTGCATCAGTCATAAAATGGGAACATGGGTCTAGTCTTGAAGAATCTATCAAATCACACTTTTTCAGTCGACAGCCTTTCACGACAAGTACAAGTACCGGCAGGATCGATGCTACGTTATCAATACCATATCTGTGCAGTACCAAGAGTTTTCGGGTGTTATGGACGTCTAATCTTGCTGACCACTTGATTATCAACTGGAAGTCGCGGATTATCATCGTTTATGAACATAAGATTGCTCTTTGGAATCATCTTCAAACTCCCAAGCGAACAATCATTCCCCACACAATACTTGAGGAAGCTATAGACACTTTCAACCTTATTTTCCCTTTGAATGATCCTCACAAAATCATTTCTGCGACAAAATGGCAAATCATTCTACGGGTTGGGCTACTGCGGCAGACCGAGGAGCTCTTGTTTGGATTTGGGGCATTTCCAACATTGGAAGCATCGAGTTGCTGACTTGGTAGAAATTATGAACGAAGAGCCTCGTGGTGTGAAGCAATTGGCTCTGGAAAGGAATGGCAAAAATCTTTTACCTTTCTTGACCTTTTGGGTCGCGATTGGGGTTGCTCTCCTAGCCTTCCTCAGCATTCCCTTTGCTATTGTTTCGATGTATTACTACAAGATACAGTACGAGCTGGCTCGTGATCTGGCTTGCCTAGACCCGAAAGCTCGACAGGCTTTACCACGATACTGCGCATAGTATGAAAGACATTAAACAATAAAATACTATACCTCTTTTCTGGTCAACAGTGATCTCATATACGCAACTGTTGTCTGCTTTTCAAGGTACTCTAAATCCGCAAGTATCCTTTTTTGCTAAAGTAGCACGGCTTCTGTCCTGTCGGTAATCTTAGGCAGTGAAAGGAAAGGCCCACCGTACCTGCAAACCATCACAGTGTAACTAACTCAACCTCACGTCCTTGCCACTTACCGGATGATAAATTCCAAGTATTTCCATCACCCAAATAAACGGTCAACACGATTTTTACACTAATCAAGTTCCCATTTCCTACACTACCAGTATCTTTAGCGCTCTTTTGCTTTTCAGGATGAGTATCCCTTAGCATGTTCAGTAGTTGTCGGTACATGTCTCAGTTGACTTCCAAGTTTTACAGGTACTGAATCATCAATGAAATCTTCAATTCCGCAATTCATCTTATTCTCGATCCAGTTTAGACCCTTTTCCATCACAATCCAATTTTCCATCTCGACAATCTCGCTCGCAGCCGGATCCTGATGCCTAACAGTCATGTCATTAGCTGGCTGGGTTCTATATTCCATATTATATTACATACGTCGCAGATATGATAATGGCAACTTGGTCTGATCATCGTGCATGATGTATGATGACCTGTTCCCATATTGAATAGATGTGTTGTCAAAACTAGTTCAAAAGGCGGATATTTTAATGACGGAGCTCAAGTTTCTTCGAGTTTCTTTGAAGTGTGATTCAACACACAAGAAAGAAGCGCAAGGGCGAAGATAGAACCAAGATACATACAAATATTCCCAGACATAGGACTGTCATAGAACGGTTTGGTCAAGGCGAAGTATACGATTGGATACCCGTCATATCAAGTGCCTGCCAATTTGCAAACGAGGCAAATCGGGGTTGATTTGGTATCAACAGTCAGTGCAGCCTCAATATCAGACTTGGGCCACGTCTATCCCGATATGCGAATATTTGAATGAGGCGAATCGAATAATTCGTATGAGCTCTTTACGCAGCCTTAACATTGGGATTAGGCCCTGCTCAGAGTCCTACTTACCACATAACAATAGTGATGAGCGAGCCAAAACACCAATCCACAAGCGGGTCCTTCGAGATCCAATGGTGAGATGGCCGAGTTGGTTATGGCGCCAGGTTAAGGTCAACCTTAACACCTCAATTTCCTGGTGGAGCAATCCTCCTGGGTTCGAATCCCAGTCTCATCATTTTTTGTCGTTTGGAGTGACTGCGCCGACGAATACAATTGCGCGAGTGTGTTGACTCTCTGTCTATCAATGTTGCAAATTTGATGACGAGTCTATTTGCTTTTTACACCCGTGACTGTACCTGTCTAGAGAGATCAGGCTCAATTTCACTGCACGGTGAACATGAAGCTCGGGGGGTTCAAGTAATAGTGCACATCTCGCTCACCACATACTCACTGCAATTTCGTGTTGAGCTACTCTAACAGTTACCACATTGCGGCGAAATAGAACGTTGGATTTAAATTAAACGAAAAGTATAATTTTACCGTGCGAGTTTTCACACATGCGAGGGTGAGCGTAGCCCTCTCCGTCACATACCTGACCTGGCTAGGTTCATATCATTCAAAAACAGATCCTGCGTAAAAACGTCACGTTTTGAAATAAGATTGAGCAAATTCGAGCTCACTACTTGATCGTGAGACACTAAAACTGCTGAACATTCGTTTCCTGCAACCACAGCTCGTTTTAATGTGCACATCAAATATGCCACCACTTGCAATTCATCCAGGATGCTTCCACGCCTCGTATGCGACCCAGGCTTGAAATATACCCACGGCAAGCCCAAATATGCCTAATAAAACAGCTATAATAACACCTATAAGTGTCGCCATCATCACGTGTCTTGCTTTACTTCTTTTGTCCATCCAAACTTCCAACCAACTTCGAGGTTTAGGGTTTTCAATTTCGTCAAATAGATCCATAAGCCGAGACCCCCAAAACCAGTAGCTTGTCTCGGATTCATTCTGTCGCTGATACGACGTAGTGCCAAAGCGCAAGCAATCGGGATCGAAAAGTTCTTTCGACACAAGCGACCGAAGTAACGACTGAGAATCCGAGTCCAAAGGGAAGAGAATACGCAGAGATTGTAGGGTTTCAAGAGCCAGTTGTCGTGGTATAATTCCCCTATAATTATGAGAGGCTGTTCATGCTCATGGAGTGCTTGACGTACTAACCTTGATGCGCTGCCCGCCGCCGACGGCCCTTCGAGAACCGACGATCTGAGGTGTTCTCGTAACACGCTAGTGAGGTGATAAATCTCCAATACCCCCGTTTTCTGATCTAATCTCAAGTGATCTCGCAGCTCTGTTGTTCCTTGGATCTTCAGACCAGCAATTCGTTTGAGCTTAATTGCTGATAACTCTGATTTTATGTCGATAGGCGATTCACACCCTCCATCCAGACTTGGATGCTCCCTGAATGGAAAGGTGGACGTCGTAAAGTCAGCCACGGATTGATCGCTTCTCCAGACACATGGTTCTCTTCCAGATTCCAAGAGACCTCCGCTCTGGTTTTCGACACAGCAACTGACCATGAGAAGGACCCTCAAAGCCAAGTTAAAGGCCCGATGTTGGTCGTCTAGCGAGGGGAGCTGTCCATTTCCATTGCTTCTGATAGCGAAGTACGATGTCGATAGTTCGTTTCGAGGAGCAGATGGCCGTTCCTGCAAAAGCTCAATGATTTGAAACAAGTCTTCATGGCTTCTCAACGCCCGTGGAGCATCAGGCATAAACGATTCTGGGACGTATGATCCTGCGACTTCTTCGTAATATCGGAAGAATGGCTCAAGTCGCAGAAGTCGGCGTTGTGGGCATTCTTGCCCTTCACATGGCTTGGCAGTAGAGCAGGTAGTACACGATGTCCAGCCCCAGAGAATCCGACACAAGGTCTGAAATCGAGCATCATTCACGCCATCAAGCGGACACAGAAAAGTGATCAAGTCGGCCATAACGTAAGGACATTCAAACATGAATGAAGAAAGCCAGATCACTTGGTTCCGTGTGATGGCTTTCCCCAGTACGCCTCGCTTATGGCGCAGCGCCATGCTGCCAAAACGAGGCATCCAATCATGTAACCAGCACTTCAGCAACCATCATCCATGGCATGTGATTAGCCATAAAAATGCACATCTTGAGGCTGTGTAGAAGGCAGTGTACCCCTCCACGCTCTGACTGGTTCCAACCCCGCTCCCGGTTTCAAGCTCAATGAGGCCTTTCGCTGTGCTGCTGTTCACAATCGCTTTCTGCCTCATTCTCAGCGTCGAGAAGTGGCATACAGATGCTTTCAAGAACCAGCACTATGACCGACGTTCAAATTGAGAGGGGCCACAGTTTGCCTCTCTCAAAACTCGACACTGTACCTGAGAGCTCCCTGGTAGCTGAACTGGGGCCAAGAACAGCCAAGGCCATCCAGGATCCCAACGATGAGGCAAAAGTGGCAATAACTCCTGGAGCTTGCAAAGAGACACACTCGACGATTGCCACTATTCCGAGGGCCACTCCGTTCCCACTGGAGAACGAGAAAGGCCTATTCGAGTTCAAGATGGACGTTGCCGCGACGAAACTGGCTCGGTTCAGAGAAATCGTCCCGGAAATCGAGCGGCTCCTTCTTAACTACCTCCAGTCTGCAAAACACTTCTTTGGGAGTTCTGTTCCTATCAAAGCTATAGCAATCCGATACTTGGTTATTGGGAAGGACGCCTCCGATGCCAGGGACTGCCTTGTCGTTTTCTGTTCCACAGCACAGTACAAACGTATCAAGCGTTTTTTCGATAATCACAAAGGCGCCAAAGCCTTGTGCGAGCCGCCCGATTTGTCGGCTCCATTATTCAGAGTCATCATCAGTCCCCGACCTCTCAATTTGACAGTTGGAGAGGAGCACAATCTGCCTCAACACAACTTAGCGGCGTCTTCAGACTCGGTGGATAAAATCTCCGACTCTGAACCCAATCGAGACAGGATCGTTAGCCCTTCGGCCATCGAAGTATATTGCTCTCTAGATCAGCTATCTCAAGAGACATTATGCGGGACTCCCATCCGATTTGTCAACGGATTGGGAGAGTCTCTACATGGAACCTTCGGCGGTATTATAAAAGTGGTCCAGAGTGACGGAGATTTCCAGTTATATGGACTGACAGCGAGCCATGGCCTTGTCGACTGGCAACCTTCTTCTGTGCCGCCTAACTCGGATCTTGCCATTGAAGTCCTGGATCTTGATGAAGAAACCCGCTGGCTTATCCAACTAGAACAGTCCGATGGAATGGGCGATGGAATGGGAGATGAAATATGTTCCGAGGGCGAAGACAATGAGCCTGAATATCAGCGCTCCCTGAGTGGCGTCGATGTTGACCGGGCATCGAATTCCGCGTGGTCATTCGTCGAGTCACAAAAGCTCGGTAACATTCTCCACATGCTTAAAGACTACACTGATTGGAAGGATCAATATCTTGACTGGGCTTTGTTTACATTGGATCCTACTTTCTATCGGCCAAACCTGTTCTTCTCGGAAACTCAAGCCCGGAAATTCCAATTGACGGCTGTCTCCGGGAAATCTCTGCCAAAAACAGGATACCGCCCCGTCGTCATCATGGGACAGCCCTCTCAAGACTGCAAGTCCGGCAGTCTTTCAACCATGCCCACGAGGGTTTTACTAGCCCCAGGAAAGGGATTCGTTGATGTCTATACTTTGAGTTTAGACACTGGCTCTGGTAAGGTTGCTGTGAGCCTACCTTACGCCTCATAGAGCTAATAAATGCAGTATCAAGCGGAGACTCTGGTTCGTGGGTAATCGACCCGGTCAGAGGAAAGATATACGGGCACATCATTGCCACTGATATGCTGGGCGAGGTGTACGTGATTCCTCTTGAAAGCATCTTCGAGGACATACGACGATACTACCAGGCAAATTCTGTCCAAATATCCTCTCTCTCTGACTTTGTAACCAAACGCAAATCCCTTGGTAATCAAGCCGAACATATGGCAGAGCGTTCTGATCTTACGTCTTCTCGCGTCAGTGGCCCCGAGGGTGTTCCTGAGTCTAGCCGTGAAGGTCAGGCAACTAAGCCATCATCGCCAATGCCGCAACCAGTGGTCCACCCGTCTAGCTCAAACACAAGTCGCGAACGCAGTGCACGTACCCCGGCCGACTTGGGTCTTGGTACATTAGAGGAGACGCAGGAGCTTACGAGCGGAAGAGGGAGCCGACGGGGAAGGAACATTTACCCCAGTGATGATGCCAGCCCTCAGCGTGGTGCCATCCGACAGAAAGAATATTTCGTGCCTCGAGATGGCATCGACCGCGAAGTCATTTCTGCTGACATCACTCTCTACCTAGGCGACGATGCACTAGTTCGTCCTGGTCACTATGAGGTATGATATGTTTATCATGGTGTTCTCTGTGCTTTGGAGCATGTCCGCCACTCAGACAATACCCCAAACTTGCTCACATTGGATTAAATGGCTGATTGGGCTCTCAATAGCACCCGCAAACCGGCCAAGTCGCCCTAGGTTACTATATCACCGCATACAAAAATCTGTCAACAGTATGTCCTATCCGCCTGCAAATGGAACTCGTTCTACACATTTTACGTGCGTGGGTTAGTACGGTTGGACTCTAACCGCACTTCACAGACCATGATCGAAGATCTCAAGGCAGACTCCGCAAGATGGGATAGCGAGAGACGAGCGCAGACTTCGCGCAATACCACTGGAGGTATTCATGCCTCGAGAAATGCCAGCGAGACACTCATCTAACTCACCTGTAGTACAATACCGCTACTCCGAGACGCACCAATTTCGTGAACACCACGGCCCTACCGAAGCTTCCTACCAGCAGGATCCCTATGCCGGTGACTCCGGCTTTGACGGCCCCAGATATCCAGGCACAGGCGCTCCCGGATACACTGGTACCGCTGGCTCAGCATACCCGCAACAGGCCCATGCCACCGCAAGTGGTGCGTATGGTAGCTTCCTACAGCCCGGCCGAAACGCCAACAGTTCAATACGACCAGGATATCCAGCCACCACTTCTCCCTTTCATCCTGCCTTCCAGTAATCAAATCAGATTCCTCCCCCAGCAGCTCAGATATATACTGGGATGCAGCCTGAGGACTCTTTCTATGGTCGCGGTGCGTATAATGCCGGCATGTCGCCCAGGTTTCGAACAGTATCTGATTCTTCATCGTCTACAGCAGTCCACTCTACAGCAACAGACTTATCCTGCCCAGCAGTAGCATGTTTATGGCTCTACATTTGATGCTGTGTATGGCAGCCATCCGCAACAGGTGTATGCATCCACAACCAATGATGAGTATGAGAGCCTTCCACAAGCTCGACTGTCTGCCACTACGGATATCTCATACGGCTCTACTGCTCAAGGAATCTATGTATTGGATCAAGTTTTGCGGCCTGTTGAGGACCCTTAGGTCGCTACGGGAATGACCATTACGTGGAGTTTGTTGGAACACGTTCCTGATACGATGTGTGATTATCCAGCCACTGGAAGGGCTTCCACCAGAGGGCGGCGAAGGTTCCTTGAGAAATTCGATTTTGGAGCTTCAATTTTTAGTCAATTTCTCTTAGTCTACTACTCCTCATATTTCCCTTCGTCTCCCTGAAACTGCGAGTTCCATGGCTCACTGTGTCATACTGTCACCCCTCAGGTTACTCAGCGCGCCATAGTTTCTGCTGCCAGGCAAAGTATTAGTTGGTGATTGCTGGTCAGGTAGGGCCGCCAAAAGTATCTACAAAGATCCGGAAATTGCACCGGCGAGAGCTGGGAGCCCGTATTCGCCTCACATGCAATCCCATCCCTACTACTCTGAGAAGGCTGTACTCCGAGGCATAAACATTCGAATATTTCTCTTTCCATGGTAGGTGTCTCTTCAAAGCGTCTGATGGCAAATCCGGTATTTGTCCATGGAGAGCTAAAGCAGGCGATCTGGTAGTCCTCTTCGCCGGCGGGAACGGCCCCTACTTGCCGCAACCAGTGAACGGGGAAATGAATCTAATCTCGAGAGGTATGAACTCACTGGTAAGCGTTAGAAGGGGTTATTTATAAGTATTCTAAGGCAGCTGAAGGCGAGAAGCAGACCGTTATTTTAGTATATTACATCACTGTGTCAGCACCCCTTTTTACATGGCTAGTTACTTTCGGCTTCGGTCTCGTCGATTTCTCCGTTGAACCTTTGAATCATGAAATCTGTCGTAACTACCTCGTATTCTTTTGTGGATAATTGTTTCATCATCCGCGCACACGCCAATGAAGTCGCTCGCGTGTTGGGGAAGAACAAGGGCGCCGGAACTCGGCTCATAAATATGCGACGCTGCAGCCCTGGCCCTCGTTTCGAAATAGCAACCCAGTGGAGCGCTTGTTCACTTGTTTTCCCACCAGAGAAGATCTACCTGCTACTATGCTCCATTGTTTCTCAGTCTCCCACTTTGGAACCTTTTGTGCCGATCCGCTTTTCCGGTTTTGCCAGGGCTCGCTGATCCTGGCAACTCAAGCATCATACCATAATTAAGGGGGACGTTTCGGGTGAATAGTCCACCAATCATGTCATCTACTGAGAGTCGGTGACCTGGAGTGGGCGTCTATAAGTTATAACTATGACAGCCCTACGATATTCTTGGCTCGGCAAGCTCTCTTTCTCAAGTGTCAATCAGTTTTAAATCGTTCACAATGCCTTCCTCTAACCAGATCCTCTCTGCGCTGGCCGCAGTCGCCATCACCTCTGCCAACGCGGCCATGGGCCCTGCGTTCAGCACCGGTCCCGTCGCCGACAACTCCTTCATCCGCGAGTCGACTTCCACTCTCGTCCTACCCAATGTTCCCAGCGGCGGCTCTACCGATGGTATCACTTCCCTCTGGGTTGGCATGGGCACGTCAAACGGTGACTTGATCCAGTCGATTGCCGACAACTGGCAATCCTCTTCCTGGGAGATCTACGCCTACACCCTCCTGAAGACTGGAGGTAAATTTGTTCTTTGATTGAAGTCTGAGCACTAGATGCTAACGTCACTCTTTAGACAACTCCCAAATGCCTGTTCAGGGCCCGTCTGGCGCTGCTGGTGAGGGTGACAAGATTACTATGCACTGTAAGTACTAACACCCTTCCCTCTGGGAACGAGGGACAAAAGCTCATTGCAATCTACAGACAAGTTCGATGACGCCACTGGTAACTACACTCAGACCGTCTCGATCAACGGCAACACTGTTTCCACTCTCTCTACCAGCGACGGTCATGCTCAGGGTTGGGGTTCCGCCGTTGAGTGCGCAGAGGATAACTGCGGCACCGTCGGCGCCCACTGTAAGTCTTTCCTTGTTTGTGTACGTGGCAATTGGAACTAACGGTGATTAGCCTGGATTGACACGAAGATCATCATGGATGTCGCTGACCCCAACTATATCAACACTCTTGGCAAGGCCGAAGGTGTCACCGGCGACATGTCTACCAACGATGGTGGAAAGACCTGGACTGTCACCACTATTAACATCCCCGAGTTCAGCTTCGCTTCTTAAGTACTGAGAGTCTGACTTGAGTGTAAATATTTATCTAGCTGGGCACTAGATTGTGCCTTTTTACTTCTGTATGTAGCCTTTGAGCTGAGATTCTCGGCAAAATGACCAATTCAACCACGATATGGCATCTTGAACTCTTAATTTGGCCAAGCTGCTCTAACTACCTGCACTTGCTACTTTAGCAGCAGAAAGGGACAGGAACAACACCCAACCCATAAACTTACACTAAGGGAGCTGCACAGAAGATCGTCACACAGGCGTCTTGGCCGGCCAGCCTGAAGCTGTACCAGATTACACATATAGGGTCGGATAGATCTGAGGCTTATATCTCCTGATAGAGAAGTATCTAATGAGATAGAATGTCGGGTCCGTTGCAGCAAAATCCATTGAGAAGACATCAATAGTGCCCGCGGCAGCCCGGTACCCAAGGTAAAAGAGAGTAGTCGGACGAGAACTATAGAGACGGGCAAAAAGAAACTCAAACAAACCTCTCGAAAATAAAAAGAGAAAATTAATAGGCTATCTAGTCGCCTCGAGACCTTCCGGTCTCTCTGACTATCAGAAGGAATCTCTGAATAGTTGAAAACCAATGTCCTATCCTCTGCACGACTCCGGCCGTCCTTTTTAACTTTGTCTATACCACCCTAGAGACAGCCCTGCTAGCGACCAGTTAGCCCAAGTGTTCCAAATCGCCTGTCACACTACTTTCCGAGGACTTCGTCCATATGTAGTATGGCCCTGGGCAGAAATACGAGAGACTTGCTGATTAGGACATAGTAAGAAGGGCTAGGAAAAAATGCTACCAATTACATTGAGTATGCAGTGGCTCACCACGAGACCACCTTCAGCTTAGTTCGGAGCTGGATTAGTTTAGCAATGCAATCACGATGGAAATTGTTAAGCGCAACTGTAAGAACGTGAAATATGCTATAGGTTTACAATATATACATGAATAATCTAGAATATCCTGACAAATGTAGAATATCCTTTAAGCCTTGACATCAAAGCGATCCAAGTTCATAACCTTAACCCAAGTAGTGATGAAGTCCTTGACGAAAGTCTCCTTGGCATCCTCGCTGCCATAGACCTCAGAGATAGCACGCAGCTCGGCATGGGATCCAAAGACCAGATCGGCGCGCGTGGCGGTCCACTTGGTAGCCTTTGTAGTGCGGTCAATGCCCTTCCAGAGCTCGTCAGAGCCATCCTTCTTTTCCCAGGTGTACTGGCTTGAAAGCAAGTTCACGAAGAAGTCGTTCGTCAGCTGGCCCTTCTTCTCGGTGAAGATACCGAGCGATGAGCCGTCGTAGTTGGCGCCCAGAGCACGGAGGCCACCAACTATGACTGTCAGCTCAGGAGGGGTGAGGGTGAGGAGAGCAGCCTTGTCGACCAGGATCTCCTCGGTGCGGGCTCGGGTAGTTCCCTTGCCGTAGTTGCGGAATCCATCGGCCACGGGCTGGAGGTAGTTAAAGGCTCGGATGTCGGTCTGGTTCTGGGTGGCATCGACGCGGCCAGGAGTGAAGGGGACGGGAATAGAGAAGCCGGCCTTGCGGGCACCCAGCTCAACAGCCGCGGAACCTCCAAGGACGATGAGATCGGCCAGGGACACCTTCTTGGAGCCCTTGTTGAACTTGGTCTGGATCTTCTTCAGCGCAGCCAGGACCTTCTTAAGCTGGGGAGGGTTGTTGGCCTCCCAGCTGACCTGCGGCTCAAGGGCAATGCGAGCTCCGTTGGCACCGCCGCGCTTGTCGGAGTGGCGGAAGGTGGAAGCGGCGTTCCAAGCGGTAGAAACCAGCACCGAAATGCTCAGGTCGGAAGAAGAAAGAATCTGAGCCTTCAAGCTGGAAATGTCGGCATCGCTAAGGACAGCACCCTGTCCCTTGGGGAGGGGATCCTGCCACGGGAAGTTCTCGGCCGGGATATCGGGACCAAGGTAACGAGTCTTGGGGCCGAGGTCACGGTGCAGGAGCTTGAACCAGGCCTTGGCGAAGGCATCGACGAGCTCTTGGGGGTGGTCGACCCAGCGCTTGCAGATCTTCTCGTAGATGGGGTCATGGATCAGAGCGAGATCACTGGTGAGCATGGTGGCGTGGCGGAACTTGGTCTTGTCGAACGGGTCGGGGTAGTCGAGGGTGCCGTTCAAGGCCTCCCACTGGTGAGCGCCAGCAGGGCTCTCGACAAGGGTCCAGTTGTTCTTGATGAGACTGTTGAGGTAGTCGTTGCTCCACCTGGAAATAATTAGCATAGTTGACGATTGAGTGTACGAAGTGCCCTACTTGGTAGGGGTCTTGGTCCAGATGACTTCAAGGCCGCTAGTCGACGTGTCGGGGCCGTTTCCGTTGTTAACGCTGTTGTGCCATCCGAGACCCATCATTCCCAGGTCGGCGGCTTCGGGCTCAGATCCGATGTTGGCTGTAAACAGGTCAGTGAAGCTCTCACACAATTGTTCGGAATCGACGATACTTACAGGACTTGACAGCGCCGTGAGTCTTGCCAAAAGCGTGTCCACCAGCAATCAAAGCAACAGTCTCCTCGTCATTCATGCCCATGCGGTCGAAAGCAACACGGATGTCGCCAGCCGAGGCCTTAGGGTCGGAGCTGCCATCGGGACCCTCGGGGTTCACGTAGATGAGACCCATGTGGGTTGCTCCGAGGGGCTTCTCAAGATCCTCGGCGCGCTCGTAGATGTCGGTGCTGCCGTTGTAGCGAACGTCATTGCCCTTGGGGACAAAGGTAGCCTCGGCACCCCAGTAGACAGACTCATCGGACTGCCAGGTGTCAGGGCGACCGGCAGCAAAGCCGATGGGGGTGAAATCCATGGACTCCAGGGCGACGTTGCCGGTGAGGAGGATGAGATCGGCCCATGAGATCTTGTTTCCGTACTTTTGCTTAATCGGCCCTATAACTCGGTATTAGTATCACTGGCATGCATTCAAAAACACCGTGGTACTTACAGAGCAGACGGCGAGCCTTGTCCAGGTTCTGATTGTCGGGCCAGCTGTTGAGCGGCGCAAATCGCTGTTGACCCATTCCACCGCCACCGCGGCCGTCGATCGCACGGTAGGTACCGGCGCTGTGCCAGGCCATACGGACGAACAAGCCGCCGTAGTGGCCGAAGTCAGCAGGCCACCAGTCCTGTGAATCAGTCATCAACGCGTGCAGATCCTTCTTGAGGGCGTCATCTATTCGACGTCCAGTCAGCAATTACACTGGCTGTGGGGACAGTGGGGACTCACAATCCAGAGACTCGAAAGCCGCCGTGTAGTCGAAGTTGCCGCCCAAGGGGTTGACCTGGGGCGAGAACTGGCGCAAGACATCGAGCTTCAGCTGGCATGGCCACCAGTCCTTGCTCCGGGTACCGCCACCAGCAGCGTTGCTAACGGTTGCGCAGCGGCCAAAGTCTTGAGGGATCTCCCTCTGGGTAGGGATGGTGTCCCGTTTGGCGAAGGGACAGGTTTGGGCGCTAACCAGGGACACAAGTCCCGGGGCTAACAAAAGCCACGCTGCCAAGTCCGCGTGCATGTTGAAACAAATCCGAGAGAGCTGATAGGTGAGAGAGAAGACGGAGATGCTCGAGGTAGTGTCCCGTAATTGTGCTCCAAACGGGATACAATTGCGATACTTATATGGGCTTTCGAGTTGCGATTTTCGTCCCTGCAGTAGTCTTATCCGCTGGCCCGCAATGTCTCACTCCGCCCAATGGGTATTCAAGGTTAGATGACAATGTATCATCAGCACTGCCGAGGGTGTCGCGTCTATACGTCTGCCAAGGTGATTGAGCCGGGATGTGCCTTCGGCAGAGGGTCTCGGGGCCGACAACGGGCCCATCAGAAGCGGCCGAATTATGGGTATGTCCGATACGAGGCATCCTGGTAACGGCAATGATTCCTCATGGCGAAAAGATTGGCCATTTGTCAGCGCTTGCGAGTTTATTCCTCTTGGCAATGTGTGCTGTGCTGTGCTGTGATGTGACGGCCAATGGCCCGGCCTGCATTACTCAAATCTCCGCTGTGTGTATCCCCGGATTCACAGTCAAGGAGTACCGGGTATGTGCCGCTCGTCAAGGATTGAGGCCCACATGCTACGTCAAACAAGGAAAGTGGCTGAAAGCTGAACCAGGGTGATCCATACAATGTCATGGACTTATGCAGCTGAGTCTCACGTTGATTTAACGGAGGTATGAGTAAGACCAGCGCAGTCGGCCGCTCGTCACCGCATTTCAATGCAGGCCTCATTCGTTGGACTAAAAAAAGGTTCAAGTTGCAATCACAGTCACCAATCCCCAAAAAGGCAATGGTAATCAGAATTACCGTCTTCGTCTTCGTCTTCGTCTTCCTCCTCCTCCCCCTCTTCGGCACTGACGGGTGATCACCACAGCCTCCCTCTGCAACTGCGCTAGAAGCGAATCAGCCGGACATTAAGGTCGGCCGGGCGCCCGCTAAACCAAATATAGGAGCTCCTTGCGCATAAGCTTCGGCAGTGCAAGGAAAAGCGAACTCAACGTGCGACATTTGTCGATGCGACAAACTCAATTAAGATAGAGCTCCAATTAACCGGACAAGGGGCCCGATCGAGAAGGCCAATATTGCTTTAGGCATGTGAGAAAGCCCTGGCAATGTGGAAAACCCTTGGCAATGTGGGAAAGCCCTGGCAATTGGAACCTGCTGGGGAGTGATTCGTCACCTACCAATCAACATGCGATGGTGTTTCCGGCCCTCCCGCGTAAATGCCCCTGTCCTCGCTTGTCTCGATTGGGATCTCGGCATCGCCTGGTTTAGTCTTTATTATGAGATGAGGGCCAGACGAAGCGACCCAGCTACGGACAAGCGAACCGGGAGAAAGCAGGGAAAGCTTAAACAAATCAATTAATCCCTATTGGCCACTACGTACTCTGTTCAGCCGCCTGCCTTATGGGAAACAAGGAACTCCGCCATGGCCTAGGCCTTACCGAGCCTACGATCCGTGCCCGTTTCCATTCACAGCATTAAGATTCAACCTAGCCAACTCGTGATTGGAGGTTAAATAACCGTGAAACACACCATTTGATTGCATCCTGCGAACGCATCAGGGCTGAGCAGCTTAAAAAAACCTTAACGCTTCGCTTTCGTGCAATGGGACCACATCTCGGATCATGGCATCTCCCACGTGGCTCTCTCTTGCTCTTGGTCAGCAAAACACATAGTCGTCCAGGCCATAAAATATCCCACCGGTCCATCCCACCGATCGATTCCGCCGGTGACAAACTGCCGGGACAGAATACCGACGGGCTGGAACTCGGCTTTTCCGCGCGGGATTTCGGTATTCTTTCGGACTCTTCCCCTCAGTCCCCTCCGTCTCCTCAGTCAACAGCTCGCCGAGGCTGTGGTTCATCCACCCGAGAGTCTGGAACCGTCTATTCACGCGGGGTTCTTGAATATGAAGAGTCGCATCGGGTGCCGTTTTGCCGAGAACGCCGACGTGTCCATTGGTGCTCCTACATACTTGCAGCGAGCTTCTTCTATGAGCATCTGGCAATGCACTCGCTAAATAAACTCTCCTATGTAGAGATTTTAAAAGACTTGACAACAATCCAGCTGCATGGTAGCAGAAATCTTCAAGTCCTGCCTTATGCCACCTATCATGGTCGAGTAATCCAGCTCAATAGTTACCGTGGAATTAGGCCATTCATTAACGAATGCAATGCAGTACCAGTCACCCTCTGGTCTATCAACAATGGCACCTTAATATGGACTGCTTGCACCAGGAACAGGGTTTCCGTGGTTCTTGAGGACGCGGTGCCACTGGCTATACGGTCCAGACGGACCACCGCTAGACTTGAGGATTATTTGGTCTTGACCAACCCCCAGAGTTGTAGGCCAGATGTAGTATGTGCCATTGATTTTGTAGGAGCGAGCCCCTTCGATGTGTCGAGCTCCAGAATTGTGTGAAAGACAGTCTCGACTTTCTTGTGTTGCAAGTCGTCTGTCAGTTCCGCAAACCAGATTTGACATCCTTTCCATCTGGAACCCAGCCGTCATATGCGACACCAGACGCTGAATATCTGACGCAGAAGATGTACATTTTCCCCGTACCCTGGATACATCCAATCCAATACAAAATCCCGGATTGTTCGTGGTACCTCAAAGAGGAAGCATAGATTCTGACTGTACGCACTGCTACCCTGTAGGCTAAATATGGGATCAAAATCGAGTAAGGGGACCGAGTGAGACAGGTATTCCCAGTTCACAATGTCATGATCTCAGAATTGGTACTGCTGGAGAGAAGTGCATGTTTGGTGTTGAATAGTAATAGGTGTCGCGGACACGGATCAGATCCGCGTCCACAAGATCTTGCCATAAAATCAGCTGTGAAGAGTCTTCAGCCGGGGCGGCTCCGAAAAGTGTCAGGGGTGTTGGCAGCAAGAAGGCAGAATAAAAGTCCATGATGAGAACATTCCCTTAATTGATGCTCAGTGAGTTGGAACTATTTTCTCACATCAGACTAATCCCACGGGTTCTCTGGCTTTTTAGTACTTCAAATCCAGTCTGTATGCCTCAACTTGAGCCACCGGCTTCTGGACACGTACTATGCTGGATTTGATATTAGAGTCATCGAGGAGAACCTCGCATACATTCCGTTACTAGCATAGATGCAAGCTGTCTACCAAATCCTCATCTTTCTGATTTGTACTGTAACTATCTCCTATAGGGTAATGACAGAGTTGTCTACTCTCGATACCGATGTTGAAGAAAGCTCCGGTGGGGTATTCTAATTGTTGCGCGATCGAGTTCGCTAGCTACAATTCTTGCCCTGGTTTCAGGCTGAACCCAGTCTGGCTCATCCCCCGCATTCTTATTAGCCGAGGGAACATCCTTGCCAGTCTAAAGTCGGCCTGTATACCCTCAACCTGAGTACAATCTCCACATGTGGCTTGTTGAAGGCCGAGGTACACATACCACAATCCATACAGTCTCACTACGGGTATCCACACTCTTGGCAGTGTGGATTGTGGTTTAACAGGGCGTAATCTGAATGATTGATCGTGGGACGCCATGATAACCTTTCAATTCAGTTGTTCCATTTTTGGACCGGAAATTTTGAAGAAATCGGCCTCCCCAATCTCGCAATTGGTACAGAAAGCTCTTCCAAGTGAGGTGACTCGTTTATATTCTCTATGTTATCCACCCTGAACCCCACTGCTTCCTTGATTCTCGTGAGGGGAAGTAAAACTTGTTTGCTCAATAAATTCCATCACCTGGTCGCTGTTGTTGAACCAGTCTTCCAACTCTGCTGGGTTACTCATCCATATCGGGTTAACTCCTTGGCCCTCCATGCCACCCATGACATCGGCACCAGTAGCATACCTAGCTACCTCGTTACGGCCTAGGCATAATCCAGTCGCCTCCTGTTGTGCGTGGTTAAGGCCTACGTGGGTGAAGCCGAGCGCGTTCAGGCAGGTATTTAGCTCAGCTCCAGCATTCGGTTGGTCCACCGGTGGGGTCGAATCGCGAAACTCGATATAGCGAAGCGCCACACGGTAAAGCGCTTTGAATAGGCGATACATGTTGGCGGCGGCGTCTGGGACTGGTGGGCCAGTGTCTATCGAGGCGACGAAGCTCTGGAGGCGGGAGAGATCGATCTCATCCCGTGTCTCGATGACTTGACAGAAAACCACAATAAAGGGAATAAATGGGGCGTAAAGTAACGTCCTGTGAGAATTAGAAACATCGAAGAACCCAAGGGTGGTATTCCCTGCTCGAGATAATAAAAGAGGCACCCCTAGATCGGCCACATCGCCACTTACCACTGTACATATGCACGATAGTACATGGAATGATTATGTTCGAGAAACCTCATACAATCTTGATGGCGCTCGAGTGTTGCTCTCGCAGCTTCGATGCACTCTGGGACGAATGTCGTGGGCTTTTCCAAAGGAGAGAGGCTTGAACGATATACAAGCGTGAGGAGCGAGAGGCGGAAAATGTCATCCGTGATGAATATGAACTTCGACATTGGCTTCCCAATCTTGTCGATCATTTCATTGACCAGTTTTCTCTACCTCGACAGTCAGCTTACGAACCTCGAGATAAAATTTGAGCGTTGACAGCGCAACGGGAATTACTCACACCCATTCCGTGTTGCTTTCTCCTAATCTCGTTCAAGTCATTCGCGAGGGCCTGCACTGAAGACTGCCGCACCTGCGCCGGCTGGACAAGAGAATTAGGACTGTATAGAAGCTCGTAGATACTCCCTTGGCATCTAGCAGTCATAATCCACAGGGAAATATTCGGTGACAGTGGATTGGGATAAAAGTCCTCCATGTCGGGCATAGACACAGTCACATCCCAATCTGGAATCGTTGAGGCCCGCCCTAGGCGGAGCGACAAGCTCTTTTCGACCATGTACACATTCCAGAAGAGAAATCTTTTACGCTGGATAGTCTTGGTATCGTCATTCTTCATCGACAAAGCCTGGTGATACCCCAGCGTCTGACACAGTTCAGCTGCCTTGGATATCAGAGTCCAGCAGAGCAAGGGTTTTGAAATGTCAATAGCGTGAAAGGCCTAGGCAATTCGTCAGCCATTTTAAGCTCTGGTAAAACTGAGGCATCCATACACCTAAAAGAAGCGCGCCAATCATACGAGAAGTGGCAGGGAGGTGCAAAGGCAAATTTGCAAGAGCCGTCTCTAGATTAGAACGACACATTTGGAGATAGGGGAGCATTTCATCCTCCTTTTCTGGAGTGCGAGACACGTAGTCCGAGAATAGGTTCAGAAGACCGGCATTCGCTGTAATAAAGTCGGCTTGGGAATAGTTTTCGGAAAAGTAAACGTGGAGGCAGAGCTCTGAGAAATTCTCCAAGGGGGAGAACTCGTGGATCATGGCGACCATCTCTGTGGGTACGGCTGAGAACCAAGAAGATCATGTAAGCTTAAACGACGACCGAGAGCGGCAATTGACAGGAAACCAGGGCTGAGGATTTTTGAGTGGGGGAATCACCTTTTGCGGCGCGTATCAAAGCCACGGTCATTTGGATGGGCGGTAATTCATTGCCCCGGAAAGAGACACATGGAATTGGGTGGGCATCGGGATACGACATGCTAGTTGCGCCGTTGTGTTGCTTTAGAGAATCGACAACATGGTGCAGAGAGGCCAAGGTATGCTGCATCTCAAGGCTCGCGGAGTCTTGTATGGAGTCGTTCCGAAAGGCGTTTTGGAGGAACTCATTCGCGAAGGCGGAGTGGGCTGCTAGGGACGACTCTCCCTCGACAGCGGGACTGTCGGAAGCTACCATGATTACATGGCCAAGGTGGGCGGACGTCGATGTCGGTATGCAGGGCGTAGGAGAATCTGCCGGGCTCTCTTTGAACAGCGTTGGTTGAGCACCCAGAGTTGGAAAGTTCATCTGCAGGTCTTGAAGGAGTTGGGTGACTCCTTCGAGCCGACGATCAATGGCATCGATCTTTTTCTCACTACGGAGCGGCAAAGCAGTCAGGGTCGGTTCTCATGGTCGAATTCTTTGGATCTGGCTGGGATGAAGACTCACTATTGGGCGGACAGGAGGATCCTCGTGCGCTTCTCTTTGGGACCGGTGTTGGTGTGGCGGCAGGGGATTTTGGCGCCGAGACAGTAGGAACACGGGGAGTTTCTGTCACAGCGGATCTACAGTGTTTGTATGAGCCATGCCAGAGCGGCCAAATAGATGGGTTTGCAAATAAACAAGCGAGCGTGCAGCTATAATGGACCGACCAGACTGTCAACACATGCGTCCATCCACCTCTACATCCATCGCGAATGAATGCAAAGAGCTACAGCACCCACAAGGCGGAACTGCAAAGCCCGACAGGGGTGTCTCTCTGGCCCAGGAAAGTCCTTCAACACGTACCTTTCGGCCGCGACAAGCGTCACACTGCAGGCATGTAAGCGAGAGAGATGAGATTCCGGGGCCATAACCCAGCACTCACAGCTCGGCGGATTCCAAACGCCGGCGGCTCGTTCAACTGCGAGTCGGAACCCTCGTCTCGAGAGTCGTGGGCCATGCGGCGCAATACCGGCTGCAGCGGGTGAAGCAACGTCGACTGCGGGCGGCCAAGGAAAAGTCCAACGCGGAAGGCGTCCGGTGGTTAAGAAGAACAACTCTGGATAAAAATGTCGTGCTATTTCTCGCGCCCAGGCTTGGCCATTACGTCAGGGGATGTGTTTGACTCGCCGCGACTCCACGCGGAACACGCGGATCCCGCGCACGCGAACCGCTCCACGGGGCATTTCATGGCGAGAGTGGATCCGGCGAACACTGCGTCTCTGATCGAGTCAGTGCGCAGAGAGCCAAGCCATGACGAAAATCAGTATAAATTTATTAATAGCCATGTTCGTATTCAGGCGTCTATTTATAGCTACTCTCATCTCACTTTTGTTCTTATATCAACGATTTCAGCCCACTGGATGCCCAGAGTCTTTCTTCTCAAGGCCCAAGATAGGGGTTCAATCCCTTGCTAAATGCGCCGACCCCAGGCTACGATGGAAGATGAGTCTGCAAGCGTCCCGTTGAGACCAGCCGACTTGGCATCGGGATATTAGATGTCCAAAAATATCACTCGAACCTGGAAAACCCGTGGCGTTGCGGGTCTGTAGGGCAACTGGCGACATCTCATGCGACGTTTTTACTCGATCTCCGGTGCAACTGGGAGATTGTCCCTCATTGATAGCCTATGATCTCTTCTGTATTGGACTAGGTTCCTCCCAGGTTGCCCCATGACGCCGCCAAACTATTTCAATCCCATCAACCCCAAATAGCTCGGATACGCCTCTGGGAGTGGCCCGGATGCCTTCCGTCAACCCACGTGGTTTAACACCGGGACTCTATTTTGACAACATATCTGTGGGTCTTCTTCATCCAGGAAACGAAACTAGACGAGGCTTTTCTCGAAGATTTTGTAAACAGTCGGCCCTGCGAGGATCTTGGCCAATTGTGGGTAGTCGTCGTCAAAACTCCCCAGCTTGACGACTTTATAACCCATCCTCAGATACCACGCCTGTAATCTTTCCTTGCCCGCGTGCTGGAAGGTGGTGGGTACGAGCAGCTCAAGCTGCATAATTGTGCATCCACGTCTGCGGCATTCGTCCTCGGCGAACAGAGCCATCTGCCGACCCAGTCCCGTCCCTCTGTGCTGGGCATCGAGTGCCAGCATGCCAAACTCCCCACGGTCAGGCGTCAGCAGCTTGATGAAGATGCAACCGACGGGTTCGCTGGTGCTGTTGAGGTAAGCCACCGCGAGTTGGCCGTTGCGGAAGAATTGAGCCACTTCTGCCGAGGAAGTGCGCTGGTATGAAGGCAGGAAAATGTCCTGTTCAGCGTCGGTATAGACGGTATTGACGATATCGGCTATAGTAGCGACGAGTGAGGCGTCATCTGCGCTGGTAGGGGGCGGAATCTTGACGGTGATGGCATCATTTTGCTCGGCCATGTCGGTCTTATTCTCGGCCTTGGACGCGTGGTCGATCATCTTGACACCTTTATTACGTTGATGGAAATGATTCCAAACTCCTTTAACCAGTTTGAGAAGAGTAGCGCAAAAGTGAGAGATTTTGGTGAGTTGGTAAGATTCGACTTGTCCTAAAATCTTAGTGATTCTGAGGTGTTTGATTGCGGTCAGGAGTCTTCCTATAGCAATTATCGAGATTGTTTTACTGTTCTGTCCCGTTTTGAAGCATGCGAGCAACTCTAAGAGAGAATAGGGTCTTAGCGGGGAAGATCTTACTTCGTACATCACGTAATATACTTGCTCGTCAATGCCGTATTCCGGAGCATAAGCACTTGCGAGATAGTTCAATCTCGCCCACCAGCGGTCAACTGAACCAAAGAGTGTACATGAATGAAACCACATATCTGATCAAATGGGGTGGGTATTGAGGTGAGTTCATTTTAGCTTCATATTGTACACACTGTCTCTACCTCAGTGAGATGAATCAACGTAGGTGCAGCCCTTAAACGCCATACGTAAACTCCCGGTACTTCTTCTGGTAATAGTACGTCGCAAGTCCACCAGCAGCACCAAGGGCAAGCGGCACAGGTGCCCTCGCTCCCGTCTTGATTATTCTGGGAACGGCAGAACCAGTAAGAAGCACACTGTTGGCGAGCGCAAGCTCCGCACCGTAGTCCTTGTTCTGCTTGAGGAGGTATCCTAGCGTCCAAGAGTCAGTTCAGTAGTCCAATCCGTGGCGTTGAAGACCATCGGAGAAGTGAGAAGACAAACCAGCATAAGCATATGAGACACCGAGTCCGACACCGGCGACGAGAGAAGGGACTGAGCGCGTTCGCAGATAGCCGGCGGTTCCGCCAGCTGTCACTACCAATTGAGAAGATGGTCAGTGGCCAATCGCCTTGTTAATATCGCGGATGAACTCACAAAGCGCGGCGAGAGTGAAGGACGGATGTTCAGCCATGATTGAGTGAATTTGTGTATTTTGTGTTTCGGTGAAGACAGAAACGTGGCGGGAATGCAAGGGCTCGAGTTTTGCAGATGCTCGCGTCTCGGAGTTTCGCGCTTCGGAGGAATCTCGGCAGAATGTGAGGTGCTTGGCGATGTCACCATTCTGAATATTCTCCACCCGTGGAAAGTGAGGAACAAAGAAATAATCGCGAAAATGGATTCTTTAAGGAATCAAGGGAGATGGTGGGTTACAATATAATTAATTTCAGTTTCTTCCGCAATACACATGACATTGCAACCTAATTCTCTACTCCATACCTCATGCGGTCTTGAGACTTTACTGAAGTGGTCACATCTCCAGGGTAAATTCACATTGACTGAACAGCAAAAGTGGAACGCTCCACTAGAGAGCTCACGTATTCCGGGATATTGCTGTTCAACATTGACGATGCAGTTCCCAAGCCTCATCCTTCTATCCCAGCCGATGATTAGTGTCAAGAGGTTAAAAATGTGGCATTGTGAATATTACTAGCTACCTAGGTATCTAGCTACCTAGGTATCTACCTACCTAGGTAGGTACCTCGGGCAGGTGAATTGGCGCCTGGATGAGTTCCCGGCTGCCTGAGGCCACAGCGGCCGTAGGCGGTCATGCGTTTCGTTCAACAACACAGCACTGCTTGTTTGTGATGTTGGCCAAGTACCTGTGAGCCTCCCGGTTGAGCGCCTGCAGAATGTTTGCAATTGTTGGTTGCATTTGCGCTGCAATTAGGCAGCAATTGGAGAAGCAAAGTCGATGCAGGAGGCCCACCAACGCCGCCATTGGTTGTAATGTGATGTTTCACACGGGACATCACCAACCGCTCAACATGACTGGTTGCCTGACTTTTTCTACTTTCTGTTTGCTCTCTCTTCGATGCCTCAGGACCTTCAACCTGTTGTTTACCTAGGTCAACCTCACTCCCCGCATTCTCTGCTGCTCGTTTTCTCAAACCCACATCACCTTGACCCTCACCCGCAAGACACGACAACAAAACGCGAAGATTTGACAACAAGAAAGAAGGAAAGAAGATCGGTGGATCAGTGGCCTGGAATGTCTTCGCACTGGAGGTAAGACTCTCAAGTTACGCCAGACGCTGTGTGACGATGCTGACAACCCCAAAGAGCCCGTGGCGCTGGGCCTCCTCTCTCGGACGACTCGCTCAAGCCCTGCTTCTTCTTCAAGCGACAAGGATTTTGCAAATTCGGCACCAGATGCAAATTCTCCCACGATACAACCGAGACACACTCAGTTCGCGCTCCCGAACCTTCCAACAACGCCCCGCGCCCTCCCCGCGATGGAAAGCTGCTCGAGTGGAAGCGCTTGTTGGAGCAAGGCCACTTGTCAGCCAGGCTCGCTACCACAGCCGTCAGTCGCTTCTTCCAACTTGGCCTCGAGTTGATGGACGGCGATGTTGGCGCTGCGCAAGAGGCCATCAAGCTGCTCGCAACCGACGAGGGCCTGGGCTTCATCAAGCTCGTTTCGGATCGACACATCCCGACTGCAGCAGGCGAGGCTGCCCGACTCGCCTTGTGGCAGACTGAGGTCAAGCCGCTCTTTTCCCTTGTGACCCACACCCGAGTCATTGATTCTGCAGTCTTGGAACAACAGGTTGCTTCGGTCTTCAACTTCATCTACGGAGTTGGTGGCGCCCGCATGCAGGCTTTCTTCGACTACATCGTCCGACTCGTCAAATCCTGGCCGACCGTCGCGCCAGAGAATCTGTCCCGAATGGCGACGGTGGAACTCTCTCTTGCTGTCTTGTCGAAGGTGGTAGACTGCAACAGTACTGCCGCCCTCGGCCCCGGCTTTTCCAAGTTGGTTTCCGACTTCGCCGAAATCATCAAGCAGCCGTCGAACCCAGACGAAGAGTTCCCCCAACTCCAGGCTGCCAAGTATCTGGAGTACATCCAACAACGCCAGGAAGTGGGTGACAACATACCGGAATTCCAGCGTATCCATGTCCCCATCACTCGAGAGACGTTCGTGTTGCGGCGAGACCTTCCCGGTCGCTTATCCGCCGATGGCCCGCGCCACGACAACGACCATACCGACATCACGAAGATCAAGATCATGCCTACCTACCAGGAGATTGTTTCACCTCGCGGAGAATACTTGCCTACCAACGACCCGTCCGAATGGCATGTCAAGGGTATTCGTGGACGTCTCGACAGGGAATTTCGTCTCGTGAGAGAGGACACTGTCGGACAACTTCGAGACTCGGTTCGAGAGATGCTCGAGCTCGCTCGGAACCCCAGCGAAAGCGCCGCTCACCGATCTCGAAACAGCATGAGAACGTACACATACGACTACCCCACCACGATCGCCGTCGAATTCCACAGAATCGGAGGCCTAGAGATGGTGGTCGGCTGCGACCAACTCCCTGCGGTCCAAAAGATGACCGACACTCAGCGAAGAGATTGGTGGATGCAGAGCAAACGACTGCAAGCGGGCGCACTCGTGTGCATGTTCGACGTGACCGGCTCGATGCTTTTCTGCACCGTGTCTGACACAACCATGAGAAGCAAAGATGACAAGGAAGCCCGACGAAACAAAGACGAAGAGACCGATGACGGCGCGGCGCCTTCGTCGCCTCTCACGCTTTCAGACGACCCGGAATCGCTCTATGTCAAACTACAGCTTGTCGATGAAGGCAAACATGAGATCAAACAGGCCATGGAATGGTACCGAGATAGCCGCCGTCTTCGTCGGCATCTTGTCGAGTTCCCCGGCGTCCTCCTCGCTTCCTTCCAGCACACCCTCACAGCCCTGCAACAAATGTACCACAGACCCAACATCCCTTTCCAGTCTCTTTTAGCACCAGCGGAGGGTTCTGCACCAGAGGAGATCAAGGCTCCCCAGTATGCGAGGCAATTTGGCTTCACGTTTGACCTGAACACGATCACGAGTAACAACACTGCCTACGCCATCAATCCCCAGCAGCCTCCCGATCCAAGTCAACTTGCAGAACGGTCTACCCTCGACCCAACTCAGTCCGCCGCGCTTGTAAACACGCTGTCGAGGGAGCTTTCACTCATCCAAGGCCCTCCTGGCACTGGCAAGAGCTACACTGGAGAAAAGATTGTCAAAGTGTTGCTGGCAAACAAGGACAAAGCGAAACTCGGCCCCATTTTGTGCGTTTGCTACACGAATCACGCGCTGGATCAACTGCTTGAGCACCTGCTCGATGATGGGACCAAAAGCATCATTCGGATCGGGTCTCGATCGAAATCCGAGCGACTCCAGAACCTGAACCTCCGCACCGTTGTCAAGAAATTCCTTCGGACTAAATCGGAGAAGAGTGGCCTCTGGTCAGCGGAGCAACTGATCAAGGAGCATATGGATCGGGGGAACGAGCTGCTCAGGGAATTATCAGCTTGTGACTCCTGGAGATCCGTCAAGAATTTCTTAGCCACCGAATATCCCCATCATTACACAGAGCTTTTTGGAGAGGTTGCCGATGGGTGGGAGAAGGTCAGGCATAAACCAGAAAAGATCATCGACATATGGATTCACAGTGGGCCTCGACTTCAAAACCCCAACCGCTCTCCAGACATCCTCAAAGCACTTTCACTCCAGTTCATGACGTACAACGAGCGACTGGGACTGTATCGCCACTGGCTGAAGAGTATCAGAGACCCGATCATCGCAAAGCTTGTGACCGTCCAAGGACAATACAACGAAGAGGTCAAGCGACGGAACCGAATCCGCGGGGATGTGGACTTGCGCTGTCTCCAGGAAGCCGAGATCGTGGGTGCCACGACAACGGGCCTTGCGAAAAGCCTCGACACTCTTCGCAAGCTACGATGCAAAGTCATGCTCTGTGAAGAAGCCGGCGAGGTGCTCGAGGCGCACATTCTGACTGCTCTTCTCCCGTCCGTGGAGCATGGCATCTTGATTGGAGACCATCTTCAACTTCGACCCCAGATTCAGAACTACGACCTGCAGAGCACGAACCCTCGCGGCCAACAGTACTCATTGGACATGTCGCTCTTCGAAAGACTCGTGCAACCGCCGCATGACACTGACCTGAGAGTTCCGTACAGCATTCTCGAGACGCAGAGGCGAATGCACCCGTCAATCGCTGAACTGGTTCGATCCACGCTCTACCCAGCCTTGAAGGATGCTGAGACGGTTACGAATTACCCTGGCGTGGTGGGCATGAAGGAGAGACTGTTTTGGTTTCATCACGAGCGGCTCGAAGGCAAAGCGCAAAGCAACGACGCTCTGAGCACATCCCACACCAACGACTTTGAAGTCGAAATGACCGTCGCCCTCGTCTCCCACCTTTCGCAACAGGGAGCGTACGCCCAAGGAGACATTGCAGTCCTTACGCCATACCTAGGACAGCTTCACCGCCTTCGTCGCCGGATGGAATCCATGTTTGACATCTGCGTGAACGAGCGAGATCTGGAAGAACTCGACGCGCTTCAGGGCGATGGCTCCGAGGTTCCCGTCTCTCGAACATCGCTCCTCAGCAAGACGTCTCGCGTCAGCAAGACAGCCCTTCTGAAGAGCGTCAGAGTCGCAACCGTTGACAATTTCCAGGGCGAGGAAGCCAAGGTGATTATCATATCGCTAGTCCGGAGCAACCCCCAGAACAACTGCGGCTTTCTGCGCACCTCGAACCGGATCAACGTCCTCCTCTCACGAGCGCAACACGGCATGTACATCATCGGAAACTCGGACACGTACAGGGAAGTCCCAATGTGGGCAAACGTCATCAAATTGCTTGCGAAGAATGACAATTTCGGCTCAAGCCTCGAGCTTCAGTGTCCTCGGCACCCAGACACACCCATTCTCGTCTCGGAGCCGGATCACTTTATGCAATTCTCGCCCGAGAGCGGCTGCAACAAGCCGTGTGACAAGAGGCTTGGCTGTGGGCATTCTTGCCCTGGACGATGCCACGCAGACAATCTTCATCTCGCCGTCAGATGTCTCGAAAAGTGCCCTCGGTTGAAGCAAGGTTGCGACCATGCCTGTCCTCTTCGGTGTGGAGAGCCCTGCCAGCCAAAGTGCCAAGCGTTGGTCAAAGATATCAACCTCTTGCTTCCGTGCGGTCACCATCTCGCATCAGCAAAGTGCTTCCAAGCTCAAGACCCCCGGTCGGTTCGCTGCATGACGAAGGTGTCGCGGACGGTTCCAGGGTGCAACCATTCCGTCACAGTCCCATGCTACGAAGATGTCACCAGTGCCAACTACCGATGCAAGGCCTTGTGTGGAGACGCCCGGCCTTGCGGTCATACGTGCAAAGGCACCTGCTGCGTTTGCAACACGCGAGCAGAGGGCGAGATGGTGGAGCAGAATCATGGGATATGTAAACAGCCTTGTGGCCGAAACTCTTCCACCTGTCGCCACAGTTGCATTCAGCCATGCCACGATGGCACTCAGTGCAAGCCCTGCGATCAACAATGTGAAGTACGTTGCAGCCATTCAAGGTGCAGCAAAGCCTGCCACGAGCCTTGTGCTCCCTGCGCCGAAAGTACCTGCGAATCAAGCTGTCCTCACGCTAATTGTACGGTCTCGTGTGCAGCGCCTTGCAACTGGGTGCCTTGTTCTCTGAGATGCGAGAAGATGTTGGATTGCGGCCATCAGTGTGAGTTCAAGGTCCACAACAATCTTCAACTATTGTGCTAACCGATCTAGGCCCTTCCCTTTGTGGCGAGACTTGTCCAGATTCCATGTATTGTCAACAGTGTGCGTCTCCAGAAATCAAGGCATCTTGTGTCGACTTCCTCGAGATGAAGGAATACCACGAAGTCGATTTGAACGAGGAGCCGTGCATCTTTCCCGACTGCGGCCATTTCTTGACCGTCTCTTCCATGGACGGACAGATGGGCATGTCAGCGCACTACAAGCTGGATGACAACGGGCTACCAAGAGACATTCTGGGAGGCTCCAACCCATTCTCCATGGACGACCAAGGTGTCAAAGGATGCGCTACGTGCCGCGGACCTCTTCGAAATATCTCCCGATACGGCCGTATTGTGCGCCGAGCCATGCTTGACATTGCGACAAAGAAGTTCATCGCTTGGTCAAATTCCGAGTACCTCGTCCTTGCAGAGCGTCTCGTTGCGGAACAGGAGAAGTTGGCAAAGACACCCGCACCTCCTATGGTCGTTGAGTCTGCCAAGAAAGACGGCAACCTGGCTCTTCCGGGTTCGCGATGGAAACAAATCAATACCTTGAAGAGCGTTGTGGGCAAGGAGCGATATACATTCATCACCACATACCGGAGCCAACTGATCGCGTACTCTCAAAAGGTGAGGAAGGAAGAACAACCCTTTCAGAGAGTTGCAGAGCTTGTCCGGTATGCCAATCTTCAGCACGGCACAGACAAAACGTTCCAGTACGACCAGTCCATCATCCAGGTTAAAGGGTCCCTCCTTGCATCTGCGTTGTTGATGAAATGCGATGTTGCGATTCTTTTTGACTTCTTGGGAGTTGTACGTCAAAATAAGTCATTGTCTGTCGAGTCAACGGCCCAGTTGGATCTTTCGGCCTTCTTCCAGGATTGCGAGGATTTAATCCAGTCTGCGCATTCTACCAAGCTTCCGCGGGAAGAGGTCCAAGGGCATATATTCTATGCACAGTTGTGTGCGTTGTGCCGTTCCTTTGGCCCCTCTGCGCGGTCGCAAGAACCATCGACAGAGCCAGCGCCCAATCCATCGCCACCAGTTACTGGAATCCAGGCCAAGACTTCGGATGAACTGACAAAAATCGGGGGCGACCATGTCAATCAAGCTCGGGGGTTGCTGGAAGAATATCCATCCACGGCTGTGTTCAAGAAGGAGGTCGACGCCATCGAAGACACTTTACGCGGCAGTTTCTACCGTCCAGTCACTGCGGAGGAGCTGCGGCAAGTCTATTTGGCCTCAACCACAGAATTAAGAGGCACAGGTCATTGGTACACTTGTGCAAATGGCCATCCGTTCTCAATCAACAATTGCGGCATGCCCATGGAAGAAGCCAGGTGCCCAGACTGCAACGCTCCTATTGGCGGGCGGGACCATGAAGCAGTCGAAGGTGTGAGACGTGCCACTGGGATTGAGGAGATTGCCAACGGAGTTGGAGGACTTGGACTTGAGTGATGCGTTATACGAATGAAGGATCGCGGTAGGGTTGACGGTAGTCTAGGGTTTTCAGTTGCCGCATTCTGTTGGACGAATTTTGATGTGAATCTCGTGTAAATATCCTTCGATTTCTGGCCTTTTGTTTGACCAGGATCTTTGTGAGAGCAGGTATCTTAGAGTGGTTGCCAGCCAAGATAGGTCGTGAAACTGAAACTCTCAAGGCAGAATCAATGAAGATATTGTCCCACGTCCCGAAGGATCGTCTGTATAGAATCTCAACGCGGGCATGTCTTTTGTGCATATCAATGGCAATGATGTTAGACGAGCCCAAAGTATCATCGCCACTCAAGGTTGGGTGTTCAACTTGCACCATTAATTGATCAAAGTGCATGGGTGAATCAGTCATGAGAAGAAGAGATGGTCAAAATAACACAAATCTCTTATAATCTATAGAATAATATACGAATATACGAACAGCCACCATCTTTTGCCACCATGCTCCCTCAGCAACGTCCCTAATGCTCCACAACCTCGTTACAACGTGATATCCATGCCTGAACTCGCAACGCACATCCTCTACCCCGATCTAGCAGGTCGATCCGTCAGTGTTTCCGCAAGCGTTGCTGTCTGTGCATGCAGATCCGCAGCCGTAGTTGATGTAGGTGGTAGGAGTATCCTGAGTCCAGTCGGCCATGCACTCAGTCTCGTCACCGTTGCCCCAGTTGCATCGGTGGCGACGGTAGCCGTTCTGGCGGAGGACCTGCTGCTGGGTCCAGATAGTGTGGCATTGGGCGTCGTTCCATGTGCAGGCCGTGGTATCCGTGGCAGATTCGCAGCGCGATTCCTCGGTCGTGACGGTGACACTCAGGCCCATGCTGAACTCCTCGAGCTTGAGGCCAACTTCGGCGCTGATGGACTCGGATCGACTCTGGCAGTTCTGGGTGCCAGCCAGCTTGGTGGCAACGCAGGCGCTGGTGCCGGTGCAGTAGATGTCGCCGGTGGCCTTCTGCCACGCCAGGTACTCGACTGACGCATCGACGACGAAGTAGTCCCACCAGCACTTGCGAATCAGGGGGAATTTGTAGGGGTGCGAGACGCCGTCTGAGGTGGCGTAGGTGCCCGAGTCGTCGGTGTACCTGCCACCGTACTCCTGGGATTCATCGTCGCAGTTGGCCACGGCATGGGCGGCGCCAAGGAGAGCGGCAGAAGCGAGAAGAGACTTGAAGAAGTGCATGGTGAAGGAGATGGGTTGGTTGTAGTTGAAGTTTGGTTGTTGCAAGAGATGAAGTTTGGTTGTTGTAAGAGATGAAGAGATGATGCGATGGAATGCAGAGGAGTTTCTAGAAAGGGCTCTCCCAGCATCTTAAATAGTCTTCATATCTGCTACTTGGTGAGTCTTGAGGTTCTATCTCAAATCAAAGGATTGATGCAACAGAACGAATAAGTGGAGAGGTTCAGGAGCTGAAGGAATATGTGGAACATGCAACACCACAACGACTCTATCGCTGGTCCGTGACAGCACAGGAAGCCTCGAAGGATCCGTGTAGCGGAGGAACAGGTCTGACAGGGGCACGCCGCATAGACGCTGCGACCAAGATGGCAGGTCGAAGATGACATAAAAAGGCAAAGCAGATGATTAACGCCGGCTTCACATACATTGGGGTCGAAGGCACGCGACACTCGCCCAGGGCTTTCGTATTTTACCGCCCCCAAGGGATTCTAATAATACCCCTGCGGACGTCAGACGTGCAGCCAGGTCGGCGGCTAGTCACTGGTTAGCGGCAGCTTTCTTCATGTTTCAGATCCTTCCATCCCACGAGACTTCAGCTTGATCTTCTGGTTCTATACACCTGCCTAATGAATGTAGTGTTCTTTGATCCTTCAATTGATGGATGGGCAGACTGGATCAATTAATTGCTTTCGGCGGGGATGGACATGTGTGACTTCGCAACGGCGGCCTCGGGTGGTCGAGAAGCAGAGACACAGCTTGGCTCATATCAAGCTACTTACAGCGACACTATTTGATACGGCCACATACCTTCAATCCGGATCATCGAAACAGCGCCAGTGAAAACATGCCGCCTACCAGAATCCGGGGAGTCTCGATGATCGAATGGTTATCTGGCCTAGCTCCCAGAGGCGGCCGCCCTGCAAGGATCCAGGAAGCAAAAAGCGGGACTTCAAATGCCGATAGTGGCGCAATCATCAACACTAGACCTGGATTGGCAAAGACTCTCGTGATCCAAGCCTCGCATCTCCCCATGTGGCTATCAGCTGTGGCTCCTCTTGGAGCAGGCTATCAGAACTGCTCGTCTAGCACTCTGTGACTCTGGATCAGCCTTGAAAGACTGCATCGGAGACTCCGTCGGAGACACCGGCATCTGGAAGAACGCGGCTGTGCATCGTGCTGCAGATGGAGTGAAGGTGGAGGAACGATCTGACCAAGCACGGCACTTGTCTGTTCCGATGCAGGAGATGCAGGGGAACAAGATAGCAAGAATACCGTGAGAATGAATTGAAGATTCGAAGAGGAGAGACACTGTAGAATTCGCTGCCACTATTCACCTTCTTTCCTTGCCCTTCAGTATTTGTTTCTGGCACTATGAGTATTCTTTGAATCAACCCCATGGCAACATCAATTCAAAATTCACGCAAGTACGTAATTTACTAAACTTGCAAGAAGATCTACCTAGTATGCCCCCGTTTCTTTATTTTGCTACCTTGTTGACCCACTGTTGGATGCGTCAGGCTTGTTCAGCTCCGAGTGCCATCCCATGGCCGAACAATGCCCTCAAAATTCGACCACGATTGCTCAAAGGGTGCTGTTATCTTGGCTGATGGAGATTATTGCCCAACAACTAATTTCTCTCCCGTGCAAGTCGTCTCCTCTGTCGAGAGGTGGCTAACTCCAGGGGAGGTATTTTGACTTGACACTAGGCCATGCATGCTATTTTCTCACCGACATACCTAAGGTACAGCCCCAGCAATGCTATTAATAAATGCCTGTGTTGGCATAGATAGATAAGGGTTTTTTCTTCTAGAATAATTTTTGGCCGCTCTAAAGGCCGCTCTAAAGGCCGCTCTAAAGTAGGTACTAAACCCACCACTCGTATGGAGAAGTAAGTGTTCCTTGGTAATCCTTGGAAATGTGCACTCCTTATCGGTGTCTCACTGATACACAACGGCATCTTGTCTCCCTCTTACAAAATTACGCAATCGCTTGTCCACGTCACACTGCTAGAATTGGATCGAATGTAAATAAGTCCTGAAAGAATGTACAAATTGGACAAGACGTAGCTTCTCATTGTTCCAGCATTTGACCACCTTTGCATGTCCTACGGTGCACTCGATTCTTGGTCTCTGCGCCACTGCTAAGGTCAGGAATCCGGAAGAGGTATGGCTTCTGTAACGGTAGCTGGGGGTCCTTTATTCCACACCAACCTGTGCTTTCCTCTTGTCACCGCTGTGTGGCCTGGCAGCAGTCTGCATTACACAGAAGTTCTGGCAACTCCCCGTTTTGAGGATTACTATATAGAATACTACGGACCGTCTAAAAACAATCGTTGGGCATATCTTGGGATGAGCTTCACACGGGGGCTTGTCAAGCAGACCGATCTTAGTCCGTGGTTGAATAACCAGGACCATGATCCAGCCTGGCTGAGAGCCATGGGAATAAATTGAGTGAAGCTTCTGGAATACAGGATAGAGAATTTGAAGAAGGTGATTGAGGGCGAGAAAAGGCAGGCTCCATCCAAGCTTGGTGCAGGAAGGTGGTGAAGTGCAGGAAAGTTGGGACTACTCAGTACAAGAGTTCGGATTCGGCTCTACTGAATTGTAACACGGAATGAATGGAGGACAATTGCTACTATTCCATTGCCTATGGTTAAAAAAGAATCGCCTTTATGAGAGTTACAACATTCACTATTCTTTCTTCAACAGATTGGAGCTAAAGTTAACCCTCACAAGAAATATCTCGCTACAGATAGTTGTTTTAGTCAGCTCAGCTACCAATGCCGAGCGGGAATCTATCTCGCATATTTTACAATGGCATATTTGTGTATTTAACGACACAGGCCACTAGAAAAGAAAGAAATGCCGAATAACTTGCGCTCTGGTCGAGTTCGGTACGTACCCACGGAAGCCAAACCTCCACCCCCATGAATCGCCAACTAAAAAAAGCCGCGCAAGACCATCAACGATTCACACCGCCAAAGATAATTCTTTGCGTGACGGTCAAAAAGAAATGAATTCCAAAGACAGGCCAAATAACTTGCACTGTGGCAGAGTCCAGTACGTACCCACGGGAGCTAAGCCTCCAGTCACCCCATCACCAATCTTTAAAAAAGAACGCCGCGCAACACCATCAGCCATCCGCACCGACAAAAGATAATTATTTGCGCGATAGCCAAAAAGAATTAAATTCCGATTTAATGCCCCCAGGCGGATTTGAACCACCGACCTTTGCATGCCATGCAGGCTATACAAGTGCAACGCTCTACCCCTGAGCTATAAGGGCTTCCTGTAACAGGATATGACGTTTTGCTGGAATGGGATCATCTTAAGTAATTGCATCACATGCGCAGCTACTGGAGGACTTGCAGAAATTGTATGGGGAATTGAGTAGACGGTGAGGTGTTCACGGCCTCACATGAGAATGAAAGCTCGACTCAACTGAGTTCACAGATACTGCAGAGTATGAGAACAGATTCTGATGGCAATCAGAAGTACATAACAAGCACTAATGCCAGACAGGTCCAAGGCTTTGCTCTAACGGCAGAATACTGGAGACTTGAATATTTATTGTCAATTCGCAACTTGTTTGATAAGACCTTCGACATGGCGAGAACCGAGTAGTCAAACATAGGTTTGATTGATGGCGAGCTCGAAGCAGTGCGAGTCTCTTTTCTTCTAGCTTTACTCCAGGCCAACACATTCCCAAAATCCTTGCAAAGCTCCCTGCATTGCCTGCAACTCCTCCCACAATTGAGGCACTACGAACGAGATTCCAGGATCTCAAGAGTGCCAGCATGGCAGCAATGCCTCCCTGGAGCCTATTGCCGACGTCTCTGAGATGGATAAGAAAGTCACAGCCGCGACGGTTTTCAAATTACTATTATAGTGTATCAACCTAAAGACTCCACAAGTAAAGGCCCGTTGATTCTTCTCTTTCATGGCACAGGATTCTCCCTTGGTGGACTGGAGAATGAGGAGGCAAACTGCAAAGAACTTGCTCAGAAGCTGGGTGCTGTTGCCGGGGACTTGAAATCTCTCTTGGCGCCTGAAAGCCCCTTTCCTGCGACTCCAAATGATTGCTAGGATGCGCTGAAGTGGGTAGGTAAAGAATGGACTTCCCACAATCCAAGACTTGAAGTATATGCCGGTTTGCCCCATGCATTTTGGACCGCTCTTCCGCAGCTAAGCAGCAGTAAAAGGTTTGATGGTAATGCATTATCTGGGGCTCAGTGGCTTTTATAACAGGTTGTTCAGATTGTTAGGTGATAATAGATTTCTTAAAGTCCCTAGTTCATTTCTGATCCGATTTGGCACCAGCAGACTAAAAGAAATACTTCGAATGGTATGAAGCTAATTTGAGCTCATGTTTCCCCCACAGTCCTTACCCGAATTTGGATAGATGTTCATGGCAGACACAACGCTGAGCTTAACGATGGGGAAGTTGAAAGCCACTCATCTGAAGTAAATTAATTTCAAGTAACCCAAAGTGATCTAACACATCCACTCTTTCATGACGGCGCTTTGAAGCGAGTGGGGGGTAGCATGAGTGGCGATGCTTCTCTCGACAGCGTGTACTACGACGTTTTGGACATTATGTATATGTAACTAGGTAATTTGCTCGACGAATGATTCAATAAATCTGACATTTTTTCACTTCCCCTCATAATTTTCCCATTCCTTGGACCATACTAGCCCTGTGATTTGTCCAACGAGCAGGAAGCCGCTAATGCAACCGGATTACGCGCTAGGTGTGCCTATGACGAGGGTGTCTTCAATGCTCACTCTATTTCCATAATAAATGAGCCGATATATTTGCGAAATTCAGCTTCTTCGTTGATGCGGTTGGTCTTCAGATTCAGTTTGTGGAATACAAGTGGAACCGTGGCAATTGGAGCTAAGACGATGCTATCTCCGTTCGATCTTCCCGGGACTAGTACTTAACTCCGGATATGAAGCACTGCATCTACGAAAAGGATTGTGATGATTTCTCATTTTAGATGTGTTTCTTGGCGAAACCTTCCGTTAACTCCACTCAAGTAACGACTCCGTTGAATGGTAGAAAAGTATTTATATCTCCCTCTCAGCTCTCCTTCAATCTGGACGACACCTAACATCACACACTTCAAACACCTCGAACACTTTAACTCCCGTCAAAATGGCTACTCCACGCTCAGCTCTCCCGGTCGTTCTCGGCAACATGACCTTTGGAAAAACAAAGACCGACGGCATCCGCGTCACCGACCCTGCCATCATGGCCGCTATGGTCGACGCCTTCCAGGCCCATGGACACAACGAGATCGACACAGCCCGCGGCTACGGCGGCGGAACTTCAGAAGAGACGTTGGCGGATTTGGGCTGGCAGTCTCGTGGCCTCGTCATGGGAACCAAGCTCTACCCTTTTGGCCGGGCTGCAATGTCGGCCTTGACGTCGCACACGTATACGCACGAGACTGGCGAGGTTCGACGAGGATTAATGGACTCGTTAAAGGCATTGGGAGCAGACAAGATCGACTTGTTTTATCTCCACGGCCCTGACAGGCAGACACCCTATGAGGAAACACTCAAGGAGGTGAATGATCTCTACAAGGAGGGATACTTCCAGCGATTTGGAATCAGCAACTACATGTCCTGGGAAGTGGCTCAGATCAACGAAATTTGTATCCGAAACGACTGGATCAGACCCACCGTCTACCAGGGAGTCTACAACGCGCTTCACCGCGCTATCGAGCCAGAGCTCATGACGTGTCTACGAAAGTACGACATGAGCCTCTACTCATTTCAGCCGCTCGCCGGCGGCTTCTTGACGGGACGATACCGCCCAGATATGAAGGACGATGACTACGAGGCGGGGTCCCGTTTCGATCCCAAGAAATGGCAGGGAAGATTACATCACGATCGCTACATCAACGAGTTTTATTTCGACGCGCTGGCAATCATTCGCCCGGAGATTGAGAAGGCCGGGCTCACGATGACGGAGTGCGCATTGCGGTGGCTGAGCCATCACAGTGTGATGAAGAGGGACACCGGCGACAAGGTGATTGTGGGAGCCAGCAGCGTGAAGCAACTGGAAGAGAATTTGGAAGGGTTGGAGAAGGGACCTTTGCCCGAGGAAATTGTGCAGGCGATGGATGCTGCGTGGCTCCGGGTCAAGGGAGTAGTACCCAAGTACTGGCATTAAATCTGACATTTTAAGTAGATGAATTAACAAGAGAAGATTTGCCAGACTACTTGAGTTGAACGTCCTGAGAGAAATACGAGAAATGCAAAGTGGGCGTGCGTCGATGCGAATCTGGTGCGGGAGAAATTATTATGAGCTAATTAGAGGCCGCATCGGGATAAGAGGAGGCCTCTGGCGGTCAGTCCCACGTGCCTCCCCAGTTCAGCATTCCATTCTAGCAAAAGAAAAGAGGAGAGCGAGCGGGGTTGGGAGCGTTGCGGGCGCTGAAGGTGAATATTGGGGTGGCTGTGTAGCTGGCTTTGAGACTGTGGAAACGCCCGCATGGAGCATTGTCGTCATTGCGCGTCAGGTGTTTTGTGGGAGGGATATTGGGGAGCTGTATTGACTATTGTGCAGTTGGATTATGAGAAAATTGAGTCGACTTGGGATGGCAAGAATGCAGACTTGTTTGTCTGTTGAGTCTACCATCCGGAGTGAGTCTTGATCAACGCACCAGATTGAACAGAGAGAACCCTAACATTTCCCTCAGACTATGACGTCGAGATTATCCCTTGCAGAAGCCATGCTTACAGGCACTTCTAGACCACACGCTCTTAATTTCTTCCTCCACGCTGTCAACCAACGCCAGCCCGAGTTGGCATCACCCCCGGCGACACAGCTTTTCCCGCCCTTGCGCGATTTTCGGCCTACTCGAATCAAACGCTCGCGCTACAACTAGCCACCCCCTCCCGCCTAGCTGCCGTGTTTCGACTACCGGGGGAAAGGTACACGATACATGGAGCGGGAGGCTTGGCTGAGATGCTTCAAGGTTACGGCTACGCATCGGCCGGTAGACGTTGAGCAGAGGGCCATCCGCATCTGGCATCCCAAATCTGGCAGTCCGAGATTAGCTCGCAGCGTCAATTATCAGCATATTGTCTGACCATTCTGCACGTGTAATTGAGTCCGGGGCTGGATGGCCCTCTCGCAGTGTGTTGGTGGTGGTATAAAGGGGCCTTCACCGTGCCAAGGAAAATTCCTCCCATATCCGCCTGCCCTCACCACTATTCTCACCACTCAGTTCTTCCTCGCTCACTACATACAATATACTAGGACCTACCAAGTGCCCCCTATTGTATCATTTACCTGATATGCCTGAAGAAGACGCCATTGAGCCTGCTAGTCGAATCCAGTTCGATGACGGAATCCATCCTGTGCAATCTGCCCGTCGCAGCGCCGTAGGCCGCCAGTCCAATGCGACCGACCTCGATGACGAGGAAAAGGCTCAGCGAATCGCCAACACGGATTTGAATGTGAAGCACAAACAAGTTCGTCTGCTGCCCTACTGCTATTCTGGCGGCATCAACTAACACTGCCTCAAGAACTACTCAGGCTTCCTCCTCCTCTGGGTCGCCTTCCAGTCCACCGGCATCATCTACGGCGACATTGGCACGTCGCCGCTCTATGTATACTCGTCGACCTTTACAAGCCAGCCTTCATGGGATGACCTGGTTGGCGCCCTGTCCATCATCATCTGGTCGCTGACCCTGATTGTCACCATCAAATACACATTCATCGTCCTCCGCGCCGACGACGATGGTCAGGGAGGCACCTTTGCCCTGTACAGCCTTCTGGCGAGATACACGCACATTGTCAAGGGAGACCCTAAAAATGACGATACCGTCAAGTTGGAGCGCTACCTCACCGGCGAGCTGAAGCCAGGCGGGAAGAGCCTCCGCAAGTTCCTGGAGAATTCCCCAGCGGCGCAATTTGCCCTCAAGGCTATTGGTGTCTTGGGTGTGTCTCTTGTCATGGCTGATGGCATTCTCACTCCTGCGCAGTCCGTACTGGGAGCCATCCAGGGCATCAAGGTGGCAGACCCGACCCTGACGACTCCAACCATTGTCGGCATCTCGTAAGTCTTGAGCAGTGTCCCTTCCAACGCCTTTCCACTAACAGATTGTTTGCAGTTGCGCCATCCTCGTCCTCCTCTTCCTTATCCAACCCTTTGGCACATCCAAATTGGGAACCGGGTTCGCCCCCATCGTCACCGTGTGGCTCCTCTTCAACCTTGCTTCCGGTATTTACAACCTCGCCGTGCATGACCACACCGTTCTCAAGGCATTCAGCCCACACTACGCCTTTACGTATCTTATTCGCAATGGATATGATGGTTGGAAGTCACTTGGCGGTCTCTTGCTCGCCTTTACTGGTGTAGAGGCTTTGTTTGCGGACCTTGGAGCCTTCAGCAAGCGAGCCATCCAGATTTCATGGCTATGCTTGGCCTATCCTTGTCTCATATTTGCCTACGCTGGACAGGCTGCGTTCATCGCCAATGACAAGAGCGAGACAGCTTTTACCAACCCGTTCTTCTATACTGTACCGCCAGGAAGCTTCTACCCTAGGTAAGGGAAACTTTCCAAAGGGCATGGTGTATGATGCTGACAGCCTTTAGTCTTGTCATCGCAGTCCTGGCTGCTATTGTTGCGTCCCAAGCCATGATCACGAGCACATTTCAACTGCTCTCGCAGGTTCGTACAGTGTTTCGATCAGTCCGACTGGTTCTTGCTAACTTGGTTCAGGTCATGCGTCTCTCGTATTTCCCTCACATTAAAGTCGTGCACACGAGCAACAAATTCCACGAGCAAGTATATATGCCCATGGCCAATTGGCTTCTCATGATCGGAACTGTTGCTGTCACTGGAATATACAACACTGTAAGTCACATCCTGACCAGACATCGCCGCCAATCCTAGAGCCACATTCTGACTTGCTCTAGACCACTTCGCTCGGACATGCCTATGGAGTCTGCGTCATTCTTGTCACATTTATTTCGACCTGCATGGTCTCCCTCGTCGCCATTCTTGTCTGGCGCATTCCATCATTTGTTGTGATACCCATTTTCCTCATTTTCGCAGCCCTCGACGGTGCTTTCATGTCCGCAGTGTTGACCAAAGTGCCCGACGGCGCTTGGTTTACTCTCCTCCTTGCATTCATTCTATCTTCCATCTTCATCCTCTGGCGCTTTGGCAAGGAAGCGCAGTGGTCTGCAGAGTCACTGGACCGCCTGCTGCCCTCTGATGTCCTCTCCGACTCAGACAGCCAGAATTCTTCCTCTGTCACCAGACTCACCGAGTCGTTCGGCAGTACGCCAGTCAGTACCGTCCCCGGACTGGGCGTCTTCTTTGACAAGTCTGGCGATTCGTCGGTGCTCCCTGTTAGCTTCGCACACTTTGTGCTGAAGTTTGCAGCTCGTCCCGCTGTTCTAATATTTTTCCACATGCGGCCGCTGCCGGTGCCATTCGTGGATTCTGCTGACCGCTTCGTTGTGACACGCACGTCAGGCATTGCCAACTGCTACAACGTCGTTCTGCGACACGGATATGCAGATGATGTGGTTCGGCCCGGCATGGCGCGCGATCTCGTCGCACAAGTCGAGTTGGTCGTTTCGAGGGCGGCTGCACCTGATGCCGCGGAATTGCAAGCTCTGCGCGAGGCCTACAGCAGCCAGATCGTGTATGTCTTGGGCAAAGAGACGATGAAGATTAAGCGGGATGGTCGATTTAAACCATGGGCCATCACACGGTGGATTATACTGGAAATATTCCTCTGGATCAGAGAGAACTCCAGGACCAAAATGGCGAATGTGAATATTGATGTGGACAGGTTGGTCGAGGTTGGCTTCTTGAAAGAAATTTGAGGGAGTCTGCGACGACTGGTTGGCGTCTAAACGCAGTTGACAACACAATCTGAAGTAGTAATTTACAAAATTGTGGTGACTTCCCTTCCCGAACCGTATCTCCCTCAATCGATATGCAAACGCAACTGGAGTCCCTGTCGAAGTTGATGTACTCTCGAATCCTTTGTGCAGTAATGACTCTTCCTTCTACCAGGAGGGAAACCGATTTCAATTTCATCACGTATGGCAAATCCGTCTAACCACCTAACCGTGGAACGGCCGAGCTGAGTCTAAACCCAGGCACACTGGGACAACATTTGCCACGTTCCCGCCGCGCTGTCGAACAATGTTGCGAGCACAGTTAAGTTGATCTATCGAGGTCGAGGTTCGGGCACCGTTTTGCACCTCGAGCCCCTGCGGCAATGGTAGTCCTGATCATTGAATATGTTGTACAGAAGCCAAATTATCTCAAACCCAGGAAGTTACGAGATATGATTATTACACGGGATGGACTTCAGACATGAGCGAGGGAAAGGTCCAAAGGCTCCAGTACCTAGAACCTTGGCATCTCATTCTGATGGACTATTCATCTACGCCAAAGTCGCATGCCGCCAGATCACTAGGGACGACCAGCCAGGCCAACATTCTACCACGCCAAGGGAGCCAGTGGATTTGGTTCCCATAGACCCGAGATTCCAGGACGGTGATTAACTATATATCCAGATTATAGAGCAGGTGCTGATATCAATGACATTGAGATGCGCGGCATAACAGATAGTTTCGTCCCTGCGGAAGTCCGGTATGCATGTCAATACTGGGCGTTCGCCTTGAACGTAGCAGCCGTCTCTGACAGGACAATGGTTGGGCAACTCGACAATGAACGAGTGGATGCATTTCCGCAAACACATGTCGCTCACTGGCTTGAAGTCCTCTCATTGATTAGAAGTCTACCGAAGGGCGTGGCCTTGGTACCGAGACTGGAGAATCACGCCGAAATTAGCCAGGCTTGGGTTTCGCTTGCTCCTACATAACCCACTCATAGTAGGTGGCAATAGAAACTGCGGGGATCGTCCTCATCATAGTCCGTGCTGCTTGCCGATTCATGCGAAGCGACATGAACGTCGTAGAAACGACGCCATCGCAACTACATACCTTTGCAATTCTATTGAGCCCAGAGAACAGTTACCTAGAATACAGCCTTGTAGCGGCCGTTGTACATCCGTAAGAGCAGATAAGGCAGAGACTGTAGAGGGTGGAAAGAAATAAAGTAGACAAATCAACATGTACTACGCTTAGTGCCGCTTGATCAAACAATTCAATAAAGGATGCTACCAGTTTGGGCCAAAATACCAATGATTGAACAAAATGATGATAGTGCTTGCTAACGAAGATGAACAATCCATCCCGCTGTACCCAATCCCTCGCCCCGTCAAGTCCCATAACTTACTAATTATGTTGAACTAATAACCCAAACGCAGATGGAACTTCCTGTTGAAGGTAGTGCCCTGTATGACTCTTTCCCGGCAACATCAAAGCCTCCAAGATTCACAGTATCCCTAGGGCCAATGATCATTGGCACACCACAATAATCAACAGCCTTTGTCACATCGCACCTCGTTTGCTGATCTTCCGTGGCGGCTCGTCGCTCGATATGCTGCGGCTGGCATTCCGCCTGATAACCCCCCTCGTTGACTCAGCTGTCCCAAGTTCTGCCACTGTTGGTGCAGCTGCCACTTCCCCGGACCCATTATTCACCTGTTCCCCATCGTTTGAAAGATGTGCCTTTGTTGCCGGTCGTTCTTGCTCCAGCAACTTTTCCAGAGTCACCTGCAATGATTTTGTAATCGGTGCATCTGGCCCGTTACAATGTTGACTACGCACAATTGCGTCCTGCAGAAAAGAAGTTGCCTCATCTCGTTGACCTTGAACAGTCCAATTATCCAAAAGGCTTGACATGCAGATCATTGTGACCCAATGGAAATCACCCAGCTTGGCCCGTGTTGTTTCCCAAATTTGCATCCGTAATAGCCCGGCTTCTTCAAACCGACCTTGTTCGCGTAACGTGTCGGCGTATTTCGACATGCGCGATAGAGTGTCGGGGTGGTCATCCCCAAGCGTCGCCTTACTCTTTTCCACCACGTCAAGCTGTAGCTTTTCTATCCGGCCCTGAATTTCCTCAGCTTCATTCCCCTGGCATATAACCTTGTATTTCTTCAATATGATCGAAAGATTGAACCTTCGCACCAAAGTTGTATGGTGTTCATGCCCCAACATTTCTGGACTCAACTCAGCTGCTCGTGAGCATAAGTTTAGTGCCTCTGCAATATCCTCGCCGTCCACTAACATGCCGCCAAGAGTATCCATACTGTTCAGTGTGGCAGGATGCTTCTCCCCAAGCGTGCTTATCTGAGCTTGTAAAACTTGATCCAACAGCTTTACCGCATCATCTGAGCGGTTCTGGTGATGGTATATGACAGCAAGGCCTGCCATGTAGACGAGGAGTTGAGGGTGATCCTGTGGAAGCTCCCTGGTGCCAATTTCCACCGCTCTGATTTGAAGAGCCTCTGCGTCCTTCCAGTTTCCTAGTTCAGACAGAGTAGTTGCCAGATTATCCATGATCTCAAGGGTATCGGGATGCTCTTCACCAAGGCTTGATTCTCTTGCACGGAGTACACTTTGCTGTAAATCATGAGCCTCGAAATATCGACCTTGTTCTGAGAATGTGGCGGCGAGACCAGCCATCGAAGACAACGTATCCGGGTGTTCGTCGCCCTGGACTCTTGACCTAATTTCCAGTACACGTGTTTCCAACTTCTCTGCATCCTTAAAGTTGCCCTGATCCCGTAGTACAGATGCAAGGTTGGCCGTATCAATCAATGTCTCAGGGTGATCTTCAACCAGTTGGTTCTTTTCCAGGACTTCTATAAACAGATTCTTCGCGGCTTCGAATCGACCTTGTGACACATAGGTTGAGGCAAGATGAGATTTGAGAGTTAACAAGTTACTATCAGTCTCAGAAAGAACATTCGTGGCGATTTGGATTGCTTGGGTTTCTTGATCTTCGGCCTCAGTGAAACGACCTTGTGCCCAGAGGATCGCTGCCAGATCCGTCATAGTGGACAGAATATGGGTTATCTCCTCGCCAAGTGTCATTTGTGTCTCTAGGACGGATACGATGATTTCCTCGGCCCTGTTCCAGTTCCCAAGGTGAAAGTATGTCATCGCGAGGTTGCTTTTGCTCGCAAGCGTGTTACGAGGTGGACTCTGGATCAAGTTTTCCTCAATACTGATAGATTCAAGTAGTCGTTTTTCTGCTTCTTTCCATTGACCTTGATAGTTGAAATGACCGGCCATGCGATGTAAAAGAAGTGATCTTGCCAACAATCCGTCGTCCGAGCGTGTGCTTTGATGTTGCAGTACCGCATGCACGTGTGGAAGATACTCCATGCAAACCTCTCTAGTCTCAAAAGAGCCATGTGGAAAGAAGTGGCACATGGTGTCTAGTGCATGCTCCTCGAATTCGGCAACCTGGTTCTGGTTGGCTACCCACTTCCGAGTGACCAAGTGTACCAATCGATGCATATCCAAATTTTTGGATTGGTGTTCGGAGACGAAAGAAAATGCCATCAGAGTCCCCAAAGCCGTCGTAACGTCTGATGCATAACCACTCTTGGCATCCTCTGGGAGTGTCTGATCTTGAAAATGTATAACAAAATCGCGAGGAATAGTTCGATGGTCAAAGAAACTGAGAAATGATAAAAATCGAGCTGCCAAGGCATCTCGCTTTTTAACTAGCTCAAAGGATATTATCCATGTTGCAGTGACGGCGCGTGGTGTTTCCGAGTCCCTCCCGACAGTCTCAAAGGGTTTGCTCAAGAGGTTGACCATCTCAGAGTCGCAATCGTCTAGAAGCTTGACATAGTCCTTGATTGAGATGCTGTTCCCTGTGATATAGAACGCTGCCTGTGCAATAGCCAGCGGCAGGTGCTCTAGTCGTGAAGCCAGTAGCAGTGCCTCATCCCGGGAAATTTGAGTACCCCCGATAATTGTACAAATAAGTCGATGCGCCTCCTCATCAGACATATTCTGTACCTCGATAATAGGGTTTGCCAATGTCAGTGCCTGCGCTGCTTTCTTGTTCTGAGAGGTAATCAAAATCGACCCCTGCGCACAATCGGGGATGAAGCGTGCCAAGGTTTGTTCTACTTCGTCTGCTTCACCGGAAGCATTGAGCTCCGCTTGCTGCCAAGTAAAGAGTTCCGCGTCATCCGCACTGTCAATCACCATCACCCACCGGCCGGTGAGTTTTGTCTGCAGCCAGTTTTTAACGAGCAGCAATATATCAGTTTCGGGGTCATCGTGCCCAGGGATTTCAAGGCTCTTGGCGATCAAGGCATAGGATTGATGGAACCGCCCTGCACTGCTAGCATGGACCCAGAATATCGGTACATCTGGATGGATATCACGTAGCCAGTAAACAAGAGCGAGAGCGATTTGAGTTTTGCTACATCATGTCAGCCTGCACTTTGTTCCTAGAATACTAGAGTGAAATACCCAACACCGCCAAGGCCATAGAGAGCTGCTCGCAGGGGCTGCTTGGTTCCACTTTGTTCAGAGAAGCCAAGCTGAATCCTGAGGGCCTCTAGAATCGTGCTTCTCTCCACGTACCGGCTATTCTGGCTGTATGGGACGAGGACTGCTCTCAGTTAGTACAGTCCAGGATGCGGAGGTTGGTGGTATACACTGAGTAGAAGATGGAACCCGTCGTTGTGCTTCCAGGGAACGTTGAACAAGGCCTTTGAGTTCCCTGCAGACATTCGTATAGTCCCTATCGAGAGCACTGAACTTGACGAGGTCAGAGTGCGTGCGATGGAGGGGCCAGTGATGATCCACGCCATTCGTCGATGGGCGGCCATGCGTCGCTGAGTGCTTCGGTACAAGAATCGCATCCGGTCCGACCATAGCCCATTTCCCTTCTCCGTTCTACACATTTTAGCATGCAAGCATTCAAAACAGTTAGGATTTGAATACCATCTGTGCAGTGGGCCCCGATTTCGTCTCATAGAAGGAAAATATTTCGACTTCGGTGTTTTTACCCAAAACCTTGTAAAATTGCTCAGCCATACCTTCGAGGATCTGAGACCTGCCATATGCAAGGGATTGGATCAGGCGACGACTTGGGCCATTTCCAGCCATGGCAAGGAGCGAGCGAACATCCATGCCCTGGTGGGGAACCCCAAAAAAGGCAAAACCACGCATGGCCCGAAAGAGAGCCTTATCTGCCTCGTTCTCTGAGCCAGCTAAGGAATTTATGGCCTATATGAAGTCAGGTCACCAGAAAATATTAGGCTTATAGATGAACGCACTTGCTTAACGACGAGTCCTCCCAGGCTGTGGCCGATTATGATGGTTGGCCTTCGGGTTCCAGCCAGTGGAAGGATGGTTTTGCGAAAACAAAATGCGAGGTCCGCTATAGTCTCGATGCTGGTGCTATTCGCAACATCCAACCGATAACCATAAACCATGATGCGAGCAATTTCAAGTCTTTTAGGGAGAGAGTCTCGTAGCCACATATATGCTTTCCCTTTCGCCTTAAAGGACCCAAAAGCGTGCCCACCAAGACCTGATATGGCAATCACACTGTGGTTGGTCAGAAACGTTGTTCCTGTGACTTCTCTCAGTCTATTGGGGACGTACTCGACTTTGTGGCTCTCGGGCTCCGGGACGTGGAGGGTTGTGATGCCTTCAAAATGATAATCAAGTACCATGGCCGAGTCGTCGGTAAAGTGACCTCCACCAGGTCTCGTCAAAGAAATACAACCGTCTGCATCTTCTTGGTGCTCGTCAGAAAGATTCTGGAAAAGGATAGTCCCTGTCTGAAATTCGCCATCAAGCTCACAGGCGAGAGACACGATAATTGGCTGACTAGAAGAATCCCAATCGTTGAAAAAGGATTGTAGACAGGATTTTGTCCAATCCAGCGGAACGCCGCGAATGCGCCATGTCCAATCGCTTCTGAGTCTCTTACTTGGACACATTGTTGCATATACTGGACCATTACGATCAGGAGTTGTCGAAATATGTACAAGGAAGACTTCGAATATGCCCAACATAATCCGAGGCTGTGTTCAAATAAGAGATTGGGCGGTGGAGGATGGCAGGAACGGTAATGGTCAGACCAAGAGGCGCTGCGCCGCATACATATTCAAGCAGCGTCCCATTCACGCCCAAAATGTAAAGCGACGCAACCAACGACATAACGATACAGCCAATCTCCGATGCTGCACAATCGCCGCTTTAGCAAACCCCCACACAGATTAGGCAGCAATCACGGGCGCAGTCGGCACGGGCCATCATGAAGACTCGGTCAATGGAGGCAATCCTGAGGAAGCCAAATGCACCTTCTACCCGTGGTCTGAGGAGATCCGAAGTGGCGTTTAGAAATAACGTGACCGTGACCTTAGCGTCACTATCTCAGAAGGGCAGATTGCGGGGTCAAAACTTGGAGGTTCAACCTCAACCTCCTCTAATTATGTCTTTGCTACCCCTGTACTATCGCAATATAGCACGTCTCAATTACCCTTTCCTCTTTGATCAAGATGCGGCTCCTAAACTCGACAAGTTTCGAGCTCGCTGAGTTCGTGGGCGATGACATCCCAACGTACGCCATCCTCTCGCACACTTGGGACATTGAAGAAGTTACCCTCGGCGATATGAGGCGGCGAGACTTCGATCACCTAAAAGGATTTGCCAAAATCAAGGGCTGTTGCGAGCAAGCGGCACAAGATGACTTGCAGTGGGTGTGGATCGACACGTGTTGCATCGACAGACTATCAAGCGCGGAGCTGTCCGAGGCTATCAATTCCATGTATCGGTGGTATCAAAACGCCGAGGTCTGCTATGTTTATCTATATGATGTCCCTCCACCAGACCCGTTCTTGGACAAGCACCTCTTCCAGAACGCTCGGTGGTTTACCAGAGGGTGGTGTCTGCAGGAGCTCATTGCTCCACGAGAGGTAGAATTCTACGCGGAAAACTGGACGGAGTTGGGAACAAAGTGGAGTTTATGGCAGGCCATATCCGAAACAACTTCCATCCCGGTCGCTATTCTTCTTCAAGACAAGCGACCTGCGGATTTTCCCATCGCCCAACGCATGTCATGGGCATCGAAGCGGAACACGACGAGGGAGGAAGACATGGCGTATTGTCTGCTGGGCATCTTCGATATCCACATGCCTCTTCTCTATGGAGAAGGTCGGAGGGCATTCATTCGACTCCAGGAAGAAATCATGAGGCGAGGAGTGGATTACAGCATCTTCCTTTGGCGATCAAACGCGTTTCATGATACCACAGGACTTCTTTGCGATTCCCCTCACTACTTTCCAACAGACGGAGTACCCATAAGATCCGGGGGTTTCTGCAAATATTCCGGTATCGTGGCATCCAAGATTCCCATTCAAAACGGGCCTGAACATACCAAGCCACCTGAGGTTACCCCACGCGGTCTTCAAATGACCCTTCCCACCAAGGCGTCTGCGGGTGGTTCCCAGCTGGCTTGGATTTACCTAACGCACAACGACGGCCTTGTTTGCATAATTTTAAGCCTACAGCAAAGCGACTATAAATACCACAGAGTCAGGGTGGGCTGTGTTGAGATAGTCGGCAAGGGAGACTTGGAGAGCTTCCAAACCGAATACATGTGTATGGCCATCTTTACGGAACTTTCTCTCCCGAAGATCCCAATGCAAACGCTGGATTTCAAGCTTTGGATGAAGTCAACGGCAGATGAGAAGCTGTCCATCATCGACATCTATCCCGAGTGCCACTTGGACCATCGAGAGGACGGCTCATATGGTATGCAACTTAACCTAGTTGCTTGCCCCGAGTTATTCATCATGGTATTCGGCGTGGAACAAAACTCAGCAACCCATCGATTTGTTGCAGCACTCAATATGTTCCATGGTCATTGGGCTTGCAAGATCCGCAAATTTGAACCCGATGTACCGCTTGAAACAGTAGCAGAGGAAGTGTGGAAATTGGGGCCCGAGGAAGAGGAGGGCGACAGAGCTATTTCACGCCTGCCGAGCGGTACCTATGTTACGGTTGCTTCGAAAAGGAGATCGCAAAGCTGCCGATCTCATATGTATGTTTCCTTGATACCTGCAAACTATGCTGCGGACCTTCATTTGCTGCGGACTTTTATCCCCAAGCAGGTCAAATGGGCGCGTGGGCAATCAAAAGACGCAGAGTCATAAGCGCGATATCATACCTATACCCGTATTTATAGCTTTCTACCCTTGATGAATAGTCAATTTGAGCCAAGAGATCTGCTTATACCATCTTCAGTCAGTATCGTCTACCAAACTCGGGTTCATTGAGGCTCAAGAGTAGGACCTGCAGACCGTGACAGTGGGACATACTCTTCTATCCTGCCATCATACAATCCAATCAGGACACAATCACCACGAATAGACTGTTTGGTATGGACTGAGGAATATTCGCTTGTTGCACGAGGGCCCTTATTAATAGACAGTAATGCCGGCGAAGGGAGGAACTACAAAACGGTGAAGAATACATAAACGTGACATTGAAGCAATCTACTTAATAGATACCATCTCAGCGCCCATGTCTCTCAGACGATTACAGGCTCATCGCCAGTGAATTTTCTTCCATTACCCAGCCCAAATCATCCACCAAGAGAGTGCGCAGTGGGCATCAACACCTGGCGATGCTACGTCAATGGGAGCTTTCCCAATTCAGAAATGTGACAGGGCTGGCCACGCGACGGAGATTGCTCCTATTTTCGGCACGTTACCGAAGGGAGGGATCACGGACCTGCAGATTGAAGTGAGTAAGACGATGCAGAAAGCTTGGGTGGGATTTGCAAAAGAACCACACCACACTCAGGGTCGGGATGGAACCTCGTTCCGCAGCTAGCGATTTCTGGTGGTGGTGCCAGGACCGGGGTGGACGACACTGTGTTTGAGGCGTTCGAGGTTATTAACGCCACAGATCTATGGTGTGACCTGTACCAGGGCTTTACGATGAGGTAACCTTATTGATCAGATGGTGGAAATACTCAGATTGCAGCGTGCAGGTATTGGACAGGTTACTCTTGCGGCCTCGAGCATTGAGTCAATACCCTAAATGTTGAAGAATTGTGAGCAATAGCTGCTACTCAAGAAATCGTCGATCGATATACCAAATGAAGTTATACCACACCATTATCAGGTATCGGAAATACGAGTCTACTTCCTCAGGCCCAGGATGAAACCATTGCAATTGAAGTCAATCAGCATCTCACAGTAAAACATGATTTGAGCGTCATTCTTTACAACTCATAATGCGGATCAAAAGCAGATCGTAATATCTGTACCAGACCACGAGAAGCACAAGGGCGTGAAGCAATCACTAGGGAGCCGGACAGCCAACGAGCCAGAGTACAAGAGTTTGACCCAAAACAGAAGGCGGTGAATTGCAGTTTTTAGTCCTGGGCCAATCACACCCTACAATTCCCACTCCTTGGCGGACATTTGGGCCACATAACTTCGCAGCCAGTTCATGCAACCCAATCGAGCCGTCACAGCTACACGCCTGCTTCATCATGGGCAACGTTGACGTCATTGCGTACAATGTTGCTGCTTTCGTCAGCACCCTGTTTCTTCTAGAATTCGGGGCTGACAAGTTCGTTGATCATACGGCCATTGTCGCAAAGCGGACAGGAATTCCCGCTACTGTAATTGCGCTTCTGACGGCTGGTGCGGAGTGGGAAGAGGTGAGTGAAACGATGCGAGTGATCCCTCTTCATATTCAGCTGATGACTGGTATTTTCCACAGCTTGTCGTGGTCGTCGCATCTCTTATCCAGGGCCGCTCATCCTTGGCAATGGGAAACATCGTCGGATCTGCCATCTCCAACCTCCTGGGAGCCTTCTCACTCGGCCTCGTATTCCACAGGGGAGAAGCAGTCCAGTTCGACAACAGCTCGCGGGTATACTCGATAATTCTGCTGCTCCTGACCACGTGTGTCACGCCCCTGGCGTACTTGAAAGGTAAAGGTTTGTGGACAATCTTTGGGGCCGTGTTGATTGTCGTCTTTGCCATTTACCTGGTTTCGATTGGCTGGGCTATCAGCAAGGGCAATCTCACCGCCCCCGAAGACTCCGACTCGGATAGCGGCGATGATGAGAGAAGTGACGGGGAATCTGCAAGGTCATCCCTGAGTGACGAACCTCTCCTAGAGGAGCGGCGTCAGAATGGAGGCTTGCGGTACGATTCGATGCCTTCCCAAAGGAACCGGACATCGTTGACCTACCACGTCTTCCAACTCACTCTCGGCTTCCTGGCAATCTGCATCGCCGGTTACGTATTGTCCCATGCCGCGACAAACATAATCGACGCCATCGGTGCCTCAGACGTTGTCTTTGGCATCATCTTCCTGGCCATCGCCACCACGCTGCCTGAAAAGTTCGTCGCCGTCATTAGCAGCCACCGCGGGCATTCGGGCATCATGGTGGCCAATACTGTCGGAAGCAACATCTTTCTTTTGTCGCTGTGCCTGGGGGTAATCATGGTTGATACATCGGGCGAGTTCAACAGCGAGGGTGTTAATATTTATGAGCTTGGTGTTCTGTGGGCGTCGACGCTCTGTTTTACGTTGACGGTGTGGGTTGGTGCCAGATTCACTCGGTACGTCGGTGGCGTAATGCTGCTGGGTTATATCGCCTTTATCGTGTTAGAATTTACCGTCATTCACAAGTAAGCTCATGATGGTTTCTAGAATCTTGCATGGGTAGTGGGCGGGTGCCAGTGCTTTTATGTGTCGCTTTAATAGACTCACCCTACAACGCAGCATCGCGACTTAGCAGAGAGGCGTCTTTAGTGTAGAAGATGGAATGCAAGATGCAGTGATACGCTAATGTAGTCTCACTCTCGGGTTCTGCAAGCCTTCTACATGGTTTCGACATATGTTTAGATGAACAAGTAGGCTCTCCGTACACGCTGAGCTACCCTCTAGTCCTCAGACAAAGCGCGACGCGACTTGATCCCTCTCATCACAATCAAATGGCAGCAGCCGGATAGCCAGGTGAAGTACTGAACCCATCGATTCGTGGAACGCCCACGCGTGCTATTGAAACTGGCCACCAAATCGACAGTGGCACGGCGACGAGTCTGTCGATTCGACTACCAGCAGCTGCAATTTCACGCCAAGCTCTCAGTATCCGCTAGCATTGCAGTAGCGGCGCATACGGCGGCATTAGTAGCCTCATTCGGATGATGGAAGCGACGCTATCTCCACCTGCGCTACCACCAGAGAGGCCGCGGATGCCGCCAGCCGAGTTGAATGGAGCATAACCGTATCGGCTCATCCGGGGTATCGCCTGCTTAACCCTGTATCGTAGGTTAATTCCATGCTTACTGAGAGTCTGGAGTGATCTCCCCGCTTCGTAACCGGGCGTCCTGCATGCAGCCTCTTTGTGATATTGATCCTGTCTGGTTGATCCATCCAGTCACCGTAGACACCCTCGCACAGCTTCAATGCGTCTCCCGATCTCAAGTTCTCGATGGTTCGTCCCGAAGAACAAGATGCAAGCTATCGTCTATCGATGGCGGCCTACATAGCCCACTTCACAGCACCCTGATCAACGGTCCATTTATTATACTACTGCAGGGGACCCATCTTCAGATATCCGGGCCGCCCCTCCCGGAGCGTAGTCGACAGCATGCTCTCAATAAGGCAAACGTCCCGCAACTATAACTCCCGCTCGACTATCAGTTACACGCGGAATTAACATTCTCGCCAACGTGCTTATACCAATAGCCGCAGACTAGACCAGATACTTACAAAGTCAGGCAACATGTCGTCGACCTACCTAAACAGGCACTTGACAGGCACTCGACCGGGCTCCTGGACTACGGGGAGCTCTTCCTGCTCCGGCCGCGCCGGCCCAACACCCCAGTGGAGATGGCCCTGGCCGCTCTCATGCAATATTAATACTTGACCAACAGCTCTTCTCAGTGTGGTTGACTCGCTCTCTCCCCTTCCAAGCGACAAGCCAATCCTCTCGAGTTCACATCTCGTGAACCCGGTACGCTCGTTCACCATGGTCTACGCATCTTTCCTCCTCGGCGTCGGTGCCCTCACGGCCGCCCTGTTCCCCGTCGTCGCCGCCGTCAAGCCCGCCGACGTGGTGTTCCACAATGGCAGCATCTACACCATGGACTGCGACGACTCCAAGGTCGCTGGCATGGCGATCAAGGACGGCGTCATTGCCTATACCGGATCGTCGAAGCGCGCCAAGGCGTACATTGGCAAGAAGACCAAGGTCATCAACCTCCACGGCCGCATGGTGATGCCTGGGTTGGTGGATTCGCACATGCACGTCATGTCTGGCGGCCTGTTCCTCCTCAAGTGCGATCTCAACTACCAGTCGCTGCCCATCGCCGACGTCCTGGCGCACATTACCGGCTGCATCGAGGGCGAGACTGGCAAGACCGACGCCGACTGGGTCGAGGTTGTCAACATGGACTATCCCGGCCTCGTCGAGCGAAGCGGTTCCGTCGGCAAGCTGCAGCTCGACACGCTCAACACCAAGCGCCCCATCATCATCCGCTCCAGCGACTACCATACCGTCATCGCCAACTCGCGCGCCCTGGAGCTGTCCGACATCACCGCCGCGACCCCCGACCCGGCCGACGGCAAGATCGTGCGCCTGCCCGGCAGCCAGGAGCCCTCTGGCGTTCTGCAGGACGGCGGCTTCAACCTGCTTTCCGGTCCTCCCAGTCCCTCTGACGAGGAGAACTTGGAGGCCGGCCGCGCTGCGCTCAAGCTCCTGCGCGAAGCTGGCATCACCACGTTCCAGGAGGCGGCCGCAGGGGATGTCCACCACACCGTCTTCAGCGCCATCAAGAAGGAGGACGGACTGAGCTCGCGCGCCTACTTCGATTACCGCATTGAGGCTCCCAGCTCCGTTGCTGGCGTCCAGGCCCTCGTCACCGAAGTCGTCGCCTTGCTCGCCACGATGCATGACACGAAGAAGCCCTCGCCCAAGCCAACGCTGAAGTGGCAGGCCGTCAAGGCCTTCATCGACGGCGTCATCACGTATCCCTCCAACACGGCGGCGCTCATCGACCCGTACTGGGAGCCCGTCAACGCCTCGGACCCCGACGGCCTCTGGGCGCCCGATCCCGACTCCCTGAACGACCCGTACTGGAAGCCCGCGGTCCTGACCAAGACGCTGGAGCTCCTGTTCCTCGCCGGCGTCGATGCGCAGCTGCACGTCGACGGCGATCTCGCAGTCCGCGTCGCGCTCGATGCGGCCGCGTCGTTCCGCAAGAAGCACCCCAAGCACAAGTTCAAGCTCGGTCTTGCGCACGACGAGCTCACGGCCGAGAGTGACTGGGGACGCTTCGCCAAGCTGGAAGTCGACCCCATCGTCAGCTACCAGTGGTCGCAGCTCAGCTCCTTCTACATCCCCAGCACCTTCAAGTCTCTTGCCGACTACCGTCTCGACAACCTCCAATCCTGGGCGCAGTTTGAGAAGGCTGGCCGCCCTCTTGTCTATGGCAGCGATTGGCCGGTGAGTTCCCAATGTTATAGTCCCGTGCCAATGTTCGTTCTAATGTTGTCATGTCTAGATTGACCCTCTCGACGAGTTCCTTGCCCTCAAGGTCGCCGTCACTCGCTCCGGAGACCCGACAAACCCCAACTCTCCGGCGTCTCAGGGCCCTCCCTTCGACGCCGTCTTCCCTACGGGCAGCGGCATCTCTCGCAAGTCGGCTCTCAAGTCTATAACCATCAACGGCGCTCGCTTCCTCCGCGCCGACAAGCAGATCGGCTCTCTCGAGGTCGGAAAGCTCGCCGACGTCATTATTCTGGACAAGAACTTCTTCAAGGTCCCCAAGGAAGAGCTCGCCCGCCAGACCGTTCTGCTCACCATGGTCGGTGGCGAGGTTGTCTACGTCGCCGACGGACATGATTTCGGCGTCACGCCCAAGTTTCCCAATGACGATGCTGCCAGCAAGAGGCTCGCCCGCCGGACCATTGGCGGGTTCGCCGGCAAGTCGCTCTCTGAGGAGGCCAAGTTCAACGCTGCCAAGCTGAGGAAGCGTGGAACCTGTGTGCATAAGCATTGATAGACCCTGTGGTACGGAGTACTTAGACATTAGACAGCCCATCCTCCAGAAGTCAAGTCTCCAAGCAGTCTGTTGACATTTGGATAAATCTCCAATGGAATAACTCCGGGCATTACATCGCCACTTGATCCATGTAAACTCTACGCTTCCTTCTCCCCACATGAACGATCCTTAGGTCCTTTACGGATGTTACCGAATGGGGTGCGAGTGACACTATTCCCCTCTCAGCTGTTCTCGGGTTCGGGAAGACCGCGGGACACTTTTCCGTTGATTTTTACAGCCCCTTGTTGTGCGACTTGTGTGACTTCCATCGTACGCTTGCTTGGATCGCGGAATCAGTCTGCAGGGATCAAACGGCGTGGCGTGGTTAGCCCAAACAATAGACTTTACCAAGCCAACATCCTGGCATCTCTTACTCCATACGCGTAGAAGGGAATCTGCCCGCTAATTAGTTTCTGCGGGCGTAGGATGTCAGAGTGACATTAGGACCATCACGTTCAGGGCTGGAACATGAATAGTCCACGCCACTCCTCGCCACTCCTTACCACTCTGAGCCAGCTCCGCATAGAGGCGTTCATCTCCACACGACCGAGTATGACCGAGTCTGTCCATGATTTGCCTTTGTCCAGCCTCGCAAACTCCGTGGGAATTCACAGAGTTCGTACAGTCCTGCAACCAGCTGACAGCCACCGGATCCATCCGAGAGGACAACCAACACACTCTTATATCCTGGCTCCGTCCCGGGCCTCTGGGAGATCTGGGCCCTTCCCGCACGCCTCGGGGAATGCATCCTGGAATATTGTCTCACCGCACGGGCTGCGCTCAGGGCGGATGATGCAGCGAGGAATGCGACCCACACACACTCGTGTGACTTCCTTCAGCCCTTCTCCTTTGTGTTCAGCATCTTCCCAAAGCCAGTTAAACAGGCCGTGGATCTCGAATTCAGACCCCCCCTTCTTCAGCTGCATGGCCGCTCTTTCGAACTCTGGTTGAATTCCAACCGCCGTTCCCTTCATCGTCATGGCATTAGCTCCGTCTGGCCCGACCGTTCTGGTGAGTGCTTCATTGATTCTCGGCCCCTGCGCTAGATGCCGTAGGCCCGAGGATCGACAGCGTCTCTAGCGCAAGGCTGATCGCCATACAGGCCGTCAGCTTCACCCTCATCGGCATCGCAGCGTTCCTCATTGCAGCCCGGATATATCTGCGGCTGAAGATCCAAAGGAGGAGACTCCAAGCGAGCGATTTGTTTATGATAGCGGCATGGTGTGCCGCTGTGTCGACTGCGTCCTTTGACGTCTTCTTCTTCGTCAATGGGATCCTAAGGGCCGATCTTAACTACACGCTCGTGAACTACGACGCTGATGCTCAGACCTTTGAATACATTTTAAGGGTAAGTTATTGCCTCCGATCAGTCAATCGCCCACTGTGCATCTCAATGCCATCCCTCTACGCAATGGACTAACCGTGTCTCGTCTTAGGTCATGTGGGGAGGCGTGATACCCTTCTTCAGCACGTTTTACCTCTGCAAAGCGTCGTTGCTCGCCGTCTACCTGCAGCTGTTCCCCGTATTCATGGTCAAACGAAGGATTGCACTCTGGGCAACAATTGTATACTGCGCGATAGCGTACGTGGTGTCTATATCGTTGGTGTTATTCCTCTGCTATCCTATTGATAGGAACTGGTCAGTCGAGGTCCCTCCGCGTGAGTTTGGGTTGAGCTCTAACTCTTGAACCAAGGACCGTAACCAAGCCCGAGCGTTTGTGTCCTACAACTGTGCCAGCTACCATATTCCAAATCTCCTGGTCATTGAACTTCTTCGGCAGTCTCCTCCGTAAGTGTTGCACCTTGCTGCACTTTGCTTCCCATGCGACTGTGTGGGAGAGGGCATCATACACTCTTTCTCGAGCCGAGCTAACACTCGTCGTAGTCTTTGCCCTACCTTGGATGATCGTCTATAAGCTGAAAATGGCCCGGCCAATGAAGATTGCCCTATACAGTGTCTTTCTTCTTGGCTTGGTCGACATATCCTTCTCGTTGACACGATTCCTAACAATCCAGTTGGGCAACGAGGGCGACTTTCGAGCCATTACTCTCATCGGCAAGTCCATGTCACATCGCCGACTAAATACGCTTTTGATGCATCTAACACAAACCTTGTAGAACTTTGGAGTGCTCTAGATGCATACGGTGGCCTAATAATCGCCTGCCTTCCCTCTCTGCGACCGTATCTTCGCAAAGACCCCGCCGGGTCATACGACGAAGATGACAAGTCCCCACATCCCAGTCGATCGACACCAGCCCGCCGAGCTGGCCAGAACGGATTTGAAGAGATTGACGAGACGTCATATCCCAGGAGTACCGACGACATTACAAGTGGACCGTTCAGACGTCGAGACTCGAATTCGCCCGATATTATAGCGCATAGCACGTGGACCTTCGATAAAAAGAGCAACAGAAGTGACGTTGAGCTGGTCAACATCAACGCGAGGGCACCTGTTAGAGAGGAGGCGCATGTATAATTGTTTAAATTATCTTTAGATGCCATAACGAAGCCATGAAGAACTCGGCCTACAATTATCCGGCCGGATTCTGATACTGCTCAATTCGAGTTGGAAGCAGTACAGACTGATATTACAAGAGGAGGAAAGAACATTCTCCAGACTAGTCAAAGGATCCTAGGTGATTCTAATAAAGATACCCGCTCTCAATGATTATATTGCCAAACGCATCCTTTTAAACATAAATCGTGTGTTGGTGTCAAGCTAGAGGATCTCTCCTAGTATATATACAATGTACTTCACAGCTCAGTTTCCATACACATCCAACGAGTGCTCGGCGAACCAAGCCATGCCGCCAGCGCGCCAATCGTCCGTCTCAACCGTGCTGCCGTCGAGGTCAAAGACGACGCCCTTTCCTGAGCCCGACGACACTTCATAAACCGGCCACTGTGCCTTTTTCGAGAAGCGATGTCCGCCCTTGCCGTTGGGATCCAGACCAGTCACAAAGTTGATCCATGCAGTGGATATGACCTTGGAGAGGGCCTTGGCCTTTGCAGGGTATGGTTCGGTGCCGCCGAATGGGTTGGTGGCATATCCGTCTCCGTTGATGTTGCGGAAGACAAAAGCAACCTGACAGCTATAGTTAGCATGAGTCGTATCAAGGTCCAAGTAATATCCATACCTCCTGGAAATGTGTTGCGCCAATGAAGTCGGGAACGCCATTGACCGTCACATCGAAGCGATACACGTAGCTCGGGACTCCGTGTTTCGCCCACGCAATGTTGGACCGACGTCTCTGGTATTGCATAGAAAAGTCACCGAACAGAGCACCGGTGCGTCGGTACTGGAAGCCTAAAGACTGGGCATACGAGTCGTTTGCCTCGATGGTGTATGGCCAAGTCTTCAGTGACGGGATGCCCACGGTCTGGTCATTGGGATACAGCTCCATCAACTCATCGACGAGCTCGTCCATTGACTTTCCAGTATGCGTCTTGACATCTTTAGGAAGGCCTGCGGCAATCGCATCTCTCATTTCGTCGTCGGTGTTGACACCGCCTCCATTGGGTCCCTTGCCAGTGCCAAATGCAGTGCCTTCATCGGAATTGGCGCCGACAAGTAGGGGGATCTTGGGAAAGCGTCCTTTGGCGAGCTGGTTGGTAGGATAGTCTGCAATAAAGTCCTTGTCCAAAACAGGAGGCCACGGGGAGACACCGCTGACATTCAAGGCGTAGTTGATCTCTTCAAAGGGGGCAGTACGGAGACATGCCAGGGCCTCGCCAGAGCCTACCAAGGAAGCGCAGGATGTCACATTGCCTACCAAGGCGTTGTATGTGGCCTCTTGATAATCTGTGGCGTTGAATCCTCCGGGGAACCTCCCAATGGCGCCGCCGAAACCAGACTCGGCCATGGCACCGCGGAAGAGACCATCGTCACGTCCTGAACTGGTTAGCACAGACCACGAAGATAGATGCAAGCTTCTAACCATTGTATGCAAACACCTGGGCCGATACACTCTCAGCACCAGAGCTTTCACCAAAGATCGTCACCTTCTTGGGGGAGCCGCCGAAGCTGCGAATGTTTTCGTTGACCCAGCGAAGAGCAAGTCGCTGGTCGCGGAATCCATTGTTGGTGATACCCGCGTCCAGGGCTTCCTCACCGCATAGGAATCCCAGTGCAGACAGCCGGTAGTTGATGCTCACACCGATCATCGGCGTGCCCATCTCCACGCTGCGGTCGACGATGAACGAAAGGTTGTACCTGTGGTCACCGGAACCGCCCATGAATAGGCCACCTCCGTGGATCCAGACAGCAACAGGAAGACCTGTTGTGTCCTTGATGCCAGCTGGACGGACAACATTCAGATAGAGGCAGTCCTCTGACTGTTCGTATCCGATCTGGTCCGAGCCATAACCGTAACAATGCGGCGGGTATTCGGTGGCTTGGTGAACGCCCTTCCACTTGGAGTTTAGACCCTTTGCCAGAGAAAATCGGTCAGGTTTCTGTGAGAGTTAGTCTGAATATTCTTTAAATGTTTTGATGTATCCTACCTGGGCATAGGGCATGCCAAGGAAAAATTCCTGGTCATACTCGGCACTGTAGATACCAGAGTACGTGCCATTCTTGACCGACACCTTTGGGGCTGAGTGGCGAGATGCCGCCACTGAGCCGATGAGGCCCAGGCCGAACAGGACAAACTTGGAGACTGACGCCATAGCTGTAGCTATCCACAGGAGTTGCTGCTAGATCCTATTGTCCGAGTTGCAACGCTTCTTCGTACACCAAGACATCATATATACTTGTCAACGACTCAACTCTTCGCCATAATCGACGGCTTCTCGGTCGCATTCTCGGGGCTATTGGATGGCACAGGACTCAATCAATCCACCGTCACCATTTGCCGTCGGCTTCGGGGGGCCTCGTGGCTGGAGAAAAAACGGTGTCGGATGCTCTTCAATCCCGAGTGCTTCCCCATATTCTCCGCCGGCAATGTAACCTCCGCCCCCGCTCACCCCATATCATCGGGCCTATTTGACGTCTCTAATGGGAAAACCGTCCCCGCGTCCCGGTTTTTACAGAATCAGGGCCATTTCCCGTGGCATGGATCCATTTATTCCATTTACCCTCGGAGACTAGGCCTAGTGGGAACGGGGGGGGTCCGTTCTTCCCCGCGCGAGGAGGAGCATGATCATGTATCCTCTTTGCAACACGTGCGTCCTGCATGATGCTGGCGGGTTGTGCTTGTATGGGGAAGTTTTGAGCTGTAAATGGCATCTCTTACCGCCAATCCAGGTCTATATGGAAATGGGAGCCGCTGTTGAACCGAGGCAAATGAGGCAAACGAGGGATCATCATTGTATGGGAGCGGAACAGCTCATTTCTAATACGGCAGACTAATACCTTCGTCTAAACTGGACCACACCCGATGTCGGATCATTTCCCATTTGCTATTCCCGGCAACCCTTGCAAGTGGAAGCCGGTTCATAGTTGACAGCTTCAATCACACTCTCCGTAGATGTGAGATAGAAGACGGTGCGTAGATTCGTGCGAGACCAATAAACACACTGTCTCTTAACCCATGTCATTCTAGCTTGAAAACCCCTGTCACTTCTCCATCTTCCGTCATCCGCCATCGCGGAGCACAGGCCGGAACCAAGTTATCCACCTTATCTTTCCCCTCAAGCCCCAACGCGCATCTCAACCACTCGCCCGTTATGCCCGAAGACCTGGGTCACCTGGGCTCCGGAGTGCCTCGGAAAAGGCGCTTTGCTCCAAGGTCCAGGGTAGGCTGCGTTACCTGTCGCCATCGGAGGAAGCGCTGCGTCGGAGCCGTGGGACAGGGGGAGTGCGATGCCTGTCAACGACTCAACCTCGAGTGTGTTTGGGATGCGCGAAAGCGACTGTCGGATACAGATTCCGCGAGATCTGTAACACCGCCTTTATCAGCCTTGCAAGCTCCGAGGAGGACGAGGTCAAGGGCTCGGCCAACGACAGCTGCAGGGAATGACATACAAATGTCACCAGTTCCATCACCAACAGCATTAGGCCATCTCGAGTTTAACAACGAAGACCAGCGCATCCTCATGTCCTATTACATCCATGCATTTGTCCCCAATATCTCAGTCGCCAGCATCCCGTCCAACTTCCTCACCTCTGTCTACGTCCCCATGGCCTTCCACTGCGAAGCTGTGAGGGATGGTCTTCTGGCCTGCGCTTCCGCCCACCTATCCCAGGCTGCTTCTGACCAAACCCGCCAAACCCGCCTCCTGGAGCTCTCTTCAAAATACCAGATGAAGTGCCACAAGTTCCTCCAGGAAAGGCTCTCACCGTCGGGGCACCTACAACAAGATATACTCGAATCCATAGCCATCATCATGATGCTGGTGGGACTCGAGGTGCAAAACGGTGCCCGAACATCGACCTGGATTGACCAACTGAACTGTGTTCGCAACATTGTTCGACAGCGCGGCGGGAGGGCTGCATTCTGCCGCAGTTCCTGGGAAGCAGACTGTCTCTACCAGCATTTTCTCTACCATGACGTGATGAGTCTCGTAATGGCAGGAGTTTCGGGAAAAGAGACAGAGTACGATGACGGTTTCGAGGAGGCTGTCATTTCTCCTTCACCAAGTCTCCCTGTAGAGACGAAAATGCCCTGGGACAAGTTTATTTCCGGGGATGATGCTCAGCCGTCGTATCCCGAGACAGAATTTCCCATTGCCCACGACGTCTTTGATTCGGTCCATCCACTGCTCGGCGTATCCACGAATTTGTTTCTCGTCTTTCAGAAAATCAGGCACGTCCCACACATGGATCTAACAGCTGAACCTGATCTGTTATTTCTGGACCTCGAACATAAATTATCCTCGATGCAATTCTGCCCAAACACAGCTGTCGAGGAAGGCTCCTTTATTGACACAAGCAATCACCCCGACCTTCTTATCCTCGCTGAAACTATCCGTCTCGTGGCCCTCATGATTCTTTATCGACGCTCAGCAGCACATGTCCATCATTTACCGGTACTCGCTCGGCGCCTTCTCGACCTCGCTGACCAGATACCTTCTGGAAGCCTTGTTGAAGTTGGACTGACATGTCCACTGTTCCTTGCCGGGACCCAACTGAGCTCCGAGGCTGATATTTTCCAGTGCGCCACGAGGTTACTCAGAATACGTAAGAGAGTCAAGGTTATGAACATTCTGTCGGCTGAAAAGGTGCTAGAAGAGGTCTGGCGAGAGAGGTTAAATGGCGGTATTCTCTGGGATTGGGAACATGTGCTTCGGAAGCGGCAATGGGTAATCAATTTAGCTTAAACGCAGTTGGCTGTGCCATCATAAATGGTGCCGCCATGTGTCACTCACTATTTGCAGAAGTGTGGAGGTCTAGGAGGCATAACCCAAATATGGTGTTTCTTAGTAGATTCTATAGGAGGCAACCGAAAAGCCCCGTTTCATCTCCCGATCGCGAGAGCTCTAGAGTGTTATCTTGAAGGTGTATTATATAGAGTAGCTGTTATATAACACACCGGATATACCACCGATGCCGTTAGCCAGGTCGATCCGTTGTAATTGAAGATACTGATAGGGGATGTAAGGGACGGGAAGACAATGGATGGACATTGATTGAGACAACAATTACTGTAGTCCAGAGCTATCCATTTTTGTTCCACCTGACTTTGAACCGATCTACTTGTATCAGAAGATTCAACGAGGCAAGACACTTCGAGTTGGTCATATTGCAGCACGTGAGATTATTTGTTCATATTCTGCCAGAATATGAGTCGACTCAAGCTCACGAATCGGACTTCAAAGGATAAAAGGTCCAGTTGCCACAATAGCTGTATTGAGACAATGTTTTTACGAGTCGGGCCGATTGTCCTATGCTGATGACAGTATGTGTAATGACTCAATGCGGTCTACCCATTGTGTTGTCACCAGGCTACCGCATAGTCAATTATCATAGTCCAGAATTGTAAAAGTATTTCTTACACACTCAAGACCAACCTGCTCGTATTGTAGCGGCTAAAGAATGTCGCCTATTCAGCGTCGAATGCCAAACAGTCTCAAAACGCGTCACCGGCATGTCAATTGCCTCAGCAAATACTGTATGATGTTAAACTCCCATGAAAACAATGCATATAGTTATGCGCCCTCTATATAGTCAATATCTGGACCCAGTGATTTCCGAAGTTTAACAATCACTTCCACTTCCATACGCCCCCGCCCAGCGGTCAGGTTGTTCATCAGGTTGCATGAGGTATGCATCGAGAGCGGTTACCCAGGGTTCTTGGGTCGATGCTCCCTGTTGTATCATGTTCACATACCCCAAGAGCTCGGCCGCTTCCTTCACTTGTCCATTGGCTTGATATGCTGCTGCGAGTTCTTCCTGTGATGTCAATCGAGCAGAGTGGTCTTCCGCTAATACGCTTTCGCGTATCCTAACCACATGCTCTAACAGCTCGATTGCTTTCGTCACCTGTCCATCCGATTGGTATGCTCCTGCGAGTTTTTGTTGTGATACCAATAGAGAATGGTGGTCCTCCACTAATACCTTCTTACGTATCCTAACCACGTGCTGGAGCAGCTCAATTGCTTCCTTCACTTGTCCACTGGCCTGGTAGGCTCCTGCGAGCTCTTGCCGTGATGCCAGTCGGGAAAAGTGATCTTCCGCCAATACCTTCTCGCGCATTCTAACCACGTGCTCCAGTAGCTCGACTGCTTCCTTCATCTGTCCATTGGCTTGGTATGCTCCTGCGAGTTCGTGTTGTGATGTCAGTCGAAAAGGGTGGTCCTCCACTAGCGTCTTCGTATATATCTTAACCACATGTTCCAGCAGCTCAATTGCCTCCTTTACCTGTCGATGAGCCCGATATGTGAGTGCAAGGGCATGCTGTGATGCCAACCGATCTGGGTGGTCCTCTACTAATACCTTCTTGCGTATCCCAACGACATACTCCATTAACTCAACGGCCGCCTTTATCTGTCCATCAGCTTGATATGCCCCAGCAAGGGTATGTTGTGATGTCAGTCGGTCTGAATGATCCTCCGGTAGTGTCTCCTTGTATATCTTGACCACATATCCTTGCAGCGAAACTGCATCCTTCACCCGTCTATCGGCCCGATATGCTCGTGCAAGGGAGTGTTGTGAGCTCAGTCGAGAAAGGTCGGTCTCCACCAGTGTCCTTTTTTGTATCCCAACCACATGCTCTAGCAGGTTAATCGCCTCTTGAGTACGTCCGTCCACAAGTAAACATCGACCTACCCAGAATTCCAACTCACAAACACCGTTATCAACCCCTTTCCTTATTCCAATAGCTCTGAGTGCGTGCGGTAAATATTGTTGCCACGACTCACGATTCTCCCATTGATCAGTTGGGAAAACTTCTGTAAGATGTGCTAGCACATCCCTTTGGATTTTGTCAGCAGTCTCTTGATCTTCACTCTGTATCCGCGTCGCCAGATGGACGAGACTATGCATATCGAACAGTTGGTCGTCTCCTCGCCGACTCAAAAAGCCGTATCCAAGCAGCGTGCCAAGAGCTTGTGTCATCTGCTGCTCAGTCCCCGACCTTGGGAGAAGAGACCGAGGAATTGCCTTTGGCTCAATAAATGCCACGAATGAGAGCAAATTAGCCGCAAGGGAATCCGTCCTGCGGATCTGGTCGAAGGACATGGTCCACGTAGTTGCTACAGCACCTTGGGAGCTGTGATAGTGGGTTCCGTCTCGAAAGCGGCGTCTCAACAACTGAATCATATCTTGATCCGTGAGCCGTAGCAATCGCATATACTCTTCGACGGATGCTTGGTTCATGTTCATGTAGGCCGCCGCCTGTGCAATGGCCAAAGGCAGGTAGGTGAGCTTTTCGAGAAGCTCTGCCACTAAGCCGTTATTTTGTAGCGGATCTTGTTGCAACAGAGATTTCTCCAGGAAACTTGTTGCCTCTTGCCAACTCATTTCCGAGAGTCTTACAACCTTGGTTTTTGCGGCCACAACGGCCACCTCCTGAGATCGCGTTGTGAATAGAATTCGTCCATAATTGCTCTGCGGAAGAAAGTCGAGAATTCCACTGGGTCTCTGCTCTAACCCATCGAGGATTTCTATGTCGTCTGCATTGTCAACGATGAGCAACCAGCTGCCCAAATCCTGCGAGCTGAGATGCTGTCGTACCAACTCCTTTGCATCTTCCTTCTCTTCAGTACACTGGATGTTGAGCTTCTTGACAAGTTCGGTGCACGCCTGCTCAAAACTGGCCATACTGAAGGCCGGCATCCAAAAGACGGAATGGTCTGGATGATTATGCTTCACCCAATGCGCCAGGTGTAGAGCTACCTGGGTCTTACCCATGCCACCCAAACCGACGAGCGCTACTCGCCGGGTGCTGGTTTGCGCAAAGAGCATGTCTTTCAAGGTGTCTAGAACCGTTGTACGTCCCACAAAGTCCATATTTTCAGGAAATGGAATATAGTGGACAGGGTGGCCTTTTGTCATATTAGCTACACAGCTGTTCACGGATTATCTTTTCTTATACTGACGCTTCATGTTACTGGATTCTCTTTCCTCTGCACCTAGAGGGAAGGATGGTACCCAATGGCTTAAGAAAGCCTTCATGCACGCTGCAGCCGTAGCGGCAGCGTACCTCTGCCATACTTTGCTTTTATGGCTATCGGAGTAGTCGCACGCACCCTTGATCACCACACATGGAAAGCTATCCCAAACGCCTGTCCCCTCCATTTCGAAAGCGATGACCCCTTCAGCTTTTGCGATCGCGTCGCGATCTTCACCAGATTTCATCACGGAATCTCCAGATGCAATGAGGCCAAAATGAACAGCAGGTTGAGGGCTTTCCTGGGTGGTGTTGAGACGATGTCGTGGAACTAGTTTGCCGTCGCATCCAAGCTGTTCACACGATTGCTGATCCTCTATGTGGCGATAGGTTGCTTCGAAAAGCTTGTCATTAACTGAACCTGGATATTCGGATCGGAGGAGTGGTTCTTTTCGAAGGGTATCTAAGTAACTGGTCATCTTGCTAACCAGTAACCTCCGATACCGAATTCCTTTCAGTTTCGCGAGCAACCCACGTATCTCGAGATTTGGCCTTCCTAGGGTGTCTTGAAGCGTGTTCTTCCGCACAAAATGGCCTGGAAGTCGCCGTCCAAGGTCGTATTGGATCACACCGTCACTAATGATGACGTCGCCTAGCACAATCTCCTCATCATCACGGCCGAAGGGAACGACACCACAAACGCCTACTACAAGAGCAAGCTTGATGTTTGGGAAACTCGCCCGGCAGTTTGCGGCTACTGCTGCAGCGTTGGCTTTTCCCATCCCCGGCATATGAGCAAGCACAACATTATGGTGGCCGATCGCTCCGGTAGAGTATGCATTGGGATCACCCGTAGCCTTGCCAAAGGGTGGACTGTTATCGTCGTGGTCATCCCAGTGAACGTCGAAGAGGGCGTCGACGGCGTCGGCTTCGAGGGGGAGGGCGCAAATGGCGGCGATCTCAAAGCAGCGACGCGTGGCCGGTCGGAGTGGGAGTCCATGAGGTGTCGCCATTGCAGACCTAAATAAAGACGTTTAGAATCGTCGACAACCACATGAGCGAGTGGAGACGAACTCACGTATCATATCCCGTCCTATCGATAAAATGTTGACTGAACTAGCAAGCAATAGTGCAATCTGGCCAGTCAAGAAGAAACAAATATTCCTTTCGATGGATTTCAGCGGCCCGAACCAAGGGATCTTGCTAGCGAAGTCGGTCGGGTAGGGAAGGTCGTAGTCTCGGTGGAGTTGTCCACGTTAATCGATCGTGCTCGCACGGGTTGAGGTCTCCGGAATGAACTAGTCTAGCAAATTGGGCACCATTTTCCTGATACAAGAGAGCTCGCAACGGGTATGAAGGCTGGGTCAAGCAACGAATATGCGTGGGTGTAGGAGTGACGCGGGAATGAGGCTGACTGTTCTTCTCCACGGTGGCTGTTGCAGGTTTATAATGCCTAAGGCATTAATACATGAAAAAGGGCTTGAATATCTGGACAGGATTGGTGGCTTTCTGCAGCCTTGCTTGGCATGTTCAGAGTTGGTGCAGGCTTTTGTTATCCCCAGGACTCCGAATACATAGATATTTCGTGAGCCGGAAGGGAAGTATATCCTACCATAGGGCACCTTGGTTATAACCTACCGGAATGTTTCGTCGTCCAATAAAGCTTCCCAATCAGCTTTCAAAGGATAAAACTCCAACTCACTCTGTAATTGTGTAAGACAGCGCTTTTCCGAGACAAACTGATTGTCCAGGGTAAGTCATGGGCCAGAGGATATCGATGACTCAGCGCTGTACAACTTTATGCAGCTGCAAGGCGTGCCGCACAATTAATTATCACATTTGCCGGAAGCTTGCCGGGAATTGCCCGTTTTGATATCCAGCTTATCAAGGCATCACCAAGAAGTGACGATATCAATGAGCCGTAAAGGCGTCTTCTCTGCCTGTATTTGAACGTGACAAATACAGCTATCGTCCAATTGTCCCGTTATGAGTCCCCCCAGCTCGCAGGGGACGGCCAATCTTGCCGTGGATGAACCTCGCAGTCGCGCACTCGCAGACCAGGCAATTGCCGTAAAGCGCCGCAACCCAGTCGCCTGCCGGCGCTGCCGCCGGTTACGGTCCAAATGCCTCCATCAGTCGATTGATCCTCCGTGCGATGCTTGCAAGCTTGCCGGCTCCGCAGCGGCTTCGGAATGCTACTTTCCACGCCGGGGCGAGAAGGACCTCGACCGTCAGTTCCGGCGCCGGCGGATCCTCTCTTCGGATGCCGGCCGAACCGGAGGCGACGGTGACCGCTCCGAGTCTTCGGGGCCAATTCCGGTATTGGGTCATCCTCCTACGAGTCCTCCAAGTGGGAGCTCCATGCAACTATCCTCGGAGGGCAGCCCCAAGGTACACCGGTTCTTCATACCAGCGCCTAGCTTCGACCCCGAGCAAGTTCTTCCACCTCGTGATGAGGTCATTGAAGGCTGCCGCATATTCGTCACATCCTACTTTCAGCTTGGCTTCATTCCCAAGGCTGTGTTTCTCGAGGGGCTCATTCGCAACCCATCATCCGTCAGCACGTTCCTGTTGACTTGTATGCTATCCATCTCGGCGCGGTTTACACCCTCATTAGCACAGCGCTATGGAAGCCCCAGGAATGCAACAGACTATTTCCTAGATCTATCAAGGGCCATGGTGCCGGCGGAAATGTACCAGCCTTCTCTTGAGCGTATCCAGGCCTTCTTCTTACTCGCGATATGCCAATGGGGAAACGGCGATAAAGATAGGTCCGGTATGGATATGGGCGTTGCTGTGCGGATGGCTGCGCTTTTGAAGCTACACTGCGAGGAATCTTACGTGCTGGATGAGAACTGTCCGACTGAACAAGTTGTCAGGTCCGAGAGTGCTCGACGCGTATTTTGGATGATTCAAAGCCAGGAAAACTTGCACTCGGGATACAAAACGCCGGCCCCCTTTCCATTAGAAGACATCACTACTTTGCTACCTTGCAGTGAGGCAGATTTTGCGTTTGGGATCATACCATCAGAACGCGCCGCACTCGCAGGCACGCCTCCCGGCCTCGCCAATCCTCTGCTGGTTCACTCCCCCAATAGATGCCTGTTTGCTGCCTTGATCCAAGCTCATGGTCTTTGGGGGACAGTTGCCCGGCGAGCTGGACGGAGTGGCTACAGTATCAACAAGGTGCCTCCGTGGGACAAGGATAGCGAACATCAGAATACTATCGCGGAGCTGGACAACTGGGAACAAAGCATCCCGCCTCGGCACGCGTTTTCTGTTTGGAACCTCAGAGGCTGGAAGTCCGAGTCGCTTCACCTTGCTTACCTTTCCGTCACAATGGTACTGAGGCTGAGCAATATTGTGACACGCCGAATTTATTTGGAAAATATGCTCTCTGCCCTTGCGCAAAGGCCACCTGATCAACCGTCAGATATGCCACCACCAATTATTGGAGACGGGAGTGACTCACATCAACCATCAGAACCGACTTTCTCTGGCTCAATCCCAGCTGGATTCTGGGAGAAAACCGCACATGAGTTGTTTGTCAACGTTTGGAAGCTGTATGAACAAATCGATGCCTTCTTCACGATGCGAGCCCCGGATGAAGGGTTCCCACAGATTCTAGTTTTCTGTGTCTATATCAGTGGCTCATTGGCGTCATATCTCTGGCGATATCCCACTCTGTGCCCTTCGCTCGCAGACAATGCAAAGATGATGGCCCAACGGTCCCTTGAGGTTTTGGGTGAGCTCCATGCCGCATGGCCAACGAGTTCAAAGTGGCAGAAAGGCTTGCAACAGATTGCTACTCCGCTTGGAGTAAGCCCTGCGGATGGACAGGGTCAAGGTGCAGAGACTCCCTCTCAGCGGCCGGAGAGCCTGCACGGAACGCTTGAGGATTCAAATGCGCCGCCATCTTCAATTAATAGCCAGCAAACGGACACCCAACCATCTTCTGAGTTGAGGGAGCCGAGCCTGACTTTATCTGAGGGGATGCTAGGGGAGTTGATGAACGTCTTTCCCATTGACAACACATACTTGTCGCGATTGGGAAGTGTACAAGTTGGCACTTTGTCCAATGAGCTGTTTGACGCCGAGCTTGATGCATTTCTGCAAGGAGGTTTTCAATACGATCTTCTGGGTGGATGGGGTCTTGGGAGTTAGTGGTACATTGCCTGGCTGGGTTTGATTGACTACCCTGGGCGATAGTAGGTGATATAAAGACTAGATGATTACGATTCAAAGACTTTTTTGATATGGTTTGCCGCATCTTCCATCATCTTCTTGCCCTTGGCTATCTTGCCACTGAGCGTGAGGATAGAGTGAGTGCCCCCCTTGATATTGACCACGTCCACCTTGACTCCAAGGCCCTTTAACAGTTCCCCAAAGGCCTCAGCCTCTGGTGCTAAAATGTCCTGGTCGGATACTGCCATCCATGTCGTTGGTAAACGCTTCAGTAGTGATTCCGGTGCGTAATTTGGACTGGCATCCCAACCGCTTCGGTCCTCGCTATTAACAAAGTAGAGCTTGCGGTACCATTCCATCCTTGCCGGCGTCAACCACGGAGCCGTCTCTGCATTTCGCTTCCACACGCCCTCAGCTGTTGCAGTGTTGTCAACAACGGGAACAACCAGCAGGAGTGAAACTAGAGGATGGGGAATGACGTTGGGGAGCAACGGTGTTGTCAACGGCAGCTTGACGGAGGAGTCAACGGCCGAGAGCGCTGCGACGATGGCGAGATTGGCTCCTGCTGAGGTCCCGCCTACCGCAATTCTGGAAGCATCTATCGGGCCCAGCTCGGGTGGGCTTGAACAAACCCATCTCAATGCGTCGACGGAGTCATTAACAGCTGCAGGGAATGGATGTTCTGGTGCAAGACGGTAGTCGACGGTGACGACGATACACTTGGACTCTGCTTTATCTCAGCTAGCCGATAGGATCGTCATAAGAGAGGGAACACACCTTGACAAAGAAAAGTGCAGAAGTCCTTGTTGTCATCTAATCCGCCAATAGCCCAGCCGCCACCATGATACCAGATGAGAACCGGCCATCCGCGTGCGTCGCATTCCCCAGTTGGAGTGTATGCCCTCAATTGAAACGCTCCAACCTGGAATTCCCTCGTGCTGCCGACTGGAACCGATGGGATGCCGCCTGGTGGAAGCGATGGCTTGGTCCTTGCTGAGCCGTCCCATATTTTCAAATCATCTGGCTGGACATACTGCATGTACTGGTCGTGGAATGCAACGTATTCAGGGTCGAGTTTGGCTCGGACAGCCGCGTGAAGTGGCTGCCAGACCTTTCTGTCGTCTTCTGCCATTGCGTTGGGGGATTGTGGGATTGGACTTGCCGGTGTATGTAATGTCCTCTAAACTTGGCTAACAAGATGGAGATTAAGTTGCTCCAGTCTGCTCCTTCAACCGACTCACGATATTCTCGTTGCCATCATGTCCATCGAGTCTGTAAAGTGTGAGCTGTCTTATCTGACCCCACTCGCTACCCACAAGCATGTTGCATTGCCGGAATCTCGCTCATCACTGCGAGACATTGACCCACTCCGCTGATAACCGGCAGTTTGAGCAATCTTGCCGGCCGGCGGATAGTTCATTTATGTCACGTAGGGAATCAACATATCGTGAGCTTACACTCTCCGGCTGTTGTCTCCCATATGAGAAAGGTGGAAATAGACGGATAGCTGCAACAGGAAAATACCTGAAATTGAGCTTCTTCTCCAAGCTAAACGCCATCTCACACGAACCGGCATTAATCAGACCCCACCTTTCACCATGGCATCCATCGCACATCCCGACTCTGATTCCTACGCCGCCTCTGGCTACGGCACAGTCATGGGCTGGGGTAAACGCCCGGCCCTGCTCCTCATCGACGTCTGCAAAGCATATTGGACCCCCGGCTCGCCTCTCGATGTCACTGCTCACAAGCCATCGGCAGAGTCGCCTGAAGTGATGAAGAAGCTGCTGGCATCGGCGAGAGAAAACGGTATCCCGGTCTACTGGACTGCGGTTGAATTCACAGAGCCCAACATGGCGGATGCAGGCTTGTTCTGGCTCAAGGCGAAGACGTTGAGTGTGTGGCACAAGGACGATACCCGTGGCCTCAATGAGTGGGCAGACGGCCTCGTGCCGCTGGAGGGTGAGCCGGTCATCAAGAAGAAGTATCCGAGCGGCTTTTTCGGCACAACTCTTCAAACCGAACTCACCATCAAGGGAGTCGACACGGTTGTGATTTGCGGAGTGAGCACAAGTGGGTGCGTAAGAGCCACGACTCTGGACGCTTTGCAGAATGGGTTTCGCCCAATGGTAAGTCCTATCCGCAGATGCTGCTATAATACCAGCAACTAAATACGATTAGGTCGTTGGAACAGCATGTGGTGATAGGAGTGATGAGATCCACAACGCCAATTTGTTCGACTTGAATGCCAAGTATGCCGATGTTGTCTCTGAGGCGGGGGCGTTGGAGAACTTTAAGAAGGGTTGGTTATGGCAATAGTAAAGAGAAAGCAATGATATTCAACGACAAGAGCTGTTCTTAACGTAATAAATGCGAAATATTACCACAATTATACCTGGTTCAAAGTAGAGGCACATGAACTCGGGGAGAATTATAATATAAAAAGTCTAGCACCATGAAGGTCTAGACAATCTCAGTTCAATTGTGGTATTCTGTTCTAGAAATAGAAGACTACTAACTATACCCGGTCATTAAATAGCCCCCAATCCGCAATCACGTATTCCGAAAAAGATTCGTGCTAACTCATCGTCCGCTCATCTTCTTCTCTAGCATCCTCAGTGGCACATACAACAGCCCCGACACAACAAAGGCCAGCTCGAAGCCAATATCGCCCGTTTTCTCCGCAATAGGCCCAGTAAACCAAACTTGAGACATGCTAGGAACCACCAAGCCAAAGCTCAAGATGCAGGCCGACAGAGCGGCAACGCCGAGGGGAAGCTGCTTCGCGTCGTTCCAGGCCTCCATGCTGTATTGGCTACAGTCGCCCTTACGGAACCAGAGGTGCTCGACAACGACAATTCCGAGGAACGCAGAGGCCCAGTATCCGATCAAGGCGATGAAGTTCTCGAGGTTGGCAAAGAAGTCGGTGGCGGCACGAATTGACACGGGGATGACGATGATGGTGATGAGGACGGCAAAGACGTAGCGGGGGACCTTGATCAGCTGAGGGATGAGGAGCTGGAAGTTGAGAGTGATGGAGTACGACGTCGCAGCCAGGTTTCCGAGGAGACTGAAGGAAAGGATGACGACGACAAACTTTCCGAATCCTCCGGCCGGCTCGAGCATGCCCGCAAGAGCACCGCCTACGAGGTTTGCATCGTAGCCTTCGCTCCAAGCTGGGACATTTGCGACAGCTCCGCCAATGGCAGCTCCCAGGATCATGAGCAGGATAGTTGGAACTGCCAGTCCGGTGTAGGCATAGACAAACAGGCGCTTGCTTGGTGCAGTAGGCGTGAGATACGTGGTGAAGTCGCTCGCGAGACAGGCCCATGGGATCATGTAGCTGGCCACAATCATGCCAAACGAGAGAACGCTGGGCGCAGTCGCCGGCGGGAGGGGAGTCTGCTCGTGGAGATGCTTTCCGCCGGTTCCGGTTGCGATGAGAATGGCGATGATGGCAGGGATCCAGGCCCAGCGCTCGTAGATGTGGAGGACCTTGAAGCCGCTGAAGGAAATGCCCAGGCTCAGAAGAGAGACGATGACGATTCCGACTGTCGGGCTGAGGTGCCCATTGCCAACGGCAGACAGACACTGGCCGCCAATAACGGCCATGATGACGCAGAAGCCGGTGAGGGTTGCCAGGTTGAGGAGGACGGGGATGGCGATAAGGTAGCGGCCGAAGCTGAAGCGGGCTTGGATCATCTGGCGCATTCCCGTCTTGGGGCCCATGGTTCCGAGGTACGCTGGCAGGAACGTGGTGAGGAGGGTGAAGAAGATGATGACCAGCGAGCAGTCACGCAGGCCGAGGCCGTAGATAGGGCCGAGCATGCCAAATGTGATGCTGCAATTGTCAGTATAACTGGTATATCCGGATCCAACAGACGAGGCTACTCACGGAAGCAGGTTGGCGTTCATGCACCACCAGATGGTGAAGACATTCGCAAACTGCGTGTCTGTCCGCTCCTCGACGGGGATGGGCTGGATGCCGCGAAGCTCGACGCGGCCAAAGGAAGCGGCCTTGTAGAACATGCGCTTCCATCCGCTCACGGCGTCGACCTGGCCCTGCGACGTGTCGTGGTCCAGGCTGCTGGCGGCCTCAGCCTTGCTCTCCCCTGCAACGAACCCCTTCTCCATGGTGTTTGGGTCTGACGACATGGTGCGTGTGTCCTTGTCTCGACGACAGTTGTGGTGAGGATGAGGCAGAGGATCCAATGCTGGCTATGCAATGCACCTCAACTCCACAGTCCATGCAAAGACGGACGCAGGCAATATTTCAACGCATTACCATTCACCAAAACAACATTGGACTCCTATCTCAGCCTATCTCACTATCTCTGCCAAACAGCTAACCCCCCGGCCGGTTGCAATTCTACGGCAATCTATTCGAGCGGAGCGCGTGCTGGCCCACTCTCATCCCCACAATCCACACCTTGTCCACGCTGCTGGTGCTGGCTTATCGCTGCCAAGGAGCCGTGTGTTTGATAACGACGTGCGAGGCCATCGGCAATAAGTTGCCGGAGACCGGCAATACACGCGTTATCGTGCGTTGGACATACATGCGCTAGCCGGTTGTGTGGAGTTACGCGAGACTTCTGGGATTGATCGTCACCGGTGTCGGATCCTTGAAGAGTTTGCAGAGGAGGTGGAGAGAGGGAGAAATTGTTTGTAATGTGTTGTTCACTGTTGAAGGCCTTTCGTGAGGGAGTACCCGGCATCATTTGATTCGTTTACATGAGCTTCTTTGGTCTGTTTGTTGTTTGTCCGTCCCGGTTCCCAGAAGGCGTGTGCTGGTGCATGACATGTATGAAACCTCGTGATTACACCAAAAACCATTACAACCTCGGCTAGAATGGTGCTGTCGCGCAGTGACACCGTTCCTCAAGATGCAATCTTGGAGTCATCATTGGGGGGATCCTTAGAGTCATCTTTAGAGGCATCACCCGAAGAGGAACCCTACAGCATCTACACCAAGCACGAAAAATGGTTCATCGTCACCATGGTGGCAATAGCCGGCCTGTACAGCCCGTTGCCAGCAAACATTTACTTCCCAGCAATCCCAACCTTGGCTGTTGAGTTTGGGGAATCAATAGAGGCGCTCAACCAGTCTGTTACGACGTATCTTATTTTTCAGGGTGTTTGTAAGTGGCTTCTAGTCAAGTGAGAAAAGCGTGCTAATAAAGGCTGCAGCACCGATGCTTTGGGGTCCCTTGTCCGATCGATATGGTCGCAGGCCGGTGTTTCTCATATGCCTTACCATCTTGATAGGATCTTGCATTGGTTTAGCTTTGTGTCCTACAAGTGCGTATTGGCTGCTGCTGGTACTGAGGTGCCTTCAGGCTGGAGGATGTGCAAGCACTATTGCATTGGGTACGAATACTCCATAAAACTTAAGATTCATTCCATCTGACTTTTCAGGGATGGGCGTATGCGGTGATATTACTGTTCCCGAGGAGCGGGGAGGATTCGTCGGCTTCTTCAACCTTGGCCCCATGGTACGTTTTATGCCCCCGATCCCGTTGCATAGATCTAATTGTTCTATAGCTCGCTCCATGCATTGGACCCGCCATTGGAGGTGTTCTCTCTGAGAAGCTCGGATGGAGGTCAATCTTTTGGTTTCTCGTCATCATGGCAGTTGTCTGCTTCCTCCTCATCTGGTTGTAAGTTAATTGGCATTGCTCAACGTCAAACACTCACACTACTAGGTTCCTACCAGAGACACTCCGAGCCATCGCTGGAAATGGTGCGGTTCCAATGGCCGGTATTCATCGAGCCTTGGTGCCGCTCGTTGGGCCAAAAGGAAAACGGCCTGCTGATATGATCCAAGGCCCACGCCAAAAAGGTCCCATTAATCCGTTTCCGATTTTTGCGTTGCCAGATATTGTAATCACCTTGATATTTACGGGAGTTGTTTACGCGGTGAATTACACTGTGACGTCGACCATCTCATCTGCCTTTGCAGATGTCTACCCTTGGTTGTCGGAGACAGTTCTGGGCCTGTCATACTTGCCAACAGGTCTGGGTATGATCCTAGGGAGTACATTCGTTGGAAAGCTCCTCGACTGGGACTACGCTCGAATCAAGAAACAGATGACTGAAAATGGAAGTCTATCTGACTTTCCAAAGGAGCGTGCACGCCTAAGGACCATGCCGACACACTTGGTCGTCTTTGTGATGGCGCTGGTAGGTTGGGGCTGGGCCGTGGAGACAAAAACACATATGGCAGCGCCTCTGGTTCTCCAGGTAATCTGTAAGTCACTCCTCGTGTTATGACTAAATCGTAGCTGACCATATTAGTGGGGTGGACTTCTATCTCCATCCTTAACACAACAATGACACTCAACGTGGATATCCTGCAAAAGCGCAGTTCAGCCGCTACGGCTTGTGTAGGTCCAGGAACACGAGCACCCGCTCAGAAGACTAATTTTTGTTTACAGACGAACCTCGTTCGATGCCTCCTTGCTGCTGTTTTGGTTTCGGTCATTGAACGAATGACTAGTCGTCTAGGATACGGGTGGACTTATGTACTACTTGGTGCCATTTGCCTTTTGATGTTGCCATTGTTCTATGTGGTGATGAATTACGGACCTCGATGGAGAAGGAAGCGTGAAGAGAAGGAGGAATTTTAAAACTGAGGATGGCGCATCTTCAATATCCATTGGTTTCATCATGCGAAACGTTGCCCTTATATCATTTCAACTAAGCTGTCCGTCAGTGCAAGCCCAAATTCCTGGCCCAAGAGTGGCCGCAAAATAAAAGACCTCAACTACGCTGGGCCCAATAGGACATTAATTGCCAATCCTTTCCCTAGATAACATGCTTCAAATAGGCATGTAGCTTGCGAGCCGGGATCGTCAAGAATATAAAATGGCATGCAATATTTCTACAGACCTAGTCACATAGATCGCGCTGCGATACCCCCAAGTCTTTTTATTCTCTAGTAGCAATGCAATTCTCCTCACTGAATTTCAGCCTTCATAATAACCTCCACGCCTTTTCCATCCCTGGGTCCCATTTTGCATGGGAATTGTTTCGGGTGACTTGTCAGCCCATTCGTCAACTCGACTTTTGGTATGATTTCATTTCCCTGGACATCCCTTGCCTTTTCAATCTTCATAGTGCTCAACATGGCTGCTATGACAATCCAGACGCTAGCCTCTGCCAGATGCTTGCCAACGCAGACTCGTCGCCCGAATCCAAACTGACCATTGGGCAACGGCTCGCCCTTTCCACCTTCTTCAACTGGGATATATCTATCTGGGTTGAAGCCTTCGGGATCGCTGTAGACGCGCTCATCCCGGGTCATTGCTCGGGCATTGGCGTAGACAACGGAGCCTGCGGGAATGAAGTAACCGTTATAGACGTCATCTTGTAATGAGCGATGAGGAACTCCGACTGGAGATACAGGACACCAGCGTAGTGTTTCTTGAACGATGTAGTCGATGTATCGAAGCTTGGGGCGGTCTTCAAAGGTCGGGAGCCGGTCTCGACCGATGACTTCGTCGAGAATAGCCTGTGCCTTGGCCTGAACATCAGGATGCAACGTCATGTTCAGGACAAAGACTACAAGAGTGCTCCATGTGGTGTCTTGCCCAGCAGCATACACTGCGCCGGCCGCACCCTTGATGTCATCAACCGACAGGTCGGGTGAGACGCCCTTCTCCATCTGGTCTTGGCGTTGGTCGAGCAGAGTATTAATAAGGCAATGAGGCTTCTCGTCGGAAGCAATGACAGCTTCATATGGCTTGTCGTGAATATTCAAGATGGCAAATTTCCAGTCCCGAGCAAACTTCAAGGACCTATCGTGGAACCAAGTCGGAAGTGACTTTAAGAAAGGGAAAAAGTCGACAGGTGTTCCCGCTGGCGCACCACCATGACCAAGCGCATAGCTCGCGTCAGTGGCCATTTGGATAAACGGATTGGCGTCATTCTCGATCTTGATGCCGAACCCGATTCCTAGAACAATAGCTGTGGCAAACCGCCGCATAATGGTTTCCCACTCGGCAGGCCTTTCCACAATGCCTTGGAGCATAATGGCCGTCTCTCTCTCTTGGAGCGGCCGGTATTGGGTGATATTGCTCTTCTGAAAGCTCTTCTGCAGGATCTTGCGATGCATGCGGAAAGCCGGCCCCCATCGCAAAAAGGTGAGCGTCTTTCCCCATCCCATGACCTCGAACAGCACGAAGCGAGGTCGATCGCAATAATTGGCGCCTCGCTTATCAAGCAGATCAACAGCGGCGCGAACTGAGTTGAGGACAATAACTGGCTGGCCCAGAATATTGAACGAGAGAATGTCGGAGGCATATTCCTTTGACCATTTCATGTATGCAAACTCCGGATTGTCGGCTGGAATGACTCGAAGGTGTCCCAAGATGGGCTCACCTGGAGGGCCTGGCGGCAGAGGAAGAGCGCGCTTGCTTCGTTGCGATATAGCAAGCTTGCCGAGATAGAGGATGATCGAAACGGCCAAAATGGCGAGCCCAGCTGGGCCCATCACGAGTTGTACCAAAGCCATGTTGATCCGACTATGGTAGCTTGCTCCAAGACAAGTAGGTATCTTGGCTAGTGTTGGCTGGTGGGATACACAAAATATTGAGGAGAGGAACCCAAATATCAAGGGAATTGGCCATGTTCCACAATGACGGCGCTGGCCGGCAACTTTCGCGCGCCAGACCAACCAGACTGGACACTTCGATCCGTAATCCCGACCTTTGGGGCCTTGAGATAACGCCAACAGCCAAGGGCAAAGTGCGGGGATGCGGGATGAGAGCAGCAATCGGCCAAATTGCGCGTGGTATATTACACATCTGCCGCGGTGAACCAGGCGGCGTGTTGAGATGCCAAACAGGCTTCAATGGAGATCCATCCGCCAGCTCCGGCAAATCATCACTCGCAATCACAATCTCGATTCTTATCGTCACACGACGGGCAATCAGCAGTCATTAAAACTGCCGGATGCACAATTCAGCTGAGACGCTAATCCGGCAGTCTGCCGCTTGATATGCCCGACCCACATGACGATAACCCTCGAGAAGAGGACGGCGTGATTGGGGACATTGCCACGGCCCTTGCCAGCGTTTGCCGGGCCAAGTGATCAAATACAATCCATTCCAGTGTCTGTAATGCTTTCTCAATCCTCAGACTAGCTCATCTCGCTCAGCAACCCCCAAGACAATCGCGTTGCCAAGAGTCCGCAACCATGATGGGCGCCACAGCCACCTCGGCCTATACCACAGAGCCCTCTGGCACTGACCCTCACCGCTATCAGACGGGCTTCGGCAATCGGTTTGCGTCTGAAGCGATCCCAAACGTTTTGCCGAGTGGGAGGAACGTGCCACAGAAGATCAAATACGACCTATACTCGGAACAGCTCAATGGCTCCTCCTTTATCGCGCCCCGACAGATGATCCAGCATGTCTGGATGTATCGCATTCGCCCATCAGTGGCTCACGGCGATGTATCTCCTTCCACTGCAAACCCTCATGTAAGCCACTCATCGACGTCCATCTTCCTCGACTTATACAAAACAGATTGAAGCGTGCTTCTCAGCTGCAAACAAGGATGTAGAATACGTTGCTTCACAAGAGGCGTGGGATCCCTTTCCCATCTTGCCGGAACCTGACGCCTCGTCAAGCGGCGGTGGGGTTGACTTTGTCGAGGGAATCCGCACCATTGCGGGACAAGGTGACCCGGCCTTGAGGGAAGGTCTTGCCATTCACATCTACACGGCAAATGCCTCCATGACCAACAGAGCCTTCTCCAATAATGACGGAGACCTGCTCATACTACCTCAAGAGGGGCGTTTGAACATTCAGACTGAACTTGGCTGGATGATGGTGCGGCCAGGCGAGCTTGTAGTTATTCAAGCTGGTATTCGCTTTCGAGTCCTTCTGCCTGATGGACCCGTCCGTGGATATATCCAGGAAATCTTTGGAGCTCACTACGACCTTCCGGAACTGGGACCCGTGGGATCCAACGGCATGGCCCTCCCTCGAGACTTTGAGTCGCCAGTTGCCAGCTTTGACGTTGATGACTCGGCTTGGGACATTGTCTATAAGCTTGCCGGCACATTGCATGTCTGCCGACAAAAGCACACTCCATTCGACGTAGTGGCATGGCACGGGAATCTGGTACCGTATAAGTATGCAATCGAGAAATTTGTCAACATGACAAACGTGGAAAAGGACCAGGCCGACCCCACAATCTACTGCGTGCTCACAGCCAAGTCCAAGACACCGGGCGTCTCGCTGACCGACTTTCTGGTCTTTACACCCAAATGGATCACAACTTCAGATACCTTCCGGCCGCCATACTACCACCGCAATATGAGCACCGAGATGATGGGTCTTATTTATGGCCAATACGGAGGCAGCAGTCACGTCCTCGAGCCCGGCGGTCTTAGCTACGAGGCAAGCTACATGCCTCACGGAGAGACGTACGAGACGTGGAAAGATGCCACGACGCGCGATCTCAAACCCGAGAGGATTTGCGAAGACACCATGGCGTTTATGTTCCACATCAGCGTTCCCATGTTCCTGACAAAATGGGCGATGCGGGGAGAGGGTGCCAAGTCACTGCACCCAACGGCACCAACCCAGTGGGATGACGTCAAGGCTCACTTCCTGGACCATCTAGAGGAGATTGAAGCCGATTTGGCAGCTGCGGGAATGCCTGCACTGACGGCGAGAAAGACAGTGGTGAAGGGTCGAGAGAATGGAGAGCATCAGGGGGTGAATGGGAACTTGAAAAGGAGGCGCACTGATGCGGCAGCGTAGCAGGTACATCTAGTAACAAATTAACCGTCTTAGGGACGATGACAGATTTTTAGTTGGGGGATTAATATAGCAAAGGTTGTAAAGTTTATAATACAATGCTGCATTCCGTCGATTCATCGACTTGACCCACGGTGAGGTGAAGAGCAATTATATAGCGGAACCCAGCCTAGGTAGAGTACTTTATTACTACCCTATGACGTATCCAAGGCTCAGTTAGTGGAATTCAGAATTGTGCTCGTCAGGTCGCACCAATACAGGCCGATGTCGGATTGCATCCATCGTGACTCACAGCTGAAGTGGGGCATCACCTTTATAATGGAAGTTCCCAGCGCCCATCTTCAACCAACAAAGCAATTTGGCGCAGTGGAAGCGCGGTATGTTACACTCGAATCCTGAGGTCATCAGTTCGAAACTAACTCATCCCAGCCGGGCTCATAACCCGGAGGGTAAGCCTACCTTCGGCTCTAGGCATAGGAACTTGCACTAACAAGCAACTCAGTCGCACGATCGAAACGTGCAATTGCTATAACAAGTCTCATTCGAGACCATTCTTTTTTGCCTTTATCTTTTTCTCCTTTTCCATTTTTGATAGTGGGATGCAGTCGCTTGAGTTGGATAACGCAGGCGCCGAGGGCAACTCTCAAATTCAAGCCCGGCTGGTGCTTAGGTGGCAAGAAAAAACTTTTTCGCTTTTATTGAGTGTTGCAGTTTTGTTAACAGCTACAACCCAGAGGGCTTTAGCGATGGGCCTTTGTTTCTTAACACCGCATATAGCTGAGGCAAGCTGCCGAGATAAAAAAGAAGAGAGGAATGTGCACACTTTATTTGTGAGGGTAATTTCTCTGCTTCCTCTAGTTATGCTATACTGTCCAGATTGATAAGACCCTCGGTAGGCTGAGCTGTTATGAGGATATCCTACACCCAGCCGTCTCCTTATCTAGTACTAGCTATAGCTGCTAGACTATGTCAGAAATCATTACAGTCCTCTGTTAAAGTGCCAAGGATAGTTATGGGCGAAGCCTTACACGGCCATGAATCTCCGGACGGGACTCGGCATCTTTTTGCATTACCTCCCAGGTCCAACAAATAGGGATGGATTCCCCGCTCCATGCAAGACACCACCGTTGAGCAAAAGATCTACCCCAGATGTGCAGTGGTGCGATGGGGTCTTGCCGGATCATCCTCCGGCATGATACCGACATGGCTGCGGCTCGACTGCCAAGAAGACTCCCGCAACACCTACGTCAAATCAAGACACTGGGATGCCACCAAGTGACTTGAACGTCCCTGAATTGTCGCCTTTTACCCCGCAATCTTCCCCTCTAGGGGATACCCCATGGGCATGTTAAGCTTATCCCTGGTGAGATGGACTAGGTGGTGCTAGGCCGACTACATCTCCCGAGATGCAGCCAACCTTGAAGCACCCCGCATTCATGCAAGAGAATGACACGGGTCGTGGCAAAGTCGCTAAGAATCCGCTTATCCGTGAGGGGTATTGGTCCTGGTACGACGGCATCTTGTAGGTTGGTTGATCTGGGACAGAGGCTGCACGTCTCTCCCGCTTATAAAAGTCGTCTCTGTCCCATGGTAGTCTATGTTCTGTTCCTCTCATCTCACACCAATATCTGCCAGTTTACCACAACAGCTTCCCCTCCACACATATATACGGAACTAGTCATGGGTATTACTCATGCTGACAACAATGAGCCTCCTGAAGTCCGTAACTGGACCATCCATTGGGTTGCCATTGTCGCTTCAATGGCTGCCCTAGCTCGTAGGTGATCCTCAAACATGACACAATGCTACGACGTACTAATTGTATCCTTCGCAGTGGGTTACGACACTGCTGTCATCGGTGGAACCATGGCCCTCGACTCGTTTGTCCGAGACTTTGGACTCGAAGGCATGTCTGACCATGACCGGGATGACACCCAGGCGAATATCGTGTCAACCTTCCAACTCGGCGCATTTCTCGGAGCATTCTGCACGTTTCCCATTGCTGAAAAAGTCGGCCGTCGTAAAGCCGTCCTGTTTGCATGCTTGGTCTTCATGCTGGGCGCCTCGCTCATGACTGCCTCGCGAGGACACGTAGGCATGATCATCGCCGGACGAGCCATTGGCGGCTTTGGTATCGGATCCGCCACCCTCACCGTTCCAGTCTACATTGCCGAGGTCGCACCTCCCAGTATTCGAGGCCGCTTGGTGGGCATCTTTGAAGTGACGTCTCAAACCGGTTCCATGCTTGGCTTCTGGATCAACTATGCAACAGACCGCACCATCGACGTCAAGTACTCCGCGCAGTGGATCGTGCCGCTGGGGCTCCAGCTTCTGCCCGTGACGTTCTTGGCCTGCGGTATCTTCTTCTGTCCCGAATCTCCCCGTTGGCTGGCTCGAAAGGATCGATTCGACGAGACAGAAAAGGTCCTCGTATATCTACGTGGACTGCCGTCTGACCACCCGTTCATTATGAACGAAATGGCAGAGATTCGCCAACAGGTCGAGCAGAGAAGCACAGTCCGGCTGAGCAAGATGGAACAGCTCAAGAAGCTTACAGCCAAGGGCACCCGCAACAGAGTTGGCGTTGGCGCTTTTCTCATGTTCTTGCAGAGCTTCACCGGGGTCAACATCATGACCTACTACTCTCCCCGCATATTTGAGTCTCTCGGTGTGGTTGGCACGACCACCAAACTATTCAGTACCGGTATCTACGGCGTCGCAAAGATGCTCGGCATGGTCGTGTTTACGCTCTTCGTCGTGGAAGGCTTGGGTCGTCGCAAAGGTTTGATCTATGGAGCACTGCTTGGATGTCTGCCGCTCTGGTATGTTGGCGGCTATGTCTTCAAGGCGGATCCCGCCACAGCAGCTGCCGCTGGTGTCATCAATCGAGACGGATGGAGCTACTTTGCCATGGTCTGTATTTACCTCAACGCCTTCATCATCTGTGCCACCTGGCAGGGGATCACCTGGACTTATGCTGCCGAGATCTTCCCTCTGGACATACGCATGCTCTGTGTCGCGCTCACCACGGCCAGCACCTGGATCGGCTCTTTTTTTATTGCCCGCGTCACGCCTTTTATGATCACTGGTTTGGGATACGGTACCTACTTTGTGTTTGGCGGAGTTGTGATATTGATGGGTATCTGGGCGTTCTTCTTTGTTCCAGAAACAAGAGGTTGGTTCTACTGCTTCTTTGGGTCATGTTGCCTTGCTGACTCTACCTACCAGGTCTATCTCTGGAGGCTATGGATGCCCTGTTCATGCAACCCACTCATAAGGCTGTCTGGAAACAACTCAGAGGAAAGCCCATTATTCCAAATGAGACCAGATCTGACAATGACTCAATCAAGGGAGAGAAAAGGGAAATCGAAAATGTGGTGTAGTGGAATTTTCTTCGCCCTTAGTCAATATCAGATGAGCTGGACATGTGCTCTAAAGAGTGAGTGCCTTTGAACTCTCTTCTATCTTGAGCATGAACAGTGATTGGCAGATGTCGATGCACGGTGAACAGTCCGCGGACAGGTTGATAGCTCAAATACATGGAATAAGCGCATCATAGTGGCTACTACGCCAGTATTGTGATTGGGTGAATGTCTATATTCGAGCTTGGTCGTTTAACTTGACCAACTGAATGCCTTTTGGGGCGTCTTCACCTGATATCAGAACCCCTTGACGACCTTCCAGCTGGCCACATCAGGCCCTCGTTCCGACCTGTCGATATTCTCGTTATCGAACTGTGACGAGGCCGTGAAGGCTGTACTTCATTTCCGCGTCAATCATCTTGTTCATGTCGATGCACCAGCCCCCGCCCACATGGTCTCAGTCTGGCCGAAAGCGGCGCGGTCCAGGCTACAGGTCGAATATTCTCAAGCGTGAAGATGGAGAGTCCCCGATTTAAAAGTTTTCTTGGCGTCAATGATGAATTGCAACCTAATATACACTATCCTTCTGATGACAAGAATACACAGAAAAGTGCGAGTCCACCTAAATGACATACAACCTGACCTCGCCACCACTGGCACCACGGAGACGCTTCGCGTTCTCCCGCTGGAATACAATTCTACCAGCCATTGCAGCAGCAATGCACAGTGCGCAGAATCCAGCACTTGATCCAAGTCCCATCAGGTATCGAGGGCCATCTGACGTAGGCCAAAGGTACGCCGTGTAGACGTTGGCGAGGACGGCCGAGAAGTTGACCATGGCCATTGTGACAGCCTTCTTCTCGTGCGAGTCGGCAGTATTGGTTGCAGCCCAGCCGAGGATGATGCTTCCCGTGCAATACGAACCGGCAGCAAATAGGAAGCAGGCGGCGTATCGAGGGGCAAGTCCTGTTGTCGCACAGGCAAGCACAAAGCCAACGATTCCCAGGGCGTTTCCGCTTGCGATATGCCAGGTTCGCTCGTTGAAGTAGCCTGAAGAGCGAGCAAAGGCCAGTGAAAACAGCGCAGAGAAGACGTAAGGGGGTGCTGTGAGGAGAAGAGTGGTGATCTTGCCGTACCCCCTAAACCGTAGTTAGACTCACGCAACAGTAGAAACATCTTGAGGACTTACAGTGTCTTGACAAGGGTAGGGAAGAACTGGTTGAAGGACATGCCAGAGAAATGCATGTTCTGCATCAACATGAACATCCACACCTTGTAGTCCTTGATTGCGCTCATAAATCCTTGCAAGGGTGTCTCGTGCTGGAGCTCATTGATGCCGTCTTCCTCCAGTCGGATGACAGCACATGCGTTTTCAGCATCGCTCATCCAGTGCGTCGTACCGGGGTTATCAGGAAGGAGGAAGATGGCGATAACGGCGACTCCAAAAGTGGCGGTTCCCTCGATGATGAACAACCTGTCGGGTTTAGCATACTGCATGGCATCGAATGTGCGGCGTATTGGACGCACCATTGCCATCCGTTCAGGCCATATCGACCGGAAAGAGATGCGAAAATTCCTGCAGTGATCAAACCCGAGAACGAGCTTGAACAAAGCTGGCCGCAGTAGAGAATAGCGAGACGCGTCGCAACCTATCGTTGGCAACAGTTAGTGATTTCAAGCCCGTATAATGAGTCTTGAGTAAACATACCTCGCGTCGCGTCTAGAAGCGACTAAGGATATAGATGGCACCGGGATAGAAGGGGGCCTCCAAAAATCCCAGCAGAAATCTCAGGATTAACATGGTGTGATAGTTGTGGGCGAGGGATGTGCAAGCAGAGACGATAGCCCATCCACACATACAGACACCAAGGTAAATGGATGGCCGGATTCGAGTCAGGAGCATGTTGGATGGGATTCCGGCCAGCAAGTATCCCACATACAGGATGGAGATGCAGACGTTGTATTGGTTTCCCACGAGACCGAGATGTTCTTCAATGTCATCGAGACGCGCCTGGGGCAGTCCGTTTCGATCCCCTGATTGGCCATGAGTATAGGAATCGAAGTAAGAAATCGAACTTACAATGATTCAGAAAATACATAATGAAGAAGACAGGCATCACTCGATAGTCGAGCTTTCGCAGCAGGCTCGCCTGCGCCTCTGGGTCGATTCGAGAGCCCGTTGCGGTCTGGCTCTTGACATCATCATGCGGCGACTCTTCAACAAGTTCGACGTCTCTCTTCTGATCCACCGCCATTGTTGCTGGGGAAGACATGTTCAAACGCGTAGCTCGGTGTTTCCAGGATTGCGTCAAAAATGATGAAGAGCTGAGCTGGTGATCTTCAGGTTGAACCCATAGCCAAGTTGAGGGTCCTTTATGGCTATTAACTGCCACGATGGAAACCGCCCGAACGCGTCAACCTTGTCTCGTCAGCCGCGCCGGACTCATAGCTTGCGGCATCTCACCGTCCCCAAGGGTGCTCGGATGCCTTCTCCAGGTTTCAAGCCAGGAACGGCGTGGGGATGTGTGGGGTCCCCAGATGGCTCCGGCATGTTGCCGAAGCCAGGTTCTTCGAGTCAGATGGCTTCGGGATCTCGGCGACCTTCTCCACTCGCCAAGCCGGTCCAAGTGGTGCCAGTGGTGCCATTTGACTCCAGCCGGTGCCGGTCTCCTTGGGCTTTGTCGTGGAGATGTGAGCGTTCGTGTCATCCACCGTTGTCATCGTGGGGGCAACGGATCTCGGTACGGACAAATGGAGAACAGTAACACGATGCACTTGGGAGGGTTCAGTGGCGATTGTGGTTTTCTCTGCTTAGCGGAGAGTCTCTCTTCTACCAAAGGCTCGCTTCTTTCAGTTCTTTCCACACCACCTCCTACCCCAATTCCCGTAGCTCAAGTATAGGAATCAATGCCAAGGCTCGTAATAAACTATTCTCCTGTTCATCAATCTAAAGGCCAGCTCATTAAAAACAAGGATGCAGATCATACTTTAGAGAACATATCCAGGTACAAGTCAACAAACCGTCAACGGATTCTGTTACAAGCACGATCCATGTTAAAAGGGGCATTGGATTCTATTATCAAACAATTTAAACAATGAAATCTAATTTCCACTCTCAGTTAATCGCTGCAGGGACTCTAATCCTCAGCAGAGGGGCGTGCTGCTGTGTTCCCAGCGTATCCCTCTCGCCAATGCTGCCCTGTGCCCAAGGTCTCTTCAGGGTACATTTCCATGCAAATGCCGGATCAAAGAACATGTTAACGAGGATATCTTGATCCTCGACCTTGTATAGCCGCTTGATGACTTCGTTGCCCAGGATATTAGCAGCCTTTACTCGCTCGTACGACTCCTTGTTGTCGAACATGATGTCCAGCGTCAACTCGAAGGGACCCGAGTTCTTGGAGCGGATCACCTTGGCCAGAGCCATCATGTCGGCCTCTCCTTCAGGTGCCTTCTTTTGTGCTACAGCCACGAGGTCAGTAACCGCGTTGGACCATGGGGAATCTTGAACCTACTAAGTAGCTGCGGTGTGGTCTCCTTGAAGAACCGCCACTCCTTTTCGCTTAGCCGTGATCCTTCACTGCTGCGCTGCGTCTCGCCTTGGACCTGTAGGTGGGTCACGGGGAACAGGGACGTCTCCTGGCCCTGCTCTAAATCAATCAAGTGGTAGAGACTGAACTTGAATACCTCTCCTGCGTCCTGTTCATGAGGAGACAGCGGGGACGCAAAGTTGCCAGTGGTCGCCAGTTGACCTTCATAAGGCATGTGAAGCAGCGACGTGCGGACGTTGTTCGCAATGGCATACGACTTCTCGCGTGTCTGAGCAACAACTTCGCCCATGACGCCAATCTCGTGAACGTCAGATGAGGTCGCCTCCAACGGCCCCATGACGGCATTGTTACCGTAGACGTGGTAGATTAGACGGCAGTTGTCGCTCTGGTCGAGATCAGGATAGAGGCCTTGGGAATACTCCCTAACGGACTGCAGGAACTCGTTGATCTGCGAGATGAGGATAGGGTCCCGCACACCACCAATGAAGATGGTGCGGTGGCCAAGTCTTTGGACTCCTTCGAGCTTGATTTGGTAGACTGGAGTCGGCACAAACTTGGCCCCGGAGACACGGACGGTTCGGTCATCGGCCAGTTGCTCGTAGCTCGCGTCATCCAGATGCAGAACACCACCGGGACCAGGGAGTTTATCCGGGCGAGTCTTTTCGTACAGGGTGTGAGCGGCCACAGACAGAGGCGTGCATCGCTCAATCGGGTTCAGGGGCACCAGGTCAAATGAAGTCTTCCGCATGGTAGCAATCATCGAACGGCCTTTGGGCACGGAGCAGATTCCTCCACACTCCATAATCTTTCCCATGTGCCAAGCGGTTCCTGCGGAGACCCCCTTGGACAGACAGTACCCGGCGAATGGCGCAGGGTCATAGGAGCGTCCGCCGAGGATAATGTCCGGGTCCTCCTCCAACGCCTTGATGAACCTGTAACAGTGAGACAAGGCCATCCTCTGCCGCGAATCAGAACTTACGGTTCAGCACCCATCTGGGCAACAAAATTGACTGCATTGTCGACATCATCCTTGGACAGATCTGCTAGCGGACCACAGGGATAGCACTTGCCCTCGTCGATGCGGTGCTTGACCAGGTCAGGCGAGATGTCGTGAGAAATGGTGGCAATCTTGAACGAGAATCCCTTGTCGGCTGAAATTTCCTTGATAATCCCAAGCATCTCCTGCACGTGAGAGTTGCTTCCATCGCCGCCAACAGAGCCAATCAAGACCTTGATCTTGTGGTGGAAGCACGCCTCGAGCATGGGCGTCAAATCTCGGATATACGCCTCGCGCCCACAGGTCATCTTGTTCATGCCAAGCTTGTAAGGTCCGCCGTCGGTCGACCCGCTATCGACAATGATGGCTTCTGGCTTGTACGTTTCAATTCCGTACCAGAAGTGGTCTGCTCGATACCCGTAGCCGAGCATGGCGTTGGGGGTCAAGATGGAGAATTCCTGCTCCTCCATTGCGACGGCTGTGTAAATATTGCGGAGTGGTGTTGTGGAACGCAGTCTTGATGCTGGATTATATCAATTCTGTAGATTCCTTACAGAGCAAGTCGGTATATTTAACGATGTTGTTTTGCATCCGATCGAGGCGTCAGAGCAAAGTGGCTGAGGATGAGGAGGTGGGTCGCTCGGTATGATGCCGATGTCAATACGGTGAGATGCCGGCATGTCGAGAAAGATGCCGAAAGTTACGAGGGAAAATGGTAAACTTAATGACAGAAGGTAATTTTGCTAGGTTTCGAAATTCAGGTCATGCAGCTTGTCTCGCTGATCAATTGCCATGCTCTGCATGAATTCCGTAGAATGTCATGGTTCATATTGCTCACCAAGAAATCGAAACCGGAAATATCATGTACAATGTCTTTGGACGTATATCCATCCCATTTAATGTCGTCTAAAAAGTTGCTATCGCGTTTGACGGACTCGCAACGCCATTCTCCAAGTTCAATGGAGAGCTGGTGAGGAAAAACGTCCATCGTCCCAGCTTCTCACAAGTCTTCGCCAACTCCTCCAAGTCCCAAACCTCACCAATGGGCATTCCCCAGCCGCTCAGGAAGACCTCGTGACAACACACACCGTCGTCTCGCGCGGGCGGCCATGCTTCGTACGCATTTGTGTCGCCGGCAACGGCCGAAAACCCATTGTCCCAGTGCCATTTAATCATTTCCTTGTTGCCCTGGACGCCGACAAATGCTCGTACGTTGCGTTTCGCTAGGTCAATCTTCTGCTGGGTGGTCAGAAGCATGTATTCCTCGGTCCAGCCAGATCTAATGATTAGAATGTCGCCCTTGCGGAATGTAACATGCTGTTCCACTGCCACTTCAAGCAGTTGGCTCAACGGGATAGCGTGTGGTTCGAATGGCGAGTACTGAATTCCCTTGCGCAATGCGTAGGCACGCCAATCAAGCAAAACACCGCGGCCAACAATTCCTCGTCTTGCCATATCTCCCTTTGTCAGTAAAAATCAAATTGTGGGCGGATGTCTTACTCTGTATTCCGATGCGAGAGCTCGCCCGTGGACCAGTAAAGTCATCTTGGACCGCATGGTTGTAGTATTTTGGCACATCGCAGTTCTGGTAGGGATAGTGTCGAAGCCCATCCCAATGGCTAGAACTTTGTGTATTAAAATCTAGCTGCTCCGAGTTAGATGCGGAATTAGAATGGATTTCATCAACCAACCTCGTCGTCGTTGGCGTATCCTTTGTTGAGGATGTTGTGGTTGCAAGGCTTCCTCGCAGGGTTCATGGGAAGCAGAGGAGCCTCGATTGGCAGACTAAGAATCACATCAGTGACGATATAACATATAATCATCCCTGTTTCATACTTTAGCGGTATCACAATACCCTCTTTGATCTCCTCCGAGGCGTTCTTGGTTGTCTCTTCGGTGAGCAAGTTCAACGTCCCAAGCTCATCGTCAGCTCCCCACAGGCCCCATGCAGACCATGCAGGATCTTCCGGGTTAAGGGGAAGGTCTTCGAATCGTGGTCTCCTATTCTCACCCGTCTTGACTATGTCAATCGCAGTATTGGAGGCTGCGTCCAACAAGCGCGGCATTGGGAGGAGCCTGTGGCCCAAGGACAAGACCCATTGAGTGAAAGAAGCCATGGTAATTTTGCAGTGAAATGAAAAGAACGCCGCCGACGCTACAGCTGCCAAGCAAGCTGCGGGTGCTATGTCAGTAATAAGTGCTGAAAGCGTCAACGGCATCATGACAGAGTCGGCTCGGCAAGATGCCGAACATGCCGCCCCATCCCGGAGATCCACACCACCACGACAGCTGCGTGGGGGATCCTCAACTTTTGCGGGGTAGCGAAGGCCGCACTCGATCTCGTGTTTAATGGCGAGATACCGAAGCAGCGGAGCTCACGACAAGCATGGCGAGTGTAGCCCGGACAAGTCGACGATATGGCTTTGCGTGTCTTCCATGTCGCCGCAAGAAGTCCCGCTGCGACGGCAACAAGCCGCACTGCCGCAATTGCGTCCGGTCGGGAGAAGACTGTGCCTACAAGGCGACCGACGCCCTCGTGGCGGAGCTGTACAACCAGCTCCAGCACTCCGAGGCACGCGTGAGAGAGCTTGAAGATGGCCTCCGCAAGCTGGCCGTCCTCGATCTCACTAGTGACGACAGCTTCAACCTGATATCGAGCCTCGTCGAGACTGAGACGCAATGGAGCGGACCATCTCCTCCAGCGACGGTTGGGTCAGGGCCAGTGATTGATCAACAGGCCGCCGAATCATCGCCTGGCAAGGATCAGCTGCAGCAAGCAGAGCTCAGCTTAGATGAGCACGGCCAGGTGCGACGCTTCAATACATGTGTCTTTACTGACCTATATCCCTCGACATGCTAACTTGAGATGCCAGGTGCAGTATTTCGGAGCAACGTCCCGCTTCCTCTGGCACGAAGAACCCAGCCTCGGCGACTCCAACGCCCAGCCACAGACAGACGAAGACTACCACCGGAAGTGGCTCCTCTCCAACTCGAGATTCTACGCCTCCTGGGAGCAGCGAGCGTACGCGAGTCTCGCACTCGACCCCGAAGTCAGCGCCGAGGCTGCCACCGCACTCCTGCAGATGTACTGGACGTGGCAGGGCCCCTTGCACAACTGCGTCTACAAGCCCTGTGAGTCCATCCGCCGCCCGTGGGATGCGCCGCCGACTAAGATGCGAGGATTGCGCCTGTAGGCTTCTTCCGCGACATGGCTCTCGGCGGGCCGTACTTTTCGCCGTTTCTGCTCAACGTCATCTACGCGCACGCGTGCCGCCATGTCAAGGCGGACGATGCTCGCTTCGCCGGCTTCGACCGCGGCGAGTACTTCCTCGCCAAGGCGAAGCTGCTGCTCTTGAATGAGTTTAACCGCGAGAAGCCTCGCGTGCCTACCATACAGGGTCTTTTGATCCTCGGCGGTCGGCAGTGCGCCGTTGGCAAGAGCAGCGAGGGATGGCTGTACACTGGCATGGTAAGTCTCCAGCCCTCTGGCCCTATCCTTGCTAATTTTACTGGACTAGGCCATCAGGATGATCAAAGACCTCGGTCTGCATCTCCGGAAACGACATGTCATACTGATAGAAAAGCTAGAGCCGGATGATCTCGAAGCATCGAAGCGTCTCTACCTGTCTGCATATGCGTGGGACAAGTACGTTGTTCAAACTTCAGGCAACTTTAGCTAACCAGTCGCCAGGTCCCTCAGCCTCTGTTTAGGCCGGCCACCTTCACTGACCGAGCTTCCATACGATCCCAGCAGTATACGCACGTCTCCAGGTCCCCGTTGTTGCCGCGCAAACTAACAAATACCAGTGGATCGAGCTGGCGACGAAGCCGTCTGGCGCCCTCTCTACCTCGCCGAGATCGAAAACGAATATCCTGGAACAGAGGCCCTCAGCTCATTGACGTTTTCATGGTTCTGCCGGTTATCTATAGTATGTCCAGCTCACCTCAGGACCAGCACATCTAACACTTTCAGCTTGTAAACGATTTGTACAACACAGTCTACAACAGCCGAGCGAATGAACTCCAAGTCCAAAAGATTGTAGCGCTGGAAGAGAGACTCCGCGGGTTCTATACAGACCTCCCTGAGGTTTTGCGGATCAGCGATGTGGCATCACTCGCGTTTTGTCCACCGCCTCACATCATGTGCTTGAAGTAGGTATTGCGCGGTCCAAATTGGACCATCCCTTGCTGACTAGCTCTAGCATTCTATACCACACGGTCCTACTCCTCCTATATCGGCCATTTTTCCCCTGGTCAAACGATGCAAGACTCAGTCGAAACTCGATTGCAATCCGGGCGAAAGCTGTCTGCGCCGAGGAAGCCATATTAGTCAACGACTTCTTCCGGGCATATGGCAAGACATTCAAGTTTCAGAACCAAAGCTATTTGATATCCTACTGCGTCTACACGGCTGCAACAATCGAGCTACGGCAGATTGACGATCCCGACGAGAGGATATCCGCGATGGCGGTCGACCGTCTGGCCACCACCTTGAATATGCTAGAGACAGAGGCCCGACAAACGCCAGGCGTAAGAAGGAGCTTAGATATCATCAAACTCCGTCTAGAATCTCGCGCGGCGGCGAGGACCGGCACTCGGCATTCAGGTCGAATATCAGCGGCGAAACGCAAGGATGCAGCTCTGCCGCCTCCAGGCGATAGCGTAGACATGGCCAGTGGCATCCCGGCGGACTCGGACATGGACATGAACTTTCCAATGGAAGTAAGAATACACTATGAAACGCCAGATTGACGCCATGCTAACTTATCTAGTGGATAGATTGGGAAAATATGAACCCCAGCGGCGACTTTGTTCCTGGGATAGAAAGCTGGGCATGGTAAATTGCTCGGGCTACCATGTACTGGTTGTTCGGTAGAAAAGCATTAATTTTTGAATTTACACAATATGTTTACGCTCTGTTGTCTTCATATAGTCATGGTCATTCCAGGTTATCTTGTAGATTGAAGTCGCGGTCATTGTGCAAGGCTACACCGCCAAGTTCGGCATGGTCTCCGCTTCTGGCTTCGTCCGTACACAACGTAACTACAGTGGATCATCAGTATCGCATCTCCATTCGAACTTGTCCCGGCGCTCCATGATACTCATCGGGGAATGTGAGCATGAATTCTACGATCCTGTGGTTGTTCCTGCGTCCCATCTAGAAGATCAAAGCCTCTTCTCACGTCCAGTGCAGGCCGCGTTGAGATTCTCGAACGGCCACGCTCCTATTTCTTCGTAGTGTGCTTCTCTTGGCCACTCGCTGAGAGGCCGCTCGATTTTCTTCTCAAAAACGCCGATGAAGCCAGAGTCGGACACGTATCATACTCAATGGCCCATATACCCGTCGCTGCACCAGCATCCAACCACGTTTGGGTTCAATGTTAGTGTTGCCAAACGAGACTGTTCTGGAAAGGACTGCTCTTGCTACCCGAGTTCATAGCATGGTAAGTTCTGCCATTTTTATCCTGATATCGTAGGATGTTCGACCACAGCGATGTGAGGCCGGCAGCAGAGTGCTTCCGAATACAGTATCGTGTCGTTGCTGTGGGATATGGCACCTATTGGCCAAACACCCACGAGAGCATACAATCAACATAAAGGCGGTCAACATGCAACATAGATGGCCGAATCACCATTAAAATTTCAGCAGTACACAAGTGTTGATACTATTGAGAAAGGCACAACTCAAGGTCTATATGAGCTAGCCAGCTGCCCATGGGCGTGTTTAGTAGGCACAGGCATTATAAGCGAGGATATCCATCGTAACGAGACAGGGGAAATTGAGAGAGCCAAGCACGGAATGTGCAAGAGTTTACTCGGTACAAATTGCTCAAACAATGCAATCCGTTTAAGCAATGAAACCTCACGAAAACAAGGGTTCTACAAGGACATGCAAGAGATGCCAGCACCCAATGGCCAACCTCGTGCATTGCCGAGCCGCGTGAGACGAGGGGACGAGGGGTCGAAGCACGGTCCGATCTTGGTCCGACCCTGGCTCTTACGAGATTCGTTGAAGACGCTCAGCATGACATGCATTGGAGAAAGGACGGATCCACAGGGCTGTTATTACGATCTCGGTTCTCGACGTGCCTGTGCTCTGCGTCGATGACGAGCAGCAGTTCTAGGATACATGGCTAGGATACATCCACTGTGGATGCATCATGCACCGCGGGAAACCAGTCTCAAAACAGCCGAATATCCCCCCTGTGATCGACTTAGCTCCCGCAGCAGCTGCCCCTCCCTTTTCAGCCACGTTCCTGGTCGGCGAGGCGTAAGCATTTAATATGGACGCGGTATGCGAGGTTTCTTGCATAGTGCAATCGAGTGTGGGAGGGTTTGGGGGAGGAGGACTAGGGAGGTGGCATGGAAGGGTCTGGAGTTGATGGTCGGTATGTATGGCTTCCTGGATGGCTTCCTGGATGGCTTCTTGGATGGCCTCCTCGATGGCCATGACGTCTTAAAGGGGCAATGTAATTAGAGAGGCGTATTCTCCGTATTTGTCTCGTCATGGTCCAGTGATTGACAACAACGGACCTAAGTTAACCCGTTTGGCTGATACGAGGGTCGTCTTATCGGTGTGTTGGCGATCATGGTGACACGGGCTTGGCCTCATTGCGGCCCAAGATGAACTCACCGTCAGGGCAGCTGGTCAGGGTGGAACATGTCATCAGTTGGGTGTGAATCACCCACTCTCGCTAATTTTAATGTGAGTGTCGCTGGCAATTGAGGGCTGGGAAGAGCATGTGATGGTGCAGGGTTGATTGAGTCAAGACTGCAGCCAGGGTGATGCTACTACGTACATATTTACTACCACATCACAGCCTGTGTTGATATGATAATTCAGGTGGCTAGATGTCGGAATCACAGGCTAGACGACGCCCTGAAAATTGGAAGATCTCAATTATCGCCAGCCCCCCGTCGGTCTGTTGTTCTCCCGCGAGGCTGGCATTGTGCGGTGTAGGGTAGGCGCCACAGCGTCCCTGTCGTGTGCGCAGTGGTGCCCTGCACTGTACTACAGGCCCTAAAAATACAAGCGCCATGCTACGATGATGAATCAATGCGCTGAGACCTGCATGAGCGGCCAACAATCCATGTCAAGAGACGAGACAAAAAGCCACAGAGGCCGCAGAGGGATGCATGAAAAGGTCTGGATGGATGGCGAGAATGCAAAATGTGACTCAGTTCCCGGCAAAGGACCGCGCATGAATGCGGATATACATGAACCTGTCCGAACAAAGGAAAGCCGGAATAGCGTCACTCGAACATGGCGGACGGTGGCATTACAGTGATCACAAAGGACCTCCCCGCTACATACGCCGCTGGTGGGGGCGGACCGTGCCTGAAGCGGAGCGCCTAGTCCATTGTAGTCGATTGTAGAGAGTCGGTGATGGGATGTTGTGTGATTTAATTGATTCACTAGAGCCGAGGGATCCGTTTTGCTTTGCTGTCTACGGAGTAGCTCGTCTAGCTTCTTTTACACCCCCGTCGAAGTCGGTCCAAGACTCGGTCCAAGACGACAAAGAACGGGTCAAAGGACTCATCCAAGTTGCTCAATCCCTCCATCACTCAATCAATGACCCAGTCAATCACTCAATGACCCAGTCAATGACCCATCAACTCCCTAGTCAACAACCCAGTCCATCCCCCCCCCCAGTCACTGCCCTTGACCCTCTCATGACATGCCACGTCCCACTTGGTCAGGCCTAAAAGCACGCCCCACGGTGCCCACGGTGCCCACCGGGTCAATTTTATCACCGAGGTGACGGTGACGAGCGAGGAACGCCTGGGGGCCGAAAACATTTTCTCAGACCGAGTTGTCCAGCCTTCTACCAGCCTTCTCTTGGCCATACCCTCGAGTATCCAACCAAATCCTCAAAACCTGCGCCGGTCCGCAACGAGATCCGATCCCATTCCCCCTTCCCGACCATTATACCCGTCTCTCTCACAGTTCCTCGACATGGGAAACGTTCTCTCCGCATTCTCCCACAGTAGCGGTGGGGGTCTCACCATAGCCGAGAAGGCGGCCTTGGAGTCGAAGCTCAAGGACCGCGAGGAGACAATCGCCATCCTCGAGGAGGACCTGGAGAAGAAGGAGAAGGAGTACACGGCCATCTCCAAGGATGCAGAGGAGCTGCGTCTGAAGATTAAGAACCTCGACGCCGAGTCGGCCTCGACCCGCCAGGAGGGGCAGGGCCAGCTTGCCCAACTGCAGGCCGAGCTCAAGAACACCAACGACCAGGCCGCCGAGAAGCTACGAGCTATCGAGGAGGCCGCTACGTCCCGTGCCCAGCAGCTCGATGCCGCCAAGGCCGAGCTCGCCGCTCTCGAGGAGAAGCTCAAGGGCCTCGACGAGGACAAGCAGGCCATCGCCGCCGAGCTTGCCGCCGTCACCCAGCAGCTGACCGTCACCAAGGAGGAGCGAGCTGCCCTCGAGGTCGCCCTCAAGGAGGAGATCACCTCTCTCCAGGCCCAGGTCGCAGAGTCCGAGCAGAAGCTGCAGGCCCTGCAAGAGTCACAGACCAAGCTCGAGGGCGACCTCGCCGCCGCCGCCAAGGATCTCGAGGAGCAGAAGACGGCTCTTTCAGACTCTGAGACGAGCCTCACTGCCCTCCAGCAAACCCACGACACGCTCAAGGCCGACTCCGAGTCAGAACTCGCCGCCGCCAAGAAGGAACTTGTCGACGCCCAAGAAAAGCACACCACTCTACAAAAGGCTCACGAGAGCCTCCAGGCTGGCTCCTCTGGCGACCTCGCCGCGCTGCAAAAGGACCTGGCCGACCTCCAGGCCAAGTACGACGCCCTCGAGGCGGCCAACGAGACCCTGAAGAAGGAGTCGGCTGCCGAGCTGGCCGCCGCCCAGAAGGAGACGGCCGATCTGCAGGAGAAGCACACTGCGCTACAAACATCACATGACAGCCTCGCCCAGGAGGTCGAGGCCTCTAAGAAGGCCCTCGCCGCCGCCGAGGAGCAGAAGAAGGCTGCCGAGGGCGAGCACGCATCACAGCTCGAGAAGATCCAGGCCGACCTTGCCAAGGCTCAGACCGAGCTCGCCGACTCGCAGGAGAGCCAGAAGAAGCTCGGAGACGAGCACGCCGCCGACGCCGCCAAGGCCAAGGAGGCTGCTTCTGAGCTCGACACCAAGCTGCAGACCCTGACCGAGGAGCACGCCTCTCTCAAGAAGGAGCTGGAGGAGCGAGCCGCCAAGCTCGAGACCGTCACTGCCGAGCACGCCACGCTCCAAAAAGAGCACGACGAGACCGCTGCCAAGCTCAAGACGGCATCGGAGGAGCACGAGACGTTGCAGAAGGACTTTGCCGCCCAGACTGCCACGCTCCAGGCCTCATCCGGCGACAACGAGGCTGCCGTGAAGCAACACGAGGACGACGTGGCCAAGCTCAAGGCCGCCACCGACGAGGTCGACGCCCTGAAGAAGACCCACGAGGAGGAGGCGGCCAAGCTCGCTGCCGTCGAGAAGCAGGTCGAGGCCGCCGAGGCCAAGGCAACCCAGACTGAGGCGGACCTCGCGGCTCTGCAGACTGTAAGTCATTCGCACCGAATCACGCTGATCACGAGCTAACCCATGCACAGGAGAAGACGGCTTTCGAGACCAAGATCGCCGACCTCGAGTCTGAAGCACAAAAGTCCACCGAAGCCGAGGCTGCCCTCAAGGCCAAGCTCGACGAGGCCCAGGCCAGCCTGACCACTGCCGAAGCCGCCGCCAAGGACGTCGAGACTGCCCTGCAGGCCAAGCTGTCCGCCGCCGAGTCTGGTCTGGCCACGGCCGAGACCGAGAAGGCTGCTGTCCAGGAGTCCGAGGCTGCTCTCAAGAGCAAGCTTGAGGAGGCCCAGGCTTCTCTGGCTGCTGCTGAGACTGCCGCCAAGGATGCCGAGGCTGCCCTGAAGACTAAGCTCGAGGAGACCGAGGCCAGCCTCTCTGCCTCTGAGACTGAGAAGAAGGAGGCCAAGGACGCCGAGGCCGCTCTGAAGACGAAGCTCGAGGCGACTGAGGCCAGCCTAACCACGGCCGAGACGGAGACCAAGGAGAGCAAGGACGCTTCGGCGGCCCTGCAAACCAAGCTCGAAGCTGCCGAGGCCAGCCTCTCCACCGCCGAGGCTGCGGCCAAGGACGCTGAGGCTGCCCTGAAGACCAAGCTGGACGAGGCTCAAGCTAGCCTCGCCACTGCGGAGGGTGAGACGAAGGAGGCCAAGGATGCCGAGACCGCCTTGAAGGCCAAGCTCGAGCAAACCGAGGCCAGTCTCGCCACCGCCGAAACCGCGGCCAAGGAGTCTGAGACTGCCTTGAAGACGAAGCTGGATGAGGCTCAGGCCAGCCTTGCTTCCGTCGAGGCCGAGAAGAAGGAGGCCAAGGATGCTGAGGCCGCCCTGAAGACTAAGCTGGACGAGACTGAAGCTAGCCTTGCTGCCGCCGAGAGCGAGAAGAAGGCGGCTGCTGAGAAGAGCAGTGCCTCCGAGGAGGAGCTCAAGACTAAGCTCAGCGCGGCCGAGGCCAGCCTCACGACCACCGAGACGGAGAAGAAGGAGGCCAAGGACTCCGAAGCCGCCCTGAAGACGAAGCTCGAGGCTGCTGAGGCCAGCCTAACCACCGCGGAGGGTGAGACGAAGGAGGCCAAGGACGCTTCAGCGGCTCTGCAGACCAAGCTCGACGCCGCCGAGGCCAGCCTGAAGGCATCCGAGGCGGAAAAGACGGCTGCGGCCGACAAGCTCAAGGCGCTCGAGGAGGAGCTGAAGCAGCTCAAGGAGAAGGCCAGCGAGGCGGCCAGCGAGGCCTAAGCACGACCTGCGCCCCCCATGACTGAATGATTTGCATAACCTGGAGAGGACCTTTTTTATTTTCCATTCTGACGTACGAAACGAGATGGGAACAACGAAGGAGTAGGCGTTCACGTCTCTGATGATATCGATACCCACCCCCCACCCACAACCAACCCCGATAGCTTTCTAGTTTGATGTTGTTTTGACATTTTAGAATACCTAATTCAATGCTGCTCAGGCGTCTGAGATGGTGGCCGACTATCTGTGTCGTTTTCTCATCCCGAAGGTTCATTCACTCGTCTCTATGGCTCCTATTTTTCCGTGCTTGAAGTAGATATGATATCCCTGTATGACCTCACTTTCGCCATCAGATGGCTGGGCCCCACGTCGGCCGACAGCTCCGGGTCCACTCCCCGCACGGCCGAACGCCCTGCGAGATGCTCATCACAAGGGCGACCTCGGCCCTTTTCGCATTCAGGAGGCTGGCGATCACTTAAACAAGGGCTTTTTCGCGTCTCTGGTTGGGGCATGGCGTCGGAGGAGAGGCCGTTTGGTCGAGATGGCAGGGGATATGGTGAATTGCAAGCTAGGCAGGGAGTTTGGACTTTATGCGTGATTGGAGACATGGGATTGTCGAACGGATAGTCTCCATGGCTGTATAGTTGGTGCTAGCGACAGTTGTGAGTTGGAGATGTGGTGGTGTCTGTGTCAACTTAGGGGACTGTGAGAGTTGGTGGAGGTGAAGCAATGCACATAATGTAATGAGAAACTGGTGATATTTGCAGCATGTCTTGTTCAATTGTAACGTCTCGTATTATTATCTACCTCTCTAGCTACGAACTCCCAACCCACTGCTCAATGTTCTGGATCCTCACGTACTTGATGTACTGCCGGTGGAAAGTGAAAGCAATGTGCACCGGGGCATTAGGAGCCTCCTGCTCAGCCCATATGCTCGGGTAGCTCAGCTCGCGGTTCGTCTTCTCCTTGGAGTTGTTGGTCATGCAGAACCCATCTCCCTCCTCCAGCACCCTCTCCGTCCACGTCACGCCGTCGTCGTCGGAGATGCCCACCGTCAACGTCTTGCGCGGCGTGCCCCAGACGGCCACTTTGCCGTTGACGGCGGCCTGGTTCGGCCGCGTGTCGTCCTCGGGCGTGATGTCGTCGTACAGGCCCTCGCGTCTGGCCAGGTGAGGCTCCGAGGCGGATCTGTTGAACACCAGCGCGATCTTGCCTGACGGGAGACGGGCGGCGCAGATGCCACTGTTGGGATTGGGCAGGCTGGTCGCCTTGGGAGCCTCCCAGTGTAGACCGTCGGGAGATGTTGCGCGGTAGATGCAATCGGCCCAGCGGCTGCGGAAGAAAGCGACATAACCTAGGTTTTCCTTTGCAGGAGGGACAATCTGCATGTGAACGGATCCAACGCTGTCGGGGACAATGCTTTCTGCCCATGTCTTGCCGTCGTCGCGAGAGTAGAAGAGGCCAGAGATGTCGTTGTTGCCAATCCATCGCTGTCCGGGCGTGGATCGACAGTAGAAGACGGGCAATACCCACGTTCCGTCTTGGAGAACGACAAGTGGCTGGCGGACAAATACACCAGTCTTGTCCCCAAGAGGATAATGAGGCTCAGACCATGTAACGCCGTTATCACTCGACGTGCGGGCCATAACCACAGCTCCATCTTGGTTGCCGGCATCCTGCGACGTGTGAAACAGCCAGATATCACCCGTCCTGGGCGCCCGGAACAAGACCGGGTTCTGGCAGCTCCGGTTGGGAGCAGACGAGATTTTCTGCGGTGCAGACCAGGTGCTTTCTCCAGCCTCCTGGCGAGACAGCCAGATGCTGATGTCTGGGAGGCCCTCCTGCGAGCCGCCGAACCACACGCACAGCAGCGTCTTGTCACGCAGCTGCAGCAGGTTGGAGGCGTGCGACTGGATGGTGGCTGCGGGGAGGGCCGCGCTGGAGAGACGGGGAGAGGCTGCCATGTTGGCGATACTGGCGAGCTGGACTCTGAGAGGAATCGGGATTGGATGCTCGACAATTGTGTCTGTGCAGCCGGTGCCAAAGCTACTAGAGCCGGCATTAATAGTACCGTTGGCTTCATCAGATTCACCGTTTGCACTGCCGTCGCTCGCCATACGCCGCACATATCTCCGGTCCGTCCCCGCATCACGGCATCCTTGTTAGTTGTTTCCCTGCAGGGCCACGACTCGGGGAACCCCCCTCCCGCAGAGTTGGAGCACAGTTCCTGCACTAGGACTTGCGGCCGAGATCCGTTTGCAGGCTAGCTCGGCCATGGTGAAGCAAACCACGGGCGTCGAGATGGTCAGATGTGGGGAATCTACAACGCCTCCGGCAGCTAGAACCTGGGGAAGTCGACTCATGGAACGATTGCCTGAGTCGTCCTCTGCAACTGGTCCCGCGCGGGGAACCATGCTAGTAGCTCATATCCCCATGGGGACTCCGGGCGAGGCGCTTGGGCGAGTATCCTGAGTATATGTTGCGTCGAGTCCGTCGAGTTCCATCTCAACAGCAAGCAGGAAGCGCAAGGCAGCCTCTGACGAAGACTCCTCCACAGAACTCAACCTTATCCTGACACCTGCACCACACGGCGACAATGGGCGGCGGCACCTCTCTCTGGGCTTCTCCTGAGTGGAAGAAGGACCCCAAGGAAATCTTCAACAGGAACCTCCTGCTGCTGGGCGTCACCATCGCCTTTGCGGGATGCTCGTATGGATTCGACCAGGGCAACATTGGCGGCATCATGACCTTTCCGTCGTTTCGGAGGGCGTTTGGGTTCGACGACCTGACGACCGGAGAGGCGGACACGAGAGGTGAGCAGACCAGCTTTCTGGCTACGCTCGCGGGCTAACTTTTGTCACAGAGGGAAACATTGCAGCTATGCGTAAGTGAATACATGTACATGCTACGACATAGGACAAGCCTAACCCGGATGAATAGTGGCTGCTGGTGGTTCCGCTGGCGCCCTCATCGCAGCGCCGTGTGCCGACTTTCTGGGTCGGAAAATGTCCGTCGCCATCATGGCGGGCCTCTTCCTCGTCGGATGCGGCATGCAGGAAGTCCCTAACCTGAATGTCCTCTATGCTGGGAGGCTTCTGGCCGGCCTCGCTATTGGTGCCCAGTCCATGGTGAGCATTTACCTCTTCACCCCGTCTCGCTTGGTCGTCTCTGACCTTGAACCATGTAGCTTGCTCCTCAGTACCTCGCCGAGAACTCGCCAAAGTCGATCCGAGGCTCCCTCACTACCACGTACAACCTCATGATCATCTTTGCTCTTGCTGTTGCGTTCTGGATCAACTACGCCGTCAGCACGTGGAAGAACCAGGACCCAAACGACAACAAGTCGTGGCAGCTGGCTCTTGGCGTCCAGCTCATTCCAGGCTTCTTCCTCTTCGCTCTCATCTGGTGTAAGTTTCCATAGAACTTATGCGTGGAACTTAGCTGACATGTAATCTAGTTGTCGTCGAGACCCCCCGTGCTCTGATCTCCAAGGGACAATATGAGGTTGGCCTCAAGAACCTGTGCAAGCTGCGAGGCCTGCCCGCGGACCACCCCTACGTCCACCAGGAATACATGGAGATTACCGCGCAGGCAGAGATCGAGCAGGCCCAGACAAAGGGTGAGTGCTCATCTCGAGGGATGCAACATGAATTCCAACTAATCTCCACCAGGTTACAGCTACATCACCGTCATGCGCGAAATCGCCACCAACGCCAGCAACCGCCGCCGTCTCTTCCTCGCCGTCATGCTCTTCATCTTCCACAAGCTCACCGGCACCGACTCGATCAACTACTTTGCCCCTCAGATCTTCTCCATGATTGGTGTTGCCAAGGGCTCCAGCTCTCTTCTCACCACCGGAGTGTATGGCGTTGTTAAGTTGGCAGCGACTATCATCTACGTTACCGTGATAGTTGACCGTGTGGGCCGCCGTCTCCCGCTCATGATTGGTGCCACCATCCAGGCTACTTCTATGCTATACATTGGTCTCTACCTCCGTTTTGTCAACCCGGAGGCTGGGGGAGGTACCGAGGCAGGTGGAATTATTGGAATCGTCTGGTAAGCAAGCCCACGTCAGTATCTTACGGAATTCTCTAACTAACGTGTCTAGGCTGTACCTGTATGCCTTCGGTTGGTCATTTGGCCACTCTGTCGCCCCATACGTTGTTGCCGCTGAGATCTTCCCTGCCCGTATTCGATCCTTTTGCATGGCTTGCTGCTTGTTCACCAACTGGATCCTCAACTACGGCATCACTACAGCGACGCCTCACATGCTTACCACCATGGGATACGGAGCTTTCCTCTTCTTCGCCGTTGCGACTTACATTGGCGTTGTCTTTATTTACTTCTGCCTGCCCGAGCTCAAGGGTCGCAGTATCGAGTCCATGGATGATCTGTTCCAGCATTCCCTCTGGACCATGTTCAAGCGTGCCTACCCTACCGAGGAAGAAAAGGTTCGCCATGATGTCCAGGAAATTATTCAACAGGAGAAGACCGAGGGTGGTGGTCAGGTCTACATGGTTGAGGATGCCGAGAAGCGGTTATAGATGTTCAATGATACTGCTTGATTGCAGTAGTCTTGATTGAATGGCGGAATAGGAGACCATGTTGGAGGTTAGCTGTTGTGATTCAGATAAACACCTTGAATAGTTGCCAGTTATTTAGTTAGATAAGAAATATTTCCATTGCCGGCACTATTGATCTTAATGTTCAAGTCAATTTGATCTGATCTTGATAACCTCTCGTACTAAGGAATACCTACTACGTGATCCATTGGCACAGCTGCCTAAGGAAATGCACGCAATATACAAATGTCTGACAGAGTGTATGTCATTTTGAGTATACTATTTTCCTGTATACGACTTAGGCATGCACATCTACCAGTATTGGACAGGAATAAATAGACACAATGCCACAGTGAAATTTGAATAAGAGCATTTGATTTCAAGCCATAACCCTAGCATTATCAAGAGCTTAGGGTGCCCTAGTACACACATACCCAGAGGGGGGACTAGAAGCTCAACAGTAAAAAACACCAACAATAGTATCAACAATAAACCCTAGCATTATATCTATATAATTTCTGTCCCATCTCACATTCCCTGAATCGCTCTCGGCTTGTACCCGCTTTCCAAATACTCGCACTCCTCCTTTGTGAGGGTTACTTTCAGCGCATCGACTGCTTCAAGAATGCGCTTCGGCGAGCTCAACCCTAGAATCGGGTAGCACCCCTGTTGAAGCACCCACGCCGTTGATACGAGCGCCATACTCACGCCCTTCTTGGCAGAAATCTCCTCTACCCGGTTGACAATATCCAAGTTGGCGTCAGCGAACCACGCATCCTTCTTCTTATCCATGCGGCTCCGTAGTGATGTCCCCTCCTCGTTTTCCTTTGGCAACGGCTTGGCAAGGAGACCACGCGCAATGGGGCTCCAAGGGATGACGCCGACGCCGGTTTCTCGGCAAAAGGGCAGCATTTCGCGCTCCTCTTCGCGGTAGAGCAGGTTGTAGAAGGGTTGCATCGAGATGAACTCGGTCCAGCCGTTGGATCGCGCAATGTACTGCAGGCGAGCGAATTCCCATGTATACATGGACGAGGCGCCGATGTAACGGACTTTTCCTGATTGCACAACGTCGTGGAGGGCGCGCATAATCTCTTCAGGTGGTGTCTCACGGTCAAGACGGTGGATTTGGAGGACATCTGTATTTGCATGTCAGAAGGCGTACATAGCCAAGGCGCGACCGAAGGAGGACAACTCACCAATATAATCCGTACCCAATCGCTCTAGACACTTGTCAACGGCATGGAATACATGCTTCCTGCTTAGTCCCATCTGGTTGACCATCGGGCCATCATTTACACTCGGAGGTCTCGAGTCGTCGTCCATGACGGGGTTAAAGATCTTTGACAGAATGACCACCTTTTGCCTCGGGATGTTGAACTTCTTGAGTGCCTTGCCGATAATGACCTCGGACTTTCCGTTTGAATAAGTGTCAGCCGTGTCCCAGGTGTTGATGCCGTTGTCGTAGGCCGTCTTGAGGAGCTCGAGGCCATCCTCTTCGTCAAGAGTCCACGGTGAGGTCTCCCATTTGGAGGAGCCAAAGGTCATGCATCCCAAGATTATTTTTGAGACCTTGAGGCCGCTGTTGCCAAGTCTGAGGTGAGTGTTAATGCAGATCATACAGGTAAAGGCTTGGAGGTGTGTTACCTGACGTATTCCATCTTGTACGTTGTTTGAGTATTTTGGAGTGGGGAGAGAGTTCAACGACAGCCTGGAGAAGAGTATTGAGAAGAGTAATGAATGGTTTATCAATCAGCACCAAAATAATCACCGAGGATAACCTCGTCATACTCTCATCCGATGGACTTTGTTGCATACCAGTGCGGGGAAGTAGGGGAACGTACATCGGCTCGGCGTCCGCGCCGAGTGTGGTCCCACTTTGGAGACGCTACGGGGTGAACTCCTATAGGAAATAGGAGGGGCTGTTATTGAAACAAGACAGAAATCAATACTATTTATTCGACGTTTATTCGCGGTTTGCTTACTTTAATTGTATTAAAAGGCACTGGCGATGTATGGGCAAGATAAAAAAGAAATGCCATCTTCTCCGTCTTTAAAACAATAAAACCGCCCAATTTTACTCTTATCCATCTTGGAGGAATAGTCTATTTCTGTGTCTTTTTTTTACCGAATTTGTTTGACCCAAATTTGAACTTGAAATATTAGAAAAATAGTTCAATTTTTATAAATGTGTGGCATCTGAATATTATATTCTCTGGCTAGCGACTTCAAATCTTGACAATGTAAGCATGTGGTAGTGCACTGATATTCGATGGTACTGGGAAGCATGCTGGTGTTTTAGATAGCAGGGTGAGCCTGACATACTACCTCAAGTGACCACACTATCCAAGTCATTGGATGGGCATGCTTTGTCCCTTCTTCAACTTTCACTTTATGACTTGCGCTATCTTACTTCATGACTTGAGACCCGCTGTCGCAGTGCCCTTACCACATCTTTCTATTCCTTTTCTCTCCGGTGCATTAAGAAGCATTTAATTTGGTGTTTCAACCACCGAGCCTGCCCATTTTCTCTCAGCTAGTCTCTGCAGAATCCTTCCTTAGTTGGATCTAGCGTGGGATCGCAGACTCTCTCTGTCTCCGGCCTCGTCTGACCAAATACATCTCCCACCAACAAACTAATTCGTAACTTGAGATAATCTTTCTGATTCATGTTCATTCTTGCTTAAGCGAATGAAGTGCTTCACTAATATCCGCCATATTTGGACCAGTGTCTACTGTAGGGCGCATGATACGAACCACCAGGTGATGCGTAGGTCAAGTGGACTATTGGTCCATAATACATGTAAAAGCGAGACGCATTTTACTCTGGGTACTCCGAGTGCTTGTCATATATGACGAGTAACTGCTCGGCAGATGTCTAGCTCGCTAGGTATCCATAGGATACGGCTAGCTGCACACCGGTGCTCCCATTACACTACCCTGTAGCCATTGTGCCTCTGTATCTCTCGAAGTCTGTCCCAACTAGTATCTCACGGTCAATGCTCTTACAGCTGAACTACCCCCTCAAAGATAACCATGTCAGAGCTGCCCGAGTTATGCTTGATGGCGACGGTGCGTCTCCTCGTCATCTGTTGTAGGCCACCATGAGTGTCTGTGGTGAAAGTTCTTATCTCGCGATCTAATTACAGCCTAACAACTAGTCTTATAGATGCATGTGCTTAATATCTATAGGAGCCACCGGGGCCGCGGATAGAGATCCGGTTCGGAAGATTGGTATCCCGGAGACCTGAGTCAGGGAGTTCTTGGCCCCGCGTATGCAGCTAGAAGACGGAAATGCCTACTTCCGGTCTCCAACGACAGCCACAGGCGTGTATCGGTTCAGCGATATCGCCAGGCTGGATAAAGGCCCATTGGTGCTGAGCATATTCCCATCACTGTACGTGTGGACCGCTGCCGCGGCAACAATTGGAGTTCCGATGTTGTTTCAAACAGAAGCGAAGGTACGGTGTCGGGGCTTGAGCGGGGGTGCAAGGTGAATCTGGAGGTGTTTTGTTTGTGGAGTGTTTGAGTGCGTGTAAGCCAGGTAGACCTTGAAGGATTGATGTGATGGGATGGGAGTGAGAGGGGTTGAAGGGAGGGATTGCAACTACATGTCATAATGGTCGCGTGCTCTTCCATGTTCGACAATGACCCAAGGTCTCTGATGACGATGGTTTGGGAACTGCACATGCGACGTGGGATCATAGTCGTGGTCGGTGATATTGTAAATGTGATTTGCTGTATGCACCTCATAAAGAGATCATCGCGTTCAGCTAGCAGGATTCTCAAGATGGACGCGACGACCTGGACAGTTGCGCATTGATGTTCAGACGTTCTATACTGGGAAGCGAACTAGGAGGGCATCTGCAACTACTCTGCGGGCGTTGGCCATTCCGCTGCTGGTAGCTGACTCGGCAGTTCTGTATATTCTTCATGTAACCAGCATCTGTAACGCTGTGGGCTGCTAGAGACTATTACGCAAGCCATTGCTCTTACCGCCATCTCACCGCAACATCATCAACGTCCTTCTTAATCGGGCAAGACGGGGAAGAAAGATTGCGGCCGCGACTCTAATTTTACGACGAGGGTTTCATACGAGGCGCCGGAATCCCGAATTGCCTTGGTCGGGGGACGCAAAATTAGACGCGAAGATCTCGTGCGTTTGACGAGACACGACAAGTTCCAGCCACAGTTCATCTTGAACGCTGGGGGATGATGCGCATCCTAATAATAGGTGTTGGAACATTGACGCGTTTGAATGGAAATGCGTCACATGCCGCGTGCACAGCCTTGTATAATTCTGCTGTTGTCGAATTGAATTGGGTATACCTAGGTAGGCACAATTCGCACGATGGCTTCAATCCACCCAGGGCATGCACGTTTATCCAGCAGATGCAAGTTGAGCACGTGCTCCATTGACCGATTCATGGGGATTGAGCATGGGGCTATCGCTATGACGAAATGGATCTTGTCAAAGGTTGGAATCCCTGATATGCTTGGTCACGCCGACGAAAAAGGCCGGGTTGACGGCGATGAGGGCGCCAAGAGATGATGATACGCAACTGACCGACTCAACAAATGCGGCACGGGCTCTCTGAGACTCGTTCAGACTCAGAACTGGCCAAACTCGCCACCAAGACCGGCGTTGCCAAGGAATGCTGCGTCTGCCAAGAGATAGCCACCGGCTTCACAGCCAATTGTGTCGCCACCGCTGAGCCCGCTCGTCGCGGTTTTTGGTGCTACCGGGACTTGGGTCTTGGCAAGACGACGCTTCGACCGTCGAGATGCGCCGTCAACACTGTGTAATAGCCGGGCGAGGACCGGGTGGTGGTGACTGGCTGCAGGCGGCCTGGTCATGGGCTACACCTACACGCTGCTGGGCATTGGCCTCACGCTCTTGGCTCAACCGGCGGCGGAACAGTGCTTGCCAAGAGGGTGCCAAGAGGGTGCCAAGAGGATGATCCTGGCCGGTGGACGGCGAGATTGTCCACGTGCTAAGCAGGGCGGTTTGGCTTGTTGTTTGCTGTGACGCTCTCGCGAGACATCCAGGGACTCAAAAGCAGGCGAGACAACCGCTCAAGCCAGGGACGACCGCACGCCGGCCAATTGACGCCGCAGCGGCTCATCGACGAGACGCCAGCCGCGTATCAAGGCAGAATTAAGGCCGTGAATAAAAATATTTTAGTCCAAACCTGGAGGAGGGGTTGGTGGAGGTCTGGCGAGTAGGTTGCATCGTATATGGGGCCCCTTTGCTTATTTGCGGTGGGGGGCACCTGTAGCCGCACGGGGGCGATGGCTTCAAAGTGCTTGGACATGTGGAGGACGAGATGAGACTTTGGTGATGCGTCTCATGGGCCGATTATTGCCTCATCCGGTGGCGATCCGGTTGCCACGATGTATCTCCAGGTCGCGACGCGTCGATGCTACCGCGTCGATACCACACCACGCGCCCTGAAAAATACCGCACGGCTTTAAACCTGTGCTGTGCGACTCAAGTGCGACGGTGAGTTGCATGTTGCAGGCCTACCGCATCTAGCCGGCTTGTAACTCTCCGTTTGCGACATCTCAGATGGCGGTTCTACACATTATTCGCACCTCGGATGAACCAGCCAGAGCGCCGGCTTGTTTAGCGAGGGTTTGATCAGCGAGAGTCAATGCGATGCGAGATGAGCGCGCAGACGAAGAGCCCCATTCCATTGGGGTTATTGCGTTGGTCTTTGTCCTCTCCTTGTTTCGACGTTTCCGCGATCCATGACGCTCTCCACATCCCATCTCTCGTCCATTTGCACTGACCGACACCTCTCTCCACACACCATCCCTCGTTCTCCACCCATAGGCAGGCATCCTTGGGTCTTTTTCTTCACGTCTTGGCGAGTGGGGTTTTCTGTCGTCCTTGGCCGGAGGCGAGGGGCGTTAGTTGGCGAAGAGGCTGCAACTATCTCTGTTTGCAACGGCGACTGCCGATCAACGCTCACAGGCTTCTTGGCCGTGGGACCGGGAATGATAAGAGAAGACGGCCGTCCCGCGATCCGGCGGCTTAGTTTCCCTTCTCTTCTCCCTTCTCTCCATTAACTCTTCTGCAACCTGGACTAACCTTGTGTCCTTGCATCTTCGGCTCTCTCCCAACCCACAGCTAACCGTAAACTAAAGCCCTCGAAAGGCCACCCGTCTCTCACTTTGTCCTCTGCAACCGTTGTCTCACCGCAAAGGTGAATACATCGTCGCCATGAGCCAGCAGTTGATCGAGGAGGCCCCTCATGTCTCCGGCCAGTCCAACACGCCCATGACGGCGCCGGCCCACGCCCTCACCTTTGACCAGGTCGCCGAGCAGCTCAAGGGCCACACCGTCGACGGCCTCACCACGGCCGAGGCCAAGGCCCGTCTCGAAACCGCCGGCCGCAACGAGTTCGGCGAGCAGGAGGGCGTCCAGCCCATCAAGATCCTCATCGGCCAGATTGCCAATGCCTTGACTCTAGTGAGATGTCCACCATTCCAGGCCCCTCCGAGGACCACGGCGGTTTGCGCTGTTGCCCTTGGAGGTGGACCTCGTTGAGAAAATAGTCTGATTTGCCGGTATGTAGGTGCTCATCCTCGCCATGGCTGCTTCCTTTGGTATCCAGTCCTGGATCGAGGGCGGCGTAGTGGCCGCGGTCATCGTCCTCAACATCGTCGTGGGCTTCTTCCAGGAGTTCCAAGCTGCCAAGACCATGGACTCGCTGCGTTCGCTGAGCTCCCCGACTGCTCACGCTGTCCGCGATGGCAACAACGAGGTTGTCGTGACCGCTGAGATTGTCCCCGGCGACCTGGTTGAGCTCAAGACTGGCGACACCATCCCCGCCGATATCCGCCTGATTGAAGCCGTCAACTTCGAGACCAACGAGGCTCTCCTCACCGGCGAGTCCCTCCCCGTCCGCAAGGAGACTGGCGCCATCTTCCCCGACGACACCGGCCCCGGTGACCGCCTCAACGTCTGCTACAGCTCGTCGACTGTCACCAAGGGCCGCGCTCGCGGCATCGTCTTTGCTACTGGTGTCTACACCGAGATTGGCCAGATTGCTGTCGCTCTCCGCGGCAAGTCGTCTCGCCGCCGTGAGCCCAAGCGTCGCGAGGATGGAACCGCCTCGACTGGACGCTGGATGCAGGCGTGGACCTTGACCTGTTCCGATGCCGTCGGTCGTTTCCTCGGTGTCAACGTCGGTACTCCTCTGCAGCGCAAGCTGTCCAAGCTCGCCATTCTGCTTCTCGGAACTGCCATTGTGTGTGCCATCATCGTCCTGGGTGCCAACGAGTTCAGCTCGAAGCGTGAGGTCATCATCTACGCCGTCGCCACCGGCCTGTCCATGATTCCCGCTTCGCTTATTGTCGTCCTCACCATCACCATGGCTGCTGGTACCAAGCGCATGGTCCAGCGCAACGTCATCGTCCGCAACCTCAAGAGTCTCGAGGCTCTTGGTGGTGTTACCAGTATGTCTCACTGAGTTCTCAGCTGTTCCGTCACTAACACTGCATAGACATTTGCTCTGACAAGACCGGTACTCTCACCCAGGGCACCATGATTGTCAAGAAGGCTTGGATCCCTGGCCGCGGCACATACTCTGTCGGCTCTACCAGCGAACCCTTCAACCCCACCGTTGGCGTTGTCGGTCTCCAGGAGGCTCAGCCGAAGGACATCAACTTCCAGGGCAGCGACGCCGAAGGCACCGAGATCAACGCTGAGCAGCTCGTCGGCCAGGATGCCACTCTCCAGCAATACCTCAACATTGCTTCCCTTGCCAACCTCGCCACCGTCCACCAGGTCGAAGGTGAATGGCACGGCCGCGGTGACCCTACCGAGATTGCTATCCAGGTCTTTGCCTCTCGATTCAACTGGAACCGCCTTCGTCTCTCAACCGGAGACCAGAAGCAGTGGCACGAGGTCGCCGAATTCCCCTTCGACTCTGACGTCAAGAAGATGTCTGTTATTTTCGAGAACGCCGAGTCCAAGAAGCAATGGGTCTTTACCAAGGGCGCCGTCGAGCGCGTCATTTCTTCCTGCCCCCAGTATGCCGTCGGCGATGAGATCAAGAAGCTCACACCTGACGTCGAGCAAGACATCCTCCGCAACATGGAGGCCCTCGCACGCCTTGGACTCCGCGTGCTCGCCCTAGCCAGCCGAACTGATATCCGCCACGTCATCGACAACGAAGCTGAGCTGGATCGAGGTTACTTTGAGAACGACCTGGTCTTCCGCGGTCTCGTCGGCCTCTACGATCCTCCTCGTCCCGAGTCTGCGCCCTCTGTCCGTCGTTGCCACGAAGCCGGTGTCAGCGTCCACATGCTCACCGGCGACCACCCCGAGACTGCCCGTGCTATTGCCATTGAAGTCGGTATCCTGCCTACCAAGATGTCCCAGATCCCTCACGACATCGCCAAGACCATTGTCATGGCTGCGTCCGACTTTGACAAGTTGAGCGATGACGAGATCGACCAGCTCCCTCTTCTGCCTCTCGTCGTCGCCCGTTGCGCTCCTCAGACCAAGGTCCGCATGATCAACGCCCTCCATCGCCGCAAGTGTTTCGTTGCCATGACTGGCGACGGTGTCAACGACTCTCCCAGTCTAAAGCAATCCGATGTTGGCATCGCCATGGGCCTTGCCGGTTCCGATGTCGCCAAGGAAGCTTCTGACATTGTCCTGACTGACGACAACTTTGCTTCCATTCTCAACGCTGTCGAGGAGGGCCGACGCATGTTTGACAACATCCAGAAGTTCATCCTGCACGTCTTGGCCGAGAACATTGCTCAAGCCTTCACTCTGCTTATCGGTCTTGCCTTCAAGGACAAAAACGGTCTGTCTGTGTTCCCTCTAGCCCCCGTCCAGATTCTCTGGATCATCATGATCACCTCCGGCATGCCTGATATGGGCCTCGGGTTTGAGATTGCCGCTCCCGATATCATGCAGCGACCTCCCCAGAACGTATGTTTCTCCCTAGCTAATCTCCTGAATCACAGCTAACAATCCACAGTTGAAGCAAGGTGTCTTTACTCCAGAGCTGCTCGTCGACATGGTTGTGTATGGTCTCTGGATGTCCGCCCTTTGCCTGGCCTCGTTCGTCCTCGTTTTGTACGGATTCGGTAACGGCAAGGACGACATTGGTGAGAACTGCAACAACGATTACAGCGACGAGTGCGAAGTCATCTTCCGTGCTCGTGCCACCACCTTTGCTTGCTTGACCTGGTTCGCCCTGTTCCTTGCCTGGGAGATGGTCAACATGCGCCGCTCTTTGTTCCGCATGCAGCCCAAGAGCAAGAAGTACTTTACTCAGTGGATGCACGATGTCTGGCGCAACCAGTTCCTCTTCTGGGCCATCGTGGCTGGCTTCGTCACCATGTTCCCGTTGATCTATATCCCCACCCTCAACACCGTCGTCTTTAAGCACGCCCCCATCTCTTGGGAGTGGGGTATTGTGTTTGTCGAGGCCGTCATTTTCTTCCTGGGTATCGAGGCCTGGAAGTGGATGAAGCGCTTCTACTTCCGTCGCCAGGCTCGCAAGACGACCGGCGGCGAGACAGATCTCGAGACGCGCGTCTTTGGACACTACTACACAATGTCCAGCAGCAGCCAGGACGAGGATGTCGGTGGAGAAAAGAGAGCTACCTAAAAGGTGGACTAAAAAAACATGTGCTCCAGGTATACTGGAAAGCAATGCGAACTGGGAGAGCAGCCCAATGATGATGGCGCTCCATGTGAAGCAGCTTGCGCCGAGAATGATTTCATAGTAAGGGAAATGGAGGAAAAACGAAGGATGAACCCTGGCTTGCATGGGATGATGGGATGGGCCAGTCAGCCAGGTATCGTAGGTTATCAGGTAGGTGGTAGGTAGGTCGAAATGTAGACTGAATAAAATGTGACTTGGACCCAGAAAAATGGAGTGTTGCGGAATTATGCACGAATCGTCCTTGTTTTTCAGCTGGTGAGTTGTTTCTACAAAGGCATGACTTGTTCATGGCGATCCAGCTAGGTCAGTTAGGCCAAGGGATGCTACAACGAGGCGAAGTTAGCGGCAACGAATCGTCCCTCTGAGCTTGCGATGAGCGCCAAGGTGGGATAGAGAGTCCTTTCTGTAGACAGGAATGAATAAGAAAAAGCATGAGACACAGGCACAACCGGGAATGGATGAGCCTAAGGACGGGCCGAATTTGTGAACACACTCATCACAGCCAAGAGAATACGAGCAGAGACACGCAAAGACACAAGCAAAGTGGCGTTGCAAGACAATCAATGCGTAGTCCAGAGCCCAAACACGCGCCACGTCAGCCCGTGGATGAAAGATGCAGGGGCAAGCACAGGGCTTATGCGTAGATAGATGCTTAAATTTAGCGCTGGCCCTCCCAATAGCCCTGGTGTGACTCGCCGTGAGTGAGGCTGTCGCTGAGGAGGCGAGAGACGGCAGAACCACCCGATACATGTTGGACGAGCGTGTCGCGAGCAGTGCAACGCAACCTCCAGAGCTGTGATAAGTGAGGGGTTTTTTTTCCCCTTCTTCCTCTCTTTTCCTTTTGCGTCCACACGTCCTGGAATCTTGGCTCATTGGTGAGGCGACGATGCGGTCTTGGCAGACTTGGCAAGCTTGGCGTGTTGTTGTTGTTGCGGTCGTTGTGCGCGGGCTGTGAAACAGAAGGCAAGACGACAAGCTCCTGTGAGAGTTGCTACACGCCAATTACGATTACATGCTACGCGCCAAGTCGTCGCGTCTCTCTCTCTCTCTGCGTCGTGTCTCGATCGGGATCTCCAAGGTGAGCACCCGGGCAGGCCAAGATCTACGATTCTTGCCCAAACGCCATCGCCATCTGTAACCAGCCCGTGTCGCGAGTTTATCTGGCATCCCGCGGGCTCGGACGTTCCCCAGGCTCTCACAGACCCCCCCGCGACTTCGAGATGTTGCTGCTGGCGCCACGTTCCCGCGACAGCCGCGACGGGTGGCGAGACATGGCCGAGGGTGGCATGTCTTGAGGCTGGACGAGGAGGAGTCGAGGTCGGAATCGCGAGTCCTGGGGGTCTTGTTCCACTGTACGTACTAAGTACATAATTACACAGAAGCAGGCCGTGGACAAGCAATCGCAATCGCAACCCCCTGTCGTGGAGAAAGGCCGATATCGACCAGACCAGGGCCCCTGGCTCCCACGCCGGACGGACGGCGTTTCTGGGATTGCGGAGAAGACGAACCTGCGCGATAGACTCCAAACACCGTGTGTCGAGGCTCATCACAGTGGCTGATAGCCTTGTCCAGAAGGCCGGCCGCGCAATCAAGCGGCCATGTCTCACTGTACTCTAGCGCTCCAGGGAGTGTCAACTTGGTGCTTGGTAGCGTGTAAGCCGCCGATCGTCGCCAGTTACGATCGTCACGGCCTCATTTACCGACCGAACTCAAGACAGCTCGCGCCTCACTCGAGTCGGGCTTGCTCCAGAGCTTCTCTGCAGATCCAGAGCTAGTCTCTTGGCAGCGTCACTCGAGGGCAACGTGCAATTTTAAATCACTGTAGCATGATTGTTCGGCCCACGACCCCCTTTTGCTCTCCCGCCGTGGAACCATGGATCATGGCGTTTCCGTGCCTCTTGCTCTATCATTCTCCTTGCTGCGATCTTCATCCGCTAGACAACTCCGTCTATCTGTGCACTATGCCAAGGCTCGGTCTGTCACCGCCGACCCACGGTCTCTCACTACTCGTGCATCATCTCCCATTCTCCGTGTCTATTTATCGCTTTTCCGTAGTCCCGTTTCGTCGCCTCGGCTCCATCTCCATCCTTCCTGAGACCACCTCGCCCGGCCTCTTATATGGCCTTCGCAACTAGTTCTTTAACCCGACTGCTCCCGCACCAAAACTAGTGTTGCAATGGAATTCTCTTGGCTCACCTACCTCCTCTGTCCTCATCGCACTCAGCAGTGAAGGGCTTCATCTTTCTACCTCTCCCTCGTTTCCTTCCTCCCTCTCACTCTCTCGTCTCTCTCCCCTCCACCTCTACCAACCTCTCTCTCTCTTCGTCGTGCGCTGGGCGTCGACACTGCTCCTAGTCAAGATGCCTGTTCTCAGTCTCAGCGAGCTCAACATTGTGTTGAGTGTTTTGGGTTCGTCCACCTCAGCCGCCAAAACTGTGCAAAGACTAACACCAGTCCAGGCGCTTTCACTGTCCTATATGGAATCATCTCTGTAAAGCTCAAGCAGGCGTGGTATCTTGGCGAAGCTCGTGAGTCCTCCTCCACCCCTTGGCATCCTGCATCCTGCATCCTCGATCTCTGGCTGACTCTTGGCAACCCACCCACAGTCCCTGCCGTCGCTCTGGGCATCGCCCTCGGACCCATAGCCGCCAAGTTTATTGAGAGTGAGAAATGGGGTTCTGCAGAGGAGGGGCAGACCAATGCCATCACCCTGGTTCGTCTCCGTTGTGCCTGCGATATGAAGCTAGCTCCATGCTGGATTCCCATGCTGACTTTGATGCATAGGGTGTTGCTCGTGTCATGATTGGCGTCCAACTGGTTATTGCCGGTTACCAACTCCCGGCCAAGTACAACTGGACCCGATGGAAGGAAATGGCCCTGTGCCTGCTGCCCATCATGACGCTGATGTGGCTCTTCACCACCGCCTGCATCATGGCCTCGGTTTCCAACTTGACGTTGCTCGCCGGCCTCGTCATTGGATCTTGCGTCACTTGCACTGACCCCATCCTCTCCCAGGCCATCGCCAAGGGACCCTTTGCTGACAAGTATGTTGCTCGCCCTCTGCGCGAGATCATCTCGTCCGAGGCCGGTGCGAATGACGGCTTTGGCTTCCCATTCCTGATGCTTGCCGTCTATCTCATCCGCCATGCTGACATTCCTGCCGCCGCTGGCGCTGCTGCTGAGGCTGTGCATCACAACTTGGTCCGATCGGAAGAGGTCGGGCGTCTGGGTGGTGGCGTTTACGAGGCCCTCAAGAACTGGCTCCTCGAGACATGGCTCTACATTGTGCTGCTGTCTGTTGTCTACGGAGCCGTCGTCGGCTACGGAGCCTGCAAAGCCATCCGCTTCGCACTCAGGAGGTATGTCTGCCAGAGTCAAGTCATGTCAAGGATATCTTCTAACCTGTTCACAGGAAGTGGATCGACAACGAGTCCTACGTTTTGTTCCCCGCCGCCCTGGGCCTCTTCATCGTCGGCACCTGTGGCGCCATTGGCACTGACGACCTTTTGGCCTGCTTCGTCGCTGGCAACGCTCTAAACTGGGACGGCGAATACCTCCGGGAGACGGAGGAGCGACACGACGAAGTCAACTCATGCATCGATGTGCTGCTCAACTTTGGCGGCTTCATGTACATCGGATCCATCATGCCATGGTCTCAGTTCCACGACCCCGAGGGAACCGGCTTGACTCTGGGCCGTCTCTTCCTGTTGGGCTTCCTGGTCCTCGTGTTCCGCCGCATTCCCGCCATTCTGATGACTTACAAGCTGATGCCGTCCGTTTGCACAAACTACAAAGAGGCCCTCTTCATGGGCTATTTCGGTCCTATCGGTGCCGGCGCTGTCTTCTACGTCGAGCACGCCCGCCACCAGTTCCCCGAACTCGGTGAGGGTGATGAAGAGGAGACCAACTTGGTCACCCTCATGGGTCCCATCGTCTACTTTCTCGTTCTCTTCTCCATTGTTGTACACGGACTCTCCATTCCCGCACTGAGCATCATCTACTCGTACATGAACGTCAAGCCCATCCAGGAAGACGGCGTCGAGATTCGGCGTGTGTCGATGCAGGCCCCGAGACCTGTCAACGCTGCTCAGACTGGCGACAAAACATTCATCGCTTTCAACCGCTTTAGCCAACCGGTGATGCAAACGTTTGACTTGCCCAGAGACGAGTCCATGGCTGTGAGCGACTCCAAATCCCACAACTCCCGTTTTTCGCATGAGTCGGACGAGCTAGAGACAGAGAAGAGGGAGAGGCGACGAACTATCCGGTACATGGTATAGAGCGGTAGCAGCACGCAATGCATGGCACGCGATCCAATCTTTAATTGATAAAGCTGCCCCTGGGCCAGGTGCTGAGGAAGGATAAATAGCATAGATTGGACACGGACACAGTCGCTACTACAATACATTAAAACAAAAATGTCAAATCAGTCGTTACCATTCCTTAGCTATGTCTGTAATCATTCATGGCGCGTTTCTCTGAATACGTATTTATCGCCGAATTAAAGCTATATGCTGTATCGATGAATGACTTTGGCGCATATTGTACTTATCTGGACCACTTGAAATGGCCAGTGCATCCTCAGTGGAAGCCATTGTGGTCTATAGTACGTCTTTACCATTTAGAGACAAAATTGAGGACATCTCTGACTTTAGATCGATAAATTCAGGTATAGGGTAGGTTCCTCGTCATTTACGATGGTGGATTTTTTGTGCTAGTTTCCTGGTTCAAGTCAGTGAAAGTAATTGACCACTGTTGACGGACCATCCTGCTCATAAAAATTCTTCTCCATGATACAGGAAACTACCGCATCATCCACCTACAGAGTGATATCAACGGATCAAGGAGTAGGTTTCTCATTGCAGAATGGGTACAGCAGGCGCCCAAGTCGTAACAATTAAACATAAAGTCAACACTTCACTTAGTGGCGGAGTGGTCAAACCTCTGGGCAAACCTCTAAGAGGGGCCGGACTCGAAACCCGGAGAGAAAACTTTAGGGTATTGTGCAGTGGGTTTGGTATGAAACGTGTGGACTGTGATGGAGGGTTTTGATAGGAAGCATTTAGGGTTTTGCATCTACATGTAGATTTTATCCCCACAAGTTTATCCTATCAAAACCGTCCGTCATAGTCCACACGTTTGACACCAAATTCCGCCACACAATACCCTAAAGTTTTGTCTCTATATAACAGGTCTGGTAGGTTAACCAACTGAATCGTGTTGAGGCAAGTACCAATGTGCACCGAAGCCAGTAGGACCAATAGCTATTCTAGGAAGTATTGAATACCAGCACCTAATGGCTTGAGTTAACACTTCATTTCAACTCGGCACTGCCAATATTGTTAGAAGTATGGTGATCGAGATACACCTGTTGTGTTGTCCCAATAATACTGTGAATTTATGTGGCTAGCAAGAGATGGGCTTACAGCTAGTTATGCAAACGGTGGGACATCAAGCAAGCCGGTGAGAGTATATTGGGGCTTCAGCTATTTACATATTTAGTTTGTCTTGAGATTCCGGCCAGCTGTTTAATTACCAACGCAGATATCAACTCCTTTTCATTAGACTGACTTTGAAGCCCTTGACCTTCTAGAGACATCACAATATCAGTGACTCTGACGAGACTGCAGGTGGCTGTGGTAGTTTGAGCTCAAGCTATGTTTCCCCGCTTTCGGTGAGTCTTTTGGCACCCTTCCTTGCCGAAGCTCTATGATTCCCTAAAGCGGAACCTCTCGCGAATCTTGAGGCTGGTTTGAATGCCGTCACAGGTGCAGGATGGGATCATTTTGCAACCAGCATCCGCGTATGATTCCAGCCGCAACAAGCTTGTGTTTAAGCTTCAAACTCCTGTCACCTCTACCTCGATGGGAATGTCTGATAATTCTTGGCTGGACACTTGCCATCAGTTGCGGCGACATGTTGCAAGCGGATGTGGCGATGCCGACGGTACGGGGAAGAATACGGGGAAATGCCCACTGCACCTGACAGTCCAATCGCTTCAGTTTCATCATTGGCCTATGAGGGCTCTTTATTTTCGGTCAATTAACCATAACAACCACCCAATCGCATTTTAGCTACCCATGCTGCATGTTTCACCAGGCTCGGCAGTACCCGATTTAGGGCTAGGAAAGAATGGCGTCACACACGGTGATGGCCAAGCCTGCACGATATTTTCCGGTAGTTTGTTCTGCTGCATTGGCTCCCGAAGGTCTAAATCGCACGGATGTTCAATAAATATGGTGTTGGTGGGCGAAGTGAAGATTGCCTTTATTGCGGTGAAATTGGCCCATTTGGGGACCTCCAACCACCACAACCACCGCATCTACAACCACAGCCTCTTTGTCGCGAGAATCTCACCCCATGTTTTGGAAACGGTCACTTTAGTCTCTTGAACAAGGCTACAACTGGATCGGAAACACCAAATCGACACGGCCATTCTCAACCCCAAAGGCCTCCGTTCAACGGCCTCCGTGGCGTCCTTGGCAGACGCATTCGGCCGATCTCGACCAAGTCGCGCCGTCTTTTCCGTCTTGCCCGTGTCAGATTCAAGCACAGCCTCAAAATCTCGGGGTAATAATTGACAGGGCGTTTGGACTCGCACGGATCTCTTCTGCGCACTGGCTGCGGCACGTTTACCGGCCTGCAACACAAACGCCTCAAAGGGGAAACATTTGACCCCTGAGAAGTCTGACCTCGGCCGGAACCTCCAAAGTTCCGGCCATTCCAAACTTGTTCTCGCCTCCACGGATTCAGGTGTTTTAAGATGCGATTGGTCCGTCAGAATATTTTCTGCACCTTGCGAAACAACATTCACAACCACTGCGCCCGAGAGTGCCATTGCAACCCGTTGGCAACACGCTCGCGGCCGCTGGAGAGCACTTTGTTTATTCCATCAGGTTGCTTTGGATTCTTTTCAACGGCCTTTGAAATGCTTCATTCTGGTTTCAAGTTGCCAGTTGCCGCCTTGGCCATGGCTTGGAGGCCGTGAGGCTGGGGAAGGTAATGATTGCGGCAACGAAAAGAGATATATAATGGGGCTTGCTTCTTGACCTTATGAGCTTATTCCGATCATCACAAGCTTCACTCCACTTCCATTAGCCACTCAAACCCCCTTCTCTCTATTCTATTAATTCGTCCCTGGTTGGACTTTATTTCCTCTGCAAGACAGACTTCATTCTACAACCATACTTTACACATCATCCCCCAACTTCAACTAATTCCACCTATACCCACCTTCCAAGGACCAAATCACATCAAAATGGCTTCTTTCAAGACTGTTCTTTCCTTCACTCTCCTGCTGGCTGGCCAGCTCGCTGCCGGCCACAGTGTCATTACCGACGCTGTTGGTGACTCTGGCGGTTCTGGAATGGCTCTCGGTGTTGACACCAGCACCCCTCGTGACGGAACCAACCGCCGCCCCTTCCAGCAAGATGCCACTCGCTTCCAGGGAGATGCTGAGGACACTGTTGGCGAGACCCTCGGTGGAGGTGACAACGATGTCGAGGCCGGTACTTCGGCAATCATGGCCGAGACCGGCGACTCCCTCCCGCAGGTCACCCCCGGCGGTGAAGTCACCATGACTCTGCACCAGGTCAACAGCGACGGTGCAGGACCATACACTTGCATGATCAACGACGACGGAACCGCACAGAGCTGGACCGCAATTCAGGTCACCCAGAACGTCGCGGGCAACGAGCGCGGCCGCAACCGTGACGGCGAGACCCAGGACTTCCCGTTGACGGCCGCCATCCCGGCTGACCAGACCTGCACCGGAACTGTTGCTGGCCAGGACAATGTTTGCCTCGTCCGTTGCCAGAACCCAGCTCGTGCAGGTCCCTTTGGCGGTGTCGTCCCTGTTCAGATGGTTAACGCTGGAGGTGCCGCCGGTAATGGCACTGAGGCGGCTGCTGGCAACGGTACTGCTGTGGATGCTGGCAACAACAACGCCGTGGACGCTGGTAACAACAACGCCGTGGACGCTGGTAACAACAACGCCGTGGACGCCGGTAACAACAACGCTGTGGATGCTGGCAACAACGCCGCGAACGGCGGCAACAATGCTGTGGACGCTGGCAACAATGCCGCGAACGGTGGCAACAACAATGCTGTGGATGCCGGTAACAACAACGCTGTGGATGCTGGCAACAATGCTGCGAACGGTGGCAACAACAACGCCGTGGATGCTGGCAACAACGCCGCGAACGGCAACAACAACGCTGTGGATGCTGGCAACAATGCCGCGAACGGTGGCAACAACAATGCTGTGGATGCCGGTAACAACAACGCCGTGGATGCTGGCAACAATGCCGCGAACGGCGGCAACAATGCTGTCAACGCTGGCAACAATGCGGCCAACAATGCTGGTAACAACGCCGACGAGGACGACGAGGAAGACGAGGAAGACGACTCGGCTGCCGACAGGATTCGACGACGTGCTGTCGCATTCTTCGCTTAAGTGAGAAGGGAAGGCCAAAGACGCGGTGGACGGACAGATGAGAAAAGGTCGCTTGGGTTGTTGACGATGAGCGATGGCTAAATTGGTTGAGAGAAGACGGACATGTTATGAAAAGGTAGTTTCATGGGCAATGGCTTGCAATGTGTACGCAGACTGCAAGTCAAATTAATTCGAGTCTTTAGTCTCTTTCCTATGCAGTTAAAGATAGAAGCGTTACCTAGCAATACAGAGGAACATGGCAGCTATTTCACCGAGAGTCCATTTGACACACCGACACACGACACACCAGCGACGGCTATGACGGCCACGCATATGAACACTCCGACAAATCATCCATGAGCTATTTCTGCTTATCGGCCAGAGATTCCGCTGGTAGCTTCGGAAGGTTCCGATACGGAGAACCAGCTAGCACCAAAGCAGTATAAATATGCGCAGAGTGACGATAACGAAGGTAGAGAGACGATAGAGACGATAGCAACGCAGGATATTCCAGGGAAACAAGCAACTTAAAAGAAACCCTTGCGCATCTCTTCTCTTCACCTATTTTCCCTCTATTTTTCCCGTTCCGCCCCCAACCGCCAGGAAACCCGGTGCTGGAAACCGGAACATGAGAGCGTTGGACAAGATTGGCGACGCGAGAACAGGGGCAGCCACCAATAGAAAATTGATCCCACGTCGTTCCAGGGCCTGGGATTGAATTCACCCCCGCAGTAGATCTACGATAAGACGCTCTGTGATTCCGCTTTCCGCTTTCCGCGCTGACGTTGCTCATTTTCTCACGGCCGGGAGAAGAGCAGCTTCACGATATCATCACTTTGATCAATTACCGCCAATTGTCGATTATTATGACGGCCGTCACCATGGTTGATCCACCTCCTGCCACCTCCTCAGATCCTATTTCGTCATTGCCAGCGTGCAACGAGCCCGTCTTTCACAATATCCCCTCTGCCGAGCACGCTCCGTTACGCTCCATCCGCTCACGCCGGCAGACCAACCCGGACAACGTAATTGCGCACCTCCAACGCGCAGTCAGTGCTCGGGACGGCCATGAGATTGCGCTGCTATCTGTCGGAGAAGCGGCGCGCCTGTTCGCCGCCGTTCTAGGGCCGCTTGGGAAAGCAGCATCGCGTCAATCACGTAGCGGGTCGATATTTGCAACAAAATTCCGGACACCTACGCGGCGATTTGGTGCCATCGCAAGTGGGACTTCAACGCGCCTGTATGCGTTGCTGGCGATTCTCGAGGAATGGCAGCTGATGATTCGAATGTGGGGTCTGTTTGATATGTGGTTGTCGGCAAAGGAAGTCATCCAGGAGAAGTTGATGGGCAAGAACCACACGCTTGCAGATGTGCTGGACACCTCAATTGCCACTCTTCAAACTGTATCGATGACTGCATTCCACATATGCGAGGCAGTGACATGCCTGTCTCAAGCAAGAGTCTTGTCTTGGTCGCCCGAGCTTCAAGGCAAGTTCATGGGCTGGGCGGCTCGATTCTGGGCTACATTCACCTTTATCGAGGTCGCTCGACATCTTTTCGAGTGGTCACGGAAAGAACCGAGCGATGAGGACTACACAGAGTGGAGGGACCAGTGGAAATCAGAATTCTTCCGCAACCTGGCGTGGGCGCCATACACAATTCATTGGAGTATGCCCGACGGCTTCCTACCCGACTTCCTCCTCGGTGTATTTGGACTATACCCGTCTCTCAGCATTTGGAGAGATATATGGCAAGCTACTGCTTGAAATTGTTAGGATGGTGATGTTGGGTGCATCGAGTGTTGTATATACCAAGTGGCGGCGTTGCAGAGGGTAACATTCTCAGGAAAGATATCTGGAACAGGCTGGATGAAGAGACTTTACGTGGGTGGAACTGCATCAATGTTGTAAATAAAGATACCGAATATAGCTGGCTGCAGAGAGCGATTCTCCACCAACCTTGCATGGCCATAAAGGAAGCTGCACGTTGCTTCGCTAAATCGACAGGATCTGCACAGCAGCTGCCGCAGGATGCCCTCACTCTTCCTTGTAAACATCGTACTTGTACTGGCTACCAGTATGATCGTCACGAAGACCTTTCTGTCCCTTGCCATAGATCTTCTCGCGCGCCGTGAGCGGCTCCTCGGGCGACTCAGGGTAAAGACCACGGCGCCGCAGCTCAGGTATCAAGAGATCGACCACCTCCTCAAACGTCCCCGGCGTTGTGACGTAGCCAAGGTTGAACCCATCAATATCAGATTCCCGAATCCATTCTTCCAGTTCGTCGGCTATAGTCTGCGGGCTGCCAACACCCACAGGCCCGAGACCTCCAATGGACGCGCGCTCAGCGACAACGCGTGGGGTCCACTTCGGAATCTCCTTGCTCGTAGTCGTGAACGAGTCCAGGATGCTGCGCACTTTATGTGCTTCAAGCGAGTCTGCTGCCGTGATCTCCTGGTCAAGAGGAATCTTGGAAATGTCGATCCCGGTCCAGCCGCTGAACAAGACAAGGCCCCCGACGGTCGAGGCGTACTTTTTCAGCTCCTCGTACTTGGCCTGCGCTTCTTCGTCGGTCCGGCCGATGATGGGAGTATACGTGGCAAAGAACTTGATCGACCGCGGGTCACGTCCGACCGAGGCTGCCAACTTGCGGATGTTGTCTACCTTGGGACGAAGAACGGCTGGAGAGTGACCAGAGATGAAAATTGCTTCGGCATGCGAAGCGGCAAACGTAGATCCAGCTGCTGACGTTCCCGCCTGGAACAGAAAAGGCGTCCGTTGAGGCGACGGATCGACAATATGCCTCGTGCTCAGGTTGAAGTATTTGCCCTTGTGGTTGATGGTTCTGATTTTGTCGGGGTCGGCATAGCTATCGTTTTCGGGATCCGGCGAGATGGCATCGTCAGCCCATGATCCTTCCCACAGCCTAGATTGTCAGTCTGAATCAGTTTAAGAACACGCATGGACTTACTTGTACAATACGCGGAGGTATTCGTCGGCCTGGAGATACCGTTCATCATGCTCAATGGGAGTATCCAAGCCGATGGCCTTGAATGCAGCCTTTTTCCAAGACGTCACAATGTTCCAACCGATTCGACCTCTCGTGAAGTGATCTAAGGACGAAAATCGCTTTGCTAACAAGAACGGGGGCTCAAACGAGGTTGATGCAGTAATGCCGAAGGCCAGATTCTTGGTTACTGCAGCCATTGCACTGATGGGCTAAGACGCGTCAGTTTGAATTACGAAAGAGAGGATGCATTCACTTACAATGGTAGGGTCCGTCATGGGCCACTGAGCCGCCCTTCTAATGCAGTTATCCAAACTCCCCTCGTACGTGTCGTAACCGCCGTAAGTATCTGCTAGGAACAAGGCGTTGATGCCACCCCGTTCGAGCAACTTTGCCAGTTCAATCCAATATGTCAAATCTCGTTTAGTCGCAGACTTATCCACCGGGTTCTTCAAGCTGTTAGTTCAGAGCGCGGAAAAGATGTCGCGTTTACACATACCTTCCACTGCCCGGGGGATAAATGTCCGACAGTCGACATGTCGAATGCATTGAGGAAGATTTGCTTCTTCCCGTTTCCTAGGCGATCGCTTTCATTCTGCTGTGAAGCAGAGTTGTTGTTTTCGGCCATTCTGTGGCCGAATTTCGATCCTGTGCTCTTCAGTGATGCGTAACCTGCACGCACGTTTCTTCCGGTGCGATTTGATTCACAATCACGTTATACCTCGTCACTCATCGCAGAGAACAGCACTGTTATGATCACGAAACCTCATCTTTATATAATAACTCATGTCCAGCGACATCGGAAACCCCGCAATATTTGGTGCTCTGACAAATGCGATTGGTAAAATGGTACATGTATGGCGTGCTAGAACATCACTGCGATAACATTGATCTGCTGCGCGGAGCGCGATGACGTGATGGTCAATTCTGCTGCGGGGACTGGGCAGAGAACCAATGAATATTAGTTGAGGGCCAGGCCAAGAATTGTCCCTCTTCGTAGCAGAAAGCCAATAGGTAGGACATGATACCATTGAGGAGACTCGGAGCACGTCATAGGTCGTATCGATGTGGGATGATCCTTCATTCTTGGGATACAGGAGACTCTCAGTTTAAAATACAATTCCATGTAGAGCTATGGGTGGTGGGTTAGAATGAATAGTGCCATGGTGATGTACAATGCACGGAACGCAGTTTGGATGCCAAGCCTGTTCGTGTTTACGATAGGTGTCGCGGACAAGTAATTATGCCATGGCTGCTCTGATCATAGAAAGCAGAGGAAATATGATGGAACACGCTACACTTGTCGGTGGAAAGTTTAGTCCATTTTGATATCACTAGATAGACCTTCTGCACTATCGTCAAAGCCTCCGTGATTATCTTTTAGAGACTGGAGCCATGGTTCGTGAAAAGGACCTACAACAAGTGTCTCTTAGCGGACCGTCACACTTTGACTTGGCACTTGCAACGCATCCTATCGGTCCATTAAAGATAACAAATGAGCATGCATGGATTCAGCACTGAACGTTATCGCGCGGCTCGTAGTTTTTATATCCAGGCAGTGGTAACTATATATCACCATCCCGGGACCAGCTTGACTCATTGAGTATATATTGCAGAAAACGGATAGAATGCTCCGAACATGGCACAAGCGCGTAGGCACGTACGCGGCGAGGTGGATTGTAAGCCATACGTACTCTCTTCATTGGATCGAGACCAGGTGGGCCGCGTCTATATATGCCGCTGGGTGGGAACATCCACCCAATAGTTCACTCAATAGTTCTCGACGCTTGACGCTAAGACACAGCTCACAACCAATTTAGAACTTATCGTCCAGGCTAGTGAACCTGTGCATGCATTGAAACCCTCTTCTCGGCAAGTGCAATCCCAATTAGTTATTGCCGACGCAGCTGAATGGGGCGGCCTCTCTCATACGAGAGCACAGCTCGTCGAGGCGCCGCCACATCGAGATAGTAGTAAGATCGGGTAACCGTTGAAGCTATCTTGGCAGCAAATCTAGTCGTGTGTGGTCAATGCCGGTGGAGTTGAATGGGTCGCATCCACTGCCGGAGTCGCCGTCCGCCTGAATGCGTCGCGTCCAGGATACGAAGCACAGCTCGTCGGATCGCAGCCACATGGCGATATTGGCTACCTCCTGCAAGATGGCTCCGCATGAAAACACGTTGCGGTGAAGAGTTGTGAGTCTGTAGGAGAAATATAAATATCTGGTTTGTCAATCTTCCACTTCATCTTCATCTTGCTCTATACTCCACAAGCAACCACCTGAGTCCTCACGATGGCCGCCCTCTCCTTGACCCCGACATTACTGTCCCACTCCGAGTGCCAGTTGAGCTCAGCTTCATCACTAGCAGTTAGTAGTATTCCAATCACCGAGGAAAAATCTGACCATCAACAGAAGAATGAATCTAGTCGACAGCCCACACTCGGCACGGTTCCGTATCCGATCACTTACAAGATGTTAGGACTTGGCATCAATGTAAGAAAATCACTTACTAAATCTCGCAATGTACGAGACTAATGTTAGAGCCACTCTAGGTGCAAGTACCGAACTTGGCTTCAAATACTCTGCTCGGATCCAGAGGTTCAGCTCCTCCATACGTTAGCCACATCGCCACCCACATGTCGTGGAAAGCAACGGTGCAGCCGTGGAAGGGAGAAGAAAAGCTCCGACGTTCATGCGTGGCGGACTTGCAATCAATCGAGCAAGGCTTCCCTGGGATCGACTGTGCAGCTACCATCAATGCAATGGCGGCCTATTTAGTATACGGCTGCGAGCTGGACGATATACTCGAAACTATGGACATGGATACAGCAGAGTTGAGTGTGAAACACTGCGTGTCTATTCTGGCAGGCAATCCTATCAGTCAAGGTTAGTTCTCGTCGCCCATCTATAGAACATCTACTAACATGTTGAGAAGGAGATTCCTTTGGCCAGGCCTTCGACAGACTCGAAGAGATAACGATACTGTACTCTCAGCATATCATAAATCTCCTTGGCCCCGAGGTCGCAGCGGTGATTTTGCGCGACGTCCAAGTGATCATAATAGACCAGCTCCCCGAGATTCGATACAACCGTTCCAACGACAAGCTTAAAAGCTTTTCCTCCTACCTCAAGCTTCGAGAAGGAGTCATCGGAATGTTCCCGCTGTTCACAGTTCTTGAGCATTATTGCCACGCCAACGACGCGAGTGGCGATGCCCTAGAAGACTTGGCCCTGTTGAAGACTCAAATAGTTCATTTGACTGTTGTTCAAAACGACCTTGGCGGACTAGAGAAGGATTTCCACACACCAACTCGAAGCAATATGGTGTATGTCTTGGCCGAACTCAAGGGGAAAAGCATCAAAGGCAAGAGTGACCTCGCCAGCTCTCTAGATACTCTCCGGGAAGCAGAGACGCAACACAATGCCTTGGTGTTTGGAGCCATAGACACATGGTCCCGAATACAGCGCAACCCGTACACGGAGGCACAAAAGCGGTTTGCCAACATGGTTCTGACGCTGGCGTTTACACATTTGGAGTGGGTACTGGCAACGCAGCGCTACAATGTGGATAAGTCTGTCGAGAAGATAGGCGCGTTCTGTTAAGGGCTGGATTGGGCATGGTTGGTACGGAGTAATTAGAGAGAATAACGGTAGATCTCGATCGACAAATAAACTTCCTGTTATATCCGGGGGGCCGACTCTAACGCGATCTGAAACTAGGCCGTGAAAATCCAAAATCCCCTGCATATAGCGCATCGCCTGAGCGAGAAGTGAGGCCACCACGCAAGTACCCGTTGGATTGGCAATACGCTTGTAATGCTTGATCACATGCCAAGATCCATCACTGAAAAGCCTCATGAGATGTCCTTGGAAGAAATGGGGAGATTGTTGGAAGACATTCGCTCTCGAGAATGAGGAACTCAGCCCGATTCCCCGCAGGTAGGGCCAGCCCCAGATGGGTCGTGCTCCCGTTCGCTGCACTGTGAGACATTGATTTACGCAGTAACTGAGCGCAAGGTTCAATACGAGCCCACTCCCGTCAGGGGGACGGCGAGAAGCAGCAGGACCAACGCGACTTGGCGCGGATCGGGCGGGTCATAGGGTGATTCTCACACACTTGGCGGCGACAAGATGGCTAGCGCATCGGGTAATCACATCACAGGCCTGTGGCGACTAACTGGACGACCAACGACTGATTGCAACAGCCAAATCAAGGAATTGCCGAGGAGTGAAGGCCCGGCTGGGCGACATCCAAAGTGGGCGACTGCAGCCTTTAAACGCCCCTGGCCAGAGTGGAGAATTGTGACACAGAACGGAGAGCTCTGGACACCTGTCAATGTCTCACGCGTTAATATCTCACGGTGTGAATATCTCGCGGGTGGGAATATCTCACCGGTGTGAATGTCTCAGCCTGCTCCAGGATTTACTGGTCGCCTACGGCCCGGTACATCCATACCAGTACTCCGTAGAAACCAGCTCTTCCGGGTTGAGCCAAGACGTGTGATAAATTCCAAGATGCGACGCGCTCACATGCGATGGCCATCAGATCAGTGAATTCCGAGGAGCCGAAGAAAGACTCCGGGCGCAATAGCTGTTGGTTCAGCGGCTGGGATATCCCTTGCCTCAGCCCCATTGGCAGCGGGCCACAATTGGCTGCTATAATTAAAACTGGAGAGCGCACAAGGGAGACGAAATTTATCATGTAGGGGACCAAAAGAAAGCACAGGAAGCGAGTCTGACTTTAATTAGAGAAATCCTCCTTTGGGCAGCCACAGCGAGCACCTAGTGCAGTCTGGACACCCTCAACCATCACAGCCGGGCCTCATCAGCCCGATAAGGCCGTCAGCATGTACGCGGAAGCCTGGAATATCCCGGGAATGGGCTGAATATCCCAGGGATGGGCTTCTAATACGGGGGCTGACGGGGGCTGGCATTGGCCAGCATTGGCTGATGGGCGCGCAAGGGTCGTCTCGGCTGCATACGTTGTCAGCAGCAGGGTGGATGCTAGGACATGGGATCCGTTGAATGAGGAGGATCAGGACTGTTGATTGGGAAAGATGCATGTTCAGCAGGACTTTGGTACGCGCATTGATAAGCTTACATTCCAAAGTAGCGGGTGTTTCACAGCCCGCTGTCTGGGCGCCCATACAAAGTAACAAGTTATACTTTTGACGGAATGCGCAGGGGGTTATTTATACATTAGGGTAAGGGACTAGTGACTTGGCTTGCAATAGATTATTGGTGAGAAACAATGTACCTCTACTATGTACTGCCTCAATCAACGTTGCTTTTCCGACTTGACAACTTCCCCATGAACGAATTGAGCAACCTTAACATGGATGACCCCCGTACGTAGTGCGTAGCACTGTCTCGGAATCGCTTTTTCATTATGTACGAAAGCAAATAGGCAACTAAAAGAGTAATTGAATTGATCCTTGTCCGGACCCATCCTCCCTCTATCTGCTACACTGCAACCGCGGGAGGGCCAAGCGAATGGATAGACGCATCTGTCTCATAACCAGGCGACAGGCATCTAACAGAGGAATGCGACCCACCCCCCCTTCCACCCCTCTGCCACACTGTCTTGGTGACTTGGTACATAGCAATGTGCCGAAAAGGCTGGACGAATCTCAACACTCTGGTTACATTGGGTGCAGGGGCGTTGCCTTGGTCGTGGTGGAGATGCTGGGGCTGCCGGAAGGGAGACCGACCGCCAAGCCATTGCGCCCCTGAGCGGCGTTCGGATGCGTCCCAAGGCTTCAGGGTTCAAGGGTTGCTGAAGCACTGAAGGGCGGGCGTGGAGGAGTTCAGCCAAGCAATTCGGATCGACTCCAGAGACAGTCTCTGGCCTTAATACCCAGTGCAGCCGCCAGTTGCTGACACACGCCTTCCGTTCCTTTTCCTTTCCCTCTCTTCTCGTTCTTTGGCATTCGCTCTCTGTATTCGAGGTCCATCTTTTTGGTCTTTTGATCTACTTCCTTACGCTCCTTCTTGGTCATTCGTGATCCCGCCCTTCTTCGGCCGGAAAACCAGGGCCATGGCCGTCAGGATGTCTCCCCCGAGCCGGGCCTTCTCCCCACGCCACCTTGTCATTGGCGGCTCCTTCGCCGTCATCTTTCTTATTATCTGGATGTCAAATCGAATAGACCTCGTATGCTCATCCTGCCATGTTCCCATTCCGTCCACTGACCCAGCTGCGTAGGAGTCATTCTCGGACTCGTATCCCATGCCGTTCCGCAGCAAGCCCACGAGGACATCACGACTCCACTACCTTATACCGGCGTCGAACCCCACACTCCCGTTCTGCGCCTCGGTCGTCTCGGCCCTCGTCACCCGTTATTCCATCCCGACCATGATCGGCTACAAAGGTACTGGCGAATTCGACGCGCAGCAGGCCCACATCGCCAAGTTGCGTGTGCTTCAGCGATATTTGCACGGACCGGCCGGTGAGCACGCAGACGACTTGGTCCTGGTCATGGATGGCTATGACGTATTGGCCCAGCTGCCTGCGGATGTCATGATTGAGCGGTACTTTGATCTCATGGCCCGGGCCGACGAGCGTCTTGCAGATCGCTATGGTATCACTGTCGAGGAAGCTCACAAGCGTGATCTCCGTCAAACGATCCTCTGGGGCGCCGACAAGGGCTGTTTCCCTCCGCTGCCAGACGCAGCACACTGTTGGGCCGTCCCTCATTCTCACCTCGCCTCGAATGCCTGGGGATCCAAGTCGGGCACCGGAACCAGTGTTCACTTCACCGATCCCATCTACCTGAACTCTGGAACCGTCATTGGACCGCTCGGCGACCTGCGAGACCTCATCGACGCGGTCTTGGTCGACATCGAAGAGCTGTGGAAGCCCGACTTCAAATACCGTAACTCGGATCAATACTGGGTCGGCGAGATCTACGCCCGCCAGGAAGTCGAGCGGACCAAGAACATTACCGGCGGCGACGTCCCCGGCTTGTACGGAAACAGGATGCTCCCCGCAACGACAAATGGATCGTTGGCCCGGACCGAGTATCACGTTACCGTTGATGCTGAATCTGCCTTTGCCCAGACGCAGTGTTGGAACGACCAGTGGATGCGCAAGCTCAAATATGACAACCCCGACAACACCGTCACCGTCAAGGAAGATGTTTTCAACGCCAACGCTGGCTTTCTTGAATACCGAGTACAGCTGTCGACGACCATCTTCAACTCCTTCAAGAGAATTTACGAATCGCTCGTTGACGGTCGACCCGCCGAAACAGCTGAACAATGGACTCGCACACTGGCACTTGGCACCAACCTCGGCACCAGGGAAATCTTCGCCTTCTATCACAACACATGCTCCAAGCAGCACTTTGTCGACAAGTTCAAGACGTATTGGTTCTGGCCCATGGCCAAGCCCCTGCTCAGGGCCGCCATGAGAGCGACCATGGCGGACGAACCGATCTCACCTGCGCCTATCAATGGGCGTATGTGGTATGCCCAAAACACCTTCCCCGAGGACCCCGCCTTCCAAGAAGAATTTGGAGGAGTGTTTACGGATTATCAAGATGAAATTGAGAGGTTCGTTCCATTCAGCAAGCTTTGCGGGGAACACTTTCAGACCTTGTTCGAGCCCACGCCGCCGAATCTAGAAGAAGAGGAGAGGAAGAAGGAAGAAGAAAGAAAGAAGGAGGAGGAGAGAAAGAAGGAGGAGGAGCGCAAGAAGGAAGAGGAGCGCAAGAAGCAAGAAGAAGAGAAGAAGAAGCAAGAGGAACAAAATCTGCAGGCCGGAGAGACACCAAAGGAAGAAGATAAGCCAACCGAGGAAGAGAAGCCAAAGGAAGAGGAGAAGCCAGCGGAGGAGAAGCCAGCAGAGGAGAAAGCAAAGGAAGAAGAGCCGCCAAAGGAGCAAGAACCGCCCAAGGCAAAGGAAGACTCAGGCAGGTAAATTACTCGTTTATACACCACTTTTTTATGTTCGATTACTGGGTAATGGTCACGGTCGGGCAATGAGCGAACCGCCATCGGCGCGGTCTGGATATAGAACTTGGAGGCTTTCCAACAATGTACACTATTTGATGAAGCAGAAATGCCACATTTTCTCATGCCAAGTCACATTCCATCTCAGCTTCTAGATTCTCGCCCTTCGAGAAGCCGCGTGGCGTCACGTCACGCTCTGCCACGGTGCAATTTCACACCCAGTGTGGCACAAGATCGAATTCTTCCGCAAAATGCTCCGAGATAGTAAGTTTAATACGCTCGTTTCCCAACACCCGTAAGGAGAGGTATACACGTATACCTGCATATGCACCTTGTCTTGTTTGGAACAGTGGAGCGACCGTTTCCACTCCAGCTTGTCCCTAGCGCCAGGGGCATTTCGATCTCCACTCACCCTGTTCGTGGCGGTTGAGCACATGAAGCATGAAACAATCTTCAATCGAACTTGAGACCAAGTTGATACGCGTGTCCGATCGTTTCAATAGGAATGCGTACGTGCATTCCTACCCGCACCCTCTTGTCCTTCTATAAGTAGCTTCTCTAATTGGCCCACTCCAAACGCGTACTGTTTGTCCCCTGGTTTGGACTTGCATTTAGACCCTGAAGCTCCATAAATATTCCAAGAGGGACAAAGGAGTTCGTCAAGATGCGCGGATGGAAATAGAACAGCAGCAAACGGGGCACCAGCAAACGGGGCGCCCGGCTGTCGTAGACGCGCAACACCTGGGGACTGGCAGGAGGAATTACGAATACACCCTTCAGGCGATGAAACAGAAGCCGTTGTGGTGACGACAACCAACGATAGTGGTTGGCTTGTGAGTAAAGGTGGCAAGGTCAGGGTGTATGACGCAATAGTGATCATCTATTAGCTATGAGATCGACAGCCAATCGCGCAAGTATGGCAGATAACTAGTAAATTAGTCGTCGTACGCATACTTATAAGATATACCTAAAGTTCCTGTTCTGGATATCCGTCTCATCTACCTGGAGCAGTCCCTCGTCATTATCAAGATCCACATGGCGGACATCCTCAGGGTTGATCTTGACACCCTGCTCCTTGTCTCGGCGTCCGTTCTCCCATGACAAGTACAGCCGGAAGACGATTACCAAAACGATGGTGATGGCAAAGCAGACCAGGATGGTGGAGTAGGCGGTCTGTAAGATCAGCGTCTCCTCTCAGGCTATAGCAGTGGGTAAAGATCAACTTACATGGTAGTTTGGCGCCTCGCTGGCGATAAAAAATTGCGGGCCACTTAGGTTTCCCGCACAATAGCCCAAGAAGATCATTGCCATGACAGTAGACTTCTTAGTGAAGCCCGCGATATTGCTAGATGCCAAGGAGAGCATCAGCGGGAACGCAGGGGAAACAGCCATGACAAGCCAGAAGCCTGCCAGGCGAGAGAGTTTCTCAGCCTCGGGAAGCAGTTTAATCATGAGAATTCCGGCGATAGCCATGAGGAAAATGAACACGAGCGCAATGAGGCGAGACTTTCGAATGTTAGACGTGAAAACGGCAGCTAGGAAGACGGTGAGGAGCTGGAAGCCTGAAGCCGGGAGACCCATGAGAATCGTCTCATACTCGTCATAACCGAAACCTTTGATGACAAGCGTGTTGAACTTGTACGAGTTAGCATGTATACTACACAGGAGAGAATATTCATACGCTAGTTGTTCCTCCGTTAGGAACGCAAATGACAAACGAGAAGAAAAAGAACCACCACGCCTTGGGATCCTTGAGAGCCTCGATAAACTGATCGCGGTCCCATTTCTTGGTCTGGGTGGTTTTCTGGTACTTCTGAGGGCGGAGTGCCACCAGCTCGCGTTCGGCAGTAGTCAGGAACTTCGCGGTGAGAGGAGAGTCGGGGAGATAGAACCAAGCGACGACGGACCAGGCCACCGTGATGAGGCCGAAGAGGAGGAACAGAAACTAAGAGGGTCAGTCAAAGATTCAATGAGATCTCGGGGGGGTTACTAACCTTCCACTGAGACAAGGCGCCATCATAGTGCAAGAGACCATACGCAATCATAGAACCGATGATGCTAGCCGACGCATTTCCCGCGAACCAGAACGAGTGGCGCGAGACGTGTTCCCTCGGAGTATACCACATGCCCGTGATTAGAGAGAAGCCGGGACTGATGCCGCTTTCAAAGACACCCAGGAGTGTTCGCAGGACCATAAGACTCGCGTAGTTGGACGCAACAGCGTGCAGAGTAAGGACGATGCCCCAGAGGAAACTACATCATGTCAGTATCAGCAACACGGATACATAATGGATGAAGTCTTACATTAGCACACTAAGGTATTTTCCGAGAGGGAATTTGACGAAGCCGAGCGAAATAGGATACGATGCGACAAGGTAGCCGATGTAGAAGACGCTGGATGTCCAACTATACTGCTGGCCGACAAGATTCTATGGCGAGGTCAGTGGTGATTCCAGCACGCGTCGACATACGCAAGATTTCATACCAGTTCTTCCCGCAGTCCCAGGATGGCGCTGTACGCGAGACTCGTCTCTGCAGCGGGTCAGTTTTCATGAAATGCAGGTGTGGGGACATATCCACATACTATCCAGATACTGAAGGCCATAACTGACAATGAGAATGGGCATGAGGCTAGTATGCATCATTAGCACAACCAATTTCACACGGATATTATCGTTTGGCAATTACTGAAGGTCGATTTTGCGGATCAAGTGCTTCTCGTCTTCGGGGCCCAGCACCTCCATGCTGCCGAGCTCCATAGCGGCAACATCGCTATTCTGAATGTCGGACTTGGTGTCAGCGCCGTCGCGGCTCTCAACCTTTTGCTCCATGGTAACGACGAGCGGATGATGGAACTGAAGAGTCTTCGGAGAGGGCGGCAAGGACAGATGTCTGCTTGGCTGGGCGTCTCAATTGGAAACACAGACGGTCGGACCAGCGAGGCTTAATATACCACGGCGATACAGGTGCGACCCGATGCTGCAACGGCGCGTCCACCAATGGCAACGTGGAGGAAGGTTGAGAACGACGTCGTCTCGTCCGTCGGGAGACGTATCTTCACGGCGGGAGTTCGGATCACTCGTTGACACCTGCTTCGCGTCTTCTCACCAGATAAAGTTGACGCGATTGATTGGCCAGATTAATCGACGAGAATGGTGGATCCTCGCGGGGAATCCTTGCGGGGAAGGGATTAGCTGGTGGTTCTCTGTCAAAGCGTAGACGATGGACTGGGTTGACGAGTCGTGGTGGAAAGTCAAAGAGCTACAGGTGAATGCGTGATAAGGGGGGGTGACATGATTCTTGGATAGCGTCTAGATCTATTGCCGGGCGCAGACTGAAGCCTGGATACGGAACGGAATTGCGGATAGCAGATGGTGGAATACTTTGCATTAGGATGTTCTTCGAAGGGAGGCGTCTTGAATGTTATGCATGAAATTACAGAGCACATTTTCTGTGGTGGAAATTTCAGCTTTATTCACAATGTGCGGAGTTGTCAAATGTACAAATATCATACTGCCATAAACATGGCGTAGCGTGAATCATATCTAATTCTCGTGATATCTATTCATCGTGCATCATGTTTCCTTGGGGGTTGCCCATACCCTAGACGCCTGCACTGGAACAACCTTCAATAATCTGCCGCAATGTCTGCATTGAGATGTAAGATATAGCCTTGGCCTCTTGTACCAAGTGCAGAGCGTGTTTCATGCTCGGGTCCGAGATGGTCCTCGAAATCCATTCCAGGTGCACCGGGTCGTGTGTTTCGATGCCGGCTATCAACAGCGACCACTGAAACCGCTCCAGAAGCTGCACCGGTCCTGTGGCCATGGTGTAGTATGCTGCCGCGACTAGCTCCCTTAACGCCCACTGTATCTCGGAGGGAACTGGGCGCTGGCCGAAGTGCGAGTTGCGACTGCGGTAGAAGTATATCTGGAGCGCATGGAAGAAGGTGACGGTCACGAGCGCCATGAGGAATGGCGAAGAGCCTTGGCGTTCGGAATCGGCCACGAGCTGTGAAATAAACGCTTGTTCCTACATTTGTTAGTAAACGTAGACGGAGTGAATGCCGACGCACCTCTTGTATTCGGTCGAGGCTCCTCTTGATCTTCACCCTTGCCGCCAGGGTTTGGTCTTCGGGAGCCTGGCTGTAGCAGTTAATGTCGTGGTGAATGGCGATCAAGTCGAAATAAACACTCAAAACAGCCGAGTCTGGAATCTTTGGCACCTGAGACAAGCCCAATGTCGTGGGGATCTCGTCCGTCCCGGGAAATGTAGTGCGTGACAATCGCCAAATGCGGTGCCGCTTTTCGTGGTTCTGGCTCACGTAGCTGGCGAACGCACCGCCGCAGCCAAAGAAATCGCAGAAACCATCTCGGTCGTATAGATAGGTGAGAATCCTGGCGATGAGTACTTGGTCTGACGTTGGAGAGTGTGGAGACGCGGATACGCTGGCGCTGGCGCAGAGTTCATCTAGGTTGTAGCTTTTTACGTAGGCCAGGACCGAATCGCTCAGTTCTCGCAACTTCTGCACGTTGAGCGGACTGCGACGCATCCAGAACATGTACATGTACAAGAACGACAGCATCATGGCGACATGGTCCGGCTGCGAGAGCGGATCCAGCGCCTGCAGAAAGAGCTTCGAGCCGCGCTGGAAGTGCGTCCAAGACTCCTGCGGCGTCTCGACGCCGGCGCCCTGGTGGATGGCGAGCTCGCTGTGGGAGACGGCGAGGAGAAAGTGTAGAGCCATGCAGTTCTCGAGCGCGCGGTTGAGGAAGAGAGCGTGTGCGGACACGGCAGGAGTGCGCGTCGACTTCAACGGCGCAAAGACGACGCGGTGGAACGACACGGCCTGCATGTCGCTGGTGCCGTTGGACGGGGCGTACTCTGCTCCGATGGCGTTGGCGAAGAAGAGGGCGGTTGTCGCCGTGGGGTAGTTGGCCGAGTTGAAGGGATTAAAGGGATTTGACATGGGGAACTGGAGAGTGTTGTAGATGTGTTGCTGGCGGTTGGCGTCAATGGCCCAATCGTCTGAGTTTGCTAGATTCGGAGTGAGGCCGGTGGATGAGTCCATCAGCATCATGGACGTGATGGTTTCACTTAGACCAAAGTGAGGTGAGACCAGGGCCGCCCCAATATCCATGGCCGCCATCACGCCAGACTCATCCAGGGGCTGGTTTATGTCAAAGAACTCGGGCTCCAAGCCGTGATTAAGCTGCGTCGACGCAGGAATATCTGCGCAACTGCTCAACGGCACCGCAGCATCGCCCGTCTCCTGCGGCATTTCGTCCCCCGCTGGCTTCGGCAGAATGACCTCTGGCGTCCAGCCATCTCGATCCTTGATAGGGCCCTGTCCACGGCGCCTCAGCGCAAGCGAAGGCTGCTGCGGAGCCCATTCGCACCGGAGCTTCAGGCGCACGCAGCGGCCGCATTCCGGATGCAGCTCGTCACACTTGACGCGCTTCTTGATGCAGGTGCGACAGCCTAGAGGAGCCCATCTTCATCAATCGGGAGTCGGCGTCCGAGGCTGTACAAGGGGGGGGCCTTACCGGTTTTCGACCGCTTCCCGCGCTCGACACGACGACGCCGCGAGACGGAAGGATCCATTTGCAGTGTACAGTGTGGGACGGACTGGCGAGTCAAGAATGGATCGTGGGGATGAAGGGGATAAATGGTTCCACTCTTATCACCGCGCTAGAAGAGCCGAAGCTCGTCGATTAATCTGGCGAATCAGAGGCCGGTTCGTGAAGTCGACGTTGGCTTCAGCTGGAGAGTGACGGTCTCGCTGACCAAATTGCTGCTGTCCCGAAGATCCGATTATCCGTGTGATTCATTTCTGCTCTGCTTGATAAGAGAATTCTTGTCCGGTTGTACTTGGGCACTGTGGCGATGTGAAGTTGCATCTCAGACAACTGCGGCGTCTAACACCATGGGCAACTCCATCTCTTACACCACGTCCGAATGCGAAGCTGTCCTACAAGACAATTCTGGAGCAATCAAAGGTCTCCAATTCGATGTCAAGTCTCGCAGATTCGCAGGCGTTCCTTATGCCAAGCCGCCCGTTGGTGATTTGAGATGGCGTAGACCCCAGCCTCTCTCCGACTCTCACAGCTATTCCTCGCCTGATGGCACTCCCTACGATGCTACTGCATTTGGCCCGGTATGTCCCCAGGCCAACTACTCCAAAACGGTCAGCGAACATATCCCCATTCACACCTACGACGAAGACTGTCTCCGTCTGAACATCTGGACTCCCGTTCCCGACCCCAAGACCCCCCCGAAGTGGCCAGTCGTCATTTGGTTCCATGGCGGATGGTTCCAGGTAGGCGACCCTAGCCAGGAAGAAAGCATGGATCCCACAGAGCTCATCTCCACTGGAAATTTGCAAGCCATCTTCATCGCCGTCGGCTACCGACTCAATGTCTTTGGCTTTCTGGCCGGCCGCGCACTCCGCGACGAATCCAACGGGACGGCAGTCGGCAACTATGGCCTCTGGGATCAACATCTCGCCATGGATTGGATATACCAAAACATTGAGTCCTTCGGCGGCGACCGTGATAATATTGTGTTGGCAGGGCGCAGTGCAGGCGCCTACTCGGTGCTCGCCCAGACACTGTACGATTTCCGGACCGAGAAACCAACCAACCGATTTCGCCGTTTAATCATGTATTCGAATGCGATTCCTACTCAGCCCAAGACGACAGAGGATTGTGAGCCTCAATTCGAAGAGCTCTGCAATTATTTTGAGGTACCGTCGACCTTGGATGGGGCCGAGAAGCTACGGATTCTGCGAGAGATCAGCGCGAAAGATCTCTGCTCAGGCATTATGAATCTCAAGAACCATACTTTCCGCCCCGTGACAGATGATCTGTTCATTCACTCTGGGATTTTCGACTACTATCGCGACGGATCGTTCGCGGCTGAGTTCAAGAAGCGCAAACTGCGACTCTACATTGGCGAGGTACTCGATGAAAACACTCTGTACGCTGTTACGAATGGCCCAGATGCCAATCTCCCATCGCTGCAGCTGCAAATATCCAACTATTATCCACCCGCAACGACCACGCGCCTTCTGCAACACTACGGACTGCCTAATTCTCAAGACAAGAAGGACTGGGAGAAGTTGTTTGGCCAGATTGTTGCTGATGGTCAGGTGAGGGCTCCGTCACGCTATCTGGTCAGCAACCTGCTGGAAAATGGGGTTGAGATCAATCATGTCTGGCGCTACCTTATCGCATATCGCCTGTCTTTTATCACGAACCAGATTGCTCCGGCCTCATTCGGCGTGAGCCATGCCATGGACCGACCTATCTGGAAGTAGGTTTCTCCCTTTCTGTCCAGTTAATATGTCTTGCTGTTTTGAGTGCACATTATACTGACGTCGTTTAGCTACTCAATTACTCACGGCCCCACACCAGAGGAGCGCCAACTGATGGACAACTGGATTCGTGACCTCCGGGCATTTGTGCACAACGAGGAGGATTATGTATATGGCACGACCGAGCCGGCTGAGTATAAGGTCATGACTCCAGAGGGGAATATCGAGGTTAAAAACGACCCTCGATGGGGAGAACTCTTGCAAGTGATGAGCATATTTTCAGGCCACCGTAAGGGTTCGAGCTTGTAATAAGTAATATACAATTATATAGAGGGGATATTAATACTTACCTTAATGACAACAACAGACCAACTACTTCCATAAATATATTCTCTGACTGGGAATGAGTCAATGTAGCAGTGCAATTCGATTGAGTGAACTTGCATTCTAGAGTACTGTCTCAAGTAAATGTTACTATTCTACTATTGAGTCGATGCAGCTCCTTGCAACTCGTTCCCTTTGTTGTAAGGCTCTTTTAATCTCGTTAAAGTACGCGCTTATTAGGCCATTTCGTGCTTCTGTAAGAGTTACGGCATAGGATGCGTGATAAGAAATTGCTTGATCACCTGCCTTTTATGGAAGTCTTTTCGGAAACGATTTTCTCCGCTCCGTTCACGAGTCTTATCACTGTAGCATCCATTTTTCATAAAAGTGTGATCCTCTTCCCCTCTTTAGCTACTCGAACACCTTAGCTCACACCAGGTGTCCAGAAGCAACAATGGCTGCACAGAACACGCCATATCACGGCAATTGCCACTGCGGTCGTTATCGCTTCGAGCTTAACGTTCCAGAGATCAAGGAGGCGATTGCATGTACATGTAGCCTTTGTACAAAGAAAGGTTACCTCTGGCTTATACCCCCGCCTGACGCCTTCAAAGTGATCAGGGACGACGGCCAGCTTACTGAATACCGATCTAGTGCAGCGCAGGATAAGGTAGTGACTGAGTCTCACAGTTGCTTCATTGTAGACTGCTAATACCCATAATTTAGTTCTGTAATTACTGCGGCACCGGCGTGGTTGGTGAACATTTCGTTGGACCGTTGGGCGGCCAGTTCGCCGTCAACGTACGAGCTATTCAGGAGATCAACCCATTCCAACTAGAGTAGGAAGCTCATATGTTCCCTACATTTTCCATCATAATGTATATGCCGAACTAATCATTCCAAAGACCAGCGATCAATATAGTCGAAACAGATGATAACGAAAAGGCCTGGTCTATCTCGACACCATCAGAGCCGCGCCCATCGCATGTCGGCTCATGCCATTGCCAGAAAGTCCAAGTCCAGTTGATGGTTCCAATTTCGGAACTTGAGATAAAGGAGGATAACTGTAGTTCATGTGTACGAGTATGTTGCCCAAGCCCCCCAACTGCTATTGCCCTCGCCTGTTCAACTCCAACAGACAGCATACATCGGAGTCTACCCCACCAGAGACCAGGTCAAAATCCACGGAAGAGAGCATACATTTGAGTACCGATACGGGAGTAAGTTCAGCGGCAGTACGTATTGCTCGACTTGCGGAGTTCACGTGTTCACCAATGTGTACGGGCCTCCCTTGTCCGTTTTCGACAAGGTACCTCTGGAGAGGCGCGAATACGTGATGTCGGTTTATCGAGAAAATATGAATATGCAGCCGTTGAATGTCAGAGCGCTCAACGCTGTTGATTTGGGATCCCTTCAGATTAAAAGGACAGATGAAGGGACAGAGGGCTACACACTTGACTCGTAGTGTTTGTAGAATGAACTTGGAAAGTGTGTTAGCTTCAATTTGGATTTTTTTAAACTACGGTGAATGTAGCCTTGGCGTTCATGATTACCCTACATGCTTCCGAGGACCCTGCTGCAAGCAATTAATTCCGCACGTTGATGCCTTGGCTCCCGCCGTTCCCTCAAATCTTAACCTCCTATATCGCCCGTGCAAGACATAAATAGAAAATTTAGGACGTGTCCAAATATGGGTCTGCTTCCTAACTCCTCTTAATCCAGGCGCTACGTGTTGGTTTGAGAGGTCCAGTATGAGAAAGGAGTAATCTATTCCGTAGAGATATCGAATATATATGTTGTCGTGGCCACGTGTATGGCCGCTTCGGCCAACTACGGCAGATCAAGGCGGAGAGCTGAATCTTGGCCGAAATGTCGCTAATAGAAACCTGTGAGAGACTGAGAGGAGATGATACCTCGGTGATGGCATAGTGTATCATGATTGGATTTCTTTACTCGTGAATTTCGTTTGGGGTATCGTGTTCGTATTCTGGGTATCTAGTTAAACGTTCCTTATTCTACATCGACGCCGCGTCCATCCCCGGACATGCTTCGCGGGTCTGATGCTGATGCTAGCTTCACCATCAATCCAAAGAACTGCAGGCTCGGTAGAGGGATGCGTTCATCTTGGGATGCGCATCTGGAGCGTCTTTCTCGATCGTTCCAATTTTATGAGCATTGCTTTCCTCAAACCTAGCGCTAGGATCAGCAGTTGAACCCCAAGCGTCGAGATCCGTCACAATTTCGAGGGATTGCTTCCTTACCTGATGGGCTGTTTATGGAAGCAGACAAATCTTGATTGCTGCGTCTCTGCGCGCGATCTGGACATGGATAGTGACGTGATAACCCGACTGGCAGCAGTGTTTTCTGCATGACTGGGGCTTCACTGGTGGAGGAGAGTCCCGTTTAAGTAGCCCTTGAATGCCTCGTCCACAATCCTTTGGGATATCTCATTGTGGACCTGGTCAATGACTTTTGCGGTAAAGGGCATCATCATGGTATTGGCATCGGTGAGAACCTCCTCGCAGAGATCCCATTCTTCTCCCACTTCGGTCGCTGAGCTGGAGGTGGTGCTTTCTGAGAGGGCGGGCGACCCGGCGTACCGGCGACGAACGGTCCATCGCGCCCAGACGATGGTGCCGATGGGAGGATCGGCACGAGAGCGTATGCCATCGGGGAACGACTGGAAGACGACGGGCCATCGGGCTTCTCTGGAGATGCCCGGGAGCAGGCGGGTGACTTCGTGGATCTGGAACGTGCGGACGGTGTTGTCCATGGGGCCAAAGAAGGGGTCATTGGCGATGGAGTTGGGATCGGAGGGAATCTCGGTGAAGTTGGCAACATGGCTGTTGTACTGGAGAGTCGGCGCGTAGGTCTGGATAAATGCGACGACGACGTGCGGTGGGAGAGTCGCGGGGATGGGGATGCAGACGAGAGTACGGTGCTGCGACCGCATCGCGGCCTCGGTTGCGGATGCGCCGAAGAGTTTGTGTGTGTGCGAGATTGAGCGCGAGGGCTCAGATGTGTAACAGCCTTATCCGTACAGGTAGAAGCCGTAGCATGCGTCCATGAGGACGGACAACTGGCGCGGCGCGTGTGGGAGTTGTCGCGAGTTGGAGGTTCGCGATTGGGACGCACAAGACGCCAAAGACACCGAGACGCCGAGGCTTCAGGTCGCAGTCGGCACTCTCTCGCTGAAGCTGGCCCACGTGAATGGCCAAAGACCCAATCTGGAAGGGATGCTGGCTCGGTTAAGTACGAATGACGAGATGCTCCAGCGCGAGAGATGCCCGCGGAACAGAAAAGGATGGGATGTGCAGACAGGATGAGGGGAGATCAGCCGGCTAGACCAATTCTGGAGCTGAGTCTCACCTCACGTGGTTGACTGCCGGACTTTTGTCTCGAGTCTTTGGCTGTGTCGTACTCATTCCGGGAGACTCGGTAGTTTTCCCACTCATTCCGCACTCCACCATGTAAGCGAAGCGTCGGTCCATTTGCAGACGCCTCGGGAGGTGAGAACAGGCGAGACTCGTCTGTAGACGGCCGATGATTAGGTACGGAGTGGATCGTTAAGTAATAGCGTTCCGCAGTCTTTCTCTTCTGCTGGTACATAGCAGCGGAGATGCTCCGTTACCGTCTCCGAATGCTGCAAATTTATGGTACCGGTATTATACCTGCCCAGTCTGGTTACCGCGGAGAAGCGCCATCTGCAAGCATGAGCAAAATGAAATTAGTGCTGGTTTGCACTGGATCCTTCCGGGCGCCACCGGCCGAGAATCCGCCGTTGTAGAAACATCAGGCTAAGCCGACTTTAATCATATCGAGCCATTGACAGGTGCTGCCGTATGTACCACTAAAGAGGTACACTATTGATAGGCCGAGGCTGCAGTGCATACGCGGATACGAGGCCAGGCGGGCAGTCTCAAGTTATTCCTGTTGAGGAGAGAGGCGACGTCAGGGGGACGTCAGCTTGCATCGTCGGTCGGGACATATGCCGCTTGGAATATGTGTTCTCTCGTTGAGGTCACAAATTAATATTCATCGGACATATGTGCCAGACTGCAGTCGCATATGTGAGAAGGAGTACAATGATTCATCATCCCAAAGTGCGACTCAAGGAAAGAAACAATAGAACCAACCACTAACTGAGAACAGGAAGAAAAAAATGGTTTTTATCTTTATTCAGATTCAGTATTTAAGCCCATATACGATACCCCGTAGCATCTATGTGTTCTTTTTTGTCGTATCAGTGGATTAGACGGTCGGTTAGTTGCAACTCGTAGTTCGGCATCGGTCGGCGTCGGTCGGCGTCGTGTGGCATCGTTCGGCGAGGGAAATTATGTCGAGTATCGAATCGAACCCAAGACTCCTCCTCAGGGAAACAGAGCGACCTGACCGATGGACCACGGCGCTTCTCTGCTTCCCCTAGAAGAGGGCTGGAGTAAATTACGTCAAGAAGCTGTGGCGGGTCTGAACCGTCAAGGTTGAAGGTTATAGATATAGAAAGTTTAAATTAAGGATAAGATAAGAACCTCGTCGGACTCCCAGCCTGAAACTTAAGACTGCTACTTGTCGTTCTTGGTTGCGGTTGTGGTATAAGTCTTGGGGACCGTGTAGCTGCGGTTTGGGTCCTTTTCCCACACCAGAGTACTGCTTGCCTTGATGTTAATGTACTTATACTCAAAGAACTGGCCAGCGGGGAGTGAGATCGTAACCTTCCACAAGATTGGTGCCGTACAATGGACTACACTGAGACTTTGAGTACCTATATTTCTTTCCACTCAACCAACAGACTTTACTTGGTCCAGAGAAGGGCACGACAGCATACTGCCATTCACACACCACAATCAATGTATTCCTTCATAGACTAGCAGTTGCATCGCATACATCAATCCTACCGAGCTTACACACACGGCAGATTGAGGCAGTGAAGCTAATCAAATTCGTTGGAGACTTTGATAGACTTGGACTGTCATTTTTATTTCTTTCTCGATATTACCAGATACATCAAAGCCACGCAGTATCTGTAGACAATAGACAAATATTTAATACTACACCCAGTACCAGAAGAGACAATAGCTTAGCAATAAAGTTTTTGCACTAATCTTTGCCTTGAGCTTCATTTAAACCCTTCCATCTTCAACCTTGCTGTCTGCAGTGAACGACCTTAAAGTACATACTGTTTCTATTGCCAAAGAGAGATATGTATCGTTATATCGTAGTTCCGCTTACAGGCAGCAAGGCCATTCTCCACAGGAAGCAAAGTTATTGTCTATGTTAATGGCTTTGGAGGCAGGAGGGTTAAAAGCTCAAGGCAAAGATAAGTGTGCAACAAACTTACTGTATGGCATAAATCTATCTGATGACATTGAGTAGAGCTAGTATCAAGAGGTTAGGGTGCCCTAGTACACACACTCAGAGGGGGGACTAGAAGCTCAAATAAATAAATAAAAACCGAATAATCGGATCAATAATACTGACCATATACCCAGTCCAATCAAAGGTCAACAGTTTACTCAGACAGACTAAAGTTTCCAGTCCAACTGGTTACCTTTTGCATTACCTTAATAAGTTGCAGTAACAGCTGCATCTTGGAAAAGGTAAATCTTAGAAAAGGCAAAATCACGATGGATATAAAAGCTCTTGCATTCCAACCATCCTTCCATCCGTAGAGCCAGTATATTGTTTAAGAATCCCAACATCGTAGGTCCGCGACTCAAACCTCGTATGAAACCCGAATCAATCTGAGAGGGCCGAGTCAATGAGGCAGTTCTAGTTAGGCAACGGGAAACGTGACCAACTTAAAGCGCATGATTCATCAGACCCACAGGATCCCAGAACCATAACGTATAACCCCACAGGACTAACCGATAACGTGTCAGGCCACCTTGCCTCAATATTCCCAGAGCTATTCAATCACCCTTCTCTATTCACCAAGATCGAGGGATAACGCCAAGAGAATTGACCTGATTCATTTGTCGCGGACTGTTTCAAACAACACCACATACTCTACCCTCATTGAACTCACGCTACCATTCAACAACCGCAACCATGGACTTGCGGTCAATCGACAACGTTGAAAACAGACGGCGCATGCAAGAAGGCGAACTCTACTATGCATTCACTGATGACCTGATCCGCGATCGACAGCGGTGTTCCAAAGCGATGAAGAAATTCAACGCGGCCGATGATGTGGATCGGCGAAGTCTTATCGAGATGTGGAAGGAGTAAATGTCTCATTGCCAAATGGCACTTTTTAATTGCTAACTCTTATTTAAGCATCAACAATGACACCACTGCTCTTCCTCCGCCCGCCGCAAGCCCAGAAGAGGACGAAGACGCGCTCCAGAACTGGCCGTGGATTGAAAGTCCCATTCGAATGGATTATGGTTACAATCTCAAGTAGGTCCGCGCCATGATGGACCTTTGGTCTGGAAACTGACGACATCAGGATCGGTGAAGGCGCCTTCATCAACTTCAACAGCAGCTGGATCGATACATGCCTCATCACAATCGGCGCCCGCACACTCATCGGACCAAACTGCTCCTTCTACAGCGGAACTCACCCTCTGGATCCGGAAGTTCGGAATGGCACCCGAGGGCCAGAAAGCGGGAAGCCGATTACAGTCGGCGAGGACTGTTGGTTCGGTGGAAACTGCATTGTGCTGCCGGGTGTGACTATCGGACGGGGCGTGACCGTTGGGGCGGGAAGCGTTGTGACCAAGGACGTTCCCGATCGTGTTGTCGTTGCTGGAAATCCGGCGCGGGTGATTCGAAAGTTGGATGAGAAGTAATGAGCACGTTGGTTGTTGATGTGTGGCTACGAATTCCTGGAAGATTCTCGGTTTGTTTTATTTACTCAACACCATCAGATGGGTTCTTAGAAGGTGTTTTCTATGAGATACGCCACGTTTGCCGATGTCTCCAAACATCTGGTTGTATTGGAGGTTGAAATTGGTCGTTTATCTATTTAAGCTAACAGAGAAAGCATCCGAGGTTCCCAGCCATCACATTCGCATAGCGGTCCCGCACGACGCTCAACTGGACTGCTCCTCTATTCTCCTTGCTGCCACATGCATTTATGAGGGATATCTTATTTGAAACTTCTAGGCAAGCCCAATAAATTTAGAATGCCTTAATCACTCGTGATCTGGGGCGAAATCTGTGATTGGCTAACAGATGCAGGAAGGAACCTCGATTAAAAGAAAGTTGCCAGCCTTGAGTCCTTCGGTTCGTATGGAGCAAATCTGAAAATGGTTCGATAAAGAGTGGCTGTACATCTCAGCTTATGATCATGTGGAGACTGCAGGACGGCACGGAAGCCCTCCGTGCTGAGATATCAGATGATGGAAGCGAGCTATTCAACTTTGAGAAATGGAGCTGGCACCCAAGCAATGACTTAGCAATCGTCCTTTTGTGACAAGGGACATAACTAGAAGTAGGCGTCAAGTCATAGGGATTCGGGCTCCCTAAGGCGTTTTAAACTCGCTTGAATAATGCCATATTGAGGGTAATCGGTCACGGTTATTCCAACTCAGCCGCGTTCACCGCATTAGTGAATGTCGGCCCGCGGTAGGAGATACGAAGGCAGTTGTCATGCTGCGCTGGCCTCAGAGATCTGGCTCCCATCGCCAGGGGCAGAGGCTTATCGACATTTGGGTAAAAATGCCTCTTGGGGGCTGAATTTATATTGCAACAACGACGCGTCGGAGGTTTGCCAGGCCTATTTCCGAGTACGCCGTTTTGTAAATTTATTCACGAAGAAGTTGGCCACACTGATATTTCCCCCGATGCACAAGGGAACCTCGCCGCTCGCTTCTCTGAAGTCGACACGCTGGATAGTGGGATTACCGACATAAAGCCCAGAGATGCCGCACTCGAGAACACCCGGTTAGATACGCACGAATCAAGTATTTCTACTTCATCGCGTGGATTGACGGGTGTGTTACGAATTCTGCACCCTCCTGCGTTGATACGGCCTAGTTCTGCTGTGGTTGGTCCGTCTTCGTAGCCAACACCCACCACGGCTTCTCTTCTTCCTTTGGCCCAAAGAGCCCGCTATGGATCGTCCGCAGCAACTCGAATCTAGTGCAGTCCGCGATGTCGTAAACCAGCAGGAAGGCTTCGCCATGCTGTACGAGCTACTGATGCCGGGCATTCCGAGCAGGTGTTTCACTGCCGAGTTGCATTTTGAACTCTAGTATGACAGTGTGTTTCTCGATATGAATCACCGTCCGGTGCTCTCCATTCTCAGTAGGGTCGTACGACTCTAGGACCTGCCGAGAGTAAGCTCGTATTCATGTCAGCAGGAGTGGCATCTTGCTGAGTGATGACCACGATGGAACTTGTGAGAGTGTCAGCTTACTCTCTGCAGGATGCTGTGCCGCCCGCTTCCTGAGGCGCCCAGAGCAGAAGTCTTGATGGCGATCTTCTCGTTCTTGATGACGTATTCATGGACAGCAGCTTTCTGTTGGATATGGACGAGTGTGCCATGTTGTTCTAGTAGTATGGCGGTGCTACTGTAAAAATGACGATCAAACCGGAAATAAAATTGCTCAAATATTGGGTTATTTTTACTCTTATCTTGATATTTCCAGCGTACTTTTTTCTAGTAATAGAATATTGCTGCCGGGCTGTGAGACGAATGCATCTCAACTTCTCAACTTTCAATGTCACATTCACGACACACACGTGGTCTTTGCTCGTGGCAAGCAACCTACCCTGCATCATAGCAGCGGACAAAACCGATTGACTTGATGAGGTGCACGTATATGATCGGAGTGTCAGGAATAAATTGTATACTACCGAATACAATTATTCAGACCTATTCCTATTTTCTTGAGCCTGCAATTCCGCCTTCAGGGTAATGGCAAATACGACAGAATTGAATCAGGTTGAGCAACCTTATTGAGGGATCTACAAAAAGAAAGAAAACTCGATAAACAACCTCTGGGTCACTAATTATTATGACCACGAGGTTTACGCATGAGACTTGGGGTGTTCAATAATTTAATTCTCCTCCTGTTTCTATTACATCTCTGTGTCATACAATATTCCGGCAAGTCAACATGCTGGGAGGCGCGGAACCGAGTCCGTGGGAACGGGTCCGCCCGGAACAAGAAGACAGCCTTGGCTCTACTTACTGGTTTCTAGTTCCGACGCTATGGATCGATGACGTATCTAGGGCCCTGTGGAAAGTGCTTGCATCCGGATCCTGGATCCTATCAACCCTCTCTCCCTTGTCCCAGAGGACTCCACTTAAACCTCATTTTGCCGGGTAAAGACTTATCCCTGACGCTTCACCAGCCTCCACCGGCCCTTAATATGAGCAGCTTGCAAATCCCGCGCCGTCAAAGCTTGTTAAGTGGCCAATGTCGGGCCGTCATTTAGAAGGAGTGGGCTACGCGCGCGGGAGAAAAAAAGACTAGGGCAAGATCAGATAAGCAAGATTCTCGACATACCGGCATCGGCATTCGACTGGTGCTGCATTTGTGAGGCTCTGGTTCCTGCATGACCGGAACCACTTTATCACTCCACCTGTAGCATAGAAAACAGGGTCAATCCGACTCCTCGGTGGCGAGGGCCACGCCTAGTCGTTTGCAAATGACGGCAAGCCCGCGGTGCCATGGCCGAGCTCGGTGACGTGGGAGAGGGGCAAGATGTCATTCGAGCTTTTAGATAATCATCAGTAAGGCTGGCACATACGTGGCATGGACTGTTAAAGATGGGGACGACAGGGACGACTCCTGTATGAATCGTCCCAACTCTCGGAGTGGATCATCGGAAGTTCGGCTGTGTGAAACAAGTCTGCTTTGATGCACTGAAGAAAGAAAGTTCAGTCTACTTGTTTGCTACTGGGGGTCCCCTGTATCCTTGGTGAAGAGCGATATAAGTGATGGAGATCTGCGCATCTCCAGCACTCCTCTTCCCTCTGTGCTGATCAACACTAGACGTTCATTCACCCGTACCGATCCAACAACCTCCATCATGCGTCTAGTCTCTCTCAGTGGCCTCACGGCCTTGACCCTGGGCATGAAGGCGGCGGCCTCGACCTACGACTACATCGTTGTGGGCGGCGGCCCTGCCGGCATCATCACGGCCGAGCGTCTTTCCGAGGCCAACAAGGAGGTTCTCCTCCTGGAGCGAGGATCCGGCCCGACCGTTGCCACGGGGTCAAACCACACCCTCACCTGGGACGACTCCCTAACCCCGATCGACGTTCCCGGCTTGTCCTCCGCCGTTAGCGGACTTGACCTCTGGAACGAGTACATCTGCGACGATACACCTGGATACTCGGCCTGTGTTCTGGGGGGAGGTGTTACGGTTAACTACATGGTCTTCGTTCACCCTGCCGCGCACGACTTCAACGACAAGTGGCCCCGTGGCTGGAAGTGGAACGATATTGCTCCTGCGGCCAAGAGATTGTACAAGCGCAACCCGGGATCTACTCTTCCCTCTGAGAACGGCAAACGCTACGACCAGGGTCTCTACTCGACTCTTTCTGGCTTCTTCAGCAAGCTCGGCTGGAAGTCGGTTGATATGATCAAGCAGCCCAACGAAAAGCACAGGGTTTATAGCTATCCCTCGTGGAACATCAAGGACGCGGAGCGTGCAGGCCCCGTGCGAACCTACCTGCCTCTGGCTCAAAAGCGCGACAACTTCAGTCTGCGTCTCAAGACAAAGGTTATCCGTCTTGTCCGATCTGGCTCCAAGGTAACTGGCGTCGAGGTTGAAAACTCCGCCGGCGTTCGAGAGATTATTAAGCTTGCTAAGAATGGACGCGTCGTTCTCTCTGCCGGCGCGCTGTCGACTCCTCGCGTCCTCTTCAATTCTGGTATCGGCCCCAAGGCCCAAATTCAGACAGCTAAGAAGACCGGAGTTACCCTCCCTCCTAAGAAGGACTGGATTGAGCTCCCTGTTGGCAAGAACCTCAAGGATCATCCCATCTTTTCCATTATCGTCAACACTGGCGAGACCTGGGGCCCTCTTGATACAGCCAGCGTTCTCAACGGTTCCGATACCTCTAACATTAACCTGTACGAGAAGAAGGACTCTGGCGTGCTCACCCAGGGCAGACACCGCATGATTTTCTTCTCGTCCAACGTTGGAAGCGACGGTATTACCCGCTACTACCAAGGCTCTTGCGCCGCCTCCGGCAAGGGCGTCGTTACCATTACGCAGTACATGACCCACGGTCTCACGTCTACCGGTGTTTTGGGTCTTTCCGACGACGGTAGTACTGTTATGGAGCAGTCGCCATATCTTCAAACTGATGGTGATGTTGAGGCTGCGACGTCATTCATTCAGGGAATGGTCGATGACATTACGGATCCCTCAACTGGCTTCAAGCTTCAGACCTACACAAACACCTCGGCTATTCTTGGTTCTCTCACCAGCGGTATTCACTATACTGGTACTGCTAAGATGGGCACCGATGACGGCCGCAAGGGCGGCTCCTCCGTCGTTGATACCAACACCAAAGTCTACGGAATGGATAACCTGGTAAGTTTTATCCTGTGCGATTCTGAGATTAACACGCTGACCAAGTGCAGTTCATTTCCGATGCTAGCATTCACCCTGACCTCCCTACTGGCAACAGCCAGGCGATCATCATGGTTGTTGCGGAGATGGCAGCTGCTAAGATCTTTGCTTACAATTAGATATGTCCAGGGCGGACTCGAGGCTTTGCAATTTGTAAATACTTTAAGATAGACTGGTATTTGGTCTGGCCGACTGGTTAGGAAATAATTAACTAAACTGTGAGTATGAATTACTTGGATTATGCGACGGAATTAAAGTTGCACGTTTTACGCGTTCTTCGCTTTTCATCTCAAGTTCGGCTCCCCTGTTCAACTGGCCCTTATCAGCTCCCAGGCTCAGCCCGTACAGCCTGCTACGAGCGAGCGGTAGGCGGGAAATGGTAAAGAGAGAAACAATATGACATAATTTACTCCTTTTCTATTCTGCCTCACGCCAAAGTGTACCGGAATAATCACTGATGAGAAAGTCCTCCTTCCACACTGTCCCACAGCTTGTAGCCATTGTCATTCCACAGTTGCCGACCTCTGCGAACTCCGGCTTGAAATTGATCGTACAGACTTCTAGACTCAAAAGAAGCTGTCCGGAGCTCACTCGCTTGTTCCACAATGCAACAGCTGTATCCATCATTGTACAAAGCTACCTGTTCCTGAAAACTGCGGAATAGCATGCTTCTATACAAATGTCCCACAAGTTCAGTATTGAGGAGGGTAGAGCCACTGGCCTCAGACCGTCCTTGGGGTTTGAACAATAACCCCGCATGCTGAAGCATTCTGTCCAACAAATTCGGTACCGATCCTAGGTTATGGGCAAGGTTAGATCGAAAAACCTTGTCCTCGTCCTTAAGCCGTGCTACTAGTGCCATAATAGCTGACTCTGGCAAGATTGATGATTGCTGCCCTAGGCCTTTAACGGCCTCTTGTCGAACAAATTTATCCTCGTCGTTGAGTAGTAATATCAGTGCTGTAATAGCTGACTCTGGCAAGGTTGATAATTGCCACCCTAGAGCTTCAACGGCACGTTCTCGAACAGCCTCTCCCTCATCCTTAAGCAATGCTATTAGCGGTGTAGTAACTGCCTCAGCTAATGTGGATGATTGATTCCCTAGGACGGCGGCGGCATGTTCTCGAACGGCCTCTTCCTCATCCTTAAGCAGTGCTATTAGTGGTGTAATAGCTGCCTCCGGTAAGGTTGATGTCAGGTTGCTCAGGCCTTCGGCGGCATGTTCTCGAATAACACTTCCCTCGCTCTTAAGCAGTGCTGTTAATTTTGTAACAGCTGCATCCGATCGGGTTCGTGATTGATTCACTAGGGCTGTGGCGGCATGGACTTGGACCAACTCTGCCTCATCCTCAAGCAGTGCCATTAATGCTGTAATAGTTGCCTCTGGTAAGCTCGGTTGGCTCGTTAGGACTTGAGCGGCGCTAGATTGGACATGACTGTCCTCATTTGCAAGTAGTGCTGTTAGTATCGCGACAACTCCCTCTTGCAAGCTCGATGGGTGCCCCAGGACTGCGGCGCCAGAGGATTGGGTATGTTGGCCCGTATCCTTAAATAGTGTTATTAGCGCTTCAGCACTTGCCTCTGATAAGTATAATTGACGCCCAAGGACATTGGCAGCAAAATCTCGTATCGTATAATCACTGTCCGCGAGTAGTTTTACTAGTACTGTAATAGTTGCATCTGGTAAGTTCGATTGGTTGCGGAGGGCCTCGGCGGCGTAGAATCGGACAGAAGTGTCCTCCTTCAGCAGTGCTGTCAACACTGTGACGGTTGTCTCTGGCAAGTCCGATTGATATCTTAGGCTGCGAATGGCATAAATTCGAGTACCAACGTTTTCATCCCCAAGTAGTACTGTGAGCCTTGTAATAACTTCCTCTGGTAAGCTGGGCTGTTGTTCCAAGGCGTTGGTGATGTCAGATTGAAAATCCATGTTGCCTTCCTCGAGTAACGCCACCAGCATCTGGATGGCCGATCCTGATAACTGCCTTCTAGAATCTGTCATTGCGCGTAGAATTGACCATCTTCTGGAGCCAGGCCCAGATTTTAGAGTAGCGCATAGGAGGTTCTCGGGACACTCTGATTCTCTTGCTAAGAATGAGATTCTTAATAGGTCGATCTCGAAGAGCAGCCACTGTGATAGTTTTTTTTCTAGGGCCAATCGAATTGGCAAATTTGTCGAAGTGTGCACTTCACTCAAGCAATGCATGACTAGCCGCTGGTGCGTAGGTCCCAAAAGGTCGAGGGGTTCTGCTTCGATTTCGTTGAAGAATCTGAGTAACTCTTCCGCTTCTTCCGCTTCAAGAAGGCCGGAAACAAAGCGCCAAAAGACATCATAACGTGCCGAGTATTTGTGCTCCTGAAGAAACTTGCGCGGAGAGATGGGCTCGATTCTCTTTCTGTTGAGTTCCAGACATCTGAGATCTTGTTTGGCTCTCCAATGTCGCACAAAATACCCCGCCGCAAAATACTCCTGAAAAGTAAGGTGCAGAAAATGGTAGCTAGGGTTCTTCGATGAAGGATCTGAGGTTCGTAGAAAAGAGAGGTGTGGAAGCGTCTTGTTGAGCATAAGGGCGGTGGACCTGAAGTGCTTAGATATAGCGTCCTGATGCTCTGAAGGAAAGTCTATCGCATCATTGTGCAGTCCAGTGAAAGCAAGGCCTTCGAGGAAACGAATCTCATCCTGGACCAAGTCTTTGACATGTAAGAGGTCAATATCGCCGGCCGTTAGAGACTTTCCCTCATGTTGCTTTTCCAGTTTCAAGACATCTTTCTTCCACAGCCTTTGCATTATGGAGTTGTATATATCGGTCATGGTGCTCAGAGGCGTTTCGGGATGAATATCTCCCCAGGTATAACAAAGTGCATCTAATTGAATTGGGATGCGCACTAAACCCTGGATAAGTTTATGGCTTTGGAGGAAGGACTGGACCTTATCGACGTTTCTCTTATTCGGTTCGCCAGTGTTCGGATCGGCGAAGGCGTTTTGGATATAGTCCTTCACTTGGTTTGGGTAGAACCCAATTGTTTCCAATTCCAAGTCGAGACCTCTGAGGTTAACCGGAAGTCTGGCGTTTGGTCGGGATGTGATGATGATGTTGGGTTGATTAAAAAGGAGATTCAGGAACCGCGCCATGTCATCGCCGCGGCCTAATTCATGGGATATCTCATCCAAGCCATCGAGGATGAATAAAGTTGTGCGGCGGTGAGGATCCTTCACTGCTTGCCACAGTTCCTCGGCAAGACGGCGGCCATCTGTCTCTCCCTCCCCCGAAAAGTATTCATGGTAGAAAAGATCATTGTAGGTGTATCCATCAGCGTGCCGAGGTTTCAGATTCCGCAGAGGCACCCAAAGGACGCGATCGAATAGTTCAGTCCATGAGCGATACAACTCTGTCTGTGTACCATAGGTAAAGTCATAGACTATCTTTTTGCACAATGTAGTCTTGCCAACTCCTGCGCGTCCTCGGATCAAAATTCTTCTAGGTTCGACCATCCGACCGTCGAGTGCTTTGCGATGGTTGAAGATTGTCGCCAAGTTGACCTGGATTGCCTCGTCTGGTGTTTCGACTTTCTCTCGGGCGAAAAGAGAAAATGGAGAGGACGCAGCGCTTCCTTTCCCTGGGCGACCTGCGACTTGGCCAGAATGTTCCACAATAGCAAGATTGATGTAGCACTGATCCATGGATAGCAGGTCACCCGAGAGTCGTTCAATTTTGAGCTCTTTTGGTGCATAGCGCTTGTCGCGTATCAGGGTGTCCGCTTGTTTCAGGAGCGATGGAGCCCTCAGGCTATCTATCGCCACCTTTAACTGCGTATACAGCTCATCTTCCTACCCGGTACACTTGTTAAGGCCCGAATGATCGGTGTCGATATCGTGGACTTCGTCTGCATGGAGCACTGCTGAGTTCCGCGAAACAATCTTGAAAAAGTTAGACGGCTGCTGATTTGGGACCACTTGCGCTTATCAGGCCTAGAGATAAGAACCTCAGCAAATACATGGGCTTCGTCTCGTAGAAGGATATGATGCGAGGCTTCTGCCGTCGGCTTTCGTTTGGGGCTATGCGAGTCCGGAATGTATCGGCGAGATTGGTGAGTTGAACCTCATTACTCATCAGAGATAGGACCATAGTTGTGTCTGATCCCAAGAGCCTAGTCATGTAAGCCAAGGCAGCAGCACTGATCGACACCGGTGAGCCCTGGTGGGGAGTTCCGAGAAAAATGATCCCGGGGGTGTCATTGATGATCTCCTCGGAATCAGGTCTGCATAAGGCCTTGTAGAGTTTAGAGGACGAGAGCACAAAGTTTTAACGACCAAGGACGGGTGTCGTACCTGCTTGATAATGACGCCACCTAGACTGTGTCCGATGAAGATGATAGGAAGATGCTAGTGAGAGTGTTAGCTACGTTTGAAAAGGAAGTGGTGATTATTACTGGGCGTGATCGTTTGGCCTTGATTTCTTCCAGCAGTCTTTTTCCAACCTCCTCGGTCGTCTTCACGGGCGCATCTGTAAGCCAGTTTGAGTTGTACTTGAAACTCAGGATTCTGGCTGCTGGAAAGTCGGATTTGAGTAAGTCTTGAAGTAGGTGGATCTTTCCCGAGTACTATGTAGGCTGAGATTCAATAGCTTCCCGCTGTTGGGGCTTTTTGACAGATTGCGTCCACGTGCGATCTGGATCGGCGCCCAGTCCATGGACCGCGATGATGCTGGAACACAGTCAGCTGGATGCGCAAGTTGAATAAGTAGTGCTAACAAACTCGAACTCGGCGTCCTTTCCGTCAGAGAGGACTTCAAGTGTCCCAGAGCGAGGTCTGTCGCTGCGTCGACGAATCTTGGCCACGATGGGATAGAGAAGCGTGGCGAGCAGTACCGCGATAACGGTCAAGCCACCCTCCCAACCGATCATCGACCTCCACGACACGGTCATGGCGAGAGCGAACTCAGATGGCAAGGTGATTGTGAAAGCCGGGCAAGAGGATGATGATCATGGACTAAGTGTAGACCTGGTTGGGCAGAGTTGAGATAGAAGAGGCGTCGAGAGGTAATACGCAGTATTAAAGAGGGACACGTTGGAGAGACAAGAATTTGGGTATCCTCAGATGAGACTCAAGCGAGATCTGTCGAGAGATCAAAGATGTTGCATTGTGATGACTATCGCTGGCTACCTAGGTTGGGAGAGGGAATTGGGCAGAGCTGAGATTGTGGCTGCCTAGGGCCTCGGCCGCCTCACTTTGCGTACCCCGCATTCAGCAATATTGTTAAGAAACTATTTAATAAGGCAGCGGCATTTCTTCGGGTCTCAGAGGCAACAGCAGGACAAAACATATGGCGGTATTTCATAGTATTGTATATTGACTTTAATAGTCAGTTCTGAGCTAAAGACACTAATGAAATGTTCCCAATGCTGATCGAATCACGATATTTGCACACAACAAAACACACCGCCGTTACAGGCTCCAGGATTGTCAAACACCTATGGTCTTCTGTTAATATTTTTTGAGATAAAATAAATGCCCTTAAGTGTCGGCACCATAAGAAAGCGACACATGACTTCATCTTCATATATTGGTCTAGAATCTCTAGATCTGTGGTTGGGAGAAAACTGGAGGAAACAGCTGAGCGTGAGAACCAATGTTGTGGGATGGTTTTTTTTTTTTTTTAAAAAAAAAGAAAAAAAAAAGGGAAAATGATGGTGTTTGAGAGTTCAGTGGAAAAGTTCACTGGCGGCTGAAGATTCTATGCGAGAGCTACGCATCGCTAAGTTGAACATACAAACAGAGGGCTGAAAGAGCCTTGATTTCCTACGGAGTAGACTGTGACGGTTGGCTATTTTTACACACGGGAACGCCGCCCTTTTTGCAAGTCTGCCCTAGCCATCCGCGTTCTTTCCCACATCTTATTTTTGTACAAGTAGCTCAGGTATTGGAAAAGGTAACCAGTTGGACTAGAAACATTAGTCTGTATGAGTGTACTGTTGACCATTGAATGGACTGGGTATATAGTCTGTATTGTTGATACTATTGTTGGTGTTTTATTTTGACTGTTAAGCTTCTAGTCCCCCCTCTGAGTATGTGTGTACTGGGGCACCCTGACCTCTTTGTATAAGTAGCTCACTCGTTGAACGATATCAGACTTGGGGAGTTTTGAACCCTTTGTCGAGCTCTTGAATGTATTTTTTATTATTAAGTATCGTCTCCTATTTGGTTGGCATGCAATACCATGACCAGAAAGTGATGCCAACTGTGACGTTTCTTTACTAGTAAGGGAACCTCTATAAGTTGGAAACCCACTGGAACTATTTATCTATCCCCTGTCAAGTATTTCCGTCGGTTTTGTTTTTGGTTCAACCACAACTGGGCTCAGATAAATTCAACCAACGATACAATCCACTTCGGTCCTCTCTGTTTCTTTCATGACTCATGTAAACACAACCCCCACTCCTCCTTTGGCACTCCCCCCCAAGCATCTTGAGGCTCGGTCCGCAAAATCTCAAAGCCGGCATTCTTATACAATCGACGTGCAGTGGTGAGTTGGGTCAGCGTCCACAGCCTAATTTGCTTGTACCCTGCTTCCTTCGCAAACTCAACGCATTGCTGGACCAGTTTGGTCCCAAGTCCCAAGCCCCGCGCTTCTCGCTCCACAAGTAGTAGTCGAATCATAGCCGTGTTCTCGACGTCTTTGTGTTTTACCAGCGCAATGCTGCCGAGAAAGTTGCCGTCTCTTTCTGCAATCCAGCATCGCTCCATATCGGGATCGTAGGTGTCGAGGAAATCAGCAGCAATCCTGCCGACATCTCTCTCAAAACAAGATGGTAACCCATAATCTTGGACGTATATTACGGCGTGCCGATAGGTGATGAAGCCCATGTCTCCAGGACGATGAGTTCGAAGTTTCAGGGTAGTGGAATCGGATGTCTTTTTCACGTCCATCTTGTGTGTACGCTGTGATTGGGTCGCTTATTGTTGTTGTCTCCTTTTGATATATTGACCCTAAAAAGTAAGCAGGTGAGTAAGATGTAGCAAATATATAGAAATTCCCTAGGGACTGTGGGGACAGCAAGAGAAACCGCCTTGGCCTCAGATAAGACTGCAATGTACGCCAAAGGGCGAAAGGCAAATCCACCCATGTAGACATCATGTCATTTACAGGGCGTGGCGCGGGGCAAGATGGCGCTAACCTTGTATTGACGTGACGCATATTCCCCCCGCTCAACATTCACAACTGAGCTGTCTATCACGGCCCAAGTATATTCATACGGGACTTTCTCGTCAATTTAGTGGACTTTGTATACACAACATTCGTAGAAGAAATTTAACTACATTGAAATGTCCCCCCTGATTGCTGATGAACTCAAACTCCGACATGAATATACGGAATCCAGTATGGGGGACTAGAAATGTCACCATCGCACAAAATTACGTCTCTTGGCAAACGCTCATCCCTCGTCTCTGCCTCAATTGCATTCCCAACTGATGTGTCATCATGTCCAACCACTGGCTGTTCAGCTAGCCAGCGATCTCGAAGCGCCTTGGTAGCTTTGTGGAGCCCCCAAGCGACTGATTCATCCGACATGCCACTATCCCTCATTCCTTCATATGTCATCTTAGCCATCTCCACACAGAGCATATCTTCAACTTCCCACAAAGTTCCGATAACATGACGGAACCCTGCCAGCTGGAAGCCGCTGATGAGGTGGATACTCTCGTCGATAAATCGGCTGCTGTGGATCTGGCCGGTACCACAAGCAGACAGATAGGCCAGGAACGGGGAATGCTTGCGAAGATTTATCTCTAATAAATTCGCGACCGTTAGTGGATTGGTGCTCCCATCCTCTAGAACGAGGTGGCTTTTCGATGGGTCATTCCTATCTGTGCAGCCATGGCCGGCGAAATGAAATATCTCGCACTGAAGCAAGTGCGAAAGGATATCCTTCTTGTTTCGCCCAGGCTCGAGGGGTTTGACTGATATCGTCTGAAACAAGTCACGCACAGCAGCTGTCTCTCTAGGTGCAAAGGGGAGATGGGAGCTTCCCGGTGTATGCTCCATGGCGACCAGCAGCGCCTGGTGTGGAGTGAATGCCGAAACTGGTCGTCGGCGACCAGTGATGATTGCCTTGACGGAAGAGTTGTACGAAGAGATGACTCTATCAAGGACCCTGTCTGAAGAGCCATGTTTGTATATCCCGGCTGCATGGATTGGGAATTTCGTCAGAAGTCCTGTAGGAATCCACCAAACACGCGGCCACTTGTTCTCGGAAGGAAGCTGGGTGAAGCCGAGAGCCCGCAGTATGGGGTCCGCGATGCAATGCCATAGCCACTCGAGAACCTGGGGGCTGTTCAAGATGCCCTTCGATAGCGTGACCCTTATATCCTGGAGATGGAGGTCTTGCAAAGGCACTGATCGTATTTGGTGCGTCTCGATAAGAATCGCATCGCAGCGTAGGTCGCTGGTGTTTAGGAAGACGATGGGACCGTGGGCTGCAGCCTGCCTCGTGTCAAGCTCGTTCGGCGGGTGCAAAAAGTCACCGAACTCAGGCTTCTCGCGGATTTCAGCGATCAAGTTATCAAAGTCATTGCCCATCTCGTATCTCCTATTCGCCGGTCTGGTCCACGTTGGCTCCTGGGGCTTCCGCAAGTCATTCCCCTGGTCGGACTCTCCTAATTGCTCTCCGAGGCTGGCAAATCGTTTCGCCAGCTCAGGAAATTTCTCCTCCAGGGTGACGATGTCGGCTCGTATATCCTCAAGAGAATTCGCAAGCACACCGCGACCCCGTTCAAGAAACTTGAGCGCGATGAACGGCTCTTTGCCAATATGGAGCGCAGCAGCAGCAGCATCGGAAGCGAAGCCGGCGACTCTGCTCAGAATTTCTTGCCTGTCGGAATTCCTCAGTGACCGTACTGTCAGTTGAGGGATAAGGCCCGCCACAATCTCCGAAGTCTCGTAAACTTGCTGCCAGTCTGTCATTTCCGCATAGCATCGAATGAGGGCCCTGCCGGCCGCTACACGCTGTTTGACCGATGATTGATGCTGGTGTAGTGCGGATTGGTGATTTGAGATGGCCTCTTGGAGATCTTCATCTGATCCTGTCATTGAGAACCGGTCGTGAAGGGCGAATGCGAGGTTAGAAAGATATCCAGCTCTGAATTCATCAGTCTCCCCGGTAACCTTGATTGATTTCTTCGCTACCACAATAGCTTCATCGAGATCAGTCATTGACTTTGTCTTCCCGTACCGGGTACGAAGAAGAGCTCCAAGCAGGTTCAAGTGCATGGCTTGGTCGATGTGGCCCTCTCCTGTCAGCAGAACTGCCTTTCTTGCCATTTCAATGGCCTCATCAACGTCCCTGATGGCTCCAAACTTATGAAATCGAGCCTCGAGTTGGATTGCAAGATGCCCATGAAAGAGCCCCCGCTCTGGGTGACCTTGGAGATCCATGTTGACCACCATTCTAGCCAAGTCAATAGACTCTTCAATGTCAGCCAGCGCCCCGGTTCTGCGATATCTGGCCTCAAGGCTGGATCCATGATTCTGCATATATACCACCCGCTCAGGATTGCTCAGAGGTGTTTCATTGACCACTTTCCTGGAGATTTCAATCGACTCCTCAAGATCGTTCATCGCGTCCGTCCTGCGATATCTGGAGTAGAGCCCCGCGGCGAGACTCGTGAGACATATCACCCAGTCTGGATCGTGCTTAGGTGTCGCGTCAAGTGCCTGTCTAGCAAATTCGATGGTTTCTTCTAGATAGGTCCTCTCTCCTGATGTACGGTACCGGGAATCGAGACGGTTTCCAAGTGTATTCAGCAATTTTCCCCTGTATGGGTGATTCACTGGAGCCGATTGAAGAGCGCTTTTGGCAAGATCTATCGCCTCTTCAAGATCCGGCATTGACCTAGTTCTGGTGTATCGTTTTCCAAGTCGACTTGTGAGGTAGGTGACATACTCTATTCGGTCCGAATGGCTCACTGGCGTTTCATCAATTGTTTCTCTGGCTATGCGAATAGATTCTTCGAGATCATCGATCGATCCTGTGATGTCATATCGGGTGACAAGCGCAATTCCAAGTCGGGACAACCACTTGTGTCGGTCTGTGTGATGCTTCGGAGACATAGTGAGTACGTCCTTCAATATAGCAATGGCTTCTTCGAGACTAGATGAGGCCCGACTAAAGTGAGATTGGTGAATCAGAATACATGAGAGAGTGAATAATGGCCCTGCGCGGCTAGGATCGTCTTCGGGAGTTATTTGAACTGCCTCTCTAGCGACGGCGATGGCATCTTCGGGGCTTGCCATCCCTTGTGAATCGCAATACTGGTTACCCAGATCTCTTGCAAGATTCTCCAAATAAATTCGGCGATTTGGAGAACTGCTTGGAGATGCATGAACTGCTTGCCGACCGAAATCAATAGCCTTCTCAAGATCACCCGCCACACCAGTATCTTGACTTTGTCGTCGAAACAAAATCGAGAGGCTGTTCAGATACTCCGCCCGGTCTTGGTGGCCATCTGAAGCCGCCTCAATTACTTGTTGGGCGATGATGATAGCTTCGTTGAGGTCGGCTGGTGATTGCACTGTTGTATATCGATCAGAGAGAAGAAGCACCAGGCTATGTAGATACTCTGGCTGCCCTTCATGACCATCTGGAGTAGCTTGAACAGTTTTCCGGGCCGCGATGATGGCCTCTTCAAGATCAGGTAGTACCTTTGAGCTCTTGTATTGATCATAGAGCAGCTGTGCAAGGTTGTTTAGGAAGCGGGGTTGCTCTTCGTGGCCATCCGGAACGGCGTCAGTTGTTTGATGAGCTACCGCGATGGCCTCATCAAGATCCTGAATCCATCCTGAATCCTGGTATTTGTCGTACAGAAGAGCAGCAAGGTTGTCCAGATATTTTGGTAAATCTTCGTGGTCACCTGAAGTAGATTTTATGACTTGACGGGCTATTTCTGTTGCTTCATTCAGACCATTCGGCAACCCTGAATCTTTGTACCGGTCATGGACCAGAAGCGCAAGACTGTTCAGATATTCTGGTCGATCTGAGTGGTTTTCTGGAGTAGCCTGGATTGCCTTTTGAGCGATCGTTATCGCTTCTTCAAGATCTGCTACTGCTTCCGAATCTTTGTATCGATCATAAAGTAGAAGAACAAGGCGATTCAACCACTCGGCCTGATCCTTGCGACCGTCTGGAGTCTCTCGAATTATCTGTTGTGCGATTGTAATAGCTTTCTCCCGATCAATCCCCGACGTCGTGATACTGTAATTTTCGGATTCAAGAAGTCCGAGGCTTTTTAGATAACGAGTGTGCTCTGGGCAACCATCTGGAGTCAACTCAACTGCCTCTCTCACCATCCTTGTTGCTTCTTGAAGATCAACTCCTGATTGTCTGATACGAAATATGTCAAGGAGTCTGAGGCCAAGGCTGTGCAAGAACCCCCTCCTTTCTCGACGGTCGTTTGGGAGGGAGTGAAGAATTTCCATGCTTATTGTGAAAGCCTGGTCAAGATCGGCTGTGGAGCCTGTGGCATCATATCGACTACATAGGACATCTGCCAGAATGTTTTGATAGCTCAACTTGTCTGGATGGCCATCTGGCGTTAGTTGAACTGCTTCCTTGATCATCTTCATTGCCTCCTCGAGGTCAGCTTCTGATCCTGTGTTTTGGTGTTGCTGACAAAGCCCCTCCGCAAGGTTACGTAGGAATCCCCTCCGCAGTTTGTGGGATTTCGGAGTCGTCGCAGCAAGTTGTCTTCCTACTTGGATGGACTTCTCCAGATCATCCTTTACCCCCATGACATCGTATCGGTTGTTAAGCATAGCCGCAAGGTTGCCTAGCAAAGTGTACCGTTTGTCGTGGTTGACTGGAGCTATTTCGAGTGCTGCCTCTACTACTCTGATTGCCTCGCTGAGACAAAACATGTCGCCAGAATTGAAATATCTCTCTGAAACCAGATGTCCAAGAGTATTCAAATACTCTGCTTGATCTAGATGCCTATCTGCAGTTGCATCCACTGCTTGTTGGGTCATCTTAATTGCCTCGTCAAGAAGACATGTTTGTTCTGTGTGTTGAAATAGGTGGCCGAGCACACGACCAAGACTATGAAGATGTCTTGGCCAATCTGGATGGTCATTAGAGGTCATATGAACTGACTTTGACGCCATTTTCTGTGCTTGTTCAAGGTCCTTTTTTGATCCAGTATCAAGATATCTGTCAAGAAGTTTCAATCCAAGACTGTTGAAATGTCGCGCATCGTCCTTAGAGTCTTCAGTCAGAGTATCGACGGTGTCCTGTACAAGTCGCCGTCTAGATTAGTCACCAGCTCATTTAGAAGACTTCTAAGAAGGTCTTATATCTAAGAGATAAAATAACGTACCCGACCCGGATAGCATTGTAGGCTCAGATCAACAAGTCCCCGTATGGGTAGGATTGGATCCTCTTGAGCCATCGTAGTGTGAAAACGATGACTGATTTGAAGGCATATGATATTCAACAATACTCTAGACTGGCTGCCGAAATTAGTGTGTGTAAAAATTGCAGAGAACAAACGCCTGGCAGGTGGACGGTAATGAGGCAGCAGGCAGATCTTGTCAGATTAATCCCTCTACTACATCTGACTTGATGTGTGGCACGTGATGCGTCTCTTTACATGCGGTTCCTCTTCACTGGCCTAATTCTCCTAGTGAACTAGCCAAAATCTACGTGACAGTCACCCTGTGAAGCAATTATAACCTTATTACCGATGTTCGGGGAGTGCACTTAAATCGCTATTTATGTACCCGATTTTAGTGGGATTCGAACTCGTGACCTCTCTAGTTGTTGTAGGGGCTACCTGTTTCAGCTGCAACAGCGGTTTTCAGTAGAAGTTGCAGGACGTTATCCTCCCTAGCTCATAACTGCTGCGTCTAGTGGACATAAGTGAAGTTAGGAAGGACGATAGGCTTACGAGGAGCTCTTGGTCTGATTAAGTTCCATGCTCCGGCTTGCGAAGCTAAATGAAGTTATATCCAGGCCCGGAAGCCAAAACCCGTTTTGTGGGAGGAAACTAGTCCGGGATCGGGGTAAACCTGCTCTTTGATTCACCCTCTTGTAGAACAGGGACACTCCTAGTTGTTTGCACTGTTCCGGCGGGATCGATGTAACATCCACCGGTAATGTTGTTTCCGGTGAGAAACTGGCAATCTACTGGGCTGTCCCATCCGCTCCGACCTCTTCATTGGGGTAACTTGAGTGGGATACTCCGGTGGACTCCTCGGTGGTGTTGACCCGGGCCAACGACTATAGACATAGCACCATTTAGTCTTGGTAACAGGTTAGACCAAGCTGAACTGGCTAGGGTACTGTTCAGTTGCCTAAAGGAACGAAGAGACGAGCTCAAACTGTCAATTTACCCTGGCTCTGAATAACCTAGCTTATAACTCTTGCTGAAAAAGAACTGTGTACCCTACTCCAAGCGTACCATTTCAAACTGAGTGTGGCCGTTTATCATCTCACCATACATCATGCCGTAAACATATGTTTCGCCAACAACTTGGAACAGTCCTCCACTCATAGGCCGGACGACAAAGGGAACGTGAGCTCCTTGGAAGATGAAAACCTGGTCACCAGCTTGCATTTCTCGTGGCCCCGTCCCGAGGAAGGTGACATCATTTGTACCACTGCATAGCATCGGCCTTGTCTCATCAGAGTAGCGATGCAACTCCTCGAAGTACCTCTTACAGTTTTGCAACAACCAAGACGATCTCTCACTATCAGACAGCTCAGCGGGAACGCGCTGATTTCCGCTAAGGAACTGGAACTCCGCCTCTAGCAAAGAAGGGTCCCAGATGTGGACCTCTGGTCGATCCGGAAGATCGGTCTGCCACTGGGAAGCTGTTCGGATCCGGTCGTCAACCCGCATCTCTTCGTCTCTCAGTAGCCTCCTATAGGCCACAGGTATCTTCCTCAAGGCCTCTTGGACGTATGTACTTTGACCGGGAGGCCGTGTGACGGAAGGGTTCTTACTGAGTTGGCGAAGATCTTCAAGAAAGTGCTGAGCTCGTTGTAGGTTTTGTGGAGTTTCACGTGGGCCTGGAAAGTCTACCACATCTCCAACTTGAACGACGTAGGCCACGGATATTCCAGACATGCACAGATCCCTCTGGGAATAATCCGCCTCCTCGATGAGGGAAGCTGTGCTCATTTCAGTATGTCCGCTGGCCAAGAACCTAAGACTAGCCTCCCGTCTTATGGGGTTCAACTTCTGAGGGGGCCTCAAAGACCACTCAGGAGCCCAAGAGGGAAGATCAGGTGCAAGCTCCGACTTTTTGAGACCCCGGCTATCGTCTAGTATGAAGACGCCCCGAGCAACGAGCCTCCAAGCGGTCTCCAGAAGAACTTCTGCGTAGCTCTTCGAGTAGTTGGGTATCAACCCTAGCTTCGGCGCGTCCTTTGCGATTCCCAGAAGAGCAAATACCCTGTCTCTCGGGTCCGTTGCTCCCAATCGGAAAGTACTCCCCAGCAGCTCGCGGAGAGGTGTAAAGGAATTCTTCCGGAGGGCTTCCATGTGACCCCATCGATGCATCGACTGCATCGTAAGGACGGTTTGAAATGTGTAAGACTCCAGCGCTGCGAGGCTGCTGAGGTATTCCGCAGCACGAGGTCCAAGGTCCATAGAATGACGCTTCCATTCGTAGAACTCGACATAGATCCAGTAAACAATGATCCAATAGATGAACTTTAGCTCGGAAAGACCACACGTCAGGAATAAGTCCTTGGCGCATGTGAACTCCTGGATGATCCAGACTCTAGTCCAGATCGGCCGACGTAGGAAGTAAAGCATCTCACGGTGAGGAAAGATGCCTCCATCATCAGATCCAAGGCCCCATCGCTTGGCGATCATCTCCAGGAATTCTCGATCGCGATGAGCTCGTTGGGCAATGTGGTGAAATATTTGCCAGAAACGGCTCGTCGGCATTTGGTCTGGATCCTGATATCCACGACGGTCCGATGCGAATAGATCCCACCCGTGCTCCAGGATCAGCTCTCTCCCACGTAAAGCGATGCTCTCAACCGTCTGTTCGCGGCCGCTTGGTGGAGTGCCCAGGTAGGCTACGACGCGGGTGGCCTGGGTGAATATCTGCCGCATTTTTTTGACCTGGAGGGCTTTCTCATCGTTATCCGCCTGGTTGATGCACAAGGCATCGGCCCAAAGATATTCCACGGTAGGGTCCAAATGAAAGCGGATCAGGGCTTCATAGAGGTTTCTAGTGATGTTCATTGCCTTCCCATCGATGCGGACCATATCAGGCTTCATTGATGATCCCCAAACGTACGACAACGCGTGGTATTGTGGACGGGCCGCCAGCGAGACGTGGACAAGAGTAAGCTCCAACGGCGGGTTGAAGTAGCCTTGCTCGAGGTCTTGATCTCGAGAGAGAAATCGGATAAGCCTAATCTCATCTTGAGTATCATCCAGCGGCTCATATGTGTAGGTAGACAACGCCATGGATTCCGTAGGCAGGGAAAATATGAAAAGACGGCGAAATGGCTCAATAGTGATAAATTAAGTGAGGGGTAAAGATTACGATTACTTTTCAGCCACAGCACGAACAAGTGTGGTGTGATACGGGTGGGCTCAAATGATTGGTTTATATCACTAAGGCTTGAAAATGAAGGAGGGGATCCCGCATCGATGGCACAAGATGGCCAGCAGTCAGATATAGGACCCGGCTCTGACTTTGCTTGGCCGGATATGGTGGAGTGCCGGATATTTACACCTTTATGGAATTATATCTCGACCGGGGTCAATATGAGAAAATGACAGTTAATCATAGCATGCAACTAATAGTATGAGCAATCCATTCTCACTTCCTTTCCGTGTTCCCAAGAGTCATACTCCTGCCCCATGACCATTCTCTCGAGTTTACTCTCTATCTCGTCCCTCCCATCCCATGATTTCTGACCTGGTATGCCACAACTAGAGCCCCAGTTAATATGCATGAAGAAGCTTTTGAGTCCTCTGAGAGAAGCCATAGGCCGTATCAACGTCTGATATGTCTCCCACATGTGATCCTCGTACCCAGGCTTTTCCTCCATTTGAAAGTCCCAGATCGAACGATAGAAATCTTCGTTGGTTCGAACTTCGAGATGAAGGACTGCCAGATTGGCTTCTTCCGATAATAGGTCAATTGTTTCAATCCAATACTTCCATTCTGTTCGACCTGACTGGAGAAGGTCAAGATTGGATGGTTCGAAGCTGAGGACCAGAGACGTAAAAAGCCGGATGGCATATCTTGGAAATACAGCGAGGCCTGGCACAATCGAGAAGTCGCCAGCAGTTGTTTCAGTAGGCTCAGGCACGCATCCTACCATTTCGACTATAAAAGAGTGACAACTATAGAGAATCTCTATAGCAGCATCCCGGAATTGTCGATTGACAAGGAATAGTGCGTGAGGGAAGCCGATAGTTTCGCAGTGATCGCAGCGCATATTGAACGCAGAGTGACCTCTGCAACAAAAGCATTTTACAATACGCTCGTCTTCTGGTGTAGCTCTAGTAGGCAACCCCCTAACTGAACATAATCCGCCGTAGCGCATATGCTTCTGTGTGCAGGTGACCTCAAACCCATAGGTAAGTCTAGTATACTTGAGAATCTTGAGCTGAATCTCCTTGGGCAGGTGTAGGAATCGAAACGGTGGAATTTTTTGCGGCGGCGGCGGCGGCGCAGTAAGGCGGGAGACAGTATCTTTCGCCAAGAGTTGTATGTCTCTGTCATAATCTCTCGCCAAGCGTAGTGCAAATTCTCGCAGAGGAGGCAATGCCAACATCGGCTCAACAACCTTGACAGCGGTTTGAAGATTTGCACTATCGCATATTACGAATAGCGCAAGTTGTCTAGGGTCAACGCTGGAAAGCCGAGCGCAGACTTTCTCCCATTGTGCAATAATAAGTTGATCCGGGACAGACGCATCGTCCAAGCATGAATCATGGTCTGACCCAAGACGGCAGATAACATAGTTGTTGCCGCATCTGCGATGATAATTACCGCAGCAAACATCGATGCAAGATGCGAGGTTTACTCGAATAACAAGAAATCTGAGTTGCCTAAGAGTCGAGTCCCTGAAGCGTTCCAGTGCTCGCAAGCCCCGAGGGCCTCGTCGGGTGATTGCAAAGTAATTCTGACCATAAAGAGCCTGGGTGAGCTCTTCGTTTACTAGTCGGCAAACAGCGAAGAGGTCTAACGGCAGAGGAGGCAAATGGGAGTCCTCGTCATGGTCGAACGCAAGACCTCTGCGGTTACGATAGCGTGTGGCCCAGTAGTTCATGTGGATAGTCTTTCCCTCCACCAGGCCAGCTTCGTGATAGATCCGACTGCGAACATTGAATGGCAAGCTGAGAAACTGGCTGTGTCGCGTTGCACCAGGTTCAGTGTTCTTTGTCTTCGTCGAGACAACGGGAAAGAAGAGAGTTATCCGTTGCTGTCTCATGGCATCGGCTAGATGTGGCGAGTGCTTGTCGTCTTGATATGGCTATGATTCAATATAATATGTCGATGACGCTGTGAAAAGGAAAGGCGAGGAGAAGATAATTTGGCGACAAGAAGAAAAGGCGGAGAGCTCTCGTTAACGTAATCCACAGCGAGTAGGCGGTCACACGCGAGCCGTGCTACCATCCGTTGCTAGAAGACAACGCCAGATTTCGGTGGGTACGGATGAGAACTTGGTAAGAGACGCGTTAAAGGGAAGGCATATGGTTGTAGGCGTTTCTAACGAAGCCTTTTCTTCACGAGGAGAGGATGCGAATGAGCGTACAGACACTTGATCTTAGGTTCGCTAGGCAACACGCCGGTGGCGCAATATCAGACGGAGGGATTCGGTCCGGTGGGTGACTAAGGAAGCAGGGGTTTCAGAGACTGTAGAAAAGAGACATTTCTTACCAGTTAAGATATAATCCATAGTTAATCCATTAGTTATAATAATATTATCAAGCGTCGCCAGAAAACGACGAGCCGCATGATGCTAGCATGCAACTACAGTCATTCATGTCAAGATGTGCCTTGAACCCTGAAGAGACAATTTTCGCCCGATCGCACTCAAACGAGGCGCTCCCACCAACCAAGGGCGACGCCTAACAGCGTGCTTTGGTCACTGAAACATGTAGAATGGCGCTTGTGGTATAAAATGCCTCAATCCCTGGCCAGAGGTTTCTCGCATGCTATGTTCATTCTCATCGTGTAGTCGTAGCATACTCCATGTTTTATATCCTTGACCACCACGATATCAGGAAACATCTGGGTGGGTCCTAAGCGTCTTGTTTAGAGATAATATTTGTCCTCTTCAGTCTACTATCATCACATCATGAAGCTTCACCTTCCAGTCAAGACATCAACTGATTCACTCCAAATTCTCTCAAATTTCATACATCATGATCCTCCCCATTGCTGTGATTTTGTGAACATCCCGATAGCTCGTTACCTCCACTCGTCATCCAGAGTACCAACACTGCCACACCCACTAGACGAAGTTGCTCTGCGGTTGGGGTCGCTCTCCCAGGTAACGGTTCCATCGCTCGTCTTCTTAATATACTTGTACTCGAAAATCGTGTCTGACGGGATCTTGATCGTGGCTGTCCACAAACCTGCGGTGGTCCCAGAGGCTTCAAGAGCAATTCCATCTGCAGGTGACCAGTTGGCAAGTTCAGTGATTGAGCCAACAACGAAAACATTCTGGTTGGACACAGACACACTTCCGACGCTGAATGTTATGGTAGCATCGCAGGCCGGTGCTGGCTCACACACCGAGGGCACTGCGTTGGCACGAGATTCTCCCCAAGAAGGAGGGACAATCCCAGCGCGACGTTCAGCTGCCCCGATGAATGATGCGTATGACCAGGTCAAATGGACGGCTGACTTTGGTGATCCGGACGTCTTGTCAAATTGCTCCGTCAGGGAACCATCGGCTGGAGTGTAGGTCTGAACCACGGCGACAAAATCATCGGCATATGCGCGCACAGCCTTGATAACTGAGTCGAAGGTCTTGGTACGCTTTCCGTAGGTGCCAGTAGAGATATTCGGCAAAAGGTCGCGGAAGAAGGGCAGCGACACTTGGTTGACAACAATAGAGCCTTGCTTCTTCCACTGGTAAACGGCAGCGTACAGCTGCTCTGCAGCAGCGAGAGTGGTCAAATACCACGGATTGCCATCGTAGTACACATCTTCGCTGTATCTTCCGACTGCAGCGGCTTGACCTTGACGTCTACTCTTGTTGATGTCGTAAATGGATCGGAAAGAATCGACGACTGCCTTGTGGTTTGCAAGAGCCCGTGCCGAGCATGGTTGAAAGGTTGAATCGGTACACTTGGCCTTGGGGTCAAATGTGTGAATCGACGAGAGGATTGAGTTGGCGTCCTTCCCTGTGCGGCCGTCTTTAACATTGATGTTTGAGTCAATGTAGTCGCCCACCCAGAAACTCTCCAAGAAGCAGAGAATCCGAGGAGCGCTGACGGCACAGTCAGGGCAGGTTTTTCCCAACGTCTTTGCAAGCGCAGCTCCCTCAACGAGGGCACGATGCGACGCAGAGAGTGTGAAAAACGAGGAGCCGTTGATTTCTTCCCACAGGTCGTAGCCAGTGCGGTTCCAATATCTCACCGTGTACGCAAGATCCTTTGCAATGACTGGCCAAACCTTGGTGATGGCCTTGGAGCGGCCCCCATTCGCAACGAGCCAGTTGGCGTAGAGTGTAAGAGCCGTCGCCCTGAGAGGTGGGCCATCGCGTTGTGGGCGACCCCAAGAACCGGTGAACTCGGTGAGATTGACGTTGAATTTTGGTTCTCCCAGCCCACCGGACTCGGGGCTGCCTGATGGGTTCGACACGCCCTGGAGCTCGGCTTGTGCGGAAACGTATTCGTCGATTTTCCGTTGAAGGGACTTGTCTCCGTGGATGAACTCCTCAACGAGGACCTTGTACGTCAAGGCAGAGTCTCGAGTCCAGGTATACCAGTCTTGGAAAGAATCAGCGACTGCTCTACTCACAAGCAATTATTTCACAAAGAAAGGTCGGGCTTACAATCTGGATCTGATTTCGACGGGCTTGCGACTACTGCTCCGGGCGCAGCTCCCTTGGCTCGCTTTCCATCTGCGCCAATATTGGCTAGAACGCCTTTGATGGAGATGTCACTTTGCTTCGTGATGAATCGCTCAAGATTCGAAGCGCCATAGGCTGGCGTCGCTACAACAGCACCCTGCCACAGCGCGATGGCTGCCAAGCCACCGAGGAGCTGCTTGAACATGGTGATCGCTTTGCACGATGGCCAGGCGGAAGGCCAAAAATGAGATGGGAGAAGTAGAAATGAATAGATGTGCACCAAGACACCGAAATATGGCTGCCTCCGTCTTGAGCCAGGACACTCTGGCTTGCACCAAGTGAAGGAATAATGAGGGCTATTTAATTCCACGACCCCAGGGCCAACAGGGTGCCTCCATCTCGCGATGCGTCGTTTCTTGGCCTTCACCTCGACTGCAGTCCCTGCGAAGAACGGCCGAAAACATGTGAAGAGGGAGCTCAGCCGACGAGGAGCATTTCATTTAGCCTCATGCCATGTCCGGGGTAAGCTCTTGGCTGGCGTCCATCTCTCCGCATTAAAGCTGTTCTCCGGGGCTTAGCTCAACGGGTCCCATCGGTCCGTTTTTCGGCCTTATCCTTGACTAGACTCGAAAGCCTCGTTTGTTCCACGGTTTATTCAAATGTCATGATCGACTATCGGGCCGTTTTGCCTCGTTAATCCTGGGGTCGACAGTGGTGTTGACAATTGATCGGTCCAGCGCGAACGTGCCACCGTTGGGTCGATTGAGTAGAATCGAGCTACTGCAGGGCTCGAGAATTTACCCTCGTCAGCGCAAGAGAGCAATCGGGCCGAGGTAACCGAAGCACAAGAACCTGGGGAAATCTCCTGCGGATCAGCCGGGGTTTTGCTGGAATAAGTGAACAGCTGCTCAAAGCTGGATTGATCACGCAACTGTTTTTTTTTTCTCTTCAACGGTTTCTTTCCGCGATACTTGTTTGATGCACGGTACGTATTTTTTATCATGTGGGCCAATCATTGATGACATCTCTCGCTTGTCCGCTCTTTTCTCAACATAAACCATTTGCTCTCAACTCGGTATGCAATGAAGCGGAATGGGGCAAGGTTTATATTAGACAGAGTAAATGGGCCTCGTGCATGGTTTGCATGTCTCCTGTTTACGCCTATCAGGCTCTAGCAGTGATAGGAGATTTCATTAAAATCATGAGCCAATAATTCGCTGATTCTAGCTCTCGTCTAACTAATCCCTCTTGCCATGTCTAAGCCATGCATGCACTGCGTAGATATCGAGTAGACGCATCGCTTCTCGATTATGGAAATATTCTTTCAACTAATGCTTCTCATCCTTGTCTGACTCGGTTGTGTGCATATCCTTTACCCTTCGCTGCACCCACTCCAGACAGCCAACCTCTTCGTACTTCTTGGACTCTCCATCCCCGACGCAGGTATCCAAAACCCCGCAGCTCTCATTCAGGTTGAAGCCAAAGAAGAACGGCATGCTGATCCTCTCTTTTCCGCTCCAGTTTTGTGCACGATGCACAGTGCTCACGTACTTGTCATTTGTGATGCGCTGCATGTAATCTGCTATGTTCACGACAAAGGTTCCGGGGATGGGCGGGGCCCTCAACCATTGGCCATCTTTGCTTAGGACTTGGAGACCTCCGTTGTCGTCCTGCCAGAGTATCGTGAATAACTGGAAATCTGTATGCGAGCCAATGGAGACCAAGTCGTTTGCATTGTCTGCTGGGGATGGCGCAGGGATCGACGGGTAGTAGTTCAGGGCCAGGGCCGCGTCCGGATGCGAGAACTTTTCGTCGAAGAAGTCTTCTGGTAGGGACAACGACAGAGCAAACGAGTGCACGAGAGCCCGCGCCAAGCCGAGACAACACTGCCAGTATCGGACAATAGCATCTTTGAAGTGTGGAATATTGGAGGTGGCCTGCCAGTGGGAGTCTTCGCAGCGCATATGCTTGGCGATATGGGGAGGGATTGAAGTGACGTCGGCTATGGATGGATCATACGTAGGGTCATAGGTCCAAGAGAAGGTCTCGCGGACATCGACAGACTCGGAAGAGTTAATTCGCTGCGAGTTTGGAGGCTTATAGCCGTTCCAGTGGCCAGAGCTGGCCGAATTTGCTCGTTCTTTGGTCTCCAGAGGCTGGCGAAAGAAGTCCAGGCAGGCAGAGCACGCAGATTCGGTGACGCCTGAGGGGATGCCATGGTTTTTGATATAGAAGAAGCCGTTGTTGGTAGCAGCATCGTGGATCTGCCGAGCAACAGACGCACGGTCAGATGCGACACTGCTGAAGATGCCCGAGATGTCGATGACGGGAATCTCGGATGGCGTGGCATCTCGCAGCGGAGTCCTGAGAACCGTCCGATACACAGGCCCGTTGCCGGATGAAAGGCGTAGCTGGGTGGTGGAAGAGGTTTCCAGGACTGGTGCTGTTGTTTGAGTGGCCATTGTAGATGGAGGGATCGTCAATGCGGTTCGCGGACGAATGGAACGTCTACTTTGGAGAGATGACTGGTTCAAGTATTCTGGCCCATTGACGAGACCCCGCAGCGTTAGCGATAAGAGCGGATCCTACTCCGCTACTTGTCTATCTGGTAGCACAACTGATTGATGGTTGATGCCAAGGGCGGCTTGTCTTATCGTTCTCTTCTTGGTTCTGGGCCACTCTCCTCCCCGCACGCTAATAATAGATAGTCTCACTGTGAGACAAACATATCTACCACCCAGTGATTTATACCTGATCCAGCAGCCCGGTTTGAACACCGAGGAGCTTGGTGCATCGGGCATCACAGGCCTTCTCTCATTATTCGCTATTACTCTGCTTCACAGTGGTACAGATGACACGGAGGACATCTCATAGCCACGGCCAGATTAGAGTGGGCCAGTAACACGAAGGCTTCTCGTGACGTCATATGATGATGCCGTCAATGCGCGAAATTCGTGCCAAGGCAAGCAGACGACTAAGATTAATCAAGACTCTACTGAGTACTACTACTCATCTTGCGGTGTGCGATGCCACTACTCTCATGTCATCACACTCGTGCCACCATGATGCCTCGCATATATACCGCGTATGCCATTCCTCCCATGCCCTATCGTCGACAATCCATTCATCACTGTACCATCTGTAACACCCGAGTCTTCTGGCCGCCAGCACCAACAAACACTGCCCAAAATGAACTACTCCAACATGATTGAGGAGAAGAACCTCAAGGTATATTTACGCGCCCTCTTCTCGAGTTGGCAGTCTGCTAAGGCTCGAGGCAGAAAACCTTTATCATAGCCACACTATGCTCTACCCTCGTCGGCACATTCACCTCGTCAATGGGTCTATGGGATCGCGTCAAAGAGAAACGAAAGCAACAAACCCGCGACACGACGCAAGACGACGAGATTAAGAAGCTCAAGGCACAGGTCGATCGTTCCGAAAGGCGAGCGAGAGAAAATGACCGAGCGAGAGATAGGAGCCGAGACGCAGATGAGGTTGGCGCTTCCTTCCGGCAGTCCGGGGCTCTCATCAGTCGGGAATTCGAGGATGGATACGAACGGCTAGGTCGGAAGTTCGCCATTGGAGACGTCGTCACCGAAAACAAACTCCAAGCACAGGTCATCGCCCTCCAGCAAACCGTCATCGACGTACTACAGGACGCCCTTTACCACGGCCGTCAACTGGACCGCGCCGACATGGCCAAGCTTGTCGCTGCTTCAGATGCCGCGCGTGACGGTTCTCTCGGTGCTCTCCGCCAGCAACGACAGCGTCTGCTCATGGCCACAGAGACACAGCTCCCTCCGCAACTGTCACTTGGGCCTCCCACGCGCGCCTCCACTATCGTCGAAACACGTCCACCGCAACTGTTGCTTGGACCTCCCAAGCGAGCCTCTACCGTCGTCTCAACGGATACGCTGTTTTGTCGGTATAGTCTCGATATGCAGTATATCAAAAACAAGCCGCTCGCCGCCAGTTTCGCTCCCGGGGGCAACTGCCAATGTCCCGCCTGTGGGATGCAACTCGATGTCGAGTCCGACGACCGCTGGGCGATTGGGAAGCGTGCCTCGCGGTGGATATCGGTGGAGGGATATGACAGGGAGATTGAGGAAGCTATTGAGTTCGTTGTCGACCAGCGCTTCGTTGTGAAGTGTCACACTCCAGATGGAGAGTATGCGTGTATTCTATGCAGCAGATATCGCGATGGGGATATCATCTGCGCAACTGCGGATGCGTTGGTCAACCATGTGGGCCGAGCCCATAACATTGACGAATTAGAAAGAGAGCCTGACATACTGGCGAGGTCGTTGGAGCCGGAACGGAGTCTTTACTAAGGGTGTGTTTTTCCCCCTCATAATAGAAAAGAGAGGAATGCCATCTAAATATAGTATCAAGGTCTACATCTTACGTAGAAAACAATCCTTGAATAATTTCACAGCGAAGGAATTCAAGATGTGCAATGAACCGGAAGGGCGCGAGGTACTCAGTGCCTATGGTACGTTCGGACAACTATTGAGGGAAAATGACCAGCATCAATCGTACGTGGGATAAACTCTCTTGGCGGATATTAAATAAATTCCGGACTAAGGCCGGATAGACGACATAATCAACCTCAAGTTACCTCCTAACTCCGTAAAGAGTCTCAACTTGGACCCACTGTAGCCGGGTTGCCGAATTCTCTGCATTCGTCTTGGAATTCTATATAACCTTGGAGCAACTCCAGTTGTTGCTGATCTGCCGAACTTACCTCTCAAACTCTCCCTTCTTACAATACTGACTCATGGCTCAATCCACAAACCCCTTCCCCCCCGGCCGCCGGGTGGTAACAGGCCACAATGCAGATGCGGCCGCCGTAATCAAGATCGACGATGTCATTCCGACCAAGCCAACCGATTTTGGCATCGACATTGGGCGTATTTGGGTAAGCACAGAGCATCCTGCAGACGTTCAATCGTCTGAGGATAAAAGCCTCATAGACGCTGGTCTGGCTCCCTCTGGCTCCCAGGTCAATTTCGTGGATTTTCCACCGAACACCAAGGTCATACACCATCGCACGACCACTCTGGACTATGTCTTTGTGCACAAAGGGGCCGTTGTATTGGAACTTGACGATGGCTCCAGGACGAAATTGCAGGCGGGTGATTCTGCTGTCGTGCAAGCTGGTATGCACAGTTGGCAAAACGAAGACACTGAATGGGCTCGAGTATTTTCCGTCATGGTTGCTGCTCAGCCGCCTTCTATCGGTGGGAAGACGCTGGAATTTGAAATTAAGGAAACACCTGAAAATGTGTAAACAGAGATGCGAGGTAAGAGTCTGGTTCTACAACTTACCCGCAAAAGCGCTTTCTTTCTAATACTGTATTAGACTCAATCTTGGCCATGGAACCGATATATGTTGAAAACACATGTTATATACCTACGCTGATGCATCCCGACTTTGGCTCGGCCTACACGATTCCGTCCAAAAGTCGATGGCCCTCTGAACAATCTCCATTGTTTGAAATATGGTAAAATTAAATAGTACCGTTGAAATTCAATCGGTTTCTTCAATCTCGCAGAAAGAAGGAACTATCAACTCAGGCCATACGAGACTGAAAAGACAAACGATACTCAACCAGTTTGATGGATATTAAGAAAGGAGCGCCTCGGTGACTCGGATAGACATTGAAATGTAGTTAAAGTAACTTATAGTATTCGTCATCTCGCGTCACCGTGTTGGGCCCAGGGGCATTGCCGGACATTCTGGCAAGCAGTGATTGGGCTTGCAGCCTGGGATGCAACTACTGGATCTGAGAAGTCAGGTGAGTAGGATCGGCTTTACAAATCTTCGCAGAATCTATATATTTTGAGATTGGAGCCAACATCCGAGCCGTTTGTACCTCATTCAAGTGACTCTATTCTATCCAATTCTGAGGCAGAAGAATGTGCCCTCGTTTCAATAAGCTTATCTAGGTACTATGAGATGGCACATGGGTGCAACGCAAGGGTCAAGAAGTATCGACTTTCCTCAGTCTGCCTAGTTGAAATGAAGACGGGCTTATTAAAGATTACAGTCTTGAATACATTGTCATAACTAAATATTATTCGTGCCTCATCAATGTGGTCATTCATGCAGTGACAATATTCCTCTCCTCTTCCATGTAGTGTTTGATTCATTGGACAAACCCCGTACTCTTTGATCGATGGCTTTTGTTCTACTTGGACGTCATATTGTCGGTGTAGGGTACTTGCACCCACAAGGTCAAACGGTCACTGTGCATCTGAAGGGATGCCGAATTCCAGCAATTGAGACACCGGAAAAGGAAGTCATTATGCCGATCACTGTTCGGCAATCGGGTGGTTGGTTTGACCCTCACAGGAAAGTAGGCATTGTTTTCGTCGAGGACGTGAATTGAGAGCTTCCATAATCAAGTCTTCAAGTGGCACTGGCAGTATTCCATCTCGCCGTGATTATCGTCGCCCCTCTCTTATCTTAGCAATTTTCGGCCATTATTCGGGATTCGTTATCAGGACCTGACTAACCACCCGATAAGCAAGCATGTAATGACGTTACAAATATCGAATCATGGCCTATACCGAATTAGGCACATTGTCCCGATGGCTGATAAGCACATCCAAACTGGGAATTATAACCATTTCGCTGCAATGAGCAGCTAGCCGTCTGGCACGTGGACTGATAATGGCTGGTTAAGCTTAAATTAGCATGGCATCAACTTGGGGGTTCACGCACAAGACGTGGGTTGTGCATTTTGTGCTATCGCGAGCATCTGGATGTCCTCGTAATCTGATCCACCTCGGGGAAGAGGTGCCGTGTGTTTCTCCAATCATTGACGTTGATCTCCAGGTTCGCAAGTTGTAGCGACTATGGGGAACTGGGGAGATTCCCCGGACCACTCTCCGTCCCGCCGTCGTAAACGAGATCTTGGATATTACATGTCAGACAAGATATGCATCTCTGATAAGGGCCACCATCTTACGGCGCAGCCACACATCGAATCTCCCGCTAGGATGGTATATGGCACACTACCGGGTGGGCGGGTGCTTATCGCCATTTAACATGAGTCCAGCGGCAGGCTACTGTATCAACGCTTGATAAGCATCTGGGTTATCTTCATTGGGACCCTGGTAACCCGCTGGGCAGTCGAAACCTAAGACACTGGCTATCTTAAAGCCCCTATCCCCTTCCCCAGACTTGGCTGCACCTCTCTCTCGCAAATTCTTGGCGGAGTGAGACCAACGCCCGTTCTGCGCAGGATATCCCTCTTGGCACTGCCAAGGACTCGCTAACATGTCTGCAGTAAGTGATCGCGCCTTGGCTTTTCTTGGAAGCTATGTCTTGGAATTTTGCTCACGTATTTCTCGCCATAGCCCGTCTACAATGAGTCCCAGCCCAATGGAGGCAATCCGCTCGAGGTGGACGTCAACGCCCAGTACGAAGGCGTCCAATTCAACTACACATACATCGCCTTCTGCGGCTTCATTGTCTACCTGATCATCCCCGGCCTTGGTCTGCTCTACAGCGGCCTCGCCCGTAGAAAGTCCGCCCTCGCCTTGATCTTCCAGTCCATCCTGATTGGCGCCGTCACCACATTCCAATGGATGTTTTGGGGATACTCGCTGGCTTACAGCCGCACTGCCGGGCCCTTCATTGGTGACCTCGCCAACTTTGGCATGAAGGATGTCATGGCGGCGCCTTCGGTCGGCAACCCCAACATTCCCGAGATTGTCTTCTGTCTCTACCAACTCCTCTTCTGTGCTTGCACTGTTCAGATCGTTGTTGGAGGTGCATTTGAGCGTGGACGAATCGTTCCGTCTCTCATTTTCGGCTTCTTCTGGGCCACTCTTGTCTACTGCCCCATTGCTTGCTGGACATGGAACCCGAATGGCTGGCTGTACACTGTAAGTCATCATCCGCGAATGCCCTGTACTCATAAGCCGGTGTTAATCTCTCGCAGCTCCCTTCTCTTGACTTCGCTGGTGGTGGTCCCGTCCACATCGCGTCTGGTTGGGCTGCCCTTGCCTATGCCCTCGCACTGGGAAAGCGCAAGAAGACCGAGGGTGACAAGGCCCACGGAAAGCCGCACAACATTACTCTTGTCTTCTTGGGCACCGTTCTCATCTACTTCGGATGGTTCGGCTTCAACGGCGGTTCTGCGCTGAACGGCAGCATCCGTGCCATGCTGGCCGCTTTCAACACCAATACGGCTGCCTCGACTGGTGCCATCGGCTGGGTGCTCGTCGACTACATCAAGTACAAGGGTCGCTTCCGTGTTGTTGGTGCCTGTGAGGGTGTCATCGCTGGACTTGTGGGTATTACTCCTGCTGCCGGTTACGTTAGCCCTTGGTTGGCCGCTGTCATCGGTTTCCTCACCGCCGTCGTTTGCGCCCTCTGTGACGACGTCAACGAGTGGCTGCACATCGACGAGGGAATGGATGTCTTCAAGCTCCATGGCATCGGAGGTATGACCGGATCTTTCCTTACCGGTATCTTTGCTACGAAGTCCATCTCCGCCCTTGATGGCGCTACCATCGCCTCTGGCGGCATTGATGGTGTCGGTGTCCAAATTGGCAGACAGTTCGCCGAGATTACTGCCATCTCCTCTTACTCGTTTGTGGTTTCCTTGGCCCTGCTTCTTATCCTGAAGTACATCCCGGGTCTTCATCTCCGCGTCTCTGACGAGGTGGAGGAGCGCGGCCTGGACATGGACCAGTTCTTTGAGGAGAACATCGGCGATTGGGAAGTCTCCGAGGAGTTTGAGAAGCGCCGTGCTCAGGCGGAGACTATTGTGGCCGAGACTGTTCCAGGTTCCTCGAGCAACAGCAGCCGCCACGGAGTTGATAGTGGCAAGACTCAATAGTGGCGTTGCGTTGGTGTATTTTTCTTTCTCTAGTTGGTGGAAACACGTGTTGGCCTGCATCAAAGAATGGTGAAGATGAGAAAAGCGACGGTGGTAAGGGCAGATGTAATTTTTTATTCAACAATCTATACCGAAATCAACCACTATAATTCTATGTGCGGATCCGTTTTGCCTTATTTTATCAATGTGTATGCCCAAGCCCCGCGAATACAGCTGGCCTGTAGCTGCAAATAGAGAGCGAAGCAAGAATGGAGTGAGAGGCATGTTATAGAGAATTGGCAAGCCTTCAACTCCTGCCACGAATTGGCCTAAGCCTTCCACATGCCATGCTTCTCCAGAACCTCCATATCGTCTCTGCGTAGCATAACCATGACTTCGACCACTTCATCAGATGCGCCCGCACCAGCAACTACTTTCTTTCTAGGCAGGACCATACCGACACCGTCGGCCTCTGAATAAGGAGGCCGAATGAAATCGGGACTTCCAAGCTCGGAACCAAAGCTCATCTCATACAAATCAAGATCGGCCCAGCTGGTGATGGTAAGATCGCGCGAGCCAAACAGGTCCCAGCCGACAAACATGGTCCTGTAATCCTCCATGCCGTTTGCCATGCTGTAGACTTCGGCAATGTGGCGAGAGTTGACGAGAGTGGAGGATTGAGATTGAGCAATGATGTCACAGAGCTTGGAGAGCTGCTCCGCATTGTCTCCGCCAGATGCCTTCAAGTCTTCGACCGAAAGCTTTGCGAGAGAATAGAGGATGTTATTTGCGATGTACGGAGTTTCAGGAGACGAAAACTCCTCGCCAATGCGTCGTCGACCATTTACCGCCATCGCCAGTCGACTAGTCTCATCTGCAAGACCAGGGTTGCGTTGCAAACGGGCACGAGTAATGGCGGACCAAACAAGCGCAGACACTACCGTGTTTGTAGTAGGTGCCTTCGGCATGCATTTGCTCAGGAGCTGCTTGGTCGCGTTGATGTGCGTCGTTGGAATGGAGAGCACTTTGGAAGTGCAAGACGGGAATTCCGAGGGGAATGCTGGAGGTGCTTTAGAGTACTCTGGGTGCGAGGCAAAGAGGCTGTCAATTGACTGGGAAGAGACGGCACTGAGGTCAGACGAGAGTGCTCCCGAGAGTTGGCTGATTCGACCCAGGCCCAGAATGGAGGACGACGATACAGATCCTGCAATGCTCTGAGCCCAAAGCCTCACGATCTCGGTAAACCCTGCCGCATCAACCGTGTTGTGATGGATGCTAATGCAGAGTCCGACACCGCGGTTGTCGGCGAAGCGGAAGAGACTTGCACCAAAAACAGGCGCTCCTTTGGCAAAGAGATCCTCGTCGATCATGGCAGGTACGGGCCAGACATCTGCAGGGATAGCTGAAGGAGGCATTCCCTGAGCAGACAGGGTCTCGAATGCTTCTTTAATTGAACCCTTGTCGACAATTGTAGGGGCAGGGGCATTTACGTCCCATCGGATCTCAAGACCGGGTGCTTCCCCTGCGGCGGGTGTTGTTGGGAAAACCTGACCAGATAGCCATGGCAATTGCTTGAGAAGGCCGTCCAGACCACGTTGGAAGTTTGGAGAGATTGATGAGATTGGTTCTGTCGTTGAGAATGTCAAGAGTGCGCCGATGTAAGTCCTGGGCATGATCATATCCAGTGGCGTCAACCGCTCAACGTTCATGGTGTCGGACATGGTGGAGTTTATGCTGTTGCTTTGGTATTCAATGAGTGAGATGAGAGCGATGTTTACTCTTCAAGAGTCGTCAAGACTTGGGTTTATATTGTTTGTCCCAATACGGTGAGCATGAAGCTGCCTTCCACGGTGACACATATTGAGGACCCTGCATGAAGATTGGATTCCGAGGGCCCGCGGATCGCACAAACACTACGAAGAATATCCAATAACCGTCCAAAGATCGACCTCATATCCCCACTAATCTGTCTCGGGGAGCCGGAAACCGCGGGCCCGTGGTCCCGTGGGCCCGAGGCGAGTCAATCCTCGCCCCCGAACGTCGTCGTGTCCCCTTTCGACAGCTCCGTCCGTCAACGCCAGACACGCAGAGCTGCTGAATCAGTCTAGACATCATGGCCAGCGTGCATGGAGGAGAGACGATCCGAGCACAGCGGCAGCGGCTTTCTTTACTTCCCCGCGCGGTATGTCCATGACGTCCCCACCACGTATCCCCGCTAACGGCTCTGCAGTGTGAAGGATGCAAAATACGCAAGGTATGATAGACGTGGGATTTTGTTATGACGTATGGCTAATGTCTTCTGACACCAGACTCGATGCGATCGGTCTAATCCTTGTTCGAATTGTAAAGCATCTGGTATCACCTGCCAGCAACCTCCTGTGGAGACAGAAAGCCGTCCGAAAGTCGACCGAGTAGCTCAATTGTAGGATCAGGTCTAGTGGATTCATCCCGGATGAAGCTAATTGTTGAAAAGGGAAGACTATGTCGAGCGACTGGAAGAGCGATTGTCCAAGGTGGAGAACCAGCTCTCCGGTCATGGCATCGAATCTGAGGCTCCCAGAGCCCCGTCGGTGGCCCACACTGGCAGGACGGAAAACGAAACTCCCGTGTCACATCTGCTCAAAGACAGTCCTGGAAGTCTATACGAAGGCAGTTCCTCCTTTACGAACCATTCCGTCGAAGCCATCGAGGTTGCCCAGCGAACAGTTGGATCCAATATTTCCGGAGCAGCATCGAGTGTTGGCGCGTCTCTCAGTGACCTAGATGCTCTGCTTCAGCCGTCTTCGGCCTTGCCGGCTCTGGAAAACCATCAGTTCTCGTTCAATACCGATTCTCGCCCCCTACCAACTCTCGAGCCGTTACCTGTTGCACTTGTTCTCTCTGTTGTGCGGAGGATGAAGGGTATGTATTGATCCCGTTCATCCACTACTCGAGATGTGATGAGAGCAGTCTTTCTTGAACCAGATTACTAACCTTGGCAGCCAACCCACCGATATTCTTCTCCGGGTACACAGTCAATGACACATCTCTCATCGAGAATCTCTGCCAAGCAGTCTTTTTCCCGACAGACCCGGTATCTCTAGGCCAGCTCACCAGCATGAACGGAATACTGTATTGTGTCCTGAAGGAATATCTCGCAACGCAGGACCCGTTGGGTAAACAGTACGATCTCAAAGCATTTCTCGCCAAGTGCGATCGCAACTTCAATCTTGGTATCGAAACGTATGATGTTCTGGCTGTGCCTACTTTCGACAACGTGCTGGCATTGACATTGGGGGTAAGTGGAACGTTTATCCACCAAGAGTTCCTCCCAACCATCTCAATTGTCATTTAGGTAATCAAGGCGCAGAGTGAGTGCAAGCCTCAACTATGCTGCACTCTCATTGCAACAGCAGCCAGCCATTGTCAAATGCTAGGATACCATCGCGAGATGACGTATCGCAGCGACACACGCCGAATCGCTGAGCAAAAGCATCGCATCTTCTGGTCTTTGTACATATTCGACAAGAATATGTTCTTGCTTCTAGGTCGCGCCTCTAATATCCAAGACTCTGAGATTGATGTACAGTACCCATCTCTATCGACAGATCCTGGTCAGCTGCCGTGGGATAGATGGTATCTGATGGCTATCCTGCTAGCCAAAGAACAAGGCCGAATTTACGAAACGCAATACTCGGCTGCAGCGTTGAAAACATCCACTGCAACCCGGGAACATCATATCAACGAACTGAGCGTCGCCCTGCAGCAGTGGCGCACCAACTTGGAGCAGGTAAGTGACAGATCCAGTCCACACATGCTGTCAGATTGAGAAGGGATTAACAGTCCGTTCAGATTGATCCTAGTCGGGTCAAGCACCCCGAAATATTTGCACTGTCTAGGCACCATTGGGACATAATGTACTACTCCACGTTGACATCTCTGTTACGAGCGTCGACGACTTCTGGGGTAGGAGCAGAAATCAGCTCCGCCTGTTTTCAAGCCGCGCGCTCGAGCTTGCAAAGCCATCTTCGTTGCTTTTCCGGCTATCAAATGATCGAGATAGTCTCAGACAAAGATTTTGCCGATTGGTGAGTACACTTTGCTCTTCAAATTGATATGGCATTGACTTATATTTCTAGGGTCCTTCACAATTCTTCCTTCAACCCATTTCTTGTGATTTTCCTCCATGCCATTGCAGCAACCAGCCTGGAAGATGTGCAACTACTAGACGAGGTCGTCGAAACCCTTCGGAAAGTTAGGGGAGCGTCGAGCAGCTCCGAACGGCTCTATCTAATCTGCGCTACCTTTGCGCGGATAGCGGGACGGATGGTGGAGGAACAAAGCTCTTGCGTGGGGCTATACGACCAGCAGACCGACTCGTTGCATCTTTAAGACGCCATGGACCAGATTCCGATTATCTGGCCCGAGTCACTGCAGGACTTTCCGGAGATGGACACGTCGGCTGATCAATTCTCCGACTGGGGCGTTCCCGACATGGCTGGAATTTTAACAAGTTGGGCCGAAGGACAGCCATCTGCCTTTGGTATGTATGGGACAAATATGAGAGGGGGCCAGCCGGAATAGAGTGGCATAATATGTCGGCAAATTTAAAAGGATTTGGCGAGGGAAATAGTCGGACTGCTGGAAGAGGAATAGTTCATTATCATCAGAATCATACATGTCCGGGGTGGTAGGTGCCCATCCCACAAGTAGGCGCTCGTGGGGGCAATCATCAGTGTGGAAATGCCCTGCAGGATTAAAATTTTAGATTCTCAGTCAATCTTTGTTAAAGGATCAAAATATCCTCTCCCACCAGGCTTGGTGCAAGGGACAGGGAAGGGCTGATGGTACAATCTTGGCTCAGCAAAGCTCTGAAATCGAAGTCTTTCGTTTTACTTGCCCAATTGTATGACCGCAGAGTGGGGCGACACAGTGCGCTAGTAGCTACTGGGAGTGTTGAGATGACATTGTGCAAAAGGGATCTCTGGCGAGGGCATATTGCCAACGTTTCACGAAACGAGGGCTACTGATCCAACAGCTCACTCAGCCACGCACAGCGCGCAAGTAATCAGTACATAGTTTCACGATGCTCGAGAGAAGTCTGCCGGGTAAACTTGAAGTGATAGTTTCTCATTGATTTGATTCCCCTTGACGCTCCAGTGCCAACTTCCATCGACGACGCCACAACAGTCCAGACCTATTTCTAAAACACAGTAATCATACCATCTGCTCCAACAGCTCATCTCCATAGCTCCTTACCATGCCACTGCCTCGACATGGTCTTCCTCTCAGTCACTAGCTACTGGACCTTTGCCGCCACACCGACATCTTTTTCCAGGGGGCCTGGGTTTGCAATAGCAGCCCCGATTAAGGAAAACATGTTGTTACAGCGGAGCAACATGCACTGGTATAGGGTCATACCCGTTACCAGAATCTCCTCTTGAGCATCCTGCGAGGTTGCTTTCGGCCCGATGAATTCAATGTTGACATATTTCTTCGCAGCGAACGTGTTCACGGAGAATTTTGCCACGGGCATCTGCTGTTCGTCAAGGCAGATAAAGTCCCAGGTCTTGAGCGCACAGTTGGCGGTCCACCTCATTGCTTCTTGGGTTCCGTCGTCGGAGAAGGCCAATGAAAGGTAGGTGTACTCAGTTGCGAGACGCTTGAGGGCTTTCAGTTGGCCTTTCCGGCCGTGGATTTCGTAGTTGGCGTTGATGGAAACGGCATGAATCGTGCCAGTCCCGATAATGCGTTCATCGGGGGCAGATCGGAATATAATGTGTGGGGACGACAGGGCCTTGAAGTCGATGATATAGGCAGGTTCAGAAGATCTACCCTGCTCGGTGACGAGACTTCGAGACTTCTTCCATGAGAAGTCGATGTTGAAAACGGGATTGGATTGTGCGTCGTCTTGCGATCGGGGTGGCTGAGATACTGACTCCATGGTGAATGTATGTGAATGTATGTAATTGTATTGTAGATGTGCGGTTGATGTTTGTATTTTCTGGCGATTATCTTGCTCGGGTCTGGATACAAAATGCCAGGTTTTCCTGCGTCTTTATAGACGACAATTGATGGTTCGATGACCATATGCCGTACGGCAAGGCGCAGCCGATCTGCTTCACTCCCCTGTCTCAAACTGATTTACACTAGCCTTTTCGGGTCCCATGTGCCGCTTGGTGATGGATGACCTGGACAAGCCCCACAATGAGCCCAGTGGCTGCATGATGGCATCTTTGAGGCAGTGCATTGGGCGTCGCTCCAGGAGGATTCCCACCTTGCTGTCTGACGAGAGACGTGCCGCTGTTGGCTGGTTGGAGCGGGCGTCGCAGCCAAGGATGACGCCGAGGAATCCTGTACGCAAAGCAGGGCGTTCCTCATCGACGTCAGGTGGAGATCCATTGCGGCCGGGATAGTAAGGATCGTCGGACGGATGTGATCGGTACCGGCACGAGCGATACGCTTTCGACTGGAGTACTGGAATTGGATGCTTTATACCAAGAGCGGCAACACCTCTACCAAGGCCAGTCCGTATATACAGTATATCATTCTTGAGGTGAGATCAACAGGCCATCCAGATCCATCCCAGTCGTGCCCACCCCTAGATATTTGCTCTCTCTAGGCACCCCTGGGACATGGTGTAATACTCGGCCTTGGCATTCGGGATTTGCTGTTGACCCTGTCGTAGATTGACGTGCTAAGTTTCCACCTACTAAATTCGGTGCGGGGGATAAAATGACCCAGACCGGGATAACTGAGAGCAGCGAGGAGAAGTAGAGCTGCTGAATGAAGGTGGGACACTGCAGGACAGACCACATGGCATACCAGATCCAATGAAATTATACAACCCTTTCTTCATTTATTTTCTTTGCCACAGAAGGTGTTTTATTGTGATAGACTTGAGCGTTTCCCACCTGGAACACGGAGTTGCCTCGTGCAGCGCATGTGTCTTATCCTGGACATGAGGTCTAGGGTAGGCGCGGAGCGTGTCCGCAGAAATAACTGAGGGTGTGCATGCGGCATTCCTGTGAATAGTAAGCTATACCAAATTACTGCTAGCTGGATGTCGTTTTGCTGCAATTTTAGAGCTGCAAAGGGAGTTGAGTATCATCACAGCGGTGATGTTCCGCCAGGTCAAGAATAGCACATTGAGGTACGGCGCAAGGATTGGAACGGTGATGCGTTACTTAACCCGCTCGTACATAATTATCCTGCTGACGCTGCTGTTATCAAGAGAGGGTGGATCCTGGACATGCAACCCTTTACGCATGCATGTACTACTAATATAGTTGCCAATAGAGAGAGGGCTCTTCAGCTGAATTTCAACCTACGAGAAGTTCTTAGTAGAGGCTTTATGCGAATATGACCGGAATCAACCTTTTCAATCTTGTGGGCTGTGCATCATTGCCCATTTAAATTCGGTGGCTACGGAAGTGCTATAAATCTAGTGCAGAACCACACCATCGAGGCAAATATGTGGACCCCCTTCCCCCTCACTGCAATTTTAGCGCTTCAAAGGGAGTTGGGGTGCGTTGTCAGCAGATCCATTTCGACTCTCTTACACGGCAATTTTAGTAGTGTACGGGTAGGTTACTGGAAGTGCTTATGCTAATCTAGGGACGTTGATTCGCTGAGCAAACTAACTGATCCCTCCTCGGAGCTCACAGGTTCCATATGTTTATCCCCTTTATTCTTTCAATCGCTTTAGTTACAATTTCTTGGAATAATAACACTGCCAGGTCATGCCGCTTATTTTAGTCGCTTCACAGAGGAGGATTGGGACTGGCTCCTATTTCTATATCATATGACTCCGATGATTTCAGGCTGAGTTGAGTCGTAAGTGCACCCGGCGTTCCTGTAAATAGTAAGCCTGGACCGGACTACTGCCTATGTCATATTCGCGTGCCTTTATTCTGCCCGTTACCCGGCATGAACGCCTAATGGTGGACCCTCTTATGACTTTCTCAGCCATATCGTCGATGCCCCCGAGTGCATTTCAGCCATTCTCAGCCAGGTGTGCAACATCCGGGTTGTCCTCCAGGCATTACAAGGCTTTCTTGACAAATTCATCTTGTGTCATCACGGCAAACGACCGTTATCCAGATAGAAAATATCGGCATTATTCTCACCCAGACGGTCTGGGTCTTTTCTGAGCTCGAGACGAATTTGCAACCCCTCACTACCTAAAGCTGGCTGCCGGGTTGGCGTCGGCTGAGTTGGATGAGACGCCAGCCTGCATCTCAACGACTCGTCAATCAACTACAAGAGTATGAGCCATCTCTGTCGCTGTTGCTTCGGGTAAATCAGTGGTAAGTAATAGTTATTATTTGTGATGATTTTCTAATCCAAGTTGTGTACCTAGTGACACATATGCCGAAGCAACGCAAAATGCGGCTCAGGAACCCATATTAAAGCAGCAAGTAGACGATGACGCGGATTGTCGGCACGGCTAGAAAACCTGTGACTTGCAACTGAAGATGATGAAAGTGATGCCTCGGGAGTGGATTCCACCATCACAAGGGGCGTTATGTCGACGGGTGCACCGACACTTCCGCCAACGAGCCAAGTCGATAAATCAGTACAGAATACAGATTCATCGGTTCAAAAGTTTTTGGAATTCGCTTTGGCTGGTACCCGAGTTTATGGCAAGGGCCAAGGCCGAGAGGCTGACACCACTAGTATAATCTCGACAAGCATATCTCGTACATTGTCCGGTCTCTCCGCTCAAACCCTCTCCCGACTATCGGCGTCCGGCGTTATCGACCCAAACTCGAACGATGCTGAACCAGAGAGATTTCCGTCACTTACCACTCTTTCAACTTTGGGTTTAGTTGCGAAACACGACAAAGCTCTCCCATACTTCCTGGGCACATTTGGACGACGACTGGCGGAACAAATACGGATTGGACATAAGGTATAACCCTGCACAACCTAAAGAGACAGCTGAGAGACATGACACAGGACGGTGCATCCTCGTTCATTTCGATGGGAACTATTAGAGAAGACATGGTATTTCTCTTCCGACTTCTGACTTGCGCGTCCTGACATTGTATAGCTCAATTGGCGAGGCAGCATTTTGGGACCTGTGAGCAGCGACTTTCCTACAATACGGCTCCGTGCTAACAAGTACGCCCCGTTGAATACCCTTACGCAAACAGTATATTCTTTCTGAGTATACAAATTCCTCAAGATTGCTAATTCCGGCCTCTTCATGCAAAGTTTACGACGCGCGTGTATCACCCTAACATAGACCACACCGGCGCCATCTCGCTCGATATTTTGGGTACTGAAGGGAGTTCGATATTGAATTTTGAACATGGTTCGAATGCCCCTTGTTAACTTATGAGTTGAAGCTGTTGCTAAGGCTGAGTTGGCAGTACTACTCTCGATATGCTCATTCCTCGATGACCCAAGTCCAGATAAACTTCTTGTTCTAGAGATAGCCTATAACTTCAAGACTGATAGAGCTCGGTTATAGCAACCGTTCGAGAATAGTCAAGGAATCATGCCATTTAGTGCTATAGGCCTCCGAAACACTGATGCCCAATGCTAAAACAAAGACTGTACCATGGCTAGTTTGGGATACGACGCTGTGGTTGGAGAAAGTAAGACAGTTTAAATTACTAGGTGGATATTAAATAGACATCTGAATTCCGCTTTCCCTATCCCAACTTTGCTGTTTCATCGTCATAGCTCTTAATATGTCGTTAATAGTCGAGAGTGACCGTGCATGACTCATTTCGGCGCAAAGATCAAAGCCAGCTGGTCAATCTCGTCGCCATCCTGGCCGAGGAAGCCAGCAATCTGCCAGCCAGTGGGCGCAGTGATAGTGACACAATCGCTGGTGGCAGTTCCAGCAGTCACAGTGTTTCCGGCGCTGGTCGTGGCCAAAATGTAGAAGACGCGAGTCTGCGAGCTCTTCTGTCCCTGGCACAGCTTGGCGCTGGTCCAGTACTCACTAGCACCCAGGGTCAAGCTCGAGGCGGTACCACCAGTGCCACCGTGGCTCAGGACGGTTCCATCCTTGAGAGTAATGCTCACGGAGTCCAGGCGCGAGCCGCCAGCAAAGGTCAGCTTCGTGGGCTTGGAAATGGTGGAGTAGGCAGAGAGCTTGGTCAGATCAGTGAACCAGTCGCCGTGGGGTCCGCCGATGTAGGCAGACTGGCGCAGCTTGGAGGACAGCGACCAGGTGAAGTTGACGCCGATGGGGTTGTGGTCGGAGAGAATGTTGCCATCAGGCTGCAAGAACTTGTTGCTCTCGTAGTTGAACGAGTCAGCGGTCAGGCTAATGATGGAGTTGCCGCGGTAGAAGAGCTTGTCGACAGTCTCGCAGTTGTTGGTGGTGCTGGGGTTGGAGCAGATGGTCTCCACGGTTGGCTCGACGCCAGAGCGGACCAGCTGGACCCATGCGTCCGTCAAGCCGTTCTGGGTCCTGAAGGTGGCGATGTTGTCCGCCGTGCGCGTGTAGCGGCTGTTGGTGTCGCCAAAGACGAGCACGGCGTTGCCCACGCTCCAGGTGTCGATGTAGTTGGCGACCTGCTTCACGTTGCTGGTTCGGGCAGCCTCGTCGCCGTCTTCAGTGCCGGCGTCGGTGTGCAGATTGTACGAGTCAATGTAGACGCCGTCGGCAATCTGGATGCGCATGAAGGTGAAGCCCTTGGGAGTCAGGCAATCGGCACCAGAGGCGTTGGAGCAGTCGTCCCACTTGACGCGGGAGAAGTTGATCCAGTCAAAGTTGGCCAGAGTGTTGAGACCAGAGCCAATGACGGCGCCGCCAGATGTAGCAGTGCGGTAGGCATGCGTATCCGTCTTGTAGATTGAGGCATGGTAGTTGAAGTCCTGTTACGCATGAGTATGTTGTTCAAGTGGATGTTGCAGCATATTTACCTCTTGCACATTGATGATATCATAGCCGTACTTGGCAAAGTAGGTGCCGATGAGCAGCGAGTTGGTCGTCTTGTCACCGGGGACATCATTGCCGTTCAGGATTGGCGGGAGACCTGCGACATTCATGCTCAGGACGGTCAAGTCGCCGCTGGTGGCAGCTGTGGCGCCTGCCACGAGGACGGCGGAGCAGATGGCGGTGCGCCAGTTGACCATGATGATATCTGAGGGACTGGTTCTTTACTTTGGCGATGAGAGAGCGTCCTTGAACATTTCCTGGAGGTTTATCCCCATCTATAAGCACTCCGCTGGCTGGCCATAGTGGTGGCATCAGGTGTCATAGCTGCTACGGTATACTATTAGCGAGATATATCCCGCGGCGGATCGGCTTCCTATTGCGGAGTGCCGCTCCGGGGTAACGGTGAGAGTTCCCCATGTCCCGAGGCCGTATTGGCGCGATGTCACGGCGCCGTCATTTTGTTCGGCACAGACTACTCGATTGGTTTACCGAGATTGGCGTCGGTCGATCTGGGAGTTTGCAATGCCAGGACAGGAAACACACACGTGGAGGACTAGGCCTGTCGAAAGCCGGATTGAATGCTGTATATGCTCCGTAGTTATCTTCTGCAAGAGTTAGCACGTGGGAATTGGTTGGAAGAACGGGATATGATATCGTATTTGCTCTTTTGGGTTCAGCACAGCCTATTTCCATTGGTGGAAACCCTGACAAGCGCTCCGAACGGGCGACTTCTAGCCTCGGCTTCATAACCAAGCGCAGAGGGGAACGCGCGGATCCCATCACGAGTTCACAAAAGAGACCATTACGGAAGGTTATATTACGACAAATATTATCCGATAGGGAGATGGTGTGGTTGCCAGCCTATACACCCGGCCTATTTGGTACAGAATTTAATTCCGATTTCCCCTGCATGCCCGTTCCCTCAATACCCCCACACCACATCAGCCCAACAACCCTTGTCCTATTTGTCGCACGGATATGTGACCTCATAAGGCTCCTATTCAAGCTTCTACCATAAGGTACTTTTAAGGTGGCCCTCTTCCGTTCACGGGCGAAATCCGACCCATAATAGATATGGTTTTTGCATACGAAAGGTAATATCCGCCTCGGCCCTTTTTTGTAGCGGAACATTTAGGCGAACAAAGTCCATGAACTCAATCACTTCCTCTTTTCCATAAACTTCGCGTTGAATTGCTCTTCCTGATCGGGCCAGGGGTGTGTGGTTTGCGCCAAGCGCTACCATTTTTGAAGTTGCCCCTACGGGCCCAATAGACAGACCATGTGTATGAAGCCTGCGCAGCATACTTTTCGCCAGTGCAGGCGCCTCACTACAGAGAACCGACTAGCACCGTGCTAGAAAAGACGGTAAAAATGATGTATGTGCTCTCCGTGATGGCCTCCTCTACGGCACTTGGCTTCGGACCCGAACTTGGCGAGCATCGCCGTAGTATCATGACAGCACCCTAAGATGCCAGTGGCGAACGTAATGTGTTAAACTTCATCGGCATGGATCTTTCAACCCTGATAATCCGGCAGGGCGGAGTTGGCGGTGTTGGCAATCATGTAGATGTCACGACTGATTGTGAGAATCTCCAGGACGGTCGTAGGTACTTAATCGCGGGGTCTTCATCAACTGGGTTTTGCTGGCAAGCTTGCCTGTCTTTGGATACACCTCATGAGGAGCTGACAGCGGGCTTATCTGAGTTATGTGCATCGTGGTGCCTGCCCAGTTCTAGCAGGTTTCTGCTCATTTCATACCTGGCCTGAGCTGCCGCTGGTGGTGACTAATCTAACTTCTGTCTGCTCCCTCAAGGTGATCAGGTTGCCGGCACAAGGCCAAAAAACACAGTTTTATTCACAGTTCAAGCATGTCCTACCCAATGTTTCTGAGATGATTGAATATCAAGCTTTTCAGCTTGAAAATGTTAAACCTGGGGGTATATAAGCTGCCGTTAGCCCAAGAAGCCGAGCCATGATTCTTTCCCTCCATTATATCACCTTTCCTACCAAGAAGTAACGATACCTTCTTCATTGACGAGACCCATGGTCGGTTCAGCTGACCTAGCGAGCCCTGCAGCCATCGAATACGCGTCCGGGGACAAAATCACAAGCAATCAACTTTATCTTCTCAGTCTCAACGCAAACACCCACTCACCAGTAGAACGAGGGCAATACTTTAAGAGCCCGGCCGAAGCCGAGGTCGTGGGCTGTAATAGAGACAGCCAGGCAACCTACAGCGCTGGGTTGATCCAGGTCAGGTTGCGAAGCCAGGCCAATTGGGCCTCGGCTTCAGCCGGGTTCTTGAAGTATTGTACTCGTTCTACTGGTGAGTGGGTGTTCATGTTGAGACCAAGGGATATAGTTGAATGCTTGGGATTTTATCTTCGGTTGTATATTCGATTGCTGCAGGGCTCGCTGGGCCAGCTGAGGCCGGAAATACATCGTCTTCACCCTCGCAATTTTTTTGTCTTCGCACTCGAGGAATAAGGTCACTCACGTCTTTGGTGGTCTCTATGTTCCACTCCGCATTGATTGACTCATATGGGAATATTGTATCACTTGCTGCTCATCGTGACGTCACTTCACTTGACAGGGTATCGACTATGGCTTTCTCTCACTAACCATATTTCTATACCTGCCCTACATTAGCATTAGGCTTATTCTTACAACATATTGCAATCCTCTTTTATCTTATCCACAGCAGTGTGCTAAATTAGAATTAAACGGATAATATTTTATTGACGGTCAAATTAGGATCCGTGAAGCTCAGTCGGGGGTAGTGACTGGATTTGATAAAGCACCGAAGTGCATGTTGTGTGTCGACATGTTTCCAGCACGCTGAGGAAAGGAGAGCACTAGTTATGCGGACAACTCCGATGTACTTTCTTAATAACCAACCAATATAACATAAAACTCTCAGAAGGCAGTATCTCTGAGACAGCTTACGTCAAAATGGCAACTATTGATGCTTTACACTATCTCCTGTGCTTATACCAGCTTAATAACATACCCAGAAATCGAGTCGTATTCTTCGCATGGTAGCCCAGGATTCGCTTCTGCCGACTTGAGAGCGTCGTACGTTGGGTCAAAAGCTTTGGTATCCTCGCGAACCGACGCAGCCACAAAAGCATGACCGCATCTCGTATACGTTCCCGGCTCCCCACTCACGGCCTGAACAAGGATGCCCCTAATCTCGGATGCGAGATTCCACTTGTCTTCGAGTGAGAGTGGTGTTTGCAGGTCGAACATCGGTACGAAGAAGAGCCGGTCGGCGCCGATTACATCTGCCGAGTCGACCCAGACATTCTTCGCATGATCCATCCCTTTGCCTTCCAGGTGAAAATCTTGCTCGCTTCCTTGTACTGTGACAGGATTGAGGCTGCAGCGCATGCGCAGGTACCCAACAATCTTTTCGCCGCGGGGCTCGTAAACTTCCCGACGCGTGCTGACTTCTGTGACGGAAGCAAGAGGGGTGATGTCGTATCCTTCATATGCGTCGACTTGTTGCGTGTCAACTGAGCCGTTGATGGACACCCAGGACCACGAAGGTGCAAGCTCATTCCGAGGGCTTTTGCCCTGCTGTAACGTGTTGACAAACCACGAGAGTTGTATTTCCATCCTGGGTCGCCACAGGCCCGCACAGTATTCGAGCCCTAGTTCGTTCTGTAGGTGTTCGGCGACACCGGAAATCGCGATCAGCTTGTCACCAATCTGGGTCAGGCCACAAGCCGAATAAGCGTTGACGATTCTTGCCCATTGACTTATGGCCTGGTCGGCCGAGTCGGGCGGTGTCAAGAAGTGGGAGCCTTGCTTGCATCCAACCCTCATTTGTGTCCTCGCGGAGGAAGGCCAAACGCTTGTTCCGCGGGGCAGCGATTCGCATGCTGTGAGTTCTGCACAATCCCAGATGACTTGATCAGATGTGAAATGAATGATTCGCGTCGAGAGTAGACGCTCTTGGGTCACCCAGGCACGCCGGTTGAGCTGTGCATCATCAATCTGCTGCGTGAAATAGTCCTCATCAATGAGGCGGAACCGGCCCTTCAAGGCCCCGTTATCGATATCCAGTATATCTGAGGTTAGCACAGCTGGATCTCTGTCAGTAAATAGCCCCCCAAAGCTATTTGCTGACCGAGTGGCCGCGATGTTGCAAAGCGCATGCTTGTAGACCTTGAGCATCGTTACTGCTTCACGTTGCCAATCCTCATCCGAGTCTTGGATGATGCACAAGGAGTCGATCCAAATATAGTTGATGTCAAGACACCTTGCAACTTCAATTGCGTCTTGGAATGTTTGCGGAAGTTGGTGGAAGGGAATGTCGTCCTTGAACTGAGAAAGTGTCTGCTTCTCCAGCTTCAGTATTTTGGCCCCTCCCCAGCAATGACTCAGGCTCGCGTATGGTCCGGAAAGTCCGCCTTGGATAGACTCGACAAGTTTCACGCTGTGTTGTTGGACGTGGATGAGTCGAGTAGGGTACCATGGCTGTGTACTGGACATAGCTGAAGTACATGTTGAGTGCTTTGCGCGGCATTCGTTCAGACAGCCTTTGAAGAATCCCAGAGCTGCCATGGAACCGGTGTTGGTGCTCGTAACCTTGTTTTCTTGTACTTTGTAGTTCAGCAGCAGTCTAGATTGGTAGAAAACAGAAAACTTCATACCTGCATCTGACACGTTCTCGAAATGCATGACCTGCACCCCAAGCTTCTTCCCCTCCGAGACTGCCCCATTCCACAAATAGGTGCCGCCGTTCTGCTTATCAGTCTGCGCAGCCAGGATGTATGAGATCTGCAAGGGTGCAGTTGCTGGCATTTCACGGGTGCGGTGTTTGATCAACTGCCGAAGGATCCCGCGACAGCCATAGCAGCGAGCCGCTTTCCCTTCCAGTCTAGAGAGAGTGATGTCGTATTCGAACTGCCCCTCCCAGCGATCCAGCTGCCACTGTTTCTGGACTAGTGTCACGGGTTGGTTGAACACGGCTTTGCACTCTGGACACAACATGTTGATCAACGATTTCAGATCTGGGAGCAGCGAACAAAATGGAAGAACAGGACATTTCAATGACTTTATCAACTTGTAAATTTGATTGAGTCTTACGTCAGCAAGCCACAGATATTCTCGCCAAGTGGTGCAAATCAAAATGAATGGCGCTGGATGTGCCACGTGCTACTCCGTAAGCTGGCGTTGGGTCCGGTGCGGCTGAGGGCAGCCATGGGCTTCGAGGGTCTTAGGCGCTGAATGATGACGTAGGCCACTGGAATAAGGGCGCGTAGCGCGTAAATAAGTCATACGCTTTATAAATAACTATCTCATCGCATCAGTGCAAATGAGCCCGGGTCACCACTGATGTCGGGACCACGAAAATAAATTAAAATGAGACTGTTCAAGTGAAAACCAAACTTCCTAACGGCTCGGGCTTATCAATTTCATTTCCCCCCTAAATCGCCAGACCCTGTTTGTGAGGCCGCCCCCAAGTCCTGATCTCGTCGGATATTATTGGTGGCCTCGTCTCGCAACACCATGCAGACGCAGCCCATCTGCGCCCTTCAGCCGCCTGAAATCAGATATCATGTGACCGATAGGATGAATGCGGAACAAATTCCCTCAGATTTCTGCTGTCGCTCCTCAGACCTGCTTTTTTCCCGCAGAAGCTCCGGGTCAAAAACCCATGATCCCATCCAGGCGGAGAAGCCTCATCCACTTCACCCGAATACGTCTTCCCCGACGTGGCCCGAACGAACAATTCTTAAATTGATTTTCAACATCATCCATCCTACTCTGATATCTAACAGTACTGCACCTACCAAGGGGCTGGGTTGAAGCGAAGCACAATGGATTCACCAGCCTCGTCGGCGCTGAGCAACAGGAGCGATCCACAGATTCCGCTTCACGTCAAGATCCGTTGCACAATTTCCGATGCCCCGCGAGACAAATCCCCCAAAGACGTATTCGTTGAATATGTTTGGCCGAAATTATCTGCCGACTATGGGTCAATGGTGCAGGAACTGGTCAAATATTGCAACGATCAACTCGGCGACAAAGGCATTCCTGCCAAGGTTGAGGGTAGAGCGAAGTCGAAAGATTCGATCCGAGACACCCTCGAGCGCCGGGAGCAGCACCGAATCGATCGCCGGGAAGGAAAATACAAAACCCTCAGAGAAATTTTGAAGGATATGCACGATCTTGCCGGCATCCGGGTCGTAGTTGACTACCCGTCAGATGTGGACAAAGCCAACCAATTCATCAAGGCCGCCTTTAAGGCGAAGAAGGAGCCGAACAAGTTTGCACGGGATCGCCCCATTGGAAAATTGTGGGAGACATGGTTTGGTGCCTATGAGAGCTTCAATCATCACGTCACTCTCAAACCCGACACCTTGGGTGTTTCTCGGACATTTTGCAAAGTCATGTTTGAAGTCCAAATCACGAGTCTTCCGGAAAGTCTTTACAACAGACTCGCACATCCTCTTCTGTACAAGGAGTCATTTGGGGCCATCTCTCGTAAGGATGAGATGATAATCGACATGTCGCATGGACTTGCACTTTGCTATTCCCTTTGTCAGTTATACATGCAGGACAAGTTTGAGGGCCCCTCTAGATCTGCGAACGAGATGGAAGGGATGCGCGATGCTGCGAGAAAAGCAATTCCCGCACCAGGAGTCGAGCAAGTAGCGAGAGACATGGATGCCTTGGTGGACTTGGCCAACCTTGCCTCCGAACCTGGCACAGACGATACTACTTCTTCCAACCTGGAGACGAGTGCATCTCTCGGCAAAACCATTCCAGTTGAGTCTCTCTTGAATGCACTATCAAAGCTTTCAGAAGAGCCTGGTTCGAACAAACATCTTTGGGCAAGCCTCAACGACGAGATAAAGAATTGGGGCTTAGGCTTCAAGGCTGTAGAATCAGCAATCCAGGTGCAGACTCAGGTTTTACGCCAGACTGCGCACGACAAAGAAGACCTCAATTGCCTGAAGGATCTACACATCATCAATCCGGAAACCCACAAGAAGCAAATAGAGAACACGAAAGGCGGCCTACTGAAGGACTCTTATCGCTGGATCCTCCAACACAGCGACTTTCGGAGATTCAGGAATGACCCAGAAAGCCGATTGCTTTGGATCAAAGGCGACCCGGGCAAGGGGAAGACGATGCTTCTTTGCGGCATCATTGACGAACTAAAGAAAGAGCCTTCACTAGTGGTGTCTTATTTCTTTTGCCAAGCCACCGAAGACCAGGCCAGAAACGCGACGTCGGTGATCCGAGGCCTCATCTGGCTCCTCTGTACCACCCATCCAACATTGACCTCCTACGTCAGAAAGAGGTATGATGTTGAGGGCAGAGAGCTCTTTGATGACTCGTGTGCGTTGGTGTCTTTGGAAGGCATACTTACGGATATACTCCAAGACTCGTACTTGCAGGATGCAATGTTTGTTGTCGACGCTCTAGATGAGTGCTCAGACAAGAATAGAGTTGAGCTCGTTGACCTTCTTGTCAAGTTGTCCAGCTCCTCTCGCGCTAAATGGATTGTGTCTAGCCGTAATTGGCCGACAATCGAGGAACAGCTGCGAGATGCCGAGAAGATCAGGGTGCACCTTGAAGTGAATCAAGACTCCATAGCCGGAGCGGTGAAAACTTTTGTTCACTACAAGGTGGACCAACTTGCTCATAAAAAGGGATACAAATCAGAGACAAAGCAGGCTGTCCTTGAAAGCTTACTTCTGAAGGCCAACGATACATTTCTTTGGGTAGCCTTGGTTTGCAAAGAGTTGGCGCGTCCTCAAGTCAAATCTCGGCACACTCTTTCAAAGCTAGACTCCGTACCAGCAGGGCTCGACGATCTATATGAGCGCATGCTTGGCCAAATCCTCAAGTCGGAGGATGCAGACCTTTGCACGCAAATACTTGCCACTTCTTGCATCGCATACCGTCCAGTTTCGCTGGACGAATTGCGGGTTCTGGTATTAGAAACACAGGATTTGAGCCGTGAGGACTTGGAAGAAGTCATCGGCGAGTGCGGCTCATTTCTAACTATTCAAGACGACATCGTCTACTTTGTGCATCAATCCGCTCAAACTTTTCTGATGGAAAAAGGATGCGATGCAATCTTCCCCTCAGGAATCAGGAATCAGAACCATGTTATGTTCCGACGGTCTTTGGACGCATTGAGATCTCTGGAGCGCGACATGTATCGATTGCAAGCGCCGGGTGTCCTCATTGACGAGATCTCACGGCCCGAGCCTGATCCATTGTCTCCTCTCTGCTACTCTTCTCTTTACTGGGTTGACCATCTTGAACAGTCCAAGCAAAATATCTCATCGTCTGATTGTGGGGAGATTGAGGAATTTATGAGAGAGAAGTTCCTGTACTGGCTAGAGGCTCTTGGCTTGCAGAGGAAGACGCCAGAAGGAGCTGGGGCAATAGGAAAGCTAAGAGATATTATGGTAAGTGTCCAGATGTTTTAGCTTGCCAATGATAAGTCTAACAATTCAGCAGCAGAACACGGCAGACGCAGAACTGAACAGTATCATCGAAGACGCGCGACGATTTGTTTTTTCTCATAGGGCCATTATTGAGATTGCACCTCTTCAAGTTTATGCATCAGGGCTGATATTCAGCCCCACCGACAGTCTGGTTAGGAATATGTTTAAGAACGAGGAACCGGACTGGCTGAAATTGAAGCCCAGGATGCAGAGAAATTGGGACACGTGCATCCAGACACTGGAAAGCCGATCTCTTATCTCGTCGGTGGCCATTTCGCGTGATGGCCAGCGCCTTGCTTCAGGTACGGAAAGCGGAGTCGAAATCTGGAATGTAGCGTCAAGCCATTGCATCCGATCGTTTGAGATTGACTTTGTGTGTGGAGTCGATTTTTCAGTGGATGGCCAACATCTTGCGGTGGGCTTAAAAAGTGGGGACATAGGCCTCTGGGATGTGGATTCAGGCGTGCATGTGCAAACGTTGCATGGTCATAACACGACGGTGAACGATGTTGCCTTCTCCCCAGATGGAAAGCTGCTGGCGTCAGCCTCCGACGACGAAACAGTCAAGATGTGGGACTTCAAAAAGGGCGAATGTATCAGAACGATGCATGGCCCTGAGGGTGGTGTTACATCATTGTCATTCTCGGCGGATGGTCGGCAGTTGGCATCGGGTGGGTCGGATGGTACTGTCAGAGTTTGGGAATCTGCCACTGGCAAGTGCATCTGGACTCTTGACGGCCACAGCGATTTCGTTGGGCCAGTTTCCTTTTTATCAGGCGACTCCCTGGCCTCTGGCTCGTACGACAGAACAGTCAAGATTTGGGACGTGACGACGGGCATCTGCATCCGCACCTTGCAAGGCCACGGTACATTAGTCATGTCGGTTGTCTTTCTGGGAAAAGGTCTCAGTTTTGCATCGGCCTCATATGGTGGTATGATCGATATTTGGGATGATACAGGAGCCTGCGTCCAGACCCTTGACCATCATAGCAGGAGTGGAAGATGGTCCCTGGCGTTTTCTGCGAACAATCAGTTGCTTGCTTCAGCTTCTGGCAACACAACCAAAATCTGGGATATGGCAGCACATTCGGCAGAGCGCCCCTTCGAGCATCACGTCGCTGACTACACAGAAGTCGCAATTTCGCCGAATGGCAAGTGGGTTGCGTCAGTTTCAGAAAACAAAACAGTGAAGCTCTGGAACGCATTCAACGGGACATGTGTCCATACGTTGGAGCATTGCCATGAAGGAGATGTTCCATTGGTTTTCTCACCGGACAGCCAGCATTTTCTGTCCGTGACAACTTCGCACCACTTCTTGTATCCCACAGTCAAACTTTGGGGCACAGCCGAAGGCCGCTGCGTCGAGACATTTGAGGGTATCATGCATGAGGCCTTCTTCCCGGACAGCAAGCGACTCGCATTGGCTGAGCACACATCAGTACATCTGTGGGACATTGATACACGGGTTTCCATCCAGAAAATTGAAATTCAAACGGAATTCATCACCGTCTCGCCCGATGGCACCTATATCGGATCAAGTTCAGGCGCCAAGGTTGAGGTCTGGGACATCTTAAGAGGACATCGCCTGCAAAATTTCCAGACTAATCACCATGTATTATTAGTGGCCATGTCAAGAGACCCGAGATGGATTGTCGCCCGGACAGAAGAGAACGTCTTGGTGTGGGATATCCACACAGGCACACTCCTTCACAGGCTTCCGTCCGTGGATAGTTCGCCTACCATGGCGCATATGACCATCTCTCCAAATAGCAGATGGATCGCAATTCGCAACTGGACTTCCATCGAAATCTGGGATTTGAATGCACCGCTCCTTGCGCAGAGCATTGAGCTGAGCATTGAGTCTAACCATCTTCATTTCGATGCAACTCATAACTCCCAACTCAGTACTAGAGTTGGCGTTCTAGACTTGGACAAGATTCTTGCAACAGATGTGGAGCAGAATAATACGACTTGGGAACCCAAATACCACGGCTGTGGGTTTAGTAGAGATGGAGCGTGGATTCTTAGAGGCAGCCAAAGGATGCTTTGGTTGCCCGAAGACTATCGGTCCTATCGATCAATGGCGTCGGCGTCGACTGTTGTGATCAGAACTGATACCAGAGGTTTGCTTTTTATGCAATTTGGGGTGGAAAGTTCGAACTTGGTCTAAATAATGTGTTATTTGATGATGAGTCTGGTAGTTTGATCCTAGACAAAACTCGTTTCCAAAATGAAGCCATCGCAACCCCACATGCCATTGACTTGGGAACTGATTCTTCCGCATTCTGTTTAGTGTTTGTCCATTTCTTGACACTCAAGTCTCAAAAAATTGAAGATTCATCACTTGAGAATGCTTCGAAGAACCGCAAGACACGGCTCGCATCTTCATCTCCAAAGCTGAATGTTTCGCAATCCCCTGTCTCATTCTCATCTATCCTTGCTGTATAATTTCCATCGTGCCACGCCTGAGATCTGCGCTGCGAAGTAGCGAGAAGAGGATCGTGGGAGTGTATCCCCAACGTGCGCTCTCTGTTCTCCACCAACTGCTTCTCAGTCGGAAAGTGGAACGAGGTGCTCTGGTGAGGGTAGTGTCTAGCATCATCAAGGAAGACCCATGCTCGTTGTCTGTAGATACGATACACCATCCGGCCATCTTCACGGCGTAGTCGGGAGAACAGCTCTCGGAGCAAGCCGGGGGGTTGTTTCCAGCTCTTGCGAGTAGGTCGTCGAATTTTAATTGTAGCAGGTGGTCCGCGAACAGAAAACCTGCTCGGATAGCGTTTATGAAAGGCGCAAGGCCACTGCTTGAGATGGACGGAGCAACCGGCCTCATCTCGTGGAAGCCCGAGTATAAACGTGATGAGGTCGAACCCGAGACGGGCCAAAGCGCGGGTAGTAAAGTTTGGGTTGCTCTGTTCTAGACACAAGTCGTCGTAATAAGAATCCGGACAGAAAAGGACATTATCAGGAAATAACAGTTCGCTCTCCGAAACAGTTTCAAACGATTGAGTAAATGGCACTTTGGGTACATTTGGGAGCCAAGAGTTGGCATGATGTGCGAAGATGGCTCCGTATAGATTCTGAATGTAATAACGCACACATCGAACTCCCTCATACTCCCAAATTAGAAACTTGAAGTGCTCGCGTAGGCGCAGGGGTTTGTCTAGTTTGTCAAATGATCCTTGTCGTGGGTGGTAAACCTTGCACATGAACTCGTATCTCAAAAACGCTCGGAGTAGCCGACGTCTCTCCTGGTCACTCAGATCATCCAATTTCAAGGTTTCAAGGCCAATTGATTTGTTTCGGAATGTAGATTGACCCCGCCTTGGTGAGAGATCTGGAAGGGCGAGATAGGCGCGAGGTGGGTAAATGGCGGTTGCTTTTGTGATATAGTCTTCCATGTACACTGCTAGCGAGTATATAGCCCATCGAGACTTTTGAGCATGTTCATATCATGCTCCTCGAAAGGATTTGGCAATTGTGCTGAACCCCACAATTTCATATGACGAGATATACCGCTGAAGTCCGTATCGGTAGGGTGCATCAAAGGAAATAAAACGATTGCCATGGCATCTTGCAATGAATCATCATCAAACTCGTGCCGAAGAAGCGCCAATCGAATTTGCTTCTTTGACGTTTGATATTGTGCAAACATCGTCGGTGATGCGCGAATGAGTGGAGCGATTTTTGAGGTGGTCCTGAGGCAAAGGAATATTTCCAAGCGCAGCTCTGGTGGGAGGGAAGAGAAGATATCCATGGTGGGGCTAGCTCTGATTGAGCTATGGAGTATCGTGCGCTTGGTAGTATTTCGGAGAGATTTAGAGAAGATGGAGGTCATGGGGGAAACGTACCTGGACATGGTATTTAAATATGAAGAATTGCACCGTCAGGGAAATGGTTCATCTCAACCTTGATGGCATATGGGAAGTCATAAGGGTAAAGATGGGTTTGCAAAACTTTAATTCCTTTGTCGCCTGCAAGGTTCACTATGACAACAGACAGATTGACTGGGCACACCCCGTGAGATGAGACCTTTCTGTTTCCTTGACCTTAGTCCAGCGGGATGCTGATTTACAGACTTGCGGCCTTATCCGCCCAGCTCTTTGTTGTGGATTGAGGCACCGACGATAGTTCCGCCAGGCCTGTGAGCCCAATTTCTTGAAATGTGGGCTTGGAACTTATCTATTATGCTGAAAATTATACTGAAGAATATTCGAATGCGGATGCGGATGTGGATGTGGATGCTGAAACCTCGGGTTGCGTCGGTAAGTGGTTTTGGATCGCACTGGTGAAATTCTATTCAACTGAAGTACTCGCTGAAAGGTTCGGCATAGGTCTATCAATGGAGCTGTCTAATCACCGGTTGCATTCTTAGATACAGCCTTGTGCTTCGCAAATGATGTATTTCTCATTTGCTGTGGCGTGAATAATCTCAGCAATACAATCTACACCATGTCCAGAGCCTAAACGCCTTCGTCCACTAAGCACAAAATTTCCCTCGGTGCTTTGAACGAAGGTAAGCCATGGGATGAGACCATTGCTGCCAATCGTGGCATCTCCCAGCATATCATGTCCCATGCAATTTGGTTTCGCTCCCATCCTACCACCATAGACTCCAGAATATCAGCCACTTGCTGACTGTCCCAAATCCCCTCTCTTCTCCTGACAGACCGCAAAACGCGGATACATCTCCTCTGAATATCAATGTCTTGGCATGAAGTGCAGATGACAGCCATGGAGGGGACCAAATTTGCGTCAAAGACAAAGATTGGGGTCGTGTCGAAAACCTTGCATTGGACCAGTTGTTCGGCTTTCTGCAATATCGCATCGCATCGTTCAGGTCGAATGGTTTCTTCAAATGAATCGAGCTCTAAAAAGGCTGCCCAGAATTCTTGTTCCATGGATAGAATCATGACTTGATGCTGATCCTGCTTTGGAAGAGCTTTCATATCAACTTGGCCCTTGAAAAGATCGAAACGCTGACTCCACATCTTGAAAAGCTGAGGTATGGATTCTGTGCAGCCTTCTTTGCTTGACCAACTATTATCCGAGCTTCTGCGTAATGATTGATCTGTTTTCCACCCTATCCCGGCGGTGTTGTCTGTGATCTGCCGTACCGGAAGATATGCCCTTGACGTCCATTCAACATCAATGTGGAAGAGTGAGTTTGCCGCCGCCGCCGCGGATTCGAACGGTATGATTGGGCCCGGTGCTTCCAATCCAGTATTGACGTAATGATACAATTTTGGAATAACGTTAAATCCAACGTAAGAGGTAATGTCTTGCCCCAGTTTAGAAAACATAGCAACAATGTTGTCGAAGAACCTGGTCTTCTCTTGTAGGTCTTGTCGCAGAGTGAGACCTGTATCGTCATATGATAACTCTTGGAGTGAGGTAAGAAGTGCGCAGCCCGATTGCAAGTGACGGAGTGCCTCAACATATCGACCCAGTAGAGTTTCAATGCAGATAAAGATAATACAACATGTGAGAATAGCCTCAGTGTTTAGGTTGGATAGTTGTGAATATGCTTTGATGTGATGGATCGCCTGGTTATACTGCTCAATAGAAACGCGTTCCAGGTCCCGAATAGCCAGGGCTCCTGCTGACGATCCTATAGCTTGAGACTTGAAACGTTTGTGGACACCTCCAAGGGCGCAAATCGCATACTTGATAGGCTCCACAGCATGAGCGAGGGGAAGAACGTGGAAGTACCAGAAATCAGTAGGAGTCGATGCCGTCTCAAGATCTTGCATAGTGCAGTTTCGAAAATGGTAGAACAAATCGCTCTCTGTCGGTAGTAGAGAGATGTCGCCATTCAATTCAGGGGCCGAAGAAATCAGCGGCCAGGGTGGTTCCTTACGCCGGATTGTAAGAATTTTGCTTTCTTGGGCCGGTAGACTATGCTTCTTGGCTCTTAGCTTGCGAGCGATGAGTTCGTAGCCATCGCACGTGTAGCCATCCTTGCCGCATCGCTTGCAGGACGGTTTGCCTTCATCGCATTTGAGATGGCGGGTTCTATTCCACAAAATGAGTAATGACACAGAGATTTTCGGAGTCACGGTTACGAACTTGCTATCAATACAGAGTGAGCGGATTTGTCCTAACCAATGCACGCCAGGACAGGAGCTTGACGTACCATGTCTTGCTGCCAGTTCTGACGCGAGGAGCCTTCGCTCGAGTCCATTTAATCGGATTGGCATCCGTAGTCGACATTGTTAAACGCCTTCAATAGCTGGGGCGGGAGAGCTGCCCATCGACGTGTTGGATTCGAGAACAGTAAGCAATTGGCCAAATGAAGCATTCATCTCCAGAAACACGCACGCACATCCCCGGTAGATGCATATTGGTTAAGTTATACGCTCAAGCCTGCCCCTTGGTTGAGGCTGTGCTCTGCGAGCGTGGGTACCTATGTCCACTATTTTGCGCTCGTCGATTCAATCTAGTGTTTCCGATGGTGCCAAGAGGCTTTTATTTATTCTCGTCACTTCCTGTGTATGGATGGTCCTCAGAAACAATGTCAAAATATTGACATCATAAACTACAGATAGTGGCATTGTGTTGTCGCGGGGGATTCGGATCATCGGTCCTCTCCCGGCTAGTTTCAAATACCCTGTTCTCTCACTCGAACATCATAACATGGCACTTTGTCGCAATAGTAAGTCATCATTCAAAATACGAAACGAGGACTACCTATGAAATCCGTGTCAGGAAACCAGGGCCCGGCCAGCAACTTTAGCTTCAGCATTCCACACCGGATCCTTAATTTGACAGGTATCCTCATTCGCAATTGACCAACTCACACCGGTGTTACAGATCTGATTCAGCGGGAAAACGTCCGGCGACACCACTTGCTCCCATCAACGTGGGGTGTAATCAGCCACTGGGGTCATGCCGACCTTGGCATTGCTGGGCAGGGAGTAGAAACACTTCGTAGACTCAATGTCAGACTGCTGCAACTCAGGTAGCTCGTCACGGTAGTTCATGACGGAAAGCTCGTCTCGGCGGCCCAGCTGGACGGCGCCGAATCCTTCGGGAGCAATTCCGCGATCCGGAATCCCGTCAACGGCGAATTCATGTCTCAGACCCAGAACGTGGCCAAGCTCATGAGTGAAGATCTGCCACATGTTGTCCTTGTACGGCTGCTGGAACGCCGTGGTGTAGACGTACAGGTAGTTCAGGTCGTTCGCGTTGGGGAAGAATGCAGAGGCCAAAACGCCTCCCTTGGCACCACCATGGCATAGGACAAACGTTGCGTCCTTGGCCAGCGGAACCCACTCAAAAGTGACACCGACGTTGGCTTTGTTCCACTGTTCGGCTGCCGTGGCAAGGTGCAGGGCGGCAAGGTCGGCGTCTTCTTGACTCTTGAATCCTTGTCGCCAGGCCGCCCACTTCACGACGGAGCCAGGGTCCCATCGGGGGCATTCTTTGTCGAGGCCGACAAAGATATCGACAGGACCATTGCGGAGGTTGACGGGAGCATCCGTCTGAGTGATGCAAGTCGGCACCTCGTTAAGAGTGACCTTGGTAGGCTTGGCGTTGGGGAACTCAGTGGGCTCGACTGTCTCAAGGGCGTCCTCCCCGAGTGTCTGAGCGACAGCGTCGAGGATGATCTCTTTGGTGGAAGGTCCGGTAGAGCTCATGGTGGCGCTGGGATTGAAGGGTGTTCCGCACCACTGGATGGGTAGTTGATCCACGGTTTAAGATTGTCAAAGAAGGCAGATTGTTGTTGTTTTCCAAGGCTGGAAGCTTGTATGGATTGAGTGAGGAGTGAAGATGATGGTGAATCGAGGTGAGCAGGCGGGGCTTTATAGACATATCTCCACGAATACTTGTCATAGGGGAGATGAGAAGTTAGTCCTCCAGTCAACGGCTGCCCTACTTTCAACCGCATTCAATAGATTCGTCTCGGCGTGTAGAGCTGAACTGCGTGGCTGAATACGGGCACGTCATTACGTTGATCACGCTGCACGCCGAGGGCCGAGAACACAAGCCACGGTCATTTGGTCCCACAGAGGAGCAGTGTCCGCACCGTTAGGTCTAGAACATGTCACAATTCACCACAACGTCGTCACACCGCAGTTGTGATATCAAAGATAATTGGTAGCTGAAATGTTCCGTCTGGTGCCCGGCTGGTGCCCGGTAAGCGTTCGTGCAGGTAGGTGACCGGTGAGAATATGATTCGTCGCACTTTTGGTCTCGACAGTTGTACCATATGGCAGCACGTGAAATGCGGTAAGCTGATAATCGGTCATGGGCATACCATGATTGGTGAAGATGCAATGAGCTTCAAGACTAGTTAGCTGTATGTGTTTTCTCGGTATGTACACTCTGCTCAATGAAACGTAAAAAGATGAGACGTGGTAGCCAGGTGTACATGTGCCTCAGCAGAAACAGTCCAGAGGTGCGGGGAAATGTAACGACGGTGTGAGAAGAAGCAACGTGAAGGACTTTGCCTCCCAGCCTGGTCTGCATGTGGTAGAGATAGCGGACGTCTGAGACATGCTGCCTGATAGCTCCATCAGCTGAAATTTAGTCTCCCCCGATGGCGCTATTGTATGCGTGTCCGAATATGCTTATGCTTATTCGTACCTCGTAGCGTGCATGTATGTCTCCCTTCAGAAGCCCGTAAGCAGCCACGATCAGCAGATGATTGGTCTCGACCTGCCATTTATGCGCATTGGCCGCCAAGTCACGGAGCTCAGGTTGTCTAATGCACCCTCTCTGTGAATCAATTGGTGGCCGAGACTTGGCAGCACTTTCTAGCAGGTGAGAGAGGGAACGCGTCATTGAGGGGAAGTCCAGTTCTGGAGCATTCATTCTCACCGTCATTTGAGCTGATGTATACTTCATGCTGCCAAGATTATTGCTTCGTTTCACTTCGTTTCACTTCGTATTGCGCACCGATAGTCAAGCTCGGCGTTGAGAGTCTCTGGTTAACGAAATAACAGCTTACCCTATTCTAGTACCACCCGATACTCGTCCACCTACGAACGACTAACTGTACTGTAGTACTCGACATTCTGTTGGGGAATCATGAATTTGCCGTATGGATGGCATGTGGGCAATTGGGATGGAGACTGGTGTGATGGTGGTGTCGAACTAGAGGTCGGAATGCAGGATCTATTTTTCCAGGTTCAACTCGTACACGTATATCCAAACGCCCTTTCACATGGTACATAGCAATTATCAAATCCGAGGGATTAGCATGAATTAGGACCACGTAGTATCCAGTACCGAACACTCAGCGACCGGTATCTGTTACAACCTCTGTGCATGCCCGCAAAATGGGAAGGATATCTCTCGCACTAACATGGTTTTTGCTTTTTCCGAGAAGGGGGCAGCCTCACGAGACTACGAATATGAGAATTGAAAAGCAAGGCATCAAGAGGCGTCGGCCTAGCTGCTGACTAGATGTCAAGTGCCAATCGTGACTTGTGTTACTTTTGGGCCCCGCAACTGGGATGCTCCAGGCCTTTTTGCATTGGAGACAGGCGTCACGTACTGGAGGTCACCATAAAAAGTGGCACTTCTGGCGGCAGCGTAATTAACGTCAGGACTCTGGGGCGACAGCAGACTCCAACGCTTTGTTAACCAAGCCAGTGATGAAGTATTAGGCAGTAGACAGGGCTAAAATGTGAGTTCCAAATTAAAACAAAGACCAAAAAATAAAAAAATGAAATGCGACCACGCCAGGAGTCGAACCTATGGCAATTGTTAGTTGGGCAGATATGATTGGTGTTACGTAGAACTAACCTGGAATCTCTAGAGAATTGGTGACATCGGTGAACCGAAATCTAGCGCCTTAGCCATTAGGCCACGCGGCCGATAAGATACAGGGAGCACAACTGGAGTAGATAGAGCCGGTGCGTCCAGGCGAGAAACACGCAGGCTCTGTTTAGACGTATAGAATATCAATTACTCAATCGTTGGTACTTTATTAGAATGCCTTCAAGCCGGCTACGTGGGCCTACTACAACTGCAAACATATCTCAACATCAGTTTAATGCTAATCTTTCGACTCATGCACAACCTTGATTGCAGTGGTCAAGTTCCCACCGAGGCTAAAGAAACTGTCCCTCAGTCCAATTGCAGTTGACTCGACCTCCAAAACCGAGGCCCATTTTCTATACAGCTGTAGCTCTTTGTCTGACGTTGGTTCCTGCTTCGATCCTTATTTGACTGTCCGGATGCCTGCCAGCTGCTTTATGGATAACGACGCGCCGATTCCGCGCAGCTTTAATCTGTCCATCTTCCGTGGGTGTTATTGGCAATTGTTGCATAAAGAACAAAATCGTATGCATCATATGGCTTGGTACCTGCTGGCCATCTTTCTTGGGTATTCGTAGTGATCGGGAATATCTTAGCACTGATAGGCTCCGAATCGTCATTTTTCGTTGTCGTACCTACAGTATAAGCCATCATGATGAAAGGCGGCAGATCTGGGCATCCAACCACACCTTGTGATGAAATCTGCTCATACGCAACCGGCACGCAGTTGTATGTTTCAACTGTACTCTATAGGGTGACCGTGGAATTGAGGTCTCTAAATATCCGGCCTCTATCGAATACAACGCAGAGGCCATATTTCAAACATTAGATGGATCCAAGACGCGGCACACTGTGAAGCCACCGAGGATTGCTGGGATAGTCAAGACACAGGAACTCAAGGCGCTCTCCATCTTGGCCGCGACGCTCGCCACGAAAGCCACGACTGATTTGCCCCTTGAAGAACTCGTACCCATCAAACCTCACCCCGCCAGGTGGGTTATGTTACGACTTCCGGGATCCCGCCTACGAATCCCAGTAAATCAGCCTCTTATCATGGTTCGACTGCCGATACCGGGAATTAGAATGGGTTTAGCGAGTCCGGCATAACCTGTTCTGGTCTAGCCGCCGTAACATCATGTGGTCGAGGACCCAGCGGACCAGGGAGGTGCATTCCTTTCCGGAAACGTTCGTGGGGGTTCATCGATTGAAGTTTTCCATATTTCCACTTCTTGCCCTTTGTTAGGCATCGCAATCTCGTCTCCCCTTCACTGGTGACGGCAGTAGCTTCATCACGATGTCCAGGCATCAGGACCTGAGTGGGTCTCGGCTCCGGAGGTATGTTCTCCTCCTTGACGTCATACTTACTTCTCCGTGACGGAGCACTCGGCTGATGGTAATTCTGAAGATGGACGAGTCCAACGGCGTGGTGGCGATACCTCGAGATGGACACCGAGTCCTTGCTCATGATGATGAAGGGATCACTCGCCCCTACGATTGTCATTGCGATGTCAGTAGCATCAAATGCAATTAGCCTATTGAGGCTGGTCCCTAACTATTCTCAGTTCTCAGAGCCACGCTATCTCTGATGTCACCACGACTACCGGTTACTTGGCTGCTCTAATTGCCGTCTCTGCACAATGCCTTCAACCACGCGCCAAATTCATCAAAGTCATGTTCTTTTGCCTGCTCTCCTTGTGCGTCACGGCATCGATTACCTGTTTGGCCATTTATTCAGCCGTCAAGGCGCGCCATCCTAGCAACAATGCAACCCCCGATCAATATGACAGCAGCGCATCGGCCGTGGCTGCAATCTGGCTATTTGTAATGATCTGGTCAGTCTTTTAGTCGGTCACGGAAACCTGCGCTGACAGACCCCATTAGGGTCGGCAATGCCCTGCGAGCCTGGCGTATGGCCGAGCTCCAGGATCCAATAGTCACATCATCTATCTTTGCGTTGGTGGCCCTTACCCGGGCTGGCAACTGGACCACTGTTGACGAGGGTCTCGATTTCGTCGTCCGTCTTATCAAGACGTTCCTCATCGGATTTGCAATTCCCACTGGAGTCTCACTATTGATTCTTCCCAGGACGTGCCGCCAGGGCGTCTGCAAAGACATCCGCAATTTCGTCCACGAGACAAATGCGGTTCTCCATGCACTAACCGAGTTCGTTAACACGGCATCAAGAACAAGTTTCCTTACTCGTCAAAAAACTCACATAGTCTCGGAAGATGATGTGTCGTCACAGGATGACAACGAGTTGCCGTCGGAGGTCAGATTTGCCAAAGCCCGAAGTCGCTTGACCAAAGCTTCAGATACTCTAAACACGCTTGATGCAAAGATCCAAGCCGGCTTGAAGTACTCCAGGAACGAGGTGGCTTGGGGCAAGCTTTCCGCTGCTGACTTGGATGAGATTTCGATGCTTCTGAGAGGCGTCTTGCTCCCTTTGTCTGGCATGTCCCTTCTTCCGGATATAGTCAACAGTTTTACAGAAGCAGAGCCACGGGTACATCCAACAGACGACGGGCTAACCATTGAGGGCCAAGGGCCCATTGATCATGGCATCATTGACGCCTTGTCGGAATGCCTCGGGGACACACAAACCCTGGTCAGCACCGGTCTACAATATTTCTTGCTCCAATTGGAGCTTGCGGGGACTGGAACCAAGAAACCATCCGACTCTGAAGCCTGCACCGAGGAATCGATGCCGAGGGAGCTAGATCCGTCATCTTCAGATTTTGTCAGTGCATTTGGACTTAAGATCCACGAAATGTCCGTGGCAAAGCAAAATCTTCGCGCCGATAAATTCCTTGTTCAGACGTCTACTCCTCCTTCTCAACATGCAAGCGATGACGGCACGTCAGAAACCACCCAGCGCATTGACAGGGACATGATCATTCAGCAAGATTTCCTGCTGGTGCTGTACTTGTTCAGCCTGCAGACTATGGTTCTCGATGCAACCCTCAACCTCATTCGATTTGCCAAGAGAAAGACGGACGACAATACAATGAAGCAATCGCGTCTCATCATCCCTGCAGGCCTCCATCCCAAGCGGTCTCATATTGCGTCTTCAACTACAAAAGAAGCTCCGGCACAGCCCAACGAACGACGAGACACAGCGAGGGAAGTCCAAGGACTTGAAGTCGTCGACTTGGTGCATTTGAAACCAGCCAACTTTCTGGAGCGAGGCAGCGACTGGTTTCGCTCCGTTTCGCACCTCATCGGCTCAGATCTTAGTATGTTTGGCCTCCGAGTCGCTGCCGCATCGCTCAGTATTGGCATTGTGGCATTTCTGCGCCAATCACACGACTTTTTCATCCATCAACGAGGTGTCTGGGCCATGATTGTCGTTGTCATCGGCATGAGTCCTACCAGTGGCCAGTCATTCTTTGGATTTTTCGCTCGCATCTTGGCCACGGCTGCGTCTGTCGCCTTGAGTCTTGCCGCATGGTATATCGTTGTCGGTAAGACTGCTGGTGTCATAATCTTTCTTTACCTGGCCAATGTCATAGAAGTAAGTAGTCTTGAGCCAGACTTTGGGTGTGTTCTTGGACATTTGCTTACTCTGCTTAGTTTTACACCTACGTGAAGAAACCTCACCTGTTTGGCCCTTCTATTATTGCCATTGTCACACTAAACATCATCATCGCGTATGAACTTCAGGTGACTTTAAATCTCAACACAATGTCATTGATTCTCTCCTTACTCTTTTCAGGTCAAAGCAATCGGCTCCGATGTCGCCGAGTCAAACGGACAGCCATATTACCCGATTTACCTCTTTGGCCCCTACAAACTAGCAGCCGTCGCAGTGGGATGTGCCGTTTCTTTCTTCTGGACCATATTTCCATATCCCATTACGGCAAAGTCCAATGTACCGCGTCTTGCTGGCGGGAGTCTCTTTAATCTTGCTAGATTTTACAGTGCCATGCATACCGCGGTAGATCGATGGATTCACCAAGATCAAGATCAACAAGGCCCGCGGGTCCTGGGCCAGGAAGATGACCGCTTGCATGGCGTGCTTCGGGACTTGTACAAGCAGGAGCTTTTGGCGTTGAATGGACTGCGCATGCATAACCATTTCGCAACATACGAGCCGCCCATCGGAGGCAAGTTCCCAAGCGCGATCTACGCGAAATTGACGGCGGGCATGCAACGCATCTTGACCATCATGTCGCTGATGGCGCATATTGCCCAAACCATGCCAGCACCATCTTTTCAACAATTGGAAGATGCTACGGAGCCCTCAGATTTGCCATCGAGTCAATTAGCAGTGGCTTGGGCTTCAACTGGCTTCCAGTTCCAATCCACGACGTCGTTGTTCTGCCACCTCGCCTCATCTCTCACACACGCCAAGCCGTTGCCGCCCTTTCTGACCGCGTCAGAATCATTTCCGCTAGTGAGGCATCTCCACAAGATCAATTCCGAAATGCTTCAGACGCAAAACTCCTACCAGCCGGCGTATACTGCGCTGATATCCCTTGAGCTTCTACGGACGGCATTGAGCCTCGAGCTACAAAAGCAATTAGAGTGAGTTTAATGCATCCAGTAGAAGATGGACCGTGCTAACATTTGTGATTGCAGTGAGATTCGAGTTTTAGTTGGGGAAATTATGTTCCATGTTTAAGACTTAGAGAAAAGATTGTTGCTCAGAGATGGTGCACCATCCGAGACAAGGCAGATTAAAAGATAGCACAGCCGACCCCACCAAATGATTTGCCAAGGAATATTCCCATTTCGTGGCTGCAAGGAGCTCCAATAATACAACGCCACCTTGTTCGCTAACAACCAACAGATTGTACTACGTCTACGGTATTTGCCCAGGCAATCCACAGACCCGCTCTGGAAAATCAATACTCTTCTCTGTCTAGCCTTATTCTGCCCATGGCGTACATGTAGCCAGCTGCAACTTCAGGGTGACCTGATGGTGGCGGTCGATATGGGTCTGTGAGTAAGATGGAAATCGTTCATTCTTCAGTCCTAGCCGCTTCCTGGAATTTTCACTTTTCTGAGAGTGACAGTATAATTGTCTGAAGCCGCAAGGTGCTCATCGTCCCCATAGTTATCTGTCCTCGTTGTCTTGCCACAGAGTGTTTATTAACCCGACCTTGATCTTCGTTACACCAGGCCTGTTCAATCTACGCCATGCGTTCCAACATGCTATTATCTCTGGCCCTCGGCCTTCTCGCAGCCGACTCTGTGTTGGGAGGTCTTTGCAAGCTTCAAACATCAAGTCAGTCCAAGCAGTCCTGCACTATATGCATTGTATGATGGCCTACATACTAATCGAGATATATTCAGGCTCAACTCTTGTTTTTACAAAACCGGGATTCCCAGCTCCTGATCCCCCTACACCAACGATTGGTCCGACTACAACATCTACAACTTCGATCGCCTCGACTACAACTTCTGAGACAGCGGTTTCGTCATCCTCGGCCGTGCGGCCCCCACCAGTTGACCCAGGGTTCACCCCTTTCGCCAACTTCATGATCGTGGCTGGCGGCGGTCCCGACAGTCCCACGGCAGGCTCGGTGCTCCAGTCCAACGGACAAAATACTCGCTCCGTGATGTTCCACCCTGTCGAAGCAGGTCTGGTCCCGATTACCCTTACTATCGAGGCTGGTACTGGGCACCTCATCCAATCAAACGGCATGTACCTCTGTGCTCGCTATTCGTTCCGGCCCAACTATCCTAGCATGCTTATAAACTGCGCTACCGAAGGTGTTTGGACGACATACCGTATTCTTTCATTACCTGTGAGCAGACGGCCGATCGCAAGCTTGTGTGCAGTGTGCCGGCTGTCTCCTGCACACAATACTATTCCGAGGATGAGCTCGTCACGTCCTGTCTACATACCACTGGCACATTTGATCAGTTCTATACAAGCTTCAACTCTTTGTGGGGGTATTTTGTATATCTGGGCTCGGGCAGCTATAGTGAGTATCCAGGAGTTGTTGCCTTGGACTTGAAAGTAGAAGGTATATAGAGAATTGCCCATTGGGAATCATATACATCTGGAAGATGGTCCAGGACTTGGAATGATAGATGATAGAACCAATATGTGAATGATGTATAAGCCTAAGGTCTTTATTTTGGCGCGGGCTTTTGCTTTTCTTCTCCCCTTACAGTACTCCGCACATGTTACTAGAACATTACCGGACTATCGCTGGCTACCGACAACGGTTTTCAGGCCATAGAGGGACTGGGTATTATTAATTGACTGTCCCCCGAAAATTGGTGGCCCAGTCCTCTTCTGCCCATATTGCACCTGATTTTGCCAGGCAGAAGAAATAAGCAAATAGTTGTGCCCTGTGGCAGCTGAATGCCTTCTGGATACGAACGCCACCTTGACGCTAGACAATCAATAGTCTGGTCTCAGTCGACTGGTTTGTGTCATTAGTGCGCTTTTGGACATGGCGTTAGGAGCGGTAATGCAGCTTGAAATTACATCCGGTACGGCTGGTGGCTCTGTTGCCAACAACGCACAAACACTCTGCCAACAAAGCCCGATGGTTGGTGAGTAAGTACAGGTCGACGCGAAGTGGGACAGTCTTGAAGTTGCCACACCCTGAAGTAAGCTTAACAATTAGTAGCTGAGATGATAATAGCAATCGATTAATTACTCCGCTTCCAGTCTAATCACCCGTGGTAAGACTTATGTCCCCTTCGTTATCAAGTGTTTAACTACTAGCATCAGTGATTCTGCACCCCCAATTCTACTTGATACCTACGAGGCCCTGGCCTCCTCACACCTTCACTCGCACTACCGTCCTTGGAAGCTAAAGAGGCTCAGATTACCTTTGGTCACTGTGTTCTGAGATCTCAATGCCATTTATGCCTCCCGTTCCCCGCAAGTTCTGCATTTCGCCTTTCTGCTCCAACTCCGACCCGCCTTCTTGAGGAAACCCTGCTACCATTCTCTGCAAATACTTAGGTAGCGGGTCCTTGCCGCTCCTATCCTGAGGTGCAATCACCTTGTCGTGCAGATAGATGTTCTGCGAGACTCGGAGGAACGTCGAAAATTGGCTGGTGTACGCAGCCTGGGACGTTATCACCACAGCTGACCCTGCCAAGACACTAACGGTGGAAATAAAGATGGCGATTCCGTAAGTGATCCAGAGGGTGCTTGGTGAATACGCGTAAACGCTCTGAGAAGTCCATTTATGGACGTCAACTTCTGGTGGTGCGTATGGAGACGAGATGTTGGGACTATCACTCAAATTAGTATTCTACTGTTGAATCTCAGCCGACGCGGACAGCCTATGCTCACTTCAAAGAAGCTTGATTCATCAAGCTGAGGGTGGCGTTATGAAACATCTCTTCCATCAAGTCCGTCACGGACCGTGTTGTAGTCTCTTGCTGGTACACACTTTTCCCATCCCAGTCCACGTTACCGAAGTTTGAGTTCTCCGATCCGAGTGCCTGGGAGATATTTGCCATCTCCTTGGCGTGGATTAAAGGCGTCATGTCCATATTCGTTCGCATATTCAGCTGGGTTGAAACCGTGTCTCCAACACTTGAGTCCACGATTGTGACATTTCCCACGAACATGGATGAGAATGCGTCCATTACCGATTGATAGGCGAAATTCTCGACGGCCGACTGATTCAGTGCAATCTGGGTCAAGTTTGGGTCATAGGTCAAACTTGATGTTGCCACAAAGGAGCTGTATCCGGACAAATAATCCACACTATTCAAGGGATCCGAGGTGTTGAGCGTTATCTCCTGGACTCCATTTGGATAGCTGAATTTGGTGTTGTATGAAACATTTTGCAGTGCAATCTGCCACACATATGTCGTCTCTTTCATGTAGTCGACAATGCCCTCGGTAGTGATGTTGTGATGTGGATCTGGAGGCGAATCCTTTGGAAGAACCATAACATAAAGCGCAAGCGGCTCGCCGCCGGCTATCGTTGAGCGAGGAGTCCATGAGTCGTTTCCAGAGAAGGTGTACGGTAAGCTGCTATTCACCCCCGTCCCAGAAGGGAGCCAGGAGAGATATGTCATCCATGTGCCAAGTGCCCCATAATTCCACGCCTCGGCATACTGTGTGAAGATGCGAGTTCTGAGTGATCCATCGCTGTCGTTGGTGAGAGCTGTGCATTTCAAAGCCGGGCCGTGGAAGTCCAGATTCCACGAGGAATTCACCGAGGGGGCAGGGATTGACAGGACCGCATTTGAGATCAGAGAGCCCTGGACAGCCTTCTTTACGGAGAATTGGGGCTTTTCGTATGCCAAGTCGGTCGACTGCCATTCGGTCCTGTCCAAGGCTCTATAAATATCCGTATAAGTCCAGGAAACCGACACAAAGTTCATGCTTGTAAAGTCAGCCTGGGACACGCGAGTGCTTTCCGTCGTGTTCAGCCACGCCGTCTTGATAGTGAGCGCGGAGGGTGTGATGAGCGGTGCAAGCTGGAGCACCCTATTTTGCGTTAGTACCATGGAGCAGACAGAAATCCTTAAATTGAGAATATTCACCAGAACAAGAGGAGCAGAAACGCCGGAAAAGGCATGTGCCACCACATTCGAGCGTTGAGAGCGCTCATCCAGTCATCTCTGGACGAAAACAGAGAGTCTATCAGACCAATCTCCGCAGGGCGGCTTTTTATTGCTCTCCAGCTGATTTGATCATGCGCAGCTGCAATGGCAACCGCCAGGAAGGCTTTGGTGCAAAAGGCCAGAGCGTTACCAATTGCAATATTGACCTTTTGTTTGGACACTCCGTGCCAGACGTCCAATGATGAATCCGGAGGTGGCTTTCCATCCAGGCCATTGTAGAATAAATGCTGCCCTAGAGCGCATAGTATACCTGCGCCTAGGCTCAGAAACATGAAGAGGATTTTCTTCCCAAAGGACCAAGGGCGGCGCATCTCCGAGTTTTCCATGGCTGCGCTGGTTGACAGAGCATTTAGCTTCGAGGATAAAATGCACTGTAGTCAACAATAAGATCCACCTTACTGCGATGGCATGGGGGGCTTCTGTTTCTTTGGAATTCGATACCATGCGTTGCGTAGAATCACTTCGGGTGGCCAAGATGATTCTGTTTTCCAGGTCTCCAAAGACACTTCAAATGACGCCGAAGCACTCCGTAGGTATGCTTTAAAACGAAGATTTATCTCGCGAAATTGTCTACTTATGGGCTGACATTTCCAATGTGGATATCTCCAGGGCCCCTTGAGCAGAGTCAGCACTAACCCGCCGTTTTCCCGCGCAGAGTGAATTATTCTGTAGTTCTCAATTGACTTGGAGCACTGCCATGGTTCTTCACATGCCCATTACGGTTCTATAATTACGCGGTAAAATGAGCTATATTTCCCCGCAGTCACTTTTTAATTCTTTAGGGAAGTGACGACGCTATTTGAGGTTCAAAGTTAGGATTTCTGGTCCCGCGTTGTCTTGACCGCTCTGTGGATTCGAGGATGGAGAAGGATTGAAACCTGGTTCTGTTCTCAGCTCGGATTGGCCAATTAACGAGTCTGTGGTCCGCAGGAGTTCGGAGATGCCCACAGGCATATGTCCATAAATCAGGTCAGGCAACATCACCGGAAAAAAGAAAGCATGATTCTATGGGGCCAGAATGATTCATATTGTGCAACGGACTATCCATTTTCACAGTCATGGCCATTTTACGTATATCAAACCAATTATGGCTGGCCTTGGATAAAATCGCGACAGGGTCTTAAAAATGGTAGGCACAGAAGCGGCCTCAACTTACACAAAAGCCTTCTTATTAATAAAGAGTGCTTCTTTCAGCTTATTGGGTTACTTTGTCCCTAATTATGCTTGTTCAAAAACGTTCACCGCCATATTAATTAGTCCCATAATACGGATTGAATAATGTTGTAATTCCGGAATCGACTATACCAGCATATCAACTGAAGGCATACTGCATGTCTGGTAGAGTATTACTATAGGTATCCCGCCAGATTATGAGGAAGAAGAAGATACAATGAAAAGAAACAGAGTGGACAAGGCAAGCTGAACGACACTTTGCTATAGCTCAATGACCACTTCCGAGACCTGACTCAACGAAGAGAAGATTGTTCGCAGGTAAATCAATGATATTAGATCGTACTAAAAGGACGCACACGTATTATCTCGAAGCACTTCAAAGCGATAGTTAACTGCTACCTCCACCTCCACCTCCACCTTCAGATCAACACCTAACTGCCACCTCCTCCTCCACATCCACCTCCGCCTCCTCCACACCCTCCTCCTCCTCCACATCCTCCACCACCTCCCCCATCTCCACCACCACAGCCACCAGCGGAGCATCCGCCAGGGCTTCCACAAGTTCCAGCTGCGACGCCGCCGCCGCAGCTTCCGGCTGCACAGGCGCCTCCGCTGGTGGACGCGTAGCCAGGGTAGCCGTAATACATGCCGGGCGTGAAGTACATCGGGTACATCCACGGTCCGTACACTAAACCCGCAGGTGATTAGTTGATGAATAGTCACAGAAGAGCGTAGACACTCGGACTCACTGTAGTAGCTGTACCCCCAATGGTCGTAGTATTGCTGCCTGGGAGGTAGCTTACGCCCCTTCTTCTCAGCGCGCTTGCGAGCCTTCTCGTACTGGTCCTCCAGTCGACGCTGGTGGATTTCTTGCATCCGTTTGCGCACCAGTGCTTCGGGCCCTGGAATGCTCGAGCCAGGGTCCACGGCGTTGTGCGAGGATATATGGGCCGAATTGTCAGGCGGACAGAAACTGGCGTTGCCTGACTTGTAGAACTTATCGTCAACTGCAAATATGTCAGTCAAGTACTGTCACTGTGTAAATCCTTGGGAATTTGGGACTTACTCTTCTCGTTGGTGGACATGCCGAGAACCTTGCCAATGGACGAGATGTGCGACGTTCGCACTGATTCGCAATACCAGCACGTGCATTCAGAATACACTTCACCGTATTTCTCCTGATAAGTCTTGCTCGTCCACTCGAATCCTCGCTTCAGGTTATCCTCGTCGACCTTGTCGTCGTGGCGGATGAACTTCTTCGTCGCCGCCTTGGTGTAAGCGTAGTAGGCCGACGGGGAAAGCTGGTGCGTGTGCCAGGCCAAGTCGACGTCAAGAGTAGGCACGGCGATTCCCCTTGGATTCTCAGCCATGATAGTAACGAAGCGCTGGTACTTGATGCAGAGCCGGTCCATCGTCTCACGCGCGGCGGGCGAGTGCAGCCAGTCGATCTTGTACATCTTCTCTGAGAAGATGCCCTGGCGCATGGTTGCGCCACACAGATCCAGCGCGAACGGGCTGAAGTTTTCCCAATACCGGCTCATCATCTTACGCACGCACAAGCGTGTGATGGGGGCAACCTTCATGGGCCGCATCGAGCGGGAGGCGGGAGAGCCTTGGTCAACAACGCGCAAGGCGCTCTGCTTGCCAATGACGTCTTCGACCATCTTGCGCACCGTGTCAATTGTCGGCGGCTGGGCTGGGTTTGGGTTCTTGAGCAGATCCTGGATCTCGATCCGAAGCACGAGTTTGATCATGCGATTCGGAAAGGTTTGAGGGTTCAACTGGTCCTTCAACCTCGGCTGGAATGGCTCCGGCTCTCCGCTGATGGGATCGAGCACAGTGCCAGGCATGGGCAAGTTCTTGATCAAGAGGTCCCGAGCATCGTTACAGAACTTTGCGACACTGAGAAGTTCCCTGTTGATGCGCGTTCCGCAGCTGGAGCAGGCTATGTCGAGCTGTCCATCGCCATATCCAGATCCGATCAGACCAGGGTCGTCGGTTGTTTTCGGATTCTCGTCCAGGTTGCACGTCGTCCATGGAATGCTGACGAGGGTGCTGCAGACAGGGCAAGTGAGTGACTTGACGAGGGGGTCCTCTGCGTTTTCCCATGAGCGGCCTGTCGATGCAACCCAGTGGGCTTTGTGGTCGTCGGACACGTTGTAGTTGAAGCTGCCGTCGATGGCGGCATTGACCAGTTGCCATGGCATTCCGTTACCCCAGAGGTCACGGAGTCCAGCGCGTAGACAGTCTTCCAGGAAATTGTAAGGGTTCAGCATGTGAGCGTGGTAGACCATCAAGACATCTTGAGTCCAGTTAGCGGAGAACATGGCAGGGATGATTGAAGAGCTTACCAAGCGGTGGCAGTGATCTCTGAGCCCAGTACTGGGTATCATGGAAGCTGGGGAATTTTGCGTACGCAGCGGAATCAGGGTCATCAATCTCATGCTCATTCAAGCCAGATCCCTCGGCGAGCGAACTCCACCAGGCTTCATATCGGTCAACAGCACGCGCGACGAAGAGAGCCCAGCGCTTTTCGCGGATCTGGCTGAGCAGCAGGTGCTTATCGGTGGGAACCTCTTGCTTCGAGTCGATTGGAACCTCTCGCTTGGAGTCGATTGGAACGGGTTCATGGACTTTTCCCTCCTTGGTCACAGCCTTGCCCCCCTCAACGCGAGTATCCCATAGCCCCCACAAGCCATCAGTGTAGCCGATGTCTTCCTTCAGCGTCTGGAAGGCAAACAGCAGCCGGAGATGGGCGAGGCAGGTGTTAGATTCTGGTTGCTTCGGGGTTTGCGCGAGGTTGAGCGTTCCAAAGAATGCCTTTTCGCTGGGCGGCGCCTGTTCTGCGAGAGACGCCCCCGCCTCAGCGTCCTGATAAGAAGGAGGGGCAGCCATTTCGGAGGGTGCCGAGAGTGAGATTGGCCTGGGCTTGGCTGAGTTGTCGTGAGTGTTGAATGCCTCTCAGACACAGATAGATGATGGCCGTATCAAGATGAGACTCAGAGGGTCAAGATGAGAAGATGAATGCCAAGATGAATGCCAAGAGAAGTGCCAAGACGTTGTCCGAAGCTAACAAAACGGACGAATGCTCGTCTCGTCGACGTCACAATGGTGGTGGGCTCGCACGGAAAAGCAGCCGAGAAATGACGCCTTTAAGCACATTTCTGTCTTGGCACTGCGCCACTGGGGCTGAGTCGGCGGAGCAGTGATTTCCTCGGCCGATTCCCTGTTGAGTGAGCGCGGGGGAAGCTAATCGCCCGATCTTGGTGATCGTGGCTGTGAGATGGGGACACAGGCTAAATGAATCGCCATCAATTGGCCGGTTGAGCGTTGATATTGGATTCATGGTCAGTCAACCTCATCATGTTGCCCGATCTTCTCTTCCATCCAATACACGTCCCACGAGGTCTTTTCCTGCATTATCTAGATGCAATGCAACAGCCCAGCCACCGCCGTTGTCGTAAACGGACCATCCCATCTACGTGATAACTCGCTTCTATCAACCACTCTCCATCCATCTACCCGACCAAATCGCACCCGCCTGATATTCCTACCTTCCATTTAGAGAAGTTGGGCGCAGCAACCGCCTCACTTTACCCATTGTTAGGCAGACTCGATTGCTTTGAGGGGGCAGTGTCGGGCGTCGTGCCGCACAGCCGCTTTTCAGTTAGACAATCGAGTGCTAGACAGTTTTGAGTCTCCATTCGGTTAAATTTCTTTAGCTCACTCAATATCATCACATGAATCAAAGTCATACGATAGTTGCGGATATTTGGTCCGAAATTGGCACTGCCCCAAGTATAGGGTGAGCCAGAAACTCGGAGACCAAGGTTGACCGGGCATTAATCTTTGTCATACAGACTCAGATTTGCATCACGTTCTCTAGTTGATACAAATAATCTCCATATAGATTCAGAACGCTCAGAGTAGCAAGATGGAGTCTTCAGGTCGAAATGTCTGGACGCAGCCGCGAGGTTTGGGGTGCTATTAGATCCAGCACTGCCCCAAAGACCCAGACTTTGTTGCTTCGCCTCACAGAAATGTGATGTCGCTTCGAATCACCCAGTACAGGAAGCTTAATATGCCAGACATAACACCATCATGGCTCCTGACTGTCCCCTGAAGAAATACTCCATCAAAATCCGTAGCTATTCAAGGAGCAAGCTCTACCCATTGTTACTGGAATGACCAATGCGGTGCCATGTGTAGCCCGAGACAGTCAATAAAATGACCAATCGGCTGACGAAGCAATGCAATGGCATATTTAACCAATGGAAAATGGATCTGTGTTTTTATTGCAACTCGCAAAACTCATGAGCCCGAGGGGGTCAGTCAGAGATGCCTGAGCGTTAGTCACGGCCAGGAGAAAGCCAAGCGTGACGATATAAGCGAAAATGGAGACTGAAAATCGAATTGCCATAGACAAAGCTAGCTGAGGTTCCCTAGACGCGGACTCAAGTCGAAGTAGTGGGTAATGCGAATGTTCCAACTTCCTTGCACCAACAATCATCAAGGTTCCCTACACTTCAGATGCACATATGCACACTGAATATTTACATGTTTTAAACATGCTCAATCAACAATTGGAATATTGGCGTCATTCGAAACGGATGGAGTCACCGAAGCGCAAGCCTCTGACTTTGGCATAAGCCCGCTTCCACCCTTGGATCGTAGAGCAGGGGATTTTGAAGTGAAGCTCAGCATCCCTTATTGAAGGCGGACTTGTCTCACCACGGCGCGTAATCCGATGATGAATTAACCACATGAGAATCTCGTCTTTCTTCTTCTTTGTGTATGAGCGTTGAGGGCGTACAATCGGTTTTGACGGCCTAGCTTTGCGATCTTTGAGTGGTTTTGGTTTGGGGCCACGTTTCTTTCGCTCTGGGAGAGGTGTCCATGATGGAACAGTAGTATTAACCTCATTAGAGGGCGGCATTTTGTCGAAAGGCGACTTAAAAAGTGTGTCAATTCATCGGAGTATCGAGGAATAAAGAAGGTGATGAATATTCGCATTTCAAATTGCCTTCCCCGCAGATTGGGAGTGCACGCTAATCGCCTGAGGAATAGCTCCGCGCTACAGTAGAAGGCCAAGAGTTTTAGTCTCAGTCTGAGATCAATCACTTGGCGAACTGAAAAGCTTGGCCACGGCTCGCGCAGAAGTAGCATTTGATACGGTGGGTGTAGGTTTATATATCGCTACCTAGGTAATACAGGGACCATCACCATCTTATACATGGCCATCTGTCGGATTTTTGCAAGAAAAGTATTCTCATAACTTAGCCGAGAGGAACATCTCACAGCCAGTGCGATTACTGAGCGGTCAGAAACGGCAGAACCCGTTCAATCCACGTGCCTTGCGCTTTGGATTGTCAGATTGCTTCACGATTCGTGCTTATCTGTTTCTTCAACATCGCATCTCCGAAAAGTCATGTCGGTATCCCATGCGAGCTAAACTTGCACTTTCTATCAAGTTACTGTCGAAACATATTTTACAATGACTATATTCTCACCCATCCCCGCTTACGCTCTGGGCGCAGCCTGCTTTGGTCGCGGCGTTATGGGAGTCCTCTCACCCAGAGAGGAATACGGTCATGTCGGCTTGCCACTTGAATCACACATTTGTACTTCTCCCCCGGCCACCGCTGATGGTGGCTCTACCAGTGGCTTCGTGTCGCCGCTCATGTACTTCAAGGGCATCCGTGAGATTTCCTACGGCTTGACGATGATGGCCTTGCAGCGCCAAGGCAACGAGGATGCCCTCACAACTGTCGCGGCGGTCCTGACGCTTGTGAGGTTCGGCGACGGGCTGGTTGTTTGGCTGTATGGAGGAGAGAAGTTGCGATTCAGAGCGTGGGGCCATTGGATCACGAGTGCCGGATTTCTCGGGTGGGTGATGTGGAGGTGGAGGTGAGGTTATTTCACCGTCTTGATGTTTTAAGGATTAGAACCGGTATATCGGACCATTAGCTGTTCTGCGATTATATAGAGATGCGGTACTTTTTAAGAGCGAAATTGACTGAATCGTGCCATCCAGTGAATGGCTTTATTCAATCCCTATGCGTTTCTATATCAAATAGTGGTAATTGCAGCCTCTAACACCCGAATCTCACGACTCAATCTCCGGTCAGACAATAAGTAATATACGCACACTCTTGTTGAGGGTATGTAAGATGAATGACTTTTGCGGCTGTAAAGAAACATAAGAGCAACTTAGAAGCCGTTTATAGATCTATTGGTACGATCTAAGAGGTCTTCATTATGTGCCGTGTCAATTACTGTAGGCGGTATTTGTGTTTAAAGAGAGAAAAAAAAAGGATGTGTAATATATGCGTTCGTGTCTGAATATCCTCTAACCCTTCGCAACTCGTAACTGAGGTATGGGTAGATCTTTTGGTGCAACAACCAGAGCCTACCTCTTCTTCTATATAATACTAGACACTTATTGAATGCCATCCACATCTCCAATGCGAGCCGTAGTAGCGAGCAGAAAATCAGTTCTTGATCAAGTATCAGTATAAATATTTCTACCGGCCTCTTCAAAAAGCTATCAGGAGGTTGTGCTGGAACCTTGATCAAACATCGTCGCAACCAGAAATCATCTCGGAGTAGTGCTTCGAGTCTATGTTCTACAGGGCCGTATCGAGCGGGCCCAAAACATGTAAGGCCATAGTGCTTTAATGATTATCGACCGAGTATAGAAACTCTCCGTGTTCTCAACACTGAGTGCGGGTATATGACCAATGTTGCTCTATTACGTTGAGAATTCCCCTGACTGGGCAGGATATTTCCAGAAGTACCCCGGGGGAAATTATCAGGGGATGGTCGACTAAGCCCGACTTCCATCACTCAGAATGTTGGAGATGACCTGCCGCAGTCGAGTAATGAGATCGTGAGAATGGTTGTGTGGTAGCTGGTGACCAAAGCCATGAAAATTGTCCGACTGTACACACGATGAAGGCCGCAAATGTTTCTTTTGGACACTTGATCGGGATAGCACAGTCTCGCAACAATGGCTTTCATTTTAAGCTGACCGCCTTAGAAAAATCACATGGACTGCAAACGCTCTTGGCGGTGAACATGGATAAGAGTTGGTACCACTGTGATTGATGTATCGCGTAACTCTACGATACGACGAATACAACGATATCAAAATATTCTTTTCTTTACAGATCCGCAATTGTAGAATGTGAACCTGGTTTTCTTCTGAAGGAAGAGGAACAAACAATTGCAAATTTATTTTTCTTGCCACTGCTGAACTGAGATCAAGTTTGAGACTGTTTACTATTTTGAGACATTATTCTAAAGATCCAAGACCACCATGACGCTGGTCATCAGCTATATTCTTGAACGTCAGGAAGAGATCTCGAGAGCTTTGCTGAAGGCTACAAGCTTGGAATCTCAGGCAACCACACACACGTATGGAAAATAGGCCTAGAACGATGACGGCTAATTAACTATACAACTAGACATTGCGTAAACGTTAATAGCAGATTTCTGTGCTTTCTCCAACTACAATGCCTAGTATCCCATGTGACGCCAAGACTTCCCATTCCATTTTCTTTCAATTTTGCCCAATATGATCAAATAGATCAACACGATGCAGTCATTGCAAATGACGGTGGCGCACATATAGTTCCACACCTAGTACCCGGAAGATGCCGTAACTCATACAGTAAGGCATTCCATTTCGTCGGGTAACGATATAATCAAGCTTCAATAGTTTTAGTTTTAGTTTCTGCATCGCATCCTGCACTGCAATGACCCTCCACCGCAATGAAGTCATCTTGAGCGCTGATAGTTGCTTTGCAGATTGCCCAAGCTAGTGGCCAGGTGTGGCTGCGCCAGTCAGTCCCTATCAACCTGTCCCTCTCAACGGGCGCCTTCGACATCAGTTGCGGGCAAAGAGATGCCACCGACGAAGCCTTTGATAACGACATTTGCAGAGATCCAATGGATGCAACTCGGCCAAGATAGTGAGAACACCACCAGCGACAGCGTCACACCGAGGCGAATGCAAGAACAAGCTGGCGATGCAGCAGCGATCTACGGCAGATGATTATCAGCGCATCAGCCCTGCCAGGTCAGGCCCGGCAACTGAGTGGGTACGGCGTAAAACGGGACATCTCGGCGAGCCAGTCACACGCAGTCTTTGATGCCCGACGTGATTCCGTGCCATTTCGGTCGCCGGAGGATATCTCGCAGATCCGGGGCCCGCCGTGGGATAACTACCGTCTCCACGCCCCTCGAGGCAATGCTAGTCCTAGAGCAAGAATGGCGTGAAGACGGCGGGGCGTTACGATAGGATCCACTAACAGGGCGACAACTGATGCGGCCGCGTGTGATACGAGAACGTGTCTCAGGTCTCAGGTCTCAGGTACAATGGAGGAGGAGCGGAGAGACGCAACCCTCTCGATACTACCATGTCCCTGAAAATGCACCTGAAAATGCACCTCAAAATGCAAAATACGAGCCTCCATTTGCCGTTGGCCCCAAGCCGGGACCCGGACTTGCAGCTATCGACTGACGCTCATCATACGTTTCTCGCCAGTTTTCTCGCCGAGAGGATTGCTACGCTAGCAGATTAACGTTGCGCCCAGAGATCAACACAAGCTGACCAGCTGCAGCCTTAGCTGACGAGGGCCCACAGCTCACCGTTGTGGCTCTTGTTGCCCCATCTTGGGTACGACGGGGAAACACGGCATTTCACTCCAGGATCGACCTGGCACAGCGGCCTGGCCGGCGTGAGCGAGGTCCACCAGCTTATTCCCCCGCACGGCAATGTCGATCCAGATAACTCAGTTTGATTGACTATTTCTCCGGTCAAATGAAACAAGTCCAAGCAGCTGTTCACCTTATCGGCGTGGGTGAAGATGAAGCCAACTAAGGCACATCTCCCGGCCTATGATGCGCAATGACATTGGCTCGGCTAAGTGGATGACGCCGATCCCAATCTGACAGCCTCAAGGCCTCACTCGACGTTCCTGGCCCTTCTCCTCGACTGCCGCCTGCCGTCAGCCGCAGCTGTGATTCTCACTCGCCACCCAGATGGCCGAGTATCCGCCCAGCGCTGACCGGGAGCAGCTAAATCGCTTCCGATGCGGGACAGTGGAGAGCGCCAGGAACTTGAGCTGCGCAGGGTGAGAGCGAGCGACGGATAGAATCCACTATGGAGCAGCTTCGTATTTGCGCTGCGAGGCCGGGCCCACGGGGAGGTGGTGGTATACGCATCCGCATCATCGTCATCCAGAGGGTGTTGTCGCGACTGTCGCTCGGCCAGCGGTTTCCCCGGGCCACCATGGCGCGCTATTGATGCTTGGTTGGCATGGCAGGTCTGAGTCGGAAGTACGGCTCGCTAGGGACATGAACAACGTCGAGACGTGCTCGTGGTGACGAAGGTGGGTGATGTTTATAGTCTCTATTCCGAGTATTGCTATCCTCAGTTCTATTCCCAGCCGCTGCCGGTACGTCACATCGTCCCAACAATCCCCCAACAGTTGTGTCTAGAGTCTCACCCGCATCGTCGAGGTAGCATGGGATTCTTATCGCACTTGTTGAGGCGTCGGCAATCCCATTCCGGACTGTCACGGCGATCCCTCCGCGTCCTCTCGGCGGTGTCTGTGCAGTCTCAGTGCATTTCCGTTGATTTCAACACGACTGCCCTATTGATTGACCTTGATTCCCTGATTCAGCAGTTCAAATTGCGTAATCCCGCCGCTCCCGTTGCTCCCGATGGCACCCTCTTGATATCCCATTGCGGGGCTCTCGATTTGGCTCATTAGTTGGGTGATCATGTCTGCAATCTTATTCGACACCTCGGTCGATCGTGGGATATCATGGCCGCCTCCGTGGTCATACTCCAACCTGTCCTCGCAGAACTCCGCCAGCTGAATGCCTGCCGGCCATCTGGGGTCCTTGGAGCCGTAGATGTGCACCGTAGGGATGCTAATGCGCGCGCTCTTTGGGAACCTGGTGAAGTCGAGGCCAAAGACATCGCTCAGCTCCGGCCGGGCCTTGGGATCGTGCATGAGCTCGCCCTTTCCCGTGTCCCACAGGCCGACGCCTCGCTTGATCAGCTTCACGTTTGCCGCCAGCTCATTCAGTCGCCCGGCCGTTCCATTCAACAATTCGCCGGTGCGTTTGTTGATTTCGTGCGCGCGCGATGGTACCTCGAGCCCCATGTGTTCAAGCACCGGCAGCGGTACGCCGCCACAGATGAAGATGGCAGCCCGAAAGGGCAAAGGCTCATCGGAATTGTGGCCATTCGTTTGTGCCGTGGCTGCGTCCACTGCGCGATACAGCGCCATGCTTGCGGCCAGCGAACATCCCTGTGAGAAGCAGCAAACGGCATCGTAGCCGCCTTGCTCACGCGCGTAGTCCGCTACCCAAGAGTGGGATGCCCGGATGGCCTGCGAGGTTGGCTGCGGCCACCATGTGTACGTGTCGCTTTTGTAGATGGCGTCAATACCTGGGGCTCCGCGGCTGGGAAACGGAGCGTCGACAAAGTCGAAAATGAAGCTGCTGTCGAGCTTTGCACGGAAAGCAGCTGCGTTCAAATGTTAGCCAGGAACAAGCGGTGCAATCGAGCTGTCAGCTCCTTGCACTTACCGGTCTGGGATTTGAATATGGCCGCGCTTGTGCCGTGCCCGTGAAGGCATAATATCTTGGGCATGATGAATCCAGCAATTACTACCAGCGGACCTTGTTTATGCGGTGGCAGAATGATCCCTGCAGCTGTAACGCACAATTTCCCGTTTTCTGTAATTGTTGAGAGTCAGAGCTTACTACGGGCCATGGCAACTTTTATTATGAATAATAGTAGTGAGTCCAAGCAGAAATCACTCCCACTCAAAGCACAACTTGCATCTAATCTGCTGATTAACCCAACATGCTCCCAACACCATTCGGGCACCGAAATTCGGGCCAACAAACTTCCCTCGGGAGTGAGAAGGCGTGCCCATATCGATGGGAGACACCTCCGTCCGCTTCTTACATTCTGGATGTAAGACGGTCACCCCGGCCTCAGCATTCGCCCATGTTCGGTCGGGTGCCGAGGCATACGTGGAGGCTCAGCCACGGGGAATGATCCTGGTGTGCATCCCCCATAGTGAGCTCGCGCCCCCTGTAATATAGCTTTTAGGTTCAATATAGGCCATCGATCAATACCGACTGAATCGCCGTGGACATATTGTAGAGGTCCCGGGTCTCGGGCTTCAGAGCTGCTATGCTACTACCCTAATACAACAAGACATTACCGGCTCACGATGCCTTCCGAGGTAGGTATAAGAATGTTGATCGTCGCCATCAAATTAATTCCAATACGCGATGAGATCAATTCGAAGCGCCAAAATAGCGACAGTTTGTGGCAGGTGAGGTTACGAACCGCGAGACACGTCAGTTGACGTTAAGCACTGAAGCATACAGCGGAAAATGAATACGAGGCGGAGGTCAAGGTGCAACCAGTAGCGCATACGAGAGGAAAGGCATCCTAGGTCTATGCTCTATTCATGTGTTGAGCTCCCTCAACTTTAGCCTCATCATATTGGCTATCCGCGAATGCTCGCCCCTCAGCCACGAATGTAAACTTTGATACAGTCTATCAATGCTGCCAAAATTGGATTCATCCGTCTGACACTGGCCACTCGAGGTTAGTGACGTAAACTGGTCAATCAGCCGGCCAGCTCGTCCCATCTCGCCCGACAGCAACTGGATCTTCAAGGCCGTCTGGATGCGAAGGTCGTCGACGTTGAATGTCCCAATGGCCATTTTCGAAGGCGCAACAGCAAGCCCTGTCGTGTACGCCGCTGTCGCCGTCTCCTTTGTGCCGCCCATGCCGAGGGAGCAGTCTGGCCTGGTCTGGCTCCACGAAGCGCTCTGCGTAGAGCCAGCCGCCTGCTGGTACCAGAGCAGCACGCGGGAGATGATTGCCGCGTAGACAAACGCTAGGTGTGGCGATCGAGCACATGAGCAGGCCAGGAGGGGACCAAGTCGCTCGCTGGCCTCGGAATTAAGCCGTAGTACCTGGTCCAAGGGTACTTGATTGCCCGCGGTGCTTGATGACGCGGCCGAGGGGATCTTGCTGGGATTGGGAAAGGAGAGGTTTCGGAGGATATCGTAAGCTTCCCGAGGACAGTCGTGGCCGCTCATGCTCAGAGGCGGCATCGGGGTTCGTCCTGAGCGGGAATACGTATCAGATGGAGAGTGGTGTGCCGTGGGCTGCGTGGTAGAAGCCTCTGTTGAAGGGCAACTCCCCCAGTCGGTCGAATCTGGCGTGGGCAATAGTCCTGGTTGAATGGGAGATAGATGGTGATTGCCAAAATGATCGGTAAAAGCCCATTCCCCGAAATTGAGCGAAGGCGAGTTGGGCAGAAACTGGCCGTCCATATCGCTGAACAAGCCGTCCAGCGCGTCCAAGCCTATACAGTTGGAATTCTCATCCACCGCATCCCAGACTGGCACTACGTTAGTACTGCTATATAGCTGATGAAGCGTGCTAATACCATCGTTCCCACCGCTCCCGTCGAGCCTCCGGCCGTCCGCAGCGCCGGCTCCGGCTCCGGGCTGGTCGTCCGGCATCCGCTTTACGCTGGACCGGAGCTTGACTCGCGGCGGCTTCCCCATCTTCCGTGAAACCCCATACACGCATGTCCTGCCGTGGGAGACGCAGCGGCCGCACTCGGGCTGGCCGCGGTCGCACTTCACCTTGGCCGCGCCGCATTGATCGCAGCTGGTGCGCAGCTTCGGCTGGCCGGGCCGTTTCGACGGGTTCGCAGCCATGGCGAGAAGTATGGTGGGCGATACGGATGACGCAAGGGTTTCAGAGCATGCGTGCGTATTCAATATATATCCTCGTCCCGTCCAGATACCGTTGTTCACACGATTCTGCACCGCATAACGTCAGATGTCATGTTCTTCGCGCCGGACCAATCCCGCGTGCCGCTGACTCTGACGTACCAGCAACCCAGTGCCGCTTACTCCGGTTTCCATACATCTACACCTTAATTCCACTAAATTCCACCGTGGCTGAGAAGCATGCGGCCGTGAGGAGCTTGTTGGTCGCCTTCCTTCAGGCGGCCGCCGACCAACGTCTGACCTGCGGTCTAAGCATGCACTTGCAACACCACACCGTCGACACGACTCCACCACTACGACTGACGCCACCAACATCACAGCCTCGTTGCTTCCCTTCGCCCTTGTATCGTGATAAACTTTAAAGACAAATTACCCGCATCGGATGCTCCACCGGCCGAGAAACGAGGAACCCCCCTCGGCGATGAACAGGGTATTATAGTAGGTGCCTAACTTCAGCGTGGCAGCTTGTTGCGTCATCTAGCATGGCTCAAGATATCCTATTTACGTACAGACACGGAACAGTGGTATCCTGCGAACTCTTCTCGATCAATTTCTCTCCGGTTGCCGAGGCTCTGTTTCAAGCACTCCCTTCAACATCCACCAACCCCCCGTACCCCGTCGATCTTCCCTGATCCCTGCCGCCCATTACGTTTAACTGCGCGCAACTGACAGCTGGCACTGATTGGCGTGTCGCAGATCAGACCGTCAGAGTCGCTTTTTCCGATATGAATACGAAATACCCCCGGTCCTAGTGGGCGTGGCTTATGCACCTGGGACGGGCCGCCAAAACATGTGTGGCGGCGGCTGAGCGGATCAGACAAATGGGGTTGCAATCAGCGTCGACCAAGATAAGCTCATTGTGCGGTGTTTACTGCTTCGAGTATCTGCTTGGCGGTGTCAGGGCGCGTCTGACGTGCTTATAATGTTCACGCCATATCTAGGTACAGCTCGCGATAATGCAATTGCCAAAGTCTCTACAACTGCAGTCGACGAGGGATTGAGGCCAGCGTCAGCATGACGTCTGTATCAGGGCCGGAAAACCTTGCCATGGCGTCCATAATTGGATAGCAAGGCGGTTTTGATATTGGTTATACTTTCGTCATGTCTCTGTCTAGTCCCACCGACGTGTCTAGCCTCGCCGGAGAGTTCCCTAAATTTAGACAAGCAATCCCCACGGCCCTATTTCACGAAATACGGACCTAGCGTTGGGTGGAATCATCCCGAGACCCACTGACCGAGATGCAGATCGTGAGGCGGGGGGTGCCGAACATGCCGAGAACAACACCTCATCACCCAGGCTCGGCAATTACGATTAGCGGATGGCTCGGATATCTGGGTGGCAGTACAATGCCGGGAATATCAATCGGGGATCCTGCTCTAGCTAAATTTAGTCTAGACCAACGATACTGCAGTCAGCTTCACTTGCATCCTCACCAGGTTGTCTACCCTATACCTACCACCCCTGAGCGGTAGTTGATACATGAATTGGTATTGAGATATATGTAAGATAAGACGTGGGTTGATTGAGTACGCGTGCTGTATCACTATCCTCATTCAGATGTGAGTACTCTTCATTCTGCTCAATCCTGCTCAATGCCTTCTGGACAGACAATCACCTTCTAAATCTCACAGGTGGAATGTTCTCCCGGCCGGGGCTCAAGCTGACTCTTCGTTACACATGTCAAAAGTCCCTGCAACTAGGGACCCCGAAGGATATCCCCGAGGCCAACCAATAAACCCCGAGAGGATTCCCGACAAGGAGATAACGCACAGTGAGCCCCGAGTCAGATTCCGACAACACGGTAGGTTGTCACATCAACAGCCCGCACGCAGTATTTTGTACCCAACGACGACGAAACTGTTTCCAATTATGACGCAAGGTAACTTCAACATGTGTTTAATGAGCAGGATACCAGGGTGGACACGAGGAAATAAGATATCCCCTGTACATAGGACTAGGATTCAGCTGAGCCTCTTCGAATGCTGACACCCTCGAGGCTCGGGCATGCCAAAGTGAGCACCGGTCTCCCGATCGGACATCACCGAGCCCGAGAACCATAATCAAAGAGTTGATAATCGTAGAGTTCAGAAAGATGATGCCATATGGAAATGAGAAACGATATATATCGAGCAGTGTGTTGCCAAAATATCAACTCAACCAGCAATCCAGGGCAAGCAGCTAATCCTTCCATCTTTGCACAAAACTCAAAAGTGACAATGGCGGACCATCTGAACCTGTATGTCTTTGGGGACCAGACATACGATATCAAGCCCTATCTGAAAGACCTCCTTCAGAACAGAGACAACCCAGTCCTGGAGGACTTTCTCGTCAAAGCATACGATGCCGTGCGAACAGAGATTTTCAAGCTCCCACATCAGGTCCGAGAGGATCTTCCTCGATTTACCTGCTACCACGATCTAGTGCTATGGAACCAAACCGGGAAGCGATGCATACCCTTGGATATGGCAGTTACCTGCATGTACCAGCTGGGGGTTTTCATCATGTGAGCAAGATATTGTATGCATGCTGGACAAAAGCTGATCAGTTACACAGTCAAGCAGAAGACCGTTACCATGGCACAGCAGTCTCGCAGAGTATTGGTCTCTGTACAGGAGCCCTCGCCGCAGCTGCTGTGACTTGCAGCCGCAGCATCTTGGATCTTGTTCCGTTGGCTGTTGATGCTGTCACGGTGGCCTTTAGAATAGGCATGCATGTGACTGACGCTGCGAAGCGAGTTGCACAGTCGAATGATTCTGACGAGAGCTGGTCAATCATCGTCCCTGGTACCGCGTCCTTTGAAGCCGTCGACAAGTTTTGCGAACAAACTGTCAGTACTCTCAAGTGATACATGCTTCACAGTGAGCCCTTAACTGACTTGAATTATTCAGACACTGCCATTGACTAGCAGACCATATGTCAGCGCCTATGCACCAAGCGGGATTACCGTCAGCGGACCGCCAAGCTCTCTCGCGCAGCTCGTCAGCTCTGAGTGTTTCCAGGGCCTCCGGTACAAGACCATCCCCATCTACGCACCTTATCACGCCCCGCATCTCTACTCTCAATCTGATGTCAGCGAGATCATTGGAGATTCGGTTCGTGGTAGGGTTAACGCGCGCTCCGAGCATAGTCGCTCAGTATCAGGCGCTGGAGATGGTGTTGAAGGGAGCAGTTTTGCTGTCCTCCTGGATGCCGCGGTTGGACATGCTCTGCTGCACTCAATCCGGTGGAGTGACATCCTCGAAGAACTACAGGCGACTCTTCACAAGCTGAGGCCGAAGTCGCTCAACATTGTTCCCATTGGAACTACTGCAGACCAACTCATCCACTCTGCACTGAGGCAGACCCCATTCAGCACGTTGGTGCCGTCCAAGCCAGCTCAGGCCAAGACGACGCCCACGGAAGATACTTCAGCCTCTAGCCCCAAGAAGCCCAAGCTTGCCATCATCGGCATGTCTGGACGATTTCCTGGAGCCAAAGACAACGAGGCATTCTGGGATCTGCTGTACCAGGGCCTGGACGTCCACAAGCCCGTCCCGCCGCTACACTGGGATGCCAAAACACACGTGGACCCTACCGGCAAGAAGAAGAACACAAGCATGACGCCGTTTGGGTGTTGGCTTGATGACCCGGCCGTGTTCGACGCGCGCTTCTTCAACATCTCGCCGCGAGAGGCGCCGCAGATCGATCCTGCCCAGCGGCTTGCTCTGATGACGGCCTATGAGGCAATTGAGCAAGCTGGAATCGTCCCAGATGCCACTCCGTCAACCAGGCGCGATCGTGTTGGTGTCTTTTACGGAGTCACCAGTAACGACTGGATGGAGACCAACAGTGCTCAAAGCATTGACACGTACTTCATCCCCGGTGGGAACCGAGCCTTCATCCCGGGTCGCATCAACTACTTCTTCAAGTTCAGCGGCCCTAGTTACGCAGTTGATACGGCCTGCTCATCCAGTCTGGCTGGAATCCACTTGGCGTGCAATTCCCTTTGGCGAGGCGACATTGACACGGCCATTGCTGGTGGCACGAATGTTCTGACAAACCCAGATTTCACATCTGGTCTCGACCGAGGACACTTCCTTTCTCGGACTGGCAACTGCAAGACGTTTGATGACGGAGCTGACGGATACTGCCGAGGAGAAGGCATCGGTACGGTCATTCTTAAACGCCTGGATGATGCCATTGCGGATAAAGATCCTATCCTGGGTGTCATTCTCGGCGCTTACACGAACCACTCAGCAGAGTCTGAGTCGATTACCCGGCCGCATGTTGGTGCCCAGCGCGCAATCTTCAAGAAGATTCTCAACCAAGCCGCTGTTGACCCATATACCGTTAGCTATGTCGAGATGCACGGAACGTAAGTAATCCTGGTCCACTAATTTCATATGCTGAAAGCCGCTAACCCAAATACCAGAGGAACCCAAGCTGGCGATGCCGGAGAAATGTCCAGTGTCCTGGATACCTTTGCGCCACCCCTAGCCCAGGTCAAGAAGGGCAGGACAAACGATGAAGCCCTCTACATTGGCTCAGCAAAGGCAAATATTGGGCACGGTGAGGCTGCTTCGGGTGTGTCGAGTCTCATCAAGGTCCTGTTGATGATGCAGAAGAACACCATCGTTCCGCACTGCGGAATCAAGACCAAGATCAACCGCAAGTTCCCGACTGATCTGAATGAGCGAAATGTCAATATTGCTCTGAAGCCAACCTCTTGGAACCGAAACGTTGGACTTTCTGAGTCCAGACGAGTCTTTATCAACAACTTCAGCGCGGCGGGCGGAAACTCGGCTTTGTTGCTGGAAGATGCACCGCTTCAGCAGAAGCCATCTGATGCAGTTGAAGACCCACGAGGCTTGCATTTGATCGCTTGCTCGGCAAAGACTGGCGGCTCTCTCCAGGGAAACCTCCGGTCAATTCTCGAGTTCTTGAAGCAGAACGCGGATGTCTCGCTGGGAGAGCTCTCCTATACCACGACTGCACGCCGCATCCACCACCAGCATCGTGTCCTGCTCACTGGCTCAACCGTTGGAGAGATCTGCACTCAGATCGAGACAGCTCTTCGAGACAATTCTGGAGTAACCAGGCCCAAGAGTGCTCCAGGGGTTGTCTTTGCCTTTACTGGCCAGGGCGCCCAATACCCAGGAATGGGCAAGCAGCTCTTCGAGACGTCGTCGTTCTTCCGAGCTGAGATGCGCCGACTGGATCAGATTTGCCAGAGCCTGGGCTTCGTGTCGATGCTTCCTGTCATCGAATCCGAGGATCAAGACATTGGCGGCTTCGCGCCTGTTGCGGTCCAGCTCGCAAGCGTCTGCTTCCAGATTGCGCTGAGCAAGCTGTGGGCGTCGTGGAACGTTACTCCTGCGGCTGTTGTTGGACACAGTCTCGGCGAGTACGCTGCTCTCAACGTTGCGGGAGTGCTTTCAGACTCAGACACTATCTACCTTGTCGGCAAGAGAGCCGCTCTGCTTCAGGAGAAGTGTGAGCGTGGCACCCATGCAATGCTCGTTGTCAAGGGCTCCGTGGAAGAGATTGCCAGCGTTCTGAAGGGCAAGACGTACGAACTTGCCTGCATCAACTCGCCCATTGAGACAGTCTTGGCTGGTTCGACCGAGGAAATCTCCACCTTGAAGGGATTGCTCACTGACGCGAGCATGAAATCCACGTTGCTCAAGGTTCCCTACGCATTCCACTCCTCCCAGCTGGATCCGATACTGGAAGACTTCAAGCAGATTGCCAGTGGTGTAACGTTCCGCAAGCCTGAAATCCCCGTCCTATGCCCTCTCGACGGTAACGTCGTCGACACCAGTGGCACCTTCGACCCTGAGTATCTCGCCAATCATTCCCGCAAGCCTGTCAACATGTTCAAGGCACTTCTGACAGCCCAAAGTGAGCGCATCATTACCGACCGAACCACGATGGTCGAAATCGGCCCTCATCCAGCCATCTCAGGAATGGGAAGGGCCGTTATAGGCCCGCAAATGGCTTTCCTGCCTTCAGCACAGCGTGGCAGGCCCTCGTGGCATATCCTCGGCGCGGCATTGAAGGCTCTCTACAATGCCGGCGGCGACATCCGCTGGGCGGAGTATCATCGTGACTTCACGGGCTCTCACTCAGTTATTCCGCTGCCGGCTTACAGCTGGGACTTGAAGGAATACTGGATGCAGTACGTCAATGACTGGTCGCTGCGGAAGGGAGACCCTCCACTGTCAATCAAAGAGACCTCCAAGCTCGAGAGTACCACCATCCACAGAGTTGTTGAGGAGACAGGCGACTCTCAAAAGGTTCACATTGTCGTGGAAGCAGACATTGCGCGCGAGGATCTCAGCCCGCTGGTGCAGGGACACGAGGTCGACGGCATTCCTCTCTGCACCCCATCGGTCTACGCAGACATCGCCTTGACCCTTGGAACATACCTGCTTCGGCAATACCGCCCAAATCAAGAAGAGAATCTTGTAGATGTGTCGGACATGACGATCTCCAAGGCCTTAATCCTGCGCTCTGGCGCGGAGCAGCAACTCCTTCAGGCACATGGTGAAGTTGAGTGGTCGTCCAACTCGGCGGCTGTCAAGTTCATGTCTTTTGACGTAAGTAGTTCCTGAAATTTTTGGTGCTTTTAACTAATTGGATTGTAGAGCAAGCAGAAACTCCAGGAGCACGCACGATGTGTTGTGCGCTTCAAGGACAGAAGTCTCCAGAAGACGCTCCAGGCAAATTCAGCAGCCGTGATGCAGAAGCGACAAGCTCTCCGAGATGGAATCGCAGCCGAGACCACAGCGCGTTTCAACCGCCCTATGGTTTATCGTGCTATCCGGCCGTTGGCTAGGTTCCACGACGACTACCGAGCAATAGACGAGATTGTCCTCAACAGCAACACGCTGGAGGCCATGAGTACCCTCAGCTTTGGCACTGTGAAGCGAGGTGGCAACTTCCACACCCATCCAGCCATCATCGACTCCCTGACCCAGTCTTGCGGATTCACCATGAACTGCAACGACAGCACTGACCTGGATGTCCAAGTCTTCATGAACCACGGATGGGGCTCTTTCCAGATGTTTGAGCCGATGGACTTTGACAAGAAGTACACTACTTACACGCGAATGGTCGAGGGCGATGATAAGCTGTGGCACGGCGATGTTGTCATCTTTGATGGCGAGCGCGTCGTCGCCTACTTTGGGCAGATTGCGGTTCGTATTCCGTCCCTTGACTTAAACAAGTATACTGACTCTCCTACCAGATTCAAGGCGTGCCCCGTCGCGTGCTGAAGGTCATTCTCTCCATCGAAAGTGGCAGCAAGTCGCAGAAGCAACAACCTGCCCAGAAAAAGCAAGCTTCTTCCACGGCTGCTGCTCCTACATCGAGGACTGTCCAAGTTCCCTCACCCAGCAGAGGGCCTGATACATCCAAGATTACCGCAGCACTAACGATAATTGCGGAGGAGAGTGGGCTTGCCCTGGCCGACTTGACCGATAGTACTGTGTTTGCCGACGTCGGTATTGACTCACTTCTGGGTCTTACAATCTCGGCTCGTTTCAAGGAGGAGCTCGATATGGAGATGGAGTTCAATGCCTTCTTCTTCGAGTATCCATCAGTTGGCGATCTGAGGGCCTTCTTGGGAGATTCCGGGGACAGCTCAACGGGATCCTCGACGCCGCGATCAACCGATAACAATTCAGTCTTGCCAACTATGACTGGCACGGGAGCCACCACGCCCAACACGGATGAGCACTTTGAGTCCAAGGTCGATTTCCAGCGAGCTCTCGAAATTGTGGCAGAAGAGAGTGGACTTTCAACCGAGGATCTCACTGACGACACCAACTTTGCCGACTCTGGCGTAGACTCTCTCTTGTCCCTAGTCATCGTGAGTCGGTTCCGAGATGAGCTCGAGCTTGACATCCAGCACGAGTCTCTCTTCCTCGAGTGTCCGACTGTGGCCGACCTGAAGCATTTGTTGCTCGGAGGATCCAGCGGAAGCGATACCACGCCGTCCGTGGCCGAGAGCGATCCAGTTCCTGTTCTCGCGGTTGAACCAGTGGCAGAACCTGCCAAGGAGCACAGCACGCCCAAACTTGGCGAAAGCGAAATAGCTGATCTTGCAGCTCGCAAGATGGCTGTTGACGAATTTGTCCAGAAGTACACGGCCGGATTCTCTGGGCCTACTTCGTCGCCTTCATCCACCGTGCCGAAAGACAGCGAGAAAGTCGTCCTGGTAACTGGAGCATCTGGAAGTCTTGGAGGCAACTTGGTCTACCACATTGCACAGCTTCCCGATGTAAAGACGGTCGTCTGTCTCAACCGTGAGAACAAAGCGGAGCCCTACATCCGCCAGCAGAAAGCCATGAGGGAGAAGGGCATTCGCTTCCCCGAGGCACTGAAGCCCAAGCTGCTTGTCTTGCAGACTGACAGCTCGAAGCCGATGTTTGGGCTTCCAAAGAATGAGTACGAGGGACTCGTGAACTCCGTGACGCATCTCATCCACAACGCTTGGCCAATGAGTGCGAAACGCGCCTTGGCTGGCTTTGAGCCGCAGTTCCAGGTCATGCGAAACCTGATTGATTTCGCTGCAAATGTTGCTTCCCGCCATTCGGAGGACTTCAAGTTCAGTTTCCAGATGGTATCTTCCATCGGTGTTGTCGGCCACTACGGCCTTGGAAACGGAAAGGAGAACACTTTTGTGCCAGAGGAGAGATCCGAGATTGGCGCTGTTCTTCCAAACGGCTACAGCGATGCCAAATGGGGCTGCGAGAGGATGCTCGATGAGACTTTGCACAAGCATTCCAGCCGATTCCGCACTATGGTTGTCCGTCTGGGGCAGATTGCCGGCTCCAAGACCAGCGGATATTGGAATCCAATGGAACACTTCGGGTTCTTGATCAAGTCGTCACAGACATTGAATGCCCTGCCGGACGTGGGTGGAAAGGTCTACTGGACTTCGGTGAACGACATAGCCGGCACATTGTCTGACCTAGTCCTTTCTGGCCGCACCCCCTACGAGATCTATCACATCGAGAACCCAGTTGGCCAGTCGTGGCGCGAGATGAATGAGATTCTAGCAGACGCCCTCAAAATCCCGAGTCTCATCCCCTTCGAGGAGTGGGTTGAGCGAGTGCGAGCAGCGCCCCAGCGAAACAATCCTGCTTCCACTCTCCTGGGCTTCCTGGACTCGAATTACCTTCGAATGTCCTGTGGCGGGCTAGTTCTGGAAGTGAAGCATACTCTGGAGCATTCGAAGACCCTTTCTGCTGTGGGGCCAGTGAGCGAAGAGGTTGCGAGAAAGTACATTCACATCTGGAAAGAGATTGGTTTCCTGAACTAACGTAAGGCACCAAACTTTTTCGAGATAAGCAAATATGTTATAGATTCAGGTTGGGAATTAAGAGATTGTTAGATAAGATGGATGCTGAGACGATAGAATTGCAGATTGGAACACTTCAAGAGCGATGATAAGGCGATGATGTTTCTTTGTACGTTTCTACCGCTCGGGAAGGGAAACTCATATTTGAATTTATTGCATTTTCTTTATGCACGTTACAGTTTCCAAAGCCTGCGTTTGAGATTTGAGGTGTTTCTTTTTCTATCAGCCGGATTCCTACGTAGCCTTCTCACGCTGCGGCTATTCTTATGTTTATGTAGGTAGTAAAAAATATAAGTCACATCAAATAACTTCATGCCGTAAGATCCCTAATATTTGTATTAACCTAAGTTATCTGAATCTGATCTCCAGCCAACCCTCCAGCTCGCTATTCTCTAGATGACTTCTATATAATATAAGAGCTTCTTAGACTAAAGATTAAATATCTCTGTCGTCAAATGATTTAATAAGCAGCACGTACTCCCAGAGCGAGCATACAGTAGTGCTATTTTATGAGTGAATTCTGACGGTGTGATCATCGCGAGGCAGTGACCAACGTCATGGACAATGCGACGATAAACGCAAATAGGCTGGGGCGCATGATTCCGACTGCAAAACTCTCCTCCTTCTCGGTTCTCAGGGGTGTTATGCAGAACATATCTGCCAGGAAACTGTCACCGGTAGAAGAGTTGCTTCTACTCAAAATAACAGGCCACGTACAGGATAAGGCTTCCTCGGCTTCCTGGAACGCCTCCTCCGTTCCTTCACGTGTACCGTCAGTACCATAGGTAAAGAAATCCAATATGCCACCGGTGTCAGTAAGTATCTCTTGGTTGCGGTTAGTCCCATGTTTAGATTTAGTATCAAGGAAATCGCCACGGTGGGAGGAGCATCGATAGGTGTGAGTGAGTGCAGAAACATACCGACAACCCAAAAGGACCCATTTTGTACCAAGTTTTGGGACATATATTCGCTGCAGGCTTCTGGAAAGCCATGAAATCGGCAGCCGTTGTCTTGGGGTCCTCCAAATCTCTCTTTGATATGCTCGTAGCACTCTGCGTTGATCATGTCACAACTGGAGCTACCGTTGTCGCTCGCAGACAGCGCCGTAATGTTGGAGCGTAAAAGGTCGTGGTAAATGTAGGCGCGCGTTGTTGTGTTTTTAGTGGCTTGATCTTGGTTTGATAACGAAAGCGCAGTCACCTGTGTGACTAGGTCCTCGGTGAGGTTATCATCCGTGATAGTCACATTTGCTGCAACCGAGATATCAAACATCCGATAGACGCCGAGTGAAAGGGAAAAGAGCAAAGGGATATCTTCGGAAGCGAAAGCATTAGGAGCTTCCGCGGCTTTCTTGCAGTTCTTGGCGGGGATGAAGTCCGGTTGGGTACCACCCAAAACGACCATATCGCCGTATACGTACGCCGACAGAAAGCCTCAGAAAGACCAACAGCCCGGAAAATTTTTCAGGTGACAACATAGTGGTCGATGTTCATCAGAGAATTGGCCGGTCCCACGGGAAAACACAGATGGTACAGGATGATGCTGATGGATGGGAGATCGGCTGGTCAAAGTACTAGACAAGCAACTTAATGCTTGAATTGTGGATAAAACTGTATTTTCTTTTTGACCTTGTGCCGGCAACTTGCTCACCTTGATGGAGCAGACAGAAGTTAGATTAGTACCCAGGCAGTCACAGGAGGGTTCAGCTTGATGGACGAAGGTGAAAGCGTGGCATGTTCTCTCTCCTCAGTTATGAGATGAATTAACCCCTGTCATGGTGTCGTTTTCAGTTTGTCGACCTCGTATTACGACCGATATTGGTAACCGCCGTCTGAGTCCGCAGCAAGTCGGAGCACCTGTCGTCACCCCCTGCTAGTATCGAGAAATGCAACCGGCTTGGCTTGTCCATAAGGCTCAAACGCAGCACCTGGGCCTGGTGCCTACCCAGCACTTGAACTTAGTGTCCAAGTCCACGGGAACATGAAAAAAAAACCCACTGAGTAACAGGTCCGGTGGACTTTGTTACAGGAGATTGAGCCCCCAAGGTGCAAATTCCTTGCTCTAAGATATATCACCCAGCTGCTGAAAGGGTCCAGGTAGGCCATTACTGCTAGGTATACCTAAATTCTAGAAAGGTCCAACCTGTGATACTATTTGCAAACGTTGTAAAACGGGCCGAGGGAGCTCCAGCTTGGAGGGGTCCTACTGGTATTTTACGACACATCTAATCCCTCAGTCTTTAAGCTATTACCGTAATAACAGCGACACGGCTTTGCATCTCAATATCGAACTGAAATTCCAGCCGGGTATGTTTCGAGATTTCCTTTGCGTCTCAACGAAGCTGAATGTTCTACCACTGCCTGGAATTTCTTCCGCTATTCCATAAAATTCAGACATGGCTGTGATGATGCAACCCTTTGCCGTGGTAGTTTTATCCATCCCCCGGTCCATGGAATGGGCTGTGTTATGACTCGGGCAAGTTTTACATGAATTACACCGCCTAACCGGGCGCAGCATTCTCGGACCATCCCTATTCAAATACGCCTACTAGAGATTGAGTAAGGTCCGAGGCGAGTGCTAAAGGGATTCGAAGACAGGGTGCATGCTTAACCAGTCGCAGGTCATGACTCAGTGTATTATCATGGCTCACGTTACTGTGTTATTCCGAGATCGACGCAACACTTTGCCATGGCCATCACAGTAGCCGATTCCGTTCTTTGCGGGCAGTGCAGATCGTATAGGCATAAAGCCGGAGCAGACATGGTAAAAGGAACCAATGGTACTGAATGTTTGGTGCCAGATCTCTCGGAGGCTTTGGATATTTGTACATCATGCAGGACGAGAAGGAAGAAATAACAGAGAGCCAGGCTAAAGCCAAGCTCCACATCTTGGCAGGAAGGCAGTGCTGGGCGCTCAAGTTACTAGTGAGAGACGTGGGTGTGCGCCATTCGTTGACAAGACGCCATCAGGCCGGACGGTCGGGCCGGGAAGTCGGACTGGGTGGTTGTACCAGACGGCTAGACGGGTTGGACAGTCCACAAACCTCAGCCACTGTCTTAAGCATAATAGAGAGATCTAGAACATCTTAGCTCAAAGCAGAGCGAGCCACACTGGATTGTTATCATATTGCCGAAAGCGCCCTACCAGAGTAAAGAATTACAAGACTCTTCTAAGACTTTGGATACGATGCCCATTGCATGTAGTCTGATTTTCTGTGTCACCTGGAACAAATATGAACAGTCGGTCGCTCCACTTCGTGGGTATTAATCGCTTGGCAGACATTTACACACCGGCGGGTAAATATCAGCGCTACGCCAATGAGGCCGTAAATCAAGCTTGGTGATATCTTCCCTGTCACACATCTCCCCGCAGAAGAGAATTCTCGTACTTTTCCATGCGAAAAGGATCTCGCCGAAGCAACATCCTATCAGATCTGTAAAAAGTCGGAACCACAGCCGATATTCGCCTTCCAAGTCGGGATTAGCTCAGGAGGCCTCCCCTCATCTGCCAAGTCTAAGCCTCAATTCTGCGCGATTAGGAAATTGCCGAGAGACAGTCGATCAAATGGCGGTAGGGCATTCGGACTTCTTTCAACATTGCAGCAGGTTGGTCTGCATACCATTCGCCCAGAAGCACAAGACGCGTGTGACCTCCGTCAGTGCGCGTGGCAACACCTGAAGCCAGCTTCTCCCCATGGACTTGTCTAGAAGCATCAGAGTGCATGTGGTTTTCGCGAGCCTGATTAGCAAAGCCCCTCTTGACAGAACCTGCTGAACGCCAATACCATGCCGTTTCGGCCAAGGTGCTGTGATTTGTCGTGCGGCGATTGGTACAGCCATGTACAGCCTCAAGGCAAATGTTAAGGCGCAACCTCGCTTCCCAGCTCCGCCTACCACGACTACAGTTGATACTCTCGGTAATTTCTTGATGCGGTAATTTAATGAGTTTAAGCTTGAATGTCTACATGGCAGCAGCACGGTTCCCCGGCGCCTCTTTTGCATAGCCTCGTCAAAAGTTGGTCTCGACATATAAGACATTCCGCAACGACGGCCTCATCTCAGTCCTCACAATTCACACACAATCTCTACCTCTTTACTAAACACTTAAAATAATTCCTCCTCATCGATATAACTATGTGGGAAGTTGAATCGTTGTATTACGCGCATGCTGGCTTGTCAGGCGCCGCTCTCGTGACGCTTGCTGTCATATGGATTGCTTCTCTGCGTGCCATGCACCGTTGTGCGGACCCCGCAAGGGTGGCATTTACCATTCTAAAGGTAGCTATGCCGGCCTTTATCATGTAAGTTAATATTGCCCATACGGATTCTAAGATGACGTTTGGTTGCTAATTCTTTAGAACACTCGCGTTGAACATTGCCGAAGATATTGTATATGTGAGGATGCCTTATTACGGTAGCTGGGTTGGGCCATCGGACAAAGGTGGCGCAGCAGCTGAGAACAGGCTTCTTAAATTCAATATCTCGACCTGCGCCAGTCTATTTGAGTTCATCGCAAGCTCGCTGTTGGTGGTCACGCTTGTCGAGCTCGGAAACGGGTTGATGTTTGCCACCATACGACAACGATCTAAGTCTCAAAACATCATGCGGTATCTTGGTGTCTTTTTTGCAACTGTCCTGTTTGCTCTCGGGTTAGCAGACTTCGGCGTGAGACAGGCAACTTGGCGTCGGGTTTGGAACGCTCCCGACTTTGACGATAACGAGGCAACGAGTGACTATTACGACTCTGTCTTGATAATCCTTATGAGGCTCCAAAAACTAGATTTGGCATGGCTCATCATCAACTGGGTTATAAGTGCTGGCATCCTTGGATATGCATCTTTCGTCATGCATCGTTATCGATCAGTCAAGCCTAGCAGAACGGTAAGCCTCACATTTATTGTTTCGGATTATCGCTGATCCTAATTCATTCTTAGTGCGCAATCATGTTTTTGGTAGCTGCAATCCTCGGCTTCATCAAGGGTAGTTGGGCAGCCATCCAATTCATTATATATTCCTACTGGCCATGGTACTACTTCTCGTTCAGAGTTACGCAGCTTACGAGTATCTTTCTTATCTCCTGGATGCTCTCTGGTGTTATGGTTCTTGTCTTCGCCATTGGGGTCAAGAAGCAGGGTGGTCTGTGGACGGTATCACGGCCTTGGATGAATGAGTCGACGAAATCGGCGGACGTTGAGGATAAGTAGGATTTCCTATTTCTACATTCCAAACATTGCTTCCCACCCTCGCTCTACCTAGTCTGCCATCCATATAGATTTACCCCATTTTACTCTCAAGGCTTTGCTCCAGTGTACTTAAGAGAGAATAAGCCACGCTCAATACTGTTGAGAATAATATACCCAGACTTAAAGTATGGATACACGCTCCATGAGCCGCGGAATGTGACTGAACCAGTGGTGTTGTCGTCAGAGGGATCGCAGTCAAAGAAACCTGCCTGTGTGAACTGAGAACCGGTGGGGTCTTCGGCAACAGAGCTGACATCCACAATGCGCAAACCGGAAGCATAGTTGGATTGGTAGGCTAATCCGTCAATGACATACATGTTGTGGTCGATCGTAGTAACCGGCGCCGAGTACACGCCGGTCATCTTGGGAGCCTTAAGGTCGGCAACGTCCCAGATGTACGTCTTGGTCCTCTTGTTGGGCGTGGTGCCGTCCATCTCGTCAAGCTCGTCGTCGAGCAGTAGGTATCGCATGTCTGAGGTTGCGAGCCAACCCTGATGCGTGTAGGCGGACCACTCATAGCCAGCACGGGACAATTGGACCGGCTTAGCCTTGTCCGTGACGTCGACAATTGTCAACGAGTCTTCGTTGTAGTTGAAGCAGATCTCGTGTCCAGTGTATCTTGTATCGACACCCTCATAGATGACACACTGGGCATCATGGACATATCCGTCAGAAGACTCACAGCCGACCTTCTTGGGGTTGGCTGGGTCCGACACGTCAATCATAAAGAGACCGCCTCGGCAGCCGGCGCTGGAGCCGGTACCAACAGCGTAGATCATGTTGGTGTCCTCGTTGGCAACAATGTTATGCGAGTTGCCCACGCCACGGAACCAGGCCGTGAGATCAGTGCTTATACTGAAGGTGCGAGGGCTGCTGGCGCTGAGGCTCAGCAGCTTCTTCAGATCAAAGATCTGTACACCGTGGCCGCTAGCTTCAGACCCGATGTAAACATGATCAGCGATGACCTTCATGTCTCGCCAGTCAGAGTTGGAAGTCTGGGTCGGAAGTCGGCCGAGGTATACAAGGCTACCATCCGACTTGATTTCCGCAAAGGCAGTGCCGTCGTTCTGACCAACAATGGCAAACTCTCGACCAGTAGCCGACGTCCATCCTTAGCACTGTTAGTCTAATTCAATTATAGCAAGAATGGTAAGCATACCCCAGACATCGTTACCCATCCGAGTACGGCTCCCCATGTCTTGATGGCTTAGGAAAGCCATCATGTCGACCTTGTCGCAGGAGTACTCGCCAGCCTTGCCATTCACACAGGCGGTTGAGGCCGCGAGGGACATGTACTGGTCCTCGTCAAAGACACCATCTTGTCGCTGCTGCTCCCATTGGGCGACCTTGATGCTCTTGAGAGAATCCATCTTTGCGGACATGGCGCTGGCGCCGGTGGCAGCCATACCCACAAGGGCAAGGCCGGAAATAACAGAGGACTTCATATTGAGTTGGTGAACAAGCGACACTCTAGTCAAAGAAGGGATTGTCTAATTGCAGCTTGACAGTACAGCTGGTGGGGTAGTCAAAGGAAAATTCTAGAATGACAGGACTCTTAACATAGTCGCCATCAATAAACAAAACCCCAACAGTTTACAACTGCCATCATCCATAATACTGTCAATTATCACAATTCAACAATTCCCACTCCAACATGACACCTGCTGTATCGACATTCTTGGCCCGATGTGAGATGTGTAGATCATATCGATTGTCAGCGAGGCCAAGTCTTTAAGATAACCTTAGAGTTACGGTCCCTGCCGCCCATCGATAAGACCCGAGACCTTATGTGCCGGATTAAGGCGCCAAGATATAGTTGTGGGTAACTTCAAAGACTTGATCTAATCTGGCAGTTAGGCCGCGATCCCCTGTCGCGAGCGGGGCAGGGGATCAAATAGGAAGGACGTTATTATGAATGCTGGTCGCTTCAGAGATCTTATCAGCGTACTTGTCGATCGATTTATGCATTAGGTAATGGTACTTTTGGCTGTCGAACATCATAACTCGTGGTCAAATACAGGGGAAAGAAGGGAAGCCGATTACCGACCGGGTGTAAGGCCGACTGGTCCTCGTATTAGTGCCGGACCTGCTTAATAAAGGCATACACTAGGAACTTTTTAACCATATGTACATGCTACTAGACAAGCTTGTATTAAGGTTCACTTACAGCCAGGCCCTTTGTTTCGGGCGCAAACTCCTTTAGGCATGTGGCTTGGTAAAACCGTGGAGTCGTGGGAGTGCCGCGGCTGAGCTGACCTCTCAGGCTCAAGCAATTGCCCGTGACCGGAGGCTGCTGGAGATACTATTCAGATTAAAGCACGAATAAACGGCCAAGGAGCGGCACGAGTTCCGCAAAGTCGCCCCATTCCTAGGAGCTAGGATAGTATCTAGTAAACATCCTGCCAAACCTGGTGTCGGCCCGCTCAAGATACTTGGACTTTTGAGAACTTTTGCCTAGGCACTACGGCAAGATTAGTCGAAATCGGATGTTCACTCCTAGACCGGCCATTTGTCTCTAACAACAACTTCGAAATAGCCACGGAACAGGGTTGCATAGATACATTCCTTTGCCAAGATGGGATCTATAAAGACCCAGGCTCTCCTGCAGCCAAGCATTCAAGATACTGTTACATCCAACCACTCCCAACAGTATTCAATCCCTACCTTCCCATTCGGTTACAGCTGCCTATCCATACAACATCATGTTGCTGAAGACTCTTTTCGTTGCTGCCTTTGGGGCTTCGACCGCCGTCGCCGGGGTCTCTCAGCGAGCCACCCCAGGTCGATTTGGCTGTGGTACCGCTGAGCCCTCTGCCGAGCACATTGGCATGTCCAAGGTCCTGGCTGCCCAGGAAGCCAAGGCCGCAGACTCGGGGGACTTGGCTGCGCGTGCGACAATCAACGTCGGTGTCTACTTCCACGTTGTTGCTCGCTCGCAGACAGTTGCGGGTGGCTACCTGACGGTGAGCTCGGCTTTATCTACACTTATGGACTAGCTCAACTAACTCCGTTATAGGACAAGATGCTGTCTGACCAGCTGGCGGTTCTCAATAAAGACTTTGCTCCGTACAACGTTGCATTCAACTTGCTCGGCACGGACCGCACTGTCAATACGGGATGGTCTGCCGACAGCAACGAGATCGCCATGAAGCAGTCTCTCCGCAAGGGAACTTACTCCAACTTGAACATCTACTTCCAGAGCGCGCTCAAGGACGACGCTCTTGGCTACGCTTACCTCCCGACTTCCGTGTCCAGCGGCAGCACCGCCTTCTACCGAGACGGTGTCTCCCTTGATGCTCAGACTGTTCCCGGTGGTTCTTACACCCGATTCAACCTCGGCAAGACTGCTACTCACGAGGTTGGTCACTGGATGGGTCTGTATCACACTTTCCAGGGCGGCTGCACTGGCAGTGGTGATCTCGTCTCCGATACTCCTGCTCAGGCCAACGCCACTTCTGGCTGCCCTACCGGCCGTGACTCCTGCCCTACCGTGGCTGGCTTGGACCCTATCCACAACTACATGGACTACTCCGACGAGTAAGTGTCTCTCAATTTCTTTGAATGTGAGGAACTGAAGCTAACATTTCCACCTAGTTCTTGCTATGTGGAGTTTTCCGCTGGCCAGTCGACTCGCATGACCAGCTTCTGGAACACCTACCGTGGTTAGAGGCTTCAAAACATTTCTATAGGGCTAGAATTAGTAAAGAGACTAATTAGACTATATTAATTGACTGAATTATTGATACTTACACTGTCTTCCGTATGAATTGAAGTATTTGTTGGTCCATGCAGTTTGTGCTCGCCATATTCATAAAGACAAAAGAGGCCATTGCCAACAGTAAGACAAGAAAGAAAATGATAAGCTAGATTAGGTCCAGAGATGGGTTGGACAAGCTTACGGTTCGGAACACTTGACACAGTGCTTCCAGATAAGGTCTGCTAGTAAGAAGAGAATAAAAAGGACAATAGGTGGGGCCGCAATTTAGACAACAGCATGAGTTAAGACAAAAAGCGTACTTGAATTGACAGCCGGGTAAAAGTCTTGCCCTGCGTAAGACTTAGGTAGAGTCACAAATGTAAAGCAAGTCTTCGCTGAGTACATACCCTGACCGGCTGCAACCCTAGGATCACTAGCACGATACATAGATACAAACGCAACCAATATTACCTCCTTTATAAATAAGATAGGGAAGCCTTAAGATTTTAGTATTACTATTTAATTTTAATCTCTTCTGCATAGTACGGACTGTCTAGAGTATCTAGGGTATTAATATTTAGGGTAGAACTATGTTAGACCGAGGCTTGTCCAAAATATCTTTTGGGACACTAGACAGGGTTCCAATTCTTCAAAGGCGAAACAGGCGATAGCAAATGATGACTGTGGTTAGCAAGAGACGACATAGCTGTGGCAATCCTCGTTTCAGATTTTGGATCCGCTTGATCATTCGACTGTACACTTCCTTCAAGCCATTGGGTATTTCGTCAATGGCCGATCCAACTTCCCAAGTTTTGGCTGCTTCGAGTTCTTTGAAAACAAGCAAGACACAGAGAAATGTGCCGTTAGGTTAAGACACATCCTAGCTGACAACAGATCAAGATTCACTTTCCTCTCGATTTCGGGGTCATTGCGACTGGAGATGACCCATTTGACGTGCGGCAAAGACGAATTTCTCACGATGAAGTCCAGGAGCTTTGGCAAGTCCTCCGGTGCGCATTCGTCGAGTGCGTCGATGATCAGGTACGTGCTTCGCAACCGCGGGTCTTGCAAGATGTTCGGAAAGATATCAGGCACGACAAACCAGGCGTTCGAATTCTCAAAGGGCGCCTTACCGGCGTGATCGTGCTTCTTCCGTATGTGTGAGATAAGAGATGGCACCTTGTCAACAAGGAGATAGAGGCACTGCGATGCACGGATGTGGGGTTACTGATAGGCGCATTTGTCACCTCACAACGAAGTAGGACAATAAAGCGCTGGGCTCTTGCTCTATCGATTTTTCGAAGGGACTTAGCTCATCGATGATACCGTAGAGTAGCATCATCTTGCCCTTGCTCTGGTCGCCTCTGATCCACAGCAGACGGGTGTCTTCTTCGTTACGCCATTTTTGGAACTTGGCATTATCGAGCACCCATTTACACAAGTCTCGCAACAGGTGCCCCTTGGTACCACACGGTATCAATGGGAATTTTCGCTCTTACCAGAGTTCTAATGAAAATTTACATGCCCACTGAAATGACCACCAGATATTTGTGTGCCACTACCCCAGTTGGTGTTCTGAACCCCTCCAACATTATTAGTTTTGAATCCCCGGGCCATTGTTTTTAAATGAGCCGAGGGAAAAGCTCGTAGACTATTCCGTCTCGTCTCGGAGCGTAATGACGCGGCGTGTGGTGTATGGTCTCCGCTTGCTTGTAGTTGCTCACAACCCGACGAGTGGCCGACAGTCTGAGGTCTATTCTGTGACTGGGATTCCGTCTCTGTGGGTCTTGGCATTGTTCAAGCTCTGTTTCTTCAATCAGAGAAGCGGGGGCTGACACTGAGATGATCAAGGTTGCGGTTGACGAACATGAGCTTGACCTTCAAGTAGCAGGCCCAAGGCACCTAGTTCTCACAAGCCTGTGTTTCCGGTAGATGATTAAAGCAGGGGAAAGGGGAGGCCATCAAAGCCTCTCAATCGCTGGTACAAGCACGAAACGCCAGTCAGGCATCAAGAGGCTAGGGTGCTCTAGTACATACATACCCAGAGGGGGGGACGAGAAGCTCAACGGTATAAAAAAAAACACCAAAAATAGTATCAGCAAAGCCAGTCAGGTGTAGTGAGGATAGCAAATTGAATCTGCGGGGTATCTTGTGGCGTTCATCACCGAGCTACAACACACATACAACAAAATGAATGAGAAAAAAGATGAGATGATTAAATTAATCTACCAAGGAAGACTCGTAGTGAGGGTAGAGCGGAAATGCACTTGGCCTCAACAGGCGAGGGTACTCGCTCCTATTATAAACGGTCGAGATGACGAGCCATCAGATGTAAGTATGAAGTGCAAAAGAGTCGGCGATACCTCGCATTCAGCATCACCCTCAAATACAGAAGCTATCTTCAGCAGGTGGAATGAAACAATCCGCCAATCGCCGTTGTCTTAGCCAGCGAATTGTAAATTTCAACCGCCTTGCGCGTTTCCGCTACATGAACAGTCACACCCTTCCCTTCGAGATAGCTCAGGGTCGCAGGGTCAATCTGGAGCTTCAAATCCATGCCCTGTGACAAGACGATAGTGGTAGCGCCTTTCTGCAAAAGCTCTTCGACGTCAACAACGCAAATCCCCGGCTTGTGTCGCATGCCCGTCTCGCCCCAATCCCAAGGCCGACCGCCGCCAGGGTAGAGCTTGAAATCTTTTCCAGGCTCCAGCCCAGCAATCTCCATGTGGCCCCAGGCGACAGACGAAATTTCGGGAGACTGCATGGTTGCCATGGTATTTTGCTCAGCGCTCGCGCGGATGAGTTATGAGGGTGGAGGTGGAGACAGATCATCCGTCTTGGAGAGGGATAGCTCAATTTGAGGTTCTATATCAGAACCAAAGTTCGACTGAATAATAGGAGGTGATGCTCAGAGTGAGATTCGCTCAAGATTCACACGCGGGAGTCAAGATGTTGCAAGATTCACCTTGATTACAGCTTCAACTTCAACTTGGCCCTAAGTTATACTCACCGTCCACTGTGGAGCACGTGCCTCCAGTGGCGTAATCCCCCCTCACGCCGTTCCCTGGAGCCTGATTAGCATGTGACAGTAGATTCCACGACGCAGTAATACAGAATATGATTCTTCAATACTATGTGTTTCTCTTCATATCGGTTTAGGGCTTTCCTACAATATACAGCTTGAAATATATTTAGGCTTGTAACCATAACCAAGAAACTGAGCTATCGCACATCTGTAGCATCAGCATTGGGCCTACTATTTAGCCGCATTATATAGGTGTTCTATATACATTACGTAGGATTATAGGTTATATAAATCAAGAATAGAGACATATGTAGATCCTTTATATTCAGTTACGTAATTCTCTGTATCTAGATTTTTTAGAATCCCTCCATGCATGTCACCAAGTGATTTAAATGCTATTGATCATATCCTATGGTACGGGTAGAGCACTTTGTTAAACTTCGCCTGCACAACGCCATTCAATCCGGTAAGCCCCCAGCTTTCTTGCAAACCCCGTCTGATTGATCAGTCATCCTTAGCACTCAAGCCCATCGATACCCTTGGGAACTCAATTTTGAAGTATCATGCTCCATTCGCATACGAGAACATGCAACTCTGCGGATGATCACTGACGACACCGTAATATGGAGCATCAAGCAGCCAAGGGAGATGATTGGGAGACTGGGTTTGTCAGATCTCAAGAGTGCGTTAGTCCGAGAGTAGCCAGCCTCTAACAGATAGATGCGAAAACGAAGATCAATGGACTTAGGAGAAGGGGGCTGAGCAACAAGGGATTAAACTCTCAGAAGCAAGGTTTGAGGTAATGATACAGTGAGTGCATTCCCGACTCTGCCGGTCACCTCCACTTCAAATTCCCGGCTTGCTGCGGAGCACGTCGTGGCCCCGATGTAGGCTAAAAAGCAGATACCATCTACCCTATTCCCATTAATTCATCAACTTAGGGAGATTTGCGAACAGACGAAAAGATGTCAAAATATACGTGAATATACGGAGGGAGGTATGTGGAGACGACGGCATATACATGAAGACACGGCGGGATATGGCAACGCATTGTATATATCCCTGCAAGGTCCATGATTAAAGTTTACTACCTAAGTGGTAAGTGATCTGAGAGGTTCTCACTGAACATCTCGCCATTCGGATGCCAGAGCACTCCAACTCATGATGTAATGAGCTAACCAGATTTAGGTTGGCAGGAACTACGAGATGTCCTCAGACTTTGTTATCATCGCGCCGGACTTGTTGTAATAAACGCATTGCCTAGAATAAAGACACAAATCCTTTCATCCAGAAGCATGGCGATCTTCTGCTATTTTGTCAGTATGGGATGCGTGAAGCTGACCGGACTGCTACTATGGACCCTACTTCTTGAACAAGCGGCAAGTTTCAGCCGGCCTTAGCATCGCACTAGAAAATTTCTCGGTGTCTCGGACTTTTGTGCAGTTCCGCGGCGTTAGAGAAGGGCAGGGGTTATGTCATTGATCATGCTTTGACAGTAAACATAAAACGCAATGCAGGCCCCTCCTTTTGTGAAGCCCCTTCGCTAAATCCTTCGCCTTATTCCTGCAACGTCTAATACAGGGTAGCGCAACAACTATGTGGCCCCTTTCGTCCAACACCTTTGTCCCTGACCAGCATATTCCCGACCTCTCGGGTCAGGTCATTCTTGTTACCGGTGGCAACGCCGGGCTCGGAAAAGAAAGCGTCCTGCGGCTAGCTAAACACAACCCTCGGAAGATCTATCTAGGCTGCCGGACCGAGTCCAAGGCCCGGGATGCCATAGCGGACATACGCAGCCAGCTCGGCAAAGATACAGACCATGCCGGTTCAGCAAATGTGGACATCGAATATCTACCTCTCGACTTAGCCGCATTACCGTCTGTCAAGGCAGCTTCCGAGCATGTTATCCAGAACACTGACCGCCTTGATGTTCTGCTTCTGAATGCTGGGATCATGGCTGTCCCACCTTCAAAGACTGCCGATGGCTTTGAAGTCCAGCTGGGGACTAATCATGTGGGACATTTCCTACTGACAAAGCTCTTGACACCGTTACTCCAAACGACAGCTACGGAGCATAAGGGAGACGTCCGAGTCGTCAGCCTTTCTTCATCTGGGTACGCATTCGCACCGTCCATCGATATTATACTCGACACGGATGAGCTCTACAAGCAAGGACCCTGGGTACGCTATGGAGCAAGCAAGGCAGCGAATGTCATGTTTGCGGCAGAATTAGCACGCCGACATCCCGGGTTTACGAGCGTGAGCCTCCATCCTGGAGTATCTAATACGGGGTTATTTGCAAACACGAGGGAGTCTTGGTTGATGAGAACGCTGATGGCGGTGTTTGGCCCGTTGGTGTTTAGTGATGTGGAGCAGACGTCACTAAACCAACTATACCTTTCAAGAGGAATGAGCCGGGAACAGTTGGTAAATGGGGGGTTTTATTTACCGGTTGGCAAGATAGGACAGGCAAAGTGGCAGTCAGATATGAGCTACGGGAAGAGGCTATGGGAATGGACTGAAGCCGAGTTGGCAAAGAGAGGATACAATTAGGAGCTTAAAAGGGACACAACGTGGCCTATTTTTCTTAACGCAGGATGGATTGTTTAGTAGCGTAGTGCGTTAAATTGTAATGACTTGGAAGTTGTCGCACTTGAGAAACGTTGGCGTCGCAAACTTTTGAGCGGCAGCTATTGCTTGAAAGTATGACTGTACCTGTAGACTGCCGCGCTTATTTCGGGTTTCTAATTGTTCTACGCATAGTCGGCCATTTGACGACAAACTGTCCGAGAATTAGCTCCAATAGTTGGTGATATCTTACCACGCTTCCGTGCGCCAAAAGTATGAATGACCTGTTGTTAACGAACCTAATTAAGTTTAACATCGTCTTCCTTATCTGTCCAGCAGTCACCCTATTATTTTTCTTTCTTGATTATTGAGAATGTTGTCTACGATGTTGGCAGTAATTAAGACACTCCCAGTTCCTACTGGCTCAGCCGAGTATGAAGCTGAACGACATTTGATGCTTCAAGAATTCGCAGCTGCTGTCCGAAGGAGCTCACACTCCCAAAAGCCATCATTAAGAGTCCACCAATCAATATTACGACCATCTCAAGAGATTGCAGCCTTCTATCGTCTCTTGGGCTGAACATGACCGAAGATTATGATGCTTGGGCTTTATGGCTGCCATTGCTTCTCAGGAGTTGACTGCAGTCCAGGTCACCACTGCTTTTACAAAGCGTACAATGATTGCACATCAACTCAGTAACTGTCTTACTGAATGGTTCTTGGATGATGCAATTGATCAGGCCAGAGCCCTCGATGCACATCTGTCAACTCCTGGCCAGACAGTTGGACCTCTGCACGCCCAATTAGCTTGAGGGCGCATCTTCCACTCGAGGGGCACTATAGTAACTTGGGCTACCAAAACAAACTCAAGAGAGATCAATCGGATTGTCACATTGTCGGCATACTGCGAAAGGCCGGTGCAGTATTTCACTGCAAGACAAACCAACACTAATACATTATGCACCTTGAGACCACCTCGTTTTTCGGGCGTACTGTAAATTCCCACAACATCGACCGTTCATCAGGCGGGCCTCCGGGGGGAGAATCTGCCATGATCGCCCTCAGGGGGTCTGTTCTTGGTGTTGCTAGTGATAGCGGCTGGGGCATCCATGGGCCTTTTGCCTTCTGTGGTATTTACGCCCAAACCAAGTACCTATACCCATCCGTTAAAGGGCTTCCCTGGAGGCTTTTGCTGGAGGAGGACTTAATATTGTATGTTCACTGGGACCCATGTGCACGTCATTGCGCGACGTCGATTTCTTCATGGCGATCATGTCATCGGTGAAGTCATACTAGAGGACCCTCGCATCATTCCAACCCACTGGATTCCCCTAACGGAGATCCGAAATCATAGTAAATTTACGACTCCGTTGAGAATTGGATTTATGATGCATGACGGTGCTATTATGCCTCAGCCTCCCCCCACCAGAGCTCTAGAACAGCTCAACGCAGCAGCCTCTTTTGTAGAAACAAGGCTCTTCCAACTTCTTATTACTGTGCTTATCGGGCCGTATGACAAAGTAGCGCGTCGTGTTATCAGTCGCGATCCCCGCAACCCCAGTTTGTACCAGCCCACTTGTCGAGATCACGCTTATTACACGAGGTCCCATTGGCTTACACGAAGACACGATAAGACGGCTCTCTCCCCGCGTATCAACCCGGAGAAGACTTGCCGGGGACCCTGTCTATTTGAGTTTCAAAGATTAGTGAACTCGTTAGCGAATGGAACACAGAGACACGCACGTATTCTTCGTACAACGTAGTACTCAAGCACGGTTGTCGGCCCTCCCGACGCGGAGATCACAGTGCTATCTAGGCCGCTATCCATAAGTACTGTGGGGGACCAACCGGTTTTGGTAGGTGCCTACAAGACTCTCACAGGGATCTGGGTTGTCTTCAATTCCCTTCAAGGCTTCATAACAAGGGGAATCAATCGCATCCTTGATTCCGTTATCTGATATCGATGCAATCGCACTGTATGTTCGAGCACGCCAACGCGTTTCATTCCCTCTTGTAGAATAATTACCCGTCTCTCGCCACCCGCCTTCGACGATAACTTACAGAGCGGTCGGTGAGTCTCATGATTGCTTCTCCGACCGAGGGCGAAACATACCACAGTCACCGCGGTATCCACATGAGCGACATTACCCCATGTCGTCATTGGCGAGCCCTACCTTTAACTTGGAACATCATTATAAATACTACCGAATGAGTTGTTATGACTGGTCGAGCGCACTCCATGTTTCTCTGCGGGGATACATAATGGAGACTTCGTCCACTAAAGGATCTTCCCGTTAAACCACAATTATTCTGCCCACTCCATTCTAGCCGAGGTTGCACGACTGTAGTGCTGTCCCCTCAGTCAATTTATTTCACTCTCTGATTGAGCTTCAATTCCCCAGCTCAAAGTTGATCCCGGACCATCAGAGAGCGTCACACGCAGCCCGCGTCCCTTCCAGCCAACATGTCACAAACACAAGCCGACGAAAAGGACCCCACGTCGAACGAGAAAACGACCGCGTCTGGCCCTGACGATTACGATGTCGGATTTGTCGAGGCAACTGGAAATGTCGACCACCTCAAGCGTCATCTGGGCAACCGCCAGATCCAATTGATCGCAGTTGGCGGCTCGATTGGCACAGCTCTATTCGTGAGCATCGGCAGCGGCCTTATGCAGGGAGGACCCGGCAGCCTGTTCCTGGCATACACAATGTACTCGTGTATCTTGGGCCTCGTCAATAACTGCATGGCCGAGATGGCTGTGTATATGCCCATCTCGGGGTCTTTCATCCGATTTGCGGGAAAATGGGTCGACGAAGCATTCGGTTTCATGGCCGGCTGGAACTTTTTCTTCTACGAAGCGGCTATGATCCCCTTTGAGATCTCGGCGATAAACTTGGTCTTGACCTTTTGGCGCGACGACATTCCTGTGTGGGCTGTCTGTTTGGCTTGCATCGTTTTATATGGTGCGCTCAACATCTTTGCCGTCAAGTACTACGGCGAGGCTGAGTTTTGGCTGTCCACTGGCAAGTTCTTCTTGATCTTGCTGGTGTTTTCTTTCACCTTTGTCACCATGGTTGGCGGGAATCCTCAACATGATGCATACGGCTTTCGCTATTGGAAAAATCCGTAAGTCTCTACACCTCCACTAGCTCCTTGGCGTCAGGAGCATAACGTACTGACTAGACCAGTGGTTCATTCGCAGAGTACATCACGACCGGCAACCTCGGCCGCTTCGAAGGGTTTCTGGGAGCTCTCTGGTCCGCAGCCTTCACCATCGTGGGCCCAGAATACCTTGCCATGGTCGCCGGCGAGGCGAAACGGCCCCGTATTCTACTCAAGCAAGCGTTCAAGACCATGTATTGGCGGTTCGGCCTCTTCTTCATCGGTGGAGCTCTATGCGTGGGCATCATTCTTCCCTACAACGATCCGACTCTCAACATCAATGACGGAGCGGGTACCGCCAATGCATCACCCTACGTTATCGCCATGCGGAACATGAACATCAGCTTCCTACCGCACCTAACCAACGCGTTGTTAGTGTCGAGTATCTTCTCGGCTGGCAATGCATACACGTACTGCTCCATTCGATCACTATATGGCCTTGCGCTTGAAGGGCAGGCCCCTGCCATCTTCAAGAAGTGTACCAAGAGTGGCATCCCGTACAACTGCTTCATTGTCACCATGTTCTTCCCGCTGATATCCTTCCTGACTGTTGGGAACAGCAGTGCCCAAGTCGTCCAATGGCTAGGCTACCTGACTCAGGCCGCACAACTGATTGACTACATCATTATGTGCGTGACGTACATATTCTTTCATCGCGCCCTCAAGGCCCAAGGCATCGACCGCAACACCCTTCCGTATACGGGCTGGTTTCAGCCATACTCTGCCTACATCGGTGGTACATTCATGATTGTTATTCTGGGCTGTTATGGTTATACCACTTTCCTCCCTGGCTGGTGGGACGTGGGCACGTTTTTCTCCTACTACACCATGGTCTTCGTGGCTATCGTGACCTTCACCTTTTGGAAGGTCTTCAAGCGGACCAAGTTCGTGAAGGCAACTGAGGCAGATCTCGTGTGGGATAAGCCCGTTATCGACGCGTACGAGGATTCATTTACGCACCCCCCGGAAGGCTTCTTGAGCGAGTTGCTACAGATGTTGAAGCTGAAGAAGAAGACATATCCTCGCGCGGAGGCCTAGACTATTTGTGGAAGGGAGCAGGTTACTCAGCGAATATGAATGCATGTATACAGATAGTAGTGTTTTGATCGTCAGAAAGACCAAATAGTGCCCCGTACAGAGGCCACTTTGCGCTCCAAGTGTTCACTATTGCACCGCAGTAGGGTCATGACCCAGGGTCTCGAAGAGTGATTCATTAACTTACATTGACCTCCAAAGAGGAGATCACATTCGGAAACGTGGAAATTATAACATAGACATCCTTATCGCGCAACGGCGATTGGATTCTCTGGCAGACGCAAGTCATTTAGCAGCATGGGTGCAATGGAGACTCAAGGTTTCACGATTGGCCTTGGAGCAGACGAAGAATTTATCTCTTGGCTAGATAATTGTCACATTTAGTGCATAAGCCAATATTACACTACGTATTAGCATAGTGCGCATTCCTTTTGCTGGCCTAATCGCAGGGAGATAATAGTGACCTCTCCTAGCAGTCTCACTCCTGATCCAACGGACGCATCTCATGCAGTGTCTGTTGGAGGTACTTAATTTGCTCCTCCACCCAGCTTTTCATCTCGTCATAGTCAACCGTCTCGGTACGGCACATTCCTGGTTCTGCGTCCTCGCCTGACTTCTTCACATTCTCAGCATACTTGTTTCTCAACTCGCTTGCCATGATGTTAGCCCTCTTGGCTAGGTTATCTAAGCGGTACGTTGACCATTGGTAAAAGAGCTCGGTCAGATGCGATTCGCCTCTAACATTAGCATTTGTGGTTTCATCTGCCAGTGTTGGGTCTCGGGGTCGGAACGACGTTACAATAGTTATTCGCTCAGGCATGTTGGTTGCGGGAAGCGCAACGTGGGAAATGTGTCGTCCCTGGAGAACAACTGCGCTGCCCTGTGATGATGAATTCGCGTTAGATGGATGGCATGGATATCAACAGGATTTAGTAGAACAGAGGCAGCTTACCATTTGCGGCGCTCGAACGCTCAGCGTCTTGCCGTCTCCTCCCATCAACACAGTCTCGCCTCCCTCCATGTTGCGAGCGTCAGACAACATGACAACAATGACAAAAGGATGCGAGTCCTTATGCCACTCAACGATGGCGTTGTCATAGTTTGTCTTCTCGTCGACTGCGTCCCTCGAGTCCCCATTGGTAGTAGTCGCCATTGGTGGCACCACGGGGGTCGCCCTCACGCCATCGAGACCTTCACTTCCCAATTGGATGTTTGTGTGGCAGATCTCGTAGTTCATCGCCGGCACAAGGTCCACGCCCGCAATACTGCTCACAATCTTCAACACTTCGGGGGAGTTCCAGAAAGACTGAATGAATGGCGTGTATTTCTGGGCCATGCCGCGAAGCATGGCTGAGCCAGGAAGGGTGCGGTGGAGACAATTGTCAATCACCTTGGGGCTAAAGAGCTCGCGACGATGCTCAAGGACAGCCTCATAAGAGAGCAAGGGGAAGGGATCGGAGGCAGCGATGGAGGAAATGGCTGTGTTCTCTAGCTGAAGGTCTCCCATAGTGAGGATACGTGTTGGCGGAGAGTACGCGAGATGCTTAGACGCGTCGAACAGGGTAGCTGGTCCATTGGATGTAGCTGGCTTGGTGGCCGTAAACGGAACAGGAATAGGGGCCTGCGGTAGTCCCTGCAAGGGTGTCTGAACTGCAGCCGACATTTTGGACGATTGATTGTGGGGATGTGAGTTTGACTGGTAGATTCAAGCAATGTAAGAGATGGTTAGACTGGTCAATCTGGTGAGGCTAGTAGGAGAATTGACATACCCTTATTTATCTGCGTAAAGAGCCAAATGTGCCCGTGTAGTGAACGGTGATATCGAACATCATTGACGGGTGTTTCAGGAAGCGAATTCAGTAATATTATCCGTAGTGTAGTAATAATCGGGCATTCGTCTATCACCTGCACCACTAACGGCAGCGATGCCTCTTTTGGTACAGTAGAGAGTTATCTCTTTGGCTATTGGCCCAATTAGAAGCCAGTATGATATTATATAATAAAGAATTAGCTAATGTATAGAGCCAGCTTGCACCCGATTGCCTCGAGCTGTATACGACACATCGGCCCAACCGATCAGGGCGCGCAGTCGGCTGACCATTCCTGCAAATGAGATGAGTCATCGGGTATTTTCAAAGAACAAATTCAGTAAATCTATCCGTACGGGAGCAAACAACTGAGAGTTTGGCTAATAATCACCCACCGCCAGCTCACCGGCAACTGTGCCTCCTTTGGTAGAGGCTTATCTCTACAGCAATCCAGCCAGTAAGATATCAGAATCGTATTATATAATGAATCATAAGACCAATCAGGAGACGAGCTCTTGCATAACCAATCACTTCAATATCAACTGTACGCTATCATATCGGCCCAACCGACTAACTTAGGGCGCAAGGGTCGCCTGACCATCCCCGCAAACTAGAGGAAGAGGTCGGCTAGTAATTACCCACCACTAACTCATCGGCAGTTGCTTCTCCTTCGGTAGATGCTTATCTCCACAGGCATCTAACCGCTGGAAACTAGAACTTGACGCGTGAGCATTGTAGGCCAAGCTAAGATCGAGCTAGCATGGACAATGGTCTCGTCTTTCATGACCATCCTATCGGCTCAACCGACCTAGGGTGCAGTTGACTAGCCATCCCCGTTAACTAGATGGTATGCCATACCCGAGGCGGCATGGTTTTACACTGTCCGATGCCACTGAAGGCTGTAATTCTGGATCTTACTGAGTAAGTATACTCAAATTGGCAATTGGGATATGAATCCTCGGACTAGGCAAGATGCAAAGTATTCCACACATAATCATCTAATTTGGAAAGCTCATTGATCAATTACATATTCACAATATTCTTTTAACAGTTTTCTATCGTACTCGTCATGTACCAGGCTCTCGTGTATTTGCCTGCTAGGCTCTGAGTATCCCATCACAACTCTGTAGTGCAAATGCCCACATTCTAGTGATTCAGATGCCTGGTAAAATCAGGACAGAGATTTGCAGCTATGCGCCAGACCGAGTAGCCCAACTTAATTTTAGCACACGAATATTTCCGGCGCACTAAATATCCAACGGTCGGCTCTTCCGACAAAGGCACACACAGACGGACGAGCACGCCATCAACTCAGTTCGATGCGAGTCTTGGCCCTTTAAGTTCGGGTCAGCGCGGCCATGAGCGGGAGTGGCAGTAGACTCTATAACTCAATTGTCAAAAAATTCGTCCATTACACCATTAACATTCGAAACGTGGAGAATGGCTGCCACGGGTGAAGTCTGTGCCCTAAGCAAGGATAAACTCCTCCTTTTCTTCCCCAAGGAACCAAACCCAGAGTGGGTTTCTACTATAAGAGCCAAATATCCTGGCTTGCAGGTGAATTGGGCCTCATCTGTGAAGGAGGATGGGCAACCGGTGGATGTCAACGAATTGCCTGTCGAATATTGGCAAGGGATAACGTTATTGTTCGTGGACTGGGCTCCACCGCCAGCTCACCTCCTCTCGAACGTGAGGTTCGTCCAGCTTGCATCAGCAGGTGCAGATCTATGGCACAACCATCCAACCTATCTAAATAAGGACATAATTTTCTCCAACGCCAGCGGAGTATACACGTACGTCATAGCCTGCTTAAAAGGGGCTCTTCCAGGGCAGTCACTAATGCAAGGGTATCCAGACTTCAAATCGCTGAGTGGGTGATAGGCACCTGGCTAATGAGCCAACGGCACTTCCTCCGGTATCAGAAACAGATGGATGAACAGGTCTGGGAGATATCTTCCGTCCCTACCGTTGAAGACTCATACAAACTTCGAATGTGAGTTTCCTTGACTGCAAAAAGACCGTACTGCGCTTACATGAACAAGGGGCATCCTTGGGTATGGGTCTATTGGCCGTCAATGTGCCCGGATGGCTCAAGCGATGGGCATGGAGGTCTACGCTTATACACGCAGCGAGCGAGCCACGCCAGAAACCCGCAAAGACGACCAATACAACCAGTTTTGTGTTCCAGGTACCGGAGACCCGGAGGGGGTAATTCCTTCCAAGTGGTTTCACGGCACCTCAAAAGAAAGCATCAATAACTTCCTAGCTCAGGATCTCGACATTGTGGTCATCAGCTTGCCACTAACTAAAGACACGGAGGGGCTCATCTCCTACAAGCAGTTCGAGATCATGAGCAAAAACAAAACTTTCCTCACGAATATCGCACGAGGTCGCCATGTCGACACGCAGGCCCTTATTGCAGCTCTAGAGAAGGGCCAGATTCGAGGAGCCGCCTTGGATGTCACCGACCCGGAGCCCTTGCCGAAAGAACATCCGCTGTGGAAGGCCCCGAATGTTTACATTACGCCGCATGTTAGCTGGTTTACGAAAAAGGTGTGGGATCGAAGCATTGAGATTTTGGAGACAAACTTGGAAAGGCTGAACAAGAACGAGCCATGCATCAATTATCTTGCCAATCGGCATTGACAAATCCGTCATTGGCAATTTCTGAAGCGCTGGCTGTGTATACCTGGCAGTATTTATGGCACATCCATTATGAAGTCAAATAGAATCAGAATTGAGAATATGGTCAACAAAGGCTCAAAAGAATGAAAAACAATCTATTCGCCTTCAGCAAGTCACTAGAACTACCAGCAGTAAGCAGCCACCGAATAAGCCCGGTGCATCACCGGAGTCTTGCACAGCCACAAGAAGGGTCCCATGAGTCCGGTTGATCCCAAGATGGCTGACAATCCCAACGTGCTGACGGCATACAGATCCCAGTTCTTGGCTCTGTGTGCCCGCATGCGCATGTAAGCTGTCTGCGGGTGCATGGGTCGTGGTTCCCTGCCGCTCACGTCGAACCGCAGTTCATTATCTACATAGCTTCTACGGTGCGCGGCGGCACTTGTAAACAACTTCGTTGGCGCTGGAGCCACCACCATGGGTGAATTGAGTCTGGTGGACTCATGCTCCAAGATGGCTAGAGACAGGGATCCTAGAGAGTATATCAGGTAGCTACGCAGGGAATCATCCGTTCCGACAACGTGTCCTCTCGAACAACGCAGCGATGTAATCAAGGCATGACACAGTTTCACTCTACTATTCACAGACACCAAAACATAGCGCAGTAATTAGCTAGATCACTAGCCCAATAGCACCCTCATAGTGGAGTTGGCGAGGAGATTCAGAAGCTAATTCCACGCCGATGCCAACATCCCCACTGGAAAAAACGCCAATCCCGAGCATCCCAGTCATTGAAACCGAGCCGGCTCGGAGAGAAAGACAGTGGCTTGGTCTCGTCGGGAATCAACAATCCCGCTTGTTGAATACGCGTAGAACCTGAACAGGGATCCCCGCCAATACGTCATTCAAGCATTGAGACGGGGTGGAGTGCAGCCGAGATTCTTCAGGACGGTCCAGTACGCGCCTTCAGTTCCCCGCGTCTTCAAGGTGACATTCGCAAGATGGGCTTACAAGGGCATGTCACAATCAAGGGTTAAGTAGACCAATTGCACAGACTTTTTTGCACATGGGAATTGAACTTGAGAAACGTTTGAATGGGTATTTATAACTAAAATTTCAGCCAAGAGTGTTCTATCTAGAAGGCCATAACAGCGCCGAGAACACCCGCAACCACCAAGGCAACCTTGGACATACCGCCGTTCCGCGCAGCAGCGGAATCGCCATCGCCAATGTACATGGTTCCGGTTGGCGCGTCCATAGGCTCCATCACAGTCGAGCTCACGACGCCAGGGGTGCCCGTGCCGGACGCCTCCTCGGTGAAAACCACGGTATGCGACTCTGTGCAGGACATGGAGACGGAGAATGTAAAGATGTCGGCGCCGCACTTGGTATCGATGCTATCCGCCACGGACTCGACAGTCGCGAGCCAGGTTGTGAATTCGTCGAGGTAGCTGATGACCTCGTCGGAGAGGGAAGCGGGTGCGGTGATGGTGCAAGCCGAGATCGCCTCCGTTTCGGTAGCGGCCCAGTCCTGGAGCTCCGTGTTGCTGGGCTCAGGCGGCGACAGCTTCGATACGACGGAAGTGAAGCATGAATCGTCGATGGCGCGACGGTCGATGGAGCCGTGGGGAGGGAAGACGGGCGAGATCCCGAATTCTTCCAGGAGGGGGGTGTTGGCCAAGGCCTGGCTGGCCAGAGCAGAAAGGCAGCCGAAGAGGACGAAGCGACCCATGATTGAGAGAAGAGTGGCAGACAGCTGATGAAGATGTTGTTTGTGTGAGAGTGTTGAGGATTGATGCCGAGATGTGACTTGTGATGGGATATCAGATGGACTAAATATGATTGTGCAACTCAAAAAAGAAGCTTATTGAAGCATGTTATATGTTAATTTTCAGCTGAATGCCACCCAGGCATCCGCGGATCCTTAAATTAGAGTCTGCCTTACCGGGCTCAATCTGTTGGTGCCAAGGCTCCCCCATGCTGGTCCATCGTCCAACAATGAAATCGCGTGGCTCAGCTAGCAGGTTTCAGTGCGGCGCAGCCCAATCCTTCACGCCTGAGCTTGTCTGGACACGATCAGCGAGTGCAAAAGCGAGATCCTGGGAAACGGGCCGATCCACAAGGCGGAAGAACGGCCTATCAAAGGGCCCTGGAGTCTTGGTATGACGGCGAAGAGTCGGTCATGTGGGCTCGCCCGGGCAGTGACTAACCTACGGGATGAAGATCTTGGCCTGTCTGCCTACACTGTGGCCTGAGATGTAGCCTGGAATGGAATCGTACCTCGGACTCTTCCACCCTGGCTTCGGATCCTCAAATAGATGACTGCATGTACCTTGCAACGGGCTGAGGTCCAGACTGGCCCGAAAGGTTACAACGGGAATATCACGTCGTACTGGCGGTTAACATCCCTGGCCGTAGGGCGACAAGCGAAGGAACAGGCCGAGTTCCAGGCCTTCATCACTCCGCCAAGACGCTACTGCAGCCCTTCATCAGCTGGTCGACGACCTCTTCTTTGGGAAACATGGGGAGCCCAACCAAGAACCAGGAATAACCAATCGCCATCGAGCATGGCAGCCAGCAAGCGGAGAGCGTTTCACCGACTGTCCCAGCCAAACGAGCCAGCAAGATTTCCCCTCAAGCGAGACCATACGCTTTGATTTGCGTTGCACAGCCACGCCCCGCTTGAACTGATCTGCCACAGGATCGTCTCGTGAGACGGAAACCTCGCTCTGCTATCCGGATTTGACATGATAACTTAGCGTTGTGGCTCGCCAATTCAGCCTTGCAGTGGCGTGGAAAGGTTTGGGGGGCATTCTTTGAGGTCATACTTGTGCCATGACTAGTGAGACCCTGAACAGCAGTCGGGAGACGTGCGTCGTTGTTGTGGGAAAGTGGTGCCAATGTAACGGGTATTGTCCATTTAAGGTAATTAGTATTGTTCAATCCCGGGATAACTGCAGTTCACACCTAATAAAATAAAATAAACACTCATGTGCATGCTGTGAATCATGGGCCAATTGTCTTGATTGCTGTCTTTCCATCCCCCAATTCTCCAGCAGCTACCCTAGAGCCCACGCCAAAAAATCCATCCTACAACGCCGAACAGACGTCATTACAGGCCACAACATGGTTCCATGAATATGCATACCCTTCTCCTTCGGTTGATACTTATTGTACTTAGAATATTTCATAAAATAATTCTGCGGGCCATATCCATTTGGGAAATTGAGAGACACCGATGATAGTCCACGATCCGAAAATTGACGTTCAAAACAGGTACACGAAGCAGTAGCGAGAGATGCCTGGCATTATGATCACATTTCTTTGAACATCCTTGAACAATTTTTACCATTCCACTACCAAGTACAGTGTCTTGTCCTCCACATAAAGCCTCCCGGATCCCAAATGGGATACCAGTTGGAAGTGAGCTGGTGGCGGTATATGCGGATAGAGGACGCTTGTAATGGTTGAAAACACAGGCGTGGTAGTCTCCGCGATTGATAAACATAGAATCGTAGTCGATACAAGAGTAGAAAGGGGAGGGCTTGGGTTACAATGACGGGGATGGCCGCTCAGAGCGATAGCAGCTAAGGCCGTGATCACTATCCTTGGCGAGGTCATGTTCAAGTCGACGAGGAATTCTATGATGACAATTGAGAAAAGTAAAAACTGGGATGAATAATTCACCGTTAGGGCGTGCTATCCGATAGTTATCGGAGAGTGCAGAATTGAAACAGCAAGTGGTTTATGCACTCAGTAGCAAGAGTTATTTTACTAGCAAATGCCCGATGTAACAGGGGATCGTAGCTTTAGCTCGTATTCATCTAAATATTGACAATAAAAGGAGCTTAGTGTTGTGCTCAAACTAGACAGAATCTAGAGAACTAGTGTCAGCATCGCGAAACTGCAGGGGCCCTTGACACTAACTACTAAAGACATGGACACTATCCACAGTTCAGCCATGACTTTGTGATGACAGTTCAGTGATGGTTAGTTAGTACCTGTGCAATCCTTGTTAGATAGGGACTCTCGAGGCTTGGGGACGCCTCACTCCATCCTCATTCACGCTCCCCGCCGCCATGGGCATGCTACGGTAGGTGGGTGATCAGTCATCAAGAAGCGATCATCACCCCTCAGATGCCCGTAAGTGTCAAGCGAATCGACCATTTCCCGATCAGGCTGCTAGCCGCTCTGTCAGGGGTAGCACTACACATTTTGTAACAGACGATCGTACTGGATTTATAAATGCACTCTGCTTGGTATTTGTGTCCTGTTTCGGTATCTCAGTAGCTGCCATGTTCTGCATGATGGAGGCGTTCTGGGAGCCGGTTTAGAAGCCCTGACTCCTATATAATTATCCATTTCTTCTTCCAGTGTGGGCTCCGTAGAGGGGTGTAGCATAGAGATGACTATGACACGCTGGAGCGTACTGGGTAGCAGGGAAATCGTGCAAGCCATTTCCGCAGCTGCCTCTAATGTCCCTCTCTGTTCAAGGGAATGGCCTCAATCCTCGCGAATAGATCCTTCAGAGCCGAAAAGGTCTGGTGACCAGCTCTTCCAGCGTCCGTGTGAGCAGGCTATCCTGGTTGAAGCACAAGAACCTAAGCCCTTGGACTGTTGCAGATGCAGCCTCAATGATGACCAGAATTAGATTTGCAAGTCGACGCCCTTAGCCGGAGCGAATGCGGTTGTTGCAGCCACTAGGATAAGTGGTACCCATGCAACTCCTTTGTATCTTTACAGGACGGAAATATTCAAATATGTACGGCTACCTTCGCCAGGCTCCAAGTCTGTCCCGACATCGTATTAGACTCGAATAAGGCATGGGGCCATGAAGTCGCCGCTTGAATATATCCTGGTAATCCCATAATAGTTGCATTGTCCTCTTGACAGCAACACCCACCACAGGATATTATCACCGAGTAGGGTCCTCAGCCGGCAAACTCCGCCTTGTCCTCAATATTTGTGCCTACCCTTCCAATTTGTTGTACCAAATGATTCGTACTCAACGACCCCGTCGCTGTGATATTGGACCAGGCCACTTTGCTATATGTGCAAGGGAACCATCAAGCTATCGGGATGTTCTAGAGACCTGCACATCAAGATCCAGGAACTAATCGAGGGTCTCATTGTAAAAATCCTTTATCATTCTCATCAGTAATAAAAATTGTATTGAAAATCTCTCGCGATACCAGTACGTTGAAAGATTAAGTATTATAGTACATTGCAAGAACTACCCCCCTATATTAATTTTGCCACTTTGATACTAGTGACCGATGGTAGTTTACCAAGGCCCTTGCAGGCTAGAAGAAGGCCTTGGTTGATGATGTGCAGGCCGATGCCGAGGCCTAGTGCACCCAAGCCGAACCAAATCCACGGCCGGTCGCCGACAAACATGAGAGTGCTCGTGTCGCCATGGTGCCATGAGCTATCTTCGAGGTCGGTGATGTATGGCGCCAACTCGGTTGCGTTCACGACTTGCACCGACGAAGCAGGCGGCGCAGGCCTTTGGAGCAAGTAGTTCTTGACCGACATGGTCAAGAAGAAGGGTCCGGAGCCAACCATGATGGCGGCGTGGGGCAGGAGAGGAGCCCAGAACCGGGTGATTTCATTATAGAAGAGGAGGTTGTCAAGGGCTGTCTTGAAGGCGGGATGGCGGGGGGATGAAATCATGAGATCGTTAGAAACACCAGTTGGTGTTGTTGACTTGAATACGGCGTGATGAGCCTCTCCATCAGACTCGAGGAGGTGGAACGGGATGGTTTCGTTGCACAGTGTATCCATGTCAAGATAGATGCCGCCATATTCGTGGAGAACGAAATAGCGGATGGCATCTGCGCGCTGGATGGGGAAGGCGTAGTTGTCCCAGGTATCCACGAACCAGGGGTACTCTGCTGCGATGAAGTCACGAGCCAGCTCGTCGGTCCAGTGCTGAGATTGTTAGGAGTAGGTTCGCGGGAGAGAGTGAAGGGATGGGATTGAATGGTTTGTGATGAATGAGAGTGAGGGTGAGAGTGAGAGTCAGAGAACGTACCTTGTATTCAAACTCAGAATAAGTCTCTTTGCAGCTCTTCTGCAGATGAATCCATTTGTCTGGGATAATCTCGGTAGCGCTCGTCTGGTGCAGAATGCGCGGGATCTTATTTAGGGCTGCGGGAGGCTTTGGGTGCAAGGTCTCATTCAGAGGCAGCACGAGGCGAGAGCCAAAGAGCTCCTCATTCCGGACCAACAGGGTGATGAGCGGCTCGAAGGCGTGGACCAGAAAGGCAACGATGAAGACGTCGGCCAGCAGCAGGTAGATGGAGACCCTCCTGAGACGCGGCAGCTGGAGGTATTTCTTGGTGACGGACCCGCCCCAGGCCAGACGCTCCTCGTCGTAGGCCTTGTCGGCGCTGGCGCTTGCAGACGAGTTCATCGCGACGCGCGGGCTATTGATTGCGATGGAGGACAAGCAGCAGCAGACGGACGAGATGGAAACCGCTCAGGAGGAAGGGAGAGTGAGGTGTGTGGCGGCGTCTTCTGCGAGGCCGACGGGACGTGCCAAGAGAAAAACCTGTCTGCAGGGCAGTGCAAGCCTGCGCCTGGGCTGAGGACGAATATTGGCGTTAAACCGCTTTAGACCAGGAGACGGACGAGCGACATGCTGTGGAAAGGGGATTGGTGGAGGGAGTGTCGGGAGTCCCGTTGGGCCGTGGGTTCGTATCTTCGTATGGAGAGGTCGTACTCCGTATAGAGAGGGGGATGTATGGAGGAGGGAGTGGACAGGGAGTACAGAGGCAGAAGACAGAGAGGACAGTACTAATTCCCAAGATTCCAGAGACTACAGAGGGAATTACTGAACAGTCTACAGCGTCTCCAGCACACATGCTCCTCCTCTCCTGTACGTAGCACAACGCAAACAAGGGGCTCATGCGTAACAATCCATCACAAGGGTCATCCTCGCAACGCTAGCCCTAACAAAGACAAGCCTTTATTAAATACTACGTCAGACCTCATCTGGGATGCAGCCTTCCATTGGGCATGGCGCGTAGATTCAGGGGCTTACGTGTCCACTGCTGACTCAGAGTAATTTCAGCTAATGAGGCCTTGCATTGTGGTGTCCACAGCCCCCTGACGATGCTGCGGAGGAGGAGTTTATCGCTGCGGAGGACGAGTTTATTCCGTGGACTGTCGGACAGTGTGTATGGAGAGTGTAGACACTCTACGCACAGTACGTACGGAGAGAATACGGAGTGCGCGGACAGAAGATACACGGACACGGACACACACAGACTCTAATTACAGAGTCTCCTCTCTAGTCTCTCCAACAGCCGTTTCTACACGTATTCATCCCATCACATCGCGTGCGATAGCCCTCAACTGGGTTAGACCGCTCTCTTATCGGCTGGTCCCGCTCTTCTTCTCTACCGGAACTCCGGATGCTCGTTCATCTCTTGGTCGAGCCATCGCGAACTGCCGGTGCTGTGTTTTTTCCTCCATCGACACTCTCCTTCTCGTCCTCCATCGTCAACATCTCCTTTCCCACGCCGCTGCAGCTCTCCTATCGCTGCATCTCTCCCACCACTGCAGTCGAGACATGCTGAGGACCTAGAATCACTCCCGCGAGACTCGAATCATGGCCGAACCAGCTCAACCGGCCCAGCCGGGATTGGGGGAGGCTCAGTTTACCCATCACGCCTCCGTCGAGCCTGTCGTACGTCTTCCTCCCGCTCGCCATGTCTCCAGCACCGTGATATACTGACTGGCCGCTCCTTAGATCATCGTCGGCATCATGATTTTCTCCTGCTACGTGAACCGCCTCCGTGGCTATCCCCTCGCTCCCCAGCCGGACCAGGACCAAGGCCTACTCGGCCACACCAAGCTCGAGCCGCGCGACGAGGATTCATTAGACGACGGCTTCGACGACGATCATGATCGACCCTCGCCCCTCCTGGGCTCGGCCGCAAACACAGCCCGTCCTTCCAAGAAGCGCAGCTGCTGCGGCACCGTCGTCACGACCCCCGATACTTCACGCTTCGCCAACTACTGGCACAGCCGCTTCATACAAAAGTTTCCCTTCCTGGTTGAGATGTTCTACTGGGCCGTCAACTTGCTCTTCTACGTCGGCATCAAGCAGGCCAGCGAGCTGATCTTCGCCACCGATGGTGTTTGGAAGACGGCCGAGAACCACGGCATTGCTGTTCTCTGGTTCGAGCACGAGAGTCCTTTCCGCTTCTTCTTCCCGCTGCGAGAGGTCGATGTCCAGATGTGGTTCAGGACTGACCACCAAACCATGTTGACTATTCTCAACCGGGCCTACTCTCTTATTCACATCCCTGTGACTGTCAGGTAAACAGGCCCCTCTCCAGCCCGCCAAACACGTCTAACCTTGACCGTCTTTAGCTTCCTTGCCTGGTACTACTACGCCGCGCCCACCAGCGACCAATTCGCTGCAGCTCGCCGCATGATGAGTCTCACCAACCTCTTGAGCTTCGTCACCTTCACAACCTACCCATGCATGCCTCCTCGCCTCCTCCCCGAGAAGTACGGCTTCTTCGATACCGTCCGCCGCGAAGACGCCGAGTCCATCTACGCCACCAACAAATTCTTCAACCAGCTCGCTGCATTCCCCTCGCTGCACTTCGGCTACTCGTTCTGCATCGGCACCGTGCTATTATACCACTCCGGCATCTTCCGTCGCCGTCTCGCCCCCCGCGAGAAGCGCATGTCCAAGCTCCGCCAGATCTTCTTCGCCGTTTTGAGCTTCGTGTACCCCATGTTCGTCCTGACCATCATCGTGTCTACGGCCAACCACTACTGGCTCGACGCCGTGGCGGCTATGGGTGTTGTGGGCATGGCTTGGTTGTGCAACGGCTTCTTGCTGAATTTGTTGCCGTTGGAGGATCTCTTCCTCTGGAGTGTCAAGTTGGACAAACCAATTCCTACCACCGGCAATCGCGCATGGTAAAGTTTCACGAATGAATGAGGGCGTCCAAATGACCAAACAACAACGAAGTCCCATGGGGACGTAGGCTTAATCACTACAGACCGTAAGGTCTTCACATTATAGAGTGGGGGATATCTCTTCTAATAGAGGCTGTATAAAGTAAAATTGATTTAATTCTTATACGAGTGAAGGATCATCGGTCGAGGAACTGGAGCTCCCGGCTTCCTGGAGAAGGCTGTTCATGTACTTCTAGATGGAGACAATGTATTATTTCAGATGATGCCCTGCTGGTCCGTCGAATCCAGGACACTGGTCTTCAATGCGCATTACATCTATTTACCCACCACTTGGCTAACACTGTGATGTAACGCGTAGAATGCCGACTCTGGCATGGTTAGTAGCTCTTGCGGATTTCCCACCTCAACTATTCTTCCCTTGTCCAGGACAATGACCCGATCGAAGTCGAGTACGGTATCCAGCTTGTGTGCAACCGCAATGACTGTCCGACTCTGGAACCTGACTCGGAGCACGCGTTGAATAAGCATGTCGGTATCTGAGTCAATACTACTCGTCGCCTCGTCTATAATTAGGATCCTTGCGGGGTTGACGATGGCGCGGGCGAGACAGAATAGCTGCCGCTGCCCATGCGACAATTTCTCTTCATTGACTTGGCCGTCGAGTCCACCGCTCGATTCGAACAACTCCCATATGCCCACAGCACGTAACGCGTCCACGATGTCTTCGTCACTAGCTATCTCTCGGGGATCAACGTTTTCGCGCACGCTGCCGTGCAAAAAGAATGGTTCTTGCGGGAGGGTGTTGAGACGCTTGCGTACTTCTTCTCGTGGAATTGTACTGATGTCGATGTCGTCGATGGAAATCGTGCCGGAGGTGATTTCTAATAGATGGGCCAATGTAGATATAAGAGACGACTTGCCGCTGGAAATGGATCAGCGTTGTTAAGGTTAGACAGCATCACCAAGCGTTACCTGCCCGTTCGACCGCAAATTGCAATCTTCTCTCCCTCGGTGACATTGAGGCTGATGTCTTTCAGAACCGGCTCGACTGAAGAATCATATGAAGCCGAAACCGCCTTGAACGTAATCGTGCCATGAACTGGCCAACCCTGGGGAGCTTCACCACCCTCGTCGGGAAGATTCTCGTCCTTGACATTTGAAACATACCATCGCGTCCTGCCAATCGCCCCAAGTGCTGTCTCTAGACGAGTCCACTGGCTGACGAGATTCTGGAGGGTCGATCCAAATGTGACAATGTTGAAGAGGGCCACACCTAGAAATCCCGTGGAGCCAGTTTGCGTGGTGCAAGCGACTGATACTAGCAGGATAGCAACTCCGGCATTCAAAAGGTCAAGAACAAGGGTAAGCCATCTCTGTATGCACCACAACAGGTAGTACGGCTTCTGCGAAGCGTTCAAAGCTTCATAGTGCCGTTCCAAGTAGCTTTGCGTCCATCCGTAGGCTCGGATACACGTCAGGCCGTTATTGGTGTCCAAAAAGTGCGAAAAGAGCGGTGCTTTGGCCTCGATGTCTAGAAGACGGAGTTGTCTAGATGTTCGCAGATAGTAAAACTGGATCAAGACGACGGCGAGAATGCAGAACGGGATGGCGGCGGCTACGTAGCCCGAGCCCATGAAGACGAAAACGGCGGAGACGATGACGGAGAAAAACTGGAAGATGGTTTGGTCAATCGACATGGGGAGGTCGTTGTCGATTAATTCCAGGTCTTGGCTAAACCTTGATGATAATTTAGTCAGTGGATAGTCCAAGGGTGAATAGAGGATGGCGAACCTATTAAGCGTGGTGCCAGCGTCAACAGATGTGAGAAACGAAGTTTTCGCTCTGTGATGCATTAGCAGCTACAAGGTGCGAATTATACGTATATGCACACCTCATAGTGGTGTTTAACAATAGTTCGTGGAACCTTCTTGCGGTCCTGGGCAGTACTCTCATATTGAAAATGCTTCCTCTGTTAGTTCCTGGATAAAGATGGAGATACCTCCACTTACCTATCCGCCAAAGCGCAGCTCAGGACTGTAATGAGCGCGAGCCCTCCATAGACGCCCAGCCAGTACCCAAGGCGATCGCTGGGGTGTTTCTCGTTCGCGTTGGTCCACCATTGGACCCAAAGAGCTACAGGACTTAGCAGGCCCTTGCTCGTTTGAGAAGAGACAACTCACATGGAAAGGTGACGCCAACCACAAGCCCGGCACAGGCGACGAAGTACACTGAAATAGTCCGCCAGCCGGCGAGATTCTGGGTCTGGGGTTTCAAGCTGCTCAAGCTCCTGCAACACCTCCTCGGGGAGGCCCATCTCCGGCCGGGGCGTTGCACCTGGACAGGAGCGCTCGAGGCTTTGATACTCCAAGCCGGCGACTGAGATACTTTCCAAAGTGCCCTGTTCGGATATCTCGCCTTGATCATTGAGGACGATGATGTTGTGAGCAAATTTCAGAATGCTGGCTTTGTGGAATTAGCGTCTGTCAAACACAATGGCGACAAACGGTTACCTGAGCTCGTAGATAGAATGACAGTGCAATTTAACTTCCTAAATAATCCCGTAGATCCGAAGAGTGCTTCAATGATGTATTTTTCTGTAGCCCGATCGAGTCCAGCGAGGACATCGTCGAGCACCATGACAGGATTCCTGGAATAGAGAGCCCGGGCAAGTGACTGAATATGTTAGGACATAATCTCCGCAGCCTTTCGTGTCCAGTACTCACAACTCGCATCTGCTGTCCACCACTTAGTCGAGACCCGCGAGTGCCCGCATTGGTCTGATCACCATTGCCCAGCTCCAGAATGTCCGCAGGGAGAGCGCATGCACGCACGACACTGTCGTACCAAGCCTCATCCCACGTAGACATGCCCACTATGTTGTTCTGGATGGTACCCCACGTAATCCAAGGTGACTGAGGACAGTATGCTGCGGTTGAAAAGCTGGTGGAAATGCGGCCCGCGGTTACTGGCATCTCCCCTAGCAAGAGCTTCAGGAGTGTAGTCTTGCCAGAGCCGACAGGGCCGACAATCATGGTGATCTGGCCGTGAGGGATTTGAAGGTTGAGGTGCTTAAGAATATTCCCATCTTCTGAAGCATACGCGGCCGAAGCATCGTGCATAGTAACAGCATAGTGGCAGTTCGATTGAGTTGGTGCGCATTCATCAGTAGGCTTCTTCTCGCTTACTTCGAGGTTTGAAAAGATAGGGTTGGAGGACAGAGCCTCTGTCTTGGACGAGGATCGATATTCTTCGCGTTCACTAGACTCCAAGTATTCTTGAATGCGGTTGAAAGAGTTTATCACCGTCTGGACTTGTTCAAAACCATCTATCATGAACCCCAATGGCTCGTTCAGCAGTTCGAATAGACTCAATGCTGAAAATGCGACGGCTTGTGTCAAGGTTCCTGAGTCGTTTGATCTCGCGAGAAGGATGTACGTTGTAAAACCCCAGACCGGGGCCAACGCCGAAGAGGTGAAATCTGCACATCAAATATTAGCTCCATAGTGGTGTCGATAGCTGATGTTATAAACGTACTTGTCACAAATACAAATATGGTTAAGATCCGATGCCTGCGTGAAGCTCAAATTTCGGAAATCCTCAGACTTGCAATCTTTGACGACACAATCTCGGACAAACCTGTCATTTTTATTGCTTTCACTGCGCACAACGCTTTCGAGGTTGCAGCGAGGCGCTCCTCTATTGCTTCCAGCCACGGAATTTGAGCATTGCCTGCAGCGACCGCGAGAGGAACCCCTATAATCAGCGAGACTGGGAATGTCAGCATTTATACTAGAGCTCCGGAAACGCAGCCTAAGGAGGAATGAACGTCATACGTATGATCCAAACAATTGGGGCCACCAAGGCTAGCCCGATGAGCCGATACAAAAGCCAAATGGCCAATGCTGTATCTATGACAGCTCCGTAGAGTTCATGGATAAGAGTCATACTGGAACCAATACGGTCGATATCTGCACTCATCAAAGTGATTGCTTCAGCATCTTCTGTGACTGTAGCGTCAATCTTTAGGGTTTTGCCAAATATCAGAGTTATCAAACTACCACGAAACAATGTAAGTAAACGATAGGTCTTGTGTTGATATACTGCGTAGGATAGCTGACAGGTCGTTAGTTCAGAGCTTTCGGGCTGTAGTATTGACGAACAGAGAGCCCAATATAAACGATGGCATACGCGCCTATCAGTCCATAGGCAGTGCTTCTTGTACTTGGATCTCTTGGCTCCTCGGTAAATGTGAGGACTCTCTCCACTAGAAATGGCTGCGAAAAGCTGAACCCAGTGTAGGCTACTCTTGGTAGAACTCCAGCCAGAATTTCCCATTTGTAATGCGCAAGGAATGTTCCAAGAAGTGCATGCTTGCTAGATTTGTTGGCTAAGAGACATGTTAGTAGAGGTCGGTTGATGCAAACGGTAAAATGGTGGTAGTACCTCCTGCCCAGCGGCTTGCTAGTTTAGTCGGTTTTGAAGCCGAGAGTATCTCTTCATCCAAAATGGTCAGGGTATCAATACTTAGAATTGTTCGGAATCCCTTGAGGAAGATATGATTTAACCAGATGAAGAGTGCCCTGTTGATAACACCACTAGTTTCTTCAGGGGATGCGTTTTTCCATTCGATGCAAAGAAGACGTCGTTTCTCTCTTAGCTCTAAAGAGAACATCAGAAGCTTCGTCAAGAAGCCGGCGAGAAAGATTGGAGCAACCGTCTGACTCTCTGGGATGATGAAGAGGGTGCGGACGCGGGCGAGATCTAGAAGGCTCGATGTGCCTAAATATACGCACAGCATGGTGGATGGGCGGATCGAACGCAAATGGTTAAGATACGACGTGATCGTGAGCAGAGTATAACCAACTATTGTCATGACAATGGATGCTATGGTAAGCCTGGTAGTTGTAATGTCATGAACTAGCCACACTACCAAAAGGGAAATGTGTAGGATCACGTAGGTGGCAAACAGAACCTTTTATGTTAGCTAAAACAAGAAACAAGAAACATCAACAAACGGGAGTGCAGTACCATCTTGAAAGCCAGGAGCCATGACGGCAAGACTTTAGCAGTTTCGGCGCGAAGTGCCAGTAATCGAATTGATGCCCATGCAACTAATAATTTTTTAGCAACGATTGGAAAACGTCAGTCTTCTCCATGTGAGACTAACGAGCAATACCCAGTGGTAGGAGGGTGAGAATGCCCTCTTCGAAGAGGAGCGTGAAATCAAATCCCCCAGCGCAGGCGCCAACAACTGTTGGGCCAAAGGCATCCTCGACGCCCATAGAGCACCCAGTGCCATCATCTCGCATGGTTAGGAGGAAAAGTGTACGCTAACAAATTTTTCCAAGTCTGAGTGATGTGAGAAAAAGTCCAAGTCGTCGGAACGCTGTAATGCGTGACTGAGAGCTGTTGTCCCGGCTGGGAAAGGGAGTGAGATCTGGCGGCGTAGCGAGCTATAGCCGAGCTGTCCTCCAAAGCTGAAACAAGTATCATCTGACCACAAGGAATAGACAGCAAGTCTTAGTTGTAGTGAGATACAAGCTGCTGTCATTCCGTATTACTCGGTGACGGGATACGAGCCAGATTGCTTGTGAGACAAACTCAGGATTAGGATTAGGCGAACCGCCAAAAGGGCGCCTCGAGCGAAACAGTGGACATAAATTCTCTACGATTCGGAGCAAAATTCGGCTGCTGTCTGGTGAGTTTCACCCTTAATAATACACAGGTCTTTGGTAAATTGAACTGTGTCCGTAGTCTCAGATCTTGTGCCCCATCACCTCAATGTGAGTCGGCGAAAGCGCGCTTCGCTTTAGCACTTTACCGAAATGATGTGCTACTGCATGATTCAAGATCGCCCAGATATCCAATAAAAACTGTTCATTGTGTAAGAAATTAATAAGGTTCTAGATGAGAGGTCCACAGAACTGAGATTTCTTATTAATGTGGACCGAGAGAGGACCGATATGTCTCTGGGAGATCCTATTAGCCTACGGGATCAACCAATCCGTGTGCAAGCTGAGTCTCGGCTCTTTGGCGGCGTACGATCACACCAAGCAAGATATTATATCTCAGCTCTGTACAAGCCACAAATGAAATGGCATTTTGACGGTGCAACATTGTAGTGCGAAACAACTTGAGACAAATGAAATTACCATTTTAGTGCTAAGATGTACTAGCAAATGTCGTCATCATCCTATGTGAACACTCTACTATGGTGAGACATACCTATCTATGTGACGAAGGTGAGTCTATTAAACTGCCCCTACGATCGATCATTTCGTAGCTACCATGATCACAGCTCAACCTTCTCGTCGCTGCTTGACTGGAACGAACATATCGTCAACAGTCACCTGTTGTTTCAGTTCACGGCCTACCTTCAGCACATAACCATAAGAAATTTTGTTCTCATACCCAGAAATCCAACAGACCAAGAATCTCAGAGACGTTATGAGACATCAGCAGATGCACGATCCCAGTGATATCCGAAATGACAACCATGGCCTTCCAAAAGAAGAAGCAGACCATGTGAATTTTGGTGCAATCCAGGCTGCCAAACTCATCGAAGTCGAACCCACAGTGACAAATCTGTACTGCTTGACCAAAGAAGGGGTTTGGAAAAGTCCGTCAGACCCGGCTTCCTGTTCCTGCGATGATGTGTCCAAGATGCAGCGTCAGCAATCTGAACAGCGAGAAGTCGATTTGAACGGATTGCAGCACAAAGTCGAAAACTACTTTGACGCCGAGGGTTCACAGATTGCCTCGGTGAAATCCTGCGGAAGGACAGATGAGCAAATCATTCAGTCTGTCGAAGTTTCATTAACAACTCGGGAAACACCACGACAAATTGAAACGGAGGACTGCATGCGAGTCCTCTGGGCACAGGTGCTTAACAAGAGCCCATGCGATATCAGCACTGAAGACAACTTCTTTCACATTGGAGGCGATGTTATCAAAGCTATGAAGCTTTGTAGAGAAGGCCCTTCACATGGATTGTTCTTCACAGTCAAAGACGTCTTCCAAAATCCTCTACTCCTCGACCTCTCAGGCTCAGCCAACCCGAATCACGTCTCAGCTAAACCGGCTATTGAACCATTTTCACTTTGAAATCTGGCCTCGAGGAACGCGAGGTGCGAACCTACGCTGCTCGCTCATGTAGCGTTCAAGAGTCGCAAGTTGTCGATGTACTGCCATGCACACCGCTTCAGGGAGGGTTGCTAGCCCTGACCACCAGACGGGCAAGAGACTATGTGTCAACGAACGTCTTCCAAATCCGAGAAGAAGTTGATATAGAAAAGCTGCGTCGTGCTTGGGATCAGGTTGTAGCGGAGAACCCTATCTTGCGGACGCGAATCATAAGCCTTCCGCGGCAAGGTCTGGTGCAGGTTGTCATCGAAGAAGGGGTTTCATGGGAATTTGCCACCGATATTAATGGGTACCAGCAAGAGGATACTCAGAGCGGGCCTGCCATGAATTTAGGCACGCCTCTGACGAGATTTGTTGTTTGCGATGACGGCCAACGGGAACATCGATACTTCTTATGGGAAATACATCACGCTCTCTACGACGGATGGTCAATTCCGCTGCTACTAAACCAAGTCGAAGGCGCCTATTACAACCAAAGCACGAAAGAGCTGCAATCCATCGCCCCTTTCATCAAATACATTGCTGATATGGATGAGACGGCAACAAAAATGTTTTGGCAGACTCAGTTCGCGGATTTGAATGGATCCCACTTCCCTTTGCCAAAATCTGGATACCACCCCCGGCCAGATCGACACATGAGCGTGACCGTGTCAAACCTCGAGTTGGGACATCGGGACTTTACGGCGTCGACAGTACTCAGGGCCGCGTGGGCTATAGTCGTGGCACAGAGTGCTGGCTCTACTGAGGCCCTGCTTGGAGTCACTGTCACTGGTCGACAAGCCGCAGTTGCTGATATTGAAAGCATGGCGGGTCCAACTATTGCTACGGTTCCGGTCCGAGTGATTCTCGACCTGGACAACAGCGTCGACCATCTGCTAGAGATTATACAACGCCAGGCGGCAGAGATGATCCCGTTTGAGCAAACAGGGTTGAATCTAATCGCTCGTATGAGTGAGGCTGCAGCTGTGGCATGCGACTTTCAATCTCTTTTAGTGGTCCAGCCAGAAGACCAGACTGGGGAATCCTCTGGAGGTCTGTTCGTGAGCGAACCAGAGCAAGGCCCAAATGCCTCTCGGTCGCAAGGTTTCAGTACCTACGCCATAGTAGTTGAGTGTCAGCTCGAACAGGATGGAGTCCATATTCGATTTGGCTTCGACTCGAGCATAATCGGACATGATCACATGGAGCACCTGATCAAAAACTTGGAAGCTATCCTCATTCAACTTGCTGCTGCCGCGCGAGGCAAAGACAAACTGGGGCTTGTAGTCGCAGAGACTCAAATTCCATGGGGTCTGGGTAAAATCTGGGCATGGAACGCCTCAGTGCCGAAGCCTACAGAGCGTTGTGTCCATGATTTGATTACACAACAAGTATGCGAGCACCCTTCAGCGCCAGCGGTATGCTCGTGGGACGGCAGCTTGACCTACACAGAGCTGGATCATCTGTCGACGAAGTTAGCTCACCACCTTGTCTATAAAGGAGTGGCAGGGACTGTAGTACCACTCTTTTTTGAAAAGTCCGTGTGGATGCCAGTTGCTATCCTTGCAGTCATGAAGGCTGGCGGAGCCTCGGTGGCAATGGATGTCAATCAGCCCGAACAGAGACTGCGTTTAATGTCTGCCATGGCAGATTCTCCATTAATCCTGTCATCAATGCAAAGCAATGGTCTGGTCCAAAGGCTCGGCCACAACGCAGTGGAAGTAATGATAGTAGGGCCAAATCAGGACTGCTTCAAGAGTCCGGAGCTTACGTTGCCGGCTGTGAGTCCGTCGAGCCTCCTTTATGTCGCTTCCACCTCAGGTAGCTCTGGTACACCAAAAGGGGCTATGATATCCCACAGGAACTTCTGCACCGCCATTACCCATCAGCAGAAGGCTTTGGGATTCCTCGACACTTCAAGGGTTTTCGAATTTGCGTCATTTGCCTTTGACGCAGCGTGGTATACCCTACTCTTTACACTTACTTCCGGCGGGTGTCTCTGTATTCCCTCGTCAATGGAGCGCGAAAATGACTTGGCCGGGTGTCTCGAAAGATACGGCGTAACAGTAGTGGATTTGACACCATCTGTTGCGCGGTCCCTGGGTCCTGTGGCACTCTCTAGACTCTCTACACTGATCTTGGGAGGCGAGGCAGTCCTCAGCAGTGACGCCAGCATTGCCGGCAATACGACGCAAATCATGAACGTGTATGGCCCTGCCGAATGTACACCAACGAGTACATTTGCAGAAGTGAATTCAGGCAATACTCGCATTGGCCATGGAGCTGGCGTTTGCACCTGGGTGGTAGAACCCAATAACCCAGAACTGTTGGCACCGCTTGGAGCCGTGGGAGAGTTGTGGCTGGAAGGTCCCCTTCTGGGGCCAGGGTATCTCAATGAGCCCGAGAAGACAGCAGAAGCCTTTTTACAAGACCCAAAATGGCTACTTCGCGGTGCTTCAGGCTTTCCAGGACGTCGCGGACGCGTCTATCGCACTGGAGATATGGTGCAATACTTGGAAGATGGGTCACTCGTCTTCGTCGGGCGCAAAGACACGCAGGTGAAGATCAGAGGTCAACGTGTCGAGTTGGGAGAGGTTGAGCATCACGTTCATCAAGCAATTGAAAAGGCCGAGGGCAGCACCATTGCCAACGTTCATGGGGTTGCTGAGACAATTCAGCCACAAGGGGTACAGAGTGCGGTCCTGTTGGCCTTCATTGCCCTCGACTTTGTGGGAGTCGATGTGACGGAAAAGATGCAGAGCATCGCAATTCAACAGGTCACAGCAGGATTGGCAGATCGACTGGCAAGTGTGTTGCCGGCATACATGGTGCCAACATCATTCATCCCAGTCCAGAGAATCCCCGTAACAGCCACGGGAAAGACAGACCGCCGGCAGCTTCGCACTATGGGCGCACCAGTATGGCTTCATTATCGTGATGTCTCCAACACGGATAAGAAGGCAGAAGATTTGACCGACGTGGAATTGATCCTTCAACAGGTGTGGATGTCTGTTCTCAACCTCTCGGCCGAGGAGGTGTCCGTCAACAAGGCGTTTACCAGAATCGGAGGCGATTCCATCTCAGCGATGCAGGTTGTATCACGATGCCGGCTGCACAACATCGCCATAACCGTCAGCGATGTTCTCCAGGCTGGAACCATTCGGAAACTGGCGACATGTTGCAGACTCACCTCGCAAAATACGTCCGCTGAAGAGGACCAGCTCGAGACACAGGACGAGACGACCCAGGCCTTTGACCTCTCGCCAATACAAAAAATGTTCTTTGACGCCTATTCAGATGGGCTCAACCATTTCAACCAGAGTTTTGTCTTGGAACTAAGCGAAGAGATATCGAGAGCTGCTCTCAACGCGGCACTCGGAGCACTTGTCAGCCGGCATTCCATGCTTCGAGCGCGCTTCCAGAAAGGCCCCGATAGTGGACTATGGAGACAAAAATTGGCTTTGGATGACGAGTATTCCTTCGGGTTTACGGAGCACATTGTATCGAACCGCTCTCAACTTGTCCAGGCAGCACAGTGGCGGCAAGAACATCTGGATATCCGGGACGGCCCTGTTTTTGCTTGTGACTTTGGTCATGTTCCAGGCGGTCAGATACTTGTTCTTTCGGCACATCACCTGGTTGTTGATCTAGTATCATGGCGGATCATCTGGAACGACATCGAGGAATACCTGAGATTTGGCGAACTGCGTTCTCAACCAACCACATCATTCCAAACATGGTGTAAGCGACAGGATAAAATAACTCGAAACGCCTCCCCTCTCGCCGTGCTTCCCTACGCGATTTCAGAACCCCAACTGGACTTCTGGGGGCTGGACTTCAGTAAAAACACATTCGGTAGCTGCGAGACATACACGGAAGTGTTTGACCACGAGGTGACGAACCATCTCTTTGGCGCCAGCAATGACAGTTTGAGGACTGAGCCAGTGGATATTTTGCTTGGAGCCATGGTCCATGCCTTTACCGCCACGTTCCCAGAGCGTGTTACCCCTGTTGTTTGGGTTGAAGGGCACGGGAGGGAGCAATCTGATGATCTACCCCTGGATATCTCAGCAACGGTTGGATGGTTCACTACCATTCACCCCCTTCCAATTACTATCCAACCTGGCTGTTCAGTTATCGACGCTATCAGACTTGCCAAAGACACGAGACGGAAGGTTCCAGGTAACGGTCGACCGTATTTTGCCTGTCGGTACCTGAGCGAATCCGGACGTGAGCACTTTCGCGGGCATGAAACTACCGAGCTAGTCTTCAACTTTACTGGACGATATCAGCAGATGGAAAGCGACAAGAGTATGTTCAAGCGACTTCAGTACATGGACGAAGAGCCCTGCGATCTAGTGGAAGTCTCACCATTGGCAAGACGACTAAGCTTGATCGAGGTTAATGCCGATATTGAGGACGGGCTGCTGGCTGTCTCTTTCATGGTCCACGAGGACATGAGATATCAGGATCGGTTGAAGCTATGGTATGAGACCTTCGCTCAAACTGTGAGGTCCGTCACCAAAGATCTTTTGCATGCGCCTGCCAGTTTCACATTGAGCGACCTGCCCCTCCTCCCTATATCATATAACGGGTTAGATGTGCTGCTGAAGGACCAGTTGCCCTCCATTGGGGTCAATTCGGATGCTATCATCGACATGTATCCCTGCTCCCCGCTTCAAGAGGGCATTCTCCTAAGCTCTGAAAAGGGGTCAGCCTCTTACGGAACTTATTCAGTCTGGCGGTGCATGACATCTGGAACAACCATGGTTGATCCCTATCGACTTGAAGGGGCTTGGCGGACAGTGGTGAGCCGGCACACTATTCTGTCTACGGTATTTGGCCTGCATCCCGAGGGCAACGGATTCATTCAGATTGTGCTTCGAAAATCGAACATTCGTGTAATGCATATGACTCCAGAACACAACCCGACCCTCGAGTTGATGAGCGTGGAGAGGCCGACATTCACCGCTTCTGAACCCGAGCACGCCTTTACTATATGTCAATCAAGCAATGGCGAAGTTTCATGCAGACTGGATATTAGCCATGCTCTTATTGATGCAGCTTCGATATCCATTTTGGTACAAGGTATTACGGCAGCATACGACGATTGCAACATGCCGGCTGCTCCACCATTCAGCAAGATGATTGAGTACATCAACAATGTACCAAAGGCTGAGCGAATCGCGTCATGGACAAATTTCCTGGATGGGATCGAGTCTTGTGAGATTCCTTTGTCTAGCCCACATAACCCTCTGAGATGTGATAGTTACAGCGATGTTTCTATCCCGGCGAAGATGTTGTCGGGTGTGACGGACTTTTGCAAGAGAATCGGCATCACTCGCTCTGTCTTTATACAGGTCTCTTGGGCTATGGTTCTCGCTCATTTCACCGGGATGCGCGACGTCTGCTTCGGATACTTGGCTTCCGAGAGAGACGCCCTGGTGGATGGGATTGAGACTATGGTCGGTCCTCTCGCCAACCTACTGATCAGTCGCATCGACCTCCGTGCTCCAGCACGGCAGGTGCTTGAGACAGCATTCCAGAATTCAATCAAGCTTTTAGCAATTCGGCACATCTCTTTGGCAGAAATCCAGCATGGAATTGGCCATTCCGGCCGGCGGTTATTCAACACGTCTGTGTCGATTCGAGACGCCGATCACCCCATTGCGAAAGAGAAACATTCGCTTTCATTTGAGTCTCATATCGCAGAAGACCTTCACGAGGTATGTGAACTGTTGATTTGCCCTTTGTGATGCGGCAATATTGATAAATGTTAGTACGACTTGAGCCTTAGCGCTACTCTAGGCAAAGTCGACATAGACATTGTAGTGGAATTTCGGGAGCCACATGTTACTCGACAACTGGGTCAAGAAGTCTGTACCGTCTTGGCAAAAGCGATCGATTATCTCCTGGTAGCTGGCACTCAGCAATGTGCGGACCACTTGGGAAATACATTGAGAGAGGAGCCCGGGTTCGATATTGGAGTCGCTCCAGTGTCCCTTTTCGATGGGTTCTTTGCAAGCATTGTTGGGATAGACGAGGCTTCCACCGCAAACTTCTGGGAAAAGATGTTCTCAAAGATCCAAGGATGCCATTTTCCCTCTCCGAAGTCGAACATACATCACCCTCGACCTGATGACGAAATAACCCTCAGTCGACGGGGTTTAAATTGGTCAGCCAGCGAGTTTGAGCCATCTACGATTATCAAAGCCTCATGGGCAATTGTGGCAGCTCGGATGCTGAGTTCTAACGAGGCCGTCTTCGGGGCAACCGTTTCAGACCAGCAGACTGTGGTGCCACTCTGCGTGCCGCTGGATTGGGATAGCAGCGTCAAGAAATTGCTTCAATCAGTGGATAATCAGAATGCGGAGATGGCTCCGTTTATTCACACCGGCTTGCAAAGAATCCGTCTTATAAGCAATGAGGCAGCTTTGGCGTGTGACTTCCAAACGCTTCTACACATAGTCACTAAACCTTCCAGCGACATCGAAGCAGAAGAACCCGTGTTGATCAGCAACGAGCACAAGAGCTATGAACGCTTCAATTCAAATGCACTAGTACTTGTGTGTAATTTGCAAGCTGACGAACTCATCGTCTGCATCAAGTTCGACTCGAATGTGGTTGGAGAACGACATGCCACACGCCTCGGTCATCAATTCCAGCACGTTCTCGATCAATTGTCTCAACTTGGTACAGAGACGAAAGCTATCAGAGACGTTACTGTAGCAAGCAACAGAGACCTGAACGACATTTGGAAGTGGAACAAGACAGTCCCAGAGCCGGTAGACGCTTGTGTGCACGGCCTGATCACGGCGCGAGTATTAGAACAGCCATCAGCCCTCGCCATCCACGCGTGGGATGGCGACTTGACATATGGACAACTCAACAATCTTTCCACGAACCTCGCACATGTACTTATCGAAAAGGGCATTGGGAGGGGAGCGATTGTCCCCCTTTGCTTCGAAAAGTCCATGTGGATGCCAGTCGCCGCAATTGCCGTCATGATGGCTGGTGCCACATCGGTGGCGGTAGACACCTCGACGCAGCTAGAGGAGCGTCTACGTGCGATAACTACTCAAGTACACGCGCGAGTGATCTTAAGTTCGGTTGGAAATGAGGCTTTGGTTCGTCGTCTGGGCACCGACGACGTTCTTGTCGTGGGTCCTGATCAACTCCCAGCCAGGATCTCGGATCAGCATTCCGAACTCCCAACCGTTACGTCCTCAGACTCTCTATACGCCATATTTACTTCAGGCAGCACGGGAGAGCCCAAAGGTGCCATTATATCACATGGGAACTTCTGCAGTGCCATATCCTACCAGAGAGACGAGCTCGGATTCACGAAAACCTCTCGAGTATTGGACTTTTCCTCTTACGCCTTCGATGTTGCGTGGTCGAATCTACTTAATACACTCACTGCAGGCGGCACTCTCTGCGTACCATCCGCTGCGGAACGAGAGAATGATATTTCAGCGTGTATCGAAAAGTACAGCATCACAATGATGGACCTCACTCCATCAGTTGCTAGCCATATCGAGCCCAAGACAGCACTTTCAAGCTTATCAACGCTTATTTTAGGTGGCGAAATTGTCCTCGCAACGGATCGAAGACTGGCGGGAGATGATGCTCAGGTCAAAAGCGCCTACGGTCCTGCAGAGTGCACACCTACAAGCATGATTACCGAGCTGTCTGAAACGAACGGGGGCGGCCTTGGTTATGGTGCTGGGCTCTGTACCTGGGTGGTTGAAGCTGACAACCCTGAACAGTTGGCAGCAATTGGGGCCATTGGAGAACTCTGGCTTGAGGGGCCACTTGTTGGTCAAGGATATATTTCTGGGTCCACGTTGACCTCAGCTTCCTTCATTGAAAATCCGCAATGGTTACTACGCGGGCTTCCTAGTACACAGCATGGCCGCCACGGTCGGTTGTATCGCACCGGAGACCTCGTTCAATATACGGAAGACGGATCACTTCTCTTTATTGGACGAAAAGACAGGCAGGTCAAGATCCATGGCCAGCGGGTTGAGCTAGGAGAGGTTGAGCAACATGTCCGACAAGTTATCGACGCGCCTGAGGGGAAGTCAACTGTGCGAATTGTCGCCGAACCCGTCCAACTCCACGGAAATAAGAGTGTTGTCCTAGCGGCATTTGTAGCCGTCAGTGGGACAGGAGACTCATTGAGCGAGGAAGATCATGCTCGCATGGTGCGGCAAGCAACGTCAGGGACAGCGGAACGGCTCGCAGCCTTGCTGCCACCATATATGATCCCAAAGCTGTACATTCCCATTCAGACCGTCCCAATGACAGCAACAGGAAAGATAGATCGTCGCCGTCTTCGACAGATCGGATCTTCCCTCACTACCGGCGACATTGCGGCACTTGCCCAGTCAGATGGCGAAGGACTGCCGCCTCAGTCAGAAATGGAGCGAGCAATGCAAGGTTTGTGGGCAGACGCTCTCAGTATGGATCCGGACACGATCACCAGAGATAGTAGCTTCTTCCGCATTGGGGGAGACTCTATCCGTGCAATGCGTTTGGTTGGGATAGCACGGCAGAAGGGATATTGCCTCACGGTTCGAGAGATCTTCAAGAGCCCTGTGCTCCGCGATCTTGCATGCAAGGTTGTTGTTTCCTAAATGATGGCTATGAGAGGTAGACGGCATACTTTGAAAGGTGACTGTCGGAATTACATCTATTGATATATAATGGATGGCAATTACTATGTTAATGGCGAAGATTTGACCTCCCCAACACGTCCCTGTACCGCTTGGGGACACCATTTGCTCGGCAGAGTTGGGGCTCTTATTTCCATCTCCAGCGCCTGTTCCACCCCGATAAATCCTCTACTATTATAAAAGATCCTATAGACTGATATTATTTTCTAGGCCTTACTAGGGGAGATGCACAGAAAGTCGTCGCACAGGCGTCTTGGATGGTTATCCCGAAGCTGCACTAGACTACGCGCATAAGGTCGGATTCATCTGAGGCTCATGTCTTCTGATAGGGAAGCTTCTAATGAGATAGAATATCGGGTCGGTCGCAAAAGGTCTGTTGGCAAGTCTTCAATATGGCCTCCGGCAGCCCGATATCTAAGGGATGTTGAAGACGGAGGTTAGATAAGGATTATAGCGTCGGTTAAAATAGACTCAAATAAGTCTCTCGAAAATAAAGGCAACAAATTAATAGACTTTCTAGCTGTCTCGAGCCCTTCCGGCCTCTTTGACTTCTAGGAAGAATCCCTGATGAAAAAAAAACACGATGCCCTTCCACTGTGATGGCTCTAATCTCCCCTTTTTATCCCCTAAGAGCTCCCCGCCAGCCCCAGAGTCCCTGACCGCCCGTGACAACACTTAAACTACCCCGTCCACTTTATTTTGGGCAAGCACCCCAGTTGCACTTAGGCTTGGTGACATAATTAACAGTGAGAATGCCGTGGCTGCTGTCACTGTTGTCACCGCTCGGAAAAAAGACCGGAATACTGCCGCATCTCGCGCAACCGTGATCCTTCAGATCCCAGAGGAGCTCACTGATCTTTGAACCAGGCATGCCACCAGTGTTTTGCAGGAATGCACAGAGGTTGGCAGCACATACAATATGCTCCCCATTCTGATACCAGCGACCTAGGTCGATATAATTGGCCATGCTGATTATATCGGTAAGCCAAGCACCGCTTGTGCCGCAGTTGCCGCTGCCGTTGCAGTTAATGCCAGCAGCTACCTCTCCCGCAGCCAGGATGGCAGTGGCGATAATCGTGGTGATTTGCATTCTACATCAGTGTTAGCAATGCCGATGTGGATGACAAGACTCATATTGACCTGGTGTTTCTGGAAGTAGATGACTGTGAAGTGGCTGAGTTGAATGAGAAGAGTGAAGTGGATGAGACGAGGAAAAGTGAGTTCGTCGAGACAGACCCTTTATATGTGACAGCCAGAGGCAAAAATAGGATATAATCCATTATGGTGGAGTTAAGCTGAGAGTGCATATACGAACTGTCCTCCGGGATTAGCAAACTTGCCGCAGAACGACCGACCTTAGCCTTTTTCATCACATCCTACACTCCGTAAAGGCAGGTCTTCACGAACAATTGATCTCTATGGATCATGACATTGCAGGCCGATAATAACAGTGACCTTGTACTACGGTATCATCATCTCAACAGAAGGGAAGAGAGAAAAGTTCAAGACTGCAAAGACTAGGGTATACGGAGTTTATGCCATGCTAAGAGTTTTAGTAATGACAGGTTTAAAGATGCTCTTATGATATCATCAAAATTTATCCAACTTGAATTTACAGAGTGCTGCAATTTAGGCATCGAATAATCCACAATCAGTTAACAGTGACAAAGTTAAGAGAGAGCCGCAGCACCTCGGCGGCGCCGTGTTCTGGAATCACAAAGGTTCCTTTTGTTTGAGTACCTAATGCATCCTGCGGGACCCAATATTCTATCTGGAAGGTTTATCAAAATGGAAGGTGTTAACTGAGAAGGGCATTGGATAGAGAGTATGATTGGATAGATGATGATTACAATGTGCTTATGTAAAGGCCCGCATTTAATCGCCTCGGCGGCACTATATTTTGTAATCACAAAAGTTCCTTGAGTTTGAGTAATTTCTCCTGTAGGATCCATTTTTCCATTACTGGAAGGTTCATAAAATAGAAGGTGGCAAGTTAGAAGGGCATTCAGCAGAAAGTATAATTGGATAGACAATGATGACAATACGCTTATATAAAGGCCTGCATGTGAGTATACGACCCCAATTTCCGACCTCCCGGCTATTGTGGGTCTGCTGAGCTTTGCGGCTCCATAACATGCATGATAAACATGCACTGCATCCAAGTATTCGCCACACTTTCTTGACCGCTTCCAATAGTAGATATCATAGAAACAACAAAGCGTGGTATGAACAGAATTAGTGACTATGGTTTTCTGTGGATATTGTAACAACTATCTGATATGTTCTTACGTTATGGTCGGTCTTGCCGCATCATTCATAGCGCCTTTCCCTGGTCGAGCCAGCCTTCCTTAACCACTACCTCGCGACGTTTTCATTACTCCTTGCATATGAACATCCACTCGATCAATCACTTACCCTCCTTCATCTACTATCGTCACCCTTCTTCTCTGTATTCTGGTTCCTCCTACTCTCTGGCGCTAGCTTGGCATCTCATTTGCCTGCTAAAGGTTTTAGACCTCGGCCTTTAATAAAGCATTCTTGTGTAGAATCGCTATTGTTTCTTTTATAAGAGGCTTCAGGATAAAATAAAAGCTTCTTAGCTTTAGATGAAAAATCACATTCTCGGGGACATATGGCAGACTGCCTCACTATTGTATTATTACCACCCAGTCTAATACACTTCAAGCACCATAGTAGCATGCAAAAGATTGGACCTGGTTAGCCCAAGGTCGGCAACCAAATTCGTCTCCGTACCGCATCTGATCCATGTAGTCATTGCAATTCTTTCCTTTGTAAAGGTTGCACAAGCAGCCCCCCGCTTGGCACTCTGCGAGGTTCATAGCCGTGCCGTAATGGTAATTGTAACAGTTGCTCTTGCCCGCGGAAACACTTTGAGCCCAAGTGACATCAACCTGGCCAGTGTAAGACTTGCACTTGGTGTCACTGTAGTAGTTGATCTGCATCTGCTTGGCAGCGGCAGCGGCAGAGATCAATGCAGCGAACACGGAGGCAGTCGAGAAATGCATCTTGAAGCGTGCTATACATCGGCGAGTTGTTAGCGCGGAGTGAAAAGGTGTTGAGTGACTAGTGTATTGACTTACAGATAGTACTGGAAGATTGGCTGGTATCGTGGTGAAGACTTCTTTACTGAGTATGAGCTTGGGGAAAGAGTGCTGGTTTTCTGATTCAATTTTGATGAGAGGGCGAGATATCAACAGTTATATATCCTTTGAGCCTCGAAGGACTCCTTTTCACGCCCTAAATAATTGGGAATAAAAAGTAGGCGTGTAATATTGACAAAGGTTTAGGTAAGTAGTGACAAAAACTTCTAACACATAGGAGTAATGCAGCTTTTTCTGACAAAGCCGTTCGTTTGACAAGTAAAAAAGCCCATACCAGCCTGGAATAGGTTGTTACATAACTAGATGGAAGAGTGCGCATATTGCAGGCTCTAGGGTGGAGCAGGCCACCTGCGTATACGAGAATCTGCATATACGAGATATGTGGAGTTTATTGCATAACTCTCAGGACTTCCAGCAGGGTTCTTTAATGTATTCCACTTTAATAATATTGTCTCTTTGTTCTGGGCATCGCCCCGTAGACGTGTGGGTCTATGTCAGGGCTGAGTGGTTGTGCGACTGTGCCTTATTGTGCCGAACAACCCCAGGCTGTAGTTTTATACAAGGAAGTGATGTCGATCAACGCACTAATATATACTTGATGGCCCATGACTCTGTTCAAATAGGTCGGCCTATCGTCGGGACTACAATAAACGTTTCGACTCGGCGCTTTGGGCCCTCTTTGGAATGATAGACGTTAAGTCGGACCACCCATTAGCTGACCGACCCCTTACCTGACCGCCCCACTTACAACGCGTCAACCACAACGCGCCTCTAGCCACACGCGTTTCTTCCTTCAATAACACTCAATTGGTCAATTTAACCTTATTTTCGTTATTTTCATGCCTAAATACACCGAAGAAGACCTCCAACTAGCCATTCAGGATGTGAAAAATGGTCTATCAATGCGAAAAGCAGCCAATGAGCGCGTTGTTCCTTATTCAACCCTACGGACCAAGCTCAATGGCGTGCCAAGCCGCAACGAAGCCCACGAATGGCGTCAGGTGCTTTCTAAGAACCAGGAAGACCAGCTCTGTGATTGGCTCATCTTACAAGATAAGCTCGGAATGGCATTGACTCATAGCCAGATCCGGAAGTTGGCAACTTCCTTGTTGGGCGAAAGTGGCGTCAACCGACAACTCGGAAAGCACTGGATGACTGGCTTCCTACGCCGCAACCAGCAAATAAAAATACTCAAAGGAAAGGGAATTGACCGGAAAAGGATAAATGGAGCAAATCCAGCTGCTATTCGTGGGTTCTATGACCTATTGGACCAACCAGGGGTCAAATCGATCCCTCCACGCAACCGTTGGAATTTTGACGAAACTGGAGTCTTCCAAGGGCTCGGAACCAACGGGCTTGTAGTTGGCCAATCAGAGCTCCAATCGACAATTAAGAAACAGCTACATGACCTTAATTGGATAACCATTCTTGAGGCTATTTCCGCAACGGGAAGGTACCTTGACCCATTAGTCGTCTTTAAAGGCAAATACGTCCAACACCAATAATTTCCAGAGGAATTAGACTTTCTGACCAATTGGAAATTTACATCATCTAAAAAGGGCTGGACTAATGACGAAATTGGCCTTGCTTGGCTGCAGGAAGTCTTCCTTCCAGGCTCTAAGCCAGCCCGGACTAATGAGAAGAGGCTCCTCATCCTAGATGGGCATGGATCACATATAACGCCTGATTTTATGCGTATTTGTGTGACCAATAGGGTCCATTTACTCTATTTGCCGCCTCACACAAGCCACGTTCTTCAGCCTCTTGATATATCAGTCTTTGGGCTACTTAAAGCTACATATCGGGCCGCCTTAACACTAGCCAATCCCCTCACTGATATTGGCCCAACTAGGAAGGAAGACTTTCTTACTTGCTATTTTGAGGCAAGAAAGAAGGCTCTTACTACTAAAAATGCCTTATTAGGTTGGAGAGGAGCTGGGTTGTGGCCAATTAACATGTCAAAGCTAATGGGTAGTAAATTCGTTATTCACAACCCTAATGATACAATTACGGTCCAATCAGAAGCTTCTATTTCTCCAAAAACGAATCAGAGGTCTGAAATTATCCCTTTTACAACCCCTAGCAATTCGAAAGACATTGCTTTATTGGTCCGTTCTCATAAGAAGGAAATGCTAGCTAGCCCAACTACAAGACAGCTGTTGCGGACTATTAGCAAGGGATTTAATAGGCTCCAGTTCCAAATTGCCCAATTAGAAGAAAAAATCAAAGTCCAAGATCAAAATTCAAGCCAGTCAAAGGCTAGGAAAAGAGGACGGGTTTATAAAGACCCAAATAGGCTATTTCAAGATATCCGGAATGTTAAGAGGGCAAGAAGGCGAATAAAAACGCCTGAGGTTGAAGATTCAGAATAGCTCGTTTTTTCTTTGTTCTTATTGGTTGATTTTTTGATATTTAGAAATTTAATTAGTTAGTTTATTAAAAATCAGTTGAAATGGACCAATTAGGTCTTTTAGTTGCTATTTTATCTATAAGTGAAGTTGAATTGCGATTTTAGTTGTTATGTAAGTGGGGCGGTCAGGTAAGGGGTCGGTCAGCTAATGGGTGGTCCGACTTATATGATGATTGCACCTAAATACTGCATCATAGGGCAAAAGATTGGGCCATGATCGCTATTGTAGTAATTAAAGAGTTGCTTACAGCTGTTTATAGGAGCCTACGGTGAACCAAGCCGTAACACTTTGGCATTGCGAAGTTTTATTTAGAAGAATATCGAAAAGCCTTATACTGGATAGAAGATGATGTCGCTGCCTCCAGCGGTAGGCTCAAAAGTTCTTGGTATTACAAGGATAGAGATAAGGGCTAGCGCATCATGAGATATCCTAGCAAGTTCACGATTTGGCGGAAGTCAGAAAGCGCGATGTCGACTAGTCTTCCTCACCGCATACAGTTGATAAGACTTTTTCTTCCTCCGATGGCGGTAATATTTTGTCTGTAGACTTGAACTTGTACTTCTCGCCCTTGCGGCGAATACATATATATATATATTAGCGTTATAAACCTGGTGAATAAGGAGACCGTTGTTCATGAGTGCACTCCATTTCTTCTTAAAGTTCTCATTACTTCGGTTTCTCTTAGTCACTCGGGCGTTCTTACTACCGGTCATTGTAAAGGCGTAGAGAGAAGGTCAGCAAAGTAAAGCCCGTGTTCTAGGCGGTTATGATGTAGGTTTTTTATAGAAACCCATTTTTATGCTCACCATTTTGCGTATTCAGGAAGCTGTTTTGTGGAAATTTAAAGCCAGGTGGTTCCCACAGTCGTGACTTTATTACTCTCCTCCCGCTGGCTTGTGAGTACTTCCACTAATACTGACGAATGGTTCAGTAGCCCCATTTGCTCTCGGCAGAGTTGGCGCTCACGCTTCTATCTCCAGTCCCTATTCCAGTGCAATGAATTCTCCACTATTGTGAAAGATCTCATAGACTGGCCTGATATCCCAGGCCTTGCCATAGAAATTGTGCATGACGATGTGATCCAAGGGCCTTTGGAAAGGTATCGCTGGCACCGCCGAAAGACTGTACCCCCGATATACTCTTCCCAGTTGGAACTGCTTCCAAGTCCCATATGGAAGCATCAGTTGCTCTCCTTGTCAATGAAAATGAAAACCAACCTCATAACAGTATGAGGCAAGCATATCGAGTCTCCTACCTGATGACTTCGTGATGCCCGGTGAGAATCATAGTGACGTCACTGTTGAGGACGTAGTCAGTCGCCGGACTGGGATGATACCGTAAATAACTCCTCCATAGGTCCGAATTTTGGGCGCGCGAGAAGATCACTGACAATTTGGTAGCCATGATTGGTGGTACCTAGGGCCAAGCGCTGCTCAGCTGGATGAAGCCCGATCCATCAGGAGAATACCGAGAAATTCCACGTTAGGACTGTCCTGAATCTCAAGGTGCTACAGGCATTATTTCGAGTGCAAGCGACTACATCGAATGGGTCAATGCAATAATGAAGCGACAAAGGCTAATTACGGAAGGCGTTTTTGAGGGGCTTATCGAGGGGCGAATTTTGCAGGACCTATCGAGTAAAGATAGTGTGGAGGAGACAATATGTGCAGCCGGATGGGACATTCGCTGGTACTGCGGTGGCAAGATGGTCTCGCACAATGAGTCAGAAGAGGGATTTGCGTGCAACTACTTCTTCATTCCCGACCTCAACTTTGAAGGAGTCATTATGAGCAACTCAGACATGGCAAGCGAGGTTGTGAGCATCCTCACATACGTGTTGATTGATCAGGGAATGCAGGTGCCACGACCTGAAAGCTTTCTTGGTGTCGAGAAAGACTTGAATTGGAAGCCTGAATCAGAGACTAGTGCTGATCACAGTGATGGTGAAACTATGAGGCCAGAGGAAGAAGTCCGACAGGAACTTTGCCCTGAATCAAAGAGCTGGAGTGCACTCCATGCCACTTTCTGCAAACACTGTGGAATACCAGAACCCCGGGTACCGAAAGATTAAAGTCGAAGAGAGAGAGGGGTTGACTTTTGTTGATGCTTAAAATCAGTCAATGGCATTCACCCTCTCATTCGAACATATTTGTGAGCAAACGAAATACATTGCCCACGTTCATGAGAACTTTACGGCGGGGATCCTCCGATTAAAAACGAGTTTATTATTGAGGGCAATATAGCTGTTCAGGTAGGTTTGCATTTGGAGGAAGGATTTGAAGAGTATATTTGGTTCAATCAAGTAAAAGAAGAAGGGGTCCATGGGGTATAATTAGATTCAGAAATTAGCACATTAACATTTGGGACCCTTTCTCAATCCCTTCAACTCATCTACGCTGGAAGATACTCTGCTTAGATGGCGCTGCCTTGACACCAGAGCGCTTGTCTGCCACATTTGGATGTAGTCTAAGTGCCTCGAGTGTGAACAGAGTTGCATGAGTGTGTGCCCATAGTTCCCCGTTTCCTTTCTTGTTTCTTTTTGGATTCAATACCCTGTCTCCGGACTCGGAGACAAGGAGTGGGGAGCGGGAATTCCGTTGCCCACAAAACAACAAATTCTACATAACGATTCTTCTCGTTTTATTAGTTCTGGTACATTTTTAGTGTTTTACATATTTTATCGATGACTCATTGCAGCGCTTGTACTGTGCGTGTGTGTAGTGATGTCCTCCTCATGATAATATTGCGTCGTTTGCGGACTCAAGCAGTCTGCGCAACGCAGGCCACCTCAAGTCCGAAGCGACTTTCGAATACCAATCAAACCCCAAAACCCGTAAGTAAAAGACCACACACAGTGCTATCAGTGTCCCTGCCACCAAAATCTCGGCGACAAACAGATATAACCGCTGCCATTTACCCTTTCGGGCGGTCTTGTTTGCTGAAGTCGTGTGAAGCCCGGCGAAATCGACATCCATCAACCTCATATCCAAGCTAGCATATTTTCCAGGGAGACAACTCATGGCCGGATTCGAGGCGGAAACCGACCGCAAAGGTGGTTTCTCCGACGCAACAGGAGGCGGTAGAGGTTTGAGTGTAACAGCCGCGGTCGAGCTTGAGGATGATATGGTGGGAGCCGGATCTGAGGGTGGACTGGGAGTTGGCGCTGAAGCTGGTACTGAAACTGTGGATGAAGCTGAAGCTGGAGCCGACGATAAAGCTGGAGCCGACGGTAACTCTGGCGCGGGAAGCGAAACTGACGGCTGTGAAGAATTCAAAGCTGGAGATGGAGCTGCAGTTGGGGGCGAATCCTGAGCTGGGGATGAGGCCACAACTGGGGATGAAGCTATTGCTGGCGGCGAATCCGGAACTCGGGATGAAGCCGTAGCAGGCGGAGAATCCGTAGCTGGGGGCGAATCCGGTGCTGGGAGTGAAGCTCTATCTGGAGGCGAAGCCGTAACTGGGGATGAAGCTATAACTGGGGACGAAACCGGGACTGGGGATGAAGCTATAGCTGGTGGCAAATCTGTAGCTGGGGGCGAATCCGTTGCTGGGAGTGAAGCCGTAACTGGGGATGAAGCTATAACTGGGGACGAAACCGGGACTGGGGATGAAGCTATAGCTGGGAGTGAAGCCGTAACTAATGATAAAGCTGGAGGCGATGGTAGCGCTGGCGCGGGAAGCGAAACTGGCGCAGGGGACGAGTGCAGAACTGGGGATGACGCCGCAGCTGGGGACGAAGATAGAGCAAGTTCAGGAATCACAGTCGTGACTGGGGTAGGAGCGATAATAGGAGATGCTGATCCGGGGGAAAATGATACGGCAGAAGAAACAGACGACGTCGGCGAGACGACAGAACCTCGAGCTCGAGCCCGAACCCGAGAATGGCCGAGAGAGACTGGAGAATTTGGCAGACCAGGAGTGACTGGGGACTTTGAGGCACCGGGAGATCTAGGTGATTTGAGAACCCGGGTGGGAGTTCGGGGCGTTTGTGTCACCCGATGTCTCGAGGATGCCGTTGCCGCCGCGTACCGGGGAGCTTGACGATTAATAATATCTGGTGCCGACGACATTGTGTGCGTATATCTCTGTGCAGTGGTTTGGGTATATCGTATATGCTGGTGTCTCTGTCCGTTTTCGTGTATATATGTGTGTATGTTGTGTTGGGGGAATAAGAAGAGTCAAATTGTTGAGCTAACGATCAGCTGCGAAGATGAGAGACGTAAGTGCGACTGGCATCCTTGGCGAATTCGGCATAACACTGCAATAATGTAGATTGGTCGTGCCAGTTCTGGTGTACAGATGATGGGCTGGTTTATGCAGGTACGAATACGGTGATAGATAACCCTTTGTTAGCCAAGACATGCACCTATGCCCATACCCTGTCCGCTCTTCACTGCAGGTCTCACAGAGTTTTCTTATCAACGAGACACGATGATAAATCTGACGACTTGGACACACACGCACATGCGCCTCGGAAACATTGACGTGTAGTCACATTCCTCATCAGGCGATTCCCAGCTTCCATCCGCCGATAGCCACGGCGGGTATGGCGTGCCGACCTTGGCCAGACTAGGCGTCCGAGCCTATTGCCATTGGTGAGTTGGACAAGGGGTTGCATTTGCGGCCATGTGGTCAGTGAATCCGGGGTGGGTGGACGGAGTACGTGGCGGTTGTGGTGGCGCGAGGGGCGGCGAGGCGGCGAGGCAATCGGAACACCTTCGGTCAGGACTAGAACGGTCGATTTGGACTCGGTCTGGGCCTGAGACAGCTGCGTCTGAGTTCACTGGTGCTGTTCCTCCTGTGGAATGTGACTGTCTTACCTTACCCTCCAAATCGAGCGTCAGATGTCTACCATTTGCGTCTTTCCCAGCGTCTTTAGTATTTCTTTTTGTAATAATTTTCCAGACGGTTTCCTGCTTCCCAATCATATCATCCGGCTTCTCATCTGCATGGACAAGGGTCGAGGCGGTGGCAGCCCCTGTCCCTTGCGCCGAGAAGCATCCGATTAAACGCTGGCACCAGGCGAGTCTCCCTCGATTGTATTGACCGCTTTTAACGTATTTGGCCATCTGGTGTATCCCCGTCGCTCCATCGGGACACGGCAAGTGAAACGATGCTCCGACTGGCATGGCCCAGGCTCACTCCAGCTCAATCCGGGATATAACGCTCGCAGTTCCAAGTGGCTGGTGCGAGACGTTTTGAGCACTGACAATAGCGCTTGTGTCTGTCGCAGAGCAAAGCTGACAGCGTGTCGACCAGCGTCGCGTCGCTTCACCGCCACCTCGACGGAAAGCCATATCTCGCGCGATGTGCGCAGCGGTATCAAACGAGGTGCTTTTCGTCCATGATTCGTCGCTAAAAGCTGCACTGAGCATCTATGACGTGATATGGGTGCGTGTTCAAGTGCCTCCTTGCGTGCATCGCCGTGGGGCTCGCAGAGTGAGATGTGATGTGCTAAGAGATGCTCTCCACAGGTCGCTTGCGAGATGTCTCACGCGGAATTGTTAGATCCGTCCGAGATGTCAGATCCCGAGTTAGCACGTGATGGTCTTGGACGGCGAGCGGAGCTATTAGAGGATGAAATGACATTCTGCAAACACGATGCTGTCCAGCTTGACTCATGGTGCGCCTCGTTTGCTAAGAAAAGTCACACGAGTAATACGCATTCGAGACATACAAAGCAAAGATAATGGTCATTGCAAGCAAGTCGTTGGAGGCCATCATCATTAGCAATGTATTACATCAAGGCTTGAACGATTCCACGACGCTACTCTCCGCTACGGAGTAACATCCGGCCAAGCCTCAGCTCCATGGTAGCCCCCAACGCCTCAAACACTACCCTCACTCGGGGCTAACTGGCCCGCGGCACACGAGAAACGGCACATGCCGCCAGTTATACGCTACTTGTTGCCAATACGCTACCAGTTGCCACAGCGGACGCCCTCTCCCGGCGTGGCGTCGCCCAATTCCGGGGTAGCCTCAACGCGGTAACAAGTGCCGTAGATCGCTGCAACGCAAGGCCGCGAGGTCGGTCCGGGAGCTGGGCCGGATCGAGACTCCCATCGCGTCCCATCGCGTCCCATCGAGCGAACTTTAACGAGATCCATGTCTCTGAGTGTCTCTGGACGAGTGGCAATCGTCCGCGAGTCGCCCGGTTGCACAGTTACCCCAACGTTGCCATGTCCAATGGCCGCGTCTCGCAGTCATGCCGCTGCATAACGAGGCGTGCATACTAACATCAAGGCGGCCTAGTCGGTCTCGCATTAGTCTTGCGGTTGCAGTTCCGCGCAAAGTCCCGAAATACTAGAACTGGTCGATCAAGTCAGCTGCGGCATTTGCCCCGGAGCCAATTTTTCCTTACTTCTATTGCACCGCCGCCGTGCTTCCTAGTGTGGCCAAACTTGATCCGTTCATCCGCAATCCGCATCATGCATCCGTGCTTTCGCCTCGTGGGTGTGCCATGAAAACCCTCCTCTCGCCGCACTACGTCGCCCAAGCTGTCACCCAAACTGACCTCATCATCGCATCCCTGGCCTGGGGGTTTACCATCGGCTTCGGCTGGCTGACGACATGGACGGCCGTGAAGCAGACGACGCGCATTTGGAGGCGACGCGGCCGTCGTGTCTTTTCGAATGCCTATGTTGTGATGATCTGGCTGGAGATCCTCGTCTGTCTTATATTCGCCATAATTTGTTTTCTGCATTTGTTAGGCATTATACCCCCGAGGTTCGTGTGGCTCCTCTTTGGTCAACGTCTTGACGCGATGCTAATGTTGGGCGACTACAGTTTCGCATTCTACTTTTGCATCCGTATGTCCAAACCATTATCGACCATGCATCCATCTTGCTGACTGATCATCCTCACAGTTACTACCTGGGCTCTTCAAGTAAGAGTCTCTCCTTCTTCTATCCTGGCATAATACTAACCCAGACCCCCAGGTACAATTCCTTCTTCAAATCATCATTAATCGATGCGCTGTCATCATGGCCGATGCGGAAAAATCTTGGCGTCTAAAGGTCGGCGTCGCCATATTAATCACAGCAGTCAACATATCTGTTTACAACATATGGATACCTGCCCGTTTGCAAATATCAGAACGATACATCTGGCTAAACGACTGGTGGGACCGATGCGAGAAGGTCATATATCTCCTTGTTGATGGCTGCTTGAACTTTTACTACATCCACCTCGTTCGGGTCAACCTGGTCATGTTTGGTTTGACAAAGTATAAGAAATTGGCCCACTTCAACATGTTCATCATTGGCTTTTCCCTCAGCATGGACATCCTTATCATTACCATGATGAGCTTGAACAATACCTTTGTGTAGGTCCATGTCATCGACGACAGCTTCTGCCAGCACCAAGTCGACCCTCCCCACAGAACGCTAGCTAATGTCCACAGCTACATGCAGTTTCACCCACTCGCATACATTGTCAAGCTCAACATCGAAATGTCCATGGCTGAGCTAATCGGAAAGATCGCTCGAGATTCAACCTCGAGCCATATATCAGACGAAACATATACCAACTCCACTGGCGATGGAGGTTACGCACTGGAGAACATATCATCGATCGAGGGCCGGAGGACCTTCACCGGGGACGCGGAAGAGGCTCTCACGGTTGTAAAGTCGAGAAGGTCCATACGCTATCTCCCCACCGACTCGTATGCCAGCCATGCTGCGAACCTTGGGGATAGAGCACCTATACCTCCGGTCCTATTAAGGGAATGACCAAGTTAGTATTAGACATACTAGGAATAATAAACCGTCTTGATGGCGAGTTAGAGTACACCTCTCCATCTTTATCTCGTGCAAGGCCTCCAACGGCGTCGGGAGGATCTCGACAGATCGGTAGAGATGATCAGCCGGTCCACTTTCTGTTCGTCATGTAGTTGGAACAAAAATACTTTTCTTCCTCCGGAGACTCTCTGATAGGGTAGCTATATGTTGTCGGATCGCGTACGACACATTCAATCGAAGGGATTAAGGCTCAATAGAGTGTGGAGCCCCAAAAATCATGATTTTATTGATCTAGGATCCTCGCCACCCCCTCTTTTCTCGAGAGAGGTTTTATGTCATCTGACACCCCTCTGACTAAGGTCAGGATATCGATCTATCAGAGGTTTCGTAATACAGGGTCACAATCCAACATATGTTTATGATGTTTGTTGGTTCGTCGAATGGGATTGATTAGGATGACCTTGCATAACGTGAGTGGGGCGCCGTAGTGCATCATCGTGCTTGGGTACCTGACCATAAAACAACAAAGGCAGCTTTCCACAAGTAGGTCGTCATGAAACTCTTGCTCTATCTTGATTCTCCAGCAGCAGCAATACTCTTATATTTTGCTTCTATTCCCGGGACAATCTCGTCCAATTGATGTATCCCAAACACGGCCAAAGTGTGCCCACCGGTGTCACGGCCCCGCGGCCCCGCGGTTTCCGTCCATCCGGAAGCCAAGTAAATTGCTCCCATTGACATGTATTTCGGGACACAATACACCTGGCTCGGAGATTATGACGGAATGCGTAGACATGTTCTCCTCCATCAACCGTGAAAGGGGGCATGGCTTGGGAGTCCTAGAATAAGTATCGACGAGCCGTATCTCTTTGATCTAATTCCAGGACTGACAGCCGCCCAACTACGAGTTGCCATCTCTCCACGCCGCGAAACTCCCAACTATGGGTGTTAAACAGGGCTCAAAAGGTGGCCACGAAGCCACCTTACCACTCGAGAGCCATGGAGCGGAAAAGACCGTCGACAACGAGCCGGGAGAGAGTCCTAAGAAACAGACAGCCTTTCAAGCCTACGTGGTACGTTCTTGTCATATTCCAGCCCTCATCCGACACGTCATTAACATCGCGTGTCTCTTGTCGTCGAGCAGAGAGTATTCTCGTACAGCACGGCCACGGACAAAGCACTGCTGGGTATTTCTCTCGTCGCAGCACTTGGCTCGGGTGTAGCTGTTGCCATGCTAAACCTGGTTATGGGCGATTTCCTCACTGTGATGGGCGACTTTTCCCGCGGAGGTTTCGAGATCAGTAATTCCTTGACTCTGTTTCCAAATACGCGTGAGTTGCCAAATCCTGCATCGAGCCTTGATGGCATAGACGCAGATGCTAATTATCAACACGTCTAGGTTATACTTCGTTTACCTGGGCATCGCGAGGCTCTTCCTGATCTACATCTTCAGCGTCCTTTCGAGCATCTCCGCCTACCGCATCACGCGCAACATTCGCCCGTCATATTTGCGCGCGGCCTTGAGCCAAGAAATCGCCTTTTTCGATGAGGGCGAGGGCGGTGCCATTGCGGCCCAAGCAACGTCGAACGGAGCCTTGATACAGGCAGGCATCGCGGAGAAGCTAGGACAAGTCTTCCAGACTATCGCTACTTTCATCGGATGCTTTGTTATTGCTTTCGTGGTTCACGCGAAGCTGACTGCCATTATCATCTGCATTGTCCCTACGATTGTCATTGTCGTGGGCGTCACGTCCGCGCTTGACACGGGCATTGAGAGTCAGATATTAAATGTCCACGCACAGGCAGGCTCATATACCGAAGGTGTGCTGGGCAGTGTACGGACGGTAAAGGCATTCGGGCTGCGGCCTAGACTTGTTGAAACCTTCGACAAGTACCTCTTCAACGCTCTACATCTTGGTTTAAAGAAGAATATCCTGTATGGCATAATGGTTGCCGTCCAATACTTTACAACGTACGCTGGAATGGGGTTGGCATTTTGGCAGGGCATCAACATGTATGCCAAAGGTGAAGTCGATAGCATCGGCACCGTCTTTACGTTCGTCACAACTCCGCGAAAGAATATTCTTTCAAGTATGCATACTAACTCTCCCTAGTGTCCTGATGTCTGTCATCATCGCTTCAACCATGCTTAGTGCAATTGCCCCCAACATTATGGCTTTCACTCGCGCAGCAACTGCAGCTTCTCAACTCTTCTCTCTGATAGATCGAGAGTCCAAGATCAACCCATTCGATGTTGGTGGAGGTGCACCTGAAAACGTGACTGGCGCAGTGGAGTTGCAGGGAGTCAACTTCACGTATCCTACCCGACCAGGTACAAAAGTCCTCGACGACTTTTCCCTGCATATACCCGCCGGAAAGGTCACGGCTTTGGTTGTAAGTTTTTTCATCTTGCAAAACGCGTGTTATCGGCTAAACAAATGGCACTTCGCAGGGCGCCAGTGGATCAGGAAAGAGCACAGTCGTTGGCCTCTTAGAACGGTGGTACAATCCCAACAGCGGGTCGATTACGCTGGACGGGGTTCCGATTGAGAAACTGAACCTGCGCTGGCTTCGAACCAATGTGCGACTAGTTCAGCAGGTACGTTTCAATCTCAATAGCTATTAGCATCTGGGCTTATAATTTACAGGAACCCGTGTTGTTCAATGGTACTGTATTCGACAACATCTCGAACGGCCTCGTTGGCACCAAATGGGAAAATGCTCCGCGAGAGAAACAGTTAGAGCTCGTTCAATCAGCCGCCGGAGTCGCTTTTGCCCACCAGTTCATCATGAAACTGCCGCAAGGCTATGATACGAGAATCGGCGAAAGAGGAGGTCTGCTCTCTGGCGGGCAGAAGCAACGTATAGCTATCGCACGGAGTGTTGTTTCGTCACCCAAAGTTCTACTTATGGATGAGGCCACGAGTGCTCTGGATCCCCATGCCGAAGGCGTCGTCCAACAAGCTCTGGACAGAGTGTCAAGGGACTGCACCACCATCGTCATTGCACACAAACTCGCGACCATCAAGCATGCTGATAACATTGTTGTCATGTCCAAGGGCTCCATCGTGGAGCAGGGAACGCACCAGTCGCTTCTTGCCATCGATGGAGCCTATGCCCAGTTAGTGAAGGCGCAGGATCTATCATTCACGTCCGCCAAAGAGAACAATGACATCAGTCTTGACTCTCAATCTGACGAGGAGGAATTGGACGACGATTCGGTGGCCAAAATCTTGATCAGGCACAACACATCTGATCAACATAGACTTGAAGCTTTGAGTTCTCGCGATGACTACGATAACCACAAGCCTTTTGGAGTTCTTTCTGCAATTTTTCATGTTGTCAAGGCGACTCCTGAGCTCAGATTCCATTTCTTGGTTCTTCTCATTGCAAGCATCCTCGCAGGTAAGTCCACGCACTTTCATCCCACTCTTGGCACCCTTTCCCATCTGTTCCCTATATTTCCACGATCAACTCCCCTGGAAACCCAAATCTCTCTCGACATCCATAAACTACAAATTTGCTTGGAATTCCGGTAGCTGACTTGGTCACTCGTAGCTGGACTATTCCCCGGCCAGGCGCTGCTTCTAGGACACGTGATGGACGTCTTCAACTACACAGGTTCACGAATGGTATCCAAGGGCAATTTCTTCGCTCTGATGTTTTTCATCATGAGTATTGGCACTGCAATAGTCTACTGCATCATCGGTTATATGGGTAACACCGTCGCTCAGGCAAGTTTTGCACAATGCTCGAATAACTCCCCAAGCTAACCGTCTCGAAGACACTGAGCCGAAAATTCCGAAGAGAAATATTCGATAGCATCCTACGCCAGGACGTCCAGTTCTTCGACAGAGAAGAGAATACCGTCGGTGCGCTCGCGAGCCGTCTGGAATCATACCCCCAGGCCATCCTCGATCTCATGGGCATCAACATTGTTGTCGTACTTGTGTGTGTACTCAGTGTTCTGGGCTGTAGTATCATGGGAATAGCCATCTCCTGGAAGCTCGGCCTTGTCGGTGTTTTTGCTGGTGTTCCACCGATGGTGATGGGAGGCTTCATCCGTTTGCGCATTGATGCCAAGCTGGACCGCGATAATTCGAAACGTTTCTCAACGAGCGCCGCTATTGCTAGCGAGGCTGTTTTGGCGATTCGCACGGTTTCCTCCCTTGCGATCGAAGAACACATCTTGTCGAGCTATATGGACCAACTAGACAAAGCAGTCAGCGAATCTACACTTCCACTTGCGCATGCGATGGTATGGAATGCGCTGGCACAGAGTGTCGACTACTTTATCTTAGCTCTTAGTTTTTGGTAAGTTCCAACACAAGCACATAACCTCATCTCCCATCTAAATCATGGACTGACAACGAATAGGTGGGGTTCAACATTATCTTCCCGTGGCGAGGTCACATTCTACCAGTTTATTGTTTCTTTTATGGGCATATTCTTGGCAGGGCAGTCAGCAGGGCAGCTTTTTAGCTTTGCGAGCAGTGAGTTATTCCGAGTCATTCCCTTTGTCACCCTTGGTGTCACCAGAGCTAATGCAACCTGCAAAGACCTCACAAAGGGAACAAGTGCCGCGAACTACCTTTTCTGGCTCAAGGGGCTCCAGCCGCTGATAACTGAGACTCCGGAGAACAGCGAGGCTGGTCCAAAACATGGGGCTGAGGGAATTGCCTTTGATGCTGTGAAATTCTGCTATCCCCTTCGCCGTGACCAACCCGTCCTTCGAGGAATAAATTTGAATGTGAGTCAACCCATTATATCTTTTGGCCTCTATTTCTCTTCTACTTGCTTACTCAACTCTTCTAGATTGAAGCAGGAGAGTTTGTAGCTTTCGTTGGCGCCTCGGGATGCGGCAAGTCTACCATGATCGCTCTAGCAGAACGCTATTATGATCCCACAAGCGGAGCCATCCGCATTGACGGCGACCCGTTGTCAAATCTCAACCCACACCTATATCGAAACCAGCTTGCTCTCGTTCAGCAAGAGCCTATGCTCTATCCAGGCAGCATCTATGAGAACATCTCACTTGGCCTTCCCGGAGCGCAAGCTACAGATGCCCAGATTGCGGCCGCATGCCGGAACGCTAATATCTGGGATTTCATCTGCTCACTACCAGAAGGCTTACAAACACCATGCGGTACTTCTGGCAGCAAGCTATCCAGTGGACAGCGGCAGCGCTTAGCTATTGCGCGTGCTCTTATCAGAGATCCCAAAGTCCTCCTCCTTGACGAGGCAACCAGCGCTCTAGACACGGACAGTGAACGGGTGGTTCAGACCGCACTCAGCACCGCGGCGAAGAGTCGCCAGAGGATCACAATTGCCGTTGCGCACCGATTAAGCACTATCAAAGATGCCGATCGGATATACGTGTTCTATGGCGGCAAGATTTCAGAGTCTGGAACTCACGGTGAGCTTATTGCGTTAGGCGGAATGTACAAACGCATGTATGAGGCGCAGAGTCTTGACAAAGCAGTATGAATAATTTTGGCTGTGGAGAAAGAGCCTCTGGCTCTCTCAATAATTAACTGCCGTGGGCGGGAGCAAATGGCATGTGGAGAGTGGGCTGGAAGAGGACAGAACGGCAGAGCCGGGAAATTTTCATCATAAGGGCATCAGATTTTCAGGCCCAGACTTTTCTTTGTTATATTTAGCAGGGCATTGCGAGCGGGTTGTAATCAGCAAGAATAATACCTGATACCTGGGATGCAAAGACTGGTCTTTGAGCAGGTCAGTGGAAGTGGCATCGTTTGCGGTCTTGACACATTTTCCTTATTTAGTCTTTGGCCTCTGGCCTAGCTGCTGCTACAGCAATTTATTTACTTCTTTTCCTCCAACAATCCAAGTATTCTGACCATGGTCATACGATTCCAGCTTATTTTGCATATATTGGAAGTCAAGTAATACAGAAGTCGCCTTAAAACCTGGCATCAATCCAAGTCGTGAACGTCGCGATATCTGCAGGTCTGGCTGGGAGCGTGTAGGTGGTTGTGGCTATTTTCAGCCGGAAGGGCACTTTTCCTGTTAAAACATGCCCAGCTTACAGCTCAGCCTTGAATATTATTTATTTGAAGATTCTGGTACCAACCACCTGACTACATTCACGCACTTGAGCTTTTTATCGTTAACCGCCAGTCCAATTCCAGTCAACAATCCATGACGAAATTTAAGATCATTAATAGTTGTCTCCAATCTCCTCTTACAATTACAAGGTATTGGCAAGACATGCCATTTACAGAGAGTATCACAGACGACCGTATGCACAAAGACTTTAACACATAGTAACGATTTTAATTATGGCAATATTAAGGCGTGGCTATGTGTCGTAATATACAGGACTCTCCCATTGATAAATAGGACTACTTATAGTGCAACAGGGGAGCTAAGCGTAAGGGTAACAGGTGAGCCGTTCAGCGTCACCCACTGGATAGGAGGCTCAGAGCCGACCACATCAGAGGTAACGGAACCTCCGGACGCTGTGGAGGAGCCGGAGGGAATGGTGACGGGAATCTTGGCGGAGCAAGTGTTACCATCAGCAGTGACGGTGATGGACTTGATGGACAGACCGTCGTCTGAGAAGGTGTAAGAGAGCTTAGGGTTGCATCCATCGACAGTCTGGCGGTCAAGGAAGTACTGAGCAATGTCGTCATGCTTGAGAGACATGACAGGCCAGTTGGTCAGGCGAGCGATCTCTTGGGCCATCGTCTCAGTCCAGTACATAACCAGAGACATCTGAGCACTGTAGTCACCAACGGACCTAGTCTCAACAGTAGTCTGGTGCATGTTGGCCTGATGGAACATGTAGGGGTCAGCCATCAATGCGAGCAGGTTGCGCACATTGGTGGACTTGGAAATAGCCATAAGGTCATCGAAGACACCGCTGCCGCTCGAGATAGCAGCCCACTCAGCAGCACAACATTCGGCAGTTGCACAGTTATAGTAGATCGCAAGAGAAAATCGAGGCACAATAGTCAGTCCGTCATAACCGTTGGAGGCCACAGTTGAGGTCAGAGGCCAGTAGGTATGTCCGGTGTTTCGGAGGACAGATCGGGTGTTGTCACCGACGACGTGGTTGATACCGTTGTCCATCCAAGCCCGAATGACATCTCCGTTGTGAAGACCAGTAATAGCAGGCGGGATAATACCATGAGGGGAGAAGTGGGTGGCCTGATCGATGCCAGTTTGGGCCAACCAAGCCTGGTTGAACTCGATCTCACGGGCAGCATCGTGGTAAGTCGCGTTGTTCAACTCGAGGTGAGTGAAGGTGTGAGAAACGTGAGCAAAGGCGTTGCGGTTCTCCTCGACCATAAACCAAGCAGCAAAGTCATCCAACTCGGCACAAGTCTTGGTCCAGTTGTAGGTCTCGTACCCAGTGGGCCAGCGGTCCTCGCCGGTACCAAGGGCCTTCATGAACTCCAGCTCGGTATCGGGAACCTCGTCGTAGTCGATGGCCTCAGCAGGGATGCAGACATCATCAGAGTTGGGCACCTCGGCGGCAGAAATAAAGTCACCGTTACCATTGTGTCCAAACTCGAGCCAGAATGCAGAGCCGGAGGGTAGGCGGCTGTTGAGGCTGGTTTGCCAGGCGACGTGGGCCTCAAGGTCGGCAATCTCAAGCTTGAAATCGGTGCCAGCAGGGAGGTAGAGCTCGGTGGAAAGCTGGAGATCGTCGATCTGACAGCTCAGATGAACCTTACGCTTGCCAAGGAAGACACCGCGAGTCATCCAGTGGATATGGGCGTGCTGGAGGAAAGAAGAGGTCTCAGACCAATCAGGGGCCCAGCTCATAAACCAGACAAATTGTTCACGACCGCTGAAGTTGTTGATAACAGCTGCAACACTCTCGGAAGTGAAGCCAGTAGCAATGCCGAACATAGCTACGGCCTTGGTGGTGGCAGTATCAGTAATAGTAGCGGGAACATGGTACAGACCGTCAGTGGCCATCTCAGCGTTACTAGAAATCGTTAGCTCGAGCTGTCAGAGTGATATAGATATGCTTACGCCTTGATGTTGGCAGTGGGGAAGTCGGAAACGTCAGAGAAGTAGACGCTCTGCTCAACACCAGAGTCACAGCAGCTGGTAGAAACGGTGGTAACACCAAAGTCAACACCGGGCCACTCGTTGATGCGAACCATTCGGACGCTGAAATCAGTCTGGTAGGCATGGAGGGTAGTCCACTGAGCAGCAGTGATGGCACTGGCCCAGCCCGAATCGTAAGAGTAAGAGACAGCGTCCATAACAATGATGCCTCCATAATTGCCGTGAGTCTTGGTGTCGTTCAGAGTAGGGAGCTCAATGCCGGCAGAAGGCACAATAAGTGACTCGTAGGGGATACCGTAGGCCAGGAGACCAAGACTGGCAGCAGTGACACCGGCGTCATCACGGGCAATGATGAGGATGGTGCTGTCGATGGTGGCAATGGGGGCAGCCGAAGTGGAGCTGCTGGGAGTGGTAGACGGGGTGGTTGAGGCGCTCTGGGTCGAAGACTCAGAAGCAGAGGTCGTAGTACCAGCGGGCGTGGTGGTGTCGGCAGCGGGGGTAGTGCTAACGGAGCTGCCCTCGGCGGAGAGACTCGGAGTAGAGGACCCAGAGAGAGAAGAAGTCGTTCCAGCAGGCGTGGTAGTATCAGCAGCGGGGGTAGTGCTAACAGAGCTGCCCTCAGCGGAGAGACTCGCGGTAGAGGACTCGGAGAGAGAAGAAGTCGTGCCAGCAGGCGTGGTGGTATCAGCAGCAGGGGTAGTAGAGACGCTCTGAGTAGAGGCCTCAGACTGGGACGCAGTTGTACCAGCAGGCGTGGTGGTGTCGGCAATGGGTGTGTTGCTAGCAGAGCCGTTCTGAGTAGAGGACTCAGAAACAGCAGTGGTGGCATCAGCAGATGGGGTAGTGTCAACAGTGGTACCAGCAGCAGAGACGCTCTCGGTGGAGGACTGAGCAGCAGTGGTGGTATCAACCGGCGTGGAGTTATCAGCAGCTGGAGTAGTGCTGGCAGTGGCGTCGGCGGAAGAGGCGCTCTGGGAGGAAGACTCAGCGGCCGAGGTAGTCTCAACAGTAGTATCAGCAGCAGAGGCAGTCTCTGAAGAGGATTGAGCGGCAGCAGTAGTATCAGCAGCCGGGGTGGTCTCAACAGCAGCGCTGGTGTCCGCAGCAGAGACGCTGGAAGACTCGGCGGTAGCAGTGGTGTCAACAACAGAGATGCTCTGAGTAGAAGATCCGGCAGAAGCAGTGGTGTCGGCAACTGAGACGCTCTGGGAAGACTCGGCAGAGCTGGACTCGACTGAGTTGACGGCGGTTGAAGATGCAGCCCTGGTCGAAGTGCTAGAAGGAGCAGTGCCCCAGTTCTTGATGATGTCCTCAATGGTCTCGGGAGTCGCCTTGTTGGTGATGAAGATCGAGTCAACGTAGACCTTGGCGCCGCCGCCGGTCTTGCAGGTCAGGGCCAAGACAAAATCCTGAGTCCTGGAAGTGGCAGTGACAGCCTTGATAGCAGTGACCCAAGTAACGGGTGATCCGGCGGTGATGACATCGGGGAAGTAGGCAGAGTTGAAGTAGTTGTTGGATCCCAGGTAAGAGCGCATGCGGCAAGTGCTGGCAACGGCGTTGGAAGCCACAGCGTAGTAGAAGAGAACAGTATAAGACGAACCAACCTGGAGGTTGTGCAGAGTTGCAGTGAGGCTGGCAGAGCCGGTGGCAGCTCGCTTGGCAACAGCACCATCAGCATCGTCCTCACCACCAGCCTCAAGAGCGGGAACAGCGTTTCCGTCCTTGCCCACACCATCTAAGGTAACTACTCCGTAGGTCGTGGCTCCGGACAAACCGTTCTTGAACGCACCGTCGGGGTACACGTTGTAAATGACTTCGTCAGGGTTGGTGGGAGTAGAGGTCGGCGTAGAAACCGAAGTCGCGGAAACAGAAGTCGAGCTGGTAGAAGACGTGACACCGGAAGCGGTCACGCTTTTCGTAGGGGCCTTGCAAGGCGATGCATCGCCGAGCCTCAAAGCGCTGAGGGCAGCGACGGCAATGGCGAGATAACGCATCGCGGCGGGTTGGGTCCTGGATGGACTAAAACGAATGACTAGCGAAACAACACAACAAAGCGAAAGTGGTGGCGACTCGTGTAGAGCCTCCTGTTGCCTCACGACGATTCAAAAGAGTGAACAAAAAGGTCGGTGGTGGAGAGGGAAAAGGGAAAGGCGGCAAGTTGACGCTTTAAGAACAACCCGACAAAGGAATCATGGGGAATGACGGGAGCCAATCATGGAAATCACCGTACGATCAGACCAGCGCACTAAGATTGATAGGAACACACTATTAAAAGCTATGGAACCCAGGGTCATCGGCGGGACGGGGTTGTGTTTGCGTATACGGGAAAAAGGGGGTCCAACACGACGAGCCGGGGGAAGGGTTTTAGGAGAGCCGCAACGAGTCGACGACGACCAGGCAAAGCGAGCAGCGAGTCGCGAGCCAACCGTCTGCACCCATCCATTGATTCATGGAATCATCATGGGCGGACTCTTCCACGCCCGCCCTGCGCTAATAGCCCGCATCTGGCGACTCAGCTTGCCCCTGGGCCTTGTAGACGCTGGTGACAATGGTGACGACCCTGAACGGCCCTGAACGGCCCAGGGTAATATTGGCACGCTAGCGAATACGGGTGGCAGATCTGGGTTAAGCGCCAGCCCAGAATACTCCATCGTGGAGGTTCCATCGCCCGGTAGTTTCGGCTCCGACCCTGGAGGGGACGACTTGTTCGGGAAAGACGGCCTTGGCGAGCGTTGCAATATGGTGAGACGACCATGCACAAGTGGGGAGAGGCGGCTTTCGGCTGCAGGTACGCGGAAATACACCGTGGCAGGGATGAATGACATGGGGCTTCTTTTCCGGTCTTCTCAATGCGAGGTTGAGTCTGGGAGACAACCAGACGATCTGGTCTGTGAGGCTAAGCCGTGATCGACAGGTAATCGCCCTGAGGAAGCTTCCATCGTACAGCCTTACCGGCCCTACAAGTTTGTTCGATGTGATGCGTTAATCTGGATTTAAGATACGCTAAGCAGTCGATAGTCGTTAGTCGGTCGTCGTCAGCATCGCGTTCTAAAATAGCGTGGTTTTAGACATTCAGCCAACACGTCATCGCTTCTCGACTACCCTAGACCTTCCACGCTTTTTTTGCAAAATGTCAGGATGATCCCAAGGATAGGAAGGATTTAATGGAGTGATGGACAATGTGTAGATGTTGATGTGTTGTGCACTAATCGTCATCTCTACCCCTGCGTGTAGGCTCAGTGCTAAGATGACGCGAGACTTTGTCATCTTTGGCTTAGGTTCGGATGGCTCGGACTTATCACCAAGCGCAAGAATTCTCTGTAACAGACGGTCATTGATGAATAGAATGCTATTATTTTAGATTCTACCACAGTGGAAGATCGTAAACATTTTCTCTTTAGGTGACATTGGTGATTTGGGGGTTTAAGTTGGTTGTGGTGTAAACGATCTTGATTTATGTGAAGGGCTCCGTGATTTTACTCCAGTTTAGTCAACTAAATTTGCATTATTTCACATTTCGTCTTCATTCAGGTTCAAAGAACTTGGGTTTCACGTTTTTACAAACTGGTTGGGGGTTATTATTTTATCCGGCTGCTTACAAAACCCAGCAAGAAATGAACAACCTGGCTCAACAGCACCAGATTTGGGTCATCTTGTCTGCAACAGCGGCTTCAGAAAACAGACCTACGGGTTTTGACAACGAGCATGACATTATCTGTGACGATCCAGGTTACATGCATCATCGGCTACAGAGTAGTGCATCGAATTCCCCGATCAATTCACCATCGCTGACAAACCTGTCTTCAACATTGAATTTCCCGAGTCAGGTCAACACTGTAGACAAATCAGTCTCCAACACCTGGCACTCCTCTGGAAGACCCCACAAATTCTATTTCCATCCTCAAGCACGCTGCTCTCACGCTGGCAATGCACCGGCATCGCGAACATCCGCACAGCAATAAATGCTGCTCGGTGGAGTCCTGCAAACGCAGCCGGACCGGGCATGACGAACTGATTACTGCATTTAAGTAACAAGTCAGTCAGTGGATTCTTGGCAAAACTCTTCAGCGCGGGGATAACGTGGTAATAACGCCTTTCCCTGCGTTGTCCTGACTCAAACTGCCATTAATTTAGCAAAACAAACCAAATCGTCCACCCATGACACCATACGAAGTTTCAGTGGCGCGGTGGGGCCGCTGAGGAAGAAAACCCAGCAAAAACCCAGCAAAGACCCAGTTCAGACCCATATATCTCACCGGAAGAGGTGATGTCACCTGAAGTCATGTTGGTGGAGACCATGCCATGTGCCGACAGTCCGTCTTGGCACGATGGAAATATGTGGGCGATTTCGGCCGAATCGTAGGGAGTGCCGAGAGCGAAATCATGGTGATGTCTCGGGTATTTCGCCACGATACGGTTGCATCTGCCTTATGAAGGCGTCTACTAAATACCATCTTGCGCTACGTCCATGTTCGCATTCACTACGGTATAAATGGTCTCTCTGCCAGGTCGTAGTGCCATCTAGCGTGTCATTAGATGCTTACGTGGCGCAATTCAAATGAAATTTGCAGAAGCAGCGCCACCATCTGACCAGACTGGATGATTTTGTGCCGGCTCTGCTCTACCGTCCCACCTTAATTCCAAGCATACTGCTAAGGTTATGAACTTCGGAGATATCCATACTTCCGCGGTTAGAGTCACGTCACACAGCCAATAGCTCGACATCCTTGGTCCACAAGACTGGGTGGCGTTGAGCCACCAGGGAGTAATTGCCCCTGCCCGCTGCTCTCCCGGTTATCCGGCCGTCTCCAGGCTCCCCTGGATTGCTGCTCAAGGCCAAGTCAAACGATCCAGTCGGCTGCGTCAGCCAAGGCACGGATCAACCGTGACTCTGGGATTCGGGAGCACCATCCGGACGATCCACCTAATGCCTACGTCAATTGGTGGGCACAACGGTCGTCAGAAGCTCGGATTCCAAGACGTCTCGGCGACAAAGTCGATGGTTTCCTGATTATGGGGTGAGAAGGCGTATGTCTAGTACACCTTGCCCGTAGCCATGTCGGAGACGGAGCTTAGTATGTGTATAGCCTTCATGTAGTCAGCGGCCGGAGGGCGACTGGTGTAATTTCACTCTCTTCAGGAGCTGACTTCGCCAGCGAGAGAAGTCTGCTGCAAAGGCAGAATATCATCACGTGTTGGAACTCTCTTGTCTCAATGTGGCTGAGTATCGTGGCCCGTTGACGTCAAACACCCAATCACAATTTGTATCAACACAGACGATAACCTGGTCGTAAAACACCATATCAGAGGTGTCGTATTGCAAGATCATCTTCCAACATATACTATAAGTAGATAGATATTACTAGGCTATCTATTTACCTTTCGATTTACCTGTAGGGACTTTCCACAATTTGAAGCAACCCTTTCAATCTCTCGCTTAGCTCAAATTTCTCCCTATTACTCTTTCTCTCGCTCGGAATATTCTGTATCCTTGACTCGAGTACTGAAACATCGCGCTTAAAAAGAGGATGAAACAAGGCCCAGAGGAAGTCACGACTGGCGCGTAGTAACTCGTCGCGTTTGTTCTTCCAATCCGATTCGTTCCGTGTTATCTGCTCTTCCAGCATGTCATACTCTGCTTTTGTTCTGAGACCATCTTCAAGTTTTGTCCGGTTGATGTTGTTGAGATTCCCGCCATTCTCAAAGAGTTTCTGCAACATTGACAAATCATAGTTGAAGTGTGGGTAGCTAGCTCGATGCTCGCTCCAAAGACTCATACTTTTGGCAATGCACGCGACGATGATATCCATTGCGGTTCGATTTTGCGTATCTCGTACATTCGGGTCGGCTCTGAGCTCAAGCAACGCTTTCAACACCTTCAGATTTGGTAAAGTAGCGGGGCCGATGTGCAAGGACACACTGCCGGAAGAACCTCCGTCGTCGTCTATATAACTAGTCATTGACAAGTTCACAGCAATGTTGATCAATGGCTGGAATTGGCCCTTGATTGTACTTGAAGGGAATTGTAGATCCCTGACATCTTTTCCACATTGCTTGACAAACTTGGGGAGCATTGGCAATTGTTCAAAGCACCACGGCAGTCGAGTACCAGATGGTGCGATGACAACTTGATAAGCCTCCGCCATGGAGAGAGTATTGAAAGCGGTCATGATCGACTCTTCGTATCTGGAGAAATCGTCGTCGGGAAGTTTCCAAGGCATGGAAAGTATCTTGGCACCCTTAGCCTTTTTCGTTACCTCGAGGGATACAAAGAAATCAACCACTTCTTTCCGGCCATAAACCACGGCCCACCACAACGCATTCATTGGAATTTTCCAAGTGTCCGAGATGGATCTGTTGACAACTTCACCAAGTGTATCAGGCTTGGCAAGCTTCAAAAGAATTGCTATTTCCTCGACGCAGCTTTGAGTCTTCCGTCCTGGCCACATTGCTGAGATTGGACGAGCAATAGCGAGGAAATGCAAAGGCGAAAGACCGAGGACTGTATTTATGATTAATTACTCAATGGCCGAAATAAAGAGTGAAATTTTTATAGCTCACCTTGGGCTTGAGTTGATTGGGGTCTTGGGAAGGCCACGCCCACTGGATTGGGTGCTCTCGTTGTTGGATTGGGTGCTCTTGTTATTGGATTGGGTGCTCTCGTTATTAGATTGGGTGCTCTCGTTGTTGGATTAGGTGCTCTCGTTATTGGATTGGGTGCTCTTGTTGTTGGATTGGGTGCTCTCGTTGTTGGATTAGGTGCTCTCGTTATTAGATTGGGTGCTCTTCTCCATGGATTGGGTGCTCTCGTTTTTGTATTGGGTGCTGTGATCGTCGGATCGCCTATTGTGTGGTTACTACACCTCACCCCGTCCACGAACGCTAATAGCGGGTTTCCCTCTCTTAACATGTGTACTTTGATACAGTCCCAGCATACTTCACGTGGGCATGAATGAGTTATGGATCCCGCAACGACGAAATTACTTTTCAAGTAATGGAGAGCCAGATCTGCCGCTTCATCGATACCTAGCTTCTCCATCTCGTCTAAGCAGGACTGGAGCCTGTCCCGGGTTTCGGCTGGAACTGGAACAGAAAGATCTGGTTGACTAGTGGGTATCATTTCTTTCCACAACTCCTCGTCTGGATCCCTACTCTGGCTGCAGATCTTGGCCATTAGGGCCATGGAGCTCAAGGTGGAAGCATGATCACGGCCAAATACATCCATGTTTGCTTCAACACCTCGAATTCCGTGGGCTTTGGCTACTTCCCAGTCTGGAGGATCGTTGGAATGAGCCTCAGCAAGGAGCGTGTGAGCCGCGCCTTCTTGAGCGCCCTGAAGGGGATGTTGCTTGAGAACCCATGCCAGGATGGGGATGACATTTGCCGATTGTTCACACTGCATCATAGCGGTGCATAGAACAATTCGGAGGTTTACAATTGTTGTAACATTCCCCGTTGAATCTGGCTGGTCGGGGTCCAGTGAGGTCTGATCATATGGCGCGAGGATCTGAACAATGTTGGCAAAGGATTTCTCCTCAAGGAATTTTTCCGCCATCTCCAACCGGGCCTCGTCGAGTTTAGCCCTGATATCGGGAAACTGCCGACAGACTGAATCTGCTATTTGGCCCACTGGCTGAGTCTCAACCACTGCTTTTGCCAACCACTTAGCGAGAATATCCCTCTGTCGCGCATCGTCCGGATCATTGCTTTCGCTCAGGAGCCGGATTAAGTGAGGGATGGCCGGTTCAAAAAGCTTCGTTTTCATCAGGCTTTCGGCTTTCCTCAAGCGCCTCTGATGCATCTCGTCTACAAGGCTGAGTCCACTGCTTGTAGCAACACTAGACAACCCAGAGGTTGACCTGGAGGCGGTTGTGAGGGATTGACCCAGAGGAGACCTGACTGTTGATGGCAGAGAAAGGCTCGAGGCAGTATCGAGCTCGACATCATTGGCCCACGATGCTATGGTCTCCCGCTGCTTTCCTTTCATGGGAATGCCGATGTCGACTAGATGATCAAACTCGGGTATGGACACCAAGTCTGAGACGGCGTCATTTTTCGCTGGCCTCTTCTTTTCGTTGCGATACCGAAAATAGGTTGTGCCGGATTTCATTGATGCGCAGTCCACACTTGATGCGTAACTCTTGGCATGAGCGGCGAGACGTTTCGTTGTATCGAGCATTGAATTGGTCTCTTCTGCGATCTCAACCCTCAGATCCATCTCAGCCATGAGCTTCTCTTGTAGGGCCATGGACGCTACTTCGCCTTCCTTCTTTTGGGACGTGGCAAGGTTCGGAATTTTCTCTTTAAGTCCTCGGATTGTATCTTCGTTACCCTCTAAGGTGGAGTGACCCGCGGCGACCTCTGTAGTCACGTCGAGCGATCTTGCGAGATGATTCTGTTGTGCTCGGGCCATGGAATCCTCGATGTCAGCCAAACGGCCATCGAGTTTTTCGAGGAGGCCCACGACTTCATTCTCATGCGCATCGTGAGTGCTGGCAAACGTTGAGCTCCTGTTAATGTGTCAGTGCTATCAAGCCCGAGAAATACCACAAGAGCTAGGGGTCTGACATTTTCCGGATGAGGAAAGGCACTTGAAGAGCCGACGTGTAGGTGTTGATGCATAAACGAAAGTGATGTATGTCGCTATCGTAACGTTTCATCTTGATGTAAGTCCTCACAGCTACTGCTGAGGACCTTTCTCGACTAATTTCAGTGAAGATCGCATTGAGCCTGTGATAGGTTCGTTGAAATCCCCCGAGAAGTCTCTCGACGTCAGGTTGCTCCCACCAAGACTGTACCATGTCGCTTGAGGTGTGACCCTGAATAGCCTCCTTGAACATCGAAATCAAACAGCTTGTGGCGTGGAGTTGGCCATCAAAATCCCGCAATGTTTCTTCGATGCCCCGAATTTCCGTGTAGGCTTGGGTCGTCTGCATGACTGTGTTCCCGAGGAGTTGAACCAGCTGGAGCACTGCTGCCGCCCCCGAGATGGCCTCCATCGTTACGTGTGACGATTTTAGGAAGTAACAGAGGAGTGGAGTGCCAACAAAGGACGAGATGAAAGCTGGAGGGGACAGCTTGGGTATTCATTTTTCAGCCGGAATCTCACATTTCAATAGTGCGCGACTTGCATGAGGCTGACCACCCAAAGGGTTGAAAGTGTAACCCAAGGCAGCCCAAAGGCCAATCACATCACGGCGCAAGGCATAAGTGAGACGTCAAAGGCAACTAAATCATCTGACTATTTAAAGGCCTGAGGCAAGAATTTACACTTCCTCATGGATCCATTACGGTCGAATCGATCAAGGCTATTGCCTAGTTCCGCTGGACCGGCCGAAAGAGGGGTTTCTGACACCGCTTCTGATGAAGGTCATTATATCAACCTATCAGAGGTTCCAGAGCAAATGGTCATCTTGCAGGCTTTCAAAATAAATCGCCTCTTTGGGGCTGGTGTGTAGGTTGGTAAAGTGCGGCAACGATGATGTTGTGGGTTATTGTCTCAGCACCACGTGTGGGAGTTGCAAACAAACTGTATTCAATGAGCCACCGCATTCTAAAGAATCTAGATGGGCCCTTCTACTAACTTAATTAAAAAGCTTGTTTAGCACTCGGTCCACCTTTCCAGTCTCACGAGGTGCGTAAATAGCTTCGTAGTTGTCAATCTCCTCCTTCAAACCGCCAAGGCTCAAATCTGCAGTCCCTGGTCGAACGTATTTGGTCCTGAACATCACCTTCCAGCCCAAAAACATGATGACAAAGAAAGCGATCATGCCGTAGTCAAGGAAAAACCACATAACGTCCCACCCGCCACTTAGAAATAAACTGTACCCCCCAGCCAGTAACATAAATGTGGTGCCACCCATTGCGAGATAGGATGTGTACGGCTGAAATCGCCCCTTGTATGGGAGAGCATCGCGTGAAATCCCCTGTTTCTTTAAAGCGGAATAAAAGTGTCGGTATGTCAGGGCTGTGAAGCCGTAGTTGATCAATTGACAGCACGTCACCAGATCGACAAGGTAGGTCATCACTTCGGCAGAGGAGCTGTTGACCTGCAAAAAGGAGAGAAGGCAGAAACAGAGAGAAAAGAGAAGAGCCCAAATTGGGACACCGCCTTTTGTGCACTTCGAGAAGAATCGAGGTGCGTGGCCTTCGATCGACATGCCATGCAAGGTACGAGTCGCCGAAAAGAGAAGACCATTTCCGGCGCTAAAGATGGATGTCATGATCAAGGCATTGACAAGGTGAGGAAGACCGTGGATTTTGAGCCGCTGCATGGCAATGATGTATGGTCTAAATGTGATTAGCCTGCGTGATCAATGTGACATGTCTCAAATTCAGAAGACTTACGATGCAGCACCTGTACCAGACCCAGAGATATCGCCTCCCAGGATGGCCAGGAGGGTTGAGTCGTTGGACGGAATGACAATGCCCATGCAAAGAGCAGATCCTACGAAGAAGACGAGAATACGCCAAACGAAGGATCGATAGGCGGGAGGCAGAATTTTTCGGGGATTCTCGGACTCGGCAGCAACCATAGATATATACTCTGGTCCACAGATCCTAGAATTCTTAGACAGCATCCAACGAGAGGGGATCGGGAAATGCTTACGAGAAACTGGCCTGATATAAGCATGACAAAATGCCCAGGAACCTACCCGTCCCGCCAGGAACAATATGCTCAACAAATGCCCCTGGGTTATTCCAATATCTGAACCCATACGCATCGTGCAATGGGTTTCCCCCGACCATGGTGATGAAGGTGAAGAAAAACAACCCAACCATCAACAGAACCTTGAAGATTGACAGGTAGAACTCGGATATTCCGAAATACCTCACCGTGACGACGTTGAGGAGCGCATACAGCACAATCATGACGACAATGATAGCCTCGACAGGGACTTTATCAGTCCAAAAGGTTATCATAATGTTCATCGCAACGATTTCAAAGGGTACAAGGAACGCCATGTTGAGAAAGAAGTTCCAAGCCATGGCGAAGCCCAACGCGCCGTCAACCCACTCGCTGCCAAAGCGGATAAAGGGTGACGGCACAGGGAGGTAGGTGACCATCTCGGCAAAGCACTCATTAACCGCCCACATGACAATTCCCCATATGAAGAAGGCGATGAAGAGGCCGGCAGGTCCTCCCTTGGGGAGAGCAGAACCCATCTGCACATAGAGAGCTTGAAGCTCGTCAGCCTTGCTCATGCCAAAGTTGTAGAGGTCTTGACTTACAAGTACCGATTGCACCTCCGATAGCAAAGAGCTGCACTTCTTTCCCCCGCAACTTGCGATGCAGAGCTTGCGAGCCAGCGGTTACGTCAATCGTCGTGCCCACGGCGGCATCATGGTCAGCACCCATGTCGGGCTTGCTTTCGGTGGACGACACCGGCGGTCCCTTTTCGAAATAATCGGTGGCCGACATATTGTTTCTCTTAAACAGGGAAGATTTTAATTCGAGCGGAGATCGTGCGCATGCCAATGCAACGATGGGAAGCACTGTCGTGACCTTGAAGATGTCGGCACGTTGGGTCCTATTATTGGGCCTTGTTGGAGCTGACGTGTGTTTAAAGAAATTCCATGGCAGCGAGACAAGGGTTCAATACACCCTGTCAGCACCGAAATATCTCCAGAGACACTTTCTTATCAATAGAAACCGCGTTTTGACCGATTCTCTTGGGTGTGGAAATCGGACGGGGATATGAGGGCAATAGTGGATAAGACGGGGGTTACCCAGCCATGATTAGTGCGTGTTGTCGTGTTATCAGACCGTAACGATGTAACGATAGCCGTTGTGAATCCCAGCATAAAATGTGCTGCTATCTGAATCATCTCGTGAATCGGCTGCTCCGACATACGATGTGCCTTGCGACATAACCACTTGGTGGTGTCATGTAGCCTGCTATGTCTCCTGCCATGTCTATCATGGAAATGCCAATATGTAGGAATATCTTGTACAGATTGTAGGTTTGACCGTTTGATTAATTATTTAGGTAGGTCTTGGTTATAATTTCCTTCGGTGCTGGATTGTGCCCTGCAAGGCCAATTCCACGTGCAGACCCGAATACACGACACGAATCAATCCACTCTCTATCCCACTACGAGAGAGCATCAGCAAGAAGGACTCATCGAACACTCATTTCATCTAGTTCAGCTAATTCCGAAATACCTGGAAGCATTCGGACGGGTTCCCTCGAATATGGAATGGTGTCTTGCCTTTTAGGTTGTCGTCGGATCCGAAATATGTTGATGAATACTGACATCTACTGGCTTGGAGAGTTGAACAGTTCATATTATTTATTGTTTCAATTGAGTAGTACAGTAGTCGGTTAATCCACTGTATCTTGCTTGCTACTGCTTGAAATGGCCATTCGATAAAAATTCCTCATATTGATAATGAGGCTGAAACTCAACGAAAAGTGTTTCCTACATTTCTTGTTAGTAGGTACTCTTAGTAACAGAAATATGAGGCTCTAACGTACTGGGGTGCTAGCCATCTTAAAGTTGTAAGCAGCTTCCTCGTCACTCACGATCTTCTTCTCGAGTCCAGTCGCGTGGGCCAATAGTTGCACCTTGCAACTTCTCTCCATCAAACAGAACAGAAAGGCTGCCTCGTCGACGGTCTCTCCTACGGTTAGGAGTCCATGATTCATCAGAATTGCAGCTTTTCCATCTCCAAGGCTTTCAGCAATCCTTTGGCCCTCAGACGACTCGTTCGCGATACCGCCGTAGTCCGAGTATACGGAATGGGCCTTGTAGAAGTAGCACACGTCTTGGTTGATCATCTCAAGCGGTTTTGCAAATGCAGACCATGCGCGGCCATGAACCGAGTGCGTGTGGCAGATTGCGTGGACGTCCTTCCGTGAGCGGTGCACCGCGCTGTGGATCTGGAAGCCGGCGGCGTTGATTGAGCCATCCACATTCCCTCCGATCACATCGCCATCCACGTTGACGCAGATCATGTCGCTGGCCTTTAGCATTCCAAAGTGTACTCCGAGTGGGTTGATCCAGAACTGATCCTCGAACTCAGGGTCTCGTACGCTGATGTGTCCTGAAATGCCCTCCGCATAGCCTTCTCGTGCGAATACACGAAAGGCAGCAGCCATATGCTCCAGTTGCCACTGTCGCTTCTCAGCATTCGACTTGAACTGGGGGATGCCGGGAAGCGCCTTGCCCTTGTGGGCCATGGCGGCCATAGGGTCGACATGTTTGGTGACGGTAGTTTCAACACCAGGTTGGGATGTAATGGGCAGGGTTGCTGACGGCGCCATCTTGACGAATTGCTAATGACTGGGTGTAGATATGATGCCAAGACGATAGGCGGAAAATGTAGATATCAAGTTTTAGCAGATCTGGGTTGATTGCAAATTATCTGATATAATGCCAGCCATCTGCTTGTCCTAAATACAGCCAGGGAAACCCTACATTTCCCACGAAGCATCTCTCTCATAAGCTCTTGTGACTTGTGCACTGTGGTCCGAATGGAAGCCCGACATGCAATTTAGTGCATAACTACGATGAATACTGCATAGTGTGTCTCCGGGTCAAAGCTAAGATAAGAAAAATACTGCGCAGGATTGTCGGGCATTCCGATTATCTGTTCGGACTGTCCGACAGATAAAATGTGGGGAAGATAAGATGCACGCTGGACATGGCCATCTGACGACTCGTTACCATTTAGAGACGTCATAACTTCCCTGCACAGCGGGGAGATTAACCGTCAAGCCGGTAGCAAATTGAACGTGGTGCATTAAACATGGCTGGAAGTTTTGCCCGCGGCGGTGAGTTGGAGAGGTGACCCAAGAGCTACTCACATCTAACGCAAATCATAGGTGCCGAGGCTATGTCCAGCAACATTGTGCCCTTGACAATTCTGGCTTTCGTCGCCTACCTCATCTATCATCTCATCTACCAGCCGCTGTACGCGACTCCCTTGCGAACAATCCCGGGCCCAAAGTCCTTTGCAGTAACCAAGTGGCGACTGGCACTTTCCGACTACTATGGAGTGAGAACATCCAAGATTCACTCCTTGCATCAGGAGTATGGCACTGCCGTGCGCATCGGCCCGAATGAAGTGTCATTCTCGTCTATGTCCGCCTTGAGAACAATATACGGTGCGGGATCCGGTTTCGAGAGGACAACCTTCTACAGAATGTTTGACGTATACGGACGCCAGAACCTCTTCACCTTCGCTAGCACGAAGCAGCATGCGGAGAGAAAGAAAGCGCTCGCTCACGCCTATTCCAAAAGCGTAATACTATCACCCAATGCAATTGCAAAGCCCCTCATAGAGAAGAATGTGAAGGAGTACCTGGAACTTCTGGACCACGAGAAGGGAGCGGCCGAGGAAATATTCCAGAGTCTGCACTGGTTCAGTCTTGACAGTATCACCGGGTTTCTCTATGGAGCTCAACATGGGGGAACGCACGCACTAACAGGAGATGAGACGGATAGGAGAATGCTCAATGACATCGTTGATCATAGCCGAAGATACCTGAGCTGGTACGCGGTGCATTTGAAAAGTTACACCAAGTGGCTCTACACTCGCACTGGAGTCATGGAGAAAATTGTGACTAATTGTGGGTTGCTGCCCATGCAAAAGCCTGCAACGTATACTGGTATTCGAGCGCACGCGCTTAAATCGTGGACCATTTTTGAGACTGCCGTGACAGCAAGAGGCCTGGAAGAAAATTCGTCGATTATGGAGAAGTTGTGGAAACACAATGAAACCGGCAAAGGCACCCGACTCGATGGCCTCGACATGGCCTCCGAATTAGCGGACCATTTTCTCGCTGGAATCGATACGACGAGCGATACCGTAATGTTTACGATATGGGCTCTCTCACGGCCAGAAAACTGGAAGTATCAGGAGAAATTGATCGAGGAGGTCGATGGTATCCCCGACACGGATTGCAACCACAATGGCCACCCCACGGTGGAGGCTGCAGACAAGTTACCATACCTTGACGCCGTGATCAAAGAGACGCTTCGTCTGTATGCCCCGTTGCCGGCATCAGAGCCGCGCTCAATGCCCGTTGACACAACCATTGACGGCTATTTGATTCCAGCTGGGACTGTGGTGAGCATGTCGCCGTACACGCTCCACCGCAATCCGGACGTGTTCCCAGAACCCCTGAAGTTCAAACCGGAACGGTGGCTAGGCCAGTGCGGAGATCTTGCAGAGATGAAGAAGTGGTTCTGGGCATTTTCAAGCGGAGGCCGCATGTGCATTGGTTTGCAGTAAGCTCGGCCAAAGACACGGAATTAAGTCGCTCTAATAACCATTTCCAGCCTTGCCATGGCAGAGATGACAACACTGTTAGCTGCGATTTACAGGGAATACACAACTAGTGGGTACGAACGACAACAGGGAGTGAGTCCCGGCATTACAAGCCGTTTCGAGGTTTTCTATGATGAGACCTTCCCAAAATACGAGGTCAGTGAAGATTCAACAGTGAGCATAAAACTCACAGGCTGATTGTATCTGGTTTAGGAACATAAATGTTGGATCGACTTTCAAAAGCGGAAAGCGTCACCTCAATAGGATGCAAACGGGACAGCGAGGACACCAACTTCATTATGCTGTAACGCTACGACATGATATTTGAGAGTTTAGGTCGACCGTAGGCAAAACTTTTCTTGAGATTCAATCTAACTCAAAATATACTGGTTGATCACCACTCCCATTGTTTCATTCTTGATTTCTTTGTCCTTCACCCACTTATCATACCCTTCTTCCACATCCACAAAGGCGCTTCTGCCAATTGACCCCGCACACGCCGTGGCAACTCATGACCAACATTCTTCCACAAAACGCACTAGGCGTCCTGTATCTCTTTCACCAGTGCCTGTCCGTGCTCCACTCAAAGAACTGGTCCTTGGCGGCCTGGATCACCGTTGTGGGGTGTATCCGCCGGGAACCGGGAACTCGGTTGACAGGCCAGTGTCGAGGCGGTCAAGGCGGATGATGAAGTGTTGAGGGTCGCCGGCTGGGTTAAAGATCTGGATCATATCCTACTGCTATTCAAGTATTGAACCAGAGTGGCCGGTGATGAGGACAACAATGGGATTGGATGGGTCACCAAAGGTTTGATAGCATATTCGCACGCCAGTTGAGAGGGTGAGAAAGAGCTCTTCGGAGGCATCCATTTTCTGGGCAGGTGTTTTTCCGTACATAGGCTCGGTTTGGTTCGTCTACTACACAAGTGTGTAGTGCTGAGAAGCCCGGACTTGAAACCCGTTGCGAGTTGTCTGCTCACCGCAAATGTACGCACTATTCCCACTCATGCAAGTCACATGACTCCGTTCCCACAGTTACGAGTGAAGATTCTATTCTACTTGTTTTCTATTCACTTTATAATGTTGCTTATGTCAAGTTAACACGGCCTGGTTTAAAACCGGACACCGAATAGCACGCACATTAACTACAGCACAATGACTAATCCCTTGAACCCGATTTTTGGACAATGGGTCTGTCCTGAGATCTACTCCAAGTAAGTCGACTCTGACTGAGAGGAATGGGACGTTAGCAGCTTTATTTAAGAGCTTATTACTGTCGCTCCCTTTCGACGTTTCGAAGACGGACTTAGCTAAATGGACCTTAAATCTTACGGGTAAGACGACATAAAACTTTTTTGAACACAGGATCACTGTTTTATACTCTACTTAAAAAAAAACCAGAACCTCGAAAAAATACGAGAACCTCCTTTGAGTCAAACCATTCCCCTAGAGGTGATTGGTCCCGTACGTCTGCAAAGATTAGTAATCTGCCTGATGAGTTGGACAGATTCTCAAATGGCTGCCTGGAGAGCGCAAGACAACATTGAAACCTCACATGAGAGCAAAACACTAGACTCTCGAAGCGATAACGCAATGTACAAAATGAGCATCGAAGCCCTGCCAATCGAGATCCTTACTGAGATCTCAACATCTTTGGCTTACCGCGATATCGCTGCTTGGCTTCTCACAAACCGCCAATTCGAGGAGCGCATCACACCTATTCTGTACAGAAAAGCCGAGTCGTACAGATCAATTTTCGCCGCGGAAGATGAACCACACGACTCGGAAAAGGACACATCACCAAGTACAAACGTCCGCCGGCCGTATATCCTGGCCTGGGCTGCGAAGCATGGGCACATCAGCACCATCAACAAGATTCTAGCCATCGAAGACATCGCACCTTTCATCAACAGAACACCTCCGATATGTGACTCAGACTATGAGCTTGGCAATCTAGGGCTGGCGCCTCTGCATCTGGCAGCACTTCATAGCCACCTCGATGTTATTGACTTCCTTATCCAACTAGGGGCTGATGTGGATACAACCATCCAAGACTTCGTACGCCCCATCTATCTGGCTCGTCACGAGGCAACGGTCCGATGTCTTGTTCGCCATGGAAGCTCAGTGCACTCTAAAGACGCCAGTCTCACGTCGCCTTTGGCATACTCCATCTCATGTCAGGTGGAGCCAAGCGTGATAGAATGCTTCCTCGAACTCGGGAGTGATCCCAATGACGCCTCTGGCATCTCCGCAGTCGACATGGCTTTGCGTGCTGGTCACCTCAAAGCCCTGGAGCTTCTTCTAAAAGCAGGATGTGATGTTTCGGATCCCTCTCCGCCCGAGGGTTCCCCAATATTCCGTGCAATCGGCAAATTCCAAGAGATGAGACCAGATATTGCCTTGGGAGCGGTCCGTCTCCTGCTTGATTTCGGTGCCCCGGTAGATGGAGGAAAATTCGTGACTGTCGGTATACAACAGGTCCGTAGTCTGCAGACTAATTTGGAATACGCGCTCGGCCATGGAAACAGGGGCGATATGGTGCGCCTCCTACTTTCCCGCGGTGCACAAGCAGACCCGAGCCGCAGTATTCTTTCGCCGCCTTGGCACGACGACAGAATGCTCTGTTCGACAACGCCGCTGTGGCGACTCATTTGTGACTATGGTTGGGGTATAGACGACGACCTGGACGAGACGATTTCTCTGATATCAGATTTCGTTGCGCATGGAGCCAAGGTTGATGGCCCGTATTGGTATGCAACAGTTCTCCATGTTGTCCTCGACAAATTTCGAGGGAGGCCCGGATGGGATCGAGTGGTTCTCTGCATGCTTGACCATGGAGCAGATGGACTGGCAAGAGCCGGGGACTCAGAGAGACAACCCCTTCATACGTTGCTCAACCAACAGCGGTGGATAGCGTGGTGGAAAAACGGGCGTGTAGACTCAAAGGCATTCCTAAAAGTGGTCCAGCGATTGCTCGACTTGGGATCTGATGTAAACCAGTTGGATGATGAAGGAACCTCGCCGCTATTGTTGGCTTGCTCTCTCCCTATCACCGTCAGTGCACGCGGATTCATCGAGCTATTGGTGTCTCATGGGGCGGATGTCAACACGTTCAAAGACGACAAAGACGATCATATGACACTTCTTGACTGTATTTTGAAATGGAGCGAACGCGAATTCGCGGGAGAGGTTTTTCAACGACTCGAGGCCATTGTTTCCACACCTGGATTTTCTACAACTTCCCATACGAGATGGGGATTTACGCCACTCCTTGAAATAGCAACCCGGGACACTGGACACAAAAAGAAGCACAAGGCCAACCGGAGACGAATTTTGAACTTGATTCTCCAACGTGGTGATGGAACGGAAATCCACCACAGAGTTGGCTCACTTGATCATCCTGACCTACGGAGGAGGTCCGTTACTTACCCCAGGGACGTCATGTTTCGACAGTACCGCGGCGGCACTCTCCTACACGTCGCATGTAACAGCCGTGACCCGGACTTGGTGAAGCTGGTTCTCGAGAAAGGCGGCGATGCTGATATCAACAAACTCAGCGACAGTGGCCTGACGCCGCTTATGGTCTTGGCGAAGAGTGCAATAGAGGGGGTTACGTGGGTCAAGGACTTTGCCGTGATTTGGCATCTCCTTGTCAACGCCGGCGCGGACACAGCAATGGAAAACCCGATGGGAGAGACAGCGCGAGGTATGTGCAAACGAGGCCTGTCTGCCAAGTGGGACGCTGCTATTGCAGGAACGTTGTATGCCGGTGGGAGAGCTGCTTTATTGCGGGACTGGGACTGGAGCGATGATCTTGAAGACTGGGATCAAATGTTTTTATGATAGTACTAGTACATGTTTCTTTCGAGGTGTTATTAGGTTGAGTGCTCAGAGTCATTTAGTAGAATTTGAGTTCAACTTGATATCATCCACAATGTGAGCAGATAGATTAGGGGAACATTATAGAGGTTGGCCTGAACTAATCATCTCATAATTTGCAGCTCACGTGGCCCTGCACTCGATGGTCAACATGGTCTCAATGACGCATGATCATTTGAATTATTGCGCCAGTTGAACTACATGTCCGAGACTTCCTCTGTATTTGAGGTATCATCCATGCATAATCCGAAGTCTGTGCTAGGAAGCGGGGATAAATCACTCCAGTCGATATCAGTGTCCATCAGCTCCAACAAGAAATCTTCCATGTCGAGGTTAAAGAAGTTGAGGGGTTGAGTAATCTCAGAATAGCCTTCAGAACCGTTTCCATGCTGAAAAGCAATATTCGGTAATGAAGGGTCGAAACTGAAGCTCAAGTCTCGCTGGTTCAGACGAGTCGTACTGAGCAGTTCTGTATGCTCAAACGGAAGTCCCTCCCCGAGGTTGTCAGCCGTACCATCAGCTGGGCAAACTGCTGCCACCAGCGAAGTCGGAGTTTTGGAAACAACATCCTGGGCGCATTTGGAAAGATCGCGTACAAATCGAAATGACATTGAAGCGCCAGTTGCCAGTTCCACGCGACTAAAATAGCCTGTGGCGATGTCCAGGAGCGCAAGATCTGCTTGAACGGTGGGTAAGTTTGGAAAACGAAGAATGTGGATGAATAGATTGAGTATGGCGATCAAGGGGTAATAGAATGACAACCTGGAATCGGTTAGCAAAGAGTACGAGCATTAGCAAGTTGACTTCAGATTTTGTGTGATGCGATATGCGCCAACAATATATTTATCAAGAGGGAACTCGGGACCTACCAAACAGGCGTAGCGCAGTCAATGTCGATAAAATGTGTCAATTTAATAATTGCTCGCGCTGCGCTCATCACCAGCAGTGTACTTTTCTGAGACTGGCTTTCGTAAAGAACGATATTCTTAGGCCTCAGGCTTTCAGCCAGCCATGGCCAAGCAAAAGATGAATTCAGCGCAATTATGGTGCCGTGGAGTGCGTAGTGAATGTAGATGGTTTGGTTAATATGCAGCTTTATGCTGGTGGTTGATGTTCGCTTCAAGTCAGGACCCGGGCGGAGAGGCGCTGGGAGGGAGCGAATCCATGCGGTCAATTGATCGTTGAGACTTTGCAACTTTCGAATGGATTCCCGGAGGGTAACGTTGTCGCTCTGGAAGGTTGATAACCAGTGCGTCACTTCGGAGGATAGACGAGCGTGGTGAACAACCTTCGATAACCAGATACCTTCAAGCCCGCTTTGGACTGGGAATTCGGGCAAGGTACATGTGATGTCGCTGTCATCTATTGCCTGGAAATACTTTAGCTCGGCAATACGTGTCATCCGTCTGATACTCATACCGATGGCCGCCCAGCGCGTAATGATATGTGCTTATCATAAGCATATATTGTCCAGAAGAGAAGACTTCTCTGTGCTCTCTGAGCTTTGGATAGGTTCCAACTGGATGGAGGGTCTCGATGTAACCCTTGGGACTGTGCCAGACGAGACGCACTTGCACAGAGCATGTATTGCAAGTTAGGGCTTCCAAGTCCCTCTACAAACATGGCCTATTGAACGGAATTAGCAAGTTTCCAAATTCAAAGATTCGAAATTGCAAATGAAAGAGTCGAAGTTACAAATGAAAGATGGCTTTACGTACCATCGCAATCAACGCTTGTACACCTAAGATCTCGACCCTTGAGAAGAGGATCTCAGAGTATACAGCCATGGCGTTTTCAAAATAGGGCCAGCATTTGGATTGGATATGAGAGAAACTGAGCTGAGCCGGGCTGTTGTTGAGCAACTGTCGTTTCCCAGCCGCGTAAACCGTATTACGGAGTGCGTACCAAGCCGGGTCATCAACCGACGTCTCGTCTTTATTGAAAGTCCCACGCAGGCGAGCTTCAAACACAGGACGGTTTATAACACGAAACACAGAGTCAGCCTGTTGAAAATACGCTGCAGTCCGAGAGTATAGTCAGTAAAGCATTAGAACCTTGAGCGAGGAGAGGCTCTAACTACCTTCGTAATACATCCATGCTGTCTCAAAATTCGGCTCAGGGGCTCTCTTCGAACTAAACCCCTTGTCCAACGTTAGCTGACTGATGATCATGGACGCGATTGATGCGCTGAGATCAGAATAGCATGTATTCCCTGTTTGTTGAACTACCCAGTCAGTAGCAGCTTCCGAGCAAATCGCAATGATCGAGCTAGTCCCTGTGGCAACAGTTACCTATTCAGTTCATCAAGTTGGTGTTATAGGCAAGACAATTACCATGGTATTCACTCCTAGTCTGCCAAGAAAACATTTTGTTAGCATGAAATTACCTTGGAACGAAAGATGGCAATTCAGTGCACAATTACATCAGGTTCAATGATTGTTCCTTCAATGCAACGATTGTCGTTGCTGAGAACTGCTGGGTCCGAGGTATGGCTGTGGTAATTCTCCCAAGCCCATGTTGACCCAAAGTATGTGGTTCTATCAGTAGGCTGATCCAAAGAATCAGATAATGAACGCCTCTGTTCGTAAAGAGGTAGGGTCGAAGACCCACCGAGCCGGCCATCGGAGGCACAGCTGCTTCGGCGGCCTAAGCCACGTATCAGATGTGATGTTACCTCCAGTAGCGTCAAGAAATAATACCTTCTTGATTCTGTCGGGGAGTGATGGTTGATTCTGATCGGGGTCTGTGGGGAGACCTTGTGGTGGTTGTTTCGCAGGAGTCAATCGTACGGTCATCAGCTGACTGCAATCTCCCTAATCCCAAATGAAATGTTACCATGTGCCTGCTAATTGAATTAGCGTTGGGGGGGACGATAGGTACTTTTTTGTCGCCGGCGGCGTGCTTTGCTCGGAAAGATACATTCTATTTGGCGTGGCTAGATGCACTATCAGACCTGATTTCCCTCTGGTCTTGCTCAAGCGTTGGTGAGGCACAAAACCTACTTCACAGTAGCTGCATGGGTGAGACCCATCGCCTTCATGCTCTTAGTCAATATTGATTTTATAGTTGCTGTCAGCTCGCTCCACCTCAGGGCGCTCACATTTTACTTTCTTCTCTCGGCAGTGAAGACATGCAACCCGTCGGCCAGCGATTGAGACGTTCTGGTGACTATCGGACATAGCACACCGTGGATAGACGCGGAAGATGTAGTAGTGATTCAGAGGCAACAATGATGTGTAGATACGGTAGCCAAATTTGCTGGTGTTGATGTGGAGTTTACCTGAGCTGGAAATGTCGTTGACCAGCTCAGCTACCCCGGATTTCATGCCTTATGTTCCCCGAAAGCGGGGTATGAACATAATGCAGTAGACCGTCACTAATGGGACTTGCTCCTGGGCGCTTTAACCAGAATAGTATAAACTGCGGGGTTTCATTTCTCAAGTGTGTAGCATTGCCGGCACATGGCTTGACATCTTAACTTTAGGGAATGGTTCGAATTGCTTCTCTGCCAGTCAACTCGATCTCGCATGAAAGGAGACGAATAAGTGCTACAACGAGTCCTAAAATGTGTAAAATTCACTTCCCAGCGAGGGGAGTTTGTAGTAATATAGAATGTCCTATTCTATCCACACGAGTGGGATGTTGTACTAATGTGGTCTAGAGGTTCCCAAGTTCGGTCTTGCTACTCATCACTACTCACCGCATAAGCATAATTGAGAATTGACCGGTACCGGTTGAGCAGGATATCACAAGCGTGGAATGGTAGGCTGGTACAGTCATCTTACCATTCCCTGGTAGGGTATCAACTTTGTTCCTGCATAGTTTAATCTTGAAAAGAATTCTCAAATTCTAATGGGCTGAGTTTATCTTTATGCAATGCAATGATCCTCCAAGGAGTTGACCAGAAAGTCATGATTACAAATGGTGTCACTTAACTTCGGATTAGCATTTCTTCTGAGCTGCTTTGACTGCTCCTGGGCTTTGATTGGCGTTCGGCCCGAAACCAAGGACTAGTGCATTCTTTCGGCGCCGAGACACTCGCATCTCGGGATTCGGGACAAGCGTGTAGCATTACGAGGACTCTGCACCAAGCTTACAATTGGGTGGCAAATATTACGGCGCTCTGTTATGTGTAGCTAGTCCATTGTGCTACTTTATTTACATTGGATCTACAATTAGCCAGGGGAATATACCTCGGGATGCATGCAGTAAATTAACGTACCCCCAATGCCAATACTGCTCTATAAAACCGTAGATCTGTCGTCTGTCTCTTCGATTTTATCAATATGTACCCTCTCAAAACCCAATTTTATCAAACTATGCATTGAATGTAATTCAAACACACTTTTCTCTCGGAATCTTCATAAAGACGTGATAATACATTGATCCCCTAAACACCATGGCGAATACCTTTCAGAAAATCGATCGCTCGTTAGAGCACCTCACGACTACCGGGTGTCTCAAGCCCAAGAATTTGCGCTACGCTTGCGCTTCTAGCGGTCTCATCTGCGGCACCCTCTTCTTCCTTGCCTTTATCGCATCCGATTTTCTTCCTCCGCCTAGCCCATGGTGGACGCCAGAGCGCACCGCCGAGCACTACGCCCGCCATCAGAAAGGCGTACACGCAGGCAGCGTTCTGTTGATGTTCTCGGGAACGTTCTTCTTGCCTTATACCGCCATCATATCAGACCAGATGCGCCGCATCCCCAACATCCCCTGGGTTCTCCCGCAGCTACAGCTCGCATCTGGCATTGCATCTACGATCGGCTTCTTCATGCCCGGAATGCAGCTGGCAGCGACAGCATTACGGAAAGATCGTGATCCGAAATTGATCGAGCTATCAAGCGACATGTTTTGGATGTTTGCAGTGATGCCTTTCCAGACCTTTATCTTAATGTCCTGGGCTTGGTCTTACGCCATCATAATTGATAACCGACCGAAACCGTTGTATCCTAAAGCAATGGCCCTTGTCAATTTGGTGTCGCCGGCAATGTTCCTCTGGTCGGTGGCTATTCATACTACTCTGCATGGACCATTTGCTTGGAATGGCGCGTTAGGCTTCTGGTTGCCTCTCGTTGCTTTCGGACTACAATTCTTAGGCGACACATACTTCTTATTCAGGGCTATTCATCGGGATGATCTCGAAAACGATAGGGTTGATTCGCCGATCACTGAATGTAGTGAGACCACATAGAACGCGGTGTATTCGTGTAAGTTTAGGTAGCATGAACTCATGGACAACGGGTATGAATTTGATCCTAACGTTAAAATGGATGAGCAATTGTTTCCAATGGCTATGTATGTCGCTCTGTCTTAACAATCTTTCTCCATTCGCTGTCAGTGTGCTGATCACGTCAGTTTGCTAGCAGTACTATACTCACCAATACATTGCTTGATTCATTATTTTTTAAACCTGCATTCACCCAATGACCCCAGGATGAGTAGATTTACATCGTCTTATCACATGACCTTCTTTTTCTGGGATCAGTTGGGTTTATTCATATGTTTATCAATGACCTAGGATGGGCAAGAGTGGTTCAGTTTCAGACAATCATCTAAGACTCTTCGTCGAGTGAAGCTAACCTACTCGAAATATTCTATAGACAACCTCCACACTCCCGCTTTCCGTCACTCTAATTTTCCCCATGCCCAGGAAGACCGTTTTGTTCACCCAACCAAGCTCCTCACTTCTGCTCGCAAGTAGAGGGGTGGTATAATAATAGCCTTCCCCCCAATCCAAAGATTCCTTTTCTCCTTTCCAGAGCTGCAGCATTGGCCCATGAAAAGCTATTCTACCCTTGTACTCAATGTCGCATTGGATTTCCGGCTTCGTTCCAGGCAGAGAGGCGCAAGAGACCCGCGCGTCGATGTCTGCATAATCTTGATGCAATCTCATCCAATCGCTACCAACGCTCAAGGGGATGTCTATCGTACCGTCGGCCGATTTTAGGGATCCCGTATGAACTGTGAATAATTGTAAACGTTAGTAACAGCGAATCCAGGACTCAAGACACCTACCATGTGCTACACTTAAATTGGATTGCGGGCTAGATTCTGACGCAAATCCTGGCGGTCCACGTATGGTGAGGTCAAATGCGTGTGTCAATTTGGGCTGCTCGATCGGAGCCATTGTGACATTTGTACTTGGCGTGACGGCTTGTTACGGTTTCTAGGGAATCCTGATTTGAGTATATGAGATTGACTTGAAAGTATACACCATGGATAGAGTAAAAATAATTGAGAACATCAATCCCTCCTTGACATTTGATGCGCCTTAATAGGAAAACACATAACTGCAGGTGTGCGGGGAAGTGGACGGAGTTTACTTTCGGCCCGCAAAGGCCGAAGCCGAATGGTCTTGGAGTAAGGACGGCATCTTCAGGAATTCCGGTGAGAATATCTTCGGTCCTAATCTTTCCCAGTTCACCTTTCGGCCTCTTATCGAAAAGCCGAGCCCGAGGAGGGTTCACGTTGTTCGGGGACACTAAACTCCGAAATTCCATTTACAAATCTCAAACATCCAACCGAGTGTGTTATGTACAAACCGTCACGCCGTCCATCTAGCCTTAGAAATGCAATAAGGGCTGCGTACTTCCCATTCAGCCTGTTGAATACTTCTGGATTGGGTGTCTTAGCACTTGTGAATGACTTGCCACCAACACGGATTGCCAGAAGATGGGAAATAATCTGATACGAAGTGGTGCGGTTTCTCTTATTGAAGTAATCTTACTTCATCGTTTTGACTATTTGGCATCGACACAGCTGCTACAGAAATGCATTGCTTTGGCCGGAATTCACTATCTTGCTATTCAAATATTTTACATTTTCATATGGCCTTTCTACTTCTCCCCTCTTCGGAACCTGCCAGGCCCCAAGGTTGGGATGTCTTTCTTTCATTTTAAACATTGCTAATAAGTTCAGAGCCGATTTCCTTTTGGAGAAATATTGAACCAGGCCAATGCTCTCCCGAGCGAGTTGGAGACGCGTTGGATGAAGGAATATCCAGATGCACCGTTTATTCGATACATGTCTCTATTAAACCGGGAAATGCTGATGGTCAACAACACACGAGCACAAAAAGAGATTCTCCAGACCAAATGCTACTCATTTATTAAGCCACCTTACTGGAAGCGGGTTGTTGGTGAGATAGCAGGGCATGGTATTCTGTTCACAGAGGGTGAAGAACATAAAAAGCAACGAAAGCTTTTAGTTGGTATGAGTTGGTATTATAAGAAAGACGACTGTGAGATCAATACTGACAGCATTCCATAGCGCCTTTCTCCTTTGGCAATATTCGACGAATGCATTCCATCTTTCAACAAAAGGCTGAAGAGACATCCTCAATTATGTTAACTTTGGTCAAAGAAGGGACGAATATTATTGACGGTCAGATATATAATGCATACTGTTGTTCTTTGTTGCTGATTCTGTCCCAGTCTCGAGCCTTCTTTCACATACGACTCTCGACATCGTTGGTCTAGCAGCTCTGGGCTATGAACTCAACTCCCTATCGACATCGTCGTCATTAGCAACGAACTACGAGAAGATCTTTGAGTTTGCAACACCCCTTCAGCTTCTAATCTCTTTTATTCACCAATTTATCCCCATACGACCACTGCTACCATTCAAAGCGAATAAGAGTTATGTTGAGGCGAACGCAGAGGTTAGAAAGATCCTCCGAAAACATATCCGGCGACGAAAGCTAGAGTTTCGTGAGCGAACATCCACAGGAGAAAATGCTGGCCGCGATCTCCTAACTCTCATGATCAAAGAGAGCAACGACAAATGGTCAGAAGAGGATATGCTGGGCTATGTGAGTTAATAACCCTGATGCTAGAGCCATCTAAGGATGCTAACAAAATTCAGCTGCTGAATTTCATGTCTGCGTAAGTTTCCTCGACGGTTTATGTCACTTTGCCGCTGAACATACCTACAATAGGGGACATGAGACAACAGCAGGTGCACTAACCTGGGCCTTGCATGCTCTCACTTTAAACCCGGATATCCAGAACCATTTGCGCAACGAAATTAAATTGACAATAAATTCCACCTCGCCAACTCAAGCTGAACTTGAGAACCTACCATACTTGAGTAATTTCGTCAAGGAAGTCCTGCGATTTTACCCGCCAGGTACGGAAGCATGACATTACTACAATACCTCAACTAATTCTGATAGCTCCAAACTTCCCTCGCCAGGCAATTGAAGACCTAGAAATAGAGAGTGTGAATATACCCAAGGGAACTATGGTGATGATAGCTCCGGCTGCACCTCAGTTTAACCCTGAAGTTTGGGGTCCAACTGTTGATCAATTTGACCCCGATCGATGGGATAATCTACCAGAGCCAGCTCGAGATCCCTACGCTTCTCTCGCATTCTCTAATGGGCCACGAATATGCATTGGAAAGCAGTTCGCTCTTCACGAGATGAAAGCAATACTGGTCGAGTTAATCCGGAAGTTTGAGTTTGCAAATACTGGCCCTGTTGAGCCTCAGAAGAGCGGACCGAGTTTGAGGCCTTTGAACGGGATGAGGCTGGACGTTTCTTTGGTGGACCCAAACACCACCGCTACAGGTGATCTATGAGGTCGGTTTCATCTTCACATTACGCAGAATAGCGGCTGGCATGCACCGTCAACACATCACTGTAGTATCACCGGCCAATATTATCTTCTCATCAGGTATTCACGCAGCTATAATTCATCTGAAATTTTCCCAAGTCTTAACAATGCTCGATATAGCAACATGCATATAGACTTGAAACCAGATGTCTGTTTGTGTGACTAAGAGCTTAAATTGATTGAGATCGATGTTAGGCAACCTCATGGTTAATAATCACTCATATCAAAAGGACCTTGATACAGTCTGTAATCACTTGAGAGGAATATTGCGGCTCTCAGGCAGCACTATCGGGGGATAAATATGCTAAAGATCGGCTCAACATACATTTGAACGGTAGACAGGCGGCACGAGGTCATGTCCTAACTATCATAAACGTCACATTGCACAACTCCTCTGGTGGAATCTGTAGACGCCTATATATATTGTTTCTGAAGCTAAATGTGCTATTTCTAATCAAATTTCCATTAACTCGACGACTCGTAGTTGAGTAAGTCTGGCCCGGATATGTTAGCCCAGGTCATGAAGACCACCCGCAGCGTTTTTACCCAGAAGTTGGTTTGGATTTCTCAGTACATTGTTGAATATGCGTGATTTATTTCAGAGACCTTTTCCGGACAGATCTATGATTGGAACAGGATGACACGCCTTGATTGTCGGCCCGAAACGAGTCGCTTCGGACCGAGGCGGCCACAGCCACTAGAGGAGATCATCATATGCCGTTCATTAAAACCTTGATACGACTTAGAATACTCGGGTATTATTTCAGGCACAAACAGCCCATCTTGCTTTATTTTCCTTCCTAGAACATCTAAACTTACGTTCTGATCACATCGACACACCTGTCATACAATATGACAAATCTTCTTGCAGGTGTCGCGCTCATTACTGGGGCCGGATCCGGTAGGAAATTCTCCACGACTGGAGACCTCTCGCTGACAGCGTCACCTTGAAGGTATCGGCCAATCAACCAGTATGGCTTTCGCTAGGCATGGAGTCCAGAAACTCGCACTTCTTGATATTGACGATGCTGGATTGGAAACTACGGCTGCTATGATATCCCAGCAAACGAACAAGCGAGTGGAGTCACTGAAAATTAAGATTGACGTTAGCGATGAGAAAGCGATAGTTCAAGCGATTCAGAAAGTAGTGGATGCATTTGGACGGATCGACATTGCCATCAATAACGCGGGAATAGGAGGACCGATTATGGATTCAACCAAGATCTCCACTGATGAATTCCGTCGAGTTCTGGATGTTAATATGATTGGTCTATGGGTCTCCCAGAGAGAGGAAATACGACAAATGCTTGCCCAAAGTCCCATTGAAATACGGTGGGAGTCTCGCCCTGGTATTAAAACAGTTGCTAACCGTTTTCAAGTCCAGGGGTTCAAAGTAAAGGCGTTATCGTGAATATGTCGTCTATCTTTGGGCTTACTAGCCCGTCTGCGTCGACTCCTGCAGCACCATACAACACCAGGTAAGTTTTCAAACACCTCAGTTAATTTTACCTGATCTCGTATAGCTGTATGGTTTGATTTGACCAATATGCAAATAGCAAGCATGGCGTGATCGCAATAACAAGAAACGTGAGTTTGGGAGCATGAATCACTGCGGTTGAGCCACTAAAAACGGGCACTAGGACGCGAATTCGTTTGCCAAAGACGGCATTCGAATCAATGCGATATGTCCGGGGTACTCAAGTCTTCTTCACTGGTCTCGGTTTGTTATCTGATACAAAAACAGTTATGTTACTACCAAGAACCTCGCGCAAGCGGTGACTGAAGACGAGGTTATGCGCAAAGAACTTGAGAAGGTTCCTATGGGTCGCCTTGCGGATCCATCCGAGATTGCGGAAGCTATTTGCTTCTTAGCATCGCCAATGAGTTCTTATATGAGTGGGGCGAGTCTTGTTATCGATGGGTATTGCTAACCTACTTAACCGATTTACAGTCTACCATTTGAGCTAACTCTGTATAGGGGGTACACGTGCAATTAGCATAGGTGAAAGCTCCCTCCAGAGCTAGGACGCTGTCTCTTGTGTTGGAGTTTGGGAGAGTTGGAGCTGGTTCTGAGTCGTCACACGATTGCATTGCTAGTGACTAAAGCGATAATACAATATACAAAAACCCCTCCCCCTCAGAAATGCGAATCAAGATAGGAATTATTCGAACGTGCAGAGTAAATTAGTGATTCTACACTCGAACAAGTATGGGAGACCGAATGAATCAGGTTGTAAGAATGGGTCGGCCAGTGAGATTCCCCGGACTACGGGCTACGTCACAACGTATCACTGGGCATTGATGAGTCTACTCCAGGGATGTTGGCAGCATGACATTACTTCACAGTTGGGGGTGGGTATGTATGTCGTGAATGGCGTCGAGGAGTAGTGATCTAGATTTCCAGTTAGACTTGAAGCTGCTACAAAGTGTCTGGTGGAAAAATGAAGATTGAGATAAGGTCCGAGTCAGGGCTTGTGTGAGTAGTGGTCTCATGGCCTGTCAAAACAGGCTCTGAAGTAGCAAATACTTGGGTTGCAAACATCATGTAGGATCAGGGGCAGGGAGGATCGGCTTTCGCCTGTTTCTTACACACCTTGACAAGCTTGTTCACATGAATATCGGACATGGCTCCGTGATTACTTCAGAAAGTTTCGTCCACGAAAATATGATGATCTGCGGCACTTGCATGTTAGCCTTGATGTCCTTCAAAGCGAGTTCAAACATGGTGTGTTGTGATAATCCGTCATACGGTTGTGATGTGTTTCATCAGGAGATATCAGGGTTAAAAAGCTCTTGATCATTTGTATAATCATTCGGAAGTAAAAAGACCGATAGTTAGACTAACCTTTGTCGCATCTTGCGCCTGTTTCGCGTAGAGCAGTTGGTTTGAAGGGGCTGCAAAACAACGAGCAGGCACAGGGATCCGTCTTTTTATGAGGCGTGTGGAGCGGAGGGTAGTCTTTGACGATGGAGGCGGTGGAACTAGGAACAAGCAGTTAGCACAAAAGCCGGGAAATTGATATAATTGGTACTTACCAGGTCGTGACATTGGCCAGACACTTGAAGACGCGTCCGGTAGCACGAGGATGAGTCAACAGCAGAGTCCATGTCGTTCCATGCCGGCGCCGGCGTCTGTCCCAGGCCGCCGCAAGACTTCCATAGCCAATGCACCAAGAATGGCATAGGTGCGTCAAACTGCATCAGCTAGGCGCGTATGGTGACGGACGAAGGCACCAGCAACCAGAGACCAGGCTGGCTCGAATCTGGACTGGCATTGTTCGACAATGCCATCGCGTGCTCGACATAGCGCAGAGACTTTGCATTGCATCGAGACGTCTCTACGGCAAGCCACAGTGATGTGATGACACGTTGCTTGGCGCCATTCGAGCCTCGGGTGCTCGCTGCGAGTGTTGTAGTAATTGTTGGTAGATGCAAGTTCGAGATCTTCTCGAGGAAAAAAAAGTGAGAAAAGAGACCAGAGGTGGAGCAACGCGTAAATTACATACTAAATTGGTTGGCCAGGCAATCTCTCCCAGCCTCCTTAGCTACCCTACAACCCTATGAAATCATTGCTTTCTAATCAATCCAGTTCCTTATCATTATATGTGGCGTGCTCTTTCAGGTTTACTCTACATCAGATGGCCTATTGTTGCACAGGGGTTAGAAATAATAAGGCTTCACATGCCACACTATACCAAAATTATTAACCTCAAAGATGGAAACAAGTAACATTAAAACAGGTACTCCCCTTAACACCTGCTCTGAGTCCTGTCTTTCATCCCCGTCGTAGAGTGTCAGACCATTACCAGCTACATTCCCCACTCAGCCGTTGGTGTCATCTCAATCACACCTCCTTTCCCCTTCTCTGAATCATGACTCTACATATTTAGTCCCTCCTTCCAGCCGGAATGAACCCGACCCGACCATGAGATCTCGCCATGCGTCGGCATCTCTAACACTAAAAGGACTTTCCAAATCACATCCATGCTGCATTTATGTCCCACCAACACGAGATATTTATGACGCACACCACTGGGAGTAACCACTCACCCGCCAAGAACATTGCCCAACTTCGCTGCTTAATTCGAGCTCCGCATCCTCTCCCTCCGCCACACTTTTTGCCGCACTAACTTGGTATGTGTGCCGTCGATGTCTTGATGTGTGCGACAACCAGGATCGACAAGCCGGGAATCAGCTGAGGTTATAAAGGCCATCCACTTCCTCGACTTCCCTTCCTCATCATCATCACTCTTGCTATACCACCAGAAATTGAAACACCAACCATCATGGTCCTATCTCGGGCACCACTGTCTTCGAGTGGGATACCTCTTTGCGGGTGCTACATCATCGTCGACAGCGCCAGAAAACATCTCCCCCAACTCAAAGTCAACGTTCACACGACCATTTTCGACACCACTACTCGAACGACTCTCACCCAGACCTTCGTTAACCCCTCTAAAGACGATGGACTCGACGAGGTGAACTACGTATTTCCCCTCTATGATGGAGTCTCGATTGTCGGCTTCAAATGTACAATCGCCGACCGCATCATCAACGGCGTCGTCAAAGAGCGTCGGAATGCCAAAACCCTTTACGCTGAAGCCAAAGCCCGTGGTGAAACAGCCGCTCTACTAGAGCAGTTCCACCATGCTTCCGATATTTTTAGTACGACTATCGGAAATGTGCCAGCCGGCCAAACGGTCCACGTGGAAATCACATTCCTTGGAGAGCTCAAGCATGACGCAGAGATCAATGGCGTACGTTTTACTATCCCGACCCACGTTGCTCCGCGATACGGCGACGCAGCCAGCCTGCAAGGAAGCAGCCTTATGGTCGAAGAGGGGATCTCAATCACTATCGATGCAGAGATGCCCGATTGTTCATCCATCAAGTCTATCAATTCACCGTCTCATCCCATCTCCGTGAGCATCGGAACCACTTCTCAAGCTCCCGCTGCAGAATCTTCTCTAAGCAAAGCCTCCGTGACCCTATCTCAGGGGTCTGCCAGCCTGGACCAGGACTTCATCATTCATGTGGTAACCACCAAGATTGATGAACCGGTTGCATTTCTGGAGACTCATCCTACGATTCCCAACCACCGCGCGATAATTGCTACTTTTGTATCGAAATTCAACCTTCCGGCTGAAAAGCCTGAAATTGTATTTTTATGTGATCGAAGTGGAAGTATGAAAGGCAAGTTGAATGATCTAATTCGTGCTCTTATTATCTTCCTCAAGTCTCTGCCTATCGGAGTCAAGTTCAACATATGCAGCTTTGGATCTAGGTTCAGCTTTCTTTGGCCTGAGTCTAAGACTTACAACCAAGAAACCCTGGATGAGGCCGTCTCTTATGTGCAATCCTTTGATGCCAAGTACGGCGGGACTCGGATGTATGGTCCTATGGAAGCGATATTCCAGCAGCGATCTAAGGATATGAACCTCGAAGTCTTCCTTATCACTGACGGCAAGATATCATCACAGCAAGAACTTTTCACGCTTATCAACAAAGAAGTTGCGAGGAGCAAAAACGCAGTTCGTGTTTTTACTTTGGGGGTCGGATCTGGTGCCAGCAGTGCCTTGATCGAAGGAGTTGCCCGCGCTGGCAATGGCTTCGCGCAGATGGTGACAAACTCGGAACAGATGGATAAGAAAGTGGTTCGTATGCTTAAAGGTGCTCTGCTTCCACACATAAGCGACTACAGCCTCGAAATCAACTACGAAAAGGCCGACTCCCAGGACACTAATGGCGAAGATTCCGAGTTTGAGTTCGTTGAGAGGGTGATGGACTCTCTTAGCATCAGAACTTTCGAAGAACATGTTCAGAATGAGACAAAACCCAATCCCGAAAAACCGTTGTCTCTGTTTGATCCGAACTTCGACGACAAAGGCGACGACATCAAGCCGACTGATGATATCAACACCGAGCATACTCCTCTCTCGAAAATCTCTGTTCCTCGGTACCTTCAAACGCCCTCTGATATCCCGCCTATGTATCCTTTTATTAGAACCACCATTTACGTCTTGCTTTCAGACTGTGGTTCAGAAATGACGCCCAAATCGGTTGTACTCAAGGGCACCTATAAGAATGGGCCGCTGAGACAGGAGATTCCTATTACCAATCTCCCCCAAAAGTCAACCACGATCCACCAACTCGCCGTCCGTAAAGAGATCAAGGAACTTGAAGAGGGTCGCGGCTGGGTCACCAATGCAAAAGATGCCAGCGGAAAGCTCCTGAAAGATGAGTATGAGGAGATCTTCTCCGACATAGTCCAGCGCGAGGCCGTCAGGCTTGGTGTCAAATTTCAAGTCAGTGGCAAATGGTGCTCATTTGTTGCTGTTGAGAAGTCATCGAGTAAGTTCAATGATGAAAGCGGAGCTGAGGAATAGTTATAGGGCTCTGAAAGATGACATTAACAACCTTCGAATAGATGAACTTGACGATCCGGTTGACCGGCTTGCCTTTGTTTCCAATTCCGATGATATAAGGGACCTAGCAGGCTCTTCCAGACCAAAAAGCTCTGATCCTGGCTTTGCCATGGGTGCGTTCGGCGCCACTGGTGGACGAGTTTTCCCTCCTGGTTCTACTTCGGCAGAGCGCTTTTCGATGAGTGTTGTTTCCACTAGTCAACGTTTCGCTCAACCCATGGCTTCCTTCAGTCGACCTGGTGGTGATTTCTCCCACGCCGCCTCCATGGCCAGACCTCCCAGGTCTCTTCGCCCGTCCAGCCGCTCTACTCGCCGTGGCCGAGGCAATGACGACAGAGTCATGCCTCTGACTGCAGGCTTGGAGATTAAGCCGCTAGATATTACGGACAACGGCTGGAAACCACACAGCGTACCAGCCGCCACTATGAAGCCTTCTCATGCTGTCCCGACGCCTGCTATCCCCAAAGCTACCACGTTGGACACGGCCCCCGATGTTTCCCAACAACTTCAGAATGTTGTTGCCCTTCAGAGGTTTGCCGGGAATTGGGTCTGGAATGCTAAGCTCGAGATGATCTTGGGGGTCACATCCGATGTCGCCCTGAAGCTGAGTCTTCCTGAGGCTGTGTTGAATAGTGCGAGGAAGGATGATATCTTAGCTACTGTTTGTGCAGTAGTCTTCATCAAGACCAAACTGGACGTAGAAAAGGAGGCTTGGGAAATTCTTGTGCAGAAGGCGACGGATTGGCTGGAAGAGCAAATCGGCAGAGATGTGGAGGAGTTGGAAAAGGTCATTAGGAGCGTTGCGTGAAGGAATTGGAAGTTATGCAGTTCACTTTTTTCTCTCTAGAAATCAATTTTATTCTCTCATATATATCTACCCATCTGAGATAGCAATTATCCATGGCACTTATAACTGTTGTACAGCTCTATGGTCCATTCTCTCTTTTCTTTACCGAGTTGAGTCTTCGCAAAAGTCCCAGGATGGCCTGCTTCGGGAGTTCATATAACATGAGGCATATGAGAACAGAGAGATGCACGATGACCTCCCACGCCCGGTGTATTCCACTTCTTATTTTCATGCCAACCGTGTCCCCTTTCCACACTGACTTGGGGAACTCGTAGAATATCTTTCGAGGTATAATCCACACGAAAATTGCAATGAATGCAGCAACAGCCTGTAGTCCCTTGCCTGCTTTTTCGACCAGCTTTGATCGTTTCTTCCACCTGAGCCACATGCCGCCTCGGCGGATTGGCAGATAGGCCACAACATCGTCATGGCAGTTCGCGGCGGCAAGACGATACGCAAGGGCCCCGTCTGGTGCTACAACTCTGTCATCTGCTCCACACTCCTCGATAAGGAGCTTCACCAGGGCTAGGTTACCAAGTGTGGCAGCTAGTTGTAGCGGTGTGCGGCCGGCATCGGTGTCAGGCAGCTGTGTGCGACCAAAACGGTTTACATCAGCGCCGTGTGAATGTAAACATTGGATCATGGCGCCACTCCCAATCCGCACAGCAATGAGGAGTGGCGTCTCGCCGGTGTGAGATGGGAAATCGGGGGAGACGACGCCACGTCTAAGAAACTCGAAAACAAGGTCTTTCTGGTCCTTGTTGACTGCAAGAAGAATGAGGCGAGGACATCAATCTTCAGCTGGAACTCTGCATAGGCGGCAGCATCAGTCTTATCTGGGATTGGCGGGAGCCTGGATAGAGGTAGGATCGGGTGGCCGAGCGAGACTGCCTCAAGTTGTTTGATGCGGCTGAAGATTATGCTCGAATCGATTTGGATTGCAGCCGGAATGGAGGTTCCGCACGTAGCGGTTTCGCCCGTGGCAATGTCGCCCATGGTTCTCGTATTGAACACACAACCTTTCGTCCTGTTTCCAGCTGGTGCGACTTGAGCCTTTCAAGGGATCAGGGGCTTAAGTTATCCATTCAGCCGCACCTGGTTTGGGTTAGTCTCTGGTTTATTTAGGATCGGCAGTAGCTACTCATTGGTGTTGTTAGGCTAGTTCAACCGAGATAACGATTTTATCCTGCCAAGCCGCTATAAATACAGCAGGGAAAAAGTAAGGCAGAACTCTGCACTAACAATGATATGTAGCCATCTCCTGTTTTTGTCTCATTGCTACCGTTGGTTTGTTTAATCCTGGTTCTCTTGGCCCCACTCACGAACTCCTTTGAACTCTACTACATATCATCATCTAGATGAAAGCCATACAGATATCGGCTGTAAACAATAAGGGTCCACACTTAAAACTCGTTTCAGACAACCATATCAATCTCAGGTGGTTTACTTATTATCGAATGAAATTGTCGTTAAATCCCCCATCACCTGACGTTTCTCCTGCTCATCATCTGGGTGCTTCTTAATCACCTTCCCCGCCTCATTTTCCGACGGGCCTTCTTCATCTCCCAACACCCCCCCGCCCACTATACAACGTCTCGTATGGGTTAGGGTTAGGGAGCATAAGTCTTGTGGCCAAGTCCTGGAGGGCGTTCTTGTTTATTGACAATCGCCCCTGTGGAAAGCAGAAGTACACCTCCAGTTACTTGGCATACTACGTCAATCGTACGACTGCCTTAGCTTCCCTGATTCTCGGATTACATCTGTTCCCGCAGCTATATCTGATCGAAGTTCAAACAAGATGGACAAGCAAAGAAAGCTTAGGGTAGAAAGTCGACATTTTTCAACATCGATGGCGTTCGTTTAATCGGTACGTATGGCGAAGGTATGACTTGGTGGGGGCAAGCAAGCTAATTCGAGATTTCTAGATCAACAAGCACCCTTCTGTAACAGTGTCTGTTCTGGTACCGAAGGCGGAAAAGTGGGTGTACTGGCATGGTGATGAGACGTTAGTTGTTGGTGAGCAAGGGTGGAAGTGTGTGGTTGCTCTCCCAACAAAGCTGCGGAGTATAGGGTAGCCGGAGCAACTCGGCACGAGAGGTTAAACGCCCCAGGATTAGAAGGGGTGAAGATGGCTGGAGCACTAACGGACAGTTAGATGCTGTCAGAAAAGACCTAATTGAGCCGTGCTCCGCTATCTCAGCTCGTGTAATCCTCATAACAAAAAGCCTCCGCTTAAGACTCGAAATCTCGTGAGTCCAGAGCTTGTATGCAAATGAAGTTGAACCCAAACGACACGGAGACAATTATTACTAGCTCTAAACACCCAACTACTCAAAGAAATAATTTCTGAGGCTATTCTACTGTCAATACCTTTCAATGACCCACTGTCTTTGCTCCGAACTATCCATCCCGCTGAGTGAGGTAATCTCCTGCTGCTTGACCGCAATGTATCTTTCGACACAGTCTCCACCAAGCAAGCTGCGCAACTGTTTATCCTGCCCCAAGACACGCAGCGCTTCATCCAATGTCGAAGGCAGATTTTCCGCAATGTTCAGATTTGCCCTCTGAGCCGGGGTGAGTGTAGCCGGGTCCTCCGTGCAATCCTTCCACGACAGTGTATGGCTGTTCAGGATCCCGTCCAGGCCAGAGGCGAGGATAGCCGCCATGGCGAGGTAAGGATTTGCCAAGCCATCAATGCACTTGAGTTCCCAATGGCTATCTTGGATCTTTCGCAGCGGCGTCTCTCGATTCTGAGTTCCCCATGCGACCCACGTCCCGCCAGCCCAGCAGCTATCGACAATCCGAGCGTAGCTGACAGGACTGGAGCATGTAAAGGCAATGATGCTCCGAAGATGCCGCAAAATACCGGCATAGAACGGGTTGTATACGCCAGGGTCAGATCCCCCAGCCGAAGAAATCGACATGTGGACATGAGCGGCTGTTCCAGGAGTCTCGGCGAATGGCTTCGGATGAAGCGTCATCTTGTACCCATGTGCGTTTGCACAAGACGAAATAACCTGCCTGGTAAAGAGGAGGCTGTCGACAGCTTCGAGAGCCGGTGCCGCAGGCAATACTATTTCGTACTGGCCAAATGAGCTCTCCGGGTGCATCGTTTCCACATAAATCCCAGCCTTGTCTAGTCTGGCCATGGCTTCCTCGATGACAGTGACTACCACGGAATGATCAGCGGCCCCGGCAACAGCCCAGGCATGTGCATCCCCATCCAGCTTGCTGAACTCTCTTGGGCCGGTTCGCCGAAGGAGAACAAACTCGACTTCGAAACCCAGTAGGAACGAGAAACCATGAGAGGCCGCCAGCTTTAAGGTGTTTCGTAGCACCGTTCTTGGGCAAATGGTGACTTGAGACCCATCCTTCTCTCTGAAATCACCCATCAACGTAACGTGCCCGTCTCTCGGACCCATACGCAGACTACTCAAGTCCGCACAGAGATCCCATTCGCCTGCAGGCGATATGCCGGCCACCATGTGATCGTTCTGAAGGACTGACAAGGCAGCCTTCGCAACGCCGAATTCCAGGGTCTTTTTGGACTGCAGGAGTGACATTACACGACGAATGGGTGTGATTCGGAGTCTTGTGGTTCCGGTGTAATCATGCCAGCATAGCCGCATGTATTGGATGGAGCCATCATTGCTCAGCAATTTTGCAAGCCACTCAGCGTTGTATTCTGGCAAGTCTGATTCGCTCTTAGGAGTCAATGACAATGATGGGGAGTCCATCGACAATGAGAGACCATAGAGTTTGTTGGAATTGTGAAACAGAATGTCCTCGACGACCTTCTTGGCTTGGTGCCAAGTCAGGTCGCCCTTCCTGACATACTCGCACAGCACAGTCTCGAACGCCTCCCTCATCTGAATGACGGCGAGCAGATACGTCTCAGGGAACCAATGCCCATCCGTGCTCCAGATGACTTTAGACGAGGGGCAGATCTCCAAGATTTGCCGAACAATCGTCTCCTGGCCATCCCGACTCACCATCGGGAACACTTCACCAATGTCCGCATACACGTTTGCATACACCGTGGCCAAGTATCCAGTGTCCCGGACGAAAGGGTAGCCCGAGTGCAGCAGGACTATAGGCACAGTGGGGTACTGCCCGATGAATTGCTGCAGATGCGAGGGAGAGGCCTTGGTCAGAGTGATGTCGTTATCACCAAGGCCTGTGTGGAATTGGATTGGTTTCGGGTGCGCAGCAGATTCGCTGATGAGACTGGCAAGGCAATGGACAACGTACTCGTTCAGTCCATTATGCTGGAGTCGATTGAAAGGCTTCGCCCCTGGTCGTTGCCTGTCGTAATGGATCTCCTGAAATGCCGCAAATGCCTTGTCTTGGTCTGGATGCTGAGGTATCGCGAGACCAGTCCGGTAACATATGGCAGACTTGAAACCGACCACCACAGGGTCGAGTATGTCTTGGGAGATGGCATGGTTCAGGCTTCGAATAAAAGAAGAGAAGGCTGTTTCTGGACTGCTATGCTCGGTGCATGCTTCCTCAATCAAGATTGTGGCCACATGCTCGACACGTACAATCCTTTTGGACTCGGCCGGGGTGAATTTGTCGAAATAATCGTACGCCTCGTTGTCCCCTTCATTCCCGAGATAGTCATCCACAAGAATGCTATGAATACCAGAAAGACATGTTCTGATCCAGTTTTCGTAGTCGTTTGGATCTTGCTGTTTTTTCTCGAGAGCAGCCGAAACGGAGTCCCACGTCGGTTCACATCCGAGCACGTCGGAGAGTTGTTTGACAGCTCGGAGATGGGCTAGGCTCGTCGTGGTAGCATCGAGAGCAGATCCTTCAGCTTCGGTCGTGATCGAGAGTAGGGAAGTATTGTTCCGAGCAGCTGGACGCAACAGCGGATGTGCATGATTGTCAATTATGGGAGTTGTTCGCACAGCATGGAGAAAAGCGCCTTCATCCTGTGAAGGGTGGGCATCCATCTTTGCCGCAAGATTCTGGGGAATGCTGGGGATTCTGGGGAGCTCTGGGGATTGCAGTCGTGTTTCCGACGCGGGATTGCAACAGCGAGAGAAATGTACAAGGGAGTTGATTCCTCATGCACGGGACATGGAGCACGCCTGCAGAGTCAAATACATGGTGATATGTGGCGTATCAACGCAGGCATCATGGATGCTGGAGAAGAGAACGCATCACGGTCCGCACTTGGGCCCATTCCATTCCCCTGGCTTGCATGCGTACATCACAGGGCCCCTGTGGTGCAAGATAGTTCCTGGATGAAACCCCGGACCCGAGGCGCCGCTGTGGTCACAACGGTGATAGATTGCGGACGAGGTGAAGGATGGGGAAGCAAGCCATGGAGTTACACCTCCGCCCCGAGTGTACGGAAACGGTAGCTCACCCTAGTGCAAATCTAAAGTCCCGTCTTCCGTGCGCAGCTGGACGACAAGCTTAATCCAAGACGCTGCGTGTTCCACTCATTCCGCTGCAACGTCAGGACCGAAAACTGTGCGGCAAGGGTCCAATGCTGGATGTGATATGATATGTGGCGCTCCGCCACATGATACCGTGATGGTGCAGGGTCAAGAAAAAGTATTCATTTGCCAGGACTGAAAGGGTCTAGAAGGCCTCATGCGTGGGATGACGAGGGTGTTGGGGAGCGCCCCTTTTCCCATTATCCCGAGATAAGCGCCCCAAGGGAATATTCACTGTGTCTCTCGCGACTCGAACTCTGTTGGTTGTGACCTTGTAGATGCGGCATATCAACCCTTGTACGGTACATTATCAGCTCTCAGCTGTGGAGCGTCCCCTTCCGCTCGCCGACTTGACAGGTCGATACGTGCCGGGATTCCCGGAGTTCCTTGAATCGACGGTTCGGCATCCTCTTCCCCTAGCGTCTTCTCTCGGCTGCGGCATGGACCGTTTAGTGAGCATTCCGCAAACCTAGATGCCATTCTGTCTTGATTGGTCTAGTAGCCCTGGCCGGCTCGTTTGGCTATCGACAGGGGGTGGGCTTTAGATGCAACGTCGGGCACTAGGGAGACGTGCCGTCGCCCCGTTTTCTAGGCGGCTGCTGTTGGTCATGTTTTAGTACCGGCACTATTCAGCGGTGGCGTGTCTCGTTCTTCGGGACGGTAAATGCATCCCTGACGCCCTCATAGTCGGAACGCTGGTATACGTTGTTTGAGTTAACGTAGGGGCATCCCATTGTTTGACGACGACTCCCTGTCCGTCCGGCAGAAGAAAGCAGCGAAGAAATCGGACCAGAATGACTGCTATCTGCATGTCGAACTGCCGGTCTCGATTGTGCCGAGCGTGGCTGGCACCGCGTTCTTCCTACCGGGTGGATGGAATGCAAGTTTTGCTGATGTTGCTTCGGCCCCATACTTTAAGATGTATGAGTCCCTTTACCTTTTGAAAGTCCAGTCGTTATTTGTCTTCTGATCTAAGAAACCATCCACCATTCACGCTGCGCAGGCCACCACAAGCGTGTGTCTCGTCCACACCAAGTCGCCACAATGATTCTGCCGCGGGAGCACGAGACACCCTTTAACAAGGCCCCGGTGATACGGGCCATGGCAGCGTTGCTCATGGTTATCACGATTCTGTCCGCGATGACCCGACTCATAACAAGAGTGGTGACCATCAGGAGACTCAAGGTGGATGATTACCTTGTTGCTGCATCAACAGTAAGTCTACTCTATTCTTTTTTCTCAAGAATCCTCGCTGACTTGCTGTAGACTATGGTTGTTGCTCAGTCGGCTGCTGTTATCGCCCAGGGCGCTAATGGACTGGGCAAACTGGAGGGCGTGTCCGCGAGTCAGATCTCTTCCATATTAAAGGTAACGATGCATTCAATCCCGCAGATCCCAAGAGTCTAAAGACTAACAATATCTTTTTTTTCGATAGGCCTCATATGCTTCCGACGTTCTCTTCATTGCCGCATTGCTGCTGGCCAAGATCTCCGCAACGAGGGCCATCTGGGACATGGCGCCACGAGAAAAGAGGCGTTTGATCTTGGTTACCGAAGCGCTGACTGGCTGCTGGGCACTGTCCTCCATTGTGGCGTCAATGTTCAAGTGCTCCCTTCCGGAGCCTTGGGACTACATCAACGGCCAGTGTTTCAATCAGGTACGTGGCGTGTTTGGCTTACGCCTCGCTACGAGACACTCAACTGACCGCCGCAACAGTTCGCATTGTGGATGTACGTGGATTGCCTCAACATTGTCACGGACCTCGCCATTACTGCCATCCTCTTTGAGATGTTTATGAAACTGAAGACATCGGCATCGAAGAAGGCCTTGGTGATGAGCGTCTTTGGGAGCCGTGTTTTGTAAGTACCACCCACCACGTTGCATGCGAGAGGAGGCAAGAGATACACTGGACACCAAAGCTAACCGTGCAAAGTATCATACCTCCTGTCATGTGTCACATGTACTTCTTCAAACGCGCGATCGACTCGAAGCATCCCATATTCGACATGTGGCAGCCAACAATTATAATACAGGTTATCCAGTGCATGAGCGTCATGGCAACATGCATCCCGTATCTCAAGCCTTTCATGGACAGCCTGCAATCTGGACAGATGAACGCCAGCGAAATCACCGGAACCAGGACTGCAGGCAGCTACGGAAGAAGCAGGAGTGGCTACACCTCTCAAGGGAGTGGTCTTCGCGGGAACACCGCTATCGGGCTTACATCTGTCACCGCAATGGCCACCAAAGCTTCCCATAGGAGGCAAAAGTACGAAATGATTGACATGGATAAGTCTGCGGACCGGGGGAACAAGAAAAAGGCTGCTGGTACTCCCGCAACTGCCGGCGGTTCGTGGGATGGCCAGAGCCACAATAGCCAGACGGTGCTTGTTGAGCAGACCTGGAGAGTGGACGTTGAAGCGAAGGCCCCTACTCCTGGAGCTACTTGATTTTCCATAGACAGCATAGATCAATGCAGGCAACCTTTTTTTCTTTTTTTTGACAAGCTAAATGTCCGGTTATTGGCCTCAAACGCCGGAATCACACGGCATCGTCTCCGTGGAACGACATTGGATTGCCTCGGCAAGCCACAGTGTAAGAGTCCAGGCATTCAATCACCCGGCACCCATGCTCATGCTAAAGAGCTCGCGTCGTGTTATCTCTCCATGCCTTCGTACCGGGTTGACGGGGATACGTGTGAAATAGCCGACGTTCGCTAGACTGGAAGCATGGCCGATGGCGTTTGAATTTATATGGCGTCGACGGGGGTCCCCAAAGTCCGCTGCAGAGTGGCTGCAGAGTGGAAAGTCAATAAACGTGCCAGTGGCTTGGTCGACTGTCGCAGCATTGGTGCTAATTGTCCAGAACTTGAACGAGGTTGGCTTAGCCACGCAGGTGAAGCTGACTGGGCCGCGGCCTAAAAAGAAAAACCTCTTCAATGGTTTCATGTACGTGCCTGAAAAGGCGCAATACCGGAACAGATATTCTCTGACCTCCTGCATTGAGGCGTGTTGCAAGGAGCTTTATTAATTTGGAGAGTCACAACGGCGCTGGTAGCTTCAGCAGGGGAGCTTCGGTCGAATCATGGCTAAGTCTTGTTGTCTCCTGCAGCCAAGTTCCCTCTCTCTGCCGGATAAGTTAGTGCCTAGCTCATTCTGCTGCAGGCGTAACATGCTTACAGACGCAGAGCGAACGCCGGCGTGCGTCTCGCCCCTGGCTGAAGATGAATAGACGCATGAACAGCCCCTGTCCTGCGCCGACTCGCAGCCACCGCCAGAACGGCGCCGCTTCTTTTGCTTCTGGCGTCAACCTCAAGCCCTCGACTCTCGACTGCCGGGAGATATCCCCTCCAGGGTCCACTTAGCCACCATTGCAACGTACGTGGGTGTGCCCACTCTCCGTGTATCCACAGCGGCAGGGAGTTGTTGGCCCTCCGCTAGTGGCCGATCCTCCTCGCTAACTTGCCCCCGCATTAGCGATGGAAGTGTGTGTACGGCACGTATGTAGCGGGTTGTGGGACCCTGGAATGCTTGTCCAGTAGCTTAGGGGACCCTGGGATGCTTGTAGCGGCTTGGAGGACCCCGGGATGCTGGTACTTTGCCGTAGATGCTTGTCCAAGCCAAGATGATTGTTGGTCGGACCAGTTTCACCTCGTAAGAGACCCACGGCTTGCGTCTTACTGCGTGGACTGCGTGTTACTCCGCCTAATCCCAGTCAGCTCGGCGTTTGCCATGGGCTTCCTGCTCCCAATCATACATAGTACTTAACAATAGCCCCGTTGCTGCGTTTGTCTGTCTCGCTGCAGGTGCTTTTCCCCATCGCTTTTCCCTTATCACCTCCGCCCCAAATTGCTGATCGCATCGTGCTCCGCTACGCGTTGGCGCTCCTCTTTATTTTGTCGCGACCTGCACACACCCCGCCATCACATAGCGTGCTCATACCCTCACGATGAGTATCGGTATTTCAGATGACAGCCATGAGCTCAGCGACATGAGCCAGGGCAAGGCCCGGGAGGCAAATGTCGAGATTGTCGCCGAATCGATTGATCGCGACGGCTTGGATCGCGATCAATTGGCGAAGCTGGGCAAGAAGTCTGTGCTAAAGGTATGCGCCGAATTTCCTCAATTCCCTATTTTGGCCTGCGATGAAACTGACTGCTAGTTTTCAACAGCGAAACTTCCGCTTCCTGACCATTCTGGGCTTCAGCTGTGCTATCCTCGTCACATGGGAGGGCACGCTGATGAACTTTGCCCCCGGCCTGGCAAATGGTGGCCCTGCCGGTCTCGTCTATGGCTTCATCTTCGTCTGGATCGGCAACATCAGCGTCTTCTCTTGCCTCTGCGAGCTCGTGTCCATCGCTCCCACGTCTGGCGGCCAGTATCACTGGGTGGCCATGCTGGCTCCTCGGTGGTGCTCCAAGTTCTTGAGTTACATTACCGGCTGGTTGACTCTGGCCGGGTGGCAAGGAACGGCTGCTGCTGCTGGCTTCCTGACTGGCACCATGATCCAGGGTCTTGTTACCTTCATGATACCCTCCTACGACGCCAAGACGTGGCAGGGAACGCTGATGCTCTGGATGTGTATCTTGGTTGCCGTGTTTATCAACACCATCGTCAGCTCCATGCTTCCCAAGATTGAGGGAATGATTTTGATTCTCCACATTATCGGCTTCTTCGCTGTCCTGATTACGCTGGTCACTTTCGGCGCAAACGCTGACGCCTCCGAGGTTTTCCTCGAGTTCCGTAATCAGGGCATGTGGCCTACTCAGGGACTTTCTTTTTTCGTGGGCCTGTTGGGCTGCGTATTTTCCTTTGCCGGTAAGCTTCCAGTTCTCTAATATTTATTTGAATATCAACTAACATGGAATCGTCTAGGTGTCGACTGCTCTTTTCATGTACGAACCCTTGGCAAAACCTTTGCCGGATCTTTCCCTCACTTGCGTATGAGAACAAGATTACTGACAGCGTATAGATGTGTGAGGAAGTCCAGAATCCTTCTGTCGCAGTCCCTCGTTCCATTATGGCCAGCATCATGCTCAACGGCGCCATGGGTTTTGCTATTCTCATTGCTATGCTCTACAGCGCTACCAATATCGACGAGGCTATCAACACCCCAACTGGCTACCCTTATATCGAGATCTTCTACCAGGCTACCGGATCAAAGGGCGGAACAGCCGCCATGACCTCTCTGATTATTGTCATGACTCTGTCTGCTATTGTCGGCGTCATTGCCGCTACCTCCCGCATGTTCTGGGCTTTTGCTAGAGATCGGGGTCTGCCGTTTTGGCCTACTCTGTCCAAGGTACGTGATGACCCGTATATCAAATAGAATTCTGCATTTACCGATGGCTCAACTTACACTGGCACAGGTTGATCCTCGGACCAACGTCCCTGTCTGGGCCATCGCCGTCACAAGCCTTGTCGCATGCCTCATTGGTCTTATCAACATTGGCTCTGCCGTCGTCTACAACGCCATCATTTCTGTCGCCGTCTCCGGTCTGTACTCATCCTACCTGATGGCCGCATCTCTGCTTCTCTATCGTCGTTGCGGCAACGGGTACAAGTTGCCTGATCCCAGTGCCCTTCCTGCTCTGGCCGACACCACTGCTGGTGACGGTCAGACTCTCGCCTGGGGGCCATGGCACGTCCCTGGCGTCTTTGGCACCATCAACAACGTCATCGCCATCATGTTTATGCTCGTTGTCTGGTTCTTCAGCTTCTGGCCCCCGGCCACCCCCGCCACTCCGGCCACCATGAACTATGCCTCGCTGATGACTGGTGGTGTTGCACTTCTCAGTATTGTTTACTACCTCCTCTGGGCGAAGAAGGAGTACAAGGGGCCCCATATGGAGATTGTGGCCAACTAACTTCCAAGAGTTAGGAAGGAGATTGCGACTGGAATAAACGTACTTAATTAAACGGCTTACATAGAATGTAACATAGCCGAGTGAGCTACCTAATCACAATTCCGCCGGTGTACCTCTTGTTTGAAGATGACCCTGCCTACTAAACTCTGATAGATTAATGGCCTGATCTTGGGTAGTTAGAGGGGTTTTCTGCCAGGGGGCCCAGCCGGATCCGGGCCAAGATGATCATCAACATCATCTTCATCGTCTTGAATACTCTTGCCTGATCAAATTTACCGCATCGGATCCATCACCTCTCTTTTCATAAAATTGCATTAATGTTGTTCATTAGCTAGCCGCTAGCTGACTCAGCGGCAATTGGCTGACCAAGCAACTAAATCATGAAACTGAGGAGTTGCCAAGTTGCACACGCATGTATCCTTCAGTTGATGAGAACACAGGGCTGCCAAGACGTCAACACAAGAATAACTATCGCAAAATGGACGGCCTATCTGTTGAGCTTCCCCGTCTGGCGGATGAAAAGGTGATCGCATACCTGCAACATCTAGGTGTTCCACAGGTCAAAGCCGATCAAGTTGAGCTTCCTAAACCGACCTTCTCGCTTCTTTGTGAGATGCAGAAGCGACATCACGATAAGATTCCGTTTGAATCCGTCTCTGTCCATTTGGGAAAGAATGTCCATTATCAAGATTCCGATCCAATCCCCTACCAAGAGGGCAAGGGCAACATCGACGTCAGCCCCAATGCGCTATTTAACAAGATCGTCACTCGAGGTATGGGAGGGTATTGTTTTGAGCTGAATGGACTCTTCGCAATCGTTCTGCGCTCCCTTGGATATACCATTACCAATCACTCGGCGCGAGTGTATGCGTACCAGGGCAAGACACCGGAAGATGCGGGGTGGTCCTGGTCCGCTCTTTCACATCAAACTACACATGTGCACTTTGCCGAGGACGAAATGAGCGGTGAAAACATCATTCCAGAGGGCTGGAAGGCTCCCAGTGGGGGAACTGGAGTAACATTTCACTGCGATGTTGGTTTCGGTGTCGGACAACCGAGAGAGCCGATATTGATCAACACCGAAACAGCTTCCAACCACCATATACATGAACGCCTGCCACCGTTTCGCGAAGCCGATGGTGTACCGGCTGGATACACTTTATATCACAAGCTTTACGACAACGAGAGCAGCAAATTGGCAGGGAGTTCCGCTTTCAAATTGGCCCCCATGTACCACTACACGGAACAACCCCAACTACCAGTGGACTACCTCACATCAAACTGGTTCTCAAATACTTGGCACGATTCAATCTTTGTCAAGATGATGGTAGCCACAATGCCCTTCGGGGTCGAGAGAGGTGATCCTTTGGGGACCCGCGGAAGACATAGCTTCATCTATTCGCATCATGAAGCGCTGGGTGCCCGCAAAGAAGGAGATAGACAGGTGGCTATCTATAGACGGAAGGGATTGGATGGAAAGAATACCGTCATCAACGAAGAGCGGACCGTCGCAACTTTTGGCGAGTTCAAGAAGCTCATGTGGGAGGTTTTCGGCATCAACACGAATAGAATTACGTCTAAGGACGCCTTTCCATGAGACGTGATATAGGCTAGTTATATTGTGGATAGAAGAGTTGATCAGTTGAATAGACCTTTAGACCGACTTTTGAGCCTCACTCGACGAGGAACCTGCACCAGCTTTCCTCGCACAAAATGTGAGGCCAACCCACCATCTACCCATTTCACAGATCATTGTCACACCGTCAGGTTGCGAAAATCTGTTCGCTGCTTCAGTTTATGCAATTTCTATGCCCTAAACTAGTAACCCGTCGTGAGCCCTCGGCGGACTGCATCTTCGAGAGTTTCCAATTCCGAATCCTTCAAACCAATCACATCATTGTCCGACTTCTCATAAAGAGTCCCGCCCTCCGCCCAAATCCGCCGTAATGTATAGCTCGTCGCGCTTCCCTTGCCTTCGGCCCAAGCCTTTGCTTCTGCATCCTTCAATCCCTGGAGCGACGAGTAAGAAACACTCCACTGCTCGCCAGTCCGCTTCTCGAACTCGGCCAAGATCTCCTTGGGCGTGACGACGAAGGATTGAACCTTGAGCGCCTTGTTGGACGATGCTTCGGGATGGTGCAGGGCCGCCACGACCGATTTGCCAACACTGGAAAATGTGAGTTGGATGTCTCAAAATGGGATTACCATACGTACTCTGGCATTGTGGTAAAGCCGACCCGGCCTTCTCCGTCCTCTACCAAGATAGCACGCTTGTTATCCACGTCGAAGCCTCCAGCTTCCGGTGCAGCTGGCGACAAGTTGAAGAACATGTCGATGTATGGACCTGTGACAACGAAGGTGTACTTGAGCTTCTTAATATACTCTCGGATATACCGTCGAACCTTGAGCTTAAGCTGGTGAGGTTTCTCATCCGCACTCTTAGGGCTATATTCGATGTCGGTGCCGTACTCGGAAGGGAAAAACCACTTCACGGAGGAGGATTCTTCGGCAATTCGAAGCAATTCAATCTGGGTTTCCAAGACATTTCGTCCGACCGCGCTAACCACCGTGTCTACACCGTCGTAAGCGCGTTTAATGTCGCCCTCGTTGTTGACATCTCCCGTGATGATCTTAACGCCCTCTGACTGCAATTTGCTGATGTAGTCTGCTTTGCTTGTCACCGTTTCCGTCGATGTAAAGATGGCAACGTGCGCAAAGGAGGGTTGTGCTGCCAGGATTTGGTCGGTTATGTACCGGCCAATTTGGCCAGTCGCTCCAAAGATCAGGATACTAGTAGGCTTCAAAGACCCCATGATTTCAGTAGAGTTTGGATAGAATTGATACTAATAATCGTTAGAGCGGAGAGTACGTTGACTTTTAAATCGCTCAGAACTCGTAGCTTAGAAATCCGGGGCGGGGTTCTGAGAGATCAACACGTTAAAATGGTGGTTAGCGTCGGCCGTCAGTTGCCTCATCCGCGCTTCTTATGACACCATGCTAATCAGTCCAAAATTTACCGGATTTATTGAATATGAGCAGCTTGGATGAAAACTTACCCTGTCAAGATGGCAACCGGTGGGATTAGTTATAGAACCGTAGAAAAATTGAAGGCGATGATGAGTTCAACCCAGATATAGGGCGTAAAATTCGGTACCTGTGGGCGCCCACGAGCACAAGATTTTTTTGGGTAGCTTGTAATTTAGGAACCTATAAGCACTAATATTTTCCCCGTACTCAGATAAGAGAAAACAAACAGCGAGATAAGTGAACATGAAGGAGGACATTACGTAGTAATATTTTGTACCGGGAATATGGCAAGGGCTGTGTATATTCAAACTTCATCCTCTGCTCCATTCTTTATCTATCGTTGCGTCTTACTGCTGCAGGGATGGCTGGGCGTCTGCAATGGAGCTACACAGTAGTCAAGCTTCCCCAGGTCATACAAGACATCAATTCGGAGTTAGGCTGATACAGAAAAGAAGAGTTAAGCCCTAACCATTACACCAAAAAATCTACCTGCACCTCGGTTATGGGTTACCCAGGGGATGGGGGGTTTTAAGACACTATTGAACGCATATAGGATGCATCCAGAGACGCCCCAAATTAATGGGACGAAAAAAAAAAGGAATTACAGAAGTATTGAATATTATTCATGTCCTTTCTCGAGACTAGATACGAAATGGTACGTCAGTGGGAGTTGCGTGGAGCAAACGTGGCGCCCTAGAGGTAACACATGTGCACATCTAAATACCTACTCAAGATTGGGCAGCACTCACACCGCTCAAATGTGCAGAAATGTACATAAAACCAAGCCTTGTCGCTCTCAATTCCATGTTTACTTTTTTCCTTTTTCACCTCACTTCCTGTCTTCACAAAAATCGACGCCATACGCTACAAGCAATAGGGCCATACATTTACCCCGACACCTAGCACTAGGAGACAGAAAAACTCATACAATAAAATTGTCGCACACTTACCACATTTTCTACAACCGGTCAATTTTATTCCATGGCAAACCTCAATGTTTCAGGCGCCCTGATTGCGGCCAAGAATGAGAACACAGCCGCCTTGGTCAACATCAACTTGGACGTCTCACTGTATCGAGGGAATCCACCAGCCGAGTTCTTGCCCGTTGGCTCTGCCTTAGCAGCATGGCGAAGGACAGAGGCCGAAGATGGCGAGCTTCACAAGACAGCCTGTCGGCTTGGGTTTTTGTTCAACGAGCTGGTTCCAGAAACACCGAACCTGATTCGATGCTACGGTACCCGAGCCTCTGATATTATGAACAGCCCGAACATTAACCCACGAGGCACTTCTGAAGATGGTGCATTTTGTGATTTCGTCGGTGCTGATGGGACCTGCATATGGGCTGCAGCAACATCCATACCAGCTTCACTCAGTACATTCCTCCTTGCTTGTATGCTTGCTCGAGCCTGGGATGCAAAAAAGGCCACGAGCATCTGGGCGGAGCTTGTTCATGAGCGCATCGCCCAAGTCAAGGCCCAACTCAACATGAAGAAAGTGGTCAATCCTCATACTGAGATGGCTATCCGGCAAAACATCAGTCGCGCAGACCTTGCAAAATGGGATGCAAGCGCTCGAGCCTGGCTTCGAAGGGCAGATCAAAGTATGGTCCGCTATCACGATCAGTTTACCCTGATTATGAAAAACGTCAAGACCCCGTTCGTTGACCCAGGCTCGACATTTGAGAAAGTAACGAGGGGTTGGATAAGAGCGATGAAGGTTCTCGAAGACTTGCTCCAAAACACACCGCAGCAAGTTCCTGATCGAGCGGTCTTGATGGCAATCTCAGCATGGCATCTATACCCAGACCTGTTGGTTTGTCAAGAAAAGACCACCAAAGTCACCCTCAAAGACCCGTTATTCCCGCAAGCTGCTATTTTGACGCTCGGGTTGGAGCCTCGCGATTCTCGCAATGACAACCTATGCCAGTGGTCGCTGGCACTATCCCACCTCAGGTACTATGGAGATCCTATCAAGGTCAAGAGCGAAGAAGCTTTTCAAAGAGTCAGCTTTCATGATTTGTGGGTGGTAGCTCTTGGGGCACTTCTGAGGCAATGGCAACTACCATCGTCGAGTATCGGGGCATCGATTGTCTGGTTCAAGCGTCTGGGCGAAGTTTTGAAAACATCTCCAGATTCCTCGAGTCCCGAGGTCTCATGGCTGTTAAAACTCTGCGAAGCCGCCTCGTCCATTGACCAACCCACCGCTGCCGAGAACGACCCCAAGATGCAACTCGTACAATTTGGCTGGTGGAAGGCAACACATTTCTTTGGGTCTGGCGCTACCATTCAACCGCATTTCTTTGGGCTGTGCAAATTGAATGTGATACGGAAATTGCAAGGAGATACCGATCTTGAAATCGGCTTTCAGTACATTCGGAATATCGCATTTCAGCTGAGTCTCCGACCTCAAGATGCAATTGTAGTCTACTACTCGCACAATATTGGGAATGGCACCTATGTTGAGTGGGCTACCTTGTTTCCTGTCAGTCCTCTGGCTGTGGGGAAATCGACTACTGAATCTGACGAACATACTCCAAAAACCAATGCGAGGTGGATGTACTATCAGTGTTCGGACAGCCATCTCAGAACCCACAGTATCATTGATCAGCGACAGAAGCACATTCAAATGTCGAGTGAGGAATGCACCATTGTGTCTGAGGATAGTCTCGAGCAAGCTATTTTCCTGAAAGAGCCAAACACCGATGGGATGTCATGCACCTGGGAACAACCGCCACCTCTGTTTGGAGGACCAGCCTCTCCTATAAGATTCAGGGCCCTCCCTGTCGGAACAGCAGTTCTAGGAGCAAACGAATTTCGCTTATTGGTTCGAGAAAGTCTACTTGGGAGTAAAAATATGAGGGCGCTGGTCAGCCACAGCCTAGGCCCCGGTTTGGGTTGGCTTAACAGTGGCCCAGATGTAGATGCCATAGTTCGGTATTTCAAACATCTTCAGGTACGCCCAAGAACCCCATGTATCGTCACCAAGTCGAATTTCTAACCCTTGATCAAACAACCAATAGCCAAGCTATGATTCAGAAGATTCAAGAGCCAAACGGCGGAAAGTCTCCCACGAGCCAGGCAGCTCGATTAGCCAGGCTTACCCGGGCCTGATGGAAAACCTAGACGACAATGCGAGGCAAGGACATGCCCTATGTCGTGCTTCCACGGACTTTTTGATCTCTTTTCGTGCCCTTGAGCTGGCGACGATGATATATCGTCAACTCCCAACGGCCACGGTGTCACTAAAGGTGATCGACCAGGTTTTATCGGCGGCCCATTGGGTTCCAACCCGTCTCAAATCTATCAAAAATCACGACGTCCACGAGTTTCGCCAAGTTGTATCCATGTCGGTTGAAGAAGACAGCCTCACGTTGCCGCGGTGCAATGTGTTTGCAGCCATCGCGATGTTTGAGTCCGGCATCTTGAACATCGATACGGAGCAGCTGAGTGAGGTTGTTGCCCTCTGTTCCGAAGACTCCATCTTTGTTTCCGGTCTCTTACTCTCAGATCCCGCAACTGAATGCTTCGGGATTAATATGCGTCATCTAGTTGGCAACATTGGCCAAGCCGGTATGGTTTTCATGGTAGCCCCGATGAACCCTCGACTTCGATCTCCGAAATATGACCCAAGAATGATACGACCGCACTCATATGATGGCAAATGCACCGACAAGTTCAAGGGAACTTCACTTCATTTGTCTTTTACGAATTGGAAGATCTCATTGGATTGGAGCAGCACGGGGGAAATTGACCAACAGGTGTTTTTGTTAGAATCAGTGATATCTGTTCAAGACAAGGGACAGTGGGTCGCAGATATCGATGTATTGGAACTGGAAAAAAGCGGCTCGCAAGTCATACAGTTTCAATGTGACTGTCAGCGGGATGCACCTCCCCCGTCCTCAGAAGATGTCCTCTCGTTGGAATCCTGGGAAGAGATTCTGGACCCACCTCCGTCAGTTGGTGTCATTCGAGCTAACGGAAACTGGGTCGCTCGTCTTGCCGCAACTACAATCATAGCACAGCAAGGTCAAGGTCATGCTGTCGCTCTTCTTAGGAATGAACCTATTTGCTGGAGTTGTTTGGAAAGTCTTTACTCAGAGCCGGAGCCTCGCTTACCTTCTTTCATCATTCATTAGGCTTCTTACCACGAGTTCAATAATTAGGAGTACTGCTATTTGGGCTATACCATATTGCTATCTACACTGTGAAAATCATATACCGCCCCCAATTTCCACTCGTTCGCTATTGTACACTAAAATTAAAAAGCCTCAGCTACTAGCAGGGCTCCAGCTTGAAGGCTCAATTCTACCACGGCCGGCTGCTACTGACGGTGTTGCTGATACCGCTGGCGCCGAGGTGATGACGGTACCCTCCTCTTCTAAACCTTTCCTTGCCACTATCTCTACCTCGTCCTTCTCTGATTCTTTGGCACCACTGTTTATAGAGCTTTGCAATTTCTGCGTTGGCGGCCTATGGAAATGCTGATTCCTCTGTGTCCCGGCCTTGGCTAGTGAGAGGTTGTGGCCGGGTTCAACTGAGACTTTTACAGCCAGGATAGCAATATAGTACAGCCCAAATAGCAGTACTCATAATCATTATTCCGATTTATTCTTTAGGAGATTTATATATTCTTTTCTAATTTACCATTATCAGATGATCAAAGCTGTACAGTAGTTACAGTAGTAGCGGCACACATTTAGCACTATAGTCAGTAGTAGAATATATAATAGCTCATACAGTAAGGTCATTATACACATACCTTGCCGTTAGATTTCAATTTGACGCCTCTCTCTTCAACCGTATTAAGCACGGGCAGACAATGGAAGATCTAATGCAAAGGTGATGTAGTGTCACGACTCATGCCGGGACCACCGGCGGTGAAGGCGATTGTGAAAAAAATAATGTATCGTGCCCTGTATGTACTAATTCCATACCACCAAATGATTCTTCCCTTGTTCCTTCAGCAAGTATACCCCTCATATTCCCACCAAGTCTTGAATCCTAGTTGCTCGTAAAAGCCCCGTATCGCGACGAAATCAATGAGGATGCCCTCAATCCCCCTCTCCTGCATGTTCTCCATCGCTTTCACTATCAATGCCAACCCGACACCTTTCCCTCTTGCGCTCTCATCCACACCAACGGCGGCAATCAACCCCGTCTTCTCCTTCGATGGCACCAGAGGCAAGAAGGCATAGGTGTCGCAGACGATTGAGGTGTGAGAACACATCAGTGTCCATCCGATCTGCGCGTTTGTATCAGGGTCGAATGCCACCATTACTTCATGGTGTTGGTTGTAGGCTGCAAGAGCTTCATACGCTCTACCCCAGCTCTAGTTGCAAGTCAGTTTTCATGAGTCGAGGAGATCTAAGAAAGGACTAACAAAGAGGGCTTTCTGCTTGGCCATGCATTCTTCGTATAACTCTGGCGACCATGGAGAGAATCTTATGTTCATCTTGGAGACTCGCTCCAGGACTTCAGGTGGCGCGACAGCGCCGTGGAGGTCTTTGTAGAGATCCCGAACAGTTGATTCTGGAGATTTATGGAAACCTGTATACTATTAGCACTTTAGACGAGAAAATATAGTTGGAAGCTATTATAAACCTCTGTGGAGGAAGAAGTTTTTAACTTCTGGTGGGAAGTCCATCGGCATCCGGGGCCAGAATCGAGGGGTCTCAGATCCAATTCCCAAAGATTTTAGTTCACGTTCTCCATTAGCACGAGCCAGGTTTATCAACCCGGCCTTTGCCTTTTCTATAAAAGCAGTGCCGAGTCCTTTGCCTCGATATTCGGGCATGACGCCAACAGCAGCGATTTTGCCGGCTCCGTCAGCCAAAAAGGATAGACAGAATCCTTTTTCATGGATGTAATGTTGACCAGGGAGTAGGTGAAGAATCTTCTCCATTCGCTGTCGCTCAATCTGCCATTTTGGGAAGATGGCTTGCCACATTTGCCATATTTTCTCAAAGTCTTCATCAGAGCTGGTGAGGTCTCTGATGTCATGCTGGTTGGCAATAGATGGCTCCATCTTGTCTTCAGTCTGCTCAGCCGTGAAGTGCGGGGACGCTTCAATTCTCTCACTTCAGAGATGTCACAGCAAAACAAAGACCACTAGAGCGCCCTCACGTTCACTGCGCTTGAGTGGCGGAGGCCTGATTTTGGAAATTATAAAAGGCAGCGTAAAATACCACCTAAGTAGAAATCGGGGATCTTGATAAGACAAAAGGGAGAGGTTCAGAAGATGGCGCAGTAGTGACAAGCGAGCTGACGTGGCAAATTGTCACAACGCAGATACGAACGACAGGATACACGTGGGGTAGATTTCAATTTCCCGCAATTAATTTGTACAGACAACTGGGAGAAATAAAAAATAAAGACAAATGTGGTGGACCCATTTCAAGTCGCGCAAGGTTACCACGATGCATCTGTTGCATGATGTCAGACTACGCTAACTGCGGGGTTTCTAGTTGCATTATTTAGGCAACAGTATTAAGAACCTCGTATTTCGTATCACAGCCTGTGAACGTAATGGATGTTTGCCCCGGCAGAATCTCCTGAGCTTGGCGAAGATGCCTGGGTTTTCGGTGAAATACCTGTGTGAGATCTGGTGGGTCCCATATGCAGCGGATATGCATGACAACCTTGAGTTCTGCTTTTACATCCAGGCTCGAAGAGATTCTACATCAGGAATGTATCCAAAGCGAGGTAACCAACCAGTACAGGGAAGACTTGCAGATAATAAGCGACTACTGTTTCTGTTGTGGTATAGAGAATTGGCTGTTTAGTCATAATCCTGCAGCGATTTTGCAGCGGTAGTGCTGTATCAAAACAGAGACAAAATTCTGTCAGACTGGTAAGAAGGCTAGAAGGAAAAGAATATGTATTTTACGACTTGGTAAATATGCTATCGATCACAGTGTGTCTGTCAGGTAGCAGACACGGAGACAGAGTATAGGACAGTAAACTAGCCACTACATACGCTTATGCCGTGAGGAGCATAATGTCAGCTAGTCGGATGACATCACTTAATTACCATTTCCTAGATACAGGGAGTATAAAAGGGTTAAAAAAGTACCACGAATAGTGCATAATCTCACCAATCGTAGTGAATTCTTCTTTCCAAGACACGAATCAATTTGTTCGTAATCACCGCAGGCATCAATCGTCACTCACACGGCGCAAACGCCACAGAGTCATTGGCATTAGCTAGCTATTGACTTGCTCAAAAGCAACGCTAGGCCTAAGACTAGGCCAGCGGCGAGATAGGTGGCGATGGTACCTGCCGGTGACGATGGAAACCTTTGTTGAAGGATGAAAAGCTTCACTGCCGTAATAACCCTAGAGATCCAATATCCTGATCCATGTAACAAATCCTGGCCTAGTTGGCCTGCCGATTCGGACTGGGAGTTCACAGAGTATTTACCATCTTCCTATTTGATGTTACTTAGTAGCAAAGAGCTGTCGTGATATTAGACCACTTACCCATTTGGGGAATGGCGTAAATGTGTGACCATCTCCGTTGAGAATCAAGTGCCTTCAAACGGGCAAAACTTCACGAGGCCACTCATGGTAAACAACATGACCATTTCTGTACTCGGTGACCATGTGAGGTAATCCATTAACTTTCTGACGTCGTCAATGTCGATGGACAGTTTTCTTGGAAGAACAAGAACTTCCAGCCAGGAGGTGAGGAATTCTTTGTCGCGGTCGTACGTGCATCTATAGCCATATTTGCTCAATGTCGAACGGACTCCGTCCTGTAACATCTCGTTGATGTGGTCTGCAAACTCCTTAATGTCTGGGGTTATATGTCCCTGAAGCCCGTTGAAGCATGTAAGTGTGTACTCGGCTATCTCGTACAAGATCCACAGCCGTGGTTCAAAAGGTGGGTAAAACCACATAAACCCACAGTTTCGAATAATCCCCGGCATTGTTCTTAGCGATCGAAGGAAGTAGATTTCTTTTTTCTGATTGCGGGGATGTTGTGGCATACATGTCCAATCGATCCAGATATACGACCAATGTTGTTGCTTCAGTTCTCTTTGAACAAGGCGTAAATATTCCCCACCAGGATCGGGGTCATCTTGCGTGCGCCAGAAGTGACTAAGGAAGTAACATTCATCTCGTATGACAAAGCCATCAGAAGCAGGAAAAAAGACATAATCATCTAGGCGATCCTTGCTCCACTTGGTCATCACTTTCTGTGATAGGAAAGCTTCTCTTCGTTGGAAAATCCAGAACAAAAGTACCGGTGGCTCATCCAAAAAAATGGTCCAAATCGGTATAGAACTGTAAAGATTCTTTGGCCATTGCGTACCTCTCGTGAGTGGGTGCTCCCCAGGCCTCTATACTGCGATGTACAAGCGAGCTCTATGCAACGGAGGGCGCAGTATTGGACGGGCGGACCTCTTCAGCAGACGACATCGCCGCTATAGTTTGTTCTCGTAGATTGGCTATTAACAGGTCGTGGAGGTGTGCAAAACTTGGCGAGCATCGCCACCTCAGACTTCAGTAGCTTAATGCGTATAGAGTCAGAAAAAGTAGAAAGTGCGGGACGTAAGACTCGCGATTAGGGTCAACAGAGGGTGGCCGAGGCGCAACTATTATAACGTCCGATACCAAAGGGACATCGAAGCTGCTGCCTAAGGTAGGTATTGAAAGTGGGGTCAGGTCAAATTAAGTCATGTGCTGCTAAAATCTGCCTTACGTGATATTGCTCAATTGCGCATAAATTGCAAGACAACTAGTTATCTATCTACCAACTTCTAACATTACATCCAGTTCTCCAACAACCATCACAGCATCCCGGTGGTGTGATATGTGATAAGCGCAAGGGCGAATTCCTGCTAGGTGATTACGGATTCGTCAAATTGTTACAATAACTGTTAAATACACCCGTTACATTCACTGTGGATTAATAAAATGCCAATATTGTGTAAGAAAGGGTACCTTTGACTACTGTGGCTAGCCTCTTTGGATAGCTTACACATTTCATGGGAGTTTAAGATTTCTCGAGAAGTCGATGGCCAGGCCAGCAAAGACGAATGGCGGTGAAGGGAGGTCTCTTCTAAACTGTCTTGAGAAGCTGAATGACCCAATCTACCGCTTGCCTGCTCTCCTTCACGCCAAACCTATACGCCATTGGAAAACAGTGCATTTGCCCGTGCCATGAGAGCCACTCTCCTTCAATGCCCGCTTGCTTGCACTTTTCACGAAAAGCGACAGCTTCCGGTGCCAATACGTCGTATGATCCCGTGATCCCGTGGATCTTAACACCATGTCGAACCAATGGTCGGAGGTCAGCGTGAATTGGAGAGACTCGGGGATCCTCGAAACTCCAATCCTGACGGGGGTGATAGCCGTGTACCGCAGGCTCCGTAGCATCATCGGGCTCCCTCGCTACCGGACCGGGACACCAAGTGGATGCTGTAGAATTGATGAAGGAGTGCGAAAGGATAGGATCGACCTTGTCGAGCTGCTTAATCTCGGGTTCTTCGTGACGGAGATCTGTAGTAGGACTGATGGCTAAGATCGCCGCGGGCGGTTTCACCGTCTCATCCATCCCCGTAAGAAGCGTCCATGTTACCAAGGACAATGCTAGGTTTCCTCCCGAACTGTCTCCCGCCACTACCACGATCTCTCCAGCTTTCGTGGACTGCCGCAATAATTCCTTATATACCTTCTCTATCCGAGGATAGGCAACTGAGACGGGATTCTTCGGTGCCAGCGGATAAGAAATAAGAGTGACTTTAGTGTCGGGCAATTTGCAGACGAGATTGGCACAGAAAGCCCAGTGGTTATCGCTCGGTGGCATTTGCCATCCTCCGCCCGCAAAGTAGAGAATCCTGCAACGGTGGCCTTTGACTTTATCGTTGCCATACTGCGAGGACTCGGGCTTTTGGGTCAAGTCATAGACCCAAACGCCATCGGATTCAGTCTCATGAACGTGGCATTTTTTCTTTATGTTGCGAGGCTCGGTCAGTCGAGTAGACTCCGGGGCCTCGTGTTTGGCCTTGGCTAATCCAGGCTTGAATGGTCTCAGGGCGGCGTATAGCAGGCGGGTCATCAGATATCTCTCGCTGCGATGATGGACTGTAAGTTTTGAGGAGTGAGCTGCGGCGCCGGGTGACTGCATCTCTGTGGCCGTGATATGGGGGGCATCTTGGGCGGTCATGCTCATTTGGTGGTGCCGTCAGGTGAATTGATCCAAGAAGTGAACTTGAAAGAGTTGTAACTTATTTGATATGCTGAGTCCCGCTGCACTGTTATTCTTTTTGTCGATGACTAGCAAAACCCTCGACATCGTCGTTTCTGCTTACCTTGGCCTGATGAGCGCTAAGAGTCCACGACGTCATGAACCGCCTGACGTCATTAGCAGAAATGGCATGTTTTGATCTGATAAGAGATAACCTAAACACAGACACATACGATGTCTCCCTCTCTAAATGCTCCCACAAACAGATCTGACGAGACGTTGTATAACATAGCTGTATCCTATTTCGCTGTCTCGAATTTTATGATGTCTTCACTACTACCTTGATTACATCGGGCAGGAATGATTTCAGTTTCACACCTCTTGCTTGCCGATTTTACTTTTGTTAATGATGATGTTTATTATTCTAGCTAATAAACGCTACAGAGCACACTGGGAAGCTTCGAATCCTGCTCAAGCGGCCCAAATCTACAATAATTAGTGATTCAAACGGTGAGCTAGTTTACAACTTACCCATCCCGAAAAAAATTGAAGGCTTTCTTATTTTTTTACGCACAGATCAAGCGTCCAGGAATGTTGCTACGAATAGGCACTTAGCCTTGGGGTTGACACCGCTTTGAACATTCGAGTTTCCGAGTATTTTGAAATGACGATTCCGCCGGTGTCATTGTTGGCAACGACAAAAATGCGAGCAGACACTCATTGTATGCGATAGTGTACACAGCTACGGTCGCCGTCACGTCGTGGGAGCCCAGAAAATCTCGCAGATGAGTTGCTTCACCGCATACCAACCTCGGTTCCCACTTGAGCTATTGATTAGCAATCCTGTCACAGAACATCTAGCCGAGTCCAAGGAAGAGCGAATATCCACCTGGGTTGGAAGGGATACACATACGAACTTCATGGCCTTACCCAAGCCTCAAGGGCTCATGGTGTTCGTTACTCACGAGGTGATATATTTTTACAAGGCCGGGAAATTATTATTCAGACTAACCGATGTCAGGATGATGGCGATAGATTATCCGAGCCATGGAGTCAGATGGGGAGTATGAAGGATATGCTCCAAAATATCGAGAACTGGGATCCCATCTGCCGCGTTGCTGTTGATGCCATTCCCAAGGAATCTCTGACCGGTTGGGAGCTGTTATGACGAGATCCACTGAGAAACTGGGTGGTTGAAAAAGGCCACGTCGTCCTGGTGCTGCGCTGGTGGCAGTTTGAACGCACTTGGAAAAGAAAAGACCCATCTGGCCTTTAAGTTCTTTGAGAAAATGAGGTCTGTGCTGCCTGAAGAGAGCGCCTTACGCTGAGAATGCTAACGCACGTAATTTAGATATGAACGTATCAGTCTCACTCAGCAAATGAGGTGGGATTGTGCTCGCATTGCATGAGAAATTACAAGGTCTCTCTATAGAAATTTCGAATTGCTAGAGCTCGGGTTGAATGGAAACACAATTCGCTAGGGCACTAACTGACTTGCTTTCGCTGTGTTTCAGCTACATGTAATCACATTGGCGACATGAGTGGTGTATTAGCCGTTACAGACGTAACATCATCAACATCGCTTAACTTCGGCGCCACAATGGAGAATCTAATCCATCCCCTGTTTCCGAGGATACTTGGAAAATTTCCCTGACATTATGAGACCACACCGTCGTCTTGTGCCTCGCAGATGTCACTACCACACCATGATTGAACCAGCCGAACCTTTCTTCGCAAGCTTCAGAAGAGTGCTCTCCCCGCACGACAGCCTCCGCACAAAGTCCCAAGCTTTTTTCCCCATGGGGAGCACTAATTAAAGTCACTCCGACTCGGCGGCCGAGATCAGCAGCTTACCCCGGGCGAGACCCACGAAAGTGCATAGAGTAGACACCCTGTTAACCAATGGGATTCGCCCTTTGTCGCGACATGGGGGAGGGAAATAAATCTCACGGCCGAGTAGTGACGTAATTGCGCCGAGAAGTGAGCTCACGAGAAATGGTATGTTAGTTATACCAGGGGCTTCTCGGTGTGGCGTCATGGATCTCGACTGTCCGAAACGGGAAAGCAAAACGGACGATCAGTCCGTACCTGATCCTCGTGCCGCAGGATGATCTTAGCTCCAGTCTACCCTGTGATACCTTTGAGTGCCGATGAGTCTTGCCAGATGAATGTGGCTGCCTCCTTAGCCTTCTTAACAAGGTGTGCGTGGGCGTACATGGCCGTTTACTGTATTCACGGATTCCGCATTCAACAGCCGAGACTCTTTTTAAGCTTGTGCTCAGTTCTTTCTTCACCCCGCTGTGAGAATGCTTGAACCCCTGCCGGTGGCCAGTCGTGCCTAGCCATTTCCAGTCCATCGTCAATCTAGCGTACCATTGATTCCCCGGACCGACCAAATAAGGGTTATGCATATTGTCCGGACCGAATCCACGGTAGGGGTGCATTCGAGTGCGTTGGCGGCGGAGACTCCGCCTTGGTAAAGTCGCATCGTCACGTTCGCAGGGGAAACTCCGCCCTCGGCTAGGTGGTATCGTCATGTTTGCAGAACCAAAGCGCCGACGAACCGCCTTGTCAACCAAAGAGTCGAGTATATAATGATGGTAAATAATGCACGCATGAGATGGATTTCGCAGAGGCGCTCATCAGCTTCCTTCTTTCGCAGATATGTTTCTGAAGAACATTCTTACTTCGGCTGCAGTTCTGAGCAGCACTGTCTTTGCGCAGAGCAAAGCTGGTGTCGAAGATCTCAACGACCCCGGCAATGATCTCTACGTGAAGGACCTCTCCAAATGCCCTGGCTACAAGGCCACGAAGCATTGGAAGACTCGGTCTGGTTTCTACGCCGACTTGTCTCTTGCGGGAGAGGCTTGCAATGTCTTTGGGACTGACCTTCCAAACCTCAAGTTGGAAGTCGAGTACCAGACCGAAGACCGGCTGCATGTGAAGATCCTGGATACCAACAACACCGTCTACCAGGTTCCCGACAGTGTCTTCCCGCGCCCGGGCTTCGGTCAATGGAGCTCTCCAAAGGACTCCAACCTCAAGTTCGGCTTCACTGCCGATCCGTTCTCATTCACGGTCTCCCGGTCTGACACGGGGGAAGTGCTCTTCGACACAACGGGCAATAAGCTCGTGTTCGAGAGCCAGTACGTCTATCTCAAGACGCACCTCCCGCAGAGTCCTCACTTGTACGGGCTCGGCGAGCACAGCGACTCGTTCATGCTCAACACGACCAACTACACCAGAACCATCTACACGCGTGATTCGTACGGCACGCCTCAGGGACAGAACCTCTACAGTGCCCATCCCATCTACTTCGACCACAGGAATACTGGCACCCACGGAGTCTTCCTGCTCAATTCCAACGGCATGGATATTTTCATCGACAACAAAGACGGGGATCAGTTCCTCGAGTACAATATCAACGGCGGCGTTCTCGACTTTTACTTCATTTCTGGGCCCTCTCCCCGGGACGTCGCCCAGCAGTACGCCGAGATTACGCAATTGCCACTCATGACACCGTACTGGGGCCTCGGGTTCCACCAGTGCAGGTACGGCTACCGAGACGTTTACGAGGTTGCGGCTGTTGTGGCCAATTATTCAACTCACGATATTCCCCTCGAGACAATGTGGACTGATATCGACTATATGGATCGTCGCCGCGTCTTTACCATCGACCCGGAAAGGTTTCCGGCCGATCTGTACAAGGACCTCGTGGACACGATCCATGCAAGAGATCAGCACTACATCGTCATGGTCGATCCCGCCGTCTTCTACAAGGAATCCAATCCGGCACTCGACGCAGGCCTAAAGTACGATACGTTCATGAAGAACCCCGATGGTACCGACTACCAGGGCGTCGTCTGGGCTGGTCCAAGCTACTTCCCCGACTGGTTCAATCCCAAGTCCCAGCAATATTGGTCTGAGCAGTTCCTGGGGTTCTTCGACGGAGTCCACGGCCCGGACATCGATGCCCTGTGGATTGATATGAACGAGCCCGCCAACTTCTACAACCGTCCATACCCCGGGAACAACACTACACCAGAGAAATTTGCCGAAGTAGACGGAGACCCTCCCATTCCGCCACCAGTCAGAGACGGTCCGGATGCTCCTATTCCCGGCTTTCCAGACAGCCTTCAGCCAAACTTTGCCTCCAATGAGGCTGCCAAACGCGAGGCTGCTGTTGTGCAGACCTCTCACACTTCATCTCACCCCCGTAGCACACGAGGTGGTGGCCATTGGCGTTCCAGCAAGCGTCAATCAAGTCAAGGCATCTTCAGTCGTTCAAAGCCTCAGTGGCAGAACGGCAAACAAAGTGGCTCAGGCTGCGGACCCAACCAATGCAAAGGTCTTCCCAACCGCGACCTGATCCGAACTCCGTACATGATTCAGAACGGTGCTGGCGCAACACTTTCCGATAGCACCGTCGACACGGATCTGGTCCAGAGTGGCGGGTATGTCCAGTTGGATACACATAACTTGTACGGGGCCATGATGTCGACGCGTTCACACAATGCCATGCGTGCCAGACGTCCAGACGATCGCGCCCTTGTCATCACCAGGAGTACATTCGCTGGCTCCGGCAAGGACGTGTCTCATTGGCTTGGAGGTAAGGCAGATAACTTGAGCTTTGTTATGGTAAAGGACTAATCATTCTGCAGATAATATTTCCGGTTGGCTCTGGTATCGTCTGTCCATCAGCCAGGTCCTCCAATTTGCGTCTCTATACCAGATCCCCGTTGTTGGCCCTGACGTTTGCGGCTTCGGCGGCAATGTCACTGAGACTCTCTGCGCGAGGTAAAACTGGACCATCATTCAGAGTTCGTATTCAGCTAACTCGTTAAATTAGATGGGCATCACTTGGGTCCTTCTATACTTTCTTCCGGAACCACGCCGAGATCAGTTCCACGTCACAAGAGTTCTACCGCTGGCCATCTGTTGCCCAGGCCGCCCGGAAAGGCATTGCTATCCGATACCAACTTCGTATGTTGCTCACGGGATCTAAGGAATATGAATTTTGGTTACTAACACCGCACAGTTGACTACATCTACACGGCCATCTACAAACAGAATCAGACTGGCACCCCGACACTGAACCCTTTGTTCTTCAATTACCCCAACGACCCCAACTCCTTTTCCATCGACCTGCAGTTCTTTTACGGCGATGGAATCCTCGTAAGCCCCGTCACAGAGGAGAATAGTACTAGCCTCAGCTACTATTTGCCCGACGACATCTTCTATGAATGGGGCACGGGCAAGCCGGTCCGTGGGCGGGGCGAATACGTCTCCGCTACGGTTGACTACACAGACATCACGATCCACTACAAAGGCGGTATCGTGTACCCTCAGCGCATCGAGAGCGCCAATACTACCACAGCTCTGCGCACGAAGGGCTTCAACATCGTCGTCGCCCCTGGTCTAGATGGTACTGCCGAGGGCTCGCTGTATCTCGACGACGGCAAGTCTGTTGTGCCGGATGCTGTGTCGGAGATCGACTTCAAGTACGCCAACGGCAAGTTTAGCATGACTGGTTCTTTCGAGTATGACGCTGGTGTCAGTATTGAGGCCATCACTGTGCTTGGTGTTAAGTCTAAGCCGAGGGGTATTAAGAATGCGGAATATGATGCGAAGAACAGGAAACTGGTTCTGCATGTTGATGTGCCTTTGACAAGAAAGTACAAGACACGCATTCTATAGCTTAAGGGGGAAGTATGATACTGTCTTGAATCTATTCCATACCTGATTGAGATGAATATTGTGCTACAGACCCTCATGGAGAGCCATTCGGCCATTGAAAGTCTTTCCAACACAACTCCAGTATTCGCATTTGATCAAGGTCTTGTAGGACGTCATCCCAAGGAATGAATGAATCTCAATCTGCAGTGTCCAATACACCCAGGTCAAACACGTCCTGCCATAAAGATCGTTAGCGACAAACATTCCAGGGATGACAAAATAACAAGACGAGGTCTTTTTCGTTCTATTTTGTGGCCTTTCAACTAGGACTTTCAACCCTATTGGACGATCGGGTTTTTTTTTTTAACAAAATGCGTCATAGCTCCTACAATCCAAACAGGATTCACAATTAACCCAATTGGGCGGACTGTTTCCCTTGCACCATCCTGATGCAGAGTGTATTATTCGTTAGCGCGTTTCTCTACTTCTTGACCGTAACCCGTGTTTGGTGGTCTGCTACCCTACATCAACCCAGATTTTCCAATAATCTCCTCAAAACCCAGGCCTTCATTCAATTACAGATCGACACAATGACAATATCCCAGACCCAGACAGCGCCATTAGGTCTTCGGGCTGTAAAGCGAGATATCGACCCCGCAACCGGCAAGCATATACTTGGATGCACCAGAACATGTTTTCGGTCAATTTCCTGCAGTGGTAAGAAATAATGTAGAATACAGTGCTAGCTCCAATTCAACTATTATTATAAGAGATTTTGCCTGTTTTCTCATATTGTGACATGGGAGAGTGATTGTGAGGATGGAAGGCGAAGGGGAGTTGGGTGAAGATAACGGATGATGTGGCATCCTTTGAGGCCACATTCTCGGATGTTCGGCTGATCATGAGATAGGACATGTGTTCAGCTGACAAGGGGCGGAGAGGAGGGGAAGGAATACGAGAAAATTCGTTTCCTGTGATGGAAGAACAGGCAACAACCAACCAACCTCGGCATCTTATGAATTAATGCCGGCTCAGGTGTTTAAATGCCCTGTCCAGACTGAATTTTCTCGTCTTTTAGACAATGAAATGTATTCCAAGTAGTTTATAGAAAATCCAGGAAGAGATACACAGTCTGTGGCCGAATCCATTTCTGCTGTTGGTTGCTTTTGCTTTTGCTGCCTTAGTACCAGCTGGAGCAAAGGTTCTGTTCAGCCTCATAGATCAATTAGGAAGGTGCTCTAGCTCTAGGCACCCAGGACTCTCTACAGCTTCATAAAACCCTCAAGATATCAGCAGGCTCGACTTAGGACATTTATCTTAGATTCTTCACGCTCCAAGCTACAAATTCTAAATCCTCCCTACACATTCCTAACCTCGCAAGTCTTTCGAATCACACTCGAGTCTCCACGCTCCTCCTTGAACTTCTTGCCACCGCCGTCCACCCCCTCGTCATGGCGACCTCATCCACTACACCGCCTGAACAGGATATTGGCACAGCAGTTTTTGCTCCAGAGGGCACTCGAGATATCAGCATGTGGACCGATGACACGCACCAGAAGACCATGGTCAAATTCCTCAATGTCCCCAATACCTATGACTTGACCGATATCAAACATGTGGACCACATCGGCATGTTTTACACGTTTAAGAACGGAGATACATGGTTGACTTTGAACGACAAACGTCTTTTCCTTACCCCCGATCTGGACGAGCCCGACACTCAGCGAGGTCCTGAGGATACCGAGGACTGGCCTATAATGAGCCCCGAAGAACTGAAGGAGGTTCTTGCGAAGCATCCCTCTTACGAGGAGCTTGATGCTATCTGGCAAGAGGCCCAGGCGGGACGCCGTGCCATGAACACCCTTATGGCACTTACTTGAGAATTCACTAGCTCATCTCACACTCAAGGCTGGAACTGAAACTACGAGTGTTATCAATTGTCGACCTCTTGCGATGATTGCTACCGTTGCAGCAACAATGTTCTGGCTGACCCGTGGCCCTTGGGCGAATTTTATTACTGATTGTCCATGGATCACCAGTGACCAAGTCAATACACTGATTAATCGCCATTGAAGTATGCGTTCCATAAGCAGCACCATACCAGACCCCACGCTGCTTATCTTTCCGCGCACTTGCACCTAGCTTGTGACCTTTACTATGGTTACTACTATGCGTGACAGCACTTCGTTCCCCGGACGCGCTTTGATCTCGTGTGGAGGCCATGCTGATTTTTGATGGAGTTGGAGTCGGTGCATTGAGTGTTGGTCTTATTTTCGATTGCAGAGCGAGACTCACACTTGAGCATGCATAGCGTGCTCTGTGAGCAATCCTTTATCTTTGATATTATATTATCATTATGAAAAAGCTACTTTGCTGCAAACACAATCCCACAGACAAGACATGCATTGTTTTCTTTTGCCAATCGAAGACGCTTTTGCTAACCTGACCGATGAGCACACCATGACCGTGGAGCCGTAAACCGGGGGCCCCAAACCCGAACGGAGATTCTTTGGACGTTTTATTGAGTCGCAGGTTGTCGATGGTACTAGCGCTTTGGATACACAACCGGCGCCTATGCAGTTATGGACGCCGGAAATCTCTCCATGGCTTTGAACAGAGGTGCCAGACCCTGGGCAGCCTGCGAGCTTCCCGTCTTCAGACGGAAGCCAATGACGAAGCAAGACCGGGTCGTGTTGGGCGGCAACGAAACCGAGGCTGATGAGGAGGAGGAGGACGAGGGCAGCACTCTCAAGATCATAAAATAACTGTTCTGAACTTCACTGAATTTCACGTTGGAAAATGATAATGCGGCACAGACAGCCCTATCCCTCAGAAACAATCGTTTAGGCCAGGGGTTACTGAGGTGGAACTAAGCGTACGTCATTCATTACCCTTGACGAAAAGGAGTTATCTATGCTCGATCAAATCTGATTTCATTTCTGCCACGAGTTATTAGCCGACCCTATCAGCTTCCAAAAAGAAATGATGTCTGACCTTTGTCGTCCAGAAAGGAAAGGTCTGGCTCCTCAACAAGAAGTTCGAATCCGTCCATCCTAGCTAGAGCCACATGGCATTCATCACGGGTTGCGATATGCATGGCGCATTGCCTAGGGCTGTTTCTAGCATCCAGATTCGTTTCTGCTTCGAGAAGTCGTCGTACTTGAGTGGGTGCTCCGTTCTAGCTTGACCCCGCAGCTACTATCAAGACTATTGAATTCTATCGCTCCTGCAAATTTCGTCTGCTACGGAAGTCGAATTTCCCGGTATTAGCCTTGGGGGCTTGGCGTAGTGTTGGTGTGAGGGGCCAGTCGTGTTCAGGGGGAGGCTAAAGGCGGGCGCCCGTTTGGCGTTGACTCTAGGGCTCTGGGTATTGCTTGAACAATTTTGAGCTGTCCTAAGTTAATACATAGATACCGTATCTACAGTAGCGTAGGTAGTAGCGTCGGCATATGTTATGTCAACACGTATCGTGCACTAATGTATGCAAATTGTGTTGGTACCTAGAAGGTGTAGCAACGTACTATGCAGTATGCAGCTGCTTATAAAATGCACTTGCATTAGGACTACCAAAGCCTTGGGAGAATACTAATCTAGAACTTTAGTAATTCAAGGACTGCACAGCCCTATCTAGCAACCATCGCTCGTATCTCGTCACCATAAAAGAGTCGTCATCTGATGGTCTAGGGTACACCGGCACACACAGATGACTAGCGATTATGGACGATCCAATTGCCGTTAGCCACACCCGGCTCAAGGAGGCGGGCGCATGTACCGGTTCTAAACAAGTCTGCCGGAGCTAAGGCACGTTGAGGCGTCTCGGATGGTATAATACCACGAGCCGCCAGACGAGAAACGGGAAGGTGAGATTGGTAGCTTATTTGTCATGGTTCTAGAGTTTCCTAGAATGAATTCACCACCGTACTCAAGATTAATTATCCGCACAGTTGCAGCACAAGATCAGTTACTCCGTAATCAAAACATCGATGGGGTCTCTTTTGGGGTTTCGCTACTTAATGACTCGAGCTGAATGACTCAATGACTCGTGTCGCCACTAGCGGAACTACATAATGGGGCTAGAATGCATCAAAAGTGCAGCCTGAGGCCGCATTTCACAATTGAAAAGCAGAGTGTCATGGCAGTGATATATCACTTTTATGCTTCTTGGCTACGGAATCGTCGGCAACTCATTTGGGGGGACACGTGTACAGCACAGGAGCAGAGTGGATCTTGTGCGGAATTTTTGAGTGACACGACAGAGGCGGCTCGTCATAATTATGGCGACAAACCCGACAAGATACGACTAAAATGGTGCAGACGACCATGTGGAGAGTGGAGAGCATCAAGAAGGGGCGTAATAAGCTCACCAAGGGAATTATTTCGAATGCCGCACGCGGAGGATTGAGAAGCGAACAATCCGATCATTCCGATGCGAGAATGTGAGACAGCTCCGGTGGCCAACTCCTGGAAAATAAGCAATATGACCCCCAGACAGAGTGGCGAAGCGACATGGCTTTACCAATTCCGGATAGAAGTTTGAGTTAGCGCTGACAAGGGCCCTAGAAACCGCCTGGGGTGCAACATGTGCCGGCGCAACGCTACAACGTGGTAGTAAGGGGGAGCTGGAAGCTGAGCCAGACCAGTGACCACTGAAGACCAGCGTGTTGGAGGTGTGCTCTTGTTTCGACTTGTCGAGAAATTCGCAATAAATCCCCCTGCTCACGAGGATCCTTTCCGTATACAGTTAGCAGTGACATCTCTACTCCGTATACAAATGAAGATTCCGCTGGCATGGTTCAACACCGCTCTAGCGCAGCCGAAAGAGCTCGGGTGCGTAATAAAGAAGCACATCTTGAGCCGAACGGTTAGCGTCCTCCGCTTCCAAGGAATCGATAAAGAATCGAATGCTCGGGCGGAGAGTTGAGTCCGTCCAAGACGCATCTTCTTTCGAACCTGACTAGCCTACCCGTCTCCCCACAAGGTTTGCCCTAATCCGATTCTGTATGCATCCCGTATCCGAGCTCTCCGTACTTCGTAGAATTATTGTTTAATGGCGAGACAAGGGGCTTTCTTGCGGCTTCCCACCTACCACGTACACTGCTATTTGCCTCGGTCCGGTCTTTCGCCATCTTTCAATGTCCGTATTTAGTAGACCGTCCCCTGTGCTCCTCCGCCCCAATCCGGTGTCTAAAGCGGAAGGTCGCCTAGAGCCTTTCTTGCTTTTTGGGCTATACGTAGTGGGTTTCATCCGCGCGCTATACATGCTTTTTACAAAGCCACGCACCACCACCACCGCCATGATCATATCATAAGCCGTACTCTTCCTGTACCACTCCGGCTGCGGCAGAACCCTTTCTCATTTTACTCCCAAAACGCCCTTGGTTGGCACCTTGTCCATCGGTCTTTCTTTCACGATGGGGAATGACAAGATGAACCAAACGACGTCCCGCACGCTGCGCGTGACGGATGACGATAGACCATACTCAAAGGTAGGTTTTGCCGTAAATTATTGACTTCTGGCTACCCAGTCGCTATGCCATTTCCATCAGAGTAATTGCTGATGCGGGAAATCACTAGGATCTCAAGGATATCTTCTCCACTCTCATTGTCAGCTTGATGCCACTATCAGCCCACCGCGTCCGGTTTACCAAAGTTGACTACGCATTCCTCGCTGAAGATGCCATCCATAACCTCGGCTCTCTCAAGTTTTCCCAATCCAATACCATGCCGGACTATGATGAGCCGACACGCATCATCACTACTACCTCAACAACAACTTTTTCCATGACCAAGGAAATGGGGACTTCACTCTGCCAGCGATTTCTTGACGCCCGCTTTATAGAGTCGGCCGACGGCAAGCACGAACCGACCTTTACCGTTCGGGGATCTGTATGGCAACTTACACCAAAGGGAATTACCGTTCTGGACAGATTCTGTGCGCGGAATGGGGTTCAACAGAATCAGATTTTCGACTTGACCAGCCTCTTCTCAACTCAACTCATCACTTTAGAGCGAGACCCCCTGACAGACAAGATCTTCTTAGATCAAGGCACTGTTGAGGTCATATTCTGTCGATTCAGCGGATCCGGCATGCTAAGACGCAGCTCATCGAGCGCCTCTCTAGAATTATCGGCTTATGACCAAAAGGGTGCCATTGGAGTTAAGATGACTGGTAAGCGAAAGGTCAACGGACAACTGTGGCACGATGCCTTTACTGGCAAGGCTGGTTCCGACTGGCTCATGGACTATGCCACGATTATTGATCAGAGAGAAGCGGTCGAAATTGCATCTCTCTTTATCAAGCAGAACCTGATGGAGCCAGTCACTCGAGACCGCGCTTATGCGTCACAACATCCGAAATGCGACGTCTTTCAACCAACCAAGAATGCGACGTACGCACTCACCCAGCATGGTAAAGACATACTCAGCAGCAATGCCTTGAGCCGTGGCACCTCCCGGGATGGCAGCGACGAAACATCTCAGCGCCACCACAGCACAAAGGACTCCAACACACAACGGCTCGACAAGATTCTGAGCGACCCTACTCTGCGTCTCCTGTTCCGAGAGAACTTGCGGGAAACCCACTGCGAGGAAAACCTGGCATTCTACCAGGAAGTCGATGAGTACATCCGACTCTGCAAAGCTGCTCTTCGCGCACTGCAAAAAGAGATGACGGAGGATTCGATGAACAAGGCCAAGGAGCTTTTGGCTCAGTCTTACGGAATCTACAATGCGTTTCTGGCTCCCGGTTCACCGCGTGAACTTAATATTGATCACCAACTTCGAAAAAACCTCGCTGGCCGGATGACCAAAGCCGTGGCTCAGGATGTCATCTTGGCCGAGACGCTTCAGGCAGTCACAGTGCTATTAGAGGATGCGCAGCAGGCTGTTTTCAAACTCGTGGCCAGTGTTAGTTTTACTCTTCTCCCTGCTTTACAGTTACTGATTGACATGTCACAGGACTCTGTGCCGAAATTCGTGCACAATGTAAAATACGAATATCAACTTTCGCAAGCCGGGGTGTATTGATTTTTATTCCCATACAAGAAGCATATTGGTCCGAGATACCGGAATCGGCATTCCACCACAATAGTTGCAAGACCCTTCCAGCCGTTCAGCTGGGCGGATGCCAATACCGCAAGAGAGCATGGGGGAAGCGGGTTGGGTTTCAGCATTTGTAAGTTCCTCATTGAGGTGATGATGAAGGGCAAGATCGGCTGGAGAACAGGAGATGGAGGCAAACCGAACACAGCCTCGTGTCTTAGGTAGTCATAGAACAACGGATTTAAAAGTAAATAAATGGCATAAAATCTGAATCTCTCCAACGCCCTGGGCATCCAGGAATAGTTGCCTATGCTCCAAAGTGAACATATGGTACCCAGAAATCTGCCAAGTATCCTTCACGACCTTCCACCACAACATTTTTTGAGTTTCTCACATCCTGGTTACCATCAACACCTTCGTCACGTAGCTTCCTAAGAGCTTTATGAAGTCCTCGGCTAACCGCCGCATCCGTCATCCCTTCCTCACGCAGCGTCTCGTAGAAGCACGTTGCCACATCGACACAGTGCTTGCCCGGAACTTCCCAGAGTGTTCCAATAACATGTCTAAAGCCAGCTGATTGAAAGGCGTTGGCAAAATGGATCGATTCGTCAGACAGACTCGCTGCTTCGATATTCCAAATCGAGCCTACAGAGAGGTAGGCGAGGAACGGGGGACTTTTGTGTAGTCGACTTTCGCGTAGATCTTTGACCGTCAGCGGGCCCGTTCTCCAATCATCCAAAAACAAATGACTTTGCGAAGGCTCCATTCGATGTAACTGCCCATGGCCTGCAAAGTGGAATATTTTGCATCCCTTCAAGTGCTTGAGGACATCATCCCTGCGCTTGGGAAGTATGATAGGATGCAGTGAGAGAGACGGGCATAACTTCTCAACCATTTCTACCTCCGCCCTCGCAAACGGAAAATCTTCGCTTAGACCCAATTCATGTGGTGTCTGCATGAAAATCAGGACGGTAGAGTCCATTTGCGACTGTGTTGTAGGCTTTTGAACATGGTGTTGACGTCCATGAATCAATGCCTTGACAGACAATGCGTAGGACGAGATTACCCTATCCAAGACCGCCTGGCCTACTTGCATGTGGCGACCAGCAGCATGCAGCGGAAACCGACTAAGAGTTCCAGTAGGAATCCACCACACATGTGGCCAATTGTCATCGGAGACCAGGTCCGTAAATCCTAGTTCATCTAAGCAGGGAGAGCAAACAGCCTCCCATAGCCATTCCAGTAAGAACGCCATTTGGGAAGTGTCTTGTAAATTGACCGATCGTTTCGTTACCTCATCTAATGTCAGATGAGGCAATTCAATCACCCTGATATGGTTCTTCTCTATCAGAAACGCGTCACAGCGGTGAGAGCCTGTGTTGATAACAACAATCGGGCCTGGAGTCGCCGCAGCCATGAGATCTTCAACAGTTGCAGGTTTGAGAAAATGGTGGTATCCAGGCTGATCACGAATCTTCTCCACGAGCATGATGAATTCTCGGTCTGCTTCACGGCGCCGTTTCTGCCGTGATTCCCGAAACAACACATCTTCAGAAGGCAAAGGCGTCGAGCTTTCTGTGCATGAATCGAGCGTTTCCCGGAGCGAAATGAATCTCTCTGCGAGCTCGGGTTCCTTTAGCTTGAGATCAGAAATGTCTCTTCTCATATCCATCAATAGACCAGCGATGACGCCATGGCCAAGCTCGAGGAGCTGTAAGGCGTCTTCGGGGCTCTTCCCAGCGCTCAAGGCAACGGCTGCCGCTGTTGAAGCCAAGCCTGGAACGTCAACATGCAAACCCTGCATATCCATGTATGCCAGTGACCGCGGGCTCATCATGGGGAGGAGCGAGACTTCATGCAGGAGCTGACTGGCTTCTTCCCATTTTTGCTGCTGTACGAGGAGGTTGGCGGCGGCCTGAGCATGTGGAATACGAATATGCGGTGGAGCAGATGTGCAATGCCAACCTGCAGTGTAGGACGAGATCTGACGATCCAAGTCATCCGCCAATCCAGTTTGCTTGAATCGCTTTCCAAGGGAATTTCCAAGGTTCCTCAGATAGCTCCAATAATCTGGATCGTCTTGGGTTGCGGCGTCTACCGCCTGGTAGGCCAGCTCGATCACGCGGTTCAAGTCATCCAATAACCCATTCCGCTCGAATCGCATACTAAATAAGCCTCCAAGGTCGTTTAAAAAGCCTGCGAAATCTGGGTGGTCCCTCGGAGCTAATTTAACTGCCTTGAGCGTGGCCTCGATAGCGTCATTCAAGTCCTTCAGTGAACCCGTCCGATGGAAACGCGCAGTCAACAGGCGCCCAAGATCGTTCAAATAGCCCATATACCTCCATTCGTCCGCAGGCATAATGCGTATTGCATCTTCAGCAAAATCAATCGCATGATTCAAATCGTCGAGCAAACCTGTTCTTTCGAATCGAATGCCGAGGCGACTTGAGAGATTATGTAGGTAGGGAGCCCGGTCCCTGTGGTCCAGTGACACAACTTTGACTGCTTGGGAGGCAGCCTCGACTGATCGGTCTAAGTCATCACCGGATCCCTGGTGCTCATATCGGATACCAAGCAAGACGGAAAGGGTGTTCAAGCGACTCGCATAACCAAAGTGCTTTTCAGTAGTTGCGTCAACGGCATTTAGTGCGTAAACAATGGCACTACCCAACTCATCGAACGAGGTATGAGGCGTTGCATCGACTGCCTCAATTGTCAGATCGATAGCACGATCCAGGTCTTCTATTAAACCAGTTCGATCAAACCGTTAATAAAGCAGCGTTCCGAGGTTGCTCAAAACTGCAGCCCGAGTTGGATAACTTGGCGGCATTTCATCCACCGCTCTGCTTGCAAATTTGATGGCGCAACTGAGATCGTCCATTGATTCTGTCCCTTCAAATTGTCTACCGAGACAGTGTGCGGCATTGCTTAAACAAAGCGTGTTGTGAGCATAGTTTCGAGGCATGATGTCGACCGCCTGAGTGGTAAGATCAATAGCGGTCTCGAAGTCGTTTTCCTGTCCCGTCTGCTCAAACCGTTTCCCGAGGCTATATCCAAGGTTGCTCAAAGAAATAGGGCGTTTGGGGTCGTTTGGGGATAAACCATTCACTCCTTTAGTAGCAAAGTCGATAGCATGATTCAAGTCGTCCATTGATCCTGTTTGGTCAAATCGCATATCAAAAAAGCTTCCCAGGTTGATGCAATTGGTCACAACATCGGGGTGGTCTTGGGGCAAAGCGTCAACTGCTCTTGTTGCAACTTCAATAGCTCGGTTCAAGTCATCAATGGATCCCTGGCGTTGAAATTGGAGACTGAGGTGAGTTGCAAGATCTCGTAACAGAGCATGGTCAAGTTCGCCCTGCGGCATGGAGTGTAACTTGTCGCTCGCTTCCTTGATGGCACGATCTAGTTCATCCATCCCTTCTGTTCGCGTAAGGTGATCTGGGCCGTTAAGTTCTCGCGCTAGTTTCACGGCATCCTCGAATGTGAGGTCTTGGCTTTGTGAAACGACTCCTTTCCAATCTACCTCGATTTCGAGCGGCGGGGGGTCTCTCAGAAACGGAGGGTGGTCGTCTTGGCTTATGTAGTTCGGATCCAGATTCTGCACTGACTCAAGGTCTTGTGGTATCCATTCTCCGTTGGACCCAGTTACCGGTGGAAGACTACCCGCATTGGCCTTTTCGCCTCGCGAAGCACCGCTCGCCTGAGTTTTGTCATCTTCGTCGTCTCCAGGAAGAAAAGTAATCGACAGAAATCCGAGTGTTTTGAGATGTGTTGCAACGTGGCGTAGCAGTTTCTCTCGGGAAACGTCGTCTTCCTGAAGTGACCTATGGGAATTGGCAACTGGCTGCAGAATGCTGGGTATGCAGTTGCAAACTGGACACGTCCACGGTGGTCTTGTTAGACGGACCTCACACCACTCCTTGAGCGTAGCAAGTCGTGACTCGTCGGCATAGTCCTTGTGCTCAACTAGGATGTGGCTTTCAATGTCAGTTTCGTCGTCGAACCATGTCTCTGGACACAGGTCACAACACCATCGTAGGGGAAGGTGTACTTGTTGTATCCAATCCCTGGTGTGTTGCCCATCCATGTGTTGTTTCCACTCTTCAAACCTGGCAAAGAGTTGAGGAGGCTCGAGGCATTTTTCCGAGATGCAAGCATATAGCTGGAGGTCGTCTCTGACATGGCAGCTTCAGAATGGTCAGACATGGGGATTGCGTAGGAGCACGGAAATGAATTCTGCTTACCTCCACCATTCGTCATCATTGTATTTAGCTTTGGTGAATAGGCTGCAACAGTAAGGGCAGTGCGCATGTGTGTCACGCTCGGGAACGACGGGCGGCTTGGGGAAGTCCACATGGTCGGCTACCACAGATATCCCGGAGATGAATGACCGATGTGAAGGGGAGTGCTTCCTCTGTACTGCCTGAGAATCCGGAATCGTTGGGGCTGACTCGGAGCGTTCTGCTGCGATTTCAGCGGGCTTTGAGCGTTCAGTGATTGGCCTCCCGCGCCGAGGATGGAGAGGAGGGACAGGATGTGTCTCCTGCAGCAGGGGTTCTTGGGTTGGTCCTGACCCCGTTTTATCGTGCTTTTGGGCATCTAGAGTTTCGACCTCATTAGCTCGTTTCCTGGCAAGCTTATCCTCGTGGCTTCGTCGGTAGAGAACCATAAAGTGCCGGAATGTGACAGAAACGGCGAGCTGTCTGCAGATTGATTGTGCTGCCCCGCGTACCTCGTCCCCATCTCGACCTTTGGTCTCACTCTTGCTGGCTCCGACAGCCTGAACGCCCTCGATGAGGTGCTGTCTTAATTTTCCGAGCATCACAGTTTCAAACAGACTGTCGTCGTTCTTGCCGATGAAGGCCAGGACTCTCTGCGAGAGAGCGCCGGATGATGACTGCCGGATAGCAATGCCGAGGTGGTACAGTCCGTCTACTGCAGACTCGAGCGCCAGCAGGGAATCTACCAGTAGAGGAGCAGCTTTCTTCCTCTCCCCTGGGCTCATCATGTGGATGATGGTGCCTAGGGACGCCGGGCCGGTTCCCTTTTCAGATTGTTCCACGACTAGACACCGTATCAGAGACTCGGGGACTTCTCTTCAGAAAAAATAGGTTGTTCCGCGTCCTACCACTGTCTAGGCAGCTTTTTGCTATCTGTAGATAATTCGAGACCAGCTCCCGCAACGTTTTGCTATGCATCAGGCGAGTGTCCAGAGACAGGCTCGGGGCAGCGCGAGCTCCCAGGTGTTTTGCCCACTCATCAAACCGCTCATGGAGCTTCTCGACGACTGGAGCACACACAGCAGCGGGGTCTGTCGCGATGCGATTGAATGCCTCGTCACAGTCGGTCGTGAGTTCGAAGATGTTTTGATCGTCGGCCATTATCGCGGTCGCTGCGAAGAATAAAATGCTGTTTCAACAGCCTGTCGAGGCCAAGAGAGCGAACTAAAGCGGGGAAGGCGTCTCGGATCTCACAATTGTAATGCTCCCTATTATAGAGAACCTACTTCAGCCAATACATGGTCGGAGACCCCTGCAACGCAACCACCTGCAAGTCAGCAGGCGGTGTTAAGGACAGGCAAACCAACCAGTGGAGCAACAAGCCACTCCTTGGTACTCCTTAGCAATGCAGCCGGGTGCGGCTGAGAAGAACAGGCTGAGAAGAACAGGCTGAGACGAAAAAAAGGATTCCCCTCATTCCCCTCCCGAGATGGGCCCTTTGCTCTGATTACGACCTTACGACCTTACGACAAACTCTTAGTAGGGTAGGTACTAGGTAGATCATCGTCTATCACTCACGCCTATTAGAGAGAATACTGTCTATCGTCCCTGATTCGCTAACCTCACCGCAGTCCTCAGATCATCACCCTCAACCTCGACCCGACCTCGGCCATTGTCGTCCGTCCAGACCAACGCGACCTACCCATTACCCCGACCCGCTGGACCGAGGGCTTGAGTGCAGGAGCAAGATATATGGTGGCCTTTCTGTCGTTTTAGGTACCTTGCGCCTAGGCCACGGGCACACGACCCTTGCAGGAACAGCTCCGATCGGAAACGGCCGTCGCCATGTCGACCACCGGGCAGCGCCTCTCCTCAGAGGCCACCACGATCGGCGACATGGAGGAGTATGCGAATCTCCAGATTGTTGTAGATACACTCTGCAAGCGCGACTTTTCCCAGGGGGGAAAGAGAGCCTATGGGCCAAGATCCTAAGGACGAAGATTAAGGAAATTCCCATCCACATCCCTTCCGACCGTGCTGTCTCGCGACATACACGCGCCTCTTTCAAGAGCGCGACAGAAACTCTGCTTCTTATTCTACAATTCATTCAGTGCTCGGATTATACCATTGATAATCTCAGGGAGGCAACTGTAGAAGTCACAGAGTTCAATGGTACCATGATACGTCTCCTCGGCGAGCCCGCCGTAGCCCCCAAGGACACCGAAGACACCGAGCCCACCAAGTTGAGTACTCAGAGAGAGTCTTTCTACCAGTCTCTTTGGAGCCGATCGAGCGAGCTGTTCAATTCATTGATCCGACACCTTCAGCCCTGCACCGATAGGCACGACAAGCATCGAGCCATGCTGCACCTCACCCAGCACCGGTTCTCGGCGGCGGAATCAGACGCAAGGAATAATGAGAAGGATCGGGGCTTTTGTATGCTATTGGCGTCTTGCCCAGATCAAAAGACCTGGCAGCACACCCAATGGGTTTTGCCGAGCAAGGGTACGAATTGCTCGCCTCAAGTCCTAAACTGCCTATTTGTTTTATAGCTGATCTTCTCGGAATAGATACTTGGTCGATCCGCAAGTTAACCGGAGCATCCAAAATCTCTGTTTACATGCCCAAGGCGCATACTACGCAGGGGAATATCTAGCCATTCAGGTGGCCGACTCGAACTTCTCGGACGTATCCGTCACTCTCCTCGACCAGAGACCGCCTCCGCCATCTGCTGCACCCACGAAGTCACTCCTCGAGCTGTCGGGTGATGGTGTGCTGAAGCCAGGCGGGAAGTTCTCTCCCAAACACAAAAAAGTCCTAGCCTGCGCTCTGTCGCACGCTCTCCTTTGCTTGCACGACAAGTCTGCAGGGCCCTGGTTACAGGCGTTCTGGAACTTGCGCAACGTTTTCTTTCTCCAAGAGAGCAACGGCCATATGGTGTATGATATCCACCACCCGTACATATCCTGTGAATTGGCCCACGTTCCGGCACCCTCGGACGTCAAGAAATTTCTGGATCGTGGCCTGGATCACGGCTTTCTCTTTATACAAGCTTTTGGAAAGCTGCTCTTGGAGTTGGCGCGGGGGACGAGGTGAAGACACTGCTCGGCCCCCGGGAAGTCAACATCTACAACCTGAAAGACCTGAATGACGAGGACGCGCCAGAGGACCCCGGGGAGAGCTATCGAGAAGTGGTTCGCAACTGCCTTATGTTCCCCAAGATTTGGAACGAGGAACAGATACAAAGTGCGGGTGTGTCGGCTCAAGACGTCATCTTCAGGCGCATCGTCGAGCCGTTGAGAAAGGCCGTAGACGCCTTGGGGCCTGAAGCATGGCGCCCGGCCAACCTGGATCTCAAGGCGGGAGGAATTCGTCTTGGTAAGTTGGCTACGTCAGTCCCGCGGCCCTCGATCGAGTCTGCAATGGGCCTGATAGAAAATGCGGCGACTGGGCGGCGTCTCGCCAGCACCCAATCCTCCAGGGGCCGACAAACCCACCTTGTTCGCCCCGAAACATCCTTTGACATCTCTCCAGCAAAGTTGCCCGCAAGGCCTCGTCTTGCGACGGCGTCCGGAGCTTCTCGAGCAGTAAGACGAGGGACCCGGCAACCGACAGCCCAGACACAACCAGTGTCTACTAGTCAACCATCGGGATATTCAGCTAACAGGTCTGGAGTCACCAGAGGACGCGGGAGCCTTGCCGGTAGGGTCAGTCGATCGGCAAAGGCCCCGAGGCCCTGTGATGATTCACGTTCGACCAGACTGTCCGTGCAAGGTATTGAGCGCCCTGCGAATATCACGCTTTCACCAGGCACTCTAGGCCAGCTAGCAGCCAAACCTTCCATCCACTTTGGCTTTGGCAGGTGCTTCACCTCCCAGATGTACGTTACTACTTGTCTCACATATCGTGTTCAAGCATCAATGGCTCTTCTTTAATCTCATACAGAAAAATACTTGCCCTTTTTCGCAGGCGGTATTTTTTATATACTTGGGTTACTTATTTTAGGTAGGATATGGCTATGTTTTACAAGGAGAGCTCAAAGGAGCATTCTAAAAGCTTCGGAAACAGAACCGGGTGTCTCGTGCTGCATGTGCTAACCTGCCGCAGACCAACCGAGTCGTCAAGCAGTATTCAAGAATTGGAACACACCATCAAGGAACGGTTCCAACCTGGTGCAACAGACGAACGGATCCGCATTGCCGTTCTGGACACTGGCATGGACGACGGCGAGTACGCAAAGAACGAGAACAAGGAGCTGAAGAAGCCACCGTGGAAACGGGTTGTGGCTCGCTCCAACTTTTGCGTCCCAAAGGAGGAGGATCTAAACGCAAACACCCACGACCTCGACGGACACGGCACAAAGGTTGCCAGCATCATCTTGCGTCTTGCGGAGAATGTTGATTTGTATATTGCCCGCGTCTGTCGGGGTGCAGATGTCGAGGAGGCAGACCGGAATAAGGATACGGAGTTTAAGGATCCTGAGCCAGCGGTGGTTGCAAGGGTGAACGAAACCCCCGTCCAAGCACCAGTTTCCATGGAGTCTCAAGCTAACAAGCTCACTCATTTCCCACCTCTGTAGGCTATTAACTGGGCTGTCGAGCAGAAAGTCCACGTCATCAACCTCTCCTTAGGCTACCGCGATGAACAAAAACATCCCGGCATCAGTGACCTCAGAACGGCCCTGGAGAGAGCGGTTAAACAACAAATCCTCGTCTTTGCAGCTACGTCCAACGAGGGCCTCACGGCCGATGTGACCTGGCCGGCAAAGAACCTGACATATGCTATCGGGATTCACTCCAGCACGGATAATGGCCGGCCGTCCGAGTTTATCGGGAAGGCGTCCAACGAGGCCAATCTCATGGTCGTCGGGGAGAGGATTCTTTCGTACGGGCGGCGAGGCGAGCCTCAGCTCTGCAGCGGCACGTTGTTCGCCACGCCCGTCGCGGCAGCCGTTGGCGCCATGATCCTGGCCTTTGTGGGACAGAGGCCTGTGAGGAGCAAGTCCAGAATCTAGAGAGCGCCAACAGGGGCTGGGACTGGAAGGCAGTCCTCAGGACGAACCGTGGCATGAGGAACGTGCTGGAAAGGATTAGTGAGGCGGTGTCTAATGAGGGCGGCACGTACTACCGGATCAGCCAGAAGCTCCTCTGGGAGGAGTTCCACCTGGAGGATGGGAGAGAACATGCATTGAACATCATAGCAGGAGCACTTAGGAGGTGAGCCGCTACAACAACTAATAACAGAAGAGGACTCCCAAATACTACCCGGCTGATGGACCAAGGAGACGGCTACCGATGATCTGCAGCACTGTTCTGAGCAAGATAACGGTATATCACCGCCATGCTCACGTATAGGTTTTCAGGAACACTTAGAGAGTCCAGGTACTAAATGCACTGGATTAATGAAATGCTAAATTTATATCTATTGATTTAGCTAGCAAAAGTAAAACAGTCCGTAATATAAAGCTGTTATTGTAGTTCATGGCCTTCGACAGTATGTACAGAGCAAGCCGCCTATCGATAGGTATATACAACCTCTTTAACCCACCTCCTTTGGTCGGAGGGGAAATCATTTGCCCGAGACCAATAAAGAGAGACGGTCTGTCAGCCGCACCGAAACATCAGGTCAAAAAGAGGGGTCGAACCCAGATTCCTGCCTGATCAGCTTCAATATCGTCCCACCGCGGGCTAAGAGAGCAGTGTGCAACCCTTGGCCGACCCAACGGAAGGATCCTAAGACAAACCCGGGAGTGTCTTCTGAGAGTATCATTTCTATCCACGGCCTCTTCGACGCTGCGTGTTAGCACAATGACCCAACCTGCCGGCGAGCCCGTCGGCGACATGAAATGGCTTGTCCTGAGGCTCCCCGTTCCCCCAAACACCATCGCACGGCTCGGCACCGTCCTGTCGGAACCTGAGAACCTCGAGAGCTTCCTCAACAGGAAGGAGATCCCCGAAATTGACCCAGATGACCGGCAAGACATGTCCAACATTGTGAAACTCCATCTCGGGACAGAGCTGAAGAAGAAGGACAGCGCCCTGGCGAGTGCCGTGTCCAAGTTTCCCACCTTCGTTGGCGCCGGCATTTCGGCGGACGCACACCGCGAGCACACCTGCAGCACGACGGTCGATGCCCTGCACGTGAAGGCTGAGGTCCTCCTGCGGGCCGACAAAGAGTATATGCCCACGGCCCTCAAGAGCCAGGGCGTGCTCGACTATCTGCGCGGGTGCTACTTCCGCAAGCCGCTCTACATGGTCGTCGGCGTGGCGACAGCAGGCCGATATACTCGCACAGAGACCCAGGAAAGAAGCAGCGGGGCCGGTACGTCTGGCAACGTCAATGTGCCGGATATCGCTGAGGGCGAGGCCAGACTCAGGCACGAGACGGGGGCCCGCGCCAACACGGAGCTCGAGGTCGAAGACGAATGCGTGTTTGCCTACCGCATTAGGCAGTTTTCCTACGTGAAGTTCCTGGGGCTCCACGATCAAGGGGACAGGACGCAAAAGGCCATGTTCGACCCGGGGCAGAGCGGGCCGGCCGCGCGGAAGGACGAGGTGGAGTTGGCGAAGTTTGATAGGCAGAAGCCGCAAGATTTTCATTCTTCAACTGAGATGGTAACTCTCTTTATTCAGAAAGAATGAAGAAGAGCCTACGACACATACAACCCATGGCTAGTCATGGTCTGTAGGTTTGTAGATACGTATATAGGCAGTGCCGGTGTGATACCAACGATCTGTTACCTGGATTGGGAAGAGTTCCTTGACCGACCCTGAAATGCAGTTGTTGTACGGGCTTATCGGAACTGGCTTGCTCGCCTTGCACTGACGTCCTTCGCGATTGGAAGAGGCTATCAGGTTATGGTTCTTCCGAAATCTATTTGTTGGGGTTGTTGTGCGAAATCGAATAGCAGTTTTCGAGGGAACGAGGCTTTTATTATATGAGGTAGCTTAAGGAGGGGGAACTTATCTAGCTCATCATAGTCCAGATGAATATCAGGTCTTGCACGGGAATTGCCTGACAGCCAGACTGGATGTCACTAAAAAGAACAAAAGAGTGTGTTGTTATATTCTTGTTAATGAAGAACATAAAAAAATTCAGAAGAAAGGAATAAATTTTTTACAGACAACTGGTACAGAGGCCCAAAAAACTGAGACAGAGCTTTTAAGGTCTAAAAAAACTCATGCCCCTTCCTGAATACATGCGAAAGATGCCACCCTTATATATCTTTCTGCCCATATCCTTCGGAATATCACTATAGTCCAACCCACACTATTAATAGATTGAATGGCATTTTATCTCCTTCATTAGAGGATCCATACTGTATCTCGGTTAAATACGCGTGTAGCTAGCTGTCGGCGACAGCCGGGGTTTCAGTTGCATGGGGTGCAACTCGCACAGCCCCATTTCCCAAGCATCAGGTCTAGCGTGGGATCTCCCATACGAGGTCAAAACAGCGCTGATCTTACCTAATCAGCCAGGGGATATTAGGGGCCTGCTGTATTTAAACCCAAGCGCACGTCATCAATTTTCGAGAACCAAGCGGAGGCCATCGTCAACATGTTTGAGTCGCGTCAGCCCTCCGCGGCGGAGACCGTCTCCTCGTTCTCTCAATCTCAGCCAACAGCTTCTTCTAGGGCGACTCGCGTCGAACTCATTCTCACACCTCCTACGCCAATAGACGGTCACGTTACCGCCAGACATTACGATGAAGACACCAATAAAGAGGTCATTCAACTCGACAACATAGTCGAAGAAAAGGAGGTCTACTACGGCAACGAGATTTCCGACGAGAAACAAGTTTATCATGAGGGCTCGAAAGAGGCTGTCTACATCGCCCAGGCAGGGAATGTTAAACCCCAACACTTCGATGGGGACGAGAAAGAGGTGTATCATCCACAAATCGTTTACGATGGAGCTGAAAAGGAGGTGGCACCGTCACAGTACTGGTCTGCGCAGTCCAGGCACGATATGACGGAAAAGCAGGTCTTTGGTTCCGACAAGACAGACGCCCACTATGACAACCCAAATCAGCGTCACGACCATCAGCAAGAGCCAGCGATATCAGAGCATTCAACGGAAACTCAGGACAGTGAAGAAACCTCTAAGGTTCAAACCCGTCTCAACAGCATGAGCAAAGCCGTCGATCAACGCGCAAAGGCTTTGTCAAAATTCGCCACGAAATCAAACACCCGTCTCCGCGAGGAATATGCCCGAATCGGACAGACCATCACGGATCGCAGCGTTGCTGTTGAGCAGGGAGCTACTGGACGATTGAAACGTCTCGAGCAAGGCTTCAGCAAACGGTTGAATCGGATGGAGGAAGGGACTACCAAGCGCCTCAATCGTTTGGAGGATGGGTTTAATAACCGCGTCATTCGTGCTGGGCAGAGCGTTGATGGTCAAGTTGCCTTTCTCAAACAGAATGTGAATTGCGTCAAGAAAATTGGCTCTAAAACGCAAAAAGACAACAGTACAAGTGAGGAGAAGAAAGTTGATTAGCATAGCGCAGCCTCGAGTTTACATGTCATGAATGATACTGTCGCATTCCGTCATACGGTTAACCGTTCGGACCAAAAGTCGCAAACATCTATCTCAAGCTTTATCGTACAGGTTCAAGGCTCTCTTTGAATGGCATATACTGTTAGAGGCCAGATGCAGCCTTAAGTAGCTACCTTAGAAGACGTGTATTCTCATTGAGCACACCAAACAAGCTCCCAATCTCCTTGCCGACCATCCTCAATTCATCCGCCACTTGGCTTGTGACAAGAGTATAAGCGTACAGCAGAGCATAATCCTTCTCCTCTACCAAGGGTTCAGCCAAATCGGTGCTGACTTGGCCTCTTCCATTCGCTGACGTCGAAGAATAATCCTTTCGGAATTGAAAGATCTTGGCGAGGAGATTCTCGCGCGCCGATACGATGCTGGGAGTCGCATCTGTAAAGGGATATTCCAACATAGTTGAACTGGCGACAACCTGGAATGCTTGGCATATGTGATCGCACAAGATGGCACGTTCACGGGCCGTATACTGCAGCAAGGCCCTCTCACCTTCCGTGAGATGTCCCTTGCGGTATGCCACCAAACTCATGCCATAGAAGCCATCAAGAATCCGCGTCGTTCCTCGTAAAACACGCCCATAGACATCCATGGGAAACGGCCCCCGCAGCTCAAACTCGGACGCAGCAGACTGTCTCAGGCTTTCCAAATTAGCGGCGTACCGCTGCAGAGCGACTTGTTCGCCTGATTGGAGATAGCTCTGAGAACCCTCGCTGCGGAACAGCACGGCAAGGGGTCCACGCTTCCAGATCAAGCCCATCTGGAGATGGAGCACGGAGAGGTTTTCTTTGAACTTCTGGCGCGCCGAGATGGGCCAGATGACTCGGCAAACAACGAGGCCCCAGACAATGCCCGCTGTCACAGCAATGGCTCGGTGCTTCACGATCTCTATAATATCGGGGTGTGCGCCTCCTTCGCTGCCAGTCCCGTCTTTCCCATCTGCCTTGTATTGCATGGCATAAGTATGTAATGTCGACACATTATACGTAAGCAGACTGATGCGACCCAGAGAAGCCTTACCACGCTCTACAATGATGTAGAAGTTGATAAAGCTGGTGAGCCAGCCGAGGAAGATCAGGGGCACAGCATAGCCATGGCTTACTTTCCAGTTGACGATAGAAAATAGAGCACCGAACAGGGTGCCGATGAAACGGGCCCAACCCACGGTGTTGGATGTGCCGACAGTCATGGAACAGACAATCATGAACGACAGTAAGCCCCATTCGCCACGCCACTGATTATACAGGTCTCGCGTCTGTTCAAGAAAGGCAAGCATTGCCCACAAGGCAGCGCCAATACCGACTTTGAGCCCAAATTGAACTGCTGAGTGTCAGAAACGTTGCATAGAAGCGAACCGTTTTACCTACTGTCATCTCGCGCCATTTTCTTGAATAATGCAGATATGCTTTGCCAGAACCAAGCCAGGATCTTATTGACGCCGGGGGCATTATTCCAGGTCATAACATCCACTGGCCCCGGAACTGCTTCTGCATCATCTCGAAAGCTCGCTGTCCGCTGTCTCGTCTCGGTCAAAGGATGTACTTCAGCAGACTCGAACAATCTGATAGCTGCATTATGGCCCTCCGCGCTCTCATCTTTCCACCACAGAAGCCACCTCCAGCTTCGGCTTTTGTGCAAGATGACATGTTGCAAGTCATCCAAGACATCTAGGTACTGCATCACATCTTCACCAAAGGCCTGCAAGCTGAAAGTGAAGTGTCCGCAGGCAGCAGCGACTTCCTCCGAGCTGGCTCGTCTTGATTCGTGTGACGAATCCATCTGTTCTATGCGGTCGTAAAGCCGCTGCAGAGCTTCCGACCGAGCCTCGTTGAAAGTGCTTAATGAGTCCATCAAGCTTCGTCGTAGATCCTCATCAATATTAACTTCATAACTCGGATGTCCAAATTGCGGTTCATGCAAAATTGTGCAAAGATCTTGTCGTAAGGATGTCATTGACATCTTTATCGAAGCATTAAATTGTTCAAAAAGTTCGCGAGCTGTATTCGGACTGTCAAGACCAGTTTCGCATTGATTGAGTTGCTCGGAATGTTTCAGCTGTTCGAGCTGAGTGTTGGTTGCATTTCTCAGTCCACCAAGACCTTGTGCCAGATTTTCCATAGACCTTGCAACAGACCTCTCATGGTCATAGATCTGCTCATAGCCAAGGAAATAATGCTCAAGTTTGGCTTCTCTCATATCCTTCATCATTTGAGAATAGGACGTGGAATAGTGCGCGGAAGCAGCAGCGAACCCGTCCGACGCAAGGCCGGCTTCGGAACCGCTAAGAAAACCCCCTGTGATCATGTAGAGCATGTCTCCCAGAGGGATTGAGACTCGGTTCATGGTCTGACGGAGTGATTGACGCGCAGAGTGCCGCCATAAGAGCAAATTGACTGCAGCGGTCGTAGTGACTCCCATGATGAGCATCTTGAGCACCTGGGCTACTTTTTCGTTGGAGAAGACGTTGGAGATGACATGGTTTTCCCTGGTGACAACGCCAATGATGGCGAGCGATGCGAGGGTACTGCCGACATTGACCAGAGGATTCGACATTCTCTGCTTGACCCAGCCGATGAACCCAAAGCCACCGCCGATAAACACGACAACAACTAAGACATGCGATATCGTCACGAGATGCATGGTTGACCCGAAGAACACCGAGGTAATCATGGACAACAGAGACACAAGCTCTGCGTAAGCCACGGCTACGACGGCGATGAGAATAGCCTCAATCATGGATCCGACGGACCGGGCCGGATGGAAATAGACGGTGATAGTTGCCACGACATGTTTACCATCAGGCTTGCCGAGGAAATTGAACAGCGGTGGAAAGAAGGTCGCGAGACTAGCGATGGTGTAGGCGATTGTGCATTTGAGGACTCCACGGCCATTGGGAGTATCGAGCCAGACACGGAACCGGGCTGCAGAGTCCGAGATGGTGTTTGTAACGGTCTCGATAAACTGAGGCATCGCTTGCAGCCGCAAGGTGGTGGCGAATGAATCGCAATTGGCGAGTGAATAACCGTGGGATACCTCGAATAATAATGTGCATTATGACAATGGAGAGTATCTGGTTCTGGTCTAGGTACGCGGCTGTCGGCAGTCAGGTGATTTCGATGCCTGTCAGATCTCGTGATCCCGTAATAAGTGGGGTATGCTGTCAACCTAATAAGCCAGGCGACTGCCTCCTACATTCCATCTGAGGGGTTACTTATATGTGAATAAACAAGGCTATGTTTTCTCACAAAGATTGGATTAGGCTCTGCTCAACTTCAAGATTGTCAGCATAATATGTCATGTCGACAGCTGCTCGTCTGCCCGAACTTGTGCTTATTTAAATGACTCCCTTGGAGCTTGAATCCCAACTTGGGGTCTTGGCCACGCAGACTTCGCCATGTAGAAACCTTGCGGTCATGTCCGTGGGAGCCTGGGAACGTATACGGCGGCGTCCAAGATCCCCAGTACAACGCTCTGTCCTATGCCTGGGGGAGATGGGTTCTGGACGACACGCAACGGCCCGAGGTACAGAGCCTGGGCGTCTCCGGAAGAGCATGGAGAATCCCTCGAGTCGATCCCGACCATTTCTAAGTCGACGCATCCCATCACGCAATTCGACAAGCGACTAGACTCTACGGTCGGAATAAGGTGTCGGGCATGACTGTGGCCCTGGCCGATGACGATACTCGCTCCGTGGGCTTCATATGGGTCGACGTTGTCTGCATCGACCGGAGGTTCAACACCGAGTCGATGCTCGAGATCGTCCGGCAGGCGACGATATTTCGGAAGGCATCAGCCGTGTATATCTGGCTCAACCACATGACTACCGCTGAGTTGAGCGAGCTGGCCTCATCAACAGAGAGTCTTGCAATAAAACTCGACGATACATTTTAGTTGCTGATCAAAGAAACCCGCCTATTGGAGTCCAAAGGTGACTCTTACGTTGTTCCTGAAAATTTCCAGCCGTCGATGCTCAAGCTTCTCGGGATCGATCACGGCCGGAAGGCTTTTTACTCGTTGGCTGTAGTGATTGGCGAATTCGAGGACCTTCGACTTTACCTCGAACGCCTGAGCAGGATGCGAACGACACGGCTCACCGCGTTCGACCGCGCATGCGACGAGACGCTGGACCTTCTCAACCGTACCGGTTTCACGGCTCTGTCCTTTCACAGCCCGATGGAGCTCTACCCGGCGGCCGTGTACCGCCAGCCATCCAACAAGCTGGACAGTATCTATGGCATCATGCAGGTGTTTGGGTTCCGCCTGGGTCAGTCGGACCCGAGCGCGCAGCCGGGATACAAGCCCACTCTGCCGGAGCTCGAGGACCAGCTCGGCATCGCCCTGATGGAGCTGTGTCCAACCCTCAGCCAGTGCTTCAGGCAGGTCGTCGTCCCGCGGGCCACGGGAAAGAACTGGCGAGTCGGCCCGCTGTCGGCCATGCCCGGGTATTCGCTGACGGCGGCCATGGATTGGGAGCCTGAGCTGTACCAGACGGAATGCGTGCTGTCCACCGAGTGTATCGGCGACGTTATATGGGGGCGTTTCCAAGGCAAGGTCTGTTCCTTCGCGACCCTTCGGACGGCCTGGCCACGGGCACCTATCCATGGAGAGGCGGTGACAGGAGATGATCCCGGCTCATATTCCTATATTTCCGTCATCGTAGACTACGCGCCTGATATGTTTCCCGGGTGGCCAAACGCGTCGGATTATGAATCTCGTCAAGGCGCTAGCCAGTACAGAGTTGCGGACCAGCTGGCGGACCAATTCAGCGAAGAAAAGCTCAAGGTTCTTCATCTAGGCTTCATCGACACGTCAGAGTTATCCGAATCGCATTATGGATTGGTCCTCTTGCAAGAAAACGAAGGCAATATGACATACTGGCGACGTCTGGGCATATGTACCTGGGATGCGCTGAAAAGGAAAAAGGAACGCGTGGAAGCTGTCGTGGACTTACTTGGGAAGATTGGACTGGGCGGGAGGCTTTCTGGGACGGGTAGTATCTACCATGGACTGGTGCCTAAGTACGATTGCAACACGATGCAACATGTCCAGAAGCACTGGGCCGATTTAACCGTCACAACGACTCATGGCAGAGTCTGTCAGGGCTGTTTGGATAGGATATATACGTTCGCGAAGAGCGCATAATATGCTTTAACATTCAATATAAGATACAGTAGGGATTTTGAGTTTTAAAAGCAATAAGAATAATACTAGATTATTAATCTGACTCATAAGATACTGGCGAGAATGAACGACGGTGCGCAGCTGGTCGGGGTCACAGATGACGAAATCGATGCACATGGGGGTGCCGAAGGCTAAAATGGAGGATGGGAGAATATAGACGGCTCAGACGACGCCTTGGAAGCTGCGACGGGCGAGGATGAAGTGGGAGAGTCTGGACTACAAGATGACGAGGATGGGTCTCACACACTCTACAAAGCCGCCCATTCATACAATCGAGATATCAGGCACGTTGTGGATAACCATGCTTCCTATTCGCACAACAACAGGTTAGATCCAAGTCCATTTGCAGGGATGAATGGAGAGTTTGCCACTGACGGTCCACTTATTGTCAGAATCGAGCCCGCTCAAGAATCTCTTCACTGCAAGGGCCAGGTTGCAGGGGAGAGTTTGAGGTGGATATTTATTGACTTTATGACCGGGGATGAGGCAAATAGCTTTGCTGCTCATTAAAACGTCCCTCATTCGCTCGAGCATGAAGCCATCATGGATCTAAACTGGCAAAAGGAGCGCACCGCTCGAGAGCTTGGGAATCGTCAAATATCACTGTTCAGCTATGCTACCTGCCTAACCTGTAACCCTAGAGAATTCAGAAAACACGTCCGTCACAACACCCTTTAACAATAATCGCACTGAAAGAAAGAACCATTTATAACCCAACCCTATGCAAACCACATCTTTAAACAAGGCTGGTCGAAGCATCGTTAATCTCAATGGATCGGTCATCGACCCGGACTTGTGGCTGCACTGCATCTTTGCTGAACCACCCACCAACAAGGACAATCAGAACGACGAAGAGCTGCGTTCCAAACATCAGGACGAGTCTTGTGGCGAAGCTTCCAGTGACCGGGTCCAGGCTTGAGATGCGGTTGAAAGCGTATGTCACACCGTAGCTGAGTCGGATCAGGTGAAGAACGGTGGCCGGTCCAGCAGCCATGATGAGCGCCTTAGCAGCTTTGTAGTTGACGTCTTGTCGTGCAGAGAAGACGCGCTTTCCGGTAGGCCAGAGCCAGAATAGAACGCCAATCATGACACCAAACATCAAAAGGTTTCCGATCTTGTTAAGCATCGCATTTTTGACGCCTTCGGATTCGTCTGGGTCGGCCTTCCCTGCGTACGCGGCCATGCCAATGCCGATGGTATTGACGAGGTGGGTAACACCGAGGATAATCTTGCGGCCCATGCGTCTCGAGTTGGAGGGGATGAGGCATAGTCTATCCTGTGTTAGATGCATGGACTCGGTGTTGGTAGTTATCATCAAAGAACGCTTACGCTTCATAAACCATGCCGATGAGGGTCAGTGACAAGCAAACGATGCTTCCGGCATTGGTCATCAAGGTGACGGTATTCTCTTCCTGGGTTTTGTTTCGTCGTATGATATGATAGGCGTCAGAGGCGAAGCGGAGGCCGAAATAAGACACAAAGATCGGCCAGCAGATAATGCCTGCCTTTCCATGTTTCCACGCGATGAACACAGCGAGGGGGAAGAGCGCGCCGAAGATTCCGAGAGAAGCGTACGAGAGGTTAACGCTTGCTTGCGACGGGAGGTTGGAAGCCATGGTTGATTGAAGCGCTGGCCCGAGAAGTAAAGGCTAGAAGTTGTTCCAAAATGGAGGAGTGGTTATCGAGTGTGGATGTAGAATGGAGATTGGAATATTGAAAGATAGGCGTGGGATCGCGGAGAACTTATGCAGGAGATTGACTTCGGTATGGCCTTGCAAGGTGCCATATGATCCGACAGCTAGCTCGGTACCACTACCGCGCGCGGGCTTAGGTTTCACACGATTCATGGAGACATGAGCTATTCATGGAGCTGATGTGTGGGTCCAAGCCCTGCAAGGAACTTCTGAGAGGCTGAAGGGATGCCACTGAGATGAAGCAGAGGTCTGGGGGGACATGATCATCAACACAGCCTGTGGCTCAGACGGCAAAGCAGAGACCAAGTGACCGTGGAGAGTCAATGCCGGGCCTGTTTCAATCCAGACCGGAATCACGGCACTTGTGACGCGACAGAAAAGAGAAAATATGGCTGCAAATCCCTCTAATTAGCTGTTTTTCCCGCCCAAGTCCCCAGACGGCTGTTACGTTGTAGGTTGGGCGCACAACACAGCCTAGTTCATTAAGGGGCGCACCTACAAAACCGAGACCGAGACCGAGTTGGGAAACACGATGAATGGGGCGGAGATGGCGCAGCCCCGTGCATACTAAACATGTACCGAACTAGGACCAACCTTATTTGGAAGATCTCAATTGATCATGATAATTACATCACTTGCAAATTGACGCTACGTTACAGGTAGAAAATGCAGTGTGTGTTGGCTGTGTCGCGAGTTTAGTATTGGACTTTGGGGTGGATCTGATGAAAGTCAACAAATGTTGCAATGACGCCAGCATAATGAACCTCAATAGTGGATGGCGACTTAAAAATTCACCGTGAGGTGCCCAAAGAGAAATGATGAAGAGCACCCATGACCTTTTCTTCCGATCATGCGGAAGCTGAACTGATGAGTTTCGAGTAGGAGATAAGGATCGTCACAGTTGCATGTTGAACTTTAATGTCTTGATTCGACCGGCAATTTAGTATGAATCATTTCTATGTATTATCGCTTCAGACCAATGAGGAAGGCAACGCTTTTATACTATCATAGTATTCGACCGAGGTTCTTATGAAATGCTGGCAGGTCGTTTGCCGTTAAAACTCTTTCTTGAACTTGGGGTTGTTCCTTATCCTCCCACCAAACGAATGCAATAGCCACGGAACAGGCGCCAACATAAGGGCAATCAACCCAAGGAGAGTATTTCCCCAGCCCAAGCCAATGGCGTTGTAAAGCTGCAGCCCGCATAGGGGGAGTAGTGCACCTAGTAGACTGCGCAACACGGCATTCGCGGCAGTTACTGAAGCCGCGTATACCGTGAAACTGTCCACTAGGTACGTCTGAGAGATCATGAAGATGCCAATCATGCCAAAGCCCATGATGCCAGTACCTATCATGGGAACAATCCAGTGCAGGTGCTTTTCGGCTGTCCAACCGTACATGATCAAGCCAAGAGGAAGACATAGTGCCGTTGGCACCGTCAGCTTCAAGTCGAGTCTTTGTTCCGGCTCCATAGGCTTGCCATTGGCTTTGGCTTCCTTCAAGATCTTGTCGGAGAGGTATCCAACGAATAATAAACCTAGAAGGTTACCAACACCGCCGCCGATGAAGGACAACCCGGCACCAATGGCGCTGAAGCCGTAATAATCCCTGTAAACGAAGGTGAATGTCGTAAAGAGAAGATAGAGTAAGCCGTATAGTGTGGCGATGTAGATGCACACCACCGTGACGATGGGCGAGAAGATAAACATGCGCGCCGGACGAGTGATGGCGATTAGGAAGACCTCCTTCGGCGTTCCTTCTTGTTTCATGACTGATTGATATCGTTCGTCTCCGGTCGATTTTCGCAACATTGCTGCTTTCCGCTCGAGAATGATGGGAGCGTAACTCTCGCGGAGTATGAAAAACGAGACGCCAACTGCAGCGCCAGCCTGTTCTGGTTGTCAGCCACGCATTGTTATCAAGGAGTTCTCTCGAAACTTACCACCATCGTCGTCACCCAAAATACCCAGCGCCAACCTTTGGCCTCCACGAGAAAACCAGCACAAACCGGTCCAATAACTGGGCCCAGCAGAGGTCCGATTGACCAGACAGCCATGGCCGCACCTCGTTGTTCGGCAGGCACCATGTCGGCGATGGATCCGCTGCCGCAAGTCACAACCGCGACTCCAACAAATCCAGATAGGAATCGAAAGGCCATGAGCATGGCAACGTTCTGGGAGAGAGCGCATCCGACAGAGAAGAGGATGAAGAGCGTGTTGCTAACGTGGTAGACTGGCAGTCGCCCGTAGAGTTCGCTCATGGGTGCCATCAAAAGGGGCCCGAATGCAAATCCGAGGACGAAGACTGAGACCATGAATGTCGCCACCATGTCGTCGGTGCTGTTGAAAGTGGCCATGATGTTGGGCACTCCAGGTGCCATCATGGAAGATGCCAGTGGTCTGCAAAGGTAAGTCATGTATTCGACTAGCTGGAAGCCGCAAATTGACTTACGTTAGGAACGTGATGAAAGACAGAATTCCAATGATGCTCCATTTTCGACGCGTCGTCCAATTCATGGGGTTCTCGGGATCTTGGTCGGCGGGCTCATTCCATCCCACTTTGAAGTTGGTAGTTTCGTCGGACGAGTGCGTCACTTCGGATGTGTGCGTCACCTCGGACGCTTGCGATTCGTCTGCCATGGCAAGCTCGTGCAGCTAGAAAAAGCGCAAGCTGAATAAGAATAAAAAATAAAAATTAGAAGGACGGTACCGCTTTTTTCACGCCGTCGTTGTGTATTTTGAAGGTCTTGAACTTCGAATTACCCCTCAAAAACGACGATAAAGGTCTAGAAGCCGGATCAAACGAGCGTTAAAGAACCTAAGATTCGGATTTAGCATCGTATATCATCATCGATTCAACACAGCCGGACTTTGTCATCACCCGAGTCCGCTTCAAATCACCCAATATCAAGTCACGCAGCCAATCATCGATGGGTGCGAGGAAGCGATATCGAAACCGAGACCGAGACCGAACTCCCCGCTTGCATTTTACCCACAAAAGGCTACCGAAATGGGATCGACATATCCCTGCTGATGAACGAACCCTGCGACTAGTCACGTCAAGACGGGGCTAAATGTTCTCTGGCCCGAAAAAGCAGGAGATTTGTCGCAATCACCAGTCTACTACGTAGTGCCTCAGCCCCATTGAAGATCCGATAACTATTTTAAAGTTAATTCTTTTCATAGACCCGAATCGAGCTTGAGCTTATGCTTAATGACGTCCGAGAACCATGCCTAGCTCACAAGCTCCCCACTGGCTACCGGTCTATCAAGTTATGTGGCACACTAGAGCGGCTGGAAGCGAGACCGAGTTGGCGGGTCGAGTGCACAGCCTTACGACCTCAACAAACGCCATGACCGACGTAAGGGACCGTGAACTTATTGTTTTGGATAAAATCCGCGAGACGTCGCCTACCCCTTGGCCAGACATCCTCAACAACAACAATCACCTTCCAAAGTCTAAACTATTTCCACTTCAGACTATCCCCTGACTTGTTCATTCCCCTGGTCGAGGCACTTCTTAAGCATTGGCCCTCGTCTCAGCCGAAATTTGCAACATCGCTGTCTACGAAAGAGTTACTCCAGCAACGCCACCATGAATGTCAACGTACTTCGACGTGTTTTCGTTTCTCGGTTCAAATTGCCAGTACACATTGTGGAGCTCATTGTGTCCCTGGTCGTTTTGATCCTTGGTGTTGTGCGCCTCGTCTTGCGCAACCGCAATGCCCCAAGGACCAGATCTGGCAGTATGGCTCTCGGAATGGTAGCTTTTCCAGCATTCCCATCACAAATACGAATCGATAAGCTAACCAATCATTGCAACCAGGCCGGCAAATCCATGGTCATTATTCTCTACCAAGTTTTAAGCCAACACACCCAGTACTTCCGGAAATGGATGAGTTTCAAGGCAAACCTGATCCTCAACTCCCTCGAGATTGTATTTTGGGGTGCTGTTGCATTCTTGACCCTCCAAGCAAACACACAATCTTGCCAGGGCGTTACTTGCGCCCTCGGATGGGTTATCGTGGTGTTGGCCATCATCATGTGGTTAGTGACCAGTCTCATCAACACAATGGACTTTTGCATCTGCTTCTGGATGGAAGTTCGTAGTGGACTTGAGATAGACAATGATGACTAACTTGTGCATCTTTTTAGCAAACTGTCTTTTTACGAAGCGGGCGTTTCTTATTTCGAGTACAAGGATTACAAGACTGGAACAAAGGAAGTGGTGGAGGGGCAATCGGCTTCTTCGTCTGGAGGTATGGAGATGGAAAATGGATCTACGATGAAAGCAGGCGGAGTGTAGGGTGTTCACTATAGGGACGGAATAAATCCTTGTTCTTAGACTTCTTTATCTAGAGTATTGATACCTCGTCATGATACTTCGCGTACCTCTCCCTCTACAACGATGATCTCCATTCACCTCAAACTGCTAAGGGTAAAGAGACTGTTGGCAAATAGTAGCCCTATGATAGAACTAATACCCCACCCTGGACATGGAGGTTGGCTGCAGAGAAGCCCATTAACATCGACCGATTGGTGTGAGAAGCCGTATAAACGATGGCTGGAGCGCGAACTCAGAGGATTTCGGACATCATCCTGAACGGTGTGATGGGGCCAACGGTCCTCCCGGAGATTTACTACAGTGGAGGCCAGCAGCTAGATTATTATTCCCCTATCTAAGGCGTTGAGTATGTTTGAGAAATAACGCGGCACCTTTTTTCCCCTCTTTACTTTACGTGACACCTTTTGTCGCTGTACACTCATTCTGCTGTAGCTGTTGCAGCAGCTCTTATCGATAATTTTTGCCCTCCCTTCTTAGAGACGTCCGAAAATCAGTAGATCAATTGCTCCCCGTATCCTTTACTCCCAGATGACGACTTTTCTGTTGCTTTTTTTTATCTTACATCCCTCTCCAGCTCCTACCCTATAGACGGGTGTGGTCTACACTAACGGCCCTCCCACTAATAAAGCAGCTTGCAGTTAGAGATCTCGCAGGACAATGAATTGAAAGAGAAGAAAACGCTACTATTAGATCGTAAGAAACCTACGGAATGGCCGGACTCGCGGCTTGGAAAGCGGGGCTGGGTCGGAGAAGAGAGTGGAGGAGATGCTCTTTAACCATGAGAAAGTCGCCACGGCAGTTTTCCTGCGAGAAGGAATACTGACGTAGCCAAAGAAAAGCAGTCGGACACCAGGAAACCCATGCCTGATAGCCCGACAGAAGTTCATTACAGTTCGGCTTCCTGTAAACCCGGCTCGACCATGAGGGCGCAGACATTTAAGACGGCGACTAATATAATCAATTTCTTCTACAAATTCTCTCCGACTAGTTCCTTTCAAAGCGAATTATGCTCCCTACGTCTCGTAGGAAATGGCGGTAGTATATTTTGGGTCGTAATGCATCGCCCAGTATCCATCCCAGATCAACTTGGTGATAGGACCAACCTCGCCCTTCGACTCACCATCAAGCTTCGTAATTGGCATGATCCCCCCTGCTGTAGTACACATGAAGATCTCATCAGCTTCGTACGCCAGGCTAGTAGGAACGTCGCCGAGATGGACCGGGATCCCAGCGTTCTTTGCAACGTCGAAAACAGATTGTCGGGTAACACCCTCCAGCACGCCCTTCTTAGCAGTATAGAGACTGCCATCTTTGACAAAAACGATGTTGTAGCCTGCACCCTCGGTGATATTTGCGTCCCCATCAGTCAGGAATGGGTACTGTGAGCCTCGATCCTGCGCCTCGAGGAGACCCCTGATTAAGTCGCCCCATTGGAGGCTCTTGATTGTTGGGTCAATCGCACCGGGCGGGACACGGCGAACAGTGCGGGTGACGATTGCCTCTCCGCCAAATGGCTGCATTTGATAAGGCATAACCCATACGTAGGGCATAACCAGGATATAGATGAAATGGTTCTCAGGCGTGCCGCTGGGCATAGGTTCTCGGACGAAGCGGAAGCCACGGGTGACGATAAGCTGAACATATGCGTCCCGAATGCCGCTCTTGGCGATTAAATCAAGGGTTACTTGTTCAATCTCGTTTCGTGTCATTGGCGGCTTGAGTCTCAGCTTGGCACAGCTTCTCTCAAGCCGGTCAAGATGGTCGTTGAAGCGGAAAAGCTTCCCGTCCCACACGGCGGGCACATCGTAGGTGAGGTCACTATGGAGGAAGCCTTGGTCGAGGATTGGGATCCGCGCCTCGTATAAGGGTGTGATTTGACCTTCAATAAGAGCAGCGCCGTGGGTAAGAGGGTTCTTGAGGCCGTCTTCGAGGAGCTTGGCCTGACGCTCCTCGAAGCCTTGGAAGATTTTGTCCATAGTCGCCATGATGTCAAAGATAGCAGTAGAAGAGATGTAGGAAATGTTATAGAGTAAAAGGATCTGTGGATGACTGAGGTCGAGCTGATAAGTCAGTTGCCATTTCGAATGAGAACCCGGGAATTATATAACGATCTTCGTTCAAACCCCATCAACCCCGTCTGGCGTGACGGAACCCGCGGCGACCCGTGAGGGTTATCTCGGCCTTTTCGGATGATAGAATCTTCCAATAGGGCCTTGAACAATTGATGACAGGGTTCGCTTCCGGTAATTCATGAACGCGGCTGCGTGATCACAAGAGGTTGAATCGTCCGCTTCTCGTGTAGTAAGCATCCACATCATTGCTTATCTATCCGCGGTAGACTCTTATCTATCCGCGCCCCAAGCGCTTGCGGCTGAACTCTCATCTTGCGGTGGAAGACACCACGTGAATCTTTTCCCTTTATCTCGTCGCTGCTACCCATCATTTCGAGTTGATATCAGTTAGAGCCAGTCTAAATTAGCTGGCCCATGACGGTGGGTTGGATTAAGCCGTTTGGAGAAACGCCAATGCAGCTATATAAGACTTGGTGCTGAGTCGCGGGTAGTCCTGGCTTGCCTGCTTCAATTGATTGAGCTATCCTGCAGCTTTGTTAAGTGGCTTTTGCGTTGCCACTTGCTGTGAACCCTTATTGAAGCCAGACACTGCCCTGTGACTCTCTGTCGAGACATAGAAAGCCCAAGCAAAATGGCGGCGATAGATGCAAACGACACCGAGAAGCCGTGCGAGGTCGCCGCACCCCGAAACCCAAGCGTCGTGGTGGTCGACACAGCTTCTGAAGTCGTTCTTGTCAAGCACCGACTAGGTTTCCTCAATCTGATTGCGGTGGGCTTCAACGTTTGCAACACTTGGGCTGGGGTTTCCTCTAGCATGCAGGTTGCCTTGCTGCAGGGCGGTCCTGCTGCGCTGTTGTACGGCTTGTTCGTCACAACTAGCTTGTATTTCAGCATCGCCTTGTCCATGGCAGAGCTCATCAGTGTCTATCCTACTGCCAGCGGCCAGTACCACTTCACATCCATTCTTGCTCCGGATCGAGTCAGCAAGGGCCTGTCGTACATATGTGGCTTCATAACAGTGATTAGCTGGGAGGTGATTGGAGCCACAGTTACCATGGTTCCTTCAGCACAGATATTTGCACTATGGCAGTTCTATCGTCCTTCTTTCCAGGCCAAGTCATGGCACAGCTTTGTCATCTACGAGGCTTTTGGCCTGTTTGTTGTGCTTTACAATAACCTGGTTCTCCCGTGGGCTCTTTGGACTCATAATTTGGGATGTAAGTTGCCCAAAAGCTTGGATAAATTCCAACCAGTGACTATTTTCTGACTCTTTTCAGTCACTCTCAACATAGCCATCTTTATCGTGGTTACCGTCCTCCTCATTGTTCGACCCTCTGACAAGGCACCAGACGCGTTCGTGTGGGACACTTTTATCAATTTCACCGGCTGGTCCGACGGCGTATGCTTCTTGACGAGTCTTATCACCAGTTCCTTTGGGTTCACCGGTCTTGACGCCTGCTTGCATTTGGCAGAAGACGTCAGCTCACCCAAGAAGGTAGTCCCAAGGACAATGATTCTGACAGTAGCGATTGGCTTCGCCACTACATTTCCATTCATTGTAGTGATGCTGTATGGTGTCGCCGACATTAATGCTATTTTGGCAATTCAAGGGTAAGCAGCCTGTTGCCCTTGGAAGTCAAAAATGAATTTCAGTGGAACCTAATACAATCTACAGATATCTCCCATTGGAGATATACCGAATGATATGGAGGTCAGATACCGCGGCTATAGCAATCACCATCTCCAGTATCGTTCTTACATTTTTCATCCTCAATTCCATCATGCAGACGTCTTCTCGCATGACTTGGGCGTTTGCTCGAGATAATGGCATCAGCTTTTCGCACTTTTTTGAGAAAATGCATCCCACTCTTGGGGTACCTCTCAATGCTGCGATCCTCAATTGGGTAATCCTATCTCTCTGCGGTGTTGTATACCTGGTTTCTAAAATCGGTGAGTCGTGGTAGAAACTATGCAAACATCTTAACACTGGTGTATTGACCCTTGGGCAGCATTCAACGCTCTACTTGGATCGATGATTGTGCTTCAGCTGTTATCATTTATCATACCTCTGGTGCTAATTTTATGGAGACGTCGAGATAACCGATTTTTGCCACGCAAACGAGCCTTTCGTCTCCCAAATATAGTCGGTTGGATTGTCAACGTATACGCCATTGCGGTTGGCGCGACATTGTCGGTCTTCTTCCTCCTGCCGCCTTTCTTGCCTGTCACTTCACAAAACATGAGTCAGTGAGGAACCCTTTGGCGACTTTTCTATGGCTGACATGTGACAGACTACACTTGTGCCATCCTTGGTATCGGCGTAGTACTTTGCTTGGCGAATTGGTTGATACACGCGAGGAAGCACTACCATGGGCCTCAGATTGTTTTCCACGAGTAGACGGATTTTTAGTTCCCTGAAGTTGACCCGACTCTTGGCCGTGCGCTGCTAGTGAGCATGTTTGTTGTGTAAGGAGGAGCTTCCAAATTGATGTTGATATCACAATGAATGTATGTAAAAGTTAGGAGCATACGTCAATCCCGAACAGCCGTTGTTTTTGGAATAAACATTATTGTTGATGAACCACACTCGCATCAAGTTGATTGTTTTATGCCTTGCCATGTCCATATCCTCCCATTATTGTTGCATAAGTATCTGGAGATGCAGACCCCGAGATAATGAAACCACTTGACTGAAGTTCGAAGCCGTCTGTTTGTATCTAGGATCAATGGAAGACTAATGAAGCTATCAAAGTCTTGCCTTCACATATATATGAGCGTTCAATAATTCCACAACTGCCTTCGCACAGCCATATGAGCACTGGTATCCAGCTCCTCCATGCCCATAGTTATGAATCACCCACATGTCTTCGATCATCTCCTTTTCAACCCTCGCACCCCCGTCTCTTGCAGGTCGAAGCCCAACCCCATGCCTGATGACGTCGAGGGATTCGATGGTCCTTCCTCCGGTCAACTCGGGATGCGCAGCAACGCAACGTTGCATGATACGAATCGCAAGGTCGGGATCGGGCTGCGAATCCCAGTTGTCGCGCTGGTAGCAGCCACCCAGAATTGTGCCTCCGCCGGCAGGACGACACATGACGTACATTGCCTCATCTGGCCCATCGTCGGTCCCTGACGTCGCTGTCATGCCGTTGGATTCGTTTCGAACCAGAACAATTTGGCCTCTCGCGGGGTGGAGGTTCAAATCGCATACGCCCTTCAGAGTACGCGAGCCTAGGCCGGTACAGTTGATAATGATGCCAGGTTTTTCACCACTGTGGTGACTGGTCGAAGCATCTTTTATGTGCCCTAGTTCAGCTCGTTTGAACACCACCCCCCATTTGAGGCATTCACCGACAAGCCAGGGCAGATAGATGGCGGTGTTGATGCAGACCGATGTCATGGCATGTCCGCTGTCTACGCCCTCCTCGAGTTCAGTCTTCGGGATTGGACGATATTGCAATTCTTTTAGCTGAGTCTTATACGCTTGGTGATATCTTTACCCACGTCGGGGAAGACTGTAGACCACCAAGGCTTGTCGGAAAGAAGCCCAGCAAACCACTTGGCCGTGATAGTATCTCTGTCTTTCTTCCGGTTCATGATTTTGAGATCTAATTACACGACTTTAGAAGAACTGGTCCATGTAGGATAAAACGTCGAATGAGAGTCTGGAGTGCATACCCTGAAATTGAACTCCAGCCTCGGGCCTGTTTCTAGCGAGGTTTTTAAGCGCCGGCCAAGTGTCCCTCTCCCAGCTTTGAGCAGGCGTTCCTGCAACTGATACACTATGCGAGTACCGTAAGGTATCAGGTTCATGGGAGAGATGTTTGTCCACCACTTACGGCATATAGTTTGCATGTGCTTTGCAATGACGGAAATGCTATAAGAAGAGTCTTCAGACAGAAGCAGCGCCGTCGTGAGGCCTGTGGAGAGATCAGTTTGATGAAAAAGGTAGTCAATAAAAAGTATCAGAGAAATATACCAGCGACGCCTGCACTATAACCTTGTCAGCAAAATGTACAAGATCACATTGTTCAAGGAGAAATGACGAACCCAACAATCACCACGTTTGTTACAGCCATGATATCAGAAGGAGTGCTTGTCGTGGGAGATATTTTTCCGGAATCACAAACGGTCAAGGTCATCAGATGTTGGGCATCAAAACTTTGAAATACCGACTGATTAATGAATACGGACTTCGGAGCCCTCGGAAACCGTCGGTTGAACAAATCCTCAGAGTCTTCCTCGGTGGAATGCCACCTGATGCTCCTGGGGTTTAATCCGCCTCATGCAGGCTAAGCTTATCTCGTTCTTGCACAGGCGTCCGAGTCCGCGCTGCCCGCTCTTATCTATCCGCATGTTCATTTGACAAACGGGAAAGCAATTCCCCTTGAGTAAGGGCATGTTTGGAGCCCGCGGTAACAGCGTTTCAAATTGACTCTGGAGGTCATGCTCTTGGAGATGCGAACATTATTGCGAGTCAGTTTTAGGAAGCCACAATACCGAGTACTGGGGTCTCATTTTTTCACTACAGCGAAATGACGAGACCCCCTTAGTAGCTAATCAAGGCTACAGTGTTTGTGCCGTAGGAAATCATGCAGGCAAAAAATGGTATATTGCTTTAAAAAATTGAAAAAGCCGCGTCATGCTGCGAGATCGTGAGATATAGGCCGTACGGCCCGTAAACTAAAGGGTCGGGGTTATCCCAGAGCCGTCTGAGTAGTTCAATAGTCCTGATGTTATGGTTCATGCGGTATCTTGACTCGCGTAGAGCCTTGGAAAGAGTTTCCTGCTGTTGTTTTTGGATGGTGCAAGACCCAGAAATGATAACGGGCCACAGGAGTGTAGCGGACCATTGAGAACAGTCCAGATCCAATCCAATGTCATGAATGACATCGAGGTGGCTCTGAAACTGGCAGACAATCTTTGGGTTCAGTATTGACGACCCCTCCATCGCTGCGATCAAGTATATTTCGATGCCTAACTGAAGGATCTTGCTAACCTTGCTTAGGCCCCCTTCACAGTAGTCACTTGACGATGAAGAACCTGGGTCCTGTTGGCGGAGCTTCCAGTCTTCGAGACAAAGCTGAAGTTTTTCATGGAGCTCAACACTAACAGATGTGGGTTCAAGAATCCCGGACTCTTGCTCCATCAGCCGCTGACTGAACAGCAGTGATGTCTGAGGTATGAGCGCAAAGAGATCATGGAGGCCGGCAAACATTGTTCCAAAAGTGCTGTAGACAGCGAGACTGCTAGGCGAGGTGATGAAAGAGTCGAGCGAGAACATGCGCTCCTGGAGAAGGCCGTACGGAGTGAGGCAGTTTGCAACGGTGAGGTACGCGTACAGCTCGAGGCCAAGCCCGAAATGAGTCGCTGAATCGAGACCTAAAGGTTCCGTAGACTGGCGGCTCTGTATTTCGACGATGATCTCTCGACTCGCGGAGAGATGGCAAAATATCGCGCCTTTGTTGCTGCCCGAAATAGCCTGAATCCATTGGAAGAGGCGAGTTAAGCAAAGGAGAACGTGGCGAGGGACAATAGTTCAAACACCAACCTCGAAGTGACACAGCATCACGAGAACCAGCAGCAACCTGGCCAACTTGTTCACACAGGTGGTCTTGAGTTCCGAGACCTCGACAAGGATTTGACGGACCAAGGTACTATAATGGTCCAGGGTTGCCTCCTGAATAGTCCCTGGGGATGCGTTTCTGAAGTTCATGTGTGCTCCGCTCACGGCCAAGACGCTGTGCATGACCATGTCGTCCACTGAGGCAATGGGGATAAATTCCCTAAGAAAGGCGTTTTCCCTAAGGGGCATCGGAAGCATAGTTGCAGTTGTCGTGACGTAATGCTGTAAGAGGAGGGGAGACGCTTGTGACAACGTACACGGCCGCCTCGAGTCCAAGAAGGATCCCAGTGATGCGTTCCAGATGCTAGCCCCGATAGACACGTCGGTTGGCCATGGTGGCGAATCACCTCTACCGGATAGCGGCCCCTCGTCTGGGCTGGCAATAGTACCGTCGGAGAGGCGCGGAGACGCTGCAGCTGTCTCGTTCTGATCTGCCTGCCAAGTGCAGTTGAGGTTGTTCCGCCTGCAGCCGAGGCATCTTGGCCTTTCCTCGCCGCACTTCTTCTTCCGATGGCGGCAGTTGAGACAGCCGTTTCTGGACCGCTTGAACTGTCTTGACCGTCCAATGTAGGGCCTTGTAGTGCCCCGGGTGATGGTCTGGTTGCCGCAATTAGCAGCCGGCTGGGACATTATGTTGGACCCGCATGAGGGAAGCAAGTCGATGGGATGTGAACAGATGGTCAGGCGAGAAGCGAGGCAATAGGAAAGCGGGGGAGTCGTCCAAGGATGGCAGCGGCAAGACGTTTTTTATCTAGCCGCGATCAAGCGCTTAGAGATTACAGGGATCAAGGGCCTCATGTGATGCCGTCGTCTTCCTCTGTCATGTGTGCTCCCTTTATATCGAGTGTGGGCGTCAAACCTTTGGTGGTGAAGCGCGACTCCGTAGCCGTCTCCGCGGACCCCGAAGCCGACGCGGAAGCCGCCTCATATTCAGCCCCCTGCATCTTTCCCCGCATTTCCAACCAAAAGTCCGGGGAATTATCCGCATGTGAAAGATCTAATTCAGGTGCGCGTTTCTGTTGCTCTTGGCGGTTTGTTTGTCAGCGTCGAACCGAACTGGTCAGGAGACACATATATAAGTGCTCCGTGCTGTTCCGAAGTTGGAGATGTAGACTCAGACGCCTACCTACGATTCACCATCGCTTAGTGCCATCGGATCCATTTTAAACTTGTATTTCCAGCGCATGAGCCACTGTTTAGTGCCTGCAGCAACTGACAAGCCAGCGAAACCACTTTAGATCGCTCTCGGTCTCACCCGATAGCATCTAGTCATGTCAGGTCAAGGAGAAAAGGGCTTCGGCTCGCATCACAAAAAGGTCATTATTATTGGAGGAGGATTTGGTGGCATTGCTATGGCGTGCCAATTGAAGAGAATGCTGGGCTGCACCGACTTCTATGTGCTGGAACGTCAATCCGGCATAGGAGGCACCTGGTGGATCAACACCTACCCAGGCATAGCCTGTGACATGTGAGACTTTCCCTTAGCCACTCGAGTCATATCATGAGGCACTGCTCACAATAGCATCAGTCCTTCGGCCTTTTATTCTCTCTCCTTCCTCCAGAAACCGGATTGGTCGACCTTTGCACCAGGAAAGGAGATTTGCAAGTATCTTGAGATGACAGTCGACCATTTCAAACTGAGGGACAAGATCCACCTGGATACCGAAGTAGTTTCATGCAAATGGAACACCAAAACCAGCCTGTGGGAGGTTACATCTCGCCAGCTGTTTCCAGGCCTCGGTGATCTCTCCGCCGCAGAACGAAAACACATTCTAGAAACAAAAGGCCCTTCATCAGTCTATTTGAGCCAGACGACATGGACATGCACGGTTCTTGTGAGTGCTGTCGGGGGTCTTGTTGAGCCCGCTCCATGGCCCGCCGATGTTCCTGGCAAGGACACGTTTCAAGGGAAAATCATCCACTCGGCAAGATGGGACTCCGAGGCTGACTTCCGCGGCAAGAAGGTCGTCGTCGTGGGGACTGGATGCAGCGCTGCTCAGCTGGTTCCGCGACTGCTCTCGAGCGAATACGGTGCCAGTCACGTCACGCAGCTAATGAGAGAGCCTCCTTGGGTGCTACCCCGTGTTACGCCTCCTTTGGGTAATAACTTCTACGAAAGATGGAGTCCACTGCTCTGCTCGTACGTGCCCGGCTACATGCGAGCTTTCAGAGCCCTAGTGACCCTGGTCACTGAGCTTGACTTTCAGATCTTTGGTGCGAGTCGTTTCAGCAAGTAGAAGAGGTACAATCTTGAACAGCGCCTTCTTCAACACATGAAAGCAACGGTTCCGAGTAAAGTAAGCGGTTCAGCCCCTATCCCAGAGCCTCGCTGATCAGAGTCTACTAGTACCATGAAATGTTGACGCCGCATTACTCCATTGGTTGCAAGCGGCGTATTTATGACACTGAATGGTTCCCTTGTCTACATGACCCGCGGATTGAGCTTACAACTCTAGCCATGGAAAGTGTTGATAAGAATGGCGTAACTCTGCGTCCGGGTCCAAAAACCCATCTGAAAGAGAAGAATCTTGAGCCTCGCACCGTTCCCGCGGACATTATCGTGCTTGCAAACGGTTTTGCCGTCAACCGATGGTTTCATCCTCTTGAGGTTGTGGGAAGCAAGGGGACGACCTTGCAAGAGGAGTTTGACGAACGGGGAGGTCCACAACTGTATCGTGGCACAGCTCTTAACGGGTTCCCTAACATGTTTATTCTCTTCGGGCCCAACAGCTTTACGGGACACAGCAGCGTCGTGCTTGGCCTCGAAAACCAAGTAGGCCATGCCATCAGGCTGATGCGCCCTGTTCTTGCTGGAGAAGCCGAGACAGTGGAGGTGAAAAGGTCCGCGACCGTCAAGTACAATGCCGAGGTCCAGTCGGCCTTGAAGAAGACAGTATGGAACAGCGGTGGCTGCTCCAACTGGTATGTGGGATCAGAAGGACGCAATTCCATATCATACCCGTAAGTAAAATTGGCAGGCGGCTATGTGCATATCTCTGACTGAATTATTCTCTAGGTACTCTATGGCCTACCAGACCATTCGTTTCATGTTTCCTACGTGGTCTGACTGGGAATTTAGTTGGACTCGAAAACGCCAAAGAGTGGGATGGCCGACCTTCATTTGTGCTTGTTTGGTTTTGGCGCTGGCCGTAACGGCTAGAGGTGCCTATAACACATACACGATCCACACACATGTTTAAGGTCATCAAATGGTCACATAAGCTATCCAACGTTACTATTCGCGGCAAGTATGCATACCCATTATGGCTGGTCTTCTGACTACCTCTTTTTTGTCTTGAGTATTTGAAAGCTTTAGCATAAGGCCCAAGCCTTTGCAACCACGTTTCACTGGGCTCTTGCAGGAAACGTAGAATGTACTCTGTGACCACTTTGGACCTCCGTCAGGCGGTATACGCACACTTGCATAATTTCCAGTTATCCGGATACCCAATTGGCTGCTGCCAGTCTATCAGGCTATGGCGCGAGAAGAAAGTGAGCACTTTGAGACTATGATGTTGCTCGGATGAAGATTGGAGGGAGAGGAAACAGCGGAGTTATTAGTTGAGGCTATTTCGGACACATAAACTCATATTTTGAGAAGTGACGGTGGGCTCCGTAAAGAACGAAAGAATTTAGAGACTTCTTTCTATTTCTGCCTGCAGCCAACCCGGTACAACAGGGGGGCTCGTCCACCCATCCAAGAAAGCCTCCTTCGGCCCAGTGGGTTTGGCGTATACACCCGTTACATAACGACCAACCTCGCCTTTCTTCAATGAGTGCTGTAGAGTTGGGATGGTGGTTCTACTCTCAATGAGAAGTTTGTGTATGTCTTGGCATGGTTCAAACCAAGCCACTCAATTTCTAGTTTTATCTCTTGATGTTATGTTGGATGAAATTGGGTCACCTTGACATACAACGGGAATTTAGATGACGTCAATTTCCTTGACTGGGTATAGAATCTCGATGAAACCATTTCAACTACCCTACACTGAATTATAGTCCCAATTCCACGATTTGCACATCCCCCAAGTAACCTTACTTTCCACACTTGCCGCTTTGTGACTGTCAATATGTTCGGTATCGCAAGGATTGTAAAACGTATCACATTAAGATCAGCAACTTTGCGATTATGTCTAAATAGTTTAATTGTGGCGGGATAATCTGATGCTTCATCATTTAGAGGTGGGGAACCGAAAACAAGACCGAAACCGAAACCAGGACCGAGACCGAGACCGGCACCGAAGACTTCATTGCCTATCGAATTGACTGATAATAATAGAACCCAGAAGCATTACGATTCAGAAGGTGGCTGGCGACTGGGCTGCAGCAGCATAGCCAGCCTCGAACATCATTTATACAACGCCTTGAGCACTGAAATACATTGTTTGTGATCTTCGTCCAACAACAATGGGAGGTCAAGCCGGTCTGAAATGCCTCCAATGGATGCTCAGAGGTGTGCAGCTCTGCGCAGCCGCTCTCATCCTCGCTGTTTACACCTATTTTCTCGCAACCCTCGCTGCTTATCGCTTCCACATCAGCACGAAGATTCGGGCCGTGGAGGGCATATCCGGTAGCGCGATGCTCTACTGCCTCCTTGGTCTGCTTCTCATTTGTTGCATCGGTGGCAATCCTATGGCGTCATTCATCGCGGTGATATTGGATGTGGCCTTCATGGCTTGCTTTATTTATCTCGCCGTTGCCAACAAACATGGCGCTGGGAGTTGCAGGGGCGAGGTCAACACACCCTACGGGATCGGATTGGCAAAGTCAAAGGTCAAGGGAAAGAAGGGGGGGTCCTTAGTATTGCCATCTTATCGAGTTGCGTGTCAACTACAGAAGGCTTGTCTAGCTGCAGCTATTATCATGATGTAAGTATGGCACCTCAGGATAGTTTCGTTAACTGCTTGACTCCCTCACATTCTCAAATTTACCGTTAGCTGACGACCCGCGCAGAATACTCCTTCTCATCTCAATGATCATCAACTTTGCCCTCGCGCGCAGCCACTACGAGAAAAGTCGCACCGAAAACAAAGGCTATGGCTATGGGGAAGGAAACGGATTCTTGGGCCGTACGAATCCGGACGGCCAATCGGAAATGGTGCCCGATGATCTACCTCCGCATACTCAACTTGACGAGATGAGGGATAGTTTCAGTCCTAGCATTTCTAGCCATACGAGGATGAATGGCTATGGGATATCTGATGATTACGAACTACATCCTCGGGTTCCTAATCCCCCATACCCAGTATGAGTTTAACATTTTTGAGAAGCTAAATAGACTTGAAAGTAAATCGAGTTTAATTATAACGGGTTTTGAATCCTATTAATAGCCCTAGTAATTTCTCAGATCACCCTCGGTAAACCTTGCACGAATTCTGCTAGCTACGAACTAATTTACAATTCATTACTCCCAACGTGAATCTCCGGCAGTTAAATGATCCTGAAATCGAAGAACATGCACCTGCCCATCCTCGGCTCCAATTGCAACAGTCGATCCCATGAATGCGACTTCCTCTCCAGGATAGATTTTCGGGTGCTCCTCAGGGCGATACTCTGGTGGTAAATAGAGTAGCCTTTGGTTGTCTTTCATGACCCAGACACGGTCCCGGCTTAGTGTGTAGCCTCGGAAGAAAACACTCCCTCGAGCCTCGAGCCAAGGTCCGGCACTCATAGTCTGGTAGCGAGCATACCTATCCCTTGTAGAGTGGCTGTCACTCACAGAGCCACCAATAGTAGTGTTATTGGCCACGACAGTCAACTCGGACAAGTCCACAACGCCGCCGTCGACCCAGAGCTGGGTGTTGTCCGCATCGAAGCGACATGTTTTAGTTTTGTGGGGGATGCCGACGCGCAGTGGAGACGCTGTGGTGTGTTCTAGGTGCCAGATCCAGACCGTGTCGCTCACGGCAAGAGCGAGTACCCTATCGTCGGGTGACATAGCGAGGAACTCCGACCTGGAAAACTTCTCACGCGTCCAATCTAGTCGACAACGTGGCTCGGGGGCTCCCAGCGGCCAAATATAGATGGCGGTATCGGTAGCCACAATCAATGACTTGGAGTCTGTGGAGAAGGCGATGGATGTAAGTATGAATTCGAACTCTCCCTTGAGGATCTCCTTCTCAAAGTCCAAAGTATGGAGGCGATGAAGCTGAGACACGGCCCAAACCTCGATGTGCGCGCGACGCGGCTTAAATGAGTAGCCAGCTATTGCCAGAGTGTTGCCGTCAGGCGAAAAAGCCACCTTTTGGGCGAACTGGGGGATTGTATCTATAACGCACTGCGCTGCAAAATCCCAAAGGCACACTCCCTCCTCACCAAGCGTCAGGGCGAGTCGCCGGCCATCCGGAGAGAAACTTGGGGTCCCAGAAAGGCCCGAAAACTGCTCGACAGATAAGGCACCATCGGCCGTAGCCCACACATAAACATGGCCGTCCCACGTGTGACACACTAGACGGCGGGCGTCGGGGGAGAAGACGAGGTCTCGGAGGTATGGCATAGGAAATGTGTGAGCGCATATGACATTTCCGCCTTGCACGTTCCAGATCTTGATGACATCCTTTGACGACGTCGCGAACAATGGGGCATTGGCGGTATTTGGCGAGAAAGTAATCTCGAAAACTGGATTGCGGCGTGTTTTAGGAATATCATCAACGACGGTGGGGGAAGTTCGCCTCGTCAGGTCCCATATTTTGATTGTTGAGCCCCCGGCCCATGCCACGAGATGACTACTGGTGGAGAGGGTGTAACAGACCCCATCTCGCCGTAACAGCCTGAATTTCTTCAGTTCCGATTGATTCTTCTTGATGAACACTTTCTGACCACAAGATGTTCCTGTATCATCGCAGACTTGGATCTTCCCATCGTAGGTCCAAGATAAGAAGCTTAGGCCGGTGCCGAGCCACGTCATTGTGCCGATTTGAGGGTGGCAAGGAAAAGTGCGAATCAAGGAGCCATCTCTGACTGTCCGGATGACGATAGTATCGTCGTCACAACGCACGGCTATCTGGTCGTTCCCGAAGAAGGCAACATAACCTGCGGCGACTTCGACTGTCCAGACTGGCTTGTCGCTACCGACTCGCCACATGGCGACCCGGTCCTTCGTCAACCGCGCCGCCAGGTGGAGGCTGTCGGGCGAGAATCCCAACATCAACACATCGGCAATGACTTGTATGGACTCTGCCGTGGCAAACCGAAGGATTGTGGTAGTGCTATCATGCAGGGTGAGGGCCACGAATTGGCATTCTCGCGAGAAGACGGCATGGAGTACGTCGGCATTGTGGACGAAACTGCCAACACAGCGCCCTGAATCAACCTCCAGATGTTGGACCCTGCCACTCGATAAAACGACGACCAACTTGTGTCCTTCTGGAGAAAACCCCACCTGGACCATGAAGTCATCTACACGAAAGGACTGGATGCGGTGGCTCGCCAGTACATCCCAGATCTCGACGGTACTTCTGGATATGCCGCTTTCCATAGTGCCTTCTGGGGATCCGGTAGCAAGCCACCGGCCATCAGGGGAAAATGCCATACACATAGAATGATAATTGAATGGGAGTTCCTGGATCAGTTGCGACCATGTCGCCCCGACCATCCGAGGATATAACGTCGGATTGTCTGGCCCCTCCTTGTAGTGGCGCTTGATTTTGCTATCTGTTGGCCAAAACACAAGCGCAGACACATAAACCTGCAAAGGGGCCGTCTCAATGGCGACTTTATTATAGAGAATGAAACGGCGAGCCTCTTCCACTAGCTTGCTGACTTCGTGAGACTCCGGTTTTAGCTATCACCGTATTATTTCTGGTGGTTCAGTCATATTGGAGATGATTACGTACCCTGTAAAACTTGTCCAGCTGTTGCAAGGCTATCGTCCCCTTACGCATGCTCTCCAATAAGCCCATTGCCTCAAGCCAGTGCAGAAGATCACTGCAGAGGAAAGAGCGGATGGCCTCGTCGTCTGATACCTTCCAAACTCTGTTCTCTTGGAGCCAGCCCGCATGGTCATGCCAATGAAGACAGCTGTACCGGATATGTGACAGAGGGTCCGGTTCTGGGCGCTTGATCTCATTGATAGTCACGCCAGGGGAGGAAAGCTTGTATATGTTCTGCTTGAGCTCCTTGACGTTGTTCAAGGCCTGCCCAAAGACAAGGCGGTGATAGTCCAGAATTCCTCCCTGGGTTCCTCCCGGAAACACCTTGTCCAGGGCCATATTCGACAAATACTCTCGGGCTGACTGATGGATAAAGCTCAACACACCACTCCCACCGTCGCCCTGCACGGCTAAGGAGGAGCCGCAGTTGGCCACGACCTCCCGGAGCTCGGTATCGTTTAACTTCCGGAGTGCTGGCACGAGGCCACGCAGCTCGTCCAGTGTCAGTGGGCGAGCCACAACGCAGACCAGTGGGAGGATCTCGCGACACCGGGGACCATCGGGTGACGCAAAGGCACCATCTAGCATGCGCTCGTATAACCCGTTGAGCCCCTCTGGCATCGCACCTAGCGTTTCCTTAACATGCCGAGGTTTGACGCCCGGCCTGTTGAGCGCGAGGCATACGAGAGCCACCCACAGAAACGTGTCGCTGGCCTTGGAGGACAAGGTGGTATACACGTCGTTCCGAAGGTCCTTGTCGTATCCATTTGTTTTGGCCAACGCTTCGACTTTGTGCTCGACAAAAGCCTGGACGGCGGCAGAGACGATGTCCTTGCTCAGGTCCATGTATGAGGGCGTCATATCGGGCGCTGTACTCGCCAATACGCTGCTGTAATTGGAGACGGTACGACTGGAGACAATCCACTGTGCCGGATAGCTACTGGAGAGCCGGCCAATTGCCTTGATGAGGATGCTGATGCTGTCGTTATCGCACTCATCGATGGCGTCGACGACAATGATGGCGCGGCCCATGCTAGGCTCATCCAAAACCTTGGCGAGCATCTTCTCCAGGGCCACACACACCATAGCATCGTCATCCTCAAACAACTTTCTGCTCTGGTTCTCGTATTCTTCGCGGAGGCGGCGTGCGATGCCCCAGCTCTGCTGGCAGATGAGCCAGAGCAATCCCCGGAGCACCGATTTAGCCGTCCTTGCCTTATGTCGATCAGACCGGCAGAAAAAGTAGGTGATCACCCTGAACTCCTTTTCTTGGAGGAAAAGATCGATGACGCCGCACAAGAACATGGTCTTGCCCCTTCCCGGGTCGGCCGTGATCCATATGAGACGACCGTCAGCATCGGCTTGCACCTTTTTAAAGTTGCTTTGCTCAAGCACCAAGTCATGAGCTTCTTTGACTAGGCCGCCCTTGAGGTCTACAATTGCAGATTTTTCCAGCCTGGGGTCGATATCGTACAAGTCATTCAGAAACTCCTTGTCCTTGTCTTCTTCGTGGCGATTGCTTTGCTCGAGTCCGAGGTCCTGTACCGCCGTTGTAAGAGCCTGCAAGTCTGTCCGGACGTCCTTGAGACATTTGTCGATACTGCGAAATCTGGCGCTCATATCCTCATCTCGGAACTGGCCGACGGTTTTCCTCACATGCTCCGCCGCCTTCTCTATTGACGTGATCTGCGCCTTCCAGTCGTCTAGCTTGACCAGGTCTCGCATGACAACGGCAGTCTCAGAGCGGCTGTAAAGGCAAACGCTCTGCATCTGATAGAGTAGCAGCTTCTTGTAAAGTTTTACTACGCTCCTCGCAAGACTTTTCTGCAGCACCGTGAGAGACTCGTCGACCTTTTCTGGGTCAAGTACCAATACCGAGAGGTTCCAATACCACTCGGCACGCTCTAGGATGTACTTGATGCCCTCGCGATTGGCCCCAGGCTCGGATAAGGGTGAAACCAAAACCTGAAAGGCAATTAGCGGCCGAGAAGCGTCTTATGTGGATAGGATAGGGTAGCATACATCGAGCAGCGTTGTAATACCAACCCAGGCCGTGGAAGCGGCGGGCTCGCTCTTAACGGCCCAAGAAATAACGCTTCGTAGATGATTGAACGGTTCGATCACCTTGTTGATATTTTCTTTGACGGCTGCAACTTTCTCGGTCCTGACTAGGCCCTCGTCGACTAGTTTCTTCATCTGGTCCCTTCTCATGGCCGCCGTCTTCTCGATGATATTGTCGGGATCGCCCTCGACGTCCGTGGCCGCCACACCGCTCGACAGCTGGCCGGAGAGTATTTTTTCGTACGCGTCGACGATGCCGGGCTCATCTTTCTTGACCTCGTCGTAGGCTTGGTCGAAGACTTCCACTTGCATGCGTGTGACTTTCTCTGGGGGCGGCAGCACTTCGTCCGGAGGCGCTGATGATTGATCTGGAGGTAATGGCGCTCCGTCTCGAGGCGACAGTGCTTCGTTCGGAGGCAATGACGGATCGCCATCCGACGCAGCAGCGGGTGCCTGCGAGGCTGCGGCCCTGACGGTCGGGGATGGCGAAGTTGTTCTTGAAGTTGTGAAAAGCTTGCGAGCTTTGTCTTTGAGTCTGTCCATGATGATAGCCGAGTCTAGTTGCTTCGCGGAAACCGGTAACTCAGACCCTGAGTATGTCGCAGGATGGAAAGAATGATGCGTAAAGGAGAGAAGTAGGACAGACAAACGCGGCGGGATATTTGCAACCCCTCTTTCTGCGGCTGGATTCTTGTGTAACCTGCGGGTTATCTAAGCCTCCGGCTGAAGGCCCAACCTGTTGTGCTGGAGAGCTGGTATTGCAGCCTATATATACGTTGGGTGTATATCTTCAGATTTCGAAAGTCTGGAAATTGTTCCGTGAACATTTACCCCTATAGAAGTTTTAGAATTCAATATCTTTTCTTTTATGTTTTATATTGCTCTATGAAATTCGTCACGGCCCGAATTGCAGGCTACAATGTCGTCCAACAACTGAATGCCGCCCCACTTGTTTCCTCTTGTCCCATCTAGATCACGACGAATCACCTACAATAATAGGTGAGCCAGTAATACTCCCGGCCTGGATCAGGACTTGCTTACTTGATTCTATCTATGAGACCTGGTGAACCTCCGCGGGTTTTTACAATACAAATACACTTCAATAACACATTGATAGAACGCTGACCTAACTCAACTATCAACACACTTAGCGACCTAGGCTGTCTTTCCTAAAATCTCTCTGTCGTCAACAAACCCCGTTTGTCAACTTCTTTAGGACTTGAATTATGGTTGATTTGAATTCATGGTGCAAACAAGGAGGGGAAAAAAAATAGGAAAAGAAACCAAATTCGAGACTAGGTAGACTCAAACAAACTTACTTCACATAGTCTAAGCATGTTATCACGGTCAACAAATTCTCCACTGATGATTTATCCACTGCATTTGCATTATCGCTACACGGGAGGTAGTTTTTAGCGATTATAATATAGTTTTCCAAACCAATCTCGGCCACTATAACGACCCGTGCCGCAACCAGCCCTCCACCCCTCCAGTATCCAACCGGTCCAGGAACAACATGCGCAAGCAGCAACAAGGTTTTGGATCAACCTCCGGACCCTTCCCAGGACACAGTCATTGGCTACACTGAAAGTGAAAGTGTGTCGCCGATTTGCGCCGTGAATGCAGAGGATTGCTCAGGCACAAGGGGGGACAACTACTGAATAAATAGGGATCATCTATAAATACACAGTACTACCAATATGGAGAAACCGCACACTGATTTGGTGCAATCCTGCCCGGGAGAAAGCAGTAGAAGCATAAGAAAGGGTACATGGCATAATTATTGCTAACTACTCCTTACAGAGAGGGGCTATAGCAGGCATGGGAGGTATCGTATACTCCAATACTAATAGAATAAGATAGAAAATCTCATATTCTTTTTAGAAGGAAACGCAGTATGTAACGGGGATATATAGGCGCTAAATATACAGGTAGCACAGGCAACAATCAAATTCGCTATTGCAACAGAGAGACTTAGCATAAACTAGAAGCCGTAAGTACACCAACTATTTAGCTTAAATCCCAGTAATATTATTCAGTCTCATTTTAACAAACTTTTACTTCAGCTGCTAAAGATAGAATACCAAACGCATAAAGAAATTGGCCTTCAAGTAAGCTTCTCATAGTATATTTGCCAGATTGGACTAGTCAGTAAAAAGTGAAATTGTAGAGCTTCAGGTGATTATGGAAAAACTCTACGGAGTACGAAACGTAGATAGCTTAGCGCAATAGCCATATAGGGTATGTCGCCCTGGGCGGAACAATCCAATCCCATAATCATCATCTTATTGAACATCAAGAATCTGATGATATGAATTAATCCGCCTGCGAGCCCAACGCGAGTCTTTCTGTGACCTCTGGGAAAATTCTGGTCCCACCGCATCCGGCCCACGCCGCTTTTCCACTCACAACCCTAGGTTCCTGGTAATCAGAGGACGTGGTAACCAGGATGTGCGGTGTTTTTTTATATTTTTTCCCTCTTCTCGTGGTTAAATTACTACACTTCACCCGCTGCATGTCTCTAAATGGCAAATTGGCCGTTCATTGTCCGGGTTGAGACGTTTCCCCGGAATTAGTACCCCGCAACCTCCCCGGAGCCCACGCATAACTCTTGCGTCCTCCGGTGGGGGACGGAATCTTGGCGAGGGCGAAGAAGCTTAGGAAGAAGAGTAGGGATTAGCTATAAGGTAGTCTATGGAGCTCATGGCAGTACGTAGTTGGACTGCTGTTACGGAGAACAGACAATACTGCCCCTGTCAGTGCGTGCTTCACCTCCACCTCTACGTCGGCCAAGCCCGGCGGGGTAGCAAGAGAAGTTGTCTAGGTCTGAGGTTGACTGAACGTCGTACTGACAGACATTCGGAGCATCTGACATAGACTCTTGGTGTTAGAATGGAATGGTGCTAGCCTTGCTTTGCTTACTCTGCCCACCGGCATCTTGTAAGGCTCGGGTGTTTTCATCTGCCTTTTGACTGTACTGGCGGCGGACATATATAAGCCGTTCACCAGAATCACTACTCTTCGTTTCATCTTTTAGAGATGACCAGCACTCACAACCTCGTCTTCACATCCATCACCAGCAACCGCAGCCACCATGAAATCAAGTATCGCCAACGTCGCCGCTTTTTTGCTGGCTGTCTCCAAGGCAGCTATTCTGCCCAAGCGAGACGTACAGGGTACAGCGACTGTTAATCTCGCAGTATCTAACGATGTTGCGGATGCCCTTGGGTCTGGATTCATCTATGGCTTCCCTGACAATGGTACAAGCGTTTCTACCGCCATCCCTGATCATTTCCTCACGGACATCCGTTTCCAAACTGGCCGCGCAGGAGGCGCACAGACCGACTCTGATGGATGGATGAATTCTGGAAGGGCTGGATATACTGGCCGGTTCGATTCCACCCTCTCCAACTACCGGACTGCGCGAAAGTTCGGTGCTCAATTCATTATGCTGCCTCACGATATGTGGGGTGCTCAAGGCGGAATGTCGGAAACTGATCTCCATCCCGGCGACAACGGTGACTGGACCGAGATGGAACGCTTCCTTGACCAACTCATATCCGATATGCAAGCAAACGATATGCTGGATGGTGTTATCATCGATCTCTGGAACGAGCCGGATCTGGATGGGTTTTGGCATCGATCTTGGGACCAATATCTCGAGTACATTGGGCGTGCCCACAAGATTTTCAAGTGAGTCCTCAGACCTTATCACTCTTGATTGATTACCGACCTAATTTTCGTCTATAGGGCTCAGCTTCCATGGAATTCCATCAGTGGACCGTCTTCAGCTCACTCGCCTCATTTCGACAATGAGAAGTGGCAAGCCTAGTGCTCCTACATCAAGGCCAACGACACAGTTCCAGACATCTATTCATGGCACCAGATTGGAGCCTGGGAGCGCGAGCCTGACACGACGATCCCCGCCCTGAACCAATTGAAAGAGGAGTACGACTTGCCTTGGCGGCCAGTTCATGTCAATGAATACGCGTGGCCAGACGAGAAGCAACCCGCCACCTCAGCTTGGTATATCTCTCAACTCGAGCGTCATGACATCAGAGGTCTTCGTGCCAATTGGGAGGGTGGTTCAAACCTGCACAATTTCATGGGAAACCTCATTGCCAACAACGGCGAGTACTACTACCCTAATGGAGACTACCGCCTTTATGAGTACTACGGATACATGAAGGGTACACGGGCCGCAACCACCGCTTCTTCAGATCTGCTTTTCGATGTTTTCGCGGTCAAGGGAGACTTTGTCAAGATTATTGCAGGTACAAGGCTGACAACTAACACATACAACATTTCTATCACTGGGCTGGACAGCGTCGGCTTTCCGCAGTCTGGCAATATAGGCGTCCGCACCCTGCGCTTCGACTGGGCTGGCACGACTGGCGAGGTTGGGCCTCCAGTGGATCTCGGCGTTCAAGTTTACGCGTACTCCAATGGCCAGGTAAGTCGGCTAGTTTTCATGAGTCGATCGATATGTGCTAACAGTTATCAAGTTGACTTTGACCGTTAATCCCCCGGACACCAATACTGCATATGCTTTTGAGTTCTAAGTTGAAATGAGACGTGTCTTACGTACAACGACAGACCATTCATATATTCTCCCAAATAGCCGTCAGCGCTGAGGTGCTTTTCTAGAGAGCCAGGTATAGTAGGTCAGTCGGGTTCTAGGGTGGATTCCAAGATGTCAATAACAAGTGTAGATGGAGACATGAGCCTGGATGGAAATGTTAGAGGGACATCTGATACAGTGCGGAGATCCGCTTTGTAAAATACCTCGAACACCCGCGAAGTTGGCAAACCAAGGGTCCCTCTATTGGAATAAGTCCGATTGTGATATGTAGCTCGTTCCGTATGAAACCTGGTTTGGCCTCGTGCGCCGGTGGGGGAGCGAATATCACTCTGTCAAATATTAGGCTATATGCGCTATTTGCAGGATCGATATCCTCGCCAATCATAATCGGCCATACTTCCCCGTGACTATAATAAAATGCTCTAGATTTTGTCTGGAGAGTCACAATGCAACATAAACTTGCCGCGTTGATATCGAGGAGCCCCAGCTCGGACACGAACACCGCTTGCGCCATCAAGTACTATTCCTGTTGCATTCAAGGTGGAGAATCAAGGTCATACGTTGCAGTTAGTTCTAGTTGCTTCGATTGTGCTTAACTCCAGTGGAGTATTAAGGTCGCGAAATACTCCGGGTTGTTTTGATTAATGTGGCGGACGCCGGCGGGGTATCGAGGCCTGGAGTTGCACCCAGTTGTTGATCTCGCTAACTCCAGTGGAGAACCAAGCAATAAGGGGTTGCTTGGCCCTGCACCAAAGGTCAAAACAGGTCAAAATCCCGGGGTTATGCTGCGGCCAAATTTGGATGATCCCATTGTTACATCAACTAGATGCCAGTAGCCTTATTCGTCACATGGTCATGATATGGGTTGCTGTTACATCTAGCAGATGGAAATAATCATATACTCTCGGCCGGCATGATAATCTGACAAAGAGACATATAGTATCTAAAGGCCAAGATATATGTTTCTGCCTCCCTCAACTAAGCACTCCTCAATGTTCCTAATAACTCAATCCATCATTCTAGGATGAATAATAGTAGAAATGGATAAGCTTTGAAGGGTCTCCCCTCAATCTGCACCATCCTTCCATACTCTCTTTGCCTTTCCTAGCTACGACTGTAAGACCTCTCCCAGGCAGGCATTGTCTGCCGCCTAAACCAGGAACCGTCTCAGTTATCCATTTTCCTTGAGTTTTTGTCCAGTAGGCATGCTTGAGCATGCCCTCTCTGTTCGTCCAAAACACCTCTTGATGCTGGCTATGCATAGATACAGCTGCGATAGCTCCCGGGATGGCCTCGTCGTCTGATATTTTACTGAACTTCCAAGTAGGGGAATCGGCTTTCCAATATCCCTGCCAGATCTTGTTATCTTGGCCAACGTAGAAGAAGTTCATATTGCTGCCTTCGTTCGTGGCTGATGAGCGCTGGAGGGTAACAATCGAGGAGGCTGTATTAGCGTTTGCGGCCTTGTCGATGTTTGACCGAGTCCAGCCGGATGAAGGAGTCCAGTACCGACTTTCTAGGACCCCCAAGGCTGTAATCCAGAATATTTGCTGGTGCTCACTGTTTCGACTGTTGGATTATATGGTGTTAGTGGCAGTTCTATTTTGATAATATTTGTAGAAACGCTAGGAATGGGATCTAGGGAGATGGGTTGTAGAAAGGGGTATTTTTAACTTACCTCAAGGCTGCGATGGGATCCAAGCTCTTCGTTGAGACTCCTCCCCAATCTGGCCCAGAAAGCACCTGGTTTGGATTCCACCCACTGCCGGCGTCGGAAGAATATGTGTGTATAACATATCCCTGACGACTCCCTGTTCCCGGGTAGAAGAGCTCTATGGTGTTGGAAAAGGAAACTGATGCGATGCCAGCGTGAGGTGGAATCGGCGTCGACAGTTGGTCAATCCCACGTTGCCACTTTCCCTTTGGGCCATCTCGACGTATGCTGCGTATTCTCACCTGATCTTTGTCCACATAAAAGAGTTCTTCGTGACCCGGAAAATTGGAGATGCTTGCAATCCCGCCATTCGCGTTCTGACCGAGTAAATTTGACGTCCAATTTTCGCCTTCGCACCAGTGATGAGTGATCACGTTCTGTGGCTCTGCGATGCCTGCGACACCCATGACGTAGAAGAGTGAGATGCAGTTGGGGCTGGGGCTGATTGAACTCAGGCGAGTAAGCTCAATCGCCTGAGCTCCTGCGAGTCGCGGGTAAACGTCCCAGGTTTCGACAACCCAGCCCCTGGCACGCGCATGAAGTTCTCCATTGTCTGTAGAATACGGTCTTTGCTTAGTATGACTCGTACTCGAGAAGAGAAAATGATTGATCCTTTTTTCCTTCCAGACTTACTTCCATCAACAGAATAGGAATCTGAACTATTGGTAGGTTGCTCCAGGAAGTCGACTGGAGTAGCAAGTGCTGCTGTCGCAAGGAGACTCACAAGGGAAATAGAAAATATGGATTTCATTGTAGAGTGAAAACTGGGCGGGACCAATGAATTGCTGCCTTTCAACACTACGGTCCCCTGAGCAATGGACGGCCTCGTTCTACATATATATATGTCTGTGAACCGGCAAAAAGCGCATGGACGATAAAGCGTAGAAGTTGCAAAAGAAAAACACGCCATATAACCCTGGTACTAAGCTTAAAGCCAATGCTTAACCTTAGAATAGAATACGAAATATTCATACAGGCCGCTTACTGCAGCGCTAGCAAGGGGGATTAGCAGGGTGGATATACTTAACACGAGAAGTGCCCTGATGTCAGACGGAGGGGCGCCAGAAGGCATACCAAGTCCACAAGACCGGGTTCAGGATGGGTGACGCCCTACCACAACAACCGAAAGCGCGCATACTGACCGAGGTCGCACCGGGTTAGGGTTGCAGGCCCATCAACCCACCCACATATGCAGAGCTAGATGAAATAGTCCCTCGGGATAGGGCAGAGTCGTCCATGGTCTGACGGGAACAACACGAAGGACGGATAATATAGAGTTTTTCACCTGACTGGGGTTTATTCAGATTGGGTATTCAGCAAATGCTTGTCGATTATGGACTGGGTCTCTAGCATAACTCGGTTCGCAATCGCAAGATATCAATCTAGGGTCTTGTTTACTATGGTTTTCCCTCCAAATAAATAGCAGTGATTTATATAGCTTACTATCAGAATAGCTGGTTCAATATTACCCATAAATAAATAAATATTAGTGAAGAAGAAATCCTTTAAATACTGCTCCTTTCTTGTAAAGCTGAGACTGCTTAACATCGTGTTTTTGGACACAGCTGAAGGCACCTGCCTGCTGGCACAGCGCAGACCACGTCAGCAAGTCGAGCCCGCTTACTGTAGCGCTAGCAAGGGGGATTAACATTACCGAAGAAGAAATACATAAAAGACTGGCGCCTCGAGGCTTGTACATGGTAAGCGCTAAAGTAAACGATTCTGACGTAAGATTAGCTAGCCTTACTCAAAAAGCATTGCTGTCAAAAGTTTACGTGCTATTTTTATCCATCTGCAAAGCAAGATCGTCAATCAACACCAAGCCACCTCGGTAGGTAATGTGGAGGAGCATAAAAGCGTTGTCCCAACCTCACACCACATTTTTATAGAAGCCAATCACAGGAGTGCATGGCCAAGCTTGTTTGAGAATCATCGGTAAAAGCAGGAGGCGAAGTGGCTAGGCTAGGCCGAGCAGGAGGGAGACTGGGCATTGAACGATCTGACTGGCTTATGCTATACGAAAACCGCATTCTGCATGTAAGTATTGGCCCAAGAAGATGGACAGGATACGAAGAAGGCGAAACTAAAGGAGGCGGAATAGGAAAGGCTAACTTATGGGTTATTTGTACTTGGTCTACATAGCTATATAACCGCGAGGAACATTCTCCTCAAAGTACGAGTAGTTTACAGCCTCATAATCAGTGTCTTTAGCTCTCGAGACAAAATTCGAGATTGCAATTTCAGTGTCTTGTTCACTATGACTAAGCTTCATCTCGCCTTGCTTGGACTTGCCATCTCCGGCATTTCTGCTGCGCCACAAGGTATTGAGCCACGCCGGACAGACGATCAATACTATGGTCCGGCTCAATGTATGTTATCACCTAGTGTGATCAAATAGTCACAACACTAACGATCTAGTCTGGACCGAGGGACACTACAGAAGCAGTTACGATGGTCGGAATGGTTTTCGCCTGCACGACATCGATGTGCGAACCCAGAAATGCAGTATGGCCACATGACGAACCACCAAGCAAGTGCAAGTAATTGATATATACACTAGTGACCCACAAAGAACTCTCCACGAAAATCTGGCACCAGAACTATGTTGATAAAATCTCTTCATATTTCATTGCTTCAAATGTCGCCTGCTGGATTTTTGAGTATGCTCATCCTCTTCTCTCTGCCCGAACCTCTACCTTGCATATTGCTAACGAGCACTTTCACCCTAACAGTAATGGCGATTGTACGGGAGTATCTGCCTACGTAGGGGCGGGCTGGAATGCGGATTTGAGAAATAACGATTGGAATGACAGGATCGGGGCGATAAAGTGTCGCTATGCCTAGACTTCTACCGACTTAGGAGACACTGCCGGAGCTTTCTTGAAGGCGCTGCTGCCCAGGTGTGACAGTGCTGGCATACTGCCGATACGTCGCCGATCATACGAGGCTTTGCAGGGGTTTGTTTTACTAGTAGTAGGTATGCTTACGACTACTGACGCGAGAGGGTATGGACTGTAGTTGCGAGAGCGGAAGACTAGGATCACAACATCCTTGCTGGGGTTAGCTACAGTAGAAGATTTTAGGAGGTTTTACTGGCGCATGGACAGTGACGGGACATCATAAGCTTCAACAGTTGGATGGAACGAGAGATCCCTGTGAACTCGTGACGGCGAGACTTAACTTTCTATTTTCACTGTTTTAGAAACAATCCACTCACGCAGGCTGTTTTCCATAACCTCCTACTACGAAAAGGTTCGTTCCAATGAAACGATACATGGCGTGTCTCATCTTCTATCATAATATAGGCTTAGAAGCGCAGAAGACGTCCATAGGCGCGCTGAAACACTAATCAGCACCTGTCTTTACTATCTCTACTATAACTCGCCCCCGCCAACACTATTCTTCTCCTGCTCACTATCACGACCGCTTGACAGGGGAAACTCTGTATAGTCGCCTCGCATTGACCCGTCGGTCATCTGCAGGTGGTCCAGCCAGCACTCCACGAGTTTGAGAGAGGATGCAGGCTGGTCGTAGGGGACCTATCAACCACAGATTAGAAAACAGATCAGAAAGAAATCACCAGAGACTCACCACGTGTCCAGCCTCCTCGACTCCAACAAGCCACAGATTCGACCCTGCTTTGGCCCGGCCAGCTCGGCCGATCCATGGAAGCTCTTGCCAAGGCGCGACGCGGAAATCAGTTCTGCCTCTTCAATGCATGGTACGGAGAGCATCTAGAACGCCGTCAGCGTTGCAGATTATATCAGTCACGCCTGCGTAGACGAGGACGTCGTCAGAAGAGTAATTTTAGCAATGAAACCCCATATATTTCTGAGTCTTTTCTTGTCGCTTTAATTTCCACTGCTTCCCTAACTTAGAGCACACTAAGGCTGCATCCACAGTGTAACAACTAACAGAACAACAGCAGAAACTGGACCTGTATCTCCGTACTCCATCACTTGTAATTAGTGTGAAAATCATTACTGATCTTCCCGAAGCTCCGCAGGTTAGTAATCAGATATCCATTACTCGTACCAAAAGATGGTTAAGGTGAATGCCTGAACATCATTCCTGCTTGTTAAGCTCTTGACGATATATGATTACTGAACCCTCCGGCTTGGCTGGATGCTAATGCATCTCATAATGTCTTGGTTGCATCTTTCTACAATGCTTGTGAAACTGGGTATGGGTGAATAGTAATCATCGTTCATCATATTTACGTAAAGGCGTCCGGCAACTATAAATTACTAATCGTGACACCATTAACAGACACATGGCCTTCGGGATAGTTATTCAATTGCTACAAACAAGTGAAGCGGTGTCTACGAATTGACGGCATGGAAATAAATATAAAAAAGAACCCATAACCCCACCGGCTTAATTTCCTTTCCTCATTGTCGCGTAATAAGTCACAACTCGCAACTATTCGCCATAATCAACGACTCCAAAATGGCATCTCACACCAGCGAGGTTCCAATTGTCTTTGTGGTAGGAGGGACTGGTGCTCAGGGGATTCCTGTTATTGAGGGCCTCGTCAAGGATGGCAGTTACAAAGTCCGCTTCCTCACCCGCGACCCCGGGTCTGCGAGAGCGAAGCAACTCATTGCTCTTGGCAACACTGAACCCATTGTCGGAACTTTTGCCAGCGAGGAAGACCTCCGAAAGGGATTTCGCGGCGCCCAATACGCATTTATCAACATTGACGGGTTCAATTGCGGAGAGAAGACCGAGATATTCTGGGCTATTCGGAGTTATGAACTCGCCTTAGAGGAGGGCATTCGGTTCTTCGTGTATGGCAATCTCGATTTTGTCTACAAGAAGAGCGGATACGACCCAAAGTTCCGTACTGGCCATTACGATGGAAAAGGGCGGGTTGCCGAATGGATCCTACACCAAAACAAGGGCCCACGCAATGCAGCAAGGATGGGCGCCGCAATCTTTACCACGGGCCCATATATTGCAATGTCAATCGCAATCGGCACTCCCATGAGCCCTACGGTTGAGGATGGCGTGGTGACATGGCGTGTACCCCTAGGCGACGGTGCCGTTTGCCATGTCGATTTGGATGACTGCGGGTATTACGTGCGCTGGCTTTTTGATCATCAGGATCGAGCGAACGGGTTGGATCTCGAAGTTGGAATCGACATGGTTGCCTACGACGAAATGGCCAAGGCTTTTGAAAAGGTGACTGGGCACTCGGCGAGGTACATCGATACCGATCTAGACACATATTGGACTTCAGGCCCTTTTGGGGATGGATCGCCGAGCAGCGCGTATAACTCGGATATTAATGATCCAGCTGCGATGAACCTGCGCCAGAACTTCACTGGGTTTTGGAACATGTGGAAGGCTTCGGGCGGTAATAAAGGTGTGATCCAGCGAGACTTCAAACTTCTTGATGAGATCCACCCAAAAAGAGTCAAGTCGGCGGAGGAGTGGTTCAGACGAGAGGAAGCAAAGGGGATTGAGAAGGGCTTGGGAAACCTTTGGGATCGGGTAAACAACCTCAAGCCTGTATTGAAGATTGCAGAGGATGGCAGGAGGGGCCGTCTGTAAAGTACCCCAGTTTATCGGCGTTTTTTGTTCATCAGACATCTAAATGCTCTATATAACACTCCCTGTTGTAATCGTTATGTCTGGCGGAAGTATGCTCCTGTAGACCAATACAAGCTAGGACGCCACATATCGCGGGCGCTCAGTGTTTCTCCCTTGTCTCTCCTTGTCAAGAATCTTTTTCTTAAAATGTTCCGCGTGGGACTCTTACGTACCACTTCGACAAATTGAATCCCACACTGTAACTATTTATCCCTTCTGGCAGGGGTGACTTCTTGACCCTACCTGATTTAGTCACAATATTCGAATAGTATTCGGCCAAGGAACGACCATACGATGGCAATCCCCGAGAGATATTTTCTGGCATAATCTATCAGCGCAAGCTACCGGCCCAGTGGCTATAGCTCGATCCCCTCATGCCGCTGTTCCTCCGCCGGAGTTCTTACGTCACAATTCCCGTCGTCAACTTGATTAGTGAACATCCCGGCTCTCTGGTCACCTCGTATGAGTAATCAGACCGAAGACCCGCCACACCGCGATGGATGATCAATTCCAAGCCTAACAATCCCTCGACCGCATCGCACAATCCTTGTCGCGTCAGTTTCCCCTCTTCTATTCGCGTCACGACACACACTGCAGCATGCCCCGAGTGACCAAAAGGAAGAAGAAGATTGAGGATGTGGAGGTACGTGGGTGTAGGTGTGGCTTCTACATCCCGACCCACCTCCGCCCCTGTCTGTCTGGAATCCCACGTTAATCACGAATGTCGAATCCATCTGACCGCGTACTCACTGCTTGTAGGCAAATCGAGAGCGGAACCGCCAGGCCCAGCATGACTTTCGCCTGCGACGACAGGCTGCCGAGGCAGCAACACAGCGTCGACTAGAGCATCTCGAGAACACGATTGAAGAAATGAGCAAAGTCTTCATTGGCTTCTGCGACGACATGCTCAGTACGAAGGAGCTCGCGAGCCAGCCCCACTTGATGGCTCGACTCCAGCACTCTACGACGCGGGTTCTAGCTCTAGCTCGGTCGGTTTCAACCACGACCAAAACAAGTGCGGCTCGAGAGTCGGAAGGCGATGGAAACGATATACAAGACGGTGCAAGAGACGAAGAGAAGCTTCCAAAAATGCCATCGAGACGGAAGACTGCGGACTCGACCTTACCCCAAGTGTCGTGCCAACGGCCCTCGGTCGGTGTAGGCGCCGACACCGACTCGTCTACTACTGTCGACGTAAATACAGATGACTCGATTAGTATGGACATGAGGAGAGGCTTAAACGGCATTGCAGCTGTCGTCGGACAAGCCCAGATGCACACGCACGAGTTTGACGCCAGCTCTTTCGCGGTCCAATTGGTTAAAGCCACACTATCTCACGCATCCCTGGCTCTCAACGGCGACATATACATACGCGCAGAAGATATGGAGCGAGCTTTCGGCTCAATGCTACGCATTCGCACACGGCAGCAGCTCGCGACCAGCATGCGGTGGATGCTCGGGCCAGGGAGAGATGCCATGTATCAAGCAACGGGCATAAACTGGAATCCCGGCTCTACCAGAGGAGCGGAGGGCTACTCTTACTCTGTTCTGCCCCACAAGCATGGCCACTACTCAACCTCGGACGCAGACTCGTCGTCGGACAATTTCAACGATCGACCTGAGCAGCCCGAGTTCCTCACTGCGCTCGGCGTACAGGAACAACTTCAAAGCCTTGGGGCCAAAGTCCTCAGCCCAGACACGATGGAACTTAGCATCAGCGGATCCGGATCCACCGGAAGCGACACCAGGAGGCCTTCTTCTAATTTTCTCGCTTTCCCAACGGCAAATGCTCTCGGCCTGGCCGCTCCAGCACGTTTGGTACTCCGGCTCAATACATTCCTTCTCGCAACCAATCTGTCTCATGGGGCCAAGTGTCTCGGAAAGGGACCCGTGTACCCACGTCACGGGATTGCAAAAGCTATAGAGGCATCCGTAATACTTGCTCGTGGGGGGTGAAGCCGTGGTCTGGGGACCACGTGGGGAACTCCAAGGTCCATTACATTCCAGCATCTTGTTCTCCACCTCTCTTGTTCGGGCCGAGAAGCTCCAGTAGCGTCACTTCTGCGCCACAGCTAAGACGCTGTTGACATGGCATCATTTTTATTTACGTTCGGTTGAGAAAAAGGTCTATATCCTTTCAGGTAGTAAGAAAATTTCAACTATAAAGAGTATGCAAACCGTTACAGATTTAGAGAGCCCCTTGACTTTTATCGCAAAGCCTTGTTGTTGAAGTGATCGCCACGAAACTCGGGCTTGTATCCACTAAGCTTGTAGACGTGGGCAAGGCTGCTGTAGACGTAGAGCCTGACCCCTTCTTTAACGGCAATTGAAGTGGATCAGGCTTTCCAAGCGCCCCGGTTGGAGCAAAACCAGTAACTTGGCGGCGATTCCTCCTACGTCATGGCGGCCGATAATCGCATTGTTCGTCTTGAAATGATCAAGGATAAGAATGACATCTCCGATGACGGTAGATAAGGTACAGGACGTATCTCCCATATCGGGTACGTCGGTATGTGGGTACCTACGAAGGGTGGGACAGATAATTGGTTGGCTCTTTTCAAAATAAGCCATTTATTTGCTGAAGGCATTGGAGTTGCTACGGAAGCCGCGGGGGATAAGAAGGTTAGCAGAAATAGCCAGGAGATTTCTGGGGCTCGTGGGGTAGCCATTTCGACTGTTGATATAGCCTGAGTTCCATCGAAGCCGTTCATTACAGCCCCTCACTTGGGTATGAGCAAGAAGGATCAAGTTGATGAGGTTATATCTGCCATCATGTTTTAGCATTGCTGAAGTAGACAGCATTGATAATCTTTATCCTCTCAGGGATCCTTTTCGGTCAGATTGATCAGGACAATAGTGTTCAAAGCGATGATGATGTGTGATTGCTTAGTCCCGGATGGACCGGGCTGCTCGGAGAGGGGTATTCTGTCACTCCCTTTGGCTCAGGTCATGATGTTAATCTGTCAGAGGTTTTGTAATCTAATGTTATCTTCCAACATGCTCCTAAAAGGCATTTAGATCAGCTAGACGAACAGTCTTGTCTCATAGTCTGAATAACAACGTTGATGGCGACGGAGGTGCAAAGTTTGCGGTACTCATCCCTCAAACTTCATCTCCGCACCCCGTTTTCTCGCTGACATACTGAGTCCATTATCACACTTCTCTTCCCGTCTAATCAGGGCAGAATGAAAGCAAGTCCACTGCTTCCGCACCCGCCTTAAAGTGGGCGGCCCAGTTCTTTCTGTATAGGGTAGTGGGGGCAAGTTCCAGTCGACACATAACAATGCCATATCTCAGACTGCGGAAATAACCAGGGCCGAGATCTTTAGCGTCTCCGGTCTCGAGCCATGCGATAACATCGGAGATACCGTGTAAGTGCGTATACCCGCCTGACCCTTCGCTTCCTCCAACTCCCTTTGAATTGCGGTGGAAATGTAAACTCGAGGTTTCCATCTAAATGATATCTTCACCTTGAATCTCTACCTTCAAGGACCTTAGACAAATCATGGCAGATTCTTTACTCTCAAGGCATCTTCTGGTAGCTGCTTTTGTAGTGGTCGGGAACAGGATGAAAATGGAGGACGAGGGATCCCACGTATAGCTTAATCTACTCCCCGGATGACTGTTACCTCGAACAGGTTAGAGGCTAAAAGAAACGAACGATAAAAGTAACCAGGAAGCCTCACCCCTGCTTATCAACACCAGTCCTCTGCACTTGGCTGACCGGCGACCCACAAAATGAACTTGGCGGGACTGGCTTTAACAATTAAAGACTAGTTTGATGCAGGTTGCTGACAGCTTCGCTAACCGAAAGCGGAGGCTAATCCTGTTCTTGTTCACTCAAATGTTGATCACAGCATACCGTAGTTTTAAAGAAGCGAGTGATCTTGATAAGGGAATTAGTGGATATGTTAGACCCCGATTTTTGAATATGATAGACCCCAAATAGTGGATATGGTAGACCCCAATCGACCCCAATCCTCGCAGCAAACTGTGTGCCATGGTGATAAGGGATTCCCTTGATTAACGACCCTTCCATATTCAGAACTGAAGCTAAATGACGAGGGGATGGTCCAACTTCTAGATAAGAACCTTGAATCTATTGATTTTAGTCTGATAAGTTCCCGCATGAACTGTTTGTCACTGATTACCGTAAGAAGATTTGCTAATATGAGCTGTTCCATGATGATACTAAACAGACTGTTTGGGAGGAAGTATATAACATTCTCATGCTCTCCGCTGGTTGACATAAAATGATCAAGCAACATTGAATGCTGGCTTCCCAGTGAGTTCTTGCCATTAAATACTTTGGCGAATTTTCTTGATACGCACTTTACAACGGACAAGATGAAGTCACGACATCTGCTGCTCGGCCTATGGATGTCCTGCCTCACGCAGGCAAGCTTAGTCGACAATGGCCGAGTCGTAACTCTCGGGGACATCCGTTATTATGTTGGAGGCATCAGCATCGGCCAATTGGGCAGCAACTGCACCAGGCAAGCTACCTTGGCTGCAGCATCTATCCCGGGCCACGATATCTTCCCCATGACGGTTGTTGAGACCTCTTCCGAGGAGTTTCAACCTACTGAGCTCCGCCAGACGATAGCTCAATATGCGGACCAAGATGACGTCTTCACGTTGCCATTCACGAGAACAATTTATCTCCGCTCTACCACAGCCAAATCGCCAGCTATCAACGCCTCGGCCTTGGCCAAGGACCTACAGGATTTCGGAACTGCTCTCTTTATGTCCACTGGTGGCATTTTCGGGGATGTCGACGGCTTCACTACCGGCTCCATCAGTACGGATTTGGCGAAAGGTCCATACTTCGTCAGCGCTGCCACAGGCGACGTCTACAAGGCGCACCGACTCTACGATGACGACTACCTCGCCTTCATTCAAGGAGTCGTGGACGACGAGAATGGAGGATACATGTCTCTGTCGGCAGTAACGGAGAATGTCATGGCCAAGAGTATTGCGGTCCCATCCAGACTCTACTCTACGCCAAGTGACGAGAAACCCCTTGCCGGCCTCCGTGTTGGTGTCAAGGACATCTACCATGTTAAGGGGGTTTCTACCAGCGGAGGAAACCGGGCTTATTTCTACCTGTATGGAACTCAGAACACCACTGCGCCTTCCATCCAACGTCTCATCGATCTCGGTGCCGTTCTCGTTGGCAAGATGGGTACGGTCCAATTTGCCAATGGAGATCGTCCCACTGCGGATTGGGTCGACCTTCACGCTCCATTTAACCCAAGAGGAGATGGGTATCAAAACCCCAGCGGCTCTTCTACTGGACCTGGTTGCGGAATTGGTGCTTACAGCTGGCTTGATCTTGCAGTGGGCAGTGACACTGGCGGCTCCATGCGTGGACCAGCTGGTGCCGTCGGGATTTTTGGCAACCGGCCATCGACCGGCGCAATTTCTATGGAGCATGTCATTCCACTGAGTCCCGTGTCTGACTCGGCAGGTATCTTTGCTAGAACTGGAAGCTTGTGGGCACTTGCAACGAAGGCGTGGTACCCTGACTTCCAGTCCAACTACACCTCGTATCCCAGCAGAATTTATCGCAGTGTTGCACGTGGAGCATGGTCTTCATCTGACGATCCCGCTGTGTTGAAACTCGTAGAGTCCTTCTACGGAGCACTCGAGGACTTTCTTCAGGTGAATGCGACCATGGTCAATCACACAGCACTTTGGACCGAAACCCACCCAGAGGGCTCAACAAGTCTTGCCGATATGCTATACTCGACGTACGCAGTTTTTGTCTCGCATGATCAATGGAAGCTACTTGGAAAGCCCTTCTTCGAGGACTATGCAGAGCAGCATGACGGACGCCAACCGTACATCAATCCGGGTCCATTGGCGCGTTGGGAATGGGGCCAAATCCACGCAAATGACACCGTCTATGACCAAGAGTTGCGAAACATCACCATCTTCAAGGAGTGGTGGGAGACGGAGGGATACGGCCGACACGACCCCGAGTCGTGCTCTGAAGGCCTTTACGTCTACACATTCATGGCCGGCGTACCCTCATACCGTGACGAATACTTCGAGGCACGAACAACCCCACCACTTGGCTTTGACGACTCATCCATACCCGTTATGGCTGGCGCCCCAGAAGTTGTTGTCCCTATCGGAGAGGTGCCCTATGAGAGCAGGATCACAAAGAAAACGGAATATTTACCTGTTAGTATGGGGCTTAGAATGGCAAGAGGATGCGACTATGTTCTTGCAGATCTGGTAAAGGATCTTGAGAAAGCTGGGGTTCTTCGAGGTGTCGCTACTGGATCGAAAATGTACCCGTAGATGTTGGATGAAAACATAGGAGACCTGGCCTCGGTATTCGAATGCAGTTGCGGCTGGTTTCGAAAGGAAGGAGTAGTGTGAAGACTTGGGTGCGACGGATAGATTAAGCAATATGTGGTAGCGGTGCAAGTCTGTCTCAAATACCTAATATCAAGGTCTAAACCACTCTTTCAGTATACTTTGGGTGCATACTAGCTTGTCTAGACTAAGCTCTGTTCCCTTAGCCACAAGTCTTGCCAATCTAAATAACTAGACACTCTCGCCGGGGTAAGTGTTTGCTATCGGACAGGGTCACGAGTCGTCTAAGCGCACATTCGTGTCATTCTTGGACCGAGACACGTGAAGATATCTCGGCCAGGCGTGTTTTCTCGCGGGATTCTATCCCGACAACCTGGAACTTTGCCCGATTCGCACTGGACCAAACCACAGGGGTCTTGACCCGAGCCACCGGTTTGTGGGGCTGGAGACTCGGATCTCGCAAGATCTCGCAACCTCGCATCCGTTACGAGAAGTGGAGACCGGAGGCTACACCAGGCCGGTCCATCCCCGCAACCCCAGGTTCTCGATCATGGAGCAGCGGGGTAGACTCGGGGGGACGTAGTGTGAAGTTCTCGACGGGCCTGGTTGCTCTAACCGCAACAGGATTCGATGGATCACTCTGTTGCAGAGGAAGTTGCTGCTAAGCTCACATCGAGCCTCGTAGCTTATACTTAGAGGGCTAGGACCCCTTGGGCATGCGCTCCGATCCTTAGCTTTGCTCCATGCGGTTGACAGTGACGGCGCCATGTTCGGCTTAACAAAGCCTGGCCTCCTAGTCTCCAGGGCAGTTTCTTCCAACCAACGATGGAAGAATGCCCCAAGTTTGAAGGCTCTGTATTCCCTTGCATTCTCACTCGGCCACTATTATACCGACAGTCACAGGTGGAGACCTTGAGACGATTACCCCTGTACTCAGTACACGCATTATATAAGACCTGCGTTTCTTGGAGTCCTTTCTTCTCACTTCACTCTTCACTGCTTCCCTCCAATCCTAAATCGTTACTACGCTTGAGAATAAGACGCGCGGTTCCCTAGCCTCAACGGAAGAAACTGCCAGTATGTTTCGGAAGAGGAATCTCGTCACAAACAATGCTGCTCCAAGCGCAGCGCAGTTGACGGCCAGACAATCACTGCTTCCCAATCTGTCGGGTAAGCATCGTGTTATTTGACACAAGAGCATGGCAATACTAATATCCTCTGCTTCACAAGTCACTACGCTCTTCTTCCTTTGGGGATTCGCCTACGGCCTTCTCGATGTCCTCAACTCGCACTTCCAATCCCTTCTGAATATCAGCGGCTCCATGGCCTCGGGTCTGGCTGCTGCTTACTTCGGCGCGTATTTCATCTGCCCACCTACGCTTTCCGGTTACATCGTCCGCCGATTCGGATTTCGGGCGACGTTTGTTACGGGTATGTCAGCGTTCAAGAACCCCCATGCCCGGAGACGCAACTCTTACACTATTCAGGCCTGTTTATTCTAGCTGTGGGGTGTTTACTGTTCTGGCCCTCTGGTGTGAAGAAATCTTTCGCGGGCTTCTGTGGCTCAATGTTTGTGGTCGGCTGCGGTCTGTAAGTTAGTCCCTACGCTCAAAACACATTGTATGCTTACGACCCTCTAGCTCTACCCTCGAAACAGCCGCAAATCCATTTCTAGCAATCTGTGGTCCGCCAAAATATTCGGAAATCCGCCTCAACCTTGCTCAAGGCGTTCAAGGCACAGGCTCATTTGTAGCTCCGCTACTGGCTTCGCGAGTGTTTTTCGCACACACACTCAATACCGAAGACTCACTCGCCAATATGCAATGGGTTTACCTAGGCGTTGCCGGTTTTGTCGCCTGCCTTATTGTGATCTTCCTCGTCATTCCCATGCCAGAGATTACAGATGCCGATATGGCTAATCTTGAGGGCGAGATAAATGACTCCAACCCAGGGCCGTTTCGCAAGCAGTATAACCTATTCTTGGCCGTTTTCTCACAATTCTGCTACGTGGGTGCGCAAGTTGCGGTTGCTAACTACTTCATCAACTTCTGTCTTGAACAGGGTAAAACCCATGCGCAGGGCTCAGATCTTCTTGCGGTTGCCCAGGGGCTCTATACCGCTAATCGATTTATTGCAGCTGGACTTATGATGATGCCTGCTTTTAAACCTCGACTTATCCTAGCCACCTACCTCGCTCTTTGCAGTATTTTTATAGCTATTGCTATTGCGACTAAGGGGGCTACATCTATCGCATTCCTTATTCTTGTATTTTGCGCCGAGTCTGCATGCTTTGCTTGCATATTTGCTACCGGTAATTGCGATTCCAATCATGTCCCTTGAACCGCTGTTAACATCTTGAACTCTAGGTCTGCGTGGCCTTGGCCGGCATACTAAGCGAGGCGGCTCCTTTCTCGTTGCAGCTATTTCAGGTGCTACTGCCTTTACCCCGGCGACCGGTGCTCTTATGGATGCTACCAATGCGTCAACTGCGATGGTCATCCCCTTGACCGGATATGTTCTGGCCTCGGTGTATCCACTCTATATCAATGTATGGAATAAAGAGCTTATGGACTCTCATCGTTCCACTATGGTTGGCATCGAGCCCAAGCCCCAGGAAAAGGAAGATGTCGAGAGAAATTCTATGGAGAAGCAGGGTGTAGCCATTACACAAGAGTTGGCTAATTAGATGAAGGGACATTAGTTACACTCGCGACACATAGTAAGGATTGTCTTATGGAAGCGAGTATTGCATGCCAGTCTCTAGAAAGATAGATTTTAACAGTGCTTCAACGTGTGGTTCATCACTTATCACTAGGGGAGCTCAGGACCCCATCCCAACAGATTTTGCCACCTCGACGAAGAATTCAAGTGTGCGTGTGATCTTGCGGTGAAATTGTTGAGCATATGGCTTAAAAAATCCAGAACTCACCTACACTATATTGATAGTCATAACTGTTTTCCGGGTTTTTTTATTAGTCCCGCGCGTGCATTATTATGAAGTACCTGTGCAACCAAGTACCTAATCATTCTCTGCCTTGCCTTAGGTCGCCTGAGAACATTCGATTTCCCAACTTGCGCGCCTCATACATTCACGAATACACCAAGGTTGGCGCCGCTCGGAAGGTAAAGCATGTGCCATGGTAATTATGGAATTGGATGATTTAGACGGCCTTGTTAAGATAAATGAAGCCGAGACTGACTAGTTGTAATTTACAATATGCCACCACCTCTATCCTTACCAACATCAATCAGAAGATGCCATCATCTAGTTTACAACGACCTTGCGCAGGGTCCGGACACGGACGGGTCCCACCAGTCCATATGCCTGCCAGTCCACAGCGGTATAAAAATCCGGCACAGCTGGGCCAAGTCCCATGTTTTTCACCCAGTCGACTCTCGTCTTCACAGCGTTAAACAAGGTGCTGGATACCTCAACCTTTACAGTGTTCTCTCCCCTCACGACAAACTTGGATATGTCAACCTCGGCATCCGAGATATCCACTGCCGGGAGCTCCTTGCCGTTAACCCAGGCCCGAAGGGTGTTCAAGACAGGGCCAAAGTTGATCAACGTGGCTCTCTTATCAGACTCGAGGACGGTGTCCTGAGAAAGGGTGAAGTTGGCAGTGTAGATACCAATACCCGAGACATTCTGTGCGGCGGGAATCTTTGACCAAGGAACAAGGGTGTCCTGAGATCCAAGGCGCATCACTTCGATTTTAGAGTGGCTGTCCGAAGTATTCGAAGACGGCACCCAAGATTCCAAGGTTAGGTCCCAAGGGCCTACGTCGAGTTTCAGCAGGCCCTTTTCACCGTTCAAGCTTGGCACCTTAACTGTCTTGCTGTCGGAACGCGTGAGGGTTGCGTAATTGCTGTCGTTGATCAAAGCCACAACCTGGCTCTTCTCTCCAAGCTGAATCTTCTCAACATTGGCCGAGTGCGACACCACGTAGGTGCCTTCTTTCTGAGCTGCAAACGCAAAGATTGCGGTCTGCATCTCCTTGAGGGTAACAGAAACAGTAATTCCTGCCTTTGACCGTTTGTAGGTCAGCCATGGGTGCTGCTCGCCTGTCCATGCATTCAGTTTGAAGGGTGTCTTATCCTTGCCGACGTTGAAGGTCAGGTCGTAGCTGGCCGTCGAGCCCTTGTTATAGAGATAGACAAGCTCTACGTTCTTGGAAGATCTCCAAACTGAGTACAAGTTTCCCGAAGACTTCTTGGACTCAACAGACACTCGGGGTTTGACATCGAGGGCTTGTAAAGCGGCTGCCAGTGACTGCTTGTCTTTCACCATCTTAACATTCGAGTATTTAGACAGAGAAGCCATGCTCTGGGTAACTGTCTTCTGTCCAACGGTACCAATAGTTGTGTTTGGCAAGCCGCCGTGAAAAAGAATTGGGAGACCCTGCTTGGCGAACTTGAGAACCTTGTCGGATGCCTCAGCTGAGATGTAGGTCTGGTTCCAGAAAACCAAAGCTCTGTAAGCAGGACCATCGGGGGCAAGGAGTTTATCCGAAGCCTTTGCTTCGCGAGAGGCCAGGTTGGTCGGTCCTAGGTACTCGTGTGTGAAACCTATTCAGTCAGCTCTGTGATAGGATCTGAGGTAGGGCAATGAGCAGGATCTGCCTACCTTCAGCTCTCAGATCGGCCCCATCATAAAATACACCAGCAGTCCAGGGCTGCTTAAACAGGTAGAACGCAACATCCCTCTTCACAGTTCCCGCTTGCAGCACAACTTGGTTCCTGGCCGTGTACGCCATGGTTTGGTTCATGTGCGTCCAAGCCGGCTGGCGAGGGCTCCAGAGCTCACTGTAGACGTACTGGAAGGGAGTGTAGCCAGGCCAGGTTGCATTGTACTCGCCACCGTATTGCATGCCGTGAAGCATCATAGAGTTGACGCCGCCAGCAAACGCATCTCGGAACAAGTTAACGAGAGATGGGACTGACTGGCTGTACGCGCCGGTCTGGACCGCGCCAACTTCCGTAGAAATGACGTTGCGGCCGCCGAGGTGCGCTGCACCCACAAACTGGAGGGATTCATCGATTGTAGGGAAACCGACGGACTCGAGTTCAGGAACTTCTACAACAGGAACATCTCCTGACTGCCAAAGGGTCAGGTATATCCGATATGTTTTGGTTTGGTACGTACCATGTCAAGGGGCAAGTTGTACGCAACCTGGCAGGAGTGGCTCATTCCTAGGGACTTAGCCCATGCGTTATACGCTTCGAGATACTCGATGTAACCTTCGTTGAGAGTTTTGCGGTAGTCTTGAATGTACTTGTCCTGGGCAGATGCGGAGGAGCTGAGGGCGTAGGTCTTGTTGTACGGCGGACTGTAAAGTGTGAAGGAGTTGGATTGGTGGAACATCAATGGTAGATACTTGACCGGGCTGTAGCCTCGACTCTTCTCGAAACGCGAGATGAAATTAGGCGTCCACCACAGGGCGGCTTGCATCTCCATGCTGTCTTCCCAGGCTATCATAGAGTTAGACATTGCGGCGGAGGGTGAGATACTTCGGGTCTACTTACTGTGCTTCCCGGCAGATTTCAGCAACTTCTTTACCTCAGCATCAAGTAGGTTATTCTCCCAAAACTGAGTGACGAGCTTCGCACCGTCGGCGCTGAAGTGATCCGTTGTCCAAGATCCGTTCGCGATTGCACTGTCAGGGTTCGCCACTCCATTACAAGAGCGCTGATTCGTGTATCGCTCGTAAAGCGCGAAAAGAGTGTAGTTGTTATGGCCAGAAGGGGCCTTCCATGTCAGTTTTCCATTGACCACGGACTCTGACAGATCCTCGAAGCTCGACTCGTCAAGCACCGCGGTAGATAGGGAGCCTTTCCCGGGCACAACTATCACAGTCGTAGAGTCAGACATGAAGAAGATTAGCGTGGGCGAGGGAGCCTACCTGACTTCACACCCGCGGCAACCACGCCAACTAATTGATCGGGACCAAACTCCTCCTGGTCGTGCATGTATCCGCTCAAAAAGTTGAACTCACGGTGTGCCTTGGGGATGGAGCCCTTGAAGACTTTTCCACCCGCAACAGTAACGTCGCCGTACACGAGCTGCATAGCCAAGCCTGGCGTCAGCGGCTCGACTGGAACGCCTTGCCCCTGACTGGCTCCGAGGGAGAAGTCGAATCGTAGACCACTATCCTTCGCTGTCTTGAGCGCGTTGACAAATACTTGCTTGAACGCCGGAGTTCCAAATCCGTATTCATCCCAGGTGTTGGTGGGGAATGAAGAAGGGTCCCCGAAACCGTAATTATAAAAGGGCAAGAATTGCAAACCGCCTGCACCGACTTCTTTGAGGGCACGGATGTCGCTCGCCACAGTGGCGATGTCGACTGAAGCATCTGGGAGCCTGCAAAGCAGCGGTTAGCGACACGGCCAACAGTCATAGTTGGCTGAACAGGATACTTGCCAGTATCTGAACTGCGGACAATGGTCCCTCGTTGGCGAGTTGAAACCAGGCAAAATTGAGGAATCGGATGCAGCAACAGTCGTCAGCACTGACGTTGCGGCGAGAAGTAGGGACAACACCATGGCTGGTGTTTGGTATCAATCTGTTGACCAAGCTTGTGACTGGTTCAGACAGGCACAGCTTGAAGAATTCGGGGATTGAAGTATAGAGGGAGAGGGCCAGAATTTATACGAAATTCAGAGCCCACCACGGTTCAGGCCTACAAAGAAGCCTTGGAAGTCGCCACACATTATCCCGAAGCGAGCCAAAGGCGGGGTGCATTAAACTGCCATCTCGTTGCATTTCGCCACGGATCAAGGAGACACTTCACCCGGAGGAGACTCCGTGTGGGTACTACTGCGTTTAGCATGCAGGCATCATGAGTCACTAGTAGCTCGCTTGAGGCCGTAGAAAAAGCTTTACAATTAGCCAAGAGCTGCTGTTCCATATAACACAAGGGACTTGTTAATTTCGAGCACAGTCCATATGGGCTTGCTTGGCTTAAACGGAGACAGGAGTCCTTCTCCTATTTTCTAAAATGATGTGGACATACATTCAATCGGTGAAGAATTCTAAGGTTCAAATTAGTGGACGTCATACTCGGTGCGAGTACGCGGTCCCCAAGCTGTTGGGACCGCGCATTCGTTTTGAAACTACGCTGTAGTTGTAATATCGATCCGAAAAATCTCGATGTTGCCTGCTGACCAGAGGCCTCCGAATTCGAGTGAGGGGGCATGGGGCTATATGTTTCTACGAATTATCTCGAAGGAATGACCTAAATCAAATCATCATTGCCATTGCAGCTGTGAATTGACAATACCCGAAAGCATGATGGACGAGGCGGTCTCAGCTAGATGTTATAGGGTAGTGATTTGTAGTACTCGTGGGAGTCGTCGACCCATCGAAATTGGGCCCAAAGAACGACGTGATAGCATCATCTTCGCGGTCAAAGCAGGTATGACAAGCGGTAAGGGTATCTTCGCCGCAGTGGTAATGGAATGACGTCTGGAAATCACGAAGGCGAGTATGCTAGAAGTGGCGGAGGTTTTCTCCTCGCCTAATTCGGCCCAATTACGGAGGCTACTAATAACGGCGGAGGCAAGGATCTAAAAGTTCAAGGTTTGATTTGCGGGGAAATGACAGGGGAACCTGTAGCATGAAAGCGGACCGAGATCGTTCGTATAAACTCGTATAAAACCCGAGCCGGAAAGTTCCACTACATTGCCTCATTCACCCTGAACTTTGGCGAGAGGTGGGAGCACAGAACTGAACGTAGAATAGCTGAGGATTGTACGTGAACGACGCTCCAGACTAGATGCAATCGAGTAGGCTCGAGACCAGGTGCATTGTATTTACCGGACGTGTGCGTGCGGCGCTCATTTGAAAGGCAACTATCACATCTACTATATCCATGATCGCAAATAAACCCCAATGTCACGTCGGTATTGTAAAGGCCAAGCAGATTTCAATTGTTGATTGAGAAGTGTGCAAACCTGTCCAGATAATGTAGATATTAAAAAATATATGCTTTCAGAGCTGTCATTGCCAGGATTACAGTCTATCTCTCCTCCACCATTGCCGTAAGCTGGTAAAAAGCCAGTTGCACCGCCGCATCATCGATATGACTTGCTTCCCGAGCCATCAACAGACTATACCGCCCTTCTTCTCGCATGGCCTTTCTTATTGACTTTCGTGTATCCCGCCGCACAGTCTCCCTCACGCTCTGATACAGACCCTGACCAGAGAATGCTACGAGCCCTACAACACCAGAGGTGAGCTTAGTTCCCATGTTCAATAGCCCGATGCCCGCTCCCTTGGCTGCTCCTAATGCCCCGTCCTTCCTCGCGCCCTTGATAGGCTCCATTACTATTCCTCCAACCCCTTCAACAATGCCATGGCCAAAGTTCTTCCCTGCGACAATACCCCCGGATTTCCAGTCCGTCACGACTCCAGGCTCGTACACTTCTCCCCCGTAAAGCCGCGGCGCATTGCGCATCCCCTCGGTCACTGCGAGTGGCACATCTAGCAGCGCCCCTTTGTAATAATACTTGAAGAAATTGCCAACCCCGGATGCCGAGCCAGCCACTGCTGCACCAACCTCTCCGAGGACCCGTTTCTGTTTGCCGCTTTTTCCGGTACATGACGTTCAGGGACTTCTAGGGCAGCGGACCGCCCGTATAAAGTGTCTTCAGAAGGATCGGACGCAGCATCGCCGTCGGGTTTTGAGCGTGTGGTTTCTTTATGCGCTGATGCTCGGTAAATGACTTCCGCCGGCTTGCTTATAATGTCGGCGGCCGAGGTTATCAAGTTCGTGGTCGTCGTGGCCAGAGTAGATGCCGTCGCTGTGACAGGGTCCCATCGCCGGAGCGTAATGTTGATCTCGCGGCTCTTGTACCTAGAAAGAAATTAGACGGGGGACACCTATCACTGATCAGATAGACTTGCTGTCGTAAATCTGCCTTTTCAACCGCTGAATTGCATAGCAACAGCTCCGCGGCAGCCTTCGACAGCTTTAAGCATCTCCCACGCTTGTTATACACCCAAGATGCCGGAAGATTCGGTAGCAGACTGCATCGCATCGTGTCAAGGGGCAAGTTGGCATGGAACGAGGCCACGGCACGACTGACGCCAGGCTCCGATCTCATCGTCTCTGCAATCGTGTTCGCAGCAGACGAAGCTTCGGGCGAGAAGCAGAATCTGATGGCTTCAGCGAGGTTTTGGCTGTCAAGTTGCTTTTGCGGAATTGATGGCGGGCCTGCGCCGGCGGAAGAAACCATTGCGCCCCAAAAAGGCTGGCTAGAGAGATGTTAAGAGGCATATATCGTCGACTATATGGGGTACTTACTCGCCAAAGAAAGGCACAATAACAGTCGGTCGCCCATTCGCAAGCCCGCATGCTGTAGTACCAGCTCCCCCATGGTGAACCACGGCTGCGACGTGTTGGAAGAGCCACTCATGAGGGCAGTCGCCGAGGTAGAAGATGTCGTCATCAGCCGGCTGGTTTTGGCCTAATTTGCTCCAGCCTTTCGATATAATGGCACGAACACCTGTTTTCTTGACTGCTGCGACAATTGTCTCGGTGAGCTTGTCCGGGTCATCGACGACAATGCTTCCGAACCCGATGTAAATGGGAGGCGGCCCTCGCTGCATGAACTCTCTGAGCTCGGGATCGGGACAGTAGTCGGGAGTATCGCGAAAGAAGAAACCACACACGTCTGTGCAGTGTTAGCATGAGACTTCGTAGGGAAATAGATGGACAGTGCCTATGTGAGGTGCCCAGTCTGAAGGCTTGGGTATCAGCACAGGAGACCAGCAGTAAGTAAACGGTATGTTGAGCGTTTCTATCAATCCTGGACCCTCGGAGAATGGCACTGGCTCTAAGTCGAGGGTGTTTCTCCAGGCATTTACCACATCTCCGAGTCTGTATCCGGGGGTCAGCATCATTTCTTGTGTCCGGCGTTGGCAACCCACCCTTGCCAGGTCAACCATTCCACAGCCATATAAGACACGTAGTTTGCTGCTCCCGGTGGTATGCCCGAGCTTTTGTCACTGAGGTTTGCTAGTGGATGGCAAAACGCTCGTGTCCTCGTCCAGGGCATGGTAAACATCATATGCAGCGGAATTCCTAGTGCTTGAGCACAGTGAACGTGAGCGAAGCTTGGCGGGTTCGCGATGATGGCCTCCGCCACGAATGGCTTCCCTGTTGTTAAATCAGGTTCAATGCAAGACATCCAACAACCGTGGAGTATCTCGGCCACCATCTTTCTTTTGCTTTGCACGTCACCAGCACGCAAGCTCTGCATACTTGGCATTAACCCTGGGTTCTTGACCATGTACGCCATCAGCTCCGCCGGATCGCCACCAATAGAGAAGAACTCAAGGCCAGCTTTCTGCACGAAATCTTGAAACGCTCCATGAGTTGCGATGCGAACGCGATGACCGTATTTTTGAAGCTCATTCCCGAGTGCTATAAAAGGCTGGACATCGCCCCGGCTGCCAACAACTTGAATGACGATGTTGAGACGAACAGACCATTCCGCTGCCTGGCTGTATTTGGGTGGGGGCGCTTCTGCGCTCTCCTCTTCGCGGTTATGAAGGGGGACAAGGAGAGAAAGCCTTCGACAGAGTTTCGAATCGAGATTGATCTCAACGCGGCCGTCATCCGCTAGCCTCACGTCAACTTCATACACCACCTACTGTCTTGATCCGACCCAAAGGATGGGTAGAAATACCTGTTGTGGTATTAGAGTGAATTATCTCCTGTACCTGTGATTGCGCGTGTTCTACAGTGTTCCCACGGCCGCCGTAGAGGTCCACAATGTCGGATGCGGTCATTGCATCGTCGAAACCGGACATGGCATCCGAAGTCGCAAATATACCTCTTTAGATGGTCTAAAGTAAAAGATGGTGACAGGCTTTAAAAAGACTCTAGCATGGAAAAGAAGAGGTATTCCTGGGACTGAGTGCTTAAAAACCTGAGCCCGTTCTCTAGTACGGCAGAGGAGAACATCCATGCACGAGTACGCTAGCGTACCTTGCATTCTCCAATCTTTAGCAGTGACTTGCTGATCTAACGGGTTTCGATTTTGAAGCCTTGGCCGTCGCATGGGGACTCGGAGTGCCCCGTATCTCGCTATTGAATTCGGATTAAATCATGCCCGACATTGGTCGTTGAAGAGCCACACCACCACGCAAGGCATACTTAGACCCGAGGCGCAACTGAGGACCAGTTGAATGCCTTCACAATTGGGTATGTGCACATAATTGCCATCGCGGACCTCCCGAAAGAGGATCACTTGAAACAATGGAGTCATGTTCCAGTCGGAATGACAGGGGTATATCTGTGCGTTACGGTATCACCATTGCACCCACAGTTACGTCGGGGGCAATCCCCAAGGCGGAATCACGTCTAAGTTAGCGGTGCCACTCCGGCAGCATCCATAAATTGACCGAGGGCTCGTATAGCTTCGTTCAGTCTCGTTTAACCTCGCTCTTTAGCTTCATGCCCCCCTTCATCCTCGTTCATCACCTGCGTCTCTCGCCACCACTCGCTCCCTTTCCCAATATTTCTCTTCGTGAACCCTTTGTTCTTCATTTCACTGTTACAAACGGGTATCACCGTATCACACAGCCTCTGGTGGGGCTCTTGTTCAGCCACCTCGACTCTCAAACCCATGCGCAAATGGCGACCCTTGACGAGGCGCTGGATAATGAGGGCGGCAAACGCCGCCGGTCGCATAAGAAATCAAAAAGGGGCTGTGGTGATTGCAGGAGACGGCGAGTGAAGGTGAGTTTTGGCCTATCAAATGCTGCCTTGTTATGCAAACCAAATCTTCTCCACTGCGATTGAGGCTGGGTGATTCAAGCTCATACTGTAGCATACTAATCTACTGCGGTAGTGTAGTGAGGAAAAACCCAGGTGCCAGGCCTGTGTCCGTCGTGGGGTCCAATGCCAGTATCCCACCAAAGCTCAATGCCCGTCTGTGGGACTATCTCCATCTTCAACACGTAGTGCTGAAACCTCACCTGGATCATCGTTGATACAACCCGCAAGCGAGGAGTTTAGTATCTCAAACAATGCGAACTTCCCATCCATCACCGATCCAGCACTGCTTGAGTTCAGTTCTCCAGATCTTCGCTCGACCACCTTTGGAATCCACGACATGGCCCTCCTTCATCACTGGACGGTTTCGACCAGTCTTGCCATGTATCAGAATTCCAACATATTTATTTGCTGGCAGATCGTTGTTCCTCAGTTAGCATTTAGCCATGCATTCGTGATGCAGGCTATGCTTAGCCTGGCTGCTCTACACCTTGCATATCTCAATCGACCAGACAAGACGACGCACATGACAGATGCAGCCCACCACCACACCCAAGGCCTACATGGCTTTCATGAAGCTCTTGGCAGTATGAACAGCGGAAATAGCGACGCTCTGTTCATATGGTCCGTATTAAATATAATTTATGTGTTTAGCATATCGGGGCGACTAGGCGACAAAATCGAGAGCGTCTCGGGCCACATCAGCCGCAAAGATCGCATCCTGGGCGTTGAATGGATACCCATGATGCGAGGTATTGACGCCGTCCTACAGCCAACTTATAAGGATGTGAAATCAGGCCCATTGAGTCGATTCCTGTGTCTGGGCAACTGGGATCAACTGGACCCTGATAAGAGTCCAGATGCTGATGATGAGCACTTCTGTCGCATCCGAAGCACATGGGAGCGAGGTGTGGATGCACAAACCTATGACGAAACCCTTCAACTTTTAAGAAAGTGTCGCCTATTTATCCGGCAATTTGAGAAATTGGACGGCGAGGCTCCGACGGAATGGGGATTCAATAGCACATGGGCAGGACCATTCACGTTTGTTCATTTTGCTCCTCAGGAATACCTCACTTTATTACAACAGAGGCAGCCCCCCGCACTTATTCTATTTGCCTTCTTCGGCGCCCTTATACATGCCATGAATGATTGTTGGTTTATGGATGGATGGGGTCAAGATATTGTGGAGGCCATCGACGACTTATTGGGGAGATATTGGAAACCTTGGATTTCATGGCCTGTCAGGGTTGTTGGCTTGTAGACATGACGAGGTATTCAAGATATAGTAGGAATTTAGGGAAGAGAGTGTACCGAATCATTTGTCGGAAGATCTAATGAAGAATACATAGGTGAATGAAAGCCAGCTTTCGTCTACTCTGAAACCGTATTTCTCCTTGAGTGGTAAATGAGTAAATGTGTTAGAGTGCAGTGTCCTCAAGAAGCTCGCCCCTTGGTATATCCAATCCACTGATCAAGCATTGGATCCCAAACGTTCGTGATGCGCAGGAAAGACATCCATAGTATGCCCATGCTTGTATTGCCTTGCGCCAAGAATCGATGTGATCTCAGCAGGATGAATCCAGTTGAACAAAACCATAACAAGCAACATCAATGTGGCATCGAAGATATATAGGTAAATCTCGTGTCTAAGCAGGTATCCATCAAACCCCTGTAGATACTCAACAGCCCTGAACACAGACCGCACCATGATGAGCATGCTGCCGATATAAAGGGCGGTCATGTGCTTCCTCCATGGAACGCCACTGTTGGAAAGACTAGTCGGGGTTGTTCGAATGGATTTGTGGAATGAAATCGCGACGACGATGAAAATTCCAAAGCAAATGAGTTGGACGAAGAGGCCGGCGATGATTACCTTGGCCCCGCTCTCCAAAGCCTCGAGCGTGCCCGAAGCTTGGTAGCCACCACCTAAGAGTCTGACATCAGTATGTAGTTTCCAACGGAATTCATCGATATAGCATTACCTCCGCCTTGAAGAAAGAAGGAAAAAAGATCTCCAAAAACGAAGATTTTAGTCAGCCACTTCTTAGGGATCATTACATGCCTCTCGCCATCAACCATGATGACGATCCTAGCAAGCTCCATGTATATTGTGGCGGCGAAGAGAGCAGGTGCGACAAGAAGAAGGATGGACTGTATTATATATGGCCCGAGAGTCCAGTCAGGACTCTCCTGGCCAGATTTAGCTCGACCTGCGTATCCGACAATTTCGACTGGAAGTCGTTAGCCCTGTCTTGATCGTCCGGGTTATGGGTTTCAACGTACACAGGCCACCAATCGCCAGTGGAATAAGAAACCAACATCGTCCCCGGAACAATTGCCAGAAGTGAAAGAGCGTAGTCCCGAGGAAAAGAATCACGAAGATGACGCCGCCCGCTATCGTCGGATCGTAGTGATAGAGCTTGAATCCACCACCGTCACTAGCAGCAGCGTCGTCTCGGCCGTGTAGAAACATGTTGTAAATTGGTTGATGGAAGGAAGAGGGACTCAAGGAGGAGCCGGTCGTCAAGAGTCGAGATCAGCGTTGATTCCGGTAAGCGAAATGCTTTCGGGCGGTAGTGTTCGCTGCGGAGGAAATTGGTTGGAAATGAATGTAAAGAAGCAATGAAGTGCAATGAGCGGTGATTGATAAAGACAATTTTAGAGGGGACAGACAAGATAGACTAGAGAAATGAAGGTGTGGAACACTCCCAGACACCGGTACTTAAATGCTTATTTTCAACAACTGCATCAAGGTTCCATCCTTTCTTCAGCATTTCTCAGCCCCATCGCCGAGTATGCCTTGTGAGCCTATTTTTGGACATCGCTTTCGGACCGCGTAATCGTACAATCCGAGTTGGACAGCGCCAATGTCTTCAAATTCTCAATCTGGCTAGTGTTCGCCGCTGCACTGGTGCCGCCCCTGAGCTCGTTCCATATTCGTTTAATGATCGTTTAACCTCGTTTAGACTCGTATCCAGATCCGCTCGCACACCGACCAGTCCCCGACGCCGTGAGTTCTGTGTCAAGATTCTGGACCTTGTGACAGCCGGACAATGCCTAACTCTCAGCTGCATCGAGATTTTCCCCTTATTTCCTTATCTTTTGACCGAAATCCCCCAACACTCTGCCGTGAAATATTGCTTTGCATGACAGACCTATTTTCCTATGCCCACACATATCCTCTCGGGCCATGTGTTTTGCGGCGTTGTTTGCGCCATGGGACTGTAATATGTTGAATTACTACAAAGCCCTAACTCGGCAATCCACACCAGAAGCGCGTTTCCAACTTCCCATAGCCATCGGAAGCCTGGACAAAAAGCTGGGTCAAGGTTCTCCCATTCTAAGTCTTGGAAGGGCTGTATCCTTGAGAGAAAAGTGAAGGTCAGTACTTCAAAGAGTGCCAAGCACGATCCCAATATCCATTATCTTAGCCATTGACGGCGCTGGTGCGATAAGCAAAGGCCTTAATGGTTCAATTGCACGAAGCTGCGACAAACGTTCCAATATTGATCGGTTACCCCCACAGCATGCTCTGAAAATTCTCAAGGATGCAGTTAACCCCAGTGTTGGCGTGGTTCTCGTTGACCCCGAACTGTTTTGTGCGTATTAGACCGCAACATGCTCGACGGTCTCAATGTCTCCGATATCGCAGAACGTCTGGGGGAAAAAATTCATCGTATGGCTCTCGAAGATGGATGCCTTAAGAGAGAAATCCTCGCCCTCTCAGCGCCACACTTGGGACATTATCAGCTGGACTAGGTTGCCCTCGCTTCAACACTTCCATAGCCAGCACCGGCAGTACTGAAATTGAAGACGATGCTGCTGTCAGTAGCAACATAAAGGGCCTCTATCTCAAACACACTTTTTGGCAGAATTACTAAAACACAAGGCCAGATACATGATCAGGCACAAAGATCAAATGATGAATTCTTTGTCCCACGAAGGTTGAGGGGGAATATTCTTGGCAATTATTCAAAGTAATGAAATGAGTGTTGTGAACGAGACGGGACATATTTCGCTGTGCTACCAGGCTTAGAACGGCTAAACTGTCGAATTAGGTGGTTCTATCTTGCATACAACTATTTAAAATGGATAAAAAGATAGCAATTGTGGAGTGTTGGAAATTCCCGGTTCTAGAGCTTAAATTGATTGAATCTCAGTTGTATAGATACGGCACCCCAGTCATAATTTTATAGCTGTATTCAGTTAAAATGAGTAACAGTAAATAGATCTTTATTTACAAGCAGAATACCCAAAGCTAGCACCTTCTCCCTTTCCTGCTCCTTGGTCTTAGATAGACCAATCTACCGCACCTTACGTTGAACAAACCCAGGGCCAGCCCTTCACACTATAGCAGAGTGCAGGACATTGGTTTATTAATTCTCCTTGAAAGTACGGCGTGGTCTCTTACTAGACGTTTCTACCTCCCACTCCTTTCTTTCAACTCTCTTTCTGGAGGTGTCATGGCCTTTCCGTTGCGTGGTATTTCCAATGGCGGCGTTGAGAGAGGCTTGAAGGCGATCCATAGGAAAATTCGCGTCATAGGCAAGGGCAAGGATCTGCTGAGCAATCTCCATGAGTTCATTGGCTTGGCTGGGGGACGCTGAAACGTTGAAGGTCTTCTCTAATTGCGCAAAGAATTGCACAACGGGATCCTCGTCTTCAAAAAGCGGCGCATGAAACCGAGTGACATGTCCTTCTGTACTGCGTCTGCGAAAGGTAGCACCATGGCGGATGAATGAATCCAATACGGCGAGATATGCAGCCTGAATCTCCTTCGCCTCACCAGCCGGCGAGAAGACTTGGTAGGAAAAGGAAAGCAAAATTTCAAATGCACTTGATGAATCCACGGACAATCTTGCGTTGGGGTCGGCTCCATGTTCGAGGAATACTTGGACTAAGCCGTCCACGAACGCGGCGCGGAATCTGGGCACATTTCGGAAGGAATTCGCTGTGTTGTCTGGAAGTATCTTGGATAAGAATTCCTGCCATACTGTTCTCAAACCCCCCAGCATCAATTGATTGGGATCATGGCCGTTTTGGAGAAGACAGGTCAACTTCTGCGATGCTTGTTCTGGCCAGACGTTGCAGGGAAATGCCGGGAAAACAGCTTTCCACAGAGCAGGTTGATCAAAGCCTGAGAAGTAGACCGGGCACCCCGGAAGCTTTCTTGACAAATATCCTAACAAGGGCATGTCCAAGACAATCTCTTTAAACAGAGTGTCTAAGCTGTTGATCTCAAAGGCTTTGGTTAGTTCCTTGTGGTTGAGAAATTTCAGGGAGACAGATGACATGAGAGTGGAGACTGTATAATCCATATCGTCGATGACGTTGTCAAGCGCAGTTTTGTCCACAGAAGTCTCCATCTCGGCGGCAACTGCATAGCAAAGGGCTTTATGTATGCCGCGAGCTAGCATTGACTCATATAGTGAGCCGTTTTCGAATCCAGAAGTGGATATGCTGATAGAGAATTCGCCGTCGTCGATGCCAGCCGACTTGATCCAGGGAACGTGAGCTTCTAGAATTGCAAGACTGGGACTGAACTTATGACTTGACTGGGTACGGAGAAACTCAATCATATCCTGGGTTCTCAAGAAGTCTACCAGAGTTCTGTGAAGGAAATCAACCTGGCCTAGGAAGTTCGGTTCAAGAAGGCCTCGGCATATGCCGTTCAGACGTCGGATAATTTCTTCGCGACGAAACCGTAGAATCTCCCCGCCGTTTTCATAGCCTGGCATATTAATTGCGCAGCCAATCTCCACATCATCGATGTCGTCGTGGAAACTATATATGACGGCATCCAAAGGCCCCTTGGCATAGAGAGCTATTTGGAGAGTTTCTGCCATCCTCTCTCGATAGATTGAAGGCACCGATTCCAGGATCGCCTTGAAGAAAGGTTCCAAGTCCGAGGAAAGCTGTCCAGCATTTTCCTCAAGTGCGAAAAGCTATCGCCATTGGTCAAACCCTCCCTCAACAGCCTAGTCATGATAGAAACCCAGAGAAATACACCTTGAGACCGGTCGGCAATGCATTCAATGAGTTCCTCGGCTCGCCTAGACTGGGTTTGCAGGACTCTCCAGCGCGGGTGCTCAGATAAACGAGATCTGGCGAATCGGAGGATATCAAGTCTGGTCAGATCGTGGATATAGAGCTTGCGATGAGCTTTTTGGCCGAAACTGTCCTCAAATATGTTCCAGGGCCGACTTGAGAGACACATCTTGACATTTGGAGCATGGAGCTTTGCGATCAAAGCCTCGCAAAAGTCCATCATGTCCAGGTTGGCGCTCGGAATTTCGTCAAGACCATCAATAAAAAAACAGAATTTTCGATCTGTCAGGTTTTGCAATGGAATTGCCTCTAGTGTCGACCAAAGCTCTGGAAGAGTCCACGCAACTTGGTCGTTCTCATTGCTCAATGTCCAACGAGACTCGCAGGCAGCTTCGATGAGATCTGGGCAATGTCGGAAGATTTCGTAAAGCAGATTCTGGAGCAGGCCTTGTTGCGACTTTTGCATCTCAGTCCCTGGACTCCATAGGTAGTGGCTGGCTATTATCACCGGAAGCGGGTGTGACCACTGGGCTAGAGCTGAACAGGTCGTTGGGTGATCTGCCAGAAACTTCATGAATGTCGATTTGCCGGACCCTGGCTTTCCTGCCACCCAAAAGTGTTCTTGGCCATTAATGAGCCAATCCAGTAGGGCACTGGATTCCCCTTCTTTGTTGGGCTCAAACACCCACTGAAATGTTTCTCGGTGAGCAATGGGTATGCTGACATGTCTAACCTTTTGATTCTCAAAACGGAGGCTGCGCAAGATGGACATCTCCCGACCAACTTTGCGCTCTGAGATTCCAAGTTGCAGCATTGAACGCTCCAAACGAGACAGCTGCGTGGGTAGAGAGTCTGTAGGCACTGAAGTGCCCTCTGACCCTCGTTGTCGTTCGATGAGCGTCTGAAGCATAGACTCGATGGATTTTATCTGGACGCTCTGCTGAATGCCGAGATACTCACTTTCTTTCTTCAGCTTTACCAATTCTCGAAGATAGATGTCGTGATAGATACTAATGCATTGTTAGAAGTAGTAGCGACACTTCCGTATTGAGTGACTTGCTTCGATATGTTGCACATTTGTATCGTCACTAGTCTTTGCAACCTCTCCAGGCTGTCCTCAACCTGGGCAATCTCGTCTCGTTTCCAAAATAGCTTCAAGACCGCGCGAAAACAGCTCCAACGGGAGCCGGGGTTGCTGGTGGCCTTGATTTTCCCAACGATTGTGAGTAGTTTGCTGCAATCGGAGTCACAAGTGTCCAGCAAGTTTCCCAGTGACGCATAGGAATCCTGTAGAGTTGAAAACGGATTCTCTGTAGCCAGGTCCTCGTCAAGTGAACCCAGAAAAATGGTCGTCGGGCTCCATTCGCCCTGGGAATGGATCGACCTGCTAGGCTCTTTTATGTGTGCAGCCTTTTTAGCTGCGTTGCTCACATTGAGACTGACGGTTTTCAGCTTCAAGTAGATGTTCTCGAGACTCATAATCTCAGAGGAGTCGCTCGTCGCGGAATTGCATAATGTGACAGTACTGGTCAGGATTTTGGAAGTGATTGTGATGAATTGGACTATAGCGGCGGCAACACCGAGTGCGGACACTGGATCCATGGTGCCAACTTGTGGAAGATGATAGAGCGTCCAAGGATGCAAAGAAGCCAAGCCGGCTGACAGTGAGGGATTTTTGAGTATACCTGTCCATCTCATTGGACTGTGAGCCTGTACGAAACCTCTGATTGATCGATATCCTGGCCTTAGTCAGGCGGCGTGTCAGATGACATAAAACGCCTCGCGAAAAAGAGGGGGCCGAGCCATCTTAGATGAAGACAATCAACAGATTCAGGATTCACACCGTATTGAGCATGAATCCCTGGATCGAATGTGTCGTACGCTATCCCACAAATGCTTTATGCTAAAGTAGCCTGAAGGTTATGGCTAGAATAATTCCAAGCCCAGTTATCCAAAGTACACATCGTGACACTCCATTTCACCCTCCATGACCCTACTAATCGAAGCTAGGTTCTGGGTACGTAAGGGCTATTGGGTCCTGAATCATCAAGGTGAAGTTGGGCAATGCCGTTCTTCTCTCATTTGCCTTGGCAATCAGTGCCACAACTGCCAGTTCGACGCCCCAAGCTACTGTCGGAAATTTCCAGAGGTGGATTTCACGGGAATTAAGTACGGCCGTCATTGATCCGAAGAATCCAAGCCAAAAGATCGGAGGCTCTTTTTTGGGTAATCAATATTTCCTCGATTCTGGCGAGTTGAAGAAACATCACTCCTGAACGTCGCAAAACTGGTAAGTGGCGAAGACGAGCTGGTGCTTCTAGCATCTCTTGGGTGCGGTTTTCTCGTTCGTTCTCATAAAACTTCGCTAAATCACCGGCTCCCTAATTCAGAATCGGGACGCTGATACCTTCATCAACATAGACTGGAGCTGACACCGTCACCGAAGTAGCAGCTGCGAATCCGAGTGACAAGGCCATTGCGATCGGCCTGGGGTGTTAGTCTCGCTGCAACAATGGCACGACAACTAGTCCTCTTAACGTTTTTTAATGTCCTTTGCATCAACATGCGGCTAATGTCATTATACAGGCTGTAAAACTCGAAGGGTGTCGTCGTACCATTGACGGTACTAGACCATATTCCCACCTGACTCAAAATGGCCAAGAGGCTTAGAGCAACCCATAGAATTGATACCTCAATTATTTCTGGCCTAGTGGATCAAATCAGTAGGATTACTGAAGGACCTGGCAGCACCACTACAGACGCGGCTGGAGTTGTGAAAGCATTGAGTTCACAGCTAATCAGGGCTGGATAATTTTGTCAGGAGTCGGCCCCGTATACGCATGTCACGAGATAATAATCATTCAGTATGTGGTGGCGAATGTTGAACCATGGCTTGTCACGAACTAATACAACATGTTGATGGTAGATCAGACTGGAAGTGGATATTGGGAAGCTTGGAGAAAGATGTATTCCCCAAACATGTTCGGATATTCCTGCCTTTAACGGGGGACAGTCGTAATGAAAGTGAAGCCTGCGACTGCACCGCCTTCTTTTTAATAATCCAAGTTACGCGTTGAGAAGCAAATCTCTGTCGGAATTATTTTAGTACTGTGTATGAGGAAACATTATTTCACAGGATATAAATATCATATGCTACATTTATGAAATCTATTAATGAATAAATATTATAATATAAATGAAATTTCCAAGTAATTTAAGGCATTAATTTTAAAAAGTAGAGTTCTACTACTTATTTGATACATAGAAAGATAAGTTATTTTTCAAATAAAGTCTCAGTATCAAATCGATAGTCAATCTAGAAAGCATAGTATAATTTCAATTCCACTCAATAGAATTACACGACTTTATAGGAACCGTATTCAATCCAATATCAAATCCTAGACTCGTCCTCATTTAATACCTCAAACAATAATTGTATATCTCAGAAACTCAACTGATGACTACTTCATTAGGCTGGCTCTCTTTTCCAACACCTTTGAGATAGCAGGTCTCTCTCTCATTCTCGTCAACCAAGCAGCCATATTAGGGAATTCCTCTGAAACCTGAACTTTATGCGCAAATACTCCTGGGACCGCCGTATTATACCACTGGAAAAACGCAAGAATGAACCATGGGAGAAACGCAACATCTGCATAGCTGTACTTTCCACCCACAAGGTATTCGGATCCCTCCAGAGCTCTGTTTAGCACTCCGCAAACCCTGCGTATCTCGTTCACATAGCGATCTTTGGCGGTTTCGACCTGTTCTGGGTGATATCTGTCGAACCAGATTGCCTGACCGAAATATGGTCCTTGCCCGGACATTTGAAAGTGCAGCCATTGCTTCGCATGAAAGTATTCGGCGGTACCAGGGGCGAAACTGATCTTGTTCGTCTTGTCGTAAGTTTCCACAAGATATTCGATGATAGCGCCGGATTCCCAAAGAGTTATGCCAGTGTTAGGGTCTTGAAGGGCAGGGACACGGCCATTGATGTTGATTTTCTCGAAGGGCGGTTTCTTCATGTCGGGGAAGTCGATGAGTTTCGTGTCGTACGAAATGTCGAGCTCTTCGAGCACAAAGGCCACCTTCCACGGATTGGGGCCGGCGATGGTGCTCCAAAGAGTCAAACGCTGCATCTGATCGGAAGGCATTTCAAATACTGATGAAAATTATTGGCTGAGGGCGGCTTTCAAACGATTGGCTCTTTTGAAAAAATATGATCACGAGTGGAAAGAGGTTGATTGTAGTTGTATTGTTATCTCTCTTTCGGTTGGGCGGAATGGCGGAACCTACTTATCTACTCTGCTCCATTAGCACCTCGATGGAATAGTGTAAAGAGCAGCCATTCAAAGTTGATACATCATTAGGAGCTGATAAATCAGTCAAAGCTGATAAATCATTCAAGGCTGACAAATTGTGAGGCTGATTCAAGACCGGTGGGATATCTGGGGTATCTGGACGCGCGCTTTTCTGCAAGTTGATTGTGGAGAAGTTGAACAGAGAAACACAACTCCATCGTGGTTATTTCCCCCTCTGCCAGGACCATCAGGGTTTAGTTAGAACCGGAACGGAGCCTTAAGGTTTCACTAGGGGATTGAACTTACTCGGATCAGTCTGGAGATAACACACCTAAAGTCCGGCCAATGACCGTCGAAGTAACCGACGGCCCCCCCTCGCAATGTCCGGATGGCTACTCCGTAGCCCCTTTGGTAATGGAATTTCCTCAGGTGTATTAGTAGACACAGAACGCTCCTTTTGTTTTCACGGACACTCTGTTGCTAGAACCGTGTGAGAGCTCCTCCAACTCTGACTATGCCAACGACCTTACACGCAGCCTCATCCTCGCACTCACATCAAGCATCGCTCAAGGAGTATCCTTTAGGAACAATCGAGCTGGGGAGTTCTGTTTGTTTAGCTGGATTTAAAATAGTCCCCCTGAAAAAAGGCGGCTTGATTGTACATAGCACAACGATCCCCTTTCTACTGTTGACCGCCTAACCCAACCAAGCTGGTGATTATCAGAGGTTTACAACCGCACCTCCTACGGCACGCATAGCGAAGCATCAGCGACTTCAGCGTCAGGTTTCGGGGAGAAGGCTCCCTCTGTACCAGCAACGCAACGTATTTGCGTTGCAATGTAATGTATCCGACGGGGAAATGGATCAGTCAGATTCACAGTTGAAACCACGGATTTTTAATTCCAAAAAGTCCTGTCTTAATAGACCAAGCCCAAAATAGATAAAGTTCACTACATGAGTTAGGCTGCTTAGTATAACCCACATACAGCAGAGACTGGGATGAATGTCGGTTAACTCTAGTTCACGTTTTGGGCTAGGACGTGGCCGGGGTAAGCGGGTCATCGGCCTTTGTTCGCGACGCGAGGAAAAAGCCGATGGGTTGGTACAGTGATGCGTTGCCTCTGCGCCTGGACTATGTACTACGCTGGTCCCCCCAAGCCATACGCAGGAAGAACGAGCTAACATCGCGACTGTTTCATGGTCGCCGGTTATCTTCTACGTGTCCACTGGTCCCTAACTCGCCGTCAACTTCTTATGTTTCCAGTCTCTTGTTGGGAGATTCCTTACCAGCATTTTCGCCAGTACGACGACGTCAAATGTCCCGGGCGTCATTGCAATGTTTGGGACACGACTGACCAAGGGAAAGCCACGGTCATCTCTCAAATTATGTTTCAAGTCCGACCGGCCGTCGGCCTAGTGATTTAATTGACGTCTTTCTCAAACTAACCTCCCAGTGACGTTGGTGCTTTCTAGTAATATCACAAAGACCACTCCATAACGAACGAAACTACCTTGACATCAGATATAACAATTCGCAGCGCCTCGCCCTCCTGCTCGACTTCTACTTGTGCTCCGCAGCCTGTCATTTTCGCACCGTCTCCCCAGGCAATATCGCACCCGTCACGTTTCAAGACCCACGGTCCTCGTCCGAAAACTCTCGACAGGACGACAGAGCCGCTGGTGTTTGTCTCGTACACGGCAAGGTCAAAAAGCAACGCGGGCCGTGACGACATGTACACGGCGCGGTAAACATCAATCGAAAAGTCAACTTCTGTCAAAGCAGGCTCCTTATAATGCGCCTTGTTCCTCGGGGACCACGGCTGCGAATACAGCCGTTGGAACCCATTTGGCACGTTGAGTCGGGCAAGCGGCAAGAGTGCGTTGGCTTGGATGGGCGGACTTAGGATGTAGCGACCGTTTTCATCGAACATGGAATCGTTTCGCGGATACGTGAGGCCGCCGTTCTGTAGCCCAGGCGAGAAGTTCTTGTCGGCGTAGGCGAGCAACCTGTTCAATGTGTCCTTGTCACCCATTTCTGCAGCGAGAGCAGCCACCCAACCGAACTCTCCGCTCTTCAAAAGCCGTGTGGTATTTAGGGACATGGCCGCTGCCAAGTTCACCTTGACTGATAGTGTGCCGTCTTCATGGTGGACCAGCCACTTGTCTCTCTGGCGCTTATAGTTTTCGTTGACGAAGTCGGGGTTCCACGAGTGCATCAGCGTAGCGCACCACGCATCCATCCCAGGCCCTGGGCTTGGGATGATGTGCGGTTCATGCAGCGTCACGAACAATTTGAAGTCTCCTTTCTCGTCGAGGCTGCCTCCATAATCTTCCCACGCCTTGATGTAACCTGCCGTCGCCTCATTCGCGGTATTGCCTCCGTTGAGTTCGTCATGCAATCGGAAGCCTATGATTGGAGGCTGGTTGCATATCTGGAAGACACAGTAGGGCTCGCAAGGCACACCCAAGAACCCGTGTTCAACCATATTCCAGTAAACCACCTTGTTTAGCGAGTTTTGATCATATTCAAAGCGGAAGCCCTCGGTCTCTCCCCAAAAGTACGGCTCGTACTTCAACGTCAATGCTCCGGGGTTCGTATAGCGGTCGTCATCGAACAGGCTGTTGAACAGGAGTGTCATGGTCTGCAGGTACGCGCTGTACATGATGTTGTCTTTTTCGACGGGGTTCACGCTCCCCTCGCTCCTCGGCGTTTGAGCAGGACCTCCTCCGGTGCTAGCATCCCGCCAGTAGTACCAAACATCAGGGTGACACATCTTCTCAATCATGCGTTCAAATGTCGGCTTGAACAGACCAGGAGCGGCTGGTAGACGATGAAAATGTGCGAGCGCGAGACTGTAGGCAGCATAAGCCAGCTGGAATCGATAGGCGCCAAACCCATCATTGAGATCAGAAGGGCCCATCATGTTCGACCAGTCGCCCTTGAGTTGTCGGGCAAGATTTCCAATGTGTCTGATGCTTGTAACCTGCTTTTTGTCCAACAGGTCAAGGCTTTCCTGTTTATTGCCATTCAGCCCTTTGGAAACAGTTTCTTTCGTCGAATCGGTAGCCAGCTCATTGTCAAGCTCGTGGGTGTTTGGCTGGTCCAAGTTCTGAGCCAGTATTTTCCACATTCGCTCAACAACCCCTGATGCATCAACACTATCCATTAGATGATCCAATAGGCGACCGTCTGGACCGACTACATAAGTAATTGCGGTGTGTGGAATAGAGTAACCTCCTGGAGCGTTGTCGTCATCTCTGCGCTTAGCGAACACCCGAAAAGCGTCTCTAGCAGAATTGACTTGTTCTTTCGTGCCAGTCAGTCCTGTGAAGACTGGTGCCCGATCTGCCAGGAACTCCTTCATGACGTCAGGACTGTCACGCTCCGGGTCGACCGATATATAAAGAGGAACCACGCGGCTTGCAGCCGGTCCAAGCCGGTTAACGGCTTCCGTCAGACGTTCAAGGGCGCGGGGGCAAACAAGCTGGCAGTTGGTAAAGCCGAAGAAAACAAGTAGATGCTTGCCGTAGAAGTCGGCAGTACTGACTGCGCGCCCGTCATGGTCAATGAGCGAAAACAACGGCTTGCTGGGTAGATCAACGTTAAGTGTCATTATGTAGCTTTCGACCAAGGATTTCAAGTTAGAATGAAGCGATCAGAACTGAGAAGTACAAGATTTACGTTCTATTTCTCCTCTCGCCAAGCGTATTCCCACCTTTATATTGTGGGCTTGACCTTGTGCGTGTTTCGCCTAGACCAATCATTAGACCTTCCGAACCTCGGACCGCCTCATCGTAGTTGAGTGTGGCCCTCATACTTCAAAATATGACGGAGAGCCTGCGGCCGGAAGTTCCGTGCTCTAGACTTGTCCCTTCCTTCCGAGTTCAAGTTGGTATGAGGTCTCGAGATCTGGACTTCAAATGAATCCCTAACCCTGTTCGTGATAGCAGGGGTTGCAACGCCCTTAACTATACCTGGTGGGGAGGGTAACTCTCTTTAAAGGTTACACGGCACACAAATCCTTGGGGTCATCATAGATTTATAATTCCGCGAATGCCGTCAGATTCCGTGGTGTGCAGTAACGTAATCACGGAGATCGGACCGTTTGTTTTAGACCCTAAATTGTGATGCTAGCGGGCGCCAACACCTCGGTCCGGACCCCGCCTTTGACCGTCTCACACCGTCTTATTTTGCAAGCCTACGTACGCAATATCCAATATTGGTTTGTCGAGCCATTTCCGGCTGCGATAACGAGGTCGAATGCATGCTCTCCTTTTTTGTGCGGAAATGCTTGGGGCCTTTGAGACATCATTGCCCTCAATCAACGTGAGACATTGCATTTTATGTTGCCCAACTATTTTCTGGAACACAATAGAACTTGATGGTGTGCACACACTGTTTCATTGAATTCAGCCTTGAATTTGACATTTTGTAAAGCTCACAGTCCCGAGTTCCCCCCTCTCCCCCCCACCCTCCCTCCTCTAGCACTTGGGGTTACAAGTCGATTGCATTTCTTCGGGCTTGTAGCGATATTCTCCAGCTGACTTGATGTCACCAAAGATGCAAGTAGAATGCTCGTCTATTGACTAATTAATGTCGTGTCCGCCACGAACCATAAGCTTAATAAAATCAGGAAACCAGAATGCCTTTCCAAACTCCTTCATAGTTAGCAGATCTTCAATGAAAGTGCCAGTGTTCCTTGACTTGAAGATCAGCTTAATCTTCTCTTTAGGTAGAGTATCTTTTGTCAAAACAGCCTCAGCCTCCATTTTAAATCTGGAATAGCGCTCATTCAGACGTTAACGTGATTTGATATTCCATCGTGGCCTTCTAGCCGCACATGAAAGGATGGTAAGTATATATGACATTTCCAGTGTAAATTGGGTGCCTAGAAGCAGTGTATAGGCCTTGATTGGGTCATCTGAGGCATGTCGCGGAGACATGGTAATTAGCTCCAAATTGCGGATTCCATCCCGGTCGGTCCGACCTCCGATGTTTGGCCCGGGAAGCTAGAGCTCCAGATTATACGGTACGAGATGGACCAAATAAGTAGGGCTTTCATTCCGCAGCCATTCCGTGACTACAATATGTAGATCCTTTAGCATCCGTAACATAAACATGGCAGACCCATCAACCTACAGCCTCGACGCTTTGCAGGGAGCAGACTCTGCCTATGACGCCAACCGAAACCTTTCTCTATTGAACGGGCCCAAGGAGCCAGAACTTCTTCTCAGTACTCTTGGTTCACTAATTGAGGAGCAAGCCGTGGCTTTCGGCGACCGGTGCGCAGTCTCGGTACCATGGCAGTCCACCCGTTTATCCTATCGAGATCTTGCCGATCGGAGCAAGGTCGTGGCAAAGGCTATGCTCGAGATGGGCGTTCGTCACGGGGATTGCATTGGAGTTATGGCTGGCAATTGCTTCGAGTATATTGAAATTTTCTTCGGGGGCTCACGTATTGGCTGTCCCGTCGTCGTCATCAATAACACCTTTTCTCCAGAGGAGCTGGCCGCCGCAGTGACCCGTGTCAGTAAGTCAACCATCCTTTGCATGCCCGGAAGCTGGCCGGAAGCTAAATTCTGTTTAGACTGTAAGTTATTATTCATAGCTTCCACAATCGGCACCCGATCGTGTCAAGGACACATCGAGAAGCTGGTCCAGCTTCCCGTCGCAGACACGCACCTCAAGTGCCTTGTTGCTCTGGGAGACAACTATGTGGACCATGGGAACGGGGTTGAGGTCCAGTCCTACCACAACTTTCTTGGCAACGCGCATTCGATTTTCATGAACGATGCCGTCCTCAGGCGAGCCGAGCGCCGAGTAAAACCATCTGATGTGCTGAACCTACAATTTACTTCCGGTACGGTCGTTTACCTGTTAACGCTAAGCCGTAGTATCTAATGGTGTAACCAGGAACTACTGGCGTACCTAAAGCCGCTTCTCTCACACACTTGTAAGCACATCATGTTTCCCTCTAGCAGATCAGGAATCTCACCCACATATCTGCTACTAGGAACTTGATCAACAATGCCCGATTTGTCGGAAACTCGATGAAGCTCACCAAAGACGACGTGGTTTGCTGCCCCCCGCCGCTCTTCCACTGCTTCGGACTTGTGATGGGGTTATTGGCATCGTTTTGCTACGGGAGCTCAATCATCTTTCCGTCCGATACTTTTGACGCTCAAAAGACCATTGACTCGGTGGTTGCGGAGAAAGCCACCGCGTTGCTTGGCGTGCCTACCATGTTCATCGCCGAGCTGGAAGTGCTCGAAAAGAATCCCGTGAAGATCACCACGGTGCGGACTGGCCTCGCCGCAGGATCTCCCGTGCCCAAGATCCTCATGGAAAACCTCCGTGAGAAGATGAATATTCAAGGAATGTTAATTGCATATGGAATGACGGAGACGAGTCCGGTAACATTCATCACATCGCTGGAAGACCCAGAGGAGAAGATGCTCAACTCGATCGGACGAGTTTTACCTCACACGGGTGCCAAGATCATTGATATCAATGGAAACATTGTACCAGTTGGAGGTCGTGGCGAGATTTGTACCAGTGGGTTTGCACTACAAAAGGGCTACTGGAACGATGAGGCAAAAACCCAAGAGGTGATGAGACCAGATGAAGACGGCGTCATGTGGATGCACACGGGAGACGAGGGCTTCATCGACGCGGAAGGATACGGGCACATCACGGGCCGCATCAAGGATATCATCATTCGCGGTAAGCATTCCTTGGCGTGTCGAAAAGCCATTCGTACTGACAATTCCCGCACAGGAGGCGAGAACATCACTCCACATGAGATTGAGAACCGTTTGCTCGCCCACCCCATCATCACGGAAGCTTGCGTCGTCGGCCTCGCAGACGAAAAATACGGTGAGGTTGTTTCATGCTTCCTAAAGGGCTCAGGGGACCAGCCCAAGACACTATCGGATGGTGAAGTCCGCGGCTGGGTTGGGCAAGTGTTGGGCCGAGTCAAGTCTCCTCGACATATTTTCTGGCTGGGTCACGGAAGCGTCCAAGGCGATCTTCCCAAGACTGGGAGCGGCAAGTATCAAAAGCATTTGATTCGGGAGATTGGTAACGCGATTTTGAAGAGAGGAGCAGGCGTGCGAGCTAGACTTTGAGATGACCATAGTATGGGGAGCACGGTGGGAATCTGGGTTCATCGCCGAGATGCTATCTGCTTTGTAGATTTTTTTTGGTTAGGATGTTTTGGCGAGGAATAGAGTGGGGAGCATTTGAAGCCGAGAAGTGAGACATAATTGCGTAGAAGCTAAGCCTCTGTTGATCAACGCGAAATACAGCCGTTGCCTCTACACTATCTCCCCATCGCATCAAATGGAAGAACGGCCCCCGTTTGACGTCAGCTTCTGCAATTCAGTTGGCTCCAATACTACGTACACTAAACCAGACACTTGACCAAAAGAGGACGGCGCTTCGTGTCCTATTTCTCCATCCTTTCCGAATGACCCGGAATGCCAACCCCGCAAGTTGCAGCTTCTTCTATTTGTCGATTGTTCGGGTTCGGTCCGAGATGAGGTGTAGTCTAGTCTGAATGAGGAATAGTCAAAATTATGCCCTTGTCGTTGCGGAGGGCGGACCGAGAGGACGAGGCTCAGTTCACTCACTCTGAAGATAGCTTCCTGGAAACCAACCAATACCAGTTCAGATTTAATTCAATCGAGGAGCATATAGAGCATCTCATAACAGGTAAATAAGGAAGGTTTTGTGATAAATGCCTCCTGGACACAATGCATTCTGGTCCTGCCTACCCTATAGCCGTGAAGGATCAAAGCTCGCTGAAAGTGGTGCTGGGTGTGACCACTCAAGAATGAACTTTTACGGCCCGACGCCTATCTGGACGTCGATACACATAAATACACATAGAGAGAGATGCACTGAGATCTGAAATCAAATATATCCGTAACTTACGGGGTCTTCACAGCATAAGTGATTTATGGGTGATTCCATTTATTGACAACCTCAAATATTTATTTGAAGGTAAAGGAAAAGTAAAAAAAAAAAGAGGGACATTTCTCTAAATAATATTACTCCAAGAACTGTGCTCATTATAGTATAGCTAGGTATTAATTACCTCAATCTCCATTTAGTTAAGTCTCTAGCCTAAGGCTTCGCCTTTCATAGATATCCACACTATTTTATTAATAGAGGCAGCCCTGTCCAGACACCATGGACTACACCGGATCGCCTGTTTCTCACTGAACCACCTGAAGATTCAAATTTTGGAGACGGAAAGTGATTCTAGCATAATGTTCCACTGTTGCTTGTATTGTCGGAACTAAAATAACTCAAATGTAGATACCACAGAGCCCAAAGGTAAATAGACCCCTGCCACAGTCAGAGGCCCCCATATCAGAAAAGAAAACTTGGCGGGATTCCGACTGTGCCGGGAAATACTATAATCAGATGTGTACGACAGCTCTTTGATCGCACACAATACTGACTACACGCTCTCCATGCACCTAAGTTCCTGTGATGCCAACTCCGAACCTCTGGTTGTTAACCAACTCGAAACCCCTAACCTGGCCGTTACGCGTGCACGAATCCATGATGCGGCCACCAGTACGCGCAACGTTCTGGCTGGTTACTGTTAGAGCGGTCCAATCCACAGCGCTTCTTGAATCCTGCCGATATGGCACTTACCAGCTGTCCGTCGCGGGTGCGTTATTACCGCCGCCTATCTGACCCCAAATCCTCGCGCCGCGAATGCGTCGGAAAAGCTGTTGACTACCGGAATGGACAGTGCAATCCCTGCCTCCAATGCTGGCCAGGTAGTTGATACACTCAGCCGCATCGCCAGCCTAGACCCAGTGTTAGTTGAGTGCGATGCTCTCTGTTAGCAGCTTGAATAATGGAATTACCGGAGCCGAGTCTTGAACATTATCGTAGCAATACACGCGCTTCTCTAGGGCTCGGGCCTCGAGATCTGCTAAGAAATATCAGGCTGCTGATATCGGCACCTTTGAAATGTTTTAGCAGACTTACCAATGTCCGTGCTGTTTATAATTGCTTCGTGAGCACCAATTGCCTCGTCAGGAGTAAGATGTTCGCCCTCGGGATTGGCAATGATATTCTCAACCCATTGCTCGAACGAGACAAAGGAGGCAGCTCTGGTCTTGGACCGGGGCTCGATAACGATAGCCTCCCCCACCGAGAGGAGCGCCAGGAGAGACAGGGAGAACTTCATAGCGAAAGTGGCTCGGACAAGGGGATCTATCTTCAAAGGACAAGGTAAAATCTGAACTTGAAAGCTTCTGTCTGAGTTCAGAGTATGAAGGGCATGCCATATGCCTTCTATTTATACTTGAGTCAAGCCGCCAAGGCAGGTGTTGGTTCAAAGCCGGAGAAGGCCGAAAGACCGAGCTGTCAGCAACGTGACGGCATCATGCACAGCCTCAATCAAACTGCCACATTAATTGGAAAAAGCGCTGTTGAGGCCATCGGATATGGCAGCATGTGCCGCCACCGTTTTACAAGGTCTGACCAGAAGGAGGCGACGCACGACATTGAGGGTGGTGTAAAATATCCCTGTACTTGCGGTAGGCATGTACTACGTAGTACTGTTAAGTGCGAGGGTGCAAGTAGCCACGCACACCATACCTGGTCTTCTGGTCACTGCCAAAATATTCTCTTATGTTTCCAAAATTACACTCTCTTATTCGTCTTGGCTGAGGGCTCCACAGTGATCTACATGTCAGCGTCGCTGCATCTAACCATTCTAGGCTCATCAGCTCATCCATCCCCGAATTTAGTCTGCAGATCATGTCGCTGCATCTAACCTTTATAGGCTCGACAGCTCATCTATTCCTTAAGCTAATCTGTGGATCGGGGTGGCTATGTTGGTCACTTTTGAACGTCCGATCTGTGTCTTTCAACAAGCATGGAGCCTGCAAATCTTCCGCAAAAACGTCTACTGATCGGAACTACGTATGGTGTCTCAAACCAGGCCCTGTCTTCTGATATCGGTTTACCAAATAAAACAGATCAGTCTCAGTCGCGTCAAAATCATCGGCGACATTGTCATTGCCGCCACGACTGTCAATGTAACTTAATGGTGCTAAAGTACTAGCGCTATTGGCAGGAGACGAAGGTTTGGTGCTTGGCTACCTAACGCTTTACAAGTTAAACCGTTCCTTACTGGGATAATAAGGTGTTCTGTTTTATCATCCAGTCCTATTATATCAGAGCCGGATCTTCTTGGAGGGGTTTGGTTTCAGTCCGCGCAGACCGAGTAACCATTGCCATGGACTTACGAAGATGTATGCTTGCACCAAATCCAATTTAAGATAGAATTTATAAGGTCAAGATACCCGTTGAAGGTTTGATAAAGCTAAAAGTTCATAATAATGAGCGTATTCATCCTAAATAAAATTTCACAAAATTGAGCTCTTTGGATGTTTGAGGTCCTATTTTTGTACTTTCAATAGACAGTAAAGAGACATAAATTGCCATCACCGAGCACAGCTCTTAGTAGGTTATTGGCCACACTAAAAAGGCCTTGCCAAATCTCCTAGCTTGAGTATCCAAATCCTCGCTGCCTTTTTTCGCGTAGCTACCAACGGCCGATTAAGCGACAGGTTGCAGGATGATCTGAGTTCGGCCGCTAATCTTTGCCTCAGTGTAAGCCTTACCAGCCTGGTTTGCAACAACAGACCCTCCAGTGCTGAGCTTGTACTCCTTGTGGGGAATCAAGCGGTCGAAACCGAGTCGGAAAACACCAGGCTCCTTGCCGTTGTAAAGCACAAGGTCAAGCTGCTTTCCATCAACGCTGTAAGCCTTGGCCACGAGGACATCGGGAAACGCCGCGTCCTCCAGCAAGGGACCCTGGAGTGCCTCATCTGGAGGGCCGTGTAGAGTGGCGTTGGCTAAGTCGCGCTGCTTGACAAGGCGTGCCATGAGGGCGATGACCTGAGTGGTAGCCGAGAGACCCTTGTTGCGCAGAGATCCTGTCTTGGTGGCTTCAACCGGGAAGTAGATGTTGTCAAGCTGATCAAGAGCCTCCTCGCGGATCTTCTCGTTGCCAAACTCAGCAGCGGTGGCGGCAATAAAGGCGCGCAGAGGACCCTCTCCGGCTCGGTAGTTTCCGGGATCCATTTTGTCGGCTCCCTTGAGGTCCTTGACCTCCAGTTGACCCTTGCTGTCGTACTTGAGGAACTCGGTTCGAATCATAGCCCAGTTGCGGTGCGCGAGATGGGGGAGATAGGCAGTCAAGAGCATGGCGTTGATGCAGTCAGTCAGAGTTCCGCAGAGGCCAGGAAGCTTGATTGAAAAATCAGTAAGGTAATCTCAAGGGTGAGAAGGTTCACTTACAGTTAGTCCAGTGAACTCGCTGCGGATGGGAAGAATTCGACCGTCGCACTCGGTAAACTCCTCTTCAAGAGATCGCTCAAACCGATTGCGAATTTTGGACCCGAGATCACGTCCAAGGATACGGTCAGAGATAACCAAGCCAGCCATTCCGGTAAGACTGTAGGATAGATGGTCAGTGATTTCTTTTTCCGTAATGTAGAGTCCTTGTCATTTGGGGTGTACACACTTGCAAAGGGAGTAAGTCCAGTTGGGCTCGCAAGGATACAAGCAGTACGGGTTCTCGGTCATGTTGTTGTGGAGCGCATCTGCAAGACCTTCATAGTTGGTCTTGTAGTGCTTGCCATCATCGATAACAAATTCCAGTGCATTCTTGCGGTGGTACTGGCGATCTCCAGAAGCCTGCTCGTAAAGTCCAATGGCGGAGCTCAAGTATCCAGTGACCATCTAAGCACTGGTCAGACGCTTGAACAAGCCCATGGAGGGTAGTGAACTTACAATGTTGTCCTTCTTGATTGGGTCCCAGTCACTGAAGGTAAACCTGCCGAAGATGGACTCCCACTTCCAGTATCTTGGATCCAATGTCAGAACTATGCATATCTTTGTATGATAAGACGAAGACTTACGACATGATCCGCTTCTGCAGACTCTTTTCGATGCAATTCTGCGACGCCCGAGAGAGATAGCCGTGGAACCCGGGCGCATAATGGCACTGATACAGGCTAAGCACATCGACAACGCCATAAAGCTGATAGCGGACTGCGCCTGTCTGGAACTGATCGATAACATCGTGATAGCTAAAATCATCACGAGCACTGAGGCCGCGCTCAAGCATGTGCTGAACGTGTCGGAGGGTCTCAAGAGAAAGCTCTCGGGAGCCAGGTGCAGGAGCGGGGGTAGCATCAGCAAGCTGCTCCTGGACGGCTTCGACAAGATACTTGTTACGCTCTTGCGCCTTGGAATATCCAGCCGCGTTGAGGGAGCGCGCATTGCTCATGAGCCAGAAGATGCCAGAGTAGCAAAAGATGGCCCACAGAGCAGCGGAGGATTCAAACAGGGTATCCGAGGCAAGGTAGCCAGCGGTAATGCTAGATCCCACCCATAGCGCGATAGGGAAGAAGATGCCGCCCATGGCAAACCAGATGAAGATGGTAACTGGAATCAATACCAAAGTGAGCAGAAACGCTGCCATCGAAGTCAGGCTGGCCACTGCGGTGAGACCAGCTCCTGGAAACAGAGAGCCGAGAGCAGCAGCGCGATACGCCGTGTTATCGAGGTTGTAGAAGGCCCAAAGACCGGACAGCGAAATTGCAGCGTACTGATACAGGGTTCGTCGTTGATGGTACTTTTTAACCAAGCCGCGGCCGGCATGAGGCGGGATCAAGACATCTAGACGGTTGATGTTAGATGGCCTCGTAGACTGAAGAACTCTACAGAAACTTACCCTGGACAGTCCAAGGACCCCAGCTAAAGTCACCAACGGGCTCATTTTGCACTTTGGGCTTGGGCTCGCTCTGCACGGTGGTGTGGCCGTTCATGGCATTCTTGTTGGCCTCCTTGATCTTCTGCGGGTCGTGAGACGGCAACTCAGACACATGGCCATCGTGGAGGCCGTTGGTGGCCGGAATGATCTTGGAAAGCTACAACTAATTGTCAGTGAATGGAACCCATCAAATTTCTTGGGGCTCAGCTGGAAGTGACTGTACCGTGATAGTCGACATGATAGCTTCTTGTGCTCGCTTAGCGTCAAGAGCATGATGGTTTCTCCAATTCAAATCCAGCTCTGGTTCATATAACCTTTGGTGTCTCTGTTTGAAGCACGCTACGGTCCGCCATCTCCGGCCTTGCAGCCACGACGATCCCCAGACCCCGCAAGATGATAGAACGCGGGGTGACGCCAAAATGCGGGGAATACGGGGAAGCTAGGAGTAGAGAACTCAGCTGTCGTCTTATGAAACAGCTCGGAGAGCGGGTCGAAGGTCGGGGGAGCGGAGACGGGGAGGAGGACGCGGAGACGGGGAACGCGTCACGACGGAGGAGGCGGCGACCGGACCGCTAATTGTGACTGCGGCTGGAAGCTGTACTTAATCATTATGAGGAATTGGTCCTTAGATAGCGTTCAGGATTATTCAGTATCGAGCTTTACCCCCGTTGGTCTAAGCATCTGTATCTACAAAGATTATTCCCAGGAATTCCATTTTTCGACCATGACACCCGAGTCCCATCTCACAAAGGCCATCGTGTCACACGCGCCCGAGGATGGAAAACGAAAATGGGTGCTGGAAGACGTGCAAATAACGCAGCCGGGAGAATATGAAGCCATCGTGGAAATGGTAGCTTCCGGCGTCTGCCATACAGACCTTGGATGCGGAACAGCACCAGATGGCACCCCGGGGTTTCCTGTACCCCCATACCCTCGTGTTCTGGGTCATGAAGGTACCGTCTACTATTGAACCAACAACTTGAAGATGAGCTGAAATAAGAGTCAAACAGGCGCCGGATATGTCCGTTCTGTCGGTTCAAAGATCACTAAAGTCAAACCTGGCGATGCCGTCCTGCTCTCTTTTGCGTTTTGCACCAGCTGCCACAACTGCCAATTCGGCGCGCCTGGTTACTGCCACAAGTTCTCCGACCTCAACTTCACCGGTGTGAAGGACGCATTCCGGTTTCCCAAGTCGCCGAGCCAGGAAATCGGCGGCTCATTCTTTGGCCAGTCCAGCTTTGCCAAGCTCACTCGGGTTCAAGAGACGTCGCTTGTCAATGTCAGCGCCTTCGTCAGCAATGATGATGAACTGAAGCTGCTGGCACCTCTTGGCTGTGGCATCCAAGTATGTTCGGATGCACTCACACTGAAGCCAATCAACTGACCGTGGCAACCTTAGACTGGCGCGGGCACAGTGACTGAATTGGCAAATGCAAAGCCAGACGACAAAGTGGCAGTCATCGGCCTAGGTGGTGTAGGACTTGCTGCAATCATGGTACGGAGCCAAGTTCTTTTGATGACTAGATGCTAGGAATTTGCAATGGCTTGGCCAAGTCCACTGGCTAACAACAGATGCAGGCTGCGAAGCTCAAGGGCTGCCGCACCATCATCGGAATAGATCGAGTTCCCGCACGAATTGAACTGGCAAAGAAACTCGGTGCCACTCACGGCATCGACACTTCGTCTGTTTCCAGCCTCACAGATGCAGTACGCAAGGCAACCGGGGCCTCGGGTAGTACCGTTACTGTCGATGCAACTGGTGTTCTCTCGATGATCCAGCTGGGGCTCGAGTTCACCGCGAATCAGGGCAAGATGATATTGCTCGGCGTTGCCCCGATGGGCGCCGGCTTGGAGCTTGCGGTGGTTCCATACATGGTGGTAAGTATCTGTATATTACCATCACTCCCTGGCAAACAGTGAAGCTGACATTTCGCCCAGACGGGCAAGCAAATTATGGGTAGCATGGAGGGCGGCGTCACACCAGAGGAGGTTCGTTCATGCACAAGTTTGCTCCGAGAATAGATCAAAGAACAGTTGTTGACCTTGCGAGCAGTATATCCCCCATATGATCCGCTGGTTCCGCAATGGAGACTTTCCCGTCGACCAACTGGTCAAGTTCTACCCGGTAAGTGGGCTTCACTACTGCAACGCCCAAGCGACTCGGCTATGCTAATACCGATGCCAGGTGGATGATTTCCGAAAAGCCGTGAGGGACATGGAGGACGGTTCGACCATCAAGCCCGTTTTGGTATGGTAGCTGTGGGTTGTCTGCTAGGAACAACTGGGCAAAGGCAGTCCGTCTTAGTGCAAGTTTGTCCCCATCTCAGCTTCCAATTAGTCTGCACAGAGTCAATAAAGCCCCATTATTCAAGCTTCAATTCCATCACTGGCGTATCTGAGTGTTGGAGAGACGCGGGGTATGTTGCATTAGGCGGTCCGCTCTCCGACGGACTCGTTGAAATGATCCAATCAGGAGTCTGTAGAGCACGCGGTCGATGGCCGAGTCATGCGTTCTGAATCGACCTTCAACAAGGGGAAAAGCAGGGGTACATTGGCTTCGTTATCCGGAATTGTGTTATCCAGGCGGGGTTGAAAGTGGAAATGGTAGCTTGGCAAGTAGTCCAATATCTCGCTACTCCATATTAGCTCAGTACTTCGCTTCGTTATCCGGAATCCTTCGTTATCCGGAGTTGTGTTATCCAAGCGGGGTTGAGAATGGAAATGGCAACTTGGCACGTAGCCCGATGTCTCGTCACTAGATCCGTTCAATCATCAGTGGCTGACATCTTCAAACATCTCAGGTTCAGGGAACTGCCGTTCGGCAATCATTGAATTCATTGTGTTCAAAAATCCAACAATATGTTAATTCAGCTCACTACATGCTTGTTGAGAAACAGAGTCTGCACATTACAGAACCCCTTGAGTCCGTTGGCTCCCCATTCGGTACCGAGACCGCTCTCCTTGTGCCCTCCAAACGGCGCCATGGGCGATAGGTCGAAGTGGGTATTGACCCAAACAGTGCCTGCTTGGATCTCCTTGGCAACGCGCTGCGCCTTCTTGATATCATTGCACCATATCGATGCGCCTAGTCCCATCAAGGTATCGTTCGCACGCTCAATCACCTCCTCCTCACTCTTCCAGGAGAGCAGAGGGACGATAGGGCCTGTAATAACAATGGATTAGTGGAGTCCTGAAGCTATGCACACACCCTCCCTGGATGGGTTTTGTAGGAACCCTTGCTTACCGAATGGCTCCTCGACAACGATTCGCGACTTCTCGGGAGGACGGTCGATGATGGTCGGTGTGACGAAGTATCCTGACGACGCTTCAATTTTACCTCCTGTGGCCACCTTCCAGCCTTGCTTTTCAATGTCATCAAAGAACGTCTTGACGCGCTCGTATTGCATGGAATTTTGAAGAGGCCCATGCGAGATACCTTGCTGGGAGCCATCGCCGAGGGTGTAGTTCCTGACGTGCTTGACAAGAGCATCCCTAAACTGCTCATAGATAGACTCATGAACGTAGATGCGCTTCAGGTTCAGACAGATCTAGATTCGCGTCAGCTCACTGTATACCGCCTTGGAATACTATCTTGTTCATAAAGTAAAACATACCTGACCAGAATTCAAAAAGGCAAAGAATGCAACCTGGAAGCATCGTAATCAGCATTGCGCTAAGATGCTCGGGGCCGAAATATATCAAACCTTTTCAGCGACTTTATCAACATCAACATCGGGGAACACGATGGCTGGATCATTGCCACCACTAGTTCAAATGTCAGCCGGCTATCGTTAAAAAGAATGCACACTCGACAGCACATACAGCTCAAGAGTCACTCGTTTCAGCGTCTTGCTCGCACTTTGGAGTACGAGCTTTCCAGTCTGGGTTGAGCCGGTGAAGCTGATCTTGTCAATGCCAGGATGGCTGGTCAACCAGGGACCGAGCCTGTCGTCGCCACTGAGAGACTGCACAACGCCAGGAGGGAAGAACTTCTGGGCTAATTCGACCAGCTTAAGTCCGCAGTATGGAGTAAAGGGGCTATTCTTGGTTAGCAAACAGGTGAGTCGGTTCAAAAAGCGAGATTGAACAAGAAAAGGTGGCTCACGAAGGCTTCACAATGATGACGTTCCCGGTCAACAGAGCTGGCGCAATCTTTCCTGTAGCCAATAGCAAAGGAAAATTCCATGGGATAATTGCTCCAACGACGCCGATGGGAGTGTAGTGGGTGACGACGGTGCGATCTTCAGTGTCCTCGATGACATCCTCCGGGATGGCGATGTTTGCCATGCCGCGGATCCATGCAATAGCAGCATCCGTCTCAGCATCGGCTTGGGGAAGCTGCATTTTCTCACGTTAGAGGCACGAAATATTGCAAGAAGTGGTCTTTTCTCACAGGCTTGCCTTGCTCTGCGACGAGCAGGTCTCTAAACTCAGTCCGCAGCGCGTCTATGGCATCGGCATAAGCCAGAACGGCCTTCCGGCGGTCCTCGTAAGGAACTTTTGACCATGTCTTGAATGCCCGCTTGGCCGCGTCGACGGCCGTGTCCAAGTCTTCCTTGGTGACGACGGGGACCGGCGCCTTGGGCTTGAGGTTGGCGGGGTTGATGCCGTGGCGAGTCTCCTTGGTCGGGTGACTTTTGCCGTCGATGATCTGGATGAAATTGTCTTGGAAATCGAGCGAGGCTGCTGGCTTCGAGCCATTGACTGCTACGGTAGTTGCTGACATGGCCGGATAATCTGGGTGTAGTGGCAAAGCGATGTGAAGAACGAAGCACAAATGTAGCTGGCTGGAATGCGGATACGATGCAAGCTGAAGCAAACAAGAGGACGACCCCCTCCTGCCGGCCTCCCTTGCTTTAAGTTAGGTGATACCTCGCCCTGCACTCGCCCGCAATCATTCCAGTCCCACCCAACTGGTCGAATCACAATCGCTCCGAAGCGAGCGGTCCGACCTCCAAGACACACGCCGTGACACCGTCCTGTTCCGCAGACCCGCAAGTCACGCGTCCGCACTCGCACCAGGCATGACGCAGCTTGACGCTTGAACTATACTTCAACAAGACTAGGCCAACGGAATCCTTTGGAGTTACTCCAGGTCGCCCCGGACCGATGCCCCGAGGTGCAGACACGTGAGGATCGCAGGAAGCTAGACCAGAAGTAGGGTTTGAGATAGTGCGGACCGCCTGGTTGAGTTGACGAGATGGCTGAACGGCACCAGAATGCCAGCGGGGATTGCAACGGAATGGAGGAAGCGAGCAACGGATGGACCTCAGATAGATCATCAGGATCAAAGTTTCTGAGGTTCATCTCCTTCAGTTAATTCCTAAAGAAGTACCTATAGCGGTCCGTACACGCCGCTACGGTCGACGCTCCGTGGCATGCCCTATGCCATTAGATGTCTGAGTGCTACGTCAAGTCCGTTGAGCTATCTGCGACAAGATATAAGGTCGATTGATGAAGCCAAGTCCTAATTATCCGTCACTCGCTTGATGAGTGCCTTATACGCCTCTGCTCTTGCGAAACCTCATTACCACGCGAACGATCATGGACATGGCCAAGCCCATCGAATTCCAGAACGGCCACGTCGATCCAGAAATGGGTCACGTCAATGCCCTGGAGACGGTCCGCACTGCTGGCAGCATCGCCATGACCCCGGAGCTGTTCGAGAAGCTGTATCTTTCCCCTCCTAATGCGGTCAAGGGCGAGCTGAGGAAGACCTTTGGCAACCCGACCCCATTGTCCGTCTACTCTTCCCCGAAACTAGCTTTAGCTACTGGCTAACTCAAATCCAAAGAGCCCTGGTTGGATTCTTGCTGTCTTTGATGCCCTTGTCGTGCGATTTAATGGGTTGGCGGGGCGCCGGCTTATTCGGCGCAGCAACCATGTAAGCCCTTCTTTGTGTCTGTCGCTGTAAGGATGCCTGGTGACCTTTCTTGTTTCTAGTGCCGTTTACTTCTTCATGGGTGGTGTCCTTATGCTCCTGAGCGGCATCATGGAGTGGGTTCTTGGCAACAGCTTCCCTTCTATTGTTTTCTGCAGCTTCGGGTGCTTCTGGCTGGCCTTTGGAGGCACATTAAACCCATCATTCGCTGCATTCTCATCATACGCACCGGCAGATGCCAAGTCCCCTGCCGAGGGCATGGCGACTCGAGGGTTCAATGCTAGCTTAGGTGAGGCGCCTCTACGGATCGAGCGTGCACGCCATGTTGACGAAATCCCACAGGCTTCTGGCTGGTGTTTATGGGCTTGCTGGCCGTCGTGTACCTTATATGCGCCTTGCGGACTAATGTGGTCTTCGTCATCATCTTCTTCACCTTGATTCCCGCATTTGCTCTTCTCACGGGAGCATTTTGGGTCTTGGCCGAAGATTACACCGGAAACGCAGACCTTGCCAACAAGCTTTTCGTAGTACGTTGGCTCATTCTCAATTGCTTCAGTGTCTTCGTGATTGTGACTGACATATGAATAGGCCGCGGGTGCTATTCTTTTTTGTACCTGCGCGGCGGGCTGGTATATTCTCGTCGCTATTATGTTTGAGATTGTTGACTTCCCAATTCAGCTCCCTGTGGGCGATCTGTCAAGCGTCATTCAGGGGAGGAGCGGTCGCATCATACATCCGTGAAGATGGACGTAATGTGGATGGACTACTGGACAGCGTGGCAATTGAAATGCGATACGTCTCTTTTGTATTTCGCGACGCGCACCCATTTTAGCCCTCGGGGTTCTGGAAAAAGTGCGAAAAAGAAGCTAGCTGTAGGACGCGGTTTGCGATTTAAAATTAGGACAATAATAAACGCTTGGTTTCATGTTAATCGCACATCCGACTCCCGATGCCGCAGTGCTACGAACAATTTATGCCGTACGAGCTCATGCCGGAACGGGTCCCCGACAGGCCACTAGAAGCAGGCAGATCAAACGCATTCCCAGGAGCCAGATCCATGTCAAAGTCGAGGAAAGATGGTGGGGATATATTTACAGAAATGGATGTGTCGCCTGGTTCCGCTGCCCCCGAACTACAACACATGGCGCCGTAGTCGACCATTGTCCAAAGGGCTGCCTCCAGCTCGGCGTCTATCTCGAATGACGTCTGCGGATCAAGCATATTATTAAAAGCCTGAGCGTGCGATTCGAAAGAAAGGAGTTGCGTGTGCTGTTGGATTCAATTAGTATAATCTCCAATTGCCGGACAGGATGGAGATTGAAGCAATCAGAGCTTACCATCTTTGACGCATGGCTCCAAAATTTACCCATGCTTTTGAGTATCCGCAGAGCTTGCTGGCCAGCTTCAACGAGTTCTGGCTCTGGAGAATTTCCTCTTTCTTGTTGGGCGTGAATGAAGAGTGAAAGCAGGCTGCCAGCTAGACACGTGGAATAGGCGTAGAACGACGCCTCGACGTGGCAACCCGCTGCTTGCGCCTGGTCCAGCCACGACGGCACTTTTCGAGCATGTTCGCAGCACGTCTCAAATGTTCGTGTAAGGAAGCTCGGAGGGGCTTTGGCTTTGAGCTTCTGAAGCCGCAAGGTCAACAGGAAGGGGTGGTTCAACAGACAGTGGCAAAGATGGAAAACCACGCGGGCGAAGATGGCATGTCCTATGGTTTGGTGGTCCAGTGATCCATCGGGTAGTCTGCTGTTGGCGATTATGTCGGCAACTGAAAGATCGTCGACTTGTAAATGCTGCTCGATTAGGAGCAGGAACGAGGTGATGGCTGCAAACTCGGATCGAGAATCCCAGGGTCGGACGTAATCTGTCTCGCGCTCGTGGAGGACATAGCGGGCACAGCGACCCAACGCCGAGGCAACAAGAATAGCTAGAGTAAAGTGTCCCCGGATTTCCCCTAGATCTGCGTTCCAGTTCAAAAGCTGGTGTAGCGTGGCTGTTTGTTTCCAGGTGCCAGTCCGGAAGACGTCTTCTTCGCAGGGGAGCTGGACGTGGCAGTCTTCATCGGCAATCGCTGGGGGGCGGGCTTTGCCGCAGGAGACGAGCTTGTCGAGAAGATAGACGGACCAAAATACTCTTCTTCTCTCTTCTTGTTCGACGATGGGGAGCAAAGGGCTAGGCTCCTTCATCAGCTGCAGGTCTTGTGCAATTCTCACTGCGAGGCCGATCTTGAGCCATCCAGAACTCGTCCGACCAGCTTACAGAGGTTAGTACGATTCTTAGGCTTGTGGTGGGATCAGATAAAAAGCACCTGTAAAGTCAACGATTGCTAAAATGTTGGTTGTCTGCGCGACGTAGAGATTGGGGCAATTTTCGACCGTCAAATGGTCGTTCAGGACCGCGAGCCAGGCTTCTCTTGCGTACGCTTCCATTGCTTCATGTGTGCGCCCTTGGAAATATTCGTGATTGGAAAACCTCACTGAAGACGCCAGCACGGCCAACACGAGGCACTTTGGGAGAAGGCCGAAACTGCGTAGCTGTTGGAATCGCTCCTCTTGAAAATATGAGTAGGGTTGGTTGTGCGAGTGGACGAAGTAGGCATCGACAAGGTGTTGGACGACGGGCTCCGGTGGCATGGTGCTGAACACACTGGTGACAATGTTAGCAGACGCTGGAAGGTGAAGAGCTTCACATACGCATTATTCGACTCGGCGAGATCTGGAGGGGAAGGGTTGGAGTCTGAAAGGCGGCGCTGGGTCTCTGAGCCAAAGTCTTGGCCCGTCATGCGACGTGGTTGAGACGGAGAGAGAGGCTCCTCGAACTGTTGATCAAGACATTGGCGGCTAATGCTATGAAGAAGCGGCGGCGAGATTAGCAGGTTGTAAGCATCGTGATGGAGGAGTGGAATTGCTAATCACCTGGGATCTTGCGATGCTTGGTCGCTCAACCGCGCCAATTGAGCCTCGACGGTGCTGAGGCGCCGCAACAGGTCCATCTGCGACAGGCACGATTAGCATCCACAGGTTATTAGAAGGAAATGTTCATACGTCGCCGAAGCCGGGCGGGAAGCTGGCCAGAGAGTTGGCGAGCGGGTTCCCAGCCATGGCGGCCATGGTGGAGGAGTACGATTCGTAGTGGCACGAGCGATTGACGCGCGTGCAATTGACACAGCGCGGGCGATCGCCGGAACACTTGGTCTTGCGCTGGCTAGAAGGAGGAGGAATGAGTGAGCATGGATGGCAAGAAGCAGAAGGGAGGGCGCATTGGAGACGAAGGACAGGACTGGACTACGAGGAAAACATGTACTGACCGGCATCGCGAACAGGCCTGTCGAATGCGCCGGATGCCTCCGGCCGACGGATGCTGCGACCTGCTGGGCGGGCTGGACTCCGGGCCCGCGGACGACGGCATTGCTTGGAAGCGTATCGACGTCATGTGCTGCGGAATTGACGATATCGGGGGGTTGCGTTGCGAGGGAAAGCAACCAAAAGTTGGGTAAACACCAAAGCGAAGGGATCGAGACCAGGCGGGAGACCCAACGAGGAGGGACACCGAGAAGCGGGGTTCAGTGCAGACCTCCCTTGGTCCAGTGAAGCCATCCCTCATAAACCTGGTGAATGCTGGGGTAGACAGACCAGCTTTAGGCTACTTCAGGCTAGCTACGTCGTCATGCGTGCTCCAGTCTTAGTCTCAAGCGTCTCTCGCTTTGCAGCTTGCGGGGTTGGCAGTCCGGGGCATGCGGAGACGATGGAGAAACGGGGCAAACGAGCAGAGCGGCGGCTTGTTTAGGTCAAGCGTGTTCTTGTGTTCAGTGGGAGATCGCCATCTGGATAACCGAGGCCGTGTGTGCATCTACGTGAGGGCATTGGCATTCGCCTCGAGATTGGCTTCATTGGGAGAGTTGGTTGCGGGAAATACGTCGAGGGCATACAGCGATGAGTCCGCCATAGCTCCGTTGTCATGGATGGCAAAAGAACAGTAGAGATTCAATTGATCAACCATTGACAGTGCCAGCCAAAGAGTCGTGATACTCTAACAGCCATGATTATTTCGTTGACTGAAACGTTTACCTTGGAGCTGGAGCTCTAGATATCGAGCTCCCCGGACGAACCGTCGGAGAGCGGACCGGCGCTGTTCCTCATTGAACGCCTTCTCCCTATTAGTACACCATGCCCCTTCGGTAACAATCATCCCATTCGCGTGGGGTAACGCTTTGAGTCCTGTAATTGGTTCTCCATGCCGATCCCGCGAGCATCGCACGGAGAGCGGACCGGAGTATCTATAGTAATAGCCCTGCTTCCGCCTCCACTGAGACGATATGAGCACACTTATCATCACTTTCCTTCACCCAGCATGGCTTGCTGCTACATCGCGGCTTTCTGCGTCGGGCAGCTGGTCAAAGCATGTCAATTCCTCGACCTGGACAAGACGATTCGGTACAACGACGACGACGATGAAGCGCTCGAGTTCTCGGACGGAATCACGGCGGCGGAGCGGATGGAATCTCGGGGCGAGCGGCAATCAACATCAACATCAGTCCTGGTTCTTTCGCTGTCGGGAATGACTTGCTCCGCGTGTTCCAACTCTGTCGAGTCGGTGCTGAACAGCCATCCAGACGTCGACAAGGCGCGAATATCCCCGACGCTGCAGCAGGCCACCGTCATCGGGAAGACGCCAACTCTCGACAAGGAGTCCATAAAAAGAGCTGTGGAAGATCTGGGGTATGGTGTAGAGTTGGGACCGCGCTCGCCGCAGGAGATCATCGGCGTGCTCAAGTCGAAAGAGGACGTTGCCCGACTACAGTCCAGCTTCTCTCAGCTCTCTCGCGGTGCCCTTGCCATTCAAATCGCCACCTTTCCGCTGTCTAGACTTGGTCGGAGCTGGATCTCTGTGGGTATCCTGGGCATAGTACACTGCTTTTGCCTCTCGTTGGCCCTGTTTGCGCAGTATCGCTACATCGGCTGGATTCATGCAGATGGATGGAAGTGGATTCGCCGAGGTGCTGGGCAACCCAACATGAACACGCTGATTTCTTCTTCCATCCTCTTGGGTTTATTATCGTCCGTCATCGACTTACTTGCTCGAGGCGCTTTGAAGGCCACCCCATACTACAGCACAACCATAGGCCTTGCTCTGGTCGTGGTTGCCGGTAGATATCTGGATACCATGTCTCGCCGAAGTGCGTCAGAAGATCTAATCAAGGTATATAAACCGCTCCTGGACACCCAGTTTACAAAGATTCATCCAACGGGACAAGTAAGTCAGCTGTCTGGTCGTTTCTGCACTATTAGTCCAACTGAACATTGATAGCTCGTACCCTCAACGTTCCTACGACCTGGCGACCAAATAATCATCACGCCCTTTTCAGTCATCCCTTGTGATTGCTATGTCACCATGGGCTCGTCGTCAGTCAACCAAGCCATCGTCACGGGCGAGTCTATGCCGGTGAAGAAGGCAGCTGGAGATTTCCTACTTGGCGGCACTCGAAATCTCGGTAAAGAGTTGGTATGTACCGTTCACAAGGAGCAAGGACACTCATTCTACGCTCAACTAGTCAATAGTGCCGTCGAGGCGTCTGGATCCAAGACTCAAGAACACCAAAGTTTAGACACCATCATCGAGTACTTTGTCCTGGGCGTCATTTTACTCTCCATTTTTGCCCCGGCAGCTGACCGTTACCGGTCCATTGGATCCATCTCTGCCTATGCATCGTTCCGCCTTGCCGTTGAACGGTCCATGGCAATTTTGACATGCGCATGCCCTTGCGCGCTGGGATTGGCGATACCGTCCGCCACTGTCGCGGCAATAAGTAAGAGCTACGGCGGCTAAGGCTAGGCTCCACGTGAAGTCGCAATGTTTCTAACATGTGCACCAGATGCTGCGAGTCAAAAGGGCATTATGATATCCGGCGGTTTCCCCACGATTCAAAAACTTTGGGACATGGAGACGGTTGTTTTCGACAAGACGGGAACGTTGACGCGTGCAACACTCGAAGTTTGCAATTTGACAACATCGAATGACTGGTCCAGCAAAAACACCGACTTGTGGACCTATGTGTGCGCGGTCGAGGAGCAGAGTGTCACCACGCATCCCATCAGCAGAGCCATATTCTCCGCTGGAGTCAAGTATATGGAGGCTCCGTGGCCCGTCACCAAGTCCTTCACACAGACTCGAAAAATGGCATACGAGTCTGGAAAAGGCGTGTCGGGTGAGGTGATGATACAACAGCAACCTTGGCGACATGTCATCGTTGGCAGCTTGCGCTACTTACGGTCGAGTGACGTTGATGGGCTTCCTGACGACCCTCGACACCAGGATCTGGGGGTGATTGTAGTTTACGTTGGTATTGACGGCGTATATGCCGGAAGTTTACTCATTACGGTACGGGATAGAACTAAGGTGACTACAAAGCTGTTGCTGACAATAACAGGACACAATTAGAGACGATGCAAGGTCAACAATTGTGCGGCTAAAATCGATGAAATACGATTGCAAACTGGTAAGTTCCTGATGCTCTTTTGGTTCTAAGCCAAAACTTACACGCGCGTAGCTCACTGGTGATGTTCCTCAATCCGCGCATCGAGTCTGCGAGGTTGTCGGGATCCCCTTGCTTGCATCGGAAGCGACACCTCACGACAAGTTGAACCTCGTCAAGTCTCTCCAAGACGACGGAAATGTAGTCGCCATGGTAAGGCTGCGATTTTGAATCACTCAAGCGGCATCGAGGCGATACTAATGACTCCGTGAAGGTTGGAGATGGACTGAACGATGCCCCCAGCTTGGCGGCAGCCGACGTCGGCATCGCGTTATATCACGAAGCGGCGTCACCTACAGCTGGTGCATCTGTTATGATTCTCAACTCTCGTTTGGAATCAATCCTGGTATTACTCGAGATTGTGCGGCAAACTGTGCAGCAGGTCCGAGTCAACCTGCTGTGGGTATTCGGATACAACCTTTTTGCCCTGAGCATGGCAATTGGCCTCATTCAACCCTTTGGGGTGGTTCTAACTCCGTAAGTGATACACATGTAGCTGCAAAAAGGACATGAAACTAATGCTGTGCTGGGCCAGGCCATTAGCAGCGACTCTCATGTCGTGCTCATCCATGGTTATTACCCTTAACAGTCTCAGGTTGCGAAGTAAACTAGCCGCTTTGGATAGCTAGGCAAAATCACATTAACTGGGAATTATGAGAACGTATGTGACATTGTAGAAGGCATGGGCTTGCAATTTTGCTATGGCTGTCCACGACACTACTTTAATCAGGCGTTTGCCAAACTCATCAAGGGCGTATCATGTTCCGCAGGTGTTTGTTTCATCAAAAGTTGGGGGAAATACAAGGAGGCGCTACAGCCCCTGTTGGCCCTGGACAGTGCATTTACTGATAAATAAGCCCGATCCCACGACTCCTCCTCCAACGTGCACCAACATTTCCAAGCCCATCTATGGCTGTCACACCGTCACCATCATCATGCCTCCAAAGCGTCGCCATCGCCTTTCCCATCTCTTTTCCAAACTTGACATTGGCGAGGGTCTCATCATTCGCAGGCGAGAGCCTACGCCTCGGGATCCTACGCCTCTAGACCCTACGCGGCCGTCTATAGCCCAGTTGCCCGAGCACATCGTGCGACGCATCCTTGCATGGCTTCATGATGTGCGCCCAGACACTGTCCGCACCGTAGCGTCGCTGAGTACGTCCTTGTACCAACTGGCTCGCTCAGTGCAGCACACCGAAGTGCATGTCGACCTGGACAAGAGCCGATACGTCCTCGACCGCCTTGATCTCATCCAACGCCTCGACCAACTCACCGCTGTTCGGATCCTTCGGGTGAATGGGCGCGGGTGCAATAACGGTCAGGAGGGAGATGGAAGCACCCAGATCCTGGCCCGTCTCGCTGCACTGCTACCCAGCATGACAGGACTGCGCCACCTGCATTGGCATGTTGGCTCGACGATAAGACTCCCGTGGAGCGATGCTCTAAAAAGAACAGCTGTGCCTATACCTGCAGCCATCTTAGCAGCACTACCAAGAGAGTCGCGTCTGCACGCCGCCGTCTTCTGCACCGAGACGCGAGAGGAGCACATCCTGGCGGCACATCTCCAGGTACGCACGTTTTTGCAGCGGCTTGCAGCATGTCAGAACCTCTGCACCCTTGATATTCAAATCACCTTCATCGAGGAGGAGCACTGCCTCCGCACTATGCGCGAGCTGAAGAAGGTGCTGCTATCCTGTCCCAACCTCACCCGACTGCCCCGTATCGACGTTTGGTATCCCCGTGGAGGCTGTTTCGCGTACGGGCCTCCGATGGGAGGCGGTCTGTACTGTGGCCTCGGCTTCTCCAACGGTGAGAGACCGCAGCCTCTGACAGTCTTGGGCGTTGATTATTATCCCTGGGGCATAGAGGGAGTCCCGAGCTACCAAGGTTATCCTGCCGGTTCCTCAAAATATGAATGGGACTACTGGATTGATTGCTTCGATTGGTCCCGTCTGGAGCGATTGCATGACATTCGCTCCCATCTGACACTCCGCATTGCATCCAAATTAACCAATCTTCGAGAGCTCGTACTCGAGGAACAAGCCTGCCCTCTCGAAGCCGAGTTTGAAGACGACATCACCGCACCGCTAGAGCTCATAAGTCTTGCAGGCTGGCATCACGTCAACCGCAAACCAGAGTTCTTCAGCCGGTTCGGTGCAACTCTACGAGAACTCAAGTTGCATGGACCCGAGCCAAGATGGGAAAGTGAGAACCACGCTTATATAACTGTCGCTGACCTCGTCCACCTCTCCAAGAGCCTGCTCCTTCTCGAGCATCTACGTCTTGATATCCTCCGAGACGAAGAGACGCAGGATTGGCCGTACAAAGCACTAGACGCCATTGCAACCTTCCCCAATCTACGAACTGTCGAGCTGTGGTTTCCTCTAGGCCGGGCAGCACCAGCACCAAAACCACAACTCACTGTCTCGTCGGTGCCGTGTCTCTTACGCTACCTACACGAGCGCAACAAAAACATCATGCGTGCGACGCTCCATTCGGGAGACCCATCGCCCCCGGGCGGATTTGCAGTAGCCATTCTTCCTTCGAACGCATGGGCATGGGACATGCACAGCACTATTAGTTTTGTATGTGTAATGGTCTACGATAGTGATCGTCCCAACGAGCAAAGTGGCAGTGTCGACGTTTGGTGTCCGGAACTGAGCATAGAAATGAACGACAAGTTGCACCAGTTGGCCCAACAGACAGACCGGAAGCACACAAATGCCAAAAAGCTTGATGAAGCCGAGTTACGTCTCAGGGTGGCTCTAGATGGACCGCTCAATGCCGAAAATTGGGGGGCTTGGAAACAAGTCCAGATGCGCGAGAGCTGGGAACGCGAAAAGAAGCAACAACGGCGCGCGGCGATGAACAAGTTTATTCCATCATTGAAGCGTATGTTGGAGCGATAGAATATATTACATGCAACAGTGGCCTACGGATGGTTTGATCATGTTTCCGTAAGTCTCAAAGGCCGCGTTTGCTGGATCCATCGTAGCAACGTTTCCTGTGACAGGAACAATCTTTCCTGCTAGGTCTGGGAGGACTTTCGATGCATATCCATCCGCAGTGTACATTTATGTCGAGCATTGGGTACTGTGCCCTGCATTCTCATTCATAAGATATCAACAGCCTTTATCTGTACCAGATACATATGCTCATGCAAGCATCGACCTGGACGATTTCTACACATGGAACCCGTCTCGTTGATATAGTTATCGCCTTGTCTGCCCTAGCCCAGTTGGCTGAGTTTGTCGGAACGTAGCGATGGCGGCAGCGCGGCGAGGAGAGATACAAGATCATCTAAGTGCACAAGAACCTGAGATAGTCAGGAGTGTCGGAGGTGCGGCCAGGTATCTATGGGGAAAATGGTCCGTAGAGCAAGAAACTATTCATCAAGATCGTCGTAATAGTGAAGCTTCTTGGTGCCTGCATCTGCAATACCCATGCTGCTGCGCAAGCAAAACACTGCAGGTCCTTTGCCTGGGCCAATGCATCGTTCAGATATCCCCTGCAGTAGGATACCTACCCCTCATGCTCAAGAAGGCCAGTGAAAAGATCTCGGCTGATATATAGAATGTCAGGCAGCTTTAGTAAGGTTGCCAGGTTCTCATACTCAGGGCACTGCTGGCCGAATATATGAAGATTCACCCCAGTTCCTATCCGGTTACCGCCGATAATGAGCCCTGTAATGTTGTAGAGCCGTTAGTCTGAGTCGTAGCAGGCAAGGCGTTGGTTTTGTTCAGCCCCGTTGGGCACCAATTGGTGCCCAACGCGGATCACAAAACTTCATAGGCATTGCGTTGCACAGCCTCTCGATATTTGGATGACTGTGACAATGGAAGCCTGGCAATCCAGTTATATGATCGCTTTCAGTCAGCCCACGTCCGTAAGAACTTGAGGACCCATTGCGCTGCCGCTGGCTAACAACGGAAAACTACTGGCCCGTCGTCTTCTTTCACATCAATCTTTTAGTTTTTCGTATTTTAAATAGATCTTACACAACCCCTTTGTCTCAATCCTCGTCATAACTTGGCAGTTGACGAGGCCACACAAATTCCTCCCCATTTTGAACAAACTGACTCAAAAATCTGTCTACTTGTCCGTCTAGATGCAACATGAGGCCTTTCGTCCGCCTCGCAATTTTCTCAGTGTCTGGTCCGTAGTCACTGGTCTGGCCTGGGGAGGCCCTGTCTTCATCGTCGATTCCGTCGTCGACGTATCGGTATTGCGGGTAAGCATCGTTCGCTTTGTCGGGCCATTCAAAGGGCAGAAACTCTTCAATTGCCACCCACCACGCAACCCAGGAAGTCTCGAATTTGTCCTCGTGGTTGTCTAGAAGCTCGAGATAGAGGTCGACATAAGCATCGAGGATGACTTTGAGCTCACGGTCCTCTTCCTGAACCTCTAGGCGCTCTTCCAAAAGCAATGGCCTTCCACGAATGCTACGGTTGCAGCAGGTGTGTCCCATACCAAGTCGGTCGAAGATCTCTAGTCGGCAAACATCTGTGAAATTTTGCTTTTTAAGATTGAGTCCAGAGAGGCTGTAACGTGGCAAATGGCAGAGCCAGCGTCGGCGTCGAATCAGCCCACCTCTCTGAGGAGCTCCGTTTGGCTTTAGTCCACTCCGCAGGGTCAATCCCGTAGGAGAACAACCGTTAGAGCTACACCAACAATTGCAGCTATCTGTGAGCGCAAGGCCACACATTTTCTGAACTTGCTTGAAGATATCGAACACGGGGGATGTTGAGTCCCATATGCGTGATGTGAGAACATTCCCATGAAGATAAGAAAAGAGATGAAGCGAGTTTGGAAAATCCCGGAAAGGCCGTCGTGGATTGGCCCCTTTATTGAGGTACCACTGGATCAGACGACAATGCTCAGCATCGAGGGGAGCAAAGACAGGAAATGCCCTCTGCAACGGCGTGGCTCCGGATTCTCCAGGGGTATCAATGTCGTGAAAACCAGCAGTGTAGAGGCTCTCTGCTAGTCCAAGTGTCATTCTTCCATAATCGTAAATGGTGACCAGTTCACCAGGCCATAGTCTATCCGGAACATCGATTGCATTCTTCTCGAGAGAGTTGAAGATTGCGGTTGCGTAGTAGTCGGGAACCTGTCCATTTTCCGCCTTCCAGCCGCCTAACAGCCGGTGCAGTGATGAACTCGACAAACTCTCTATGGCAAGCTGATATAATTCTCGCCTCCTAACGGCAATCGCGCGTACCAGAAGGGAGAGAATCTTAGGTGGAGAACCAGTCTCTAGGGCGTGTCCCAGCAAGCTGTAGCCATCACTATCTTGCGTTTGACGGATAAACAAGGCGCAGCCGTTGTCGAGCAGCAGCTCAAGGCTCGACTCGTCTTGTTGCATTATTGCAACCTGAACGGCCTCTGTAAGATCTACCCCGGCGTCAATAAGTAGCTGGAGCCCTCTCGGCCATCCGACAGCAAGTGTCAAAATAGGAGGATTTGAGCTCTCGAGATTCGAAGCGCCAAGATCGAGGACCTTGCGAAGCTCTTCCTCTGATCTATTGATGACAGCCGCTTGGACTGAAGTGTGGTTTTCATCTAAGTGTCTAAGCGTCAGCGGATGATATGGCTTTGCAAAATGAAAATGGGCCTGTTTACCTAGGAGAAGGGCTGGTTGATGAAGAAAAAGTCCAGCAGAACCTGGGTGATGAAGAATCGGGCTCGTGAGATCAGAAACATCACAGCCATATTTGACGAGAATTCGGTCCAACCTTAATTGGGAAATACAGCGAGCTGAAAAGTAACAAGTTCTGAGGTATTTAGCCAGTAGGCCGAGCGGAGAGCCCTTGAACAAAGACTCGTAACCCATCCTGTTTGCAGAGTCAGAGCTGGCAAACGCACAGTCATTTCTAGGAAATCATACTTGCTTCCTGTGGCATTGGGGTCTGCACCGCCACGGATGAGAAGCTCAACCAAGAGATCGAGAACGCGATGCAAGCTCTCCTGGGCAGGAAGAATAAACATTGACAATTGAACAACCTCCTAAAAGCATGAATGAGTCAGAATAGCTTGCCTATCAAGAACCTTTGTGACCGCATAACTTAACATGCAAAAGAGTAAATCCTTGGAAGTCTTGGTCTGCTGGTGAGGCCTGCCCACACTCGAAGGTGAGGATGAGCCGATCTAGCAAGTGTTGAATGATAGATTGTGCTGCATTATCAAAATATACGTTCTTTTCAAACCACATGAAGTCCTCAAAAATATCGTCATCGGGCTCCATTAGTATCCAATTCTGTGACGTCATCCATGTTTGTGGTATGGTGTCAGTAATAAAGGTGCATTTCGGGTCTTGAGGGAATCTCGTCCCCGGAGAAATTGGATTCCTGATTTTCCAAAGAGCAAGACGAGCTTCGTCGATGGCAACGAAAGCGGGAGATTTGGATCTATCAACAACGTTGTGAGGTGAGATTCTCGTGCCCATAGAGAAGGAAGCCCGCCCGAGCTTCATGTTGAGCACGAATTGGAGCCTGGGATTCATCGTACGCGCGCCGAATGACAAAGTGGTGTGTTCCTGTTTAAGAGGACACTTGTTCGAGGGGACGCGAGATTGAGATAAGAACAATTGGAAGCCGTATAGTGAGAAGACTATGTCGTTTCTCACAGGTCGGCATGTGCAAACTAAGGTCGTCGGTATTTGCCATTGATTTAATTCAAAAGGCCGTAGCTCTCGACAATGACCAGTGCCGGGTTGTGGAAATGGTGATGGAACATGTCGGGTAGACTCTGCAATCATGGAGCACTACAAAAATGTCAGTTTATCTCTAGCACAAAAGTCTAGGGGGCAAACTTGTTCAGAAAGCGAAGCCAGTGTTGACTGAAGTAGAAGCTGTGAAGCAGCGACCTGAGACCTAAGATCATAAGCATATGTGACTGGAGCTCGAATGTGGAAATAGGAGATATACATCTGATCTCCTAGTTTAGAGGCAGTGTGTTGTTGATACCAGAGCTGCAGAGAGCACTTGAGAGACTCTATCCTTCGGGATTTTTCCATGATGACCGACTGCTTCTTCATGCTCACTATCGTGACCCAAGCCCGTTTGACGGCATTTTTCTGAGCGCTAGAGAGTCTCTCTAGTAAGTCTGCCAGCTCGGTGGCTTCAGCGATAGCATCGTCTAGAATCGTAGTGACGTGGACATTTCCTATTGTCTCTGGAGGCGGAGAAGAGGAAAGATTTAGGTCTAAGGTGATGAGTTGTAGTAAGCCGATGAACTGTTGGGTAGTTCGCTTAAGTGTTTCGATTTCATCCGGCACGTTCTTGAGATCCCGATAAAGCTGGGAGGATGCTAGGATGATACGACCACTTATGTCGACCAGCTGGACAATGCCGGCTGCAATGCCCAGAGCTTCTGCCATGATGCAACCTAGGATGGATGATACCAGACTGTCAACCAAATTTAAGGAGGACTTAAAGGAAGCATTGAAGACCTCGGTGAAGAAGACAGAATGGAGAATGTAGGAAGAGGGAACATAGGAAGAGGGAATAATATCTCAAGTTCTTAAAGAGGTGGCACCCAGCCCCGCTGCAGCTGTATGCATATCGCTGCACGTGATGTACGCCTCGACTTGAAGATGCAATTTTATTCGTCGCCGAGTTTCAAGGCTTACCAAGGCACACTCCAAGGCTTCAAACAAAAATCTCAAGATTCAATTTATGCTCTTTAGTGCACCGCCTCAACCAGCATTGAGGATATTAAAGTAGGTTATGATTGATAACATACATACATCCCTATGCCATTTCTCACTATTTTTAAGAGTATAATTTTGCAATCCAGATTCGTAGAATAGTGAGGAAAGTCAGGTAATTTACAACGGAAAGTACAGAAGTTGTAAGTGAAGTTGAGAAAATACCTCAATATTGCCTAAGTAACCATCTAATTTTCAGGCTGGGACATGTTATTGTAAAGTTTCTGACTACTAATAGACAAATATCAGGTCTACCCGCAATTTATTAATAATTTATCTACGAAGTTGGGCTGAGGGATACGCCCTTGAAACGCGCCCTTTCAGGGTTTTCACTTAGTCGCATCCTCAGATCCTCACCATCATTTGGGATTGTAAAACGGGGCGCGTAATATACCGGCAACTCAAAACGCGACGCGTTCTTTCTCTTTTCTGAGTCCCTACTATGTATAAATGCCTGTAGAGTGAAATTAAGCCAACTCGAAAATGCGTTGTAACGGTGCGTTAGTGAGGGATTGCACAGTTTGGGCTAGAGATATAGGGTAAGGGTGATATGACGCGAAACTGCAAAAGTGGAACGCTCCACGAAAGAGCACACGTATTCCGATTTTTCCTAGTTTAATATATGATCTCTGAAAATTGATAATTTGACAAGGGAAAAATCATGCCCTTCCAATAGTTTAGAAAGAGCAGGTTATTTAGGTAGTAGCTAGCGCCGCACCCTGCTATTTTTAACCACAGCGTGTTGGTACTTTCACAACAGCAGTAGTAATTCCAGGGTTACGATTACTGCCACTACCACTACCTCTGCTTCCACTACTACTACAATTATAGTTACTATTCCAAGAACCTGCTTGTACATAAATATAATAGTTCATATTAGCATCTTGACTATCAATTCAGCCTAGGTTATTAGGGGCTGCCAAAGCAGGACCCAATGGTATTACATAAGCCTTAGTCAATCCCCCATCGACAACCATATCGTGACCGATAACGAAACTACTCTCGTCGCTGGCAAGGAAAACAACGGCGTAGGCCTGCTCAATAGGTTCCCCAAAGCGGCCGGTAGGAAGGTATATCTCGCGGCGTTGGCGGGTCTCTTGGCTGGACCCGAGGAAGTCCTGAAGCATGGGGGTGCTAGTACGTAGAGAAATGAGTGAGAGGTTTGGATTCGCTATCAAATTGCACTTACTTGAGACGGGCTGGGCAGAGAGTTGAATCGGAATCCCTCCTTGGTGGGTGAGGGAGTGAGCAGAGGACACTAAGAACACACAACCCACCCAGAGGCAGAGCTGTGATGACCGCGATAGTGTTGTGTCGGAAAGGTCGGATAGGGTCAGGTTTGGGGTCCGGATAAATCGGACAGCCGGGCAAAATAGATAGCTTTTCTAGCTGATACCGTTTGATCAAATGGACCTTCAATAGGTCCCCAAAGGATAGGTCAAAAGACTGTTAATTAAAAAAAAGATGATGAGATGCTAGGAGGATGATGCTTGTGTTGGCTCTGGAAGGTCCTGTCCGAGACCTTCCCAATTTATGGCCCCAGTAGGTCTGGCTACCGGTCCTACCCGATGCAGCATTTCCTGTTGAAGGAACCCACCAATCCTAGCCCTAGCGGCTGCAAGCATCCGATCAGATGACCTTTATCCCCAAAGACCGGAAAGCCCCGACTCATTGGCATGGACAATAGCCAACTCCCGAGTCAAGGCCAAGACAGCACCCTTGCTGGCGGTGTAGGCAAGCTGCGCAGCCGCATCTCCGACAATGGCGACCATGCTGGCGGTATTGATGATGCTTCCAGAGCTCTTGCCATGCTTTCTCAGAGCCTTCACGGCGTGCTTACTGCCATACCAAACACCCTTGACGTTGATATTGAAAGTGAGGTCCCAAATATTCTCAGGGACCTCCTCCGAGTCGCCGTCTCGCGGGTGCATAATTCCAGCGTTGTTGAACATCACATCCAGGCCGCCCCAGCCGTCGAGGGAATTGATGGCATCGGCCACGTCGGCCTCCCGAGTGACATCAACGACGCGAGCTTCAATTCGACCAGGCGCCTGGGGAGCGGCGGCTTTGACTCTGGCAAGGGCGGCTGCGAGGACGTCTGCCTTGGGATCGGTCATGAGAATGGAGGCACCTTCAAGGGCGAAGAGGACGGAAGCCTGGAGATCGATGTCGCTATTGGGACGACAGTACTTAGTAGCAACTCTCTCAATTCGGACATTATGAGCGGAATGAGACATGCCCAGCGGCGCCTGTAATAACGGCGTTCTTTCCTGCAAGTCTGCCGTTCATGGTGGATAATTTACGATTGGTGTCTGTGGATGATGCAGAAGTGCAGAGGCTTTGCACTCGAAGTAGCTATTGAACTGAAAGTGAAGACGGTCTTGGAAGTGATCAGTGTTTTAATACGAAAGATCTATCAGACCCAAAGTCTTGCAACGTTTTTATGGTTCCCATGAGGCTTGTCTGGCTGATATGATGCCGAAGTGCGCACAGAGGCGAACCAAGTACACACCGGTCCCGCCGCATTCCTTCCTCACAGTGCATGAGTCGACACACGACAGGGGTAGAGATAACCCCAAACAGCCAATCAAGACAAATATCTCGTTGCGACAGGCGGATGGCGGGTCTGGGGAGCAGTGCCAGCAGGATTCCGAGCGATTCGAGGCCCTAGATTGCGACATCTATGAAGATAAGACCCAAAGCTTGGATTTACAGGGCACTAACCGCAAGGACCTTTTGGAGGCCTACTTTGTTGCATTCCGAACATATGGCGCTGAGTCTGGGTACCCTGCAAGCAAGATAAGAGAGATAGGAGGGAGGAGATGAAGAGCGAGTAGAGAGCATACGTAGGATTCTGCTGTGGGATTAAATTGTCCGCACCCTTTTTGTCAGGAAGTCGCTTCGTCTCCAGCATCTCTACTGCGCACCAGGGCCCGCGTCGGTGATTGAAATGCGGTTTCTGATTGCTGCCGTCTACCGTCTGCTGTTTGGTGCCTGGACTGTCAGCTCCAACCCAACAGCTGTTTCTTCTCTACCTATGATAGGCCATCAGTTATTGCTCTTACCTCTACCCTGTCTCTCTCACCCGTGATCCCTGAAACCTATTTGCGCCTTTCACACCTTTTCACATCTTTTTCCGTACCTCGTGACGACCAAATCCTGAACCCTGCCACTATGATATAAAGTTAGCGCTAACCCCGCCTTGCGCGGTATTGGTTTTAATTGGATACTACGGAGGGCCCTTTAAAAAGTCTTGTCTGGTAATAGGACATGTGGCAAACGAAAGGTTAGTGATATAAGTCCTCAGATACTCGAACTATTCTACACGAAAGAAAAACACAATACTGCTTTGTAAATTACTGGTTGCAACATCCTTTTCATGTGACATAATTTCCACCTCCCTTCGAAAATTTACCGGCCAGTACCACAAGAAAGCGCCTCAGTTGTGACAGCATGCACGACTTTGCATTGCCCCCCGCCACAACTGAAGCTGACGCAAAAGAGGCTGGCAAGAGTTACATCAGTTTGCTCCTCTGGAGTTGGGGGCGACAAAAATGCAGAGTCGGCATCCAATCATAGAATTGCATAGAATACGGCTGGCAGCGGTCGTCGAGATACAGAGTCAGCAGATAACATGTCGTCCAATTAGGGAATTGTAGATTACGTGCAATGTGTGATAGGGACTCAGTCTACACTGCATTTTTAGCTTCTCAAAAGCACTTGGTGCACTTCATCCCAGCCTTCGCCCACAGTGGCTGCGCCAAAGAATCCTTCTCACAGTATGTAACCAGTAATAACTTGCGCCAAGCCGAAGGACTGTATCCGTAGAGCACGAGGTAGTAGTTTTTCTCTATTTATATCGAGCTGAATACACATTGAGCGACCGATACAGTGTGCCCAACTGTCCGTTATCGAACTCCTCAATGTTTACTTAACCCTGAGAGCCCCCTCAGATGAGGTATCAGAAACATTGATCCTCTATCCTTGTTCCTTGGTCAGACAAGGCTACCATTGTTTCTGTTCTCATACGATTCCACTCGAGGCTCTCGTTGCTTGGTCACTTTACCTGAGCACCATGGGCGCATACGTCTCTCGAGGTGAATGCAAATCGTACGTTTCTCCACCACCTTTATGTTAGAATGAGTTAACCTAGTTCTCTTAGGCATTACGGCGTGGTTCTCAACTGCTCTATTGGCGCGTATCCGAATAAAACCATATATTCACTTGGTGATATTCAGAAGGGCCAATTTGAAGGCGATGGGGACATTGCGGGCATAGGAGTAAGCTGTTAGACCAACCCACATCTCCTTGGCCCTACTAATGCAGTCAGATCTTCGGCACCTTCATCGCCGTCACGAGCTTCGCCCTACTTCTCTCCCTCGCCGTCGTAATTTTCGGAATGATACAGCACAAGGTCTTCCCTTTTCAGCATTGCGGCGACGGCTGCTTTTTGGTCGACAGGACCACTGGACCTGCTGACCCCACCGAGAACGAGACCAACAACGAGAAGATCAAGCCTGGCGTGTCGGAGATCTTTCAGGCCATGGTACTCTCTTGTAGCGACGCCCAGATCTTCACCGGCGCCGCTTACGCCTTGACTTTGCGATACTTTCGTGGCTGTACCATCACGGCCTACCACTACAACGTCGTAGCCAACCTGATGCTCCTCACCTGTGCTACCCATCTAATGGCCATCACCATTGTTCGCAACTATTGGGAGTACGTCTGGCTTGCCCTCCTCCGTGTCGTCTGCAAGACTGGCGTCTTCCTCGTTACCGGCCTGCTTCTCTCCAACCAGAACGCCGATTTAGAGAACACCTTTCCGACAAAGATCCCTCCAAGAGACGATACAACAACACCTCTGTTTCTCGCCGCCGCTTGTTTTCAGTCCAACGAGACTGAGCTGGGGAAAACAATTTGGAACTCTGTCCAAGGTGACAACGCTAAGAATGCCTTCGTATTCAGCACCCCAGGAAACCGTATCGAGGGATGGAACAAATTCCTCATCATCCTGTTTTGGTATATTGTCGCTGTGGCTATGGAAATCGCCATGTATATCCGCAAAGGAAACCGTCGTGATGGCTTCCGCCGGAAGATGGTTCGGGCATTTTGGCATGTCATGGTCAAGCTCACTAGACGCACTGTCGAATGTATCTTCCCAAAGAAGAAGAGGCCAGCTCAAGAAATACTAGCTCAAGACACAACGAGCCCAGGAAATCGACCCCGAATCACACCCGCCGACAGGACGTCAACTATCCCAGGGGAGACGCCGCAGCAACGAACTATTCGTCACCTCAAGCTGATCGGCCATTATGTCCTGAGTCTCTATTACCTATTTGGTATTGGAATCTGCATGTGGACTGTTGTCGGGGCAAGCAGCTATGTAGGCAATCTGAAGCAATGGGTGCAAGACTCTGGATGGCTGAATACTGACGAGTACGGGCTTAACCCTGAGAATGATGCGACTTCGTTTGGCCAACTCGTTCCTATCTTTACATCTGGCCTGGTGCTTTTCACCCTCCTGGAGATGATTAGCGGTAAGTCATTGCCACCCTATCATATATGTCCGCCGAGATCTTCAGACTAACTAGGACTTCTCGTCTTCCAGCTGCGTTAAGTAGTCGCAGGGACGCTAGGGATATGCAACGCCTTCGGGATCGGCACGACGGAGAGCATCTCATCCCTCAGCCCCCACAGAACCCGTATAAGATCCAGTACACGTCCGAGGTGAAGCCAGTGCTTCCGACACCATCTCTCGACCCAACTCCAACTGAACCATCAACTGACGAGATCACACCGGCTCCAAACTACCAAGAGACATCGTCTATTGTGCCATCATACTTTCCTCCCCCCAAGCTAGACGTATCCGTTACTGCTGAGCCAGCGGCGACCACTTCTCAGTTGACATCGCAACAGACGTCCCTACAGCAAACATCACCAAAGGAGACATCGCCGCAGCATGCATCTCCCAGTCAGAAGCCAGAGTAACGTCGTCTCGCTCAATGATATGTAATGTAAGATGTATCGGGATATCGGATTTCTGCGGTTGTGACGGAGGTGAAGCTTTCCTTATATCATCATCGGCGTCCATCGCCACTTGCCTCGTTACCGGCATCGCCATCGGGCTAGCCCTAGGCCTAGCTTTCCCTTCATTTCATCAGTAGCTAGTTGAAGCCAAAGAAGGATCCAGAGCCTCTCGGCTGTCCGAGATCATCATCAGTCTCTTCGCCTATAAGACTGACCCAAAGACCCTCATTAGATAGGAATAATATCAAGAGCTTCTCACACATATGATCATTTCCATTTGCTAGATGCAACAGGCACGTGTGAGGAAGTAGCTAGCAATAGAAATTGAATTGCAGCGGTACAAGGAAGCGGGTCATGGGCGAATGTCAGATGCGCCATTGGCATTCTGCGACTTCAATTCGGTCGACCCGGACGATCTCCTCGATGCAGATCGCGTCTATAGAATTACAACGGGGAAATCTATTATATGAGTACAATCCGGGGCAAAGGTGGTACTATCTGAATCATCAGAAGCCAAGCGAAGTCGCCTATCGATGGACCAAAGCAACAACTCTTTGCTTACTATTGGTTGTGTGAGCTAGTAGCCGGCGGTTAAAGAAACAAGGCAATGACGGATTGACTGATGGTACGGCATGGCAGAGTCTTCTTCCATAAGGTAGGTACCTAGGTAGGTGTTATGTGCACTTTGGCCCTGCTTTCCTTTTCTAACATTTTCTGATGTAGATGCATCATCCCATCTCCGTCTCCGTCTCCTGCAGTCACCTTATGGGCCAACAAACATCTTGACCACCATCTTCGCCATCTGCAGACAACAAACACAACAGCGTCACTTGGAGCTTCCTTCGTCTTCCGAGAACCTTTCCTCGCCTCGTCGGGTCGATCCTCTCCCATACCGAATGCGCCCAGCCCAGGGGATTCCTTTCTTCCCCAAGCTACATGACCTTTTCCGCCGAAGCCGTCTCTTATTTTCGACCTTGGTAAACCCTCGCTTCGAACCACGTCCGAGTTCCAGGCTAGCAGTCATGGCTCCCTTGAATGTCCTAACAGCTACCGCAACCGACTTGCAGACCCTGTACCAAGACGGCAACTTAACGACTGTCGAGGCAGCTGAGCTTTACATGCAGCACATATTGAACCACAATCACCGCTTCAATGCCCTCGTCGAAGTCACTCCACAAGAGCATGTTCTAGCCTTGGCCACCCAGTTGGACCAGGAACGGGCCGAGGGCGTAGTTCGGGGACCGCTTCACGGCGTTCCCATTGTCGTCAAGGTATTTATTTGTTCATGTCCTCGCTTCAGTTTGCCAGAGCCTGATCTTCTCCCAAGGACAACATCGCAACCCATCCAGATCTCGGTCTGCGCACGACCGGCGGATCGTATGCCTTCCTGGACCTGAAGCCGAAAGAAACAGCCCCGTTCTTGCGCCGATTGGTGGCAGCCGGATGCATCATCCTTGGCAAGGCCAATCTTTCTGTGAGGCGCTCCTTTCCATGGCTGGCCTAGAGCTAATCGCTGATCCGTCGTCTTCATCATTGGGAATTCGCAAACTTCAAGTCCGCCTGCGTTCCCTTGTCGCTCTCAACTTGGTTGACTGATCTTTGCAGGGGTTCTGGAATGCCTTGCGGCTGGTCGCCTCGTGGCGGCCAGACTCAATCGCCCTATGTCCACGGTGGATGGGATCCCACCGAAAAGTTTGGAGGTCACAGTGTAGGTCATTCCCTCCTCGGAGAAATGTCATGGAACAAACACTCATAACCCTTCATTAGGGTCCTGGCGGATCATCGTCCGGGAGTGCTACATCGGTGGCACTGGGTTTTGCCCTAGTCTCAATTGGCACCAAAACTTGGGGGTCACTCATCATACCTGCCAGCCGAGCGAATGTTTTTACCCTCAAAGGGACCCGCGGTATCGTTCAAATGCAGGGCGTGATGTCGGTGAACGACATCCTTGACATTGTTGGGCCGCTGGCTCGAGGGGCACTGGATATAGCCAACATTTTCGACGTCATGCTGGATCCTGGCTATCCATTCCGGCCAGCAGATGGTTATGCCACAAAGGCTACTGGGTCTTGGGAAGGGTTACGACTCGGTGCAGTGCGGACAGCTGACTGGCGAATCGACGAAATTCTTGCCGACCCTGATGAGGATTGGTTTGCCCAGCAGGTATTGGACGGACTCAACCTTCGAGCCAACAATCAGACTAACAGCTAGCCCTAGGAGCACGACATTGTCGCTGCCTACGACAAGTTGAAAGACCTTGGCGTAAGTATCAAGCATCCAATCCCATTTGCCAAACGAGGTCCGTTGGCCAATGTCTTGGGGGACGTCATCAGTAAGTATCCACGCTACCATGACAGCTTTTGACACGCCTAACAATTTCATCCCAGATCATAATTTCGTGAGGTGCTTTGACGAGTTTCTGTCCGACATGGAGTCCAGCTCCGTCAGAAGCGTGAAGCAACTTGTGGAATGGAACCGTGACCATGCAGAACTTGAGATCCCCTCCGGTAAGTTGTTTCACCCAATAGCTGTTGTTTCGAATGCTAACTCGGGTTTGAAATGAGTTTGTCCCAACCAGGATACATTGCTCGGGGCCCTTGAAACAGATGCTTGGTCAACTGAGGCCACCGAGGTACGGCTTAAGGAAGGAGAACACCATGCCGCTGCTGAGGGCATTGATCGGTACTTGAAAGAGAGTGACGTCGACATTATTCTCGGCCCGGCTGATTGCTGGTTGACTGATTTTGCATGCGTCGCTGGTAAGTCGGGGAGGTGTTCAGAACTTTCAATGACCTAGAGGCTGACAGACAGCAGGTTATCCTTCAGCGATGCTGCCACTTTCCTTCTGGAAGAAGAACGGCCGGGCCTTTGGAATCATTGCCATCACGAGCAAGAACAGAGAGGACCTGCTTATCCAGTTGACGAGTGCTCGGGAGACTGTCTTCCCTCTCAAACTTCCCCTCAAGCTATGAGAATGTCAGTCCATGAGTATTATAGTACTACATATAGACACGTCATGGTTGGGTGGTTGGTTGAGTCGTTGGTTGAGGTGTGTGTAAGGATGGAAGGATGACTGGAATGGAAGAGGGCCTGCAGAGCCTTTATATCCATCAGGATTTTGCCTTTTCCAAGATCTAGCTTTTCCAGCAGATCTAGCTTTTCCAAGATACAGCTGTTACCTGCAGCTCATTGAGGTATTAGGAAAGGTAACCAGTTAGACTAGAAACCTTAGTCTATCTGAGTGTATTGTTGACATTTAAATGGACTGGGTATATAGTCTGTATTGCTGATACTATTGTTGGTGTTTTTTTTTTACTGTTGAGCTTCTAGTCCCCCCTCTGGATATGTGTATTAGGGCACCCTAACCTCTTGATACCCGTTAAACTCTAAACCCATCTGCGCCTTTTGTTAGATAGAGACCCTGTATTACGAATCCTTCGATAGATCCGGTATTGGTTTTAATTGGATACTACGGAGGGCCCTTTCAAAAGTCTTGTCTGGAGAGGAAAAGCGTCAGTGAGCCAACGAATCACCACGAGGTTAAGCACACCAAGCACAGGTTGCTTCGTGTATCCCTCGCTCTCTTGGCGCGTAGTTCTGCACTATTACTAGCTTGTATCTACGTTCCAATACCTTATAGAGTATAGGTATATTCAGATCCGCATTGCCAACGCTCAGTAAGCGCCTTCACTCGACTTCCATTCATCGTACCCTCCTCGCGAATATCCCCATCTCGGGCCTGAGCTAGCTTCTTATTTCTTAGCGCAAGGAAGAATCGCAACACAGTCGCCATGATGATACAGAGGCCAGCAAAAGCGACATTTGCGACATTTGCCTGCCAGTATCGCGGGCCATGAGAGGAGGGGTAAAAGTAGGAGGCATAGATGGCGGCGAGGTTGGACCCGGCGTTCACCGCAGCATACGAAATTGCGCGCTTTGTCGACGGTCGCGGTAAAGAGCTCGATACCCATGACAAGATGCAACCAAAGGATCCATAGACTGACATCATCATGAAGGTGGAAATGTATCGAGCTGCAGTGTTGAGAGTCACGGCGGAGATGATGAACCCTACGCTGGCAAATACCTGTGGCCAGACGACGTGTAGCCAGCGCTCATTGACTCGATCACTGTGCCACGAATTGGTGATTCCCAGGGCGGCGGCAAAAACATAGGGTGGCGCTGAGAGCAGTAGAGTGATAGTCGAGCTATAGCCAAGAGTCTTGACGATGGTTGGGAAGAAGTTGGTGAACGAAGCAGCCGTGTTCAGCCCGAGCTGCATGATCCAAATCATGTACAGGGCAGGGTCAGTAAAGGCCATCTTGGCGCCCTCCGCTGCCGATGTGTCTGCTCGGTCGTCTTCCTTGCTGGCATCCTCAGCCATGCGTAGGATAGCGATTTTGCGCTCTTCGTCGCTCAACCACTTGGTCGTACTAGGATAGTCGGGAACGACAAAGTATGTAACAACAGCAGCTGGGTATGTGGCACAGCCTTCGATGATGACTGGATCTCTGTTAGTCCTGGTGCCATGCCATAGCGACAAATATTGGGGCTTGCCATACATAACCAGCGCCAATTTGCGAGTCCAGCCTTGCCGTCCATACCAGCCATGATGGCACTACCAAGGAGGCCACCGAATGCACCCGCCATCTGACCAGCCGCGTATAGAACGGAGATTCGAACTGCAAGTTCTTTCTTGGTGTACCATGAGCTGAACAAAAACAACGCGCCAGCTAAAGGCTTGTCAGCATATGTTGGAAGCCGCAGCTGCAGGACTCACGGAAAAATGGCGCCTCGACGAATCCAAGCATAAAGCGCAGAGCTACCATGCCACGAAAGGTTTGTACTGCACCGGTGCAAGCGCTCACGGTTGCCCAAGCGACCATGATGGAAGGCTGAGGTACCGAGTTAGAAGGACTGCATTCAACTCTGCCCATCGAGTTTAACTTACGAGGAAGATAGAGGGCCTCATCTTGTTCAATATCATGTTGGTGGGCACTTGCGTTAATATGTATCCGACGAAGAAGATACTAATGATGGTATTATACTGTTGGCCGACGAGTCCAATGTCTTTTTCGAAGTTCCCTAGGCGAGCCGTGGCAATGTTATTCCGATCAAGATAGTTGAGAACGTCTATGTAAGATAAAGGTAAGCCTTCTGGACACCAATTGTACTGTGATCCAGACTCAACTTACAGAGGATCATCATCAACGGCATCATTCGACTATCAACCCTCCTCAAAAGCGCCTTTTCTTTTCTGGCACGGTCTGGGATGTCAACATCAAACCCGTCCAGGATGTCACACCGAAGCTCTTCACCAACATCCTTCTTAATATCGTCGCCCGTCATGGTGAATATCGCAAGGTGGCCGACTAGCAGGAATCTGGCGGAACTGGGGAGATATTTTTTGATCCTGCCGCTCGGTTCTCGAGACCAGCTCAAAGAGTATTTATCTATCAACACAAAGTTGTCCCAGCACTTTGACCGACCCCCGCATCTCCACGTTTGCCGACACACCAAGCAGACCGGGGCAGTGAAGGTGGAGATAATAACCTGGGGTATGGGGGTGGACCTTAACATGAGCGGGGTAGTGAGGGATAGCGTTACATTCCCCGTCAACATACGAATATCAACATGCGGATAACGTCTTGCTAGTTGCATTTCGACATGGTTACATTCCTCTGAGTCACCAGGGGACCCTAGACCAAAAGAACTAAAAGCCCAGGCAACTACCAATCCCATAGAAATCCGACGAAATGCAACACCAAGATCGCCTGAGCTAAGAACAGAGGGGCAAAGATCGCCTCGGAGAAGCCTCCGATTGTCTAGGGCAGCCGACCCGACGCCCTATGCTGTCAATCGTAGCGACAGCCGATCGGGGGGTCAGCGGCCGAGTTCCCCATGGGGCGCGAGGCATGAATGGCGATGTTGATCCGGGTAAGCAAACCCCTCACTTCACACTGTTGAACCGGGGAAGTGTCAAGAATAGGCCGATGACGGAAATACAAGAGAAAAGCAAATATTTTAAGGATAAACAAGAAAACACTGAGGAAGATGCCAAACGCCCACTCTGAATGGAAGTGTCGTCACAACTCCAACTAAAACCCATCTCCTTTCTTGACACACCTCCCCTTATTCTTCACTGGAACTCAATTCTCCATGGCAGCAAACTCGAAACCTATTGTGCTCCACATCGGAGACCCAGTCAAGTACAACCATGAGTTATACAAAATGTTTCAAGAACAGTTCACCGTGCTCCGCCCCTCAGCAGAGGAGCGTCAGCGTGGCCCGTTCCTAGAAGCGCTTCGTCAGGGCAAATGGGGAGAATTCCATGCCGTCATGCGTCCTTTTTGGGTCACCGGGGGCGAGATGGGTCGCTGGGACCGGGAGTTGATTCCCCTGTTGCCCAAGTCAGTCAAAGTGTACGCATCCGCAGGCGCAGGCTATGACTGGGCGGATGTCGATGTAATGGCCGAAGCCGGGATCATCTACTGCAACGGCGCCGCTGCTTCATCGGAAGCCGTCGCCGACATGGCCCTTTACCATATCATCTCCGTATTCCGCAATATGCAGTGGTCGAACATGGCCGCCCGCGGCAGTGCAGACGAGTTCCGCGACGCCCACGCTCATACGCAACTTACGGCACACAACCCGCGTGGCCACATCTTGGGACTCATCGGCTTAGGCAACATTGGGTATCAAATCGCTGTCAAGGCTTACAAGGCGCTCGGCGTTCGGATAGTGTATCACGACCCTTTTCCCAAGAGCGAGGAGCAAGAGGCTGCGATCGAGGCCACCTGCTACCCCGATCTCGATGAAATGCTAGGCATCGCGGATTGCATTGTTTTAGCCGCTCCTGGTGCCGGTGGCAAGAAAATCCTGACCCGCGAAAAGATTGCAAAGATGAAGAAAGGATCGCGACTAGTCAACATCGCCCGTGGAAGTCTTTTGGATGAGGAAGCCGTTGCCGATGCCATAGACTCGGGACATTTGTTCGCCGTTGGCCTGGACGTCTTTGAGGACGAGCCAAGACCCAACCCCAGGCTACAAAAGATGCGGAATGCAACTCTGACGTGCCATACTGCGGGAGGAGCTTTAGAAACGTCAATCGGATTCGAACGTCTGGCGATGGAAAATGTCATCGCGGTACTCAACGGTCAGCCGCCTTTGACGCCTGTCAACAAGCACTTGTTTAAATAAGATAAGTCACGTTACCCGTAAGGTCATCCTGAGTGGCCTATACACTTGCTAGGGCTTAGAAACCTGGAACAGCTCTGTAATTGAAAAAATAGGCCCTGATTTACGTCGGTCTAATTTATTCCCAATTGAGATAAGACACTCAATTTATGTTGTGATAAAGAACGACATTTACAGTTTAAAAGTACTATAATTCCAGAGCTGTAATAATTTTCTAATTCTTCTAATTCATTAATTCCTATTAGTCTATAAACAGCTTAATCATATTACTTTAATGAAATACCATGCGCTCCGTTGCCTACCCTATACCCTTGTAATACCAGGCGTAGACCGCTACATGATGATATCTGCAGACAGCGGAGTCAATTCTCTGAGTTGACCTATTTATATAATGTGGCACCTACTGTATATATCATTGCGAATACAGATAATATAGAGATCATACCACATCTCTAGATATCGGATTTCAACAGCTATTGCGGAAGTGAAACTTTTCCCTCACCGTCATACGTGTGCATCACCACCCGCCTCGTCACTCGCTTCCTCACCACCCTAGTCTTTCTTCAATCAGGCCAATAGCTAGCGAAAGCCAAAGACCCCGAGGATCTGGAGAGTTTCGGCCATTCGGGGTCATCATCAATGTCTTCGCCTAAAAGACTGACCCAAAGACCATCATTTGATAGGCAGAATATCAAGGGCTTCTCACATATATGATCACTTCCATCTGCCAGACTCATCACAGGAGACCTGACTTGTTGGGCTTCTAAGAACAGTCCGCAAAGCTTTCAGACATTCCTCCATTTTTCAGGTACAAATGATCGAAGGGAATATTACGGGAAACGGAAAGGACATTACTAGGAATGATTTGAGGCGCATTCAACAAAATGTCGCTGATTGCTGTTAAGAGAAGGACCTCATGCGTGGTGCAAAGCGTAACTCTTACCGATGATCAAGTTTGGATTGAATTTTTTGTAGGAGCGTTTCTCGATCAAATTAGATCAGGACCATGGCTGAGAGTGCTTTATCGGCTCTGGATGCCCATTAACTTGTCTCGCCGTCAATTCACCAGAAGGACCATTTCCATCCATTTTCCTCAGAAATAACCCTCCAGTCAACACTACACCTGTCGCTTTGAGTCTGAAGGACTCTCCGTCTCGACCAGATCATCATCAGAAGCTCGCTCGCATCTTGGTTCATGGAGTTTGGCCGACGATTCGAAGCGGTGCGCAGCAACAAGTCAATCAGGGAGGCGGCAACTTCGGGATGCTCCATCTCGTCCAACTCTAAGCCCACAATCATGGCTGGCCATGTCGCGACAACGCCGTGGCTTTCCATGCCCAGCTGTTTGATGAAGTCGATGGCAAGCAGCACGTGATGCTGTACCAAGGCGTGATGGTAAGGCATCTTGCGAATCTCCCTTGAGTAGAAAACCAAAACTGCATGTCGAAAAGCTTCCATCATGTTGTTTTTGGGTGCATCTTCTCGATCCGGGCGCCATCTGTATAGTGAATCTTCCCAACGCAAGGCCTGTGCAGCCTGTTCTGGCACAGCGGGATCGCTAGTTTGCCCCTGGCTTCTGAGGACCACAAGCATTTCGGCTAGTACCTTGAGAATGATAGCTGGGCAGCCAAGAAGATTTTCAAAAAACCCATCATAAACCATTTCGGGTATTTCGGGCCAGGAGGGATCTCCATTGAGCCGTCGGGAGGCTCCGATAGATGGGAGCTTCCAGAAACGTTTCGCTAGGCGGATCTCGGTATCTGATGTGACGGCGGCCAGAGTCTCCATAGCAACGACGATCTTGGTCATCGCAGACCAAGCCGTGCCCTCCTGCATGTCCTCTTGCAGGCGATTACGGGCTTGCACTAGCCGTAGACATGTTTGAAGCCAGTGGTACCAGTCCCTATGTCCCGAATTGAGAACCTTTGGGCAGTATTAGCAAACAACGTGAACAGTAAGCGCCAAAGGGGCGACTGCTGACCTCCATTGATTGCATCATTACGCACGCAAGGAAGCTTGCTGGGTTGCTGATGTCGTAATCTACATGTCCGGATTTCAAGGACGCGATGACATGACGTTGGTGCCACAGCGCATTTGTCGAGTCAGTCGTGCTGGAGGATGGACCAGATTCGAGAGCCAGCTGACTTGCTCCCAAGGCGTTGATCGCATGCCAAAGAGTTGGCGATGCTAGGGAGAGAGGAATGGCTATTGTTACAAATGGGTTGTCTAGTGAGTTCCAGAATGGGGTGAAACGAGTTATCGCCTTCTCGATATCTGCAACGGCGCTGTGAATTAGCAACAAGACTTAAGGAAGTGCCCTTGGAATGGGTGTCGGATGAGCAGCGATAATACTAACAAAATTGGTAATAGCGAGAACAGTCCGCCACGGCGCCATTTGTGGGAGCACGGCAGGAGGGCGCGTAATACGGCAACTCGCCAAAAAGATGTGGGACGGCTAAAGCTATAGGCTCGACTGAACCCGGTGACCAGTCGCATGGTGTTTGTATGTGAGTGTACGGGTTTGAATGCACCGGACCTTCGGTGGGATGCAACAGTGCGGGATCATGATGGCTGAGAAGCTGAGAAGCGTCGGTTGGGTTCTCAAAGGTGGCCTGGGACGGGGCTTGCCAGTCGTCTGCATCTTCTGTAAAGTCGTCTACATCTTCTGTGATGAGACGCTGAGTGTTGATATCTAACGGCGCGGAGAGAGGCGTGGAGCCTGAATCCAACAAGGCGACGTTGAGCGGATGTTCCGATTGTAATGGCGCCTGTTCAATGTTAATACGTGCGGGTTGGCCGCCGGACGGGTCTCCTAAGGCGACGCTTGTCGAGACGGCTACGACATCAGTGTTGGCATTCGGAGACGAGTCTCGCGACAGAGTCCAGTCGATGATGTCGCTTGTTTGATGCGCAGATGGCTTTGAACAGTCTGGTCGTTGACGGGGGCGTCTCGGACGAGTGACTGCTCCTTGGAATCGCACTGAATACTTCTTTTGCGAAGAGTTTCGGGCGGCTGCCAACAACTCGGCGTGAGACTTGTCTAGGGAATGTCGAACAGGCTGGGCGGGAGAAGCTCACCCTCGCGATGGTCGCGATGAAGGCTCGGTACATCCTTGAACCGTCCGCTACGGGCTATGGTGTCTGACCAGCGGAGAGTAGGTGGCATAGTGAATATCCATGAATGGTCTCTCCATCGCCTAGGTACCTATTGTCTCCAGGGTATGTCTTGGATGAGGTGGACTCGGCGATTGTATGAATGGCAATGCGTATCGTTCCTCGAAAATGGACAAACCGATCAGTGGAGGTCAAGTTCATGGCTAGCAGTGAGTGAGGGGCTGGCTTATGTAATCAGAAGCTACTGAGAGGCGAAAGGGGGCCGCCAATGGGGTTCTAGTCGCTCTTGCTAGCCCATCAGTCCTATTCTTCGAGGCTATTCAGTCGCGAGACTCCGCCATGACCTTCGAAACGACAGTCTAGGGTAGGGCGAGAATACTGGCTGGAGAGACACATCGGCCGAAATGGGATGGAAGCGATCCTTCCATTGATTTTGCATCATGCAGACGACTATGGAATCTACATACGCTGCGGATTTGGCTTGGCTATCTATTACGCCAACACAAAATTCGCCAGTGACTCCAGAGCAACATCTTGCTCTGCGTCCCCCGTATTTCGTGCCACTGCGTCTTGATATTCCTGCCCGGTGATTTCGGGCCTGGTCAGCTCCAGGACCTTTTCCATAGCGGCTCGATCGAACTCAGGATGGGCCTGCAATGACCAAAGACGGTCAGCCAGGTAGAGGCCTTGCACGGCCGTGTTCTTGGTCGAACCCGTGTTTTGTATTTCACCCTCGACACCCTTGACAATCCAAGAATGCGACTGGTTCAGAGACTACAGCGAAACATCAGTCAGACTTGGAGCTTTTACGCTGGGAAGGTGGCCGCTGCACGAACGATTGTGTCCTGCTTGAAGAGATCTCGTCCTGTCGCTGACAGCTGGACCTCGGTCACGGCGTTCTCGTATCCTTCGGGGTTCTTGCCCACCGACAGCCCGTACGCCAGTGCTAGGACTTGGTGGCCGAAGCAGATGCCTACAAATTTCTTGTTGTTTTCTGCCGACACGGCCGCCTTCAAGTACGAGACGAGTTTGACAACCCACGTCTCCTGGCTCGTGGGATGCGTCGCTGCCAACGACCCTTGTCAGGAGCCGCCCTCAGAGGCAGGGGAGGGTTGACTCACGTGCCCCAGTGATCAGGATAACATCGTACTCCTCTGGCTCGGGATACTGCATGGCATGTTTGGTGTCCCAAACACGCACCTCGGCTTGTTCCTGGAGACGTGGATGTGAGTTCAGCCAAGCTGATACCAAGCCCCCGTATCCCCCGTACGCTGACCTGTCAGGATCAAGGGTATCGTCGCACTCGAAGATGGCGATCCGGGTTCGTTGAGCCATCGTAGTACTGCGATACGTGTATGTACTGGATGGAGGTGAGAAGCAATGCAACTTGACGGTCTGCACGTTCGTAACTCCCGTAATATCCTCCCTCCTAAGCAGCCGTTATTGTCTTATTTCTTCACCCCCTTCAATGCCTGATCCAGCCATAGCGACCCGCTTAACTTAGCACCTGCGCATATTTCAGCTGGAAACTTGATTTAAGCCAGCGTCAAAACTTGCCTAAAACGGAAGTTCAGCCTTCACCTGGATGGCCCACACCAAGCAAGGGGTCGGGTTGACCCAGCTTCCCGTCCACGCCTCGGAACGCCAGTGGCAATCAATGGAAAGAGCGCCCAACCACAGATGCGGCGAGGCTGAATCAACCGATTACCGGTGTGGACCAGGCGGGGGTTTGGCGGAGATGGCGAACTACCGCTTTAGGAAAGAATTCGTTCCAGATACATTGGTGAACGAGACACTGGTCCCAACTACTACATCGATGGATATGCAGGCGAGTCAGGCCTGATGAACAATAACAGCGCAAAAAAATGGACCCGCGAGTCAGCTTCTGGCGCCGCTGCCAAGCATTGACCGATGCATTCATCTCATAACGAGGATAATCATCCTACGGAACATTTTCTGTCCCTTATTAACAATGCCGGTCCCCGGGTTTCAATAACCACCACCTCTTGCATTCGATTCAATCACTACTACCATATCGCCCCATCGAACACCTAAACCCAGCAAAGACATACCAACCATGGGTAAGAAGAGAGTTCTGGCCGGTTACGGCATCGATGTGGACGCTGTCGCAGGGCACATTAACACAACAGACGGTTCGAGACCGAATACATCCAACGTCTCCAGAGGTAGTCCAGAAGAGTTTACCAATGTATTGACGTAGCTAATGCGTTTCTCGAGGTGTGTTCGGGGCCAGGATCGGAACGAAGAGGCTGTTGGATTTGTTTGACAAGCAGAACATGAAGTGTTCATGGTGCGTATTGCTACGGCGCCGCCTATTGAGTTCATTCACAGCTAAAGTTCCACTCCAAGGTACATTCCTGCTCATACCATCGAGACATTTCCCGAGGACATGGCCCTTATCCGGGACAAAGGCCATGAAATGTGAGGAATAGTCTCAGTCAGATCACATGCCTGCCTCTCAAAAGCTAACGCGATATAATAGCGGTTGTCATGGCTACACGCACGAGTAAGTATCCCATCTTGGCAAACCCGGTCCCCGGGAATTTTACAATTCATCACGAAGCTAATGCTAGAGTAGAAGCCCCGGAGAGCTAACCACACAGCAGTTCCGTGACGTGATGGAAAAGTCGATCCAGATCTTGACCGACTTCTGTGGAGGCAAGCGTCCTCGGGGATTCACTGCCCCATATTGGGACCCTCACCCTCAGCAGATTTCAATCATGGAGGAGTTGGGCCTACTCTACGGTGAGCGACTCTCCTACTGACATTATTGACGCCTTTCTGAGCCACGGTCACTGACTGTTGATAGATCACTCCTTTATGCACGATGACTTTCACGCATATTATGCTCCGAAAGACGGGGAGACACACACGACCACGGACTACAGCAAAGATGCCTCTGCTTGGATGAAGCCATCCATCACCGAGGGACCTTCCGACATTGTAGTGATTCCCGGTACGTGAATTGCAATGTTCTCAATGGCAACCTCTCAAGCGAGCTCAACTCTCCGTACGGGGAGCTGCATGCTGATATTGGCATAGGATCATGGACATTCGATGATTGGCCGGCTTTCCAATTTGAGCCAAGCCGCCCCAATGCTGTTAGTTTCCAGGCGGTCACGCAGATTCCCGAACATGAGAAGACGCCACGTGCTGACACACAAGCAGCAAGGCTATGTCGACCCCGAAGTCGTCGAAAAGACCTGGAGAGAGTCTTTTCTGTATTGCTACGAGCACTATGACACCTTCATCTTCCCAATGACCATCCACCCCCAGGTCAGTGGCAAGGCACATATTATGCGAATGCACAAGCGGTAAGGCCTCAAATGCGGTTTATGCGAACCTTGCACGAACTTTTCGTTGAGTATTCTAACGGTATGGCCAGCTTCATTGATTTCGTCAATCAGTTTGAGGGTGTGGAATGGTGCACCTTCGAATACATGGCCGAAGAATTCCGGGCCGGTCGAATTTAAGAGTGGATTTGAACTTGTCAAAAGATGAGGAACATGTTTCTGTTGTGATTGCTGCTGAGACTACTGTTTTTACATCACATGTTTTCCAAAGTGTGATAGGTGACTTAATGGATTTAAACCCAGTTACAGACTGTTGCTTCTACAAAACCTGTTCCAATACATCCCGCTATCTTTTGCCCCTGAAGTTAGAGAAAACTGCAGTGAGATTCCCTCAGCTTTTGATCTATCAATTCCTCGGCGGCGAGTTAATGTAGTTTAAAATTGTTTATTAAATCTATAACCCATTCGATATAGTTAGAGCTAGCTAGTTCTTTAAGAAATTGTCACATGCCTCTGGGGGCCACAGAGGGCTCCAGAGAGAGCCGGGCGGGCCACTGGCGTGGCACGCGAGAGCGTATATATAGCAGGGCCAGCGACTGGGGTTCCAGGGCCAGAGGTTAATCTAACATCCTCAGGCCCCTCACCAGTAATCCTACAGTTAATAATCTGCATCCCTCACTCTTCTGAATAGACAACTGGCAGGAATTTATTTTTTTAAGCTGGTTATAAAGGGTTAGTTTATTCATTCAACTATTATATAGTCTGCGGGTTACTAATTACATGCCAGTTATTATATTGTATAAAAGTTAGGTTAGAATGTAAAGAGGTGATTTGAAAAGTCAAGAAGCCATCTTTAGAAAGCTTTTATTCTTATACTATTATTCTTACTCACATTGTTGAAGGCAACCTTGCCTCACCAGAGTCCCCGGGCGCTCTCACGTCACGTCTTCTGCAGGGTCTCAAGGTTGATGTCTCGATTCAGAATGCCGCGATACTTCTTCCCGTTGCTGGCACTGAGATCGCCCTATCCGTGACTATTGGTAGCATAAATTCCTATTTCGAGACAAACGTTATTGGCCCAGATCTGCTTTTGCAGGCCTGGCGTCACTCCTTGTGCCGGGGGCGGTTGTTGTCAACATCGGTTCTGGGGTTGAGAGCATGACTCAGATTTCTGACAGTCGGGTCACCGCAGAGTATTCTGCTTATAGCATCGGCAAGGCGGCGCTGAATATGCTGACTGCGCATCAAGCCGCCAAGCTTAAGGGTAAGGCAATTGTGGTATGCGTTGCCCTTAGCCATGTAAAGACTAAGATAGAAAGCCTAGCAGCAAAAATGGAAGTGACGGACAGCGCGAGCAATGTGCTACGGACGTTTTCGACGTTTAACAATAAGGACACTGGGAAATCTTACAATATGATGGAACCTCTAAGCCTTGGTGAAGTCCTCAATACTCTACTGGTGGGGTCGCATGATAGAGGTATTGATGATTACATTACAGGTCCCTTTTTATTTCTATGAGGTATGTGATATTATAAACTTTCTCTCAATATTACCAGGCTAGGCCCAGGTATCTCGTGTTATATGGGGGATCTCAAGATGTCGGGGATCTTACTTGGGATGTTTGCCTACACATGGGATTCATGGCCCGGCAGGCCATGTTGAGATTTAGATCGAACTAGTCTATCGCTTAATCTGCGAGTCATCTCATCCCACCCCTTGGAAAATTATGGTAATAGACTCCGTATATGGCGCGCCTGTTTATTAATCGATTCGAATATGGTGATTGTCAATGCCCACAACTACAACGTGAACAATGGCCTGGGGGATGCCCCGGAATGCTTATCCAGCGCGGATCCGAGGTAATGCCCCATAGCCTAGTGATCTAGCCTGGTGATTAATCAATGGATCACCGGAACGGCCTAACTTCAACTGTCCAGCGGAGCTGCTGGGTCACAAGGCGTCCATGACTCGTCGACAAATTCTTGCCTCATCCGGTAGCTTCCCAATCGGGAAACTATTTTAACCATCCACTCCTGGCCCAGTTCAGCCTGTCGAGGTTATCCCCTAAACACACCTCATGACATAAAATACGCCATCTACAATGCAAAATGCCAATGTTCCGCAGATCGCATTCGCACTTACACTAACCTGTCCGGCCTAAATTCGCCCTACTGCTTCCCGTACCATCTCGCAGGGCACAGTTGCAAATCCTTCCATCACTACGCGACCTTTCATTGAGTCTGCGGTTATGTCTCATTCGTCAAAGACCGTCCTCGAAGGCGAGGAAAATCGCTGGGCTGAGTTAATCCAACAAGCCCGTCAGCGACGGGATGTCTCCATTTCCTCCATCAAGCCTGCACTCCCTGATCTGCCCGCAGATCTCCCTCTGAACGTGACAAGAATTCCTCAGGAGCTCCTCGAGGCGCACGAGGTCAAGATCACTGAAAAGTCCGCCGAGGAACTTGTCAAGCTACTTGCCGAAGGCAAGCTTTCTGCGGTAGAAGTAACAAAGTCTTTCCTCAGGAGGGCAGCTCTGGCCCAGCGCCTTGTACGTACGAATTTCTCGAAAACATCATAGCCTGGCAACGTCCTGCGAGGCCGGATACCTTTTATTTTCATGCTGGAAGCTCTTGTGCTGATTGTGAACCGCGTATTGCAGGTGAATTGTGTCACCGAGCTTCTTCCGTCCTCCGCCCTGGAGCGTGCGGAGTTCCTTGATCGTTACTACAAAGATAACGGGAAAACAATTGGTCCTCTACACGGCCTTCCAATCAGTGTGAAAGAACACATCGGAATGAAAGGCTGGGAAGTCAATTTCTCGTTTGTGGCTCGTCTCAATGAGATCTCAAGCACCGACAGCTTGGCAGTTAAGGCAATGTATGACGCCGGAGCAATTCCGTTTGCAAGGTCAACCCAGCCGCAGACCCTGGTAAGGATCCTCCCCAACCGAAAGTTTTGATCCAGAATCGGCTTTCATCGCTGGCTTTGGAGGCGACTTAGTCCTTAAGACTGAAACTAAGTCCATCGTCTCAGATGCAGCTAGAAACTTCGTCTTCCATTTACGGAGAGACTGTCAATCCATACAATACCAGTTTGACGCCAGGAGGTAGCTCGGGAGGTGAGAGCGCCCTGATCGCCCTGAAAGGTAGTGTTCTAGGATTTGGTTCCGATACAGGCGGTAGCATCAGGGTACCAGCCGGTCATACCGGCATCTATGGCCTCAAACCTACCTCTACCAGGCTGACGCATGCCGGTTTGTGTGGCATTGTCGGTGGCAGAGAACAGATTCCTTCCGCCATCGGACCAATGTCTACCAGCATCGGTGGGCTCGAGATGCTAATGAAGGTCGTGATTTTCTCTAAAGCCTGGGCACTGGATCCGAGCATTCCGCCTGTGGAATGGCGAGACAACGTCGACTGGCTGGAAAAGCCAAATGGCTCAAGAAAGCTGAGAGTTGGCGTCATGTGGGACGACGGCACCGTGACACCTCATCCACCGGTACGACGTGCTCTTCGCACGACAGTAGACCGACTCCGTCAACATGACGATGTCGAGGTCGTTGATTGGAAGCCATTCGATATGTCGGAGGCTCATCAGATATGGGTAAAAAGCTCCTCCACCCAGCTTCCCGTCGTGGATGTTCCAGCTTGCTAACATTCCCAGTCAACCCTTCTTTTTGCTGACAACGGTGAAGTTATGCTCGACCTTCTTGACCGTGCCAAGGAAGAACTGCGACCATTGACAGAATGGGCGCTCAAGCAGAATCCATACATGGCTAAGCGCTCACTTCACGAAGTTTGGGACTGGACAGCGAGGAGAGATGCTTTCCGAGCAATGTTTGCGCAGATGTGGAACGAGACAGGCACCGCCAACTCGCAAGCAATCGATGTTCTTCTTTCGCCTCTCTATGTGGGGGCGGCTGCTCGGCTCGGCGAGTCTAAGTACTGGAACTACAGTCTTTTGTGGAATGTCCTAGACTATCCCGGGGTCTCATTTCCCGTTACGACAGTCGAACCGAATCTTGATCCAGTAGACCACCACTTCCAGGCCAAGAGCGATGAGGACCTATCAATTCACAATCTCTGTACGTCAATTCGATTCATCCTCCTCATGACTCTCCTTCTAGGAATTAGCCGACTAATGCTGAATGGTAACTAGATCGACCAGAGTGGTACACCGATGCCCCAGTATCTCTACAACTGGTTGCACGCAGGTTTGAAGACGAAAAGGTTCGAGAAATATACACTCCATGTTACTATCTCCAAGATTCGCTAATATTTTGCTTGGTACTGGTATAGCTTCTCCAGGCCTTACGCTTCATTGAGGAAAGGATTAAGGATGTTTAAGCTCGAGTATATAACAAGCGAGTTTAGACGCGCAATCTTCAACCTCAAATAAGTATGGGCACCGTATAAAATAGAATCAGGGCTGCTTTTTGAGTGCACTTATGTAGAAGTTGCAGGAATAATGCATCTGTACTTATAAGTCAGCTCCGTCTTCACCGTCTCGATTCTGGCTCCCCAGATATGCCGCCCGGCATTCGTGATAGAGCTGCTGCGCTTTTTGACCTTAGAATACGCATATGTCGTCGAGATCTTCTCAGGGCGGCAAGGATAAGGATGTCTTGCTAGGGGGTAACTTCCATCTTTGCGCTTCAATCTCTCTTCTTTCTATTGGATCAAATGCTTCTCGATAACTTAACTTGTCATAATTAAATACTGACGCAAAATCCCTTCTTGCTCTTCAAGCCCTTCGAAATAAACCAAAATTAAATCTCCCTCGCGCCGCGAGCATCTATGATGTCTCCGAGTATAGGCCTCGTCGCCGACAGAATGGCATTCTTTCTCAACGCGATATCATCTCTAAGTCACGGAAGCTATCTGATTTAGAAGAACAGACCATTATCCAATTCATCCTCGACCTACATTTGCCAGGGTTTCCTCCACGAATTCGTGGTGTCGAAGAAATGGCTATCCGACTGCTGGCCGACCGCGACGCGTTACCTGTTGGCAAGCGCTAGGCTTGTGACTTCGTTAAGCGATATTAAGAGCTCAAGACGCGTTTCTTTGTCGTAAATACGACTATCAAAGAGCTAAGTCGCAATGGGTTTGCCGCGGACGTCATAAATTCCGAGGGAGTATACACGATCGAGAATCTCAGCGAGTCGCAGATCTGTGGTGCTTTTATTGAAGCGTCTCGCGAAGTCAACCCACCCTTCTACAATTACACCATGTCTAAGCGTTTACTGATAAGTTCATCAATCAGTATCTATATTGTGGGGGGACAATCCTGTGACTCTCTTGCTTTATGCATAGTCTCACTCTATGAAGATTGTGTAAATGGCCCATGTCAGAGTCTTCCTTAGAAATCACTTCTCTCATCGTAAACAATAATTTTACCCAAGTCGCACTCAACCTCGTTTGTGCTCTTGTACCGCCACAAGGGCACGCTTTATCAGTACTGCGTTTTGAGAAGTTTGGAATGGCATCGTGAATGCTTGTATTGATAGCCATTATAATCCAGCACCGACCCAGAAGCCTAGACTAAAGCCGCGGACGTGGGCTACACCTGTTGCTGTGCAATTTCTTTGATCAATGCCTTCAACTCCTCATCCGACAGTTTTGGAACCCCCAGCAGGTCATTGTCGGGATTCTCAAAGCCAGGGCCATACTTGGCATTGGTCCCGCCTTGGAGGATATAATTGAACCAAACCCATCCCTCTAGGATGCCCTTCTTCAAGGCTTCGTCGCTCGACTCCTTGAGCTTATTGGTGTCCGCCTCTTTGAGACTCCACGAGCCTGGAATTGCATCTTGGAGCACTGAAGCAATGTCCTTGAAGGAAATCTTGCCATCTTCGATTCTAATGCTGCGGTTCTTAGTGGCAATCGGGTTCTTCAGGACGCCAACGATGCCTTTACCGACAGTAGCTAGCCGTGTGAAACTGATAGGGGCATCACCGCCGTTGTAAAGGACAATTTCTCTATCCTTGATCTTCGCAATAGAACCATGGGCCAAGCCCCAATCAAGGAATAGGTTGTTGTAGAAGAAGGTATAGCTGAGCGACGAAGACTCGGCTTTTTCGACAAGATAATCCTCAGTCTTCACCTTTTCGGCGAAGACGGGGAGCTGGCGGGTGAGAGCGTTCTGCTGGTCACATCCGAAATTGGACGGAATGAAGCGCTGGACACCAGCGGCGACTGCGGCATCCACAAGGGCGCGTTGGGCATTGCCAACAGCTGGGGCTCCGAGAGTCGAGATGACAGCGTTGACACCGGCGAGGGCTTTCCGAAGGGACTCGGGATCGTCGTAGTCAACCACAACCTCCTTGACCTGGCTCGAGAAGGCGGCAGGGACCTTGCCCGCCTGCCGTGAGAGGACACGAACGTCAAAGCCGCTCTCAACAAGCTCCTTCAGAACCGCGATACCGAGGCTACCAGAGGCCTGTATTGACCCAAAAACATCAGCCGGAGCGATACATAAATTAGAAGGATTGAACTCACACCGGCCTGTGCGACAGAATTGATAGGGTTGGACATGGCTGGCAACAATTGAAATGGAGATAAAATGTGTTTGGTGCAATTTGAAGCGTGGGAGGGAAAATCTTTGGTCAGTCTTGGGGTTCTCTGCTTATATTACACCAGAATGCGATGGCGTGATCTTAGGCCAAGGCCATCGGAGCGAGCTGGCTTTCCAAATGGTCTCGTCATAACATCGCTGTGCCATGACTTACCCGGTTTGCGTAGTCATTCTTGAGTGGGATGTCGAAGTTCATGCGTGACCAAGATCCATTTTCATTGGTCATGTCGTTATGCTTTGAAATATGCCCTTCACCGTAGTTTGGTTTTGGTAATAGTGTCGGATATCCCACTTGCCCACCGCCCCGAGCGGGATACTAGTTTCAAGGCGCCGAGCCTGGGGATGACCGGGTGAAAGAAAGAGGGGTAGTCGATTATACACAGCACATCAAAGTTCAACATTCAAATTCGGCCTTGCTAGCAAGACGTCAATGTTCAATACAGAAGTGAGGAGATTTATAATAAGGGTAACCAGTGCAGAGCTTTCCTAGAGTAATCTCACGCATGGTAATGGGGTCATCGCCAATCCCCAAGAGCTAAACTCCATGGCTGGAGTAGCTCCAGATGCCGCGTTGACACCTACCCTGGATATGGCCTCAGATGCCTCGACCAGATTATCTGGACAGTCTTGTTCGCGGTGGGACAACTTTGAAATTGGTTCTATGTTTTGTGTTAAAAAATGGGACAGCAAATATGATATCTAGTCCGAGTGGGCTCGCCGAACCAAATCACACGACAAAGTCCCCTGGTCCCTCGTTAAGAACAGCCTGATACTATAATCAATGGATGGGCCTTTGTTCAGTTTTCCCACACCAAGACTAAAAACGTAGTTTGTTACAACTTGGGTATCCTGGGGCGGAGAGTAGGATGACCCGCTGGGATAGTATGGGAGGCGTTAGCTTGGACTGCTGAGTGGGATGGAACCTGGGGGAAGCAGCAGACGCTATTGAACTCTCTCGATTATTCAACTTCGGCTTCTCCACCATCGAGCCGACGAGCTATCCCGCTCGGTGCAGCTGCTCGGTATCCCACTCGGCATTCTACTCGGCATTCTACTCGGCATCCCCCACCTTCCCGATCATAATCATCAGGTTGCCAGCCAGAGCCGTTGCCCCGCCTCAATCTTCATTTCAAGGCAACAGAAGTTTAAGAAAGGCCGCTGGGTTTCTTGAAACTAGGCGCCGGGGGAGCCAGGTGCCGGCGTAAAAGTGTGGCTGCTCGAGGAGACAATCTACTCAGAAATTCCGCACTGGGTCATCAGACAACAAAACTCTTCGATGGCCTTGCTACCGTCAGGGTTTCGAGGCTGAATTTATTCAAATGCTCTGGTTTTGTGACTTCATATATCTCCGTCAACGAATGACCTCCCATCTCCACGGGCATTAGACGGGATGTGAGAGGCGGAAGCTCTTCAAGGTTGAAAAAGCACATGTATGAGCAACTACCCATCGGCGGTTGCTGGAACTGGAGCCCGGCGTCCAGCACGCGCGACCTTATGAAAAAAAGACGCCGAGTTCAGGCTCCATGATGCGGTTTCCAAGCTACTAGCTCAACCCTAGATGCAAATCGCAATACAGTCCACATAGCGCCTTGAGCTGTTGCTCAGGCTTAAACGACGCCACATCATGTCCCACAGTCTAGCCTACTTGTACCAAACCCTTATAAAACCTTCGTTGTTCACGTCCAATAACCGCCATCATTGTATACGACGAGGAACTCTCGTCAAGAGTAAAATCATCGGTCAACACCACGTCTGGGTCACAAAGAAATGGCAGCCTTCCTGCTTCGATCTCGCTCATAATGCAACCCAGAATCTGGCTTGTCCCCGTTACGGTGGCCAATTGGGGTCCACAGTGAGCCACGTAGTGGAATCGCGGCATCACAACTTGCGAAAGATGACATACAACCCTGATATCGGGGACGCAGGTTGCCAGTGTCGCGAACACCCATAGAGGACCATTACCATAGACGTCGTGGGCAATAGAGTATTCCGGGTCCAAGACTTCTATAGTAGAAAGCGCGGCTAGAACAAGAGGATGCAAGGGCCTTGAGGAGCACAGGACATCGCCGCCGAGCAAGTAGAGGTCTAGAACTTCTTGGGAAGATAGAATCCGGCCCATAACGTAAGTCAAGTACTGCAAAGCAGTCTCACTGTCTGTGAACGTCCAGGAAGCGATCTGACGTGTTTGGTTTTCCTGGTTATTGAGGTCTTTCTTTGACCAAGTCGGAGATACGGTCGGCTGGGCCTCTTCTGGGAGCGACTCTCGCCATGCGCAGAGAAGCGTCTCGATTTGAGCAAGACTATCCAGGAGCTCAGATTTGGTGAGTTCTTCCCCGTGGTGGGCGGCTGACTCTGCTACATACGGGAAGCCGAATACCTTTGAGTACCACTCTCGCCAAAACTGGACTGCAGATTGGTTCCCAACTTCATCCGCCTCGAGGCACGTCTCTAGGACAAGCCGATTTCTTAGCGTAAATGCCTTGACAAGAAGAACTGACAATTTGGCCGGGCCATGGAGAAATTGGTTCGAAAGCTCTGCAATCTTTTTGTTCGACGGGCCACACTTCTCCTTCTCCAATGGCCTAAAGGGTAACTGTCGTGTAAGTCTTGTGTGATGCATGCTCGCCCAGCCTCGTAGAATAGACAACCCCCATGGCAGCTGTGATATCCTTTCAAACGCCGAGCGTACGATAGTATCCGCGCCGTCCAAATGAGCAAAGTACGACCCAGCGCTCCCGGACTCCCATTCGAAAAGGGACAAGAGGAGACTTCCGGCAAGGCAAAGCCCCGCTGCATCGCTGGTCTCAAGGTCAGCTCTTCTAAGCGTGTTGACAGCATCGGCGTATAAGACGATTGCATTTCTCTTCCAGGCACCAGCAGCAACCGCTTGGGATCCTCCCAACCCAATACTGAGGTCGGATAGATCATGCCGGTGTATCGTATAGCGTTGGTAAAGGCTAGACGCGGCGAGCGACTCAATGGTTGGTCGTAAGAAAGGATGTGACCACAGATTCCCAGCTTGGTCATCTAAAAATGGCGCCAGACATCCCGACACATGATTAACAAAGTGATGAAGGAGGAAGGAATCCCTTTTGTTTGATCCCGGCGGGAACGAAGATGTGAAATGCAAGTTAGCTGATGCGACTGGTGTCGCTGGGCAATGGGCCGTAACGTTCGCCATGAACTGAGGAGTAGATGCTGTAGCTCTAGGGATAAGAACTCGGCTGGTTTTCGCAGGTTGGATTGCGCCAGGTGTGCTTCGCGCCGGTACTGTCGCAGAGCTCGATGAGCCATTGCAATTGAGCCACGTCCGTGTCTATTGCTGTGCTTGGCCCGATGACCAACATAGCGTTGGCTGCCGCCGAAGACCCGGAGACGTTTCTTCGCGTTAAGGAGGTCACCGTTATGGCGGGAGCGGTACACCTGCCTGGGAACATCACGCCATTTGCAGAATTCAATACCTTTGCTGATCCCATCGCAACAGCCGGGGTCTTTGCATTAACCTCCCCAAGCCCCCAGTCTACCATGCCTACGTTCTCCCCTGCTTCTCTTTTGGGATATCCATCGAAGCTATCACAAAGATTAAAGGTGAGGCTATTCCCCTTGGACATCACAACACGCCATCGCCTTGACAAATCCTACTTTCTTGAACGCATCAACACACCGCTCCTCGCGGGAAGCCCCCTTGCTCAATGGACGAATCATTTCGTCACACGGGCTTTCGACAAGCTTAAATCCCTAGAAGGCGGGGGTGAAAATTATCAGCCCAGGCTGTCGCTACACGACCCCATGGTTATATGGTATCTGTTAACTCGAGAGGACCCAGGCTGGCTGTCAGTCACCGAGGATATCCGTATTGAGACGGCAGGCGAATGGACAAGAGGAATGCATGCGGTAGATAAGAGGATCGACGAGCAGCCTGAGAAGCCGCAGATTGCGCTGGAAGCGCTGGGACTTGATCCCGACTCTGCAGATACCGTTCTAGGTGATGGCATGGGTTGGGGTAGCAGCACAAGGGGCAATAGAATTATGAGGACGACCGGTTCCCCAGGGGAATCCATCTTTGAGGAGATACTGATGCGTAAAATCTTTAGTTAACGGATTAGAGGGCGGCCTCGTATTGGTGGCTTAGATTAATATTGTCGCTGCTTTCAATGTGTAGCATAAATATAAGGCGTCTGTGGCCTCAGGTAGCCGGGACCTCATACAGGCTCCGATTCCTCGCCTGGATAGCTCATGAGAATTATAACAATACACACATCTTTGATCTCTTGGCAGAAGCCAACCGCTCCCTTTAAACTTTTAGGCGTTCGGATCTTGAAAAGATCAGCAGCTTCTGAACCGCTTCTTGGAGTTTCGAGATATACTCGGCGGTTCCGGGCTTTCTTCGAGCCATTCGGCATATGCCGGACCGGTTGCACCTGATATGTCCCCAAAAGGCTTGAGGTAGAGGTAATTCGGGAGAGCAGGGATTAGCTTGTGGGGATCGGACATCGGTACCCACAGTGATGCTATCGCCGATAAAAAAAATACTTTCCAAATAGGGAAGCTTCCTAGATAGGAAAGGGAGAGACTGAAGGAATTCCGAGTTCCGACTGGTACGCTAGCGTCATAGCCCAATGTTCCGACGACGCTAGCATCAAGCCATGAACCAAAGATTGTCCCGAGTCTCGAACCGAGGCGCGCTCAGTCGTGGCCAAATCGTGTGGAGGTGGAGGTGGGAATCGAGTCAGGTTTACTGGAAGGATGAAGGCGACATTCGTGACACTGATTTCCAAGCATCTCCAAACCCTTCAGGGCTTCCTTAGCCACAGCAGAACAACCCAATGAGCCAATGTGCTTCAACTCGGACTTTTTCCGGTTTCGATATTAGGTTCCATCTGTAGATAAGCTACATTGAACAGTCATTTTAGAGCTGTGACATGGGCACGCCACCACAGAGCGTGTGGTGGGAGAAAGATATGGTGCACCCCTTGCCACCGTCTCCATCCCCCGCTTCCACTAGTACAGCCACCTTATCTATCATGAGAGCCCCTGCAATTGCACCGTACCCTGAGAATGACGGTTAAATCTACGGCGGCATAAATAGCTGGCGAGAGAACACTCTTCCAGTTGGCGCACATTGGCCTCAGGAGCCTCCTTATGTGTTGTTGTAAAACCAGGACCACATTCACAAGCATTACGAGCATCACCAGTATCCATCATGTCGGCAGCCTTGGAGAATGCTGCATCGATGCCGCCAGGCACTATCTTGTTGAGCGAGGGTATGGACATAGCGTTACGTCGACTCCCGGTATATCCGCCATTTGCTAATATACGCATCCCACAGCACGTCAGGACTCAGACCGAGTTGTTCTGCACCCAGTGCCTACTTCCGATCCCAACGATCCTCTGGTACGAACGAGCCCGTCATCGTCAAACACCCGCTACTTCCAAGATTGAGTAAAACCTAATACTTTCATAGAATTGGTCGACATGGAGAAAATATACCAACTTCTCCCTAATCCTCGTCTACGTCTTTTTCACCTTTGTTCTTTTGAACATCGGATCTGTTGCTTATAGCAGCTATGTGCAAGACTTGGCTGTGTCATATAGCGACTACAACACCTCCATCGCACTGGTGTACGCTGGGCTAGCTGTTGGGTGTTGGGCATTCATTCCGTTTGTTTACCGATACGGACGCCGACCTTTCTACCTGATCAGCCTTCTTATCCAGCTAGCGAGCGCTGTGTGGGCTGCCAACATGACGACTTCCCGAGAATTTCTGGCCACCAATGCACTGGTAGGTTTTGGGGGAGCCATCAGCGAGACACTTGTCCAGATCACTCTAGCGGATACCTTCTTTGTCCATCAATACGCCACGATGAACGCTCTCTACTTGTTTGTCCAGGCAACGGGAAGTTTTCTCGGGCCGGTAGCCGGTGGCTACATAATTTCTGGAATGGGTTGGAGATGGATCTTTTGGTGGGCTGCCATCTTCATCGGTGCTACTTTTATTGCGGGCTTTTTCCTAGCGGAAGAAACCAGCTACGTTTCGAGCCTGACGGCACACCCGCTGCAACATTCACAGGACACAACAACCCAAAACTTTGAGGAAGAGAAGAAAGCCGACATCGAGGCCATCGATGCCACGGATGCCGGCAGTGTCACGTTGCCTAAAAACACCAGAAAGCCACTTCGCCAACGCTTGGCTTTGATAACCAGGAATGACGTCCACATCAAGCCACACTTCTATCAGCCATTTTCTATGCTGATCAGAATCCCGGCGATTATGTACGTTACTCTCACCTTCGGATCACTCTTGTCTTGGTATTCGGCCATGTTCTCCGTCGCAGCCTCCATGCTACCCCTGCCGCCTTACAACTTCACCGCGGTGCAAGTTGGGCTCTTTTTCCTTGCGCCGTTTGTCGGTGCCGTCATCGCCACACCGCTCACTGGACCCTTGTCGGATTGGATGATCCTTCGATTGGCCAAGCGGAATAATGGTGTTTATGAGCCGGAAATGCGTCTCTACCCTGCCTTCATTGGAGGGATTCTGACTATGGCTGGAATTCTAATGTTCGGCATGGGCATTGTTTACGTGAGTTGATGCTTTCCTCCTTCCTAAAGCTCTTGCCTTGTAAGTATCGAAAGTCATATTGAATTGGGTTACTGACGGTGTGGTAACTGCAGGGTGCCCCTTGGATTTTGCTTGCCGTGGGCGTGGCAATTTACACGCTAGGATTCATCAGCTGCACCGACATCGCTCTCGCCTACTTGATAGATTCATACGTAAATGTGAGTACATATGTACCCCTGAAACCCTCACTTTCTTCATTGTCTAATTCAGTCTACAGATCATTGGAGATGCCATGGTTGGGATTGGTACTGTCCGCAACTTGTTCGCCGTCATCGTCCTATTCGGCCTCGGCCCGTGGATTGAGGGTATGGGATTAAGAAACTTTTTTATCCTGCTGTCTGCAGTCGCCTTTGCTATCCTACTTATACCTGTCCCGCTCCTCATTTGGGGAAAGAAGATTCGAAGTAGAACCGCAGAGGTGTACCGCCACTATGCTTCACGCCAGCCAATGCGCCGGGATTAAGCAAGGGAAACGTCTATCTACAGGAGCTGCTCTTCTTCCTTGTTACTTAAACTATTATTTGTATTGATGTGGATGCGGGAAGTTTCGTGGTCTCGATGAATGTAATCTACTGAATTGATGGTTGACATACATCACAGATACGCAAGTAAACTAGACACGAGTTTTGTCACTCATTATATAAAAGCAACATCTCGTGCTATACGGTCTTACCTCTCGCGTGCTGAAATTTGGCAAAGTGTTAAAAGCCTTTTTACCGAATCGTAGAAACAGGCAGAAAGCGAAAACCGTTTTTTCCGCCCTGGAGATGCACTGTCGTCCTCGCCGCCATAGTGAAAGTAGGCTTGAAAGCCGGTATGAGCGGACGGGAGAGATGAGGTAGGACCTGAACTGCTGATTATGTGACATTATCGGAATAGATTATGTGGATGTCTTGCAGTTTCTGTGGTAAACTTTTGTTTTAAAACTGCGAATAGTAAGATTATTAACTAAAAAAGTTAAATTAATATTAAAAATATTAAATTAAAACTCGAAAAAATTGTCTAATAGTTTTACTATCTAGCGCTTATTTTTTACTATTAAATATAATATTATTTTAACTCTTTAAGAAAATCTCTGGAGAATTAAAAACTGGCATCTCTCTCTGTGTGCAGCTGCAGCCGTCTCTTTTAACCTTGTCCGGACTACCCTAGAGCCAGCCCTGCTAGCAACCTTAGCCCAAGTATTCCGTTACATTCGCTTGACGCTCCGCAAAGTCCGGATGTTTCGCGTCTTTAATCCGATGCCATGCAGTGTGATTCATGAACTTTCCACTTCCTCAGCTGAAAACTATGCCACGGAGGAAGATATCCTCGTCTCGTGATCTGGTTCCACTAGACAATTAGCGAAGAGCTTGTTGAGGTGGTCGTCAAAGCGCGTGTTGCTTAGTACGGTCCAAAGACTATTTGGTCGATCAGTTCGTTGCCGTTTACTTGCAGGCTGAATTTCAAATTGCGCCACGGCAAGGCATAAACCATGACGCGGCCACGCATGGGGTGCTTGGAGAGGTGCTTGGAGAGCAAGGCATTCTTGCGGAATGACCTTTGTTGAATTTGATCTGATCGGACCGGGCGCCAAGAGTCCAGGGCTGTTTGAGCCAATAGTGTATCAATGCGATAACGAGATTGTAATTAACTTTACGGAGTACGACGTACTCCATAATTCGTTCAAGACTCTGTTAGCCGCTTGCACAGCCACTATGGCACGCCAGCATTTTCTTGGCGGAGTGCCCTAATCTCGGGGAATGCCAATGATGTCACTCGTTGAATGTCACCGCCAAGGTGCTATCGAAGTGCAGTTGACTGTCAAAACTCAAATCAGCGGGTATTCTACATACCAATTGAATTCTGGAAGATTTTCAAGGTTTTCGTACAGGTATGATCTGAACAACTGAGTTTCTATGGGGGGAAAGGAGCCATTAGCTTCCAGCCCTAAATTGAAGCTGTCTTTTTCGTTGCATGCAGCGACCCAAGTATGCTGATTGCGAACTCATGGAGGAAATTCCTTAGCCACACCTCCATGGCCAGTTAGCTCATGGGCTTCGGGAAATAAAATAAAAATAAAATAAAACAGGAATGAAACAAGATTATCCTACACCCTTCCCGCTACCCGCTCCCTCGAAGCACGACTTGCGACACGGTGGCCATTGTCTGAGCCTCATCAACATAGCCTGGGGTGTCAGTGGGGCAGATGCTCGATATCGCATTCGATCCCCCCAATCATGGAGCGAGATATACGACCACCCAATCTAACACCAGTACACACGAGTGTCATTTGTGACTCAATTGCGCATAAGCTTATTTACTCAGTAAAGAAATCTGTCTAACTGGTCCCCAGAGTATCGGTAAATGAGCTAGTGCGTTGCCCCAAGCATTGCCCATTTAGGGGGCTTAGACCTGTGATGCTCGTTCTCGTTTTCATTTTGGCCGGCTGCGTAGCTACCCAAGAGCCAACAGATAGCTATTTAATCTTCACCATCGCCGCTCTCGATCAATGCAATAACAAATCAGACAACCTCATACCTCGCTCTATCAACCTATTCTCTCCATCAAAACCGACTCACTCTCCCCGCAATACACCCAGCACCAACGAAAATGTCGAGCGACCACTACAAGTACGACCCATCATTCGCAGCTGCGGCTATTTTCATAGTGGGCTTCACGGGCTCGGCATTATTCCACACGTATCAAATCTTCAAGTTGAAAGCGTGGTTCTTCATTCCATTCTTGATCGGTTGTATTGGTAAGGCATCTTCCACTACCCACCCTATTTAAAACTACAGGTACCGGCAGACAACTAACGAAATGTGGCATGTAGTTGAAATAATTGGATATGGCGCAAGAGCAGTCAACGCAAAGCAACCCTCTGGGGAATGGACCCAGGGCCCATACATCATCCAGGCTCTCCTACTGCTTCTCGGACCTCCATTCTACGCTGTATCGATTTACATGGTTCTTGGGCGGCTTATAACGCTTTTGGACGCGGAAAAGTATTCCATCATCAGGACAAAATGGTTGACCAAATTCTTCTTACTTGGCGATGTCGCTTCTATCGCTGGCCAGGGAATGGGTAAGTGAGAGCAGATACGGATTTTATATGAAATATTGGGTGAGTGGAGCAGAAAGCTAACTTGTTTTCAGGTGGTGCTATGCTTGCAGGCGCAAACAGCAAATCATCCCGAGACAGAGGACAGATGATCATTATCATCGGCCTTGTGATTCAAATCCTTTTCTTCAGCCTTTTCATGATCGTCACTCTTATCTTCCACCGTCGCATCCACCGCAAGCCCACGAATGCAAGCCGGAAGCTGATGTCTCCATGGGACAAGCTCCTTATGGTTCTGTACGGCACGAGTGGACTCATTATGATCCGATCGGTCTTTCGAGTTATCGAGTACATCATGGGTGAGGACGGAGTGCTCATGTCCAAGGAAATCTTCATCTACTTGTTCGATGCGTCTTTGATGCTCATTACTTCCATCGCTTTCAACGTTTTCCACCCCTCTCGCATCATCACAAAGGAAAAGGGACGACCTCTCGGAAGCTCGGACTCCGAGCACCAGTTCCAGACTTACGACATGGAGAGGCAAAACGCCATGGGGCATCATTAAATACGGTACATGCTGAAGGTATAGTACCTACAAAGGGGGGAGGAAGGAAGCTTAACTGGATAAGAAGGAACTTAGAATGTGGAGGCTGATGCTGGGATGGTAGCTACCCTGGAATGTGGAAGCAGTTGGGGTTATTGGTGCATTTGTTATATAGAATGGACTTGTGAGTTTGTGCTTATGGAAGATTGGTTTTTATTTTGTATTGATAGATTGTTTTAAAGGAAATGGGAGCCCTATAGACCGAAGCGATAATAAACACACTCTTTATCTAGGATACAAAACACAGCATTTATTTATTTTCAGTAATTTATGAAGAAACCTATTAAATATTATTGTAAATTACTTTAAACAAGTAAAAATTAATCTATTTCGATAATTCATCATTATCCTCCGGGCTTCGGGACCGCAAAAATACGCCATCAGCAACCCAGGATGTCTGACTTCTTCCACTACCCATGTTGCCAGGGAGGGAGGTGAGATGACATCGCCTTAGCCTCCCCAACATTCGGGTTTGAAGCCGTTCTACGATCCGAGCCTGGAACACGCCCTAACCCCATTACGCCCACGGAAATTGTACCTGGGGATTAGAGAGTTGAGTTCATGTAGTACATAACCGAAGACGCCATACGACTACTCGAGCGTCATATCCTTCTCATTTCTTTGGCAGCTCAGAGGTAAACCACGGAAACCTTTATTCGAGAGATATTCCTTGGCCGCTATGATGAGTGAGGGCGTAGATTGATCGTCTGTTCTCGGTGTGGCTACGGCCGAATGTGGTGATCATCGGCTGACAGCTTCCGACTCCTGGGCAACGTGCGGGACACCTCCAGGGAGATCTTCGTGCTGTTGCCCACGCTTATGAAGAAGGTACCCGAGTGCGATGTCCTCTGTGCTATCTAAAGAAGGGCGAGTGGACTGTTTGGTTCAAGCTGTTTGCTGGATCGAGAGCGATGCATGATCCCTTTTTGTCTGGCGGTTCTGCTTTGGGGGAATTTTGAATAAACACTATTGCGGCGCTGTAGCACTCACGGCGCTGGTTCGTAAGGAAAGGGGAAGAGGGAGGAGAAAAGCCCTCATTTCGAGTTTTAGGTCAACAGCGTCTTAGTACAAGCAGCAATCATTGGGATAAAGACGGTACGTTAAACTAATCAAGCCTACAAACATCGACCCAGTTGTTTCCACCATGGCTGCCTTACCCCTCATCTCCGACTCCAGAATGAATCGCTACTTGTCAGTCTTACCATCCAGGGACCCTCCTCACATTCAATTTCCACCCCGAGTAAATTTTAAAGAGTGTTAGTGCAAAGTTATCTCCTATCTCCTGGCCTTCATCCGACCCGTTGTATGGGTCAATAGGAGTAAACTCATAACGGCCTACAAGGCTAGCAACTAGACATGAAAGTTGATCTCTTGCGTATTGCTCGCCCACACATCGACGTGGGCCACCCCCGAATGTCAAGAACGAGTACCGGTGATCTGCCCCGCCGGTAGGATTATCTATCCATCTTTCCGGGTTGAAGGCGCGAGAATCAGGACCCCAATGGATAGGGTCACGGTTGAGAGCCCAAGGTGAAAATACAATCTTGGTGCCCTTCGGTATTGGTTCTCCAACGAGAGTTGTTTGTTCCACGGGCTCCCGCCAGAGTAGTGTGTTGATTGAATGGTAGCGCAAGACTTCGTTGACGACGGCGTTGAGATACTTCAGACTGTGAAACTGCGATTGACTAACGTTTTCTTCTGAAGAAGAGTAAGGAGAAGGTATATGCTCTCGGATCTCCTTTCTGAGACGTTCTTGGACATCGGGATGTCTTGAGAGTAGGTGGATGGCCCAACAAGCGGAGCCTGCCACTGTTTCGGTGGCAGCGGCGAAGAAGTGAACCGTTTGCTCAACCAGATCTTGGTGGGAGAAATGGCCCGTCCGCATTATCAATGTGAGCATGTCGGCATCTGGGTCCTCGGCGTACCTGGCGAAATTACCCTCGTGCTCCGTAACCACATCCTCGGCTGTGGTGCGGACCAGGTTCATGATGCTGTGAATTGTGTTGACTGCACGCAGAGGTAGCTTCAGGGCAATGTTGGGCCCGATAATTGAAGCAGCCCTCAGGGTAAATTGCCCTCGCTTTGTCGTCTTGAACATCTCGATATAAGCTCGGCCAAATCGGACCTTTGGGTCGTGGGAGCCCTTGGTGCTCTTTCCTTTGCCAATCCTCTGAAGCGTCTGAAACTCTGTGTTGAAGCCGAATCGTCCAATTATGTCGATACTTGCTGCGGAGACTAGTTCGATGATGTTGGCAACACCGCGCATGGAGCCTTCGATGTGATCGCTCATGACAGATGACTCGACTATGGTTGTGTGTTCCGGAAGCAGTTCGATCCCATCGACTGCTGCCTTCCAAAAGGTTGGAAAGCACTTCTTCATCTGAGCAGGACTAAAAACCGGGTTGAACCTCTTGCGAGCTTGTTTGTGCTGCTCTCCTTCTTGGATCAGCAAGCCATGGCCGGCAATGTTGTTTGCTAGAATCCACTGAAGCTCAGGTTTGACAAAATTATAGGCGTTTGAAAACAACAGATCTTTAGCAGCATCTGGACTAGCAATCAAGATGCGCTCCTCATTGAACAAGCCCATGTACCTGATGAGTCCTTGGTGTGGCAACTCGTCAATCCATTTTTCAATCTCGGGGACTTTAGGTTCATGGAGAAGTCGGAATAGGACGGAGCCTTGCTTTGGAGAGGGAAGGTGCTTGAGAGGACTGAGACGCGGCTTGATAAAGAGGCGATGGAGACAATACAATGCTATACCTAGCGTAGCGAGGATAGGAAGTATCACCGATGGTTTGGAAACAATGCTAAACGATGACATGATGAAGAGAAGTGATAGTTGGAAGAAACAAGGTTCTGGTCAGAGGTTTACTGATTGCATGTTAGCTTCCCACAATCAACCAGAGCCCAATGCTATATTTGAAGACAGTCGATCGCCGACGCTTCCTACGCTTCCTCGACAACTGCCGAAAACACATCCGCAACAAGATCATACCGCGGCAGACATTGTGCTTCGAGTTCAGGCTAATAATTCCGTTTCACATTCCGGGACTCCGCGGCGACGCCGTGGCCGCTTCCGGTTGGGCTGGGGTTGACACTTCCAGTACAAATGCCGAAGGTAGAGCCACAACGAGACCCTGGATTCATGAGCCGAATACCCGTCTCCTCTCCCGTGTGGGGCCTCTCAGTTTTCAGTCGGACAAGAGATGGTTTCCTGATGTTCTAAAAGAAGAAACTCTGCTCGCACCACCCTCATGCACTCGCATTCCATGTGACATGAGGTGCTTTGCCGCCAAACTGCTATTCACTCATGCCTGAACGGTTTCCGGACATGAGAGGTTGCATAGTATCACATTGGTCACCGCTATCCGCAGAGTTTACTACAAATAGCACAAGCACCGGGCCACCGTTCCCCGCAGGTTAAACTCCTTATCGACACAATCTCATACATCATTATCCATTTGTTGCTCGTTGCAGTCCATTTCTACCATGAACGTGCTAGACTCCAACGAAACTCGAAGTGTTTCGGATGATAGGGAGTCTGCAAGGCCAACCCCGGGCTCCGATGGTCTCGAAGAGGGTGCTAGGCCGGTAAACTGGTCATTCTCCAGAAAATGGGCCATCGTTGGGAGCACGTCACTTGCCACCTTTGTCGTTTCCTTTGGCAGCAGTGTCTACTCTGCCGCAATCCCACAGATCCAAGCCAAATTCAGCGTTTCCAGGGACACCGCCCTCTTGGGGATTACGCTTTACGTGCTTGGATTCGCCTTTGGACCGATGGTCTGGGGCCCAGCATCGGAGTTATACGGAAAGAGTCGACCCTTATGGATCGGATACTTTATTTTCTGTGTTTGTCAGCTGCCATGTGCGCTCGCGGAAGACTTTGCGTTACTGTTAACCTTCAGGTTTCTCTCCGGGCTAGCGGGGTCCTCAACTCTGGCAATTCTCGGGGGCATGTACGTCGACTTTCTCACCGACCCAGTGGAACGCGGAATCTCTACGGCAGTTTTCAGCGTGGCTACCTTTTGCGGGCCAACCGTCGGCCCGATTCTGGGAAATCTCGCTGCAGTGAGGTTAGGATGGCGATGGACTGCGTGGCTCACCCTGATGGGAGGCATTTTCTTCGGAACTGTGGCTTTTTTGCTCACACCCGAAACTTCTGAGGTGGTGATACTACGCCGGAAATCCCGGAAAGCGGTCAGTAGAAGCGGATCGTCGGAAGATGTACTATCTCGAACACGTCGCACCGAGTCGGGCGTGTCAGTATTTCTTCGCAACTACCTCACGAAGCCAACCAGGATGTTCGTCCGTGAGCCGATAGTGAGTTTATCCGAATTCTGCCAGGAGACTTGTTGATGGTTGTCACAGCTTGTGTTCTTCACCATCTACATGAGCCTCGCTTATGGAGTCATATACATATCCCTGACCATGTATCCGCTTGCTTTCGTCACATCTCGCGGGTGGTCCCGGATCGACGGAAGCCTGCCGTTCCTTGGCATAGTCATTGGTGTGATACTAGCGTGCATAGCCATCGCTATGCACAGCATCTTCTACGTCTCCCCGCGGCTCGAGGAAACTGGCATCCACTTGCCGGAACGACGCCTGCCCCCAATGATTGCCGGCTCAGTTATTCTATCTGCCGGTACGTAGGGCTCACTTATGTTGGATTCAAGCTCACAAAGGTTCCGCTAGGCATATTTTGGTTTGGTTGGGCCTCGAACCCGTCAACCCCCTGGCCCGCCCAGGTTCCGGCGGGAGTTCTCATCGGCTGTGGCTCAATTTTGGTCTTGATGTCTGGTGTGGTGTATCTGATTGAGGTATATCTTGTCCATGCCAACAGCGCTTTGGCCTTCAATAATCTTGTACGTTGTGTGATAGCGGCGACATTTCCTTTGTATGTTACGGACTTGCTGGAGGAAGCAGGGTTGAACGTAGGTGGTTCGGTCCTGGGTTCAATCTGTCTTGTTCTTTCTCCTATTGCTTTTCTTTTCTGGCGATTTGGTCATACTATCAGGCGTTGGTCAAAGTTTGCTCAAGCTTGAGAATGGAATGGTGTACTTGGCTTGTAGTGAGGAACCCTGACGCGGAAGGCTGGCATGGGCTGGTGAATACTAGTCCCCCGCACTGCACTGAAAAACTTTATCTTGACGAGAAACAGTTAGTCTATTCATTATCATATGTGCTAACCCCTTTGACGGGAGGCACACCCGACGGCTCGGAATCTCTTCGACGGTTCTGCCAAAGTCGCACGGAAGATAGCGGAAGAAGGCGGAAGGGGCTTGTAAAGACTAATCTCAGCCCTGCGGTGGAAAACTTTATCTCTGAAAAAAAGCTAGTCTATTCATTCTGACATGTGGTAACCTCTTAGCTACGGAACTTAACCGAGCGCTCTCGGGGTTGCCTAGAAGCCCGAGCCGCACGGGAGATCGAACTGGAAGGGTTTCATTATGCGGGGAACGCGGGGTTGACCGCGGTAAGGCGCATTGCATACTTTTTCGGGAACTAGATGACGCAGATCGTTGTTGTGGACGCAAGAGAGATGATGCTATCCTCTCGGGTGTGCGGAAGATGGCACCGATAGCCGGCTCTCAGAGTTATGATACCACCCCACAACTGCCCTGCCTAGCTCGAAAATTTCAGCCCTGCTTCCTACAATATCCGATACCCCTCCCTATCTTTTGTCCTCTCGGCATCATAAACGTGTTCCTGGTGGGTGAGCAACAAGTGGATGCTTCTGTGCCCCACAAGCCGCCGTCAAAGGAGGTGGGGCCGGCTTAGTCAACCCCGGGTCCTCCGGCGGGCCGTCCCGGAAGTCTTATATATTGATTTGAAATGTGTTAGAAAAATGACCCTTTATTATCAAACCTCTGATAAACCGATATACCGACCTTGGTCAGCAGGGGCGTGAGATGACATACACTCCGTCTCGAGAAATGAGGGGGCCAGAGGCATCTACATGCAGACAATCATCATCATTAGTCTACACATCGTATTGGACGCTATCACCATGATCGAATTCACCGTATCGAATCTAACAGAGTGCTATTGTCAATTCAATTGGTGTGTCGTGGAGCGCCTAGGATCAAATAGCTCATCTGGTGCCGGAATCAATGATTCGGATGCCCACCGCTCGGCCTCCGTAAATTGATCAAGTTTGTCCTCACTGTTGTCGTGCTCCGGTAAGTTACTGCTGGTATCATGCTCACCTGACACCCAGTCTCGCAAGCTTAGTATATCAGACAATGCATTATCATGTGAACTTGAATAGTATGTTTTTTCGGTTGGTCCTTGGTAACTCGAGGCAGTGCAAAAATAGCCAACTGTTCTTGGTGTGCAGCGACATGCCTCTTAAACTTCACCATACTCACTACAGCATACTGATGACTTCGTGTCAAGCCGTTGCATTTCGCTTACTTACCCCTACTGGTATAGAGTTTTTCTGCCCATTTGTCGCAAAAAAGGCAGTCTCGTGCTCAGAAGATTCTAGCAGTATCCAGCCCAGTGTCTTTGAGCACGTGTAGTTGCTGGTCGTCAAATGTGCCGTAAGTAGCGGGATATGATTGAAGCTGATCAATCATAGGGGCCCTATTTTATAGTCAAATGGTCTAGAAGAGGGTATTAAAGGGAGACGGATCCGCGTTGTTATGATGCCGGATCCGGGTTATCAGCTTTCCGGATCAGGCATGTCATGCCGGTGCATCAGGCCTCAATCTAACACTTACCATGGCATCTCCCAGGGACTTGTCGAGATTACTAAGTGGGTCAAGATTGGCTTGGGTTATATCAGTTCTGGACTCGAAAGACCGCTGACGGCGTCCAGTATGCCGGAGGACACCGTGCGATAAGCCTTCACGAAGCTCCTCTACAACGTTTGGGATGTCATCGTCAACATCATGAACAGCTAAGCATATCTGGCTTTGGTTGTTTCTCAGCCTCCGAGAGGTCAGACCCTCAGATTCTCCTGTGCAAACGCCGGCGTCAGTTAAGCAAGGCAATAATCCAGACCGAGAACCTACAAGATACGAGATTGTACAAGCAGAATTGTGATGTAAGTGACAAGATGAGATTGAGTGGCAAGATGAGATTGAGTGTGTGCGCCTCTTGTCTGCTGACGAGCAGATATGGTACTGCTAAGCCGCAAGCAAGATGACGGTACCTGAGGAACAAGTTTGACTTGATTGGTTTTATACTACAGTCTGACAAGCTTTGTATCTAATCGCTAATATAGGTATTGTTCATGATCGTTCCCTGCTAAACTATTTCTTAAGAATATCTGACCAATCTCGCCTTTTTGCCCACTCTTCCCATGTTGTCATAGGGCAATTAATTCCAGCCTATGAATTCCATTAGTGTCATCTGTCCCTCGAAACCTTACTTGAAGATTATTGGAAACTTACACTCTGAATATCCTTAGCCGTCAAGAGATTCATACCGCCGTCGTACCCGGGTTCGGATGTGTAAGAAAACATGTAGGCAGCCTCAACACCCGCCTCGTGGTCAGGAGTAGCAGCAATCATTTCCTCTGGAGTAATCTGGCGGTAGCTCACGGGGACGTTGTTGATGCGACCCCAGGTCTCAATCCATTCCGGCCAGGTACACGTCGTTCCCTCTGCCATGTACGCCTTGCCGGGCGGCATTTGGTAAACGGCATATGTAAAATTTCCCATATCACCGACTGGGTCGAAATGAAAGGTCGAAGTTTCAGGGGACGTGGTGAAAGCCATCTCAAAGCTTCCGTCTGGCAACTGTTCGCGTGGTTTGTCAGAAACCAGTAAGAGTGACCCCAGGCGCTATTGTTGGAACGCATAGTAAACGAACCTTGTTCAGATACAAATCGGGAAGAATATTGAAACTCGTATAAAAGTAGCCCGTGTGGATGCACGACATTTTGGCAGCGAGTTCTGGGTAATTGTCCTCAACATAGGCCGGGAAGATGTCGGCTTTGGAATCAAAATGATAAAGCTCCTTGAACTTCCCGCCGCTGCACTTTTCCGCGTGGCTCAGAGTGGACACAAGAAACCCATTTGGATCGAGAGTATCGGCCACCGTGGCGGCGGCGTCCACAATGTTCTTACCATGCTGGTACTCAACGTTGTAAGCAAACTTCCGGCAAGAGATGCCTTCCTTTTCAGCCTGCTCTCGACAATCAGGGCGGAAGAAGGGCTCCCAGTAGTTGGTGACGCTGAAGATGACGTTTGCATCGCGGAAGGCCTCCTTGAGAGTTGTGACGTCGTTGAGATCAGCGGCCACGACCTCGGCACCGGCTGCGGAAAGCTTCTCGGCCCCCGCGGACGCCGGATTGCGGGTCAGGCCGCGGACCCGGAAACCGGCCTCGAGGAAGCGCCGGGCTACGGAACCGCCTTGATTCCCCGTAGCGCCGACAACACAAACGAGCTTCTTGCTGGACATGGCGAGTTGCTTGAGGCTATGGCTGAAGTTGTGGTGGCAAAGTGAGGGGCTGGTACTTCTGACGAGAGGGGGAAGAGAGAAGTGGGCTTCATCAACCACGGCACCACTATTTTGACAAGGATTAATTATCAGTTCATCCACGTCTTACCCAATCAAATCCCAAACCGGATCTTTTGATCTCTTGGCGCGGGGATTTATTGCCATCCAGTGGCATCATCAAGACATGATACAAAATGTCGGCGGTGAGCGGTCGTCATCTCATCCTTTGCATATCTTTTCATAGGGAAGAGACCTAGCTTAAGTGCGACCAACAACAATGGCTTCAGACAAGGGCCAAAAGACGCCCTCTCCACCAAGGTCAAGGTCCTCCCATTCCCCTCAAAGTGGGCCGCCTGCCACAACCAGACTGTCGGGTCCTTCGGAAGCATCGGATGTGAACGCCTCAAGCCCTTCAGACGAGGCGGCGAGACGATCCCCAGCAGCCAATGAAGGAGATGAACCAAGGCCAGCACCACTGCAAGTTGATGTAAGCTGCCAGTTCCAAGTTGTTGTTTCGCCTTTCAATTAACGCGATGCGCTCTCAATAGGAAGACGCTATTCGTGAGAACTATGCAGACTCTGCCTACAACTCGGATTCTGAATCTGCCTACACAGCATCAGTCACCTCGTCCATCTACCACTATCAGTACGAAAATGGCCGCCGATACCACGCATATCGCGAAGGCCAATATGTGCTACCCAACGATGACCAGGAACAGCAACGTCTCGATCTACAGCATCACATCTGGCGCCTACTCCTCGGAGGTCACCTCTACGCTGCTCCCCTGCCGGACCCCGCGGAACAGCGAGATTTTCGTATCCTAGATCTCGGAACCGGCACAGGCATTTGGGCAATTGAGGTGGCTGATGAGTTCCCCAACGCCCTCGTCAACGGTGTCGACCTGTCGCCCATCCAGCCCGAGTGGGTGCCCGGCAACTGCTCATTCCATGTTGATGACTACGAAGACGAGTGGACATATCGCGAGAATGAAAAGTTCGACTACATCCACGGCCGTGCCCTGAGCGGAACATCGGCCAATTGGTCACGATTCTACGATCAGGCCCTACAGAATCTCAAACCGGGCGGTTGGATGGAGATGCAAGAGTACGATGCGTGGATCTTTAGTGACGACGACAGCTGTGATCGCGCGCCATGGACGATGGAATGGGTTGACAAGCTGGACGAGGGGAGCAAGTTGTTTGGAAAGCAGATCAATGTGGCCAAGTATCACAAGCAGTGGATGATAGATGCTGGCTTCGAAGACGTCAAGGAGCGTGTGCACCGGGTAAGTGCAGCTTCAATTCTCCATCCGCTGCTCTAAATGTAATGCTAATGCTTGAAACAGATACCCATCGGACCATGGGCCAAGGATCCGGCGCTCAAGGAGCTCGGTCGGTTCGAGCTCAACCACATGCAGATGTCAGTTGAGTCACATACTCCGGCCCTGTTTACGCGTGTTTGGAACTATTCACACGACCAAGTGATGGTTTTGATGGAGGGAGTAAAGAGGGAGTTCCGGAGTAAGGATTTGCGGTTAATTACGAGTTACCGATTCATTACCGGTCGTAAACCGGAGTCGACAGTCTGAGAAGTCTTCACGAGGCTCATCTTTGAGAGGCTGCAAGAGTTCCTATTCTAGTAGCAACAATGGCACTCAGTGGGATACCGGGAAGCCGTACAGATAGCCTGTGTGATGCTTTGTTGAGAGCTGCGATTGGGATTTTAATGCCAACTTTCATGAGCTATTCGAACGGACCAGAGTGACTTTTTGTAGAATACAAATCGTTTTCTCTTACGGCAGACAATAGTCGAGAACAACCAGCAATTTTTGGTAGGGAGGTTCACTGCCAATTCAATATCGAACCTCCTCAACTGTCCTGCGACGGTTTGTGTGTGTTTCAAACACCCGCTCCCTTCCTTTTTTGCTCTGCCCTCTCACTCTGAAAAATCCTTGCTCGGTTCCGCGCCCGGTCTGATGCGATTTGTTTACTGGAACGCCATATTAAACCGATATGCCGCATTACTTCCCGGTACTGAAACTGTCTCTTCCCATTCATGGTTATCCGCTTCTCCACGCGAGGATAGCCGCACTTCGGCCTTGTCTGTTCCCACAAGCCGTCCCAGGCTGCTTTCTCCAGCCGGATCTGGAGACGAGCGGCTTCGTTCAAGGAACCAATATCCTTCGGGCCGTAATTAAATATCTGCAAAAGGTTGGCGACGCTTATCAGCGTCGCAATGTGGCTCCCGCCTAGCTGTGCTTCCTGGGCTTTGAGAATCCCCTTGCTTTTGGAGATGGCCTCCTCCCAGCGCTCCTGGGATGCAAAGACCATGGATAAATTCGTAAGCGAGTTGAGCGTCGACGGGTGCGTGGGGCCAAGACGCTTCGTTCTCCCATCGACGGCCTTCAGGAGCAATTCTTCCGCGGCTTCGAGCTTTCCTTGAGCCAGGTAGATGCAGCCTTGGGCGTTGTAGCTAGAGAGCGTATCCAGGTCATCAGGGCCAAATTTCACCAGCCTCGTATCCAATACCGCTTTACCCTCCGTCTCGGCTTTTTCCATCTTCTGGTTATGCTGCCAGATCCATGCCAGAGCCCCTCTGCATTTGAGTAGCTCTCGCTTATCATCTGGTCGACATTTCATCCTGATATCAAGAACGCTCGCGGCATACTCCTCTGCTTCGTTGAATTTGCGTTGATAGGAGAGAGTGCTCGTCAGCAGCTCGGCTAGTGCAAGGGTTCTCGGATCTCCTTTTGCAAAAGAGTCCTTTACCACGCTCAGCCTTTCCAGCAGCAGCCCTTCGGCCTTCCCATACATGCCTATGTGGTGATAGATTTTTGCAAGAAGACAAATGCTCATTGTTAGCTTCCCGTTGTCTGGATCTGAGTCGCTCTTCAGTGCCTTGACTGCCACTTCTTGTATTCTCCGGGCAGATTCGTTGATGCCACAGGTGTCGAGAAACTCTGCAAATGTTTCGCAGATGCTATGCACTTTCAACGCATCCTGTGTGTCTGAAGACTGAGACACGACTCCCTCGCATGAAAGAACATGCGGAAGTATATCTTGACGGATATCCAACGCAAGGTCGAGGTAGCGGTGGGGGAGGCCTTGCGTGGCTGCCTCTAATGCGTTCTTCACTATTCTTGCTGCAAGCATACCATCCTTCAGGTGGATTGCCTGCAAGGCTTCTTTGTTGGCGTCTTCTTTGATCTTCAGCCAGTCGGATATGAGAGGATGGATGGCGAAGCTCCTTCTAACTGGAGTACTCGGCAAAACCAGACCGTACTCTCTTAAACCCCTGATGATGGTATAAAACTCATTTTGGTTCCATGTTCCGTCTATCTTTCTGAACAGGTCTAGTACGGCGATATCATCGGAAATCGAAGCAAAGAAGAGCGTATCCGAAATTCGGTTGATGTCAAGATAGGAACAGATCTTGAGGAATCTTTTAACCTTGCCAAGAGTGTTTCCGTCGTATGGAAGAGCATCGAATGCCAACTAAATGGTGGTAAAGACGTTGAAAGCGGTCTGCTGCTTGTCATCCCCGATCACGGGCTTGACGTAAGACCAGATTGTTGGCGTCCATGACATCACATTTGCCCGCTCCTTATCATACTGGGAGAGGAAGTCGGCCAGCGTACAGTTCTTGTCGATAAAGCAACCAGCTTGGTGGACGGCGAGGGCGTGGCAGCCAAGCTTCGACACGATTTCCTCTGCTAGTTTTGTGGCCTCCATCGGCCGAGTGTCGTCCTTATCACAGATCTGTTTAAGCAGAAGCTCCACGGCTTCTGCTTGTGACAAGGGTGGAACATCAAGAATCTTGCCAACATATGCCGAGTCTTCGTGTCTGCTCGTGACCAATACAGCTCCCTCGTGGCCAATAGGCATGTAGTTTCGAATTGATTGAAATTCAGATGGTTTATCATAGTTATCGAAGACGAACAGCCACGGGAAGGTCCATCTCTGTATAGTCTGCTTGACATGGTGAATCTGGGCGTCTTCGTCGTTGAGAACTGCGCCCGGACTCTTGATAAGCTCGTAGATGCGCAAGAAGCTTCTCCGAGTGGCCGCCTCCGATGTAGCATCTACCCAGAAGATGGCGCGATATCTCTTTGAATTTGGGTCATTTTTTCCAGCACGATCCCGGTTCTGGATGCAGAACTGGAGGGCAAGCTGCGTTTTACCTTGTCCGCCCATACCTTGAAGGACGATAGTCGGAGGAGTAAAGCCATCGGCCGCGGAAAGAAGGTCGGCGACGTGAGATAGAATTTGCTGGCGGCCAACAAATTCAACTTGTCTTCCTTGGGGAATATCCAGGATGGGTGGCACCCACAGACGTTCGGCTTCGGCTGAACCACATGCCACAACACGATCGAAGTTGAGTGAGTTTCGGCACTCGCATATCTCTTCCCAGATGCGGTCAGCCTCGGTCTCAAAACGGATGCTTTTCCAAGCCTTGCAAACCCGGACCGTCTTGGAATCCTGGTCGCTGGGTGTGAGGACCTTCATCCCCTCGTCCAGCCGGGTCAGAAGAGCTTGAAGTCGCTTCACCAGGTTCTCGGACGCGATAAGCAACTCGGCAGATGGATTCTCATTTTCGATCTGGCGGCTGAACCTTTCCAAGTCTGCACGAAGTAGCGAAAGGTTGACGCAAATGGTTTCAAAGACTTCGGGGACAGAGTCAGACTTGTCCTTGAACTCCTCGATTCGACGATATATCTTGTTGCCAGTGTGACCAACAGTTGCCGCAATGCCGACCACGCTTGCAATCAATCCCACAACGGAAACTGGATCCATGTTGGTGGGCGACGCGGGGGTTTTCTCATGAAAGAGATAATGATCCGGTAGATGACTCTTGGGGCTTGGGGGGGAACGTGCAGTCGAAGTTGGAGTGAGAAACGAAGCGCATGACAGTCCCTCCAGTGGCAACAGTAAATAAAAATACTATCCGCAGAAGTTCAAATTTCACATCCTGTGCAAGAGGGCGATGGCGGTTAGGGACTTGGTAAGGAAAGGAACTGTTAGATGCAATCTTCGATGATTGCGTAATGATGCCATCACCGCACCAAAAGAAACTCTAACTTGGTTGGGCACATTTGAGGCCAATGGTAAATACCGTTCTTATGATCAAATGAACAAAGAAGGAATGCAATGTATTTATCGGCTTTTATCTCGGCTCATCGATTGATCGAATATGCGCTGTCTATGTAAGCTCGTCATGTTTATTGTGCCTGTGCCGCCAAATACTAGATACTTTCCTTGACCCTCTCTTTTCTTAGTTCTCGGACAGTCTGGACTCTGGGTGGTTTTCCCGCCACAATTTCCCAGGGTACAAAGACTGCCTGACCCTGTCAATCCAATCGGATGATGAGGATCTGTTACGAGATGCTACGCAGTGTTGGTTGACTGAATTTATTTCGAGGTTAGCGTACTCCATTGAGCCATAATAATCCACCAGCATCCGAGCGTGATTCTACTGGGTGGAGTCATGGCTAGAATGCAGCCTACTCCCAACAGTTGCGCCAAGCCAGGGATGAGTCGATTATTCCCCCTTTTGCCTGTGCTGCCTATTTGCGGGGACTCAAGCTGAAGCTGAAATTGTTATAAAAGCCCATTGCTACGCAGCTCCTTTCTTCACCACTCACAATCCCAACTGCCACAGTCGCCACCATGGCCGCTTCAACTTCCATCCAAGACGACCCCAAAACAGCCGCCGCGTTAAGCGACTACGAACAAAACGTCCAGTTGAGTAACTGGGTGCTCAATTCACCCGACCCCGTACCCACTGATGAAGACATCGAGAGGAAAGGAAAAGAGTGGTTTGGTGCAGACTTCAGTGTATTGAGACGGTACGACATAAACGACGCCGTTCGAACTCGGACATACGACGGGCCTCCTGTGAGTCATATTGCTCCGTTATCAATTGATCAGAAATGTTATGAGTGATCCAAATGCTCACAAAATCTAGATCACAGAGGGTCGCCTGATGCTCCCGGGGTATCGTCTCCCCGTAACCTACAAAATAGAAACAAGCAATGCACGGTGCCCCCATCTTTTGGGAATCCCCGAATTGGATTGGCAGGCCGAAACGTTACCACACCGGGAGGTCTGGGTGCTCCGGTTCATAGAGAGTATCACCAATAAGCCTGAATGGTGGAAAAAGGTTTCCAACCCGGAAATTTCCCTCAAATGGAAGCAAGACGCCGTGGGGATGCCAGGACTTGAGCGGCTAGGTGGCTTTACTGAGGAGATGGCTGAAGCTGTGAGTGGACGCCCTCGCATCGCAACCTTTGTTTTCCCCCGCTAATTTCGTTGTAGTGCCTCATTGAACTTCGCAAGAAGGCTGAACTATACGAGAAGACGGGTCTCATTCCTGTCATGGACTGTGAGGCCTGTGTGATCAAGTCGGACAGCCTGCTGGACGATGACCTGCGAGACGCCTTGTGCACCGCTGTGGCGCTACTGGAGAATGTTCCAGAGTCTCAAAAGGACTGGCACCCTGGCAGCGACGGAAAGGTTCTTAACCTGGTCGATCCATCGCTATGGCCACTGGTATATGGACTATCCAGAATCCTTCCCGACAAACGCATCTCCCTTGACAATTGTCTGGAGTATTGCGGTTCAGGCTCGATTATTCCCGATCCTGACAGGCCTGACATCTTGGTGCTCAGTAACGATTTTGGACTGGCTACAGGAGATCCGGTCGTGTCTGATTGCTTTCAGTGGCTCCCTTTTGATGTCAACCTAACTGGTGACAAGCCGCGGATCGAGAGCTATATCAATAATGTCCACCCTGTCCGACACGCAAACTTGTATCCCATCATTGAAAGATTAATCGAAAAGTCTCTTCCAGCCTGGGATGTTGTCTATCGATCAGTTCATGCAGAGTTTGATCTTCACCGGTTCGACGTCGACATTGAATATGACTGCACCGTCCCAAATGTGTGCAAATGGGGCTGTGACGCCGAGAATAGGAGGTGGGCAGAGGATGAAAATGAAGGAAATTCCGATGACCTAGATGATGACGGGAAGGAGAGGCTCGACAATGAGTGGTACGAGCAAACACACCCTCTCAAACTTCCTTACCTTAGACCTGATGTTGACGAACCCGTCACGCTGAGTCCCAAGGACGTGAAGAAGACGGGCTTTTTTTATGATGCAAAGCAGATTCAAGTTATTGTGAAGCTGACAAATATCCAATTGACACCTGAGAAGCCAAATCACGGTAGAGGTGTGTGGCACACCGAAGGCCAATTCAATGAGCGCATTTGCGCGACGGCGTTGTACTACTACGACTGCGACAATATTACCGAGTCGCACGTCGCCTTTCGCGTCTCGACAGATCAGGAAGACCTTTACGAACTGGAAGTCCTGCGTGCAGAAACCGAAGAAGAGGTACTCGAGCGCCTCTTCGCTTACAAGGACCCAGAGTCGAAGCTTCAGGAGCTTGGCAGCGTTCTCACAAGGCAGGGACGCGCACTCTTCATCCCCAATGTGTACCAGCAGCGTGCCGGTCCATTCCAGCTGGTTGACAAGACTCGGCCAGGGCACTGCAAGATTCTTGCACTATTTCTGGTGGACCCGAAAATCCCAATCATCTCAACTTCCAACGTCCCGCCTCAGCAGAACGATTGGTGGACTGAAAGCATAGGAGATTGCAGCGCTCTTCCAACTGAACTGTGGGAAATGGTTTGGAAGTACGCTGGAACTCCAATAACTGAGAAATATGCCAAAGAGCTTCGAAAAGAGCTTATGGCAGAACGGATACGGGCAGAAACGGGAGAGGCTGATTCGCACTCGAGGCGACAGCAATGGAATTACTGCGAGCGTTAAGATGCCAAGAGGCTTGGGTCGGACTGTGCCTAGATAGGAGTTAGAGATTATATCCGTTTTTTGTGGATGATCCAAATGAATCTCGTCTTTTCTACATCCATAGTACCATCAGCCTAGGGAGAATGGTTCTTATACAGAGAGAATGGGTTTTATGCGAAGAGCACGCACTAGCACAATCATGTATGCTCCTGTCCATTGCCTATCATTGTGCTAGTACTGGACGGCACTCAGTGTTTAATGCGACTGGAGCTGCTAGTTAGCTGACTGTGTTACTACTTAATGTGGTAGCTCTGCGCAGCCCTTATGAAGGACACACTTGCGCTTCAAGAAGCTGAATAGATTTCAGCCCATTCCTGTATACTTTGTTGGAGTTTGCCGGCTTCGTAACTCTTCTTGTTATCTGTAAGGTGCGGGAACGGTCCGTGGTCCACGATCATGTTCCGTAGCAGCTGTTCCTGTCAGGGCGTATCTGTTCCAGGACTCCTTCAAATACAGATATCTGCAACAGCGTCGAGTTATTTGTGTGCAAGTGGATTTTTAGTGGCCGGAAAGATGGAGGGCTGAAGAGTGGGTACGGTAGTGTTCTCGGTTGCTAATTGCACCAACCTGAACTCCTTGATAGAATAATGTACCAGAAGTATGCGAATGATCTTCATTTCCAGTCACAACAGCCCGAGAGATTTATCAATCACCTTGCCAAACACATAACCATATACCATTTCCCCTGACTCATTGTTAATCAAGAGGTTAGGGTGCTCTAGTACACACATACCCAGAGGGGGGACTAGAAGCTTAACAGTAAAAAAAAACACCAATAATAGTATTAATAATGCAGACTATATACCCAGTCCATTCAAAGATCAACAGTACACTCAGACGGACTAAGGTTTCTAGTCCAACTGGTTACCTTTCCAAATACCTTAATAAGCTGCAGGTAACAGCTGGATCTTGGAAATGCTAGATCTTGGAAAAGGCAAAATCCTGATGGATATAAAGGCTCTGCAGGCCCTCTTCTATTCCAGTTATCCTTCCATCCTTATATACACCTCAACTAACAACCCAACTAACAACCCAACCAACAAATCAACTAACTAGACTCATTGTTAATAAAACTTCTATTCTCTATTGGGCAGGATTAGTGCATATATTCCCAGGCATCTTGCCATCCCATAATGCCTTCTGCCCAAATAAACTCCTCTCTCTTTGTGCTCTCTGCACCTGTCGTTCCTTCATTATTCAATCTCTATCTGAACTCGTGTGCCTAGCTATACTGAACCATCGGCTCAACTTTCTTCATAGGCTCGTCGACGTCATCAGCTTCATGAAGAATTCCACGATGGAAATCACCCACAACCATCTCCAACCTATGCTCGTCGGCCAGTTCTCGCACAGTCACCATCTGCTTCCACGTATGAGAACTTGAAACCCCGCCTCCTACATTCTCCAATCCAAATGGAGCTCTCGAACGCAACGCAAGAGTCATCAGCTGCCCGAAGCTCCCCCACCCTGAGCCGATCCAAGGCCTCGGTGAAAGCAAGATAATCCCCGTATGCAAGATGACGATAACGACATGAAGCAGAAGTACAGCCAAAGCCACGGTGGGCCCATGACTGTTCCGAAAACTGTAGGCATATACGCGTGTGAAATATTCGAGGTCTACCATGATATCTTCTCGGTCTGGGTAATTAGAAAGGATACCGGTGTAGCTGTACCTATACATACTTGCCAGTGCATCAGTGAGATATACGGCAAGGAATTGCGAAAAGCAGGTAGATGGACCATATCTATCTCTCTTACGGTAGTGACAGATGTCCGCTACCTGGCGATATGCATTGTTCACCAGTGTATCTGTTTGCTTGCCGAGGTCATCGACGGTACTCGCCTTTCCAATATCCGTCAGCCATGTGTCGGCCATCTTGATGGCATTTGCTTGATTTAATGTCCTGTTCAAGAACCCCATCCAATCTGATATCGATAGTCCAAAGTCTGAGATAACTGCAGGGGCATATTCGGCGGCCACCCACGCATCAGCGTCAATCCAGCGCGCATGAACAAGGCATATATGAGTTTCAAATGTCGAGCCTTCTTTGTCGATTTCCTCGGAGCCAGTGACAGAGCTCGTAAAGAGTATAGCTGCGCTGATTGGGATCGGAACTTGGTCGCGAATGTTCAAGAAGATTGGATCAGGTTGGTGGTGCGATTTGCTATCCTTGAGAGGCGTTTCCTTTAGGAACGAGAGATCCGCTTCAAGATCTAGCTCTAGACTAAGGATGCTTAGCCTATCGATGAAGCCGTTAATATGGAACTTTATGACAGGGTTTTCCAGTGAAGGAATATTGGCGGCCCCCGCGCAGGTTACAGCCACCATTGGTTGCTTCCATCTCTCCATGTTGGAGGAAGGATCCGGCCGTGACCTAACCATTAGGTCGGCAACGTCAAAACCCAGCCCTATAGCGTCTTGGGATCTGTATGACCGCGTTAATGGTGTAGCCACAAAGTCCATGAGACTCGTAGCGATAACCGTAAATGGGTGATAAACTGTAAACGTGCGTGGATTGACAAATCTGCCATAACGCGACAGCGTCATGTTCAAATGGTGCGGGGTGAATGGCGGCTCGGGCACCCCGAGTATGGTTACGAGAAAAGGCTCCAGATTCTGTTGGGTACACCCGTTTCCGGTGAAATTCAAGCAAAGCTCCGATGAAGAAGGGTAGGCAAAGCGAGGCTCAATCTCATATATAGGGTTTTCGTCGGATTGAGGAACAAAATATGTTACTTCATATATCTCTCCTTCATCCGGGGCATAGCTAAGTGCCCACCATCCCTGGCGGGGAATCATCAAGATGGCAGAAAGGGGACTGGCTCCCAGTCCGATTAAGACAAGCAGGAAGATTAGCACAGAAGTTTCTGCATGAAACCGTCGGGATGCAGCTGGGCTTAGAATAGCGCCCCATAGCTCCCGGCTGAAGAGATACCGAATGGGAGAGGCCAGTTGGAATGGCGATGAAAGGAAGCCAAGTGGGACTCCCCCAGTACCCTCGCGGAGAAGACCAGAGCGGATCCGATGCAACAGGATATCAGTCAAAGATACCAGAATGAGCGACTCGTGCGCCTTGGCTGCGAACTGAAGCATGATGAGTTCGGTGGTAGTAGGATGGCCGTGTGGCCATTGGACTTTCTTGAAATAAAACACTGCGAGGACCAAGGTAACAGATATAGCTGGCAAATGAAGGAGAACGAAACTGCGGATAGCAGACATCCTTTTGTTGGTGCAGACTTCTTTCTTTGGCTCCCTGTTGAAGTTGTTATCTGGCGCAGGAAGTACTTCCGTCGCGCCCTCAGGGTCGGAAGGGTTGACCTCAAAGTCTGATGTTACTAGGTCTTGCGAAAACCCAGCAGTATCGAAGGTCAGCATGGTAGTCGGCCCTGTAGGCTTGTCTTGGAACTCGGAAGGTGGAGGTCGGTATTGAAAAGCCGGGTTTGGTGACTCCAACGGGTGGCCGTCCGCGGAAGAGACAGAATTGGCAGTTGCCGACATGACAGGTGTCGAGCCATCTGTCTCCAATAGCTGGGGGGGATTCATCAACTGATAAAAAGGCATAGTTAGCGATGTCCTCTAGGGCTTGGAAAAGGGGATATACTTCTTGCATCGAGAGATTCCTCGGAGGCGCCTGGCGCTATAGCTCGATGGTATTGGTTGGCCCTGTCTTTACCTCGCCAATGGGAAAGATTGGGAAACAACTTTAGGCCACGGCTCGAGATCTAAAAGGCGTTTAAGAATCAGATCGTGGGCGGTAAGCCGGAGCAGTTATAAGAAGATGTGCATCTGCAGGTTTCACATCACGGGCTCTGCTCGGCCTCATTCCTACCATGGGCTGACCGATCTTGGCTTAGTTTAGTAACAGGAGCCGCGTTGCGTAGTACAAATTGGCCACAACGAGGCAGTGAGAAGCGAGTCAACATTTGTAACTTGTTCGGGATGATGCACTGCCCCAGGTTGTATCGGCACTTGATCTACAATAACACTGGAGCGTATTCTGCTTGACTGCACGGCAGATGATGTATTTCTGCGCGATCGTGTCTAAATGGCACAGAAAAGACCAGCGGACAGTCACATTGTATCCTCAGTGTTACTTGGCCGAGTCACATTCAATACATGCTGTTGTCCTCTGGCTAAATGTATTTAGGCTACAGGGAATTTACGAAAATGAAGAGGTGGTAGTTGCGGTTACCGTTGACAGTCGCGTTTGCGCTAGCACTACAGCATCAAATCAAGGAGTGTAAGCAAAAGTCACAATGAAAGAGGAGCATAATGAGCATCCAGGTTAAAAGGGGATGCTTAGGCTGCAGTTATAGTTAACTATGTTATTATAATCCGTTAGCTGACTGCTAGCTATTCAGTAGTAAACGAAATATTTAAATTAGCAGTTGGATGTTTTTAATAATATATATAATGTTAATAGGCTATAGTAAAAAGTAAATAATATCGATTGAGTGAAGTATTAATTTATTTAAATTTATCAATAAAAGAAATTCATGAATAAAAATATGCTGCCTGCAGATACTGTCGTTTCAAGCTAGACACCGCAGGCGTAAGAGCCGTGTACGTAAACATCGGTCTATGTGCTCTGTGGCACGATTGAGGCCAAGGTAGCAGCGGCAATTGCACGCAGGGCAGACGGTATTGATCTGTGTCTGCGAGTTGAGTTCTCAGGTGTGACCACAACCAATTATCACCCACGGCGCCATTAGCGGCTTCCATACCTAAAGGTAGCAGGCACGGTGGCTCGCGAGTCGTAGTGAGAAAAAGGAATCACTGTGAATGTTTCTTAAGCATGTAGATGAAAGACCAACGAGGGGAGAGTCGGATGCTAGTCTACTCTCAAGGCATCTATGAACCAGTTCGTCATTATGGGCAACTTCCAGCCGCAGTATAGGCGGTCTCCGTTCTCGCCTTTCCCGGCGTTGGAGCTGCTATCCGACGTCCTCTGTGAGGCTACAGGTGACGGAACCGATGTGGTGTCATTCCCTAATTCTCACTTCCCTACTCTTTTCGCCTTGCCTGCATTTGAGGATTCCCCATGCTCCATATCTTGGTGAGTCTAGGAATGGCCGTATCTGCAAGCCTGGAACTGGGGGATCGTAGTGCGATTCAGACCAAGTTAGCAAACGTGGTGCGAACAGAGCTGGACCCGAACTCGTGAACTCACCATGCCTTCAACACATGCCAGGTAGAACACAAGAGGCCACCGAGTTGACTATCAAAGTACTGTCACCTCTACCTGAGCGCGAAAAATCGTATCATGTTGTAAGTCTTCCTTTGGTCACACAGAGACAGACCTGACGCTAATAGTCGAAATAGGATTCCATTCAAGTCTGCAAGTTCCGCTCGGCCCAACTTCAGACAGCAATAGTATTACAAAGATGGCAATGCCAGCCATCATGCCGCTAAGACCGGGCCTTGGGCCATTTCCAGAACATATTAGCACCCTCGACATCTGCCAATGGATTCCCGTCGCCCTGTCTAGCACTGCCGTATTGCTCGTCGAACCCGCATTTAGTATAAAACCCATCTTTGCCCAAGGCACTAATCACTGACGCGCAAATACCCTCGGCCTCAGCTTGCTCGAGGCCCCATTGTACAAGCTTCCGGCCTATGTTTCTCCCCTGGAAATCCGGGCGCACAGCCATTAATTCGAGGTACCACGATTCAGCGCGCTTGCCGCTCCATATGTCATCGAAGAGAGGATACGCCCGCTCCACGATGTCTTCCTCCTTGGGGTCGCTTGCGCGATTAGGCCAGGCCCAAGCATGAATTTTCATGGCAACAGAAGATAGAGGCTTAAGCAAATTTCCTGGGTTGATAGATGAGCTTCAATAAATGCCCTTGGGGATAACGACACGGCAAGATAAACTCACGAGGATCCAAGTACGATAACTCCAGCTTCTTGCCCCCGTCTCCCAATCTTGCCCACTGCGCAATCCCGGCGATAACCTCTCGACCGCTTTCGTCTTTGCCAACAGCAACGAGCCATCGCCAGCGGTAGTCCCAAAAGTTGACGCGTGCCCGCCGCAGCCAGTACAAGTCTACATCGTCAGGATACTCGTTGCGATGAGGGTGAATGAGTTGGCCGAATATGTTATCCTCCCAAAATGCCTTTGCCATCACGTGGGCAATCTCGGGGAGTTCCGAGAAGCGCGCATCGCGCAATACAATCTCAGACATGATTGTGATTGAAAAGCAAGTGATTGTGGCAAGTGGTGCGGTCGAATGGTTCTAGGAAAAGTCTCGTTTCCCTGGTAATGAATAATTCACATGCTTCTACCTACATTCGCAATGCACGTTTCAGGGGCCTTATGTATGACCTCTCCAGTAATTGGCCAGTCATGTCGTGAAATTTCGTTCCAGACCATCTCCTGTTGGCTTGGAAGACATCGTTTAGAAGCGGCCTAGTTCAGCGCGAATTCTGGGTTCTCATCACGTATTGTATTGCTGCCCGATTGGCCCGGTTCATCTATACCCTGGTGTTGGATCGGGACCCTGGCTACGGATGCAAGGCCCGAAGCGAGGTTATATGCAACAACGGAAGTGATCCCCGAATGTATCCGAAGTACCTGACAAGGATAACGTAACGTGGCGTATTTGGCGTTGGAGAAAACTTTTGAAAGGAACAACTGTAGAGGAAACCGCAAGTAGTGGAAATGGAAGTCTATGAACCCATGCTTTTTTCATCCGGATAACCCGTCCCATCCTCCACGACGAACAATCATGCTGAGCTAGCACTCAACGATTAATCGATTGTTGACCCTCGTATGTGACCTGCCATGCCACCTCTTTGTTGATAATCATCTCTTGACTGCCATTCCTGTAACTTTCCTCTTCTTCTGGCAGATTCTCCCGACTATTATTACGATAGTTATGTGCCGCTGTGGTTTGATTCGAGACCTGGTCCGGCCTCCAATTCTGCGGTCGGCCACGGCGCTCGCTTTCAGAACGATCATGGACCGAAACAGAGGTCGATGCTCCACCTGCTGCTGCTGCGGATGAGGTGGCCTTGGAGCGATTGTTCTCAAGTGACTGAAGTGCGTACATATTGCTTGATCCATACATGCTGAGGTCGAAGGCGATTGGAAAGCCCATGCCTATGGAGAATGATTTCAAGAAGTTCTTCAGGTTTGGTACAGTGGCAGAAATGATGGACCAAACAATCATGGCCTGTTGGAGGAGGAGACTGTTGGTGACCGTAAATTGAGGCTCGGCGGAATCTGGGTATTTGCCGAAATATGCCAGATGAATGGCTGAGAAGGCGATGAGCGGTATGCGGAATGAGAAGGCCATGGCCACCTGAAACTTCCTGTTCAATGACATGCTGACGGTCCATGATAGCTGTAACACCAGGAGCCAGGTGAGGATCTCCGTGCAGACGTCAATTGCCGTGATCACAGCCCAGCGTGTATCCTAGAAGTAATTCCTTGGTTAGGTATTTGATGATGAGGCGATATGTTAGACGTGTTTCCTCCGTACCTGTTCGGGGCATTGCTTGACGTTATCTAGAGTCAATAGTGTACTGGCGCGGCAGTTGATCAGGAACGCCAAGCAGGAGCCTACACCCCATGCTGCACTGAGGACCATGAGCCCGATGCAAAACGGTTTACTCTTTCCAGTCTTGGAGCCAATGATACGTAGGATGAGGGCCAGAACCGAGCATTTGGCGAGGCTCAGGGCTAAAAGGCAGAGTATAACGGCAGCGAGAGTGGACTGGCAGTGGACGTGTTAGCTAGTGAATGAAGTGGCAGTACGCAGAGGCTCACTCTTGACGATGTGGCCCATTGTTCCGGAGGAGTAATGGAGTTGAACTTGCCGAGGCCATTATTCAAGCCAACAAACACGGCAATCGATTGCGCTAAATGCAAGACCTAGGTGATCATCATTTGGTCAATGTTCGCATGTCGTCGAGACCAGATGCGCTTCCTTACCATTGCTAAAGCAATCAAGACGTCATCGAACCCGAACATCTGGTACTTGATGTACGCCCTTGCCGCAGCCACAAGCGCGCTGTAGATCAGCGACAGGATCGTCACGATCCACAACTGTCCGGCATGGTCGTTGAATGCAACAGGCGAGAACCGAGACGAAGCGTCATTCGATGCGTCTGGATCCATGGGTAGAGGAGACATGTAAGTCCGGCTCGAGGGAGGCGACGAGTTGGCAGAATTGCAAGACCGGAAAAGACGCGGAGCAGGCGTTCGCAGGAGGCAAGGAATGACTACGTATTAATCTCTTAGTTTCATAGTTGCGGCGTGGTTCGCCCACTACATCACATTGACTGTGTGAAACCTCCGACGCACGTAGATGGTTCTATGATGCCCCAGGGGATATCTGGCCTCCTCGCTTCAGGCCAGCTAACGGCTCCTTCTCGTACCGGGAAAAAGCAGAACGAGCGTTGAGAGCCGAGTCCAGGGTGCGAAGGTTTTCTCTTTGGTCGGTGATGCCCTGGTCAGAATTAATCACCAACCTGCACCAACAACCAACATGCATATGCACTGGTCCGGTACATACAACATCCTTGTCTGCCACACCACATTCCTAGCCCAGGCTCATGTGTTCGCCCGAGGTTCCCGAGTCCTCAAGGTCTTGATGAGATGATGAGACATGAACCCACGTTAGCTGTTCTGTCTTAGATGCCCGCGCCGCACATCCGAAGTCGCGAGGGATCCCCGTAGTAATTATCAAGTGCCCTTCTCTAGTGCCGGGGAGGTGGAATTACCAGCTGCATCATCCTGGAGCCCCCTGCTGCGGCACAGCACAGGGTAGAGGTTGGCCCTGGACCATCACGCCATACACCAAATACACCAAGCCATATTAGGAGACTCGAGCCGATGCGTTAGATATACAGTGCGTTCGAACAGGTTGCCGCGATCCCTGACCTTGTTGAAATCCGGTACTTGGCGTTGTTCTCTCGTCGTGACTGTGTGTCAGTTCGTGCATGTCTACCACGCGCATTCCTCTTCTTGCATTTTCCACGCGTAGCTAGCTGCACCTTCAGATTCACATTTTTCCCTCCCTTTTCCCTCTGTTCTTGCGTCTTTCCTGGTGAACCCACCGCTGCCAAGAGAGTGGGAAACACCGCTAAAATGTCAATTGACGACAAGGACTCTCCTGGCGTCCACGACGCCGCCATCGGCCACAATGATGGTGTCGACGAGAAGAAAGGAAACGCGGCCGACCGCGCCGACATGTACCGTATGGGCAAAACCCAGGAAATGAGGGTCCGTCCCAGCAACACATTGCCTCTTTTCCTATTGAGCTTCGTTGACATGGCATTGTACAGAGAAACTTTCGCTTCCTGTCCATCTTCGGCTTTTCCATGATTCTAATGGCGTCGTGGGAGTTTTCTCTGAGGTAAATTGCGCCATTGGAACTTTCCGCGCATCACGCGTGTAGGCAAACGAACTAAACCTGTTGCTCAAAGCGTCTCTACCATCGGGCTTGTTAACGGCGGCACTGCCGGTTTGATCTGGATGTTCTTTATTTGCTGGGTAGGCTTCCTTCTGGTAAACACGTCAATGGCCGAGATGGCTTCAATGTGAGTACTGCCCAATCTCCAAGACGCCTTGTCTTGGCATACATGGCCAGATCGCTGAGCCAACCTTTCGCAGGGCTCCCACGACTGGTGGACAATATCACTGGGTATCCGAATTCGCGCCGCCGCAGTACCAGAAGTTCATCAGTTACCTCATGGGATGGATGTGCGTGCTCGGCTGGCAGACTTCATGTGCCTCCTCAGCCTTCATTGCTGGCACCCAGATCCAAGGCCTCGTCGTCCTAAACTACCCCGACTATGTCCCCGAGGCCTGGCATGGCACGCTCCTCAGTGTGGCTGTTGCTGCTTTCTCGGTGCTCTTCAACACCGTCCTGGCCAGAAAGCTGCCATTGGTTGACGCTATCGTCCTCATCATTCACATCTTCGCCTTCTTTGGCATCTTGGTCACTCTCTGGGTTCTTTCGCCCACAGCCGACGCCAAGGCTGTGTTCACTGAGTTTAGCGATGGAGGAGGTTGGGGCAGCTTGGGAGGCTCAACCCTCGTGGGCGTTCTTGCGGGCGTTTTGCCACTGCTTGGTGCAGATGCTGCCGTCCATATGTCGGAAGAGCTCCGCGATGCCAGCCGTACTCTGCCGCGCTCCATGATCATGACTACTATCTTCAATGGCGCTTTGGGATGGATCATGGTTATCACGTACTGCTTCTGCATCGGCGACCTTGGGGAGGTCCTCATGTCACCAACCGGCTACCCATTCATGCAGGTCTTCTACAACTCGACGCAGTCGGCGAAAAGTGCTACCGCAATGTCGGTCTTCGTCGTTGCCATGACCGTCTTCTCCAACTTGACCATGGTGGCCACATCGTCGCGCCAGCTCTTCGCCTTCGCACGAGACCATGCCGTCCCTTTCAGCCCTTGGTTCTCTACGGTACCAGCAGGATGGGATGTCCCCCTCAATGCAATTCTGACGACTTTTCTTATCTCAAGCCTTCTCTCCCTCATCAACATCGGCTCGGCTGTCGCACTGAACTCAATCACTTCTTTGGCAACGACATCACTTCTCTCCAGCTACATCGTCTCCATCGGCTGCATGATCTGGCGGCGATGGACAAACAGCCCGCTTCTGCCCTCCAAGTTCAGCCTGGGTCAATGGGGTCTCGCCGTCAACATCGCCTCCGAGGCCTTCCTTGTCGTCATTTTTGTTCTGGCATTCATGCCTGGCAACCCTAACCCGACGCCAGCAGAGATGAACTGGAATATTCTAATTTACGGCGCCGTTACAATGTTCTCTTTGGCATACTACCTCTTCCGCGGAACTCACCGTTACGAAGGTCCAGTCGCCTACGTCAGAGCGCATCAGCAATGAGCTACATGGCGAGTTGCGACTACAGGCCATGATCTCATAAGTTCAAAAGTTGTTTTTTTCGTGTGGGCATCTAAACAATGGGATCAAAAACAGGATTGGAGCGAAATTATAAATTTAATACCTCTTCAGTTCATAGAGCTTCAATAGGTAGGGCTGGCCAAGTAATATCAACCGAATCTTGGCATATTAGCCATAGAGCTCTCCTCGAGACACATGTGTACACCTATATCACGGATAGCGACAACAGAGGCTTGTCTGCAACCGCCGTCTGTTGTGGCGGCTGTGCTTAATCCATACAGGGGTGTTCTCTGGGTGATCGGTGCAGTCGTTTCCATTAAATTCATGTCACATCTGTCAACTGTGTCTCTTTAAAGGTAATAACAACTCGCTTAAACTCGAAGTCGTAGCTACTTTGCCTGGAGCCCCATCAAATCCAACACGCTCACTAAATCCGGTCATACCATTTGACCCCAAGCACATGGTGAAGATTTAGCCCCTATTCAACATCAGATCTTCTGCTTAATTCCAGTAAACCCAACAATTGGTCACACCACACCTTGCTCCGCCGTTACAAATTCTTTGAGAACCGCCCGTAGAGAGACATAACACGGGTCGTTCTCATCCTTGAACTGGCCCATATTCTTAATTTTACCGTTGTCAGTATTTTGTCCTTTGATGCAGTATTGCGGTGTATAACTGACCTTGTGTTGACGAGGAAACACTGGAGAGGGTGGGTCGGGCATTGAGAACCCGTACAAGGCCTTTCCGCCAAAGAGCGAGTAGCTCGCTTGCACAACAAAGCCGTTGGTTTCGGGATTATTTGGCCATAGAATCTTCATCTGTTGTGCCTGGAATCATCAGCTACGATTGATTCATGCATGGCTTTATGACCAAACTCACGAGGCTCTCGTCCTGCTCTCCTTCCTGGAAGGAAGCGACCTTGAGCGTGCCGTGGGAATCAACTGGAGCCTGTAGCCCTTGCGTGTCCCAATTATTGTCAACAAGGCAACGGGAATGCTGTTGCAAGCCTGTCCAAAATCCTCTGGTGTGGTGTACATCGCAACCATTTCCAGTTCCACCGTAGTAGGCCACTATCGCCATGATTTGGTCTATATCTTCGAGAATATTACCATGCCCAGGACCCAGATGAGGGGTTCCCAGAACAATAAGACGCCAGTGTTTCTGCTTGAGCCCGAGATGGTGTCCTCGTAGAGTCTCGGTAGGGAGCTCGAGAATAAGACTGGAGATGACCTCGGCAAGGAGACCGCCCAGCCCGTGCCCGATGAGAATAACAACTCCATTGTTGGGTTTTTTATTTCCCGAGCTGTAGGTATCCTGGTTTGAGACCGCCAATTCGGCATCTGAGGTGATTTGTCTGTCAATGGCGTTCAAAGATCCAGCAGCAAACGCCTGCAGCGGCATACAGTTCTGGAACGAGTGGAGATTAGCGTCCACATTATGCATGGTCAGGATCCAGATCCGACATGAGTCTTTGAGCTCGGGATCCTTTGACACGAGATCGCGCGGCCAGAAGGTGCCGCTGTCTGGTTCAGTCCATATTGACAGCGCATCTGGTTCCAACCCCGCAACGACGAAGACGCTTGAACAGTTCGTCAGCAATCCGCTACTTCTGCGATACGGGCAGCCACTTAGTACTCTGCACAATTCAAGGAGGCGCCGCTCGCATCTTGAGGATCGTGATACAACTTGACGTTGACGAAACCTTGGGGCGTAGATTCGTTAGAAGCCATTTTGCAAACTTATTTGATAAGTGGTGGTGCGAAGTTGCCTGTTGCCTGTTGCTTGGTGACTGTTGCCTGGCTGCTCTGGTGAGATGATTTAGGCAATGGCCGGAATATCACATGACTCATACAGAAACACGTCTTGACATTATACCGAATTATTGAGTAAGCAGATTGGAGCGCACTTGGGTTGCATTCAAATGAATGCTGGGGCCAAGAAGGTAAGCGCGTGGTTCAGCACTTGAAGTTTTGTATATATATAAATTGAAATATTAAAGTCTAAACTAATCATCCAAATCAAACACCATCGCTGTTACCATGTGCAGTTCCGATCTGAACGGCGATGCTTGAGCACCCCTGTAGGGTATGGAGTCAGCACAGTAATAAGTCTTGATTTCTCAACCCATCTCTATACTCTTTAACTATTCAAATTCCCGACGAAGCTCGTATGCTAGGTAGCCTTGCTTGTATTTCTAAAGATATAATCTCAAATTTCTCCTTGTCTGTATTTACCGCATGCAGCGAAGATACCATTTCCATTTCCATTGGCGTAGTCATCATCGACCCAGTCAATACATGACCTGATGAGATAAGCGGTGAGACCCCCTGCTTTCTTCGTATCGCCGACTGACAGGGCTTATAAGGGTATATCGAGAGACACGGTGGCTACAGGTGTGTCTCTGGGGCATTGTGGTTCCGATAACCACGGCGAGAATATTAGGCTATTACGGCAAGATGCGTTTGGCACTGGTCTTGCGAGGGGGTTTGGGTCATGAGGATATTAATATATCAGAGGTTTATGCAAGTTGAATGATTATGCCACCACAAGGAGGACTTCACTCACAAGTTCCCACAGTAAAACGCGTTATTATCTTTTCTTTGACCACGCAGATCAGGCCACCCCCGCGCTTCCCCAGACCATTGCGTCAAAATCCCTCCCGCATTTAACCTCGCCATCTACCCACTGCGCGGTTTGCTGTTTGACTTGTTGCGAGAAGCCTAATTTGAGACGCTTCCATCGCAAGCACTTGAATTAAGTTGAGGATCTCAGGTAAGTTTTCTTTCAGTCCACGATGGCTGAAGAAAATCCGAACCACCCAGCCTCTTCGGCTGCGGAACACGAGACATCCGCACCGGCTACCTCGGCTATTCTCCCTCCTCAGCATTGGGTTCAAATCGCGCAGGTTCGTAAAGTCGGAACTCGCTGTGAAAGTGAGACAAGTGCGAAAAAAGGACATGGCGATTGCTAACGTCGAGCCAGACAGGGGAAGGGGACAACGCTGACACTGATTCGACCATCGACGCCGACAATGCCTCCTCAACAGCGTCCATCACCTCCAGCATCCTTCAGTACAGGACGATACACGGCAGAACCTACCACAGCGAGCAGGGAAATGCGCAATATTGGTAAGAACCAAGAATCGTGCCTATTTCAATTGGCGGTTGCTAACATTCTCTTCAAGGGGATCTAACGACGAGGCACAGATTGAATTAATGGATGTTACGTAGGTTGACCGCTCACTCAATGACTGAGGCTATAAAGGTCTGATCCCAACCATAGTCATCACATTCTTACCCTTGGGATTGGAGGAAAACTCCATCTGGCGCCTTTAGAAAAAGATAAAGTCCAGGTAAGCTAACCATCCAGAGTCTGCGTCTGGCAAGATCAGTACTGACTCCAGAGTTAGCGAGTTATCGACATTGGAACTGGAACTGGTATGACCCCGAAATTCTATATATACTGCGCGAAAAAGTACGGTCCGTGGAACGAGGCTAATTTCTGGCAATTTAACAGGAATATGGGCTATGTAAGTTGAGAAAAACTACGCCAGGTTGACGCCTTTTTCTAATGAGTCGTTTTCAGTGACTTCGCGGATGAATACCCTGGCGCAGAGGTCATTGGAACGGACCTCTCTCCCATCCAGCCATCCTGGGTGCCACCAAACGTGCAATTGCAAGTATTTCTCTGAGACAGATAAAACCTCACTAGGATTTAAGTGCTCTAACAATCCACTGTAGCGAGATCGAAGACTGCACACGAGAATGGACTTTCGAATCTAGCTCTGCAGATTTCATCCACATGAGATGGCTATTTGGCAGCATCAAAGATTGGAATGAACTCTGCTCTGAGGCATTCAGGGTCTGCAAACCTGGTGGATGGTTTGAGAGTCTTGAAGCTTCCACGGTCGTCAGTACTGACGATGATACGGTTGATGGGAATTCAGCCATGGGGCAATGGGGAAAGTTCTTTATCGAAGGCAGTAAGAAAATGGGAACAAGCGCCACAGTCGTTGAGGACGGTACGCAGAAGACGGCCATGGAACAAGCCGGCTTCATCAACATTCAAGAATTCAACTTCAAGGTAAGGCATCATTTCTCAAACTTGAATCTCAGCTAACTCGCAAACTAGAATCCCATTGGCGACTGGCCCAAAGACCCAATCATGAAAGAGATGGGTGCATACACCAAATATGGTCTCGACACGGATAGCGAAGGGTTTGTCTTGTTCATGGCTCACACTTTGGGCTGGACGAGACCCGAGATCCTGGTCTATCTCGCACATTTTCGACGCGAGTTGCGCTCAGGGGAGCATCACGGTTATTTCAGGCAAAAGGTGGTTTGGGGCCAGAAACCAGATGCGGCTTCTGAATAAGCTGCGCCAACATGCCGATGTTGAGAGATTGAGAACTTGGAATTAGGTATCTAGCCAAGGAGGTCGATTTTGCAGCCGGTTTTTACGTTACGCATCTCTGCCAGTTGCGAAGTGATGCACTTTCCCTGACGGCTAATAATCTTAACTGGTATCACGACATGCTCACCCGTGGTGCAATTTCGAAACCATTTACCAGTGGAGAATTTATTGTAAACCGCGAGTCAAACTTTATGCGTAGAAGATTATTCACAACATCCTCTTGCTCCAACAACTACCTCGACGACTTTTTCCAGTTTGAGATGGTCCTATCGCCGGATTCGGCTATCTCTTGCGGGCGATGACCCAGAAGAAGACAGCATCGCCCGGATCGCCGCGAAGCTCACTCTCGAGGACTTCCAGCCCGGCAGCGTTGAGAATCTCCAGCATGCGCTCACGGCCCCAGCCGCTCCAGAACATCCATCCCTTTTCGACGAGCCAGTCCGGTTCGACTCCCTTCTCGAACGCCTCGGGCGTGAAGTTGACGAGCAGGTGGCCGCCGGGCTTGAGCCACTGGGCGATGCTGCCCACGAGCGTCACCTGTTCGTCCCGGGGCAGATGAATCAGGCTGTACAGGCCGATAACGGCGTCGAGTGACGCATTGTCAAAGGTCAGCTGCATCATGTCGCCTTGATGAAGCGTGATACGGTCCCCGAAGCCCGCAAGGTTCTTCCTCGCCAGCTCAATCTGGGCGCCCGAGAGATCGTTGGCAAAGACGGTTGCATTGGGAACTGACAGCAACTTCTCAGTCGCGGGCCCCCCGGCGCCGCACCCGAGCTCTAGCATCGATATCTGGCTCGTCTTGTCTGCGGGCAAGCACTTGACCAGCTTGTCCACGTAGTGAAGGCGTGTCGAGGTACTCCGCTCCGTCCATGCGTTGTAATCGACAGCAATGGCATCGTAGGTCTCTTGGATCTTCGCTTTGACGTCGGTCGGTGCTGACGGCTCGGGTTTGAAAGGTTCGGTCATTTCGGCGGTTGTGGAAGACTCAAGTGTTTGGTCCAGCGGGTTCTGACTCTGGCGAGTTCTGGGTCTGACAAGTTCTGGGTCTCGTGAGTCTGGCTGCTCTATATAATGAATAATGGGCCGGTGAGGAGTAATAATCGGCGACGAGTCATGAGGGGGAGGAGTCACCAGTGGGGCAGGTCATCAATAGCCGATCCAAACAGAGCAGCATATACGATCCCCGCTGTCGATCAATCACCGCTTGAGGTTATAGTATGCAAATCACCACGACGGGGTAAACTAAGGAATAGTAGATCTTGGTGAAAAGCACTTTATTTAACTGTAGTATGTTTCGAGAAGATAACTCTGAGGTTATAGACGTTAGGGTATTTTCAATCAGTCTGGAGCTCGGCTGTAAACACCTGCTCTTCCCCTAACCCGAAATTTCTGCTTACATTGGAACCACTGATGACGGCAGCAATCAGCCCTCCGAGGGAGTTTCCAGAACTCTGGTTGTGCTGCCCCGCCGTTGTAGAATAGGGTTGAGTCGTATGTAGGCCTAGTGAAGCTGGCGCCCAAACGAGCTACCGGAGTGATAGCTCCCTTGGGATCCCTCTTCGAGTTGACGGCGAAATCCAATCCTGTAGCAATTAAACTTCCCAGGGCACTATACCAAGAGATGGGCACACAGGAGCAAATAATCACGTCTTCATAAGTCGATGAGCCTGCTCTACCTATGTTCTCCTTTTCCTGGATGCACCCTTAGAGCTCCCACCTGGAGACCCATTTACTGCCTGAACCTCATCATCCAATCCGGGGATATGTGCCCTTTTCCGGCACTCTTTCTTGAAATTCTCCTTTGAACACTTCTCGCGGATGATTCCATCGAGGTAATTCGCCAGGTTCGCCGGGAATACGGCCCTGATGTAGCCTTGAAATTCCGGAAGAGAAAATGGGACATGTCCTACATGCCTAAAGAGAGTTCCAATAGCTTTTGCCAACAGCTGCAAGTCCTGGTAGCTGTGACGCTGAGTTCCAGGCTTCCCAGAGCATAGCTCCCGCAGAACTAAAGTGATGACATGGCACATCTCAGTTCCAGCAAGCTTAGTAGCTGATTTAGCTCGCCCTTTCCTCGATGCTGTCTGACTCAAAGACAAGTTGGAATACAGAGCCTCGACCTCCTTGCTGGGAGCCTCGAAATTTGCTTTTGCAAGCATTTTGTCTAGCAAGTAGATGTATGAATCCACACAGCCTGACAGTTCTCGGCTTAATGCGAGGGCGTGGGAGAAAAGCTCTGCCCAAATAGGAAGAAACTTTTCCTCACATGCGATATTGACGTTGACGTCCGCACCAAACTCCACGAGTATTGAGAGCACACCAGTGTTTAGCGCCGGGCAAAGTTCCGACTCCCTGACACATTTCCGAACCATTGCCTTCCAGGGAGTCTCTTGACGGCTACGGCCAGCTACCCAAGTGTAGGGTTGGTTGGAATCTTGACCCTTGGAGAGGAGTGCTTCTAGTAGTTCTAGGCGCTGATCGGACCAGACTTGCTGGGTGGTTGATTCGAGGGTTCTGTCCAGCCCAAGGGCGTATACGAGCGGGGGTATTTGGAAATCTTGCAGGTAGCTATCATCTTCCTCTAGCTTCTGGGACACGTAGTCGGCAAGCCCAGCACGCAGGGCTCTCTGTCTGAAAAGATTCACGGCTCGAATCTGAATCGTGGAATCACTTTCAGATTTTGACGGAAACATAGACCTAATAGACCACTCGAGATCGTCTACTAGGTCGAACCACGGAAGTGCCGTTTCGGAGTCTCTCAACTTGGCGTCGTTGTCGCTTGCATAATAGGAGAGTGCTTCGTCCAAGACGGGAATGAGGTGTTCCTCCTCCTGCTTGTGCCCTTGTATCGTCGGTTCGGATAAGCCCACACTGCCAAAGAACCACTTGTGCTTGATCCAGGCGACGTACGCCTGGAAGATAGAGAACGTCGGGTTAAAGTCGCGTGGCGTCTTGCTGGAAAGAAAGTCGCTCATCTCCACCGTGCGGAGGAAGTCCATGACTGTGCGATGTAGGAACTCGACTCGGCGCCCCTGAATCTCGAGAAGGCCCTTGCATCGCGAGCTGAGGCGGCGTGCAAATGGTGCTTCCAGGAGTCGTAGCTTCTCGGCGTCCCATGGTTCGACTTTCTCCTTCGTGGCGTATTTACGGTCCTTGTACTCCAGATCCTGAAAGCAGTAGAGTGTCACGGGGAGAGGCTCGTTCGCAGCCAAAGCGAACCTCAGTGTGCCGGCCATCTTGTCATGATAAAACGGCTCTACGGATTCCAGCATGGCTCTGAAGAACTGCCCGAGATCTGCTGGGATGCTATTGAGTCGGTCTTGTAGCTCCTCCAGCTTATCGTAGTTGGTGAGGCCTTCTCGGAGCACACGCGTGACGAGGAACACCCACAGAAACACGCCGCGAGACCGCATTGTGATGTCCTCAACCAGGGACAATGCTTGACCCTCCCCCGCTTCGGAAACTAGGGTGCTCCAGTTTGGGTGTTCGACCAGTTGGCTCCGGGCATAGTTTTGGATGTCGCCTCTGGTAAGGTTGTGAAGATAGAGCTTTCTGTCCGGGGTCTTCCCGAAGATTTCCTCAAAGACATTCCACGGACGACTGGATACCAACATTTTGACTCCGGAACAACGAGATAGGTGAACAAGCGTCTCACAAAGCTCAGCATGGTCCCCGCTGAACTCGTCTAAACCGTCAATAAAGAAGCAGATCTTGATGGGAAACTGGTCTTGGGTCGCTATTGTCCGGATGGTCTTCTCCAGTTCGCCCTGGCTCCAAGGCGAGTGATTTGACGATGCAGATGCGGTTATTTCGGCCTTGCTCCACCTCTCTGGACAAACCAGCCGAATGAGCTGGGAGTTCTGGCAGAGCAAGTCGAATATCAGAGAGCGGAGAAGGCCCTCCTGGGACCTTTGTATGCTAGTTCCGGCACTCCAGAAGTAATGACAGGCCTTGATCACTTTTCCGGAGCCTGACCACGTCGCCAATGCTTCATCTGTAAGAGGATGACCCGCTATAAATTTCATGAGCGTGGACTTCCCCGATCCGGGACGGCCAGAGAGCCAGAAGATGCCGTTTTCGTGTTTCAGCCAGTGTAGGAGGCTCTTTGGCTCGCTGGGATCAGCATTTTGTGCGGAAAAAATCCAGTTGAAGGTCCTTCGGTGCGCGGTGGCAATGCCCCCCTGTCTCTGCGGGCGTTGTTTGTAGTTGAGACCTCTCAGGAACTCGTTTTCCCTGGCATACTCCTCACTCGTTAGAGATAGCTCGGATATCCTTGCGGTCAACAACTCGATTTCGCTGGAAGAGAAACAAGTTTTCGAGTGGTCTGATTTGAAGCCATCAAGCTTGTTCTGGATGCTTTTGATGGCTTGCGACATCTCATTCAGCTCCTGGGATCTCTGACTCTGGAAGGCCTGTGTCTCGAAGCGCAGGGCACGCACTTGGCCGTCGAGAATCTCAATCATCCCGCTGTCGCGCTCATTAGATGTTGCTACATGGCTTTTTTCAGCGTTAGAAAGACCCTTACCTAGATACAGAGCATAGGTGGATGACCATCAGCCTCTGATAGCCCCCAATACGCTCCCGGAGTTGCTCGATCTCGCCTGTCTTCATCACTTCCGTCATTGCGGTGCGGAAGCTCCTCCAAAGCCTGGGTCCCGAAGCAGACTTGCTTTTTATGCTCTCGATAACCGCGAGCAACTCGTCACAGTCTTTCCTACATCTTGTCGCAAGTTCCGTGAGAGAGGGGGCATCCTTGGGCAGCCCAGTATTGACGAACCGGATGCCTGTAGATGGAGACGAGAGATTGGCGCTGAGTTGCGATAATGTCTCATATATATACTCGAGTCTCTCGGTTTTCTCCGATGCTCCCGATTGATATATCTTGCGCGTTCCATTGAACAGGTCCGTTGTGAATTGAACGAACTGAACAACTGCGGCAGCAAGACTGAGGGCCGAAAGAGGGTCCATGACGGCAAAGTGGTGATTGTCTGGGCCAGATCGGATAGTTGGTCACGACATCTGAAATGTTGGGAGAAGAGTGGAGAGTACGTACGGCGGAATATTGGGTACCCACGGGCACCCATAAGCGCTAAGCTTTTCACACGTGTACTTTTGGGTAGCTAAAAATAGAAAACATCTACACAATAAGTAGAATGTAATAAAATATAGAGATGATACATGATATTTGAAAATAATAAAATAAAATAAGGTATATATAGAATATAAACTGAAAAATATTTTAATTTCATTATATATATTTAATTCCTAATCTGCTGAATAGTAATATGCTGTAAATTGCTGCTTGCGGCTATGTATAGGTAGGTAGCTGTGGGTAGCAATTTGCATCCTATCCATACCTGAAGCTTAAAATGGGCTACCCGCCCATGGGTACCTATGGGTATTTATAGCCCTAGTGGTGGGAGAGCCTAGTGAAGGTGAAGTATTGCTGGAGGCACCTGAACGAGAGACCAAATCTACGCCATGTCGCGTAGTCCGCCATCAGACAGCATGATGGAACTGCTAACGGAGGAGCAGCGATCTCTCTAGCGCACTGCTTGCGACTTCACGCAAAACCCGGAACGAATTGCACAGGCCATGAACTAGGGAAAAGCTGATGCAATTTGCATTTTCTTCTCCGCCTATCTACAACCGAGCCCTCCCACAGGTGCTACCATCTGGTCCAACGCAAATGAGTTGGTCGAAGTCAACACCGCCATCCTAAGGAACTTCCTAGAAGCATTTTCACTTGCAAAAGTCTTAAGGATCCTCTTTCAGACCGGTGTAAAAAAATCGGCGCGCACATAGACGTGCCAGAAGTCTGACCGTCGAGTGCGATCCGCGGCGTCAGCAACTGGAACTCAACTTCTACGACCCTTCAAGGGGATATGTTATCTAGCTCATTGACAAAATGCCCATTAATACTCGTCCGCCTATGTAGATATCCGATTGTCACACAGCTCGTCAAGCGGTATCTCGGTGTCCAGCCTCTTATAACCCTTCTTCATCCTATACCGCCTCACGCCATGCCTAATCCCGAGCACTGCCAATGCGATTGACCCTGCGACGACAGTCAGAGACACCCAGACTCTCCACCCCCGCATACAGCACGGGTACCACGACATGAAGACCCCGACAGCCCACTGTACGAATTGCTTAGGCTCGGGATGATCAGGGAATAGCCCTTTCCGGACGAGCTGTTTCCAAATGGGGCCTTGCGGGCCGGAGACGAAGCGCTTCAAGCCAAAGACCGGAACCGTCTTTTGGCGAGCATGGTTACCCGGATATTCAACGTCGCCCCAGAGACCGGTAAAGTAGAAGAAAGACGTCAGATTTGAGTCGGAAGGCGAGGTATCTCCGGGAAGAAACAGTCGAGTTAGCTCCGAACTGGTAGGATCCATGTGGTAGAAGTACGCCGAAAGAACAGGGTCCCAGAGCTGGCCAGCATCGCAGTAGTCTAGCAAGACTTTGTCATGAACATGGTCCCTGCAATACGTACAATCAGTTAGCACATCATATCCCTAGTTTTAACAGCACACTGACTAACCCCGAAGATGCGTAATTTGCGTGCGAGCCGTATGCACTGAAAACGAGGGGCTATGGTCATATGTGTTAGATACATGATACTAGTTCGTTCGTAGGTTGTCTCGGTCAACATACCCGCCCATCCTCCAACGAAAGGTCTGTATCATTCCAGTCGTACGCAGCGCCGCTTGAATGCTGACTGTAGTAGATGCCCGTGGGATTTCCATCCCGAAAACGAACCATATTGTGTTCCCTTGGGGACAAAGGCAAGAATCAGTCTAAGCTGTTTATTGAAGAGACGGTCGAAAGGATGTAAGCAAGCTCACCAGTCACCAACGTGGTTCCCATAGTGCATTCCATCGGCCATACCCCCTGCCAGGCTGTTCAGGGGGGGCAGTACTTGTGAGATATTCGCGCCTCTGTCGTACGAATAGAAATAGAAGAAAAACACATCAACATCGCGAGGACTCCGCTCAACAGCAATCACAACACACGGAGTCGCGTTGGAGATTCTACCTGACTCGTCCGGGGTCTCTCCGAAGAGCCATGCGGGCAGGTCTGTGATGTCGTCGTTGGAGGTCAACGCGGCGACTTGCCCAGCCCCAACATCAATGTCGTTGAGCAGAGCTAGGTTGTCCAGGTCGAGCTCCGGCAGGCCGGGGACGGGCTTTTGATTGATCATAGGGGTCGTGCGGCGGACATGCTCGAGCATGTCTGACGGTCGGAAGGGATCGTCGGAGTGTAGCCAGACGAGCGGCGCTATTTCGTAGATGATGCTTGTCAGCTTCCGTCCGAACGCAGTTCAAGCCAGTCTTTGCCAAACACTGGCTTGGATAGACTTGATGAATAGCCAAGGATGACCTCATACCATAACGCGTTATATAGTCTGGCACGGTGCGATCGGCATTGTCCAGGATGGATGAGGCTGCACGCTGGGCCGGAGTAGGGTTGGAAAGGACCGAGAAAATCTGGATTTGGGCGACCAGCAGCCAAACGATCAAACCGCGGAATGGCTCAACGAGATGGCGACATTGGAAGGCCATCGATGTCGACCTTTGTCGAACCCTGCCTCGCATGTACAACTCCAAATTTGGCACTGGGTCTCAACGGGCACGCTGAGCGGTATGACGGGAAGAGAGACAGAAAAACAGGACAATATCGTAGAGTCGTCGGATGCCCATAGCACTAATCATTAGATGTTGTGTACGAAAGAAAATAAACAGAAAGGAACAAAGGGGGGTGGGAACGAGCGGCTCGGTAAAGCAGTCATCCAGCCTCAATTCCCGGACTTCAGCTTGCTTTTCAACCCCTCGAGTAACGTACCCGAATGAACAACGAACTGCATCATCCATCCCTCCCCATAAAACAATGGAAGACAGGGGGACCCTGAATAAGGCTGAGGAGGGGTGGTAATCCCCCACTGATCGTCCTCGGCCAGGACCCCGAATTAATAATATTTGCGCCACAGCGCTTAAAATTAGGCTCCCGTGAGAGAGACGGGAGTCTTGTGCAGCTGAACTGTCTAAATTTACGTCCTTCTATTTTACGTATGCGTGCATTAGTCCGGGCAACCGTGGAACTTGGAAGAGGGCTAAGAAAGCGTGCGAGTTTAGGGTCCTTGTTAGACTTGAGATAAGATCTGCTAAGATCTGCCCCTGGAAACAAGACCCCCACGATGAATGATACGCCAATCCTACAGTAGCCAAAATTAAGACACCTCGCCGATGCACACTCCAGTCCTGGGTGGAGAATAGAGGCACGAAGCAGAACATGCCAATACCTATTCATCCAGCCTGATTCATGTCCAGGCTTCTGCTCACCAAGCCCAGCATCTGACCCTCCCATTCTATTTTGTCTGCTGCTCCCCCTGGTTGACGCGCAAAGCGGTGAAACCCAGCCAACCGCTTTGAGCTATTGCTGCCAAGCTACGCCACGTTGCCATCCAGCGGAAGGATTGGAGCGATAAGGGCGCAAAGAGAAAAGAGAAAAAGAAAGGCGGCTTGGCGGAAGTGGCTGTACCCATCTTGTCACATTCAAGTGAACAGGCTGAGAGCAAGGATGCCGCACATTGCCGCAGGCTAATGTGATGTGACAAGCCACGGATGTGATCACGTCTGGGGTTTCGGCTGGCAGATCAGATCAAGACGCTCTGCCATGCGTGCAATTGCTGCGGCCACATATGCTTTAATTGTGCCACAGAGCGCATTGACCGGGACTTCGCACACGGTTGTTATGTCTGCAGTAATCTGCGTCTGGAAGTGCCAGTATCTGGGGCCAATTCTCCTGGCGCATGCTACATCGCTGTGGATAATAACGGTAGAGGATGACACGTTGGGTACCACAGCGTCACAGTACAACGCATCAATAACCAATCATCTGCAGCTTGTCTCGCGTACTGCGACGGTGGCTGCAGCGGCCAATTTCTCACCGCAGCGGGCTGGGAAAGCCGCATGGTGAGGCTTGATTGATTGATTTCGTCCTACATGACTGTGGTCCTTGGTCTCAACTTGCTGGTCCACAACACATGGCAACACAGGCGTTCCAGGTACAGCCTAGAGAATAGCGATAGTGGATAGGCATCGCCGTCTGGTTTACCGCCAAATTGGGCTCGGGCTGTTACGTTTGCTCCCGTGGCGGCAGTTGCCCACCAGAAACGGAGAGAGCCAATGGAACTCGATACCTAATTTCCGAATCTATCGAGGCAGGCGGTAGTCGAGTCGCTAGCTCGGATGCAGGCTGAGACGGTGATGGTGAAGGTGGTAATGGCGAAGGTGTTGGCGGCGAAGGAGTCGAGGCAGATTCTGGCTTTCTGACCCTGGATTCGACATTATCAAGCCAACAAGGCGCCATCTTCACTGATAAGATGATACCTAGTCTTGTTTCGGGATATTAAATTATGAGTGAAAAGACTTTTCCGATCTACGAGCTGAGACGGCATTAAAATCGTCATTATTGACGGGAAGCGATAGCATCTTTGCAGGGTTTGCGTTAGGGGAGGCTTCAGCGGCTGAAAAAGACCCTTGCAGCTACGCGGGGCTTGTGAGGCCAATCGGATTACCAGTAAGGACATGCTTACAAGCGAGAAGAGAGAAGAGACGAGAGAGCCGCACATTAGCACGCTTGGGTGTTTGAGGTGTGTGCGTTTGCATGAGTTGGCGTTCGTACCAAAATAATACGAGCACCTACTGCTCGCCTTTGCACTTTTCAAACCTGACCTTGAAGATGACGTGCGAATTACGGCAAAAGATCTGGACCCGGGGCGGCGGTGGATGACTTCCGTAGGTGGTGTGCGGTGATTCTCAGTTGCAGCCAGGATCCCTGACGGCAAGGTGTGATTGAGGTGAACTGGAATAAGATGCATCGGGAGGACCGAAGATGATGTGCGTAGTCTAAAGGTTGTACTGCATTCACAGTGCTGTGGCGTACATACTGTACGTGGATGGAAGAAAATATTAGTGTCAACTTTTTACAGCTTTCGAGGACTTCAGCTCCAACTAGAACAAGTAATTGTTTGTCATAACCCGGTAAAATACAACAGATTTACTGGTCCTTCCACCAAGTCATCGACCGCAACGCGATTTGTGTTGGCTCGTTGACTTACTGTCTTACTGTCCCCATCACCGCGCTTGGCAACCGCGCTTGGCAATGAGGATCAATGTCTCAAGATAACCCTCTCACGTTACAAGGCCACCTATTAGCAAACCAGATTGTCTTCACTATTCTACCAAGAAGTGACGACTGCGGGTAAGCTGCATCACGCGCAATGTGCACCGCTCGGGTGTCTTCCTCATCTGCCGCTCGCCAGCGAAGCCACTCTCCTCAGCTGTGGCCACAGCCTGACCGTCTGCTCGACGCGGGTGTTCAACATGCTCCTCGCCAATCATTACTGTCCCACACACTCCAAGATTCCTTTGCAGCGCTAGCTCGAACGTGACCATCGACGGCGACGAGCGACTGCAGTCTCTTCATTCTCGTAAGTTCCGTCTTGTTCTCAACTCTCAACGACGGGTGACTTTGAGACCCGATGATGAAAATCGAGGGAGAAATCCCATTGAGCTCTTGGAGTTATTAAAAGAAGACATATCTGGCGCCTTCGGCTAAGAACACATTGATCAGGCATCCAATCCAAATCCTTGTGAGCATCACACACATATCAAATACGACTTCTTCTGCATGTTAGCACTGATGCCAAGTAGTAAGCGGCATTCAGCCATATTTCAATTTGCTTTTTAAAGAGCTCAGCTCCAACTTGAATGAATCGGCAAAGGAATGCTGCATGTAGCCGCCAGGCCAAGTACAGAGGCCACTCGAGTGGATGATCCTTCACGCCTCGTCGTGACACCGCCCCAGCCACCCTCCCTTATTCATTTATGCAACAGTCTCTGCAATCCCAAGCGCCAAGTTTGCTTCTCTCCAGTGGGATATAGAAGGCGTGTTTGTCTCCCCAAATCAATGCCACCCTTCTTTAGCTTTATCCCATCACTTCTACCACGATTCTTCGTCTCAATCATTCAACACAACCCGCATGTTAAAACATTTCTACATCTCTCCGCTTATCTCTAATAATCGGTACCATGTCGCTTCTATCGCCAAAAACTTCCCTCTCCCTCACTCTCCTGGTCCTCTGGGCAGCGAATATCGGGACTGCCAGAGCCGCCACATCCACTCGACAGTTCCGAGAGTGGTACCCACAATATGGGTGGATTTTCCGCAACATCACACTTACCAACTGCTCTGACGAGTACGAGCGTTACCTGACCGGCTATAAGAACCATTCCGAGATAGATTATCTCGGCGGCGGCGGCATCTACACTGCTCTCACCCAGCCGGTTATCAACTGCATCCTCAAGAACACGTCCGAATACCTCAAGGGATGCATGACTGGCTCTCAGGTGCTGCTTGGAATCATGCCTACCGTTTTGGCTCTGCTAGGCCCCTCCCACAACGAAATAGCTTTGCTGGCAAATGTCGGTAGACGGCCACTGCTAGCGCTTGGGTTGGCCTTGTCGTCTCCTTCCACGTACTTCAGCCGGGCATTCGAGTACTCTGACCCGAAAGAGATTATGAGTCACCACAAGAATAGGCGTGAACAACGGTGCCCGGAAGGCAGGGGTTGGCAGTTGTTGATCACATGTGTGGAATATGCTCTGACAGCAGGAGCCTGTTTCAATGCCGTCAACAACAGCATACAGGTCGGTACAATGTCCATCAGTTCTGTCATGTCAGATTTCGATTTCTTTGCAGCCTTGTGGCTATTCCTCGGTGTCGCTGTTCACATATTCAGTTGTTTTGTCCTTCGACTTCGACTTCGGGGTTGGAGAGATCCAACAGCCAACGAATGTGTGCAACGAGGAACGAACAGGCAAGAGAAGCAGTCTCCAAGGGGTATTGCCAAACCCGGTACTAATGGTGCTGAATCCTTTTGGCTTTGGATAATGGGTACATGGCCGCGAATGAAAGAGATCTTTTGCACAGAATTTTTCCCTTGCGCAGCAAAGCAATATGATGTGCGTATTGTTACCTTTCAAGAGACCAAGAAATTCTTAGTGGCAGCTTGGTGGGAATCAACATTTACAATCCTTCATGTTGTCTTTGGCACGCTTGTTTTCTCAAGTCTTCTCTTTTTGGGAATCAAGGACGCGTTGAGTATCGTGGGACGGTATATGGCAAGTGTGGCATTATGCCGAGTTATTCTCATGTATGAGTTAGCTGGGCTACGGGAAAGATGTATTACTATTGACGGAGAGAAGGTTAAGCGGAGCCTAGATGATACATTCTAAGGTAGAGAAAGGAATACTGACCAATATAATGTGCAGTAACTATTTTCTAACCTATTCGCTTGTCTCGCCTTTTCCATGACTGTACCACTGATTGCAAGACCCAACTGTCTCATGAGTCTTATTGGAGCCCGGGGGGTTGACTATTTATGTTTTTTAAACCAGCGTTTCTTCATATTATTCTAATATTTTCCCTGTTAAATTATACTACTGTGCTCTTGATGTAAAATGCTACGATAAGCTGGCGCCGCTGAGTGAGTGGGGTCAGCCAGTCTTTGGAGGCAAGCAGCAATCGTGATCTTCGGAATTAGTACACATTTTAGGGGTTGTCCTAGCTTGTCGAATCGAGGTACGGAGCACGATTGCCTGTTACAGGCGGGTAGATCTGGATATGAATCAGGTTAGATGGAAATGCCGGCGCTTATTCCTGGTCGTCCCGCTGGGTAAACAATTCAGAACCAGGCTATGCAGGCGGCTTATGATTTCCACCTTTTGTCGGATGCGCTATCTTCAAACCCGAACTCAAATTGAGATCCGACTGTCTATAAAATTGGCCATCACCAGACTTCCCGATCAACTTGTCATCAACCTTTTTTCATCTCGAACTCGCACCTCCACGTCAAAAGAAATCAATCCGTTCATCATGACCTCACCAATGAAATACGTCCGATATGTCGCCAAACATCCTCCCTCGTGCTTCCAGAGTGTCTAACCGCTGCTTAGGGTCGGAAAATCTGGTCTCAAAGTCTCCCAGATTATCCTCGGCTGCATGAGCTTCGGCGACAAGAACTGGCAGCCCTGGCTCCTGGACAAGGATGAAGCCCTCCCAATTCTCAAGTACGCGTTCGATCAGGGCATCAATACATGGGACGTGGCCGATACCCACTCCAACGGCAGGTCTGAGGAGATTCTCGGCGCAGCCATCAAGCACTACAACATCCCTCGATCCAAACTCGTCATCATGTCCAAGTGCTTCCAGCTTGTTGATGAGGCAAAAGGCCCCATTGATCCCGCGGTTCTCACGAGCAACGACGGGCCGCGCATTAACCAGGTCGGCCTGTCTAGGAAGCACATTCTTGACGCTGTCGAGCACAGCGTTGAGCGCCTCGGCACCTACATCGACGTGCTGCAGATCCATAGGATGGACCGCGATGTGCCCCCGGAGGAGATCATGAAAGCTCTCAACGATGTTATTGAGAGCGGCAAAGTTCGCTACATCGGTGCTAGCTCAGTAAGCACACCTTGTCCATTCGAACGTATGCAAGCTAACTCTTTACAAAGATGGCGGCCTGGGAATTCCAAATGCTGCAGAATGTCGCCAGAAAGAACGGCTGGCATGAGTTTATCTCCATGCAAGGCTTGTATAACCTCCTCTACCGCGAGGAGGAGAGGGAGATGAACCCCTACTGCAATGCCACAGGGGTGGGCCTCTTCCCTTGGTCTCCACTCGCGGCGGGCGTCCTTACGCATCCCTGGACCGACCGCAGCGACTCTCGTGAACAGAAGGATCCTTTTCTCAAGATGCTCTTCCGCAACGGGGAGCAGGGACCGGACAAGTCTATTGTAGGACGCGTTGAAGAGTTGGCAAACAAGAAGGGGGTTTCCATGGCGCAGGTTGCTCAGGCTTGGCTGATCTCCAAGGGGTGCATGCCTATCTGTGGCTTGGAAACGAAGGAGAGGATCGACCAGGCTTTGTCGTCGCTGAAGGTCGAATTGACAGCAGGCGAGGTCGAGTATCTGGAGGAGCTCTATGTGCCCAAGGTCCCTATCCCTTTTTAGTAGGAAATTCTATAGTGGCTTTAAGTCCGTACAAGACTGTAATTCCCAATCTGTCATTTGAAGGAATCAGTGCCGTGTTTGTGGACTGCGTGACTAGATACCAGGTCCTGATCGAAATACCGAATTAGGCAGCTCTACTGCTCACTTCAATGTAACATCGGAGCTCTACAGACTACACAAGGAAGGTTGGAATTCGAACGGGGTCCAAGTCTCCTCCACTCGCCGCTCCCTCAGGGGCTGACGTAGTCCCGATCACCAGTCTCATGCAAATCTGGACGCCTCGGTCCCTAAACCTATTCGAATAGCTCATAAGCCAGCTGCATTAGCGTCGAGTGTAAGTTGCAGATGGTATGTGCGCAAAACCCTACTACCAATCGCTTATGATGGAGAAGTACGAATGTGAAATGCCAGTAGCAACATGAACCCACAATTGATAAGTAGATGACTCGGAAATGATGCACGAGGCTTGTAGCAGCAGCCTTCGTCAAACCCAGCAGGATACCTGATGGGCTGGGACGGGAGGGGTTATGTTGTGGTTGCAGCTGCTTTACTAGAATCGGAAAAGATCCCATGCTGTAATTGACTCGCTGCTAGTATTGTGCTAAGGCGATTCCAGAAACAGTGGCTAGTATTGCTTCTACACTTATTAGTCAAAGTGAAAAAGTAGGAGAGGTCCAGTTATAAAGGTTTCTATATGTAGGAGCCTTGCAAGGGGTGGTATAGTCACCGGACGTAGCAGGCATGCGAGGCAGTTCGTGCAATATTATGAGGTAAATATCAATCTGGGCGTTAGGTGAGGCTTCGCTTTTAGTGATAAGTAACCCGTAGACGCCTTTCTGACGAGCATGAGGTTTTCAGGATCCTAGTGTCGTCCGATGAAATCGCGATCTTTATTAGCCTCCTGCACATCGCATGCTTAAAGGCCGGGTCTCCAAGGATCGGCAATACAGGATGGCTATTGCTTGATTCAATCAGACACCGCTTTTTTACGGTGGGCATATGTTAATATCCGCCCTGGTCTGCACTGTATGATATCTCAGTACATTTACTGCTAGCCCTATGTTTGTGTAATCTGCATGATCCAGCCCTTTAAACATCTGTCTGTAAAGGAGTATTGCTATTCAGACTGCAAATTATTACTAATGGGATAGTAACTAATTCCTACATGGGACGATAAGTATCACATAATTTTCCTCTTGTAAACCCATATTTACATTGCAGGACGAAAGGTGATTATCTACGACGCTGAGGTTAACAGTGAGCGACAAGCTTTTCTGGGCATTAAAGTCAGATCTCTCTTTGTGGTAGTTTTATTAGTTGAGATCTTTCCCGGCATTGGCAAATTTAAACACCACATGAAGCAGAGATTACACACTTTAAGTAGGATTAATGATAGACCGGCTGGCCAGCCTCGTGTAATGGACCATGGATCCACTCAGTGGATTGATTGGCCCTGAGTGGACAAGCACCCAAACGGAACAAGCAGACGTACTTTGATCAGGCTGAGGATTCGGGTTTGCCGCGAAAAATTATGTCTGTCCCGTGACGCTTCTCTCCTCTCACTTGTCACCATCTCGATTAAACTGCAACACCAAAAGGAGACTTCACCAACCCGTGGGTGCCGAGATCTAGAACATGGTACACTTCTGACATGTCACTGTACAAGGAACAGCCCTGCTCATGTCTCAGCACACTAGTCGCTCAAAGGAGCCCCTCACAACTCTCGCTGGTGCCCCTCCGCTGACGTATCGACCCATTGCTCCAGCGCCCAACCCAGTGATCTGCGTTGATCCCGGGGCGAATCGAGCTTGGTCTGTTCCTATAGGTGAGTCCTCGTTGACGAATCGACTTTCGACCAAGTTACTTGTACTTCCTCGGCTTGTAACCGTCGGGAGCGACGTCACCCTACCTCTTGGCTAACCTATGAGCTAATTTGATGCTGTAGCACCTCCGTCGTATCTCCCGGATACCTTCGACCATTCGTTTTCGGCCGATACTCTTTATCCGATCGCCCGTCCCCAGTCCGCTTGTCCTCAATCTACCCTCAATCTGCCAGTCAACTTGGGCCCATCTCCGACAATCCCCAGCCAATTGCCCTTGTCGCACACCTTGTCGCACAAGAGGTCCGCACATAAGCGAAACAACTCGGCCGAATACGATTCCACGAATGAATACCTTGGAGGGGGTACCTCTGCTAGCGAACGGGTAACTGTAGAACGGCTGACCACCCTCTACGTCGATCCCGAAGACCACCCAGCATATAAGAACCTCCAGGAGAGAATACACCAGTCACAGAATGAACAAGATCGCTGGGAAGCATGCACAGCATTTCATCAACGTTACAAGACGCTCAAGGGGCCTATTGCTAAGCTAGGGGACGAGATCGACAAGCAGAGGAGGAAGCTGGAGGAGAAAGAGGCGGCCCGCGACGACAAAGGATCCAACCTCGACGCGCTCATCCTACTGGGCACATCGTTCATGGTATCCAAATGCGAGCGCTTCGACCAGATTCGCCGGTCTTACGATGTTGCCAGGCGCAAGCGATCACGGACTTCTGCGGGAAGCGAACAGAGTGCTACGGGCGAAGATTGGGCCGACTTTCTCAACGACCACGGTAAAGCCGCCAGAGAGCTGCAGCAGTGCGAGAAGGCCCTGGAGTATATCGCTACAACCTGGGGCGACGACAAAATCCGGTACTACGGCTGGGCGACCAAACCATTGGCCGTTTGCCAGCTCCTCAAGGCTACCGCCGTGGTTGTTCCGACGTGGGAAGAGGCTGGCATCAAGCTGAATAGACTGAGGAACTACCGTGACCGAAGGGTCAGGAACCCTATCGCATCTAGAAAGAGATCCATCTCGTGGAAAGACCTGAAGCAGTTAGGACAATGGCAGGGGCATGGCCACTTTGAGATACTGCCGACCAAGATGAATGGACGGAATGTGAGGGACACCATTCCTTACGCACTGCTAGGAACAGACGACTTTAATGCTGATCGCCTTGGTTTTGATAAGTTCGGAATCTTGGTGGTAAAGACAATTGGATCTGATACTGAACCTGTCATGACATTCTCTGTGCCGCCATGGGGGGTGGCCCAAAGTCACAGCGTTGCCCCAGCGGCGGAAGAACAAGCCATTGGGTTAGAGTCTCTGCCCAACAGCCAAGATGAAGCACCTCCTGCAGCCTCTCTTCGAGGCTCAGCTCGCCTGGCGGCACGTCAGCCCACATCTTACTCTGCCCAGCTCGCTCCCACAGCAAGCTCCTTATTCCACCGGACGAGAAAAACGCAAAGCACCAGAGAACACGCGTTCGGTGGTGAATCAGAGGATGGCCTGGGTCGGGCGCAGGGCAATGAGCGTGGCCAACAGCCTAAGAGACCAATGGTTGACGCCGTCACCGAGACTGATGGTAGCTTGTGGGAAGATTTTGTCTTGGCGAAAGCGAGAGCCCTGGCCAGCGCATCGCAGGACCGTGTCGTTGCAGATGACACGTCAGAGACGGGCAGCCTCCAACAAAAGGACGAAGAAGCAAAGCGGTCGACAAAAGGTCATTCAGCTCTCGAGCCCAGACACACTGCCCCTGTTGTACAACAAGCTGCACAGCTAGAACAGAGTCCACCAGTCCCCAGGACAAAAAGGTTCTCTATTGACTTGGAGTACAATCAAGAGTTCAAGAGGCTAGCTCTCGAGGAACTCAACGAAACAGGCGACCAAGAATGCTGGGGGGCTAAGAACAGTAGATCTTGCCGTCACTACCTGTCCAGAAGCTCCTGTCCAAACACTGACCAAATTCATGGCCCAGTGGATGCACACTTCAGTACACTGGGCGAGGCCGAAGGACTCGTGGACAGAACGACTCCCAAAGTACCCATCTTCACGCGATGCAGCAACGCTGGCAACTGGAAGCCTGACCTGCGACCTACTGTGGACTATCTCACCCGGGCTGAGAAAGTCCAGACAACAAAGGTTTATGTTCAAAAGTATTCTCTTGATACGGAAGAGGATTCCTATTCAACCGTCACTCTATGGGAGCTCGTCATCCACTTCTTGAGGAACGATCACGGCGTCGATGGGCTTCAGCTGTGGAATGCATTGGAGCTGAAGAACCATCTCAAACAACGCCACGTGCCAGAGTTCCTGAGGAACACCAATTGCGACCTCCTGGGCGAGATGCGACGACGTGCAGAAATTGCAGGAGATGCGAAAAATGGGAGAAAGAAGAAGGTGGGAAAGCTTCCAGCGAAAGACCCTCTGCATTTCGCTTTGATTGCCGACGGTGGGATGAACACCTACCCTCACAGTGACAGCCACGGATACTCGACTTTTCTGACTGTACAAGAGGGGGAGCTTATATTTGGGTGGCTCTCCCGTCAAGATGAAGAGGTATGGAGTATCCCTTCCTTGGTCAACATGGCCACTGACAACCTAGACCTGGGATGGCTGGGCTGAAGACCCCGAGTTCTTTGAGGGAGGCAACTGGTGTTATCTCGTCATGAAAGCCGGAGACAGCGTCTACTTTCCTACCGGCACCCCACACTACATTGTACGGAGGAAGGGAACGCAGACCTTCATCCTCGGTGGGCATGCCCTTCAGTGGTCGAACCTGGATGTGTGGGCTTCATTGTTGCGGAAGCAGATTGACAATCCTGCAACGGTAAATGAGGACACCAATTTAGTAACGACCAGAAGGTATGTTGAAGCCGCAAGGAGCTTAATCACAGAAGCGGTCGAATGTAGGGACGATCGGCTCGGGTATCTCGGTGGAATTGAAAAGGCGAAACGGACGCTTCTGGATCTGGAGGTGAGACATCGGCACCTGTTGGCGCTCAGGTCAGCTAACAGCGTTTGGCAGGATCTCCAAAAGAAGATTGAGGAGAAGGAAGAAGGCGAGAAGGGTAAGCAAGTGTGACAGGAAGGAGTATGACAGGAAGGAGTGTGACAGGAAGGAGTGTGACAGGAAGGGAATGAGGGAAGGGGGTGATGACGACGAGAAACACGAGTAAAACGCCTCGTTGGATGTAGGGCTAAGGGCTCGGGGACGGAACGTGGTAATTCCAGTAGACGGCGGGTCATTTCGATATTGGTGATTGCAAAATGAGGTTGAAACGAGCTTGAAATGAGGTTGAATGGGGTTGAAATGAAGGCTGGTATTTCGACGCTGCTGACGAGGCAACTCGTTGTCAAATGCATATGCTGGTGGGAAGCCGACGAGGCAGCCGTAGGCGACATGGGGGGGACCTTTCACACCTAATAGTGAGAATTGACGAAACAAAAGCGAGATTCAAGCAGAGAAGGCCTTGTTGGCCGGCCGGATGTGGAGGATAATGCGACAAGAGGGTGATTTTCGACGCGCGTTGGATGATCAGGAATAATAAAAATGACGGTCTGAATTGACACCTCGTCAGATCAGTGATCTACAGGCCTAGGACAGGGGCCTACAATCCCTGCACAGGGGCTGTGGACACGAGACAGGGGCTGTTTGATCCTTGTCAAAAGCGCCTGGTCTTGAAGCGTCACAGCTGTGTTTTTCACAAGTGTGTAAAAAAGGAGCGCTTACAGGTGGGATTGGGGGCCTGTAAGCACTCCTTTCTACGCACAAAAGAGGCATTGGCCAATGGCTTGTCATATATTTTCGGCCTAAATCGCCAAGCGTCAGGGCCGAAAGACCATCACAATTGTGTTGAAGCTCTCTCACGAATCCAAAGGCTTGAAATGGCTCCACAGCAGTCAATCATATAAAGCTGTATAGTCCAATTCTATGTAAAGTTCAGCATCATGATCGAGCGAGGATAACCGAGCATTCATTGTATCTTCTTTTCACTTTGAATGGCTTATGTCCCAATTGAATCCCCAAGACGCTCCAAGACACGATGCCGACACCCTACCATTTCTCTTCCAGTCGCGCAACCACGACTCCAACCCAAACCAAAACAGACGCGTCCAAGAACCTTCCGTACCGACCCACTCCAACCATCTCTCAGCAAAGAAGCCAATCGTGTCACTTGTCCTCCTCCCCTGCCCCAGATGTCGGCACTAAGAGGAGTCGGCCAAGGAGGACAAGGACCACCCCTGTCGATTCCCACTGGCCCAGAGGCGATTGCAGTGCTTGCTGTCATCACAACAAGCGCTTGTCTTCCGAAGACGAGTGTGACGACGGCTTTGAGGGTGCTGACAGCGACTCTGATGCGGAAGAGTCGTGTTGCGGAGACGACAATACTGTCGTCCATGACTATGTCTGGCCCAAGGATCATGAATTCCAAGAGGCACGGCAACTACTATTGCAACAATTACGTCAAAACGTCAAAGTATTCGCTGAGAATACCCAGTACCATGAGCCACCAAAACATCAACCGCCGCCCCCGAAACGCAAACGCAAACGCCCCAGGCCCTCAAAACGGCAGTCCAAACCAACGGACGTCTTCGACGAACTGAACAATCCTGGTGATCAGGAACACACCGACGATGGATTTATTATACTTCCCCGAAAATACCTTCGTTTCCCCTGTCCATTCTACAAAGCAAATCCTAAACGGCACCGAAACTGCCTTCTGCAACACGACCTTCGGAGAATCGAGGATGTCGCCACTCACGTCGTGCGTCATCATAGGAGGCCATCATACTGTCCGACGTGCTCCCGGACGTTTGCCTCGGTTATAGATTGCGACAGACACATGATGGCGAGGACATGTGAGCTCCGCGACCTAGTAATACCAGAAGGGATCAATCTGTATCAGAAAAATATATTGACACAGAAGGACGATGAGCAGCTCACCACGACGGAACGGTGGGAGCGCATGTATGCTACAACCCTCCCAGATGCAAAGTCTTCTCCTTCGCCATTTCTCAATCAAGGCTGCGCGCAGGCAATCTCCGCGGCGCGTGACTACTGGCGAGAAGACGGTTGGCGCTGCGTTTCTGATTTCTTGAGGAACCAAGGCATGCTTGAGGAGGTTCAAGAAGATGACGAGAGGGCCCAAGTGGCACTTTTCAACTCGACTCTCGAGGATCTTCTGACTGAGATTATGGACGAGTATGAACAGGCCTCGAACCAGTGAGTGTGAGAGATGTAGATATATAGAACTATGTTGAGATATTTTTTTTATGTATGGCTTGGTAATATAGAAGAACTGAGATTGACTATGAGCGAAATGAAACGTACAAATGAGCGTGATCGAGTAAGCAGAAGGCAAAATACAAATAAAATGTCGAAACACAGGTCATCCTGGACCAATCATATAGCACTTTTCCCATGTCAAACACCATGCTGGCAATAAGCATTCATCAATTCATGCCATGGGAAACGTAAAACATCAGCTGTGGCTTTCGGGCCCCTAGTTGCCTGAGTCTGGCTGGAGAGCTGTGACGAATTCCCAGAAGTCGTCCTGAATGTATGAATTGTCCGAGAATGGGGCCGGGTCTGCGAGGTTGGCACCGATTCCCTGCAAACTCTCCCGCATTTCTAAAGGCGTCTGGGCAATGGAGAAATCTTGCTGGGGAACAGCGTCGGCGAGATCCGAGCCCGGCAAGCTCTGGGTCTGTGTCTGCTGCACGTATTGGAATGCATCGGGGCCGAACGGTTCTTGTGCCGAGATGCCAGAGTGAGGATGTTGGGCTTGAGCAGATAAGTCGGGCGGGACTTGTTGAGGCTGGGCAAAGAGCTGCTGCTGGCTTAGCGGAAGCGTGTCTGATATCATCGACGGCGGCATCATCGGGCCAGACAGATCTAGAGGAGCCTGGCCGGACGAGTCGAGAGGCCAAACATGGCTGCCATCCAATATAGTAGGCGCCAAGGCTGGGCCCGAAGCTGGATCCGAGTTCAGAGCTTGCGTAGCCTGGGTTGAGGTGGCGTCACAGCTCTCGACCCGGAGTGCGGGAGTGAAAGTGCGGGCCAAGGCTTCGGTGAGCTTGGTCGCCAGAGGCTCCAAGTCGTTTTGACCCTGGGCTTGTTGAAGAAACGTCAGACAAATAGGCTGCGCAGTGCGGAGGATGAACTCATGATACGTCTCAAAAAGCGGCCAGGGAGCTTCGAGGTGCGGGAACAGCCTATACCATCCCTTAATCCACTTTTCCTCATCCGACTTTGCGCGGATATTCTTGAGCCTGTTGTACTCTTCTGCGAGAAGTAATCCGGTTTGCAAGATATCGGCGGGCAGGCAACTGGAAAGACGGCAGTGCGCATTCTTTAAGTTTTCCCCGTCATTTCCAGGGAAAGTGAGACGACATTTGGGACAATGCTCAAGCTTGGGAACATGAACTCGGTTGATATGCTGAAAGACGCGACTCCAGCTAGTTAAGACGGGGTTTGCGCAGCGTTTCTTATGCTTCTCGGGATCCAGCTTATAAAACGGACAGGCGAAGTGTTTGGGGGGAGGTGTATTTCCGGGAGTGTTCGAGATGTCGTTTTCCTCGGGACTTCCGCCACCGTTTCCATCGCCGCCGGCCCCGTCTCCTCCGGAAGGCGTGTTATTGTTGTGGTTCTCCGATCGACACTTCTTGTCTCTGCTCTGTTCATCTCCACCTCCAGAGTTCCGGCGTTTGGGGCCAGAAGTGGTGGGTAAGTCATGTCCAGCACAAGATCGATGTGTGTCAAGGTTAGGTGGATTCGACGACGGTTCGTAGTTCAGATAGAGGGATAGATCGATTTCCCCTGATGTCGGCTCAAACGAGGTTTCTGGCGCGGGATGACTGTTAGTACAGGCTTCAAATACACAGTCAACGTCTCCAACACCAGCGGACACTGACTATGTGGATCCATCATGAAAGCCCCGGTGTTCTTGTGGATGAGACTGGTGTTGATGGTTTCATCGTCGGTAGGATAATGAGAATGGTCAAGGTAGCTATTAACCAAGTCTTGTCGCTGGTTGACGTGCTCTGGGACGATGGAGGCGGAGCCCTGCTGGAGGCTTGCCTCCTTGTTGATGTCTCTGTCTAAGCCCACCTGGAAGGGGCTGGAGTCAGCACCTGGAAGGGAATGGGGGTCGTAGCGGATGTTTGAAGTGTCCATGGTAAAGAGTATAAATAGTGGGAGGCGATAAGATATGATGAGTGAATGGTGAATCTCGGTGTGGGAGCGAATGGAAAAGGTTGAGGGATGCTCGGAGGAGAGAGTGGGAGGGGATCCAGCTGAGAATTCCTGACCATGTTTCCCGACGTAGCAATTCTGTGTAGAAGTTGACGGTTGTGATAATACGACAGGGGGCAGAATCGGCCAGGACCGGGGGGTAGTGTGGCAGGGATAAAACACAGCGGTGACGGCGACGCGCTGGGAAAAAGAAATGAAAAAAAAAAAAAAAGAGGACTCGATCGGTTGCTCAACTTTACAGAGTTTCCATCTCTACGTTCTTCAGAATGGGCCTGAAAGTAAATTATTTCATCCAGGCCGTTGAATTAGCTGAATATAGGCTCATAACTACGCTGTACCGTCCACGAGATCCTCTGGTGAGAGGTAAGGAACTGGTGGCAAGCCGGCAACTGCGCTGGCATCCTCCACACAAAGGTGTGTACTCGGGGAGACCTAGCGCCTTGAACCCCTGGACGATGCGCTACTGGTTCCCTCACTGGGCGTCACAGACGGCTTTATTGGCTGAGAGAGCTCCAATGATGCTGCCAGACGCCAGAGAGTTCCGCCCCCCCCTGGATGGTTCAAGTTGTCGTATCTGCGTCTAAGACAAAAAAGTCTCTCCCACTGAAGAAGCCACTGAAGAAGCACTGAAGAGGCACTGAAGAAGCACTGAGGAAGCCACTGAAAAAGCCACTAGGGGAAAAAAGCCTTGCATGTGAGCCAGGCGCTGTCTCGTGGCGCCGCCAAGGCTGGCGTTTTGTGACTTGGATCTTGCCACTGTTACTGAAAGCCATTGTTATTCCCGCGCCCGCCGACCACACAAAGATGACCAGGATTCATTGAATAAATGCATCCAAGTCTTGTATCGTATCCCACACGCCTACCGGGAGTTTTCTCTGCCATTGAACGAAACGCCTACCTACTGAGCCAAGTCTCCTAAATGCCATCAGCCGTGACAGAAAGACCAGGGGCGTCGGGAGCAGGCATGGCTGGTTGGCAGGCCAGGGTCTCGAGATCCAAACCAGGCCGATTACAGGGAACCTCGACCCCTGTTCTCCCAGCCCACATCATCTTCACACAGGGTTGGACTAGATCAGGTACCAACCATGGCGCAGGTCGTCATCTGGACCGACTGCGCACACAGTGATGAGATGCCTTGCCGTCAGCCTGCATTGCATAGCCTGAGACGGGCCTCGACATCTGGCCGGGCGGGCTCGTCCCTTTTTCCATTTCACCTTCAATCTCATTGACCAATTCCGGCCGTCATCCAGCATTCCGTAGCTCATTGGGCTGGGCGTTTGGCTCCTTGCCTCCAGAGACACGGCCACGCTATCGCGTCAGCTGTTCCCCCAGCTCGTCTCGATGGCCAAAATAGCACAATTCCTCGCTTCCAAGAATCTCCCGTGGCCGAGAAGCAAGCCACCCGTTAACAAACCCATGCAATAAAACCCCCGAGACTTGGCCCAAATTTTAAAGTTACCAGCATGAGACCGCATGGCCATGGAACCCTGGCTGTCGTCGTCGATTCGTGCATGGGAACACCGCATCCTTGTCGCCGACTTCGGCACTCCAGATTCCAGATTGTCAATCCAAACATTCACGCTGGGGGACCATGTCGATCTGCACAAGGTAATGGCACCGCCAATAAATGATTCGGATGGTTCCCTCAAGCATTTTCTTTAGATAATACTTGCCAAAAAGGTTAGTCGGTCTCTTATTAGTTGTTTTCTCTCGCAGCTCGAGTGGTTACTAACGGTTCGGGATTCGTAGTTTCCAGTGGACCAAAGAACAAAACCCGTGGAAATCAAAACACAGCCAACTTGGAAAGATTTCCCATGGACCGAAGGGGCCCCTTAACCTGTAGTTAGCCCTCCCTGCATTATTTATCTAGGTTTCTCAGGAGAAGATGTTTAAATTCACTTGCAATACTTGATCTTCATTCAAGTTGAAGAATCCCAAGCCAAGGGAATAAATTACCCTGTAACAAGGAAGAACCAGATCCACAGTCGAGCTCAAGTGTGGAGTCGTCAGCCGAGCCAATAAATAGAGACGTCCAGTTTTGATCAGCCACTAATAGCGGGAACTGAAATCGCGTCTTCGAGCCGTCCGGCGCTAGACAAGGATGCCCTGAATTCGACAGGCACATGGAGGACCTCGAGATGAGTGGCCATTTCATTCCAAGGGCAAGCTCACACAGGCAACTGGAAATGCTGAGAAATATGGCCAAGAGGAGTTGGGAGTGAACAAAGCGAATGCGTTGCATTTTGAGAATCGGGAATACCACTGCGACGTGATGAAGGAGATAATCGAGTCTCTGGAGAAGAAGCGCTCCCGTCTTGTCTTTTTGGATAGTGCCAGTTCGGATTGTTTTGTTTTGGTTTCCTCTGATGCTCTTGGCCTTCGGGCTTTTAGTTTTCGTCCTGGTGCTCGCTCTGAAGCCGTAATTAGGGCCTGTAAATTCTTCGGGAAAATGACAAAGGACTCAAAGACCTGGTCGTTAAGGGTCCCAGACCTCTGCAGCCAGACAATTCAAATGCTCTTCCCAGCGGCCGGATGCTGTCTCAATTCCACATGGCTGCTCTCGACTACGTAGTCGCAGATGAGCATGTCAAGTACCAAGAGCAGCGTACCAGCTGCGACGCAGGGATAGGTATACTCGGCGACGGGATTTCCATTCTTGAGTAACCCGACCGTGAGATATTTGGCGGCGATTCCGGAGTAGTCGAAGACGCCAACCTGAAGCATAAGACCGTATATGGCTACCACATATAACTCTCCCCACCAACTTGATGGTCAACGTTGAGGGTCAGGTTTGGTGTGTCGACATCAGCTCGAACTCGGCCACGACACGGATTCCCCTTGTCCTTCAGATGATGGCCTCGAGCCATGATGGGCCACTACACAGATGGCACCCACAGCACCCACAATCGCGGTGATTATGCCCAACGGTGCCATTGCCAGGATGATGCTGTCGGCCCAGCCCATGGATTGGCTCATGAATTGCATGGTGACGCTTTCTCCGAAGAGCGCTGGAAGCTGAGTACGATAAGATGCCAGAACTCGGGCTTCGCTGGACAAACTGGTGAAGACGTACGGTGCCAGGCCGGAGAACAAATTGTTGGCAAAGTCGCCTCCCGCATCAGCGGCCACGCAAATGACGAAGCAGACTCCAATGAGGAGCCGAAGTCGTTCGGCGGCCAACATGTTAGGACTGGAAGGTTGGAATGAATGGAATAAATCGTCGAGGATTTCGCCAATCACTTTCTCGTTCCTCTCCGGTATTGATTAATAGAGAGCTATGGTTGGCCCTAGCGACAGCTAAATATTCCGGAGAGCTATCAGACGTCTCCAGGGCTTTCCAGTTCAGGATATGGAACTCCACTAACTTACGTCCTGCTACGGGATGCCGGAAATGGTCCAGACAGCAAGATGGAAGATGGCGCTCTATACATTCTGTGACAAGGACGACCCCCAACCACCCTGGTGTGGGAGATGCAGAGCCAGCGAACCACTGTCTGCGTGGCACTCGCAGATTCGGCATGCGGGACGGCGGGTCACATCTGCATTGCACAATGGAAAGCAAACCGAAGTTGTGACGTGGCCATGCTTCAGCAGCTGAAGGTGCATATGAGTACGCAAGTCCTCGAGAAGGAGACAACATGTCCCCGCTACGGTATGATTAGAAGCTTGTAATTAGGTATCTGTCTGGGGTGTGCCCATATTCGCCCCGCCCTTAAGACTCGGGCAGGCTTATTGTGGCTGCAGCCGGTCAAGCAAGCCGCCAATAGTGTCCTCGACAAGGGACCCCATCAACATTAAAAACAGGAATAGATCGACGCTGCTTTCTCTTTCCCAAAGATAAGGATAAAGTAGATCCCCGAGTTTTGTTCCCCGCCTCGCTCGTTGTTTAATAAGCTACGCCTTTCAGTTTTCCTCATAGCTGGTTTACATATCCTAGCTCCTTTTTTGTACAGAGCCCTCAAGAGTCCAAAGGCTGACTGATCCAGAGACTCTGTCAACCACTTCGGCCTCAATAAACCCAAGATCCACCAGTTTCCAGGTGGTAATCAAAGTTGAAGGCCAACTGCTCCAAGTCATCGGTTACGCTCAAAAGCTTAACCAGATTCCCTGTCGGCGCGCAAGCTCCCATAGCTTCCCCCGCTCGTGTCTGACTTGATGCCCAACACTCTTCAATGGATCCCGAAATTTTGAACTGGCTCACGCCCGTCGACTATCAGGACGTGCAAGACGAGACTTTACAGCGGCAGCAGCCTGGGACCTCGCAGTGGCTCATCGACACAGCTAAGTACAAAACATGGCTTAACACTCCACGTTGCACCCTTGTTTGCTGGGGCTCGCCCGGGGTAGGAAAGACGGTCCTCGCATCCTTTGTTGTCGATCAACTGGCGCGGCGCCGCTCAACAAACAATTCGCGACTCGGCCTTGGCTTTATATTCTTTCGAATCAGTGACTCTGGAGATCAGCGAGCCGAGGGTCACTTTTTCTTAACATTGTTGAAGCAGTTGGCCCAGCACCAAACAATGACGCCTCAGGCGTTGCAAGATCTGTATGATACGCATCGCACCACTGGGCTGCGCCCTTCGGTCCCCGACATCTTGGCAGTCCTCCAGTCGGTGGCCAGGCTCTACGATAGAGTCTTTTTCGTTATCGACGCTCTTGACGAATGTCCCAACGACTCCCGAGAGGAGCTTCTGTCGGCTATGTCCGTGCTCCAGAGCGGCGTTGGAGTTAACTTCTTCGCTACGTCCCGGAGGGATGAGGATATCCCCCGCACTCATCCACCACGGTGGTAGCCTCGTTTTGTCGTTGGAGATGGGCGCGGGTCAGGACGATATCAGACGCTACATCGAACAACAAGTGGCCCAAATCCGAATTATTTCTGATGATAAGGCATTGCAGCTTGCCATCGTCAAGAAAGTCACTGAACGCGCGGGTGCCTCGAACTTGCAGATTCCTGTACTCAAAGCTTGCTCTTGACTCGCTCCGTGCGCAATCTACCATAGAGGACATAAACCAGACGCTAATCGACCTGCAGAGAGAAAGCCCCAAAGCCGGCACCGAAAACCTGAAGGCTGTTTACGGCCAAATGATGGACCAGGTTCAAGGCCAGCCAAAAGGTCTCAGGGATTTGGCAGTCCAGTGTTTCCTGTGGTTGACATTCGCGAAAAGGCCTCTTGCTGTGTCAGAACTCATCCAGGCCGTGACTGTCCAGGTTGGAGACGCCCAACTTCTGCACGACACGCTCCTGCTAGCCCAAGACTTATCATCAGCTTGCCGTGGATTTATCACCATCGATGGTGAAGATTGTCGCTTCATCCACGCTTCAGCAAAGGAATACATCGCCGACTCCCTGATAACAATGTTCCCGGATTCGCAACACCAGCTTCGGATCGCCGATGTCTGTGCTACGTACCTCTCATTCGCCAAATTCAATGACAGCCCATGTCCAACGCCTGCCGGGTTTGAGGCCCGCTGCAACACATACCGACTTTACGAGTACGCTGCAACCCAATGGGGCCACCACGCTCGAGAGGCCTCGGTTTCCAGTGAACCAATGATGGATTTTCTCCAGAACACAGGAAATGTCAACGCAAGCATCCAAGCTCTTCTCCAACCAAGCCCAAGAGAAGCGTCAGGACTACACTTGGCAGCACACTTTGGCCTAAGTCACGTCATAGACGCCATCCTCGCTGCCGGAATCCACCCCAATTGCATTGACAGCAACGGTCATACGCCGCTCTGGTGGGCAGTACGGGAAGATCGAGTCTCAGCCGTGAAGAGCTCGCTGGTACGACTGGACAGTATTACCTTACATGCAATGGTCAAACGGGGCGAACATTACGAAGTGGAACTCATTCTAGATGCGGGTTATGACGTCAATAAACTCGACTATCGGAAGAGAACAGCACTTCACGAGGCGGTTCTATCTTTCAATCCGCTATTAGTAGATACTCTCATCCGGAATGGGGTGAATATTGACGCCGAAGATATGGACGGGGAAACTGCCTTGAGGATAGCCGTCTTACACAAGATGGAAGACTTTGTTCGCATACTTCTCAAAGCGTCAGCGAACGGAAAGGATATCCTACCTTTGGAATGGCAAAGGGCTTTTCGAAAAGGCGATTCGATTCCGGTTCCTTTGGAGCTAGCAGCCACGGATGGGGCTGGGCTCTCCATCAGCTTCCCGTCTCCAGAGCCCAACCCATGGAAACAATCTGACTCCGTGTATAAGAGAAGTCTCATGTGAGTGTTGCTGATGACATCCGACTTCCCAAAGTATCAATATCTCAGCTAAGCGGTGACCGACCAGTCAACTCCCTAACACATGGCCCACCGAAGGCCTTGGCACCACTTTGATACTTGACTCGGGCCAATTTCTATTTCTCACAAACCACAGTGCTATGAGCAATGAGCACTATGTCTACTCCGCTCACGCGCATTTTAAATCTACAATCAACAAAGATATTCGCATACGGTGGAATGTAGTTCGTCGCCCAGATTCTGGCAGCGGTCATTGGAAGTCAATCCAGCATTTTAGCACACTCTCTCAGGTCTGGGTTCCAAACAACGGCATCGAGCTCTTTCATCGCCTAGTGATAGAAGTTGAAAAAGAATTGGTGTCGCTATGCGAATCGAACGAGGCCGATTTGAACGAGTCGGTATGTCATGCTCTGTTTCCATCCACTCCCACCCTCAGGTACTACTGCTCTAGTATCTAATGTCTTCTTTCCACCTCAAGCGCGGCGATATTCTGGAAAAAAAGGGGGAAGACGAAGGCCTATCTGGTAGGCTACTGAAGCAGGGAATGGATTGGATCAATCTTCGGAGTGCAGTACGCGAAATGGCCTACAACTCGCGAAATTTTGCACACGAGTATCACAAACGTCACCAAGAAACAGACTCGATTAAAGATCTACTCGATGCCATCGACAACTTGTCGGACGGTATCAGCAAGCAAATAAGCCGGCTGGACGAGATCTCCAAGGACCTGATTCAAATGGTCAGAGCCCTGGTCACCGAGACTCACATATACTATTTTGAATGCATTACTAACATGACTTGGGCTGCTTCTAGGAATTCAACTTGGTATCCATCAATGAGGCTCGGAAGTCGACAAGCCTGTCGACAAGCATGAAGCGCCTGAGTTGGATTACGGTAATGATTCACCCGGCAACCTTAGATACCTTACTCAAGGGCCCCCCTCCAAACCACTGTTCGTACGTAGACTGCTAACGACTCGTCAGTTCACCTTTCTCCCCCTTACTTTCATATCTGTAAGAACCCTGAAACTCCCTCGGCCTATGGTGGCAGGGGCAAGCATTGATCATGTTTTGCCATATCACAGGGCCTCTTCGGTATGAATGTCGATATTCTCGAATCCAACCCATACTGGTGGTGGTATGTTCCTCTGCTCCAGTTCCAAGGCTCACAGATTCGCTTAGGCCAAGTCGTTAATTGCAAGCAACACAGGTACATTCCATTTGCCGTCGGCACAATGCTCATCACAGCCACTGTGTGGATAATCTTCAAATTGAACCCTCATGTAGGTTTTTCTGAACTTGATCAGCCTTTCCGAAAAGACAACACGCTGATGATACATGAAACGCTACAGCTGGAGGATAAAATTGAAAAGGAGTTCCGTAGGCTAATATGTGGGGAACGGCCGCGAGTGAGAAGATGAGCCGGCCGGATTCATCGGAGGATTGGCAGGGAAGAAGTTAACGGTGATGGGGGTAGGGTGACTCCGACTCTCGAACGCTACCAGGTAGTATTTATAGCGTCCAACTATTAGTATATTACCTATATAGGTTGGCAGAAGTGCTGTTAGTTGGATACCTATGTCTAGGTCAAAGAATAGCCATCTCCTTTAGCAAAAGATACGGATCAAGAAACTTCTCGCTCTATTTCAACCAGATCTGTATAGTTTAAGGTAGTTACGGCTCGCCATTGTCACACTTGTACACCCCGTTGGGAGTGAACAATTAATGGCCTGAGCCCTGAATCTTGGAACCATTCAAGAGAAATAGAACCCTTCTAAATTTTAAACGACCCTCTGGCCACGGCAATGACATCACCATCATGTGGTCTCTTAGAAACCAGTCGCGTCGCCTTATGGCTTTTCTCGCGCAAAGCCGATCAGTTCCCCAATATGCGACTCTTTGGTGATACACCAATCACAGACCGAGATTTAGATCCATTATTGAGACAGGCCAGGTTGATAGCAGCATCAGCCGAGCACCAACCGAGCATCAACCGCAACAATAACCACGCATCAACAGAAGATTTACAACTGTGGCATTTAAATTGCTCTGGCCTTGCAATGTACCATGGAACAAATCAATAGACTCTATCGATAGCGTGTTTTAGATGTCGGACATAATGCCCAAGTGAATTTACCTGATCCTTGGCCATCTTACGCTAGTCTGGATCTGGATAATCGCGATTGTTGGCGGAGCGACCATTTCAAAACAATCAACGCCGCGCTCCGAGATTCTTCCGCTCTATCGTCGTCATCATCACAGCTTCACCATTTCAGCGCTGACACTGACCACCACGTCCATACCGCAGTCTTCCTATGGGGAGCCTTCCGCTCCTCTCTTTCTAGCTTCCTCTCCTCTTCTTCTAGTTCGGAATGTATGCGACTGAATCCGACGTCGCTCGCTGGCTCTTGTCTATCCCTGACCTGCAGAACCATCCCATCCCTCGTGTCTCGGAGCCAGATAAAGACGAAAAGGACTACGGTCCGCCGCGAAAGCGACAGAAGTTATCAAAACCGCAACGTGGAATGCCTTCTCCGACGATTTCAGATTCCTCGTCTCGGAAGAGACGATTCGACGACCTGGACGACCATCATGCCTCTTCAGCGGAATCGGACAGGCCGTTGGACGACGCCACACCGCGTCCCGGACGATTTCTACAATCTCAACAAATACTGCAAACTCAGCCGCTCGGATGGATCCCTTATTCGGTTGAGCGAGGGCGAGGCACGCCTTCGGTCACATCAAGGGCATCTAGCCACTCAGTCGCAACTTCGAGTCGATCAGGTCGGTCGAAACAAGACTCGGCGTCCAACAGGTCATCTCCTTCGAAGCAGTTGCGCAATGCCGAGATGAACGATACTGGATTTACCGTGGGGAGTTTTGTTCTGGAACCTCAGCCCGAATCTCTCCGGAAACTTCGAATCGAGCTGCGGGACTTTGGTGCTGGGTACGGCGTCTGCCCAGCTTCAATGAAGGATGAGGTATGTTGCATTATAATCAGCTTCTTGATGTCCTTGGTTTTGCTAACGGCGATGATCCTCAGATGCTGGCAAAAGATCCCGAGCTCCCCCGATATGCGTTTGATAACACCGAAGCCCCATGCCCCTCGGCGAGTACCATGCCACCTTTCGACTGGGTCGAGGACCTTGTGAGGAGGGCCAACAAATGTCGAATCGACCGAGAGTGCGAGGCTTCCTGGAACGGAGACGTCCACGCTCCAATCCTGGAGCAAGTCTTCCGGGCTGGCCGGTTCTCGAGCATCGACATGGTCGACTTCCGGTGGTGTCCTACAGCCCAGATTCTACAAAGCTTTAGGCCTCAAAAGGCACCCACCAAGATGGTCGACTTTTGCGTCTTTGTTTGCCCTGGCGAGGGTACCTCCGAGGAGAGCGCAATCAAAAACCTCTGTCAAAATAGGCCAGGGCAATCGATAAATCACACCGACCTCGGTAACTTTTGCAAGCATCCCATTGTGCTGTCTATTGAAACTAAGCGTCCTGGGGAGCACGGGGATAACGCCACGCTGCAGATAGGGACTTGGCACTCGGCCCAGTGGCGCAGCTTGCGGTACGAACAAAACCGATCTTCCCGGTCTATTGAGTTCCTGCCTGGCATCATCATTCAGGGTCATGAATGGAGGTTTGTCGCTAGCGTCCTAGATGTGAGCGGCAAGTGCCAGCTCTTAGAAGCCGTTGCGCTAGGCAACACGGGGTCAACACTGGGGGTGTATTCGTTGATGGCCTCGTTGCAACGCTTAAGGCGGTGGATTAAGGAGGAGTACTGGCAAGCCTTTGTTTCGGATATTTTGATCTAGGTTGTGGTTATATATGAATCATGAGTTATGAATAATGAAATAGACTACTGTATTCTTCATCTATCATCTCCCCTCTTCGCCTGAATCTCACTCCCACTCTTAGCCATGTCTCTTGAGCAGCCAGACCTCGAGTCCCAACATTACCCGTTGGCATTGTGGGGCAAGCCGCCTACCAACCTCGTCCCGAGGTTGGTCCGGAAACCCTGTGTCAGCCGGGAAACTATGTGTCACTAAATCCTGCCTGACCTTCATCAACCGCAGCCCAAAATCACACCAAATTTTCGTCTTTTCAGATCTACCACGCGCAACCACAAGATGCCTCGCAGACGCGGCATTCCTATAGTAAAACAGCCTCTGAGGAACCCGTCAGATAAAGATCGGGCCGATCTGACACGACGGGTGCTCGCTGCACTCAATCCAAATACGCCGTATAACACACGAAGTGCCGCCAAAGCTGCTGCATCACCACCCTCATTGCGCGCTGTTGCAGACCAAATTGACGAGAATAGAGAGGCCGTTAGACGTGCTGCTAAGAGGTCATCATCATCTTATGTTCCTCCGAAGCCTCCCGGCCGTCCGCCGCTTCTGACAGCCTCTGAAGAATCCGCCCTGGTTGCGTACATCATCTGGTGGGAAAGATCCGGCTTTGCAGCAGAAAAGTCACAAATTGAAGAGACTGCATTACAATTCCTGCATTCTAGAGGCATCGAGAAAGATCATATGTCAAAGTCCTGGTACTCAGACTTCCGTGGTCGTCATCTCGAGCTCAGGAAGTCATTCCTCAAGGGCATAGATAAGGCACGCAAAGCATTTGAAGTTTCTGACGTCAAAGACATCAAGAAGTTCTTCTCCAACCTTCAGGAAGTTATCTGTGACCACGATATCGGTCCTTCAGAGTGTTGGAATGAAGACGAGTGCGGTATTCGCATCGGATGCCTTCGAGAACGGATCCAAGTCCTCGTGGTCCGCACCACGCGGTCACAACGCTATGAAGTTGTTGATCCCTCGAACCGTGAGTCTTGCACACAACTTGGGTGTGCTAATGCGGTTGGGGATAGTATCCCTCCTTGGCTGATCTTCAAGGCGTTAGCAACAACGTCTTGGGCCAACATAGATGCTATCCCAGGGATGAGGATCGCACAGTCAGATACCGGCTTCAGCAACCAACATATCACGTTCGAATGGCTTCATCACTTCAATGCGTTTTCCTGGCTTGCTTCTACAAAGGCTAAGCAGAAAGGAGTAACTCTCACAGAGTGGTTCGGCTGCGATGAATGGCTTCGAGATGCCTCATCGCCACACATCACATTGACAGCGCCTCCCGCTATTCGTAATGATGAGGATAGAATCTACCGACTTCTCGTAATCGACGGCTTCTCCGGCCACCTAGGCTTCGATGCTATTCAGTATTGCATTCAATTTGATATCATCATTTGCGTGTTGCCGTCACACTCAACACACCTCACGCAGCCGCTTGATGTTGGTGTTTTTCAGCCGATGAAGAACTCACATCAGAAGGAACTTAGGAAGTCTATTCGGGAAGGCAACATAACGTTTTCCCGCGAAGACTTCGCCTCTGCATTCTCAAGGATCTATAAAGACGGCTTCAAGAGACATAACATCATGTCAGGGTTCGAAAAAGCCGGTATTTGGCCCACATCTTCGAAGCCCGTGATCAACCGCATCCTCGCCAAGCACCGCAGAGAGCGAAATGCGATCCATCCGTCTGTTCTTAAGATGTTGCCTTCAGAGACTCGATTTCAGGATGCTCAAGACCAGATAGAGCGGATCTACAGGCGGTACCAGGAGGTCATGAGCTCCCCAACCCTTAAAGCTATCGCCAACATCCGCGACGTTGTGACTGAGGCGGGACTGCTGCATCGAGAACGTGAGGCCGTTGCCTCACACCGGCTTAATCGTATCGAGAAATACGGGAAAAGAAGGAGGTCCGGCCAGCGCGTACGGCCAAGTGGTGACTTCGTCACAAGTGTTGGATTTCCTGAGATTCGGGCTCAACATGAAGCAGCTATGGCAGCAGCAGAGGCCAAGGAACAGCGTTCTCAACTGCGGTCAGGCAGATCTATCATTCTTCAGGAGATAAGGGCTCTCAAGGCTGCTTGGCGGCAGGAAATTCAGTCCCGGGGAGTCAGTTATCTGCCGAGACTAACTTGGAACCAGTGGCTCGAAGAGACCGGCCACCTCGACCGATACAAAGACCTCGAAGCAAATCGAAAGCATCATAATGACTCCCTTAGCCAGCGGCCAAAGAAGTCACTTTCTGAAGCCCAAGAACAAGCCCGCCGTGCCGCAAGACCGATTATCGCGATGGATCAGAGTGCCTGGCCTGATGATGATGATGACGTCGAATTCACCCTCACAGGACCGCTCCAAGAAGAGGAAGACGATGAAGATGATGAAGTCAATCTCATAGGGTTCAGTGACCTAGGCGGCGAGGAAATTCCTGATCTTACAACGCCTCCAGGGATAACATCATCGCCGCCCCCTAGTGCCTTGGATCTAGTCGATGACGCCGATGACGATAACATCACAACACCACAACTTCCCGACCTAATGCCAACAGTACGCAGATACGATAACATCAAGAAGATGCTGAAGGAATTTCGTGACGATCAGGCTACTAGGAAGGCGGAGACAACACATCGTCAACAGGATCCTGATCGGCAGCCAGAATCAGGCCCTAGGAAAAGGCGGCGCAATTGAGGCCGAAAATGTGATTTCCGCTATTTTCTGTCAATTCGTGTGTTTTCAGCTATTTCGTAGCTTTCCAACGAGCCTAGTTACGGCTTATTTCCTTTTTAAATGACTCTGTCATAAAGTCTGAAAGATAAAGATCCTGAAATTGATGATTTTACAGCTTGAAGGCAGCAGCTTACGTTGACACACATTTTCCCGGCTGACACAGGGTTTCCGGACCAACCTCGGGACGAGGTTGGTAGGCGGCTTGCCCCACAATGCCAACGGGTAGTAGCTTTATTGGAGAACTCCAAAAATACCTGGGCCATCTCTGTGGGGGTTGTTCATAATTTAGGGGTCCCGTGTAAGAAGTTTCTTGTCTCTCAACCGACGAAGAAGAATGCCAGACTGGTTGAGGTAATGTTACGTCTTATCCAGAAGCGGCTCGAAGTTGCGAACTACGAGCTGGCATCGTACACGAGTGATAAGCCAATTTCACAAGAGATTCCGAATGCGAAACAGTCCTTCCCTCTCCCTTCTTCTGATACTGTAAGTCAGAATTACGAACCCTTGAAGATTAAGAGTGTAGAAATAAGATGTATTGCGTAGTTTATCGACAGTACGATAAGGAATACCCAGGGACTCTGAAGTTTACAGATTGGGTTTAGTCGATAAGACCCGGCTTGAAAATGCCTGAAGGAGCAGAAGGACACCTAAGGTATGATATACTCGATGGAGCTGGGCGCCAACAAATAGTGCCTTGATCGGCCACGTCCCACCTCTCCACAAGTACTTGGTAGGGAGTGACTGGACTATGAGATTTGTCTCGTGAAAGGGTGAAATCTCCGAGTGCATTACACACGCTGAAGCCTTGAAGCTGCCCTGCTTGTAACTTCCGCCTCAGACTCTTAGTTCGAGCGATAAAGAACATGACTATTCGCTAATGTTGGCAGGCAAGCTGCCGTTAAAAAAGCCATGCAGCTGACTCCTGCAATTGCTCACGCCTTTCACCGGATTGTTCCAAAGGAGGTGATGTTATCTACGACATGCATCTGCCCCGAAGAATCCTTGCTGGCATAAGTGTGATTATTGTCTATTGAGATGAAGAGATTTGTGGGTAGGAATCTCATCTTTACCGTCCTAAGCGATGGTTGGAAGTAAGGGAGGAGTAACTTAAGTTGATAGAAATAACGTATTTTACCGTTAGTGTCTTAGCTGATCTGATATGGGAAATAATAGGGAAGAGCATGGGTGGATTCACTTGATTATTTCCTCTCTTCTTCTCGCTGGCCGAGTTGCTAACTCTCTTAATTTTCATCCCGTTCAGTCATGGTTCACGAGTCTGTATAGGTAAGACTATCGACCCGATACGCCTGTAAAGTTGCGGAGATGGAAATCTAATTCAGTTACAGGCAAGAGCATTGGCCTTACTGAAGCAAGTAAGTTTGTCCCTCGCATTCTGTAGAGGTTTGATATTGAGTGGGCGTCTGACAAGCCGGAATGGGATATACAGATGCTTTGGTTTACTGCCCAGACTGGAGTAGTGATTCGTTTGACTCTTCGCTCTGTTGCCGAGATTAAGGAGTAGCCTGGAGCAAGTCAAAGCAAGGCTCTCTATTTCGTCCAGTTATTTGTCACAAGTCTGGGATGTTGCCCGGAAGAACCGGAAATGGCTGAGAGTGGTTGAGAAAGTCAAATTCCTGCCTAGGGCTGTAAATACCCATGGGTACCCACGGGCTGGGTACTCATTCTAAGCTTGTGGGTACCCATAGGAAAAGAATATCGCTAATAGGTGCCCCCTGGTCTATTTACTCAAATTTTGCTTGGGTGCCCATGGGGCCCTGTGGGCTGGGTAATTTATGCCCTATTCCTGCCGATGGACCCGAAACTCCGCAGCTAGTCCTGCAACATACCAATGTGCTCTCTTGCCATTAAAGGATATGTCACTATAGAAAGCTGAAAGTTCGCCCAAGTGAACGCTCGTTCGGCAAATGAGCTTGGTAATGAGTGTAGTTACGCAAATCATTCCAAGTTTAGGTCCCGACGTCAAGGTTCCCATAAGAATGCCCAGCGTCGAGGCCCTGCTTCATCGAAACCCGTTCAAAACCAGTCATCATAACTCCCTGGGTTTCAAGATGGAAAAAAAAATATTCGCAAGTCACACATCCTTGTGGATCATCCACTTTCGATACATGGCTCTCAAGGACCCTCTCATAACCCCGCCGTTGCATGTTGGCCAAGCAGGACAGACCACAATGAAATAATACAACCGATCCAGTACCTCAAACTCAAAGGAAGACCTACAACCAAAGATCTTGGCCCTTTGGGAGTGATTATAAATCGAAGCTGACTAATTCCTACATGATAGCGTCATTCCGGAGCGGGGTGCATTTAAAGGTGAGCCACGAATATCTCCCTGTTCAAATCCTCAAGACCAGCAAGCATGGCGCAGACTCAAGGAATCCTAGATCTTGGCCAAAGCCTCATCCAGAAAGGCCCTCGAAAAACTCTGCCAGCATCTCGTCGGGTGCGGGCCATCCACAACCACAGTGTCATTGTCGATACTACCGACGCCGTCTATGTCTGGGAACACGATTACTACCCTACACTCTACGTCCCACAGAAAGATGTCGAAAATTGCGAGATAAACGACAAGGAGAAGATACCTAGTGACGGCAAGGCCAAGGCGACGTTGGCTGAACTCGTCGTTCTTCCACATGATGGCCTCGATGGGGTGAAGATTGAAGGAGTGCTTCGTTTTAGCGACGACGATGGTCTTGGGGCGCTGGCGGGCACCCTGAGGATTCAATTTGGAAGCATCGGTACGTTCTAAGCCGAGGGAGTATCGTTTGGAATACTTACACCAGTTGAGACCAATGGCTCGAGGAGGATGCCCCGATCTACATTCACCCAAAAGACCCTTTCAAACGGGTTGACATCCTTCCATCGCAGCGTCGCGTCCAAATTCAGGTCAACGGCAAGATCGTCGCCGATGCAGCGTCATCGATGCACTTGTTCGAGACAGGGTTGCCGACACGGTATTACTTACCGCTCGCTTCTGTCGATCAGAGCGTTCTTCGTCAGAGCGATCTCAAGACGAGGTGTCCATATAAGGGCGAAGCCGAGTACTACCATGTGGTCGTCGATGGTAAAGAGGTCAAGGACATAGTGTGGTACTACCGGCTTCCCACGCACGAAAGCGCAGCTATTGCAGGGTTGGTGTGCTTTTACAACGAGAAAGTGGATGTCATTTTGGATGGCGAACTGCAGACACAGCCACGCAGCAAGTTTGCTTAAAGTTGTTGTGATTGTATTGATAATGTGTTTCAGAAGACGAGATGCTCTCGGTGAGACTTCGATTGGCTTTTGTTGGCTGCGAGGTTTAGGGTAGGCTATCATTCCCTCCCCCTTGTAATTCAGATTGGCCTCAACAATTGGCATAAACATAGTAAACAAATTGGAGAATTGTCCTATTCCTGCGTGGACCCACTCGGAGGTTTGGATGCCGGTGATCTCCGCTCCGTGACATCACTGGGGCGGCCCCTTTGATGGTTCTGATCCACGGCATGGATGGGCTTGGCCTTAATCAGACGTTGCAAATGATCTTGTTTGCCACTGAACTAGCGTGTTCCGGGGGGAAGTCGACGCAGACATTGGGCAGAACTGGGGTTTTGCTGATTCATTCGGCCTTACCAGCTCGCATTTGCCTTGCCAGCTCACATTTACCCAAGTCCCCAGCTTCATCCCAGCTTTATGGAGCACCCACAATCCCGCCACCCATGAGAAAAAACCAGTTGCCGGACCCAAGGCCCACAAGGTCTCACTCGCCAATCTCCCATTCGAGCTTAGTACGCGGGTTTAGCGGCAATCAATCCTCGTATTGTCGAGTCGAGATGCGTCCAAATACGGGATTTGTGGGAGCACACTCCACCACGTGGTGGCTTTAACCCCTATCAGGAATTTACCCCCTATTAGGGATCTAATAATAGCGGTAGCGCCTTGCCTCAGGCACTGTAATCTCCACCACGTACTTAAGGGAGTGGACTGCTCCCTCCAAACAATTCTTTCTCGATGAGCTTCTGAGCTGCAAACTGTCACGCGATCAGATCAGATATTCGACAGGTTTCCTTCATCATGAAGCTTCTCAACTCGTTCACCACGCTGGCCGCCGCCGTGCTGCTCCTGCCAGGAGCCATGGCCGGCACTTACAAGGGCTTCAGCATGGGAGCCAACAAGGCCAACGGAGCCTGCAAGGGACAGGCGGATTGGAAGACGGACTTCCAGACCATCAAGGGCTGGGGCAAGGGATTCAACGCCGTCCGCCTCTACGCCGCCAGCGACTGCAACAGTAAGCTCCAGAATATCCCGAACGTCCCGCAAAGTAAACATCGAGGCTGACACGTCGGCCACAGCGCTCGCCAATGCTGTCCCAGCTGCCAAGGCTGTCGGCATCAAGCTCCTCGTTGGCGTCTGGGCTACCGACGACGCTCACTTCGGCGCTGAGAAGGCTGCTCTCCTCAAGGCGATCAAGACCTACGGCACCGCCTGGATCGCCGCCATCAGCGTTGGCTCCGAGGATCTCTACCGCAAGGACATTACGCCCCAGAAGCTTGCCACTCAGATCTACGACGTCCGCGGCATGGTCAGACAGTACAACAAGAACCTCAAGGTGAGTGAATGCCTCGGTCCGCCGCGCATGCTTTGTCTAACCACTGACAGGTCGGCCACACCGATACGTGGACTGCTTGGGTCGACGGCACCAACGACGTCGTCACCAAGGCCTGCGACATCGCCATCACCAACGGATTCCCCTACTGGCAGGGCGTCAAGAGCCAGGACGCCATCTCCAAAAAGACGTTCCAGAACTCCTTCTGGGCCGTCCAGAAGCACGTCAAGGCCGTCAACTCGAAAGCCGCCGTCTGGGTCGGAGAGACCGGCTGGCCCACCGCTGGTGCCAACTTCCAGGGCTCATTGCCGGGGACGAAGAGCCTCAAGAACTACTACACTAGCGTTGCTTGCTGGCTGTGGGCCAAGCCCGACACCAGCGGCTTCTGGTTCACGGCATTCGACGCCCCCACGGCCAGTCCCGAGGTCGAGAAGCACTTCGGAGTTGCTGACTCGAATCGCAAGCTCAAGTTCACCTTGCCTTGTTAAACGACTGGTTTACACGAACACGGGATTTACGGCGCCTAAACTTTTTATTTCATTGGGATGGGTTTAATATACAGGGATAATTACTACATCTTCAGTACATAATTTAGAATCTACCAGAAATAAACTTCAGGTACTGCACTCTAAGATTCAAGGCAAAGGGCTCCAATCGCATATCTACTTGCGGAATTCGAGATGGAATTCCCAAGTTCGTACTTTGATAATTTGTGACACTCCCAGTGGTGCTTTGTTACAGGCGGTCAGGTTTCGCTATCTACTGAAGGAGGTTTTATTTTGCACCCGTGGCTGGTACGGTCCACCATTCTGCAATCTTGACTCGATGATCATGAGTGTTTGTCGACTCTATCATGTGGAATGAATAGGCTGACTGCGGCCGTTGACGGCTCATAGAATAAAGGAGCTAAATTAACACTAATGCATTGTTACATATCCAACAAAAGAAACTGCAGGTGTAATGCTTGGTGCGTAGTTCCATACGGAATACAAGGAATTACCTCTAGTAGAGACCGTTTACTCTGAGTCCGAGTCGCTCGACGAGTCGCTCGACTCCTCCTCCTGTGAGCTGAAATATCCTTTCTCTTGTCGCAACCTGAACTCGTCAATCACGGCTATCTTCTTCTGTTCCAAGGCCGTCAAGTCAATATCGTTGTGCCAGCCATCAACGTCGTCCGGGACGTCCAGCATCAAGTGTGCTGAGTCTTTGATCGGGCAGCTCGGCAATGCGTCCGTGACGAGCACCTTGATGACGAGCGGCATCTCTATTACCAGCGCCGAGAGCTCCTCGATTATCTCGTCGCCCTTAGCTGCGTCTTTGTCTGGCCCTCCCAAGCGTGAGAACGAGTCGAGAATCACAAAGACAACGTCGTTCTCGGGGAGTGCCTCGAGAAGTTTCCGGAACAGCTCCTTGGCGTACTTTGATCTGCCTCTTGACTTTTTCATAAGGGTTTTGTTCTTGAGAAATGATAGGTCGGAGGTTGGCCGCTTTTTCATTATGAATTTCAGCAGCTGACCGTTGAAACTTTTGAGGATCGCCTTCGGGCCTGAATCGGCATTGGTCCGAGAGTCGTTCCTACGCAGGCCGCAGAAGAATGACAACACAGCGTAGTTGGTCGTCTTCTCGATTGTGAAGGCCAACGTAGCGGCGGTGAAGCTCAGAGCGTTGACGAGTTCAATTGGTGCCGTCTCAGCTCGCACATTGAGCATCCGAGACTCGGTCAGCTTGAGCCAGTCGTTGATCACGTCCGAGGCCATGATCCATTGTACTCTGTCTCTTTCTTCCAAAGTCAGGTTCGATATCCCAGACATACACTCCGAAATCTGATTTTCTGGCATGGGGTCGAAGTTGTCAAGGCCCGAGAGCCAGGTCTTGATCAGCTTCTCCATTGTCTCAATCGATATTATGCTGCCTGTCCGCTTGGGTGCGGTGATGGCCATCGACGACCGGCGGGTCACTGTCATAATCTGTTAGCTCTAGCCCATCTATATGGCAGTGGAGCAATATTACTTGTCCCTGTCTTTGGGTCGAAGTTTGGATTGCTGGCGAATAATGAGTAGGCAGCGTCCAACACTCTGCATGTAATCTCCTCTATGCTTTTTTCTGCAAGTTGCGGGTCCTTTACATTGTCTCCTTGTTGTCATGATCAGCTACAAGGTTCGATCACTGCGGCGTCGGGGATTCCAAGCTTACCATTCAGCAATTCCGCGAGACATTTTTCAATACGAGAATTGCCTGCTTCGATACGGTAATTGCTTTCTTCCATTCTGCCTAGTCTGTACTGTGTGCAGATGTCAACTTCAACTTGGAACTGCTTGGCCTTCTCCCTCATGGTGTCGACTGCCTCTTGGATGTCACCGCCTTTGTCCTTGTTCCTCTTAATCTTTTCTGTGACGAGTTAGAAGTCACCCATCGCCTTCTGTCCCGTGAGAAGGAAAGCAACCTACCTCTCCAGCTACAAGAAACCTTTTCGATTATTCGCTCCAGCACAACGAAGACGGAAAGAAACAGCTCGTCGGCAAGCTGGTGAAGTTCTGGTGACCTTCTGTGAACTTTTGACAGCCTCTGCACTTCGCACAACTTCCCAGGAATGTCAGCCAGGGCTGCCTGCATTTCTAGACGCTGGGCTTCATGGCTCTCAACAGCCTGAAGCCGACAGTTTGGTTAGTGACTTTCCTAGGGACATGGAATTTGAAGACGACTTACGACAAGAATAAGCGAAAATCCACCGGAGATAATCGAGCCGTAAGCATCAGTTGGGACCATACTGAGCAAGGCCGTGATGGTGTTCTTGTGCTTGTTGGCGCCTCTGTAGCACTTCCGGATGAAATCCTTGACCGTTCGTGTGTTCTCCGACCCTTCCTTATGCTCTTGGACCAGTTCCGCAATATGAAGCACGTAGGCGAGATCATAGTCGGCTGGGTCTCTGCATTCGATCTTCAAGTCTTTGAAAATCTTTCGCTCCTGTAAGGTCTTGGTGAACCTCTTGAGCGTCTCCTGGAATTTTTCCATCATCTTTGTCGATTTCTCGTAATATTTGGCCTCGCTGCACTTGGATTAGCGAAGTCGTCGAAAGATATAGATAAATGGTCGCACCTTTGAGCCTCACCATCCGGTCTGAAGCGATCCAAAGGGCTCACGAACTTCGGGGACGCCATGGTAATCCCAGTCGCTTCTTCTTCGCCATCGTCGCCATCGCCAATGTCAGTTATGCGGTTGCTAGAAGGCTGCCCATCGACTGCCTCGACAAGCGTCCCGGTGGCCCGACGACAAATCTCACGTCCAGCCTTCACCTCGACGAACTCGGCAGCAATATTGCTGAGGACTCGTGCAGGCCGTAAAGCTACACCAACCGGTCGCTCCGGCGATGGGACGATAGCTGGCGCCATTTGTCGGGAATTCATTACAAGAGCGATGGGCCGGTCTCCAAGACTCTTGTGGCTAAGATAAGGCGCTCGGGGGGTTGGAATTAGAAATCCGCCGAGGACAGATTGCGTGAAATCCAGTTGACGCTGTGCAACAAGGATCCTGGCAGTCACATATGCACTTCTCGTCGATTCAGGCCAATGGAGTGATAATCCAGCACTCTTGGCCTTGGCTGTCTTTCAGCTCGCTAAATCATGCGTCTCGAGCTCCTGGTAAGCGAATCAGATGCTCCAGACTTGCTTTTGAGGCCACTGGCCCCCAAGCGACTGCTTGCGCGAGGCAGCCGAAATGTGATCCGACTGGTTCGCCCGGTGGCCTTTTCTGGGTAGTCAGAGAAGGTAGAAACGGCTTCCCGCGTCTCTCCCACCATCCCAGTTAATACCGCAGCACTTCTCAATTGCTCAGTTTTATGGAAAGGAAGACACAAGCGTTTTCTTCTCTCTTGCCAAATCTTTCTATCTTCCATCCCACCAATTCGCGGTTCTTAGAGCCGAACACCTTCGAAGTACTATCATTGAACAAAATTGGAATCGAGCTGATCTCCAGTCGACCAGAACCGCCTCACCAGAACCCCCTCGCGAAGGCTTCTGTGCGCGAGATGGCGACAGCACTCGGAGAACCTCCAATCGTAGAGGTAGACACGATTGGAAATGCGACCCGAACATCCCTCCAACGGGATGATACGACAGACGCTCCACCTCCAGTCGAGACGTTGGGCGTGGTCTGCGACGTGAATGGTCAGAACCACGTCAACGGTCAAGAAGAAACACTTGCTGAGACGGCCGATATGGCGGCTCAAGAAGCTCCCATTGATGGACTTGGCCATGGCGATAAGGATAGGACTCCAACGAGTAAACCGCGCGAGAGCAACAACGATGCGGATGAAGAATCGGAAGAGGATGGCGAGTCTGGCGACGACAGGTACGGCGAATTCGCTAAGCTTAGGGCATCACGAATCAACACCGACACTTTATACAAGATGTATCTCAGAAGGCTCAAGCACCAGCAGAGGTCGGAGCGCAGCGGCCGGCAGACCAAGGAGAACAAGGCCCCAAAGATGGTCCGAGGCATCGTTGACTATGTCAGAACACTGGAAGATCGAATTCAGAAATTGGAGTCGAGTAAAGTTAAGAGGGTGCAGAAGCAGAAAGAAAAAGAGAGACAACAGACGGACGAGGAGACTGGAGTTGAGAGGTCGGCACCGTCGGATCCAGTCAACGAGCGGAGAGAGGTCGTGGCTGAGATCAAGTTATTTCACGTCGACGGAGAGTTTGACTCGTACGGCAACTGGAAAAACAACAGGCACGAAGAAGGATCATACCAATGCCTCCTCGACACCAATAGCTTGATTCGAGCTCTCTATAGCTGGACTGAAGGCGTGCCCCCACCTCGCATCCACCAAGAACCTCTAGATCCTGAGCACGCAGACATCCTGGTCTTTGGAATAATGTCGAAGCCAGTCGCGAGCTTTTTCCGTGATCGGCTCGGCCTTGGGGATAAGACTACATCGCTCTCCGTTCGGATTGGAAAGCCGTTCAGGCCCCTGATCCGAAACCTCCAGCCCGTGAGAGACCAACTTGCCAAGCTGGAAGAGAAATATCGGTAAGCATCCGCAGCTGACATAAGATGCGGCATAGTATCAAGAACTAACTGGAAGCATTCTTCAAGGGTTGCTGACCCCAAGACCCCAACAGACGAGCCCAAGGCCAATGATACCACGGGAAACGACACCGCAGCCAAGCAAGACGACGTTCTGCCGTTCCCAGTGACGCTGGAAGACGAAAAGAAGGAGCCAGAAGAGTATGAGACGGAAGAGGCTTTACTACACTTCTGCATGCTTCTTGAGTTCATTGAAAAGTACCTCTACAAAAAGGTCACGTTGTTCAATCGTCTGAAGCAAGGTCTAGAGGACAAGATCGCATTTGAGGACTTGTGGATGCTCTTCGACACTGGGGACACCATTTACTCCCCATACATGGAGGGTGGCGTCGTCTTGAAGAGTGGCGAGGAATCCCTACACACGACAAAAACACGCTACGTTCCCCAGGTTTTTCGCGTCTCGGGCACTGCTGGTGGGCTGCCATTGCGATGGACCCTAGCCCCAAAACAATCGGATCCTGAGGATGACATATTCGACACACCTTTCTTCCCCGCATTGTCGATGAGGGGCCTGCGATACGCGGCACTACAGACAAGGCAGGATGGAATTCCGTCTGCCCAGGGCAACAAAAACAAATTCGCGCCTTTGCACGTGGTCTGCCTCAACGTTGACTTCGACGGGGTCAAGTATGGCCCGGTCCAGGAGATCTTTACCTTCAGGCCGTATGATGGGCTCGTGGATATTACGAGCCTTGAAGCGTACCCAATGCAGTATCTGAAGACTCAGCCAAGTCGATTCCCCGGTGGAGATGAACAACCCGAGAATGTTTCACTCCTAGAGCGGGGAAGAAACTTCATAGATGCTACGGTCGTCTCTCATCTTTCGCATGAGGGCCTTTCGGTTGGAAAGAACCGCCATGAGGTGAGGATACTTCTAATTGACGCCGCTACATAACGCAAGACAGAACCTTAGCTAACATGTGTCCTGGCCAATAGATTAACAGCGCCGTCATCGTTGACTTCAAGCTCTCCTTCCAAGAGTATGCGACAGAGTTCCCCGACCATGAAAATATAGTTCCCAGGTTCACGTCCGCGGCAATTCTCGGGCTACTACTCAAAGAAGCAGCAGTCATCGAGTTCTACAAACACAAATGCGGCGAATTGTGGTGCCACAAACATGATTGCGTCTTCGAGGCATATGGCACATATCAATTGTCCCAAATAAGACAGGTTACACTTAGGATCAAGGCATTACTCGAAGAGGACGAGATTGTCAAGCTAACCCAAAAAGAGAGCCTCCAGAAGTTCAAGAAGTACATGGAAGACAAAGATCTCATCAGGCTGCTCCCGGGAGTGGTCCCGGCATTTGCGCTTCGAAATCGCAAATGGGGTGAGTCCAGTTTCTAGGCCGTAAGGGTCGGGTTGAAAAACCAGGGAGGCTGACTTGATATAGTTCAACTTGACCTCAACCAGCTCAAAAAACTCAAGCAGGAAGACGAGTGGAAAAAGCTCGTCTTGCCCACCGGCCATAGGGAGATGGTACAAGCTATGGTGGAAACCCATACTCGGGGCTCGCAGGATTCGCAATGGGCACACAACAACCCGAAAGCGAAAGTTGAAATGGACCTCGTGCAAGGAAAGGGTATGTTTCAACACGGCTCAACTGGGTTCATATGCCATTGCTTACATACGAGGGTAATTCAGGCAGAGGCTGCATCATTCTTCTTCACGGAGTGCCGGGTGTCGGAAAGACCTCAACTGCCGGTAGGAGTTACAGACCTAAATTGGTATCTAATATCAACTAACAAGGCTACTAGAATGCGTTGCCGCACACACCCGGAGACCACTGTACCCGATTACCTGCGGTAGGAAACAAATCGATTGGCTTCTATGCACCTTTTCTAATGGAAGTTAGGCGATATTGGATATGTCCCAGAAGCTGTGGAGAAAAACATGGAGCAGCATTTCAAGTTGGCTCACACGTGGAGCTGTGTCTTGTTGCTCGACGAAGCAGACGTTTTTCTTGCAAAGCGCAACGTAAGAAACATTTTGATTGATATTTCTACCTCGCATCGCTAACAAGCAACACAGAAGACCGATGTCAAACGGAACGGCCTCGTCTCTGGTACGCATTCGAGCATCAATGAGAACCTGCGCGGGACGGAGCGAACATTCTGACCTATCAACAGTCTTTCTGAGAATCCTCGAATACTATTCGGGTATCCTCTTCCTGACGACGAACCGTGTCGGCGCCATTGACGACGCCTTCCGCTCGCGGCTGCACTTGACCCTGTACTATCCCAAGCTCACCGAGAAGCAGACGACCGAAATCTGGAAGAACAACCTAGGCCGCATAAAGGAAATCAACAGAGAACGCAAAGAGAAGCAACAGCCACTCATCAAGTTTGACAAGGCGAAAATTCTCCAGTGGGTCAAGCTGAACAGGACGGCCTTGCAGTGGAACGGCCGGCAGATTCGCAACGCCTTCCAGACAGCCGTCGCACTGGCCGAGTTCACAGCCAAGCACGACGCCAGCAAAGAAACCTCAAAGAAAAAGGGCATGAAAGCCTCTGGGCCCGTTATAGATATTAAACACTTCAAGACTATTGCTGAGGCGGCGATACAGTTTGACCAGTACATGATCGCGGTGTACGGCGATAACGAGGACAACCTGGCTGCACGAGAACAGATGCGTCCAAAATCGTTTACACCAAAAGCCCCCAAGCTGAAGGATCTGGAGGACGAGGAGTCGTCGGAATCGTCGGAATCGAGTTCGGAAGACGAGGAAGCGACCAAGTCCGAGGCGGCAGATGAGTCTGTCGGGGAGATGAGTAGTGACGGGAATGGCGGGGACAGCAACGAGGATCTTGATTCGGAGTCTGAGTCTGAATCCGAGAAAGAGCGAAAGAAAAAGAGGAAGAAGACAATTAAGAAGGAAAAGAAGAAGGATAAGCGGGAGAGCAAGTCGTCGTCGTCTAAGGACAAGAAGGAAAAGAAGGGAAAATGAAGTAGAGAAGGAGGAAGATGGAACAGGAAAGAGTGTAGAAGAGGCAGAAATAAGGAGGGAGAGAGAGCAAGCTTAAGTTAGGTAGTGATGAAATATAACTAGGGATCTAAATGAATAGCGATCCGGAACCTCGCCACTGCATTGGCTCATCACAAGTTGTCTTCAATTGATTAATAAGAACATGACATTTGACGGATGCCCCGTTCTACTGTTGAGCCGTCGACTGTCGTGGGCATCACTTGCAAACACAAAAAAATCAGCATCATGCTTGCCTCGATCGAATCAACTTATACTGGCTGAGCTGACTGTACTTGAATGAATGTCCGAGTTCTGTACCCAAACAAAAGCTTGCCCTCATAGGGAGGAGAATATCCATGTGCCATTACTCTTCTTCGAATCCCACCAGCTCGTTGGACTTGTCCCAAAGTTTGCTGGCGCTGGCTTCGTCATAAACCCAGGCGGCATATCCAGCTGCGCCTTCCCGCCAGGTCCTGTCGGTAGGAATAGGAGGTTCCACGGCACAGTTGCTGAGATACTTTCCGCCACGACCCTCCCACTCTTTGCTCAGGGCAGCGTAAATGGTGGTAGCCGCTCCCTGAGGCACGCTCTTGAGGTCGTTCTTGGCCTCCTCGGTCATGGAGGATTCCCAGGCGCTTGTGTCCAAGTGATTGGTAAGGTTGGTTGGAATTACACCAGGATGGAGGGAAAGAGCATGTAGGCCCTTTGCGCCGTGACGCCGTTCGATTTCGTTGGCAAGGTAGATGTTTGCCGTCTTGGATTGTCCATATGCTAGCCAAGGGTCGTGCGGTTCCTTCTCAAAGTTGAGATCGTGAAAACGGATCGGACCATCGTTGTGAGCGATGGATGAAACGGAGACGACGCGGGATTGGAGTGAAGGCGAGGTACTAGCTAGGAGTGCAGGCTTAAGTAGCTGGAAAAGAAGAAAGTGTCCAACGTGGTTGGTGCCGAACTGAAGCTCGAATCCATCTTCAGTCTTTTCATCAGGGGTGGCCATAATACCGGCATTAAGGATGAGAATGTTGAGCTTGTTGCTTTGTGCGAGGAAGGCTTTGGCGGCCGCACGCACTGATTTGAGGGAATCCAAACGCATCTCAATTGCGTGAATGGGCGCGCCAGACTTGACAGGTCCATTCAAGATCTCATCCATGGCCTTCTGCGCCTTTGCCGCGTCCCTGGCCGTGATGAAGAGAGTGACTCCGGTTGCATGAAGGGCGCGAGCCGTCTCGAGGCCGATGCCCGAGTTGGCACCCGTTACGAGAGCAACCTTGTCCGTGAGCTTGCCGACTAATTCCTCGTCCTCGACCACTTGAAGTGCCGTGGGGCGAGCATCACCAGGGCCCTTAGGACTGGCATAGGCGGCGCTGTATCTAGACATTTTTTCTTGCTCTTGATTGTCGCAAGATTTAGGATTGTGGTGTGAGTGATGGCGTTGAAGTGTGAAAGTACGGTGAGAGATGGTTGCAAGACATCAGCCTTCGTTCAGAAAGAGGACTTCATGAATTTTATATATAGTACTAAGATGTATTTCTTTACGTGAGTTTGATATGGCATCCTGATCACACCCCAAAAGTCCACCGTTAAACTACAACACGAGCGACACAAGTCAAGTGCTTACAAAACTTCAAGTCCACCCGGATGCCATGTAAAGCCTGTGGATCACCGACCGTATCAATACGGCGAGGGCCCCGCCCGCCGGTGGGGCTTCCGGAAGCTATGGCTCGGACATTTACGGATACAGCTACTATGAGCATAAGTCGGACTACCCGGGGTTGGGCACTCCTAAGTTTGGGTAACTCTCTTGCTAGCGTATGGAGTAGCTGTTAGGCTAAGTTAGTTTAACAAGTGCCGAGATCCATGGCTTTCTCCAGGTTCAATCACCGTCAAGGGTTGTTAACTAGCCGAGACCTCACTCGGTGCAGTGGATTTAAAGGTGTGTGGGCATGCATTGAACTAAGTGATGCCACTCTACCCTAGATGTGCGTGGAGTGGCAGAGATTGCAAACTCCGAATCCACACAGATGTTGCGGAAAGCTGTTGCTCCCCAGATTCATACGTCTATAGACCTGCCTTCCCGAGTTTCGAATACATACATGACAACTTGGAATGAGGAAAGCAATATGTCAAAGACACAACATCCACTCCGTATGTGGACACGCTCAAGCCCATCTCTGGCCTCACACCGATCTGCAAGCCCCTTTGATTGGTAAGCGGCCAATGAAGTCTGGCCGCCTAATTTGCTAGCTTGAAACTAATCATAGAAGTTATCGACCAGCCCCCCGCACTCCATCCCATCACCGTATCTATACGGCGCCTCGTGCGACCCTCAACGACTCTCTCCGTGACACTCCAGACCATCCGGCTCATGACAAATATGATCAGAAGGCGTAAAGGGCACAGAAAGTCTCGGGAAGGCTGTCTTCAATGCAAGGAGCGGCACGCTAAGGTACGGTGAGCCCCCTCCCTGTGATGTCCCTGCTACTCCTCATGCCGAGGGAAACCCACAGCTGAACCCTGTAGTGCAACGAGGTCCATCCGCAATGCCTTCAATGCGAGCGGGCCGACATCTCGTGCAGCTTCTCGTCGCCTGCCCTGACTATGACGCCACTCAATGAGGACAGTCTGGCTGATCTCGAGCTGCTGGAGCACTGGCACCGGCATCCCATCACAGGCGATATGACGGAGACTACGAAGAACCTGCAATACGACCTTGTCCGCTTGGGCTTCTCTCACCATTACTTGCTGAATAGCATCCTGGGCCTCACAGCCCTCCAGCTCTACAGTGAAGATCAGTCCCAGTCTAAGTGGTACGCTAGAGCCGTGGCGCACCAGCAGGCCGCAATCACCCGAGCCAGGCCGCATTTCGAATCCCTTGATCAGACGCAGCGTCAAGCTCTGCTGGGGTTCTCTGCCTTCACCTCCATGTATGCGGTAGCGGAGCCTGTCTATCGCCCCCCTCGTGTCCGCTCTCTGGCACAGTTCGACCCTATCGAGGAGCTGTTGAAGGCACTCCGCTTCAGCAGGTGTACCTCGGTGTTTGTGCAGCAGAACTTCCCCCCTCTAGTCGTCTCAGAATCGTGGCTTCTGACTAAATTCGACGCTAATTATCAATACACTCGGCAGGATCTCGAAATAAGATATCCACAGCTTGCGTCTCTTCGGGCATGTATAGAGCATCGATGTGTGGGTGAACAGAAAGCAGCATGCCTCCATGCTGTCAACACACTGTTCCGCCGCATTGCAACGCTCTCAGACAACCCCGAAGATCCCGAACCGGGCAAGGTCATTTGGGGTTGGGGACTCGAGGTATATCAGATCTTTCTAGACTTATGCTCGGCGCGACATCCCGTGGCGCTCGTCATTCTGGCTTACTTTACTGTCTTGATGACATTCTATAAGGAGCACTGGTGCATGGGAGCCTGGCCAGGCGGGTTACTGGGATATATCATGGGGGTCCTGGGAGATGAGTGGGGAGATGCTCTGAAGTGGCCTAGTGGTCTTGTCTTTGAGTCGGAAACCTCTGCACCAAAGGGCCTACCGCGGCTACTCGCAGCGGCGTAAGGTATCAGGAGGTCTAATAGAGAATGGATGCATAAGAATATCCAGTCACAAAATGTTAGCACCAGTTCTCGTATATTGCGGTCAGTTCATTTTTCATACCGGGTAACCCGATCCAGAAAGTCCAAGGCCGCTGTCCCCTCAATCCCCGCTGGCAGTAGCCCGAGTCAGGGGGCGCCGCCTAGCGCAGCTGGCCCGTATTAATACGGTCAGTGATCCACAAAGTATACTACAGTATCCTGTGATCACAGCAGTCCTAAGCCTCTTTACGTCGGCATCATGTTGCACCGACCCCGAGAAAACAACAAGGGACTCAAGGCATGAGTGACGTCAAAATGTCTGTGTGAGGCGAATCTTGTATCAACTTGAAAATTGATTAGCAACAGCAATGAAGGTGGGGCGACAGACATGTTGATACTTAAAGGAGAGTCAGAAACGATTCTCATGTTAAAGAAAGATTCAAATCATCCGACCAAGTATCAACTTTCCCCTTAAACAGTAACTTGGCCAGGCCTCTTCACTTTATTCTCACAAAGATTCCAAATTCAACAATTTGTGTCAACCATCATGTCTACACCACAAACCACGAAAGCCTGGACAGTTGAGGGCGCGGGCAGCTTCGACTGTCTCAAGTTTGACAAGGAGCGCGTCCTCCCTGCACTCTCCGACAACGAAGTGTTGGTCAAATTCCACGCTGCGTCTCTCAACTACCGCGACATCATCATTGCCTTGGTAACTACACCTTCCTGTACACCCTCTGCTGTCACCGCTAACCCTGCCAGGGCTACTATCCTTTCCCGGCGACGCCAAATGTCATTCCAGGCTCCGACGGAGCTGGAGAAATTGTGGCAGTTGGTTCTAAAGTCACCCGCTTTGAGAAAGGTTCCAAGGTTTTGACACTGTTCAACCAAGCACACTATGGTGGGCCGTTGACCCCAAAGATCTTGGGTACAGGGCTAGGTGGTGTCCTTGATGGCACTATGCGACAGTACGGCGTTTTCAATGAGAATGGACTGGTGGACATGCCAAAGAACCTCAGCTATCTGGAGGCCGGAACACTATCTTGCAGCGCCCTGACGGCATGGAATGCTCTCTACGGGCTCAAAGCAGTCCAAGCGGGCGACTGGGTTCTGACGCAGGGTACGGGCGGTGTGAGCATCTCTGGCCTGCAGTTTGCAAAGGCGGCAGGGGCTCGAGTCATTTCCACGACGTCTTCTGCAGCAAAGGTTGAGGTATTGAAGAAGCTCGGAGCGGATCATGTCATCAATTACAAGGAGACCCCGAACTGGGGCGAGGAGGCCAAGAGGCTGACGGGAGGTGCTGGTGTTGAACATGTCATCGAGGTTGGAGGCGCGACAACTGTGGCAGAGAGTCTGAAAGCCGTCGCCATCGGTGGTCTTATCACCATTATTGGCTGGATCGGCGGAGAGGGAGAAGCAGGGCCGGTTTTCCCTCAGATCTTGGCCAGCCAGGCTGTCGTCAGGGGAATCGTTGTGGGAAGCCGAGAACAATTCGAAACAATGGTATGTATTACGGAAACGGATTGCCTCCCTTGAGAGGATTCTACAAGCTTGAGCGGTTACTAACATGAATAGGTCCGGACTATTGAGGCCTCCAACATCAAGCCCGTTGTTGATCAACAAGTCTTTAAGCTCGAGGACCTCAAAGAGTAAGACGATTCCATCCTGCAATAATCCCTATTACAAGCTAATGTATCATAGGGCCTATAAGTATATGTGGGATCAGAAGCATCTTGGCAAAGTCGCAATCAAGATTGAGTAGATGTATCTTGTTATGCCAGTCCATAGCAGGGGCCTCTTCTCGGTAGCCATTGACCTTAGCATACAAGTTAGATACTAACAACTGATGTGTGTTTTAAGTAGTCAATTTACTATTGGATGATCCCGCGCAATCAATTTCCCACTTCCCCAGTACCCTCAACTATGCTGTGCCACTTGGGCGTGATGCTGTGTATAGACGCAGGCAACACGGCTTCTCGCGTACAGATATATCAACCAAGGGTAGAGGCTCCGGGCAGTGTCGTCTCAGGAACACCCTGCTCGTTCGCCGGCATGGGAATGAGACTGAGGTGCTGCCATCTTTTAACCCACAAATTGTTGGTTCTCTGGAGCCTTTTTTCATCACAACTTCTCCATTGTCATTCTCAATGGGTGCATCTCGGAAATGACGTTACCGTCAGTCATAACGTAAACTTTTTGATTCTACCTAATACTCGATCTTCTCCTCACTTTAATTTTCTACTTTTCAGAATCCGACTGCTTCTCCGCATCCGAACTTTTTCTCCTCTTAAACAACGCGCCAAACTTACCAAATCCCTTCGCCATGAACCTGTACGAGACAACAAAAGGCGGCGCCACAAAATGCACAACACTCTCAAACCACGCATCAGGAAATATACGCACAACAATCCCCCACGGCAGACTAAACGCCGCAATAACAATAGATATCGCCCACTGCGGCCCGTCCAGCCCATCGGGGTGGATATCAAAGACGCGGCCGCCGATGAAGACAATGGCAATCTGCAGGCCGATCATGATGAGGTTGATGAAGATGAAGAACCAGTTGCGGTGCACGCCGGCGAAGACGTTGAACTTGTTGTCGAGACGGCGGCAGTTGAGCTCGTTGAAGATTTGCATCCACACGAAGACGTTGAAGATGATTGTGTCGAGCTGGAGTTCTTCGTCCTTGATGGTGAGGTCGTAGTTGAGGATGTCGGCGCCGACGAAGTAGAGGATGAGGACGACGGTGAGCTGGAAAATGGATTGGCCGATGATCATTTTCCACATCTATAAACAGTTAGCTTTGTCTGGTTCTCATGTGGGAAATACTTGCATTCATGGTGATGAGCGGCGCCGACTTTGGCTGAGGTGGTCGGTCGAGGATGGCGTCTGTGGGAGGATCCGTGGCCAAGGCGAGAGCAGCCATGGTATCCATAATCAAATTGATCTATTTAATCAGCAAGAGCATTAAACAGTAATCAATAAGCCGTCTTACCCAGAGAAGTGGTACAGCCTTGAGCACAGGTTCCAAGTCTTCGTCGTACATGGACGTGACGAAGGAGAGGAGAACGGCGGTGATGTTGACGGTGATTTGGAACTAAATTGTCAGGTTATCCCGCTGCTCAACTCTTCAGCTGCAGAAGACGTACTTGGAGGAACTTTTGCACCGCGTCGTTGACGGCTCGTCCCCACTTGAGCGCCGTGACGATGGAGGTGAAGTTATCGTCCATGAGGATAATCTCAGACGCCTCTTTGGCTACTTCGGTGCCTGAAATGCCCATGGAGAAGCCAACGTCGGCAGCTTTCAAGGCCGGCGCATCATTAGTCCCGTCGCCAGTGACAGCCACCGTCTCGCCGAGGGCCTTGAGACGGGCAACCAGGATACGCTTGTCCTCTGGCGACGAACGAGCAAGGACCTGCAGCCTTGGAAGGATCTCATCAAGTTGCTCCTCAGACAAACGGCGAAACTCGGGGCCTTCCATGACGATGCCGTCGGTGAAGATGCCGCACTCGGTGGCGATGGCTCGGGCCGTGATGACGTTGTCGCCCGTTACCATACGCGTCGTGACGCCGGCGCGCACGGCATTCTGCACGGCTTCGGGGACGCCGGGACGGACGGGGTCTTGGATGCCGACGACGCCGAGGAGGACCATGTCGACGAAAGACGCAATGTCCAGGTCGGGGTCGTGGTCAAAGTCTTTGTACACCAGGCCGATGGTGCGGAGGGACTTGTGCGCGTACGCGGCGATGGTGTCCTCTACGGCTTTGCGGTCGACGGGATCAGTGCCCGTTGACGAGGCGTTGATCTGGGAAGAGCAGAAGCCGAGGACGATCTCGGAGGCGCCCTTGATCAGCAGCCTATATCCCCACGGCCCCTTGATCACAGCCGCCATGTACTTGTTGGCCGAGTCGAACGGCACCATGTGGACAATGTCCTCGTTGGCCCTGGCTTCAGACAGAACTTGCATGCCGAGATGGTCCTTGGCGAACTCCAGCAGCGCGGTTTCCGTCTTGGAGCCGATAAAGGTGGCTACGCCGTCCTGGTCGCCCTCGAAGGCGGTCGAGTTGACGGCGACGGATTGCACGATGAGCTGCTTGACGTGCTGGGACAAGGACGAGGCCCAGGCCGAGACGTCCGAGGTGAAGCTGGAAGCCCCGAACAAGCCCGCGACGACTGTCATTTTGTTTGCAGTCTATCAAGTCAGTCAGTCAGTCCAACTCAGTCACCGTGTAAGTGTACGCACCAAAGTCCCCGTCTTATCTGAGCAAATACACGTCGCGTTGCCCATGGTCTCGCAAGCCCTGAGTACTCGAACGAGGTTATTCTCCTTGAGAAGCCTCGTCGTAGCAAAAGCCAGCGCAAGCGTGACGGCAAGCGGCAGGCCCTCGGGCACAGCGACAGCAATGATGGCGATGGCCACGACCAGAAGATCGACAAACGTGCCCGCCTTGTCTGCCGACGACCGGTCGTCGCCCGCGAGGTTGGCGCAGAAGCGGAAGAGCAGGATGAAGAACATGAGCAGGGACGCGCCGCCGCCGAGCTTGGCGATGGCCACGGCGAGACCTTCGAGTTTCTTCTGCAGGGGCGTCGATTCGATGTCGGTGCGGACGGACATCATGATCTTGCCGAAGCTGCTGTGGACGCCGACTGAGGTGCAGAGGAATGTTCCCATGCCTGTACGAGTGAGCAGGTGAGGAATGGAAATGGGGAATGTGAATGTAGAATATGTAGGAACTTACCTTCGAGAACCCGCGAGCCAGAGATGATGAACGGGTCAAACTTCTTTGCCTTGTCCAAGTCCGCCTCGTCAAACATGTTTATGCCAGACGTCTTCTTCAACGCATCTGATTCACCCGTGGCAGACGATTCGTCGCACTTGACATTGTGCCCATCGATGAAAATGCCATCCACAGGCACCATGTCGCCGGGCTCAAGGTACATAACATCCCCGACGAGAACCTGGTTAATATGGATGAGCATCTCCCTGCCGGACCGCAGCACCTTGACCTGTCTGTCATCCTTCTTGGTGTTGAGCTTGACAAAGGCCTTTTCCTTCTGCCAGTCGTTATGCGAAGCAACCACCACGACGATGAGAACGGCGGCGAGAATAGCCACGCCCTCAACCCAGTCGACGGGCGTAGGAGCACCGGGCTCCCGGGGGGCGCCGAAGGTCTGGTACAGGCCCAGGGCGAGCGAGATGGTGCCGGCCACGGTCAGCAGGATCAGCACGGCTTCCTGGAAGGTGATCCAGGCGAGGCGCCAGATGGACTTTGGCTTCTTGGGCGGGAGCTGGTTGCGCCCGTACACGCGGATGCGGTCGGCCGCGACGAAGCCATCGCCAGCGGCTTGGTGAGCGTTCCCGATACCCGTCTCGTCCACGCTTAGACCGGCATGGATGTCGGTATGAAGACCGCGAACGAGTCCTTCAAGACCGCCCAATGCCCTAAGCGCGTCTATGGACTTGGGGTTGAATAGTTTGTTGAGCTGGCCGGGGCTGTAGTCGAAGGGGTTGTTGGCCACCTCGAAGTCGGCTTCGGTGCCCGGGTCTGGCGCGAGGGCCAGCTTCAGGTCTGCGTCGGTCGTCTCGCTGGTGTTGATGGACGGGCCGATGGAGGATATGGCCGTGTTGGCATCGCTCAGTGACTGCTGCCGAGGGTCGAGAATGGGGGTCGGATCAAGCAAGGTGCTAGATGGAGGGTTTGTTTGGGCCACCATGGTGATGGGTGGTCAAGTGGTAGGAGAGGGAGGCATGAGAGGCATGAGAGGCGCAATTCCGGCCGAGGTGAGGTATAATTTATATCAACTTGTCCCAGCCGGACGGTAGGGGACGTCACATCTCGTCTGTAACATCCATCCTCGTCTGTCACGTTCATCCTCCCATACAAATGTTCCATGTTGCTACTCCATCGCAGATCGACACCCCCTTGGCAAGAATAAAGATGCAGATTACTCTTTAGATCCTAGCTGCAGCAGCATGTCACTAAGCGAGCGCGCTAGAAGAGGCTGTGCTCCCAGTCCGATCAGATCAGGCAAAGACTGGGCTCAAATATGGGGTAAACATCCCTGATACATGGGCTATATCTACGGAGATCCCCTCTCCGTCTCCGCGTATGTAATGATGAAACAAGGTACATGAGGCTTGACCACCCCAGCGCGGATTTCCGTCCCTCCGACTCCCCTCTCTTCTCTGCGACCTCCTCTCCGTGTCTCCGATTACGTCAACCGCGATTCATCGCGATGCCTCCCCGGCGCGCATGCGACTTATGCTACAAGCGCAAGGTACTGCTTCTGATCTTCGGAATCTCCCTTCCGTTCAGGGTTTATCTGATGGCGCGCAGATTCAATGCGTCATCGCAGCCTCGGGCGACCCCTGCGATTGGTGCAGTAGCCACGACCTCGCTTGCACCTTTGACCGCGTCGTTGCTAAGAATCCAAACAAGAGGAAAGTCGGAGAGAAAGTCGGAGAGAATCCGCATCGAACATGTCCTAACACGGCTGTAGGGCCACGTCGGATGTCGTCCAGGAACTGTCCAACCGCGTGGAAGAGCTCGAAGACGCTCTCAAGGCGGCGACAACCGCATCTACGCCCAGCGTCACGTCGCCAGAGTCGGAGAGACGGGCGTCGAGTCATGTTTCGTATCATTTGACGCCTCCCACCGCTACTACTACGAGCGAGCAACCGGCTAGAGACGTGACTATTCCCGTGCATACTGCCCCGACTTTGACCCAACCAAGTCAACTCGAACCCCGTTGCAAGCTATCGACATGCCAGCTCGGCAACAACTGGTACTTCAAGGGGATAGGAATCCTTTCGTCGCGGGGCCGGGAATGGATCTCCGAAGGGGCAGGACAGCGCGTCTTCCTGGACAAGTTCGACATCTTCGGCAATCCCATAAGCACGCGGCCGCAACTCAATCCCATGCCGGAGCAGCCGAAGATGCTGCCTCCAGAGTTCCTCTGCAGACGCTTTGTCGCCATCTTCTTGGAATCCAAGACGTCAAAGGTATTCCCGATACTCGATCGGGACCTGCTTGAAGGGACCATCTCTCGCGCCTACGACACCAAGCTGCCTGACTTAGGAAGTCGGACATCGGCCGAAGCCTGTCTCTGGGCCATGTTCGCGTTTGCCAGTCGCGCGCGAGAGACTGAGCGAACCGGTTCTATTCCCGGACCGTACGAATGCGCCAGTGAAGCCAAACGCCTGCTATTCGTCATCAATGGCACGGTAAACTTGGATAGCCTGCAGGCCACCCTTTTGCTGGTAAGCCAAGGTAATACCGTCAGCGACATTCCCTGCTAATGAATACAGTGGGCATATCAAAAGATGAAAGGGCAATGTCGAGAGGCTTCGGTGGCCTTGACGAGCGCATGCCGCATGGTATGTGATCTCGGTGGCCACGCCCTCCTGCCAGGGCTGTCCCTTCTACCTCAACACATTCCGATATTCGACGAGCCGTCACGATTCCACATCCGAAGATTGTTCTGGATATGCTACTGCGTCGACAAAGATGCCTCTCTACGAACCGGAATCCCGCCGCTGCTCACCTGCGATTACTGCGAGGTCGGCGACGCTGGGGAATGCAGCAGCCAGACATCCTGGTACAACCAGTCGCGAGACATTGACCTGGCGAGGATCAAGGAGAGCGCCGGCCGACAGCTGTGTTCGCCGCGGGCATTCAAATACACAGAAGGCGAGCTCCTCTCTCATGTTCGACAGCTTGACGACGAGCTCGAGGAGTGGCGATTGTCCATTGAACCGCCGTATCGCCCGAGACTGTCCGTCCCACCAGACTCGTCCCTTTTAGTCCCGTCCTCGATGCGAACCGAGGACCGCATGCGCATCATCAACCTGCAGCTCGACTACCTGTTCACCATGATCTACATCCACACAACCGTCAGAAAGTGCGGCGACTTCGAGCGGAACCTGCCCGACGACCTGCACAGCGTGGTCCACTCGAGCGCCGACCTGTCCCTGGAAGCCAGCCGGTCCATCATCCGCTTCCTGGAGAGCGCCGTGGACTTTTGGGAGGAGGAATCCGTCTGGGTCGTGTCGCACTACGCGCCCATGGCTGCCATGCCGCTGTTTGTCAACATCCTCATACACCCGCTCGGCAGCCCGGCGGACAATGACTTGCAGATATTGGCGTCGGCGAGCAACCTCACGCGCAAGATTCCGACCGACAGGCTCTCGGGAGAGGAGATTGGGCAGATACAGGAGATTGGCGAGTTCGTCATGGAGCTTGTGAGGCTTTGTCACAGTGCGGCGTGGAAGGCCAAAAAGGGAGAGAGAGAGATGGATTTGGATATAATTCACAGATAAAACTGCCCTTCCAACTAAGGATGAGGTGGACATGGGAAAAGATGCTGCATCTTTCACTCCGCCATTTCATTCACGACCTGTGATAATGACATGGAGCTTACCAGCCCCCACTGGTAAACCACCACCTGACGAATAGCAACATTGCCGAAGTGTATCACGAGGCAATATGCAAGATGAACAGCAGCAACCTTCTCTTCCAGGCGCCTGACGCTGTTCTCTGTCCAACGGTTTGCTCCCCCACGTTCTAGACTCTCGTTTGACCACGACTAAGACTTGACTCGACTTAGCGTCTATTCTCTCCCCCCTGCACGGAGTCCGACATGTCCGCTTACATCAGCGGACACGACGATCAGATAACTCTCTCATCCCTGCAGCACAAGATTATCTGCGGTTGTGGAGACGGGAGAGGCAACCAAGTTTGATCCCCGTCCAGAAAACCCCTGCCATCTGGATCTGAGCAGGGAAGGCTGATTTGATATTAATTTCTACTAGGGCTGATTGAGCTGGCAACCCCCACGTGTTCGAAATTGTGCCGTGATGGATGTCGGCAAGACGTCATTGGGTTGCTGCTGGCAATGTGTGAGGTGGAGAAGGTTGTTGTTGCTCCGTATGGTGGAACGAATTTTCAATAGCCACTTCTTATTTATCCCCATCTGTCGGCTCGGCTAAGATTCCGACATGGGCAGCCGATGGTTCTGTAGAATTTTGATAAATTTTATTTTTTAATTTCTCGTAAAGTATATGTTGAACGACTTAGTACGTATAAATTGTTAAAATCAACAATTATTCTGAAAACATGAATTGGAATTTAATTTAATAAAAATGATCCTATTTTAAAACAAAGCATGAAAAATAAAATAAAGCGCTCTTGTGGCCCTCTACACCTTTGCTGCCGTCCTCATCTGCTGGGACACTGCCCTTTGTCGGTCAACCAAACAATGTCTTGGGCATCCACACGATGCTCTAGCAGTTGTACCTCTCTGCCATCGGAATGGGCCTGCAATTTCATCTGGAGATTAGAATTTGCTTTTAGCTTGTCTTCGCCGCTGTCACCCTCGTCATCATGACTGGTGCCTTCCTTCAACGCCTGAACTTTTACGCGATGATAATCTTTGTCCCGGTATGGCTGACGTTTTCTTGCATCGTCGGGAAGGCTCTTGAAGCATGTAAGTCACAAGTAAATCCTCCTCGAGCGACACGACCTCATTCTTACCGAGCGGATGCAAGTAATGCTCAACCCCCGCTCCAGGCAAGGCTTACCAGGATGTTATTTCTGATATTTTTGTGGTGGTTCGGTTGAGGCCGGGCTAGGTCAGCCCTCGCCGGTGCTCTCGCTGGGGCAGAAGCTAGGTTGGGAGCACGAAATGGAGGAGGAGAAAGAACTGCCCGTGCCGGTGCCCGAGGTCGTGCTGTAACTGGACTTGAAGCTGGGGCTGGGGTTGGGGCTGCCCTGCTGAGGTTGAGGGAGTTCTAGGCTGTAATCACCAACGTCGTAAGGATGTTATTGATGCTAACTGAATGCATACAAACGGTAGGTAATGGCTTCAAATTGAGCAGGTGGATCAGATTGACGGTACTAAGAACCCAGAGGTCTGATAATTAAGTAAAGTATTCTATTGATAAATTGATTTTATTTAGAATCTGAGCGCACTGCCTCCAGCAGAGTGTTTAATACCTCTTTACGGTCCTTTTATTTATTCTTTCTGGATCTCTTGTTCCTTTATTCATTCAATAAATGCAGATTTCACTACTATATCTTATCCTGTGCTGAAATTTGTTAGTCTGTATATACCTCCTCTATCACTCGGTGAAAAATAAAACTGGGCGTTATAGTAAAACTGAATATAGATGTATAAATACTATAGCTTAAAAGAAAATGGATACATAATTGGGATTTCATACTTGAGATTAGTAGCCTTACTGAGTTTCAGACTCCAGTCCAGTCTGAGGTGTTAAGACGGACTGAGCAGACTATGAGGAGCGCTGAGCGAAGGCACTCGTTTTCAACCATGTCTCCACAGACGTTATATCCGGATGAACCTTCTTAACTTCCTCTATGTCAACCTTGTAGCCTTCGTCTCGCAACCAATTTATCATGCTTCCTAGTTCCGCAACGCCAGCCATTAGAGCCTTCCCGAGGAAACCAAATGTCGTGCCGGCTCGGCTCCCGGTAACCCTCTCGAACGTCTGGCTCAGTTGAGAAAAGGTCAGCTCGTCGCCTGCAATGCCGACAGCCTTGTTGGCCCAGGCAGTAGGGTCGTGGAAAGCCTTCGCTGCAAAGACGCCGATATCCTTAGTGACGACCCACTGCAGTGGCTTCTCCTTCAATGTGTTGCGTACTGCCGTCATGAACACTTTGCTCTGGAAGCCTGGAGCAATACTGTCGATGAAGTTGACGGGCCGTAGGATCGTCCAGCTCATGCAGCACTTGCCGTTGGCGGTGGAATCGCGAAGGTGAATCTCGATGTCATGCTTGGTCTTGAAGTGTGGGACGCAGGTAGGGTTGTTCCATGACTTGTCGTTACCACCGCGGTCGACACTGCTGTAGATGAAGTGCTGAATGCCCGCCTTGATAGCTTCATCGATCATTTCCTTGCCTTGTTTCAACTCGCCAGCTAACGGGGCCCGTGAATCAATCGACGCCTGCATGGAGTAGACTCCCCATAGCGGGACGGATCCGGCGGCTTTCCTGGCAGCTTCGAAGAGAGTAGGGATTGAGTCGAGGTTCCCCTCAACGAGTCTGATGGAAGAAGACTTTGCGCAGAGGGCTTTGGCTCGGGGGGATTGAGCATCACGGGTGACGGCAAGTAGCAGGAAATCGGAAGGCTGGCTTGCGACGAGGGCGTTGAGGACGCTGCCGCCCTGTTTCCCTGTGGCGCCGGTGATGAGAATGGCGCGTGACATGGTCGCGAGGAATGATGATGGGTGGTGAGTAGGATGGATTGTGGTTGAGAAGGGGGATAGGAGTGCTGGAGAGTGACGGAAGGTGACCTGACGTGGGCGTCGCTACAAATATATCTAGTCAGACCGGACCTCTAGGATGGCAATAGCTTAAGAAAAGCTAGGGTGGGGCGAGACCAGGCACCTCGATTTGGGTAATGAGATGATTCTTCATGCTTCCATGACCATGTTGTTGCTTGATGTTCGAAGTCACCGGGTGTTTCTGCTAGACTACGTTAGCCATGTCCATCTAGCTGGTTTCAGTATAAGTATGTATATGTACAGGGAGTCAGACCAGGAATTGTATGAACTCAGAATATACAGGCACCCAACTAGACGCCTTACAGAATTAGAGCTCGGGACAACTCCCTGCACCGGTTAGTAGCACGCACAGACTGGTATCGTTGGCTCGCGGATTCGGCAGGTTATACCAGCGGCTATGCCCGAATGCTACATGGGTAATCACGGAAGTGGTGTAAAGTATCGTCCGACCCTCGAAGCTTGTCCCCCATCCCGTGGTACATTTAGCGGAAGACGCAGCTGGGCCAGACGTGCTTCTCTAGGTGCATAGGGTCGGGGTTCCATTGTTCCGATCCTACATATCTATTTCCCTCGGCATTTAACCGAAATGAATCAGAAGATCCCAGTCCGCCGTTAGACTTCAAGGCGAGCCAGACAAGTCGGGGGCGTGCGAAGCGTGGCTTTAAACCCCGGTGAATGTAATATAAGGCCTGTGCATTAAAGACCGTATTGATACGGCCAGCTATGTACGCTAAGTGGCGCCCACTGGTGGGGCTTGCAAAAGCTACGGCTCAGGTATTTACGGATATGGTTCAGAAGATCCTGGTCTGCCGCTAGACTTTAAAGCCTGTGGATCACTGGCCGTATTAATACGGCCAGCTACGCTAGACGGCACCTGCTAGTGGGGCATACAGTAGCTCAGGTATTTACGAATATATTTAAGTACTGAGTTGGAGCACCTGAGGTTGAGTACCTCCTGAGGATAGGCTAGTATCTCTGAAAGAGTGAGCATAGACACCTCGAGGCCGAGAATCCAGAGATTGAATTGCCTGTCTACAAGCGGTTGAAGACCCTCATCAACCAGCTCACAGCGTGGTGAACACAGAGGCTCGGATTGGCGGCTGGAGGGATTTTTGTTAACGAGTCGCCCATTCAATCCTCGGCTTAATCCCCAGGTCCTCCCTCAGTTAGCAGTCTGGACCTTGATGAATACGAGCAATGGAAGCGTGATATCGACAATTCTGACGCTTCTGTCACAGATCCCTACGAATACTGGCACATAAGGCGGCTCAAATACCCCTGGTTGTTTAGGATGGCCTCGGATCTGCTTACCGTGCCACCAATGTTAGCCGAGTCGAGAGGCTTTTCTCGACCACTGATCGTATGGTTACTAAGAGCTGCAATAGGCTAGATGTCAGTACAACTGGGCTTTGTCAGACTACGGAGTTGGTTGCGTGCGGGTGTGATCTGGTCGCCAAATAGGATTATAATTGACCAATAACAAAAACATTAACGTCACCCAGACATGGAGACAAATTCCGTAATATAGATCCATTTCCACTCAATCCACATCGAGCTTATTCGTCAACATTCATATCCACGCCATATTCACAAATGTGTCGTGGAGTGTCGTGGATTTGAACCCTGACTATTATCGTCAGCTGTGAGCCACACAGCGTCTCGGGTTTGATAGGGTCGGTTCTGGTCTGTTAGAATATGGAGTCTCGCCGGACATATTTCATGACTGCAGGTCGAGTCCCATACTTCAATCGGCGTTAATGTGTCATACACCGGATGAATTTTTATGAGATACCGGGGTTTGTGAAAATTGTCCAAGGTTCTTGTAGGGCAATGCCAAATTGCTCTGAATCTGCTAATTCAATGGCACAATCATGGACAGTTTTGCCGCAGCACTGGCAGGAAGGTTGTCTGTGGCAGACGCGGAAAGACTAGTAGTCCTAGTATGTTTCGCACTCCCTGGGGCGGTCAGTTTTGTTGACGAGTTTGGCCGTGAGATTGCCGAAAAGGGATCAATATTTCTCGGTCAGCTTCAGGAAGGATACAAGCAAGGTCTCGGTTAATGCACAGGCTGTCTGAGATGCGTTGCAAAGGGCCGTCTCGGAAAGCGCATCCCCAAACTTCAACTCCCTGCATTACCTACATCAGAAGCCTGACCCCATGACGCATAGCGCTGCAGATGCCCATGGGTAAGTTACACGCCCGTGGGCAACCCATTTTAAGCCTATGGGTATTGATGGGCTCTAAATCGCTACCCGCAGCTACACAGGGGTACCGGTGGGTAGCGATCCGCAGCCTATCACTACCCAGCAGATTGAAAACTAAATAAATATAAAAGAATAAAGATACTTTCCAATTAATATCCTATGTATGTATATCTTATAAAGTATTTGAATTAATTTTATTTTACTTTCTGTAATCTTTAATTTTATTTTTATACTTTTTCAAATTCCACCTACCCTATAGCAGTTTTATTCTTAGCTACCCACGGGTACCCTTGGATACCCGTGGGCGCCCAATTTTACGCCCTGATGACGCAATGAGGAGAATCTGCCCTATGAACTTGAGTGTTCGAAAGTCAGGAACAGTCGGAACTTTGTAAATATTCGAGAAAACGCTGCTATTGCCATTGTTTTTAAGTTGGAGGCACTTGTGGATGTGTGAAGAGCTGATTTTGCAACACAGGCAATCCAATGCACTCTTGTAGTTGGAGAAGAATGCGATAATAGAACGGACGGGATAAAGCGATCGCTAATTGAGGAATGCATATGCGAATTGAGGCGACTCATTGAACAGCAAAAAATGATGTGCTGCTAGAGTCTACGCTTATCAGGCGGAATGCCGGGTCCGGGGTTAGATGGAAGTTGTTGGCTCTAAATGCTGGGCCTCTGGTTCGAGGGATGGCTCAGTAGATGGAGACATCCAGTATGTCTGTGGAGGGAAGTCTCGGGTTCCCAAAATGGCGTGTCGCTGCTAATGAACCTGGGAATTGGATTCGTCGTATTGGACGTCTTGTCTAATTCGAGTATAAAACCACCTCAATGTTTTCTAGTACTGAGGCTACCCTGTATCCTGTCAACCTAGCCTACGCATTCTCTGCTCCGATTATATACATTGTACGCATGGATAACTGCAATCCCATAACTCATTTATCGGCATTGAATATCAAGTGATTGCTTTATTGTAACTTAATGGATGCGATCTGTCCTATACCCGGTGAGTTCATGGCCTGAGAAATTCGGTCATCCTCCCCAGCGGCCAAGATCACGAATCCCATGTGATTTGAATAAATACACATGTGAAACAGAGCGGCCTTAGCGCTGGTCTTGTTCAGATTAACCCAGGGGTCCTGAGAATAGAATGGAATCAATCGATTGACAGTGCTTAAATTGACCGAACCATGGTCCGCCGAACCGGACCAATAGGTACAAGAACGACTCTTCAATTAGTAATTAGCGGAGTAAAGCGGGTGCTGCCAAGAGACGAAACGGCCGTAGTAACACGCTTGATGTCATTCCGTCAGCGACTTGCATACACGCATTCTAGGAATGACTCCCCACCGACCTCCGTGGCGGACTTAAGCTATTTCCCGACCGGCTGTTTCCGAGAAGGACCCTTATCTCCATCTTGACTTGGCGATTGTGTGAAAACTCGATTAGCTAGCATATCTTAGTTCCTCCACTTTTCAGAAAAAACGTCACAGCCCGACCATCTGACTCGTTCAGTCCGGACAAGTGGGGAGCTGATGTGCGAAGGTTTCGACATGATACGGGAGTTGCTGAAAAATCACTAGCCTGTATTGAGCCCGTTATTGAAAGCAAATTCCATCAATATTGAAGCCTGATTAACAATCCAGAGATTAATAATCTCCACTTGTGGGTCATAACGTTATCGTTGTCTGCGCGTCTCTGTCGGAAAGTCGCCGAACCCGCCGGGGCCATGGATTGTACTGGATAAATAGACGAGGGATGATCACGAATTCGAGACACGGAAAGAGTTTGCCAACCATCGTCGACTGTCAACATGCTGAGCCCCGGTGTCGATGGTGACGGTCTGCGTCGAATGGAATCTTCCATGGACGCAAACCCACTGGACCGGCTTCGTCAACACACTGCAGACCATTCCTCTCACCGAACAGAGGATCCGAATACCACCTCCTCCGACAATGATTCCGTCGGCGAAGGCAACTGGGGCGATCGTGGCTCTGAGGCTGTCAGAGAGGGCAGCGCGATGCAGGAGTACGAGATGTTGAGGCAGAACATTATCGGCCTGCACAAGACGAGGACCGGCGAGTCGCACGCCAGCGAACCCCATACAACCCGAAGTCGAGGGGACCACGCAACGAGAACTCAAACACGACAATCGCGCATCGATGACTCGGAAACAGACGTCGAAACCGGAGGAGACGACGATGCAGACGAATTTGAGCTTGGAACCTTTATGCGCGAAGGGCATTTCGAAGAGCGATCAGAGGCAGGTGCTCTAAAAAGACTTGGTGTCGTCTACGAGGGCCTCACAGTAAAGGGCGTCGGCAACACAACATCATTTGTACGGACGCTTCCCGACGCCATCATCGGTACTTTTGGTCCCGACCTGTATCGCCTCGTCTCGCGGTTCTTCCCTTCGCTCCAATTCAGAAAGCCACCCACACGAACTCTCATCCACGACTTCACCGGCTGCGTCCGCAACGGCGAGATGATGCTCGTCCTGGGCCGTCCCGGCGCTGGCTGCAGCACCTTTTTGAAGGCAGTTACCAACAACCGAGCATCCTTCGCAGCCGTCGAGGGAGACGTTTCGTACAGCGGCATCCCGGCAGAGGAACAGAAAAGGCTGTACCGAGGAGAAGTGACGTACAACTACGAGGATGACATTCATTTTGCCACGTTGAGCGTTTGGCAGACGCTCACCTTTGCTCTGATGAACAAGACGAAGAAAAAGGACAGCGGTGACATACCTGTCATTGTCAATGCTTTGATGAAGATGTTTGGCATCAGCCACACCAAGCACACGCTTGTGGGCGACGACTACACACGAGGAGTGTCAGGCGGCGAAAGGAAGCGGGTTTCTATCGCCGAGACCCTCGCATCCAAGTCAGCCGTCATGGCGTGGGACAACTCAACCCGAGGTCTGGACGCATCAACGGCATTGGATTACGCAAAGTCCCTCCGGATCATGACCGAAATCAGCGACCGAACAACTCTCGTCACCTTGTACCAAGCTGGAGAGGGAATCTACGAGATCATGGACAAGGTCCTCGTTATCGATCAAGGCCGCGAAATTTACAGCGGCCCAGCCGACAAAGCGAAGCAGTATTTCATCGACCTCGGTTTCGAGTGTCCAGAGCGCCAAACAACCGCCGACTTCTTGACGGCCATCACCGACCCCCACGAGCGCCGCTTCCGTCCGGGTTTCGAGAACCGGGCACCCAAGACGCCAGAGGAGCTCGAGCGCGCATTCAGGAGCTCCCAGAGCTACCAAGATTTGCTGGCCGATGTTGCCGCGTACAAAGAGGAGCTACATGAGACCGAGTATGAGGATGCCAAGACTTTCAGAGGAGCTGTCCAAGGCTCAAAGTCGAAGCATGTGTCGGACGAGTCGTCTTACACTATTTCGTTCATTGGACAGGTGCTCGCATGCACCAAAAGAGAGGCCTGGCTTCTTTTGGGCGACACGACAACGCTGTGGACGAAGCTATTCATCATCATCTCCAACGGCCTGATTGTTGGGTCCCTCTTCTACGGGCAGCCAAACAACACACAGAGTGTCTTCAGCCGCGGAGGCGCCATCTTCTTCTCAGTGGTGTTCCTTGGTTGGCTGCAACTATCCGAGCTGATGCGAGCTGTCTCTGGACGACCGGTTGCCGCGCGGCACAAAGACTACGCGTTCTACCGACCGTCGGCCATCTCTCTGGCGCGCGTATTGCTCGATTTCCCAGTCGTTGCGATCCAGGTTTGTATCTTTGGCCTCATCATGTACTTCATGACGGGCCTCGATGTCGATGCTGGCAAGTTCTGGATCTACATGCTCTTCGTCTACACCACCACCATCATGGTCACTGCTCTCTACCGAATGTTTGCTAGTGTTTCGCCCGAGATCAACACCGCGGTTCGGTTCTCGAGCATAGCGTTGAATGTCCTAGTAATCTTTACCGGCTACGTCATCCCCAAGACACAGCTGCTCAAGGACTACATCTGGTTTGGATGGCTGTACTGGGTGAACCCACTGAGTTACAGTTTCGAGGCCGTCTTGAGCAGCGAGTTGTATGATCAGGAACTGCCTTGCTCGCCGGAACAGCTTGTCCCTCAGGGTCCAGGTGTCCAGGCAGCTTATCAGGGCTGTGCTGTCAGTGGCGCTGGCGTCAATGCCCACTCAGTCTCGGGAAGCGATTACCTTCGGACAGCCTACAACTATAGCCGCTCGAACTTGTGGCGCAACTTTGGAGTAGTGATTGCGTTTACGGTTTTGTATATCGTCATTACCATGATTGTGACAGAGCTAGTGAGCTTTACTTCTGGAGGCGGTGGTGCCCTGATCTTCAACAACACTCCCAAGGCCAAGGCTCGCGCGCAAGCAGCAGCCGCTCCCGTGGACGAGGAGAAAGCCGCCAACTCTCCCGCAGGGCTTGGTGAGTCTCAGACTACGTCACAAGATGACGATGCCCCATTGGAACAAATCACGGATAACCAGTCGACTTTTACTTGGCGAGATCTTGAGTACACGGTGCCCTATTTGGGCGGAGAACGAAAGCTCCTCAACAAGGTGAACGGCTACGCCAAACCCGGAGTCCTGGTGGCATTGATGGGTGCTTCAGGCGCCGGAAAAACAACCCTTCTCAATACGCTCTCTCAACGCCAGACCATGGGTGTCATTTCAGGCGATATGCTGGTTGATGGACGGCCATTAAGTGCCGACTTTCAGCGAAACACTGGTTTCTGCCTCCAGGGAGATGTCCACGATCAGACCCAGACTATCCGCGAGGCTATTGAATTCTCAGCCATCTTGCGTCAGGATGCCTCCATCAGCCGCGCAGACAAGCTTGCGTATGTGGACAAAGTCATTGATCTTCTGGAGTTGACCGAGCTGGAGGATGCCATCATCGCGTCCCTCGACGTGGAGCAACGCAAGAGACTCACCATCGGCGTAGAGCTTGCTGCAAAGCCATCTCTTCTTCTGTTTCTCGACGAGCCAACGTCAGGTCTAGACTCTCAATCAGCTTACTCCATTATCCGGTTCCTCAAGAAGCTGAGTCGCGCAGGCCAAGCTATCATCTGCACCATCCATCAACCGAGCTCCGTCCTGATCGAGCAGTTTGACATGGTACTCGCACTGAACCCTGGTGGCAATACCTTCTACTTCGGACCAATGGGCCAAAATGGCCAGCACGTTGTCAAGTACTTTGCCGACCGCGGCGCTGTGTGTCCTCCCAGTAAGAACGTCGCGGAATTCGTCCTGGAAACAGCAGCTCGCCCACACAGGCTTCCTGACGGAACCAAGATTGATTGGAATGAGGAGTGGCTTCGAAGTGACGAGGCCAGGCAAGTCAATGAGGAGATTGATTCCATCAGGCGCAGCCAAGTTCAACAAGAGTCCCAAGGAGCCAAAGAACACCACGAATATGCGGCATCCACATGGATACAGTGCGTCGAGCTCACCAAGCGCATGTTCCGGCAGTACTGGAGAGATCCTTCCTACATGTATGGCAAATTCTTCACCGCCGTCATTGTTGGCATCTTCAATGGCTTCACGTTTTGGAACCTGGGCTACACATTGCAAGACATGCAGAACCGCATGTTCACGTGTTTCCTCATCATCACCATCCCTCCAAACATCATCAACGCTGTTGTGCCCAAATTCTTCACCAACATGGCGCTTTGGCAGACTCGCGAGTACCCTTCACGCATCTACGGATGGGTGGCGTTTTGCACAGCAAGCATCGTTGCAGAGCTTCCGGCCGCCATCATCTCGGGCTTCCTATACTGGGTGCTGTGGTTCTGGCCTACCGGGTTATCAACCGAGAGTTCCGTGTCGGGCTACACCTTCTTGATGACCGTTCTCTTCTTCATCTTTGTAGACAGCTGGGGACAGTGGGTTTGCGCCTTTGCGCCAAGCTTCACGGTTATTTCCAATGTCCTTCCGTTCTTCTTCGTCATGTTTGGTCTATTCAATGGTGTAGTTCGGGCATATGGGGCCCTTCCCGTCTTCTGGAGGTACTGGATGTACTGGGTGAACCCTTCCACTTATTGGATTGGCGGTGTTCTCGCGGCCACACTGAACAATGCGCCGGTGCGTTGTGATCCGCAAGAAACGGCTAAGTTCGACGCTCCGCCGAATCAAACATGCAAGGATTACGCTGGTGAATTTGCGCAATCCGCCGGCGGCTACCTTCTCAATCCCGATGCCACGAGCGGTTGTCAATACTGCCCATACAGCAATGGCAACCAGTTCCTCAAGACGCTGAACATTGAGGCCGATGAAAAGTGGAGAGGTAAGCCGACAATCTCCTTTCCGATATTAGGTGTTGCTAACTCTTCTACCTAGATTTTGGCATATTTCTCGCTTTCTGCATCTCCAATTGGATGCTTGTGTACTTTTTTATTTACACTGTCCGTATCCGAGGCTGGAGTTTTGGTCTCGGGTACATTTTTGGCCCACTTGGAATGGTGGTGGACGTTATCAAGGGCTTGTTCAAGCCAAAGAAAGAGACGAAGTCGTAGATTGGTGACTATTCCGAAAAGACTATTAGACAATAGAGTAAGAAGGCAAACTTCATTTAATATACCTACTTAGATTATCGAGAGATTTCATACTCAAAGGATAGATAGCGGGATAGCAGTCGAAGGTGTAATTTTGGCCTTCATATTTGAATGTGTATGCTTAATTTTATTCTATTTGTCAGGGCTTTGTCATTGTCTATCCAGCATATCTCAGCTCCAAACTCCACACCCGCCTCGTACAAAGTGCCAATGTAAGCACCAAGTCTAGCCTAAGACGCCATATTCCCTGCTAGCCCGACTCATGGGGGAATTGCCTCGTTGACGTAGTTTTTGAACACCTCGTCGATGACCTTCTCGCACACCTCTTGATGCACGCGTTGGGTATACTGCAAAGCAAACGGCATGAAGAGCATGTTGCCCTCTATCACTATCGTGTCATACAACTCCCACTCGTCTGCCAGGTTTGTCATGAAGTTTGGCGTGCTCTCTGAAGGTGTGGATGACTGCGACTGCGCCCGAGGCCTGACAGTCCATTCACACCATACATTAATACCCAGGGGTGTTTTGACACGACTCCAGGCGCCCGAGGGTGTCGATTGGAAGACGACAGGGTACTCGGCCCGCCTTTTAATCCCCGACCACAGCTCCGTCAACTCGTAGACGTAGAAGGTCCTCCCACTACCGTCCCACGGCGGGGAGAAGGGGTCCCCAGCGGTGTAATTGGGGTCCGAAGGAATCTCACGGTACTGGTTAATACTGCGATTGTGGCGCAAAGTGGGCGTGTAAGTCTGCAGCGCGGCCAGGACAAGGTGCGGAGGCAGGATGCTTGGCAGGGGGACGGAGACGGTTAGGACGTGTTGAGAACGCATTCCTCGTCTAGGGAGAAGCAGGAGAATTGGTTGATTTAGGTGAGAGACGTTGAAATATCTGGGTAGGTGATGCACGGTCGGCCGCCCGCTGTCGTGATGGTGTTCTTTGGCGTTGTGGACGTGCGCGATTTTACCAGGTTTGTGTTAGACTGGAGGAGCTAAGAAGCAAGGGTTAGAGGAACGGGCGTTATTCTGGGTGACAAGGGAAGAAGATTTACCTGAAGGATAATTTGACTCGGTTAGTTGGAACAGAGACAGAATAGTTCACGTCCAAGTTTTCACATAGCGGTCTGAGTTTTCAGATACATTCTCCTCGTCTTTAGAAGGGATACTCAGTGGGGAGAAGAATTCCAAATACCTACAGTGGGGGGGCAAAAGTTCCGCGTTATCGCCCCACTGATGCATATTCCTCCCAGCTTTTGGGCTTCACTCTGCTTTTTCTTTATTTAATGACTGCTATAGGCCGGGGTTTGCCTTGGCTTTAGATGTAAAGATGTCAGCTTGCTAACCTTAGCAGATATAATATAATCTGCACTTAAATCTTTAGTATTTAAAGAGCAGAACTCATTTTCTCTTCTTTCTCTCTTTAGCTTTTAATGCACCAAAAGAGACAGTAGCTCAATAATGAGGTCATTGCACCCTGGTCTCTGTGTTGAACTTCAGCTTAACCCATCTGACTTCGACAATCTTGCTGTCTGTAGGTAAGACAGAAACCTTGTTCCACTAAACTTATTATATTAAAGTCTTCAAAGACGCATACAATATGAAAGGTGGAATACGGTAAGGAGAACCCAGTGTAACAATTAGGAAATAATTGAATAAATAAAATACCGATAAAAATTATATACAGTACTAAGCTCCATAGTGAACATAGGGAACCCAAAGTGGCCGCGCAGTCTTATCCTCTTCCTCTATACAGGCATCCCTTACAGCTCTTGAGTGTTGAGCAACCTTCCTTTCGGTTTCTTCTCGACTAGCCCAGTCATCACGAAGAAATCTTGTGGCATGGTGGAGCCCATAACTTATGTTGCTGTCACTTATTCCGTTCTTTTGCAAAAACTCGTACGTTAGTCTCGCCATGCGAACGCACAGCTCATCGTCCACCTCCCAGAGCGTGCCGATAACATGCCGAAAGCCAGCGAGCTGGAACGCGCTGATCAGGTGTATGCTCTCGTCAATGGATGCCTCATCGAGAATCTGCCCCGTACCGCAAGCCGAGAGGTAGGCGAGGAACGGAGCACTCGAACCGAGGTCGGCCTCCAATAGGCTCCCAACAGTGAGCGGGTGCTCTCTCCAATCTTTGAGCAGCAGCTGGCTCTGTAGAGGGTTTTCTTTGTCTGTTTTTCCATGTCCCGCAAAGTGGAAAATGGTACATTCTTCTAAAGCTGATGACACTTCGTCTTTGAATGGCTGCGGTTGGATGTACTCAAGATCCATTGACTGACAACTAGCACGCACCACTTGGGTTTCCCTAGTCGCGTAGTGGAGTGGTTTGTGTCCAGGTGTAACAGGCATGTCTACAAACACAGCCTTCATGGGTTCACCTGACCCGGTTTGCTGGCGACGTTGTCGAGAATGCATGATTGTCTTTATCGACGAGCTGTAGGACGAGATGACTCTGTCAACGGCTGTTTCTGACTTGAACTCAAGATGGTGCCCAGCTGCATGAATTGGAAGGCTGACCAATGGCCCTGTGGGAATCCACCAAACGTGTGGCCAGGATGTTCCTGATGGAGGCTCTCTGAACCCCAGATCGTTCAGCACAGGGCCAACAATCATATCCCAGAGCCACCCAAGCAGCTCAGGATTTTGAGTGTCCTCAGCTCTGTTTCGGATATCGCTTTGAGACAGATGAGGCAATTTCAACACTCTAATAGCAGACTTCTCAACAATCAAGGCGTCGCACCGGTGTGGGCTCACGTTGAGCAGAACGATTGGCCCATCAGTCGCGGCGTCTCGCAGCTCTGCTTCTGATGCAGAAAGAAGAAATCGCTCGAAGCCGGGCTTGCTGCGAATCTCATCCAGCAATACTGGCATTTGAGTCCCAGCATTGTGACGTGCATCGGCTTTGGCTTGAAAAAAGGCAGTATTGTCCTCAAGGGTGGTATCACTGCTCTGTGTCGTTTGGAGATCAAGTTCATCTCGTAGTTCAACGAATGTCTGCGCCAATTCTGGATGCTCCTTTTCCAATCCAGAAATATCAGCGCGCATGTTTCGAAGAGAGCTGGCTAGAACACCTCGGCCGGTCTCGAGCAATTCGATGGCAGATGCTGGCCCTTTCCCGGCATGCAACGCAATGGCTGCTGCGTCTGATGTAATCCCGACTACCTCCGAGAGAAGATACTGCTTGTCTTTATTTTGGATCGAAGGAGGAGTTAACAATGGAACCAGCTGAATGGTAGTGTTGGCTATATCGTATGCCCGTTCACTTTCGTGCTGAATGTCCATGGCTAGAAGGAGTTTTCGGCCAGCCATTGCACGAGTCCTGATGGGTGCCTGTGTGTAGCCCAGTACGCTCTCGAAACATTGTTTGAATTCTTCGAGGTCTTCTGCGCGTCTAGTTTGTGAATGTTGAGCTCGAAGACGAAGTCTAAGGTTGTATACCCATTTTGCCCGGTCAGGATGGGTTTCTGGTGTGAGCTGAACAGCCTCTCTAGACACTTCAACAGCCTCCTCTAGGGGTTGCAATAGCCCAGTACTATTATACATGTCGGCAAGATAGATTCCAAGATTACTCAACAAGGTAGCTCGAAAGAAATGATCCTTCGGGGTTACTCTGACAGCCTCACGGGCCTGGTTGATTGCCTCCGTCAGGTTGTTCATGTCCCCAACGAAGATGTACCGGTTACTCAGTTGAGCACTGAGATTGCTTAGTCGCATGGATCGATCTTGATGGCCAATTGGAGTAGCATCCACGGCCTCCTTGCCCACTTTAATAGCTTCGTCCAAGTCTGCAAGAGACTTTGTGCGTAGGTGTCTCTCTCCGAGTCGGAAGCAAAGGTTGCTTAGCCATTTGGGTCGCTCTGGATGGAACCCTGGCGTGGCCTCGACAGATTGCTTAGTGAGGCTGATAGCTTCGTTCAGATCCTCGATCGCCCCAGAGAGTTGGAATCTCTCGTCGAGCCGATTGCTAAGATTATTTACCCAAACAACCCGACTCGGCTGATCTTCCGGAGTAGTTTGGACCGCCTCTCGACCGAAGCGAATAGCTTCTTCGAGATCTGTCGCAGCTCCGCTGTATGTATATCTCAAACCGATAAAGTGCGCAAGATTGCTCAAGCGTAGAGGTCGATCAGAGTGATCCTTTGGGATAATCTCAGCAACCTCCCGGGCAATTCCGATTGCTCTTTCCAAGTCCAATATTGATCCCGTACGCGAGAACTTGTCGCCAAGTCGAAGCGCGAGGTTATTTGACCATCTGGACCAATCTGGGTAGTCCTTTGGTGTGCCATCAACGGCTTCCTGTGCCACCTTGATAGACTCGTCTAGCAGCGCCATCTCCCCATTGTGCTGAAACTTGCAACCGAGAAGAATTCCCAGGTTGTTCAAGATTGGACATCGGTCGGGTTCATCCGCTCCACAGGCCTTGGCAGCATCCTGAGAAATACGGATGGCCTCATCAAGATCCTCCATATTTCCGGTGGTGGAATATCTGTCTCCCAGCTGAATTCCAAGAAAGCTCAGCCTTCCTGCCATATTTGGACTATCCCCTGGAGTAATACGAAAGATTTCCCTGCACAGTCGAATTGCTTCATCAAGGTCTGATATCGCACCGGTGCGTGAGAATCTGTTGTTGAAAAGAGTACTGAGGCTATGTAGACGTAAAGGCCGCTCAATATGGCCCTCTGGAGTAGCGTCGACGGCCAATTGGCTTACTTTGAGGGCTTCCTCTAGATCTGACATTGATCCAGTTCGTATGTATCTGTCGCCAAGTAGGACGCTCAGGTTGCCTAACCACATTGGCCAGAGCGGGTCATCCTCTGCTGTTTCTTCGACAGCTTCACGTGTTGTTGTTATGGCCTCCTCTAGATCTGTTAATGATCCAGTTCGTCCGTATCTGCCGTTGAGTTGGGCGCCAAGATTGCTCAACCACTTGGTCCGATTTACATTGCCACATGGCGTGATTTGGAGGGCATGTCGGGTAAGTCTAATTGACTCTTCTAGATCCTCCATGAAATTGAAGCGTTTGTATCGACGAGTTATTTGAGCGCTCAGATTCCCCGATAGTTGCGCAAGGTCTGGGTGATCCTCTGAAGCAAGCTCGATGGCCTCTCGGGCCACTTTGATAGCTTCGTCCAAGTCGGGAATTGATCCTGTTTGGTTGTGCCTTTCACCAAGCCAAGTGCTGAGATTGGTTGAATATGAGGCTTCATCTTGACTGTCTCCTTCAGCGGCTTCAACAGCTTTTCGAGTTACTGAAATAGCCTCATCCAGATTCTCCAACGATCCTGTGAGCGTGTATCGTTGGCCAAGCCTGACACCAAGGTTGTTCAAAATCATAGCCATGTCATCATCTTCATCCGCCTCTTCAAGAATCTCTCGCGCCAGAGTGAGGTATTTTTCAGCTTCTTCCATTTTCGTGGTGCGTTAGTGTGACTGACTTGTTCAGCAGGTCTCCGCGTCCAACTTCTCTCTGGGTGATCCCCTCCTCGCGTCTTTTTCTCAGGTTGACCAAGTGAATATTCCGTTTCTTGAGTAAGTCCTAGTCCAAACCGTCGTCATGGACTAGTTAATATGCTGTATTGGAGTCTTGCGATTGGAGGAAGGTGATGCAAGCACGTTGGCTGTTTTCTTATTTCTCGCTCAGCTCCGAAAGACTCGCGGCTACCCCTCTTCTGAATTACTGGAGCCAGCTTATGTCACGTGCAGTGGTCCCGGTTATAAATAGTTGAAGTGCAAGGGAAGAAATCCTCTGTGTTTGGGTCATGCAGAGCGTGTTTCAGGATGCAACAAGCTGCGGCGAAAACCTGGTAATGAATAGAATAAACTTGAAAAATTGTAGGCATCCAAATGGGATTGTAACCAAACAACAAGCCGAGTTTTATGCCCAAAGGTTGGCTCAAACGGTGGTTTCGATTTCAATTCCTAAACCCCAAACCCCTGTCCGTAGTTGATCTGACAATGCTCATCTGCATGGGTTTCCCACTAACAACGGCTCAAACACTTCCAACCTGGCGGAACTTGGCGCAATAACTCAGAAACTCTCCCACTCGAGTAGTCGATGGGAGGAACAGGAACAGGTAAAGACATTAGCGACTATGTATGGTTCTTTTCTTATAGCTCAAGGAGGAGTTCACCAAACAGAAAGGTAACGGGAGGGGAAAGGTCTATTTACCAATACAATTCATTTATTTATTTATTTTGTATATGCTATTTTACCTATATCTAGGCCTATAGAACTCCTTCTAGCTAAATCAGCAAGAAAAAAACTTACAGCTATCTAGCTGTAGGATAAAAACCTCGCTGCGATTTCGCTCTGCTACTCCAAGGGGCTATATATTATCTTTTGGTCTGTACCAGTAACTCCGTTACCAGCCTTGTCCAGGTTTGCAGGTTGTGCCACACTCTTTCGAGAACTTCCCCCTGGACAAGGCTGGACAATTCCTTAAGTGCCTTCTCTTCGGCAGTATCTCCAGCGGTCCCTGCTTCGATTGGCGGTGCCGTTGCGATATCGTTTCGTTGACGCTGCCCATACTGGGAGGCGCCCGCGTTGGGGTGGAAGCTGCTGTTTTCGAGGCCAGCACGACCCGAATCCACCGCCATGGGCTCCTCCACCTCAGCGGTGCCCTGCGGCTGCTGCTGCGGTATCGTCACCTGGGTGAATTTGCGTGCTGATTTTGAATCTGATGTTGGATTGGATTTTAGGTGAGAGACCGCTGAGATCTCGATGATCTTGGTCTCTTGTGTAAAGTTTTTCTTCAAATACAATTCATTATACAAGCGAGAAAACGTCGATATCGAGGTACGCATTAATCATCCATATAGGACCGGGAGATAATGGTTTAGTAGATACACGTGAAAAGAGGTCACCCATTTTTGGTATATCGGGAAGATGCGTTTCCTTATATCCGAAGACTGGAACCAGACTGACAAGATCACCAGGAAGCGTGGCGACAGACCCGTGCCGTGGGTGTTGTTATTAACATTGAAACAAGACACGAGTATCGCTGCGGGCTTTAGGAATGTGGACTGAGACGTGTTTGACTGGAGACATGGGCCCCCTCACGGCCCAACCAGCCGAATGGTCATCAGCCAGCCAGAGAGATGGTGCTTCGCTCATAAGTGCTTGTATAAAGTGCTGTATCTAGAAATCATCCTCGTAGCAATTATCCAAATATCTCTTATATACAACCATAAGTTGTATCCTGTCGGAGTTGAACACATACTCCCTGTGTTCCAGTGGAACTTCATAGACCGACTCTAAGTCCACTAGCACAACTCGGCCTTGTACGAGAATCAAATTATCCAGTTTTATATCGTCACAAGCGAGGCCTAATGCGTTAAGCTCCTGGAACGCGACTTCGACAAGCTCCTTGAACTCGTCGGCCTGAATAGGCGGCAACTTCTGCTCCCACGGCATAATACCGACGACCTCGGAGAGAATGAGCGCGCGGGTTCCTTCAAATTGTGCCTCGCCAAAAAAAAATGGGGGATCACGCGGCCTTGAAGACTTTGGAGTCTTTCGTAGATATGCTTCTCGTTCTCGAATTCCTCAAGCCAGCCTGGCTTGACCTTCTTAAGCACCACGCGGTCAGGTAGGAAGAGGCCTGGAAAAATTGTTGCAACAATTGTTTGAAGAAAGATTGGAAGCCATAGGTTAGCTTGGTACTAGTTTATTTTTCAATCTCAGTATATGTTCCGAGAGTCGAGCGTCTTGGTGAATCGGGCTATTATTTGCGTCGTCGCCGTGGAAAACAGCATATGCCATATCGTCAGAAATAGCGCTGGAGGGTCGAGATTAGCGGTTGCTCGGGTGGCGGGGGGAGATATCGGTGCGGAAGATATACTGGGCAGTACAGGGTAGCACAGCGACTGCACCGACTCGACGCCCACACCGAACAATCTGCCTGATAATCTAGGGTTACTAGATAACTCTAGCTTTGGTTAATGAAGTTGATTCCTGGCAAGACTTGTCACTTATAGTCCAAGTCTTAATAAATCACCTTGTCTCAAGGTGATCCAGTCTTCTCTTCCAGCCCCCCCGCCATCATCAACCCACTTCTAACAAGTCACGTGGACACTATGAAGATGAAACTACTTCAGTCATCATCATCAACAAAAGGCCCACCCACACCACCGCGGCGACTTTTCCCTCGCTGCCGCGGTTCAAAAGTCTCCGCTCCGCGCGTCAATCAAACGCCACAGACCCTCAGAAGGCTCAGAGTCTCCATCAGCCGATCGACCCAAGAACCTTGATGGCCGCATACACGTCTCCAAACGCTCCGCCTGGCGCCTACCGAGTCGACGAGCCGCCATATTGACTCTGTTTCCCGACATGGAGCCCCTGAGTACCGGTATAAGCGACAAGTCGCAGCACCGGGCTTGTGACCCCTGCAGTAACGTCTCCCCTCAAGGCTAGTTGGTCCAGTAATGACGCGTGATGGCTGACCCTTTCTTTCTCTGTCTCACTAGGGAAGCGGAAAGTGAGATGTTCACGGCACACTCCGCTCTGTGAACGATGCTCGTACTTTGCCTTAAACTGCGAATACTCCCTCATGAGGACCATGGGCCGCCCGCGTCGACGCCAATCCGTCCAGCCGAGACCGGAGAATGCGCCGGCCCCGGCTTCCGGTTCAATGCCGACCGATCTCATTGACGTCGGTAGCTTTCCCGAGATGATGGACCAGTTTCTGGATGACTTCAACACGCCGCTTCCACCGTTCAGCATTGACTATGCTGCCGGGCAAGGACCAATACCGCCTACAACGAATGGCGACGGAGCCGGGACTGTCGCATTGCCACCGCAAGAACACACTTGCAGTCCCTGTCCACATCATCATGATTCTGTGATACCCAGCGATAAAACTCCAGAAAGCACTGCGACTTCTGCTCAGAATCCAGAAGTTGTCGCAACTCCTGGGCGCTCCTCCAAAAAGTGTTCCTGCGTTGAGCTGGTGAACCAGCACTTTTCCCTAATAGAAAACTCACTCGATACATTCCAGGCACTCAAGGTTTTAAGGCAGTCAATGGACTCTGCAAAGGAGATTCTAGAGTGCAGCGTCTGCTTCGTGTCCATCAAGAGCCCCCGGACCTCCAGGAACGTCTACTTGCTGGGCTCACTGCTGTCAAGCATCGGATCCTCGTATGGGGACTTTTTCTTCCACCAGAAGCAACGCGGCGTCGAGGCCTCGGCGAACGGGTCGCTGATAAACCTGATGGTCGGCCAACCGCCGGATGAGCACAGCGCGGTCGAGCTAGCAGTGGATGGGCCTAGCTACATGGCCTTTCTCAAGGCAAGCTTGAAATTAGAGCTCAATCGCCTCTTTAGTCTGAGCGACGGGCTCGCAGAAAGACAGAGCCAGCTGCACACCGAAGGCCACGAAAACTGCGAGACGGGAACGAGCTGCAGCAACACCGAGTCTCTACCAGCTGCCAAGCATCCCGCGGAGGTGTGTCCTAAGGAGGTGGACATGACGAAAGCCTGCGCGTGTTTTCGGACCGTCGATCAGGTACGGGCGGTGGTGGAGGAGGCACAGAAAATCATCCTGGCATAAATGAATCAAGAAATGTTTCAAAACTAAAGGATCAGCCTTGTAGAACTACAGCTTCTAGAACAATTCCCTGTACGCAATATCAGGGGGCGGATGGCAGTGACGTTAAATCGGCGCGGAAACCTGAGCGGGAGTTGGCGCGGAGACTTTGAAACTCGCCGCCAAAGTCGCCCCGGAGCGGACAACAAACCCCTGTCGCATAAACAAGACGATACTTATTTAAGATGCAAATCCCCTTCATCTCTAAAAAACACTCAATGATACAGTATCTTGAGTATTAAGCCGTACTACATTATTACCTCGATTCTTCCGACCATGGGTGCATCATGTTGCGCGAAACCAACTGGGGGCGACCAGTCTCCTCCGTCATCGCTCCACGAACACGGACACGACCATAGCGACCATGAGCATAATACTCACGATCACGACTCTCATACACACGATAACCAAGAGCACAATACTCACCAGCACGGTGGATGCTGTGACGACACCCCGTCCGACGACGGCCACGGCCACGGAGGATGTTGCGGCGACTCCCACTCGGATGCCTCGAGCATTATGTCGGAAGCCTCAACTTGTTGCGGAAGCGAGGAACGCTGCGACGGTAAGTCCATGCTCTCCGCTAAGGAGAACATAACCTCCAAGGCACCATGATCTGACGTTTGGTTGGCTGCAGAAAAGTGCATCGAAGCCGTCGCAGCATTCGAGTGCGGAAAGGTCTGCCACGACGACCCAGGCCATGAGAGTAAGCATATCCTGCCATATGCACCAACTACTTTAATTCCTGACCGAGTCCTAGAATCCCTGGAACATCCCCACGAGCACGAACACGGCGACCACCAAGCCGGATCTGCCTGCGACACTCACCTCCAAGCCGCCTTCGACCAGTACAGCAGCTACCTCGAACAGCTTCGCTGCATCTGCCGCAGCGTCATCGACCAAGGCGCGGCCTCGCTCGAAACCTGCTGCATGGGCAACCAGTCGAACGCAGAAAAAGCGAAGAAGAAACACTCGGGACACAAGCATGCTGAGCAGAAGGGAAAGCCGAGACGGGCTGCGATACCAACCTTTGTGCCATCTGGGAGTAACGCCAGTGAGGGCGTCAAGGGTCCTGATCCTGAAAAGTCCAGCGATGTAGAGACCGTCGGCTTTCTGGTCAGCGGCATGGACTGCACCAGCTGCGTCGACAAGCTGATGCGCGTATTTGGCACAATGATCGGTGTGAGCCAGCCTCAAGTTAACTTCGTCATCGGCAAGGGCGAGGTCAACATCGACACGTCCATCACGAGCGCCGACGAGGTCCTCCGCTTCGTGTCGACGGCCAGCGGCTTCTCGCTCAGCAAAATCATCGGCGGCGACTTCTTCCTGGATATCATGGCCTCGCCTGCTGAAGGGAAGCGGCTTGCTGCTGAGCCGCCTCGCGGTGTGACGGATGTCCAGCCGCTCGACAAGAAGAACGTGCGTCTTGCCTATGACCCCAACATTGTTGGAGCCCGCGATCTCTTCGCAATGGTCGAAGATCGCTGCGATGGGCTGTCCCAGCCGCGTGGTGACCCCCAGCTTGAGAATAGTCGCCGTCGTCTCTGGGACCAGCTCATCAAGACCGCCCTGGCTGCCGCCCTCACCATCCCCGTTGCAGTGCTCGCGTGGGGAGACAATCTCGCAAACAGGAAGACGGGAGGCATCATCTCTCTACTCTTTGCGACTCTTGTCCAGTGCATTGCCATACCCGAGTTCTACCGCCCAGCGCTGTCCGCGCTTTGGTACAGCCGCGCTGTCGAGATGGACATGCTCGTGGTCATGAGCATCACGGCAGCCTACGTCTACTCCGTCATCGCCTTCAGCTTCGACATGGCAGGGAAGCCGCTGGACGAAAAGCAGTTCTTCGAGACGAGCACCATGCTCATCACCCTGATCCTCGCCGGCCGCCTCATCGCCGCCTTCGCCCGTGTTCAGGCCGTTGCCGCCGTGTCGCTGCGGTCGAAGCAGAACAACACCGCCGTGCTCGTCTGCAAGGATGGCGACCGCGACATCGATGCTCGTCTGCTTCAGTACGGCGACCAGTTCAAGGTTCTTCCGCACTCGCGTATCCCCACCGACGGCCTGGTCGTGTCTGGCACAACCGAGGTGGACGAGTCGATGCTCACAGGCGAGACTCTGCCGATTGTCAAGAAGAAGGGCGACGCACTCATCGCCGGCACTGTGAATGGCGACGGCACCGTTGTTGCTCAGCTCACCCGCCTGCCTGGGAAAAACACAGTGACAGACATTGCCCAGCTCGTCGAAGAAGCCGCCAACTCCAAGCCAGAGCTGCAGGACCTCGCCAACAAAATCGCCAGCTGGTTTGTTCCCACCATGGCCGTCGTGGCCATCCTCGTTTTCGTCATCTGGATTCCTGCAGGAATCAAAGCTCTGGACTACAGCACCGGGAAAGGCGTCGGGAATGCCATCACATACGCTGTAGCTACGCTTGCTGTTGCATGCCCCTGTGCTCTCGGCCTCGCCGTCCCCATGGTTCTGGTTGTTGCTGGGGGCATCGCAGCTAGGGGCGGCGTCATCATCAAGTCGGCTGACACTACCGAGGGTGCTCGCAAGACGACCGATGTCGTCTTTGACAAGACGGGAACCATCACTGAGGACGAACTCGCCGTCGCTGAGCAGATCAATCTGCGAGGCAGCGCAAAGGAGAACGTCACTCTGGCCAAGTCTCTCGTTTCTGGTGGCAAGCATCCAGTCTCTGCCGCAGTTGACAAGTACTTAGACCAGCAGGCTGTCAAGGCCGTGTCTGGAGTTGTAAACGTCCGAGTCGTTCCTGGCGCAGGCATCGAGGCAGATTACAAGAACTCGAGTCTTCGGGCCGGAAATGCTCGCTGGACAAAGGCCGACTCCGAGGCAGAGGTGGTTCGTCTCCAACACTCTGGCCTGACCACCCTTGTCGTGACTCGGGATTCAATCCCCCTTGTAGTCTTTGGCCTCACCGTCAAGATTCGACCCGAAGCTTCACGCGTCATATCCGAGCTCAAAGCCCGCAACATCGTCGTCCATCTAGTGTCCGGAGACCAGACCAAAGCGGTCAAGGCAGTTGCCGACTCTGTTGGTATCCCACCCGAGAACGTTGCTGGACAGCGGACTCCTTCCGAGAAGCGCGACTACATCTCTGCCCTCATGGAAGACAAGTCCAAGTACGTCCTGTTCTGCGGAGACGGGACCAACGATGCCGTAGCCGTCGCGCAAGCCAACGTCGGAGCTCAGATGGGCGGCGGCCTGACGAGCAGCGACGTGACCCAAGGTGCGGCCGACGTGGTTCTGATGAGCGGCCTCGAGGGTATTCCGTTCCTCCTCAACGTCAGCAAGGCCTCTTTCCACCGGATGGTCTTCAACTTTGTCTGGTCTGGCATCTACAACCTTCTTGCTGTTACCATGGCCAGCGGTGCCTGGGTCAAGTTCCGTATCCCTCCCGCATACGCTGGGTTGGGCGAGATGGTGAGTGTCGTGCCTGTAATTCTCGCTGCCGTCTCCATGTTGCTCTTGAAGCTTCGTGAATAGAATTCAGAAAATGTTAGGTAGGAAAGTTTATCTTTTTGTACAGCTCTATTTTAAGTTAGATTTACCTCTTTACTTCTTGATAGTATTAGAAGTATTTATCTTTAAATTGAAAGGAATTGTTTATCAAAGAAAGCTCAAATTTATACTAGTGAAGTGTGTTTAGAAGAGCAAACTACTACTTGTATTATTTAGTGTCCCTTGGCCATGTTATGTCTCAGAGCTGGTTCGGAAATTTCTTTCACGAGGATTTGTTAGATAAAAGCTGCGGGAATTGTCCCTCCACGAAATGTTCTGAAGATGTGATGGAAAAATGCGCGTTCAACAGCCCAACTAAAACCAACACGGCCCCCGGATCGATGGTGCGAAAAGATTTAGCAAGCAACGAAGCTGGGAAAATTGACGAGGAAGGGGAGGTGCGGATCACAAAAAGTGTGCAAATATCGTTGTTCAAATGTCCAGGAGACAGAAGACGAGAGAAAAATAAATTGTTGGATGCCAAGTATGGTGGGAGAATCCCATCACTTATACCTGTGTGCACTAGCAAATGAAGCTATTGTGATCCTTTCCCTTTCAACCACCTACAGGTATATCCAATCCAGCCACACACTCAGATAGATTCATTATGGGTATTCACCTGCGTGGATACGTTTCCTAGCGAATTCTAGCATTTGGTTCAAGAGCGAGAATAGCACTTTATCCGTACCCTGTAACCAGATATTATCATGCCCCAGTGCCACCTAAGCGTCATAGCCAACCTCGAGAGTCTGAATGCTTCGTACCGTCACTCTTGCAGCCGTTGAATCCTCATGTAGACTGAATTTATCATTTTGGGAGCCTTAACACGGCCATCTGCCCTCGGGGCTCGGTAGACAATCGTCCCTTTGAAATGCGGGCAGGGCTCCCGGAGTCCAGATTAGTCTTTCCCGATGGGGATGGAGAGAAGAATGTGTGAGATCTGGTGCTGTTGAACAAGGAATGTACATGTACATTCCTCCACATCGGCTATAACCCACATCACCCACCCATCAGACCTGCATGAGCATAACTTGTTCAGTTTTCCACAAAGTGAGAACCCGCCCAGCCCCTATACAGGATCGTGTAACCCCCACTCGGTGTTTTCCGGAGTTACAGCACGGAATTATGAGGGTGAATACCAGAGCGGCGTCTCTTCAGGTCCTTGACTACTGGGTTCGACTGCCTGCTCCTGCATTCGTAGCCTCGCGGCCCTTGCCCGTGAACGTTCCTTAACTCTTCGATCACAAATCAAGTTTGAAAGTTAGTAACCCGTGACTAAAGATTTACCCGCCCAGTGGCATACGTATTCACTATCCAAAGTAGACGGTCAGAAAATTTTCCAGGCTTCATGTCCAGTTCCAATGTGACCCTCTCGGATCCGGCCCAGGGCGAAGTCCAGCAATCCGAGATGGAACCCTGTCAAGATACCCTGGTAAGGCGTGGAACATGCCAAGACGGCATGGAACTCTATTCACCGCGGAGTTCGGATCACGGAGTTCGGATAACTCCGCATGTATTCTTGGACTATGTCCACCTATCAGTATCTAGCGTGGGCTGGAACCTAGTCATGTAGAAAGGAGGATTAGCATTTTGGTGCCTCATTTTGAGCCTCATGAGATAAGTAGCTTACCATTGTAGATGCAACTAGCACTAGCGTCCGGTGTGCATTGACGATGCATATCGATACTCTCCACCTGGCCTACCTTGGCACTTTCGCTTCCTGCCGAGCCACATAAGCATATCTATCTATGCCCCTGAATGAATAGGTCCACCTTCTTGTTGGGGATCAATGCCGAAGACGGTGAGGAATACGCGAATCAATAGCCTGGCATTACGCCATCTTGGCAGTCTTTTCTTGGCGAGATCCATACGCGGAAGCCAAGCGTATCTCTCGGCAGTCCCGGCCGCCAAGACTTGAGAAAAGGTGAGACGTCGTATTTTATGAGTAATTGTGAGCAAGGGCTAAGTCATGGTGAATATAAAATACTGCCATGGAAACACTGCAAGTATAATCCATTCAGCCTACCTTTCACCATCACGAATACCCGGCCTTGTTTCTTCTCGTTCCTTTACCGGCTCTAATCCATTTACTTGCCTGTCTTGACTGCTCTACACTCCCCGACAACCAATCGCAAGAATGTTCAAACTTCTGCCTGCCGTTACTGTTGGCCTTGCCGCCCTTGAAATGGCTTCAGCAGCATGCACAAACCCAAGTGTGCGACAGCCATGGTGAGTTCTGCCTTGACTGCAATGTTATTTGTGCCTTGGGCTAACCCTCTCCGAGGTCTGCCCTGACCGATGCCGAGAAGGCTTCCTACATTGAATCCACTCTCTGCCTGATGGACCCTGAGAAGGCTCCTTCGAAAACTGGATTCGCTGGCGCCAAGTCCATCTGGGAAGATCTTCAAGTCGCTCATGTTGCTCAAGTTCAATTCATCCACCGCGTGGTAAGCCATCCTCTCAACACAGTCACAATTCCGATTATTCATTCATCTTGACATGGTTGAAACTATATCTGACTCTCCAATCTCGTAGGGAGCCTTTCTGCCATGGCATCGTTGGTATATGACTGTCCACGAGACTCTTCTCCGCGATGAGTGTGGATTCACCGGCCCTTACCCGTAAGCTTTTATCCCATTTCACTTAGATTTGAAGAAAAAGACCACTTATCATTTTTCTAGCTATTGGGATGAGCAGGCAGATGAAGCTGCGGGCCCTCTCGGGGAGGCCAGCATCTTCAGCCCCAGCGCTACTACTGGCTTCGGTAGTAACCTGACAGATGCGAACATGTGTGTCGTGGACGGCGCGTTCACCGATATGAAGCTCACCTTGAAAATCGATTTGTCCCGAGCTGAGCCAGTTTGTCTGCAACGGAACTTCAAGCAGGTGCAGTTTGACTTGATCTCCCAGAGCTCTGTCGATGCGTGCATGGCTATCGAGGATTACGACAACTTCAACAACTGTCTCGGCGGAACCCCTCATGTGTCCGGTCATTATGCTATTGGAGGCACGGTATGTTCAGCCTTATTTAAACCCTTCGAATTACACCTGCGAAACTTGTTACTTACGTATTGTCTTAGATGGACGATGTCTCTCTTTCTCCCGCCGATCCCCTGTTTTTCATGCATCACACCAACTTGGATCGTCTCTGGTTCGAGTGGCAGAGCCAAAACGCCTCTCGACTGACTGCTATTGGTGGCCCCAACGTTGCTTCGGGAGTTACCCTAGCTCAAGCTCAGCCTCCCTCTCTGCCCGTCGAGGCCTTCCTGCCCTACTTTAACGATGGCGGCGACGAGACTACCCACGATCACATTATGTGGATGGCTGGCGTGGTGCCTAATATTACTGTTTCTGATGCTATCGACCCTAAGAGCGATGGCATTTGCATTGACTTTTAGTTCGATAGTATTTGAGAGGTCAGGGTTAAGCTTCCCTAGTTTTATTGTATATAATGAGGGATTTAACTACATTATTACTTTTGTCTACTCGGATACACGAGTGCTCTGTAACTTGCCCATAAAATTCCCTATTGAGTGCTCTTTCTTTTGTGCTCCTCTTGCATCTTCAATTCCTCGTGCCGTTGTATATTCTAGCGCCTTAATATCTGTACTTTGCCACTATGCATCCGCCTCTTAGTAATGTCGGCTGTGCGCAAGGCTCGGTATCAGGCAATCACTGTTGCATATTCTAGCGCCTTGGTAGTACGCCTTACTATGTTAATCTGCACTTCGCCACTGTGCATCCGCCTTGTCTGATGTCAGCTGCGTGCGAGGCTCAATTCCAGAAGTAGATGCCACGGGGCATGCCCTCTGGCTCATATAGCAGGATAGTGACCAGACTACATCCCTATGATGCCTATTAGGCTTACCGTCATTCCTTGCCTTTTCGTTCTCACTCCTTATTCGTCGAGGCTCCCACCTGCTCGACGGCGAGACTCGAAGCCCACCGAGATTGCGTTTTAACAATCTTGAAGTCGCTGGCACAGAGCACTAGCTGCCACAGCCTGGTTTCCAGCTCACGGCGTCAGAAAGGACTCTTCCACAGCCTCGATTCCACTGCTTCACCCGTCTGGGTTCAACCCTCCCCACTCGAACCGCCTACCCGATCTGAACCCCTCCTCACGTCTCTACTACGACCCGTGCGCATTTGCAGCCCAGCCCAACTTACACGACACTCTCCCACATCATGGACGAGTCAATTCTCACAAATGCAGATCTCTCGGGGTTATCGCGGGAGCCGACCTCTGCTCCTCCTGGACCGTGGTACCTCGAGCCGTCCTCCGACGGGTAGGCGGGATAGGGCGGACAGTTATGTAGTATATGTCGCACATTAAACCTGAGGTGGCTCTTGAAGAGCGATCTTTCACAAGCTCGATCGAAAGGCGAGAAAAGGGCGTCGCCTCATAGCGATGAATTTTCTCTCCCCCTGGGAAGTTTGTTGGGCATTCTGGCTCGTATGAAAAGCTGCGCATTCTGCCAGTTGATCATTACAACTTTTACCTCCGACTTTAACCCAGAGTTTCAACTGCTCCTCGACTGGGCTTCATCTTTGTCTCCCCCCCAAACCCTGCTCACTTAACAAGATTTGCACGCGAGCTGCCTGGTGGCGTAGCTAAAGTTTCCTTTCGCCCTGTGGAGTCTTCCCCTGGCCTAGTAAAAATTCTGATTCAAAAGGTCAGTCCCGAAAATATCAGAACTTAAGCCCCAGGCAGCTTGGTTCAGTCTGGACACGAGACCAAAAGACCATGGAACGGTGACTCTATGGGACAACGGGCCACTCTTCATTCGAATCTGGCTGTCCGCCGCTTACAATGGTCGAATAATATGCCACACTCTGCTGCACGAGCCGAGTAGGTCGGGCCAGCCGGAAATGGGGCGACAAATCTCGCCTCAAATCAACGTATCTCTTCTGTAACAGTGGCTGCACCTGGAACCTCAGCCAAGGTGGTCGCCGCGGGTTCAGATTCCATCAAACGTTTTAAAGCTCTTCAGCGTCATCGACATCAAGAATAAGAGACTCGTCTCGATGTCTTCGCGATACAGGTACACTACGTTGAGTTACGTATGGGGAGGCAACACACGAAATAGGAGCCTCAATACTAGGGCCGCCGTCGGCCATCTACGAAAGAAGGGAAGCATTCGTCATGATAACTTTACACTTCCTGGCACCATTCGAGATACAATTGACTTGTGCCATCGACTGGACGTCGGATACTTGTGGATCGACTCGCTCTGTATCACTCAAGATGACAAAGCATCGAAAGATGTGCAGATTCAACATATGGACGCTGTCTATCGGTCAGCTACCTTCACAATTGTGGCTGCGAGTGGCCAGAATGCCGACACGGGACTGCCGGAGCTCAATATCTCCAACCCACGGCGTATCTGTCAAGAGTCCGCTGAAATTGATGGCCTGCCTCTTATCCGCAGACCTCCTCGGCCAACCATTGAAGACGAAATATGGGCCATTCGGGCTTGGACATTGCAGGAGGATTATCTGTCTCGCCGGAAATTAATATTCTGCGATAATCTTGTCGTGTTTCGAACGTCCTATGAGAAGGAATGTTTTGACTTGGAGGAGAACGCCCACCCTCTCATAGCTAGTGTTATGCGATCGGTGGAGTCTCGCATCCAGGGTGCCACCTCCAACAATGAGGGCAGACCTACAGCTGTCTTTCTGGAATACGAATCTCTCGTGGAAGACTACTCAAAGCGACGCCACACCGATAGCGGCGATATAATCAAAGCATTTAGCGGCTTGCTCCGGCATCTCTCAGTGAAATATCAAACCAGCTTCGTTCAGGGCCTTCCTGTGTCGTCTTTGGAAGTTTCCTTGTTGTGGCTACCCACTTCCCAAGTCGTCCGGGGAACAGATCCAAGCTCGGGCACAGTCGTCGCCCCCAGCTGGTCCTGGGCCGGGTGGGATGACAGCGGAGTTCAATACGAATTAATAGACCCCGTCCATGTTGGTAGAATAACCTGGGAGGACGCTGAGATTGCAAAGTTATGCCAAGGGATCTACCCAGCACATATTAGGCAAAGGGGAGGGAAATTTTGCCGGGGCTGTCTGTCTCCACGATCCGGACACAAATCCTGAGTATACTATGGATAGGCACATCGGTCCATTTGAACTGGTTGCTGTCACTAGAACTGGACCAGCAACCTGGGGTGACCAGGGAGCTCCTCCGCTGCCTCCTGATGACGACTCCGACTTACAAAAGGAGGTTTCCCGACCTCGAGACGAGAATGCGCGGCCCTATGAGAGAGACTATCGGGACGAATATATGGAGCAGCTACGGACCAAACCGACTGTGTTTATGAATCTTGAAACGAACGATCCCTACTTTTTCTGCCAGCCACATAGACGCTTTTAAGACTACAGGAAGAGTTGGAGTATTTATAACGTCCTTGCAATCGTGCGGAAAGGCGATGTAGCGTATAGAGCTGGGGTGGGCCGATGCGTGGCGGAGGCATTTTGGAGAAACGGTGCTGAGGAAAAATTGGTTGATATAGCCTGAAGTCTGGGATATTTGGTTTTTTTTTTAGCTCTACTCAATATCATCAGATAGATCAAAGCCATACAGTAATCTCAAACAGTAGGAATAAACAATAAGTACTACACCCAGCACCAGAAGAAACAGTAGCTGAACAATAAGGTTGTTGCCCACCGGTTTCTGCCTGAAGCTTCCATTCAACCCCTCTGACTTCAACCCTGCTATGTGTAGACAATAGGGTCAGTCAACGACCTTGCTGTCTGCAGTTAACGACCTTGAGATAGTAACCTTATTCCGAGCAATAGGATATAAGGGAGACCATCCCTCGCAAGGCCCTTGTTACGTATATCCCTGAGTATCAGGGATACGAAGATGGCTTCCGCCACAATACTGGATTCATTTAGAATCTACAAGACAACACAGAAAGAAATAAGCTGAATAACCATCTAAAATTCCTTCGAGAAAAGAACCTCTTAGGTCTCTCGCCGCACTGTCCGCAACGCCTGAATGGAAGCCAACGAATCGCGTTGGCTATTTTCGGATGCCATTTGCTTCTTGACGATAGGACTAGGGTTGATGTGCAAGGAAATGAACTTCTTGGCGGCAATGTTGTCACATACATCCGAACAGAAATGGCCGCGCTTTATGACTTGGCCGAAGATGAAGTCTGGGATATAGTTAATTAATTTCCTGGGATTGGTAGATTTCTGTAAGTTTATATAGGAACTTTAAGATGCAGTTTGGAATGAATTGATTTTTCTCTAAATTAGTAACATAGTATTTCGGGGTTTTATTATTAAAATTACTATTCTAACTACTGTTTTAAATTCTATATAATTACATACTTATAGGAAGGAATCAAACTGTTCTCCAACAGATATCTGAGAGTATGGCTTTTACCAGACCATTGACTGCCGCAGACGAGAACACTGGAACTCTCGGCAGATGATGTTTCCATGTTTTCGGAATTCCGTGTCAAGACCCCAATCGGTACTTTTGTTATCTTTGGCCGAATCCCCCTCCGATTAGACATTCAGGATGCCAGCAGGAAGATCATGTGTAGCCTTAGAGTCCTGGAACGATATCACGTTGGGTCCTTGCTGAATGAAGAGTCAAGAGTCATCTCTTTGTGACTGACGATCCTCATAGAACGACGCTCCTAAGCGTTAGCCAGGGAATCTGCGTGTTTATGTTTCACCAAGGAGTTAGTCGCATGAGCTCCGTCGAGACTACTACGTCTCTTCAGACTTGAAATATGGCCACGATTCACTACACAAGAGTAGCACGCCCATAACACAATGTACAGCCTTGCCTCTACATCCTAAACTCAATGATGATTCGTCCACTAGCGTGTACGAGGAACCGACGCTCAGCCGTCTCCCAAGATTGCCGGGGCGGACTTCTCCGAAACCTATCCCTCAACCCCGTCACCTTCCGCTTTTGTTCATGCATCAAGTTAGTATAGCCATCAACTAACACTCCTAATAGTTCAACGTCTTGCTGGAAATCCACGCCCATTTCAGCATAGTCTTCGATTTTGAATTCCGCTCCGCTCTCCAGCAGCAGCTGTACCACTACACCGGGTTCTTCAGCGTTAGGTAAACAGTCCGGAGTGACGCCTTTCCTCAGTTGAGAGTGTATATGCGTGGTGTTGGTTTTGGGCTCCAACATTCCAACCCTCAAGCATTTCCTTAATCCTAGGCTAGTGCTGAATCGAGGAAGACTTGTCGTAAAGTTCAAATATCCATCAGAAGAACTAGGGCGACCCTCGGACAAGATTGGGGCTCCTGAATTCGAATCTGGCATAGAACCAGTGCTCCTGAGGGAAACCAATGACCTGCTAGCGTTGCCAGCTTTGCTCATGACACCTTGGCTTCCAGCTACCGTCTGGTTGGTCAATCTTTTGCTCTTCTCGCCAGGCCCGTTGTCAATTGTCTCACCGCTGTGGTCAATGATACCTTTTCCACTCATTATTTCACTCCTTTCGTTGGTTAGACCACCGCGCTCCTCGTCACTCATATAGTCGCTCCATTCCTCACTGTCTTCAGTCATGTATCCAGACGCACCACTGTCCTCATCGTCAGGCCCTGGTGTGTATTGGCGATCCAACGGAGGCTTATAAGTGTATCTCTCTTGTGGATTTCTGAGGACCACTCGGCTCCGGACAACATTCCAATAAGCCGCGAACAGAGCTGTCCGCCAGGGTCCAGAAACCTCTGCTACGCCCGCCCCGCGATCGATTAGAAACCGAACAAGAGACAGGCTTCCGTTTCGGCAAGCCACTTGCAGGATCGTAGTTCCATCTGGAAACTTGACATTGGTATCCGCTCCGAATAAAACGAGAGGCACAATTAAGTTGTGGTCCAAGTTCTCCATAGCTATTTGCAGCGGGGTGAGCCCGTCACTGCCGATGGCGTTGGGGTTCGCACCACATTCGAGCAAAGCCCGAACTCCGAGTCTGTCGGCCCGCAAGATGCTCATATCAGTTCTCTCCGAATACCGACGGGTTGCGGTGAGGATCGGGGTTTCGGTAGGATTTACTAGCCCTGGCTCGGCATCGAACAAGAAAGGAAGAGGAGCTTCAATATCAGCGCCTAGAAATGCGAGATGGTGCACCAAGTCAGCCTTGTCAGTCATGGCAGCTAACAAAAGAGCTGCGGGATGATGATTCTTGATGTCAGATGCCTGATCAGCTAGAAAGATCCCAATCTCATGGCTTGATACATGCAGACAAGCGATCTCTAGCGCGGTTAGGTTCCAGCCCAGGTTATGTGATTTGGCTCGTTCCTCAATATCCGCTCCCTTTTTAACGAGGAACTTGACCGTTTCCAGTGTACCCACATGAGCTGCTAGATGAAGCATCGGGCCTCTGGAGCAATATAGGGGGATTTCTGACCCACTGTTGAGGATCAGTTCAACGATATCATCCCGTTTCGATCGGATTGCCATTTCGAGAGATGATTCCCAAATGCCGTTGAAATCGTCCCTTGCACCATGCAATACGAGTAATTTGCAAATCGTATACCGCCCATTCCAAACTGCTGTGTTCAGCAGGCTCTGCCGGGAAGGGGATGGAATTTCAGTGCCTGATGTTGGCTCTGTATGTCTTGGAAGCCGAGTTGATGCAAAGTTCAGGTCTAGGAGGCCTTGATCAATCCATTTAGCCAAGGGCTGCTCCATGCCTGCTGCAGCGCACCACGCAGCAGGATAAAACCGCTGAAAGCCACTCAAAGTGGCGATTGGGGAAGGGCAAGGGAGCCAACGAAGCGGGTTGTGAAGAAGAGCCCAAGCTCTGTATGAAGGGCTTCCCCTGGTTGGATGATTGAAGAAGGTCTCCAGGAGACTCCTGGTAGCGCCTTGTCCATCTTGAGCCGTCCAAATTCCCTCTGCAAGTTCCAGGTGAGAATACCACCCAGCCATGGCATACCGAAGCCATCCTTGAGGAGACTGATCCTCGAGTTTAACCAAATCGAACTGATTGCGCGGGATCAGGTCATCGAGGCGTCCGATTGATTCGCCAAGAGACAAAGGATTGAAGTCCTCGCGAAGAAGGCGAAAGAACATGTATCTCAGAAGGCGCTCAACACGACTGTACGACTCGCGTGGTGAACAGTACTCGGTAATAGGACCATCATACGGCTCTTCATCTTCATCACTTCCCACGGAGCGATCTGGGATTGAGAATCGCATCATGGTTCGGAGACATACTCTTGTAGCGAAAGCATGTAAGTCAGGCAGGACCCACTTGTGTTTGAGTAGATACTCGACGACTGAGTAATGAGAGAAACGACAGAGCAGTTTCCCACCGATATATGTAGTGCCCATATCCTGGAGTGGCATACTTAACTGCTGTTCCTCATCAGACCCTTGCTGAGTTGAAGAAGGGATACCTGCGGGGTGTTGCACTAATATCCTCTGGAACAGTTGCACCTCTCCAGGGGAAACCCATCGGGGCTCACTTCGTCCATCATAGAAAACCTCAATCAGGTTATGGCACGCATCCAAAAGATACGTAGGCTCGAGGTCAATGTTTTCGTTGAAGTCTTCGTCTGGATCCTGGGATGCAGCAATGACGAGCTCTTCCGGAGAAAGCGGCCGAGTCGAGCAAAGCACCCACTTCATGGCGGCAATGGCGACGTGCTTCTTGCTTCCCCTCTGAGATATGATGCCATCATATATTTTGTCATACGCGGCTTTAAGACCAATAGGAACATCGTCGAGGTATTGAAGCACATCGGTGTCGCGCTCAAGTTCTAGAAGTTCCTGTATATGCAAAGCAGCCCACTGAAACCTGGCTCGAGGGGGCCAATACGTATTAGTTACGGCCATAGAGTTAAAGGGGGGGGGCCTTACATTCCATCGCTCTTCGTCCGAAAAGTATTCAAAACCTGCTCCCGAACTGACTGGCTCATCCGAGTTCTGCAGTAACGACTTCCTTGCATTCGCTCCAGTACAAATTTCACAATATCCCCTTGGTTTCTTGACGCGTCGACCTTGAGGTGATCCGTTCTGGAATATCGATCCGCAAGATCCTCGTCCTCTCGGCTCGCAATGAACACCTTTACCGGATGCTTTGCTGTCTTGACGAGATCGTCCAAGGTATCCATCAAAGTATGCCTAGTTTTCCTGTCGCATTCGTCCAGTCCATCCAAAACAAAGGTGGTCCGCGGGAAGACATTGACGAGCTCCAACAGCAAGGCTGCGCAGTCTTCAGCACTGAGAACAGACGCAAAGCCCTTCGCTTTCATTTGTGTATACTTGTCGCGGACACATTTGACAATAGTCGTGTCTGATTGAGAAGCAGACAGTTGGCGAATGAAGCTCCGTAGGACCCAAACAGGATCGTGGTACTTCTCGCGGTTCTGGTCGCAATAGAAGTATGCCAACCCGTCATCGCTTCGCTCGCTCTCATTTAGGGCAAGTAACTCGTCAACCAGCTTGGTGGATAGTTTGGTCTTGCCGGCGCCGGCTAGGGTTATCTGTCAGTAAGAAGATAAACTCGTAACAATGGTGAGAACTCTTCCTGATGCCTTACGTTTTCCATGTAGCCAGAGGCAAATAGATGCACTCGTTGTCCGCCAATCTCGGTACACTTGGTCGGCGAGAAGCCACTCGCCAGTTCCATCTGTACGACCGGATCGCGCGTTGTAGTGATCCGCCTCATACTGTATGTCTGAAATCCACAGCAAAATTTCAAATCGCTCATCGGCTCCGCACTCGGCCAAGAAGCGGGTGCGTTCTTCTTCAGATATAAGAATATGTTGACTGAGAAGTTGTTCCATGTTATCATACCGCTGGTTCCATGCAGTATCGGCCGATGACCTGGATTCGCGTTCACAATTCGAAGCTTCCGCTTCGATCCTCCACTCAAGATTCTCCAGCTTAGTGATCCACTCAGAGAGTCCAGAGGGGTTCGATATCGCGTGTATCATTCTTCGTCCGAGGGAACGGTTTGTGAGGGCCACGAGGTGCGCCAATAGTGACAGTATTTGAGCGTAGAGGCAGATAAGTGTCTCTTCAAGCTGGGTGGCACTCTCGACAGCGCGGCAAGACTCAACGTCTAGGTACAGCTTTCTATATGTCTGGCATCGAGCAAGTAGGCAGCAGACTTTCTCAGAGCCGATCAGCATGTGTCCCGCGAGCTCTTGCTCAGCTGTAGCAGCCTGGGCCAGGTTAGCCAAAATTTCCTGGATTCCACATTTATTACAATGAGGCGGAGAGAAACAATGAGTTTGACTTAAGGAAACAGAGAGACATAAATAGAGAAACATACCGATAAAAGAAACCTAATTGCTGCCCATGGAAGTGCCGCATGTGCCGGATCATAGTTTACAACTACATCACCGACATCTTTGAACTTTCCCAGCCATAGGACAATCTTGCCGGCCACGTCTCGAAGTATGATATCCCGTCCCCGGAACCTAAACTTCCAAGCCTTATCATCAAGCCGCTTGATCTTCTCAGCCGCCAGCAATGCGAGATGGAAAGGTGTTTCGTCATTGACACCTAAACCTTCCATGGGTGTGCTACTACTGGCTAACAGTGGATCGAGTCCTAGGCGCAGTTCCTCGAGTGTTTTTCTTTCATCATCGTTGATGCGAGAGAGGGCAGCATTCCAGTAATCGCTACGAGGCTTAGTATTCCCGAGGAGAGGAGCAGCTTCTGTTTCCAGGGGCTTCTCATCTAAAGCGTCTTCATCCCCCACGCTTGATTCCACCACAGACTCATCCGAGGATGTAGCTTGACTCAATGGAGTGATACTTTCGGGGGCGATATCCGGCTTCGCGGTCTCGCTAGGAAGAGGCGTAATCCTTTGGGGTCTTGTTGAGTCACCGGTAGCTGCATCCAAGTCAACTATGGAGCTTTGCTCTGCGGTGGTCTCTAGTCTTGGGGCTTTAGAAGCAGCTACAGGCCTGACCTCGGCCGAAGACTGCTTCGTTCCGTCATTCTTGGACCGTTTTGGCTGCGGCGAGGCACGTCTTCGCAAGGCTTGCTTGAGCTTCGCTTTACTCCTGGAAAACAGCTCTGTCATTCTCAGTGAGTCCGCTGTGGTAAGATGCGATGCAAACTTCGAAAGCCTGGAACTGATAGTCGAGGCATGAGGGAATTTGAGAGGTTGGGCTGAGGTTGTGCAGATGGATGCCTTTTATTGGTTTTTCCATTTAGGCAATCATCACGTGCGCAATTGTTCATCCAACCGCCAACTATAGTACTTTTGAAAATGTAACGTGGCGCAGCATCTCCGTGACACCTCCGGTCACATCTCCCTTTCTAGCTTGATTTCTTCGGTGCTCAAGCAGATCCCCCCATCTCTTCATGACCGCATCGTTTGCGAGCTTGATGGTGAAATAATTCTTGATATTGAGCTGTCCCTTCCCTTCCAACAAACCACGACGCGTGTAAACGTGTAAACCTCTCGTAAATCAGTCAAACAAAAGGGCAGACTTTGAACAAAGGTGGCCTACTTGGCTTGGGGGTATATATTATGCTGACCACAATAGTTGTGTAGATTCTACCCTTGAGGCAAACCTTGGTGTTAGTTTTTCGACTCCCTTGGCTTCGCGCGTTCGAAGAGGTAAACTTTGTGCTGCCAATCCATTAACTTCTATTACCGAAGGTGCATGGCTTTAGACTTGCCTCCTTTTAGTTTTCGAATCTCTTCAGCCGTACATTTGAGGGTCCTGTAGGTTACGGGTTTTTTAGGGTGGGGATAAGGGTGAGGGAAAGGAGTAAAGAAGAAAACGTAAGAGTGGAAGGGGCCATGTTATTCATAGTTAGATATCAAGTTGCTACAGTTCCTTCAATAGTAATTCTTAAGAGGTAGTTTTGAACACCATAGCGAATTCCAATGTTGAAATGTCAGATGGAATAGTAACTGCCCGTAGCTTAACTTACGTGATTCATCGACTGATTGATATAACTTGAATTTCACTCAACCCCATGTTGCATCTTTTAACGCCAGTCATTTTTCTGAAACTTGGGATATTTGTGTTTTTGTCTTTTATTCTCCTGCCACCTTACAACAGGTCCACCTTGAGTGTAATCTGAACTTGTATACTGATTTGACCCAGAACTCAGTCTCTCTATTTGCTGCTATACGTGACGAGTCAAAGTATAGAGATAAGAGTGATCTAGGCAGGTTCTGCAGTTATCGTGATGTCCAAATTGTGTTCCTTAACACTGCATAACTGGCGGGTCTTACGTGAGTACTTAAAACACTGGTCCTAGGCTTTGCAAATTCAATATTGTGCTTTTCTATTTAATCATCACTTAAAAGCTCTCTTACCAGTTTTCATCATTATAACTTCCAGGTCTCTGTAACAAGAGTTAATCACGGTCGGATTACTGCTCTGACAGAACTCTACTATGTGACTTTACATTATCTCCTCGGATCTCTACTCACGTTCCCATTTGTACTATATACTCTTTTTCGCAGTGCTGAAAGGCTACTCACCCGCGTCTTGGATTTCTTCATTCTCTGCTCGTGGTGTGGCATCAGCCTCCCTTTTCAGTTTAGACACTTGTGAACGATACTCTAATCATACAAGACGATTAGCAGGCAGCAGATCGAGCTGTTTTTGAGGTAATCCGACGTACCAGATATTCCTTTGATACACTCTAGTATCGTTGAGACGGCAGTAACCAAGGCGACAATCTGCCCAAAGCCCCATGCGTTCTCAGAGTCACCGTTCAGGCGACCTTCATTCGCTGTTCTCAATGCAATAACCATGTAAAGATGGAGCGGATACTGCGCCATGGCCAGAATGACTATAACTGGAGCAAACTCCGCTACTTCATTCTGAGTCGTGACGCTCCGAACTATGTTCGTCAGCCCAGAGATCCCGAACGTCGTATTGCCAAGAGGTAGGGCCGTAGTAGCAAAAGTCGCTGAAATGGTATCGTGGCAGCCAACGCAACCCAAAAGGGCCGCGAGGCAGTAGAAGCAGGTTACGCCCAGGTATGCGAGGTCGACTTTAGGATGGGAATTACCCGGATAGGCGATGAACTTTGCGTTGTAGCAATGACCAGGGATGCTGTCGCTCCATTCGTTGAGTCTCACCCCGAAGACAACCGCGTATGAGAAATAGCAAGCGGTGAAGGCGATGAGTGAGCAAAAGCGTATGAATCCGTGTTCGCGGTCTTGGCCATAGACATTGATCAGGCTAGCGCAAATGGAGACTCTGCATTGGGGATTGTTATCAGCCTTACCCTGGAAATAGCATGTAGGAATCGACAAGTTTAGCCATGAAGTCTACATACGCAGTGAAATTGACCGTGTCATATATGATGTGCATGTGATACAAAGTCAAAGACTTGGACTGAATAAGCCCAGCGATAAGTAATCCAAGACCTTTGGGTAATAAGCGGAAGAATTTGTGATCAGGAGGGAAAGATAATCTCGATAATGAGACATACCGTTTATTGTTTGAGTATCACTGATGGTGAGGAGTATTCCATCAATTATGCCTTTCTGAAGGGCCCAATAGGATCCATGTCTTCGGTGTAAATCTGAAAACATGCGTCGCATGGGTGTATCATGAGTTTGCTCCCACAAGGCGCTAAATCTCTGAAAAAAAGTGTTGATTGTTTGTCCAAGAGGTTGTAGCCTTTCGAAACTGTCACAGAGTGCGGCAAAATCCTTCAACAGGTATATCATCGGGAGGTCAAATGGATTGGCCTCTGCGGTATTGAAAAGTGATTCCATGGCTGGCTTCCAGAGAAATAACGACATGATGGACAGAATGAGCGAGACTCCAGCTTGAAATGCGAAAGCAATGACAATCTAATTGCTCAGTTGTCGGCTCTCGTGCTCGGCCCGCTCGAGATGGAAACTTACCCCCAAGCCTGCGATATCGGCATTTGTGCTGCCCACATTTTGGCAGTTGGGACTCATTTCGACGTTGTAGATGGTTGGGGAGTTAGGCAGAACTAAGGAGATTCGAGTGGAGATTTGACGACTGCTTCACGTGATAATATCTAAATTATAGCGTCGGAACAGGGTTTATCCCAGACTGCCTATTGGACTCAAGCTATGTGGCGGTGGCTTGGGGAAGTGACAGAAGAAGCTGACATCAGAGGATTTCAGTAGCCACGCACAACCTCGACGCGATGCGCTCTTTCGCGGTTCGGGCTGCTTCGCATCAAGATATCTCGCTTATGGCTCGTTGCACAATAGGGAAGGACTATTAACTCAACGCCCTGATAAAGCTAGATAATACGCCCCACGTCCCAGCCTACCCTACACCTGCCTGAACAAGACAAGCCCGATTGTTACAATGTAGCTTCAGCTAGATTTCTTAGTTAAAATCCAGCCCCTTATATCTAGGCTATAAAAACATTTGTTATAATAATAGAATACCTAAGTTAATATAGTATATATAATATCAGTCACTACCCAAGTTTGCGCGATGGAATTTTTCATTCTCTCCCCTCTTTAGCTGTAGCTAGATAGCAATTGACCTGAATAAGGGGAAAGCTTCACTACTACAATAGCCGTTGAAATCCGATATCCCGATACGTGACAAATCTGCAACTATGCACGTTTGCGCCTCGATGTGCTCCACCGACAATGTCACCATGGCAAAACGGGAGGAAAAACCAGGGTCGACTTAGCGCATTTGTGATTTTCCTTGTGATTTTCCGGCTTCTTTTTCTCTGCGTTTTCCGTTCAAGGCCAGCCAAGCGCGTTGCCACGGCGGGAGGAGTACCGGTATCTCTTGGGCGGCTTATCATTGTGTGGCAGTGCATGACGCCGGCATTCATTGGAGCCGAGCATTGCTTGATCTCACATACCGTGTTTCGTGCCTCTTGGCGATGGCGATCGATCTCTGCATCTCGCTGGACCGGTAGGGGGGGAGGTTCCGCCGAGATACGGCGTTGCATCAATTGGCTGCTGCGTGGTGCTGGGCAATCTGTTTCGATGGGAGAACGCAAAGATCCCTCAGGTCCACGGTGTGAAACAGGCTGCTTGTTGCATCGTTTGGGCGGCTCTAGGGCAGGCGCTTGAATCGTGGAACCGAAAAACCCACGAAAATAGAAACATACATGGTGAGCAAGGCCGGTGGATTTGTATGTTTTTGCACATGTATGGCGGCCTTTTCTTTGGCTCCTCCTGTTCTCCCATCGACGGCCCACAATAATGGGAGCACGAAACGGGTTTTCATTCTTTATTTTATTTAAAATTAGCCCGGCTATTCACATGGCATGGCTTCTGTCTATGCTGTAGACCAGTGAACGAGGCTCTCCATTCAACCTCTGGCTCCTCCTTGTTTATTCAGTCTCTACTTCGTAATATTTCAATCAGCGTGGGTTTGGCCCGTATCAACACGAAAAACCCGGACATAATGCGACGACCGTTGGCTCCGGGTTATTCTCGTGCTGTGGAGACGCGGGTGGACAATGCTGAAGCCGTCAAACAGTTGATCTGGGCGGCCATGTGCCAGATATTCGGAAGAAACAAGCTTGAGCAGAGGCTTACTTGGTTCGACTCCGTAGAACCAGCCATGTGCTTTTTCTAGCCGCCGCCGCAGCCAATCGGCACCCACTAGCCGGCCGTTTCGACGCGGCTCTAGGTCCCCTTATCTCTCAAGGAGTGCTACTCCGTACGTGGTACGTAGTATGTACTGTAATTAGCTAGCAGGAGGCGGCCAGAGCTCCAATGGTGAAACGAAGTCCGGGCCCGACTCGGAGAGAAGCAGGCATCAAGGATCAGGGATCAAGGATCTAGCATAGGATCAAGCATATCTATCTTCTATTAATATTCCCCGATCTACAACGTAGGAGACAGCCCCCTGTCCTGCCACACCCGACGGGTAGGAGCCGCGTCTTCCAGCCGCTATGATGGACGCCAATTGTTTAGATAACGGCCTGACGCGTCCCTCCCCCCCTTCCCCTGCCCCTGTCCCTGCCTCTTTGATCCCTGTCCAATAGATCGTGGCTTTTGCCCGTTCGCGGCTCTGCCTAGCGTAGAACACGGCGACGATCCAGGAGCACCCGAAAACACCTGCCTTCTACGGTACAGGCCTGTATCTGCAGTATCACAGTGATGGGGCCCGCTCGGCCGTCCGAGTCTCTGAGACGGTTGACGTCCGCAATTGGTCCCGTTGATCGGCGGCGGCCTAATTATGGCAGCCTCCTTTCGTGGGAGTCTTCTCAGCGTGGCCCAACCAGCCAGCACCGCTCGCCACGCTTGGACAGAGCCGCGCCATAGGCTTCCAATGACGCGCAAATGCTTCCATGTTTCGCTGCTTCACCGCATCAGCTTCGGACTCCTTTGGAAATTTGAAAGCTCAGTGAGCCAGCGGTGGGTCTCCGTATCCCAAAAATAATGACAGCCGAAATCGAAATGCCCAACTCTCAGGTTGTCTCGCCTCGCCTCACTACCACACCGAATCGCCTTCCTCAAACGGGTACGGCCCTTACCGAGCTCTCCCAGAAATATTCGTGTTTCATTTTCACGATAGGACGGAGAAGGCCCACCAAACTAAAACCTCTGCTGGCCTAGCCATGTAGGACGCGAATCTATTCTCAGCAACTTGGTCGTCGTTCGCGCGCAACCGACTCGTTGCCAGTGCTATATATCATCCGGTGCAGGACCCTCACTGGCTTCGATGCAAAATCGGGGAGCTGGAATCCCTTTGTGCAGCGGTATTTTGTCTTTTGTCATTTTTCTCATTCCCGGTTTCCCTTGTCTTTTTTTTTTCTTACTGTTTTTCTCTTCTGTAAGATTTCCTTTGCGTCTATCAACTTTTCATTTCGAGCTGGACTAACTCACTCTCTTCAAGCAGCATATATATTGTCCCCCCCTACCTTCATCACGAAAACCAATAAACAAAAAAAGCCCGCTCAAAAAGATATATCCGGTCCCCGTGGCTGCCCGTCATGGATAGAAGGGGTGAGAAATCGGCTTGGACCGACTCCGTCGTGTCGACTCGCAAGAACTCGGGGGAATGGCAGCTATCGAGACCAAACTCGCCCATTCTATCTCATCTGGATCTCAAGATGGACCAGGGACAGGCCAACACAGATATCTACAGCACATCCATCACACCGGTTGTCGAGAAGGGCGCCGATCCGCACCATGATCACCATGGCGGTGTCGACATGTTCGATCCGAACCGGCCCAAGATGCCTTGGAAGCAGCGGCTGCACCACTTCACATGGGCTTGGTACACGCTCACCATGAGTACCGGTGGTCTGTCACTCCTCATTTTCGCTCAGCCGCACCAGTTCCCCGGTCTCAGGCAGATCGGCCTGGTTGTCTACGTGGTCAACATCCTGCTGTTCGTCGGTGTCTGCTCCGCCATGCTGCTACGGTTCTTCTTCAACCCCGGAGACATGGCCAAGTCGCTCACCCATGAGCGAGAAGGCTTCTTCTTCCCGACCTTCTTCCTCTCCATCGCGACTCTCATCACCAGCACCCAGCGCTACGCCATCCCCGACAATGACTCGACGCTAGCGTGGGCTATCCAAGTGGCCTTTTGGGGATACGTGATCCTCACCCTCATGCTGGCCATCGGCCAATACAGCTATGTATTCGCCGCCCACAGCTTTGGCCTGCAGACCATGATGCCGACGTGGATTCTTCCCATCTTCCCTATTATGCTTTCGGGGACTATTGCCTCTGTCATCGCCGACACTCAGCCTGAGATCGCGGCCGTTCCCATCATCGTAGCCGGCTTGACATGTCAGGGTCTCGGCCTGTCCGTCGCCATCCTCATGTATTCACACATGGTCGGCCGCTTGATGTCGGCCGGTTTGCCTAACCGCGAGCACCGTCCCGGCCTGTTTATGAACGTTGGTCCCCCGTCATTCACTGCTCTGGCCCTCATCGGCATGGCCAACGGCCTCCCAGATAGCTTCGACCCTGACCTGGACGGCGTCATCATCGATGCCGGCATCATCCGTACCATGGCCTTACTGACCGGCATCAGCCTCTGGGCTCTCGCCGCCTGGTGGTGGGGTATTGCCATAGTCGCAGTCCTCCAGTCGCCTCCCGTCTACTTCCATCTCGGCTGGTGGGCCATGGTCTTCCCTAACACCGGCTGGATCCTCGCCACCATCTCCATCGCAAATGCCATGGGCAACGAGGCAGTCAAGTGGATGGGGACTGGCATGAGCATTGTGCTCGTCCTCACCTACTTCTATGTCCTCTACCACCACATTCGCGCTGTGGTTATACAAGATATCATGTACACTGGAAGGTGAGTTTCCACGTTGTCCCCAGTAACCACTTCTGAACGATTGCTAACTTGCCGCAAGGGACGAGGATTACAACGACCACTAGTCCTGGTGAAATTGGGGGAGTCGACGGGATGGGAAGAGGGCGTTGCGTTGCACGACATTGGTGTCCGGGTTGGTCTCGTCATGCATCTCCAGGTCGTTTGTCACTTGGGTAGGCCTACGTGATTTGACTTGGGGACGTAGAAGGCACAGTTAATTTGATCCATCGCCGATGATTCGGATGCCCAATTATCACGAAATTGAATGCAAACTATTTGAGCGCCCGTTTTCGTTTCCTAGATTTCAGTCACCCTAGAATTATGCCTTGCACTCTCTTAGTGTGCAATACGAGGGCCTCTCTTTAGGTAACCCCGTACGTCGATCAGCACGGCTAGTGGAGGACCGAGGAGCTCTGCCATGCCGTTTTGGTCAATGTGTTAGAGCTTGTGATGAACAAAGACCTGGATAAGCTTAGGTCTTAGCTTTTATCTTCGGCTTATAGTGACGTAGTGACGTATCTAACGGCAATGATTGGCGCGACGTGGTGTGATTCTCTGTTGGTTGTTGTTGGCTGTGTAAAAGATCGACATTCATGCCTCAGAAGGAACATCATGACGTAGTTCAGGCCCGCATGGTTCAAGCTGAGATTATGAAGCCCAAAGCACTTTGGGTCGTTCTCCCTTCTTCTTCCATAAACATCTGCTCCCTCATTTTTTTGTCCAATTACTCCATCCAATTGCAGCCAACATCTCACAAAGCCCCAACACCAGACCGAGCCCGAGGCATCACCATGTTCAAGAAACTATCACTGATTGCCCTTTTTTCACTGCGCACCTTTGCGCAGGGGGCACGTTGGTGAGACTAGTCCTCCTTGTTCACATTTATTCTCTCACTAATGGCACGTAAGTAATTGGAATCTCACGGTGGCATTCTTTGCCGATGACCAGCAGGCATCTTGCGACTCCAACGACACCTCAGATGCCCTCGTCCTCACGACATCTAGCATTCCTACAGGCTTCACTTGCTTCAACCTCACTGACATCTTCTCTCAATCCAACGACACAGGGTTTCAAAATGCCACAAGTCCAGTTTACGACCGGGACGGCGACGTGATCCAACCGAACGGCATCGACTGGCCCCTCCAGAATCCTCATTCCTTCGACTCCAAGGTGAACTACTCTCGGGTCTGGTACGAGCAAGTTAACCGAACGGGCGACATGGAAGCTGGAGAAGATGCTCTATGGGTATTTCACATCTATGCATTCCTGGATTGCCAGCAAATTGTCGATGGTGACAATGTTGGCCAAGATGACTCCCCTTGGTTCGAGACAAGTTGTCAGACCAACGAGGGTGGCCAATGCCAGACGGTTCCATACTCGATCAAGAGTTTTGCTATTAACTCGGCGGTGGAGTATAACGATCAGCATGGGCAATGCGAGGCATGGGCGTACAAGGGAGGAGCAGCGAAGTTTGGTACTGATATTTCTATAACTGTCCCAGCCTTGGCATCTGTGGCAGCTCTCTTCCTCACGCTATAGTTGGAAGATGGATATAGTAAAATAAACAGAGGGGAGCTATCTCCACAAGGATGTACCTGCCGAGAGGCAGTCTGCAGAGATTGCTACGAAAACGTTGACTGGGGTCACATTTGATACGCCAGAGCTGGTTGGCAAGCCAATGTAAAGTTTTGTAAGAAAAGACTCAAGAATATTCTCAGCCCATAAGGGGACCCGAAAAGCCGCGGTCCAGACGTCATCGCAGTCCAAGACCCTCCCCCGGGAGTCCCATGGCTGAGTTGTTACCCGTATGCTGTGGATTTCCGGCCCGAAAGACTACTTACTGAAGCCGACAACCAGCAAGCCCCAGGACGAAATCTAAGACAAATTCCGAGAAAGAAGAATCCAAGCCAGTTTCTCTAGCCAAAGTATGTTTCTGCGTTCAGCGGATGGTCCCAGCAGAACGGTGGAGTGTCACGTACCAAACAGACAGAAACAAGGATCTCAGCGCCACCCTCAATATGACAACTATGGATGGCATGTATTCCATTCACAGCATGTACAACCGACGGAACGAGGCCAATACTAAGCAATTCATCGACGACACGACTACTGGTTAGCGGGACATCGTCGTCGGCGACTTCAACCTCCACCATGAGCAATGGACCGGGTTCCTACTCACATCTTCCAAGAAAGAATGCCCAGATGCCAAGGCGCTTCATTATGGCATGAAAGTGTCGGGTATGAAATGCATCACCAGTCCCGGCACTGTGACATACTCGCGCGGCACCCGACTGGACGTGGCCAGGTCGTGCATCGATCTTACCTTCGTCAGCAAGGTAATGGCACTAAGCGTCTTGAGCTGCGGCGTCAAAGATATTCCCTCTTGGCCGGCGTCGGATCATCGTATCATCGAAACGCGGCTAAAAACTGAGCTGTACAGAGACGAGAGTACTCGGTACTGCTGGAACAAGACATCGAAAAAGACCTATAGCAGCACCATCGCCACAGCCATATCCCGAGTTCAGCTCGGTGAGCTTGACACTCCTGAGCAAATCGATGAATCAGCCGCTACCCTTGTCAATACTCTCATGGATACAGTTCGAAGTGAAGTGCCCACGCGTCCCGTTTGCGTACCAAGGCCAGCACAGTTCTCCAAGGCCACCGCGCCAGCTGTCATCGATACACAACCGCAGCTCGGATCCGGCAAGGCCGACAAGGAGCCAAAATTCGTCACCAGGAACCAAGGGGCTGTGATTAGGAAACGTCATCGGAAGATGCTGCTGGAGGCACAACTTGACGAGCTTCGTGAAACTCAAAGGGAAAGGGAAGAGAAGACAGCCAAGACCGACAGGTGGCGCAGATTCGTCCCAGAACAGTCCAAGGACCCTATGGGAGGCTGCCGGATGATGAAGGTCTCGCATAGGATATCTCAGCCCATGCCTCTGTCTCACATGTGTGATCTTCAAAGCAAGGGCCGCATCTTCACCACGGCGGAAGAGAAGGGCTGTTGCATGAAGGACTCCCTATGGCCCGAGACAAGCCAAGGAGACGCAGCACCACCGCTCCCGCTCCCAGCCAAGCCCGCCGAGGGATCGAGCTATCAGGAGCTCTGGGCTGACCAGAATCTGACCGAGGCCGAGGTACATCGAGCCATCCAATCCCTGCCTATCAGAAAGGCTGTGGGTGGCGACGGCATGGCCAACGAAGCCATCAAGATGGCTCGCCCCGAGCTTGTTCCCTACCTCACCCAACGCTTCCAGGCTTGCCTGAAGCTCTCTCACCATCCCGCCATCTTCAAACACGCCGTCACCGTCATCCTCCCCAAGAGTGACAAGGAAACCTACACCGATCCTAAAAGCTGGCGGCCTATTGCCCTGCTGCCGGCCCTGGGCAAGCTGCTGGAGAAGATCATGGCCGAGCGCCTCAAGATGCTGGTTCTGGCCCACAACCTCCTCCCTCGTTCGCAGTACGGAGCCCCCGGAAAGTCCACTTCCCACGCCCTTCGCGGAGTGCTCGACCAAGTGTACAAAGCCTGGTCACGGCCCATGAAGAGAAAGCTCGCCAAGAAGCTAGCCACCATATTGAGCCTTGACATGGCAGGCGCCTATGACAACGTCAACCGGACCAAGCTCCTCGATGTTCTGATAGAGAAGAACATACCCTGGTGGATCGTCCGTTTCATCCACTCCTTTCTCTCCAACCGTAGCACTGTCCTCAAGATGCCCGGCAGTACCACCGAGTCCTTCTTTGTCAACATCGGGATCCCCCAGGGTTCACCGCTTTCGCCAATTCTCTTCCTCTTCTTCGCCGCGCCGGCCCTCGCCAAACTCGACCAGATGCAAGAGGGGGTCACCGTATTCGTGTACGCTTATGTCGACGACATCTACCTACTCGCAGTCTCTTCCACCTATCAAAAGAACTGCGACGGGCTGAAAGTGTGCCATGACGGCATCCTGGGCTGGGCCGCAGAAGCTGGAGTTACCTTTTCGCCACACAAGTACAAAGTCATGCACTTCAAGTCCCCCCTATCCACCGAGGAGAACTGCAAGCTGATGCCCGACATTCCTGGGCTCCAAGACCCCGAGAAATGCCTCAAAACGGGGCTCAAAATCCTCGGGGTAGAGGTGGACCACCAGTTGAGATGGGACAACCACCTGGAGCACATCAAGGCCAAGGTGGAAAAGCAGATGAGATACTTCCAGCGCATATCGGGAAGCATTTGGGGCCTAAGCCTCGCGGCCGCGAGACGTGTATACTTGGCCAAGATCCGACCCATCATCTCTTACGCCTGTGGCTCATGGTTCATACACAGCAGCGTCAAAAATACGACGTTGAGATGGCGGCTCAGCAAAAAGAACATGAAACTGCTAGACGACCTGCAGTCTGAATGCCTCAAGAAGATTTCAGGCGCACTTGGCAGATGCAGTCCCCGGGTGCTCGAGAAAGAGCTCAACATCGAGAATATCCACGTCTTCCTGTCGCGGGCTGCCATGTCGGACCGGGCCAAGACATTGACCGTGACGTCAAGCTATCCGTACGTCAATGGAGCCCACGTGGAGCGTAAGCAATACGCTCCTCAGACTTCTCCATACCAGGTGCTCAACGGGGAGGCCAGAGATCTGTGTGTGCGGGCCCGGCGGCTGCTTGAGGAGAATTGCAAGAAGCAGTCGAGTGGCGATGGAAACGTATGGGTGTCCAAGTGGCTCGATCCACAGACGCGGAAGAGAGCCATTGGTGCCTGTGCCAAGCAAGAAGCCAACGAGAGATCCGCCAGGCTCTGGGACAAATACCGCAAAGACCGAGAAAAGGTGCGCCGACGGCTTCATCGTCCCGCCGTGTTGGCTGAGGACTGGGGCGCAGAGAGCTTCCAATACTACAAGGGGCTGACCCGGGCTCAAAGCACCATGTTACTGCATTGCAGGACCGAGTTCATCGGCCTGAATGGCTATCTTTTCAACGTCAAACAAGTGCCATCTCCTGCTTGTCCATGCGGGCACCCCAAGCAAACCGTCTTCCACATGTTCGTCCACTGCAGAAATCTTGGCGCCGTGAGAGCCCGCTTGATTGCGGAACTCGAACACAACGACATGAAGAGGTTGATGACGGAAAACGGTGCCGTGGTCGCTGACTGGGCAATCACCTTCTTCAACATCGATCAGTTCTTGTGGCTGCGCCAAGATTCTCAGTTTAATTCTGAAAGACTAGACACCCATCGGGTGGCTCTGTCTGCAGATGCATCATAGTCCTACACGGGACATAATACCTCATTGAAAGACGCTTTCTCTCCTCGAGGGAATCTGTCTGAGGACCAATTCCTTCCAGGAATTCATTGTTGAAATCACTGTTCTGACTACTGTTTCAAATTCTGTAGTAAGTCAAGCCTCGACACAAATTGCAACTCGCTAACAACTAAAAGCAGTCACGCGCTTGCACAAGTGTTGACGAGGGACTTGGTCTATTGATCTTGAACCTAAGTACAGTCGTTTACCTCTTCTAGTAAGCATCCTCGTTCCCTTCGATTCCCCCAAGACCCAGCAAATACTCAGTGGCCCCTAGTGTCAGTCCGCTGACTCCGGGAAAGACCACCAAGCACATGTATGTTGCAGGATTTCCGACTCTCCCAGTGACTCTGCTTTTGAATGTTCCATTTGCTAATCAATAATGGCATCAGTCAGAACCTCCTCCGCAACATCCCTCCATGGTTCGTAAGACCCTGCTCGGCCCCTTTATCTGCTCTACCCCGATTCCCACCTGACGAAGCAAATCCTAATAGCTTCGCAGCCGCTGTCCGAGGCGACTAGTTAGTAAAACCCTGGACCAAGCCAACTTCTATTTGCTAACTAAAACCATCGATAGGGTTCCCTTGGGCTCTTGTGGTCAGTATGTTTTTAGGTCAATCTCAATAAGGCCGGAGCTTACTTATTTCTATAGTCAATCCTTTGGCTGCAAGTTGACCAATACCACCTCGTTCATAAGTTTCAAGGTCCATGATGTGTGGTCACGGTAAGAATCTTTTTAATATTTTCTCATCTAAATCTAATACTCCTAATTTAGACGCAATTTCCTAAGAAACTCGCTTCCTGCTTGGGGGATTCTATCTTCTCGGCAGTTCTTAAGAAGGATCTTAAGATAGTATAACTCTTTACCAACCCAGCGTTTTAGAGCTAGATCTGTGCCAGCTAGCTCTTGTATCGTATGGCAGCCAAAGATAAGTAACTGTAAGTTAACTAAATTTTCTGCAGTAATATGAATTAATTTGAATTCTTGATAGGCACTAGATACTTATTGTCGGGGCTGCGTGTTCGGATTTGTGTGACATTTTTCAGTCCAGATTTTCGCGCTGCAGCTTGTAGCTTTGCAGTAAGAGCTGGATCAGTCTCCATTAAATCTATTAGATTGAATTGGAAGCTGTGAAGATACCGATAATTCGGATACAGCTCGTCAGTCTGCACCGTAAGGCGGAAAGGGCGAGGTATGTATTAATTATCTCCCAAGCTCAAATATATATAACTGCTTACAGTAGTTGTATAAAAAGCAGACATTCTCAGTTGGGTTGTTGGTTGGGTTGTTGGTTGAGGTGTGAGGATGGAAGGATGACTGGAATAGAAGAGGTGAGTATGTTGCTTCTCTCTATTCCTTATATATAAATACCGCTAACCTCTCTCTAGTAGGGCCTGCAGAGCGTTTATATCCATCGGGATTTTGCCTTTTCCAAGATCTAGCTTTTCCAGCAGATCTAGCTTTTTCAAGGCACAGCTGTTACCTGCAGCTCATAAAGGTATCGGGAAAGGTAACCAGTTGGACTAGAAACCTTAGTCTGTCTGAGTATATTGTTGACCTTTGAATGGACTGGGTATATAGTCTGTATTGTTGATACGATTGTTGGTGTTTTTTTTTTTTACTGTTGAGCTTCTAGTCCCCCCTCTGGGTATGTGTGTACTAGGGCACCGTACCTCTTGATAAATTGCGATACCCCGCAAACCTTTTCATTCTGTCCTGTGACTTGCTGTGGATGATGTGTCCTTCTGTGACTCCGGTAGCGCAGAGTTTGCCTGGAGGAACTACGAAGTAAGTTCCGAAAGGTTCCTTAAGGGACCGCAAGGTGGCTGCGTGCCTGGTGCCTGGAGGAAGAAGGAAGAAAAGACTTACTGCCTGGGCTTGACCAGACCCTACAAAAGCACAGACCACTCTTCCTTCCGTATTGGGCCATCACACGGTGTATCACATAGTGGGTGGCCTTTGCTTTTACTGTACTGCACTAGCTTGAACTTTATAGGTCCAAGTCACACAGCTACAAGAGGCTTGAAATGACGCAAAGCAGCTAACGCAAGCTGAACAGCTATGCGACATTGTCGCCCTATCTGACATTGACTGCTCGATCCTCTTCGCCCAAGTATTTCAGATATGTCCTTGATTCTCGCTCTCGCAGACTGCAGATAAGACGCCGCTTGCAACAGGACAGGCTACTTGCTTATATATTGATGAATCTATCTTGGTATTACAAATCGGCAGTTAAATAACCAACCAGAAAGACCGCTGTAAAGTTACGGCGAGAGACTAGCAACTTACCAGAAGAGAGCGACAGATTAATGAACCTTATTATGTAGGTCTACTGAAGCGGGGCGGATTGGACTGCCGCATCCTGCGCGATCAGTCTGTTGGATCCCATCGCGCTTCAAGACCATCGCGGTTCCGGAGATAATCAATCTCGTACAATCTTGAAGGTGGTGATAGTTTGACTAGAGAGCGGCTAGGTTGCTGAGCATTATATCAACCCCCTTCTCCTCCGGATAGACCGTATCTAAATTGTTGCTCTTAATGTGGGCGTGGCTTATATTTCGAAGCTGGAGAAGTTCAACCATTTCATTTGCAACAGATATTTTACCTACTCCGGATCTGCCAGAGAGGAGAAGGACGTGGATTGCCATATATGGAGGTCGGTGGCGGTTTGATTGCCTTCTCCTGAATCTTGTAAACATGTAAAATGCCGCGAGAAGAGAGCAAAAATGTGAGCTTATTTCTTATTCTCTGTACTGATGTCTTTCTCCGTTTCTCAGTGTGACTTATTATAGAACTGTGACTTATTGTAGAACTGTGACTTATTGTAGAACTGTGACTTATTGTAGAACTGTAACTTATTGTAGAACTGTGACTTATTGTAGAACTGTGACTCATTGTGGAACGACATATAAGCGGCCCACAGACTCTGTCACAAGTCATCTTGAAGGTCACTAATGAAAACCCGGGATCTTAAGAGTTCCGCTTACTGACTTTGGCCTATACTGAAGCAACCTGTAGGAAATACCATAGAAAGCGCCGGCTGATTCTCTTCTGGCATTTCTATTTTATAGACTATGGTGTTGTAAGGTTATTCGAGGCCAAGGTGGATGCAGAATAGAGGTGCACCGTTGCCCCGTTCCTGGAGGAACTTCAAAGCGTAGTGAGGTTCCGAAAGGTTCCTTATGCCTGGCTTGACCCGATATAAAAGCACGGACCAGCTTGACTGCCGCATTCAGTAATTGTAAGTCAGTTTTTACATATGATCTTACACTGGTCACCGCGTTGGTCTTGCGTTCTGTTGACGAAATAGATCACACTTGGACCGCATAATAGGCAGTTTTAGCTTTATGTACTTATACTCTGATCTGGCTCCTGCAATGAAGCATCAGCACCCTTCCCAAGCAGGATCCGCACCACTGCCTCCTGGCCGTTCGCGGCAGCCCACAACAGTGGTGTCTAGCCATCATTGTTCTTGGCGTTAAAATTGGCACCTTTGTTAAGTAGCAACTGCACAACAGCCTCATGCCCGTTCGCAGCAGCCCATAATAGTGGCGTCCGGCCAGAGTCATGTCGAGATCAGCACCCTTTTTTAGTAGTAGCGACACAGCCTCGTGGACGCCGAAATATACTAGATGAAGTTCTATAATCTGCCTTGGAACGCCCCGTGCTGCATCAGACTTATCGATGACAACATAGTTAGGAAAGCCTTCAGCTGACTCATCAACTCTACATCTCTCGGGGACAGTGGCTGAATTTGCATCGAGGATGTCGAATAGACCGAACGACTAGCCTAAGGATTGAATCTCTATCTGAAGAAGCTATCCGCCTTGCTCTACGACAAGAAAGACCTAAGTAATTTTGCGGTGGCAAAATGGCCATTATTCGATGCCCTTCGCAAAGCACGCTCATACTGACCTTGCCCAGACTCGGAAATATCTGCGCCGGCATTCTTCAGTAGCTGCACCATATCAATCCTTCCATGCTCTGCGGCACCTTCTAATGCCGTGCGTCCTTCATTTTCCGCCGGTTCCGCATCGACGTCGGCTCCCTTTTCCAGCAGGATATGCGCTATACCGACATAGCCACCAATTGCAGCAAATTGAAGTGCCGTAGCGCCAAAATTCTTTGCTGGCGGCAACTTAACATTTGCGCCGTACTCGAGGAGGACTTCCACAAGCTCCAAGGAGCCATCTCGACACGCAATCTGCAAGGGACCGTGCGGACATTGCCTTGTTGTTGCGTTTGGGTTTGCTCCATGTTGCAGGAGCGCCTTGAGAATTTCACAGTTCTTCTCCATTGTCGCGTTCTGCACACTAGTTCCAATGGGGTGATTTGTGCGTAGGTTCCCGGAATACCACTGGTAAGTCTCTGCGCAAGACGAGACGGTATCCGGATCCTGGCCATGGCTCAGGAGAATTCGGACGGTTTCCGGGTTCCCTTCAAAAGCTGCCAGTTGCAATGGCGAGTAAGCTGTTTCTGGCGGCAGTTCTTCATTCGTCCTTGCTCGCGTCTCGAGGATGATCCTCACACACTCAGGATCTCGCTGGTGGATTGCTTCTAGAAGAGTTGTGTATGGACCGCGGCGGTAGTCTTCGGTAATGGTGTCGGGGCTTGCGCCAGCGTTAAGGAGTGATCGCAAGAACTCCTGACGGTGAGCTACAGATGACTTGAGAGCGTGATGTAAGCTGTTTGAGAAGGCGCGTACGTCAACAATGTTACTCTGTAAGATCAGACGGAAATTCTTCAAGTGGCCTCTATCCACAGCCGTTTGGAGAGCCACGTGCAAGGCATTTCTTTTGCCTCTTCGCTCCTCGGTTGATAGTTTCTCCACGAGCAGCCTGAGCAAGACTGAATCTTCATCATCCGCAGCTGCCTTTAGAGCAAGCTCATCGTTTACTTCAGCTCCTTGTTCGATAAGCCACTCAGCAGTCGAAATCTTTTCCCGTTGTACAGAAGCCCAGAGAGGCGTTTCGTATGGCAGTCGTCTGTCGTGCTGGCTGCTGGGGTTTACCGATGCTCCGAGTTGCAGTAATTGGTCGACAATCGCCCACTGTTCTTCGAAAATAGCAGCAGCAAGGGGAGAGCACCACCTGTTGGAAAAGCTGCGGAGCCCCAAGCTGTCTCGAGAGGCATGTGCCATGAGGAGCTGGATAATATCGTGATCTCCGCAATGGATTGCTTTGACGAGGAGATTTCCTATCTTCGGAGTTTCGACTTTTGCTCCGCGGTCCAGTAGTTTTTGGACGAGTTCTCTGCGTTTGCCTTCGATGGCAAGCTGTAGTGGTGTGTCCTCCGCGTTCACATCAGCGTTCACATCAGCGCCAGCTATTAGAAGCACATCTACCGTCTCCAGGTGGCCCCGACGAATTGCAACTTCAATCGAAGAACCAAGGACCGATGCAAGAGAACCTTGAGGCAAGATGTTGCTTTGAAGCAAGCAGACAAGCGTATCCTGACAGCCTCCGGCGCAGCACTTTTCAATCGCCTCTCGTAGGGCGCTGCAGTTTCCGACGATGTTTGAGCAATCGTATGATCTGGCAAGACTTTTGAGGCCGGCACACGCTCCTAGCCGTATTGCAGCCAAGATCATAGCCCTCCTCTTCTGTGTCTCCGTTGACCTTCGGGATTCCATATACCAAAGCTCATCGTCTGTCGTTGGCCATTCGTCGGGAGTGACAGCCCATTCTGGAAAGTCAGCTTCTGATTCCAAAAGTTGACAGAATGTGTCATAGTCCCGTGCTTCGATGGCGGTGTCGAATGAGTAACGCGTTGGTTTGGCACCTGCGGACCACAGGGCGTCGATCAGGTCCCTGTCTTGGGCGAGGATACCAAGATCAAATGCCGAGTAACATTCAAGGTCCCAATGCTCCTCGCAATAGCCGTCGTAAGGATGGCAAGGCTTGTGATCATTGACGTCCACTTCAGCCATGATGAGCCTCTTCGCGGTTTCAAGTACCCTCGAGACTTCCCTCGAGACTTCCCTCGGATCTTCACGCCATCCCAAACGATCCGCTAGTGTTTCGCGCGTGCAATTCCCATAGGCCACCGAAACGAAACGCTCTGATGAGACGTAGAGGCATTCTCGAAGTGCTGACCGAGCATCGTCGATATGGAAGCTAATCTCAGCGCCGTTGCTAATGAGGAAGTCGACCAGCTCCGGACATCGGAATGATGATCCCAAGGTCAGAGCTGAGTGCTTCTCGCATATTAAATGATACCAGCGGTAGTGGGGCTCTGCTGTCTTGCGCCATTCTTTCAAGGAATATTCCGTGCTGTCGGGGTCCGCCGCAATTGCGTTAACGTCCGCACCGGCGTTCAGAAGTTCATGAATCAGCGTCAGTAATGCTTCCACTTGACATCCTTTCTGTTCAGTACCGAATTTTGTGGTATTATCGTCGTCGTTGTCGTCGTTGTCGCCGTCGTTGCTGTCCGAAACGTCCCTGGCGCCGGTCCCAATAGCTTCAATGGTGGCCTCCTCGGCAAGACGACGACTCCAAAACTCCGCAAACCAACCGTAGATAGCGAAAAGTAACGGACTGCAAGACCATCCAAATTCCGCATGGTCAATTTGCGCTTTAGCTCGCAGCAGTTCTTTGACCAATTCCAAGTTGCCATTGAGACACGAGTATTGTAAAGGCCGGAGAGGAATTGGACATTCTTTATGCACGCAAGTGTTCGCGTTCGGATCTGCTCCTGCATCGAGAAGAGTACTCGCCAAAAGAACGTCCCCTTCTTCGACGGCTAGCCGAAGTAGACCTTGGAGAAGTGCTTGGTTTGATTGATCTTGGAGCAGTCGGATAATGTCTGGGCTAAATGTACCCAGACTCCTAAGCCATCTGTAGATTTCCTTCCGGTTGCCATGACCTGGGAAGTTGTTGGAGATCGCGTAGGCCATCACCTTGAGTATCTGAGTGGATGTACTGTGGTAGATATTGTCGAGGGTAATGCTTGAGCCAGGCACCTCCTTTTCAAATGCCGAGATTGGTAGGAGTGACCTAGCCGCAACAAGGATGCGATCAGACGTCGAGCTCTCGCGATCTCCGCACAGGATGGAACCCATTGTAGAAACACTTGACGTGAACGGCCGGGGGGGTTCTTCAAAATTGGTGGGGTCAGCAGGTGGATCCCTCAAGCGATATCCAAATTGCCATCTTACCAAAAAAGATCGTCGTGGACCGTAGAAATTGGAGAATAGGTAGCTCCTGGAACACTCTCCGGAACACAGGATAGGGAGGAGGGGTGCAGATCTGGACGCCCGCAGGTGTCGCGGGCGATGTTGCCGCATCAGGTTCTGCAGAGTTGTTAAGCTGAAGTGACAACTGGGAACGACCTTCTTCAGCAATAATTACCTCTCGCCATGTGCAACCTCTCTAAGGTTGTCATGTAGCCATGACGGGATGATTCTTTCCGGACCTTTGCGGCAGGTACTAGCTCTCCTCTCCAGAATACGTTGGTTTCCTTTCCTTCCAGTTTTCGTTTACCGAGTCTTGACATGATGATCGGGTAGTTCCCCCCAGGCATATTCTTCTCAAAACCCCATTGCTGAAATCGATATTCGTACTGGCGTTTGCTAAGATACTGTTAGTTAGAAAGCTTTCTGCTGGGGAATTATAGGAGCTTGCCTTGCACGGAAGCCGTAGCGAAGTTTCATCTTCTCGATTACCCCCGAGGGCCCGCACAAGGGAAGATCCTCAAGGATATAGAGGGTATGGATAACGTTCCTCCATCGCTCCCACTCCTCAGATGTAAGAGACATCGTCATGGCAACCCCGATGGTGCAGGGTGGAGAGGTGGTAAATGAAAGCCGTATGGAGGCGAGGGTGGTGCTTGTCGCTGAGGATGTCCAAGTGTTCCTGCTAGCTAGAAAGCAGTATATGTAAGGTATCAGCCGTCTCAGGCGCACTTTAGAAGCCAGACGAGACTTGCCGGGCAAACGCAGAGGGGAGAGAAAGACTGCTTGTGGCAAGAGCAATGGGTCAGAATGGTGAGGATGGACAGATGAGAAGTCGCAGCAAATGAAGGAATTCCGCCGCTACTTAAAAGTCTCAGCCCCAGTAGACATATAAAGGCTCCGTCCTGATTGGTCACGCCCAGAATCCCACAATACGGCCGCATGGAGCTAGGAGTTGTTGATGATTGATGATTTGCTTAGTCCACAATCCCAGTGGGTCCTGAGCACAGACACGCAGCGGCAAGGCACACACCAAACAAGCCCGCCCTATCGACACTACGGGACCTAGCTCTTAGTGGCCGATTCCAGAATCCCAGCTGTTCTTCGCGGCCCAAGCGGCGGAAAAGGACACTGCCTCACCTAAGAAAATACCGCTACTTCTCAAGGGCAGACTGAGAAACCCGATTCGTTCATGCCAGAATCCCAATGCTGTCCAAGACCCTTGAATCGGACCCCGCAGTGTGGTCTACATCCCTTAACAGCCACTATAAAACCTTCCATGCCATTCCTCCACGCACAAGTTCTCAAAGCCGACGACGAGCTCCTTCTAACGATTACACTCTTCATATGGGGATATAGCTACAATAGTCAAGACAACCCAACACACCTCCTTAAAGGCGGCATACCACTATCAATCTTCTCTTGGCCTGACAACTCCGCCGGAATCCAAGATTGTCCAACAAGATGCAAATGACGATCGAGGCGATCATCGCTGTCGTCGCACTCGTAGCGGGACTTCCTCCGGCGATGTACACCCTTTGGAAATGCTGGAGACGTCGCCGCGAGCAGCGACGTCGTTGCGGTACGCCACGGCCTCATCAGTTCAGGCTGCCCTAACATGGCTAACAAGACGCTCCAGAGGAAGAAGGCATCCTTGCCCCCAGACGAGCACTGCACAATCCCCGACACGCGGTCTCACCTCCCTTGGGCAGTCGAACGGTGGTCTTGATGGGTCTCTTGGTCGAAAACGGGGCATCCACGTTTGCTATGGGCGAACGGTTGACAGCGTGATATTGCTCCTCAAACTCCTGCGGTTAGCGTAAGCATCTGTCTGAGTAGTAGTCGACCTGATTGGTAGTACATGGAGGTGGTCAATGAGAATTTTGGCCCCAGGGAAATCATCTCAAGATTCACTTCCCGCAGCCTTCTCGCAACCTCTCCGTTATAGCCAAAAGAACAGTTGGGATTCTGGAATCGGCCATTGAGAAACAAGTCCTGCAGTGTTCATGCCCCGCCGCGTCTCTGTGCTGAGGACGCACTGGGATTGTAGACTAAGCGAATCATCGACAACTCCCAGCTCCTTGCGGCCATATTGTGGGATTCTGGGCGTGACCAATCAGGACGGAGGCTTACATGGTTTGAAGCTCGCCAGAGGAGACTGGCTGCTCGGCGCTCGCTTGCCAGGAACAGCACCGGAGTTCGGGCGGGCTAGAGAGAAGTGAAGTGCGCCTTCTTGAGGATATTGAACGTGTGTTATTAGGGCCGCTCTTTATGGAAGCTGTACGGGGCCTTGGAGAGCCATCTGTCATGTGTTTTATTGACGCTTTGGACGAATGCGACGAGCCCTAGATCCGAGACATGATATTTCCATACTCTGGAGGCACCTCAGAGAAACGCCGGCCACGTCTCCCAGACTCTACGGTCTCCTAGACCCCATCCACGTGGCACTTGTCAAGGAGCACTTCGCCAGCCTAACTACACACAACACTCACACAGTTCCTCCAGGCTTCCTTTGGCGGGCCGCTTGCCGGACCGGTCCCTCCTGTCTTTTGTGTGGACTGGGCTGAACCTTGTGAGCCTGGGTTAATGTTTTTCCAGGTCGTAGTACAGTGCCTATAAAGCCCTCATGTTTCTCAGTCAATAAACAATGGCTTACTACATCTCCATTTCACACTCCATCGACCAGCGGACTATCCCTCAACGCATTATCCCTCCACTAACAGGACATCGGTTAAAGGTTCCCTCGCCCTACGACACCATGTCTTCTTCACGGACGAACTTCACTACCCTCCCCTTTGAGCTGCAGATGCACATCTTCCATGATTACTTCAAAGTCGACGGTGGATATGCTTTCAATGGCGACTCTGAGAAGCTCACTACCGCCAACGGCAAGCCCATCGACCTCGCCCTCATGTATACCTGCCGCTCGATCGCCACCCAGACGAAGGGCATGCCGCTCTCTCTCAACACCATCCACTTCTCCACTGTGTACCGCCGAGACTGGACGCCGCTCGCTGGCTGCTTCAACTTCGTCACGGTTCTCTATCCCTTGCTAGTTGCGGACATGGTGATACGTCTTGAGCCGTTCATAACTCCCGACATGTAATACTCCGAACTCACCACGAAGTTTCCCGACTTCGCGTCGGAATTGCGACGTGTGTCGGAAACACACCAGGAGCTCCTGGATGAAGTCGAACTCGGGGAGCCTGATACTATTCTTGCCGGCCGTAGATCAGGGAGTGCCTTGGGTTGGATACGTGATTTTCAATTTGGGATCCGCCGCACAGATGTTAGCTGTCCTTTGTCACCGAGCTGTTTGTCACCCGGCTCTTTTAGCGTGCGGGCGAATCAGGGGACTCCATTCTATGCTCTGCGACTCCTCGCAGAAAAGCGACCTGCTGACTTCGCTCAGTTGATCTTTGAGACTTTCCCGCACTGGATAGGAACGCACCCGGCCCATGAGTTTCTGGAGCTTGGCTTCAACCTCTGGGACATACCTTCACGATCAGAGTTAGCCCGTGTGACAAGCCGCCTTGACGTCGACTTTGTTTGGCAAATGGTGGATCAGTGGCACTACAAGCCACCGCACTGCCACGACCCATCCAATCCGTATGATCCATTACACAAAGGGGCTCGATGCCGGGAAAAGACTCGGTTTTCCGCAGCGGCTGTCTCCATTCGGTTCCTCGGTCGACTCAATCTCCAGCAGCGTCTCCAGATTCGAAACGTTACATTGCACGAAGACTTCGTGGCCGCGGGCGATCCACCATCTCACGCCCAGGGCTTAGCCCCGTTCTTCATAGAGAATTCACGACTCCGAGTTGAGCGCCGTGTTAGTGCGATGCGGTGCATTTCCGAAGAAGACCGACTTATGTGCCGTCCACCATATAAGCTGGCATGGTGGCTACAGGAACCAGGGCACCCCGAACACGCAGACTACCTCACTTTCCGCAATTCGATGCCTTCTCCCCGTTTTCCCAGATGTCTAGCTCAGTGGCTACTTAAGGCCTTGGACGTTCCTGAGGCAGGCATTCCCGCCGAGGCCTTCACCTTTGTCTTAGAAGGAGGACCCTATATTGACTTCTGCACCAACCTATTTCAGCAAACCGTCCATCGAGACATTGCATGGCATAAGGCGTACCAGGCTTCCATTCAGCGCGGTTTGTTTGTCCGTTGGCCACTTCTTCAAACTGGGTTGGTCGTAGAAGGCTTCGCAGAGGCAGTAGAGCATTTGAATAACCCAACTTCGTTCCTCCGCTCCGACTTCAATACAGGTCATCCATGGGACTGGGAGAACTTGGTCGAGGAGAAAACAGGAGTCTCTCAATACACATGAGTCCGGTCTTTCTTTATGCAGATAGCTCTGCGCATCGATTTCCCCCCCGCGCTGGACTACGCAAGCATCTTGGCTGACAACTACGATATCCAGATGGAGAGCGAGTATAGTCAACCGCACTGCTCCGGAGAAGGATTCGAGGAGGTAGGTTAGTCATCTCAACGACACAAATATTGTGAGACGGCGCGAATTACGACGTCCTAGAGGAAGAGTTGAGTGTGGCAAGTTTCATGGGAGGTAAGATTGAATATTGATGGACTGGTCACGAACGTCGTCGCGTTTCCATCCGCTCCTTGCTCAACTTGGAGGGGGGCGGCTTGATGTTTCCAAGACAGGTAGGTTGTAGAGTACTAGGTTGGTCAAAGACTATTAAATTACACATGCGTGTCCATTTGATCACTTCCATGAATCCAGAACTCCAGGTCGTCTATTGCTAGGTGTGTTGATCATAGATAGTCGAGAGTACGTGCTATTTGAAGAACCGATTGAGACAAGACCCTGCCGTTAATTGAAGCCGCAAAAGTTTCGGAGCCACCAACGGTTGATCCAATGTCATTGAATCTGGGGATGACAGCGTCATGCTCGATGGTGAAGTCAAAGCAGCCTTTGATATTGAACTCTTTGAAGTTCTCCTGATGAATGATCTCACACAGGTGACCCATAACCAGCTTGGCGATGATGTAGCTGGCCATTCCGATATTTCTGTGCGCGCCATCGCTCGCAGTAAAAATCATCCGACCTCCCCGTTCTCACAGGCGCTGACGGCAAGATGAGAGACAGTCTATTTCCCGACGTGATCTACGAAAAGACCAGTCTGGTAATTTGAAGCTACTATATTTTTACAGGCCGTGTTAACTGCTGACAGGGAACTAGGCGCCATGGGCAATGCTAATCACTCGACGAAATAGTGGTTCTTTGTTGTGAAGTAATGGGTTGCCGAAACTCCTTCGCAATCCTCGCCGATGACGGTCAGATTTTCAGGGTCCTCACCAAACCCAGAGATGAACTTTCGAATCCATAAAAAGGTATGGATTTGGTCTTTAATGCCGAATTTACTATTGTGTTGCTTAACGAAGTAAATTGGATTAAGATAAACTTATATATAATAACCCCCAGTTTATAAAACCTTTATATATTAACTATTAACTAAACTCTCTATTTTTAATAACTTATAAAAGACTGTACTATTAAGCCTCTTTAGCAGTATTAGTAGCTTTAATAGCTATATTTTATTTAATAATTTTAATTTATTTAATAAAATATTAATAATATATATATATTAAGAAAATAAATATATGTTAGATTAATATTAAATTTACTGTTATATTTAAATTTCCTTAGTTTAAAAATCTTAAAAACATAAAGATACTATTATAATATAAATACAGCAAAAGGCAATAATCACTCCTCTTGCCGGTAGTGTTATAGTGGTCCATATCTCCGTTTAATAGATACCTGTCCGATAGCTTGATAGCGGGCCATGTAGTTAGCGCACGTGTTCTATATTTCTAGAGTGTGTTGGAAGACAATCAATAGCATCAGGGGTTATTTCTGGTGGGCGTATGGTAACAAAGTAGTCTTACTTCAGTGAGATGCCAAAATGTTCCGCATTGGGTCCCAGATGCCTCTCCCATCAACGATAGACCTTTCTGGATCAGATCTGTTGTTCAACTCGCAAAGCATTCGGGATCTGGGGGCAAGACGTATTATTCTATGGTTGAGAATCGTCCTCGACAACCAATTAGATACAGTGTGGTGGATTGCCTCGGTGGCTATTTCTCCCTTTCTTTACGGACTTGGGTGCTCTAAGTCCTGGGATAATTCATGCTCGGTGTTGCCACCTTTTCAGGCTTCTATTCATTTACTACGGCTTTGTAGCAGCAAAATTACCAGTGCCTAAGATATCGCCATCCTCCTCTTTACCATTCTGTGCCCGATCAATTCGGAACTGGCTGGTCTGGAATAGGCGGGGCAGTTTCGTATCCTCAAATTGGATCCCCTTGGAAACCATCTGGGCCAGTTCTTTAGCTGCCAACCAGATGACAGGCATACCATGGCCATTGAAACCAGCCAGGATGAATTGCCCGTCCTTGCTCGGAACCGGTCCGATATGTGGATTCGAGTCGTATGAATAGCCCATGACGCCGGTCCAGATATTGGTGATTTCGGCACCGCTCTTTTCCCAGCCACGGTATGTTCGCTGCATGTAGTTCTCGTAGTAGCTCTTTGCCGAATCGATGAGCACGCTGTCGTCCACATTGTCATACCACTGTTCCTCGAACGGCCGAAACACGGCAGCAGCGCCGCCCACGACAATGCTACCGTCGGGCCGGGGGACAAAATACGAAAGCGTGTTATCCTGGGTTCGGGTAATGTATGAATTGTTTAGCAACGGCGCCGTAGCTCCCTCTGGCACGGCGATGCGACAGCAGATGCCCTTGCAGGGGATAATGTTCTTGCCGTATTCCGGGAGCAGCGCTGAGGCATAGGCGTTGCTGGCGTGGACGACCTTTCCGGCTCGCATCTTGCCACGCGGCGTTTCAACGATGAAACCGCCTGCGGGATCTGGAATCACGGACGTAACTGGCGTATGTGTCTGGAGGTTGACGCCTGCAGCAAGGAGCTTTCTTGTAAGGTGCATCAGGAATTTGTAGGGCCACATGGTGCCGGCAGTGAAGCTTGCGCATGCAACAGCGCCCTTGACACCGCAGATCTAGATGGAGATGAGTATGCCTTCGTCCTCAGCTAGCACATGGGCGACTTACGCCTTCTACTTTGTCGCCCGTATAAAACGCAACATCGTCCATATACTCGAAGTTTGCGGAAACCATCCTTTGATAGACAGCTTCCGCTTTCTTGGCCGACTCCTCGTTGCACCAGACATCAATCGACCGGGTCAGAGTGAAATCACAATTGATCTTCTCCTCGTCGATGATCTTCTTGATGGCACGCAGGTTCGCAATCTCAAACTCGGCAATCTCGGCACCGGCACGCGCCCCTGCTCGATCCATGTACGTCGGAATGTGGCCATACAAATCTGGTCTGCAATGCCCCCCATTGCGCCCCGTTGCGCCCGAGCAAACGCCGCGGGCCTCGAGGATGCAGATGGACTTTGAGACGCCAGCATCGCGAACTAGGTGGTGTGCGGTGCTGAGCCCTGCGAATCCCGCGCCGATGATGAGGATCTCGCTCGACTCCGGCAGCTGCTCCGACGTCCGGTGGTCGCGGAGCTCCGTCGGATCCGACTGCCAGAAGCAATCCGCCGGGTTCGGCACCGGCAAGCAATTGGGCGTGCCGGCTGTGTGGGATGTGATGCCGTTTGAGGCGGCCATGATTGTGGTGAGGAGATGGTTCGCAGAAAAGAGTCTAGCCGATAGACCGTTTCAATGTCTTATAGCACACGCAGTAGATCCCCAGCCATCGCAGTAGCATGGATTGGCCTTGTTTATTGGCTGGATGAACCGGACCGGTATTGCCTAATACGGACAGATGGCCCCGGTTCCGACGACACCATGAGTTAGCTCGCAGTTGATTAGCATAGAACTCAAATGAAAACAACACCGTGACGCTTCACAGAGCGTGTTATCTCGAAACCCGGCCGGCAACCGGTCTAATCTGCAATCATCGCCTCTCGGCAAGTGCTGCAACGTAGCTGCTGATAAGCCGTGCAGCAGGGGCTCGCTCAAAGTACAAAAACACCAGCCGTTTCGTCATACGGGAATGGCACGCTCGAGTTTTCTCCAGAGATAATTTGCTTGCGCAGTCTCACCCAACATGGCAACCCCCGACGCTTCAGCCAAAGACCTCGGCGCATCCTACATGCCCTCCAAGAAAGAACTCGACCCTGCTGCCGAGATGCGACGGTACAGCGATGTCGAGAATCTCGCCGGCCAGCTCGAGGAGTCTCGCGAGTTCCGACAGGGCCTCCACCAGCGACACATCCAGATGATTGCCCTGGCAGGCACAATCGGAACCGGTCTGTTCCTCAGTTCCGGGCGAGCCATTGCGACTGCCGGCCCGCTCGGCGCGTTCCTGGCATACTCGGTCATTGGGCTCGCCGTGTCGAGCGTCGTCTGCGGCGTCGGCGAGATGGGAGCTCTGGCGCCGCTCAACGGCGGTGTGATTCGCTACGCCGAGCTCTTCTGCGACCCTGCTCTGGCGTTTGCCAATGGCTGGAACCAGGTGTACTCGTACATTGTGTCCATCCCTGCTGAGATTGTCGCGGCGGCCGTCATCATCGAGTTCTGGATCACCATCAACAGCGCCATCTGGATCACCGTGCTTGGCATCCCCATGATCGTCACCTCTCTGCTGGCGGTCCGCATCTACGGCGAGCTCGAGTTCGGCTTCTCGCTCTTGAAGATCATGCTCGTTGTCGGCGTCAACATCATGGCCTTGGTCATTACCTGTGGCGGTGGCCCAGACCACAAAGCGATTGGCTTCGAATACTGGAAAAGCCCCAACGGCCCATTCGCCCAGTATCTCGGCATTGGCGGATCCCTAGGCCAGTTTTTGGGCTTCTGGAAGACGCTGGACAATGCGCTCTACGCCTACTCGGGAATAGAAAACATCACAGTCGCGGCTGCTGAGACAAGAAACCCTCGCCACGCAATCCCCATGGCTGCCCGACGCATCTTCGTCCGTATCGGGCTCTTCTACGTCGTCACCATCTTCATGGTTGGCTTGGTCGTTGCGTCTACCGATGAACAGCTGCTGGGGTCCACAGGAAACGCATCTCAGTCGCCGTTTGTCATTGCCGCACGCAACGCTGGCATCAAAGTGGTGCCGTCCATCATCAACGCCGTGGTCCTCACCTCGGCCTGGTCGGCAGGCAATTCGAACATGCTGGGCGGATCTCGAATCTTGTACGGAATGGCAGCTCAGGGCCAAGCGCCGTCTGTCTTCAAGCGCCTCAACAGATTCGGCATCCCTTATGTCGCTGTTTCTCTGTACGGCCTTTTCATGGCGCTGGGTTACATGACCCTGTCTAACTCGGCAAGCACCGTGTTTAACTGGCTGCAGGATCTCGTCTCCATCTCCACCTTGGTCAACTGGATCACCATCTGCATTGTCTATCTGCGGTTCCTGTACGGCTGCAAGAAACAGGGGATCGACCGCCAGAAGGAACTCCCATGGGCCGCTCCGTTTCAGCCTTATACCACTTGGGCCTCTCTGATCCTGTTCGTTATCCTTTTCTTCACGGGAGGGTTTAAAACTTTCATCCACGGGGAATGGGCCATCGAGTCTTTCATTTCATCATACTTCAATTTGCCATTCATCTTCGTTGTGTATTTCGGCTACAAGCTCTGGTATAAGACCAAGGTCATTCCATTGGAAGACATTCCCCTTCGCTCTTTGATCGAGTGGTACGAAAACGAGGAGCCAGAAGAGAAACCGAAGGCGCCGCGTGGACTTGCAAGACTTAACGTCCTGTGGTCATAAAGCTGGTAGCAGTAGCTGTGACATGTAGTTGATCATTTTAAATATACTTGCCTCTGAATCTCCGCGCTTCACATTTTCGACTGTAAAAAACAGGTGAGACTTGAGCCACAATGCGTGACACGTTGAATCGCATATTCGTTTTTAGCAACGAGGATACGTTTGAGTGCGCGACTCAGTCATAGTAACGACTGAGTAGCTACGTAGCAGTGGCTGCTCTGCATTAAGATCGACACGCATAGCCTTGGCATTCGAAAGTGATTGACTGAATACGATCTACATCTGCACTTTGCGGGGAAAAGTGGAACGAGGGGAAATGAAAAGCGCGGGGAATTTGCGATTACTAAAGGACGCTCTTCTATTCGCTTTCGTGTAACTTCCTTGTCAAAGAGTAAGGGTCGCAGCTATCCTTGATCCCTTCGTACCGACTATCTCGTTGATACGGCGCTATCTCCCATTGAGAAGGAGATCTAGAGTGGGACCGGGAATGATTGTGAATTGTCCAATTATATCCAACCGGGCCGGTCCTACTTAATCGGGCTAGGGAGAAAGATAACGCTGCTCCGGTCTTATCGCTATGGCAAATGATAAGAACCGGCTGAATATTGTACGTACGTGTGACGGTCTTCGTTAGATGAAGTTCATGTTGACGCTGTCTTGTCTCTCCTGAAGTTGTATACTTACCAGGGCCTTCTTCCGTCTGCATCTCATCTCACTTTCCGACTTGTGTTTGTCCTCTCTTCGAGACTCCCATCTCCACTCCACCTTCTAGACAAGAATCGTAAGATTGTCACCAAGTCTCGAGCTCAACCTTCCTACACCATCTTGCATCATGGCCATTCAAAAGCATGTGGTTTTCGACGTCGTCGGCACATGCGTATCATTTGATGCGTTCTACAACTGCATCAACCGCGTCATCGGCGAGAAACTCCTCACAAAGAACATCACCGCCACCTCGTTCGGCTTTACTTGGATGACGGCTGCCGAGCTGGAATTCACCTTCCTCTCCATTTCCGAGCGCCACCGCCCATACAAAGACGTCCTTACCGCCTTGTTCTTCCGCACGCTGTTCATGGTTGGCGTTGCGGCGCCGCGGGAATTTGTGACAGACGCGGAACGCGACGCCTGTGTGCAGGGATACTCGGAGCTCGAGCTGCGGCCGGGAACCAAGGAGTGCTTCGCGACGTTGAGAGACGCCGGATTCACCGTCTGGTGCTTGACGACCGGCGACACCAAGCGTGTCGGCGGATACTTTGAGCGCGCCGGCGTGGACATGCCGCTGGAGAACCTCATCAGCTGCGATGGGCAGGGCGTGGCCAAGCCAGCACTGGCAGCTTACAAGCCCACGCTTGCTCGGTTCGCTCCTGATGATGTCAAGTGGTTTGCAGCTGCGCACATGTGGGATGTGTCCGCTGCAGTAAAGGTTGGGTTCCGGGGTGCCTATTGCACCGTCTACGAACAGGATCCTTGCGCCGAGATATTCGACACGCAGATGGAGGTTATGGCCGACACGCTGCCGCAAATGGCAAAGGGGATTGTAGAAGCGTCGCTCTAGATATTTTCATGTTGCATTAATCAATACACTAGCTTACGGTGCCCAGTTTCCCCCGTGAGGTCCTCCTATGAAACGTCCCAATACCTCGGCCTCGGTGTACGTAGGCCATCCGAGGGACGGAGAAAGATTCTCAGTCCCGAAGATGGACAGCTCGACTAACGGATCGGCCGCGAGGTCATAGCCACTGAAAAGCTCTACATTGGGCTGGAAATCAAGCTCCGCAGGCCAGCCAGATGCCGAGTCTGCTTCTTCTTGACTAGCCGGGGGATCAGGAGCTGCAGGTGTAGTATCAGACACACTCGTGCCCGCCAACTTGGCTCCCCAATTGCGAAATGCTTCATAATCGGAAACCACGTGTACTTGGTCATGGCTCGACCCATGTTGTCGCGCTCCGGCGTGCAGACGAGCAAGCGCACGCTCAAGCGACTCGATCAACGATACCTCGGACCGAGCCGACTCCCCAGCTGCAGACATCTCCCGAATCATATCCAAGCCCTCGCACAACGACTTGCGGAACTTCTCAGAGAAATTCCGGATCGAGTAGGCAATCAATACGAGCAACGAAGCCCGACACGCGCTGTACTCGGGGTATGAGGCCCGCGCGAGTCCTATACCGCTCGATCGTAGCTGCTGGCAGATATCGAGGGCTTCTGTCGCCGCTTGGATGCAGTCGCTTATAAGTTCCTCTCGACTGGACACGGGCTTTCGGGTGCTCTCTTCGTTGGTCCCAGGGCTGTTTTCGGGGACTGACGGACTTGCAGTGGAGTCTTGTGTTTCTCTCTTCAACAGGAATGGTCTTCCGACGAACATCCGCACCAGGCAGTACTCGAGTCTGAGGTGCATAGCGGAACGGAACTGTGTCGGGTTTTGCTGGGCATTGACATCAACGGCATCTGGAGGGAGAGATTGCCACCATGTTGTCAATTCGCCTTTTTTAGCCACAAGCCGTGACACAATCGCTGGTATCTCTTGTCTCGGACAGTTTCGCAAGAGGTTACTGCAGGGTGTTATTACCAGGCCATATATGGAGTGATGTATGCTTCGCTTACATTTCGTGAAACAGGTCTTCGAGCAAGTGGACCAGCTGGACAGAGACTCGAGTGTAGGAAATCCTTCTGCGCCAGTCCTCAGATTGGGAATTATCTTGGTGTAGAGGCAGACTCGCATCGATATTGACCCGAGACACTGAGATCGGTCTGCCATGGAAAATGGATATTTTTCTTATTTGACAAGTCAGCGGACCTCGTAGCCATCTTGGCACGGAATTAAAATATTACCTCTCCAGCACGTAGGTCGTCCACCATACGCGATTGCGGGTTTCGATGACACTTGAGTTGAAGGCGTTGTTGCTACATTTTCGATGCATGCCGTTCTGAATCCCCAATCTGATGGCCAGATTAATGTAGATAAACCCCAGGCCAGAAGCGTCAATCGGCAGGAAATAGTATCCAAACAGCAAGCACGCCTGCACACTTTCAAGGGACGAGATCTCGATAATCTCGGGTAGGAGTCGGATTGCCTGTTGATAGAACGTAGTGCCTATCTCTTCCTCCGAGAGTCCTGATGTTGAGGTATTTCCAGGCCCCTTGGCACGTTCGAGATGTGCGTATTGTGTTCCGATGGCAAGGACTGTCAAGAGAATGCTGACTGTCACTTCACCCCCGCCCTGGGTCAGACTTTCAGGTTTGGTGTGCAGCAGAGCCAATTTCTCGAGAACCCAGCCTTCTTCAATGAAGAAAAGATAGCTCTCTGCATACTTGAAGAATATTCTCACCAAGAAACTGGATATATGGCTAGGAGGGAACGTCGATATGGCTGCTGATAAGTGATTATGCTCAGGGCGTAGCTGATGGGCCCGTGGAAAGGCCGACGCATAATCATCATCTTGGCGATTCTCTTCCTGCATATCAGTCAGCGGGGTGCGAGAGCGTTAGGCTGTAGTGATACATACTCGGCTCTCTGGCTCTTGGATTCGGCTTTCGATGTGGCTCTTGATCCGCATGGAGAAGTTCCAATACGAGAACTCTCCAGAAAAGTCTGTCTTGATTCAGTATCCATACGGAGTGTGGGAAAGATATGATGCCAACGAACGAGTCGTGGTGTCTCCGACCGGCTGCATCGTGCACGCTTCATCATCGATCTCCAGCCCCTCCAAATCTCTCGGACCAGCGGAGGCCCTTGATCGGCTCTGGTGGTCAGTTTCGAGTCTGTCGGCTATGTTGGCAAGGTTTTTCGTGTCGAGCGAGATTCCTTCCATGGTGCGCTGCAATATCCGCTCCATGTGTTTCGATCGCTCAATGAGCTCGGTGAAATCTGGTCTGCGGGAGGCCTCTCTGGTCGATGTTAGAGATGCTCTCTGTTGGATATGCTCTCGGCGGAGGATGGAATGCTCACCTCGGAACGTAGGGACGGAACTCACGAGGTCTCGGAGTTGGACCTCTGCATTCGCATGGCCGTTGAAGGTGAGAGCACCTCCGGCACGGGACTCCGCCTTCACACTTCTCCTTCAGCCGGCGGCATTCATCGCAGCTGTATGGGACTTGATGTTAGATGGACTGGCTATATGATGGGTCTTCCAGTGGTCTTACGCTCGGGAAACACGTTTCCGATGCTCCATGATGACTTGCAAGCGATTACGTAGTAAAGGAAGGATGCAAATCCGGGTTAAATGGGGGAGATAAGTAGATAAGTAACATAAATGCATCTCATCTTCGCCCGGGGTTACGCTTCCTTTTCCCCACTTCTTGAACAATCATTCCTTGAAATGGTTAGCGCATCGGTCTTATCTTAGGCGGGGTAAGACGAGTAGATACCGGTAACTTAGCGGTCCCACATGGAAATCTCAAGCTAATGAGGGTTTTGTGATAATTGTTACACGATGTTGTCAGAACGCCTCTACGCAAAATATCAGATCACGTTCGACTAGGAGCTTACAATAGAAAATTACAGATTGGAAAAGAGTGCTATACGATCAGCTCTTGCTAGTCTTGACCTATAAATAGCTGGGCAAGAGAATCTGCAAAGTACAGCACAGCCAAGAGTGACTGCTTATTACTACCCTATACTTCCATCCACGTTCCCACTTCAAAGTTCTTCTCGAACACTATCCAGTCCAAGAACTTCCCCCAGCTGAAGCTACTGTTAGCGCTACAATAGGGGGGGGGGGGAATTCAGGAGCCACTAAAGCTAGCAGTAGGGCTACTGCACCTGGGCTGCATGCGTACCGAGCAACTGGGTCTGAAAGTTTTGAACTCTGCAATGTCAGAATTAGAGGATCGGAGGGAAACAGGATGGCTGAGGCTGGTTCTAATGGGGTATCGATGCTGTGGATCCTATCCAATGCTCTGATTTTGTTCACGTATTTAGATCCTTTCTTTCGTTAGCATAGCTGCGATCATATCTCCTTGACGAACCCCATCTCGACCAAGTCATTCACGTTGATATCCAGGTCTGCCAACTTCGCCCGTGAGTTCTCGCGAATCCACAAGAACGCTTCCAGCACTATCCTGCGAATTGCCCGACAGACGATCTTGCCGTGCCTCTTGCGGATCTTCATAATTTGTTTACCCATCACGTACACCACCTGTGCGTCCTGCGCCCGACACAGCGCCTCCACCTCCTCGCGGACGGCCGGCAGCTCGCTGTACTGGTCGCCGCCGCCTCGTGTGATGAAGTTGACAAGCTTGTTCACCATGACCATTTCTAGATCAGGCGTCAGCACGTCGTCCATGTACCCATGGCGGAGTGTGAGACGATAGCACGAGGAGATTACCGGAGTCGCTCGCATAATAACAAAGCGCTCCGCAGTCGGGACCGTGGGAACGGACAACGGGCGTATGTGGAAGAATACAATGACCTCGGGTCGGACCATGAACTTGCGGACGTACTGCGCGAATACGTTTGGCACCGTGCTATCATCTCCACCGACTTTATCAAAGAAGATGCCTAAGCCCGATGCAGTCGACATATTCCCCGGGCCATTTACAGGTGATAGAGTCACCACCGGACCGTACTGCTTATCTTGCGGAGTCTTAGAGGAGCCATGTGGGCGCTGCAAGAGTTGAGACGGCGAGATGCGGTCTTCGGCTTCGGCAGCCCACTGTTGCTCCTTGCCGAAGCGCCATAGGATGAAGATGATGGAGAGGATAGCAGCGAGAACGATGGTGAGCCAGGCACCTTCGGGGACTTTCCGGAGGGCGGACGACAAGAAAGCGACGTCAAGGGCGACGAAGAGGAGGAAGAAGACGAGGACCGCCAGCGCCGGGATGCGCCAGACGATGACGGCGACAAGAGAGATCATGCAGGTTGTTATAAAGGTCACGATGCTAACGCATACTCCGTAGGCGTTGCCGAGACTAGTGGTCTGCGATTTCTTGCGTCAGCGTCGTGGCTAATAACAGCGCAACAGGTAGGCATCTCTACATTATTGTAAACAGCCGCAACAATGACCGTCCCGATCATCAACAGCCAATTCACTGACGGTATATACACCTGTCCGTGGAACTCACGACTCGTGTACACCGTCTTGACGTGCGGGAAGTAACTCAGCCTCATGACCTGAGCCATCAGCTGGAATGAGCTGGTAATCATTGCTTGGCTCGCGACAATCGCCGTGAGAACCGCGATGATTATACTGAAGTAGAAGCTGCCTGGCGGCACCGTATAGAAGACAGGATTCGTAAATGCCTTCTGGCTCTCATCCGTCGAGATATAAGCCGCCTGCCCTGCGTATGCGAAGACCAGACAAGGGTACACAAGGCACAACCATGAGAGCTGGATTGCTCGCTTCCCGAAGGCGCCCAAATTCGCAAACAGCGCCTCGACGCCCGTGAAGGCGAGTAAAAGCCCGCCGAGCGACTTCCACCCGTCGGATCCATTGCGGATCAGATACGCAAAGGCATAGTGTGGGCTGAACGCCTTGAGCACCGCATAGTCGTGCAGCGCGAGGTTGTAGATGCCGCTGCACAAGTTGAAAAGCAGCCAAACGATGACGATGGGCGCGAACGATGTGCCAATTTTGGCGGTCCCGAAGGGCTGCGCCAAGAATAGCATAACTAGAATGGCGCAGGAGATGCCAACAATATCCCTTGTTATGAGCTGCGGGTGGGCAACTGTGATGCCTTGGACCGCACCGAGAACAGACATGGCAGGCATTAGGATTCCATCTGCCATCACCATAGATACGCCAAGAACACCGATGGCCTTTAACACGGACTGAGCGACGCGGGAGTTCTCCAAGAAATTCCTCACACTTCCATCGATAGGGCTCATGTCGCTTGTGCGATGGCGGTGGAGGTGCGTCATGCCGGAGACATTGGGGTCGCAGCGGACAATGTTTGCATAGCGGGCGAGGAGCGAGTAGAGGGCGAAGGTACCGCCCTGGCCATCATCATCGGCGGGTAGTACGATGAGGCAGTATTTGACCGTGACAATGAGGGTCAGAGACCAAATGATAATGGACAGCGCGCCGATAAGATCATCCTGGGAAGGTTGCGAGGAGAAGGTTGACTGGTATACGTAGAGAAGGCTTGTGCTGATATCGCCGTATATAGTGCCCGTGCTCTGCCAGGCAAGCCAGATGAGGAGGAAGCCACGGTGGTTCTAAGGATGTAGAGATTAGTCAGTCAAAAAGAAAGTTGGGTTTGGGTTGGTGAGGGTGTCCAAGATAGGGACTTAAGGCTCTTCTATGACCTACCTGCTTGTTCTTGTGGCTCAGGTCCTTGTGGGCGATCTGACTGGCTTTCTCCGAAGAATCCATGTCCCAGATCTCAGCCACGCTGTGGCCGTTAGCGGCCGTCGAGGACAATTCGCCTACGACAGCAGCGTTCCTGTGGACGGCGTCGTTGAATTGGATGTTACGAGGGCCCCCATCGCCTTTCCCTTCTGGCGTTGCCATATTGAGCGACAATTGGAGGTTGTAGAGCAGGATGAACAGGAGAGGACAAGGCTGAATTAAGAAGCCTGAAGGGTAAGATTGAAGAAGTCAAAAAAGCACATATACAAGCAGGGTTTGACGTTCAAGCAAAAGCGGACAACAGAGCAAGGCTGTTATGAACGATTTTCTGCAATAGCTCGGCCTAAGGCAATCTATGGACGAAGGTCTTTCATCAACAGCGGAAAGCCACATGAAATGGTCCCGGACACTTAACGTAGTGGGTGTAAGCTGCATTGCGTCTATTGGTCTTGCCCGGGAAGCAGTTTGCCGGCTGGGCGAGTTATTCAGCCTTGCTAGAGTTGGAAGCAGACGAGACGCGCGTTGTTAGGGCAGCATGACTCGCTCCGCGATGGCGGGAAACTCAACTGCTACCTCGTCTCGGTACCCCTGTAATAACCTGACTCAATTGTGTGCCAACTCTGACTTCTGGCCAATTGCTGTTAATCGGGGTGTCATCGTCGAGCCGATCCTGACTTGGCTACCTGCCTCAACGCAATCGTCAGAGAGACCACCTACGCTGTAGATGACATCACTCTGCGAATGCAGCTGGCTGGCATGTGCTTCTGTCATGCTCCCAGTTCAGCGAGTCAGGGAGGGAAATATGGGAAACAGACGACGCTAGGGCAAGGATGGACATGAAGGAGATGCCGAATACACCAAGACTGGCACGAAAGGTGGCAAGATTATGATTGGCACATCTCCTCGGGAAATTCGGAGCCAGGAAATTTCTAAGAGACTTCTGGAGATGCAGCAAAGGTTCTCGTCGCGCTGTTGGCGGAGTGGGCTGTAAAGGTGCTAGTATGGAGGGCGCAGTTTCATTAGTTTGGAAGGGCTGGCAATGCACATGAGTCGTGCAGACACCCACAAAGAAAGTCGTCGTTGAGGCCTTAATGCCTGTCGCCGCGCGAGTCCTTCACGCTTCCGGATGCATGTATTTCTGTCGTGCCAGACCACCTGAGCTACTGTGTATTTGTAACACTCGTCCAGCCTGTCGTCTCCACGGAGCAGTCGTGTTCGTCATGTTACAGTCTTGGGGTTACTAATTACTTATCCTGGCCTCAGGGTAGCGCTTTCGACATAAGCATATCAATTCAATTCAAGTCAAGCAAGTTTATAGACAATTTTATTTCAAGTAATCAAGCTAGAGCCCCGAACTTGACTTCCTTGAATTAAATCAGCGCTGGATCAGACACTGCTGCTATTGCTAACAATACTCAGAAACCAAATAATGCCGCTCGCACCTAGTGCTCGCCTCCTCAAACACAGAAACCATCTGCTCTCGGAGCATTGGCGCCCTTCCAGCTGATGTACGTCAAGCTTTAGCAACCTGAAATACCCAGGGCCGCCGCCGTCGTGGAGCCAAGGCCGACCCAGGCGCGCATGGCATTAATGATGGACACGTCCCGGTGAACACGCGTGTATTTCCCCGCCGTCAGGGTGCCTCCCCCATAGCCACACTAGGTTGAACAGTTAGCTAGAACAAAACAAGAGAAGCTTTCATAGTGACTTACAGCTGAGGCCACGTAGGCTTGATCATAGGCCATGCCGAGACATCCACTCGCGGATTGGCTCCCCGTATACAGCGCGCAGTCACTCTTGCCATCAGGGAAGCCAGAGGCGCCGTTGGATGCAAACATATAGCTGCTCAGCACCAGTTTAATCCTCCAATCGCCATCGGTGCGGCTAAAGAGCTGGACCTCGAAGGACCGATGCTTGGAAATGTCCTTGTCCTTGACCAAGACGCTTCCTGTGTCGCCCATATCTCGGCTGGAAGAGCCAGGCGATTGCTGGTCGTGGTCGTCGTTCTGGATAGCAAACCGCGATGCGGGGATGACCCAGGAGCCGCAGGCAGGGAACTCTTTAGGATAATCAGAGCTCCATATCTTAATCTTGGCAATGTCTGTAGAAGAGAGCCCGGCCGCCGATAGGACGTTGTTGAAGTTGGTGTACCAACTCCACTCGCCGCCACCACAGGCAAGCAGGTCCTTCTCACCACCGAGGATGACCTCGTTCCATGAGATGAAGTCGGCGGGGAAGTCGCCTCCTCCTAGCTTCTGCTTGACGCGCTTGTAGATCTGCGCCATCATGGCTGGGCCGATGTGCTTGGCAGCGTCGACGCGGAAGCCAGACGCACCAAGAGACAGGACATCGACCAGGTACGTCGCAATTCTATCTTGGACATATGGCTTCTCCGAGTTCAAATCCGTCAGTCCCACCAGCCAGCCCTTGGTGATGACTTGCCCATCTGTCCACGAGCTGAGCGACCGCTCACAGTGGAAGTCTGTGGGACCATACGGCACGGCCGGGAATTCGAGCGTTGGCCGAGTACCCGAAAAGGGGTTGATGAGGTATGTTTGACCCCAAGTGTAGAACGGTGACCCGGCCGTGCCGTTGTGTCCCGTGTACAGGGAGCAGTCGGTGTTGCGGTGGTTTTGGACGTCGTTGCCGTTGCCCGACATGTGGTTCAGCACGGCGTCAAAGTACACGCGGACTCCAACGGCACGACAGGTCTGGATCATGGCACGGAGTTCAGCACGCGATCCCATACGCGATTGCAGCCGGTACGAGACGGGCTGATACACGAAATACCACGGCCGGAACTGGTTGTCAGGCTCGTAATAGTTGGATCCCCAGACATGCTCCTGCGGAGGCCAGATCTTGAGGCCCATGTACCCAGCCTTGCTGAGAAAGGAGCATTCTTTCGCGATGTCTGCATACGGCCAGCCGAAAAGCTCAACGATGGCACCCTTCTGTCCATCGCTGAAAGAGCTCTGCCCGCCGGCAATGGCGGCATTCTCCCAGAGGAAGTAGAGCGGATCCAGGGTCAGTACCGACCCGCTGCTACCGTAGACGACGATGCTGAGCCCACCCTTTGTAGACTGAGTGGCCTGATAAACGCTGCTGCTCTGGTTCGCCCCGTTGAAACTATACGTGAGCGTCTCGCCCGTTCGCGACAAGCAGTTGACCACCACGGCAGCCGACGTCTTCGATGAGCTGTACTGGATGTCTGCATAGCCCGTCAACGAGCGATACGACTGGAAGGTGTCGAAGTAGGCGGTATCCCCCTTGGGCGGCGTTTGCCATCGCCGATTTTCAGCCGCGTCTGGGACCGTATAGGTGGTACCGGACGCGCACGAATCCTTTCCGTTGAAGTTCTCACATCCACTGGCCGCTGTGGCCGCAGCTTCGGTTGGGATTGTTGCTGAGTAGAACGGCGGGATGGGGCTAGTGGACACTGACCCGCCGGAGCCTGCAGGGACAGAAGAGGATGTCGATGTAGTGGTGGTAGTGGTGGTAGTGGACGACTGTGTGCTAGTTGAGGAGGTACTAGTCTTTGAAGTCGAAGCGGTTATCTGGTAATTGACATTGTTGCCCGGATCATAATACCTGCAACTTGGTTCAGTGCCTCAACTCCTTATAGTATGGTGTGTTACACTCACGTTGTGCCAGAGACGGTATAGGAGATGTAGAACTGTGTTGCCGACGCTGCCTTTCCTGAGAAGACCCATGTCTCATAACCGGTGCTATCTGGTCCAGTGGAATAGGACGCTGAGATGGGCGTGCTCATCCATGTTGAACCCGCGGCCCAGTAAACTGAAACAACCTTGGTATAGGCAATGTTTTGGATCTAGCATGCTCAAAGTCAGATCGTTAGCAAATGTGTGGACCTCTTACAGTCATCCGCTTCCTCTCACCTTGATGGATCCTGCCAACGTGGAGTCAGTATAGGTAGAACTGATCAGGGACACTTGGGTTGCACGCTTCTCGAGCGCCGGGTTAGATGGAGCTGCCAAAGTCCCTATGGCTAGGAGCAGCCAGACAAACAATGCGTTGGGCAGAAACCGCATGGTGACTGGGCTCTGTCTAGCGGTATCAGAGACTGGTAACGAGGTTTGTTTCGAACACTTGAGAAGAGACTTGTCCGGCAGAGTGATGCAGCAATGCTTCTGATTTATATCGCTTAATCAAAAGCATCTGCTGTCAAAATGCACCTCGTCTACAGAAACGATGTCCACCGCAGCATCACAATATCTGGCCACATTATCATGCTCTACCAGCCTTCGGTCCGAATTGTGCACATGGATTGGCCAAGGCCTGGACCGCCGTACCCCGGATTTGGACTACACACCACGGCCTCTAACCCCACACGGCCGGGAGCCCGAACTTGGTAGAGCCGTTTTGCAACGCCTTATCCGAAGCGTGTCCATCGACAAATAACGGCGGAACAACCGGCCCTTTGTCGGCAGTAGCGCTGAGCCGGATGAAGACGCTCCGTGTCCTCACGGGGCAGTGTGGGGGGAACTGGGACTGCGGGTTGTTTGTGGAGGTGCAGGGTCATCGAATGTTGGTGTTGAAAGTATGGGGTAGCGATTCTTTGGTATAGAAGTGGACTTGGTGTTAGCGAGATCCCAATTCTAGAAGTCCAGAAATTTCTCAGAGGTGTGTTGCGCAAAGCCCCGTTCGATCCATTTCAGAAGTGAACTGGTTGGATACTTCTTGAATGACTTGCAGAAGGTCCATGAATACTGTTAGCTTTGCCGTGTTTGCTTCTACCTGTTCGCGATTTATGATGCCCTCGCTAAGTAAACAGGTGAAAAATAGGCTGCTTCCTCGACACGTGCGTGGGGTGCTAAGAAAGTAAGAGCATACGTCAGGGGACGAAAAGGAATTAACAGGACAGGGGAGGCGGAGACTCCGCCATTGCCAACCCCAGCTGTAACCGAAAGGACCATTCACAAGACAATATACAACTACTCAGCTACTTAGCATACCTATTTAGGGCTGGTTGGCGGGGAAATTTCCCCATGTCATAATGCTTCAATTGCCTGTCGGCCCGAAAACCCCTGTCTGATGATGAAAGTTCGGCTCGGGCCTTGCAGTAGTTTATTTGCACTGAACAATGGCAGATTGGTCAATGAGGGCGCAGGCACTCAGTGCGTGCCAAAAAAGGCCCGAAAGTGGCCTTCTGAACTGGTCATTCATGGTGATGTTCTTGCTTGCTACCGGCGCTTGACCTTAGGGCTGAGAAAAGGACCGATGGGACCAGAGTGCGATGCCGAAGCGAAGTCTTAATGCGGGGTTGCACATGAGCCACGAGCCGACCCTTGAAGTGCCAAAGTAGATATCGTGGCTCGGCAGTATTGCTATGAGGGTATCGTCACATGCATGCTCTCGGGTGGTTCGGAGAAGACCGCAATGAAATGTCGACAAAGATTTTGTACCAGGGTCGCCAAGTGTTCATCGCCCGGATGACCGGAACAAGCGATCATCATCATCATCATCAATTTGAACAGTATTGGATTGATCAATTGGATCGTAACGGATACAACACAAAGTTAATCCACTCATTATACAAATTTGAACAGATCACAACCGGAATATAAGGTGAGGAATGACAAGCGGGAAGGAGTATAAGAGGAGCACTTTTAAGGGGCGTGTCTTCAGATGTCAACAGGATCCTATCACTTCCATATTCTGAACTTAAAACTACGATAAAGTAAGGCGATGCAATTTGTCTAATATGCTCAACGGGGGATACTACGAAAAAAAGGAAAACAGGTATAGAGGCCTATTCCTCGGGCTTCTGACCGTAGACGACATGACTAAGATAAGTGTCAGCGCAGCTCCTTGAAAGTCTACAGACCGTAAGAGAGGGAATAAAAAACTTACAGGTCGAACATTGCGTGGACGTTTGGATTCTTCAGGCTCTTCCGTACTTGTGACAGAAAAACCAAGATCTCGTCCTCCTTCCAGTGCAAGACGCTCGTGTACAGTCTCAAGGTCAATCCCTCGAGCCCGCCGTTGATTTGCATGTAGTTGTGTGCGCCGATTTGCTTCAGCGTGGGATCCTTAGGCCACGGTCCGATGGGCACTCTATATCGCTTGTGGACAATATTCTCGAAACCAGCATCTTTCACCCAACCCTCTAGTTTTGACCCGGGGTTGGGATCTCTCTTTAGCGATCGCGCGGCGTCGAGGAGTGTAGAGATCCAGACCAACAGTGGGTCATCATCTGCCAAGGAGCCATCCTCTGAGTAGTATTGTAAGTCGAAGTCCTGGAACTCTGCCCAGCCCCCTGGCTCCAGGTTTCTGGCCAAGCATTGGATTAGCTTTCTCATTCAAAGGACCGCATATTCTCAGCCCGAGATGGTGAAGGTGTATAAACTTACTCAAAAATGTTGTTTACCAACTTAGGCCAGTCGTAGATGCTGGCAGCCATATATCTGCAGAATATCCAATCAAACTTGGCCTCATAAAACCACGGGCTTTCCACATCATCAATCTCAAACCTGGCATTTGGCGGGGTGAGGTTAGGCATATTAGCGCTGAGATCGTTTCCAATGACCTATTGAACAAAGAAAGGTTAGTCTCTTAGCGGGGAGCTGTGGGAGATGTTTTGTCGACTTCCAACGACGAGATGTTCTTACAATTGCTGCCGGAAATGCATCGGCGATCGAGACAGCCCCTTTTAGAATCTCTACTCAGCTCATGTAAAGGCCAGGTAAGCTAGGCTTCTGGATCTCACATATTCCCGTTCCGGTTCCAATGTCTAGAACGCGATGTGTCTTGGTCTTATCGATCGGAGCGAGATACAGCCCACCAATGAGTTTCGTAATTATATCATGAATAAGGAGGAGGCGATCCATCTCCATCTAGGGTTTGAAAATCAGTTCCTGGTCATCCGTGGATCAGGATAGGGCCCGTACCTCATCGTTTGGCCGCGAGTACCCTTCCAGAGTCATTAGCCATGTTACTAAGCCATCGTCCAGGTTGTGGACTTACTGCCAGCTCGGTAGGCATGATATCGACGACCATGTTCGATTGGATAGTTGACGACGCTCGAGGCTAGGGACGCCGTGTAGACGGAACTTTTCACTTGGGAGTTAGACACTAACGCGCCGATGGCAGACTATGTCGGGGATGGATGGCTCACAAAGTGTCATCAATAGCCGAGTCCGTATCGTTTATCTAAAAGAGGCAGTCTGAGCATGCGGCAAGTAGTAGATGAAAGACTAGAAATTAATATTACAAGGTTATCATCGACCTCAACCAGGCCACGTTGCGCTGTGTCTGCAGGCGGCGTCCCCACCAGTGCACCCCGCGGCGGTTGAAGCGAAGCCGAAGTGGTAGCTGGCCCCTCCTCAGTATCTGTCATACTGAGATAGTATAAATAGTCACGGCCAGAGTGGCTGAACAAGATTGAAAGAGCATGTGAGGTATATTGTTTTGTTATTTCAATTTCAAGTGCCCACTCGGGAATAACCACTTATAAATCAGTGGGTTATCAACGTGCGGGGTTGTCAGGTGACTGCCGTCCTTATCAGCCGACTACCTTGTCCTTCCTGTCTGACACGAGGATGTGGTGACAGGGTAGCTTGAAAGATGATGGAAGAGAGGGCCCAGTAATTGCGACTACTTAGTAGCAACCGAACGCCAAAACAGGAGACGCAACACAAAGGTATTTTGCCCTAAAGAGCCTTGAGGAACTGAAGCACCGAATCATCTTTCTGATTGTGGCGCCTATGTGTGACGACAGGCCGGGTAGCACGGTCAGTACTGTTCAACGCTGGCTCCTAGCCTGATATAATGGCACCGCTACCTAGTGCTGTTCTTCAAACAATCTCGACAGGGGAAGCGTTGAGGCTTCCTCATCAGGCCTACAGACCACTTAATAAGGAGCGCAGAGAATTTCGGATCGTTGAACTCTACCCAAAGTCGTTCAGAGAAAGGACGGGACGGCAGTACGTTAGCTGCTACACTCAAATTGTCGCGTTGGGAACTACTGCCTCGCAAATCTCAGAGCCATATGTGGCGTTGTCGTACACTTGGGGTGACGCCGCGAAGAGAGTCGCTATCTATCTGGACAACAGCGTCGCCCAAGTCACGGAAAATTTATCGGTAGCTCTCCAACACTTCGAGCAGGATGACTTGGCGCTCAGGATCTGGATCGATTCCATCTGCATCAATCAAAACGATGAGGCAGAGAAGAACCATCAGGTAGGCATGATGGCGGAAATCTTTATGCGAGCTTCCATGGTTCTCGTCTGGCTTGGGCCGAACGGGGGCGGCGCCGAGGAAGGGGTCGAGACGCTGCGGAAGATGGGGACAGAGGCACTCCAGACACACGGCCATCTTCAGCAGATACCGAAGGACGCGGACAACCCCGTCAGTGGAATCAACGCCGAGGACCGCGTCCTTGAGCTGATGGAGCCCCGGTGGTTCCCGGACGGCGTGCCATGTTTCGACCCTCGATCAATTCAGGAGGTTCTGGAGCGGCCGTGGTTCCGCCGCGTCTGGGTCCTGCAGGAGGCGGCCGTCAACACCAACGTCGCCTTCCACTGCGGACGGCAGACAATCTCGAAGCATGTCCTGTGGGCAGGCGTCCGCTGCGCCAAGCTCCTGGCCAACAAGATATCGAATCGCAGCCGGGCCGGCGGCTGCGATGCTGGCGACCCGAGCATCTTGCAGGCCGAAGCCGGCGTCGGGTTCTTGTCCAGACGAACCCTGGAACTGGTGACGGCTCGGAAACGAAAGCTCCCTCTCCAGGCGCTGTTGTGCGATGTCACGATGAATCTGGGCGAGTGGGCTTACGAGGCGACCGATCCGCGAGACCGCGTCTTTGCGATACTCGGCTTCTCCTGCGATGCTGACGTCCTCAACATCCGCCCTGACTACGCCAAGACCTGCGCAACCATCTACACGGACGTTGCCGAGGCGATCCTGGCTCGCTCGGGAACGCTTGATATCTTGTATGCCGTCTCCGGGCCCCGGAACGTCAAGGCCTTGCCCTCATGGGTCCCGGACTGGTCAGTCCCTGTCCCATCTACGTTTGGGCCCCGCAGCATTGGCAGATTCTCCGCCGCCGGCCCCATGTCTCGATCTCGCACGGCATTCAAATCAGACCAATTTCACAACAGGCTTCTGGTCCTGTCTGGATACCGAGTTGACACGGTGGAGGCGGTGGTGCCGTATCAGGTGGACCCGCAGTGGGAAGACGACTCTGACAACGAGGGCCGAATGTCTCTGTTAACCGATTCTCTCCGAGATCTCGGCTCGAGAGAGCAGACTGCCTACCCTTCAGAAGAGGCGAGGTACGACGCGTTGTGGAGAACACCAATCGCCGACTGCGACGCCGTCATCGACACGAAACTGAAGATGCGGCCAGCGGCATCTGAATGGATGAAGAAGTCTTTTGAAGCCTTTGTAGGGATCGCCCACCAAGCAGACTCAGCGTGGAGGAGGAGAGCTTCCAAACCTTACATTCACACTATGAAGCTCGAAGCTGCCCGGCGGCGAGTCTTTGTTTCGTCACGGGGATATTTTGGTCTTGGACAAGAAACCCTGCGTGTCGGAGACACTATATGTGTCCTCCTTGGCGGAGACAGTCCTTTTCTCATTCGAGAAGTCGGGCTTGGTTACCATGAGCTCATTGGTGAGGCTTATGTCCATGGGATAATGTGTGGGGAGTTCTTGGGTAAGAACTTGACTGTTGAGCAGTTTATAATATGCTAAGAATCAAGCTTGCGAGCAAGCCATAGGGCGGGATCGTGGTCATTGGGTCAGTGATGTAGTTTGTCATAAAAGGAGAAAGAAAGGAAAGTTGGGTTGTCTAGGAAAGCCTGAAATAAGGCTATCATGCGTCTCATGATGACCCCGAAATGTGTCATGAGCTATATGAGGGATGTAACTTCTCTAATCCTATGCGTCTAAGCTATGTCTATACACTGGGCTGACTATAGGAAGTAACAGGCCGCTATTATAGACTATTATATTCTAAGTTAATATTCAGGCCGGTTACTTTCTTTTTAAATACTCCATAGATCTTTCATTTAGACTTTTAATACTGCTCTAGCTTATCTAGAGTTACTTCAATCTGGCAGGTTTTAACTTTCACTTTCCATAGCTCCCCTCAGCGCTGTATCCATTTTGTACTTCTCCCCTTAGCCAGGTCCTATAATCTTTCTCAATCCGAATTCTAAACCCTCAACTGCCAGTATCCTTAGCATTTCCCGGATCTCTATCATTAGGGTGTATTCATATTTTCTCCAGCCCAGAGTTACATCGACCAGCCCAGGGTTACATCGACCAGCCCAAATGATTATTGCTCGTTACTCATTCTCCGACTCACGTGTATACTCTGATCGTTGCCGCCATTTCTCGCCGTACCGCATAATCAGCATGGGAATCGGAGCCAGGAGGAGGCTAAAGGCCCCGAAAATCGAGATCCCCCAGCCATAGCCGAGAGCTTCAACCAGTGGCCCGGTAGTCAGAGGTAGGAATGTGCCCATGAGGCATCTTGTGACAATGAGTCCCGTCATAGCCGATGCCGAGTAAACACCGCCAGCATCTACCACGTATGACGACAATGGAATCAAAATCAGCAGCGTCGTTCCGTCAAGCAATGCCGCCGCCGTCAACAGAATCCACACAGGGAGTCGGTACTGTGCGATGAAGCCATACGCCACCATGACAAAAGGCATTGCGAGCCCGGCGGCGATGGCAAGGGGAAGACGATACTCGGGCAGATTGGGGTTATTGGGTGACCCGCGAAGCTTCATGCTGATTTTATCAATAGTCGTGTGGCAGATGGCAATCGCAACGAAAGACCCAATACCGATAAGCGAGTTAGCTTCGAAGTCATGACGCGATGAGATGAATTCCCTCGAAACTTACTGAGAGCAACGAAGGCGGACCCTGTTTCACCAGGGGTGAAATGATAGATGTCCTGGAGGATGCTCGGCAAACTGACGGACAAGACGTAAAAGTAGGAAAAAGAAACAGAACCAAATAGCGACAGAGCCGACAGGACACCCGAGCCAAATAGAACTGCAAAGGGTCTCGAAACCGAGTCCAGCACCATCTTGAACCCAGGCCCACGCTTCGCAGAGCCCTTGCCCAATTTCTGGGCCCTCCGCCTCAAGATGGTTAGTTTGTACGTCTCGCGGAAGCACGTCAGGAAAACGACTTCGCACGCCACCGCCAACGCAGCGCCGATGAGCACAACAGCTCTCCATCCCACCCGCTCCGCGATGAGTCCGCTAACTGCCGGGCCAATCGCACCGCCGATCAGCGGCGCGCACATAATCAGGCTCATGGCCGAGCCGCGCTGGTCCGGGGCGAAAATGTCGCCGATGATGGCGGGGTTCAGCACGTTGACGGCCACGGCGAGGCCGGTGAGGGCGCGGCAGGCGATGAAGAGCGGCGTGCTCTGGCTGAGGGCGGCTGAGACGGTGGCAGCGATGAAGATGATGTTGGCCACGTTCATCACCGGGTAGCGGCCGAAGACTTCGGAGAGCGGCGCGATGAGCAGTGGCCCGGCGGCTTCACCGAACTCCCAGATGGTCACAAGCAGGGCGCTGCCGACAGAGCTTGGCTGGCCGTTGTCGAGGTCTGCCACGATCTGGTTGGCAATTGGGACGATGGAGATGCACGTAAAGGTCCTGGATAGCGGTTAGTAGGATGTCTCAATCCAATGTGTACCGGCGGCTCGTCTTACACTGCAAACGCCATGCAGGCCAGCATCAGCACGATGCGCCATTTGAACGCATCGGGCCAGTTCCTGGGGTTTCCGGGGCTGTTGGGTTCGAAGCTGAGGATAACAGCCGAGCTGGCTTCTGGTTCGATATGCTCGGCCCCAGGGCGTAGTAGAGCCTGCTCTTCTGACATGGCTCCGGAGAAGAGCAATTGGAATGTTGTCAGGTTGATTGAGGTCTGATTAGAGCAGGCAGCCAAGTAAGTATGCGAGTTGGGTCTTTTTAAAACTGGACGGAAGCTTTTGAGTCACCGTGCTGACTAATTAGTTAGTCTTCACTATTGGTACAGGGTAGACACAGATCGTGGAGTTCAGGTCCTAGTATGGATTGGGACACAGGATGTAACTTAAGCCGACATCGGTTACTGTCTGTGACAGAGTAGCAGCACGGGGTTCGTCGAGTGGGGTCACTCTAGTGTTGTGTAGTAGGTGTAGTAAGGTAGGTAACCAGGTGTCAAGTTGATCGCTGAGAGCTTGAGGCTCAGGTTCTGGGCCTGAGGGGATGTATATGTATACTAATCTGACCTGATAATAAAACGTGAATATGGGTCGTCAAAATAAGATGGCAAACTCTCGATTGGAAAGGACAATTTGAGTGGGAAGTACTGACCGCCCGGGCTAATAGCAGCACCCAAAGAAACGCAAGAATAGAAGAAAAAAAGCCTCATAACACAATAATCTCTCTTGTGCCATTCTCTTTGACGTTCGAAAACAACCGTTCCTTAAAGACTTGTGATCCTTGTTCCGTAAGATAATGACGAGGCTCTAGACAATGCACCCCTTTTGAGAAACACTGGGGACATATATCGTAGGAGGTAACTGAGCAAATGATGCACTGGAAGCTACGATCGGTAGTGAGTCGTTTGCAGATGTCGCAGATGCTGCTGTTGTCATATAGTTTCTGAACCTCTTCCAGGTGACAGATGAGCTCTTTGGGATGTTCGTGGGTATTTTGGTCTTGGATGGTCCTTGAAGAACAAGAGGCTGGGCTGCCGCCACTTGGCACCTTTTCTCCAAGAGGCGTACCAACTACCGGTCCACCCAGCCCACCCGGCGTGGCGCAAATCTCTGCTTCAAGTGGGAACATCTTAAGCAGCTCCCAAGCAGCAGACCTTTGGTGAGGCTTCTCAACGCGACAAGAGTAAATGACATCTGTCAGGTATTGCGGTATACCAGGAAGTGGCGGGAGCTGGACCGGGTCGGCATGTGGCTCTGTGCAAAGGGTATTCATTTTACCAACGCATCCAGTCAAGTCACAGAACTGACTGGGTGTCGGTGAGTGGACGTTTGCGGCGATGTGCCAGATGGTCAAACCAAGCTGGAAGATGTCGGTAGTTGGATTTGCAGTAAAAAAGCCATCAGCAGCGCCTAGGTTTTTGCATTCTGGTGGCAGTCTGCCCCTCTGGTGTTTCTGGTAGAAGAAGACGGGCTGGAAGTGAAATAAGACTGCTCGGTCTTGCCCATCAACGGCAATACCGCTGCCCATAGGCCAGCCTAGCTTGCCAATGAGGAACCCTTTCGAATGTGCTTCAGCGACGGCTCGTATGATGTCTCTACACCATCTTTCCCGCCTGTCCCACGAAATTGGTACACCCGAGTTTGTAGCTTCAGCCATAACAGTCTTAAACAAGAGCCCTGTTGCGGGCAGCTCACATAAGAACCCCTTGACCAGAGCGGTGTCTTGATCTGTAACTAGTCCAAGAAACGGAGACATTCCGGGTGCGCCGCGTAGGCAGTGAAGAGCTTGAAGCTGGTATAACAGAACATCATTAAGCGACCTCTCCGACCCGAACCGAAAGTCAAGCGTCCACTGTGATGGCAGACGTGAAACAAAGAAGAAGCTCCGCTCGCGCCTGTGGAGCGGGACCTGAAGGAGTAAATCCTCTGAGAAGCGCGGACAGTTGAGATGGCGGAGCATGTTCGTGATTGTCTTGAAGTACGCTGTGGGTTGGAACGTTGACTTGACGATCTGTACTTGGCTTCCCGAGTGGATCTGGAGATGCGTGTCTTGCTGTAAATTGACGCGGGATTTGAGAAATCCTTTCAAGATCTGGCCCACATTGGGCGGGAGCTCCTTTTTTGTACCCGTGCATGCTGGTGCACTCTCGTAGTTCCAGAATCGTGACTCGACGCTAAATGTGACAGATACTCGAAGTCTGATCCACTGTCTCGGCGTCTTGCAGTAGAACATGTCATAGAGGTTGGTTCGAGTCATGTTTGTGATGCTAGCTTGTATGGTCATGTGGCTGAAGAGTGTTGCCGTGTCGGCGCATGCCAATGTCTCGGGTCGAAAAGACATGGACTTTTCTAACGAGGTAAGAGGACTGGCTTTCCGAAGAGCTTGACTCGTCTTCAAGTCTTTGACTCTATGGAAGTCGACCTGAGGTTGCTCTTCTTCTGACTGTTTTACCTCTGCTTCAACGAGAATGTCCCCGTCGTCCACGTCCAATGTCTCAAGGGTCCGGCGTAGTCTCTCTATAGGGGGCGCCTGGACTGAAGACTCTCCACTAGTTGAGCGAAAGTGTGACCTGGGCTTAGCTGTCTCCGATGTTGCCGCTGTAAACTCTGCAGGGCGTAACATTGACTGCATGCTCAGGGCGATAAGCAAATTGACTCGTACATCCTTAAGCTCGTCACGAATGGCAGCAATGTTGCCCTTGTTCATTAGCCAGGCCCTGCGACGAGCTCGGCCTGAGTAACTTCAAGGTCAACAGCTGATTTAGATCAAGCAGGACCTTCTGCGCCTTCAATAGAATCTCGTGTACGGCTCCTATTGGTGAATCTCCCACTGCGTTGTTGACTTCTCGAAGTACTTCCTGGAAAAGGTGCGCTTCCTCCTGACTCACAATCATCAGTAGCGTAAGTGCGGCTTTGGAAATGACGCTGCTCTTACCTGTAAATTCTGAAATAATGCTGGAGCTTGACGGATGTCGTCTACAGCCTTGAAGGCGCCAACACAGCATTTCGATAGCGCTACAACGCTTGCGACAACCCCTACTATCTCTGCCATGATGACGCACTCGTTGGCATTCCTTGAAATGATTTGGCGACAGCGAAGTAGGATACAGCGGCCTAGATGTAGTGGGAACGAATCACATGTGATGAAGCCACAGCGCTTAATGAGTCTCTGTCATCCAATACATAAAGTGAGGCTGGCACTTTATGTAAATGTGTGTGAAAGTGCAATACGCTTACGAAGCGAGCTGAAACAGCCAATAAGTGGCAAAAGGATTTAATCACGTCACTGGGCTAATCTTACTGCTAACTGAGTAGGAATCTCTATCGGCCGTTGACTCGGATTAAAGTTACAATAGCCAACTATTTTAGTCCTCAGCCTTTTTTTTCATCTATGTCTCGACTTCCATCTCGCCCGCCACCCAACGGCAATCTAGAGCTGAGCTCTGTACTACATGGCCTGGATTCACAGTATCTTTTCCCCCCTTGATATTGACGACACCAATACGATTTTCATGTCGCGATCGCGTTGGTGACGTGGTGCAGTTTGCCAATGAGAATGAAGGACTCTAGCGCCCTGCTCACCCTGGCCGGCAAAACTGCTGGCGCGATAGGCCACGGTGCCGGGGCAAAATGCAAATTTTCATGGGGGCTAAGTCTAGGCGTCTATGTTATGCAGTCATGGTATTGTGTATGCGCTGATCTTATGCGCTCCCAATTCGCTAACAGGTTCGCGACATGTCTCCCTCCTGGTTAAAGGCTCTGTCTGGCGCCGAGAGCCTTGAAGAGGGTGACTTAATATAAGAGAATAAGGGACAGCACAGGGCTGTCTGCCGTTTTAAGAGCAACATATATTAGTTGTAGTTGAATGTGACGTATTTCAGTTATTTAGCAAGGGCCGTTATTGTAGCTTCCAGGGATAGGCCAGAGGAGAGACATGTGAAGACGTGACTGGGGCTGAGCTTTGTTATGGCAGTCAGTCCTAACCTAGAGAGGTCATCGGTCAAGTCATGTGTTAATGGGTAGTTTGATATTACTAAATCTCTTGATAGCTGCCGAGGCTACCTGTCTATAAGAGTGCCAAAGGAGCGTGTAAAAATATATTTGGAACGATGGTTCCAGGGAGCGCGCCCCGCTGGTTGTCCTCTTCCAGACTCTATAGCCCTGACACCCCCTCAGTGTCTGCGGGAGTGTGAAACGAAGGTGCATACCTAGTGAATGACGGGAGTTACGTTCATGTTTCTTTTTGTGAGCTAGTAACTAATAACTTGTGATAGAACCTGAGCCCATGCTTAGCGATAGCTTAGCTTTGAGCATAAGAGCTCAACTCTTGACGGAAATGAATTTTGCTAGGCTTGAATTTTGTTTCTGAGTGTAGCGGGATAAACAGTATTTTCATCCCTCTGTTTTACCACTATCCTTTTATCAGCTTAAGAAATCCCGCAAACAACCTTGGTGTTGACTTCGAAAGACTGTGCTTTCATACGAGGGAAAACTCCAGTTCTTCGGCCTTCTTTTGCCGCCGTGAATGACGATGAACTCCCAGGTACCACCAGAAACCAAGAGTTATAATTGTGAACGAGACAGCCAAAACTACGTAAATCCAAAAGTACTTCGACACAACTTTGCCGCTACCTGAATCGCTCCAATCAAAGAAACCCATTGAAAATATGGTCTAGGCTTAAGTTAGCATTTTCTTTCAAGATTCTTGAGTGGACATACTGCGAAGAAGGTCCCTGGCAAAAATATCATAGTTACAAGCGCAATGGAACGCATGTGGCGAGAATCGCGGCCAGCAGCCATGGCGATTTCAACGTTAGTTTCTCCTTGTGCCTGTAGAAATTAGCCCTGATTAGATGTGTAGACTGGGGACAATAATACCCATTGCGTTGCCATCGTCATGCCATCAACCCTCATTGTACAATCGCGAACCTTCTCGTGGTACTCGTCGATTATATCTCGAACGCGGTTCTTGATCTTGATTCCTGTCCGTCGCATTCTCTCTGCTTGAACTGCATCTTTATCAGACCTTCGAGACTCAGGCTTCTGCTGTTGCTTTTCTTCATTTGCGTATTCTTTGGACGGATGCAAATGATCGGCCTCGACGTGGTCGCTGGTTTCCACGGAAGCTGTCTCGACTGATGTTAGTTTGTGGGATAGAACTTTGCGACCCGGCAAGCAACTGGATTCGTTATACTGCTCGTCCGGGAGTTTTTGTGACTCTTCAGGCTTCCTCTTGTACTCATCCATGGTTGGTGACTGCGCGTTGAAGACAGTATTGTTCAGTTCGTCCGCGTGACGGAATAACTTTTCGAGATTGGTGATCCAGTTGATTAATTGATTCCGAACATACATGGTGTCCAGCCACGCAGATCTCCTTTCCTCTTTCCGCTTTGCTTGTTCTTCGACTGACATGGCTTCTGAGTCCTCAGATAGCAGGTCTATTTCTTCGATTCGAGCTTCAAGCATGTCAATCGCGTCATCCACAATGTCCACATGGCGTGATCTCTCAAGTTCAACAAGGATACCTGGCATCAGGAGCGAGTGGCTAGCCTCGGCGGTTGCTCGGCTGAGGCGCTTTAGGACTTGCTTCTCTATTGACATGGGGCATCCGAACATGACAGCAAAGGTCAATCCGCAGTGCGGAAAATACGTTGCCGATAACGCGAGATCACCATCCCAAGCATTTGAAGTACGGCAGTTGTATACTATCAGGATTATCAGACACGTTCTTTTTTTTTTTGTAAAGGTGGAGGGATTTACCAAAGGCAGGATAACTCTGACCCATTTCTGCACCCATCTCAACCTCTACGGCTGAAAATGTGGGCATGTCGGCTCTGTTGACTGTGCGAGCTATTGTGTGATGGATGTAAAACTGCCTAGCGATCTTTTTGAATGAATTCTTCGTGAATGGTAGTATCTTCAATGTACGCAAGCCGCTTTTTTGCGTTATTGTAGGTCCTTTCGACTTCTCTGTCGATATTGTTGATGGAGCCGTGACTTTCATTTCTATTTTGGGACGCTCGACCATCTCGAGCCATTTATCCGATGTAGCTCTGCTAACTTTTGGAAATTCTCGCTCTCCACTTCGTCTCGCCAAACTGAGATGGTTTGGTTAGCAGGTAAGCAGGTATTCTGGGAGCGCCTCTATACATCAAAACCAGACCCGATGCAGATCCGTCGAGGGGCGGGTGTTCCTAGAAATTCGTCAACATGGAGTCTACGCAGTCCGGTGGAAATATAGGAGTGCTTACTGTGTCGAACCAATTGTCCCAGTCGTCGCTGCTCGTCATGGTCCATACCAGAGGTGTCTGCACTATCATCAGTTGGAATGCTAGGTGGTCCTAAGGTGATGTTAACCAACCTCAGTGTCTGGAGACACGCGAACTACTGTGGTTGGTGCCTCTTGGAACGTAAAGACGCGATCAAGGCCCCGTTCACTGTCAAGAGAGCCATCTTCAGCCCAGTCCATGGTGAATGGCGGGTATTGTGTAGAAGTGTGAAGCAGCGGAAGGCATTGAGAGAATAGAATCTTGCGGCGATATCTGGAGCTTTAGCCACCACGCAGTGGTAAGCCCGGTGGGCCTATGCGGCTGCGCCTTATAAATGCGCCAATAGGCAAGGCGATATGCACTTTCAAGCGAACGCTGACCTCTCGCCGCCCCATTTGTGTAACGTATCACCTGAGCTGTACGACACAGCCCCCTGTTTATATCCACTCAATAGTGTAATCTCAGCCGAAGTGTGACAACAAGCCGGTCGTGGCAACCTCTTTTACCGCCCTGCATTCGCCCCAGCCCCCTTGCCATCTCATCAGTTGTTCTGCTTGACCCTCCCTTCAATCCCAACCCTCCCTCTTTTCTCAGTCCTAGAAATCCATTACATTTTACCTAAAGATGCCTGTCTGGCCTGTTCGCGCGACCTATACTGGTCAAGATGCTCTGGAAAAGTACTTCACCGAGTTATTTGGCCCCGGTACCTCAACCGTCCTCGTAAGACTGCCCATACGCCCACACTCACACCAGTGCTCCTTACCCTGAGGCTGACACATAGGCTAACGGCTGGCATTTAGTGGAAGCGTGGAAGATTCCTGTGCACCATCCCTCGTCATCTCACCGATGTTAGTCACCCCATCCTCCAATCCCCGTGTCCTTGAGTAACCAATTGTTTCAGGCTGAGCAAGTCCAGTTACGACACGTTGTCAAAAAGGCAGATCATTACCAGTGATTTCTGCCTGGGCTAAATTGGTATTCATGCGTGGGCTCGCCCATTTGGTGGGCCAAGTTATTCTACAAATGGAAGCCCGAATTGTTGTACTAGGGAAATGAGCCGCGAAATAAAAATAAAATAAAACCAACTATTTCCACGCACTAACTCTCTTGTTTTGTCAGTTTTCATACCTTTCATCTTCCAAACTTCAGGTCGGGCTAATTGTCCATCTCCTGGAATTGATTAGGCAGCATAGACCTTCTCGTTTCTCCTTTGTGATCTTTCAACTGTGGCTTCTGATCGAGGATCATCTTCGTGGCGAACTCGTTAAGATCTACCTCAACAGCCGGGATCGTCGGGGGACATCTATCTACCGCAACGCCCTGTATACAATAGCTGTCCTTGGCACAAGCATTTCGAATGCGCCGAAGTGCATCACTGAGCTCTCCCGACGAGGACCTTGTACCCGAGGACTGTCCATCATTGTTCTCCAGAACAACCAGTATTTCCTCTTGAATCAGGTCCAGGACGTCATGGATGAAGCGAGAACAATGCATCTCACGTCTCATTTGTTGGATCCACTGCCACGATTAGAACAGGCTGTCACTCTGCAATAATTTTCAAGACTCACATCGGTGACCTCGACCTTCACCTGCGCCACGTACACTCCGGGGCCTTTCTCTTCGCAGGTCATCAGAGAAAAGAAGATGTCGTTCTTTGATCCATTGATGAACATGGTCTCCCTTTGCCTTCGAAACTGGTCGAGGCTGGTAGGGCCTCCCATAAGCCAGGTGAGGAATTCGAGGAACAGACAGCCCACGGTCCATATGTCGTAGGCTCTGGAAATGAGGCCTCCCTTGATATCGCACTCGGGTGGGCGGTAACCTGGAACAGCGGGGATTGTCTTGTTTGGGATGTTGGACCGACTTGTATCGCGATTGAAGTCAGATAACCCAAAGTCGGAGATGACCAGGACATGCTGATCAGACTCAACTGCATCCTGGAAGCAAAGAATGTTGTCGCACTTGATGTCCCCGTGTCTACCGTATCGCTTCTCGCCTCTGCCGCTTGCATGGAGGTGCCGCGGATTGTGTATTGTGTCGAGCGCCCCCATTATCCCCCAAAGTTGATCAGACGCCCACCTCACCGTCTTAGGATTCCATGGAGGGTTCTGTTCCTCCAAGCACATGTCAAGGTCGCACGCCGCACCTGGAAAGACGAAGCTCCATTGGCTGCCGTACTTGAAGGCCCCTAACGTGGTGACGAGATGCTTATGTACGAAGCCACTGAATCGGTTCAATTGGTCGAACTCTCTGCGAAATTGCTTCTCGTCGTTGAACTTCTCGTCATGAAGTGTCTTGATAGCAATTCTGCTTCTATTCATTTTAATCTTTTGAAGAGTTGCGTCAGTTAATACACGGAATGATGACTCGCTTTCCAGACCAGACTTACCCCAGTAAGGGCGGCGTCGAAAGAATGACTGGTGGGATGAAACTCGACCAGAGTGACTGCTCCAAACGCGCCACAGTTTTCTAATTCGGCGGAATCCTTCGCCTTGCGCCACGGCCGGCTTGTCTCACGGTGAAGGTGAAACTCTTTGCAGATCGCCCCCTTTGTTAAATCGAAGAACGGGGCCGTGACGCACCATTGATTCTTCTCGAAACACTCCTTGTCGTTGTTATCCCAGCCTTCGAAGCAATCGAGAGGCTTAGACTTGTCTGTTTCGAGACGGACCGACCGTGTCTTGCCCCTTTTCACAATGATGATAGGCAATTTCTCGTCGCAGACCCCATCACGGATGAACTTGGCCAGATATCTCTGTTGTTTTCCAAGGGCCAGGAGCGCAAAGATTTTCAAGTACGACTTCGATCCAGTGCTTTCATCTTGCGGACAAACAGCATTGACAAGTTGCGGAATATCCAATTCGCCACAAGTCTGCTCCGTTTTCTTGAGTTCCGCCTCGACTCGATCTCTGGACAGAACGTGGCGCAATAATTTCGGGGTCCAGTAACGGCCATCAATGCCGCAAATCTCGTATTCTCTGATCAGATCGCCGAGCGTGGTGTTTTGATCATCAACAATGGGAACGAGACCATCCCCGTCGTACGTGTATCCGAGATCTTGGTCGGAATCTGTTTCGACAGAAGAAATAATGACCTGGGGAAGAAGATTGTTGTCGCCCATGTTGTAAAGTTGACAGGGAAATACCTGTTCAAAACAAATGGGAAGAGTGTTTGAAGAAAAGACTGGGCGGTAAGGCGAAGGGAGGATTGAAGCTGATTTCAAGTTGCATCAATGATTTTAGTAGGAAGACCATGCGCTCTTTTCGTTCCCATCCCCCGGGATGAATGCCGAATCGGCACTTACAAAGCAAAATAAGGCAACCAAACAGATTACCTCGATGAAATTCCCTGCATAAGTCAGGTGCATCAGAGGCATTCTGAGCACGTACTAAAGCCAGCTTGAAATTGGTATGGTAGGGCTGGAGAGTTCGCTGATTGGAACGAGATAAGTTTGGCTGAGCACATGATAAAACGCAGCTGCTGTGATTGGGCAAAATTTGACAGCCTGCTTTCGATATCACACCGAGTAGATAACCTGCAGCCGAGCCTCATGTACATAAAGCAGGGATTGCCCGAAAGAGTTGTGGCTGAAATGCTTTCAAGTTCGGCATCCAATGGTAGGAAGAGGAGTAGATATGACGCAGGTATTAAATTAATCACTCATACATGACAAATAAAGAGATGGCGCATGATGACTGCATGTTTTGCTTCAGGGTGACATTTTCAAAGGTTCTCACGCGTACCAACCAGAGCACAAGAAGGGCGTCAACCGAGTTCCCAATTCGAAAGTGCAAGATTGGACCGGCGAAGAGAGTCGCCACACCGTGAGTGAGAGGCAACGCTGTGTGGCAGATCTAATTGAGTCGTCCCCAATGTAGGCGCGGCATGCCTCGGAGGTCTACGTCCTTGCCTACCTCGGGTAATTGACAAGTTTGCAGGAGACTCGGCCTCTGTGGACCCAGAGATCTCGGGCCGATGTTAAGGTGGCGTCTACTCAACCTAGCCTGAGAATTCCAGCAAATGGGACTGTGACTCACCAAGATTCGCTACTCTTTCTCGTCGTCCTTGGGTTCGGAAATAACAGGAGCTGATAGTTAGTACTATCGAGTTACCTTGTAGGCCAACGGCGTATTGAGAATTGGTCAGATCTCACGATCTTCAGGGTGTTTGGACACCGTAGATTAAGACAGCTTGACAACTAGGCAGGCGGGCCCAATTGAAGAATAAACAATTTGAACTATGGCCGACCTTGTACCGGCAACTTGCTCACCTTGAGGGAGCAGACAGAAGTTAGATTAGAGAGGCGTATGGACCAGGTTTTTTCAGCCCGCTTCAGCCTGTTCTGTGTTGTCACATTCTTTGCAGCCTCAATGCTGGCTAAAACTAAGTCCAAGGTAATATTGTTACAGCTGTTGGCTTCGGGACTAGTGTCGATTGTAGAAGTTGTATTATAAGGGGCATATACGTGGCGACAAAAGGTTGACAAGGATCGAATCGACATCTCCGGAAAAGATATCTGTAACTAACTAGTACAAGACGTACAAGTTAACCAGAAGCCTGACTATCATCACTCGAGGAAACTAATAGCGCATTACAGCTAGAAAGTGATAACGTGCATTGTAGCCAGCTCTGTGGCGCTCGCAGCGTCACCTCATTCTCGCCGACCGCAAATGTATCGAGTCTTCGCTTCTAAAGTGTCTTAAGGGACATATGGTAAGTAGCGGGATCGTGTTTGTGATATAAGTTGTAACCGTGTCGTTGTCCTGCCTAGCAATCAAGATAAGGCCACAAGAGTTTAGGGTAGCCATGGCAACAACAATCTGCTAGCACCCTCTTTCAAGGCGCATAAAGCCATACACGGAATCAGCTCAATCGCATCTAGAATTTTAATACGAATCAATTAAGAAACTAGAAAGTTAAATTGACTACTAGGCTGAGGATTATTTCTGCCTTCTGCGAGCCAGGTATGATGGAATGGATTTGCAAAGCATGGTCCAGTTCCCCACATGATAACTGTCGCGCTATTACCAGCTAAAGTGAGGGGGGACTGATTGCAGCGTAGGGTAGGCTCTGTGAAGAAAATCGCCAGCGGTACTTAGACTCGTGCAGTGAACATAGATGATCATAAACACTCGGAACGTGGGTTTGAGTTGCAGAGACTTTGTAACTTGTTGTTCATTGCTTATATGACATGTGAAATCTCCAGCAACATGCATCTAGAAACGCCGCGGTGACCAAGATTAAAAGAAAACCTGGAGGTGAATAATATATCAGCCCTAGCCTATTTACGAGCCCATGGCCGAGAGCAACTCCAGTGTATGCAATCTATATGGAATTTGTTTCAACAATTCTAAGTGTACATTACTCCATTTAAACCGTAAAAATTCAAAAGATTGTCGGGGTTGCTCAGTTCTTGGCCAGTGATGAAGTACGCCTAAAGCCAGCTAACATCGATGAGACAAGATCTCTATAGCCTTCATCCACCCCTAAGATAGTATATGTTATAATGATCAAGCCTAACGGGAACTATCAAAGTCGCGGAGCCGGGCTATGGGAAGCGAAGTGGGACCTGGCGTCGTTGCTTGCAGCGCTGTTGCAGCTTTTCCTATCCGCATCAAAGAGTTAGTTGCGCACGTTAAAGATAAGTCAAACGCCATGTCGGGGCTACATACCAAATCTAGATCTTGGTCACTCTCGATATTGTAGACGTTGTGACGCATCTCAACTTTGAATTGAGCACCGTCACCTAGAAGAAATCGTAGTTCCCGGACGAGTCGTTGGGGGGTTGCGTGATGTGTGTGGAACTCTGAGCTGCTCGCCATAGCAGCTTGGTGATATTTGATGATAGAGTAGAGAGACGAGATAATAATTGAGAAGTCGTCTTCTGTGGTTCGTGGTGATAGAGAGATAAGATGGCTGGGATGACTGTCGATCCTGACGGGATTGTTGCTTCTTAAGCGTCACCCCAGCGTCAACACATTTCTGACCCCGAGCGAAGTGGCGCGGCGAGACGACGGAGATAAGGTCACACCACAGGTCACTTCATTCAAAATGTACCAGCAGTGCCGCATGATAAGGATCAGGCTGGCGTTACTTGCTCATCTGTGGGCGGTGGCGGGGCAGATGACATCCCACATGGTGGTGTGTGGGAGGGAAATGTAAAAACACCTCATTGGGGTCCAAACGGAATAGCCGAGGAAGCCTCTCGGTCGGCCTCTTGGTCGCCTCTTGGTCGCCTCTTGGTAAAGGTGTGTCAGCTCTGTTGAATTGCCAGCTACAACGCCGAATGTGCAAGAATGTGCAAGTAGGACTCAGGTGAGGCGGCCTTGGCAACTCGTATCTGTAGTAATGGGCAACAGGGCTCGGGGCTGTGTTGTCACATTACGCGCTGAGGTGCTTTCATATTGGGGGCTGTCCCTTCGGCTGAGATCGGGCTGCTTCTTGAAGCCCCCCTAATTGCTGCAAGCCTCGTGGGCCGACCAACAAAATTTTGCCCTAAACCAGTATCCTTGGAAACAAAAAGCGGCCTCCAAGACGCTGATGAGCCAATGAACTGGATAAGAGTCTTGGAGGCTTCAGAACCAATTGGTTTGGGCTGCACCCCTTAGCCCAAGGCAAATATTGTTGCGGCTGGCTGGCAGATTACGAGTTCCCACTCACACACACCAGACAAGTTAGCCAAAGAAATCCTACAGCCTGATTGCAAGTATGCTCTTCAAACCTGGGTGGCCACAACAAGTATAAACGATGGGTCCGTGAACAGTTCATGTTGAATTGAACTTGTCTTAAGCCCATTCACTACATAAGACTTAGAAACCCACTTAAGTCCACGTCCCCCCGCCGTGAACGCTACTGAGGTATGTGTTATGGGGCGTTGAAAATTGCCACAGGAGAGGACTCGACTGAAGCTAACTCGCCCCCAGAAGCATTCGCCTCCGCCCCAGAAAACGCAAGCCGATGCAATGTCCGAAGGCGCCACCGAAAGACCAAAGCGCTCTGTCAGATTCGATTTGAGCTCCGATGACGGAGATAGCCCCGAAAGGGACCAGACGGAGCTATCAGCACCGCCAGCAACCCCCCAGAGTCCAAGACCAGATACCGTTTCTGAAAATGAAGCGGCTGGCGACAATACACCCCTTCCGGAAACTACAGCAAAAGCTGCTCGCAAGGAGACTCTCGGGGACCTGTTCCGCAACCACATGGTCGATTCTGAAGATGATCGAAACTCCGAGTTCTTGCCAAGGAATGAGCTGGAGACACTCCTGACCCGGGAGAGAATCATCCAGGAGCTGGTAAGAGTTGGTTGCATCCCAATACAATACCAGCCAGAAGCCACTGAAGAGCATTCCAACCCGACAAAGCTCTCGGTGAGCCTGGATCAGCTTGACAACAGAAAGCAGGTCTTCGCCATTCTCATTCTCATGGGACAGCTTGAAGCGATGGTAGACTTCATCAAAGAAGGTATTGATGACAGCCACCTCCCCTTCGAGCTCAAACGGGAAGTTGTTCGTTCCAGGAAAAAGCTCAAGGGGAGAGACTCTAGCCGCGCATTCCGACCGGTCGATTGGGGAAATGGTGAGGTCGAAGCATTTGAGAATCAGCAGTGGAAAATTTGCGTCCCCGTCTTTCACATGATAGACGAACTTGAGACGAAGCCACCACACTGGGATTTTGCAGCCGAAATGGTCTTACCCTTTCTCGAAAGCGAGCCGGTTGGTAAGGGAGGCTATGGTGCTGTCAGGAAAGTAAAAATACACGCGAGCCACCATAATAGCCCCAAAGTAGGTTTGCCCCGACCCTTAATCTAGTTGCGTGAATTGCCGGAACCTGACACTTCACTCCAAATGTAGGGCGATGATCAATGGTATGCGGTGAAGAAGTTGACGGAGCCGGATCAAAAGGCCTTTCTAGAGGAGGTGTCAAACCTGAGCCGATTCAGTGGGAAAGGCAAGGAGCATCCCCACCTAATTCGGCTTCTGTGGACATACGCCCTTGGTTCAGCCTACCACCTTGTCTTTCCTTGCGCTGATGGCAATTTGATGGATCTCTGGAACCAACACAAAATGCCCCCTTCGGAAGGAAGGGACCCTGCTGTGACCCGTTGGTTTACGAAACAGTGTCTCGGGATCATTGAAGGGCTTCACATGATTCATCAAGACTCCAACTCTGAGCCCAAAGATGACGACAACAGACGACATGGTCGACATGGAGATCTCAAGCCTGAGAATATTTTATGGTTCAAGAGCTTTGATGACCAAGAGGAAGGTTACAGTCTGGGAGTGCTGAAGATTTCAGACTTTGGTCTCGCGAGGTTCCACGGTACGAATTCCCGATCCGGGATCAACATTAATGCAGGGAGAGGAGTGGGAGGATCGCCCACTTATCGGGCGCCAGAATACGACGTTCGTGAAGAAGTCGCTCAGAATTATGACATCTGGTCCTTGGGTTGTGTTTTTCTTGAGCATATCACATGGTATCTTAAAGGCTGCGACGAAGTTTATCAGTTCGGGGCTTCAAGGACGAAGGAAGACATTGACCCGCATGTGAAAGAAGACAAATTCTTCCACTATGTCCGGGTTCCAAGTACGCAACGCACGGGTGCGCAAGCAAAGAAATCCGTTGCAAAGGTTAGCATTCTACTATCTAATCATGGCGTCTTCTTCTGAGACAAACACTGACAAAGCCGCAGGAGTTCCAAGAACTTTATGATCATCCACATGGCTCAGATTTTACCCTTGACCTCCTGGAGATCATTAGAGATAATCTGCTCCGTTTGAACCCCCAGAAGAGAGCTAAATGCAACGAAATCCGCGACATCTTTCGGAAATTACACCTCAAGTGCCAAGACTCAGAGTACTGCCGCACGAAGCGGACGAACAGGCCGCCTTTGCGGAAAGCCACCGATCTCTCACTCCTAGAGCCTGAAATTGTTGATAAGTCAACAGACCGGTGTGGCTCCGAATTCCAAAGTCAGCAAAAGCCTTTCTTCGGTCCGGGACCTCTGACTCATGAAAGCACATTGGTCGGAACAGAAGTGCAGGATACTCCCGACGACAACTGTGGTAGCCCTCTTACCAAGAACCACACTACAGGTAGCAGCACCAATCAAGAGCTTGTTGAAGAGGTTGATGGAGGGCACAAGCCGGACGGCGCACTCATGATTACTTCACCCTATCTGTTATCCGAACCATCTGAGGCGTTGGAGAATGATAACAAACCATTGTCAGCACACCTGGAAACTAGGCAAGCCCCAAGTACGGCTCACTCCGCGATAGTGCTATCGAACTCAGTCGAGAGCAGCCTTAACGATGATACAGCCCAGATTTCAACTGATCCATTACCCGAGGGTGGCGGACCGGAGTATCAAGATGGGCAGAGGAGTGATAGATCCAAGAGCGGCCCAAGGCCTCCTGAGAAGGCTCCTGGACATCAAATTCGCCAAAGTGCTCAGGGTACTTTACTTACAGTGCAAGTAAGTGATACAGCAGGTGTATCCTTAAGGGAGAGAGGGATTCTTAGAGGTCTTTTTACATTTTTATTTTGTAACTGGCATTAAAGGTACATTTATTAGTAGGTTTAATAAGATATGCTACGTATTAATTTTGAGCATTGCTATTTATACAGTATGCTGTTGCTATATTTTCACCTACTGATTTTCCTTCTGTAGTAGTATACCTTACCGACTACTAATGGCCTGGTTTCGCTGTACAAAGCGGAAAATTTCTCAGCCGTGGGGTGGCACGCGGGGTGTAGATGCGTCACCTTGGTGCAGCCCACTCAGATCCGTTGAATGGATGACGGGGCAAAGAGTAAAGCGCATAAAGCTGGGGCGTCAGCAAGTCAGGTGTCGCATGTGAATAGCATCATAGCTACTATTCGCAAGAGCAACCACTATATGTCACACCGGAAGGTCTAAATAACCAATAGATGTGACACCTACTGTCGCACACAACGAGACTTTTCGGGTACTTGTTGGGTTTCAGCTCTACCGCACCACCCTCAACACTACACCTTAACAATCCTGACGAGCCCAATCCATAGGGCGGGCCACGGCGTCTATTAGGAAGGGGACCTCACCTCTTCACCTCTCAGCGCCCGTTGGACAGCCTGTTGAAGTACTTGATCATTCAGCTGAGTCGTCGTGTGAGCGTGGCGCCAGCCACACCGCAACGTGCAGCAAGACCGTGGAACCGAGCGCTACACACATGTTCTAGACAGGCTGCGACATGGGTTCATCGGGAGTTAATGCTAAGTCACAACGGTTTTGCATCATCAGTGTGGTTCAGCCCGGAGTGCTAAGGGGTAGAATGCAGTATCCATGAGAGATAAAATACAGTAATATGAGTTGGCTGCAGAGTGCCCGGTGAGCCCAAGTTTTTCGACCTGTCCAAAACCTATCGTAACTCTAGCAAGGAATCTGCCATTATAGGCCCTTGTTGCTGAGGCACCATCGCACATAATCAATGATTTTGGTTTCGTTTTCTATCCTGCAACGATCCGCGAACTGAGCTACTGCGACCCGAACCCAAGTCGTGGGTAGGCGCCTTGTGGGACATACAAATGATGATACGTTGGTAATTCCACTCTCTCTGCCCTGTCTTGTCCAAATAACTTGTCTATTCCAACTGCCAGAAACTTCGAATTGACATTAATGGCAGAATCCGAGTATAGCTAGCCGGCAGTTCGCTCATCGAGGAGCAGCCACAGCTGAACACCAACAGCCGCTTGTGATAATTACAGAGCACCTCAGTTTATTTTTAGGCCCGAGGCGCCCGTTCTGGCGTGTTGGCGTTCAGCTGCCCTCACTGCCACGACGCCCTAAACTACATCGAGGCAGATCTCAGTTTACTGCATCAATAGCCGCCCCCGAGTTCTCAGCTTCGGTTTGGAGATAATATCCTCGCACGTCGCCCGATGTACCGAGAGACTGATCACCGGAGACTGATTGCCTGTCCTTTCGCTTACACCACCCCAGCTCTCCGAAAGCCAGCCAAACGAAGCCTTCGTCGAGGACCAAGACGCGACCATGACCCTCTGCGGCCGCTGTCTGCAGGTGGTGCGCAAGGAGCACCCGATGATACGGATTTCCGGAGAGGAGCCTACGGTTGATCATCACAACACGTTCAGGGCCCTCAGGCAGTCGGCGAAATCGTGCGAGCTCTGCAAGGCCATTCTCGAATCGGCCAGGCACGATCGGCCCCTCGAGGAGGAGGCAGATCTAGAGCGAGCATTCCAGGGCCTCAAGCTGCGGGTAGAGGTGAACCACTACCTTTGCACTCCGTACCAGTCGAGCCCGCCATCTGCCAACGATATAAGCGCCTGGGGCCTCCGAGCGTACTGGGTCCGCGAAGAGATGTCGACGAGACTGATCTTGCGCAAGGAGCTAGGTAAGTTGCTGCCCCGGAGAGAAACACCAACTTCCCCGGCCTCGCCTGCCCTGCTGACGACGGACGAAGACGACACCAGAGAGAGACCCATCTGGACCAGCTCCCGGCCGGCTGCCGTCGAGGCCCTGCTGCCGACCATCCTGACCTGGCTGAAGGAGTGCGACGACACGCACACGTCAGCATGCTCCCTCGAACGCGTGCCAGAGCTCCCCGTCCTGCCCACCCGCTGCATCGACGTCGGGAAGGCCGATGGCTCCGCCCAGCCGCGGCTTGCCATCTCGGGTGGCTGTCACGGGCGTTACACAACCCTGAGTCACTGCTGGGGCAAAGGCCGGCTGCCGGCGAGGCTGACGACGAGTTCCGTCCTGCCTCTGTCTGACGCCATCCACCTCGACACGCTGCCGAGGACTTACAGAGACGCCATTAGCATCACGCGGGCGCTCGGGATCCGATACATCTGGATAGACTCGCTCTGCATCATACAAGGTAAGCACCGCCCGCAAACTGCCCTCTCGGGAGATAGGCGCTGAATAACGGTTCCCCGCAGACGATACCGACGACTGGGAGAGAGAGTCGGCGAATATGGCTTCCATATACCGGAACGCTTACCTGAACATCGCCGCGACGTCGGCGCTCGACAGCGACGGAGGGTGCATGCACACGCCCAGGCCCACGACGAGCTTCCAGATCGAGCCGGCGCCGAGATGGTCCAGCGGCGGTCGCTTCCCCGGAGCGGGCCCCTTTCCCGGAGTGGGCCCCGGAGCAACCCGCTCGGAGCAGGCGACGCCGGCACTCGTCCGGCCATCGGGCTCGGCGAGGAAGCTAGAAAAGGCCGCGCTGAACACCAGAGCGTGGGTGCTCCAGGAGGTGTGCCTTTCTCGCCGGACCATCCACTTCGCCCAAGATCAGATGTACTGGTTCTGTGCCGAGCGCGAGGCGTCCGAGGACGGCACACACGTCCACACGCCGCACTACGGGTCTCCTCGCGCTCCGCTGCTTGGGCCTCCACACTGGCTCATGGGCCAGAGCGACCAGATCACCCGCGGATCCGTGTACACCATGTGGTGGACTCTCGTCGAGGACTACTCCTCACGCGCCCTGACCCATGCCAGCGACAAGATGGCGGCGCTGGCCGGCCTGACCCAGTTCTTCCAAGAGAGGCTGGGCGAGGACGAGCCGGTGGCGGGAATGTGGAAGGCCGAACTCGTCGACAGCCTCTGCTGGACTTGCGATCCGGTCACCGATGAAGCCAGCAGGACATCCCCTGGTCCACCGTCGTGGTCCTGGACCTCAGTCGACGGCCCCATCAGGCGGAACTGCTGCAGGATGCCCAACGAACTGCCCCGTCAACGGAGCGAAAACGAGTTCGCCATTGAGAGCGTCGACGTCGGCTGGTCCGGCCGGCCGATGACCTCGTCCATCCAAGGTGGGCGACTGGTCGGGCGAGGCCTGCTGGCAGAACTGGACTTCCGCCTGGAGGAGGAGCATCTGCACCACTGCGCTTCCGCGGGAAAGACGAGCCAGATGGGGCAGATGATACTCTACTTCCAAGGCGAATCTCACGTCGTCGGCCGGTTCAGATTCGACCGACACGCGGGCGTGTCGAGGGGCGCTGTGCGGTGCCTTGCCGTGACGCTGAAACAAGTCACGCTGAACTTTTGTCCGCCGCAAGAACCCGTCTACTTCTGGTTCCACGTTCTGATCTTGGAGCCGACTGGTCGAGAGGATGGTGAGTTTCGTCGCATCGGAGCGGGCAAGGTCTGGGCAAACTCAGGCGTGTTCGACCAGGTCCAACCACAGGTCGTGCAGATCGTCTGACCGAGATGTCTTGGCTCAAGCCCCAGATCGGAGGTTGACAATAGCATGCTACCTGACAAAAGATGGGTCCATTATTCGCATAAGTTTTCCTTTCCGAAGTTTTCATTACTCCTGTCCCATTTCTTGCGCTTCTCTAGTATCGGGATTAGAAGATGTTTCGTGGAGCAAGTCTTTAGGCGTTAATTTGCAGTCACTGCCCGCTCGTTTGGCTAGTTTACAGTTCTGGTAGTGGCTATGGGGAACATGACTCCAGCACAAAATTATAACACACCTTGATTCTTGAATCAAAGTTCTCCGCAATGCTAGCGAGGGCTGATTTTAGATACATAGATTAATGGATGGCAGTACTATGGATGAGCTGCTTCCACTTCTAAACGTACATTCGAGCGAAATCCTTGAGGTAAAATACAGGTGTAGAGCTTCACATTGTTCTGCATCGTCTGATGCTGCTTCAAGTGCTCCGGCCGAGTGAAGGAAACGTTGCAATGACTACACTAATGCTGTGATGCAGGGTTTCGTGGGCGCCCCGCACCATCGTCTTTCTGCTGTTCTGAGTTCATCGTTTTAATCTCGGGATTCTCACGTACGGACAAGCAAAGTAGGCGAACCCTTGACTGATTTCACCTCATACTGGCTTGTTCCCCTCCTTACGACCGAGTAGGTATCCAAGTTTGGGGATTGAGAAAGGTCATGAGGACTTGGGGCCCCACGCGGGGAAGAGGGAGCTGAATCATGCGAAAACAGGAACCCGTGGGGCCACTCTAAACTGGATGCTGTTAGCATGAATGTGTAGGCGGGTGGGTAATAATACTGCGTCGGAATTATCCCACATACACGTGTACTCCAAGACCTGACTTGCACGGGCTACCCCGCATCGTGTAATGACTGCTACAGGGTATCGTTCCCCGAAGCTCCAGTAGGTTTGTGAGCATCTTCATTGCCAAAGATGAGCCTGGTTCAAAGTCAGCGGACAGGCTTCTTCAGCTTGCAAATTACAGGTTCCCAGAGCTGAGCCTCAGGCCTAGATTGCGTGGGGTAGATGGTGGAACGTCTTTCATCGCATCAACAGCGATATCGTACCCAACCTGCACGTCTCCTCTTCTGTCACAGCGCGAATTCCTGCCTCAATAACCAGCAGCCCTCTGTGATATCATATTGTTCTGCGGTTGCCTTGTCGACTTTGTCCAAGCTAACCACCAAGCTCTGCTTGACACCAAAAACTGCGTCATGTTCTCATACAGGCCATCTTGGATATACAAGGCGCTGCAGTGCCGACCGGCGTTGGCAGATGCAACAATAAGGCAATGGTGTCATCCGCAACTTACATGATGAGATTATTCCACCCCTCCTTATGAACAATGGAATGCACGAGCACCAGCCTCTAGCAATGCCTTACTAGCAGCTGTAGAAGTTTTCCGCCCAGACCATCACGCGGAGCTGGGTAAGTAACGGGTTTGATGCACTTGAACCAGAAGCATCCCTGATTGGGTCGATTCTTTCCATAGGCCGAGGTCTGGAAACGTTGGGTGGAGTGCCGGTTACCACATCGGCATTACGCCACCACAAAGAAGATAGAAGTACTAATATAATCCACAAGCCTACCTAAATCGTCTTCATTCGTAGTGTTACACCTCCACTATCGGAAATCTGAGCACCAACCAGGCAATCGAGTAGGATCATGGCAGAAATTAAGATAGACGATACAGTCCTTATCAATGTCCGTGACAAGGTAGTCGTTGTTACAGGTAGGCCTTCGTTTCGCAGATTTTGATTCGTTCCACGATCGCCTAAAAAAACTAACACCTCTTCAAGGATGTGCTCAAGGGATCGGGGCAGAGACGGTTCGCCAATTGTTCCAAGCGGGAGCTCATCTAGTTGCCGCGGACCTGAACGACATCAAGGGACAAAACGTTATCGATAAACTCAAACACGATGCACAGGGGCAGCGTTTAGATGCAACATACGTGCATGTTGACGTTTCGAGTTACGATTCAGTGCATGCATTGTTTAAACACGCCCTGGATCTTCATGGCAGAGTGGACATGGCCATTCACTGTGCTGCTATTACAGAGGTTGGAGGGTGGTTTGCTCCTGGAGCAGATTTGGATTCTATTACGAGTGTGAGTGTGTATTCTCCTAAAAACAATTTCTCTCATGGATCCGACAAAGTTCGCTAATCAGTTGGTGTATCCCTCTCGTAGCCACCTACAACTAAAGTCCTCGAAGTCAATCTCTTCGGGACACTCTACTTTACTCATGTGGCTTTAGCAGCTATGAGGCCTGGTTCCAACGCACAACTGATTGATGATAAATCAATCACACTTATCTCCTCAGTCGCAGGATTCAAAGATTCTCCAGGATTGTTTGCCTACTCAGCAAGCAAACACGGCGTCATGGGGCTCATGAGGTCTTTGAGGGGATACCTACCGTCAACTTTCAACGTGCGCATAAACGTTGTTTGTCCTTGGGCCACTGATACCGAAATGATAAGTGGAGTGCGCGATATCTGGTTTCAGAACTCTTTACCGGTAAATAGTCCCGGGGAAGTCGCCAGGATTATCTTACAGTGTAACGGGGATAAGAATATTCACGGAAAAGCTATCTATGTTGCTGGCGGGAAAGGCTTTGATATTGAAGAAGGCATCAACCGAACAGAGCCTGACTGGTTGGGAGAAAAGCAGGCTATTGATCTGGAAAAAGGCCAACAGGTACTTGGAACAGTGGGTATTTCAGCCATCACGTCAAGGTCTATAATCGCTAATCGAATTCCTCTAGGGGTCCGGGTGGACAGACAAGCAGACCTAAGATATTTCCAGCAGGCTAGAAAACATATAGGGAATAATTGGAGAGTCCATACCCCATTTTGCTATGCCATGAGATTCCCAAGGATACTAGGGAATGATATCTTTAAATACACCTGAGCATTAGTCAAAATCGTCAAAATTTGACTTGATACGGGCATGGATCACTTTCAAAATGTGGTGAGACCAACTTTCATGTTCACAGCATACTACACCATAAATTCCGACACATAGCACTGGCCCATAATACCAGTTGAGTGATAACTGGGACGGATAAGGTCTTACTGTCGCTTCTCAACAGGGAGATACGAAAACTGTAACGAGGGTTAAATCTTAGGCATCTTTAGCTAAGGAATTAGATAAAGCATATTTCCAGAACCTTGGACAATGGTCAGATCCTTTCAATATGAGCTAGCTTATCTCGCTTCTGAACAAATATTTTCCCTTTCCATCCCGCGGCGTTTGCGCATCATGCAGCTTAATACAATCGCATCTATCCCCTCACCTCCAGTTTCAACGTCCTCAGTTTCTTGCAAACTTTTCAAGCAAGAGTCTAGTGTCTCTGTTCCCTCAGAAGCCTCTTCACCCACGTCAGCCAGTTTACCCGAGTCCACAAGCACACTCAGCCTCCGTAGGAGGCGCGGGATCCTCAAAGCCTTCTGCTTGTTGACCGATGTAGCAGGAATTTCGATACCCGACAGGCCATGGTTTCGATTCATGGCATTTCCTAAAAACCAGTATACTAAAGCTCGGTCTCGGTAAAGGCCACAGGACATCACTGACAATGGCCGTGACACAGTTCTACTCCAACAAATCCTCCACTGCCGCAGGGCATTGTCGATAAGTTGGGCTTGGGTAGTGGCGAGATGATTACGGACGTGCTGTTCTGTCTTGTCTGTAATATCGGAGAACTCATTTTGTATATATGTGTTTTTCTGTTCCCACATATAAAGTAGAATGCCTACTGAGCATATAAGAATGGAAAACGATGGTACAGTGTGCACTACTTACCGTGCAGGATTGTGAAGGCCCCCATAACACTGAAATGAAGAGATATTTCAATTGGGCGATGGCAAAGGAATAGAGATAGCACGACTGGGTATTCAAGACGTGTCAAGTCCCGGGCACGGCGGAATAGTTGCCGCCATTCGTCTTCAGTAGTTGCCAAGAAGAGACTCTCGTCACAAGGCAGGGGCAATTGAAGCTCATGGAAGTGTAAAGCAGGCCGTCGGTCGAAATAGATTGCTTGGATTGCATCAAACAAATAGAATATGAACGCGGTTCTTATGAAAGGTTAGCAGACAAGACTAAGGATGACGCTCTGGTTTTAAGAGAGTTCCCGACCTTATTCGACATTCTTGAACAGACCACTGGTCCCAATTTAATTTCTGAGGATCCGGTCCAGAGTGAATACGTTTGAAAACCTGTGCCTTTCTGGCTTCATAAAAGAGCCGTGTCGTATCAACTCCCGGATGATCTCCTTTCGAAGGGAAGTAGAATGCCTCCAGAACTGTCGCTAGGAATACAGCTTGAATTGTATCTAACCGCGCTCGATACTTGATCTCTAGGTCGGGGTCAGATTTCCACGCAAAGGATCGTGCAAGATGACACAGTTGGCGGTCTTCGCTGCTGTGGCTGTTCAGATGTCCAGAATACATGGCACCCATTAAAAGAATAGAGAAGATGAGCTGCGTACTAGCAGTTGCCACGTTCCAAAAAGGCAAATGAATAAGTGGCGTATGCTGGTGGAAGAAAGCGAAGTATGAGCGTATGAACAGGGACATGTTCTCAAGGCTCAGCCAGTGCTCCAATCGGCGCCTGTCCAGGCCTGACTCCTCCATGCATTGGAGTATTTGTATGCGGTGGGCCTCTAGAGGAGATATCTGCATCATATCGATACCCACAGGCAAGTTAAGATCCACAGTTGCTTCTTGAAGGTCGTTTTCGAAACGACTAAGCCCAATTCCCGAGAATGACATTCCCTGGTATGGGGAGCCCGAAATTGTTGTGGTGTTTAGGCCGTCATCCTGGTAGGTCATTAGGGAATTCTCGAAGAGTCCCCAATCAAGCGGGTCGAGGTCAAAGGACAACTCAGGTCCAAGGTCCGAAAGACTCATGATATCGACAGTGTCATCCGGGAAGCCTATGTCTGGTAAGGAGTTTGAAGCTAGGTGCGCCACGGCGGCTTGACCGAGTTCTAGCTCAACGCCAGGCCCATTGTCCAACTCATTCGTCGCGCTGTGATGAAAGGATTCTCGCGTCGGTTGCAAGAGGGTAGAGCTGCTTGTTTGTTCGCCTGATGTCGACATTGGGGAATTCGAGAAGTTCCCTTCGTAGGCATTATTTGCATGTTCTCGATGCGGGAGATGATCGCATTGCGACAAATATTGTTCAGGAGAGCGCATGGTACTCTGGCTCAACGTTGCGTCGTCTGAGGAGACGCTCTTGGCCTGCCTTGGCTTGCGCAATTTGAATTGACATTGGTCCCTCTGCCCGATACTGCAGCATCTATCACAGGGTCCATTACCAGAACACTTGACCTTGGAAAGTCTACAAGAGCTGCAGGCTCGGTTGACTCGCTGAGATATCCTGATTGGCATCTTCTCAGCCTTCTGTGCTGGTTTGCAGCTCTGATAGTGACGACTAAGGACATCGCTGCAATGACATTATCAGCACAGTCTGGGACATCTCTCTCAAAAAACAATGATCTTTGGAGGAGCATAACAGCCTGGCGAAACGGAAGGGGAGGGGCAGGGAGACATAAATCTCAAGATGGTAAAGACGACGACATTCGTGGCCACTACTTACCTCCTCGCGAACTTCTTGCCGCAAAATGAACAAGCGAAAGCTTTCAGCTTATTATGCATTGTTTGGTGCCGCTTCAAGTGCTCCAGGCGGGCGAAGGTAACGTCGCAGTTGTCGCAACGATGTTGTGCTATGCCTCCTTGTTGGCGCGTCGCATCTTTCTGCCGCTTCTCAAGGCCCATCATTCCGGATAGGACGTCGGTGCCAGCGTCGGTGATAAGAGATATGTGCTGGCCTTGCGGCAACGTCTTGTTCCCTGTACGAATCAGAGGGGGAAAAGAGCGACTCAAACTACGAAGCATCAATTCATGTTTTTGCGGACATTCAGCATCAAGAAACAAGCGCTAACCAAACTTCCCGACGTCCGTCACGACGAAGTGCGGGGTAGTCAAACTTGTCAATCCAGAGCCAATTGGATGATAAATGCACAAGGTTGGTCCCCAGATCGTGGGGCAAGTGAATGGAATGGGGCTAGACTCTTTGCATACAGACCTTGAGGATTTCAAATATTAGCTGGAGACTTGCCTCGGTTTTGTAGAGGTGCCTCATATCTGGGACTGGCATACGCTTGAAGTAAGGTACCTTGGCAAATTGTGACGTACTATTAATCTACGAGGAGTAATGAACGAGGTATCGTCCGACGTTCGATATTGTCTCAGCAATCACTTTTCGGGGTGGCGATATACTGTCAACAAGCTCATATTTGAAATCCTCGAGGCCTGTAAGAAGACTCTTTGGTTTGTTCCACAACTATTGAGATCAAGAGGTCTGGGGTCTGAAGGATCCAACTGAGTGCGTCCCCTTTTCCGATGTTCACGGGGCATTCGAGACTGGTGGAGAGCTGCCCCGTGATGGATGCTGAGTTAACCCAGTCTCGGTTAGAGCATTCAGTTCGGCATTACCCCACAAACTCCCATGCGCCGCTAACGGGAGCCTGCCTTTCAGGGTGACTAGTAGGAATCACAGGGACGAGCTTTGACCGAATGAACTGTGTGATGATGACTAGCTAGCGATGTGCGACAGACGGTGTGTCGTAGGGGCGTTCACCGTTGTCGCTATGTGCAAAGCATCTGGGGCATAGCAAGGGACGCATCGGAACGTAGGTCCGACAGCTGGACCCACCAATAGTAACATTGAGGCAACAAGATATGGCCCAGCTGCTCAACTTGAAGCGCTCACGGCCTCGGATCTGGCGCAAGTTTGTCGGTGCCACAGAAGTGATGGTACCGAATAGGATAGATGGGTCGAGATAGCTGGTTGACTATAGAAGATTTTCCCTCGGGATTGGGTTGATTATAATACCTTCGGGATAATAACTCCGACCCAGCAGTTGGGTCCCGCAGATCCCGGCAGTTGAGTCTGGCAGGTCCATATAACCTAGGACCCGTTTCGGGATCATCAAGCCGCTAGGGGCCTAAGAGCCGGCAGTTGGCTTCCTTCCTAAAACCCGTTCGTCTGACAGATGGAAGTGACGGTTTCATCGCCTGTCCAGTGAGTTCCCGAGCCTGGGTTTGGGGCCCGGGGAATATGGTCTCGGGGCAGGATTCGTAGACGGAAGTAATCGGTGAGAGGACACCGCCGGAGCTAGGCGCAGTGATTTGCCGGGCCGACGTATGTTCCAGTTGGACAGCAATCCGTTAATTCACCTGAGATGGGAGTTGCTGTTACACCTGGTGGAAGCTCCTAGATAAGTTTCCAAGTCTACCCCTTGAAACGTTGCCAGTGGTTCTAGGTATTGATTAAGGGAACTGAAAGGGCCTGGCCACAGCCAACTACACTAGGCGCGAAGACATTTGGCACCGATGCGGGAAGTGCGATAGGTGGTGGAAAATGTATCAAAATTATCTCTCCAGAAATCATATATTACATACACTAAGCGTAGCCCAGGCTCCAGAAATTTTCCACGTTCTTCTTGCTATCCTCGTCCACGTAGTCGTAGTTATCGCGAAGAGTCACATTTGACCCATGAATCTCGGCAACGGCACCAGTGAGAGTTGGGTCCGCGATGAAGTTCGCGACTCCACGCGTCAAGGTCGACATGGGAGTGATGATCATGCCCTTGAACAAATCTTTACTGGGTGCAATATTGGTTTCTGTCACTTGTTAGCATCCTTGATCCGTCTAGTTGGGCCGTCGCTGGAGTGAAGGTACCGAGGACTGCCGGCGCCAGGGCGTTGATCTGGATGTTGGCTCGCTCCAATGGTTTCGCCATAGAGCGTACAAGGCTAATAACACCGGCTTTCGATGCGGCGTACAGTGGTGCCACGGGAAACGGATAGATGCCTGCGTTGGATGCTGTACAGATAATTGAACCTCTCGAGGATGAATTGGCCTGTAACGTGTTCTTCTGCATGTAGTGGATGGCGAGTTTCACCGCTGTGACGAGCTATTAGCTGATATGGGAAATCAGAGACGTGCAAGTGTCGTCTTACAATAGATAACCCCAGTAAGATTCACATCCAGCGTCTGCAGTCTCGGCTTCAATGGTGCTTCCTCTCCCAGCGTCGCAAGGCTGCCGGCTCCCTGCTCTGAGATGCCGGCGTTGGCCATAACGACATCGATACGGCCCTGCTGGTCGTAGACATCTTTGAAGATGGCCGCCTGCTCTTCCCACGAGGAAACATCGCACTTCTTGAATGTGATGTCCAATTTGGGGTACTCGGAAACGAGCTCTGCTGCAATTCTCGGGCTGTCCTTGGTGTTCATGTCTAAAACGGCGATCCGGTATCCTTCGGATGCAAAGTACCGCACCATTCCGAGCCCGATGCCGCTAACTCCGCCGGTGATGAGCACCACCTTTTGCGGGCTTGCCGTTGACCCGTTTACCTGTACAGACATGATGTTTGTGTAATCAGCCAAATGTGATCCTAGAAGTGTGATGATGAATCCGTCAATTTGAAATCAGCCTTGGTTTTTCTATAATCGACCAAATGTGATCCAGGAGGGTGCTGAGCAGTTACTCGGCAAATATCGGGCGCTCATTCTCTCCTCTCCACACGGCCTTTCTCCCTCGGAGTTACTCCACATGGAGCTTCCCCACACGTAATTTCTGCCCAAATCTCTGTACAGTAACTGCTGAAATGCTTGTGGGGCAGCTTTGGACTTCTTCAAGTTTCAGATATACCAGATCTTCTATGGCCAGGTCAGCTGCAGGTAAGGTATCTACTAACTGAATTCTCGCCCCAAGCTGCCCCACAAGCATTTCAGAAGTTAACACGATAGCCTTGTCCCTGTTACCCCAGCTTTTAGGGCCATGCAGTCTCGGCAGCCCCATGAATGAGCCGGGTACCGCTGGCACCGACAGCCCCTAGCGGAAAATGGCTGGCGAACAGGCTCACAGCTACGGCTGTCAGACAAGATATCGGCAATTGAGATCAGAGCTGCAGAATCCGGGGTTTAAATCTGGGGTGCCGCCCCTTAGAATGCATGTCGGTGTGGTCAAAATCACGTCTTCCTAGCTCATTCGACAGCCATCGTGGAATTCCTCAAATCATTCACACGTCATACGTGAACAACCCAAAATGCCCTTAGGTATCCTCCCGGACCAGAAGCTCGAGCATGTCCCGGGTACTTCGCCTCTCACCCAGCTGGGGAGGGAGGATCAGGAAGTGACTCCCGGGGTCAACACCGACATCCTCAAACACGACCCGACGGGGCAGTTCATTTTGGTCCCCCAGCCCTCGGAATCTCCAAATGACCCTTACAATTGGCCACGGTGGAAGAAGGAAATGTTCACTGTTGCCATTGCATATGGCTGTGGTTGTGTTGGAGGTGTGTACTAGCCAATCTTTTCTGGTTGCAACTCTGGGATATTGAGCTCACTTATTCACACTTTACCAGCTGTCGGACCACTGCTCACATCAGCCTTCGTCCCCCTTGCCGAGGAGTGGGGTGTATCTCTCTCGAATTTCAGCCTGGGATGCAACGGAGCCTGTATTGCATCCATCGCCCTAGGAAGCCTCATCTGCAACTCGCTGGCCGTGAAGATCGGCAAGCGGCCCATCTATTTGGTGACCAGTGTTGGCTTGTTTGTATCGTGTTTCTGGGCCGCCGAAGCCAAAAGCTTTGCGTCTCTCGTCGCCGCTCGCGCAATTCAAGGATTTTGCATGGCTCCTATGGAAGCGTTGGTGCCAGCCTCCATCGCTGACATCTGGTTCATCCATGAACGTGGTTATCGGACAGCTATATTTAATCTGGGTGTTCTCGGTGGAATCAACCTAGCTTCTCCCATTGGTGAGTATAGAAACACCTGACTAGCAATCCCACGGAATAGAACACCGCTAACGTCTGCCACAACAGCTGGTCCGGTTATCCAGTATGGTTCTTACCGAACCTGCCTACTCGCAATGGGCGGAGCATTCATCATCCAATTCTTCATGACGCTGTTCTTCATGCCGGAGTCGGCCTACCACAGAAGCGGGGCTCTGAACATTGACACCGGAGACAAAGCCGTCGTTGTTGAAAAGGAAGAGAAGATAACTGCTGAGCATGATGAAGACCAACGGTCACAAAACCTCGAGCAGGAGCCTCAGAAGACATGGATGCGAGAACTGCTGCCATACGACGGATACTGGCATCCCGTCCCGTTCTGGAAGACTCTCATCCGACCATTTTTCATGATCACCTCTCCCATTGTTCTTTGGGCTACGATCCTGTTCACGACTTGCATATCCTGGCTTGTTCTCATCTCCATCTCCATCTCTCAGATATTTTCTGCCCCTCCCTACAACTTCTCCGTTTCGGAAGTTGGCGCAACGAATGTGTCGCCTCTCGTCGCTACCTTTATAGGCACCGTCGTCGCGGGCCCAATCATCGACGGTCTCGTAAAATACATGTCAAGAATGAACCACGGCACATTCGGTGAGTAAATATCTGATATTTTTCAATTGAGCCCAAAATTTGTATTGGAAAGTGGAGCTAACCTCATAATACCATTAGAACCCGAGTTCCGCCTACCTATCATGACCGCATACCTCCTCTTCACGGCCACTGGATTCTTCGCCTGGGGCCATAGTCTAGACGCACAAGATCCCTGGCCTGTTCCAATCATCGTTTGCATGGGGCTCATTAATCTCGGCGTGCAACTCGGCACGACTGGCCTGGTGGCATATGTGAGCGACTGCCACCGACAACAGGCTGCTGAGGCTTTCGCCGTCATGAACTTTATTAAGAACATGTTCGCCTTTGGAATGACGTTCTATGCCAACGATTGGATCGCGACGCAAGGCGTGAAGGATTGCTTCTTCGTTATTGGTGGCATTACGGTGGGTGTTGTGCTGCTCACTATTCCGATGTACGTGTTCGGAAAGAGGGCGAGGAGCTTCACCCATAGACACAGATTGGTCACTCGGATCGATGAGTGATAGCTTTGGCATATCTGTAAACAGTAGTTATTGCAAGGTCTGTGAGATAGATGCTCTTAGCTTGAATAATTTACTACTCTTGTACTAGTGTTAACAGGCACACTGGAGTTTGAATAATGGCAGAGTTAGTCTGACACACGAGCTCAGAAAAAGACCAGCCTACGAAAACATCGCCAGGGCTTGATACCAAAAAGAATATCCACATCGCTTGAGCAGACGGGCTCTCGACCTGCTCAACGAAGCAGGCGGCCTCAGTCAGCCCCTCGACGACCAGGCCAACAAGCGACTCCATTGCCACATCGACTTTCCAAAAGACTAACAAGGCATCTTTCTTTCTTTACTATGTTTCGAGGTATTATTCTAGTGCGATACTCTATGCATGCCAGACTGTTGGTATATCCTTGTCAATAACCTGGGGCGAAATTTATGAGGGTGAAAACCCTTATATCAGACAAAGGATGGATTGATTGAGACAGCTTTGGTGACGATGGATGATCTTGTCTTTTGGTCTAGGAAGGAATAAAGCTAGCTATTCATACCTAGGGATCTGACTGATCCAGATGCACATGATCAGATGCTGGATCCCCTTCATCTGATGATGACATCAATTACCGATGATCCAGGTTGCTGAGGTCAATCTAGGTTGTTGAGGGCATCTAGGTTCGAAGGAAACCACGGTACGGATCCGGCCCTATGCAAAACTGACTTTTCCTATCGGGCTGTCTGACACCCAGACAATCTCGTGATCTTCGGACACAGGATCAATGTCTCTAAGCTAGGACATATACTGAGACAATGCGGCACTGAACTTGCCATAGATGATATACATAATCAACTCTTTGTTCAATCATCCCACCACTTCGAAAATAATAAAGGTTGATTACATGATACACTCCCACGAAGCGGCCATCCCACCACACACGCTGACAAATCCTAATTAGCGTTCCAACCTTGCCAACTTGGTGTGGGCTACTTCAACAAGCTTGGACGGCTCCTGACCGCCATTAATCAGTCTAGATGAGGCATTTAGGCCCACTGGCTTGAGACTTATGCCGAGGTATTTGTGGATCGTTGGTACGATAACACAAGTGGGCCGTTGCGGATCCCATCGCGTTCCTCTTTTACTAGGTACTAGACGTTGCAGAATACCGCGGCAGCTCAGTCAACTTGAGCAAGAAGCGCGCCCGCAGAGAGCATATTCCCGTGGACTTGGCCAATTATATCAAGAATTCATGACACTTTGCCCTATAATAACACATGTATAACTCATAAATCAGGACTAGCTAGTATTTTTGCGGTTCATTGTAGAAACTATGTACCAAGTGTGGATGTGCCACTCTCGTAGTGGCGACTGAAACGGAGCCGCGGAAGACATTTGTCATCGCGGGGTCCACGGACAACCGAATGACAAGCGTCATAACTCCAGTCGCAAGTTTATATAACACTGTTGACAGCCCCTAGAATCACGCCTACAGTTTAACCTCTAATACCCAACATCATTATATCTCGTGACTCAAAACTCATCATGGCCACCCAGAAAGCAATCGTCGTCACCGCTCCCCAAAAGGCGGACTTGGTCACCGACAGACCCATTCCCACTCTGCGCGACGATTATATCCTCGTCAAGACCGTCAGCGTCGCCCTCAACCCCACAGACTGGAAGCACATCGAGTTCCTGGCCCCCCCAGGCTCTTTGATCGGATGTGACTACTCCGGCGTCGTCGAGGCCGTTGGCAAGGACGTCAAGAAGCCCTTCAAGAAGGGCGACCGCGTCTGCGGATTCGCCCACGGCGGAAACGCTGTTCAGCACGAGGACGGAGTTTTCGCCGAGTACATTGTGGCCCAGGGCGACCTCCAGGTTCTCATCCCGGACAGCCTGAGCTTTCAAGAGGCGGCGACGCTCGGCGTTGGAATCTCAACTGTTGGCCAGGGACTGTACCAGAGCCTGAAGCTGAACTTGCCCACGGAGCCGCTCAAAGAGTCGGTGCCCATCCTGATCTACGGCGGATCAACCGCCACCGGGACGCTGGCCATTCAGTTTGCCAAGCTCTCCGGATATGAAGTCATCACAACTTGCTCTCCCCACAACTTTGATCTTGTCAAGTCGCTCGGCGCCGACAAGGTCTTCGACTACCGCTCCGCAGACGCCGCGGCTGAGATTCGCAAATACACCAACGACAACCTCAAATATGTCTTCGACACCATCTCTCTCGAGGCGAGCGCCAAGTTCTCCGACGAAGCCCTGTCCACCGAGGGAGGCGAGTACAGCTCGTTGCTCCCCATCGCCATCGAGCGAGCCAACGTGAACGACAGGTCGACGCTGGCTTACACCGTCGTCGGCGAGGAGTTCCTCTTTGGCCCGAATACCATCCCTGCAAAGCCCGAGGATAAGGAGTTCGGCATTACCTTTTGGGAATTGGCTATTAAGCTGCTGGGTGAAGGCAAGGTCAAGGTGCATAAGCCTAGCGTCCGGTCGGGGGGTCTCAAGGGTGTTCTCGAGGGGCTGCAGTTGATGAAGGAGGACAAAGTCAGCGGAGAAAAACTTGTTTACAATGTATCCAGCGAATAAGCTTGAGAAGTAATTAATGATCGTTGAAAGTCAACCCTATTTTTATCACACGACGTGACTGCAAGAATAAGCACTAGCCATGATCAGATCCTTAACATCTTACTGCGTCCAGGTCCACTTTCAAGTTCAATAGTGGGAACATCATTGATATGCCGGTGGCTTTCCCTTTTCCGGGTATATCATCACACGTGAGCTGCGGAAGTGGGTGGGTTATGTCGCTTTGCCATCGACAAGGGCCACTTCCATCGGTCATGACTGATTGGTGACTGCATTTCAAGTCCCAACGCCCCGTCTTCTGCGTTTCCTCATCGTCATCATTCAAGCAGTAATCTCGCTACAATGGCGAATTCACGGCTTCAATCCGGTATGCTCTTTTTGTTGTATCCACTTTGCTAGACTGATGCCTTACGTGATTCTAGTGACACTTTCTTAGCTGCCCGTAAATCTTTCGCTATGTGCCTTTTAAGAACTTAACCTTACTTTAAACTAGGGACTTATTGAATTCCTCGCAGCGGAAGCTTCCCTTTATCGTACGTCATATCAATCATGGCAGCTTGTGCGATGCTGTCCTCGCCATCTACCCACTGGTTCGTCTTTCGCCCTTTGACACAATTGACAAACTGCTCGAGCTGATGACGGTATGTTGACCACCATTCTTCTCCAACACCCTCAAGTTTCGCCTCTTGGAAGGTGTACGCCTTTCGAGAAGTCTTTTCCACCCAACGCTTCAACGTCTCGCCTGTTGTCGTGTCTTTGATCACAAACTCGTCCTGGATGTCGATGCGGTGCCACAATACCCCCATCATGAAGTTGACAAGCTCAACTTCTCGTCTCTGAAACTTCTTCTGGCCTTCCTCAATGCTCGCGTCGTTGACCTTGACTTGTTTGTGTGATACTTTGATTCGGGGTAAGCCAATTTGACCGAGTCCTGCCCGCAGGTCGCCTTTAGATTCGGCCACACCGCCATTTGACATTTGCCATTTAGCACTCCACGCGTGTTCTGCAAATTGCTCGGGTGCAGGGATCATTTCAAACCTAGCCTCTAGGCACTCTGTTGCCTCAGCCCCGAACGCTTGCCTTAGGGTGCTGATACAATATGTACCTAGGTCCATCAATGCACCACCAGATAGGCTGTAGCGAAAGCGAATGTCATCGACAGGAAACATGAGCCAGGGGATGAAAGCCGTAGAGATTGCGTGTTCGATGTTCTTCTGATCAAGCAGAGATAATAAAAGCTGCCAGCTGGGTTGAAAACGGTAATGGAAAGCCTCCAAAATTATGGGTGCATCCGGCTGCTGCAAGATTGGCAGATTAAATAGCTGCCGCGCCTCGTTTGCATTGGATACTGCCGGCTTTTCGAGGAGAACATGCTTGCCAGCGTTTAGAGCTTTGACGGCCCATTCATAATGCAGACCGTTGGGAAGCGGAATGTAGACGCAGTCGATGTTCGGGTCATCGATAATAGCCTGGTAATTGGGCTTGACATCGGGAATCCCGTGTTTCTTGGCATAGGCAATGGCCCTGGCTTGATCACGGGCAGCAACAGCTTGAATGACAACCTCTGGATGTGATCTGGCCGGGGTTATGAGGGCCATTGGCCTCGGAGGTAGTCAGTATGAGAGCATCAGTATTGCATATCTCTGTGGAGTACGTACGCGATGTTAGCCGCGCCTAAGATGCCAAAGCGCAGTGCATCGTTCGTCTTGGGTGGCGCAGGTGGATGAAAAGTAGTGTTCCAACGGCGGAGCAAATTCCACAATGACGCCATGGTGGGCTAACAGATTGTTGAGAACTGAAGAAGGCGATGCGTAGCTCTGGAGAGCTCATATACCAGACGTAGAACTAGATTTCAAAGTAGGAGAAGAAACACCGGGGCGGAAATCGGCTGTTTTATAGTTCTGGAGACAAGTTATGCCGAAAGCCGCCTCAGTGGCGTTTGTCTTTGTCATCGAGCTACTCACTGATCTGAAACAAACATCTCCGACCTGCTGCCATAATGAGCCAAAAAATCCTTGACATTTATATTGCCATAGCCCAGAATAGAAGCCGCTTTCTCAAAGACACAAAATATCCCGAGGATGGCTAAATGAAGAAAGCAAATGACGGAAGATAACCTTTTAGAAGGAACGGGAGGCATCGCCAAAGTCCGTCGGGACGTCCCTTGGCCGACGGCAGAACTATTGAGCCGAACCTCATTCAGCAACAAACGACAACAAACTGTAGAAGAAACAGCGGCGCCAAATTGAAAGACATCGCTCCTTCAGGCCACTAGCTGGCTCGAGACACGGTGATAAGCTGCGGAGTTTTCGAAGTCCGCCACCATGGGCAGGAGGAGGGACAGGGATTGAGCCATCCAGTCAGTTTCGGCAATCAATACGATCCAGTACCACCTGCCGGTAACACCCACCTGCTGGTGAGGCCTCGACGGACCTACCTCTCGGAGGTCTGAGACTGGAATCCATATCTGCCGAGAGCCTGGGACTTGGTCTGAGACCGGTTTCCGAGCAGCCGGACTGGAAGACGTTCCAAGCGTCTTATGATGATCCCAAAATGTAAGATCTGAACTTGATTTGATAGTCTGAACGGGTAGAAACAATTAGATTTCTTTATTTGAAGTCTCTATTTATTTTAGTGGAGAAAGGTTGGTTAGAAGAAAGTGAGTCGGATAGTCGCAGTTGGCTGTTTCACTCGCTATATATATACGTGATATTCAGAATATCATTATATCTAGATTAATTATATTCTATTACTTCTTTATGCCCCTGTCATAAATATCATGCAAAATATCTTTAAAAGCTGCAGTGCATTTATATTGTATACTCAAAGTTATCAGCCGAACCTTCTCTAGCTCCCGTTTCTCCCGTCATAAATTCCACTGCTGCAGCCATAATACTTTGGATAACCTGTACATCCGCCTCGCTCTCTGGCGCAAATAACAATGTATACCCAAGCGGCAACAACGAGCCGGACAGCCCATGCCTCTCGCCCCAGCCCTTTTGTATCACCTCCTCACAGTCAGGATATGAAAGCGTCGCGTGTGCCGACCAGTCGGATTCATGGAAATGTGTGATCTCGCCGCGGCTTTGGACGGCCACGGCAGGGGCCTTGGTCGAATCCAACACGAAGAGGCCGGATCCATGACGCTCAAGTACGGATGTGCATATCGTGGCCACATGTTGTCTTTCGTTTGCAAGACTCTGGAATGCCTGGCGGCAAGCCTTGGATGGTCAGCTGTAGCACTCGTTATGAAGAGAATTGAGCCATCGACCGAACAAGTCAGTTTACAGTCTGTAGAGCACTTACTTGTATAAGGGATCGTGATGGTGGCTTCTCTCGTACTTGCCGGTGTGGAATAACCCAGTGAGCAACCTTCGGGCGACTGCCTAAGCGCTGAGGCAATGGACCCAAGTGCTTAATAGTATTACGGCGCTTCTCTGCCTCGGCGAGATCAGCTGCAAGCGGTCGCGCGTAGCATTCAATGTCGATGGTATTCCGTTTTGCCATGGTCAACTTGAGAATCCATTGGATAACCCAACCGCCGACGTTATATGGCAGTCCGCCCTCACCAAGATTGAGCCACCCACGATAGTCGTGCACGCATGTCCTTATTGACACATATAGGAAGGGTAGTAGCACAGCAACAAAGGCCGTGGATTGAAGAGTCAATAGATCCAGCTTTGTCTTCGCCCAGGTCTGCTGGAACATCGTGTCTTGGAAGAAATTCGTTGCTTATTCCGTCTGAATAGCTCGAGGGCAGCACCGTTCTTTAAGAGGACAAGTGCCAATACTTCCGCAGAGAGGTTGTGTTTCTGAGACATATTGTAAAAGCCAGCGGCCCAGCCGCGGGTCCCAAGATACACGACATCATCAGGATGGCACCACCAGCCAACCAAAAAGAGCTACAGTCATTTCTGGGTCACATCAACGGTTTCCAATCATACATCCCAGAGGCACTCGCTTCCACTGGACTAGCGAGGCCGCGGAGGCTTTCCGGTTCACCCGGAAGTTGGCAGACGCAACACGAGAAAACGCTCACATGTCGGACAGCGGAGGCATGGATCATTTCACAGATGCTCCGGGGTGGTGGGCGACGGATCTTTACTCGGACAGGGAGGACGCGTAATCGCAGTTACCAGCCAATCACTCACTAACGCCGAGCAACGCTCCTCCGTGACCGACCGAGAACACATCTAGCCGATAACCTCAGTCGGCGGTATGTGCTCACTTCTTCACTCACGTGAATGCTCCCTATGAATTTCAAGATATATTCTCCTATTGATAAAATTTTTACTTCTTGTTGGATGTGCCGCACGCTATCAAACACTTCTCTTCTCTTAAAATGACTTATCCTAAGTCAACATAACTGGTCTCTTACGGAATGAAAGTGGGGTTTCATTTATAGCCAGCATTACATGAGCTTTATTAATATCTAAATAGCTCGTGATACAAGGAAGATCATCTATTATTGCATGATCTACAGTACATATGGGGTAGAGGGGAAGCCTTTAGAGGCGGAGTTACGCCCTATGCACGTAGGAAATCACAGCTCTCAGCAATTTAAGTTTCTCGCACCACACCAGTCAATTTGCATCAACTCGCCTAAGATAATCCGAATCACCGTTTGTTCCGCGGGAGATCTCGAGTCCCGAGACCTCGGAGGATCTCTAATCCCAGCCCCACGGAGGATCTCCTGCCCCGCGTCCTCGGAGGATCTCTAGTCCCAGGTCCGCGGGGGATCTCCAGTCTCGACTCCGCGTGGACTCACGAATGATCTTAGGTTCGGGGACATTTCTGCGGGGTAGAACTCCCCATGGGGTGTGGTGCATCAGTTGTATATATATATTCATATATATACGTCAGCTTTTTATCATCATGCCGTATTAACAAGTCTCTCCCACAGAACCGCCTTTATCATATTCTTTTCACCAAAATCTTCCACAAAATTCGTCTTACTCGGTGAGAATCGCGTAAACATGGCTTCTCCGAACCTTCTCAATATCTCCAACTCTCCCCAGAAAGTCCAGCTGGTGCGGATCGCCCATATTTACCAGAAACACCCGGATCTCCAAAAATGGGAAGTATTTGCAAAAGATTTTGGATTCGTGGAAGCTGCTCGACAGGGAGGCAAGATTTACTTTCGCGGCTATGGAAAGGACCCATACTGTGCGGTTGCTTCTGCCAGTGAGAATGGGAAGAAAGAATTTGGCGGCGCCGCCTTCATTGCAAGGACCGAAGAAGATTTCGAAAAGGCAAAGAAGATCCCAGGGGCAAAGTTGGTAGATATCAGCAGCGCTCCTGGCGGGGGTAAGATGGTATCGATTCCTACGCCGACCAATAATTTCATCCATGTCATTTGGGGGCAAGTCGAACGCGACGAGCCGCGATCTCCTCCAAGTACCATCAAAGTCGCATACAGAGAATTGAATACAAGCCTAGAAAAGATCCGCCAAGGTTTGTCGCTCCATCCTTTGTCAAGCGACTCCCATGCTAAATATCCATTTTCCAGGGGAATTCCAGAGATTGAAGCATGGCCCGGCACTCATACATAAGTTGGGCCACTTTGGTTATGTCACCAAGAAGTTCGATGAAGACGTTCAGTTCTACACATCGAACTTCAACTTTGTGATTTCTGACCTTCTTTCTAACCCTAAGAACCAGAACGAGGATGTCACCTGCTTCCTTCACCTCGACCACGGAGAAGAATATGTTGATCACCACTGCCTCTTCTTTGCCCGAGCTCCTGGATTGTTCCCGGAAACCAGATTGCACCACACCAGTTATGAAGTGGACGACTTCGACACCCAACTAATGGGCCACGAGTGGTTGCTAAAGAAGAGCTACAAACTGGTTTGGGGTGTTGGAAGACACATACTCGGAAGTCAGATCTTTGACTACTGGAAAGATCCCAGTGGTTTCACTATTGAACATTATGCCGACGGCGATCTCGTCAATCAACACCATAAAATCACTCGGGAGCCAGATGGTGGTGGCTTATCGTTGGCTATTTGGGGGCCAGCATTTGATCAGATTAGGTTCTCGGGACTGAGCCGGAGAGATTTACTTCAGATCGCAATCGCGACGTTTAAATGGCCCTTGATCTCGGTCATTATACTTGCTGGGGTCGCGTTACCGTCGTTGACTTCAGCCAGAAGTCTGGTCTACAATTTACTTCATTCCAGAGGGAGCGAGATGGTAAAGTCGTATCGTGAGCTCTTTGGAGGCTAGCATTCGACAGGTTTTAATAATGAGGATCCAGCTGGATAGATTCACTTAGCATTACGAATCCTCCGATCTCAGTTATTGTGTTTATGGCGTTTGCATTGACTGATATCAATCTGGAGCGCGTCTTACATTTTAGTTACCGTGATGGGGCCAACGGTCCACCTGGAGTTTAATACGGTACGGGCGGCCTGTGCTAGCTTAGGCAGTCCCTACTTAAGGCTTTAAGTCTACTTGAAAAATAAGACGGCACGCTTTTTTCTTTCTTTAATTAATAAGATACCTTTAGTCGCAGTACACTCCTTCTACTGTAGCTGCAGCAGCAGCTCTTGATATTATTTTCTCTTTCTTTTTCTTCTTAGGGATTTAGAAGTAATTAATTAATTACTTTAGTTATATCCCGCTTCCAAAAGATAGCTTTAGTGTGGTCTTTTTCGACCCCTTTTTTCCTCTCTAGCCCCCACCCTACGCACCGGTGTGGTCTGCACTAAGGACCTCTCTCACCAACAAATTACTTCAGCAAGTTCAATAGTTATGACTGAGCACTGGTTCAAACCCCAGAAACATAATCGTAATAAATGTTTTAACAGTGGCTGTTATTTGACATTCAAAATCGTGACATAGAAGGGATTCTCAAGGGGAATACAAACCGAGTGCTAAATAAGATTGTAGTCGACTTACCTCCCGACGCCTGCTCCAACATGTTGGCTTATTTTGTAAGAAATACTAAAATTGGCTTAGTTTTTGTTATGGATGTCTTTTTTTTTAAGGAAAAAAAAAAGGTGAAGCATTCCATGTCCATAAGACCTTCAGAAAGCCTCCGCCCTGGATTCGAGAACAACTGCCAGATATCGATATGGGTCTGCTATTGTGCCGGTGGATCGATTGGAGCCTGTAACTGGGCCGCGACCAACAGAACATCCTGAAAACCTAACCTCAACCAGTCCCAGAAGCGCATGCTCTAGAGAGACTCTAGCGGGTAATAGACACTTCACTTCTCATGTTCTGGGAGGCGCTACATGTTGAAAAGCAGTCCAGCAATTGGACAATAGCGTAAGAATGCATTGAGCACTGCGTTGAGGACTTTCAAGAACCCCATATATTGATCCGTAATCAGCCTTTCCAGGAAAAAGTAAGGCGTGCATTTCTTCAAAGGTGCCGATGCAAATTTTCCCATCAGCGGTTAAGCATTTCCATTGACTTTGACTAGCATCATTGAAGCTACACTCCCTGATAAGGTGATGTAGGACAATCTGTCTTGTGCATGATTGTGAGGCCTCTCAAACGGGAGAGCAGCGGTGTGATTAATTGAGTGATCGTCGGGCTTCCAATTACCTGCAAGTTGATGCTCGTGGTTGCCCCCAATAACCACCGCCTTTAACCATCTCAATGCGTGACGACCTTATATGACCCTTTTCTAATTCCAAGGCAGGATTGCCTACCCTACACTTCATGCCGAAACGTGAGACTTTTGCCGCCGGGTAATGTACCCGGGATATATATATGCCTATACATGGGCTGACTTTGCACACGTGATCGCAGGCTCCACTGGGAGCTCAAGGCTTCCACCTCTCCCCCCGCTGCAGATGATGCTGCTGACGCTTCTCCCAACACCTCTTCTCATTCCCTCATTCTCTCCTTTTATTGCGCTTTTGGGCACACAGATCTCTTCAGTATAGTCTCACATTCTTGATTTCCTGTGCGTGCGCTGACTCTAACAGTTAAATCTAGTATTTCATCTTTACCCGCATCGGACCACTGTCTCAGTACGGAATAATGCGACTGTTGAAACGCACCCTCGATGGCAAGATTAGCTTGACTGAGAATCTAGTCGGCGGCAATATTCCCCCGTACGCTATACTTTCACACACTTGGGGATCAGATATCGAAGAGGTCACCTACAAAGACATGGTAGACGGTATCGGGAATGACAAGGTCGGCTATGAAAAGATCAGATTTTGCGCAGAACAAGCAAGATGTGACGGCCTAAGATTCTTTTGGGTGGACACTTGCTGCATCGACAAATCGAATTACACTGAGCTCTCAGAGGCGATTAATTCCATGTTTCGCTGGTACCAGCGTGCGGCTCGATGTTATGTGTACCTATCAAATCTTTCGATCACTGGCCCTGAGCAGGACAGCGAACAATCCGATCTCTTATGGGAATCGGATTTTCGGGGAAGTAGATGGTTCACCCGAGGCTGGACGCTCCAGGAGCTTCTTGCACCGGTATCAGTCGAATTCTTTACGCGGGACGGCCGGCGACTCGGTGACAAAATATCCCTTGAGCAACAAATTCACGAAATAACGGGGATATCTATCGCAGCGCTTCGGGGATCCCCCCTTTCTCAGTTCGAGGTGGGTGAGCGACTGAAATGGGCAGAGGCACGCCAAACCACACGCGAGGAAGACTGGGTATATTGTCTTCTAGGGATTTTCGGTATCTTCATGCCGCTTTTATATGGCGAAGGGAGGGAATATGCGGTTCGGCGGCTAAGAAAGGAGATCGACGACGCGTTAATTCGCGAACATGCGTCTGAGCGCACTCCTCGTCTTGACGACTCTGGTCTGCGTTATGGTGACGCCCTGAGCCTCTTCTTTATCAAGACTCGGGATCCTGGTTCTGGAATGGTCGAGGTCCATGTGGCCGACCAAGCCACCGGCTACGGTCCCCCTCGTCGCCACTTTGTTTCTGCGTACCATCAGCAAGACGGCGGGAACGGCACGTGGGTCATCAGGGACTATTGCCTTTATTTCGTCAAGACCCGGAACGCTGAGAGTGGCACGATTGAGCTCCATCGCGTGACAAGGTCGTCCGACTTCAACACATTCGACATTCATACTCCGACCGCGTTCTCCCTCTCTGATGCTGACAACGGCACCTGGACCGTGGATGGAGAAGACCTTTATTTCATCAAGACCAAGAACACGGACTCGGGCAAGATCGAGGTCCATCGCGCCAGCCACACCAACTACCGCGAATTCGACCTCCAGGTAGCCACGGCGCTGCCCGAGAGTGAAGGAGACAATGGGACGTGGCGCGTGTTCAACGGAGACGTGTATTTCGTAAAGTACCACAACACCGCAAGCCCGAACGACGTTGAGGTCCATGTTCTGTATGGCGGGCGGAATTATTCGCAAGTCACCGATTACAAGACGTGGTTTAACGTTAGGGACGGACCGCTCGGCACCTGGGACATTGGCAAGAATGGGGACCTATACTTCATCAATCTCCAGAACATGGAGTCTAAGAAGGTTGAAGTTCATATCGCCACAGCCTCCTCCAAGTACAGGGAGGTACATCACTCTCTGTCCTGGATGAGCGAGGCCGATGGACCAAACGGAATATGGTGCATGAGCGATTTCTGAGGCTAACATAGGTGATGGTAACGATCGGGACGATGATCACTGTCAGGCGATAGGCTTGAAAGTCGGAAGGATTATGTTGTACGTTTCCGGGACCGTAGATTTTACCAACTTAGGATGGACCTCAACAACCTAGATCGTTGGCTTCCAATTGCATTATCAGTGCGATGGTATCGAGGGAGGATAAATAGCTAGTTTCCCCCCCTACTAGATAGAAGAAATCAGACGAGAGATTCTATTGTCCCCGAGCCGTATTAACCAATTCATCCTGTTTAACAATCACAGCGACAGAGTGTTGCCAAGTATCAGCAGCTACGTAAGAGAGGTTTAGTGTGTAGTGAAAGTAAATCTGCGTCATTGTCGAACTTTAACAACCCGGCATACTGCCGTTATAAAGCAGGGAAATCCCCTCTTGGATAGATGCTCTTTCAGCACAAGGTATGCTTTTCCTTTTCCCTTTCTGTCTATTAAATAAAAAGAACATAAAATACCAGACTAAGTCTAATATCGTCACTGTAGATTCTTCTTAATCTGCTCTACTTCATTCTTACAAAATCCGAGATGAGAGGTGACATATCCCTCGAAACCACCATAGAAACTTTGTAGTTCATTCAGAAATGCGTCCCATGAGGTCATCCGCAAGCTGCAAAGGTTATAGAACCCAGGAGCCTCGATGTCCTCACACCCGGTTTCTAGTATGGCACGAGTAAGCAGCATTTCGTGCACAGGCTCTGATCCAACTCGTGTAAGCATGTAGTCGAGAGCAACCGTCTCAACACTGGCCCCTGCCAGTGACATTAATAGTCCTGCGGCAATGCCAGTGCGGTCGCGCCCAACTTTGGAAATTGTAAGCCGCCAGGTACGGACAAGAAGTTCGGGTGAATGCTTACAGGTACAGTGAAACAAAAAGGGTTCCTCAGGCCTATCCCTGACATGCTCGAGTATCGCCTTGAAGGAGGAGCCATACGCCTTCATTATATTCATATACATTTTGCGGTAACCCTCCTCGCCATCTCCAGAGATAAAGTCGCGAACATCAACGGGTTCTTCATGTAAATTAGGTAACCATACCTTCCTGGTTCCCATAATATCTGGGTCCGGACTCTGTTGCTGCTCTATCTCTGACCTTAAATCAAATACCCACTTTATTCCATGCGTTTGTGCGAGAGCAGCTAGGTTGTTGGCGCCTGAACATTCCAGCATCCCGGATCGAAACGCATAGCCTGGCCTTATAGGGCTGCCGGGAACTCTTCCGAGATCTCGCGTATTGAACGTGCCGGAAACACGCAGAAAGGGCGGGTTGGAGAGAACGGCGGCGACATCGCCTTCAGGAATCGGCTTATCGACATCGGTCTCCGCAAGCTTGAGAAGCTGTGCCACGGTAATATCTGGGCTTGATGCCATAGAGAGCAAACGAACAAAGTATCTCCCTTCGTAGAATCGAGACAGAAAAATGCAAAGATAAAATAGGTCGCAGTGGACAATGATGTGCTTAATCGTGCGATGATCGCAGGCGGATGTTTACTCGTTCCAGGCTCCCGAGCCCAGTTTTATGCCCACACGGCCTTTCACTATGAGTCCGATTACACCTACGGAGATTTCAAACGCCGACGGAGGATCAGCCTGGCCGGGGTTGTTCTGTTGGTTGGTTATTTGGGGGCATACTCCGCACTAGATCATACTACCCTTTCTCTTGAAGAAAGACAGGGTAAGAAGGGAGAAACACGATTGAAAGTTGCTAGAATCTACAACTTGAGACATTATCCAGTGACATAATGACTCTGTCCCTCGCCTTTCTAGAACACACATAATTGATTCCCATGTAAATTTAGGATGTGGAGACACTCATCGCCTGGATTACACTACGGAGAGCTTGTTGACAGTGGAGGATGGCTTTGGTGACGATGCCGACGTGGCGCGTTCACTAGTACATCTAGGCCGTAAATGTCATGATCTACCCGAGGTATTCGGGGGCCCGCGGAATGCCGAGTATAAATGGGGCTTGATCGCAAACTACTTCCTTAAGTAATTCAACGTATCTAAGCCGCCGCCTCATGCGTCATTTATTTCCGCAACAGCGGCATGGAACTCCAGTACTCGCGTGTACCCCGGTACATTGCAGGGCTGTATTGACCTTGCGTGAGTCCTCATGGTATTGATACTCGATGTTAGCCTGGCCGAGATTCGGATATGACGTGGTCACGCGGCGATTTTACAGGAAAAATATGCGCCATTCCAAATTCCTCTCAGCTGTGTGTAGGATTTGTGACTCATTCTCTATGTACACCCTACTAGCGAGCCCACGAAATATGTACGGAGATTCCTCTAGGAGGGAAGCTGGCTTCTGCATGCGCAGTCCGGCGGTCACGGAACTCAGCTGTTCGTTAGGCACTGGGAATGTGTTATGAGAAGATTGCATTGGTTCTAACTCCCTACTGAAATTTACAATCCCCCCTGCCACCAATCTAGAACCAATTACTTAATTCTCATGCAGAAAAAATTCCAGCCTTACACCTTTGTAGTCGTGCGTGAGGGTAGGTAGACACTCATTTCGAAACCGTTTGTGAATGGCAGAGTCATGTTGCGGAAGCCATTTTCTGGTGACCGGAGGTATGATAGCAAGTCGGCATAGCCTTCCGCGCCAGAGATAGTATTATCCGTTAAAACGACGGCACCATATCGAAGCTTAGGCTGGACGATCTTGAGGGTTGGGAGGGCGAGTACCGACCAAACTAGACGGAATCTGTTAGATATTTCTTTCCCACAGTGTCTGTAGCCAGGCTTGTATGCAACATAAAGGTATATATGAATCACACTTACTATCAAGAAGGAGGAGGTCCACTTCGGGCAGATCCCGCTTCAGCGTCTCGAGCAAGTCTCCAACTCGCAAGTCAATCTGACTCTCTACCACCTCACCACATTGCTTCCAGTATTTCCTTGCAATATCTGCCTTTTCCGTCTCTTTCTCAGTAGCAATGACTGTTCCCGGTTTCCCAAGGGCAGCTTTGGTCTTAGCTACGGCAAGGGCGAGATAGATTGTGCTGACTCCAAAGCTAGTCCCAGCCTCGATAATGTTCGTTGCCCCAGTGGCGTTGATTAGCTGGTACACGAACTGACATTTGTCCTCATCAAGGGCAATGAATTTATCAAGCATGAGCTTGTCAAACTCGCCCCGAGCGGTGCCGTGCGACAGCTTATCCTCCAAGTCGCCTAAGACGTCCGATGACATGACCTTTCCAGTCTTGGAAATGGCGGCTTCTTGCTCAAGCGAGACCTTGTGGAGGGAGGATAGGAGCTTTTGCACATGCTCCGGGGCATCAACGGGCGAAAAGAAGGCCATGGTGATAATCTAAGTCTGAGGATTGGAGCTGGGCAATGTAGATGAGTTTCAAAGATTGTGGTGGGTGATAATTACGAGGCCAAGAGCTGTCTTTATGTTGGGAGTGCAAGTTGAGGTACCGAGTGCGGAGAACGAGTACTAAGCCCGCAATGCATGATTAGGATTTGGATGCATCCCTACCTTGCAGCAGAGCGCTCTCTAGCTCTTACGTAATTTATCCAAGTGGCGTGGCTAATCATGAGGGAGTGTCCCCAGCAGCGTAATCAAGTGTATCAAATGTACTAAGAAGGCGTACGGACTGGGGCGCCGGAGCCAACTTCGCAGGTTTCAATCAACTTTAGTTTTGAACGAGGGCACTGGAATAATTGAAAGAACATTTGTTGCGAGCTATTCTTCAAGTGGGCTGTGGTGGTGTGGAAAACACACAGCTATTTAAGCCATCGTTCCCTCGGCGGTTACATCTTTCGTTCCACATCTCTCATCCAATACCTTTCTGCTCATCAACTTCCATCCCCCTTACTCTACACAATTTATCACAATGCCACTGTCCGAGCGAGCTTCTCAGCTTTCACGCAACTCTCACAGATACCTAGTCTACGAGGTTTTAAAAGACCACTGGGTGCCCATGGTTAATCCCATGGGTTATGTGAACCTTGGGCTCGCGGAGAATTCACTCATGCATAAGACGCTGTCTGATCACATTCATAAGAATTTGTTGCTGCCCATCGAAGCTTTCACCTATGGAGATGGGTCAAAGCTATTGAAGACCGCCATGTCGCATTTTTTCAACAAACGTTGGGGGCCAGCGATCTCCGTCGAGCCGGCTCATATTACGATAACAAATGGCCTCAACTCGGCGCTGGAGCATGTCTCTTGGACCCTAGCCGGCCCTGGTGATGTGTTTCTTCTTGGCCAGCCGCACTATGGGTCGTTTATCCCTGGCCTTACAATCCGACTTGGCGCTCGGGTGAGCCAAGTCTCGTTCAAAGGCGTCGATCCACTGGGAATGGAGGCTGTTCGAGTATATGAAGACAAACTCATCGAATCTCGGCAGAATGGCTGCAATGTCGCTGGATTGGTATTGTGCAATCCGCACAACCCTCTTGGTCGTTGTTATCCTCGAGAGGTGCTGGTTGCACTCATGAGGCTCTGCCAAAAGTATCAGATCCATCTTATCAGCGATGAGATTTATGCTCTATCTGTGTTTCCCAACACCGTCGACGCCTCCCCACCTCCTACTCCCTTCCACTCCTGCCTTTCTATCAACACAACAGGACTCATTGATGAGTCGCTCCTATACGTGCTCTGCGGCATGTCCAAGGACTTTGGTGCAAACGGTATCTGTATCGGCGCAATCATCTCTCAGAACAACCCGTTGTTCCACGAGGCTCTCATCCCACTTTCCTTCTATAGCTCCACATCTTCTCTTTCCGAACATATCACGACAAATCTGTTGAATGATGAAGCATGGACTGAGTCCTACATTGCTGAGAATCAACGCAAACTGGCAGCATGCTATGTGCATGCGAGTACGTGGGCACGGGATAACGACATCCCTTACGCACCAGGTGTTAATGCAGGGTTCTTTCTCTGGGTTAATCTAGGCATTGTCTACAAGAGGACACACCCTAGAATGAGCGGCGATATCAATTCAGTGGTCAATCAAGCGTTGCTTAAGCAAAAGGTTTTCTTAGCTTCTGGTTCAGACTTTGGATCGGAAGAACCGGGGTGGTTCAGAATTGTCTTTTCACATGAAATGGATTACCTTGATGAAGGGTTGAAGAGGATCATTGCTGCTATTATTTGATGTATTTTAATTTCCACGGAATTGCACATCAACTTTTGAAAAGGTCATCCGCCCAATTTGGAGTAGGGAGACTGTGCTTTCGTGCACTAGTTAAAAACGTGTCTTTTCGTGAAAGCCGTGGAGAACGTCTATGGTAGAAATATATGAGTATACATGTGTAATTTAATATTTGATCAAAAATTGAAACGTGAATCTATTAACAATCTCATATTGCAGAGTTACAATTTAACAACAGCTGAAAGTGCACCGGACTAACATGTTGCCGGTCCGATATCGTCCTTAGATTCCCCACCCCTAAAAAAGTACCACATACCTCCGGACACCTCCCTGATCTTCTATTGATAAAACGGGGAGACTAACAGGGCCGAATCGAGTCAGCGAGAGCTATATCTAGACGATGAAGGCTAAGAGCAGCTGTTGGACATGTAAAAGTAAGCTAATGTGCCATTTCGTCGGCATCGCTGACGTTCTCGACAGGCCGCAAAATCGGTTGCGATAAAAACCTCCCTTGCTGCAACAACTGCACGCGTACAGAGAGAAAATGCCTTGGGTACGGATTTCGGCTCGTGTAGCCAGACCGACCAGATAGGAGACGCAGGACAACAGAGGCTGCGAGCCACGTACCGGCCTTTCAGTCTCGGCCAAAAAACTATGGCGAGCACTTCCTAACCTTCGACTTTGAAGACATGGATCTTGCCATAGCCAACAGCCCTGGTCGTGATTTATTGGCGAGGTTGACTGGCCGACCTCGTTGTAGTCTGACGCTTCATGCCCCTATACTTGGCCAGGACTCTCTGCTCTTGAGCTATTGTCAGTGCACCCACTCATACTGAAGCTCCTTTCGTTACCATACCTTATTAACATAAAACCCGAGATGAGAATGTCATATCAATGATGGTCTCAACAACACAGGCACGCAATGGATTCAGTACTGAAATACTACCAATGGCATTGTCCAGCAAGGACGCGTCTTCGTCAGCCTTATGCAATGCGATGCTCGCAATATCGGCCTTTCATCACCTCAGCCGAGAAGCCGCGCTGCCGTACAAGCTGCGTGCATTGCACCGACTCTCGAATTCACTATCAGCCCAGTTGAGTTCACCAGGTGCTATAGATGCTGAGCTTGCTGCGTGTATGATGCTGTGTATGTATAGTGTATGTGCTGCCCCGACTGCTTCACAACATGATCAATATCCTAATATTTCATAGGTGTTCGATGAAGAAGAGGGTAGTTGGCATGTGCATTTGAATGGAGCTCGGAAAATGCTGCATACGTTACACCTAAACCGCAAGCGACCAGTCCCATCCGACTTTCTCGTCACATGGTTCCTTTATTATGATGTCTTGGGCCACTTTACTCAGCCTCTTCAAGAAACCTACAACGACTTAGAGTTCTTGTGGCTCATGCAGACCTCGAAATGCGACACGCCCCTTGTGAGTTCCATGCTCCAGTTTTCTGTCTACTCCTGACCATTGTGGCCAGATCATTGGGTCTTTGGGGTGTTCCGTAGAGATTTTTGACATCATCCACCAAATAAACCGAATTCGTGGATCACACATCGGTGGGCAAGACGACATTCCGACTGATGAGCTTGTTCACCGCCGGGATAGGCTGGAAACAAGACTCCACAACCTGGTTCAGCGACTTGATCCTGACGAGGAACAAACCGCATCTCTCAGACGCATTGATGCTTTAGCTACTGCCGATTTATATCGCCTAGCGACACTTCTATATCTTCAACGCGTTTGCCCCATGGAAGGTGACAACTCTATGGGCATTATTTATATCGGACAGGCCTTTCACGTCCTTAGGACGCTGGAAGTTGTCACTAGCCCGTGGCCTCTTTTCATTATTGCATGCGAGTCGCGATCTGAGGAGCAACGGATTACGATCCTCAAGATACTGGATCAAATGGACCATGTGCGGAGTGTTGGGAATGTTGTCGTCACGAGAAGAATTATCGAAATGTTTTGGAAGCAGAACGATCTACGGGCAGATACTCACTTTGGCCACAAGTTGGACTGGTGGCATTTGGTGAATTCCGATGTCGCAGTTCCATGGTTTGCATAAAGAGCTACAGCTTATTAGTTGTAGGAACTAGGATATCTCCGTGACTCGGTGTTTTCCGAGTTCACTAACTCATAGAAACCTTTTGATCCACTGCGACTGGAGAATGGATAAACAAGCACCGTTCATGCATGGATTGAACTTCGATCAATTGCTCTACTAGTCAAAATGCATCTCAGCCAACAGGCGTAGCACCGGAATGATAACAGTGCAGGTGATCAATGTGACTTGGATGCAAAACGAGTCGACAATGGCATCAACGTTTGACCTGATAATGTGGGATTATCAAAGATGAGTTGTTATTGGAGGCACCATCCTCCGAACTCGGACGAGATGAAGCAGGGATCCCTCGGGGGTTATGGTGTTGAAGACATGGGACTGTGTGAGTCGCAATTTGACGGCAAACGACTCAAACGGTGTCTCGGGCAGATCAAACAAGCAAACAGTTCGCAAAATGGTGAACGAGATATTGCGTGCCTTTTTATTCAAATGCGGTAGCAACTTTCAAGCCCCCGGCGCTGCTTGTTTCTGTTGGCACATGTCAGCTTTCTAGAGATGGGAAGGGCATGGAACTGAGCGTGGAGTTCACTCTGAACCCGAGTCAGGTCGTACTCGGGATTAAGTCGGATGGTCCTAAATACCAATGTCTTGGCGGGCGCATCTCAGTGCCACTGTATCAGGGTCTTGTGATTTCAGATACTTCATTTTAGTGCCATGGACCCCGTACAGGAGGAAAGAAAATGCGATCAAGGATGCCAAGACGGGTTCTTAAATCCCGCGGGCTCGTTGATGGTGTGTTTATCGTCGTGGACCCTACGAACCGCCTACTAATGCGAGGCTAGTCTAGACAACTTGTGGGGAGCCTTGGAGAAAGGAAAGAAAATGCGATCTTGATTGCGTTGGGAGCCCCGCTCAAGTCCTATTCAGGTTACACTAGGCTCTAAAGTGGAGGTCATCTGGCATTTCTGTCTCGGATACGACAAGGCTACAAGGGTACGCTATAATCATGCAGCCAGTCCGCGTCAATTCTTTGAATCCTGACATGTGGCATCATGCTGATCTCCCTGGGTCGAGACAAAGAATTATAGTGGCAACCATATCTCCGCGGCCCCGCTGAAGTATACGAACAACGATTACCGAACATCAATCTCCGGACGCTTCGTCATGATCGACGACGAGTAGTGGTCATCGCCATTCACTACTGAAATGGATGGTTGCATTCCAGCAATACCTCATCGGGAACATGTTCACTAACATCAAAAGGTGGTTTGTGCTTTCCCTTGTTGTCCTCATTGTCAATTTGGCCAATCTCAGCACGCTACCCCCAAGTCCATTTCTGATGACGCTGTGATTAAAATATCTTAGATTTCTCTTATTGCTGGGATAATTGACTCATACACAAACAGTTCAATTACCGATCTACCCAGCAATATGTAGCCTACCTGAATATGCATCCGCGGTGCTTTGAATAAATTCTTAGTCGTTGAGATACGACGTCAAGACTTTGTACCCTGCAGCGCTTGAAATGATACTTTCAACTAAGACCATGGCCGCAATATTGAAGCATGGTCGCGCGAGATCAGTGCTGGCATCTCAAAGATAAACGAAACTGTACCATACTACTATTTTGGATAACCACTGTCAATAAGCAGAAACTCGATCTGCTCCGGAAGATGTGTCTTGCGAATTTCGGGCAAGGCTTGAGGGAGTTCTGGTGTCGCTGGGTGACTTACACTTGGACTAGAACTGTATTGACAATCTTTTGATTCGTCATTTGATAGAAGGGCTTCCCGGGGAAAAGATTGGCATCGAAATTGGTAGAGCTAGCTATAGGGGTAAAAAGAAATAGAGTGTGGGCCGAGAGATGACACAAGCTGAGCCGGATGTAGTCTTTTATTCCGATATCCCGCACCGCACAAAGTTCGCTTAACTATCTGTGAAATCCCCTGTTGTCATCTGACACAAAGAGATTGGCTGAGTAAAAGGCAGCAGCTTAAGATCAAAGTAGGAACGGGTGGGCAAGAGTACCTGTTAGATGATCTGTAGTGTTCATTGGCGCTTTCTGGGATCTACTGCAGCCCACTTGATTGGAGACATGGGAAGAATGGACCTCCGAGTCTATCCGAGTAAGCCACAAAGCGCTACTAAATTGAGTTACAATGAGCCGACAGCGGGGCCACTACATCTCCGGTAGGTCGACGCGGCTTGTGCTATGGCAGGCTCCCTTATGACATGGGGCCCCCCTGAAGATGAAAGCTTGCAAGATCTTAGTCTCAGCCCATCGTAAAACCCTATATAAACCGGAAAACCGGTTGATGCGTGAAACACGGATAACCTTGCATCATACAAATCACTGAACTCTCTTCGGATATCGTCTCCTTCTCTTGGTACCAAATGGCCTCCCTTACTAAAGGGTTGCCTCGTGGCCACGCCTGTGAGGAAGCCGAGTCAACCGAGAGCGAGCAGCAGCAGTCCAAGCACTCAAGATGGTAAGCCAAATAAAAGCCGATGACCAATAACCATGATGATATATCTATATTGAGAGCTTCAACAACACAACCCTCTTTACACGGGGCTAACTCTCATTTTACATAGGCGTTATACACTCATACTAATTGCGGCGTTCATGATCAATTTCACCGCCTGTGGCCTTCTCTTCGGATTCGGAATTTACCAAGCCCTCTACGAGACCATGGTGTTGGAAGATGGCACACCGTTCACTGGCGCATCGTCTGCTGAGATTGATTTGATCGGAACACTCTCCATCTCTCTGATGACAATTGGCGCTCCATTTGCCGTGGCCTGGGTAAAGATCTTCAGTCCTCAGGCTATCGTCTGCGCTGGCGGCTTGTTGTTTGGGCTTGCCTGCGTGTTGGCGAGCTTCGGAAAGTCGCTGTGGCATTTTCAGCTGTCTCAGGGTTTGCTGCTGGGGATTGGGACCTGCCTCTCATTCATGCCGTCTATGACCGTTGCTCCAAGCTGGTTTGGGAAGCATAGGGGACTGGCCATGGGTCTTATCTCTGCTGGAACTGGGATCGGAGGCTTGGTCTGGGCTCCGGTAATTACAGTTTGTATCAGAGAAATGGGCTTCCGTAACACTCTTCGCCTCACGGGGGCACTGGGAACCGCCCTTATCTGCGCTTCGGGTTCCGCTCTAAGCTGGGAACCTTCGATGGCTGCCCATTTGCGGGAAGAATCCTCGTCGACTTCTCAAACCAATGCACTCTTTCGGATCCCGTTCCCGCCCTGGAAGATAGCCAAGCAACGGAGATTCATTGCTCAAGCCTTAGGGGCAGCCTTCCAGAGCGCGGCCTACTACACGCCGGTATTCTTCATCGCTTCATACGCCAAGACACTCGGATATACCGACACTGACGGTGCAAACTTTACTGGAGTGAGCAATGCCTGCAATGCAATTGGAAAAATTGCCATTGGTTTCGTCGCAGACCGATTTGGAAGACTCAACGCGTTCTTCTTCACTACATTGATCAGCGCCTTTGTGACCTTTGGGCTCTGGGTGTCCAGTACGATTGTCGGAATGGACAATGAAGCCACAGCCAGGTCTCTATTCATCAGCTTCACGGCACTATATGGGATCTTCGCCAGTGCGTATATTAGCCTCTTCCCACCAGCTCTTGTTGAGTTATTTGGAGCACAAGAGCTCCCACGTGTTATTGGCTTCATGTATATGATGCAAGGAGCAGCAGCCGTGGTCGGCACGCCGGTTGCTGGAGTCTTAGTCCGTGGTCACGGCACAGTTAAGGATCCGGACAGCTATTCAAGCATGGCTATTTTAGTGGGTGCTTTGTTGCTTGTGGCGACCGGAGCCGTGGCTTGGGTTAGAATAGAGGTTATGTGTGACCGCGCTGGTGGCAAATGGCAGTGGAAGTGGAAAATGTAGACCAATTCTGCCATGGTGAACCCCGCTTATGTATTCTTCCACCATGGAGTAGGACTCTATTGCTATATATATTCTCATTAGAGAGACCTTCAGGGGCAAGCAGTGGCATACTAGCGAATAGCCAACAGATGCTGACCTCCATGGCAAGCCTGTGGCGATTATTAGAACTGGCTCCAATGCTACCCAGGTTGCCTCTAAAATCCAACCAACGGGTGAGGTTCTATTCACGTTCCCATGAATTTCTGCGCTCATGAATCCAAGAAGCAACCAAGACGTTCCCACATAGAATGAAAGGGTGTTTCTATAGTTCTACTCTATCCTTTTGGCTCACCTTTTCCTCAATTTAATATTTCTCAGCACGCTCTGTTAGTGCGCACACCCGATTTACTGCAAAATCTCCGACATCCGCGAGGTTATACTATCAACACCACAACTGCTGCTACAATGTCCCTCGGGTTATCGGCTGCAGCTGCGGCAACACCGTACCGACTGACCATCCAATTACAGGCGCTCATCGATCATAGCCGGTATGCGCAAGTAGTTATGAAAGTGGCAGAGTCGATCTCGAACGGCGCACGCATGCCGACTCCCAACTACCAGCCCCGACCAGCTGGATCGAGGAGGTGGGGGAAGCTTGCCCCTGCGATTATGTGTGCTAAAGTCAGCCCCCGGGTGTGCTGTATTATTCCAAAACGCAGGTCGAGTCAGCTTACTTATCAGTGCGTCGTGGCCTCAAATGCCCAATTCTTCTCGCCGCCTACTTATCTCGATTCCTGCTCCACAAACAACCCTAAAATGTGTGTCGCGCGGATTTCGACTTGGACCAGATTCCAGCTTCCACTTGCCACGGCTTTAAATGAATCAATTTTCGAGCCACTACATACAGTGAAGGCCGACTTCGATAATCCCGCCTACTACGGCCCGATTTCAGAGTCTCCAGGAGAATACCTGCTTGTGGTAGACTGGAACACGCCCCAGGCCTTCAGCACATTCAGAAATTCCACCTACTATAAACAGCTGCTAGTCAACCTGAGAGCTCAATCTGCCACAGAACCCAAAACACAGATTGTCGACTTTAGTAACGTCGCCTTTTCGTGGCGCTTTGGATCCAACACCGACATTCGTACCGTCTACTTCCCAACCTCCATCTCGTCGCAGCAACGCGAGGCAGTAGGCAAAACCAAAGGTCTCGTTCTCACCATGACTCCAGGTCTCGGCGCCAGCGGGTCACACCAAATTCCTTATAAAGGGGTCCCAACAATCGGCTGGGTGGACGGTAGAGAGAATTGGGGGGGCAATGACGCAGTGGTTTGCGTGTGGTGCCATTATTGGAAGGACAAGGATGCTGAGCAACAATTCAAGAAGAACGAGCGGAGACCGCCGCGGAATGGGGAGCCACATCGTCCGCTGGCGGTAGAGGCCTTTGAGCTAGACTTGCGAAACTTGGGCGCCATAGGCTGGACAGAGCATCATGTGGACTTTAAGCAGGTCAAGTTGGAGTAGTTGTGCGAATGCGAACAAAATTAAGTTCAATCAACAACGCTGCATTGTGATAGCAGGGAATCAGAATTATATTGACGACATGAAAGGAGCTTCCAAAAGGATCAGATTATAAACCAGCGGATATGTTTTAAGGAGTCCAGCAAGCCTAGACATCAAGTGAAACTAAAATAAATAAACTATATTACTATATCTTATATAAAAGATACTATAAAGCTATTAAGAAGTTATTACTAAAAAGCTTATAACGAGATTTTCTATATTTTAACTGGAAATATTATAGCTATTTTCTGGTTTTTCTAGATATTATAAATTTCTTACTAGTTAAAATATATATAGCGCTTTATTAGTTAAGATATAAAGTCAAGATATGAAAATTATATAACTAAGTGTTTTATACTGCTATTACTATTGGAAAGTTATTAATACAGAGCGTGACAGTATTTGGCTGAGTGAGATCCTGAGTAGCGCCCTGGTTAAATGGGTCGCTCTTCTTCTTTCGCAAAGCGCAGTAGTCCCCCGGCTTGAAGAAGATGTGGCCAAGCTCAGTACTCCAAAGCGGATGCTTTTCTATTTCTGGATAGACTTGTTAATGCCAATCAAAGTCACTCGCTGAGAAGCTGCAACATACTTTGCTCATCCGTTGGTTCATATTCATGCTCCACAGTCTTTCCGCCCTCCTGAGGACTCCCATCCGCATTTTTGAGCACTGCATCCCACGCTTGCTCTAAATTCGAGAAGTCAGCACGGAGAGTCTTAGTAGAAACATACACAAAGAGAGGGGGCTAACTTTCGAGCCAGGTACTGTGGCAAAGGAGCCATGGTTTACCACCAGGTCGGATCTGCTGACCGCTGAGCACTTTCTGAACTCGGCCAACAAAAACTGAAATACGAGGTTAGAATGTGATTTATGCACGTCAGAACTTAGGGGAAGCATACGAGAAACAGTCGACGTGTCACCGCCTGGCCCAATGCTGAAGAAGCCGTCCAGATACTCGCGTGTCTTTTCATCCGTAGCTACTATGCCTGCGGTTGCGATGTCGGCAAGCTTGATCGAGTCGTCAAACCACAGAGCTAGGTCGGCTTTATACGCGTCGCAGCAGCCTTTTTCCGTTCCCTCCTTTAGTCAAAAGACATCGTCGATTGTCACACCTGACACAAGTTGACCGAGCAATGCGGTGGCCAAGGCCAAGGCCAACCGTGTCAACGTTTTGGAGGACGAGAGTGAGAACATCTCAGTTGAGCTAACCGTTAGTGTTCGAGATCTGATACGATGAAATGATGGTATGTGAAATTGAAGTGAGGAGTGGAAGGCTCTAACATGACTCCAAAGGAATATGCGCTGGAAGTGTCCATATGATTAGCGCCGCTTGCCCGCAGTGCCATTTCGCCCGTGGAGGTGCTGAGACCCTAGCTAAGTCCACTCCAACCCGCAGTATAACAAAAGTTAACAGAGACCAGCAAATATAGCAACAGCAATACAACAGTATTTCCATCTTAACAACGTGTTAGATCGAGGGCTTCCGTTAGTTTCGGAGGTTGTCTCGTTGGATGCCGTGGTGCTAGCCACTGTTGCGGTGCTAAGAATCGCCGACGAGGGATGAGTTGAGACAGGTGCGTCCGAAGGTCGTAGCGACTGTATTACACCAATTAGCAGTTTTATATACGAATGGAAAATGAAAACTCACAGTAGACGCTACATTATGAGCCGTGGCCGTAGTTGGAATCTCGATAGATACCGTACTTGGAGCCTCCGTAGATGCCGATTGTGAGTAGCTTGTGTTCTCAAAGCAACTCCATCCACCCGCCATATCCACATATCCGCAGCGATAGGCAGGAGGACAGCACCACGTGCCTAGCAAGCAATGACGAGTTAGGTAAGCGTTGCTAGCAGTAGGGATTGGATTGGACTGACCACAATTGGAGTCACACTCAGCTATGCTCCGGCCTTGGAGTAGAGGCCCGTCCCGACCAGCCGTGACGAGTCCCAACATGAGAAGACCAAAGCATACAAGGAGCAAGAGGCCAGCCATGGTATGTGAAAAGCTTGCTTGAGTAGCCCAGTGCAATTTATGATCTGGTCGTAGGCGTCTCTCTACAACTGTGTTTGGCTGATATCCGGTGCTGCTAGGGATTGATCTGCAAATTGCTGACCTTGATAATGGGAGAAAAGAAAATTGGGCCGAATGTCTTGGAGGTGGAGGGGAACAGTGCTTCTTAAGTCTATGAAGCGTGACGCCTCCGGCCATCACATGGCAATCATGCGGACCGCCAGGGCACATTCTGCGGCCACGACCTGCTACTCTCGCTGCCACTACGAAAGCCACAGCCTGCTTTCGCTTTCAGCTCTCAGTTCGAGGCTCCAAGTTAGGGGATCATTCAGTTGTTAGCTTAGGCGTTACTCAGCCCTGTTAGCTCATTGACCGAACCCCAGCTATCCGATATGGGCAAGGACGGTTCCGCTTAGGGTTTAGTTGGCTGCCGAGACGAAGCGCGTGGTGCGCCTCGGGCTAGAACTATCGCTTTGGCTTTTGCCTCGAGCTTCAGCTCTACGTAACTGTCCAGTTGGGCTTGGCTCTTTCGCATTTGATTGGCAGCACCCTGGTGGGATACGGACTAGCGACGCCATGCAGCTCCAAGGGGAGTCCAGACCATCTTTTCAGTATGAAGCTGAATCCTTAAGTATGTAAGGGGTCCATTTGCGTCAGGCTGTCTCACAGTACCTTTTACATCAGGTCGTGTGAGTTGACCATTCAACTTTTGCATCCCCCTGAATCAATACTCGGACGACTTCCAAACGCAATCAACGCAATCACATACGCATCAAACCCCATCTCTTGCACCATGTCATCCGCAGCGAGTGTTTACGAGGGATTTTGGATGGACCATGACCACGACGGGCTCTCAGGCGCGAGGCTAACACTGGACGCCTATAACGCGACACTCCTAATTGCATTCATCGCAATCTTCGTCACGATTTGCGGAGATCGGATGTGGTCTGCAGTTCGGTTTGTGCTCCATCAATCGCGCGCTGGCGCAGAGCGACGGGGTGCAGACGACGAACATCTACAGCTTCTCACTGTACACTCCGCCATGCCAGGGATAGCCTGGGACGCCCCGAAGCTCATGTGGACAACGATTAGGCAGACAGGTCGTCGAGACGCCAGCAAGGTTTGTTATGTCGCCGTGTTGGCGTTTCTTGCGCTATTCAACTTCGTTGCTTGGACCGCGGCTGGCGTGCTCTCGGCCTGGGTTGCCGTCTCGAATGGTCCGCTGATATACGTCAGCCCAGGCTGCGGATTCTATGCGGACCCATCGGATAGCATTTCTTTTGCGCCGGCGGCAGGGTTCCAAGCAAGGTTGCTCAATTCGTCAAGAATTGCTGATGAATACGTTCAGACATGCTACAATACCTCCAGCTCCTCCAATTCGCTGTGTCAACAATTCGTCCAGCAAGAAATCAAATGGACTGGGAAGTCAAATGCTACGTGTCCTTTTGCGTCTGGGATGTGTCTTGGAGGTGATAATGCCGCTTTCGAAATGGACAGTAACATGATCGACTCCCATGGTACCCTGGGACTAAACGCTGCCAAGGAAAACCGAGTCCTATACCGACGCAAATCGACATGCGCACCAGTCGTCACCAGAGAGCCCTATGCGGAGCTCATACCCGGCCGCTATCCAGGAGAGGAGTACGCGCTTTACTACTACGGTGACACTTTCGGCTCGTTGAATTACACGTATCAACTATCAACGTATGCGCAAAGAGGACCAGCTGGCTACATATTGAGGTTCATCCACTACCATTTTCCCGCCTCTAGACCTAGGCAGCTAACTCTACATCCCCCGACTAGCGGCATGTCCGCACCGGGCGGATTCATGCCCATACCCGAGATTGCAAGATCCGATGCAGAAGTCACGCTCTTTTTCCTGGTGCAGAACCTGCTTGCTTACACAGCTCCCGTGGACGACCTGTTCTTCGCAGCGCACACACAGCCCACCACCTATAAGCTGCCCTTTAGCAACGACACATATACTCTTTATTACAACGACAAGCTGGTTTCTGTCATGGGTTGTATCGACCAGCATCAAATATGCAAGCCAGGCTCCGGCGAGGGACCGAACTGCTCAGCATTGAGCAGCGCGGAGAATCTATGGTCGGAAGTTGCGAAGCTGGAACTCAATCAGGTGCAGCAGGACACAGCATACGTGATACAGTTGGAGATCCTGGGAGGGGAGATGTTGAACTCGATTGCTGGTCGCGGGGCGGTCGCTCTTAAGGCACAAGGGACGGTCTTCAACAACATCAACGTCCCGCTACCTGACAATCAATGGACTCTCGAAGTCGGCGGTTGGTTTAGCATTGCCCTTGCACGGCTACAGCATGCCATAGTGGAATATTCCACCGGGCCGGCTCATACGGACTCCGAGAAGTATCAACGAGACACTTCCTCTTCTCTTGTTCGTATTTATGCGAACACGTGCAATAGACAAAAAGGCCGGCAGTTAAGCTCCAGCACCAACTACCTTACTTTCAACGGCGTGGGGCTCCTCATCATCTCAGTCGTTGGAGTCATTGTCTTATTGATCAGCCCTCTCCTTGAACTGATAGTGGGGTTGCGACGGAGTGGGAAATGGAGTCAGCGCCATCTCGAATGGAAACTCCACGGCGAGTTCCGAAGGGTTGCCTCCCAGTCTTTTCAACTTACGAGTCCGAGGCCTGGGGGATCTGGATCCGAACCTTCATCTCCACCTTGGCAGGGGGATACCAACGGCCGACTCGCAATTACACCGCCCCATGGGCAAGACGACCAATCGCTGCAACTATACGCTGTAGCAGGAGGGGGACAGGAGCCTTCGCATGATCCTTCCAACAAGCCCGTCCCTCCACAGACAATAGACCATAACCGAGCATAGACTTGCCACGCAAGCGTCGAGCAGAAGGCCTTGCATGTGAAGGTGCGTCCAAAGCTTATTTATATACTGGTATTACACTAGGGTCGTTGACTGACCCTGTTGTCTGCAGACAGCAGGGTTGAAGTCAGAAGGGTTGAATTGAAGCTTCAGGGAGAGACCAGTGTGTAACAACCTTATTGTTCAGCTACTGTTTCTTCTGGTGCTGGGGGTAGGACTTATTGTTTATTTCTACTGTTTGAGAATACTATAATCAAGAGGCTAGGGTGCCCTAGTACACACATACCCAGAGAGGGGACTAGAAGCTCAACAATAAAAGAAAAACACCAACAATAGTATCAACAATAGAAACAATATGTATATTTTAAGCGTTTAACATTAGTTGACTATACAAAATAAAAATCCAACTAGTTGGCTATTACTCTATCTTATATTGTAACAGGCCAGGGCCCATATCCTTGCGGCCGTGTTGTAAGACGTACTAGCCAGGGATGAGAAATCTTCGAACAGCTCAGGGGCACTTAGGAACTTCTTTCTTTCTTCTTTATCTTTGATGTAAATAGCATCCTGGACTAGATAGCTGGAATACAGTTACTAGAGGCTGTTCATATACAAGGCTTCCAACCCGTGCCTTGACGCCTGACTAAACTTGTGGTCGTGCTGTCGTTCTTTTTCCACGACGCCTTGCGTCTCACACAAATCTGCAACTCGCAAGTCAATCTGCCCCTCTACCACATCGCCATAGTGATTCCTGTAGCTTACCAATTAGGTATAGTCCGATGCGCTGGCAGCCTGAGCTTGCTGAGGTAAGGCAATATAAGCCGTGGGGGCCATAAACCGTGAGGGGCTCATCAATCGTTATTGCCCGTGAGCAGTTTTCTCACAGGCAGCATCGCGAGACTGCTCACGGATTGCAATGGATCCCGTCTCCGCTGTGGGCATCGCTGCCGCTTCAATCCAGTTCTTTGACTTTGTGCGAAACCTCCTCAAAGACTATGGTGACTTTCGCCACAACCGATTACCTCTGACCATCGCCAACTTCCAAAGGAGCGCTACTCGCCTGCGGAGCCTCGCTGATGACGTGAAACATCTGTCGCAAGTGGGGGGCGTCTCAAATAATCTCATTGAGAACCATAATCAAGTACGTTCAGTTGCAATTGGTAATAATCTTATCTGACGCGTGGCAGGCGGTGGATGAAATTACCGAAGAATGTTTGCGGCTGTCCTCGGAGCTGCTCCAGGTCTTGGACGGTCTGCAACCTGGGTGCTCCAGCTCGAAATGGTACAGTTTTAGGCAGGCGATTTCCACTAGCTGGAAAAACGAAACAATCCGAGAATTCGAAGGCTGCATTGCAAAATGCCAGAACCAGATTGTGCTGCGGCTGTTAGGCCGCCTTGAGGCCAAGTTAGAGGAGCACCACTCCACGCAAAACACCCACCTAGAACGCTTGGAAGCCAACGACCACAAGATTATGGAGGTTGTGGCATTCACCCAGCAGACGTTACTGAGAGAATCAGCCACATCGAAGAGAGAGGTCGCCACTGTGCTTGTGACGTTGTCGAACGGAGAGACGAGAGCCATTGCGGAGAAAATGCAAGGCACACCACTAAGACGATACGACGGCACGCTGGACAGCGATGGTGTCGTGTCACACTCGGAGCAGATGTTGACATTGCGCGCTCCTACAGTGTCTGGAAACCACGAAGCATCACTTCAAGATCCATCAGGCATCCACAGCGCCATCTTGAAGTGCCTCTGGTTCCGCCACGTCTCGGACAGGTTTGAGATGGCCAAGAACCGGCATAGTGAGACCTTCAACTGGATATGGCATAGCTCGCCTGATCCAGAGCACAAGTGGGCAAACTTCTCCGAGTTCCTGAAGTCCAACGAGCAGATATACTGGGTGAATGGGAAGCCGGGATCGGGTAAGACAACTTTGATGAAGTTTATATGCAGGGCACCCGAGCTTGACACCCACCTGCGCGAATGGGCTGGAAATACGAACTTCGTTGTCGCGTCCTTCTTTTTCTGGAATCTTGGCCCTATTGCTCTCCAGAAGTCCCAGGAGGGTCTTTTACGGTCTCTTCTTTACGACGTCCTCCGGAAGGCGCATGCTCTCCTTCCAGCCGTCGTGTCAGAGCTATATTTCGAGGTGCTTCGCTCCCACCAACCTGAAATCGCTGAACCTACACTCGCTGAGCTCGTTACCTGGTTTCGAAGGCTCGTCCGTCACACAAGCGCACAATTCCGGCTTTGTCTCATCATCGACGGCCTGGACGAGTACACGGGCAGCTGCGTGGACCTGATCGATCTCCTCATCACCGAGATATCTACCTCGCCATTCGTCAAGCTAGTGGTCTCTAGTAGACCTATCCCGGCCTGCGTCGAGTCCTTTCAACGCTTTTCTGGGCTGCGTCTACAGGATCTAACTTACGGCGACATCCATTCGTACGTGGAGGACACTCTCGGTCGTCGACTTATCCAGCAAGGGTACGAAGAGTCCGCCGAATACGTGCAGCTTTTGAACGAAGTGAGCGAAAAGTCATCGGGAGTATTCTTATGGGTTGTGTTGGTTGTCTTGTCGCTTATTGAAGGGCTGATGAATGGCGATAATCCCGGTGAGCTTCGGCAGCGCTTGGGGCAATTGCCACCAGACCTCGAAGATCTCTACAGGCAAATGCTTGACAAAATCCCTGCGCACTATCGACAACAGGCATGCAACATATTCAGCATGGTCCTTCAAGCTCTTGAGTACGAATCTTGTCGCAATCGTGCGTACCCTGTCCCGGCTCTTCAGGTTTCCTTCGCCGAGGAAGATCAGCGAATTCCTTTGCAAGGACAAGCCCAAGAGCTAACCGCAGATGCGCGAAGGCGGAAGTGTGCGGATGTCGAGCGAAGGATACGCAGCCGTTGTTGTGGTCTGTTGGAGGTCAACGACAGGATTCTCGAAGACCATACCGGCTGGGAATACTTTCGAGACGAAAGAAAAGTCCTCGCCTTGACTGAACGCAAAGGTGATGCCGTGTACGAGACCTATCCCTTTGATTGGCCCTTTTCAGAGCAAGTAGAGCGCCAAATACCACCGCCCAGCCCGATAACAGCGCCTTGCGTCGAATTCATCCATCGATCAGCAGTTGAATTTTTTCGAACACCGACGGGGGCTTCATTTCTAAGTGAAATCCAGAGCCCTGACCGCCTCAATCCTCGACGGGTTTTGTTGCGGTCCCAGATCAAGCTTCTGGCATGTGTTGGGTCGAGCTATATTCTGGATGGCAATATGAAAGCTGGAAACTATTTCATTACGCTTGTCTCCACCTTTCTACAGGATATTGCCGATGCTGAGATGGCAGGAGTGCCGTTTAGTTCCGAACTGATCTATACCGCCAACGCAGTTATCGACCATCACTGGAACGCGGCGTCATCTTTTGTATTCCCCGCGAGTGGCAGAGATGTCAGCTACAACAACGTGGATTTTCCGTTCGTGACAAGAGTTAGTCGTATTCAAGGTCATTGGTCAAGGCTGTTGCTTTTACGCAAAACGACTGCAGTTGGTGTCAATACGCAACTGTTTGGCGGACTGGACACCTTGGGCTTTGCAGGATTGGCTTCACTTATACCTTACACGTCCTGCGTGCAATCCTATGTCAAACTAAAAGCGGGAATACAAGGAGGCAACAAACTAGTCACATAGCTCCTCAACATATGGGTTCGCGCAAAGGTCGAGTTTGAGGCAAACGACATGGCCGTGAAAGCGCTAGCCTCAGGCGATCCCACTTATCTAGCTTCTCAAGCTCGTCAAGTTGCCCGAACAAACGCAGCGGACGAATCTCTCCTGGACCTTTCGCAGGATGACCCGCAGTATGCTAGCTCCGGTCTCTGGCCAGCCCAAAACCTACAGATTCAACAGTACCGCGACTGGGGGCTATCGGAGATATCCGAGGGACCGTACTTGAAGGAAAATTCGGAACTTGTCTTGTTTCTTCTCCAACAAGGCGCGGACCCCAACTACTCACCGGGAGAAAACATGCCTACGACCTGGGCATGTTTTTTGCAGGCCGTACCGTTGTTTCAAGTCTATCGTGAACGCTTCATCAATCTTAAAGAGGTTGGTTCTAGGGCATCCCGGCCTATCGAGGTGGTTGGAGAACCCCGATATATGGAGAATGCCCTTCGCGCTTTCATACTCCACGGCGCTGATTTAAGTGTCAAGTTCAAGTTGGATGTCTCTAACCTCGAGACCTTTTATCCTAATGAACAGTGGTTCAATGGTTTGTCATTATCACGGGCTGAGATAACCCGACATGTAAACTATGGAATGATGGAATTCACTTCTGGGTCTTTTATCAAGTTTCTCGTTGACCACGCCAACCAGACTCAATTGGGTCTAACAGTCGATTTCAGAACTTTGTTGAGAAAACAAGGATACAAGTCAGGGGCCGATGTTCAACGATCGTCTGTTTCATCCATGTCTAAACTGTTTAGTAAGGCCAAAGGGATGTTTAAATAAATAATGCATGAGGGCGGTTTTTCAGATAGATGATCTAATCAAAGATTGTCACATATGTCTTTCATTGACGAAGTAACTACAAGTAGTGACTGTCCTATGGGCTAAATGTTGCGGCTATAGCTGTGATTAAACTTTGGCATGTTTAACCTCTGTAATTACAGTGAAAAGCAACGGAGTCGCCAGGAGCTACCTGGCCTGGTAGTCACTTGCTGAAGTGTACTCGAGGGCCACAACGTCCTTCCCACGCGACCGTCTCCACGCCATAGAGCCACTGGCCCAGCGATTCAACAGCAAATCACTTCACTCGATGTATGTAGCGGGGTTGTGGACGGATAATCGGGGGCATGTGACACTCGATGCCATGGTCATTGACGAGTTCACCCGCATGCCTGACGCGGCCCGCGAACGACAGCAGCGGGAGTGCGAGTACCTTTTCGGCTGTGCCCGGTACGAGCAGACTTTCCAGAGAGGAGGAGAACGCGATAGATACTTGCTCATGTTTGTCGGACCATGGGATGCTGGTAGCCCGGGATCGCTAGTAGCGGCCAGACGCGTTTCATCTTATGAGAGCTTTGATGGCGCTGGCCCTGCCATATTTAGGCGACCCGGTAAGGAGAGCTGGGACGCTTGCCATGGGCAGACGGCAAGAATAAACGTCAATCGGTCTCATCCATGGCCCGCTCCGTCGTGATTATCCTTCAGTTGCGATTTTAGCAAAGGGGCTGCTGAGGGTATGATTGGCACGGCCGGTCAAAATAAACAGGTAGTGTAAAATCCCCTCTTTCTCAAGAGGCTTTGCCACATAAACCCCTGTAAACAACCCCTGTCGGCTACGTCCTACGGACCCTCCACGCTGCCCTCTGCCCCCATATCTCTCGCTGCTGTGCCACAACTAAAGATATCTCTCAGCTTCCCCTCACTAAGTCAGGCGTATTGATGCTTATAGGGTGCTTTCCATCTCGGACCCTAACAACCAGGTGATGTCCAAGCGTATCCTCTAGTTTCCCCATGTCGCCATTGGCGACAAGTACAAAGTAGATAAGCCCATGGCGGTCCATATAGGGTAGGGAGACTAGGGATGTACCATGAGGTCTAGATAGTAGGTGTGCGCGATAGAAGGGTTCTAGTTCTGTGTCCTTGCTCTGTTTTGCCCTGAACGGACAGGGGGCTGTTTTCGGGCCGCCTTCAGAGGCTGAATACTTCTGGCCTCCCCTTCGAGAATAACCACTGGAGCCCCACGCTCGTAATAATGAGGGGAAGATACCCCGATATGATGTATAGTTGATGATGACCAAGCCTAAAAATAAGGTTCACCTAAATAAACTGCGACCCGCCTACAATACGACGACTGGTCATCATCCCCCCGTTAGCTCTTCACAGGGGCAGTAGCCAAAACTATATAAAGAGCAACGAGTCACCGGGTTAAAACTTAAGAGTAGTGTAGTTCCTACCCACAGAAATTCTTTGCCAATTTTCACAACATCAACCATTTCATAACCACCATGTCAAAAGCGTCGGACCGTACTCCTGTCCCCGATCTGGCCGAGGATGATGCCTTTTTCCCCTCGACATTTTCTCTTACGCAGTACACGTCGCCCAAGACGGACTTTGATGGCGCAAACTACCCAAATGCGTACAAATCCGGCAAGTGGAAAATTCTCCTGATCGCTACGCAGGAGCGTTATCTCAAGATGGCGGGCGGCGAGTTTTTCTCGACAGGTAACCATCCTGTTGAGATGCTTCTCCCGATGGTCCACTTGGACGCCGCAGGTTTCGACATCGACATTGCCACAGTGTCGGGGGACCCTGTCAAGTTGGAGATGTGGGCGTTTCCGAAGGAAGACGAAGCTGTCAAAGGCATCTACCAGAAGTACAAAGAAAAGATTCGCAGCCCTCTTCACCTTGAGGAGGTGTGGGGCAACGGCTTCACGAAAGACACCCCATACATCGGAGTCTTCATCCCCGGAGGCCATGGAGTGTTGAATGGTGTCCCTTCCTCAGTAACGGTCGGCAACATCCTCCGCTGGGCCCATGCGAATGAACGCTACTACATCTCACTCTGTCACGGACCCGCCAGCATGCTTGCGGCCGACGTCGGTAAACCGGAGGGTAGCAAGTTCATCTATGAAGGCTACAAGATAGTCGTCTTCCCCGATTCTTTAGACGCTGGCGCCAACATTGAAATTGGTTACATCCCGGGCAAGATGGAGTGGCTCGTTGGGGAGCGCCTTCGGAAACTTGGTGTCGAGACCCTGAACAAAGGGATCACCGGGGAGACGCACCGGGACCGCTATCTCCTCACGGGTGACTCCCCACTGGCTTCTAACAACCTGGGAAAGCTTGCGGCCCAAGTTCTTCTTGAGGACGTGGCCAAGCGCAACTAATCTCTCGTCTGTTGGATGCTGGGTGTTGAATGCTGGGTGATGCATTCTGGGGAACAATGGTAGGAGACAGCCTAGTTGGAAAAGATTGGACAGCCACCGGGCCAAAAACTCGAGATTGCCTATTATTTGAAAACCAAGCCGCCTACAAGCCAATCAAGTTGATTTTGTAAAAAGTCATTTAACTTGTCTACGTTCGTGATCGTAGTCTTGTGTTGACTGAGGTCTTGCCACCTCTTCCAATACGTCGATGCCAGAAATCTGTGTCAGGGATCAAATTTGTAGTGGGCAATCGGTGGGATCGAAAAAACGGACGCAGTTTGTTTTGTTCGAGGCGAGTCATTATACAATTCCTGTCGCTCGGTTCTCTCGTATGGCTCTGCACGCCAAAGTCAGGCCATGAGGCACATCGTGGGTAGCAGTAGACCAGTATGGGAGGGTTCATCTGAGATATCACAGGCGGTGGCACTTTACACCCTGCGAGGGGGATACTTCCAGACCGACCCTGGAGTGTTCCTCGGATGTGTACGGTTTCATCCAGCGACATGATACTGCTTGACTATCTCTTCAACGGCATTATTGATATCCTTCCGCCGTTAGCTGCCGAGAATCTTGACATCTCCTGGGTCGGGTTCATAAGAAATAAATCTGTCACCCGCAAAAAGAGCTGGTCGAGGAAACATAGGGTGTTCTTCGTCCCTTGCCTGGATATTGACGTCGGTTTTCCGGACAGCCCTGAAGTTCTTTTCGAAATAATTGGCATAAGTAAGGTTCTCATCACCAACGACAATAGTTCTCCCGGCAACTGCCGGCCCATTCTCCAGGGCTCCCTCGATGGCCTCCGATAAGGACTGTGCCGAGATGAAGTTGAGTCCACCCACAGGCGCGAATTCGGGCATCCCGAACTTCCCTTCCGCGTATTGAACTTTGGCTTCGAAGATGGGGATATTCATGCCAGGCACTGTACCGACAACAAACAGATGGTCGAGGCTGCAGGCGGAGAATGTAGGTGTAGAGAGCTTCGCAACGCCATGGGCAGCCATTTTCCGAGATCGAATATATGTGTTCTCCTCGGCTAAGTTTGGTAAAATGTGTGGATAGACGCTCCCAATGTGGACGAAATGTTTGACGCCGGCAGACCGAGCGAGCTCAGAAAAGGCTGGTAGAGCCACGCCATTGGCACGGAGGAGGTACTTGTCGGCATCCTCACCAGCAGGAACATGCCGTCCATCGACCCCAGCAGTGAACACCATGGCTTCAAACCACATTAAACCACGTTAGATGGTCCGAGGTGAGGTCGTTAGCAAGGTAATCTCCTTTCAGAAAAGGCAACGCTGCCAGAACTGGCACAGCTTCTGGACGCCGCCGACCAGCGATGGTGACCACATGGCCTTTCGATTGGAGATAGAGGGCGGCATGCCCGCCGATGATGGATCATGCCCGCGCCGCCGACGAGGAGTACCCTCATGTTGAATAATGAAAGCACGGGTGAATGGTATTTGAAGATCCCGCGCGTCAAACGGGCTGACAAGGGCCTTTTGTGTGTGCCCCAACACTATCCACACGGATATCTTGTGGACACTGAAACCGAAACCGAAACCGAATACCGCAAAACCCGCATTTCTCCGCTGTTTTGTGTTTCTTGCGGAGTCCCCTAAGATGAATGAATCGCGTTGAAACACCCTGTAGCTGACAAATTCCCGATGGAGTACGAGATCCGATGGATCCAAGAGGGCAAGGACGAAACGCCCATTGGTCATAGATTCATTAGAAGCATCCTTTGGCAAGGGAATTTAAAGTGGGACGAAGTTCGTTGATATTGCTCAACATCTCGTCATCTCCGCCACTCTCAATACGGCTCTGACGCAAGGTGTTGTTGACGCGTCCTAAACTCCACTGCTTCCGTGACCCACTGGGCACGATCTGCCAAGGGAGCCTTCCCAGAGTGTCTATGTATATCCCACTCTTTATTTGATACTGTAGCACATTGTAACCTTTGGTTATTAAGCGAGATGGACTTTACAATACTACGTAGGGATTCCTAGAGCGGAGCCACGAAACGAATCTTGCAGCGCATCATTCTCTCGTGACCAGTTTAAAAGCAAAAAACGATTCTGAGTCCGGAGGCTCCTATGTGCCTTTCCGAAATTGAATTGATGATCTTTGCGTCGTATCGTTTGAGCACCGGTGGTGATGGCATCTTCCAAACGCCGTCATTGCTCAAGGAAGAATGTTGCTATGAAGCGCTAGGGACATAGATGACGTGGCAAGATATTTCCTTGGGCTCAGCGAGATTCTCACCCGTGTGTAATAAGCAGCTCGCGAGCCGTAAGTGGCACGCTGCCTTTCAAGTTCCCCCGAGGAAGTCCATCACATCATTCGATTCCTCGAACCAGCTGCTAAATTGTGTGCCGAAGGGATCGAGTTCCATCCCTCCAAGACCTGCCCAGGCCTGACTTTCGAGGACCTGGGGCACAGGCATGAGCTCAAGGCCATCGCCGAGACCTCCGATGTTGTTGGAGCCTTCACCAACATCTGGGCCGGCGCTGCCCGATCGAGCAGCAAAATATGCTTCCCCTTTAACCTCGACATATCTCGCTGCCACATTGTACAGGGCTCGGAAGATCCGCAGCTGTTTGCCGCAGCTCGCATAGTGGGGCTTTTCAGAGAGACGCTCCATGACCTGGACGAGAGCCTTCAGGCTATTCAAGTCATCTAGATTGGCCGTTTCGACGACATTGCAAAAGACAATATTGACTGAAAGAAATGGGAGAAGCAAGAGGGCTCCATTGACCCACATTTCAAGCAGAACAGAGTGCAGCTCGTTGTTGAGGAGTAGAGTGATGCATTCTATATGCCCCTGCAGTGCGATTCGGGCGGCGGAGGTGCATTCGGCAGATATCGAGGCACGCGTCCGACCAGGTGTACCCCTGTGTATTGCCGCGAGCATTACATAGTCGCTGGCCTTGTTGGCGTGCCTGGTGAACTCGATCATTGCAGATTCATGAAGCCCTTCAAAGCATCTTGCCAATTTCGTCTTCGCCTTGTCAGTGATAGAAACCAGAAAATAACATAAGGGACATCCACAGACCAAATGTTCAGCTTTACTTGTCGAGATCTCCTCCCATTCAGCAGCCAATGCATGAACACGCGCGGTTCGTGTCCCCGCCGGTTGTGCTAGGGCTCTCGGGCTGTAGATGTCGTCGTAGACGAGCCCATAGATACGTGCAGCATTGACAGACTCCAATAGACTCTGTGTGGTAGCAGTGGATGTGCTAGTTTCTGGCTCAGGCTCGGGTATCGTTATGTCGTGGTCTCGAATTGTCGATGGCCGTGCCAGACGGAGTGACACGCCCCTTTCAAGGGAGTAGATGGACCAGAACAGCCGAGTCTTTCGGTGCCGCTCCTCGATTGTGTCGCCGGTCATAGATGCACTACTGTGCAATCCGAGTGCTTGAGCATGGAGTGATGCTTTCGAGATGAAGGTCCAGCAAGCAAATATTTTATTCTTTTGAAAGCAGTAAAGAGTCTGGAAGATGTCAAAGAATGCATTCAGTCAGACTTGAGAAATACCTGATGGTTAGAGAGCCATGGAAACTCACCGCCAGGTACATAGCCAGAACATAGTCGATTGTTGTTGGGATATGGAATCCCAAGCTCGAAAGTACCACCTCGAGACTGCTTTGGCATATCTCAGCTTGTCTATTCAGGTCCTGTTTGGCCTCATTCGAGGTCATGGCGGCACACTCCCCAAACAGCCAGTAAAGACCCATGTACGCGATGATGAGCTCCGAATCTGTGACAGGGCCGGGAGAGCAGATCTTGGTCAAACAAAGTGTGAAGTCGCCGAAAGATTTCAGCTCCCCAAGCCAGGACATTGGGACAGGGGCGTGGTCTTTGTGATTGTCAGTTCTCGGCCGAGGCCAACGAGGTGCGAAGGGGTACAGGCGCCATACGCACCTTGGGCCATTCTCAGGCACGCCATGACCTTGTCAATTGGAGGAACGGGCAGATCTCTCGTGGTTGAGCCGAGTGGAAGAGTTCCTGGAAATGGCGGGCCATCTTCATCTGCAACATTCCGTCGCTTTTGCGAGTCCACAACAGCCTGAAGAGTATCGAGTGCCGCCCTCATCTCGAGAACAGTACTCGAAGCTCGCTCGCCACCATCGAACTTGACAGCTTCCTCAACAAACTTTGTGGCCGAGATGGCATAGGAAAATAAGGAGTTGTCAATGCCTTGATGCTCTGCTGCCGTAGGTCGAGAACGTCTGGTATTCTCCACCGGATAGGTCTCATTGCGATTTCTCCCGGAATGTGATTGGCCTTTTTCGATTGGGTTGTTTGATCCTTCCATTAATCGGGCGAGGTCATCGATCTTTTGTGAGATGTGCTCGATCCTGCTCTCGCTGGCAAGGGAATGGTTTGTCAACTCTCACTCCTGGCCTATGCGAGAGAAGCCGACTGATGTCAGGGCGACCTACTACATGCTGGATATCAAGACCCTTTGGCGCTTCGGCCGCTTCTGCGCTATTGGGTACAAACATCGTGACTGTGCTCGAATGCATTGACTGCAAGGATGGATCCGATCGCATTTGATCTGAGTGGATTGTGGTTAGAAGAATGCGCGGAAGCAGCAGGAGCGGGTGGTTGGTGTAATCACCTTGCGTCGTCGACATCTATCACACTGGAATAAATCAACCTCGGTATCTCAAAGGTTTATGACAACGAGAGGCAAGCTCGGAATGGCTCGACGTACAGCGACTTTCTCCGTTGTCGGAGCATCTGGTTCTTGTAGGTCCGTGACCTTCCCTTCGTCGCCGCTGCCGGTATTGTCGTACACAGGGGAAACTTGATCGTCAGGAGCACTTTCGGCCGTGGACGAACCCATGGCCGCGTTGAAGGCAGCTCAGGCCCCGTAGTCGTAGGAGTGCGTCGGGGTGATGATGAGTTGATGACGTGGGGGTCCCGGAAACCCGGAGGTACCGGCCGGCGAAAGGAGGCAGGGAATGACAGCCAGTCAACTGGAAAGGGAGCAACGCTATGCAGGAAGCTTTCAGCAAGGTCACGTTGGCTGCAGTCTGCAGTGTGGCCAGAAGCGGTTCACGAGGTGAGGCCCGAAGAATTGGAATGAAGAGGAGGACGTTGAGCGGGACGTTGAGCGGGTCGGCCGAGCCGAAATGGCCCCGCAGTCGGAAATGAGGCTCCTCGCCACGGACATGCGGACCGCCAAGGTTCCGCAGCCCGTCTTATTGTGACGGCAATTACTACCACGCAGGACGAGATGAAGTACGGGATGCGGTGCTTCATCATGTCCGTTTCCATTGTGGCAATAATAGCAAATGAGCATTCGCTTTTTTAAAACCTAAAGACAATAAATATGGAATCGACGCCTCCCAGCATTGTCACCTGTCTACACACTGTATTTCGAAACCAACGCCACTTTTTCCGCTTTCTCCGTGACGCACCATTCATTTGAACTCTCGGCTCTTGCTCCTGTATTCTCCTTTCTTCTATTTCATTTCATAATCCTTTCAAACGGCCTCGACCTGGCCAAACGTTCCTTAACTTCAACCACCATAGGACCAGTCCCCATTACTACCTTGAGCCAACCAAACACTCCTTTAACTCATCTCCATTCTCTTCAGGCGACCCTCTCGTCATCTTAGCCCATTCGCCGTATGCCTTCAAGACCTACTCGACCCATGCAAATTCATCATGCCGCATCTCGATGAAAAACGACACAAAGAGAGCGGATCGGACGATGCAGCCTCCACTGCCGGAAAGACTGCCCCCACGGTCAAGGAACCATCTGCTTTCAAAGGATTCTTTGTATGTACCCTCGAGAGATGTATTCAATGCCCATTAGTCGGCCTCAGCCACTGACTACGTCGCGTCGCAGAGGATCTTTTCTTTCGGAACCCCGACCTCGTATGCTTTGTTAGCGATTTCTTTGGTTGCGGCGGTTGCAGCAGGGGTAGCCCTCGCCATGGTCAATGTCGTGATGGGTCAATTCATCAGGTTGCTGGGAAATGTCAGCAGCGACGGAGTCTCACCTGGATTCATGAGTGCGGTGAGCACAACAGCGTATGCCCCATCTCGAAATCAACCAGGAAAACCTGCATCCGTTTCTGGATACTAAAGCTGACAAGAATCTCTGTTTTCCAGGCTCTATTTTGTTTACATTGGGATAGTCCGTCTCGTAACCATCTATCTGTACGCATCGCTCATGACATACGTCGCGTACCACATGGTCCGCAACATTCAGCACGCGTACCTTCGAGCAGCCCTCAGTCAGGAGGTCGGTTACTACGATCAGGGCGTTTCTGGCTCAATCTCGACTCAAGCCACCTCCAACGGTCTCTTGATCCAATCAGGAATTTCAGAAAAGCTCGGCCTCTTCGTCCAATCGATTTCCACATTTGCAGCAGCCTTCGTTATCGCATTCATCAGTCAATGGAAGCTCACTCTGATCCTCGCCAGCATCATTCCAGCTATCGTCCTCCTTGTTGGCGGAGTTGGAGCCTTCGATGCTACGATCAACGCCAAGCTCTTCAAAACCTACGCAGACGCCGCGAGCTACGCCGACAACCTCCTCAGTGGCATGCGGACGGTCCATGCCTTTAGCCTTCAGTCCAAGACACTGGCGAAATATGACGAGTTTCTTCGGAACGCATTGAAACTCGGCAAAAAGAAGAGCAAGTTTGTTGGCATATTATTCGGAGGGCAATACTTCGTCATGTACGCGGGAATGGCCTTGTCGTTCTGGCAAGGCTTCGCCATGATTGCCAGGGGTGAGGCAGATCTGGGAACTGTCTTTACGTTGGTCCACCCCCGCGACACCCTGTAGATTGAGGAACGTCGCGTGCTAATTCTCGGTTTCACAGTGTTCTCTTCTCAGTAATCATTGCTGCTTCAACTATCATGATGATGGCACCTCACTTCTTGACCTTTGGACGTGCCGCGACTGCTGCCATCGAGCTTTTCAAACTCATCGACAGAGAATCTGAGATTGACGCCTTTGACTCCTCAGGTCTACAGCCGGAGTCAGTCAGCGGAAATATTGAGATTGAAGCAGTCAAATTCATGTACCCCACGCGTCCTGACACGACAGTCCTGGATGATTTTACTTTGTCAATTCCGGCCGGCAAGGTTACAGCACTGGTGGTGAGTGAACACCAACATCTGACAACACGTAGTTTGCGATAGTTGGGCTGAAATCTGTCTAGGGACCTAGTGGCTCCGGGAAAAGTACCATTATTGGCCTCCTTGAGCGCTGGTACAATCCTGTTGCCGGTGCGATCAAATTGGATGGACAGGATATCAACAGTCTCAATCTAACCTGGCTTCGTACGAACATACGACTAGTCCAACAAGTGAGTAAATTATCTCCGTCAGTGTGAAACATGAATGCTAAGAGGAGTCCTAGGAACCTGTTCTCTTCAACGGCACGGTATTCGACAATATTGCCTATGGTCTGGTGGCGACTGCTTGGCAGGATGATTCGCAAGAGGAGCAAATGGCTCGAGTCGTGAGTGCTGCCAAGATGGCCTTTGCTCACGATTTCATCATGGAGCTTCCGGATGGTTATCATACCCGTGTCGGCGAACGTGGAGGGCTCCTTTCCGGCGGACAGAAGCAGAGAATTGCCATTGCGCGCAGCGTCATCTCGGAGCCTCGAATTTTATTGCTTGACGAAGCTACCAGCGCTCTTGATCCACACGCCGAGGGCATCGTGCAGAGTGCTCTTGATACCGTTTCTCGAGATCGCACGACCATTGTGATAGCCCACAAACTATCAACCATCCGCAGCGCCGACAATATCGTTGTCATGTCTCACGGAAAGATTTCCGAGCAGGGAACTCACGCGGAGCTTCTCGAGCGAGACGGCATCTATTCGAGACTCGTCAAGGCGCAGGATCTTTCCCCTTCCAATCAGCTACCGGCTGAAAGCGATACGGCCTCCGATGGCAGGGAAAAGATGCAGTCTACTGCTGTTGAGCGCGTTGCCTCACTCAAAAAGCGGAGTACAACGGAAGCACGGCAGCTTGCAATGTTGGTTGATCGGGAAGACCCTGAGAAGTACCAAGGAGGCGGCCTCTTTAGCTGTGTCTGGCGCCTTGCGCGCACAACCCCGGAGCTGACTGCATGGTACATCTTGGCCGCTTTGGCATGTATTGGAGGAGGTATGCATCGCCCTCCAAAAGCATTCTTTTGACCTATCAACTAACCTTACCCTTTCGTAGGTGCTGTTTACCCTGGGCAAACCTTGCTACTCGGAAAGCTTGTGGACATCCTGGGCGTCGATGACCCCAGATCGAAGGCCAACTTTCTTTCTCTGATGCTTTTTGTCTTGTCCCTCGGTTGCCTAGCGTGCTATTACATCCTTGGCTGGGCAATGAATGTCATTGCCAATGTGAGTCACTGGTACTTGAGCACCATTCAGAAGCGAGACAGCTAATAACCTTCTCAGACACTGAGCACCAGGGTACGCATAGACATCATGTCCTCGCTTCTTAGACAGGATCTACGCTTCTTCGATCGACCTGAAAATACTGTTGGCGCTCTCAGCAGCCGGCTGGACTCAAATCCCCAAGCCATCTTGGAACTGATGGGCATCAACATCTCCTTCGCCATCATTTCCGCAATCAGTGTTGTGGCTTGCTGCGTTCTGTCACTGGTAGTGGCGTGGAAGGTTGGTGTTATTGGAGTCTTCGTCGGACTCCCGCCGCTCTTACTTTCTGGGTGGTTGCGCATCAAGCTCGAGACTCGTCTGAACGCCATTATCAGTAAAGCTTTCCTGCAGAGCGCTTCATTGGCTTCTGAAACGGTCCTCGCGATTCGTACTGTCTCTTCTCTGGCTATTGAGAACAGTGTACTGCAAAGATACACAGACGAGCTCGATGCCGCCATCCACAGCTGCACACCGCCGCTGTTCCACGTCATGCTGTGGTTCGCTTTTACCCAAGCCGTAGAGCAGTTCGTTCTTGCACTGGGTTTCTGGTATGCGTCCAATACTCCCCTTGGGTCTCTCGCAAACTCTGTCCGTGATTGCTAATGTATCTTAATGCTCAGGTGGGGGTCAAAACTCGTCAACGATGGCGAAATCACCTTCTACCAATTCATGGTGGCCTTCATGGGTGTCTACTTCTCCGGGATGGCCGCTGGGACACTCTTCAGCTTTGCTGGCAGTAAGTCAAACTTAGTCTTGTCCCACCCTTTGTGTTGCTAATCCCGATGGCAAAAGGCTTTACCAGGGGAATCCAAGCGGCCAACTATTACTTCTGGTTATCCAGCTTGGAGCCAACCATGGCAGAAACCGAGGCCAACAAGGTCTCCGGACCTCTTGATGGCTGCAAAACCTACGAGTTGAAGGACCTCCAGTTCTCATACCCTCTCGCCCCCGATAACAAGGTTTTGAATGGTGTGTCGATGAAGGTAAGTACTCGAAAAGCATTGTCAATGCAATTCGCCTGGTCTTACCCCTCTGTCTATATGACTGACAAGTGAACAGATCCAGCGCGGCGATTTTGTGGCCTTTGTTGGCGCCTCAGGATGCGGCAAAAGTACCATGATCTCGCTCCTAGAGCGATTCTATGATCCCACTAGCGGTACCATCTCCGTTGACTCGCACTCCTTGGCATCCTTCAGTCCGGCTAGATACCGCCGGCACGTTGCTCTTGTACAGCAAGAACCATCACTGTTCCCCGGTTCCATCAGAGAAAACATCTCCCACGGCTCGGATTCAGTCAACGTGTCCGATGCAGATATCGAATCAGCTTGTCGAGCTGCCAACGCTTGGGACTTTGTCTCTTCTCTCCCCGAAGGTCTCAGCACCCCTTGCGGGACCAGCGGCAGTCAACTTTCTGGGGGTCAGAGGCAGCGCATAGCGATTGCCAGGGCCCTCATCAGGCAACCTAGCGTCATCTTGCTTGACGAGGCGACAAGTGCGCTCGACACGGAGTCTGAACGAATTGTCCAGTCTGCGATTGCGGGGGCTGCCACCGGAAACAGGATCACCATTGCTGTTGCCCATCGTCTCTCGACCATTCGTCAGGCAAACCGCATCTTTGTCTTCTACGGTGGTCGGGTGGTGGAAGCTGGAACCCATGAAGAGCTGATCCGCATGAACGGCATGTATGCCAAAATGTGTCAAGCACAGAACCTGAGCCGCGCAGGTTGACAGTGTGGCAGCATGTTGTTACGATGTCTGTATTTGGGTATACCATAAGGTCCCTCACGATAGAGTAGAGTTGCTGTGAATTTTTCTTTCCAAGCTAATATGGTGTTGGCATTCAAGACTTCCTAGGCTATCTATTGGTCCTGCTGGTTCCAGGTTTTCTTTCTTTTCAAATATTACGCAACGAAAATACATACTTAGTTACAGGGTGCCATTGATGTATCCTTTCTGAGCATACACTTGACCCTCAGAAGTCCTCATGTGGAAGCGAACTTGTCTTCGATAGCTGGGGTTGTCCTGCTGCTTATTGGAGATAACCTCTAATTTGTGCTTTATAGAGACAGCAAATATTCTTTTCTCTTCTGGAGGCAGATTTCCACTCCTAGATCGATCAGGAGGCTGGTCTCGGTTGTAAGTAGGATTGTGATCGACCCCATCCAGAGAGATATTATGCTCCACCTCGATGAGTTGGCGTAGAACTTGGTATAAGGTACTGGCATCGAATAGTCCCTCTTTCACTAGACCAACTTGCGCCATCCACTACAGGCCTCCCAGGCGAGTTTCCAGCTGGCGGCATTTAAAAGTAACAAAGAAGAGCAGAGGCAAAAAGCATGCCTCAAAAGTAAATAAGGGGGTCCCAGATTGAGATGTGTGCTGCCGCTGCATCAGGGTCCTAAGCTGTGATGCTTTTCCAGCTAAGTCTACGACGTACTGGAAAGCATTCAGATATTGGTCGAACCAGAGCTCAGTGTGTTGCCTGGGGGTCTCAAGATGAATCTTTGCGATTTGATGTTTGATGCGCATACCGCATATAGCGTAGCCATCCATCAACGAGATGGGAGTTGTAGCCTCTAGTTTGTGTACTCGGCAATCCCACTTATCCATCATAATCGCGAGCTTGTACTTTTCGACATCATAACTGCCAAGCATGACACCCAATACCTGGGCCGTCAGACTATCGATCGCAGCTTGAGCTTCTGAAACACTAGCATACGTTGCTGGCATCGATGGATCCAGCCCCCTCATCTTTGGGATGCACATGGACTCGGTATTTCCGAACATGGAAATGAGACTCAGTCGATGGAAGATTGGCAAAGATGCTCTCGGGTCCACGGAGGACATGATGACTCGTTAAGAATCGCAATTCCATATCGGGCGTGCTGAACGGCAGCGTCGATGTTGCCTTGCAAGTATTCGATACAGATAAACAAGACGCAAAGCAGCAATATCAGTTGCTCATTGTCCACTAATACGGCGGCTAGTTTCAATGCCTTGTTGTAATGATCAACAGCAAAGGTGCTCTGCTGAATGCGGCCGCATTTGTAAATGTCCTGATAGAGTGAACCGATAGCAAGGACTGCGTGGCGCACCATGGGCTGAAAATGGCTGAATTGCATAACCAAGTGAGTCCAGAAGTATGAATCCATTGAGCCCGAGAGACTGGGGCTGACTATTTCTGTGAAGAACTGGAACATTTGTCCTTCTCTCTGGTCGTGAGCAACAATCTGAGCAGGCCGATACCATGTTAGGGTCGCATTGTCGTAGCCACCGCAGACACGCCGCGAGGAAATGCATCGCTTACAAGCTGGCTTGGCCTCGTCGCATTTCACTTTTCGGGTTCTGCTCAGAAAAAAGGGGAAGGGTATCAGTGTCTTCCTTCGCCAGCCAAGGACATAGTCTCCTGGGCTCCAAGGACTCACTTGCAGGTCCGACACCCTGTCCTCACATGCTGACGAGCAATTGGTGCAGGCATGATTGCCTTGGCTTTTGGTATGTGGCCGACGTGGGGCAGTTCCGAGCGAGCGGTAAGGATTGTGTATGTAACCGAGAGAGACTCCATCTCCAACACGAGGACAAGGAAGAACATGGTGTTCAGTTCGGCGACTCGCTGGCCTAGACCACAAACAGAACGGTTGGAGTAAGGTTAGGCCGACGCCGGCAACTCCGGAGCATGGGGTAAAATCACTTGTGGGGCAATCCCGAGCTTGCAACGAATGGTGAAGCTCAATCTCGGGCTAGAGATATCTTCACTTTCCAAGTCGCCAAGCCCCCGCAACTCTAACACATCTCTGTCTGGAGAATTCACCAGACAGAATGCTTCCATTTTGTCCGGTTAATAGACACTCGGCACAATAATCATTCCGTGTACAAATAAGGAGTGGGCCGGGCTGTGTGATGGCTGGCTAATAAGATGCCACCCTTGAGAAGTGTAACCTTGTGTCATGCCTTACGAAGGTATATAGGACGACAGTTGTCTGAACCGTTGTAAAATTATCCCATACATCTGCATCTCTCACATCCCCATTGTGCTACATCCCAAGCAACGCAATCATGTCGTGCGAGCAGACAATCCTGATTACCGGAGCCAATCGCGGTATTGGCAAAGGCCTTGTTTCTGTCTTTCTTCAGAAACCCAACACAACAGTCGTCGCGGCCGTTCGCGACCCTTCCAAAGCCTCTTCAATCGGTCTCACTGAGCTGCCCAAAGCTGCAAGCTCGCGAATCATCGTCGTCAAGCTTGATGCAGCCGACAAATCCGCGGCTGAAGCTGCAGTCAACACTCTCCGAACCGACCACCACATTGACTCTTTGGACGTGGTTGTTGCGAACGCGGGCATAAATCACTCAGGCAGTCATGTCATTCAAAACTCAACCCAAGCGATTCACGATCACTTTGCCGTGAATACGGTTGGACCGTTGACCTTGTACCAGGCCACTGCTCCGCTACTTCGATCCGGCAAGAGCGGTCGCTCGAGGTTCATCGCTATCTCGTCTAATACTGGCAGCATTTCCGGGATGGATATTATGAAAGGCCTCTACACTACGAGCCCATACGGAGCTAGCAAAGCAGCTCTGAATTGGTTCATGCGGAGGATTCATTTTGACGAGGACTGGCTCACTACCTTAGTCATCAACCCAGGTTTTGTCTTGACTGACATGGTCGCTGAAACCATACGAGATTATCCGGTGAAGCCTGAGGATATGGGTGCTATCACTGTGGAGGAGAGCGCCAATGGAATTCTTAAAAGGATTGAGACTGCCACGAGGGATGTTAGTGGCACATTTCAAAACTTTGATGGCAACCCACTGTCGTGGTAATGCAATATCTGTTACTGTGGCACTTGTGACGCTCAGGCTCATAAAAGGGTCATTCAGGCGGACCATCTATTTTTATTTGCCTGGGTGGAGCCGCAGGAACAATGGGGAGCTAACTCTGTTCCAAGCCTTCTGAGCTAAGATTGTATGTGAGAGAATAAGGCAATGGGCATTTTAGAATCTATAGATGTCTAATAAAATCCTATTGCTGGACGTCGAGTATTACAAGCTCGAAAGTATCATGGATCTTCTGCGCCTTTCCCATCATAAATTACATCCCCATGTTCAAGTCATGATCGCGTGGCAAATATGATGATCGTACGAGATGCTATCATTCTGGGATATCCCACATCACAATGGCCTTCTCCTTCGAAGCCGACAGCGACCGCCGACCATCCGGAGAGAAAAAAATAGTCGAGGCAGATTTCCCAATTCGCCGTGTCTCTCCTAGCGTCTCCCTTGGATCAAAGACGCGCCTTTCATTCTTCCTCCCTAACAGGCTACAGAATATCCGAGAATATTGACTACCATCTCATCTAAAGATACCGGAAAACAACCCTGACATGAGACAATTCCTCCACGCTTGCCGGATGGCCTTCTGGGGAGGCCTGGTAACCTATTCCGCATCCAGCCTCTTATAAGCGCTAGAATCCCAAAACACCGAGGACGGGTACTGCGGGAGCGCCTCAAACTCGCAGTGGAGGTGGCCTCTACACAGCATCACGGCTTCCTTCTTGGCCTGCTCTGCATCGCATTGCAACCCCGCCTTGTTCCCTTCCCAAGTGATGCCTTGGACCTTTGCATTCCCGCCATCACCGTTGCTTGGTGTGGGAACAATGTGGAGGATGTAGCACTCCTCCTGGACCCAGTGTCGAATGATATGGATAGATATACCGCCGTTTTCGTCTGGATCCTCAACCAATATATCCCATTTGTCGTCCATGCTTCGAGATTTGACCCCGACTTTGAGCTTTTCCACGTCTGCATCGCTGATCGGCACATCCAAAGGTGCTGTGAGGGGCTCCTTCATGGGCTTTTTCGAGCCGCGCTCGTACGCCGTCGAAAGCCATTTCCTCCACAACTCTTCCTCATCCACATCGCTATGCGCATCCTCTTCTACATCGTTATGCGCATTCTCTTCCACATCGGATTCGCTGTCTGTCATCGGAAGATCTATCGTAGGCTCCTCCTGTTCCGCAATGCTGTGAGGCATCCTGTAATTTGCGTCGCAGAATATATTGGCTGTGATGAGTATCAAAACACTGTGGATTGTGATAGAAATTCGCATATACCTGTTGATGGTGAATGCGTTGATTGACGTGGGTGGAAGATTTAGGAGGTGCTGGGATGAAGTTGTGTGGTTGTGTAAAGGAGAAAGAGATCGAGGCCGAGCGTCGGGGTGAGTGGCAAGGCGCTGATTAAATAGAGAATTTGCGGCGGGGGTGTTATGACAATAATAACACCTGCCTTCAGCTCTACAGTCTTGCTTATGTTAAGAGCGCACTGCAGTGTACGTAGCTAGTAGATAACCCCCTTGGAGTTATGAACTTAATAAAGGTATTTACTTGTACTTAGTTAATAAATAAGATAAATATTTAGATATTTAAATAATAAATAAATAAAAATATAGCATAAAATATTTATCTAAAATTTTCTTCATTTTCTAAATAAAAATATTTCCAAGTTTTTAATATTGTAACAGCCCCACTTATTCCAGGCTGACAGTCTAGGGTAGGCGTACATCGAGGGGTTCACTTCCGTGTAGGGATCAGAGCGTCTGGATCACGATGTTCATGAAGTGATCTGTGTGATCCATCTATAGTTGATCGAAAGTTTTAGGGGCGCTTATGGGCACGTAACAAAGACATATCCAGCCGAGCTGGGAAGTAACACTTGGAGTGCCGTTCAGTATGTAGTTACCTTAGAGATCAGCCCAGAGACTGTCCACTGATTAAAGCAGGCAAAGACGCACGCATGCATACATAGGTAGTACATGGAATTATCTTCTACGGTAAAACAACAAGGTGTGTCTCTAAACCGTCTAATTAGGCAGCTCATCATAGTTGAACTCGAGGTCCTCTGCGTGGCGAAGTAGGGTGCTCATGACGGCGAGGAACTGGATGACGTCCTCGTCGTTGTTATCGCGCCAGTTGTTGCGAGCGCGCGTGACCCAGTCGCGGACCCATCGCTGGGTATAGCTGACGGTGGCCTGCAGCTGGTCGCGGAAGAACTCGTCCCACGCGGAGACGACGTAGTCTCTGATGCCGGTACGCTGGTGGTGGAAGTCCTCCAGCAGCCGCAGCTCGTTTCGGATGTCATTGTTGATGGACCGGATGCTGTCCCAGACGGCCGGATCACGCATGTAGTTGATGGCGACGATGACCTGGTGGTTGTGTGTGTAAGCACATGATACTATGGGGTGATATATATATATATATGTGTGTGTGTGTGTGTCTGTGTGTGAATGCTAATTGTCACAGGAAACTCACGTTGCGGACATTTTGGGCAAAGACGCCGTTGCGGAAGTTGCGCAGGTCCCGCGACATGACTTGCTCTGTCATCCAAGGATTCAGCCAGTTGGCCGTGTTACTCTGTCTCCAAAGCTATTTTGGTAATTGCAAAATCAGTCTCAAACTGCCTTGGTTGTGCCATGTATTGCTTACAGCCGTCTTGACGAGGTTCAGACCGCCTACGGTGAAGACCGCATGCTGGGTATTAGCCCTGCTCCCGAAAGCATTGAACAATCTCCGGATCGGCTCCACCAGGTTCACGCCGCCGACGGCCGGGGGCGGGTTGGGCATCTGGCCCTGGAGCGAGTCTGTCAGCTGCAGGCTGGACGCGGTCGTTCTCATCCGGGCCCCCGAGGGCAGAGTGCCTTGGGAGTAGTGGCTGAAGAACCGGGCCAGGGTATTTAGTTCTACTTGGTGTTCATCTGCTACATAATCAATCTCTGTTGCCCGGAGGGGCGGCGTGGGAAACAAATTGGGGCCATGACTAATAGTGAAGACCTGGGGTGCCCTTTCGCCACGTCGAGACCCGCGGATCGACTTCGAAGCACCGTTCTCGAGGGTACAAGTACACGTTGTTCCAGACAGGGTGGTTGGCATACCAGAAGCTGTTGGTGGCAGGGTAGTACTATAAGAAGACAGATGCGTCAGTTTCAGCTTGCCATCTTTATTGAGCAGCACGCGCCATGGGCAGGGAAAGCAACACATATTCGCTCACCTCTTCACTCTCGACTGTGATCTCTGTGCCGTCGCGCAGCCTGAACTTGTACTTGCGACGCTCACCAGGGGTGGCCATGATGGAGAGGATACCCTCATCCTCCTCCTCTTCCCTACGCGTCATCTCCTCTCCCCGTTCATTAATCGCCGTACTGTCATAGGTGTCATTGGGCTCGCTATCCTCCGACACGCACCAGTCGCCACCTCTGGGACAGCAGGCGTCCGAGTCGCACTCGCAGTCGTCCGGCGTGCTGCCACCGACCCAGTCGTTGAAGTTGCCCATGTGGCATGTGATGAGGTACGCCAGCTGGTCGTAGCCGTATTGCGCCACCGCCTTCGTGTCCTTGATCCAGGCCTTTAGTTCGGACCACTTGAGGTTCTCGTACTTGACGGGCACCAGGCCGTCCCAGATCTGGATCTGTCGTACGCTCGCCTTGACGAGGAGCAGAGCGTAGACCAGGGTCTTGATCTCGTCCTGCTCGAAGCTCCCGAAACTGCTCTGGCGCCTCTCGAAGGACGTGGCCAACTCCTGGTGAGCCGAGCGGTGGACGCCGGGGCCGACATGTGAGTGCCGAGAGGGAGTCGATAGGTGTCTTATGTGCCTTCGCAGGTGTGAAAGTATTATCTTGGGCGTCTCGGAGTCCTGAGGAGGTAAGATGGGCTCCGATGAGTTCACTTCCCTGGCGCTCAGAGAAGAAGTCCACGTCCAGCCACCACCGTCCTCAGAACAAATGGGCTTGGTCAGGAACGACTCGAGGGCGTCGCGGAGGACCTCGTTCTGCGAAGTGTCTCGCTTCTCGATGGACTGGTGCTTGGGGATGCAGCACTTGGCCCTGGCGCCGCGGACGCACTCGAAGTGGCCGTCCTTGTTCCAGTATGCGTCCATGGCGACGCGCACGCGGTCACTTGGGCACCTGCTGCGACAGTATTTGTAGTCGTCCTTGCCAGGGCCGAGGTTGTAGTACCACTGGCAGTCATCCCATTTCTTGTTGTCTTCCTGGTCGCAGCACAGCTTGCGCTCCTGGATCTTGACCGTGCCGTCGCCGTTCGAGATCTCGTTTGCGTAGTCGACGTTCCAGGTCTCGATGTTGCGGACAGCGTTGCCGCTGCCGCTCGGGGATCGAACGACCTCGTCCTGGCCGCTGCTACAGGATCCATACATGCACATGGGCCTCGGTCCAGCCGCACTGGTCGTGGAGCTCCATGCTTGTCTTGCCCGTGGTGCAGCATGCGGCCTGGTACTTGTTGTTGTGGCAGTGCGTCATGAGAGAGCCGACCTCGACGGTGCCGTCTGGACATGTCGGGTTGCATTTACCGTTGTTGTGCTGATACCAGCCGCAAGTTGGAGGATCCTCGGCCGGGCAGCACAGCTCGTGTACTCCTTCGGAGCAGTGGGATCCGTCGACCATGTACTCGTTGTCGCGGGCCTCGTCGTCTTTGCGCAGTATGCGGACCCAGCCGGAGGGACACGACTCACCGCAGTTGGTCCACTTGCACTGCGGATGCTTCGTCGTGAGAGTGACCATGTCGGCGTCGTCGCCTATCTCGAAGAACAGGGATGGGAGCGAGGTGAACTTGCGAGCGGCCGCCTTCCCGATGGCCTCAGAGTAGGTGCCGTCCGAGACATCTTGTGAGACGGCCCAGACCATGATACCGTTCATGCATTGTTCGCGGGCAAAGTCGGCTTTCATCTGCAAGGTGTCTTCGTCATCGTAGGCAACCCACTGGTTGGTGTCGAAGGTCAGAATCTTGACTGCCGCCTCCTTGTCGAGGATAGGCTTGCTACTAATCCTCTTCATGACATCCACGATCTCGGACTGAATCATGACGCTTATCTCGTTGCTGCAGGGCTGGCGAGGAGCACCGGACTCGTACGTGCAGCCCGGGGCGAGACAGTCGGGGCTGGTGGCTGTGAAGGCACGGCCGTAGAAGCCGGTGCCTAGTACGACCTTGTCAGGGTCAATGTTGTTTCTCCAGAGGAGATCCATGGCCTGCTTGATCTCCGTGAGGTTGGTGTGTGCGTTGAGGTACGGGCCGACCCATTGGTTGCCCTTGTCCCAGGTTCCGTGGAGATCGTAGCTCATACTTAAATGGTCATTAGTTATAATATTCTAGTTGCCTCAAGATATATATATATATATAGATAAATATATACATCGAAATTGGATATCAGAAGGGTTCATACATGTTGAAGAAATCGACGTGCTTCTGAAGGTTGACAATGTCAAAGTGCTTCAAGTACCCTATTCAGACCGTGTATCAGCAAGGCCACGTCGAATAGTCAATGGCCATGATTAAATCACTTACACATGGATGCCGGAAGCGTCAAGCTCACCTCATCCCTTCCGGTGGACTTGAGGGCCTTCTTGAGGTTGGCGATGAACTTGGGGAAGTTTTCAAAGTCCTCCTTGCGACCGCTCCGATCGTCGGCTGCGGGATATTCCCAGTCGAGGTCGATGCCGTTAAAGTCGTAGGTGGACATCATGCTGACGAGCGACTTGATGAAGGCCTTCTGGGCCGAGTCGGAACGCGCAATGTCGGAGAAGGTGGTGGCTGTTGGGCCGGGGTCGTTGAAGGTCCAGCCGCCGATGGCAATCAGGACTTTGAGGTCTGGGTCACGCTCCTTGAGGGACGTGAGGCGTCGGTATAGTAGGGTGTCAGCGGAAGAGGCCGGGCGGACGTCGAAGGTGTCAGGGTCGACGGTGGCAAAGGCGAAGTTCAGGTGCGTGTAGACGCCGATTGGGATTTCCTCCGGCATGAAGGAGTTGCAGGGACGGCGGGCAGCCCAGCCTTCATAATAGCCGACGACACGTTCAAGAGTGTGGCTATCGCACTGAGGCCGGTCGACTTTCTTGTCGCCACAGAACCTTGGAAGATGTCAGTTACATGTCCCTTTCTATACAAGGTAGGATGATATCAATGCTGATATCAAGCGTTGATGGCGAGAAAGGGGGGTAAACGTGCTCTTCGGTCCAGCCACAGAAGCCATGCTTCGAGCAGCAGACGTTCAGGGGGCACTTGGACTTTTCGACAAACTCGGAGCCGAAGCCGCCGGGGTCGCACTCAGCGAGGCGGTCGCAGTTGTTGAGGCAGACATCTTCGTGGCAGTCTTTTAAGAGCGAGGCAGTGTTAGTTGTTATTCCCAAACATCTTTTTAGAACCTGGGGAGGGAGGGACAGAAAACACACAGTCTTTGCCATAGCCGCAGAAGCCAAACTTGGAGCAGCAGCCGGCCTTGCAGGGGGTGGAAGCGCTGCACTCCGGGTCCTGCGCGAGAACAAAGCCAGCGAGAAGGAGAAAATAGAGAGATAGTAGGCCGAGCGAACTTGGGAGAGCTTTCATGGCGCGAGAGGTTGGAAAACCAAGACCGTGAGTTGACAAAGTGAGAGGGAGAGGGGATATGCGCCTACTAGGCCATTGTGAGAACAAAGGAGACGGGGTAAAACGACCACGCGCCTACTACTAAGTATTATCACGACTTGTACAGCGACCCATTATCATGCGCCTTGCCGTCTTGGCCGGGGCAGCCGAGGGGAGTTAGAGAAGTCACGTTGCAGGCGGCCAGGGTGAGCGAGTGAGGTGATACCGGGGGGAGAGGCCATGGTGGACACGCTGCTGCGTCCGGTTTCGCATATGGCTCAAATTGGGATTGGATATGACAGAGGGCAACTGCCGATCCGAGGAAACATACTGTAGACGTTGTCGGTAATTAATTATGAACATCAACATCGTCCGGGAGGACTAGCCACCTACATATAGCTACATAACTTACATAGTAACTTACGCCATCCCGCCTCGGAGCTTTCCAAAACAGACGAGTCTAAAGCAAGTTTACTTGACCTATGGTACCCTAGTCGGATCCCCTACATACGGGAAGAGGCGGGCTATCCCCATCACACTGATTAGCGAGGCTCAGATCAGTGCTAATCTCCGGAATCCTCTACAACCTCGTCCATCCGTACCACACATATGTGTCATGCTAGATGACAAGACTAGCGAAAACGGGAAGAAGACACAAACATCTTTCTGACACTGCACATGTACGTAGTCAGACGCGGTAATTAGATATCTGCAGGCGATGTTACACCTTAGAGTTGTGTAAAACGACTGCAGTGTTGGTAGCCGAGGCTGGTCTCCTCCAGCCTCCAGGGCACATCGTCAACCGGGCCTTGGTGATGACCAACGACGACCCGCTTCGTCTCGTCTTATACTCGCTGCTCACGGTCTCTTCTCGCCTCGACAAGTCCCCCATCTAGTATCTAGGCTCAACAATACACACGAGCCTTGCACTCTTTCCACTCTCCATCCGCCGCCATGCGTCCTCTCGCATCATCTTGGGCGCCCTGCGGCCTAGTCACGTCCCTCCTTCTTGTCATTCTCTCTCACGGCGTCGCCCTCGCCTCAACTACCGTCACGCCCGCCGGCCCTAGCACCACCAGCAACGGCCATGAACACCTCGCCAACAGAAAAGCCACCAGCTCCGACGCCCAAGTGCTGGTTGACAGGGCCCTCAGGGTCCTCGCTGTCGTCAACAAGGACCGCATCGAGAACCCCGTCTTCAATGAGAACAGGCGCGAGGACCCGAATGAGGAGTACAGGCCGGCCCCGCCGCTCGACTACGACGCCGATCCCGAGTTCATCGCCGTCGAGTCCCCCATGTCTCACGTTCGACGCAGCGAAAACGCCACCACCGTCGGCAGCTATCGCATCCCCAAGGAGCTCGCTGAGGCGGCAGCGGCCGTCGCCGAGTCCAGGCCGCAGATCCCCAAGGGCGACCACGAGGAGGTGGCCGCCCGGATACGCAGCAAGTACACCGCTGGCTTCCTCAACGACACCAACGCCGGCGACGAGCTGCAAGCTCCCGAGGGCCGCCTGTCCGTCTTCGCCGGCGACTCCACCGACGAGAAGCGCGCCTCGGGCTACTGGTTGATCGATGACCAGCAGTTCCCCGGCCAGAGCCCCTTCTCGCCGCCGGGATATCAGGTCTGGCGCAACGTCAAGGACTTTGGGGCCAAGGGCGACGGCACGACGGATGATACGGCGGCCATCAACAAGGCCATCTCGGACGGCGCTCGTTGTGGAGAGGAGTGCAAGACGAGTACTATTGCCCCGGCCGTCGTCTACTTCCCTCCGGGCACCTATCTCGTCAGTGGATCCATCATCCAATACTACAACACCCAGTTCCTTGGTGATGTAAGTCTTCCTCTCTTTCCCTTCCAATTGCCCCCAACATCAACCTTCAAGCGGGCCTCTTTTGCTAACCTCACCTTCAGCCCATCAACGTCCCCACCATCCTGGCCGCGTCCAGCGTCGTCGGCCTCGGCGTCTTCACTTCCAACAAGTACATCGCGGACAACGTTGGCTGGTATCTCAACACGGCCAACTTCCTCCGCAGCATCAAGAACTTCAAGATTGATATCCGTCTCACCGACCCCTGCGCCCACGTATGCGCCATTCACTGGCAGGTCGGGCAGGCCTCGTCGCTCGAGAACATCGAGTTCTACATGCAGTACAACTCGGACGTGCCGCACAGCACCCAGCAGGGTATCTACATGGAGAACGGCTCGGGCGGCTTCCTGGCGGACCTCACCTTCGTCGGCGGCAACGTCGGCGCCTACTTTGGCAACCAGCAGTTTACCACCAGCCACCTCATGTTCGTCAACTCCAAGACGGCCCTCCAGGTGCACTGGGACTGGGCCTGGACTATGCAGGACTTCATCATCGAGAGCTGCGAGAATGGCCTCGTCATCACCGGCGGCGCTGGCGGTGCCCACAGCGCGGGGCAGGGCGTGGGCTCGCTCATGCTTGCCGACGCCATCATTGCCAACACCCCAAACGGCATCGTCACCTCGTTGCACGCCGAGAACTCGACTTCACTCCTGCTGCAGAACGTCGGCTTCTTCAACGTCAAGACTGATGTCGCCGACAGTGTCGCCCAGAAGACGCTGCTCCCGGGTGGCGACGAGGTCTACGTCGATAGCTGGGGGTTCGGCCGCATCACCAACAAGGCCGGCACCAGCAGCTTCGTCAACGGCGTCGCGATCCCCGTCATGAACCGCACCGAGGAGCTGACGGGCGTACAGAACGACAAGATGAAGGCCAATCTCTTCACACGCCGCCGGCCCAAGTACTACGACGTGGCCTCGAGAAAGGTCATGAACGTCCGCGCTCTCGGCGCAAAGGGCGACGGCAAGACGGATGATACGGCCGTCCTCAACTCGATCCTGTCAGGCGCCGCTAACACATCGTCCATCGTCTACTTCCCCTTTGGCGTTTATATTGTCAAGGACACTCTGCGCGTGCCCATGGGCTCCCGCATCATCGGCCAGGTCTGGTCGCAGATCATGGGCACCGGCGCCAACTTTGAAGATGAGTCCAAGCCGCGCCCCGTCGTTCAGGTCGGCCGGCCTAACGATCCGCCCGGCATCATCGAGATCCAAGACATGATGTTCACCGTCTCTGGTCCGACAGCCGGCGCGGTGCTGATGGAGTGGAATGCCCGAGAGTCCAGCAAGGGCTCGGTGGGAATGTGGGGTGAGTACTCTGATAGCTATATTTTGAGGTCATATTTTGATGCCATCATCCTCCTTCCTTCCCATGACCCCCTCTCATAACCCGACAATTGTTGTGATGACTGACTTGAGAGAGTATAGATTCACACTTCCGCGTGGGAGGCGCCATCGGATCCAATCTGCAACAGGAGACGTGCGCAAAGAAGAGTGACGCCGTCAACCCCGAGTGCAAGGCCGCCTCGATGCTTCTGCACCTCAAGCCCGAGTCGACAGCGTACCTGGAGAACATCTGGGCCTGGGTGGCCGACCACGATCTCGACAAGTCGGACCGCCCCCAGATCGACGTCTACGTCGGGAGAGGCATTCTGATCCAGAGCAAGAAGGCCTGGCTCTGGGGAACCTCGTCGGAGCACTGCGCGCTCTACCAATATCAAGTGTCTGACGCCACCAACATTGTTATGGGTATGATCCAGACCGAGTCGCCCTACTACCAGCCCGTCCCCAGCACCCTCAAGCCCTTCCGCGCGGGCATCTTCCCCGACGATCCCACATTTAGCGAGTGTAAGGCCGACGATGGGCGCTGCTACTCGTCGTGGGCGCTGCTACTCGTCGTGGGCGCTGCGCGTCGTCGACTCCACGGCCGTCTACGTCCTGGGCGCAGGTCTATACTCGTGGTTCAGTGACCACAGTCAGGCCTGCCTCGAAACCAACGACTGCCAGCGGCGCGGCGTCGAGATCCAGCAGAGCTCAGACCTGTGGATCTACAACCTCTGCACAAAGGCTATCATCGAGATGGTGACCCCGACGGGCGGTATAGCCACCCTCGCCCAGGACAACATAAACGGCTTCGTGTCGTCCATCCTCGCCTGGCTCGAGGGCGCCGAGGAGACATCAGGCCGACGCCATTTTCCCGGCTTCCCCGTCTACACGCTCCACGGGCTGCGCAACCAGATCCTGCCGGACCCTTGCAAGACGGCCCTCACGGCTAAGATTCTCTGCGACTACTGGGTCCAGTCCTTCACCGAGCCGGCGTACCACGGAAGCCTGGGCAACGCCAGCTTAACCGACTCTATCTGCGACGAGGGCTGCGGCGAGTCGCTTCGTAGCTGGTTCGACAATGTCAACGCCCACTGCGAGGGTTACACCGTCGCCGGTGACATTCCCACTCTGTACGGAGGGCGGATGTGGGCTGGCTACAATGGGACGTGTCTCACAGATCCCGACACAGGGAGGTACTGTAACGGTATGAATTTCTCCCTCCCTCCCCTGACAAGACTGGGATTAACAAGAAAACAGACATCGTCGCTGAATTCACCGCTGTCAGCTGCATCAACCACATGCCCGAGGACGAAATGTGCTCCGACTGCTACATCAACCGCCTCGCCATGATGCAGGCTTCCCCCTACTCGGTGTACGACAAGAATTACAAGAGCGACCTGGAGCTCGTGTACCAGAGGTGCGGCCGAACGGGCAACACGACCATCCCACCGCCCATCATCTCTGTGCCCGAGCAGTCCACCATGTGCGTCTCGGACAAGTGGCACACGGTGGGATCATCCGCCGACGAGACGTGTGAGGACGTGGCCTTCCTGAACAACGTCTCGACGGTGTCGCTGTACACGACGAACCCGAACATCTTCGACTGCAGCAGCATCCCCTCGGGCACTGAGCTCTGCCTGCCCCTGTCCTGCGGCAAGCTCATCTCCTACACCGACAACGACACCTGCTCAGGGCTCGAGGCCACTCACAACCTGACGTCGGGCGACATCCGGCGCTTCAACCCCTGGGTGTACTTCGACTGCAGCAACTTGGCTGGCGCCTCCAGATTCTTCGGCAACATCCTGTGCGCCGCGCCGCAGAACGGGCTGTATACGGCGCGGGGGCCCGGCAGCAGCGGCGACAACACCACCCCCGAGACAAGCACCGGCTACACCTTCAACCCCGTCGAGGCCCCTGAGAACTCAACCGTCGCCGATGGGACCACGACCAAGTGTGGCAAGTGGCATGTGGTCGACGAGGGCGACTCGTGCGTCACCATCTGCCTCTCATCAGAGATTAACATTGCGCTGCTCCTCGAGGTGAACCCCTCGCTCGGCACCGAGTACGTCCAGTGCACGCCAAGCCTGGTACAAGGGAACGCGTACTGCACAGGGCCCAACTATGACTGGGACGTAACAGGCGAGCTGTAGAGATGATTTGGATACCTAGAATACGTGATTGTGGTTGGGGGGGCTGTGTCTTGTGGAGAAAGTCCATGTATATAGCAAGCACATCATCATCCATCATCCGGAACGAGCTGCCATCATCTCATTGAACCATTCCTCAGGCCTGCCCCAGAGGTTTTGAACTCCGTCCTCTGCATCCATCCAACCCATCTCCTCGAGCATGGCGTCCGGGTCAAAGGGGAAGAACCACATGGGCCAAAGGTAGTCCGTAATGCCCACTCGCAGCCACCACCTGCCGCCGCCTCCCTCCTCTTCCGACCTCATCCTGTCCGAGATGACCTTGACCCAGCTCTCACCCTCGTTCTCGTCAGAGGCACCGTAGTTGGCTGGGGCGCGGGGATCCTCCGGAAGCGCGAGGATGTTCTCGAGGCTCTCCTCATCGAGCATCAAGCAGAAGAGAAACCTGGCATTCGGCTCAGGGCGCGTGCCGGTGACAACGGGACGGCGGTGTTCCCTAATCCAGGCATCGAACCGCTCCCCGACTTCGCTCTCGCTCGCGTCGGCAAGGGTCTCGTCCTGTACCACCTCGCAGCGGTAGCGGCTCCAGAGCTCCTCGTTCGGGCGGGTGTCGAACGCACCCGCGCCCACCCTCGGACGGGCGTGCTCATTTTGGGTAAAGTTCTTTGCGTAAACGGCCAGGCGCTCGACGGCCCTCGTGACGGCCTCGTCGGAGCCCGGTGCGTAGATGGTGCGGAAGATGGTGTAGCCCCAGGAGTAAGGGTAGTCGTGGCTACCGTCGTGGCGCGCCAGGTGCTGCAACGCCATGCGTGACATGCGAACAGGCTCGACGTCCCCGGCGAAACGAGGCTTTGGGCAGGCGATTGCCATGTCAATGGGCGGGAGGTCTGTCATGATGTTGCTCGGGTTGAAGAATTCGAGAATTCCGTGCCGTCAAGAGGTGGTCGCAGTGGAGTGAAAAGGAGGTGAAGGTGGAGGGAAGAAAAGGAGGGAGCCATTAAGTGAGATGTATGTGGGTTAATAAATGTGTGAGTAACTGTAAGGCGTCTCCAGCTGAGGGGTTGATGACTGCAGGGGTCCTCAAAAGACGCCAGGTAATTTACCATTTCAATTACTATCAATACACCCATCGATCGCTGCGTGGACACCTTCGGTAGCACAGATTCATCCTGCAAACAGTCGTTAATTGATTAATTATGTAATTAACTCATCTTGTGGGATCGTCCATACAGGATGGTGGCAGTGAGACCTTGACTATGACCAGGGCTACTGTCATGACCCAAGTCACCCAATGTCCATCCTAGTCTTTGGAACTAGGTTTTGTAAAGAGGTTTTCTCATATATCTAGGGCTAGATATGCCAGCACTCAATGGATGACCCATGGCATAACGGTATCACACCATATCACAAGTCCATTTTCCCTGGTCCTAGTACTTGATTCATTATGGAGTTATAGGGTAAGGACGAGAAAAAGCTTCCAGGGAAGGGCTCAGCTTTCGATTACGGGGTTCTTGCCTCGTTACTGGTACTTCACAGTCTCAAATTAACCAGGTCGTTAGGAATAACTTCACTCGTTGATTACTTATACTGAAGTAATAGACTCATCCACTCATCCACTAAATACACTACCAATTCCACTACACGATAGCTTCAAATAAATCCACTACCCTGACGGGCTTCGTGGATTAAGCTCCAAACACTCCACCGCCTCCGCCAGTGAACTTGATGGAGTCGATTGCAACATTGGGGGGGAGGGAGAGAATCGGGACCCGGCCGAGGCAGATGAGATTGGGGCAGTCTCCGTGTCAGGGGGGCTCCTGTCAAATGGGCTCATGCTGGCGCCCATACCCGTGAACACTTCCGTGTGGGTATTTAACGGTGTCTCTCGAGGCTTAGCTTCCGTGATATCCTCGTCCTCCCCATCAGAACTGAGGGCGCTAGTCTGATCGATTTTGATGAGCTTCTCCTCAAACCAGAGCCTGAGATCAGTCATTGGGGGCCAATCACCCCCAATTTTGCCACCATGTCTCTCATCTTTGTTCTTGCCACGGCGAGTCTTGGGCTTGAAATGCGTGCGACGGAGATGCGCGGCCGCATTGTAGTATGCGCCGTATTCCTTGCCGGCAACACAAGACTTGCACTTGTCCAGAGGGTTAATGGCCTGAATATTGGACACAAGGCCAACTGTGGCAGGATCGCGGCAGACAAACTTCTTGACAACGCCCTCGTGCTTGGCTTTGATATGTCTTTGAAGTTCGACATCACCTCTAAACCCTTCAGGATGCTCGCTGCACTGAGAGCAATAGGTTCTAGGATGCCTGGGGCGAACAAACCTATCCGATCGCTCCGCCGAGGAAGAGGGAAGCGAAAATTTGGAGTGGTGCTTATGAGCTGTCAGCCGAGAAGTTGCCCTTGTAGATATCAGCGGGGTGTTTGGCTGAGGGGAGCGAGGAGAGATGGCTCCTGGCGTTCGTTGCGCTGTTGCCGATGTAGTTGTGTCGCCAGCGCCGTCTGCTTGTTGGCCGAAAGGGCTAGATATGGCCATGGTAGATGGCACGGGGAACCCTTCTTGTGCTGAACCCTGCTGTGCCACGCCCGTTGAAGTATGTTCCAAATTGCCATCAGCATTTCTAATGGGCCGCCAGAATCCGCCAAACCGCTCGCGTAAATCCTCCAAGACCTGGAACGCAGGTACGATGAGTGCAGAACCTGTTTCGATGCTTGCTGCAACAATGTGGCCGATCATTTCTCCACTTGTAACATCGAAAACCCATGAGCCAGAGTCGCCCTCCCTTACGTCTTTGGCTTTGTCCAGAATAATGGTCCATAATTCCTGACTACCCGTAGCGGCAGAACGAACGACAAACAACGGTGTTTCCAGCAATCGCCCTTTTGTCTTGCCGTGGGAAGATGTAGTCACAACAACCTCTCGCGGTCTAGGCTGGTACAGTGCCACTGGTGGCCTAGTTTCACGCGATCGTACTCTATTATCAAGTTCGATTCGACTCACTGGAACGAGGGCGTAGTCCAGTCCAGGGCGAGAGCTTCCTGATGATGTGATGAATAGAGTCTTGGAATATATGGTGTGGAGTGGAGGATTGTGCTCTTGCGTAGGCGAAGGTCGTGCTTGCTTGTCAGATGTTGGTGTGACAAAAGGAAGCTTTGGAAACTGCAACTCCTTCCCCGAAGTCGTTGGCTGCAAACGTAAAGGTAGCTGGTCGGTGAAGCTGCGTCGGGTTTCCAGCGGCGTCCAGCTCTCCATGCTGGTGGGTTCATCGCCCACTTCATCAGGCTCCCCATCAGCGCTCAAATCTTCCGAGAGGAACTCAAACTCGTCTGGACTTTGTGGGAGAAGAAACGACGGCCCTTCATGTCCTGGAAGAGAGTGGGCTGCTGTCATGACAAAACGGGAGCCTTGCCGGTTGGCCATGATGCCACCGCCAGTCGCGATGTGCTGCCAGATTTCGTTCGTCCCATCCCCCCGAAGTAGAAGTATCTTTGATCCTCCGAGATCCGATGTTGAGCTCTCTATCCGCAGAATTGGAGCACTAGCACTGTTGGTGGTGTCGTGGTCATCGCTTCCACAGGCTGTCATATCCCACAGCCCAGGATCCCGGTTCCAATCGACCGATTTCCACCCGGGATATGATTGCAAAATCTCGTTTTGAACGAGATTCCTTAGTTCTCTTCGATGTTTCTGGTCTCCCGACGCAAAGCTGATATATGGTACGGCTGTCCGAGAACTGTATCCAAACATGTAACAACCCAAGACAACGTATTCAGGAGATTCGAGATGTGTTTGGGCAATTTGGAGAATGTTCGGATAGATTTCCCGGAAAGTTTCGGATACAAGACCTCTGGGTCGCCAACATCCCCCCAGTGTCAATCTCGCTGGTAACGGCAGTGGGACAGGGTCGCCTACGGCGTCCTCAAATGATGTTGGCATGATCACCTGCCTGTCTGATATTATATTAGCGTCTCCCTACATGGAAAGATTCTGTAGAGAGCGTGCATTACTGCTTTCTGGACTGCGCTCAGAAGCCTTCTGGTGACGCTAGGGTAGCTTTGATAGCAAGCCGACGGTTATCCACTATGTAGGACAGTCTAATCCACCAGTGGACGACGTGAAGGACCTCGGATTGAGTATATGACGAGTGATAGCGAGTCGAATTTTAGTTTCCAGGAGCTTGGGCATCTAGCTCACAATGTAGGCATGCCGCAGTCCCCAAAGCCAGGTATCCAGCTCGATAACTTAGATTCCAAGGGCACTTGCTAGACAGTAAAGGTCTTCATTCCCAACTTATGTTGTTGGATTGCGCAGGAATGCTGGGTGCATTTTCAACCCCTCGACAGTCACATGTCCCATCTGAGACTTGCTGTGAGTTTCTACTGGCCCAGGCCCCGCATTCTGCCTCACAATGCAAGCCACGTCTTGCTGTATAACTCGTTCTCGATTTGAGGCTTGATTTCTTGTCGCCTGGTTGGTAGCTAATCTAGCTACTTGCCGCTCAGAAAAAGCCCAACGAGGCAGTGCAAGACTAATATTGCCGCTAAGAATAACGCCTAGCAAGGCAGTGCAGACCACATGAATGCAGTGGACTGCTGGGAACGATGACACCGGAATGCAATAGATTTTATTTCGCCAGGGGACAACCCCAGAGGGCTTCTCCCTGCTTAAAGTTCTACAGTCTATCCATTATCGCCCGAAGCTGCACAGTTACACTTACACGCGGAGCGTGATCCGCGCAATAATGCATGCAGTAGACAGACAGCGTAAGCATACCCCGCAATTAGGCTCACCGCTGAGCGACATAATATTCCAACTCAATATCTTTAGTTCCAATAATTTGTTTCCACGAGCTCTTCATCTAATTGTATTTTGTCTAAACATATCATATAAACAGATCAGCAGCGCCTGGCTCTTCCCCTAGATGCAAATGACGACCCTCGGCTAAAGACTCGATCAGCGGCTGACTTCGGACGCAGGGGATGCGCACTAAAGGGCGACAGGAACAGATACTGTAGATTACCTTACCTTAGAAGATGCAAGATCTCGGTAGTAGGAATCCAGCTATTAAATCACAGACTTGGTAGCCTAAAACCTGAACCGATTAGATTCCTCCGTCATCTCTTTTTTAATTTTCGCCTCCAATTAACACTACCTGCCCAGTGAAATCCCGTCTGCTCCCTCAACTTAAACACGCAATAGAATCCTGAATAAGGTCTTAAAGCTCGCAGCCCGAGAAGAAACGAATAATACCGGCTTCAAGAGTCTCTAGCTGCAATAAAATTGGGCTGTGATCAGTGCCGGGCCGAGTGGCTGAGTAGTGGCGCAGCAGGCTGACACATGGAGGCAACCAAAGGCTTACTTACAGAAGACCCAAGAGGTCTGCATTAGGAATCCAGCTTTTAAATCGCAGACCTCGGAGTCGGATTCCAGAACTGATTAGATTCTTTCATTTTCTCGATTTAAATTCCACTTCTTATCGATACCACCTGCTGAGTTAAATATCGTCTGCTTACTCAACTTGAACAGGCGACAGAATGCTGGCTTCAAACAGCAAGAATGCTGAGGCTTTGCTCGACATGGAGGCTCCTCTGTTCCCTTCGTTCATGTCATTCTCTAACCTTCCACTTGAACTTCGAAGACAGATATGGGAGCTGTCTCTTTCATTAAATGGCCCAGTTTCAAGTGCCTGCGTACTTCCAAAAGACTTTGATCCTCATGCCAACCAGTTGGCGGTTCGCAACCCGTACTCGGCGTTGATGGGGACAAATAAGGAGGCTCGCCAAGTTGCTCTTGAACTGATGCCTTTGGAAAGAAATTACAATCCTGACACGGATATCCTCTACGTCGGTCCAGATGCATTCTATCACTTTTGCGACATATGCCGGGAGGATGATTGGCCCTCCGTCATACGGCACTTGGCACTCGCCTTACCTGTTGCCGATAAGGGGCTGTGGCTGCCAATTGCCATGGAACGGTTGGATCGACTGCAAAATATCTCAGTCGTTTACCCCAAGGCGACCGGAAAGGTCGACAAGGATGACGATGTTGTTCTTCCGAACACGGCGCATAAAATCCTCAGGACGTTTACAGCCGACGAAGCTGCCGCTTTTCGGATATCAGCCGACTACATCTACGAAACACATGGCGGGGATCTTCACATTGTCTGGAACAAGAGCGCTTCAGAGCATGTAGACTTTGTTCGGGGAGAATTGACTCGATGGGCAAGAGGGGAAAAGCCTCCATGTTGGGATGAGGAGGCTGACAGGTTGAGGTTGACCTTTGATGCAAGGTGCTTTGAGTCTGCGTTGGGTTTTACAGGGAACCACGCTGGTGTGTCTACACTTCCTTCGCAACGCGGTCGTGTCGGGCTTCTTTAGCCGCATTTCAGTGATCCAGATGAAGATAGGACAGGGAGATAGAGAGAGTTGGTACAAAAATGAATAAGAGTCGTTATGGCCCATCTGCATCTGAAAGTCCCGACTTATCTGCTCAACTGTAGCCCCTCGTGGCCCATTTTAATACTCAGCGCCACCGAATATTTGCTGCGTCACTATGGATACCATTCAACCATCTGCCCCCCTTGGGCCTTTCACAAAGAGATATCACTAGCTATATCGGGAGTCGGCCATCCAGATGGGGACGAGTTGATGTTGTGAGCGACCTGTTCTAGTCAAGCCCAATGCGCCTCAACGCGATGGGTGATTCGGCAAGTTTCTTCCAAATGACTTGGTTTTGGATCAGCGGCTTGCCGAACTTTTTCTTCTCTATCGCAAACACCAGGGACAGGCAGGTTTTGGCATGTACAGCTAGACCACTTCTCCTCGCTTAGTTTCAGGTTCCACCATCATGCATCATTCAATGACCGCAAGCTGTCCCTTATTTGAACCTATATTGAACGAGAGATATACATAGCTCTCATGAAGGCTGAGAAGGCCTTGGGAAGAGCTCATTCACGCCCTAAGCTCTAACAAACGACTACGTCATTATACTATTAGACATCATGTAAGCCACACCCTAGGTGTCTGATACCCATTGCCTCCAGATTAGGAATTTGCCCCAAGTCTGGACCGACATCTCGCTTTCGTCGGACTTTGAGCGAGGCATCAGTGACTTTCTGCTTGGGGATCAACTTCGTTCCCTTCTGGTCAAGAACGGTAAGAATATGGGCAGCGGCCTAAGGATATACATTAGCAAAGCCAGCGTATAAAAGTGACTTCATGCGTACCTTGGCATTAATAGTCAGAGTCTTTGGGTCCGGGTTCTCGATGGTGTCGCAAGCCTGGTGATAGCAGGGGTCCTGCTCGACAGCGGTGCCTAAGATGGAGTTAGACGAAATAGAAAATAGATGAAGAAAGTCAATAGCAGCCATACCGGTGTGCAAGAATCCAAATGGCTTATTGAGGATTTGCCAGAATGGAGCATAGTCGCTGCCATTTGTGAGGGAAGCGGGGGTGACCTCTAGGCCTTTGCTGGTGAAATAATTGACAAAGAGTTTCTCGACGACTTCAGAACCAGATGGAGCCTTGACACCGTATGTGCTTCCATCGGTGTCAGCAACACCAAAAAAGCCTTTTGCCACCATGTCGTAGTTGAGATAAACGAGCAAATCGTTGACTTTGGCTGCATCGAGATTTGAGCAATAGTATCTGCTTCCCAGCAAGCCATTTTCTTCCGCGCCCCACCAAGCAAACCGAATCGTGTTCTTCGTTTTGTACTTGGACAAGGCAAGGAAAAGTTCAAGAATCAATGAACTCCCGGATCCTACATCGTTAGTGATGTTTTAGTGAAGGATGGGAATGTCCTAAATACCATCATCATTGATTCCAGGACCTGCCTGGACGCTGTCGAGATGTGCTCCAAGCTAGTTGTAACTATTAGTAAAGTGAGGACTATCAGAGTGAGATTCGTCGTACCATAATAACATTCCGAGGATCACCACCTGTGGTCTCTGCAAACACGTTTTGAGTAATCCGCGTCTCTATGGTCTGCGATTGTTGAAAATGAGCCGTGGCAGTTTCGCCGGCTTCTAGTCGTGCTTTAATCTTGAGGCCATCGGCAAGAGTGATGAAGCCTGCAGGAACATGTTTCTCAGGGTCAGGTGCGCTGAGTGAGCCAGCAGTAACGTTGGTAGTGAGGTCATGATAGATTATGACCGCAGAGGCACCAGCGGCGGCGGCAGGAATCACTCGCCCAGCAAGGGTGCCTCCAGTAGGACAACGAAAACGCTGGACTAGAACGATTTTGCCGTCGACGTCAAGACCATCGTAAGACGAGGCATCACATCCAGCGGCGCCTTCAGGACCAAGAACAATCTCAGCGGTGATGCCTTCTTCACTGGTCGATGGCGAATACGTCAATCCATAGACGTAGATGGGCGCATCGTCCACCGTGAGCTGGATAGAGTTGACGAAGGCAAACAAGGCAGGAACGTCCTGCTTCCAGATCTTGGCGCCTTTGACTTTCGAAATACGCTTCCAGATATAGTCGACCGATGCGGCGTATCCGGGCAATCCAAAAGCACGGTTCCCTCCGTTGTCTAGAGCGATCTCATTGAAGGCCTCCAAATTGCCCATGAGACTTTCAAGTCGGATGTCAGCTTTGCCGAGGTTCAGAATACCTGGCCAAGGGAACCCAAGATCTTATACGAAGTACTCACTTTGTAGTCTTAATGTCGGCTTGAAGTCGCTTTGAGTCAAGCTTGCGTAGTCCCTTCGCCCCCACGAGGCCTGGGCAGGCTACGGCTAACAAGGCCACCGCGGTGTTTCTAAACTTCATGGTAAAGATTATTGCACCTGGATTGTGTTGTGATGAATCCAGCTAGGAATTCGGAGGGGCCAGTGATGAGAGTCACTGGTGTGCTGGACAGTCTCATATTATATCCGTGGTTACATGAGAGCCCGGGGGTATGGTGTCAGGGCCAAGCAAAGCAGAGAGGGGCTGGTGGCAAATTCTAGCTGTATATGAGCGAGGAATAGCGTATGTCGGAGTTCTGCAACACATGTGGAAGGTCCTTCAATCCTGCCAAGAAGAGCGGGAGCTTCGGAATCCACCAAGTGAGCTCCACCTCGCGTCTTTCTGTCACAAGGCACTCGCTGGATCCATTAGACTTGAAAGCTGCAGCACCCCGCTTTGAACCATGCGGATTTATGACACTAGAAATGGTCAGAATGCTGAGAGGTGGAGAAATACGACGGTGGTGAGGAGAATAGTACAGTACCTACCGCTCGGTCAGGCATCTGGGTGTTGGCATTTGGTCTACCAATCCAATTACAGATGCCAGAGTAATGGCGTGTCAATCATGCGGCATTATTGACAGAGCCTGCTATGCCTTTTGGCGATCAGTTCTCTCATGATCGCATTTGGCAGGTCGGGAAACACTCCAAGGCCTTGGCGGACAGGGTTGTTCAACTGTAAAATAACCTTAGAACAAAAGTCCCCGAAGGGTAGCTAGGGCATGATCGGCTTGATCTGAGCATAAATTCATGGGTGCTGGAATTAGCGCTATAGTAAACTACCACTTTCCCAAACTGGCGTGATAAGCAGGGTCTGTCGCAGTTCGATGGGGCTATCAACGGGTTCCTTCTTTATGGCTTCAACACTGGTGAAATACGAAGACGAGATGATGTGTTTTGAAGCCATTTCAGTCGGTCAAGTCCATCAATGGATCAGTCCGCGGATTCAAGTTAACAACGCAGCATGCAGAAATGGGCGGGAGGAATAAATGGCTTCTGTTTCAATGGGCTTGAAGATGATGCGGGTGAATGGCCAACAAACAGCTTGACGTTAATGACTGTACTAAATATGGATAGCAATAAATTCTCAAGTAAAGCAGTAGACGAGTTGACCTAAGAGAGATAAAACTTTCATGTCTGTAGAAGCAACACATCGTGATTATTCCAACGCGGCGTTCGGATTGCTGGTATCCATATCAATCTCATTTGCAATCATATCCATACGCAACTCGAAACAGACCAGACTTAGTTCTGATCCATCCAACTAGGACGCCGGCTTAATGGGATGAGCCCAGGGAAACTTGCCAACCATTTGTTCCTCGCCCGTAACATACTCAAAGACAGGGGTGCGAGCCAACGACGGTGCGTTGCGATTGGAAAAGAACTTCTGAAGTGACTGCTTCGAGAGAATGTGGCGGTCCACAAACTTGTGAGTCGCATCCGCCCACGTTGCGGCTCCGGTGGCCTGGCTTGCACCGGCGAGGCCTGCCTTGACCGTATCGAAGCGCGCGAGCTGGTAGCCGTCAAAGGCGGCCAGCACTTGTTCCCTAGTTGGGAAGGCCTCCGGGTCCGAGGCGCGTACGGCTTTGAAGGCGTGATACAGCTCGTTGGCGAGCGCAACGACGTCGACGATGCCGTTGTTACAACCTGCGCCGGTGCTGGGCGTGAACTTGTGCGCTGCGTCGCCGACGAGGACGATTCGATCCCAGCTCCAATTCTTGACGATGCCTTCCTCGAGATTCACCATGCCGGCCTGGGTCCGGTTGACATAGGCATCCTTGATGGTCAGCCCGCCCTCGATAATAGGCAGGTGACCCCAGCGTTCGACGAACTTGTCCTCGTCCGCTTGTTTATACCGCACTCCCTCTCGCGTCGGCTTCTCCATGCGTTCGTACACGCCAATGACGGACGTGTCCTCGCCGGCGAAGAGCTGGAGAGTGCAATTCTTGCCGTGTGTCTCGCTCGCATCGCCGGCCTTGATCGGAGGGACCGTCGGGAAGCGGATCCACATGGCCCGGTAGGTGGTCAGAAACGGCTCCGCTTCGTTGACTTTGTCCTCTGTGGTGGCCGGGGTTTGCAAGGCCGCTGTCCGCATCAAGTCTCTCACCCGGCTGTGGGCACCGTCGGCACCGACAAGGACGGATCCGGTATATGAAGTACCGTCGGCACAAGTCACGCTGACGCCGTCGGGACCGGAAGAGACATCAATGACCTTCTTCCCGGGCATCAACTTGGCCTGCGCGTCTACCGGGAGGCCGTCATGCAAGGTCTGCATCAAATCGTGTCGGCTGATCACTCGTGGATAGGCGCCGTGGCTGATGGTCGCCGTTAGCTATGGACATCAAGAGGCGTGAGTGTGTAGACTGACTTTTCCTTGAAATGAGTAAACCACAGCGTGTCGCCAAGATCGCGTCCGTCGTGATCGATACGCCTGAAGCGGCTCATCGGGGAGCTGACGCTCTCAATAGTAGGGAGCATGCCTAGCTGACCCAGCACACGCAGTCCGATAGGAAGCAGGACGAGATTTGAGCCCGCATCTTCAACAATCTTGGCGCGGCGCTCGAGGACGACAAAGTCCAGGTTTGCCTGCGACAGGGAGTGTGCGGCCGTCAGACCGACTGGGCCACCGCCGACGATGATGACTTTAAAGGGATTGGAACTCATAGTGGCTAGGGGTCACTATGTAGTGGAGCTGTGGGATGGCTATTGACCTAACAAGTTTTGAGTGACAAGATGACGTGCTGAACACGTAGAGGGGGGTGTGGACGTTAGACGTTTGCCAACGCTTGACATGAATACTGCGAAGCGTCAGGGACTCAGGTACTGAACCCAGTTTGATCGAGTAAAGATCAACACTTCCCCTGGCGCGACTGACCTTCCTTATATGCCCCTGTTGCCCACACGGCCTCGAGCTGGTAAAGTTCGAAGCTCCAAATCGAGACCCCTGATGTTAACCTGGGGGAGCAGACATTGTGGCAGATGGTGTCCCCCCTCTCGAGCAAGGTGGCTAGTGTTGAGCTATTACCGAATAAACATACGCCACATATGCATATCACGGATGCTTAATTTTCAAACCTGGAGCTGTTGCTGCGCATCAGCTGACATTGCAGATGCAGTGCAACTCCCTGGCGAATCACAAGAGGCAGTGCAACGCTATGGATGTCAGCACAGTCGCCGAACAGAGCGAGGGCCGAACAAACATGTGGTAGGAATGGAGTTTAGCCAGTTATGCAGAGTCGCCGAGCAGAGCGAGGACTAGGGAAACATGTGGTGGGAATAGAATTTAGCCAGTTATACAGGGACTCCCACTACAGCTGAATAAGCACTGGCTGTCTATGATAAGGTGTTTAGTGTAGAGTCAGTTAGTAAGAAAGAGTAGAGAAGGTTTTACAGTCTGTCACTGGGCAACATCTCGAGTGTACACCCCAAACACTTCTACTTGACGCTCCAGGCCCGGCATCTCCCGGCTCTGTAGAGAGAAGTGCAGGCAAGAGCCAACCCCTCCCTAAGTATCCCGGGATGAGGCTCTTTATAGCTACAAAGAACACAAAGCTTACGTGGATGCGACATACTTTCCAGTCGAATTTCGATGATTCGCGGCGCCACTGGGAGTCGGCGGTCGACGAGAAGCGGTATATATCGACATCGGGTGTCAGCTGACCCCCTCCGATGTAGGGTTAGATGGGCGCGTACCGCTCTGGCGGTAATACTGCCTACACAGGCTCTGGCAGCGGCGGCTTCAATAGAGTCAGCTCCAGAACAGGCTTAATGCTCGAGAAGGGGATAGTGGCGCTGCTTATAAGCAAAAGATGCACTGCAGTCTACTGATAAAACATACTGTCTACTGGTTTGCGATGCTCTGGGATGCTGAGTGCATAACTGGCACACTGAATGATACAATGTAGTAGTATATAATATGTAGCTAGTTTTAAGTTTTAATTGAACTATAAAGCGTCATGTAGAATTTCTACCACAATACAACATAGCGCAGTAGATTCTGCACTCTCTCTACCTATGCTTCAGAGCTTCGTCCAGAATGCGGCCTACGGCAATTTGAAGAGCCTTGTTCGTCTCATAGGCGCCTGCCCCTTCTGCTGTCACTTCGTTCATCTCTGAAGGCACTGAAAAGCTCTGGTACAAGTTCAAATACTCCTGAGCGTTGGCATCGGCAGAGGTTTGTTCCACCAAGTCCTTCTTGAGCTTAGAAAACTGTATTATACCATCAGTCATGTTCATATCATCAACGGGAGTAAGGTCCTAGCCAAATCATAAATGTAGCATGAGTTTACTAACCTCCTTGGCCCAATTGGAATCATTGTCAGTGTTTGCCTTGGCAAGACTTTGGCTTGCCTGCAGACGTTCCTTGATCTGTGAAAGAATCATTAGTATGCAGATGATAGTCCAACTCTATCCACTTGAACTTGCCTCTGTCTCAGTCAATTCGTATCCTTCGACCTTCATCTGGGCGATAAAGTTATTCCGGTTGTCATCTTGCCCCAAAAAGGAGGTAACCTGGTCGACGAGGTAGAGGTCGTCGACAATGGGGCGCACATCGCCGAACCATGTCAGGTTTGTCTCTCTCTCAGCCTTGAATTTCTTCGCATGGCTCTGGTGGTGTGTAAGCTGGGCTTTTCAGTTAATATAAAGATTAAGGGTGGACGTACGACATAGTAAAACTTGAAGAGCGTCGACCATCCCAAGCCAATGGCATCCTTAAGACCGGCATTTCCAGCGCCTCCGATATCGCCCCATCTCCACTTCTTCTCTGTGGCCCATTCACCAAATTGTCTCTTTGCCGCATCGTATGCAGTGTATGCGTACCAGAAGCAACTGTGGCCGTAGAACTCATAGCCGCCGCCAACAAGAGTGGTGGCGGCCAGAATCTCGGCAAGCTCAAGCACGGTTGGTCTCTTACTAACATCATCCCCGGACGGGCCTCCGAAGACCAACGAGGTTAGAGGGAGAGGCATGTCTGTCTTCCCCTTGCTGCCGAGGGCTTTCGTCTCGGCCGGGCCAAAGGTAACCCAGTCTAGGTCCTTCTCGTTACCTCGCTCAGCATAGACTCTTGCACGATCTTTGGTAGTGTTCTCTTCCACGATGAACTGGACATACTCGTGCTTCCAGTCCGAGTTCAGATCCTTGACACGTGTAAAAGACACGACTCGACAATCAGCGTACTGATCCTTATTGGACCTCAGCAGGTCTGCCCACTCCCTTGTGGGTTTGACAGACCGGCTATCGGTGAAAAGAAAGTTGATAGAAGTCTTGCCCATGGTGACGAAGTTTTATAAAAGAGTTATCGATCTGTGATGATTGTGTGCTTGTGTAGTGAAACAATATTAACTGATACGATGTGAGCATACTTATAGACTTCAATTACATACTCAATCCTAATATCATATTAGAACCAAAAAAACCGCTCGAACTACTATAATTCACCATATAGTATTGCCGCTGTAGAATACCCAAATCCACGTACATAATTGCGCTATTGAAAATTGAGGAACTATTGGTTGCGAGGCTCCAAAAGGGAATCGCGTCTGCGGGGTCTCGGAGGGCCAAGTCTGCTTTGGCCTCCCAGAATCCACTTGGAGCGGGCCGCATACGGATCACTCCCGACAACTCATCACTAGTCTCAAATCGGGATTCACTACGCCGGGCTTGCAGGGGTGTAATGTAGGATGCAACAAAAGAAGTATGTATTGCGTGTTGCCGGGATCTCTGAGACCCCGGACATAGCTAGCTTCATGTACTGTACTGCCCTATACTCTACTTACTAGGTCGAAATCGGTGTAGAAGCCAGAGCCCTCAGGAATGCGTACTAATACAGGAATGTCTGGGGTGACCGAAAGGATAACCTTCTGGGGGAGGGCCTCGACCTCCGAGGCGCTTGTACCCACATTCCTCTAAGAGGATTATCCACACCAAAGGACCAGGTTGATCAAGGTGTATTAGCGCGTATCTTTAGTGATGGAGAATTGGGAAGTTGCACCGTGATTCCTGCAGCTTTGCCACTATCGTGCACAAGCTTGACATTGAGATCGCTGATGGCTAGCTGAAGCTGCTGGCTCTATACCCAGAATGGACACGCATATAAACCCATCTAGAACTTTCCTTTAAAATCGGCTAAACCGACAGGGAGCTAAGTTTGAGCCTCATGACTAGACCAGGCAGACTCGGCCTGAGACACATAATCCAGCTAGTCACATGTCACAGCTAGCCACTGTAGTATCTCTTTGCCTATTTTGTCGCTGGTACAATGTTTTCAGCTGACCGTGTCTCGAGAAGTTTCCATACGCTTGAGGTGGCATATGCAGTTAGTCACACTATTGGCTGCCCTTTGGCCTAGAAATACAAACCGTGGTTAGCCACACTCTCACCGCCTGTTCCTCTTGAAAGCACTAAACCGCATTTCGCATTGGAACTCGTAGCTATCATTCCTTTTCGAGTCGAATAAACATAAGTGTGAGGCTAGTATGAGCTACGGCTAATCATCGAACCAATTGCAAGCATAGCCGACCTTCCAAATGGGATGCGCGTGCAGGGTGGCTGGCGCTCAATTCCTTGGCCTCATGAACTATTGATGTTGTTCTACACTATCGATGTCTCGATGTCTCAACGCCTCCAACTCCAACGGCATCACCGTAACGATGAGCTATCGGACAGCGAGACATGCAGTCCAAGAAGTCTGGACACGTTTCCTAGATGCCCATTGAGTTGGCATTGAGCACCGAGAGAATCATACTTGTCACTTTCAGCTACGAGAAGCGCTCGGGTTTCTATAAAACCTTTCCTTGCCCTCCTTAATCCAAGTTTGGTTTTAATCAAGCTGCATTTCATTCGAGCTACAATCTATTGAAGTCTCATCCTCAGGTATCAAATCTTCAATTTTCTCTTCCTTCGCAACTAGAAACACTGGATACACCACACAAAAATTGGTGCGGTACTTCCTTCGCCCCTCGCACCAACATGGCTTCTCACGGACCTTCCGATAAGGAGATGCTCCTTGATGCTCTTGCTCAAACACTCGGAAAAGAAGCAGTCGAAACAATCGAGCCGAGGGAGGTCGAGCAACCAGAGGAAGAGGAAGAATCTGAGATTCCTCACAAGGGGCCTATTTGCATTACCCAGAAGGCCACGCCCATGAACTACAGAAATGGCCCCACTGATATAGTGGTTGGATTCAAGTCTCAATGTCCACGATGGGTCCCTGGCTCTGTTATCAAATGGGCAGCATGGCGTCAAGGCTTCGAGAGCCAGGACGACGCCAACTACGCTGCTTCCCAGCTTGCCATCGCAGCCGATGTGTGGAACAAGGCTGATATCGGTGTTACCTTCGAGTGGGTGCACCTGGCCAAGGATGCTACTTTTGTTCTCTCCAATGGTGGTGATGGCGATGGCACCCTGGCCGAGGCCTTCTTTCCAAACTCCGACGACCTAAGCTCTATGCTTGTCTTTTCGGATGCCTTTACAGACGAGTGGAGGGGCAGCATGTGGAAGATCTTTACACACGAGCTTGGCCATGTTTTGGGTCTCAGGCACGAATTCGCTATCGAAGGCCTTCCCATCTATGGCATCAAGCCGGAGAAACTGGGTGCCGTCCGTCTGGGCCCTCGTGACCCTAAGTCAGTTATGACTTACTCGCCTGATCCTCCGGAGATGCAGCAGTCCGATATTGACTCTACCAAGCAGTTCTATGCTTTGAGGGCAGACGCTAATGGAAACCCCCCCAAGGTGGGATTCACCAAGGTCGTCGACTACACACCGCGATGAGAAGCGATGTGTGATGCTATATGTTGTCTTGCATTTAATATGACCGTGGGATTCGGGACATCGTTTGAATCAACTCTGTACTAGAATATCTATGTACTGGGGGTTTTTAAATTAAATTGATATTAAATACAAATCACAGATGACTGCTGGGATGTTGCTCTTAACTCATACTCTATGTCATGAAAATTACACTTTTTACGAACCGGGTTGGACTGTGGACTGATGTGGGGGAAAGGGGCTTACACGGCGCAGAAACTGGCTTGAGATTGATCTTGCCAGCTATTGGGCTATCTTTCTCCAATTTCCGATGCCCTGAGTGTTTTCCGAGGTCTTCTACATTTGTCATTGATCGACTTTCAATTGTTTGGAATCCTTGACCGTCACCTGATCATTTTTTATATCAACTCGGTTCTGCGCCACTCAAACACCACATTGTCGAAGACGGTAAAATCTCCATTCATGAAAGAGAAGGAATATGTTCTCGGCATTAGCAAGTTCGAAAGAAAATCGACCTTGAGCTGCTCACAGGAGACACGAACCGAAGACACGTTCTGGAACAGGGAAATACTTGCAATAACTCGCCCTAAAACTCAACATCGCAACGAAACTAAACAAACTCAATCTAATGTATAGACTCAATATTCCCTGATTCCAGATAGTCTTCAACGTTCAAAACACCGCGTTCCGTCTCCGTGGCCTGTCTGCCACTCAGATTGCCCAAATCAATTGATCACGCCCAATGCGTCCTTCCATCCGATGTAACAAAGTATTGCCTGCCAGATCTAGGATCCGTCAGACACTGGGTTTGAGATGACCGACCAGAAGAACTAGACGAATAATACACCGGCTGCGTAGTCTTTGAGTAATACTGCGAGCCTTCCCCCGAGGCTTGTGGCCGAGGTGCGGACCTACGACCGACCCATGCAGGCTTCACCCTCACAAACCGAGCATTCCGCACTCTGCCGTCGCCACCAACGACGTAGTAGGTATTATGCCTGGGGTCCTGTTACAAACGAAGGGCAGTGGGAACCCCTCCCAAGTAGTAGTATGTCTGGTTGTCAGCGTTGGCAAACACAAGCACAATTCCACGAGGGTTGGAAGTCCGGTATCCAGTGGCTTTGTCAGTTGTCTGGATGTCGTTGCCCCATGAATCGCACCCTTGGTACTGCCTCCCCTCGCTTAAGTAGAAGTAGCCGCCATAGTCATCCTTCTTGACTTGCTTCGTCCACACTTCTCCGGCTCGTTGCACCATAGCCCCATCCATTGTTGTCATCCTTATTTTCCGGAGTCTCGGGGGGACCATATTTGGGTGTGACCTTGAAAAGGCTCTGGCAGTAGGCTAGAATGGTAGTCATGGCTGGCACAGTATCTCCCCAGTTGCAAATTATCCCCTCCATAGGAGCATCGCCATAACCTTCTGTCTCAACGAGGATGCAAGATTGATACGAGCCGTTGACATAACGAGTTCCGAGGTGAGAGGTGTATTTCCTGGACGATCAGGTTTCGCCGTGGGTTGCTGACCATGTGAGGCCCCACGAAGCACTGATATGGCCCGGTTTGGCACTTTCGAGATACGTACAGAGTGAGCGTGAAATTGGGATAGTGGATGAACGCTTTTGGCCACCCATTGTGCCTGGTGAACTGACTTAAGATGAAAAGAAGGCGTAAGACAGGATGGTGGTAGAAAAGATGTCCGAAAGATTTGGTGGGAGTGCTGAGTTGGAGGCAAACGCAATGGCATGAATTGACAATGGGAATAGAGTAACAAGAGGAGCAGAGTTGTTTATATTAAGATGCAGTCTTTACGTCATAATGAGAAACATATCTTAAGAGAATTATAGCAGTCGCAGCTGCGCTCTTGACAAAACATCAAGGTCAATAGTGCTGGTTCACTTGATGATGTCGTTGAGTACTAAAAGTGGCTGGTAGGATGAACCTTATGGAGAGCCCGTCGAGGCGGCCGCCAACAACCAACAAGGCAAGGCCTTGTAAGAGCCGGCCTGAGAGAGATGGGTTAAAAATAGAAGTCATTTGCAACCAACAGATCAGTTGAACCAATACTGCAGTTGAACCAACACTCAGTTGACGACCTATCGGATGGCGAGACTTGCCGCTGCTGAACCAGATGCAACCAACAGCAATAACCAGCGACAACCCGAAAATCCAGCCCGAACCCAAAGTATAGTTGAACCAACAGCTCAGTCGATAACCTACTAAATCGCAATACTTGCCGCTGCCGAGTCAGTGTAGCCGTCTGCTTCCCAACGGCCTGCGCGCTTACTTCCAGTCCCCTCTCTCCTAGTTACCGCAAACCCTGAATTCTTCATCCGTAACCACGAAGCTGCGCCTCAACGTTGGAGCGCGGGTGTTGGGCGATAGCGTGTCGAGATCGAGGCGCTTCTCATTTTTCGAACTGAACCCCAGAGTCTTCTTCCCAACACGTACGTTGAGTTGCTCGCCTCCCAATTCTCTTGACTGGCAGCATCATGCCAAGGTCTGTTGAGCCAACACCTATCCCCTACGAGGTGGGACCCCCTCTCGACTTGCAGGTACTCGAGAGCTGCAGTGAATGCATCCCTCGACCCTTTCCCGGCTCCACCGCCTTAATTAAAAAAAAATAGCTTACTATCTTATTTAATTAGGCTATTAGAGGAGCCTGCTACGAGTAAGTAGTATTTACCCAGTCTAATTAGAATAATTAAAAGCTTAAAGAGGGAGGGATATATTATAAGTTAAGTTTAAAGTAAAGTTTAGATATAAGCTCGGGCTGGGAGTATAATAATCGAAGAGTGCTATTAGTAAGTAGAGTTTTTACTATAATTTCTGAATAAGGTCTTCTCTTTTTTTTTTTTAGCTTAAGATACTTTTAAATATAAGAACTTTATTATTAGATAAATTTAAAGCTTGCTTTTTATATAATTTTTTAATATATTAAAAATTACTTAAAAAGATGTTTTTTTAAAATAATTGTATAACGTGCATGATAAGCATGTGCACCAAACAAGCATGTGCACCAAAAATCCCTCAATCTCTACTCTTTCCATCTAATCAATTGTTTCTCAACTACAAAATATGTCACAGTCAAATAAAGAGGCAAATATTCTTCTTGCCCTTCAAGCTCTTCAAAATGACCCCACATTGGGCCTCCGGCGCGCCGCAGGGTTATACCAGGTCGATTACTATGCCCTACGCCGGCGACAGAATGGCATTCCTTCTCGAGGCGATTGGATCCCTAAATCACGAAAACTATCTGATCTAGAGGAACGAATCATTATTCAGTTCATTCTCGACCTAGATTCGCGAGGATTTCCCCCACGACTGCGTGGTGTAGAAGAAATGGCTAATCGACTACTCGCTGACCGCGACGCGTCACCCGTTGGCAAGCGCTGGGCTTCCAACTTCGTCAAGCGACACCCAGACCTCAAGACGCGATTTTTTCGTAAATACGACTATCAGAGGGCCAAATGCGAAGATCCGACTATTATTCGCAATTGGTTTTCGCTCGTGGCGAACACAATCGCGAAATATGGTATTACCCTTGCTGATATCTACAACTTTGATGAGACTGGCTTTATGATGGGTATGATCGCAAGCGGAATGGTCGTTACAGGCGTAGAAAGGCGTGGAAGGCCGAAATCAGTGCAGCCTGGAAACCGGGAATGGGTTACAGTTATCCAGGCTATCAATGCGGAAGGCTGGGCGATCCAGCCGTTCATCGTGGTTGCGGGCCAATATCACCTTGCCAGCTGGTACCAAGAAAGCAACCTCCCGGGCGATTGGGCCATCTCCACGACCAAAAATGGCTGGACTGACAACGAGACGGGTCTTGAGTGGATTAAGCACTTTAATCTGCACACAAAGACCCGATCAAATGGTCGCCATCGCCTTCTGATCCTCGATGGGCATGAAAGCCACCACTCGACCGACTTCGAGACATATTGTGAGGAAAACAACATCGTCACGCTTTGTATGCCACCTCATTCGTCTCATCTACTCCAGCCTCTTGACGTCGGGTGCTTTGGGCCGCTCAAAAAGGCCTACGGTCGGGAAATAGAGCATTTGATCAGATGCTCAATAACCCACGTTTCAAAGACCGAGTTCTTTCCGGCCTTTTACGCTGCCCACCAAGCCGCTATGACAGAAAACAATATCAAGGGAGGTTTTAGAGGGGCCGGGCTTGTTCCTTTAGACCCGGAAAGTGTTATATCAAAGCTTGATGTGCAGCTACGGACTCCGACACCTGTTGAGGACGATGCGAGCCTCCCCGACCCTTGGGTCTCAAAGACCCCAAAGACCGTCCTTGAGGCTAGCTCTCAGTCTGAATTCCTCAAAAGACGAGTTGAAAGGCACCAAAGCAGCTCCCCGACATCTATTTTTGAAGCGATTGAGTCGCTTTCTAAGGGAACGAGGGCAATAATGCATCAGATGGCTTTAATGAAGTCTGAAATCCAGATCCTTCGACAGGCGAATGAGACCCTTAGTAAGCGGCGCAGAGCAAAAAAGACACGCCTCCGTAATGGAGGAAAGATGACTCTAGATGAAGGGAGGGATTCAATTGAACAGAAGGATGTTGATGCGCAGGTAGTGGCCGAATCGTCGAGAAATCGTGGTCAAGGAGGGTCGGCGCGACTGAAGGAAAGGCATTGTGGAACATGCGGCAAGACCGGGCATAACGCAAGAACATGTCAGATAGTTGTTGCAATATCTGGGGAAGAGCATAGTGGTTGATTTTAATTGATTAGATGCTTTGTTGTGTTTTTTTGCTATGTTTTATCTTCATGGTTAAGTGAAAGTGGTGCACATGCTTGTTTGGTGCATATGCTTATCATGCACGTTATATATAAAATATAAATTCTAATTTTAATATAATATTAAATTTTCTTAAAATTTAAAAAAAATTAATTTGAAAAAGTAAAAGCTAAATTATTTAAAATTTCTTTAAAACCCCTTTTTATTAAATTTCTAATTATATTACTTAAAATATCTAAATAAAAGCTAAAAGCTTATATTAGCTATATTTAACGTACTTGATAAGCGAGCGCCGCAGACAAGCGAGCGCCGCACTTTTCCATCCTGCACCTAACTTTCTACTTTATCAAGCAAATCTCAACAACTCAACATACCTCAGCAAGATAACAAAGCTAAAACCCTTCTTGCCCTTCAAGCCCTTCAAAATAACCCAAAACTAAGTATCCGACACGCCGCATCGACATACAAAGTAGATGAGCGAAGGCTGCGTCGCCGACAGAAGGGCATTCAGTGTCGACGCGATACCATTCCCAATTCGCGTCGACTAACCGATCTAGAGGAACAGGTCATTGTTCAATTCATCCTCGACCTGGATTCGCGAGGATTTCCCCCGCGACTGCGTGGTGTTGAAGAAATGGCCAATCGACTGCTCGCTGACCGCGACGCGTCACCTGTCGGCAAGCGCTGGGCTTCTAACTTCGTCAGGCGACAACCAGAGCTCAAGACGCGTTTTTTTCGTAAATACAACTATCAGAGGGCCAAATGCGAAGATCCAACCATTATTCACAATTGGTTCCGGCTTGTGGAGAATATAATCGCGAAGTATGGTATCGACCTAGCCGATATCTACAACTTTGATGAGACCGGCTTTATGATGGGCATAATCGCAAGCGGAATGGTCGTCACAGGCGCAGAAAGGCGTGGAAACCCAAAATCAGTGCAGCCTGGAAACCGAGAATGGGTTACGGTCATCCAGGCGATCAATGCGGAAGGCTGGGCGATCCAGCCGTTCATCGTGGTTGCCGGCCAATATCACCTCGCCAGCTGGTACCGGGAAAGCAATCTCCCGGGCGATTGGGCTATTGCAACAACTTAAAATGGCTGGACCGACAATGAGACGGGTCTTGAGTGGCTCAAGCACTTCAATCAGCATACAAAGGATCGATCGATCGGTCGCTATCGTCTTCTAATCCTCGATGGGCATGAAAGTCACCACTCCGTCGACTTTGAGAAATATTGTGAGGAGAATCAGATCATTACGCTTTGTATGCCGCCTCATTCGTCTCATCTACTTCAGCCTCTTGATGTCGGGTGCTTTGGGCCGCTTAAAACAGCCTATGGTCGAGCAATTGAGCAATTAATCAGATGCTCCATAACCCACGTTTCAAAGACCGAGTTCTTCCCAGCCTTCTATGCTGCCCACGCAGCCGCCATGACAAGGAGTAATATTGAAGGAGGTTTTCGAGGGGCCGGACTTGTTCCCTTAAACCCAGAAAATGTCATATCAAAGCTTGATGTGCAGCTACGGACTCCAACACCGGCTGTAGAGGAGGTCGGTCTCCCCGACCCTTGGGTCTCGAAGACCCCAAAGATAGTGCTTGAGGCCAGTTCGCAGTCTGAATACCTTAAAAGACGAGTGAGAAGACATCAAAGCAGCTCTCCAGCATCAATTCTTGAGGCGCTTGAGTCATTCACTAAGGGAATAAAAATAATAATACATCAGATGGCATTATTGAAGTCTAAGGTCCAGATCCTTCGACAGGCAAATGAGACTCTTAGCAAGCGGCGCAGAGCAAAAAGAACCCGCCTACGTAAAGGAGGGAAGATAACTTTAGATAAGGGGAGGGATGAGATGGATCAGAGAGACGTTGATGCGCAGGTAGTGGCTGAATCGTCGAGAAGTGGTGGTCGAAGGAGGTCGGCGCTGCCGAGGGAAAGGCGCTGTGGAACATGTGGAAAGGCCGGTCATAATGCAAGGACCTGTCAGATTATAATTGAGACCTCTGAGGAAGAGCATAGCAATTAGTTTTAATTTATTTGATGCTTTGTTGCGGTTTTATTGAGGTTTTAATTTTGAGGGTAAGGAAAAGTGCGGCGCTCGCTTGTCTGCGGCGCTCGCTTATCAAGTACGTTAGATATTATTTACTTTTTAATAATAAAATTAAAATTAATAAAAAAAAAATTTATTATCTTTAATATTATTATAGAAATATTCCTAAAATATTAATAAGCTAGGGTAATAATTATTTATATTAGGTTTTTTATAGCTAGCTTAACTTTTAAACCTATTATTACAAGTGCTATTATATATAGTATAGATAATTAAAAATAGTATCAGCGGATTTTAGTAATTACTATTACCTTTAATCTTCTTAAATCTATCTTTATACTCCCAGAAACAACATATAACTCGATAGATATAAATAGATCAGCTTTAGTAGAAGATAGCAATATAGATTCCAAGGCGGAGGCTGCTATTAATAAGTTTGCGTTAGGCTCTGGATAAGAGTTCAATCCTCCCGATAATAGTTCTCTATCTTAAAATCTCAGGAAGGAGTGGGTTAAGAGATCCTTTTCGACCCATTTTGTCTCGATGGATTGGGAGGCAGCTTTGCTTTTATTTGTTAGAATACTGCAACTCATCGCTCTCCCGCAGGTCGTTGTCACGACTCTCGTCTTCGGCTTGACGATAGGCTGGACTGTGATTATCGCCGTCATCTTGGCTGTGGTATACGCGCCACCTCCGTTGCTCTGGAGCTCCCTGTATGTTGGACTTCTCAGTCTCGCGCCGTTAGCGGGGCTTCTCATCGGGCTCCCCGTCGGCGGGGCTTTGGCCGATATGTTATTCAACAGACACAAAAAGAAATCCCAACAAGTACACGACCCAGCCGTTAGATTACCAGCCGTAATAATCGGTGGACTGGTAAGCCCTGCAGGTTGCCTTGTACTCGGTTATGGGCTACAGCATCCTCATACTTGGATCCAAGTCTGTGTTGGATGGGGTATGCTGGCTTTTGGCTTGACGGGATCAGCCAACGTCTTATTGACGTATGCCGTTAACAGTCTGCCTGCTCGAGCTGGAGATATCGGTACCCTTTTGAATGTGACCAAGAACTCACTTGGGTTTGGTGTCTTATACGCATCAGTCAGTTGGATGCAGAAGTCTGGAACTGCCAACTAATTCGCAACCATGGCAGGCCTTTTGTGGTTTTGCTATTTGCTGGTCATCCCGCTGTGGCTTTATAGAGCTGCGTTGGTCCGGTTGACGACGCGTTGGTATTGAAAGGTTATATTAGTGAAGCCCATGATTCCCAAGCCGGCTAGCAATAAACAATGAGCTTTCTCGGATGTTGTATTAGTCCCATTACCTAGGCACAATGTCTGGATCCGGTGAAAACCACAAAAATGTTAATGGAGAAATGATATAGTTATGGTCAGGCTGTGAGTGTCAACGAGAGGCAATCTGTTGTATAGGTACGGCTAGAAATTACGCAAGGTTAATAAAAATATAAAGTCGACGCCAGACGCGACCGCTGATGATATCCAAAATCCACGCTCCAAGAATAGGGGAGCTGGCGAAACGCCTACGCCAGCTGTATGTTGGCTGGAAGGGTCCAAGCCTCCAGTGACCATCGAAAACTCCAAACAGATTTATGCCACTATTAATTCAAATCGTAACCGATTAAAATGGCTATTTAAGTGTGCATCGGAATGACTCCTTCAGCTTGTCACGTTGAGCAGCTCAGGATATGGCCATGTCAACATCGTCACGGATGGTAGGCTTCTCGACAGCGACGTCTGGCTGCCTTTCATCGTTAAGATTAGTTCAGTGACGGACGTGATGGACTGTTTCATGGCGGATGCAAGCTTCAGACTTGACAAGGCTCGGATGAAGAGAATGTCTCTTACAGGAAAGGAATTCAGGTTGTTGTCTAAATGTTGAAACTGCTCTGAAGCTGCCCCGGGAACAAGTTCGGCTGATTCAGGAGCTTAACAGCGTGCACAAGCACATTGTCGAGTCGTGCGCGTAGGTGTAATAACTTGAAGCACCACCCCAGAGAAGAAAAGCAATAAATGCACATTCTAAGGATATGAATCGCTACCCGTCTCCGAAGTCTCATTAATCGAACCCATTAGCAAGGTTGCTGACTTCATAAGAGATTGTGAAAAGGTTAGTCCTTACAAGGCAATGGAGGTCAAACAGCTGATCCAGCTCCATCATAAACTCGCAGCAAATAAAAACAGAACACACCGTTTCAAAGTTGCAAGGTCCTCAAATAAACTTCTGCCAACTCAACCACGGTGCCATCGCACCTGTTTTGGTTTCCTTCGCGTTGAGGACATGCAGATTTCCTGATGGGTTTATCTTTGTTTTGCATGATGAAGAGTCGAAGACATTCTGGGGTTGTTCATGGATGGTGGGGTTCCATGTCTACCCTACACTGCCGGCTAAATCGCGGCACATTGGCCTCGCCGTGGAAACCAGCTCGCCGAATAAACAAACCCACCCAGCCCGTCATCGGCCATTATCAACATTTAATTACCCAGACACCACATTAAAACACCAACGTTATCGTCGAATCGCCGCCTGTCGACCCATTGAGCTTCGGTCCCTAATAATCTGACGGCCTGCTTCCTCCTCCTCCTCTTCTCGATGCCCATACGACCGCCGCTCGACCCCCCTCCTAACACTACCGACGCCGGCGAACCCTCCTACGTTGACATCCGACACCCCAAGTACCCCGACAGCGAGCCGGCGCTGCTGCGCTTCGCTGCCATTGATGGCGATGACGGAGATGGCGTCGACTTTGAGGTAGCGCTGGTTGCGTGTGGCATCATCACGGGCAATACCTGGCACTCTGGGTACATAGCCGAGATGGACGCTGGGGGGGATATGTCAAGATCGACCAGTCTACCACTGACGTTCTCAGGGGATCGACATATTACTATTTTGTTGATGAACAACGACCAACATGTCCGTCTATCCCATTGCCTATCCTTTCCCTTCCTTTCGTACCTTTGTTTTGTTATACTCAGCAAGCTGTAACTGATCTCGTTAAACAGACAAATACCCCGTCATCCCTTCCTTCAGCCACTGGCGTTTCCCACATAGAAACCTCCCTCTCGCCTGGAACAACATCAACATACCACAAGCGGCCCGTTCGAAGCTCAAGAGGAAAATTGCCGCGCTGGATCGAGATGAGACGTGCCGCATCTCGAGACACGCGAGCGCTGTCGAGGTGGCGCACCTGGTGCCCGTGGCAGACGAGAAGTGGTTTACATCAAATAAAATGGATCAGTATGTTACCAAGCATGTCGAGGTTACGACCAAGTTGATATCCCTGCTAACATACTCAGATATGTCAAGTCAGGTTCAGAAACGCAACCCACCGAAGACGCAACCAACCTCATCACTCTCCGCCGCGACCTCCACTACCTCTTCGATACCCGTCGCTTTACCTTTGTTCCGAAACAAGACACAGCCAACCAGGCCTGGTCTCTCGCTCTCCACGTCTTCTCCCCAGACGACAACCCGGACCTCATCCCCCTCTACCACAACCGGTCTCCCGCCCGTCTCTCGGGTATCTCCGTCGAGCACGTCTTTGCGCGGTTCGCCTGGACCATCTTCTCCGACAAGACGATGCGCTTCTTCAAGGGCGTGGCCGAGTACGCCGTCCTTCTGTTCGACCCCCAGGCGGGCAAGATGACCGAGGCTAGGCTTAGATCGCCCGAGGTTCGCATGGCGCTACAGGTCTTTGGGTCGTCGAGTCGCACACCGAGTCCCAAGAAGAGGCCGCGAGATCAGTCAGTGGATGACTATGACTTCTTGGTAGAGGACCAAGATGATGATGATGTATCTGTCGCTTCGGATTGGGAACCACCACGCGGACGACGGCGGAAGCGCAGCTGGGAGTTCTTCGACGACGATACGCCGCCCGCGCTGGTCCAGTCGTTCGTCTCGACCGAGTCTGATCGTAGCGAGAGTCAAGACGTCGCCGAGAGGACGAATGTGGAAGTCAGGCATCACCACTCTCATTACACGGCGCCTGAGGACGTGGCTCGTGATGAGGTGGTTAAACGACCAAAAAAGCGAGTTGACATGAGGCCGACGAGGGACGACAGTTGAAGCATCGAAAACCCTGCGAAACAAAACGTTTCTTCGCTCTCCACTCGCAGACTCCATCCAAGAGCCTACAGCTCTCGAGGCAAATCTTGCATTAGCTAGGGGCAACTAGGATGGTTATGCCCTGGCACTATATAAGGCTTGACGCACGACCTGGTTGGCATGAGTTTTACTCTGTCCGCAGAAACTTGACTAAGGGCAGCGACAAATCTATTCGGTCGTCGCCATCTGCCGCCGAGACCTCTACTCGTACCCTTTATCTGGAAACGGGACCAAAGCAAGGACTTGGCTCTCTTTGGTACAAGCCGTACAATGAGGGCTTTACAAGCGTCTCGTCGACTCCGAGGCCACTTGTCACCAATGTCGACAAGACGTGGATTTTGGGACGAATGACTGGGCGCAATATCGACTATCCTCGAGGCCTGCTGCTGACATGGAATCGGTCCGGTCGCTGATGACGAATAGGCAGAAGGGGGCTGAATAAGAGCCAAGCAACGGGCTTGGTGAAGATGATGGTGTCGGCTGACACTGGCCGCTGTGGCTAGATGGTCTGATATAGCAAGTAGCTGATGAGATGGTATTGACTTTAGATCGAGGTCTGGGATGCTGCTGGTGGAGCACTCTGGCTCGGTCATACAGTCGGTACAAAAACCCGTGCAGATTGCCGGACGGGCCATCGGGGGCCATTATCATGATCGTTAAGGCGGTAGTAGTACCCGTCAAAGACCTTGAAAGTTGCATGTCTAACATATCCAACCCACAGTCATGGCCTCATACCCCCTGTTGCAGAAGATTCTTGACTCGATATGTCTAGACTATTGTGGTCTGGATGTGCATACTCACTACCGACCTAATCCATCTCATGACCCTGAGGGTACCGTCATCAGATTCATACACGGGAGTGAATGCTCGTAGTCGTTGGCAGACTCGCCTGTTGTTACGAGTTCACTTCCCATCACATCGCCCAAGTCTATCGTCACCGTTCCGCTCATAGTCCACACACAGGAAGTCACTCTCTTGGTATTCACATTCTCGTTGGTTCTATCATAGCTGTTCATCAGACCGCCATCATGGACCTTTCTGTACCTGTCACAGCACGAGACTCCCACCATCGATATCGGTATCAGCCAGATTGGCACCAGCTCGAGCCTCTCCCTGAAGTTGTCGTCGATTACTCTGTAGAGCCTGGTGGCATGTAGGAGCGCTGATACGTCGCTGGTGGACAGCTGGCTCATCAAGGTAATTGTAAAAGTTATGACTCGACGCGTATCATCAACAGTTTATCGGTGTAGACCAACTGCTCTTGTTTCTACCCTTGTTGACGTCCATGTCCTTGGCTGTAGTATTAAGTGTGCTTGGCTACAGGGCTGAGGCGCCTGTGCTGTAACCTCGTCTTTTTGCTGTTTCTGTTTGGCATGAAGCCGCCTCATGCACATGCTACTAAAATATGTATGCACTCGACTGCAAAACTGGAGCATGGTACACTATTCGACAATGACCTTGCACTTGCTGAGCATGTATCGACTATCGACAACGTGGACAGAGGTCTGTATATATGAGCGTTGACAGCCTATCTGCCCAATTAACAGCCCGGCTAATTCCTTGACCCGAGAATTAGACTTGCGGTAGGGTTTTACAGTGTCACGCCTTGGATAACTTACCGGATTGGTAAGCTTAGCCATCCAGCAAGTTTCCCGCTCGAGATGAACTCAGTAAGCAAGTTAGAGGGTCAAGCCTAACTTAATTAACTTAATAACGGCGCTGAACATGAGTAGCGGATGACCCTAATTCCTGTAACTCATACTCCTCGCCCATAATCCCATTATCTGTATGTTGATGCCGCACCCAGTCGTCGTTAACTTCATCTCGGATATCAGATTCTGTCCTGGTAAAGGGGATGCGATTATTCTCGACATCCCCACGCTCAGATATAATGCCTCCCGCTGGGGTACCGTCGCTTGGCGTCGTCATGGTCACTGATGGTTTCTTGCTCCGCATAGTGATAAAATTGAGTTTGCGTAAGCTCCCGCGTCGACGGTCTAGGTCAGAGCGACGGAGATGTGGCCTGGTGTTGAGGAAGAGCATGCGCATCACAGGAATGGATGCCGCCATGATGGTGACGGCACATTCAGTGATACCCCACATAATAATTCCCACGCCAGCGTCTGGAAATGAAAGCCATGTCGTGAGAACTTAGACTTTGAAATGACCAAAGATGATATGTCAAGAGCACTTACAAGTGCGATTAGGGCTACCGAGGTCAACCATCTTGACACATTTGACGGCTGCAGTTACAGCGGCGCTAGGACTCGCGTCAGCAAAAAAACAGAGTGGATGCGAGGAAGACGCATACAAAATACCAAAAGTCAAGGCAATCCCAATGCCAATTTTCTCCCGTGTCCGCATAGAGAGTTTCCATATAATAAACCATGATAGGATACAAAGCAAGACGTCGATAAGCCCAGAGAACGCTGCTCATCGTGGTCAGTGAACAGTCAACACAGAAAAACTCAGAGTGTGGGAAAATTTCACCTCCGGCAAAGATATTGTAATAAGTAGTGACGTATGGATCCCAACATGTTCCAGGTATACTCGAGTCCCAGACCTTTCCTACTGGGGTGCACTTGACAAACGAAAAAATAATAACCAAGTTCATAACAATATTCATCGCCACGACAACTGTCCACAGAAGCTTCTTCATCCAGCTGTCGACGAGTCGAATCAAAGTCAACGCAAAGGACGTCTTGCTCCACGCTGCCGCAAAGACGGCAAAGAGGCTGAGGATCGTTGCCGTCAGGATGATAGTCGGCACATTCGCTGGGTCAACGTCCTCAATCTCTTTGCCGAAACCCAGCGTGACGATGTAAACGGCGAGGCCAGTGGCAATCGCAAGACTTGTCTGATAGTAAGGAAATCTCAGTTTCGCGTGTTCTTGTCACTCTGCGCGCTGATATGAGAGGAGTCAGTTTTGGAGTGTCTTACCCAAGCCGCTATAAGGACATGATCGTCCCACCAGAACGTCCTCCCGCGGGTGATTTTGCAGTACAAGCGAAGGCCCAGAAAAATTGCAGCAGCAACAGTCATGGAAGCGCACACTGCGATCACTGTGGGGCCGAGGTTCACAGATTGCACCATCACAACAACCAACGTAAAGGGAGTTTGGCAGCCTGCATAGGAAAGGAAAATGAAGAGGGGAAAGAGTGGATAACAAGGATTAGTGATCTCCGTGGGTTGTGCTGGGAGAACTCTTTGGCCCGCCCCATGGCAAAGTTTGAATACTAATCTGCCATTGCCCCGTGTGGATTATAATGGCTCCACAGTGTGGCTTTTTTTATGTACCGGTACAACTGTTCCTGAACCTTAAGAGGATTGTGCCGTCCAATGACCATTCTTTAGTGGCATAGGATCCTGGTTTGAAGAGGTGTGGCGTTCACACCCATTTACTCTCGTCTTTATGCCTGGGAATCTCGCTCAACTAGGAATCAGATTTGGACAATATTAGGGGAGATGATATCTCTATCGAATTGTCATTATTATGTATCAAAGGATAAAACGTCTCATTCATTGTCAACCAACCCAGGTCTGCACGCATTCTGCAGTCCCTACCAGTAGCGCTGCAGTTGTCAAATTTATCCCCCGGCTCACATCTTAGCCCAACACCTAGCGCCGTTACGAGTCATGGCAACAACCAGGTTCTGTCAGATGGGTAGTATTGTAACATAAGTTCCTTGCCATCAACAAACGGGGGATGGGTAGGGGGGCTTTGGGGTCCTATGGGATTAAAGGAGGAGGGCTTAAGGCAGATTCCCTCTCTCCCGGTCTCACGGGAAGGTTTATCTGCTACTAGCCTTTATAGCGCATCAGATTCTTAATAGTGCCGTCCCAGGCAAGACTTTCTACCCTATATACCTTTTTGAATTGCTTATGGATTCATCTAATAGACGCCTAGAGATATACCAGGGGTGTCCCTGGACTGCAGCTGATCTCCGGGGTTATAATACTGCAACCTTCATAGCCAAGCTGAAAGCAGACACTGAAGCCGCTGCGACTTCGATCATTACCGCTGGGAATGACGCAAAGCCTGCTGCTATGATCACTTCCGCTATGGCTGTCGCCGCTGCCACAATGGCTCTGTTGGATTCTGAGAAGGGCTTATCAAGCATTATGAACCAGCTAATGCGGTGATCTGGACTCACGTTCCAGGACATCTTGGACCTCGTCAAGACGCAGTGTTTTCGACAACATCTCGCTATCACTAACATCTGGCCTGCAGCAGTTCAGCAGCGAGATAGAGCTCCTTTGTCTGTTATCCAGCGCCGCCCAGCCGCCTTTCTGTCCGCTTACAGAAGAGCCTGCTTTCGCCCTGCAATCTTTCATAGGAGTCCAAACAGCTTGACTCTGATGCTATCTGTCTTTGTGACCTTGACATAGCGACGGGTCCATACACGTTGCGGACAAGCAACGCTTCTGCTAACGGCTCTTCGACGGAGCTTGTTTGCATCACCCCCTTTGTTCTCAAGGCTTATCCGCAATCATCACCCTGGGTGAGCTCAATAGGCATGAGTGTACCGATCTGCTCCCGCTTTAGGGCGCCATTGACACCTTTGGAGACAACTCACTCATGCATCGCAAATTCCTCACACCCGCAACTGCAGAGGCAGGCAAGTTCTGTGCATTGCCTGTAGTGAAGCTGAGTGTTAAGAACCACTCGGGTGACTACTTCAGGGTCCATCAAAGAACCAAGCCGACTGCGTCTGCTCTCACCCTGCGCAAGATGGATATCTGGATTATCGATAACGCTGAACATTTGGACTTATTTGTGACCGACTCCGAAAAGCTACCGTTCAAAATACCTCCTACCCTAGAGATTAGACCGAAGGGCAAGAATAATATCGAGTTGCAGCTGACGGGTGCTTACTCGGCTGGTGTACTCGAGATGGTTCGATCGGTCTATGTACATCACTCACACTTTGAGGAGTCAATGGTCGAATGTCGAGGCTAAGTTCAGCATGTTTGCCAGGAATGGGATTGCCAGAGAGGAGGCCGAGGTGCACAGCAAAATGAATCCCAGGTTTGCATTCGACTTTATCAACCGGCGAATCAGCCTCAAAAGTATCCACTACCGGGCCGTCACCGGCGAGATTGTATCAGTTGATAGCGGTCCGTTACCCTCCCAGGGCGGAGAACAATGTACCATCGATGAAAACAATAGAACAAACGATTACACGACCGTGACAGAAGGTTGGCTGGCTTGTCTTGAGAGGGAAACACACACGACAGAGAAGGTGGTTGCTTTAGAGTTCACGGCCAACTAAAGTTGGGAAGATGAAATCATTACCTACGAACCTCGATGGTTCCCTACGAACCTCGATGGCAGGAACCGAACTTGGATGATTGATGATGCACTTTACCTTTGTAGGCAATCACAAAGGTCACAAAGGTAGTGAGTGCATTAGAGAAACAAAGTTCAATCGCAAACCTTGCCTGCTTATGTGACTCATCGCGACCTGACCAGGGGGTATAAAGTGGCTCTCAGTCCTCCTGGCCCGCCCCTAGTCATCTTCCCACTTTCATCACCGCCTCAAGGCTTCAAGCGCAATGTCGAACAGCTCGCTCAAGTCGAGTGCCAAGGACGCGACACAAGATATCACATCGATACCATGGCAATCGTTTTCTATCCTATCTCCCTATCTCACTACACGCATCTCAACGATTGGGGATCCAACTATACCCGACGAAGAAACACATAAACGAGAGAATTTTGATTATGATCCGAGGTATCTCGAAACACCTTCGTTACACTCTTTGCCAGAAGAAATGCCGAATCTCATCCGGCAAGAGTTACGACATATCTTCTTTGAAGTAACGGCCCTATACTTACGCCACGAAGACGACTACAAAATCGAGTGGCGTCGAGATGCAAGCATGACCTGTGTCGATAAGCGACACCAAATCATTCAGCCAAAGAGAGTCTATCAGTTCTTGAATAAAGAGCTAATAGTATACTTCGAAACGCAATCGGTTAGTGGCTCCTATAGTGCCAAGATCGCTCGCTACATCTACCGAGAGTGGTTACATCTGCACCATGGGCGGCCGCCCTTTCAACGAGGCAGCTTCTTCGCCAAAGCGGTACAGATCAGCAAGAACGGACCTCAAAACCTAAAACAGCTTTCAGCCTTCCATCACAGGATTTGTCAACGACTATCAGTTCGCTTAGACGATCTTGTCGATTTCTATCCAGCAACAAGGCCAACAACATCACGACCACTTTTCTTCGAGCCGATCCCCAGCAGAAAGATACAATCGTGGCGAGACAGCGGCTATATCTTACGCCATCTATTCCGTGCGCTATATATAGTTGTTGACAGTCAGGCTCTAGCAGAGCCTCGAGAGCCAGACCCTATCGAACGAGATCACGATGATCCAAATCTCTACCTCGAAGGCATCCATAACCGGTGCTTATCACGCTGTACTGTGCTATTAGTCAAGACAGGTGGTGAGGCGCACCTTCACTCTCCCATCAGTTTCTTACCCCTATTCGACGCTGGACTAGCATTAAATGTTAACCGTGGGGACTATCATAATAATGGAGAAGAAACGGTGGTGCGCGTCAAGTTGGATGTTGCCGTACGTTTCGTATGGGAACTCTTATGTAAAGAGGAGGAAGCCCTTGAAGAGGTTGGACAATTCGCCGAGGGGTTAAGACAGGAGCAGGACGCATTTTGCAACGCGTGGGTAGAAAGGGTCATGAGTCATTCTCACCAAGTTGGTATTGACAACAACGGATATACATGGCTGGCTATTCGCCGGGCCCTGGCCAGGATGGACAGCGAGGCTTTCGAGGAAGATCAAGTCAACCCGATGTGGGAGGGCGTAAGGTGTTGGATATGATGAGAGTGAGATCTCTAGTAGGAGCTTCGTTATGGCGAAGCGAGTCTTAGGTTGCTCATCTTTACACGGTCTCGCTATTTATTACGTGACAACCATGTACCATTATGCACTACAATCGAGATGGGTGACCCTATTTCTTTATTCCAGAACGATGAGTTGGACCCTCTTCTCTATGATCTGGTCCTGGAATCGACTGTTAGAAGGGACGATTCGGCTCTGGCCCTGATAAGATTAACGATTTTGCGGCCGAGGGGCTTACAAGCCTCTAGTATTCCGGTGAAGTCATCCTGATTAAGCAGTTCCCAGCTAGCCCAGTTGGGGGCCACTCGGTCTCTCAACACGGGGCCTAAGTCGCAGTTCACACAAGAGTTATCAGCCTGTGTACAAGAAGAGGGCGAGAGGCTGCACGGGAAAGCCCAGGGCTAGAGTTGCTCAATGTCCGGATGCTAGCAACGATGAAGTTGATTATTGCGACAATAGCTACGAAGACGGCAGGCATTAAAAGAACACCGAGACCAACCTAGGTCTTGATCATGAGAGCTATCATACTAAGCCATCCAGCCCGGGATATCTTGGTTCTTGTCAAGTTCACCTCAGCCGTTACTTGAAACTATGTACGTTGTGGTAGCGGGGTTCGGTTTCAGTAATGGCACAACCAACATGATGTGATCCACGGATTCTAATGTATTTTCTTCAAATAATTCACGTGCATGCCACAGTATGCGGGCGACATCTTGGCGTTTGGCATCAGCCAGCTTGGAATCCTTGGACATTGTGAAAATGACTCGGCAAGTTGATTATAATGTCCTGGACCTCAGTAGTGCAAAGACTCAGACATATGAGGTGCGACGGAAGAAGTCCAACCACCTGAAGTAGCGTCGGCCTCTTCATGCCACTTGGGTTGTGTTTTTCCAACTACCTCATAACTTAGTCCTCGGTTTTAAAGGCAGTCCAAAGCGAATACCAGATCCGTCCACCTGCTCGCTCGCCTGACAATCCCTAACTACCTAGTCGTTGATTTCATATCTTGTTGCCAAGCTGAAAACCCAATACTGCTTTGGCAAATTTGGTCTGTATAGATATATTATCGAACCTTCATAGCGTCATGGAAACATTCTTGGCTCTTCACCTCCCCCCGAAGTCGGCCATCGCTATTGCCCGTCAACTCTGCCGTCAACTCTGCGACGAGATCTGGCCGAGTCTCTAGCTCATGGCGACGACCTATTGGAGCGATGCGACATTTCGACTCTCGCCGACTCGGTGGCCCTGCCTGGATATCCCGACGGATATCATGACGATGATGGTATGCCATTCCTCGCGAATCTGCGAACCTTGAAACCGAAAATTTGCTGACGAGCCTCGTGTAGATGACGACACGGTTCCTCGTATCGATGACGACGACACTGGTGGCCTCGATCTACTCGAGAGTCAGACTCTCGAGACCAAGACTCAGGTGCCTCTGCCACCTATACACAGCAGCACCCACATCTTCAGCAAAGCCCAAAAACAATTGTCCGACCCCAACACGCGACTCATCCACGATGTCCTCCAGCTCATTGCTGGTCTTGTCGCCAAAACCAGCCTCAGACCCGCTGCCAAAATCCTCGACCCTCTCTGGTGGACGCCAGGCTTGCAAGAGATGCGCATCCGCACAAATCTCCCGCGCTCTGTGGGTGGACAAGACGTTTACATCCCCCTCCACCATCCATCCAGCTCACCGAACTGGAGCCTCGCTGTTCTACGCCCGGGCAGTCGAGTGCTGGAACACTACGACTCCCTACATAGCTCCCATCGCGATAATCTCGTCAAGGCAAGCTTCGATGTCTTATAGCATGAGCTGAAGCCCCCCTCTGAGCTTCGTTTTCGTGCCATGGTACGTGCCTGCCGTCTGTGTCTCTCCTCCTATCTATACTGATTGTAGCTTCAAGCTTGGTTGTCCTTAGCAAGCCGACGGTGTCAACTGCGGCGTGTTTGTCTTGTCCATCCTCTCTCACCTACTCAACAACCAAGCAGTTCCCAGCACGCTTGACCCGATTGACGAAAGACGGAGGCTGGCTACACTGGTATCATCGCATAGACCCTCGCATGAACCTCTCCCTACGCGAGCTAAGATATCAGGAAGATAAGGACGATAGAATAGAAACATTACAATACCGGATCGCAACGTCCTTGAACGACGTCTACACTTATTCGCCTTTAGCTATTTGTCGAATTCGTATCCTTCTACTGGCCACTCTTTGTTTTTAGTACCAGGTTAAAATTTATAAAGCATTGAACCACTTGGATGAAGCTACGGTTGCGTTTACGGAATATGCTCGGGGAGCGTTCTTATCTCAGGACCAGAACTTTATTCATTCTTTGTCCTAGCCGTTATGGAGGCCTAGATAAACTGAAAGCGAAACTTCCGGCGGACCAGTCTCCAGATGTTGCTACAACAAACTTGGCCCTTTCTAAGTATGGGTGAACAACTGATTCTTCCTTACGATATTAGCTAATAACTCGCAAGCTTTATATTTCTTGGCGACCTAGCCAAGAAGAACGTCTTACCTTTCTTCCCAGATCTAGATGAGAGTATGTTTATGTCATTTTTCAGTGTTGAGGCCTTTACTGTATTCGCTATACAGGCAGAATGCATCAGATTGAAGCAAAGAAGTGCCGCATTTCAGTGTTTCAAGACACCTCTCAAGTCTCTGGCAGAACTCCCGTGGCCTTTAAAGGAGTTTAAAGACCTGAGATCGCCCACAAGTCTTAACACGGGTGGGGTTTTCTACGATCACCTCAAACTTCAGTGTTTTTAATCTTTAGCGAATGTATGCTACCTCGACATGCCTGAGTATCGGAAATCTCGCCATTTCAATGTTCCCGGCCCGCAAAGGCGATTTATTCCGTATCTAACGGAATCTCTGAGAGCTTTCGTTATATTTTCTGTTGCATCCCTCCACGACTTCAAGCAATAGAAGAGCTGGAAAGAAGACGAAACTTGGATTTGTACGTGTTTAAATGACCTCGGAACCTAATATTTAACATCAGTTAACAAGAATCAGGGATGAATGTAAGCTTCATTACCTAGCTGACGCCTGCTTCTTTGACTTATACGACGCCAAGGAATGGGTTAAACTCGCGAGAAGCACTGTTAAGCTTTATAATCCGGCTGAACCAGATGATCCTCGATGACTTCAGGCAAAGTTGATACACCGATGGAGTGAGCTCGAAAGTATGTCAAGGCTGAAAGGTTGCGACTCTACACCGGCCTAAGACGTCCTGAATGCTGAGGACTTTGCGTTAACGCAATCAGTCGGCCACGAGTGCGTCACTCAAGTCTCTACTTATGGCCTAGAAGCTCAAAGAGCGCCTAAATGTCAGCTATCGTTCACAGACTGCTAACTGACATAAATTGTATGCGCCTGGTTTCATGCTTAAGCTGCAGCGAATTTAACCATCGAGTCAACCAAGATAAAGACAATGATAGTGTATTCAAATTTAAGCCTAATCGAGTTGTAATTCTATGGAGTAGAACATGTAAATTGACTCTTATATTGAGAAATCCGTGGAATCATTCATAACTAAGTCTGTTGCCAGCGCACGTAGGCTGACAAAGGGATAAGCCAAACTATAAGCTCCAGGGCGGGGCCGATTTGCCAGCCGCCGGACTGAATCTATCTGATAGGCAAGCTGGTTACAGAAAACTACCCGAGGTTCCGCTATTTCACCTGATATTTTCCCATTGAGAGTAGATCTAGAGCATATTGAGTACAGAGTAGGACTGGCCCTTGGGTTCATCTCACCGAGGCCGCCACAATGCAGTTCATTTCTACAAACACGACTATTCCCGTACCGCGAGTGCACTGCTCGTTCGTCTGCAATAACCGCGCCTACATTGTTATGGAGAGTATACAAGGCTCTGTCCTCGCCAAAACGTGGATGGCGCTGTCTGAGATTGATCGCGAGACGGTACTTGAATGTTTCAGGCCTCATCATGGTGGGGTTGAGTCACCATCTGCATGTAGGCGGACATGGACCCTCAAGGTGAGGCAGACGACCAGTTGAGTTCTGCGCGAAGAGTCAAAATAAGCTCTGAGCATGGCCATTTTTTTGAACTTATCCAAGGGTCTCCCTGTTCGCACTCTCTTTCCTCCTTTTCGTCGCAAGGATTGTCAATGCAGAGCGAAGAGTGACACTCTGGGTATTCCAAAACCTTTGCCCCCCAAACCACAATATCGGAACCCACGATGCCATGGCTGCGAGAGTTCCTCAGCCGCCTAATGGAGAACTGTCGCTTGAGCATCTACAAGCCCCCCCGTCCAAGGCTGAGCGGGAATGAAATCTTTTCCAATGTCCCTACCGAAACAGTCCTTGAGATCAGCATGTATCTCGACGAGGTCGACCAAGCCGCCCTGGCGCTTTCGAGCCGACGGCTGCTGTATATGATGGGCACAGAAACGCTGCAACTTGAAGAGCCGATGCGTTTCGAACTCCTTGGACGCCTGGAGCGAGACGGGGTTTATCTGATGGACATCCTGTGTTCTATATGTCGTCGCTTCCATCTTCCGCGATTGACCGACGGCCCGACTTCGAACGAGACAGAAGCTGCCCGTCCTTGCTATTACTACGGAAACAAATGGATCCAAGAAAGTACGGCGTCGCGCAACCTCCCGGTCGGCATGCACTTCGACATGGTGGCGGCAGTGACCAGAAGCATTCGACACCAGGCCTTATACTATAAGTCACACATGATTTACAAAACGGTTCGCTGGGTTTACGGAAGTAGTGAGTGCAGACTTGCCACGACACACACGGTACGAGTTGTAGACGGGCATTTTCTAGTCCGAAAAGAGAACTGCCTCTACCCTGAATCTATCAGGTCCGCCTCTCTTTGTAGCGTACCGAAACTTCAGAGGATGTTGGCTCGTCTCGAGCAATTTACTACTTGCTGCGAGCACGTCAAGTGGGCAGACACGGTCGATTTCCTCTTCGATCCGACTCTGAAGACGTGGCCCCAGCACGTGTGTCTATGGACGCATCCCGAGCAATGCGAATATCCTCGATTTGAAGGCCTGTGTCAACAGCCTGTGGCCAGCGTCCTGCGCAAGGTTTACTCATGCCGGGTGTGCTATACCGACTATGCCATCGGCCGAAGGAACCTTGTGGGAGGTTTAACCACGATTACCCTCACCTCATGGAAGGACCTAGGATGCGGGAAAGACGTCGAGGACCGTGTTTGGAAGTCGCATCTCAGCCGTATCCCAGGTTACAAGGTTGTCCCCCGTGATGGACCGTCGGGTGAGATTTGGAGCAGGTTCGAAGGATCGAAGCTTCTTCGTGTGCCTCGGAGTCAGTGTTGACTGGGGAGGAGGGAACTCGACATGTCAACAAACAAACGATTCGTCTCTCTCTCTCTCTTTGTTTCTCTCTTCTCGACAACCACACGCACACGCACACACGCACACACACAATGGCCTCAGATGACTCGACGGCACCGCCTGTCCCCCCTCCGCCCACCGCCGCGCCTGTGCCTGTGCCCACCACGGGGCGAACTTTTGGCTACGCCGCTTCAACGGTGTCTTCGAGACGTCGGGTGCCCATCCCCGCCGCGTCTCCAACAGGGTCTCGGCAACCTTCCCCCTCCCGGCCCCGCCTCCGCCCCCGCCCCCGCCCCCCGGCCGGTTCGGTGGCCGGCCCCGCCTTTTCTTCCGGCCGCGCGTCTGTCTCGGTTGCGGGCTCTGGCCGTCCGTCTCCCTTGCTTCCGGGCTCCGGCCCCGATCTTTCGCCTGTCCCGGGCTCCGGCCCCAATACTTCAACTGTCCCGGGCTCTGGCCCTGCGTTTCCGCTCGTGCTGGGCCCCGACCCAGCGTCCTCCTCCCTTCCGGGCTCCGGCCCTCCGCCCGACACCCCCGCTCCCGCTCCCACTCCCCGAGTTTCGACACCAATCTCTTGCGAGGGGACGCCCGACCCTCCAGCGCCCCCAGACTCCCCCTCCGGTGACCAGGACCAGCCTCACCAGCCCAGCGAGCTGTCGACTAATGGGCTCGCATTTGCGTCTTTTGCCGTGGGCGTCATCGGGGCCAATGTCGCCGGGCTTTACGCCACCGACCTAAGCGAGCCACCGACCGAGACAGGTGGATGGAGGTGGTCCCAGTCCCTCCTCCTCCTCAGCAACGCCATGGCAGGGGCAGCCACGGTGCAGTCTCTCGTCTCCTACCAGAGGGGCAATGGTAGCCTCCACGGCCCACTCCACGAACGATAGGAAGACGTCGCGGGTCTGGGCATGCGGCGGTGGCTGGCGGTGGCGGTCCTCTTGACCGTCTTGGCCATGGTTATATGGCGAGTGGATGGATCCCCGGCCGGTTGGGTGGCCGTGGCGACCTTGGTGGTGTTGCTCCCAGTCATCTGGTTCGAGCTGGTTTTGGCAGCCTGGGCCCGGCTTTGAACTGCCCCCCTTTTTTGTCTCTGTCCGTCTTTGTTTCTTTGTCTGTCTTTGTTCGTCTGTCTTTGTTTTGTCCGTTTTTTCTTTCTTCTCGTTTTGTTGTAGACTAGGTCATCGAGACAATTGATATTGATTGAGCAGTCGCCGGAACTGTCTGTTTCACCTGGCACAAAACTCTTGTTTGTGCAATCCAACTACCAACAAACGCGAGCAACCCTTGCGATACGTAGATTAGCAATCAATCGCCTGCTATATATCTGCACCTGTAACCCTCGTGGCGTCAACAGTAATACCACCCACCCTTTATGACATCGTCACCACTACAGAACGTCTTACAAGGTACGTTCCGCATGTCTAAACATCATGTAACTCCTTCAATACTTACCCTGGAAATTTTATGTCCATTAAACAAGATGGTGATGAAAAATTTGTACTGACGTGACCGTATTTCTTCCAGTCATCTAGTGCACCCCTTCCCTCCTTTGTACTCCCTGTTGGGTCATTGAAGTCAAAGTTGTTGTACGGTTGCAGCTCGGCATTGGTTCGCATGGCGTTGTAGCCGCTGTCTTGATCAAGGTTCGTGACGTAGGCGTCTGCGAGTATATTGTCCGAGTTGGAGCCTCCTTGGACACGGCCGTTGTGGTTGTGGCTACGTTTGGCGCAAAGGCAAAGAGCGCACCAATTCTGTCAGCGTATTGGCATCCGTAAACACCACCTTTTATCCACTCATTCTCGGTGGACTCTGGCTTGACATTTGTGGTGTTTGGCCAGTACGGATCTGTATACATGCCAGAAAAGAGCTGGACATTAGAGTGAGCAGCATTGAATCGCCCACAAAAGTAAATCTTGAAATCACCGCCTGCAAGGTTTAGCATGTCTGCATCCCCGGAAATTTCGATCTGGCTACCTACCGAGAGCCCAGCCTTCTCTGTAGATGCCGTAACCGCTGTACCAAGTTCCGTCTGGGCTGCGCTCCAACTCTCCGTTGCTGTACCATTGCGTCTCCTTTCCCCGCGTGGGGAGATAGTGGCTGATATCAACGAGTACGTTCCGGTCCTCGTTGTCCGGGAATTGGTATTTCATAATCCCGACATGCTGACTGGCACTCATCTCGGCCGTAATGCCATTCTTCAGCCCTGTTCTGTAATAGCCGACCTGGCAACGTCGTGACCGACCCTCTGTTGCATATAGGTCAAGTTGTCGAGCACATTGACACCCTCAATTGATGTGAGGGGCATCTGAGGGATCAAACCATACGTCGGAGCACCTCCTGTTCCGCTCACGTGCAGTATCGTGATGGCGGTGACGTTGCCCTCCGGGGTGTAGCCTGCGTTAGCTTGATACCTTGTGTCCCACCTAGTCGTGTCAATGCCGACTTTGACTGCCCCAAATGGAAGTGTAGCTCCCGGAAAGACATTTCTGCCTTGATATGCCGATCCCGGGGTTGGGCCTTCAGTGCCTAGGAATGGGTTGACGTAGGATGTTAGGTCTTTGCCCTCAACTACTCGGGCTAGTTGGACAAGAGCTGCTAGGCTAGCCAAAAGATATCGAGGCTTGCTCCTCATGTTCACGGGTTTGGCGTCTCTATGTATTTGAGACCGGTAGAGCATCTCTCACTTGCCGACGAACCGGCCCTTTTATGCTATGTTTCATGTTGCATTCGGGCGACGATGCCCCGAACATAGTTTGGACCGGTGATCTCGTCTCCACTTTGAACAGGAGCCAAACGTTAAAAACTTGGAAATCAAGTAGCACAATCGGCAATTGAGGGTGTCGATCCTTATCGTACCTAACCTCAACAGTTCGGCTAACAGGGGTGATAAATCCTTTTTTTACAAATTTCACCGGTTGACGGATACTGACGACTCAAACTTCAAGCGTCACTGGTGTTGGTTATTTGTATACTAACACTACTTAATAAAAGCTTAATATGACTCCGCCAACTTTATCACACTTCCTTCTCTAGCGCAGTGGCTGGCTGGCTGAGCCTATCAGTAAATATTTAATATTAATATAATTACTTACTTCTTTTTAGTAAACGAGTTCCTGCCTTAGATGATTAGATAGAAATGCAGCATTTTATTACAATTACTAGTATAGCTAGCCATATTATAGTAACTTTTATGTTAATTATAGTTACTCTAAGGCGTCTGCTTTAGCATCTAGAATCCATAGTCTCTCTACCTGCTGTAGTGATGCTATTTAGTTTATTTAAGGTTAGCATATTGAGTAATGATTTGCATCTCCCCACTAACACATATATAGGACATCAACGGCGTCTAGTTACGCGTTAGGAACTCGCACATGTCAGAAAGTCTATAATTATCTTCTTTGTCTCAGGGCCAGTAGCGGCCTCCTCCTAAGAACAGATATGTTGCTGTTCAGGAGGGTCCTCGCCCAAGCCATAAGCTCCTATCTCCAGCTCCAAACCACAGCCAACACTTAGCAGTTAAACCAAACAAATTCCGCCACGGATGAACATCGAAATCTTCAGTTTGCATAGATGTCGTACACAGGAGATCCAGAGTTAGACTATCTGTTTCGAACAGACCATCTTTCTTCAAACATGGTGCGATTGTGCATGAAGCAAAGGACATTTGTTCCGGCCTCGATCAACCAATCGTGACAGCACAGAGCGAACCGCAAAAAGAATTTGCTGCTTTCGGCAATCCGCAATGCCGTCATTATTCAACGCCAGCTTGACGACCTAAACCACTCCGTACCTTGCACCCTCTTACTCTGAGGAACTGTCATCCTTTCCAAGGACATGATCGCCAGGGCGCTCAGGTACAAGGAACACGGCGAACGAGGTCGACGGAAGTGAGATGCAAAACATGGCGAAGGCTACGATGAGGTTGGTAAGAGGAGCAACCTTGGCGGCACCAACACCGAAAGCTAGGCATGATCCAAGAGATTCGAATGATCGAACGAGAGAAACGCTAAGTGTAAGAGTCTCGACATCGTCAAAGAAGGTTCCGAGAAGCCAGTATACAAACATGTAGTGAGATTCGTTCATGAAGCTGCTGTTGTCAGCCAGATCCTTGGGGACGTTAAAAGAGAGCCATACCGAAGAAGAACCTGAACAGCAAAGCCACGACCAAATCCGGGTAGATCCCAGTCCAAGGTGACAGGAGGATCAGCCTTGCGATACTCCAACTCCATGGCAAACTGCCAACCGAACAATGCGGTCATAAAAATCCCCAAGAAGCACCACGTGATTCTAGCGAGCTGTGGTCGGCTAAAAGTCTTGAGATCAAAGAACCATCCCCAGAAAATGTTGGCAAAGGTGGCGGCGATGCCGGAAGTCAACGAGGCCAGAGCACGAGAGCGGACGGAGAAGTAGTTGACAAGGTATAGGCCAAGGTACGTGCTGTTCCAGTTGAAGCCGACAAGAATGGGAACGAGAAGGTAAAATTGCTTTCGCTTCAACAGCACAAACCACTTCTTGAACTGGTCCTTGATGCTCTTGTTCGTTTTGGTGTGTGGGAGCTTTGAGCCATCAGGACGGATGACTTTTTCCGGTGGGGATATCAGAAGAGCAAGGGGAAGACCAAGGCATTGAAGAGCGATGAGAACAAGGTAGGTGTTATATCCGACACGACCTCGCTGTCCTGACTTGACGTTGAGAGACAGTTGGATAGAAGAGCCGATGAGTTGACCGAGTTCACGCAGTCCGAGCCAGATGCCGGCTATCGGGGTCAGTATAGATCACCACGGGGAGTAGGATGCACTTACTGAACTTTCCACGATCTTTGACATCAGCGTATCCTAGAGCAATGGCCCCTTCAGACGCCCATAATGCGGACGCCGCAATTCCACAAGTGGCACCCCCAAAAAGAACGAACCATTCAACCCCATAGCGGTTGTTGGTGTAAAGAGCCGCTGAGTAAGGAGCGTAGCCCAGGGTGCCGAGAATGAGAACAGTCTTGAGGCCGATTTTGTTGGCAAGAATTCCAAACAGGGAGCAGCCAAAGACCATGATACCAAATGTGAGAGAGCTGGCTCCATTGACGAGGTATGGCTCTTGCTGACCACCAGCGCCAGTGTCTGAGCCTAGTCAGTATTTGATCGTGGATAAGTGGAAGTGACTGACTGTTGAGAGCATTCCAGATACCGGGTTGAGTGAAGGAGATTAATCCGACCACGATGACGTTGAACAGCGGACTGCGATACCAGCGAGTGAATCGCGACAGGGGTTTCGCGTGCTCCTCTGACGTGATATTCTGCTCGACTCCGAGAGACACCTGCTTAATACCGTGATCTCTATCGCTAGAACTGTCAATGGGGGCGTGGTCGGTCGCCATTATGGTTGTTCAACGCGGGAGCAGATACTTTGTCAATAATGCAAACAGAAGAATTCCCCATGGCACCTTGATGCGTCCAAATTTTAAACACGTCTCGCCCATCAAGAGTGGAGTGGATGGACTGAGATAACCGTATAAATTCCATCCCGTGATTGGGTTAGAAGGTAGATCTTCCGCCCAACGTTACATGGTCTAAGTGGACCAGTCTCCTCTTGGTCAATGTCCGGTGCTTTCGTGCTAGTCAAGGTCGATGGCGACATATTATTTGCCCCATTTTAGAGGTTTGAGTGGTAATATGCCTGAACGTACGACAGAAGGTTTGATAATTACTGTAAAGAAACAATGGTTGACTTGCTCGGTTGCTTTTCCAGGAAGCCTATAGCCACCGCTATACGTACCTAGTCTATGGCAGCACATGGCCCTCGGTAATTGTTACATCTCATGTAAAACTCAAGACACTTTTCTCATTCCTGAGCAGTTTCTCCAGTGCTTCACAACAATACTGGTGCCTCTCTCTTGTTCTTGTGAAATGACGTGTCTGGTTTCAATGACGTATTAAGGCTGAAATGGTCGATAATAATGACATCTGGAATAGATGCTACAAATGAATGATTACCAGCATAATGAAACTAATGGATGTTATACACTTGCTAGTCCAACGGATGTCGACCAACAGAAAAAAAACAGCTCGGTCGCTTTTGACACTCCTAGATCCCTTGTCATCAGGACCTAGTCCCTGTGTTTAGTACCGCCCTAAGAATTACCCAACAGTTTTGAAATACGGGCCATTGGGGAGGAGAATGCAGGTAGCATCTTGCTCTTTTTACGCCTAACGGCTGATGCAAACGCTTCTGTTTGTGTGAAGGTTCCGCAGCGTTAGATAGCCAATGCTTGAAATAGTAGATGCAGATCTTTGAATGTGGTTACAAATGTGGACACAAAGCGCTGTACGCTTGTGTAGTTCTCTGTATCAAGTTCCAGAACTTTGATGGCAGCGTTTTAGTTGGTTGAATGAATAGCTGGGCCTGAGAGAAGAGCTTCACGAATTACCTCGCCCTTCGATATGTTGCGTATAGTCATAACGAGGTTGGACAAGTCGTAACTGAGAAGCTGTCGGCAGATTTCGAGTCCATTCCCTGCTGTACTGCCGGTCACAATAGCGGTCTTGTCGGACAGGTGGATGCCAGGAGGAAGAGAGGGAACTGATGGTTGGAAAAAAGGAGGCATTGTAGGCAGACTTGTAGCGATTATGTTTTAGAAGTGCTTGTTTTTTTTTCAGAAAGTCGAAATGAAAGTCTTTGTGTGATGTGCTCGGTTGCTTAACATAGTGTTATCGCGACCTTAAGTCCTGTACTTGTTAATTGTGACCTGCCTTGTTTATGTGCTCGCAGAACGCATGAACTTTCAAACTCCGACAAAACGCCGCAAGCCCGCTCTACTGCAAAGTACGTTTGACGTGCCGTTTCGTCAAATTTAGAGGGGGGGGATAAGTTGGAGTTCTTACCTGTACTGCATATTTACCATACGTCACGTTCAAAAACGTTGTTTGTCATTATATTCCGCGCGGCGAATGGAATTAAGACCCCCGAAGCGCAACTCACCGCATTACAGTCGTTGAGATTGCATGCTCCTTCGTGACAGGGTCAGGGAGGACTTTGTCCAATTATTAACTATTGCTGTACGGAGGGTTGAGCAGGGAAAAGTGTAATCTATCAATGGCGCACTCCTCTTACATCCAACAGCCTAGACTTTTACCTTACTATATAACCGAATTCAAACTATAGCGCGAGGAAGAAAGCTGCTATGCATACTATGACAGGGACGGTTATAGAAATATAATTGCCAAACCTCGCCGCAGCTCCCTTATACACCCATAGCTCGCATTACCTATATATATCGTTATAATCCGCCGCCGAGTTAATAGCAAAGCTCTTAATCGAGTATGGAACCGTCTAGTATTAGCTACTATTATCAGTCCAATAACTCATCTTAAACTAGGAGTACTTATCTTCGTCGATATTATTACTGTTAATAATTTACTAGTAATTTGGAAATATATAGATATAATGTCACAACTATCATCAGACCACATCGCCGGCCCTGTGACCGCGATCCCGGTCCCTAGGACCCACAGGGCCCCGGCCCCTGTGCGGCGGCGACGGACTGCCGCCTCCGGCAGCAGCTGTCTTCATTATGTATAAAAGACGGGCTCTAGGCCCGTCCCTTAGCTAGAAATCAAGAGCTTCTATTCACATCACAATGCACCCTTCCTGTCAGATGCAACATACTGTCAACCTTTCCTTAGTCTTTTTCAAAAAAGGATCGGCCATTCGAAAGAATTTGTGGCTGTCCTATTACCCCAACACAACAAGAAAAGCCGCCTTGACAGCGCCACAAGACTTCAACCTGCTCCGTATGGCTGCATATCTCAACATTCCTTCAGTTGCTCGCCAACTTGAACAGGAAGGTGAGCTCGAAGCGCGATTGAACACCCAAGATAGCCAAGGAAGCACACCACTTGGACTCTCAATCGTAATGGGAAGCATGGACATGTTTGTCTTCCTCATGGAGCGGGGTGCGTGTCAGCCCTCCTACGGTGGAGAGAACTTGTTAATCCTCGCCTGCCGTAAGGGGAGTGTTCAAATTGCAAAATATCTTCTAGAGAATGGATACGATGCCAACTGTGCACAAGAAGAAGTTGAGTGGACGACATGGGCAGACGGGGCTACTCGGTTGTAAGTTGAAGACACAGCTTTTTGGCGGCATGGTGAGTGAGAGAGTATCCTTACTGAAATTCGACTCTAGCATTCACAGTTTGTTCTGTGAGGTTAAGGAATTCGCCTCCCAGAAAGACCAATGACGTCTCTACGCTAAATATATAGGAGAAGGGGAGACGCCCTTGCACTGTGCTTGCTTTTACGGCAATCCGTCGTTACTGAGCTGCTGTTCAGCCGAGGTGCTCGTGCACAAAAGGCAACAACTCAAGGTTGGACACCATTACACACCTCTGCTTGGGCTGGCCATGAAGACTGTGCAATGCTACTCATTAAGTATGGGGCAAATATCTTGGATGTCACAAACGAGGGCTGGAACCCGCTGCATTTCGCGTCATCGCAGGGGGAACACTTTTAGTCTCCCGGCTCCTTGAGATGGGAGTGCCGATCGACGATATCACCAAGGGGAAAACACCTCTTCACCTAGCTGCGCAGAAGGGCAACTTAACGACAATGGCGATTCCGATTGCCGCGGGCGCCGCTCTCGATGTTCAGTCGTACCAGGGCGAGACCCCGTTGCACCTTGCGGCTCGCAACATGCAACCGGAAGCTGTCGAAGTGTTGCTGGCCGCAAGTTCCAACTAGCGAATTACTAACAACAAAGGGGAAACCACATTTGATGCTATTGGCACAGTTGAAAGTGCGCTCATTAAGGAGTATTTTTTAGATTCAGAGAATTCTCATGACCTATGGTGACCCAGATTATATAAGTTCAGAAGTTCTTAATATTACAGCTGGAAGGTGGGGTCATAGAAATACCACGCGATTAGTAATAGTGCGCTCTGCGAATGGTAATATTTTAGATTTTTTGCACGTGATTTGATTGGTCATAAAATTAACAGCACCACGGAGTATTCGAACTTCTTGACATTTTTTATCCATTCATCTAAGCTCGCTCACTACCGCGATATCACTTAAAACATTTCTTTCCGCTACCCGAGCTGTTGACCTAAGACATTGTATCCTGTCACCGTAAGAGTCTCCTCAGAGGTCAGCGCAGTGAGGGAACAAAGTTCAACAAACTATATCCGGCAAGTTGTGAACCTCTTTGGTCCAGCCTTCACCCATGAGGCCATTATCAGCTTGTGGTGCTTGTCGGTCAGTTGCATATCATCCCTGTCAGTGTCCCAGCCTGTTACTAAATCATAAATCAGCGAGCGCCGAAAAAAATGTAGACGTGCCAGCCAAGGTTCAAGTTGCTACTTTTGCATCAAACGAGGCATGGACTGCTCTATCGAACAAAGTCCACCCATAAGAAACATGAAGGGCTATGAAATCCTCGAGGAAAGCCCAGACGGTGGCCCCCTTTGCCTGTTGAATTCTGTCATAGACGAGGCGCTTTCATCTGAGCTGGTTGGCCTCTACTTTCGCTACATTCATGTTGCTTTCCATGACATTTTTCATCAGCCATCTTTCGAAAAAGCCGTGAGAGATAGAACCATTCCAAAAATATTGTTCCTGGGGGTAATCAGCTTGTCTGCTCGGTTTTCGTCACATCCTACCTTTGCAGGCATTGAGCCGTCGGAGCGAGGGCGACCATACGCGAAAGAGGCTGAAAAATCAATGGACCTTCGGAACATGTCCCTTACCACAATACAGGCATGCATGTTAATGTCAGCCGCCTCTATAGTTGAAGGAAAGGTCGGCGAGGAGTCCGTCTTCCTCAGTGTTGCTTGTCGCATGGCCATGCTGTTAGACCTTCCAAATGCTGTGAGTCCCTGTTACCTAGAGAATTGGCTGTTCAGGTAATTCGAGCGTGAAGTCTTTGCTGCCAACGAGGAAACTTATGCACATGTCTTCGAAGCTTTAAAACTCAGAATATAATAATCGGTGTCGAATGATAGTGGAAGATGTATCATTCCTTACGACCTCAGCCCTGCCTATATTCAACGCCGAGCCACGCACCCGCTGCGGCGAGCTATCACATGCTTAATGGCATTGGCAACTGCTGACACTCAATTCTGACCGTATATCTTCGTGGCTTGGCGCGTTGTAACCACCCTTTGGAGAAACTCAGATTCTGGGATGGAGGCCTCCAGTCATAGCAGCGTAATGGCTCATCTTAAGGCTTTCAGCGGACAGTCAGTGCGTGCTGTGTCGTCAGATGTCCGCAAGGCTCCGAAGTTAGATTTGTGACTCCTCGCGCAACCAATAGTGCAGCGTAGCCACATACTCTAACTAGTTACAATTGTCATTAATTTCTGTAGAAATCACTCGGACTGACTGACATGCGGGCGCCACGGTGGAATATGTTTGTCAAAGTCCAGTTTGTGGAAGCAGGCCAAGCCCAGACACCTTCAAGCCATGGACTCAAGACTCCGCCGCGGCTGAAAACATGCATATAAACAAGGGTGCCCACTGCTATCTGAATAGTAGGAGATGGACAACCAGCAGTGGATCATGGCCCCCCCAAGCTCCCCAAAGCGATTTGCCTTGCTCGTCGGCATCGACCTGTACTTAAACGACGGCTCAAGAAATAATGAAAAAGGAGAACCACTCTCTCTCAGAAAGCTTCGAGGCTGTGTCAACGATGTTCGGGCGGTCACGGAGTTACTTCGAAATGAATTCCAACTGGAGGAGCCTCGCATCCTCACTTCTCCGCCGACCATGTTAAGCTCCACGTGTCCCACTGAGCCGACAGAGCCGACAGAGCCGACAGAGCCGACAGAGCCGTTAGATCGTCGACCCACATTCGACAACATCAAGAGGGAATTCGACACCGTGGCCGAGCAGGCTGGTCCTGGTGACCGATTTCATACCACCGCCTCCTTCACCCCCACGTCACTCCTTATTTGTAGTTGTACTAGAGGATTCCCCCGTCAAACCTCTCGAAAGATTGTCAAGTACCAAGGAAGCTCTCACTTTGCTAATACAGAGCAGCTACGAATATATTGGCCGATACAATCTGGGCTACAACGTCCCGTACACCGCCAACGACAAACGATGGATCCATCTACCTACTATTAGCAACTCGAGTCGAGGGTGTCTTAGGCCCAACTTGGAACTGCTCTATGATCACCATTGGGGTTTGAAGGACTTAAATGTGATATGGACCAAGCAGTTCCGAGGGGGGCAGGGAGACAGGTTCTGAGCCTACTACAGCTAATGCTGTTATAGGCGAACTTATCGAGCTTCTATTCCACCTTAGCCTCTCGATAAGTATGGAAAGCTTCTTGGATGGACAGCCTGGGTCTATACTGCTAGTATATTTTAGCAGTATCCTTAGATTCTCACCTAATTGCCAGGGCTGTGGTGAAGTGTGGAGAGGCGGGGTGAAGATTGTCTTGGAGGCCTTACTTCGGCGGGCCGCGCGAACAGGAATTTATCCGGGACCTTCTAATTGTGCTCAAATGGTGCTGGAAGTTCGTCCTCTTGTGGCTATACCAGCCCCGGGAGAACAAAATCTTTACACAACTATTGATAGATAACATCAATATTTAAAGTTACAATAACCGGAAAAGCGTGGTGAACTTGAATGATCCAGCAACTAAGCGGTCATTCTCAAATGGACCAGGTCCACAACTCCCAGAGCCAAGGCCGTGCTGAGCAAAATCCAAGTTGAGCACCGCCTCGTCAAGCTCAGTCAGCTCATGCGGGTGCTTGGATGCCTCTAGGTCGGCAGCACTGTGTTTTCTCAGCGAAAAGTTAAACGGAACATCCATACGCGCTTCCAGTCTTGTTCGTTGTTCCTTCGATGAGAACCTCGCCCAGCGCACATCAGCGCGGTTTCCGTTCTCCTGCGGCCACTCATAGTTGGTCTGTAGCTCATCGAGAGTCGCAGTCCATTCTCCAACCCGGCTTGCCTGCTTCTTGTCCCGGTATGACTCCCCGGGGCCTCGGCCGAACCAGGTAGCCGTGTAATTGTGCTTTGGCAAAGACAAGGTGAGGCCCAATCGAGGAATATACTTTGGATAGTTCCCTGAGAAATCACCCTTGGTGTGAATGGAGACGTTGTTGGCAGTAATGGAATAAGTCATCTTCGCGTCGCAGGCCCATTCAAGGGCGGGAGGTGCTACACGAACAGTCGCTTCCACCACAACGGCCCCGTTAACTACCTTCCAGCTAACGGCTCGCACGTGCATCTTGGTGTCTGAGAGACGAAACTTGGTCCACTCTGGTCCATCGCCTCCAAATCCGACGTCGTTCTGGGTCAAGGCGCGATGCAGGCCAAGCTGAGGGCCTTTGGACATAATCTTGCCGGCCTCGCTGGCCCACTGCAGGTTGCCACGGATCATGTCAAAACTGAAGGTGGACTTGAAACTCGGCCATGTTATAGAAAGGAGACCGGAAATCTCGTGGATGGATGGGGCTTCAGTTGATTCGGTCCCCGACACTGACAGTTGTGGGAGTGGTAGCTTATGGTCCTTGAATAGGGGGAGCTGGTCCCAAGCCACTTCGTGTCCTTTGTTTGCCCACGCCGTGTCCCTTTTCAGACGGAATTTAATGGTGAACCAGGTATCTTCGGAGCCCCATTGGTCGTCCGAGAGCTGGTCGGCAACAACCTCTTGCCCGGCATCAATTTGTGGGAGATCAAGAGTGACAGGCTCGCTGTTGCCTGACTCTCTGACGAGATGCCAAGAGGCGGACAAGTGGCCAAGGTCGATGAAGTCGTAGTGGCTCCTGACGTACAAGCTTCGGCCGTCAAGACGGACTGTAACTGGTTGAATGACCTTTCTGTATTCCGCAAGTCCAGGATTCCCCGTGTGATCAGACCATGTTAGACCGTCCATGGCGAAGTCGGCATCGTTAGGATAGTCCCCAAAGTCACCGCCATACGCGTAGTACGAGGTATTTCCCTCCTTCTTTAGAAACCCGTGGTTGCACCATTCCCAAATGAAGCCACCCTGCAAGAGCTTCTCGGTCCGGTAGAGATCAACGTAGTCCACAAGCCCCCCAGGACCGTTGCCCATTGCATGACCGTACTCGCACTGGATCAACGGCCGGTCCTGCTTTTCCGCCACGTGCATCTTTAGGTCGTCAATTGACGCGTACATGACGCTGTATATGTCGGTGGTGATCGCGTCGCGGTCGCCCTCGTAGTGGACGAGTCGACTTGGGTCCGCCTCTTTGATCCAGCGATACATGGCGGCCTGATTCTGTCCATAAAATGCTTCGTTTCCAAGAGACCAGAAGATAACCGAGGCGTGGTTTTTCAACCGCTCAACGAGCTGGACTGCTCGATCCAGGTACGCTTCGCGCCACTCCGGATTGTCCGATGTCCACCTAGCTGCGCGGCGGTATGACGTCTCCTGCAGTTCCATGCCACTCATAAGGTGGGCGTCCTTGATAGCCGTCCTCTCGATAGAATCAAATCCATGCGTCTCAAGATCTGCTTCAGCCATGACATAGATGCCGAGCTCGTCGCAGACATCGTAGAGACGGGGGTCGTTGGGCTGATGAGAGCAACGAAGAGCGTTGATGTTGCTTTGTTTCATCAAGATGAGATCTGCGCGCATGCACTCATACGGCACCGCCCTGCCATGAAGAGGGTGGTGCTCATGGCGGTTGACGCCGTATAGGATGATTGGCTTGCCGTTGACCAAGAAGTTGGAGTCTTTCAGCTCAATCCGCCGGAATCCCACCCGCTGACTGATGTGGTGGCCACCAAAAGAGAGGAGCACGGTGTATAAGACCGGATGCTCCGCAGACCAAAGCTGAAGCGCGCTGTCTTGCACCGTAAGGATACTTGTCTCGGATGGCTTCATCCGAGTTTCCTGTATCAGAATGCCATCTGGGCTGTTGAGCTTCATGACGACAGGCTCTGCAGCATCGCCTTGCACTGTGACAGTCGTGCGTAGGAAAGCCTTGGTCAAGCTTTCATCGACCTCGGGAATGGTGCTGAAATCGACAATAGCTTGTTTAGGCATGGCGAGGAGATATACATCCCTGAAAATGCCAGAGAGGAGCCACTGGTCCTGGCGCTCAAGGTATGATCCATCGCAAAACTCGTAAACGCAGACGGCGATTGTGTTTGGGGATCCCGGAGGTGTGAGGAACGTGGTGATGTCGAACTCGCTAGGGTTGCGGCTACCTTGACTGTAGCCAACCTCGATGTCATTGACCCAGACGTGGAATGCACTATCAACGCCCTCGAAATGAAGCCTTACCTGTTGGTCACCCCACGTGGCCGGAGTAGTAAACTGTCGCCAGTAGGAGCCCGTCTCGTTGAGATAGGGCACATTGGGAGGGTCAACGGGGAATGGGTAGTTGACGTTGGTGTAGAGTGGCCGACCGTAGCCCTGAAGCTGCCACATGCCTGGGACCTTGATATCATCCCAGACCAGGGGGTTTACAGTGTCCCATCCCGGAAACTCCAAGGGAGACGCATCGTGCCGGAACTTCCAAGTGCCAGTCAGGGATTTGTACTGACTCTTCTCGCGATCAAATCCCAGCGCCGTCCTCTCGCTGGCGTAAGAGAAGAAATTTGCCCTTGGGGCCAGGGTATTTCGGTGGAGTACTTGGAGGTTGTTCCAATCCGGCTGCTTGTTGGGGAAAGACATGATTGTCGAGAGTAAAAGCCTCGGTAGCTAGGTAAAGATTTATGGCGAAATACCTAGATATTGATAATAGAAACAAGCCCCGTGGAAGTCGAAACCGAAAGCTGATATAGATGATATGGCAGATTTTTACGTAGTAGGATGACGTCGATAACCCTTGCCTCGAATCCCTGATCATTCCTCATGTCATCCACAAACGGCTCAAGAGGAGGCTGGTTATTCTAAGTAACTTTATTCCCGGGTTGCGGTATATGACCCGTCGGGTATTTACGAATAACCGTCGGGACGAAGCATTGTGGACCTCCAAGTTACCCCACCAACAGTCAGCGGGACATTGATGAAAAGGAGTGAAGGCCATAGCCACCAAGTCTTTGTGCGATCGTGTCTCGAAAGAAGCCAGACATCGAGTATCTCGACTACAAACGAGTCTCCTGTTCCGTCACTCCCAAGATTTAGGCAAGGCGTGATGTCTGATGAGGCCATGATGGACCAACAGAATAACAATCAGCACCTTCATCTTCACTACTCCACGCCTGCCTCGCAATGGTCGGAAAGTCTGCCGGTGGGCAACGGCCGATTAGGCGCCGTGGTCTACGGACGGACTGACACAGAGCTTATGCAGCTCAACGAGGACTCGGTCTGGTACGGCGGCCCATTGGATAGGACACCCAAGGACGCCTACCGCATGCTCCCCGAGCTTCGGCAGCTCATTCGAGACGAGAAGCCCAGTGAAGCAGAAGCCATAGTCAAACAGGCCTTCTTCGCTTCGCCCGCCAGCATGCGGCACTATGAGCCCCTAGGCTCTTGTACTCTCGAGTTTGGCCACGAGATGTCTGACGTGACCGAGTACCGGCGCCACCTGGATCTCGCTACTTCACAAACAGTCGTTGAGTACAAACATCACGGCGTGTCGTACCGCCGCCATATCATCGCCAGCTTCCCAGATCATGTTCTATTACTGAGGTTTACCTCTTCGGAGCCAACCCAGTTCGTCATCCGATTGGATCGTGTCAACCATGTCGAAACTGAGACGAACGTATACCTAGACCAAATCACAGCACAGGGTTCTCGCATAGTTGTTCATGCCACGCCCGGTGGTGCGAACAGCAATCGACTGTGTCTCGTGCTCGGCGTCACTCTCGATGACGACCTGGGCAAAATCGAGGCCATCGGAGACTGTCTCGTCGTGACCTGCTGCTCCTGCCTCATCGCACTGGGAGCGCAGACGACATATCGTCACCCAGATTCCGAGCTCGCTGCTACAACCAACGTTGACAATGCGCTAGCCCAGCCTTGGGACCAGTTGCTTCGACGACACCGGGCAGACTACTCGAGTCTTTTCGGCCGGATGAATCTTCGCATGTGGCCGGACGCGTGCCATATGCCAACAGACGAGCGGATCAGGACAGCGCGAGACCCAGGGTTAGTTGCCTTGTATCACAACTACGGCCGTTATCTCTTGATATCGTGCAGTCGAGAGTCTCCCAAGGCGTTACCAGCAACACTCCAGGGGATTTGGAACCCCATGTTTGCCCCGCCTTGGGGATCCAAGTACACAATCAACATCAATCTGCAGATGAACTACTGGCCCGCAGCGCCGTGTAGTCTTCTCGACGACTGCGCACGCCCCGTCATCGATATGCTAGAACGCATGGCCGTCCGCGGCCGCAAGACGGCGCAACTCATGTATGGCTGTCGAGGCTGGTGCGCTCATCACAACACGGATATCTGGGCAGATACGAGCCCGCAGGACCGCTGGATGCCTGCAACCGTATGGCCGCTTGGAGGCGTTTGGCTATCTGTTGACATGATGGAAAGTTTGCACTACCAATATGACGAGGTGCTTCATCGGCGCCTCTTCCGAATCCACCAAGGCGCCGTCGAGTTCCTGATGGACTTTCTCATTCCTTCGGCGTGTGGCCAATATCTCCTGACGAACCCCTCCCTATCTCCAGAGAATACCTACATCACGGCCTCTGGAGAAAAGAGCATATTCTGTGAGGGCTCCGCCATTGATATGACCTTGGTTCGGGTCGCATTTACACAGTTTCTCTGGAGCATCGACATGTTGGGCGACGCCAGCGATCCCTTGCGCAGTATTGTCCAAGATGCCCTGCAAAGGCTCCCACCTCTGACTTTGAACGAAGCTGGACTCATACAAGAATGGGGCTTAAACGACTACCAAGAAGACGAGCCGGGACATCGCCACATATCCCACCTCTTTGGTCTCCATCCTGCCGATATAATCAGTCCCGTCAAGTCCCCAGAGCTGACAGAGGCGGCAAGAAAAGTCCTCCAGAGGCGGATGGATCATGGAGGCGGCCACACAGGCTGGAGCCGCGCTTGGTTGCTCAACCTCCATGCGAGGTTGTTGGATGCTGAAGCCTGCGGTGAGAATATGGATCTCCTTTTGGGGAATTCCACGTTGCCCAACATGCTGGACACGCACCCGCCGTTCCAAATTGATGGCAATTTTGGCGCATGTGCTGGCATTCTCGAGTGTCTGGTGCAGTCAACCGAAACAAAGACCAACGGTAACTGTGCTGTTGAAGTTCGGCTGCTTCCAGCATGTCCTAGTCGTTGGGAGAAGGGGAGGCTGGAGAGAGTGCGGGTCAAGCAAGGGTGGCTAGTATCGTTTACGTGGGAGGATGGCCACGTTGTTGATCCTGTGGTCATAGAGGGTACACAGAGCCGGAGCTTCGATGCCCATGTTGTATTTCCAAACGGGGACAAGGCCATTGTTGAGGGGAATCAGGTGGGAGAGCACTATGTTCGGGGGAGTAGGGCATAGACCAGACCTTGTCGCGTATTCTTATTCTAGTAGAAGAAAGCGTTCGAATGTCTATTGAATCACTGTACATAATGCGTGGTTGTGTCAATGGGTGTGTGACTGTGTGTCGTTGAAGTTGACAAGGTAAATCACGATTAATCCTGTAACTATCCCTACCATGGCTGAGAAGAAGTGACGAGAGGGCTCGGATGGCGCAGACTCCATAAGGATAACCCTAACCCGTCTTCGTCTCGCTTGTTGCTGCTTCTTAGCTTGGATGGGTTGCTAACCCACCGTCATGGCCATATCAACCGACGGATATTTAAATGGATGGGTATTTGGAGTGGAGATGGCTATGAATCAATCTGGCGAATCAAGTTCAAACCAACAGGTAACCGTAACCGATTCCATTGTCCGGGGCACGCCGGGACATACTCCAGACCTCCGATCTGACCCCGCAAAGTGGTGCGACTTGGCCCCATGGGGTTCCTCACGAGAGGACCCCTGCTACTTCCGAAATGGAATGGCTGTGTGCATCAATGGTTGACAGATGCATGGTACCACAAATTACAGCGGCTTGAGCAATGGCGGGGTTGTCGAAAATGATAAATTCAGTTCATGTCCTCGTGCAAAACACTCAATGGAACGCTTATATCCCTCTCAGCCTCTTATTCCCTCACCTTGACCAAGTCTTGCAACCCGAGCCATCATGGACCCTGAGAAGATGAGTCCAGGCCGACTGGCCGACACTTCAGTCATCTCTGCCAACCACCAACATGCACGAGAAAAGGTTGAGGACTATCAAATCGAGGCTGTGGTGAAGAAGTTCAGCGAGGTCAACACCAACACCTTGTCCCACGATGCCCTGACCTGGAAGTCCAAAGCCGTCCGCCGCCTTGCTCTCGTCATCTTTATCCAGGGCCTTAGTTTGTACCCCCATCCCCGAGATTTGTCTCTCGCTCAGGAGAATCACTAACACCCCCCCTTCCCATAGGTGTTGCTGCATTTGCCATCGATGGCAACATCATTGGCAGCATGCCGTCCCTTCCCGCCTTTAGAGACTACTTTGGAGTAGATACGAGTGGTTCTCGCATCGCCATCGTCATCGCCGCCATGTCCATTGGCAACGCCGTCGCCAGCCTGTTCCAGTGGGTGTCCGATATTATTGGCCGTCGAGGCACTGCCTTCGTCGGCAACTGCATCCTGATTGTCGGATGCATCTTGCAAGCTGCCGCTCCTAACCACGCTACTTTGGTAGTTGGTCGCCTCATCAGCGGTGCCGGTTGCTCCTTGAGTGCCACTGTCGGTCCACTGTATATGAGTGAGGTCGCTCCATCGGCCTATCGTGGTCTGGCTGTGGGCCTGTATTGTTCGCTCTATAGCATCGGTGCAATCGTCATTGCGGTTGTGCTGCTTGGCGGCTCTTATATGTCTGGAGACTGGAGCTGGCGTATGCCCATGATCTTCCAGATAGGTCCTCCGCTCATCGTCGCAGCTCTCATCTACCCTCTGACTCCAGAATCTCCCCGTTACCTAGTCTACAAAGGCCAGATCGAGAAAGCTAAGCAAGTAATTGCCCTGTATCACACCTCGAGCGAGTCTCTCGACGACCCCATTGTTGCAGCCACGGTGAAGCAGATCCAGGACTCCCTCGAGACGGTTGATACGAGACCTTGGGATTTCACTGAGCTTTTCAAGACCAGGAGCGCAAGATACAGATTATTCATCATCTTTATTTATTCATTTTATCAGCAGTGCAACGGCACAGGTAGGCCGCCCCAAACCCCCTGGCAGCCATCTCCCGAGTCCAGTTAACTAACACATTTGCAGGCATGCTGAACTACTATCTTCCCCGCGTCCTTGAGCTTGTGGGTATCACAAACACTCAGCATCAGCTTGCTGTGAATGTCGGCATGACTGTAGTCTCTTGGATTTCGACTGTTGCTGGTGCCACAATCATCGATCGCGTTACTCGTCGATTTCTCCTGCTCTCTACGTTGGGGGTCTTCATCTTCTTCCTGGCGCTCATGTCTGTGGCCGGTGGCCTTTTCGAGAATGGGATAAAACAGACTGCCATGGGTATATGGTCAATTACCCTTGTCTATCTTTTCCAAGTGTCCAATGGACTTCTCGGTTCGTTCACCAAGCAGCAATTACTGTTTCTTCAACTAACCATCCGCAGCGGCCACCCTTCACAACATCTATCCAAATGAAGTCCTCTCGCTCAGTCAGCGAGCGAAGGGTATGGGGATGTACTCTTTTTTCCAAAACCTCTTCGGTTTCGTCATGACATACGGCGTTGGTGAGCTTTTGCAGAAGATTACTTGGAAGGTTGGACACCATAGAATCCTCAAACACTCAAACACAATTGGCTAACCAGCGATGTAGATCTACTTCATGTTCATTGGAATGAATACCATCTGCTTTATCCTTACCTGGCGATTCTTCCCTGAGTTCCGATTCCTCACCCTCGAAGAGATCGACTACATTTTCGAAACCCCTGAGGTTCAGCCTGTCAAGATGTCGAAGACGCTTCAAAAGACCAGACTTCAACAGAGACGCGAGGAAAGAGAACGACAGGAGAATTCGGCTTGATTCTGGGAGCTCGATTGTCCATTTACAAAAGTGGAGGGGCAGAACGAGATTGTAAATAGTCGCCGGGGTTGACAAAGTCCAGTCCAGATCTACCAGGTGGATTTTTTGGAAAACTTGACGCAACTCTATCTTCCTAGTTTATTACAAATCCACAAGAAATTGCAATAGATTATTCAGCGCTCCTTTACCACGCTCCATGACGTATGCTACGGCTTACAACTCTAAATGGCAAGGGAATGTGCTGAAAAGTCGATGGAAAATATAAAAGAGTATCTAATAGCGAGCATCTGTACTTTTGTAAATTGAAGAAATGTATCATTAGAAAAGTCTTTTGTCTTCCATTTGATGTTTACTTAGTGCCCCCTGAGGCCGAGATTGCATGTCAAGGAATGCAGCGTGGAACCTTACCGCTGTGCCATAAACCTATCATTCCAAGTAGGGAACAGATAAAGTCAGTACTCCTTCTAATTATCAAACTACAATCTATTACCAAGTAAGCATATATGAGTCAATGGATTCTCTACTACTATATCATCATCTGCCTCATAAGTTTATAACACCGGTTCATGCTTGAATGTGCTCAGTTGCTAGGTGATTGTATATCAGATCATCCTCAGGTTAGCAATTTGATGCATGCTTTATCAGCGTGGTTCTCGATCTCAAATAATGACACTCATTTATAGATTACTATGTACCTAAGCCTCGAAGGTGACATGATAGACATGTTCATTAACATACATCGGGATGTAGTCTGAAGTGAGGTACCAACTCGGCTTTTTCATTTTGTCGTTGATGGCAAGGCCATTGATGGTCAAATTTCGGAAAGTAACACCATCAATAGTTCTTGTGCCGTCATAACCACTCATGATTGAAGTGAGAGCCTGAGTTCCATCATATACTAGATTCTGGATTGTAACATTTCGAATACCTCGACCCGGAGAGGTATTGTATTTTTTGTTAAACTTAACGCGCAGGTTGACAAGCTGACCCAGTCGAATATCCTCTACTCGCACGTCATCAACAATGACGTTCTGAATCAGGTTACCGTCCCCAGGGTTGATGGCAATGCACCCCTGGTAGTCAACCTGCTTCTCGTGCTGGTCAAGGATGTCAATGTTGCGAATAATCACCCCGTCGGTAGTCTCGGGGTTCTCAGTGTTCCCGTGCGTGCCCATGTTGATGGGATGCGCTACATCCGCCCACAAGACCGAGTTTTGCAGAGTGATGTTGGAGTTGTCGCCGTACCAATCGTCTCTGTGGTTATATATGGCAAAGCAGTCGTCGGAGTTGCGCATGAAGACGTTGTCGATGAAAACATTCTTACTGCAGAATATGTCGATGCCATCACCCCACTGAACAGAACTCAGAGCCCTAAAGTTCCGAATAGTCACGTCGCTTGACTGGTACGATCGCGGCAAAACGTTGATACCAATGACTCCATCGATAGTAATCCCTTGGGAACGAATAACGGAGATGGCCGTGCTTGATGTAGTCGCAAGTACACCACGTCCACGAATCGATGCATTTGAAACATTCTGGAAGTTGATACCCGGGAGAGACACCACTGATCCCCCTGCGAGGTAAAGAGTCTGTCCAGAAGAGATGTTCAGAGGCTCAGAAAGCTTATGGAATCCTCTTCCGTATATGAGAATGTCAGGGTCGTCGGCTGATGGAGCATCGTCCTCAATTGGGTTTGTAAAGATGTGAAGCACATCAAAAATGTCGTCGTTGATCTGCAGAACAACATTTCTGGGTTGATCGAGTGTAAAGTTGACTGATGCCCCGTTGATTCCGGGGATATTGCCGAGAGAGTCCGGGCGGATGCGGGCTTCTGTCACTTCGCCATTGTTGTACGTGGCAGAGACCTCAACCGAACCGCTGAAGTCAAAGTAAACCATTGATGAGTCCTTCTTTGCTGTGGAGCCGGTGAAAATGTTGGTTTGAACAACCTTTGGCTTGTAGACGTCAATATTGCGCCATTTGCCACCGGGCACGCGGACCGTGACGTTGAATGCCGTTGATTTGTCGACTCCATCCGGTATGGTGTACGTTTCAACGACATTGACGTTCTTCTCCCTCGCTCTGGTCTCGAGTAGCGGCATTGAGCGACTGCTTACGAGCTGGAGATCCAGCAGCGGCAGGAAGAGGGAGCAGAATGAGACACGCATTGCAAAATTGGGTGATGTTCGCTCGGAATCTCTTGACAAGGGCTGCGAGGTTGAGAGAATAGTAGACACATTTTCTAGGAGCCTTGTCAAGTTATAAATCGCACTCATAGATAGCCCCACAATACATATACATTACGTACCTCTCCGTCGCTATTCCTCCGGCCCAGTGGATTGCGGGGAAGGGCTACTACCTTGCTACCTCTCCGTTACGATTCTCGCGGCCCGGTACTTCCTCCGCATGCAAGGATCATGATCGCTTAGGTCATGTTCCTAGCTCGGTCAGGAGGTGGATTGCGCGGGGTATTAATACCGATTAAAAACCCGACGGTAACGTAATCTTCAAATATCCTATTCGAGCGTGCATCTGGCTCATCACGGACATCTAGTCGCCGGAACAGCATCATCCAGCGGTCCCATTCATGTTTTCCGTCGGTGACATTACTGCATTGCAATCCTAGTCATCCACTATCTGAAGGTGGCTGCTTCATCGGCACGTCGGCATCCACGATGGACCATTCTAACAACTCATACTTGGCTGATACACTGGACGGACATGTTCATTTCAGATTAAGGAAGCGAACCCGGATAGCATGCGATAAGTGCAGTTCGTCTCGCACTCGCTGTGACGGACTATACCCATGGTGAGTGGGATACGTTGCCCGTTCCACACATCAGATCACTAACTTGGCCTATCCTAGTTGCCGATGCCAAGGTTCGTTAAGTCGGGTTTCTTGTCCTGTTCTATAATCCCATCCCGTCGGAGTTTCTCTGAGGCCGTCGGCTCTGTCACTCTGCAGCCTCCTTGAGCCTCGTCGATGGCTACTCTCTCCACGCCCCTCATTCACTAACATTTTCCATCACCGTAGAGTACGGCTATACTTGTAATTACAACCGACGGATCAAAAAGCGTGGGCGAGCTCGTCGAAGCGGAGTCGAAGTTCCCGACACTGCCACCCGGACATCTTACGACATCAGACCCGAGTATCAGGATGACCAGCGATTCGCCGTTGCCTTAGCGAATCCACCATCAATGCCGGATTTGTACCTAGACCCTACTCGACTGGGTGATGGTGCTCATGCAGTGCAACCTGCCACGGCGCGGGATGTAACGGGAGATGAGGGGCCGGAGACATCAAGTTCCCCCCAGCAAAGGACCCTGCATTCTCAAGGGCCCTTCTCAGGAGAAGATGTCAACATTACCGAGGCTCACTCTACATCCGCCGAGTCAAATGAAAGTCATTCACTTCGTAGATCTTTCGAACTGCAGTTTCCCTTCGGCTCCAACATCCTTAACCGGACAGAATTAGACGGACCACCCGCGAATGACCTGACCTCAACATCGCAATATGACGCCGTAGCATCGGAAGGTCGATATCAGTGTCTTACCCCTCTCCTCCCATTCCTCGGCGACACAATCCCTATATCCTTAGCATATGAGTTGTTCGATGTCTACCTAGTAGATCCCGGCACGTCTCTATTTCAATGTGCGTCACCCTACATACTATCACGCATCTTCCGCAAGAAGTCTCTCCTTCGTTCGGCAAATCCGCGCAAACTCTCTCCTGCTTTGCTGGTCACCATCCTCTGGTGTTGCACTCAGACGGCGGATATCTCTGCGCTCCTAGTGCCCGGATCTAGGTCCAGGTACACGAACAGCCTCTATGAGCTTGCTACATTCTTGGTGCACTGTCGGGATCCAGATAGATGGCGGCGAATTCACGGTATGAATCCTCCCACAACGCTACTCACTGGTCTAACATTGATAGGTGGGCTACGAGCCGAAAAGGAACAAGCCCAGGACCATGTTATATGTGATCCCACTCTGCCGACCACGGCAGACACCAACGAGCCAGTTGGGACCGCTGACGACGTTCTTACGTTCCTTCTCCTCTGCATCGGCGTCTCAGCTGGAGACTTCAAGTCCGACTGTAACAAGTGGTGGAGCAAAGCTGCTCGACTCGCCATGTCGTTGCAGCTAAATCGCGAAGATGTTGGCGAGAACACTGGTTCTCTACCGTCGCTAATGGAGATCGAGGGTCAAGAAGAGAGACGACGAGTCTTCTGGCTCCTCTACTCCCTCGATCGCCACCTAGCTCTCTCATTCAATAGAACGATACAAATCCCCGACTTTTGCTGCGAGGTCTATGGTGGGTACCTCCAGAACAGACGATGTTGTATACTGACCATCTCAAAAGCCCCCCTACCTGATAGTATGTGGGAAACTCTTGACGACATCGATATCAGCACCCTGCCGGCCCGTACCTTGGGGCCCCCAACCAACATCACTGGGGCAGGTTTCTTTGAGTACTTTCTCCCTCTCATGGTCATACTTGGTGACATTATTGAGGTTCAGCACAGCCAGCATCACCCGCGCCTCGGCAATTGTGACAATGCACGCGCTCTAGAGGTGATTAAAGATGCAATGGCGGACTGCGAAACAAGCCTCAAACAGCTAGCCCGAGGTGTCGAGCTTGAAAGAGTAGCAACGGAAACGCCAATGCATATTAGCAACTTCTTGACCACGGTGCCGGACCAGAACCAGAGCTCCAGGCCATGTGTAGGTGACGCCGAGGCAAATAACAGCACTAGCAAAGACGCTTTGCGCTTGAGACTAGCCATTGCATACAGCAGTCACATCCTCCATGTTCTATATGTGCTCCTTCACGGCAAATGGGATCCCATCAGCATGCTCGATAATGACGATGACTGGATTACCACGCCTCGGTTCATAGAGTGCGCTTCCCATGCTATCGCTGCTTCCGAGGCTGTGTCGGAGATTCTCGATCTAGACCCTGAGCTCATGTTCATGCCATATCTCTTCGGCATCTATCTTCTGCACGGGAGCTTCATTCTCTTGCTGTTTGCAGACCGCATGCCGCAACTGGGGCCGAATAAAAGCGTGGAGCAGGCCTGCGAGACCATCATTCGAGCTCATGAGGTCTGTGTTGTGACACTTAATACCGAGTTCCAGGTAACATCGAATCGTCCAAGCTATGATAAGGGAATCGCTGACCAGGTGATTTAGAGAAGCTTTCGGCGCGTGCTTCGCTTAACCTTGTACAGCGTCCGAAGAGTTCATCCGGCTAGACCGGAGGAGCACAATGTAGCCAGGAGGCAGGTGTTGTCGCTTTACCGGTGGACTAAAAGTGCCAAGGGCCTTGGTATATAAGCTGGAGTGGACTGAATAAGACATTCAGGGTGGCTTGGTGACTGGCGGGCAAGGATATGAGCTCCGTAGACCCGTCCCGGGACAGGGCGCAGGCACATCGCCAGCTGATCGCAAGTAGAGGAGCAATCAGACAGCGATCCTCGCCTTAGTGAGGATGATGAGGAAGAGGAGTGGGGAGCCGAGGAGGATGAAGATGAGAAGGAGGAGACCTGGTCGTTTCAAGCAATAGCGGGCTGAAGGAGGCTCTGGTGATTATGGTCCTACTAGTGTGGTCACAAAGCGGCAGATGTACTTATAGACTATTTTTGTTAGATATGGTTTCCCAAGCTGCTCTGGTTTATAGAAAGAGAGTTTATTCTCCTTCTTCTTTCTAACTCCTCTATTAAAAACACTAACTGGGACCTAGACAATCTTTTTTTTATCTTCTATAATTAAGCTGGCTTTTTAAACCTTTATAGTATTAAGTCTACTACCTTTTTATATTCTTCGGAGTATAAATAATAGCCCCGGCGTTTAGATATACTTTATAGCCTAGAGGTATTTAAGTATTATAGCTAAAAAGCCTATTTTAGTCTACTTAGTAATTAACTATCTTTTTATATTACTATATATATTAGGTAAATAGGCTGCTACAGCCTGGTACTTATATAGATAGTATTAGCTATAGAATCTTATTTAGTTTTTTTAGCTTTACTTAATATCATCAGATAGATCAAAGCCATATAGTAATCTCAAACAGTAGGAATAAATAATAAGAACTATACCCAGCACTAGAAGAAATAGTAGCTAAATAATAAGATTATTACCTACTAGTCTCTGCCTAAAGCTTCTATTTAACCCCTCTAACTTCAACCCTATTATCTACAGTTAACAACCTTACTATCTGCAGTTAATAACCTTAAAATAGTAACCTTATTCCAAGTAATAGAATATAAAAGAGACTGATATCTTCTATTATTAAGAGACTAACTTTCCTTCTAATACTTATTCTATTATAACTAATTTTTAATATAGTAAATTTTATTTAAGTAGCTCTTTCTAGGAATAACTTATTATATCCATATTATAGATCCCAACTTTAATATAATATTGGATTCTCTTAGAATCTAAAAGATAAATTAGAAAGATAGAAGCTAAATTTCCTTTTAAGCTTTCTTAAGAAAGAAAATTTATTTAAGCTATTGCTATACTATCTGCAATACCTAAATAGAAGCTAATAAATTATATTAGTTATTTTTAGATACTATTTGCTTCTTAATAATAGGACTAGAGTTAATAGGTAAGAAAATTAAACTCTTATCCGTAATCTTGTCCTATATATTCAAATAGAAATAGGCGCGCTTTACGACTTGGCCAAAAATATCAACAATCCCGATCCAAGGGGTCAAGTCTTCCTCCAGGATATCGCCGGGGCCCAATACGACCCCTGGTTCCAGGAGCTGTTGTGTTGCGTTGGGTTGGTACGGATGCTAGCCACATAGGGTGCTGGCTAGAGGGGGGATTCGAATGAGGGTCATCATCGGCGTTGGGGATCTCGGGGCGTTCTAGTCACAGGTCGGGTCGTGGGAGTTTTCAGTGCAATCATCAAGGTTAGAGTCGAAAAAGTTAGACAGGATTCCGGCAGAGAAGAAAAAAGCAGCTTGAAACCCAAAACTTGGGCCTTGGCAACTGTGACGTGCGCGCAACGAAAATGCAGTAAATTCAAACACTAGGTTCCCTCATCGAGGGGCTATAGAGTCTTATTTATAATTAAATTAGAAGTAGGATTAAAAAGAGAAAGAAATTTGGGTCCTCGCTTGGGCCCCCTGCAGAGTGGTGCATCATCTTGATGCCTCTTCACGCCCTCAGCTTCCCGGATGATTTCGCTCTTGACAAGATTGAGGATTCAAGCTGTCCGACCCCTTGATCGATTTCCATTCACGACGCTGGTCTACAATGTTTCCCTGTGCGTGAGATCCAAAGCGCTGTGCCTCCTTTAGCGGGGAAAGAGAAATTCTCTTCAATCTTCCCCAAGGGCTCTTTCGTGCATGCTCCGCACTTCCACTTGCCATGTCTGGAGGATGAGGATTGACTGAGTTGAGTGGCTCGTGCGGCGGCTTTGCCCCTCCGAAGCAGCACCCTGCTGCCCCGTCATCGTTTTTACAACCCCTCGTGAGTTTGGCTTAGAGAAGTCAGCTAACTAGAATACTTGGCTATGCTGATATCAACAAATTGCCCCGTGCGTGCCTTTGCGGCTGTCGATCAATCGGTCCGTGGAGAAGATCCGGGAGGGCCGCTTGGTCCTAAACCCCCGGCCCTCAAGTTTGGCTCAGGAATTCACTCACCTTAGTTCAAGGTCGGATGTCAGAGAACACAGTTCCCGCTGGTTATACTCCGTTCAAAAGGCACAACCACCGTCCTGCCGTGTGCTTGGACGCAGGAGAAACTGCATAGGAGTAATTCCCGTCAGGCGTGGCGCAGCACCCCCTCGATCCATTTGTGGAACCAGCGCCGCGAGAGAAAATGGTAGAAACTTTTGAGGCTTGAGAGGTAATCAGTCGATCTTTCGGGGTCTCGGCATGCGTTGACTTTGGCCCTGTCTGGACTCAAATGAACCCACCTTCGTATGCGATTCTGCGCATCAACAAACTCCTGTCTCAACCCACAAGATCAGCATCATGCCTTTCAAGTTGCTCGAGGTGGACACCGCCACTGACTTTGAAGAAGTCATCGAGTGCCAATGGGCCGCATATCAGAATCCCTTTCAAAGTTTCTTCCGCCTCTTCTGTCCAGTTCATAGCGACGGCCCTACTGCCCAAGCAGAGTCACTTAAGGAATGCATAGCTTGCCAGCTAGACTGGTACAATTCGGATCCAACGAGTTACTGGGGGAAGGTCATTGATGACAACGGCAAGATTGTTGGCGCTTGTCTATGGAAAATCTGTCCAACCAACCTTTTCGAAAACTTCTTCGTTATGCCTTCGACACTGTTTGATCTCAAGGCGTTCCGTTTCTTCGCGACCTGCTCTATCCACTTCTGCATAATCGTGGATGCCTTAGGGTCTTTAAATAACTAGCTTTTCTCTTAAATAGTAGCTATATTAAAATTAAAAAAAAGTATATCTATAATTATTTTATATAGTAATTAATATTCTTTTAATTTCTTTTAAATTATCTAATATTAAGTTTTACTTTTTATTAGTATAGAATATACTATTATAAAATAAAAAGAGTATAATTTATAAAAACCTAGTAAAGATTAAGTATATAAATAACTGAATATATAAGAGGAGTATCATATCTAGGTCTTATAATAGCAGAGGTATTATTTTAAATATTACTATTAAATTTAATATTAAAATAGAAATAAAAGATTTTTTAAATTAAAGTATTTTCTTATTTTTTCTTTTAGTTTATAAGAATTATATATAGTTTATCTAGATATTAACCTTATTAAAATAGCTATATAGCTATATAAATATCTACCTAAATATATTAATATTTAAATAATTTCTTCTATTTATATAAATATTAATATAAAAGCTAAAATTTCAGTAGATATTAAAATATACAGATTTATATATATATTATATAATATTATTTTTATTTATTATATAGAGAAATTATAGAGTTTATTAGAATTACTTATATATATATACTTATTTCTTATAATTTAAATATAGCTATTAAATAGATATATTATAAGAATTTTTAATATTAAAACTTATATATATATATATTACTTAAAGTAAGTTAATAATAATCTTATTTTTATATTATCTAACTATTATTTAAATTATAAACTTTAAACTTTTTTTTAGTTTTTTCTTTTTTATCTTAAACTCTTTAATTATAGTAAATATATATTATAAGTAATAATAAACTTTAAAATAAAGTAATAAATACTTTTATTTTACTTTTATTCTTTTTTAATTTTAAGTAATTTATTTTTTATTTATAGTTAGTAGTTAATAATAACCTTATTATCTATAAGCAGAGTGTGAATATAGATAATAAGGTTCAGTAGAGCGGTAGTTATAAGAGGATTTATACTTAGAAAGATAATCTAAACTGTAGTCAGGCTACTAGTAGGGTAACTCCTAAGCGAAGCGTAGGATGTTTACGAGGGAACGTAGTGGCTAAGGTAAAGTACTAGAGTATGTAACCTACACATTATGTGAGGTCACAGACATAGCCTCGAAGAGGGCATGAAATGGAATGTGCACCCGAATTTGGGTTATGAAAGGAAGCAATTGCGCCTTTAGCGCGCAGTTTTGCACTATTGCTGTGTAAGTTACGTGACTGCCCTTAGCCAGTAAACCTCCATAACAGCTGATCTGTCGGAGATTCTTCCAACGCAGGAGTTCTCCCCTAGGCAGATCTTGACAGGCCGATGAATTAGGATTGGTCTGTTACGCCTGTGGTATTTCTCATATCTTTCTGATTGGCTCAGGTTGTTCGATGAGACAGGTCTCTAGGCCCTGCCAGATTCACGCGAACTGCTGCGCAAGGGAGAAGCGAGCATTGCCACGGTCCGGTAAGGTAGACATGCTGTGCATTGATTGGTCCGATGAGAGCCTTGCGATGGCTGCCAGGGTGACGTTTGCTCACACGACGCCCCCTGAATCTAGACATGTCCTCCACAGCTCGCCATTCCAACATGCCTGAGGTATTGTCTAGAACGTTGTCACGTGAAAATAAAATTACCCCTCGAAATTCATGCTGTCCGGTACGATTTGTTCTATCGATGTCGGTAGCGGCTACTCGTCGTCTAGGTCCTTAAAGGCAAAATACGGCTCGGTTCTCTCGTCGAGCTTCTACATATACTACGACTTGCCATATGGACGTTCGTAGGTAACTTACCCGCGACCTGAACATCGTGTGCTGGTCGGCCGTTAGTCAAGCCTCAAGGCTATACGACTTGCCTGCTACCCACACCTGACTTGTCCCAAGCCTGACTTGTCCACTATTTAACCCTAACTTGTCCTAAGCATGACTTGTCCGCCGTGAGGGCCTAACTTGTCTGTCGGCCATACCTGACTTGTCCGCTGTTCGGACCTTACATTGCTAAGCCTGACTTAACCACCATTGCCTTTCTCGACTGTGAAGGTTCTTCGATCCGATCGCCTGCATTCTCTTATTAATGAAGCAGGATAACCACGGCGAAATCAGGAATATCGTTCAGCAGCATCTCACTGCAAACCCAAACAACGGCGTCATGTTCGCCAACATAGGACGGGTCGGACATGCTGCTAGCACAGCCAACCGGACCCGATGGGCGTTGCGGGCTGCCGAGCAGCCCCCCTCCCAGGCGGGTGCTGTTGCCGGCCCGGGTTGCAGACGACTCTCACCGCAACGTCTCACCTCAGCCTGATAGCGATGAGTGATAGAGCAACTGAGGAACACAATTGTGCACATCACAGACAAGACGTCACCATGATGAGCTCTATCACTCAATAATTCAGAAAGAAAGAGACAGTCTTGTTCAAGCAAAATATTCCCGCCTCTAGTCAGTATATGCCTGCCGCCCAAAGGTCGTCGATTCACTGGCTCCGTCCTCTACATCGCCGCTTCAGGGTGTCTTTGGCCAGATCTCGTTCTCATCTGGAAACCCCCATGATGCGGCATAGTCTTGACGTTTTTGGTGTTGAAGCCCAGAAACGGGAAGAAGACGCAGGGGTGTAATATTGTGACCGCGGCAACAGAGAGAAGAGTCATTGATGCGTCCAGTACCAAAAACAGGGGTTCGTTGCTCGTGATGTCTCTCCCAATCGACGGTATGTTCTCCAGAATGCTGCAGGACGGTCGGTGTCAGGGCGGAGTGGAAATTAGCTAACGTTGGTGGAGAGAGATCATCGACTTACCGATACGCACAGCGAATGATGATGGCCGGATATGCGATCCCAACAGCATAAACAAAAATGCGTATCCGATTTGCCTATGCCACCGAAGCCTCTACCCGAGAAGATGCCACTTCCATGCCTGTTTTTCCTCCTTGACGCAAGGGAATAGACTGAGGGACGGAAGCGGAAGCAAAAGGGTTGTTGCTGGAAGCTGAGTCTGGTTCAAGAAGCTCCAGGCCGCTTTTCGTGGCACCGTTCCGCCGCATTACATATATCAGCATGAGAGCTGCACAAATGACCATGTTGACTTGGAAAGCGACACCTCCCACGATCATAACCTCCGACAGCTTATTCAAGGTTCGGTTCCCTCCACCAGGGCTTATTAGGGGCTCTTTTCTTATCTCAACTAATATAGCAGCTGCAGATTTATAAGCTATTTCGCTTTATATCAAACTAATACTTCTAGCAGTGAATATAACTATATATCTTGTTGTTATTCAGAGCAGTATAGAACTCCCGTATAAAAGCCTGATCCTCCTTACTAAGAGCAGGCAAGTTAAGGTCCCCTGTAAAAGGTGGATTAACAATCTGATTAAACTGTCGCTCTTAAGAATATGCGCCTTAATATGTATAGCAGCCGCGACAATAACTCTGTAACAGTAATAAAGGAGTGGTAGGGAATGATTCCTGTGGTATAGGCGTGCCTAGCATAATAGGAGCTATTAGAAGAGTGCCTTAAGGAATTGGCATTTGAGGAATCGGCGTGCCCAGAACTACTATTAGCAGGCCAAGGGTAGGAGGGATAGGAGAAGGTCCCTCTACCGCGCTTGGGGTCGATAGCCCCAGCAGAGGTCTAGACAGTCCCTGAAGTGCAGACGCCAGACTACGGAATAAGATAGGTATAGCAGGAGGTTGTAAGCCGTACACAGACACAGATATTAGCACAGCCCGCCTTAGAGGCATTAGATTAGCTAGTAAATCGGTCCTTTTCGTAGCTCGGCGTAGCAATAGCCTCAAGGCAATATTCCACATAGCAGCAACAGCAGCTCGGGATCTGGCTTTCCGTTCTCTTTAGTATACCCGACAGCTAGCACACTCTCCTATAAGCTTTACAGGGTCCTTAATACTTTAAAATTTAACTTCAAGCAGGTCTTACTTATAGATACAGCAATTCCAAACTGCCTAGAGTATATTATCCTCTATCTAACTGTATATATATCTACCTTATACCTATCTAGATTACTAGATATTACTCGGGCAGGAAGGCTTTATAATAGCTTATATCTAATACTATAATATATCTTAATAGAGTAGTTATCTTTAAGGTAGTTAGATTAGGTCTAAATAATTAGGGAGGAAATTATATTACTTTCTGATAGTAGGGTAACTGAGGAATCTTAATAGGTAGGCTGGCTGTGAAGGTAATATATAAACCTAGATACTATTAGCAACCCAATAGGTTTAATTTAATAGATTAATAGAAAGGGAAGTAGCTGCTATGTTGGTTAGTATAAGGAGTAAAGGGTATGGGGCTTATTTAGTTAGAATCGTGCTTAGAAACCCAACATATTGATTGCATTAAAGAAAAGAAGAACCTGAAAGCTCTTAGAGAGCTTGCCAAGCTAGTTACCTAGTCAACGCTTAGGGGTTTGTAGGCCTCTATTTTAATAGCCGACCAATTCGTGCACGAGTTAAGCACAGACCAGACTAATTAGCCAATCAGAAGAGGTTTTATAGTCTTCCTTCTGACTGAGTAAAACGCCCTTCGGGCTGAACAATGCCAAATCGAGTTGCTGCAGTCATTACAGCAGAAGGTTGGTATACAAAATACTAGATTTATTAAAGCAGCATCATAACAAAGCCTCTGTCAGGGGGTCCGGTACGCAAAGGGGTCTTCAAACTCTTTGCTCCCCACTGTAGCGTGTTGGATATACCTGAGAGACGGCCCACTTACTGTCTTGAGCTCGCCGGACCCATCATAAGCTGTCAGGGCTCGCCGAAGGAGTCACTTTAAGCAGTGCCCTCAGTTATCACATTGACCTCACCGCGGGTTCCAGGCAAGTCAGGCTACAATGCTACTACACTAATCCTTAATAGTTCGCCGAATGAGCGAGTTTAATAATTGCCCCATCACTTTCAGCATCAACGGGCCACCTGTCACTGCAGATCCCGGGCAAGCCGGGCTGCAATGCTACTACACTAATCCTTTACAGCTCGCCGGGTGGGGGGGATTT